ATTACTTATATAATAATTTTAATATCTCGTAAAAATTTAATTGAAAAAAAAAAAAAAAAAAAAAAAGAAATTACAATAAAAGGAAAATTCTTTAAATATCTTTCATTCTATAACTTTAATAATTTATATAAGAAGATCATCATTTTCATATTAAAAATATAGAATAGTATAGTCTAAGAAGAACAATTGATAAGACATATATATCTATACAACCATTGAAAAATACATAATAGTCAAAGCAATTCAAATTTAAACATTAATTCTTCCAATATTTCATCATAACAATTATAAAACAGATAGAATGAAATTTTTCCAATCAGATTATACTTTCCATTATCCATGGGATCAAGTAACAGCAGCAAATTGGCAAAAATATCCAAATGAATATTCAACTCATGTTATATCAGTAGATATATTAGGTAGATCAATTATAAATAATCATATCTTAAGAACTGAAAGATTAATTGGATGTAAACAATCAATACCAAAATGGTTATCATTTTTAGTTGGTGGACAATCAATAAGTTATGTTAGAGAAGTAAGTGAAATAGATTTAAATAATAAAAGTTTAATAATGAAATCAATGAATTTAACAATGAATCATTTATTATTAGTTAAAGAAACTGTTATTTATAAACCAGATTTACAATTACCTGATTTAAATACAAATTTTAATCAAATTGCTGAAATTACTGCTTTTGCTGGTGTATCTAAATTATGTGATAAATTAGAAGATTGGTCTATAGAAAGATTTGGTCAAAATGCTAAAAATGGTAAATTAGCTTTTGAAAATGTTTTAAATCAATTAACTGAAAAATGGGATCAAACAGGTGTCTTTAAAAACTGAAAAGATCAATCAACTATCAAAATCAATCATTAGCATAAGTTTTCAAGGTTTAAAGTTTCTGCATTTCAATTCTATTTTAGATTCTACTCATTTTTTGGCATAATCAATTTGTATTAAATATTTCAATTCTTTAGGTACATAACATATCAATAGTTCATTTATAGATTACGATCTTGTATTTAGCATTTAAAAATATATATTACATTCACTTAAATCCATACCAGTAGCTGTTATCTTCTATCTGGAATATTCTAAGACAAAGTTGCACACGATCATTAAAAATGCTTGTTGCACCCCCAATGTTACCGCGAAAATTATTTCTTTTTTCTTCAGGGACGCTTAATTTTCTGAAACACTGGTTGCAAATATTATTTTATGCTTACTAGCGTAAGCGTACTCAAATATAGTTTTTCATCGCAATTTTTAAAAGAGACTAAGACATGGCATGGCTCAAGTAAAACTCATATATTAAAGTCTATAAACTTACTATAAAATGGTTTTTCATAAAGAACAACCTTAATCAGTTGCTTCAGCAGCAACTGATAAACTTTTAGAAACTGAAGGAGGAATCATCCAATAAGGTTCCCAAACACCAGCACTTGAACAAATTGAAGTAGCTAAAGAAGTAGCAGTTTTAACTTTATCACCTTTACAAGCAGAAGCAATACAATCACCTATAGGACCAGCAAATTGTGGCATAACACATAAACAACCTGTATCCCAATATGGACAAGGAGTTACTCTTGTATCTTTACGAACACATGGTTGAGCACATGATGGTAATTGATCATAAATTTTATCAGCAAATCCATTAATTGATGCTGTTTTGGCAACTGATGGATAAGTGGACCAATTATTTCCATCAGTTGGTGCAGCTTGTGGTGGAGAAGTAACTGCTGGTGCTGCTGCTGGTGCAGCTGAAATAGTTGAAATAAAAGCAACAATTGGAATTAAAGTAGATAATTTCATTTTGAAAGTTTATGTAATTAATTGATTATGATTTTTAAAATTAGAATAGAGTCAATGTTTAGAGGTGTTGATTGACTTTATATAACTTAGAAGTAATCATTTCAGTTAATCCGATGTTGGAAGTACGGCTTACTACATATTCAAAATTTCAATTTGGTTAATTAATTAAACCAATAAACATGAATTTTTCAAATTTTCAAGCTAGATTTCATATAAATTTTAAAATTCAAATCTCAAAAACCCGAAACTTTCAAAGTTTAAAAGCCAAGATATTCATGCAGTTTCAATAACTGACACTTAATATCTTCGGTATATGTATTTTTCAATTTATACAAATCAAAAAATCCCCGTGGTAGATTCCCTTTTCTTAGTAAATATTTTCTTGATTTTATGTTACAATGTAATTAGGACTAAAAATATAACGGTTTTAAACGGTTTTTGTAATTTAACCAATCACATAAAAAAAAGAATTTAAAGAAAAAATTGAAATTTTAAATGAAATTAATTCAATGTATAATCTAAATTCTGGGCTTATTGAAAAGGATTCGGGTCCTTGTCGACAGATTTTGTTCCTTTCGAGAAGTAAAGATAATTAAATTTATACTTTTCATCAGATGTAAGGAATTAACCAAAAATAAAGAGCGAAAAAAATGAGAATAAAAATAGAAATTATTTGATATCCTTTAATTTCTAATTTAAATTATTGAAATTGAAAGAAACTCTCCTTAACTAGATCTAACAACTCAATTTCTTAGTTCTTTAGACAAACAACTTGGCCAAATTACTTCATTAGAATTTTTTAATCACGCTCTCGTAATTCTTCAATTAGTTCGATAAAAATTTTGCAGCCATAAATTGAAATGGTAATCGCACGAGTGTTTTACGTTATTGTATCTGATTTTATTTTGCAATCAATTCCAATTTGAATGAAACGAAAAATTAGCATCATTATCATTCCCCTGGCAAAGTTAAGGAATTGAATTTTTTTGAAAGTTCTTTGATAATTATCAAATGCAATACTTGACGAGCATAACATTCGGTTTATGAGACAGAATTTATTTTAGTCGAATTTCCTATGAAATCTTGAATATTGCGATACACAAATCGGAAGAGATTAAACACACACGCATTCTAAGATTGAAGGATGCTTCCGAGTAAAACTATTTAGATTTGTAGCACTTGCAACATCAAATTTTAGCTTGACATAAACTTATGAAACAACTATATCTCCAGAAATAACTGATTTACCAGGTTGATATCTAATGTCTGGTGTTTTGTACAGTTTTTTTTTTATTATGAGTTATACATCTTTTCCAATTTTTGGTGTGACACTTGGGAGACATCAGTCCAATGCTTTGGTTGAATTCATTTATCATCAAGATTAGATCATTCAAACGAAACAGATACAACTGAGACATCTACAGATGCTGAATATTCAGATCATGAGTGAGCTACAATAATAGGGTTACAAACACAAATAATTATTATCGACACGTGATAATTTTTTGTTTGTCTTTTTCTATGTCTTGAAATATTATCTCCTGACAACATACAAAAAATTTCTCTCTAACATATAATTTTTCAAATTGCATTCGAATTACAAATCTCATATTACCTTCTTTTTCACTACAATTTCCATTTGGTAAGAAAGAAGCAACACTTGCAGACAAGCCGAATATGCAAATTTTCGTCAAAACCCTTACTGGGAAAACTATCACCTTAGAGGTTGAGTCATCAGACACCATTGATAATGTTAAATCAAAAATTCAAGATAAAGAAGGTATTCCACCAGATCAACAAAGATTAATTTTTGCTGGTAAACAATTAGAAGATGGTAGAACTTTATCAGATTACAATATTCAAAAAGAATCTACTTTACATTTAGTCTTAAGATTAAGAGGTGGTGGTAAAAAAAGAAAGAAGAAAGTTTATACTACTCCAAAAAAGATTAAACATAAACATAGAAAACATAAATTAGCTGTTTTAACTTACTATAAAGTTGATAATGAAGGTAATGTTGAAAGATTAAGAAGAGAATGTCCTGCTCCAACTTGTGGTGCTGGTATTTTCATGGCTAACATGAAAGACAGACAATACTGTGGTAAATGTCATTTAACTTTAAGAGCTAACTAAGTTTGAATGGAATAGGATTTTTTAATTAAAATTGTATAGTATTCAATACATATTGTTGACTCAAAAATTGTCCTTGTAATCATCAATCTCTTAATTGAATCTATACTATAAGCTTGATCACGTGAATTAAATATATATACGAGAATCTAACTTAGATCCGAAACGTATATCCATAATCTAATTTCCAATAACTATCGACAATTAATTCATGACAGATCAATGAGTGGCGGGTCCTTCTCAATTTATGAATTAAATCCAGAGATTAAAAAACTACTATCTGCAAATAATTTTTTAAATGGTTTGCCAGTGAATGATTTTATCGAAGAAATAAGTAAAGATCATATATTAAAAGGAGCAGAAGTAAATAAACATGCATATCTTGATCCAAAACCTTATATAAGATCTTTTGAAAGTACTATTCGAGAATTGAATCAATTGAATTTAGAAGCCAATGATCAAAGAATTCGAGGTGAAAAACAAGTAGATTCATTTGAATTGAATCATTCTAATAATGTTTTAAAATTGAGTCAACTGATGAAAGATATAACCAATGAATTTAGTAAATTGGATGATAAAATTTCATTAGTTTCAAGTAAAGTTAATCCATTGGGAACTAAACTCAACAAAATATCAACATCAAGAGATAAATCTAAAGAAACTATATTTTTAATTAGAGCATATCATGGATTTTATACGAAAGGTCAATATCCTCAATTGGAGACTTTAAGATCAAGTAATAATACCGAAGATAATGTAGAATGTGCAAAATACATAAGACAATTAATACATCTAGCTAAACGAATCAGTGATGAATCATTATCAAAAACAATCAAATGTTTACAAGATATAGAATCCTTCGGTGATAAAATGGAAGAGGAACTATTGAAAAAATTTGACATAGCGACTGGTGGGGATGATGAGTCGGATTTTGATATTAAAGTCATGAACAAAATAGCGACGATATTAAATGAATACAATAAAAATGTAAATTTAATGGAAGCATTCGTTAGTAAAAATGAACTATCAAAAGATAATGAAGATATGGATTTAACGATAACTGAAGATCAATGGAAAGAATGGGCTGATCCAAATTCAAATATTGAATTGGAAGATAAATTTAAATTATTCTTACAAAATTTAAAATTTGATATAAAATCTAAAGCAAGACTAAGTAAAAAAATATTTGATAATCCAATTGTACTAGTAAATCTTATTCAAAGAATTTACGGAAGAGTGATAAAACCGAAAATTTCGGAATTATTACAATATTCATTACAATTTAACTTATTAGCTCATGTTAGAATACTTCATGAATTGTATGATCTACTTGGGGAATTTACAAATCAGATTAAAGATTATATGATTACAGAAGAATACGATTCCGACCAACAAATACTGCAAACATTGGAAAGTTCATATAATAAACTATTTGCCGAGTATCTTGGTGATACATACTTAAGTAGAGAAAAGAAAAATTTGGAAGAAGTGGTTCATAACATTTTGAATAAATTTGATTCTGAATCATTCAATGATCAAACTCATGGAAATTTAGGTTTAGAAAGGTCGGATACTGTTGAATATACAAAGAAGGAATATGATCATACTACATTTGCAGCAGAAAGGAAAAGATTAGCACAATTTACTCAATATGTGAAGAACAAAATAAATGAAAGAACAGGTAATGAAAGAAATATTTCAAAGTTGGAACTTGAAGAAGATGACTTAGCAGCTATAGACACAGTTGAGAAAATCATAAAAGCAGCTGCTGAATCTTTGAGTAGAGCCTTGGAATTAAATCCAGAAAGAGCATCAGATCATTCATTAGAAGTTTTGAATGTATTAGTGATTAATTTTGCAAAATTGATTGTTCGTGAAGAATTACAATTACAAAATCTTAACATCTTTTGGAGTTTAAATTCAATTCATTTCAAAAAAGAAATATTATTTTGTTTATCAACAAGTGCTAAAAAGATTATACTTCCAAGTTTATCTAATGATCAAGTATCTAAGAATAAAGCCAAGTCAATGATCAATGGATTTGTTAAAATTCAAGAAAACAGCATCAATCAATTAGTTGATAAATTGGTTGATTATTCATTAAATCAATTACAAAATTTACTTAACAAACAAAAGAAAAAAGATTTTTTATGTGATACCATTGGAGAAGATACTGAAGCATGTGAATTAATTAGTGAATTTTTGAATGAGATGTATACCAACGTGAGTGTTGTACTCAGTAATCAAAATTTAATAAATACATTAACTACAATAGGAAATAAATTCTTACAATTACTACTAGAACATTTCAAAAAATTTCAAGTAAACTCAATTGGAGGAATTGTATTAACAAAAGATGCTATAAGATATCAAAGTGTTATTGATGAATGGAACATACCAGATTTATCAGAAAGATATCAAATATTAAAAGAAATTGGAAATTTATTTACTGTTCAAGAAGAATTAATAAATTCTTTAGTCACTGAAGGTCAATTATCAAGAATGAAACCTTATAATATAAGGCAATATATAAGTAAAAGAAAACAGTAGTTAAACGCTGATTAATAAAATATTTTTTGCATCCATTCGATCTATCACAATTATTAAATTGATCTCTGTTTACGAATCTTACACAAAATCAAAACCCCAAACATTGAAACATCATAACAAGTACAACAAATATAATAACCATTAACTTTCTCATTAAATCAATTCATCAGGGGCTTTACATGTATATAGAATGAAAGATTAGAGAATGCTACGGAATGAGAAGAAATCATCAAGAAAACTACGTTCAGGAGATACTAAACCATTAGAAGATAAGAATTTATTTAATTTTGACAACATAAATCATTACCTATACCGATCGAAACCAATACCATTCAATGACGACCCAAATTCAAATCAATTACCGTTATACAGATATTTCAGGGATGAGGTAGAACTGACACCCCAACCTCCTCCACTTAAACATGGAGAAATCAAACGAATTAAAAGAACCAATATTAAATATGATCCAAAAATTGAAGATCCATTACCTGATTCAACTTATCATATTTTTCATCGTAAAATGCGTAAAGAAGAAGCTCAAATGTTAAATGAAGAAAAAATTAAAAATTTAATGGAATTAGATAATTTTCAAAATTATTTACAATTATTAAATCAATATGATTGGATACGTCATTTACCTCAAATTACTAAAATTAATGACTTAAAAAATTTAGAAGAATGTGAAGAAAAAAGACAGTTAACAATTGATGAAATAGAAAAAATGTTGAAAAAGCAGTCTATTTGGAAGAAAAAAAAGGATGAGTTTGCTAATAATGTTAGATTGTATCATAATAAAGGAATCGAATTTGAAATTGTTAATAATGGGCATAATACAATTCAAGTTGATGATGAAACAAAAGAAGAAGAAGTTCCAATTGAGACAGATGAACCCGAAGTGGACGAACCCGAGTTAGATGAGCCTGAGTTAGATGAGACTGAGTTAGAAGAAATAATTGAAGAGAGTCAAAGATTGCCTAGAAAGAGAGGCCCTAAACCTAAAAATCCAATATTGAAATCTCCAATAAAACCAAGAATCAAAATAGTTAAAGAAAAATTAGATGAATTGAATAAGTCAAGTACTATTGATATTTATGGCGCGTCTAATAATTTATTTGGAATTGATGTTTTAGATTTAAAAGTATCAGAAAAAGGTTTTCAACTTCCAGTAGGTTGGAGAAAACAATTTAATACAAAGAAATAAATACAGCGGGTATGTCAATAAATTCATTAATTCAATTTTTGGAAGAAATACATATTTAGGTTAAGTCAAACGGTTCTTTTGTGGGCAGAGGTACTAAAGGAAAATAGCTGAGGGATTACTTTCACTCCAGCGGGCTTTACAAAACATGTCAACATTATTTCGTTAATTATGCTAATTATCTATATAGGTAGGATTAAAAGTTGATTTATTTGCAATAAATGCAGCTCTTTCTAGCGATTTAATATCATCCACATGATCAAAAATCCATTCGAAATGAATCTCTGGTGCCGATTTAATGACTTTTGGAGCTTGATCTAAATCTGCTTCTAAATATCTAGATGAAAAAGCTTCTATATTATCAAAGCTAATATTATATGTTATGGATAAATAATCATAAAACTCTAATAGCAAATGAATTAATAACCCCTTGTACAAATCATCTTTTTGAACACCATTTGAATTAACATCCGACATAAATTCAGGAACATTATATTGTAAATTTGAATATAATTGTTCTAATATAATATAAATTTCTCCAATAGTTTTAAATTTAATTTGAAAAATTCTTTCAGTTAAAAATACTAGGAACAACAATTCTTGTTTTGTTAATTTTGGTTTTGATTTCATTGAATATAATTTTGATATAGATTTTATAAATTTATTTCTTGAACTTTTTGTTTCCAGATTTTTATTATAAAGTAATGAAATTAAATTATTTGCAATTAAATTATTTTCAAAAGCTAATTTTATACCTGAAATTAATTGAGTATCAACAACAGATTTATTTTTATCATACAATTCTGAATATAAATTAGATGCAGATTGTTGTATTCTTAAAACTTTTGAACCATGTAATGCAATAATTATATTGATTCCTTTCATAGGAAGAATTAAATCTAATTTCAATGCTTTTCTAACAAATACAAATGCTATTTCTGATAAATCATTAGATGATGAACTTAAACTTATATTACCAATTTTATCAAAAAATTTACTAACTAAAATCTCACATGCATTATAACCCAGTTCTTTAAGTTTTTGTTCAAGATCTTTTGAATTAAATTCAGTTGATTCAATTTTTTCACCATTATCATTAATAAATTCAGTAATTGCTTTAATAACATTAAATTTAATTTCATCATCCATAGTTAAAGCAGTTTCAATTATATTTAATATTGGAATTTCACCAAAAAATCTAGGTACACTAGAACAAGCTAATAAAACATTAGTGAAAGCATATTTTCTTAATGCTCTAGGAAATTTATCAGGTATAAAAGCCATTATATATCTTATAAGTATTGACATTACTGATGGATAATTTGAAGGTACTATACCTTCTGAAACAAATTCATTTCTAAATTTTTGTAAAGGAAAATATTTCCCAAAATTTCCTAATATTTGTAAATGTTTAAATATTTTTTCATAAGTTTTTCGATCATGATATTCTCTAATGATTTTCATTGCTGATATTACTGCTGTAACTCCTTTAATTTCTGTAGAACTTAATCTGCCTAGATTTGCTAATGATTGAACTGCTAATGAAATATCATGAGATTGGAAAAATATAAGTTTGTGATATAAAAAGTTTTGAAGATCTAAAGATAATTCTGGCCGTATGGAAGTTAATTTTGAAGTTGATGATTTTAAAATTAAAAGTGCATTAGTATAAGCAGGCGTATTGATGTGGTCTGTGTCCAAATAAATAGGTTTTAAATCAGATAATATATCTTGAGTTATTAGTTCAGGTTTGAATTGTGCAATTATAGCAATTGCGTTAAAAGCTCCTTCAATTTCTTCAGAATTATCTGAATTTATAGCAACATCAACTAAAACAGTAACAGTATCAGCAGGAACTTTTTCAAAATTTTGTTCTAAAAATGATTTCAATAAACTACGTCTTTCTTTAGCAACTCCAATCAATTCATTTATTCCTTCTTTTTCTTTAAAAAAAATTTCCAATAAAGCAGATTTAGCTTCATTTCTAACTCCATCTTCTTCATCTCCTGATCTTTCTAAAAATTTAATAACTATTTTTAATCTTGCTAATTTACCAACAAAATTAAAATTTTGTAAACAAGATTTAATTGCACTCTTTTTAACTGATATTCCAGGATCATCTAATGCCAAATATAATGGATTAATTAATTTTTCAGCTTCCGTGGGGTTCTTTTTTACATATTCACCTAAAAAGTCATTCATTGCATCTCTAACAGAAATTGCTGAATCATGTAACCTATCAGTTAAAGATTTCATAATTTCTTGTGTTGCTAATAATTGAGGAAATTCTTGTAAAAACATTTGTAAACCTTTCAATGATTTAGCTCTTACTTTAGCTTTTGAATTATTTAATTGACGTACAATGAAATTGTAATATTTTGTAAGGACAAGTTGTGAAAGTCTACTTAGAACCATAGCTCTATATGGTTCTATTGGTTCTTCATTTTTATGTTTTATTGGCTCTTGTTCTAAAATGATATTTGTGAGTCTTTCAAGTCTTGTTTTTAAATATTCATAAGATGCTTTAGTGGAGTCATAAACTAACGAATTTCCTAAAATTAATTTTAATGCTTCTTCATCAAGAAACATATCTTTTTCATATTTTTGATTCAAAATTCTTTCACAAATATTGACTAAACAATCTAAAAGTTGTACTTCACCAGCAATAGGTTCATCCTTCATATCTAAAGTTTGCATTAATAAGTCAATTATAGAAAATATGAAAATATCTGAAGCAGGAAATTCTGGAAATGGTAAAAGGTCAAATAAATCATCAATAAAAATATCAAATTTCAATTTATTTTCTGATGGATTTTCTTGTAGTTTTTTGATAAGTTCCGAGCTTACTAATTCCGTTACATTAGTTGGAGGATCTTCTAATACAGCAAAATCATTTACAATCTTGGTAAATAATTGAATTGGAAAATGTCTTCCAGTTTTATGATTTTTTGCATTTTGTCGTTTAATTTCTAATGAAGAAAAATCAATAAGTATATTCAGTAGTAATCCCTGTCTTTGATCTGAGTAATCTTTAAAAATACTAACTAAACAATTTGCAGCGCTTTGTTGAAGATTATGAATTGGAAATTTTACTCCGAATTTTTCTGAATTATTGATGTTATTACTAAATGAAATTGACATACATAAAGTTTCTAGTTTTGTTAAAACTTGATCTGAAATAATTGTTTTTAATGAATTTAATTGATTCAATCTATTACTAAATTCAACCACTAATTTAGTGATTGATTTCTCTGTAAACAGATCAGTTGTATCTTGATATAAAATTATAAGAGAAGTTAAAAAATTATTGTACATGATTTCAAGTGTATCAACAATGATTGAAATATATTTTTCAAATGTTTTGGTTTGATTTTCAATTTGGAATTTCGTAATCATTATAATTGCTTTTGATGCAAATACTCCAACTAATAAATTAGGTAGTAAAGATCCAACTTCATCTAAATTATCTAATTTTTTACTATTTTCAACTATATCACTTAAAGCTTGAGAAAATAATTCTTCAATTTGAATTAAATTTGAATTTTCTTCCTTTTTTAAGATTTCAGTTTTATGTAGTGAATCACATAAAAGTGCTGTTCTTTCCCAAGTGATCTTGGATGGACCATCTTGTATAAACTGATCGAAAATTGAAACATGTACATTGGAAATTGGTTGTTCAATTACTGGAGGCACATGTGGTATATTAATCGGTGGTGTTATATCTTCACTATCATGTAATTGATTAATTGTATTCTTGTCAAAAAAGGATCCACTTTGTCTTTGAAATTTTGTAAAATATTTAAAGTTATGTTTTTGAGAATAAGAATCATCATCAATAGGAATTTGACTTCGAACTGATAATCTAGTAGTTGGTACAAGATCTTCTTCTTCATGCAATGTGTTTTCCTTTGTTTTCTTTGAAACATTTTTCAATAATTCAAGTTCAAATTCGGAATATTCTGGAGGTTGATGAGAGTCATCATTTCTTGATTCATGATCATGATTTATAAATTTTATATCATCTAATTCATCATCTTCAAATTCTAATAATTCATTTTGACATTCCAATTCAAAATCTTTTGCTTCTTTTGATACAAATTGTTCTATATATGTTGGTCTTGCAAAAACTGACGCGTCAATAACAGGTGCTAACAGTGATAAATTTATTAATGGACTTAAATTTTGTTTTGGTATTAGATGTAATAATGGGGTTGTTGCTAAAACTGGTTTCAAAGTATCTGGTTGTGGAATATTAGACATTGATTCATTCGAAAAATGTGTTTAAAGTGTGATATTTATTTACTGGTTGATTGTTGTAAAGTGGTTGTAAAATATTTAATTATGATATTTTAAATATCTTGATTATATTTATTATTAAGGTACGGATGTTGTATATATTTAAATAAATAAATTTTCGTAATTTAATAAATCCAACCTATGTCGTGTCGTGGAACTTCAATCTGCGAAAAAGTAATCTGTATCTATAGTAGATATATAAGCAGGAAGAAACCATAAGTAATACTCTAATTAGTTAGACTATTCGCTAATGATAATACACTTCATCGATCTTTAAAGGCTCTCAAGTCTGTTTCATTGTAGTGTCCGGAGATCAATATTTGTCAATGATGTAGATTTTTGAAATCTGAAACAGTTTATTTGCAAATTTTGTCACAAATCAATTTGCAAATATATGCTTAAGTATTAATCAAACTTCTCACAAATTAAATAAATTTCCATAGTCAACTAAAATAGAAATTAATTTGTTATTTAATCACAATCTATTAACAGGACGCGTTAATTATGTAATTGAAACGGATATGATCTACTTAATTCTCTTTGATAAAAATCGGATTTAATGTATTATATTAATTATCCAAATGGAGTTAATTGAAGAGATAGTGTTGTTTGAGCTAAGTATATGGTAGCACTTTGATTTGAAATTCCGTTTTTCTTTTGTGTGGTTATATTTAATAGCAAACGAGATTAGAAACGAATCATAGACTTCTACTATAAATATTTAAATACATTCTTATATTTTTGGATCATTCTTTCTTTTCAAATTCAAATATCAATTGATCAATCACTTCAATAGATTTAAACTACTACAACCACTACCACAACTACAACAACAGATCCGCTTCAAAGTAAAACAACATTCAAAACAATTACAAAAAATGTCAGACGGTTATATTGTAACATTAAAAGATTCATGTTCAGATTCAACTGCAAATGAAATAAAACAAAAAATTGAATCTGCTGGTGGTAAAATTAAAGATGAATTTTCATTAATCAAAGGCTTTTCAGTAAGTTTACCAAAAGATCATGTTCAAACATTAGAATCTCATCCAGAAGTTGCAAATGTTGAACAAGATGGTGAGGTTAAAACTCAATAATTTTAATACTATATTAATAGAAATACTTTAAATAATTTTATACATTTTCAGATTTCAGATCTAAAAAGAATTTATAATTGATTTATTGCCTATCATGTAATAATAATTTTTAATTGAGTTTAATATTTTTGCCTTCGTTGAATTCAATCAATCAATCATTTTGTTAGGCATCATTTTCCAATGGTAAAGTAAGAAGTCTCATGATTGTCACAAATACAAATTTGGACTTCTTAGACTACAGATGGAAATCGATGCCCAATAAAGTGATCAATCGATTATTCAATCATTCTTGATTCTCTGATTCTTTGTTCCATGAGTGTTTTGCAAATGAATTTCCGATAAGATAATGGAGTTCTTTATTTGTGTAACTTCCCCTAATTTTAGAAATATTATTTCTATTGTTTAATCTTAAAGTAGAACCACTTTATTATTTTTATCCTCGAATATTATCCAATTCAACCAGCGTGGTTACTCTGGAAAATTCTAATTCTTTATCTTTAAAAGCTTTATTAAGTTTATTGTATCTGACTGTCACTGGTCCAAACAAGTTTCAATATCAAAAACAAATCATACCACATTATCTAAATCAACGTATCCCGACATAAACTGCAAGTAGCAAAGCAAAATGGGGTACGATAATTTCAATCATCAACCAAATTTTAAACCAATTGATCATTTATATGATGATAGATTGCGTCAATTTACAGATAAAGGTGGTCAATATCCTAATTTAAATTTACCTAAATTTTATGATATTCATAGAAAAGAAATTGGAAATTTAAAAAGTTGGAAAGTTCCAGATGATAAAAATGGTAAAACTCAAAGACCTTTATTTAGGGATATTAAATTTTCAAATATTGAATGGGAAAATATTGGATTAGGTTATAATTTTGGACCAAGTTGGAAAACTTTTTGGGTTAAATTTAAATTATCAATACCTGAAGAATGGTTAAAATATGAAGGATTAGAAATAGAATGGGATTCAAGTTCTGAAGCTTTAATTTATAATTCAAAAGGTTTACCATTACAAGCTTTTACTGGTGGAGGTGATCGTAATTTATTTGATATACCTGAAGAATATAGAACTAGTGAAGAACAAACTTTTTATATTGAAGTAGCATGTAATGGAATGTTTGGTAATGGAGCTGAAGGAGAACCTGATCCAAATAGATATTTTAAATTAGTTAAAGCTCATTTAGTTGTTCCTAATTTAGAAGCAAGAAGATTATTTTGGGATTTTTGGATCTTAAGTGATGCAGCAAGAGAATTTCCAGGTGGTTATTGGCAAAAACATCAAGCTGCTGATATATGTACTAAAATTATGAATACTTTTAATCCAGAAGATGTTAATTCCATTAAAGAATGTAGAAAATTAGCAACAAAAATATTAAGTAATAAAATTAATTCAGATGAAGTTTTTGATACAAATCCAAATCCAAATAAAAGAGTAGATGTATTTGGTGTTGGTAATTGTCATATTGATACTGCTTGGGAATGGCCATTTGCAGAAACTAAAAGAAAAATCGTTAGATCATGGACAACTCAATTAAAAATTGCAGATAAATATCCAGAATATGTATTTGTAGCTTCACAAATGCAACAATTTAAATGGTTAAAAAAATCATATCCTGAAATTCTTGATAAAATTAAAGAAAAATTTACAACTAATCAATTTATTCCATTAGGTGGATCATGGGTTGAAAATGATACTAATTTACCAAATGGTGAATCATTAATTAGACAATTTGTATTAGGTCAAAGATATCTACAAAATGAATTTGGTTTTAAATCAAATATATATTGGTTACCTGATACTTTTGGTTATAGTTCACAAATTCCACAAATTTGTCAATTAGCAGGTATAGATAGATTTTTAACTCAAAAATTATCATGGAATAATATTAATAATTTCCCATTATCTACTTTCAATTGGAAAGGTATAAATGGTTCACAAGTCTTGGTTCATATGCCTCCTGCAAATACTTATACTGCAGCAGCTCATTTTGGTGATGTATTAAGATCCTCACGTCAGCATAAGAATTTAAGAGATGTACCAACTGGTTTATTATTATATGGACATGGTGATGGTGGAGGAGGTCCAACCGAAGAAATGATTGAAAAATTAAGAAGATGTAGAGGTATTAGTAATGAAGTTGGATTATTACCATCAGTAGAATTAGGAGTTAACATAGATGATTTTTATGATCATTTATTAGAAAATTCAAAACAAGGATCTACTTTACCAACCTGGACTGGTGAGATATATTTAGAATTTCATCGTGGGACATATACTGTTCAAGCTCAAATTAAGAAATATATGAGATTAGGAGAAATTAAATTACATGATTTAGAATTAATTGCAGGTTTAGTAAGTTTAAAATATAAAGATTATAAATATCCAGGTAAAGAAATTCAAGATTTATGGGAAGATCTTTGTTTATGTCAATTCCATGATGTTTTACCAGGTAGTTGTATTGGTATGGTTTATTATGAAGAAGTATTTCCTATGTTAAGTTCATTATTGAAAAAAGCTGATGAATTGACTTTTAAGGCTCTTAAAGTTGTTGGTAAAGGTAAAACTGTTTCAGTTGTCAATACTTTATCTTGGGATAGATATGACGAAATTCTTCATATTTCAAAAGAAGATGCACCAGTTTTGTTTGAAATGTGTAAGTACCATGGACATAAGGAAGATGATGATAAGAAAATCAAAGTTTCAGTAAGTCTTGTTGGGGGAATGACTGAATTCAATACAAAAATTAAATATCCTGCTACGGTTAAAGAAACTGATACTGGTTTCACATTATCAAATGGTTTATTAGTCGCCAAAATTTCATCATCAGGTGTTATCACTTCACTTTATGATACTGTAGCAGAAAGGGAAATAATTGATACAACAGAAACTGTTCAAACTAAACAAGGTAATAAATATGTTGGAGGTAATCAATTAATTTTATTTGATGATGAACCATTAAACTTCCCAGCTTGGGATACTGAAATTTATTCATTAGAAAAATTCAAATTATTAGATAAAGGAAAATCTAAAATTTTATCTTCAGATCCAACTGAAGTATCAATTTTAGTAACTCATCAAATTTCAGAATTATCATCAATTGAAACAATAATTTCTTTACCAGGAGTAAATTCACAAAATAATAATAATTATATTAAATTTTCATCAACAGTTAATTGGCATGAAACTTATAAATTTTTAAAAGTACAATTTCCAACTACTATAAATTCAGCATTAGAAGCAAGTTATGAAACCCAATTTGGTATAACAAGGAGACCAACTCATTATAATACTACTTGGGATATTGCAAAATTTGAAGTTTGTCATCATAAATTTATGGATTTAAGTGAATATAATTATGGTGTCTCAATATTGAATAATGGTAAATATGGTGGTTCAATTCATGGTAATTTGATAAGATTATCTTTATTAAGAAGTGCTAAAGCTCCTGATAATAAAGCAGATATGGGTATTCAAAAATTTGAATATGCAATCTATCCTCATTCAGGACCATTAGGAATTGACACAGTAAAAGCAGGTTGGAATTTTAATTATAAATTATTACCAATTGTTGCTGATACTTCATTTTTGAATGTTATTAAGTTAGAAACTAAATCATCTTTAATTTTATCTCATATAAAAAGAGGTGAAGATGATGTTGATGTAAGTCAATATAAGAAATTGACAAAGAAATCCAAATCAATTGTTATTAGAATTTATGAATCTCTTGGTGGTGCAAGTAAAGGGAAATTAATAATTGATGAAAAATATTTCAAAGTTGATAAAATTATAAAAACTGATGCATTAGAAAATAAAGTTATTGAAGAATTGAAATATAAAGATGGAGAAGTTGATATTCATTTGAAAAGCTTTGAAATTGGTACTTATAAATTGATTTTAAAAGATTAATAAATTAGAAAATATAAAAGTGTATAGATTTTGTGTGTTCGGTAATAAAATATAAAAAGTTTGATTTTTCAAATCGGTATGTTTCTTACACAAAACTCGTTTTTATGTAGAATTATAAAATTTACGAAGAGATGCCAAATTGATCAAACCTACTCGAATCATCTTGTAAATAATGTCAATAAACATTATACTCGAGGACATAAAGGACTCACCAAGTTCGATAATTCAAACATTATCAACCCTTCATAATGACAAGTCTATTTTGACTCAAATATCCAAATCAGACCTAAATCATTTAATTTCAAGAACTTTACAATTATGTAGATCATCAAATATTTACAACAAATGGAGTGGAATAAATATTATGAAAGTCATAAGTTCAAATTATGTGATTTTAGCCAATGAAGGTTCTAATTTTGTAACTATATTAATCACAATATTAGAAAATTTTAACAGTACAATTGATGTAATTATTTTAAAAAACAGTATTGAATGTTTAAATAAGCTTATGAAACAAATTAGAAATAAACCTACATTAACAAGAGAGATTTTGACACCAAAATTAAATCAAATTATTCAACTTTATATAAAAAATTTACATTTTCAACCAACTTTAATTATTAATTCACTTTATAAATTAATAAAGTATCATCCAAATACATTCAGACCATTTGCAAATAAATTCAATGAAAAATTAACTCAATTGTTGAGTGAATCAGAAGAATATCCAATTGAATTGAAGAATGCAATTTGTAAAACAATTGCAATTTTACCAATAATTGAAAGGAATGAGCCAGAATTGAAATGGTATCAAAATGTTTTACAAATAATTAAGGAAATTGTTTATGTGATAGAGATATATGAAGAATTTTTCCATTTCGATACTGATTTGAAAAAATTGATTGCGAAATTGCCAAGGGTTGAAGATAAATCTAACTTTATATTTGAAGATTTGAGTATTGATTTTAATAAACCATCGACAATTCTGAATATTAGTACAAGAATTGAAATTTTAATTCAACTTTTGACCCATTACTTGACTGAATCAATATCAAGTGTTAAAATTCCCATTGGAATGGTTTTAGTTCTTACAGAAGTTATTTTTTCAATTAATTCAAGATATTTATCATTCAAAAACGATGTGAGAGATGAAGAAATCAAAAAAATCTTAAATTCAACATTATTGAAAAACTTTCAAAATACTTTAAAATTTTTAAATATGTTACTAGTATTCAAAGGAGCTTTAGTTTTACATTTACCTTCAATTTGGTCGAATTTAGAAATGATTATTCCCATTAATGATAAAAAAATATCTAAGCAAGATATTTTGAATAATGAACAATTATTTCGAGAGTTATTAAATTGTGCTAGTAATTATTTACAATTTGTTGGTACTTCATCAGATAACTCATATATCACTCCATTAGTTGATGTTGCACTAATTTTAATTGAACCAAGAAAAGTTGCTAATGATACATCTAAAACGACAAACAATAGTACAGTAAATTCAAAAAAGAAAAAGAAAAACATTTCATCAGCTCCATTATCTGATATTTTATCACACGAACATTTATTCAATGAATCTTGCTCAGAATCTACTTTAGTTATAATTCAAACATTTTTCAATCAAGTTATTAAAAAATTCGAATTACCACCAACTCAACATTATAAAATCTTAAAATTCATAATCAAACAAAGTATAGAAAAATCAAATTCCAATTTGGAAAACACTGTACCTGAATCATTACAAGACTTATTAATCAGTGCAGTATTAAACCCCGGATATGATAAAAATAACATTTTACCAATTGTTTCATCAATATTGTCTACTAATCAATTATTAACTGTCTTCAATAATCCAAGGTTACCTCCATTACCAAAATATGTCACTTCTTCCATACCTGAAGAAATTGAAGATGCTGAAGAAGATAATGATGAACATGTTACAACAAATCTTTCAGCTAAAGAAAATGCTATTAGACAATTACTCGAGGAAAAAGCTCAACAACAACAACAACAGAATCAACAAAAGGAAGAAGAAACTAATAAAAGATCTTTAATAGAGGAAGAAAATGAAGAAGCAAATGAAAAGAGAAGAAAAATCTTTGACGCTAATTTTAAACCAAATCAAGTTGTATCTGAGGAAGCTGTGGTTGAAGCGAACATTGAAAAATCTTCTTTAGGTCGAGTTGTCACTAGTACGTCTTTGGAAGTTACTGAAAAAGTAGAAGAGGAAAATGTAAAAGTAGAAGCAGAAGAAGATCCTGAAGGGTCAGATTTTGAAATGCCTGAACTCAATCTTGAAGAAGATACAGATGAAGAAGGCGAAGAGGAAGATTGAGTTACTATTTTAATATTAAGGTACCACTTTATAGAAAATTGATAATTTTCGAATTTGAATTTATTTGAGCTCTTGGCAGGTAAGAGAATGTACCAAGTGGTTCCAGACCAATATCTGCTTAGATAAACATTCGTGATATAGGCTTGGAATCTTTTATGTAAGTACGTTGTTTGTTCGAAATACCTTTTTCTACAACACGAATCTAAGAAAAACAATAAAAAAACAAATGTAAATAGAATTGATCGTAAATCAAATTTGTTGCAAAACAGAGTAATTTAACAAACTTCTTCTCCGTTCAACAGGCAGTGATTAATGTTCAATCTACAGTAAATGACCCAAAATGCTTCGAATTTCTGTTTATTCAAAAACATCTCACCATTACAAATCATTCCCCTAATCATTATAAAGATTTATGCAGAAAATTGGAATGTTACTCCAAACATATTAATTAAGTTAACAAAATTAGTTGAAAATAAACAATCAACTACTGAAAATAACGAATTACAAATTATATCCGACTTAAGAGAACTATGTGATTATTTAGATGACGATGATTTTTCTGGTCAATTGATTGATGTAGTTTGGAATATTAGTTCATTGGAAGAATTGGATGAAATGTTGAATTCAGTCAAAAAATTAGTCGTTATGAAACAACCAACTACACCTTCAACAACAAAACAATTTTTGAATAATTCCTTATTTGGGATCTTCATACTTCAAGTAATTACTTATTTTGAAATGTTAGATTATCATGCAAGTCTATGTTTATATCAACTGTTAGTTGAATTTAGAAAATCAACTAGAGATATAATTGAAACTGAACCATCTGAGAAGTCACTAGAAGATGTTTTGAATAATCAATTAATTAAATTGGGATTGAATAATCAAATTGTTACATCAAGATCTAAAAATGATTTGGAACAATTAATAAATAAACAAATATCAATATTAGAACAATTCGGGACACCAACTCCTCCTTACATAAGACAAACGATGAAAATTATGACATCACCAGTTATAGTAGGCTCAACTCAAAGTATGTCTTTCAATAATATACCTAGTTACTCATACCTCAGGTATTTAGAAAGTTTATCTAAATCGAACTATATTGAATCAATCGATTATTTACATCAATACTTTGATTACATGGTTAGCAACAATTCCAAATACTTTTATCATTTTGCTTTGATATCAAAAGCTTCATTACATCAATATTTTGGTGAAGATCAAAAAGCAATAAATACAATAGAGGAAGCAATTAGTGTAGCTAGAGAAAATAAAGATAATTCTACATTAACTTATATATTGAGTTGGTTCTATAATTTTATGCACAATAAACCACATTTATGGAAACAACAAACCTTATTCAACAAAAGTAACGAAGATCAACTATTAGACTTTTTGATAAAAAAATCTTCATCAATAAATATCCTGTTGTATGCAATAAATCTTGGTTTTGAAACTCTACAAATGATGAATAATGGGCAACTGATTAATGTCTACACTGGAAACATGATTAAGACTTTATTCACAGCTATAAACGACATGAAACCTACTTTTATACGATCTTGTGAAATGGCCTCAACTGTGTGGGATAGAGTTGGTGTAGCCCCCATGAGTGATCTATATAATGAATTAGCGATAGAGTACTCTGAGAACTCATTAGATTCAATCAGGTTAAAAGCAAAAACTTTATATCAAGAATTTTTGAAAGGAGACCTTACAGTTAATATCAGTGGATTGTCACTGGAGACAATGGATCATTCTTTGTATAATGATATTCAAATTCGCAGTTTGATTGTAAAAATTCAATCCTATTTGATTCAAGGTCAAGATAGGAAAGCAAGAGAGATAATGGATTTGTTACTAGACAGTGAGATAAAAGATTTGGAATTAAAAAATAATGTGCTTTTCCTTGATATAGATATTGACATCAAAGTGGGAAATTATTCCAAAGCATTAGACAAGATTTCAACATTCGAACATTGCAACAATTACTTGACAATCAAATTAAGCATATTAAAATGTAAGATTTTCGATTTGTCAAAAAATCCTCATCGCGCGTTGTCGTTACTTACTCAATGCATACAATTGAGTAGAAAATACGGTTACAAACAATTAGAGATTGAATCTACTTTGCTATATTTCGATACTTTACAAGATTCTAATTTAAATGATGAAATTTTAAAATTGACTGATGACATTTTCCCTAGTGTTTACAACTCAGAGATTCAACATTTCATTGACAAGATCTCAAGTTTTGCTATGACTGAATAAAATTGTAATAATAATTTAATTTATGATTTATGAGAAGTATATAATGTAATCTAATCTTTCTTGAATTCCTCAACAACCGTTAATTTTTTATTATGCTCTTCGACATCCATTCTAGCAAGAATCAAAGAAGCAGACTTCAATTGAACAACATTAGCAATTTGTTTGAACAACCAAATAGGAGCGCTAAAAGCACCCACACTTAATCCCAACCAAAAAAATTTATGATAATATAGATATATAGCAATATAAAATAATTCATTCAATGCACATACAACAAATAAAACTTTTCTGTTAGTGTAATATAAGGATAACAATTTGGATTGAGATTGATCAACATTTTTGTGAGAAGAAGATCCAGCTGATAACATAGCATACATATGAATATAATGTGAAGCCAAATCTAAACTAATTAATAATTGCCATACCACGGTAAATTTAGGATATATGACAGATAAGTAGACAATTAAACTTGAAGTGGCGCATCTATCAGTAACCATATCTAAAACTGCTCCAAATCTTGTACCTTGATTAAATTTTCTTGCTGCATATCCATCAAATGCATCTAATATACTTGAAATTCCATAAAATACAATTGTGAAGATTGGATGATTTGACATACATAAAAATGATATTATGGCTGTTACAATACGTAAATATCCAATTAAATTTGGTATATATAGAAGGATTGTTGAAGTTGTAACGATTTTTTTTTGATTGGATGTTTCGGATTTATATTTTGTTGATTCCACCATTATATTTTATAGACACAGAATGATATTAGATCGTGAGCGTTATGGAAGGTAATGCAAGTAAGTGTAGTTGGTTTATAGAATGTTTCTAATGTTTTATTGGTGTTCTTTTGTATATGCAAATGAATCGGGTGATATGGTAGAAAATTGAATTAACAACCGAAAACTTCGAAAGTACAATCTTGAAAAGTATAAAGTGAACAAAGGCGGCTGAAAATGTCTAATGTTAAAAAGCCAGAACTAAACTAAGGTGATATTCGAATTAAGATCGTCCGTATTAGCTGAATTGATTAGTTATTGGTCGTCGATAATAATGTTGAATCTGGGGTTACAAGGAATTATTATTGAATTTGACTAACAATATTTTAAAGAAGAAATTGACAGAAAAATAAACTTTTTCAAAATCAAAATTTTTCAAATCAATTTTCAAATAGCTTATTCTTATTCGTTTTCCATTTGACTTGGGAACTTCTTCCATAGTTAATATTCAACTCTCACATGTCTGAATTTACCAATTACAAAGTCCGGTTGACGTTGAAAGATAAATCAACTTTGTTAGGTTTAATATCACATGTTGATGATAAACAAATTACTTTAAGTAATGCAATTAATTCAATTGATCCTAAAAATGTTAATACCTTGATCAAAATACCAAATTCACAGGTAACAGATTTGAGAGTCATTCAATTGCCAACAACAACTAACAAAAAGAACAAAAAGCAAGCAAGAAATGAAGAGATTTTGAACGAGTCAACAAATCATACACCATCAAGATCAAATACGCCAAAACTTACCAACCAAAACCATAACGAAAAAAACAAAACTTGGGAATCAAATTCGGATATCGAAGATGTGAAAAATCAAGAATTTGATTTTCAAGCAAATCTAGCGATGTTTGATAAGAAATCAGTTTTTGAAGATTTCAAAAGGAAAGACAATATTCAATTGAATGATAGATTAGTAGGGCATAATAAAATTGAAAATATCAAAAAGAAGGAAAAGTATGATGTTGATGAAATGGTCCTTCATCCCACAACAACTAAAGATAACTGGGATCAAATAGGTAAATCATTAGATCGATCAAGAACTGAAACACCTAAATCAGATTCTCATAGAAATCAAACGCCTTCAAAACCAAGTGAGGTTAAAAAAAACTACAAGTTGGTGAATTCGATAGATTCAACACCTTTATTTTCTGCATCACCTGTGCAATTGTTGGAAATTGAAAGATTTTCAATGGATTTGTTTGGCATCACTCCAGCTATTATGTCAGAAGTATGTGCTACAAATTTGAGTAGATTGATAATTGACACATGTTTAGGGGGTTCAGTAAGACTAAGTAATAAACAAAATCATAATTTACCTCCACTAGTACTTCTCCTAATTGGAAGTGCAAGATGTGGAACAAGAGCATTTGCCACTGGTCGTCATTTAAGTAACCACGGAGTAAGGGTATTAGCATTTGTGGTGTCGTCAGATGAATCTGACCCAGAGTTAACACAACAATGGAGATCTTTCGAATCAACTGGTGGAAAAGTAATAACTGAAAGTTTTGAAGAATTAGATGATATAATACGGAATCAATTAAATACCCCCGTGGAACTCATTATAGACGCCTTACAAGGTTATGATGACCATTTAGAAGATATATTTTATAAACCAGAAGATCAACAAACTTTATCGACTTTGATTGATTGGTGTAATAAACCCCAACAACAACCAAAAATAATGTCATTAGATATACCAAGTGGAATTGATGCTGGCTCAGGTTTACCAGAAAATAAATTGAAAATCAATTGTCACTGGTGTATATCAATGGGATTGCCATTGAATGGAATAATACTAGCATATAAGAATGGTTATATGGATGAAGATATTATACATTATTTGATCGATGTTGGTATTCCAAACAAAGTATTTCAAACTAAACCAAATTTAAGAAAATTTGATAGGTATTGGTATATCGCGGAATCTTCTATTAAAATATCAATTCAACATATATAGTTATGAATAGATTTAATGAACTAATTAATGAAAAATACTTACCACTTACAATGAGAATGATAAACATAGATAGACTACTCTCTGTATATATTTCAAATACGCATGCTACCAATTACACGTAAAATCAAAAAAAATTGAAAATGCCTAAGTGAAGTAGATTGTTTTTATTTCACAACCATCAAGAAATATTGAGAGATCCAAAATCAATGGCTGGTGAAGATAAATACAGCAATTGGGGTGCTTCATCAGCGTTTAGTGCCAGGAATCAATCACCCGTACCGAAAAAGGAATTTAACTTGTTCGGAAATTCTTCCAGTCGAAAGAGACAAGAATCACCATTTGATAACAACAACGACTTGTTTTTACAACAATACACAACTAATGTGCCTCCCCCTGGAACGAATTCAAAGGAATCACTTCTAGATAATTTTGTACAGAAACATAATGGACCTTTAAACTCATTCAAAATTAATAATGCTTTCAATTTACCTTTCAATGCAAATAATCATCTGTCCAAACTATTTAGTAATAAACCACCATCAACACATTTAACTATTGACCAGAATGATAAAACGAACTTATTAGAAACCAATCATAGAAAATCCAAAATATCATCTTTTGACATACCTAAACCAATATCTCAAGAAACAAAAGAACCATCATCGACACAAACCAAACCTAAATCGAAATTGGGTCAGTTATTCAGTTTTTTCAAAAAAGATGTTAACAAAGCTAAAAACAAAATAGAGACTGCATTTAATTATACAACACCGAAAACATTATCGAATCCCTCATATAAAGCAATTGATGCAAGAAGAATTGGAAGTATGAGAAGATTGATTTTAAAAACTAAACCTATAAAGTATCATTTGATCGACGTAAATAAGGTATTGAGTGCTAGACAGAAAATGGTTGTTACGTCTTCTATAACAGCAAGTAAACTAATAACTCAAGATTCAAGTGACGAGGAGTTGGATGAAGTTGAAGAAGTTGAATTGAAACCATTTCCAGATAGTATTAAATTCAAAGAGCCAGTCGAAATGGAAGAGTCAAAACCTATCAACAATATACCGGAACAAAAAAATTATAAGGGCTATTGGTCGACTCCAGATCTTGAAGTTATCTCCGAATATGATGACGACCAGTTGAGCCGTATCTCAAATTTTATTATAGGTAGACGCGGTCATGGACAGATTGCTTATGATTATCCAATCGATTTAACCAAAGTTAAAGAAAATGCAGAGATAAATGGTACTTCGATTGCTGAAGAACTTTTCGAAAAAACAATAGTTTTTGATAGACCAGTTGTGAAAGCATACATGGACGTCGAACAGAAACCAGCAATTGGGTTTGAATTGAATGTACCTGCTACAATCACGCTAGAAAATGTTAGACCTAAAGAAGGTATGTCTATTGATGATCATATCAATGTATTAAAAAATCAAACTGGAATGGAGTATGTGAAGTTTGATCCATTGACTTCGGCTTGGACATTTAAAGTGAAACATTTTAGTGTTTGGGGATTAATCGATGAGTCTCAGACAGATTTAATGACTTTAAAGAGGAAACAGGATGCAAATGAATCAGAAGCGATTATTGAGTATTCTCGAGTCTACGAAAATGAAGACATAGATCAAGAATTGAAAAAGCAGAAATTGAATGAAAGTTCAAGAATAGTACCTGGTGGTTGGACTTTACCGCCTGCATCCGAGAAAGAAGATCTTTTGCTTTTGAAACGTTCATTAGTATCAGACGAAATAAGTGACATTTTGAATCAGCATAAGGAAAATGATCTCAGTGGTCAGGTAAATGGTATTACAATTGATTCTGACGGTGATATTGAGGAAGAAGAAGAAGAAGAAATTGACTTTGCCGACTTGGATGACGTTAAAATCAATGCATACGAGCCAATCATAACTGACGCATCTGCATTTGACGTGATACGCAATAGGTCTGATTTTCCTACAACCAATAATTGGTTATTACAATTAGAGTTGGCCAACCAATATAATTCTGCCATGGCCCCAATGGCTGCAACTCAACCAAAAGTGGATCATTTGACTATAAATAAGGTGGATGACATTTTGTTTCCTCGATTCAAGAAAAATGAGGAGGACGAAAAAGATGATATACAGGTCGATCCCATTGAAAAAAGTCCTACTTTTGATACATTAACTAACCAAGATATTACAACAATTTTCAAAACAATATTAGAATATGGAAAAATTACAAAAAGGAAAAACCAAATACCAAAAATTACACAACCTCAAAACATAAATTTTTCTGACTTCAAATACAGTTTTCCTCAAAATTCACCAATACAACTAGCAAGCATTATATTTGATTCAGCAAAATCAGAACAAGAAACCTCGGTAAACTTTGGTAATTGGCTTCGAAAATATAATGAAAAAACAACAAAAGCAATTTTTGATGAAAATGAAGATGATTTGTTATACTGTGCTTTCATCAGTTTTTGTTCAAATGATATTAACAAAGCAATCGAATACTCCTTGAAAGCGAAAAGTGAACATTTATCCGTCATACTTTCCCTGGCCACACTACAAAATGAGTTGATTCAACTGTTGGCTCAAGAACAATTACAAATATGGCAAGAAACAAGAAGTTTGGACTATATTCCAAAGCCTATTATTAAATTGTATCAATTATTAGCTAAATCACTAGATGAGGTAACTGACGACTTACCATGGAATCTTGCAGTAGGAGTTAACTTGTTTTTCAATCATACTAATGAACCATTGAAGTCTATAATTTCAGAATTTGAAAGTGTTTTAACAACAAATGATCCTATAACTGATCTTCTCAGGTTCTTTGCTGCTGGATATGATCATGATAAGGTTGCTAATTCGAGTTTGAGTAATTTATCAAAATGGATTTTTTCCGTCGTGTCGAATAAATTCGACTATAATGATATTTCTGAAAAGCTTGGATCTGAGTTGGATTCAGCAGGCTATTGGAAAGAAGCAATAATTGTTTACTCTTCAATAACGGATGATTCTAAAGCTGGTGATCTCATCAAAGGAGTAATTAATAAGAAAGTGCAACAAATTAAAAATTTAGATGCTGACCAAGAGTCATATTTGATTAATACATTACAAATTCCAAAATCATTGGTGTATGAAGCAGTTGCTAATGAGAGACAAAAATCAGGAGACTACTGGGGAGAGATAAATGCATTGATTGAAGTTGGATTTTGGGAAAAGGCACACGATGCTATAGTTAATCAGATTGGTCCATCTGTAGCGATATCAGGTAACTCACTAGAAATTTTGAAATTTTTTCAAATTTTGGAAAAATTTCCTCAAAATGGATTGATTATACCAACTTGGAATAAAGGGGCTGGTATTTATCAGAATTATTTCTATTTGCTACAAAAGAATACACATGATATTGAAGTTATAAATTTTTTAATTGACAATTTGAATTTAACATCATCTAAAACTACCATTAATCAAAAATTTGCATTAAATATTATTTCAAAATTTGTTGGTGAATTAGCTTTAGAAAATGCTGGTATTATAACACAACAGAAGAAGAAGATCACGAAGTTACCATTGGACGAAGTCAATAAGGTATTTTTTGAGAGATTTATAAAGAACCTAGAATAAATAGTATAATAAAATTTCGGCAATTTGACGCCTCACATATCATTACAATATCATTACTCTATAAAATACACCTAATAATAGCCCATGTCATCAATTCATTATTTAATTTATTTTTAACCCTTTCATATTCAATTCTACCTCATCCCTCAAACTGTCGACAACATCCAATATTGCAGTAGATGCTGGAGAATCAGGATTTGATTCAAAAAATGACTCTCCTGAATCACAAGCTTTACCGATTCTAGGATCTAAGGGTACAGAACCCAAAAAATTGATTCCTAATTCTTTACATAATTGTTCTCCACCTCCAGTTGTTGCTTTAAATATTTGGCTTTCTCCATGACAACTTGGACATACAAACCCACTCATATTTTCAACTAATCCCAAAATCTTTATCTTAGCTTTTCTACAAAAATCAATCTCTTTCCTGACATCCAATAATGCAACTTCTTGTGGGGTTGTAACTATAAGTGCACCATCAATACCCACCTCTTTCATTAATGATGTGACTGATAAATGTTCATCACTAGTTCCGGGAGGAGTGTCAACTAACAAATAATCTAAATGATCGCCCCAATCAACGTCTTTCAAAAATTGCTTTATTAACCCATTTTTTTTACCACCTCTCCAAATGATTGCCAGATCAGTATCTGGTAACATGAATGAAATACTCATTAAACCTAAATTATCAGCCACGTAAACAGGACTCCATCCACTATTTGATTGATGAATATTTTCATTTTCTCCAGCACCTAACATTCTCGGTAGTGAAGGACCACATATATCTAAATCCATCGCACCTACTTCTAAATTTTCATCTGCTGCTATTGCCCATGCTAACATGGATGTAAATGTCGATTTTCCAACTCCACCCTTTCCCGATAGTATTAGTATTTTGTGTTGAATATTTGATAATCTTTTATAAATTAATGGTAGGTCTGGATCAGGACCTTTTGGAATTTGAGTAGAACATATTTCTTGATTTGCACAACCTTTACATGCATCATCTTTACCTGCTTGTTCAGATGCTGGACCTGGACAGTGCTCAGGTTCTGGTGCATTTAATGTTGAGTCCACTGGATCTGACTCCGTAATCTTCTGGCTTGGTGACATTTCTTTAATACAGTAGTTTGTTGTTGTAATGTAGAAAGTTTGATTAGAAATAATGACTTACTTTATTAATCAAGCAGATCAAAATTTTGGTAGCGACTTTGATAGGAAAAGTTTCTTTACATTTCTTATCAGTAAGTACTTACTCAAACAATTCTTTAACACTTTAAATAATAAAATGTCAATTGCATCATGTCGACTAATATAGAAGAGATTATACGGCAGACTCCATTATTCAAAGAATCACGATTAAACTCATTATATTCAAATTTTGAAAACTTCAAACAACTTAATCCAGAAGGATATCAAGCAAATATTCAAGCATGGAAACAACTAATTTCAAATCTTATAAAGTCTAATGAGTTTGATCCTAAAAGTCAAATAAGCTTAACGACATATAATCCAAATTTGGAACAATCATTAACTATACCAATTTATGGAGAGCCCAAAAAATTAGATGGCATACTACAAGAATTAGTGAATAAGAGATTTCTAATACCGGAATCATTATTTTTGAATGCTAATGGAAATTATGGAAGTATAGTGAATAACCTGTTCAACTTTACATCTATTAATAGCTGGCTTCAATCGAGAGCGTTAAAGAATTATCAAGTGAAAAAGAAAAATGGTAATCTAATTGATGAAAAATATATTTTATGGGATGAATTAGTTCGACTTGGTGATAAGTTTCAAACTGAGGTTCAAAACAAAATTATCAATAGTGACAAATACTCGAGCACCTTATTCACAAATGATTTATTATACGAGAAAATACTAAAAGTAACGCATATAACGAAACAAGATTTCAAATTACTATTAAAATTCATATCAACTGATTTAAACTCTTGTGTAACAGAAACTAGAGATGGAATCACATATATCAAATTCATCAAAACAGATTCGGAGACAATTACAAACGAAGACGTTCTGATAATCAATATCAAACTTAATCTTCAAAACTTGAACATAAGAATCAAAGAATTGGAAAATAAATTATCCAATATAAATTTAAAATCAGTACTAAGTTTGCCAAAGGATGTACAAAAATTAAAATTATCAAGACTAATAAAGTTTAAAAAAGTATTGATTTCAAAATTAGATCAATCTATTCAACTTCAATCTGAGTTGTATCAAATATTAAATAAGATAAACGATGCAAAATTCAATATTGAATATTTTGAAATTTTACAGAGTAGTTCTAAAGTTCTTAACAAACTCAATAATGAAATTAAAATTGAAGATATTGAAGAAGTTAGAGATGAAATTGATAAAGAAATGGTTAAAGAGGAAGAGATCAGTGATGCTTTGATTGATAAGTCAGAAGCTGAAAATGACGACGAAATTAATGAAGAATTGAATAAATTAGTGAAAGAAAATAAACAGGGAGAAAACAAACAGGAAGAAAAATCAGCTGTCAGTGAAAAGATTACCCAAAATAGTGATAACGACGAAAAAGAATTACTTGATAAATTAGAGAGTTTAGAACTTTCTGATGAAAAAACAAAGAAGCTAAACGAAGATGAAATACCGTTGAAAAAAGAAGAAAATAAATTGATCGCCGAATAGATTGATTTTTAGATTAATATTATATTTTACATTACATTATTACATTGACCATTATTATCTCTTTTTTTTTAAAAAAATTTTATCCCAAAATTTGTAAGATCTGTTGCGTCAAATTATATAATTCGACTTTAGGATCTTCATATTCATCAGTATTATTATTATTATTATTATTATTTGTAGTTGGTTGTGCTTGTATTTGTTGTTGAGAATTACTCATTTTTTTGATTCCTGTTAATATAGCTTCATCTTCTTTTATAAAAGTATTAAATTCAATACTATTTGATTCTAATAATTGTAAAATAGTCCATAATGCAATATGTTCAAATGTAGCAGATCCGGACTCTAAGAAACGTATTAAAAAACCATGAATTCCTTCATTGGGTTGTTGCCAATTATTTAAGATATATTGCTTATGATCATTTGAAACTCTTGAACATAAGTTTGCTAAAGCTGCAGCCGAATTACCACAAACTTCTCCATTTTCTGAAAAAGTTAGTGGTATTAAGACATCTATTATGTGAGATTCATATAATTTTGGTTTTAAATCATCAGCTAACGCTAATATTGCAAAACAAGCCGATATCTCAGATTGTACTGATAAAGGAACTTTCAAAACTAATTCTTTACATTTATCAACAGCCCCAGCTGCTAACAAAGCTGTTCTATTTTTTTCACTTGATGCTGCTAAATTCCTTAATGTTGAAACAGCATGACATTGAATTTCTTCGGAATCTGTATAATCTAATAAATCAACTAATGGTTTTAAGAATCCAGCTTCAATTATTAAAGCTTCGTTTAATGGATGAATTGAAATATTCCTTATACAAGCAACCGCTGCAAGTATTAATGGTTGATGATTACAAGTTAATAATTGAACTAAATGAGGTAAACCACCAGCTCTAACAATTTCAACTTGATATCCACTATCAGATGCCAAATTTCTTAATGCTAAAGTAGCTTGACATTGAACTCTAGGTGACGGACTATCCATTAAATTTACAAGTTGTCTTACTAATTTGGGTTCTGTATTGGCTAATTTTTTTCTATTTGATTCATCAACCGCTATATTTGATAAAGCAGTAGTACAATAATATTGAACATCAGCATCATCATTTGATAACAAAGAAACTAATACAGGAACTGCACCAGCATTGACTAACTCATGTCTATTTTCACCCAGATGTGTCATATTTAATAATGCCCCCGTAGCATTTCTCTGTACTCTAATATCTTTCAGTTTTGCTAATTTTGTTAATGGAATTAATGCCCCACTTTTAGCAATTTTTGATTTATTATCATCTTGAGTAGCTAAATTCGTTATACATCCCACAGCATTACATTGTACTTCAATATTAGTTGACATCATTTGTCTAATTAATGGTTCTAATCCACCCATTTCAACTATTAAAATTTTATTTTCAGTATTAACTGCCAAATTTCCTAATGCTCCACAAGCAGCTCTTTGAACTTCAGAATCTGTTGATTGTAATAAAATTAATATTGGTTCTAAAACATCTCTATTAACTTCCCTTACATCTTTTTCTGTAATTTCTGCAAATGCTAATGCAGCACTTCTTTGTAAATCAATATTTTCAGAATAAACTAATGTACTTAAAGCCCTTAATGGTCCATTACTAAAGAAATCTACATCAGATCTATTCTCCAAATATTGTAATAATGCAGATATAGCTTCTCTTTCATTTTCTGCTAATAATAATTGATTTTGACTACCATCTCCATTTGCATTACCTAAGCAACTACAACAAGCACCCATTTTTTGTAATTTAAAATGAAAGTTAAAATTAATGTGTTATAAAGTAAAAATTAGAAATAACGAAGTAACTATTTCAGTATAAATTGAATTGAATTAATTTGGATTGCGAATGGTATGCTGGTTGGCAAACTTAAATTAAGTTATTAGGAAAAAAGATTACCAAATGAAATTTAGTAGTCCTTGAATTAAAATGGAAAGTGAATGTATAAATTTATTTGTTTAAGTGATCCTTAGAATCTATAAGGTAGTATGATTGAAATTGATGTTGCTGGTTTAATGTTATTGATAGTTGTTGAAACTATTTAAATTGTTCTTTAATTAAGTAGATAAGATTTTATCGTCTCCTTTCATTATTAAAGTGAGAAAGAAATTCGTTTAAATTTATTATTGTTAAGTTACATACTTAATGTATTTGATAAGTAAAGTTGGTAGCAAAACTCTTTTTTTGCTGTTACATACATTAATTTACGCGTTCTTCACTGTAGAAAACAAAGTCATGTGATAGTCACATGTATTTCACCTGACATACTGTAGAATTTAAAGATTTATTATTAAATTATGGAACTTAAGAAGTTCAAACATTGAAATTGTTGAAATCCATCAACACTCAAATCATCAAAAGTTAAATTCAAGACAAATGGAGCAGCTTGGGCTGATTAATTATTTGTTTTATTAATTTTATTCTGGCAAAACTAAAACTGATTATCGATCATGGTGATTAAAAGAGCTTGGGAAGACAGAATACAAGAACTTCTGCATATAACGATTGATCCTTTCTTACAAGATTTATCAAAGACTTGTTTAGATGAAGCTACTAGAATCACATTTTTAAATGAGTCGGAGGCAAAAGTTGATCAGTTTTTCAAAGATTCCATCATTAAATCGATGGAAGCTTCTATATTTTTACCACCAATACTACGAAGGAAAAGAAAATTAGATGAAACTAATGAAGAGACCGAGCCAAATTCAAGTCAACTGAGACAACAAGCTCAAAATAATGATAACAACCAGGAATCACAACAGACGGAAGGACCAAATGTTAGTCAAAAGAATAAACTACCGCATCATACATCCAAAAATAAACCTTTTGACTCAATATCATCATTAAAAACGCAAAAACAGATCGACAAAGAAGAACTAGATAGCTTTTTAAATCAAGATCTAAGTCAATTGGAAGTATTAACTGTTCCTGAACATTATCCATTAAAACCTCAAAGTGTTAGCTCATTAACAGAATTGTATTATTTAACTCAAACACTTGCATCCAATAAACTACTACCTGGAAGTCATAAGGCCTTAATGACCGAAAATTACGAACTAGCTTTATTAGAGGGAAAAGTTGCAGTTTTATACTCGAGAATTGAAGAATTGAAAAGACAAGGTAAGTGGTCATCTAGGCAACCAGAAAGATTTTATGACCCTTTCACCAGATTCAAAAGTTTTACTTGGGACAATTTATTGAAAGAAGCTAAATGGATGGCTGAAGACTTTAAGGAAGCTGGCAAGTATAAAAAATTCTGTTGCGTAACGATGGCTCAAGCAGTGAATGAGTATTGGACATTAGGTAAAGAGGCAACTTGTATTAAAAGGAAGGAACCAACACCGCCTGAAAAGGAGATTGACACTGATCAAGTCATGAAAGATGTTGAAAATGGAGAAGAGGAGGCGGTTAATGCAAATAGAGAAGAGGTAACTGAAGCTAGTACTGAAGCTGGTAATGAAGTGAAACATGAGAATGAAAACATTAATCCGCAAGTTATTTTAAAAGAAGCAGAGAATTCTCAAATACAAAAACCCAAGGAAAATTCGACATCATCATTATTCTCCAAATTAGAATTGAACTCATCGGTTACTGTACTCAAAATGGAAGAAATAAATAAAGTCGCAAATTCTGTATTAAAATCAATTCCTGATTATACTCCATATGATGGAAATAGAATCGGTCAACCAATTGAACCCAGGGAATCTCCAATTGTTGCTGTTTCGAAGTTATTACTACCATTTGAAAATGATCAAGGCTGGTACAAGGTTGTTTTAAAAACCAACAATGAGAATAATAATGAGCCACATCGTTTGCCTGAATACCAAAAGGGAGTTTTTGGTTCACAATCACATCGTAAATTTCAAGCATTGAAACCTCCAAAACCCCCATCAATCAGTAACATTGAATTCAGGTCTCCGACAATTTGGCTGCCAGAGGACGATAAACGTTTGATACATTACGTTGCTGAATTTTGTTTTAATTGGGATCTCATAGCTGAGCATATTCTGGTTGAGTCATTTGCAACTAGTTTAAAAAAATATGAGTCAAATATTGAAAGAAGAACTCCTTGGCAATGTTTTGAAAGATATATTCAATTGAATCAAAAATTTCAATTCTCAGATATGAAAGGTGGGTATTCTTATCATGCTCAACAATGGCTCGAACAAGCTCATAAAACTCAACTGACTACAAAAAGAAGAATTTCACCATTAGGTGTTGGTAATGAATCCATTCAGAGAGGTCACAGAAAATTAAGATGGGCATCGATGTTTGATGCCATGAGAAAAGCTATGAAAAAAAGGGAAGTAGCTTTAGCTAAGATAAACCACAAGAGATCAACAACTGAAGCTCAAATGAATCAACAAAATATAACGAATGGAGATAAACGAACAAATGTGAGCAAAACTCCAACCCCAGCTGAATTGTCCAAGTTGAAATATGAGCGAGACAAAGCCATTCAACAAAATTCAAGAAGTCGTCTCATGCAAGCTGTGGCCCAACAACAACAGCAACAACAGCATCCTAATCCTCAGGCTCAACAACAACAATTACAAATGCAGCAGCAACGTTTGCAGCAACAACAACAACATCAACAACAGTTTCCTCAATCACAAATACATCAGCAGCATCAACCTCAGCAACAAATTCCAATAGAACAACAACAACAACAACAAAGACAACAACAATTACAACAGCAATTACAGCAACAAGCTCAACAAATGCAACAAAGAAACACTCAAATTAATCAACAAATACCGAAACCAATTCAACAACAAGTTCAGAATCGATTTCAAAATCAACCTCAGCATAATTCAGATTTTAATCAAAATCAAACTCCGAGACCTGAACAAATTCTTCAAAGAGCTCAAAATGCAGCAATGAACGGGATGTCATCACAAACTCAAGTTACATTGAAAGATAATCAATTTCCGCAACAGAATGCTATGAAAATTCCTACAACTACTAAAGATGGCAAACAATTAACTAATGAACAAATACAACAATTATTACAAATGGAAAAACAAAGAAGAATGCTTCAACAGCAACAAGGGCTTGAATTTCAACAATCATTATCAAATCAAAATAGTCCAGTTTATGCTCAACAATTATTACATCCACAACCACCTCAACAACAGCATCTTCTGCCACAGCTGCAACAACTGCTTCTTCTGCCACAACATCAACAACAAAATCTTGTTCTGCTGAACTCTCCGAACATGCAATTCAATGCAAATCAACAACAACTTAGAGCAGGAATGCTGCCAAATAATGGACAAAATGCACAGAGATTCTTTCAACAATCACCACAACCGCAACAAAACAACATTCATCACAAATTACCACAGCAGCAACAACCTCAACCTCAACCTCAACCTCAACCTCAACCACAACAACCGCAACAACAACAACACCAAAGACCAAGAATCAATATTCCACCAGCACAAATATCAGCTATTATCAATTCAATTCAAAATCAAAACCCAAATCTTTCAAAAGAACAAGTTACTAAATTAGCAGCTCAATATTTGAATAATTTACAACAACAAGCTCAAAATAGAATGAATAAGAATATGTTAGCTCAACAACAACAGCAGCAACAGCCGGGTCAACAACAACGCCAACAAATGAGTGCTACTGCAAGTCCTCAAATGGGTCAAACTAATATACCAAATAATGGTGGAAACAACAACACTAATAACAACAAGAACAATACGTAGATGACTATTTAATTTTACGATGCGCTAATATAACTTAAGAACTCTTGATAATCATGTAGTTAGTTGATCTCTATGACGAGTAGAATACATCATTTTGTTGATGAATCACATCCAAAATTTGGTGATTTTTATGTTAGACATTTGAAGTTACAAAAAGATTGAAAAAAAAAAAAAATCGATATCAAATCTGTAACATCAGATCTCATACTTTGTACCCATTCAATCATATCACCAACGAAAAATGTCATTAACAACAACTGATTTACAAAATGTATTTCCTTTATTAAGTAGAGGTAAAGTTAGAGATATATATGAAATAGATCCCCAAACTTTATTATTTGTTGCAACTGATCGTATATCAGCATATGATGTAATAATGCAAAATGGAATAAATGACAAGGGTAAAATACTAACTAAATTATCTGAATTTTGGTTTAATTTTTTACCAATTGAAAATCATTTAATCAAAAAAGATATTTTTAAAAAATTTCCTCAATTGGAACAATTTAGAGATCAATTACAAGATAGAGCTTTATTAGTTCGTAAATTAAAATTAATACCATTAGAAGTTATAGTTAGAGGTTATATTACTGGATCAGCATGGAAAGAATATAAGAAATCCAAAACTGTACATACTATACCAATTGAGGAAGATCTTGTGGAATCTCAAGAATTTCCTCATGCCATTTTCACACCATCTACAAAAGCAGAACAAGGAGAACATGATGAAAATATATCTCCAAAACAAGCAGAAGAAATAGTTGGGAAAGAATTATGTGATAAATTATCTAAAACAGCAATTGAATTATATGAAAAAGCTAAAAATTATGCTAAAACAAAGGGGATAATAATAGCAGATACAAAATTTGAATTTGGATTAGATGATCAAAATAATTTAATATTAGTTGATGAAGTATTAACACCAGATTCTTCAAGATTTTGGAATGCTAAAAATTATGAATTGGGAAAATCTCAAGATTCTTATGATAAACAATTTTTAAGAGATTGGTTAACTAATAATGATTTAGCTGGTAAAGAAAATGTTAGTATGACTGAAGAAATTGTTAATAAAAGTAGAGAGAAATATATTGAAGCTTATGAACAATTAACAGGTAAAAAATGGGAATAATAAGATAGTTGTAACTTTTATATATTAAATCTAATTTATGCGATATTTACGAATTTCCATATTTCGTTGACGTTCATATTCATCAGTAACTCTAAATTTTGAAAAATCAGAATTTAAATTTGTTGTTAAAGGTTGATGTCCTAAATTTAAATTTAAATTTTTGGTTTTTAAAATTTTTAAATCTTCAAGTTGTTGAGGACCTTTTAATCTTGATTTTAATCTTTCATTTACTTCTTTTTCAACTATTGACCAAAATTCAGTTTGATAAAATAATCTAATTTCTTTTGATTCTAAATCTAATGCTTGCTTTTTGATGTTGAATTCATCAATTAGACTATTTTCTAAACTATTGATTTGATTTTCTTTCAGTCGAAGTTTAGTTTCTAATTCCTTTATTTTATTTTCCTTTTCAATAATTCTATTTTCCCTTTCGTTAATTCTATTTTCCATATCAATTAATCTTCTTTCTCTATCATTTAATCGTATTTCTTTTTCTTTTAAATTTTTTTCTTTAATATTAAATAAATTTTCTTTACGTTTTAATTCTTCAGTTCTTGATAATAATTCCTTTTGAAAATTTCTTAATGATATATTACTATCATTTAATTCCATTTCTTTTCTTAAAAATTTTATACTCAATGAATTCATTAAATCATAACAAGTAGGTCTTTCTTCAGGATCTACAGTAATACAATCTTTTATAATTGCTCTTAATTGTGGTGTATATATGGGGTTAATTGAAGGTATATTACCTCTTTTAATTTTAGCTTGTAGTTGTAAATGAGTTTTAGCTTGGAAAGGTGGTTGTAAATTACATAATTCATATAATACACAACCTAATGACCATATATCACAAACCGGCAGATATGGTTCATCCATTAATACTTCAGGTGACATATAATATGGAGTACCTACATAAGTTTTTGCAAAATCATTTGAAGTAGTTAACATTTTAGCTAAACCAAAATCTCCTAATTTAATTAAATCATTTTCAACAAATATATTATCTGGTTTAATATCTCTATGAATTATAATTGAATCTGAATTTATTTTGGGTCTATTTTCATCATCAATTGTACTATCGTTAAAATTCACTTTTGAAATATCTGATCCATAATGACATCTATATAATGCAGAAAGTGTATGAACTAAAACTTGCCAAATAAATTCTTCTGGTACATTTTCATTATTATTTTTAAATTCTCTTATATAATTAGATAAATCACCACCTGAACAATATTCCATATAAATATGTATAGTCTTGGAGTTAACGATATGATCATGAGCATAATATTTTACAATATTTTTATGATTTAATTCTTTTAAAATTCGTAATTCTGATATAATTTGATTTCTTTCTTGATTATTCATAGATTTATATTCAATTTCTTTTCTAACTAAAATTGAATTATCTAATTTATTACGTACTTTTCGTACAGTACCATATGATCCTTTACCTATTACTTCTAGTGCTTCATATTCATTGTTCATTGCTGCATTATTGGATTTGGTTGCTGGTTTTCCGAATGAAATAGATGAATTTGAAAAGTGATAGAATGTGAATTTAAATTTAATTAAAATTCTTAAAAGAGTTAAATCAAAACAAACAAAAAATATTTATTACACAAAATCAAATACTTTGAAACTTTATCATTTTACTGAAGAATGTACAGAGAATACCAACATCAATGATTAGCAAAGAATAACAAGCAGTCAAGTAATTGTACTCATGTTATATTTGATAAAGATTGTAGATTGAACCAGTTTGTTTTGGAAAGAGAAAATCGATTTAGAGGAATTATTGAGTCTAAAACTTATGACACAAAACTTTTGTAATTTGTACTTTTTGCAATTAAATTATAAAACGTCTGTTTTTAAAACCATGTTCATCTAAACAAGCATAGGTTGTCTGATTTTTTTTAAGCCCAATTACCCAATAAACTCATACAAAATAAACCTAATACCAAAGAAAGCATAGCACAAGCAGTACTAAACCAAGAAGCATTTTTTAAATTAAAAAACCAATCTCTATATAAAAATTCAACTAATCCAGTCCATAATAATATACCAGCAGAAGCACTTTGTAAAACACCTAAAGCAATAATAGTCAGTGGATCATTACCATTAAATATATTTAATGTACCTACACCAATAGCCATTCCAATTGGTGTAGTTATAGCAAAAATGAAAGCCATTAACATTTTAGTCCATACACTAGTATTTAAAATTATAATTCTTGAACCTAATGCTAAACCTTCAAAAAATTGATGAAATACAATAACAATAAATAAAGTAATAAAATAAGTATCTGCAGCAACAACTAAAGTAATACCAATTAAAATTGAATGGAAAACAATTCCAGCTTCTAATAATATAACTGATAATTTATCATAACTTGATCTTGATGGTTCATTATTTGCAAAAATTTCTTCTTCTGATGAATTATGATCTATATTAGTTTTTTCAATACTTCCATGTTCATGTTCATCATTTTGAGTGGAAGCAGTAGATCTATTATTTAATTTTTCAATTCTTGATGATATTATTTTAAAAGCAATAAATTCTATTACAAAAGCTATGAATAATCCAGCCATTGCAATTGAAGCAGAAGTAGGTTCATAATTTAAATTAGTTAAACATGAACTTGAAAATAATAAAAATGAATGAGTTAATAAATGAATGAAAACAGTTGATAATATAACTCCTGTACCAAATTGTTTTATTATAATTATAATAACATTATTTGCTGAAATTTTAAATAATGATCTTAAAATTAATGGACCAAATGATCCAATTGCACTAGTAACTAAAATAACAAATAATAATCCAATTCTTAATGGAATATTATAATCTCTATCTATTTTTTCACAATAATTACCATCTAAACTCGAAACTTCAGTTCCGTTAGCATAAGTACAATGTTCAACTCCTGCATGCATATGACATGATATTTCTTCATTTGCCAAGTTTATATCATTATCTGATTCTCTAATAAATAAATATTCTGTTTCTCCATCCATACAATATATTTCAGTACCATGTGAATGACAATCTGTATAATTTTCTCTTGGGTGAGTAGGTAATGGTGATATCATACCTTCAATTCCATCAGGATCTGTACAATGAAGTGAATCATCATGTAAATGACAACCAGTTACGTTGAATGTAGTATGAGTATGTCCCTCTTCTTCACCCTCATGATCATGATCATGTTCTTCTTCATGTTCATGACTATGTTCTTCTTCTTCATGATCATGGTCATGGTCATGCTCTTCTTCTTCATGCTCGTCTCTTTTAATATTGAAATTGAATTTTGATAAACCAAATTGATTTTTTTTAACTAATCTTGAATTACCAACTTCATTAGATGATTCAGCTATAACACCAAAGGTAAGACTTGTAAAAACAACTAATTTACTCCAACTTCCAAATTTCATATTTGTTGATTTAAAAAAAATTTGCAATTAAAAATTAAAAAATTGGACCATACTCTTGTTTATATAACTTTGACCCTTAATCAAATGAAACATTCTTTAATTGAACTAAACTTCGATGAATACAGCTAAAATTTCATGCCAAGTAAAAATGTTTATATTGATAACCACTTTAGTTGTAAACTTAAATAATTCCAGTAGTTAAACACATGTTGAAGTAAGTGAAAGTAAGTCAGTTTTGAAATTTTCTTGAATTCATCTGGGGTTTGTAGTAGTAGCGAGTGTATAAATCAATCAAACACAATAAACATATACCAAAACAAAATAAAAAAGGGTTCAACAATTATCACTATATTTTAGATTTAAGATTGAACTAAACCTTTAGTGGTTATTCAAATACAAAATTAATCTTTGAAGTAACATAATAATTTTCTTACTTAATCTTGGCAAAAAAGAGAAGTACTTATGTGATCGAGGATTATTATGCAAATTATTGTGATATATATTCACTTGTGAATCATTATATATATAGCCGTATAATTTCAACGATGCTTGTCATACCTTGTAGGTTCTAATCAAAAGTAGAATCATGCAAACTCGAACTCAAAGGTCTTCAAACTTGTAAATTCATGTATAACTTAAGTAAAGAAATGTAACAAAACTCTAAATTAAAACAAAGTAGAAGCATATTTTTATCGCTACCAGCTTGAAATATACGAAGTGACGTAAGATGTTGAATGTCTTGACTTTTTATTTGACGACAATAAACTTTAATCGGAGTTAATTCTTTTTAATACGCGATTTGTTAAGTAACGCGTTGTGTTGCAAATTTAACATCAAATCTTTGTTTTCTTTATTATTAACCAACCAACTAATTAATAAATTTTACAACCAACACTTTCTTTATCACCGTACATCTTATTACCTTTTAATATACTCAAATCATAAATTTGACTTTGCATTTTAATTTTATAATCATTTTCCTATCAAAGAAATGTCCACTACAACAAATATTGCTATAACTTTCGCAGGTACAGGAAATGAAAAACAATTTATTAAAAATTTACAAGATAAAGATCCATCAACTATAAGATTTATAGACCATAACAATAAGGATTATTTTTCATGTTTACAAGAAGATGCAGAATTAATAGCTAAAGATATATACAAGACAAGATCAATAATTAAATTTTCAGATAATGTTAAATATGTGACAATTTCACCACAAGTATTTCAAACAGCTTTAAAATTATATTTATTAGAAAAACAATACAGAGTAGAAATTTATAATAATAAGAATTATCAAATATTAGCTAGTGGGACAGCTGGTAATTTAGAAGGTATAAGTCAAGAATATGGAATAAACTTTGAATTTCAAGATTGTTCAAATTCTACAATTGCTGGAATTAAAATTAATGGAAATAATGTTGGAGTTTGTATAATGGAAGATGATAAAATTTTTTTAACTGAATTTGAAGATAATGATTTATATTCAAATTTAGAAAGTTTATTATTACAATTTGGTGTAAAAGAAGTTTTAATACCTGAATCAAAAGATGATAAATTAGAACGTTTAATTGATAAAATTGGAAATATATTAATTACAAAATCAAAAAATTTTAATACAAAAAATATTGAACAAGATTTACTGAAATTATTAGAAGAAGAAAATATTGATTTATGTCTTTCATCAAAGGGAATAAATGTTTCAGAATTTCAAAAATCTTTAAGTGGTTGTAATGCTTTAATGATTTATTTAAATTTATTAACAGAAACAAGACAATATAATTTGGAAAAATATGATTTAAATGAATATATGAGAGTTGATACTTCAACTATGAAAGCTTTAAATATATTTCCTGAATTTCAATCAACTACAACTATAAATTCAATTTTTGAATTATTAAATAAATGTAAAACTTCAGCTGGTTCTAGGTTATTATCACAATGGTTAAAACAACCATTAACAAATGTTGAAAGTATTGAAGAAAGACAAGGTTTAATTGAATTAGCTATGAATAATGCAACACTTAGAGTTGAAGTACAATCAATATTATCACAAATTCCTGATATAAAAAGATTATTAAAAAAATTAACATTAATTCATGAAAAGCCAGGTTATGAACAAAAAAAATTAGAAGATATTGTAACTTTATATAAAGTTGTCTTGTTATTACCAGATTTGATTGAGATATTAAAGGGTCATAATGAATTAGTGGATAAATGGTGGTTTAATCCATTATCCACCAGGTTTCAAGCATTATTTAAATTTCAAGAATTAGTTGAAACAACAATCGATTTAAAAGGATTACATGATTTACATTCAAATTTTGCCATAAGACCAGAATTTGATAAAACTTTAATCTCAATAAATGAAACTAAAACTGCATCATTAGATCAAATTAAAAATTTACATTTAGATGTTGCAAATGATTTAAATATGGATCTGGAAAAAAAATTAAAACTTGAAAATCATCAAATTCATGGATTTTGTTTAAGATTAACAAGAGCTGATTCAATAGTTATACGAAACAACAAAAAATATCAAGAATTACAAACAGTTAAAGCTGGAGTTTATTTTACAACTACTGAATTAAAAAATTTATCACAAATTTATCTTGAATCTTGTGATGCATATAATACAAAACAAAGAAAATTAGTTACTGAAGTATTAGGTATTTGTTTAAGTTATTCAAAAGTTTTAACATTATTAAGTTTAGATTTAGCTCATTTAGATGTTATTATAAGTTTATCTAATGTTGCATTAATTGCTTCAAAAATTTATACAAAACCAAAATTAATTCCATTAAATTCAACAAATAGAAAAATTAATCTAAAAGAATCAAGACATCCATTATTAGAAATTCAAGATGATTTAGAATTTATACCAAATGATGTTTCAATAAATTCAAAATATTTTAATATTATAACAGGTCCAAATATGGGAGGTAAATCAACTTATTTAAAACAAATTGCAACAATTGGATTGATGGCACAAATTGGGTCCTTTATACCAGCTGAAGAAGGAGCTGAATTACCTATATTAGATGCTATATTATCAAGAGTTGGAGCAGGTGATTCTCAATTAAAAGGGTTATCTACATTTATGATTGAAATGTTAGAAACTTCATCAATATTAGCCACAGCATCAACAAATTCATTAATAGTTATTGACGAATTAGGTAGAGGTACATCAACATATGATGGATTTGGTTTAGCTTATGCAATTCTGGAACATTTAGTTACAAAAATGAAATGTTTTACATTATTTGCAACACATTTTCATGATTTAACTAAATTAGCAGATCAATACCCCAAGGAAGTTGAAAATTTACATGTTGTTGCATATGTTGAAAATCAAGAAGATATAACATTAATGTATAAAATTGAACCTGGTATAAGTTCTAAATCTTTTGGTATAAATGTTGCAGAAATGGTTAAATTTGATGAAAAAATTATTAAGATGGCAAAGAGAAAAGCAGAAGAATTAGAAAAAGATAAATTAAAAAGATTATGTAATTCAAAGGAAGTTAATGATGATATTGTTGATTTTAAAGATAAATTGAAAAAGTTAAAGGATGATAACTCCTCCGAACCATTGAATGATAAATTGAAAAGTATGTTAGATGCTGGAGAAAATAAATATATGAAGGAAATAATGACTTCATTATAAATACAAGCAATAAATATATTACAAGTCTATATTCTATATATATATTGTACTAACTCCACCTACTGTGATTTTTTTAAATTTTTTTCATCTTCAATTTTTAATTTTTGAACAGATCTATATCTCTCTAACCCTTGAGGATTTATACAAGTAACAACAGGTAAACCATATTGCCAATTAAATTTATAAAATTTTTCAGTACCAGTCATAAAACATCTTAAATATTCTTCATAAATTAATGAAAAATAAACTCCTGTTCCTGTAAAAATATGCCACCATCCATGACCTTCTAATATAAAACCATAAGGAATACCCCATTGTCTTCTTGTAATTCTTACTTGATCACAAAAATGAATATCTAAATTCCATAAAAAATAACCAAATAAAAATATTCCTACTCCAAACACAGCACAATAATTTAATTGAGTTACTGCTTTTTTATCATAAACATTTTCTTTAGTTAAATATATAGATTTAACAATTATAAAACCATTTAATATAGCATAAGCAACTTGATGAATAGTTGGATCTCTAAAATATAAATAAATAGCAGTTAAAGTATTTGCAGCTGTAAAAATTCCAATACCTATAAGAATTGATTCATTTTTTGATTTTCTTTCACTGAAAACAGACCAAAAAGGTATACAAGTAGCATAAATCATTGGCAATTCATCTAATAATTGATATTTATATTGTAATGTCATATGAAACATCCATGATCCAGCTCCAACTAAAAAAAATCCAAATGCAGTAAATATAAATCTTGGTTCTAAATGATTTTTATAAGCTTGTAATATTGCAAATAAAGCTAATGTTATAAATACTGAATTTGTTACTGTATTTAAAGCTTCTGCTATATATGTAGAAACAACATAATTTTCTTCACACCAATCAATTGTTGATGTTGGTATTCCCCAAAATCCATTTTTTTGTTCTGGAGGATAAGGCCAAGCAAATGGTAACATATTTTGAATAAATTATTATAATTTGATAATTGATCAAAGTGAAATTTGGTCTTAAGTAACTAGATGAATTGTGGTATTAAGTTAGCAAATTATTGATTGATTTCAAATGATAGAAACTTCACTTAGAACAAATGAGTAAGTAGTGTTTAAATATAAAAACACGGGGCGATAATTCAGAACAGAGTTATTTAATTCTCAGTACGAAATTCGAATGACGTACTAATTAAATATTCGATTCGATTCAATCAAATAACTCCACTATGTTAAAATTTACGAGCCGGAATTAATTTACCCTGAGATAAGATATATTCAAATTACACAAAAACTAAAGTAGGGAATCATCGGATATATAATTCAATCAAGAACTTATTTTTAGAAGAACTAGCTAACTATTTTCATAAAATCTTAACCAACATTCATCATTAATTGGGTTAATAGTATAAAAATCAAACATTGTCATTTTTTCAAAATCATAATTATTTTCACCACAATTTACCAAACCTAATTTGATTGGTTTTAAAATTGGTTCAATTTCACACCAATCTTGATCTAATTTTGTATTAAAATGCCAATAAATATTAGCTATGGTTAATTTCATTTCAATTAAAGCTAATTGCATTCCTAAACACATCCTTATACCTTTACCAAATGGCATCATAAATTTATTTTGTAATTTAATTCTTTCTTGATATTGTTGTTCATTTTCTTCTGAATATTTTAACCATCTTTCAGGTATAAATTCATCATGTTTTGGGAAAATTTTTGGTTCTCTATGTAATGCATAAGGTAAACATGATATTGTTGTTCCTATAGGAATTTTAAATTGATCAATATGGTAGTCTTTATCTAAAACTCTTGGTTCTGCTCCTGGTATTGATGAATGAACTCTTGAGTTTTCTAAAATTAATGAATTTAAAAATGGTAAAGAATCAACTTTTTCCAAATCAATTATCATATCATTACTATCCTGAGGTTTTCCAAAATTTTCAAATAATTCCATTTGTAAATTTTTCAAAATATTAGCATTACCAGGTCTTGATAATTCATAAGTTAAATAACATAATTGAACAGCAGTAGTTTCATGACCAGCAAATAAATTATCACTTAAAAACAGATAAGCTTTATTTCCCCTAAGACCATTTTTTTTTAAAGTTTCTAAAGTTGTTAAATTCTTACCATTTTTACCATAATTTTTTTCAGCAAATTCATAAAGTTGAATTTGAAAATTTGTAATATCTTTAAAAGCTTGTAACACAATTTTATTTGCAGCAAAATCCCAAAAAAATTGAGGCATTAAAGTTGTCCAAAATCCCATTCCAGATACTTGTCTATGTTTTAATATAACTTCTCTTTCTTTTGGATTTTCAATTAAATTTGTTCCATTATTTTCACCTAATTCAAATTTTGATACAACATCCATTGCTAATGCTCCAAATAATGTAAATACATCCATTGATAAATTTTTAATTTGTTTTGATTTATTATACCAATTTGGTTCTTTATGACTTTTTCCATGAGGATTGAAATTTGAATTTAAAGTATGATTATCTGGATTTTTACCATTTATTGAACTATCATAAATTACTTTGATTAATGATCTGGTTGTATTTATTAAAATAGTTCTAGTATTATTTTCAAAACTAAAAATATTACTTTTATTATATAATTTATTAATGATTTTTTTATAATTCTTATGTTTATCATTAGCTAAAGTGGCAAAGATATTATCAGATCCATGATTAGTAAAATTTTCATAAAATTTAGATTTTGGTAAATTTTTTAAATAAATATCATTTATAAAATTTGATGATCCATTACAACTTATTTCAGTGGGAGAAAGTATAACAACTGGACCATATTTTAAATGTAAATTATATACTGTCCCTATCCATGAACCTTTCCTTTGATGATTCAAATATGGGATTTTGGTGATTCTGTATAAGTGTGGACCTGGTACTTTCCATAAAGGTGAAGTGACCGGTAGATAAATCGTATAATAAATGCAAAATAAAATAATGACAACTATGAATGTCCAATAAGGATGGTTCTGAGAATATTCACAAATAGTTAGTACCACATCTTTTAACATTATGAGTTGGTGAAGTAAACAAGCATTGGATGTTTTGGAATGCTCACTTCTTAAGTAAGTTACTGATAAGGTTGATGTTGTAAATTTACAATATTCCGCGTTATCTTTGATTCGAAAAATTCCGTGTTACAGACTTGATGTAACACAAAATTACAACGGGCATTTTAGTTTTTGACCGACTTATCGAATTCTACAAAGAAAACTTTTCAGTTAAGTAATTCTCAGCACATGTCTGTTCTATCAAATAAATAGTTCATTAATTATAAATGAATATATACGTATTACACAATTTTATAAGTCTATCAAAATTCAAAAACTTATCAAGCATAACTTGTAAATTCTTTTGCAATATGAATACCACATTCAGTTTTAGCTTTATTTTTCCATCTACCACTTCTTTCATCTTCTCCATCAGCAACAGGAACAGTTGAATGCCAATCACCAATCAGTTTATAACCTAAATCTAATAATTCATTATATGGTACATTATTTTCATCAATATATTCTTTAACTAATTTAAAATCCCAATTCCATAAAGGATTAATTTTTATAATATTATTAATTTCATCAAATTCTAATATAGTTAAAGAATTTCTTGAACCACCTTGAGATTTTCTTCTTCCAGTTAATACAACATTTACATTTAATTCTTTATAAGATCTTTGTATAGGTTCAACTTTAACTAAATAATCATAATATTTATCATGAGTTTCCCATAATTGATCACCATATTTTTCAATAAATTCTTTTTCATTTTCAACTCCAATTGGTTTAAAAACGTTAATTTTTGAATTGGGATATTTTGTTTGAACTTTTTTTAATAAATCATGAGTTTGTGGGAAATGATATAATGTATCAATAAAAATTAAATCTATTTTAATATCTGGGATTTTTGAAATCATATCTGTTATAGCTAAACCAGTTAATCCAAAAGCTGTAGTTTGATATAAATTGGGGAAAGTTAAATAAGTCCATTTTATTAATTCTTGTGGTGTTAATGGTTGTAGACTCTCATTTAAAAAATTTAAATGTTCACTCGTTAGTCTTATCAGATTATTTGCAACTGTCATGTTGAATATGATGAGGTATGATGGGAGAAATCGGTGAGCAAGGGTGGTTGAATATGTGGTTAAATTGTGATTATTAATTGTGAAAAATATTTGAAAAAATTAATTTTTTTGAATAAAAATATTTGTAGTTTGCAACAAGAATGAAAAGTGTCTAATTTGAGAAACTAACGTTGATAACCACGGTTATTCTCTGAAAGTTATTCGAATCAGGGATAAGAAGCCAGAAACAAATAGCAAACCCAAGTTCTAGTGCCTCATCTTTTCCTACAGTGGGTCAACAATGGGTCAAAACAGAGAGAAATCATGAAAAATTAGGCGACCGTAGATTACTAATGTGTATAATCAGCTCAGGTGTCAAGGACTCTGATGATTTAGACTCAATTTCGTCAGATTCACTCAACTAATACTAGCTATTCATCAGTGTTGCTCAGAAGAATTCACATAGTTGCCCAATTTTTAATGCAAAATATGAAAAATATCTGAAACATTGCAATTTTATCAGCACACGTGAGCAGGAGGTCAAGATCCGAAAACTTACTATTTTTGTGTCATTATGGAATCGTAGAAGGAATTCAATTAAAGCAAACGTCACTTTATAATTATCATTCAAGACCTGTCAAAGTTTACATCTTCGTGAATAATTGGATAAAAACTCAATTGATCTGACAGCCTTCATATTATCAGCAACATTATCCCCATACTTATAATCACAACAAATTTACAAAAAATGTTAGTATTCTATCAAAAATATTATACTCCATTAGATAGGTTTATAAATAAATTAAAAAGAAAAGGATTTTGGTTATATACTGGAATGATAGCATTATCAGTATTTTATTTAATGTATGAAATATCAAATTTACCAAGTTTACCACCTCCTCCACCATCATATGGATCAAATACCAAGGTACAAAAAGATCATCATCATACAAAAGTAACGAAAATTACAAAGACTGAAAAAGTGATACCTAAAGGTGAAGATGAAGCTGATCAACCTGAAGTTATCGTTGAAGAGACTATAATTGAAAGTTGAACGTATTGGTGGTGTATTAGCTGTTAGAGATATTATATATATATATATATGTTTGAATGATTAATGAATAGTAATGTTATAATTCAGACTTCTCTGTAATTCTTTTGATAATGTCTATGTTGTTCTAATAAATTTCCAATCATACACAGTTATCAATTATACTGACAATTTTTATTTAAATTATTTATCTGCGCAAATTACCTTTAACCATTAAAGTTGTATAAAATTTGCTCCACGTTAAAGGCTATATTGTGAAAGAATTAATTATATAAATAGATCAATTTCTTTATAAACTTCAATTTTTTAATTTACGTTTCTTCTTCCATACTTCATTTCAATTTAGAAATCTGAGTTTCTGTACATATTCTTCATACCATAGACTAAATGATTTCAGGCTGCAAAAGTCTCGGAAATTAAAAAAAACGTGGAAATAGAATACCCAATTTCAGACATCATATTTTACTCGGGCATAAATCCAATTCCCGCTTAACAGATCCCTTGCTTTATTCATATCATCTTAAGAAATAACAAGTTTTCAATGGTTGGGAGAAGATTGTAAAAATATTATTGGTAACTCGGGATCATATTGCAAAATAAGTAATCCATGCGGCGTTGTAATTACTAATAAATTTTAGTGTATGGAAAAAGCAAGCATTCTATACATTACACATAATAATTTATAGTGAGAATTAATAAATGGAGAAAGGAATCCCTTAGTAATAAAAAATATTATTTATAACACTTTGAAAATTTCCACAATTTTTAATTTATTCATTATAACTTATATCAACACAACGTTTTTCTTTTTTAATACTTTAAACAAACAACAAACTAAATTAATACAAAATGGTTAAAGCAGGTATGTTTCATGATTTATGAAATCAATTGAGCTTAAGTTGAGATATGATTAAATACAATTGAGTGAAATTCCGGGGTATCCTTTCTTCATTACACGTTTTGTTTGCAAAGTTCTCCGCAATTGAATCATTAAAACTCAATTGACATCATTTGCTAATGTTACAACTTTAAATACTAACAAAATCAAATAGTCGCTGTAGTTAGAGGTGATTCATCAGTTAATGGAACTGTTAAATTTGAACAAGCTTCAGAATCTGATCCAACAACTATTTCATGGGAAATTTCAGGTAATGATCCAAATGCATTAAGAGGTTTCCATATTCATACTTTTGGTGATAATACCAATGGTTGTACTTCAGCTGGTCCACATTTTAACCCTTTTAGTAAAACTCATGGTGCTCCAGAAGATGAAGAAAGACATGTTGGTGATTTAGGTAATATTTCAACTGATTCTTCAGGTGTTGCAAAAGGAACTAAACAAGATTTATTAATTAAATTAATTGGTAAAGATAGTATTTTAGGTAGATCAGTTGTTGTTCATGCTGGTACTGATGATTATGGTAAAGGTGGATTTGAAGATTCAAAAACTACTGGTCATGCTGGTGGTAGACCAGCTTGTGGTGTTATTGGTCTTTCTGATTAGAGATTGATATAAATTACATCATTAATTAGTGAATTTGAGATGAATTGAGATTTTATGTAACGATCTCTACCTTAAAATGAATATAAATGAAAATTAATACAATTGTAGCTTTGGAATTTCCCTACATTTATCTAAGATCCATTCAGATCTAATAAGTGCGATAGACTTCTTGAAAGTACTTTCTGATATGTTCTTGTAGTACCTACTTTAATTTTCAATCTTTAAATTTCGAAGCCGAATTCAAAGACATTTTTTTTCAACCAAATCAAATAAATAAATACATTTTACAACCAAATAAATTCGACTTGAACCTTTCAACATGAAAGATGGAGCATACACAAGTTTACATTTCAGTAACCCAAATCAAGCAATCTATATAGAAAAATGGAAACATCAACCATTAACATTCGATGATATAGAAATCCCACCACAATCAAAAAATTCAAATCAACAACAATCAATAACCAACTCACATAATCACCATAATAATCATCAAAATTTATTAAATCATCCAGATTTTTTTGATGAAGTTGATGATCATTCAATGATTCAGAAAGATAATTTTCAAAATACTTTTGGTAATAATTCAATAAGTTCCAAGATATTAAAGAGGCAACAATTACAATTAAATAAATTTATTGATTTAAAATATAATTTTGAAATTTTTAAATTAAAAAATCAACAATTGCTGAATAATATTGGTGAAGATGATAAAGATTTACAAAAATTTAAAGATTTGACTATTTTACCTAATGTTATTAATAGATAAAATCATTTTACTCAAAAATATGGCTGTTTCTCTATAAGGTTATCACGAGCCAAAACCGATTGTTCAAATGGTGGAGAAAGTCACATCTAAACATAATCATACATTTAAAAGCATTTTAGTGCCAGTAAAGGCTAATACAGATGGGAAAAACCAGTTTGAAAGTTTTAAAAATTAATCATTCGGTCAGTATCAAAATTTGACAAATATCAGGAGAAAAATCGAAGAGATAGCACTAAGAAGCGCAAACAATACATTAATTGAAGATACTACAAAAAGCAATAACAAATAACTGATTTAAAAAATCACCAAAAAGCTTTAGCAAATTTTTATCAGTAACCCTTGAAGGTCAAATTATTTATGTTTAACATTACCATTTTTAACTACTCCATTTTTATTACCATTACCATCACCATTATTAGTTACATTACTGTTAATATTATTAGTACCCCCCCTGAGATTGATTTCATTTAAATTAACATCAGATCCATTAGTCATTACTCTTCTACCTTTACCATGATTGAGCATGTAATGACTTTTAATTATAGTAATTCCATCTTCTTCATCTGTATATAATTCAGTTTCATCATTTTTATTCATTTCACCATGATTACCAGAATTAGATTCACCTTTGTTATTATTAAGATTATATCCATTTGCACACTTTTGAAGTGGTACATCAATACTTGATTCAGTATTATCAAAATTTACAATAGTACTGTCAGTGCTAATATCACCTTTACCACTATCTCCACCATTATTAACAACTTGAACATTATTCATAGAATACTTAATTAAACCTTCAAACCCTTCAAATTTTAAATGTAAAGATTTAATTTCATTATAAATCAAGTTAAATTCATCATCATCGTCATCAATTTCTTCTTTAGTGTTACCATTTTTTTGTTGTTGTTGATTATTAAAAGATTGAATTTTACAATTAATTTCATGTTGTTGTAAATCCAAGGGGAATAAAATTTCATTTAATTTAATCAAGATTTTCATTATGGTTTCAAAATTATAATTTTTATTACTTAATTGTTGTGATACAGATTTTAAAATTTTAAATTTTTTATTTGTTAAATTTGATAAATTTAATAAATAATTATATTTTTTTGATTTATTCTTGTATAAATTTGATAATTTTATTAATTTTGAATCTATTTGAGTTGAAATTTGATTTAAATTATTTATATTGTTTAAATTTCTTATTGATTGACTATTGTTGATATTATTACTCACAGGAATTGATGTAGTATTATTATTGTTACCATTGGAGTTGGATAAATTTGGAATATTTTCTTTTATCAATTTAGTTTGTTCATTGACTTGGGGTTGAGCAATGTTTGATCCCTTACTATTTGATAAAATGTTAATTGTTGTAGGAGATTTATTGTTATCTCCTTTATTATGATTATTTACTTTTTCATTTAAAATTTCATCTAAATTTTTAATTAATTTTTCTTTATTAGTTTCATTGATTAAATTTTTATCTTGTTGTACTTTAGAAATTGTTTTAGTGATTCTTACTGAAGAAGAAGATGAAGGTAATGATGAAACTATTTGTGAATTTGATTGTGGTTTAGCTTGCGTTTGAGTTTGTGTCTGAGTTGTTGTTTGTAATCGAAATTTAGACTGATTTTGTAATTGAGATTTTGGTGGTGATTTTGATTTTTGAGTTGATGTTGATGTTGAAGTAGCTTTTCTAGGTCTTCCCATGTTTTTTACTTTTTAAAATAACTGTTTAATTTCAATTTATTTAATCTTCAATAGACTTAAAAAATACTTTGTAAAGAATGTGGTATGCAAAAATTAATATTTTTTTCATATCAAACTTTTGGGTGCAAAATATATAATTTTTTTTTTCTTTGTTTTTATTTTTTGATATGCCAAATTTTTTGCAGTTAAAATTAATTTGTTATGCCAATTCAAATTGATACAGAAATTTCAATACAGATTTTGCAATTGAAAATTGATATTGAATTGATATTGATACTATCTTGAACTTAGGTAGTAAAATAAACTAAAAATTGTATATGTGATTGTTTCAACAAAATGTCAAGGTTTCTCATCTTTTAAGCTTTATCATACGAACTACATATTACTTCAAATAGTTTAAGCCACTAAGTAGATCTCGTTTGAAACGTTTATTTTGACGGATTGACTTTTTCACTTTTATTTAATGTGCATGAATTTTTATCCATTAAAAATAAGCTAGAAAAGTACGGAGGAGAGATCATGCAAATGACTTATTAGGAAAAGTGATGAAAATATCACTCATTTGAATAATTCATTGGATATAACCAATGGAGCTTTATTTTGAGCTCAACTTTGAGGTGAAGCAAGACCAACTTTTTTTACCCTTTTATGTGTGTACAACAAATAAAACGTCTATTTGAGACTGAACTAGTTTGATGTTCATGATAATTCGGTCCCTTAGTTTCACGAGTCTTATACTCCTGTTTTACTAACTATTAGATAGTAAGAATCGATTCTATATTACTATTAGAACTATGGTAATAGCATCAAGATGCCAAATAATTTGATCAATCACTAGTTGAATTATTCTGGGAGATGCATGAAATTTATTATGCTGTTTCGTTTCAAAACTAATACACACGTCTCCTAATATTATACTTATTAAGTGTTGATGACTGTTGTTATACAACTTATCATCTTTAATCATAAAATTATCCAAAAATAAATTCAGATCATCTTACTGATTTTGTTATTCTTCTTTGCTTGACTTAATATTAAAGACTGATACGATTTTAATGCGTACTAAACGTTTCAGACTCTAATATTAAGTCATTTAAGAATATTATCTGGGCTGAAAAATTGAACATTCTGTTTCTCGTGATTAAATAGGTTAATTTTCATAATTTTAACGTATTCAATCAGGCATATTGATAAGATCATTACTGTAATTGTATAAACCTTCATCCTCGTTAATAATATCATCAATGTTACCTATCTGATATCTTGCCCAAATATCTGCAACAATAATTTTAGAGCCACTGATGTAATAAAATGCTGGAATAAAATAGTAAAATGAATCGAATAACTCTTTTCGATAAATGTCTATGTATTGAATGAATGCCATAAGTGGGTCCTCATCCTTGTAAATTGTAACAACTGGTCTTTGAAAAAAGTTATATTTGAATCCAACGTTAAAATGCCCAGTAATCCTTAAACAATTGGATATTCTAGCATCTTTTCAACGAGGATATACTTTAATAGAAAGTGAATGTCGTCAGTGACAGTCTTTATGAAGGAATGTTAAATTCTATAAAACACAAATTCCACTGATTAAAGTCATTTTTAACTTAAGGCAGATTGTAGGGAAATGTTTACCAGATATGTATTTGGTAAACTTTTCGCTACAATCTGCCATTAGCTTAATTTTACTCTTTTTTTAAAAATTCATTTGTACTTCAGATTGGGCAATATCTATCCATTATTATGCACATTCACATATTGTTTCCACGGCTTTAAATTTTTAAGGACTGATTGTCATAGATAGTATATAATTTGCATGATGTGGATGATTCGGGTCTTTTAAAATGCTGTTGAAATAATTAGCTCTTGGGAACAACGTCATCAAACGATAGGTGATAATGCATTTGCAACTATAAATCAGGGTGATTACAGTGCAATAATGATTTTAACTAATCTACCTGAAACAGATTGGTCCAGGATTGAGGCTGCTGACAATGCCAACAAATCGTCTTCTCCAATACCTGTATATTTCACTGCCCAAAATGTTTGTGGTTAATTGGTTTATTTGAGGAAATTCAAATAGTCTTTATTCCACTAAAATCATTCTGATTTATTCTTGTAACTACATCATCACCTTTTATCTAACTTCTTCAAATGAAACCATATATATACTTTCATCCAAATTTGAATTCAAAAGTTGTTTACATATACATTTATTCCACCTAAAGCAGTTGAAAAAATTTTGGTGTGATTGTTTTTGCTCTTGCTCTTGCTCTTGCTCTTGCTCTTGCTCTTGCTCTTGCTCTTGCTCTTGCTCTTGCTCTTGCTCTTGCTCTTGTTGAGTACGAAACTGGTGATTGATCAATCGGATTTGGAAAATCTTGTCTTCTTAGATGTAGTTATTTGTGAATTGACTATGAAGAAAGTATAAAATAATATTATAAAAAAAATTGATTAATACTCCTTTTTCTCATACTTTCTGGCAAAGGCTTAGTTTTCGTCAACCCTTAGAAAATCACAGGCGCCTTCGATTAAACTCATCCGCTTCCCTATTCAAGCAGGGAGGTGGTAAAATAAACACAGAGCATACAGTTGATGTGGTTTCAAGATAATTCCAGCAGTCTTGCATTATATGCATCTAAGGTTACTAATTATAAAGTCAACTGTGTGTATAAAGATGTATAATTCTGGGTATATAAATGAATTGCTGGAATTGCTTCAGGTGCCTAGAGACACAGATTTAGTCATTGCTGGGGGAACAAATCAAGCGTGTAAAGAATATTACTGGGACAGAGTGGGTAAAGTTTATGAGTTATTGGTCTTAATAACTATTCGGATTTGGTTGATTCAATATCAAAGAGAGGAAGCAATAAAATTAGGAAAGATAAAGACAAAAACATTTCATATTAATGCTGCTTTATTTTTTAAATGATTGAAAAGGTCCTACTGTTGTTTGATTTGGAAGTAAAACTTCGAATCGGGATAATCAGTTAACAAAAATTAAGAAAATAAGAAGTCAGGTTGGTCATCAAGTGGTGAAATGTTTGAAGCAGATACGAGTCATTAGGGTATAGGTGCGATCTTGCTGCATGTCAATGATGGTATAGTATATGGTCATGTTGATGTCATTTTGCACTTTATTTTCCCAAGATTTAAATTGCATTATCAGACAGAAGGAATTATTTTAAAGTTGTACATGTCGTAACAGAATGTAAATAAGTTATACTTATTTGATGTGACAGAGCAAATGAGAAAATAATGAAAATAGCTGATGTTGTAAATTGATTCATGGGAAGATAAAGTTCAAATATGATATCAATGACTATATACTTCAAGATTGCGCTTATTGCGTGTTGACTTGAATCTGCCTCAATCTAAAATTCATTGAGTCAATATACTCCACTGACACGGCTTCACGTTCAGGATTAAAAGTATGGCACCAGGAATATCGATCCTCATATTGGTAAATAAAAAATGATTGGTGAAACACACACAAACAATATTTTAGTTGCATTAAATGGTCAATATAAGATAAATAAGTTTAAATACTCAAGATTTAAAGTCAAAGTCAAAGTTCAAATTATATTCAATACCCTTTTTGTTCATTTGGAAACATCTGAATACAAAAATGAATCAACTAGTTAATGCATCATATATGAAAGAAACTGAAATACAAACTAGTTTGTCAAAACTGATAGATACTTAATTAGTTATCCTTAAAACATTCGACGTCGTTTAAAAGAAGAGCCATCCAGGATACAAGTACGATTTAGGGAGGAGTTTCCATTGAATGTAATATCAATATGGGCCATTCAGAAGAATTGAGATTGCACATAAGTTTGCACTTAATTTTAATAAATTTTGGGCTTTTGATGTGTCAAGGAGAAAGGACTGTTAGTTAACGCTCATTATGAATCATCAGTTGAAGATAATTTCATTCGTAAAAGTTATTCAACTCAATAGAGATATTCTTTTTTTGGAAAGGTTATAGTATTCAAGGATCAAAAAATGTTAATAATAAAATAATTCATTACGAGTATACTCCTGGCTAGCTGCTGAATTGAAATGTGATATTATAAAACTCTTCTTGAGGTTTATCACCATTCACTTCAGTCGCTACCCAAGACTAATCATGATGAATTTATTGACGTATTTGGGGTAGCCTTGAAAGGTTTCATTTAACCTAGAAAATTTAGGGATTGTATCACGAAATGATTGCATTAACGTTGATACTGGGTTCCACTTTCCCAGAAAGTCTGCTACTTTCAGCAAAACCTCATCTACTGCCAGTGGATAATGAAAATGTACTGGTTTCGAAAGAGGTCTCAATCTAAAACTGACTAGTTCATTATCAAGTCGAAACCTTTCAATACTATTTCCAATAAGTCAATCTATTTGTTAAATTAATGAATCAACGGATTTAGCCTATATTTATGATTCTGTGGAATCATTTTTTCTCTTAAACAATTTGAATAAAGTGGTTTAAAAACATTATGAAAATTAGACGATAATGGATATTATGGCTTCTGCAAATTGAAATGTAATTAAAGATAATAAGAAACCCATTGTATAAAAAAACCCTTTGTAATTAAGTAAGTAGATCATATTTTGATATTTATTAGATTGGTTTATAAATTTACTAAATTAGGTTATTTTTATATTACTTTTGATTTTGTGATTTGTTTTTAATTTAAAATTAAGGAACTGAAACTTCTTTTAATGAAAAATACGAAATACGAAAAATTAAATTTAATATGGTAAAGTTGATTTGATTTGATTTGATCCATGATTTTGTGTTATCACGGCTAATTAATTACTATGATCTATACCAAAGCCAAAATTACACGAGAATAGAGACTTCAGGACTTGAAAGTATATCTGTGAATTTTGAAAGTACCTAATTTAAGGATCAATTATTTAAATGAAACAATAGTATAACTCTATTATTGAATTGTACCTACATTTTTATCACTTACATTGTTTAGGATTGGAAAACAAAATTCCATGTAAATCATTTTTAAATTCAACCAATGAATTTGTAATTAAATACATTTTTACTTCTTTGATTATCCATGATTAATTTGGTTGTAGATTACTGTTGTCGTATTTTATAAAATTTCATTTATTATAATAACTAATTATTATAAAACTTTAAACATTTTATAACCCAACTTTATTTGTAAACACTTTAAATCTCAATACTCTAGAGATAAGGTTTACCCACAAATTTCTATCCAGATATATTAAAAGTGAAATTTACGAAATCTTACTGCAATGCAGATGTTCTATTCCATTGGAGCATCAAAGAGTAAGGGGGTTGGAGTACCTCAAAACACAGTTGTGATAAACTCAAATCTATTTAAACCGTTTAACATTATAAATCTTGAAATCAATTTCTTATCTAACTATAATTAATCATAAATCATAAGTTATAAACGTCATTCTTAACAATGTAAAACAATAAACCAGTTTAATTGAAACAAACCCCTCTATTACCCCTTTAATTTACCAGTTTTTAAAACAATACTCGAAATTAACTTACGTCACACAAAACATACTCTACATACTTAAGATCAATACATAATAAATAAAATACTCACTCCACTCTTTTTTTTAAATTTTCTCATTTTTTTACAACCAAATATTATTTTGTTATTCACTTTCTTTTACTTTCACTCAACTTTACAACCAAATCTCAACTTTACAACCAAATCTCAACTTAACAACCAAAGTTTATACTTAAGACATTTCATAGTTAATTGGTTATTAGATTGAAACATTACTACATTGCATTTTTTACCCCCGATTCATTAAGAAAAAACAGTTTTTGTATTGCATTTTGTATTATTTTAATAGCATTATATCCATCAAAACAACAACTCCTTATTTTCAACTTGTCATACTAGTCTATAACATAAACAGTTTATTAAATCATTGCATAACAACCAGATCTTCATTTTCTTATCCACTTAGTATTTCTCATAATTATAGTATTAGACACCTAAAAAAATAAAGATTATAAAAATAACTCCGATTAATCAGTCATTAAAATAATAATAACAACAATAACATAAATATTATGATTCAGACATCAACCATAACAAATAATCATTCATCTAATATATCAACTTTAAATTCATCTAACTTTGAATCTTCTATACCTGATTCATTTACATCTTCAACATCTTCTAAAATGACATTAAAAGGAGTAGATCATAATAGTAATCGGAATGATATAGAAACAACTATAGGGAAATTAGATCCTGAAAACAACCAAAAGAAAGACAATAGAATTAATCAAGACAGTCAAACTGATCAAAATAATCAAAATAAGCAAAATCAAGTAACAACGCGTCCTAAATCATCTTCTAATGTATCTACTTCATCTATTCAACAACAACAACTTCAACAACAAACACGTCAACGTAGATCAAATTCAAATAATGAAAAAATAAAAATACTTGATATAAATTTCAATCAAGATCAAGGATGTTTTGCAATTGGTCATGAAAATGGATTCTTAGTATATAATACAGATCCAATAGATTTAAGAGTTAAAAGGAATTTCAACAACAACAAAGATACCAATAACAATATTCACTATCAAAATCAAATTATATCAAAAAATATTTCAAATTCAATATTAAATAATGGTTCAGGAATAGGTCATATAACAATGTTACATAGAACTAATTATTTAGCATTAGTTGGTGGTGGTTTAAATCCAAAATTTCCTCCAAATAAATTAATAATATGGGATGATTTAAAAAGAAAAATAAGTCTTAGTCTTGAATTTAACAAACCAATAAAAAGAGTTTTATTATCAAGGATTAAAATTATTATAGTATTAGAAGATCAAATTCATATTTATAGTTTTACTTCACCACCTAAAAAATTAATGACTTTTGAAACTTCAATTAATGAATTTGGATTAGCTGATTTATCATCTATTAGAGCAACCACCACCACTAGCTCTAGTACGGAGGTTAGACCAACAATTCAAAATAATAAACATAATTCAAGAGGTAGTTATGGATCAGTATCATCAAATTCTTCAAATAATTCAATAACATCAAATACAAGTATAACAAGTTTATTAAATCAAAATTCATATTATAATCAACAACAACAACAACAACAATTACAAAGTTCAAATTTAGCATTTCCTGGAAAAGCAATTGGACAAATACAAATCGTTGATATTGGTCAACAAACATCATTATCATCAATACAAAAATCAAATACAACAATAACAACATCTTCAACCACCCCTAATACAAATCTCCCTACACAATCATTAAATTCATCAATTATAAAAGCACATAAATCACAAATTAGAAATTTATGTTTAAATAAAGAAGGAACAATGATAGCATCAGCATCAATCCAAGGTACAATTATAAGGATTCATTGTACAAAAACAACAACCTTAGTATATGAATTTAGAAGAGGTATTGATAAAGCAGATATAACATCATTAAAATTTAATCATAATAGTTCTAAATTAGCTGTATTATCAGATAAATATACTTTACATATTTTTAATTTACAATCATCATCATCAGCTACTACAACCACCAGCAATGAATCTAAATTACTTAAATTTTTACCAAATCCTATTATACCACAATATTTTAAAAGTAAATGGAGTAATTATAATATAAATACTTCAAAATTTCACTCGGTGGAAAATGAATTAGATAGGGGGGAAATTGGATGGATTAATAATTATAATTTATGTATTATTTGGAAAAATAAAAGAATTTGGGAAAAATATTCAATTATTGAATCTGATGATGATGAAGCAGGAGATTTTAAGATAATTAGAAGTAGTTGGAAATCTTTAGATTTTGATTAGATTAGATAGCATAGCATTTGAATATAAAGTATTATATTATTAGCCTCTCTTTCCTTTACAAATTCTTCGAATTTGGTTAGTTATATAAATTCAACAATTAATGGAACATAATTTTTCTTCTCAATACTTCTTCCACCATAAAGTTGTAAGAATTGCCAACTATTCAATCCATTAAAATCATTCCAAAATTTAAAAGTATCTTCTACGTTAACAAAATTTAATTTTATAATATTTATACCTAAATTAATATTTGAAAATACAGTCTCAATTGGGTTGTCAACTTTTAAATTATAATTTCTTAATAATTTTAAAATAGTTGAATTTTTTAAACCGAATGGCCAATTCTTAACGATAACTGATTTAGAATTTTCATCTATTTGTAAAATATGATTTAAAACTTTATAATTGTGTTTATCTATTTTTAAAATTTCATCAATTGAACCAGTTTTTTGAAAATTCAAATCTTTAATACAAACACTCGTCTCATTTTTTAATTGATGAGGATAACTGATCATAAAATTAAAAATAAATGAATGACCTTCATAGAATTTAAATTTCAAATCAATACCATTTAAAATTTTAGATTGTAGCTCTTCGAGGAATACTAATGCATACAATCTATTTTCAAAAATTAACAAATATTCATTATTAAATTCTAATGTTTTAAATTGTCTAAATTTTATAATTTGAAATGGATCATGGACTGAAATATCAAATTTAGAATATCTTTCCTCAGGTAATAAATTTTGAAAATCCAATTTTGTTAAAAATTGATTTTTTAAATTTATTGTTAACAATGGTAACTTCCCAATATTAGTTGAATTCAAAAGAAGTTTTGAATTTTGTTTTTGTTTTAATTTTATGTTTTTTAGGAATTCAAATTGTTCTTTTTGTTCATTATATTCATTATTTGAGTATAATTGAGTGGATAATGTTGATATTTTTGAATTAATATTTTGTTGTTTTGAATTAATTTTTGTAGATGGTATTGATATTGGTAAAGAGTTTAATGATGTTTCTTTATATATTAAATTCATTAAATTTTTTGATGCATTTTTAGATATATGTTTCAGCATTATATTCAAACTTGACTTTTTTTGTTCTCTTTAATTCATTGATATTTTACATTCTATATTTTTTTTGAGAGTGACATTTTAGTTTAGTATGGTGGTTGAATAAATATGAAAAACTTATGTTTAGGTAATTTCCATTATCTTTAGTTTGTAAGTTAACCTAAGAGACGCTACCAAGAACAAAGAGGAAGAAAAGAAAGAAGAAATGGAAGAAGAAATGGAAGAAGAACAAACTAATTTAACTGAAGAAGATTTACATTCAGATAATTAGAATGAAGCGAGGCCTAGCTTATTTTCATATTAAAACGGAAGCTCAGCTAGCAACTCAACAGGTATTGTTGAACCTGGGAGCCAGTGCTATTTATATGGATCAACTATCGCTTCAGAAATTCAATCACACTATCTTAAACCAAAACGAATAATTATGCATTATCAGCATCAAATCATCAAATCAAAATTTTTAGGTAATGCATTGGTATACCTACCATATCCATTTTCATTTGATTTGCAATTTTACATAGTGGAAAATTTACTATAGCTTCTTTGACAATAAAACTATTTGGATTGACACATGGAAAGATATATAAACAAAATTTGTGATGAAACTACATGAAAAATATCATGCTAGTCCAAGAGTCATATTTAATAAAGCAATTTCAATAGCTTGGCATCCTGATTGTTTAGAAATTATTAATCACGTTGTTGAGCATGCAATAGATGTACAACATTATCAAATTTGAAAAACAAAAGAGAACTATGGCCTATCCTACCAAAAATGGCATTTCATAGTTGGCAAATGGATTTTTGTCATCCTCAAAAATTAGGAGCAGCTATTTATAGGTTTGTTTTAGTTGCAATTGATTCATCTACAAATTATGTTTATACTTTTGCATGTGTTAATCCAAATAGTCTTGTCAAATAAGCTATAGAATTAATTAATAATTGTTATCAATGTGTTGAAGACATTCATCTTGTAACTATTATCAACACAATTCTATAGATTACTTAGACATTCATATAAACAATATATCTATCATTAAGTGTTTGGAGGAAACAAATGATTCATAGTTTATTTATATTCAACAACTAAAGAATAATTTCATATGTCATTAGGCAATCAATCATCATTTCAAACGGAGAAAATCAAAGCCATTAACAATTACTTGGAAGTAAATTTAGTTGATGATTGTAGACGACAACATATAACTAAGCGTCTAAAAACAAAAGTGGGATGCTAAAGAGTAAGGGATTTGATTTCCTTTAAAACACAACTACCATAAAGCCGAACAATTCAATGATTTAAAGGAAAAATCAAAAATAAAACAGGTTGAATCTAGAAATCAATTAGGTCATTAAAATATTATGTCATACCAGTTAAGTCATCTAGTTGACGTACTATTTTAATGCCCTAATTAAATTCTCAATTCAACTTCAGTTCTCAGCTTTTAACTATCAAACAAAAAACATATGCCAATTGCCATGGCATTAAAAATATTTGGTTCTGTAGTACATTAAAATTCAAAAAATACAATTCCAATAAAGTTTAACTATATTTTCTTTACATAGCAAAGTAATCAGATCTGTATCGAGCAGGAATTTTAGATAAATAAAATTATATTAGAAATTTATCATCTATGAAAATACCCCTTAATAATATTTCTCATAAAAATTAAATTTAAAAAATATTATTTCAGTTTATAGCGGGAAAGAAAAGACTAAAAATTATATTCAAAGATTATATTTTAGTTATAGGCTATCGTTATGAATTGGATGGCAAATTTTGGATTTGATGAATGTCTTCCCAGAATCATTGAATTCAATTTGTTTGATTTAAGTCATTGAATAAAGTCTTATAACAAATTTATTAAATTGTTTTCGATCAATGTTAATATCGACAGGAGTACCAACTTAGTTTTAATAGCACGGAAATGATTGGATTCGTACGTATTTGGAAAATAAATAGACTATGCTTCTTGAACAAAAATCATTAACTTTATGACTCATCATCTAGCTCACAAATTACTTTCAAAATCATTGGACATTAATTATAACAACTTTTGAAATTGGTAAATTTTTATTTATATCATATTTACATAAAAGACAAAATTTTCAAATTAATAAAGCTATAACTAAATTTGAAAGTGGAAATAAAGATGATGATAATGATGAAGTAGTCATAAATAATAAAACAAAATCATTATTGATAAATTTAAAAGATATAATGAAATCAAAATCAGATACATTAAATTTTAATTTAATTAAAAATTTAATAATTATATATTTAAATATTTATCAAAAGATTTGGTTAACTAGTGGTAATTTGAATGTTATATTATCATTTATTTTCCCAATAAATTCAATTTTTCAATCAATCATATTTGCTACAGTATCAAATTTTTTATTATTTTGTTGGAATTTACCATTACAATTTTATAACACCTATGTAATTTCAAAATTTCCAAATAAAAATGATCCATTAACTTGGTTTTTAACAAATTTTTTCACCATGATTTTAAATTCAATTTCAAATAGTATTAAAATTTATGGATTTCTAAAGTTAGTTTCTATAGTTCAAAATTTTCCAATTTGGCAATTATGTTTTGGTTATTTTATTTTTTCAATTTTAAGAATTTCAATAGTTCCATTAGTATTAAGAACTATTTTTCCAGGATTTATGAAACCAGTTCCGGAAGGGGAACTAAAAGATGAATTAAGTAAATTATGTAAACAAGTTGGGTATAATTTAAATCATATTTATTTAGATAATAATTCAGAACCAAGTTTTTTAGGATTTGATTATTTACCGAACCTTATTATAATTAGTAATAAATTAATTAATCAACTATCACCTAAAGAAGTTTCAGCTATTGTTTTACAATTAATTAATTTAATTAAATCAAATGTTAATTTAAAGAAATTTTTACCAATTTCAATTATATTATATGCTAATATATATTCTTTTGATAAATTGTTGATGAATGATGATACAATATTAAATCAATTTGGATTTAGTACCTCAAATCAAGATAATGATTTATTATTTATAAAATATTTATTATTTATGAAATTGTTTATTCCATTTGAAATAATTATTGATTTAAGTTTTAACTATTTTCAAAGATTAACAATTTATAAAATTGATTTAAAAACATATAAATTTAATAATAATCTACTTAATGCTTTAGAAAATTTACAAAAAAACAATGGTAATAATAGTTATGAAATATATAAATATTTCAAAAGTGATTCATTATATGATTTATATCGTGTTGAAATACCAAGTTATCATGATAGAATTGAAAATTTAAAATCAATTGATCAAAATAATACAGAGTGAGAAAAATTTTAAAATGATTTCATGTAGCTAGGAATATAATTATGTAAGAGCAGTTCCTGTTTTTCACAATATATGAAATATATGACACAGTCCTGAGATCAGTCAGAGGTAATTTCCCCTTGCTGATACTAAGTACTTAATTTACAATTTTTCTTTGAGTATATAAAAGCCCCCTAAAAAGATTATATTTTTGCGAATTACGAATTCTTACATTAAAATTGTAAATCTTTGAAGTAAATCTTAGACCAAATATGTCAGCTCCCTGAACCTATTCCTTGCCTAAATATAAGATTGATGGAAATTTACGGAATAATAACTGTTTCAATTTCTAAATGTGTGATAGTGGTTTTGGGTATAAACGATTCCAACAAGCTCCAAGAATCGAAAAAAACCATTTACTGACCACAAATTAACCATTAATCAGTGCCAGCATCCGTAGTACCAACAATTCATGGTATGCTTCTTACCAAATTTATTTCTATTTTTGGTTAGTCCTACTTATCATCTTCTATTAAAGCTTGGTCACTAAAATAAATTTCATAAACCGAGAGAGAGAAGAAAAATTAAAACAAAAGGAAAAGATCGAAAAAATATTTTGATTTTTACAACACACTTTTAATCAATAAACCATCAATCAAACTAGACAACAATAGATACTAAGACTCAAAGCAGACACTCGTCTACAAAATATACAACATCTACTTATCATAAAGTTCTATTAGACTTACCGCTTCATTCAAAAGATAGCTCATCTAACCATTCTTCATATAAATACTTGTATAAATTGCCATCTGATTAAAATTGAGATAATAACTTAGCTATTAATCTACTCAATCAAAATCTTGTATATATAGGCATTAGCTGAATCAACTTTCAATAGCCACTCAATCGACATTCTGTAAATAGTATTGAAAGACTCATTAGATCAATCAAAAGAACAACCCTTTATTTTATTAATAAAATTTGTATATATATAAAAATCATAACTACTCAAAAAAAAAGGTTAAATTCGTATTTAGGAAAACCACGTTTTTTTTAATTCATAACTATTATAAATCAAAACAAAACAATAAACAAGAAGAAGAACCAACTCACGGTTGAAAAATGCCTACTGATACTATATGGTCTAGTACAAATACTTCACCAATTACTGCTCAACCACTGTTAACTCCTATGTCAAATAACAATAATTCCACACCAACTACAAATTATGGCTCAAAATCTCAATTTAAATCAGTATTAGATCAAGTTGATCCAGAAGTTGCAAAATTTTTAAGTTCAAATTCAAATCCTTTAGAATCATTAACATCATCAAATAATGAAAGAAGATTTTCTTTTAATGATGGTAGTGATATTGATGATAATACATTTTTTGGATTTAAAAGAGGTACATTATCTGCAATAACCGCACCAGTTGGAAATTATAATAATAATCATCATAATACCAATCATCATTACAACACTAATACCAATGGTAATAAAAATAATTCACCTTCAAATAATGGAAATCAAAGAATTAATTTTGGAACTGCTTCAATAAGTGGAGGTATAGCATCAAGACATCCACCACAAGAAAGTTTTTTACAAAAATTTTCAAATGTTACTGATGCAACAAGAGAAATTGAATTTGGAAGATTGAAATTAGATGATGATAATAATAATCAAAATTCAAGAAGAACAAGTTTCAATAATAATAATAAAAGCACCGAGTTTTCTGGTGAATTAAATATGCCTGCTCCAAGGAGTACTTCAAGACATCAATCAATAAGTGAAAAAATTGATAATTATAATAATAATTCTCCAATTCAAACTAATTCTGCATTATCAATAAATTCAAATTTAAATAGTTCTGAAAATTTAAATTTATTACAAAATAATGGGAATAATTTAACACAACAACAAACACAACAACAACAACAATTTCCTCATCATCAAAACATCAATGGCGTTGGTGGTGCGTTTTGGAATCCAGCCGGTGTTGCTTCTTTCACTCCTGCAACAAATTATTTTATGGATAATAATGGATTTCCAATTCCAACTCCACCACCATCTCATCAAATTCATAATTTTGATAATCGTTCAATGGGGGGTCCAATTCCTCCTATAAGTCCTCCACCATTTATGATTCCATCACCTCCACCACCACAATTTATGGATCCTTCAATATATAATATGATGTATGGAAATTTACCACCTTTCCCACCACCACCACCTCAATCACAAGAACAATCACAATCACAACAACCACAAAATTTACAATCACAAGAGGATGAATCTAAAACAACTGAAAATGGAAAGAAACATGAACCGAAACATTCAGGACCTGGACATATTGGTGTTGGATTGATGAATAGACAATTTTCACCTGCTTCTTTTATGTTTCATCCTTTTAATCCTTATTATCAACAAGGTCCAATGACTCCAGACATTTTAAAAACAATGACTCCTCCTCCACCACCTATGATGGTTCCACCTCCTCAAGCACAACAACCACAACAATCACAGTCACAATCACAACCTCACCCTACGCAACCCCAACAACCTCAAAAACCATCACCACCTGCTCCTCAAAAGGAATTTAAAAAGAAAACAAAACAAAACAAAAATACATTTATATATAGATCACCATTATTAGAAGAAGTTAGATCTAACACCAAGAATTTTAAATTAGGAGATATATATGGACATTCAATAGAATTTACAAAAGATCAATATGGTTCAAGATTTATTCAACAAAAATTACCAGAATCAAATGATATAGAAAAAGAAATGGTATTTAATGAAATTAGAGAAATTTCATATGAATTAATGACTGATGTATTTGGAAATTATGTTATACAAAAATATTTTGAATTTGGTAGTGAAATTCAAAAACAAATTTTGTTGGAAAAAATGAAAGGTCATATATATGAATTAAGTTTACAAATGTATGGATGTAGAGTTGTTCAAAGAGCTTTAGAAAGTTTGCTGCTGACTGAAGATAAATTAAAAATTATAAATGAATTAAAAGATTATATATTAATTTGTTCAAAAGATCAAAATGCAAATCATGTAATTCAAAAATCAATTGAAATGATAAAACCTTTTAATAAAATTAGATTTATATTAGATTCTTTAAGGGATCATATATATAATTTAACAACTGATGCATATGGTTGTAGAATTATACAAAGATTATTAAAAAGTTCAAATATAGAAGATCAAATTTTAATAATAAATGAATTAAATTCTTATATTTATTATATTATTCAAGATTCTTATGGAAATTATGTTGTTCAATATATGTTGGAAAATGGTAATGAAAAAGATAAATCTAAGATTATTGATATAATATTAGATGGTGATAACCTCCTAATTTTTTCAAAACATAAATTTGCTTCAAATGTTATTGAAAAAGCAATAAAATATGGTGATTATCAACAACGACAAAAAATATTAGATAAAGTAATGGAAAATAAATCATCACCTGAAGAAAATCAAGATCAATCAATTATAATATTAATGTTAAAAGATCAATATGCAAATTATGTTATACAAAAATTAATTGAATATTTAGAACCAAATGATAAAAAAACAAAATTAATAAATAAATTGAAATTATATTTAAATCAACAACAATTTAATAATTTTAATAGCAATGGTAATAATAATAATAATAATAAAAATAATCAAGTTGGTGGGAAACAATTAGCTTCTGTTGAAAAATTAAAAAGTTTAATTGGGTAATAAAATTTTAGATAAGTAAGTTGGTGAGTAGAGTTAGAAAGAAATTAAAGTAAATAGTGTAAATAGTGTATTATAATTATAAATATGTAGACAATTTAATAATAAAATGACGGAATTTTTTATTAATAGATAAAACAAAAAAAAGTTATGACTTGAACAATAAATGTTTTAAAAATAACAAGGTAAACGAAAATGTTAAAATAGTTATGTAGTTTATTTTATTGGTGTTTAGAAACTTCAAATTGATTGAATCGTCAGGTTAAATACGTTATTATAGTTCAACATGGAATTTCACATAATACTTGGTTTTTTGTATGCATGGATTCAACTAAATTTGTAACTAATTTCAAAAAATTACCAATGTTTCAGATCAAATGATAAATTTTCCTTTTTTGAAATTGACAATTGAAGTTACCTGTTGTTAAAAGGTACTTCTTATCATAAAAATAAGGTATTTTATTCACTTTTTGCAAATAAATTCCCACTCACAATCAAAATTTTCTATTGTTCTTGATCTTGTTTCAGAATTCATGCACAACAACTTATTTAAATTAGTACGCAAAAATTCATTTTTTTTCAACTTGATAACAACTCTAATCTTCATGTTTCAAGTGTTTCAAGAAGCTCGGTTTATTATAACTGATGAATATTCAATACCTGTGATTTTGAAAATTTATACATTTCACTATATATAAACCCTTCTAAATTATTTAGAATTTACTTTTCTTCTTTTTGGTCTTTAAGAAATTTCAATTTAGCGGGTATGTCAATAAGTTCACTAGGTTTTCAAAAAACAAAAATAATATTAACAACATATGGGTTGAGTTAAAAATTCTTCTGTGGGTAACGGGGTTAACTGAGCGATTGAAGGGATTTACTAGAGCGATTTACTAAAGGGATTGCTTATTTTCCAACGGGTATGTTCACAACAATGAACAAAATACATATAAATCATTCATTATACTAACTATCTATCTAGGTTGAAACGAATGTGTAAAATGGTTTTGGCTTATATACCATAATTGGGATTCTAACCGGTTTTGGGTTTCAAAGGCTAACAAATAACAAATTTTTATTTTTTTTCATTTTGAAATTGAAATTGAAGCTGATTAATGGTACCAAACGAACGACGCTGTTGACAAAGCTATTAGTTCATTTGAGTGTTGGGTCTTCGGACCGACCAAAATGGGCAGAACGCTTCTCCGTCACGGGCAAGTTCTAGTGGTTTAAAATGCACATGGTTCTAGCGGCAATGCATTACTCCTCACTTCGTCAATTCAACGCGTTAATGACAATAAACCTGTAAAAATAGTCCCTGTTTGAGTTCAACCCATTAAATGGCTTTGTTCATATGAAGTCCATTCGTTTTATTCCTTGCGTGAAGTTGCCAGTCGGGGAAACTTGAAGTATTCCGGATTGCAAAGTCCACTCTTACTTAAAAACATTGGTTCTTTATCGTAACTATTGTTTAAAACTACGTAACAAGATCCATTTAAATTTATTCCAATTTTCAATTTTAATTTTTGATTCTTTCTCTGATTCACTCTCATTTGCTATCTCAGTCTCATTCTCTTTTTCTAAACAAAATTTTTTATATAAATTTTTAACCACCAATGTATCAATTTTTAAATCATCAATTTTTAATTGATCATATAATATTAAATATTTTAATAAATTTATTTCTTTTAAATTTAAAATTTCTTCATAATTTAAAATTTTTATCTTTATGTTTGAATTACTTGAAGTAAGATTCCTCTGATTATTATTAATTTGATTAATTTGATGACTATTGAAATGATTTTGGTTGTGATTATGACTGACTTGATTATGATTATGACCATGATTAAGATGTGGAAATTTCAAATTTAATTCATAACTCGATAAATTATCATCATCTTCTTCTTCATTAGATAATTGAAAATTTGATAAACTTAGAGAATCACTTGAATTTGAATTTGAACTTAAGGACTGAGATTTTTGAGAATTTTCAACTTGAGATTGAGATTGAGAATTCTCTGATTGATCTTTAAAATTCATCTTGGAAAATTCCATACTTAATGAACTACCAATAGATCCACCAGGATGTTTTTTCAGAAATTTATGTTTTCTTTTAATTAAATCAGTTTCAATAATTTCAGAAAGCGACAAAATTAACAGATCAGCTAATATTAATGAAATTGTATATGATACTGTTGGAGCAGGTATACCATGAATTTTTAATTCATTTATATTTGTTGATAAATTTGCAAATATTAAACTTGAAATTCTTTTATTTGATGCAAGTATTGATTTTTTCTTGTTAGTTAATAATAATATAGTAATTTTTTCATCAATATGTTGTAAAATATTAATTAATTCATCTGAATTACCTGATGATGATATAAATATTAAAATATCTGAATCTTGAATCATACCTAAATCTCCATGTAATGCTTCTGATGGATGTAATACAGATGATGATATACTTAATGAATTCAATGTTGCTTCTAATTTTAAAGCTAATTTAAAAGATTTTCCAATCCCCGTGAGTATAATTTTACCTTTTTTTAAATTACAATTGTACATTATTTCCATTGACTTGTTGAGTTGATTTATTGAAAATTCATCTGTTTGATATTGATTATATAAATTATATACTGCTTCATTTTCAAATTTTAAAGTATTTACTATTGATTTTGAAATTTGTTGTTTTGTATATTGTGATTGTGATTGTGATTGTGATTGTAAATTTTTAATAGTTATTGTATCATTATCTAATGAGGTAGTTGAAGAATATGAATTTGAAAAATTTGGTTGGATATCTGAATCAAATACCGATTTTGGTGAAGTTGGCAGTGTTGGTGGTGATATAGTGGAAGTTGAATTTTTATGTAAATTTGAAGCTAATGTAGTCATTTGAATGGTATGAAACTTTGATGAAATTGACTGTTATTGTATAAATGTATATATGAAAATTGGTGAAAATTGGTGTAAATTAGATGAAAATTAGATGAAAATTGAATGAAAATTGTCTATATTGAACCTATTTTAGTAGGATCTATGAAAGAATTATGGTTTTGTTTGAGTTTTTGAGAACTTATGAGACTATATAATGTCCTTTATATCGTTTAATGTTCTTATAGCAGTAGTATTTGTAGTTGTTGTAGTAGTAATGATATTTGAATAATTAGTAAGCAAATATTCGAATCAAAAAACTTTAAATAATTAATTTCGAAACAAAAGAATTTTTCCGCTTTGGATTTAAACAATAAAAAGATTTATAAGATCTGATTTGAATAATTCTTTATAAACTAAGCCTAGTGACAAGTTATTGAATCTATGGTTGAATTTAAGTATATATTTATACTAAGTGTAGTAATAAATTTCAAAAAATATATTAGTTATTTGAATTTATTTTTATAATAATTTTGTTGGAGTGGGTTTAATTTATTTCAAATTCGTTTCCGAAGTAAAAAATATTCAACTTTCTATTGTTTTATCACCTTGAAATCAAATATTAGGCATGGGTGCAAATAGGATCAATATTTAAGACGGAGATTAAAATGATTAAACAAAGTATGTGAAGTTGGTTCGTAACTGAATACTTTTAGCAATATCAGATTATCGGAGTATTTAGATCCAAATATTAAATATATACTCCGTTTGCTATTTATTTAAATATTTATTATTCATGTAAGTGAAGAAATGAATTATCAGTTTGGCGTAACTTTACTAAAAAAATTTAGAAAAGCAATCCTATCTAAAATCTAAGCATTCAATAATACCCTTTATTTAGACCTTCCGCTACTATCAAATAATTGAATAACTACCACTACATACAATTAAGAGTTGTACATGATAGCTGGATTAATTATACATTTTATTGCGTTTAGTAATATTATAAATCACTGATTTCAACAAAATAAAGTTTGAGACATACATAAATTGTAAATGCGTAAGAGAGTTTCAAATTTTTTATCAACAATTAACGGAAAATATAGCTTAGCTGTACAGAACCTATCGACCTACATTTGTAACATTTAGGCGAACTTAAACTGTGGGAATTTCGTTTACAAAGTTGAAAACCGATCCGAAAGAGTTTATCGTATAATAAAAGAAATAAATATAATTATTACATTTTGAAAATTTGAACTCCAGCTACTGAATACGAAGAAACGTGCAAAAAATACTACGATTATTTTTGAGTCCAATTTAATGTGATGTGATTAAATTACTAAATGATGTAATAGGCTCGAGTTCATATCATTGCAATTCCACGTTTGCTATTGCAATCACTCGAATAGAAACTAATCAATCGCCTTCTATTCATTTACAAAATGTGTATTTTGTGTGAATAGAATCAAATATTGATAAGAAAAAGAAATAAAAAAATTAGTCGTCGATAACGCCTTTTTCTCCTTCAGTCGAATTAGTATTAAACACCGAAGTAGAATAGATTAAATTGATACAAGCAAGCGATCGGAAGATAATTATTTTACATCCGTCAAATATTATTGACAGAGTCAAGAGATCAAATACATATATCTGATATAGCAAGTATTAGAGAGAAAGGACCAAATTTATGATCAAAGCAGATACGATTTTTTAATCTTCGAAACATGTTTGTGCTAACTGGTTTTTTAAGAAATTACGTCAATTTTAATCAAAATAATAAATTTTAATGTTCTTCAAAATTTCTATCGTTATACTTGTATCAAATTTTGTACAAAATTGTGATGTTCCTATCGATCCAAAAATCAAATGTAACTGCTAAGTATATACTTGAATAACCATTTCTCCCAAATTCAATACAGAATTTTCAAATGTACAATTTTACATTAAATTCACATAAGATAGATAAAATTGAGTTGAAATCTTAAAATACTCTTAAAATAAAAACCACTAGAATAAAAAAACTAATAAACTATATTCAATTTCGCTATCATAAAGTGTAGCCTAAATCCCGAACATCTCACATTAATAATCTCAGTACACGAATATCTTGTAATTAGCAATTTCAAATTTTTTTTGAATCTGTTCAAGTAGTGTTTCAAATCTAAGTAATTCATAATAGTTTCGTGCACAAAATCTAAAATCCAAAAATCTGAAACACAGTCATGAAAAAAGAATTCAAATAGTAATTAACTTGGAAACTCAACAAAAATAATTTCAAAAGTGAACAAAACTTAGAGTCTCCCATACGGTTATTGAGTTTGAACTTTTTTACTATTCAACCTACCTACAGAAGAATTTTCAGTTAAGCGCGTATGTACACAATTTTAATATTTATTTATTAAATATACTAAATACTAATATAAGATTTGAGATTATTCTATTATACAAGTTATAAATTAAATGCTAATGCTGATTCGTCAACAATATCTATTTGTATTTAAGCAAAGATTGCTTTGAAAACAAAAATGTCGATTTGGTCCCTATTCCTACCCAAATGTGTAACGAGCTTGATGCATCAGTTGAATGGTTTTCCTGAAGTCCGAAAAATATGCTTAAGAAATTCAGTTTATTGATTCATTTTTATTGGTGAACTACTAGTTGATGGTGACTTTATTATAGTATTACTTATAGTCTTTTCTTTATTAATTTTTTCACCTTTTACAATTTTATCCATTTCTTCTTTTGTTAAAGTTTCATATTCTAATAAACCTTCAGCTAATCTTTTTAATTCTTTTGATTTTAATTTTAACATATCTCTTGTTCTAATTTCAGAATCAACTAAAAATGATCTTACTTCATTATCTGCTAAATTTTTAATTTGTGGACTCCAAGATTCCCAATCATCACTTAATTTTACTGGTCCAATTTTATCTGACATTCCATAACTTAAAACCATTGCTCTTGCTACTCCTGTTGCATTTGATAAATCTGATGAACAACCACTTGTAACATTTTCAGCTCCATTAACCATTTCTTCTGCAATTTTCCCACCCATACATACATCTAATCTTGCAAAACATTCTTTTTTGGACATATCTACTTTATCCATTTCTGGTAATTGAAAAGTTATACCTAAAGCTCTTCCTCTTGGTAAAATTGTTGCTTTATATAATGGTGTAGCTCCTGGTGAAAACATAGCCATTATAGCATGACCAGCTTCATGATAAGCAGTATTAATTCTTGATTCTTCAGTTATAACCATTTTCTTTTTAGCTGCACCCATTAGAATTTTATCTTTTGCCCATTCAAAATGTGACATATCAACAGCTGGTGCAGATAATTGAGATGCATGAACAGCAGCTTGGTTTACTAAATTCATTAATTCAGCACCAGAAAGTCCAGGTGTACCTCTTGCAATAAGTGATGGATCAACATTATCAGCAGTTTCAACATTTTGCATATGATGTTTTAAAATATCAACTCTTCCTCTTACATCAGGTAAATCAACTATAACTTCTTTATCAAATCTACCTGGTCTTGTTAAAGCTTTATCTAATGATTCTGGAAAATTCGTTGCACCAATGATAATAATTCCTGAAGTTTGACTAAATCCATCAAGTTCAACTAATAATTGATTTAAAGTTTGTTTTGCATAAGCTTGATCTTTTGGATTTCTTTTACCTCCAATTGCATCTAATTCATCAATAAAAATAATTGCAGGTGATTTTTCTCTTGCTTGAGTAAATAATTCTCGAATTCTTTTAGCTCCAACTCCAACATATAATTCATCAAATTCAGATCCACTCATAAAAAAAAACGGTACTCCTGCTTCACCTGCTGTTGCTCTTGCTAATAATGTTTTACCAGTTCCTGGTGGACCAGTTAATAAAACACCTTTTGGTAATTTACCACCTAATCCAGTAAATTTTGAAGGATCTTTTAAAAAATCAACAATTTCTTCTAATTCAGCTCTTGCTTCATCACAACCTTGTACATCAGTAAATCTTACAGTACTTTGGCTAACATCAACTGATTTATCATTAACTTCTGCATTTTTAAATATAGTTCCATTTTCAACAAGATAATTAAAAGCATTTGTTGCTCCATATGTAATTAAAGCTACAGGTATTAACCATTTTAACCATTTGGATAATATGGTTAATAAAGATTCACTAACAACAACATGTACTGGTTCATATCTTGAACCAAAACCATGTGGAAATCCATTATTATTTGAATTTTGATTATTATTATTACCTTGATAATTTGCATTTAAAGCATGCGCCACTTGTTCTGCTTTACCTTTTTTACCTATTTTATTAAGGGCTTCTATATACAATTGAGTACATTCATTTGATGCTGCTATGCCTGGAGTTTCATATCTTTGTACAACTATATGTGGATAATTATTTGCTAAAAGTGATTTATAAAATTCATATTGTGCTGTTGTATTGTTTAAATCATTATTAGCTAATTGTTCTTGTGATTGTAATACACTAATTGTTGAATTTGAAACAGATCTGATGAAATTTTTAGAATTTGCCGTTGGTTTATGATAAATTAGATGATTCTTGGTTTGTCTTGTAATCATATTCGATAAAGATCGTTTGATTTGTAAATTGTGGTTACTCCTTGTTATTCCTTTAGTCAAGGATATTAGTTTGATAAACTTATTCATGTATTATGCTATAAGATGTGTGGTTTTTAGATTTTGGATTATAATATGAAGAAATAAAATTAAAAATGTAATCATAATCATTTGAAAAAAACTCGGATTTTAAATTTAGCCTACTTCGAATTCATTTCTCAAAAAAAATTAAAAGAAACAAAGCAGTCAGAACAAACGCTACAGATGGAAGAATTCCATGAGCTATAATCACAGTATGAACTATACATTGATGGCGAAATCTTATGAGACAGTTAAAGATATGTCGGTTATTCTTGTAGAACTTTTCTTACCCATATTTTATTCTACGCTTTTTGACTTATTACAAAAAAGAAATACAGCGAGTGACCTTAAGAAGCCAATTTTTAACACTCATTATTTATATTAAATGATTTAGCGAATCTAGAGCCAAAATATATATAGTCTTCTACACCTCAATCGATCAAAAAGCTAAGTAGATAGATGGAGCTATTCTGTCCTGAAAGTAGAAAATTCAATGCACTGGTGCATAAAATTTGTATAAGAATGTGACAGTCGATATAATCACGTGACTACTAATTTAACACCAACAGAGTGACTGTCTTTATTATTCAATGAGGTCTTCGGAAGATCTTCGTTACATACCCATAACTACGAATAATTTCTAAAGAATGTTAACATTATATTAAAGAGTTTGTCTAATTTTGGTTGTATATGCAATTTTGCTGCAAAATTTTATTAAATTTTTACTTCTATGAAATCAAAATACGCGTTACAAAACGATTAGTCACGAAAGGCATAAACGGGAACTTAAATTTTTGTATTGAGTAGGATATGAAGCAAATAAGGAACCGCTTAATCACATTCTTGACCAGAGCCTAAATGGAAATTAATTTTCAGAGCTAAAACCGGTGAAATTCAATGACAAATGTTGATTTTCAAATTTACTTTTCCAATTGAAGACACGACACTACTTTACATAAATCAATTCATAACAAATAAAAGTAAACAAAAGAGTTGATTTCATTTATTTACAACCACTAGTCATACCAATACACATCATGTCGGCTCAAGTACTACCGAAGAAAAGATCTAAATCAGGTTCATCAAGACTACCTAGTTTAAGTAGTCCAGTACATACACATACTTCTTCTTCTCGACATACACCTCAAACAAATAGAATAATATCAAACAGCTCTTATAACAATCATCATGCACAACACAATAATAGCAACAATTCTCGAAATAGAATACTACTGAATAGATCGATACAGCAACTGACGCGTCATGTCAGTAGAAGTCTAGCGCAAGATGATGCTGAGGATGATTCACTACAAGAAAATGGAGGTATAGGATTTAACGAAAATAAACATCAAATTTTATCAAATTTCGAAGAATGGATACGAATGTCTACTGATAATAAAATCAATATCAAAAACTCGTGGCAATTTGCATTAATTGATTATTTTCATGATTTAAATGTTATCAAAGATGGTGATCAAATTAATTTTCAAAAAGCATCTGCAACCTTGGATGGGTGCGTTAAAATTTATTCAAGTAGAATTGATTCAGCAGCTACTGACACAGGGAAATTGTTAAGTGGATTAGCTGCAAAACCTAGTGATAGAGAAGAATTACCAGAGGGTGAAAATGCTTTAAACATGTCTGATAATGAAGATAATGAAGATGAAGGAAAGAAAAAGAGAAAATCTAATAGAGTTGTTGAGACAACTTTAGTAGATTTTGAAAGTATAAGAATAAAAAAATTAGATCAAGAATTAGCAATCGATCCATTATTTAAAAAGGCATTAGCAGAATTTGATGAGGGAGGAGCTAAAAGTTTATTATTGAACACATTGAGTATAGATTCAACAGGTAGAGTTGTATTTGATGCAACTACTAATCAAGTTCAGCAAGAGCAAAAAAACAGTACTTTCAAAGAAGACACAAGTGAAGTGGACATTAGTGATTTAGCAAAATTTATTTTCAATGATAACTCACAAGTACCATTTGAAGAAAAAACAATATGTCCATCTCTTCATGAATTTCAATCAGCATTAGAAGATGTAAATAAAGCCAAACGAATATTAAATGATTTTAACTCCAAAATGGCTGCGCAAGATGAGCTTGAACCAGTTGAACAAGATGCCAATGATTATGATATGGATTTTGATTTCGATGTCCCTGATGATGATATAGATCTTGGTGGTCAGTCACCAGAAGCAGATCAAATCGGAGAAAAAACTGATGACGTTCTCAATCAAACTGTAATGCAGAATTTATTTGCTGAAAAAAGTGATGCATATATTCAATCTAAAACAAGCACAGTATTATTAGATGAAGATTTAATGAATTATTTTGATGAAAAATTAAAAATTAATTGGACTGGACCTGAGCATTGGAAAGTTTCAGCATTTAAAAAAGCAAACAATATTGATCAAGAACCTAAAAAGGAGAAAAAACCAGACTCTCAACAGAAAAAGAAAAAGGACACAACAATTCAATTTTTCGATGTTCCGAATCAAGATGAAGACATTTTGTTCAAAGTCCACAAGGATCCAAATTTTATAAATTTAAAAACTAAAAATATTTTAGAAATATATGATGATGAGGAATTCCAAGAATTGAAAGAAAAGAATCTTTTACCTGATGACATCAAATTTACATCTTCAAGATTAGTGAATTTGATACAAAAACCAATTGTACCTATAATGTATTACCCTAAGAAATTAAAACAATTGCAATCTCAGTCACAACAAGACCATGACATTCCAGCGGATTCAAATTTCTTTGCTGAACAATATAAAGAAAGAGAAGCATTACAAAGAGAAGAGGAACAAAATACATCAAATGGAGCAGATGATAGAGAAAGATTAGCCAACTCTTTCCATCAAGCTGAATACGAAGATTTTGATAACGATTTCGATGGTATTGATTTTAATGATGCGCTTGAACCTGAAGTAGAACAGCCTGTATCTCAAGTAACAGGTATCATCAATAGAAGAAAATCTGAATTTGTAAATTTCTCAAGAGTTGCTAAACGTGTGGATATCAAATTATTGAAGGATAATCTTTGGGAGGTCATAAAATTAGAAAGATATCAACAGGACGACAATGATAAAAGTATTGACTTCGATGTTGTAATGAATAAAGTTAAACAAATGTACAGTATTGAACAAGCTAATGATTTATCTATTAGTTTTTGTTTCATTTGTGCTTTACATTTAGCTAATGAACATGGTCTCACGATAACAAGTAACGAAGCTAATGATAACTTAAATATAATTTTTTAAAAATAATGAAAATAATACACAACCTTTATTTTCGTTTTTTAAATTTTGGTTTGCCTTTATTATTTATTCTATCAATATCACTCTGTGATATTATTAATCCATTTCTTGTAGATTTACCAACTCCATTAATTTTTAACCCTCTATCTCTCTTGTTGACTTTATCTTTCTTTTTCAATCCATTACCTAATCTATCCATTGAAGAAGTTGTACCTTTACCAATATTCAAATCTCTGACTTCACCCTTCTTTAATTTAGATAAAACAATACCCGCATCACGAGCTTCTTTTTCATATTTAGCAATTCTTGAATCTCGTTTAGCTATCATACCTTGTCTCATTTTCATTGGCATTGATTCAAGTTTCTTTTCTTTGGTTCTATTTGTAGAACTTAATTCATTGATTCGAGAATTCAATATTCGTTTCCTACCTTTTCCAGTGGGATCATCGTAATCTATTGTTTTTAAAGTTAAATCAACACCACTAAATTGATTATTATTAGCTAAGATATGCGATTCTTTCAAAAGTCTTTGTAATTTCAAATCATTTTCTAAATTTTCTGAATCTTCTTTTTGAGACTTTTGTAATTGTTTGGCTGTTTGTTTTGATGCCTTTTGATTTGCAGTTTCAATTTCAGTTACTGTCGCTGCACGGCCTGATTTTAGTAGTTTTTTATCTTTTTTGGATGTGATGATTGGTGTTTGTTCTGACGTTGACAAATTTAATTTCACAACTTTTGGCTTCGGTATTGGCTCGTTGAATTCCTCCTCATATTCTTCGTACTCACCTATCTCGGAATCACTAGTGAAATCCAGTTCCTCAGAAATATTATTTAACTCCATCTCATCGGACTCCCCCAGATTTTCACTATCAAACCCTGTAAATTCTTCCTCTTCATTCTGATTTGTTTTATCTTCATACCCCATATCCTCTAAGGATCCAAATTGAGCTTCGAAATTTCTTCGCTGTATCTCTAAACTTCTCTTGTATTCATCATCTTCGTTACTCATGATTTGGTATACTTTGAACTTGAACTAATTATCGCGAAACTTTTAGTGAACTAAAGCGGTAATCAGATATCTCAAATATTTTTTCATTTTACAAAGTAATGACAAAATTTAGAGGTTGCATTGACATCCATTCGGGTCAAGTTAAACAAATAGTAGGAGGATCATTAACACTCAACGAAAATGACAACTTAACTAAAGAAAACTTTGTATCAACAAAACCATCATCATATTATGCACAACTATATAAAGATAATAACCTAAAGGGTTGTCATGTTATAAAACTTGGAACAAGTACAGCAAACGACGAAGCCGCAGAATTGGCTTGTAAAACATGGCCTAATGAATTACAAGTTGGTGGTGGTGTCAATTTGGAAAATGCTCAAGCTTGGCTAGATAAAGGTGCTTCACAAATTATCATTACTAGTTGGTTATTTTCAGATAAAAACGGAACTATGGAATTGGATTTTGAAAAATTGGCAAAGATCAGTGAAAAAGTAGGGAAAGATAAATTAGTGGTAGATCTAAGTTGTAGAAAAGTCAAGGAAAATGAATGGTTTGTGGCTATGAATAAATGGCAAACTATAACAGGTAACAAATTAAGTAAAGAATTTATATCAAAAGTTAGTGAGTATTGTAATGAACTACTAATCCATGCTGCTGATGTTGAAGGTTTATGTAATGGAATAGATGAGAAATTAGTTCAAAAATTAGGTGAATGGTGTCCTGAAAATTGTAGCATAGTCTATGCGGGTGGTGCAAAGTCAATAAATGATTTAGAATTAGTCAAAGAATTGAGCAACGGTAAAGTTGATTTAACATTCGGAAGTGCTCTTGATATTTTTGGTGGGAAACTAGTTAAATTTGAAGAATTAATAAATTGGAACAATAATAGTAATTAGAAAGATCGTTTATATTTATACATGTATATATTACAATTTCAATTCCAAGCAGCCCCTCCATAATTACCAGCGTCTCCATAATTTGAACCAAATTGGGCTCCGTATGGAGTTGCAGCACCTGGTGTTTCACCACCTCCATAGTCAGTTCTTCCATAAGTAGTAAAACCACCAGCATTTGCAGCATTACCTTCTACGTTTTCTTTTCTCAATTCCATTGATATAGCAGCTAATTTATGTTGTAAAGCAACTATACCTTGAGTAACAACATCTTTTGGGGGTAAATTTCCTACTGTTTCAACATTAAAATAATAAGTCGAAGGTACTGCTTTATAATCAAATTTAGCTTCTGGATCTGGAGGATCTTCCCATTTACAATTTTCAGATTTTGGCCATTCTTCATTAGCATCAACTTCATACCAATAATCAGTATGCTTTAATTTATTCCAAGGATCATATTCAAACCCTACTGCTGCACATGGAGACCATTTTGCATGTTCTTTAGCTATACCTTTTTTGGCTATACATGTTAGATTTAATTCTTGATGTTTTCTTAATTTACAAATTATTGGACCTCTTCCCTGAGGATCTCTTATCACTGGATCACCAAGTTTGGATGCATTATTAAACTTGGCTAAATCTGATGCATAAACATTCATAGTTGAATCTGTATCACATTTTGCCGTTAGTTTTAAAACAACTGAACATTTGGGACAATATGTTTCACAAGTACAGTCTCTTGAATACGATAAATTTTCTATTCCTTCACTTATCAATGGTATAAGCCCTAGTCTATGAGATAAAAATTCATCTGCTAACACGGAAGTGTTTACATCTATTTCCACTAAATCTATTGATAATGTTGGTACTTCTGCCAACATTGTTCTTCTTAATGAATTTGCCACCGACAAGTCAACATCTCTTAGTACGAAGTCTACCCTATCTTTTTCTGTATCTCGTATAGTAACTGATGGGCCACTCATTTTTGTATATGACTGATAGGTTGGATGAGGTTGGTTTGATGATTTATATGTGGTTGATAAAATGTGAAAAATTATTTTGTGTGTTTATTTTTATTTTCGGTAACACATTTATCGATAAACTCTTACATTCCAAAACAAAGCTTAACAACTACACTAGACTATAACCAGATTACTACTAAGAATCATGTCATACACAATACCTGATTTAAGATTTGAGCAAGGATTTATGAGACAACTAAATAATTATGCTGGTAATAAACAAGAGAAGAAGAAACACTCTTTATTTATAAAGAAGAATTATGACCCAATACCTCAAATAAGTGATGCTGAATTGAAAAAACTTAATCAGAATTTGGATGAAGAAGAAGAAGATTATTTGGAAAAACCTGAACCACTATTTCCTATAACTCCAAATATTGTCATCTACGCTTTGATTAAAGATCAAATAATAATGCCTTTGTTGCAAGGTTTCTTTTGGACTGGGTTGCTTATTTCGATACGACCATTCTTGGGATTGATAGTCAAACAAGGTCAATATGCTGGTCATTGGGCTTCTAGTTTACTTGGATTGAATAGATTGGCTCAACCAAGAGGAAGATTTTCACTGTAATGTATATAACTGAAACCACAAATGTACGAATTAATGATTTAGGAAATCTATCCTACTATGGGGTAATCAGTTTCATTAATCACTCGTTAAGATCACTGAGCTCAATCTATTTAAAGTGAACGCTTTAATCATACCATATCTGTAGGATACACGGTTTATCGTGAACGTCGTGCATCCTTGTACAAAAAGCAAATGAAATTTAAATTTATAGAATCGCAACTTACCAGACTATGTTACTATAATCACTAAAGTTTTTGTAAACATCATACAATCGTTTCTACTCTTTTAACTATCCATTAGATACAACACGTTAGGATCACTGCTATAGTATATAATTTAATTGAGTCAAAAGGTATAACAGGAAGATGTTTTCAAGAAGAAGAAATACATATCAACCTCAACAGAATGTATACAAGGGGGTAGGAGCCAATAATAATACAAATCCAGGGGCATTGGCTGCTGCAAAAACAATTGGAAATGCTATGAAACAAAAGAATGGCAATTCAGGGTCCAACGTTTCAATACCTAGATCACAGTCGTTTCAACAACCAATAATATCAAGTACAAATAATAATGGAAGTCTATTGAAAAGAGGCTCAAGGTCAAATATTCAACAACAACAATTTCAACAACAACCACGTAGACTTTCAAATGGATCTTTCTCATCTTCAACTTCAAACAATTCCCCAATGACAAATGATTCATACAATAGAACAATAATTCATGATATAGATGATAGTTTCAATGATTCATATTTAGATGAAATTACAGAAGAATCAAATCAAATTTATTTGAATAATAAAAAAAATTTACAAGATTTAAAATTACCACTGCATCAAAATGAAATTCAGAAACCAGTGAAAATGGTGAAAAAATATGTTCCGAGTCCGACTGGTATTAAAATAATTGAAGTACCTGAATCAAGCTTTGAAAAAGAGATAGCAAGACATAACTCCATGAGATCGAACTCATTGATGTCTAGATCTAATTCGATGAGAAACGTATCACATAAGAAACCCGCTTCTAGATCTTCGTCTTTAACTAATAAACAACTAAAATCAGCACCACAAAAGAGATCAGTAAGCTCACCATTAAAAATGCAATCTATGAATGAGAATGTTGATTTAGAAGAAAAATTGGGTAAAACTCAAGAAAAACAAGCACAAGAAGCTAAATTGAAAGCCTTGGAGAAAGAAATAGAACGTGAAAAACAACTTGCAAAAGATTTGGAACTGAAAAGACTAGAATACGAAAAATTAAAGAGGGAAAGACTTGAGAATGAGAAGAAAATGCTTGAGTATGAAGCTGGAAATGTTGAAATCAATAGAGAAAGCTCAATATATGAAGAAGAAGAAGAAGAAGAGAAAGGAAAAGAAGAAGTACCTATTACTCAACCAAATGGAGTTATAAATGAGTTTGAAAAATTTAAAGAAAATAGAGATGAACTTTCACAAGCAAATGAGAAAATTGATGGTCATGCTATTGAAGATAATACTGAAGATAGTGTAAGAATTTCAGTGCCGGTACTATCGATTGAGAAACCTCAATTGACTAAATTAAATTCCGACTTTACTAATAGTGAAGCTTTTGAATCAAATTTGGATTTAACAGATTTCAAAAGTTTGGATCCAGGTCATTCTACTTCAGAGTTGGGGATAATAAATCAGTATAGTGAATTGAAAGGATCAGATTTGGAAGAAGATACTGATGATGAAATTGTTGATGTACCTGAGGTTGTTGATGAAACTATTGAAAGTGAAGCTGTACCTGAAACGGAGGTACCAAAAATTGTTGAAGAATCAGAGAGTGAGCAACCAGGTACTAATAATCAGACAAGTACCGAAAGTTCAGACACGTTATTACCGCCAGTGGTTGCACCTGCAACTGGCGCAAGCTCAAAATCTTCAGTATATTCGGGTGATTCCAACAAAAAACCTATAAAATCTGCAATGAAATCATCATCTTCGTTTAGTCAATTACCATCATCAAATAATGCAAAATCAAATGCTGCTCATCAAGCTTACTTATCTTTGACAACAGCTGAGAATACAAGATTAAATTCAAAATTATCAAATTCACAATTGAGTGGGGGTAGTCAAACCAATCTTAATAATCTTTCAGCTAATGATTTGTATTCTGGAGGATCTGGTGGAGCATACCCTCAATTTGGTGCTTCACAATTACAAAAGCAGCCAATGAAGAGATTGTCACAACAAACTTTAAGGGCCAATCCTCAACAACCACAGATACAACAACAACAACAACAACAATCTCAAGATTACAGGTTATCAATGAGACCTAAGCAGCAGCAACAACAACAGCAACCTCAGCAACAACATAGATTATCATTAAGAGCCCCACCACCTCAACAACAGCAACAACCAAAAGGAATGAGCAATAGATCATTACGTCCAACGTCACAGGTGCAACCAATTGCAGCTCATCCAGCTTTACAGCCAGGTTATGTATCACCCTCCAAGATAAAGGCACAAGAATTGTATACAAAAGCTCAATCCAGACCGTATTCAGATTTCAAGGCACCAGCAAGGAATCCAAATAGACCAGTTGGCAACAGTCAGCCTAGAACTACATTAAGAGATTCAACAGCACCTACTGAAGCACAAAATAATGGTTCCAATAATCCTTATGATCAAACAGGAAATGTTCATGCAAATACTGCTAGTGGTAATGGAAACGGATTTAAATCTAGATTTGCTGATTCTGATGATGATTTACCAATGAAGAAGACTTTTAATTCCAAGTTCAATGACTCAGATGAAGATTTACCAAAAACACAAACCCAAAACTACAACTTCACTCAACAACAATCACAATTACAGCAACAACCTTTACAACAGTTTTCACAGCAACAACAACAACACGGCTTAGGTCAAACAAAAGAGAAGAAGAAATTTGGTGGTAAGTTAAAGAAATTATTCTCATCCAAAAAATAATTTAAAGGGGTATATAATATTTATAATGTAAATATTTAATAATTTTAAGTTATAGAACTAATATAAATTTTACTTTTTAAGTTTCAAATTCAATTAAACTTTCACTTCTATTAATTTCTGGTTGTTTGTGGAATTGTTTTATACGTTCTTGTGTAGAACCTCTTTTTAATGGATCTTTTAAAGATTGAGCTTCTGTAGCTAAAATCAAATCTTTATCTTTTTCATCTATTGAAATAATTCCAAAATCATCATCTCTTTCATCTTCTTCATCTTCTTCTTCTTTACTAGTATTTGATTTAGATTTTATAGATGATCCACTTGAATTATTAGTCATTTGAGAAGCTCTTGAATCCATTCTCATTCTTACTTTTGTTGCAACTTTTTTACCATCTGCTAATAAACCATCAAACATATCTCTTAAATTTCTTATAAATTTTGAATCATTTAATTCTCTATCTAAATGTATCGAGTCCCTGAATGTAGCACTAAATAAAAGCTCGTACGTTTCATCAGCTAATATCACCATTCGAAATGTAGGTAAATTTAAATATACTGGATGATTTGGATCTAAAGCAGCATTATGTGATAATTTATTATCAATTGCTAAATCCTTTAGTAATATTTCTTCTTCTTCTGGTTGAGCATATTCAAAAGCTCTATTTATGAAATTACTAGCAGCTTGTAGATACCTTTCAGCTTGTTGAGCAGCAATTTTTTCTCTATCTACTTCCATATGTGGTGGTAAATCTATGACTTCATCATTTTTACCATTTGATTGTCTAATTAAATTTTCTGCCACTTCATCATCTACAGCTGCTCTGGTTATATCATCTAATAAATGACCCTCTTTCCATGGAGTCGTTATATCAAGTAAATCTTCCGATATTCGTAATATCCCCTCTCTATCTATTTTTCCATCATTATTTGTATCGTACAATTGGAAAAAATTCGACATCGAAGTCATTAAATCTGGATCGATTAGACTATTTAATCCAATAACTAATTCACTAAACGTCAATTGATTAACTTTTTCAACATCCCATGATTTGAACAATCTATTTAAAAAGTCAGAATCACCTTCTACCCAATCACATATTTCGGACATAAATTTCAAATATGCTTTATAATCCATTGTACTTGATCCTGATCCTTTTATACGATTTTTTTCTTCGACCAGCGAATAGAATCTATCATATAATATGTCAAGATGAGGTTGTGGAATATTTTTAGTCTTAGGTAGGTGTCTAATTTCAGTTCTTTTCACAAAAGTTGATATATTTTGAAGTATTGAATCTCTATGTCTATTTCTATGAGTGTTTATTACCTCGTCCGTAATTGATGAAAATTCTTTAAATGACACTAGTAATAACTCTTGAAATTTCGTTGTGTTTCTATATTTCAATTGTGGTGAGTTTGGAAATGCTGATTTGTCTAAAGATAAAAAATATTCTTTAATTATAGAAACAAACGTACCATCATCTTCGGTTTTTAGAAGCTCTTCACCATTTACTTTTAATATAGCCAATGCAACTTGAAATAAAGTTTTTGGTCCTTGCATTGTGAATATGTCCATAATTCTGAATGCAAATACTAATGGCAATGATGAAAAGTATAATGACAAAAACCAAGGTAAAGACACAACTGATAGTTGTATATCATTTTTGGTAATATGATTCCACAATATCGGCATTGTTTGCTGCACTAATGACTCAAACACTCTTTGATCAAGTAATGTCCCATACATGGTTTTAGAATAATATCCAGGAAGTATTCTTTCACATATTACATTCAAGTACCAAAATGCTTGTTCTTCTGACATATAAATCAATAAAGCAGCTGTCAAAATATTCATTGCTTGACAATACCCTACTTCAGGGTTTTTCCATGAAAAAGCAACCAATACATTCTTCAATCTATTTATGCCAATTGGATTTTGATAAGCGGCATATTCTGGTAAAGATCTGTATAAATCCTTTTCAATTTCCTCAATTGCAAACGATGATTTGCCTTGGTTCTGATCTAATAGTTTCTGATATTCTCCTTGATTTTCTAATCTCATATACATTGATCCACTACATAATTCCCATACTTCTCCTCGTAATTTATTAGGTAATCCAACCCTTACCAATTTATAAAACATAGAATTTTTTATCATAGATAAATTTCTACCATTTTCGAGATATTCATCAAACCACAATTTCAATTTGGTTTTGTCTCTCGCTTCTTTCGAATTGCCAGGAAATTTAAATTCCAATCCCAATCCTCCGTCAGGTAATTTTTCGATTTTTTCATTTGTCATGTTATTTTTAGATAAGATATACTCTGAGTAACAGGTATTTAGAAAATTTGGTAATTTTTTAATATTTGGTTGATTCTTTTTTAAAGCAGTGGATAAACTTTGAGCAAATTTTTCATTTTCTGATCTTATTCCATTGAAGTAAAGATTTATTCGAATTTTACTGACTGTTGTTAAAACCAACACAAAATTAAAATCAAAAGAAGAAGGTTCTCTTTCTACCTTTTTGATGGTTGATAAATGAAGTACAAATGAACAATCTCTTGGATCATGTTGGTCTTTAAAAATTAGGAATTGTTGGGTTAGATGTAATCTTCCTTGAAATTTCAAATCTTCTGAATCTTCATACAACTTACTGGAGTTATTCAATTCCGAATGATGAGTTAAATAAACATTGGCATCATTCAACAATGTTTGACTATCTGGTATTTTGAATTTTTTACAAAATTGTTGTTCCTTTGATAATCCTTCTCCGTCTAATTTTTTGTCTAATATTACCTCGTTGAATGTAGTTATTGCTCTATCTTTTATAAGTTCAAAGAGGGCCATAATGGAAACCCCAGTATTTTAAATTGACTTTCGTTGGAAGTTGATGAATCTGATGTTCAATTATAACAATTCTTATCGAAGCTCACTCAATTGATGTTAAATTTGCGGCTGGTAGTCAATTAGTTTTTAAAACAATGAATGTTGTATGTAAAAAGTGCTTGGTCCTACCAATTTTCAATAATTAACTTTATTACCTTTGAATATCATGCACGGTATATTTACTTAAGTTATAATAATAGCACTAAGTAGTACTGTATATAAAAGATTTCCTTGTCTTCCTAAGTTTTAATGACTTTAAAAATAAAATGTATGAGTGTCGTGATTTTGTAAGATCAGACAAATTTGAAACTGAGTTTTACAAGCTTCATATTCTTCAGACTTTGAATTTCTAATTAACTCCGTCAACAAATTCATCAAATTTTTATTATCGATTTTCTTAACTGCTAATATCTAAATAAAATGCATAAGTTGTCCCTATCACCAGATCTAGACAATACAAGTCGCTGATATTTAAGAATTTAAAGTATCTACAGTTGATCACATATTTTAAAAATCGGTATTAAGATCAATAAAGAGTATATTTCAGGTACAACATCTAGGAAAAACATGACTCAACAACAAAGACTGTATTACGCAAATCTCTTAATTTATATATCCCACCCACTAAACGAAATCCATTGGTGTTTCTATTAATGTTTTGTTCCTCTTCTTCTTTCTTCCTCTTTTGCAACTTTGTTCTTTATGATTTTGTGTTTAATCACGGAGTAAAATTATTTTACGATATGCCGTTGAAAATTTTAATATATTTTGACATAATTTTGTATTTGTAAAGAACCATTAAAAGAAAAGTTTGGAAAGTTGATCAAACTTTTACTAACTCTAGTCTTTCAATTCACATTATGGATACAAACGACTCTTTAGATTACAGATTCGAAAATTCCAGATCTCAAATCTTTCAAAATATTTTTAAAGTTTTGTGACCCTTAATTTTGATGGATAATTTTAGATTTCAGACTTGCCGATTAGTTCCATTCTATGGTTGAGCATCTTTCTTTATTTCCTTGCTGTTTCGTTGATGTAATCTCAGACTAAATTTGTCGAAATTTTTCATAAGCCATTCACTACCTACTTACTCTTTTGGGCTTTTCGATCTTGCATAATTCACTGTCTCAGATTTAAAAATTATTGCTTGGATTCAATTTATACGGGTTCTTGCTCAAAACCTGAAAATAAATATTAATACCGAACATCTGAATCAAGATTAAACACACTTCGATTGAGCTTATATTATCAACAACATTAAGATCAATTTCAAAGATCACAATCTGTCTCATTTTGAGAGGAAAACCCATAATCAATAATTATCCAACATGGCAAATATTTATTGGGTATTTGGTTATATTGCCATTATTTACGGATTTTTACTACTATTAGTGAATCAAATTCCTCATATTACTATTAAATACATTGGATTTTTATCATTAAGAGGGATCACCATAAGATTAAAGAATACCAAAATAACAATAAATAAAATCAATATAAGTGTAAATTTATTGGGTTCAAGTGAAAGTAAGAATGCAAATTTATTCTCATTGGATATAGTTGATGTCGGAGTTACATGTTTAAGGGACAAATCTAAACCAAAACAGAAATCAAAATCAAAAAGCAAAATACCACTTCATGAAAGATCCATCAAGGAAGAACTTTTTTTCAAAATTCCAAAATTCATTTATCAATTCTTTATAAAAACCAAGATTATTAATAGAGTAAATTTTCAAGTGCATAGATTATCAATATATCATCAAGAAACTCATGAAAATTTTAGTACATTCCTCGAATTCTTAAGGTTAGAGACTAACATATTAAAAGAAAGTAATTTAAGATTCACTGCAACATTATATAATGCAATGCTTTATGAAGTTGGTGATGAAAATAATAAAATTCAATATTTCAGAAATGCGGAATTTTTTATCAATTGTATTTTTATAACTGCTTGTCCTATTAATGTTAAAGACAAAATCACATTATATTTTCAAGATTTTGAAACTTCATTATCCATTAGTAGATTAAATATACCATTGAATTTATTATCTAAGAATAGAGATAGAAAGTCAAAAGAACCAGATACAAGCAATGATAATGATGACTCTCAAAGAATAACTAACGTTCTTCAATACACAAATTTAGTGAAAGAAATAATTTCAATATATTCAACAACTACTATACGGCTTGAGGATTTTACGTTAGTTCATGATGATTTAAAATTTAATTTGTCAAATTTTGCATTTTCATTAGATAAAGTGGAAAGAGAAGATGAGAATGATCAATTAAAATTACTTTTGTATTTGACATCCTTTAAGTTTTATCATTTAGAATCGAAATGTTTTGAATTACCATCAGGTACTATAACTTATCAAGTTTGTCCTTTAGAAATGTTGAGAGTTACACAAGTGTTATTGAAGCATGAAGAATCTTCTAATGAATTCATAAATTTTGAAACTAATATTACATTAACAAATCCAACTTTTGATTTTTATTATGACCAACAAGACATATTATTTAAATTTTTGAGAGATCAAATTATGCTGAGAAGAATGAAAAAAATGACATCTGCTGCAGGTGTAAGAAGGAAAGAAGAGGCGTTATTGAAATTGAAAATTGCTTCGAAATTAATCAAGTCTGTTTCGAGTAAAATTATTATTGTTGATACTGACTTAAATATTCATTTACCGAAAATTGGTGATAATAAGGAAAATGAATTCAATAGATTTTCAAAGAACAATACAGTTCTAAAACTTTCATTATCTGGTTTCATTCATAGATTATTCACAAGATCTCATACAAAAGGTAGACACACAGTCAATTCATTAATTAAAATTAAAAACTTAAAAGGTGAAGAGGCAGGTAATATACTTCATTTTTCTAAGATAAATATTTTAGCAGCTTATGATTTAGCAGATGGTAAATTAGGTTTAAGACTTTCAAGTAAATCTATCAAAATTAGATCAGTCAATGATATTTTTTTTTATTTGGTAAGACAATTCAGAAATCAACAAATTATTTATTTTAATAAAAAGTTTGATGAATTAAAACACAAGGATCAGTTAAAAGTTGAAGAACCAACATCAGTAAATGAAGAAACTTCAACTAAAGGTGATAGCTTTATAAAATTATTTAAAATTATTCCTCCATTTATTTCATCCGTTAAATTAAGTGTTACTTCCATATTAATAGATATAGTATGTAAAGAAGGACTACCTAGTCATAAAGTCTACGACGAAAATCTTGGTAAAGAAATTGATTTGAAAGATTATAGACGTGGTGTTTCTTTAAAAGTTGATGAGATCAATGCTGGATATAAGTTGAATAAGGAGCTTCTAGAATCATCAGTTAAATTGGTACAAGTGTTTACATTGAGTGAATATTCTAGTGAATATATGGATGATTTTGATAAAGTAACCGAAATGCATGCTACAGATTCTGAATTAGATGAAATGTCAAGTATAAATTCATTAGCTTCAAATCCTATTACATCAGATGATTTCAATGACGATAATGGAACTAGACGAATCAAGACAGTTTTAACAGTTAATGATATTTACATAACCAATGATTCAGTGAAGGAAGATCGTGATGTCAATAGACTCTCATTAACAATCCCAGATATTGAAGGTAGAATAGACATGTTCTTTTTATGGTGTATGTTTTATGCTAAAACCATGTTGGAAAGATTTGCACCAACAATAGCAAGAAAATGTACAAAGAATGAAATAAAAAAAATGACTGGTCCAAGAAAGAAAGTTAAATTAGATATAACTATAGATAGTTTTGCAACAGTTATAAGACTCCCTAATAAAGTTGATGTATTGATAGAATTTGAATTTTCAAGATTGAACAATGCTCTTGTGTTGAAGAATGCAGATGTTAGAAATATCAGATTATATGTTGTCCACCCAGCTACTAAATTATGGGCTAGATTATTAGTTATAAAACAACCTAATTTTAGTATTGATTTATCAAAAACTTTACATGATGCAAGTTTTGAATTGTTGACTAAATCAGTTAGATTTGATATTCCTTATCAATTTTTATTTTTTACAGTTATTGATAATTTCATTTCCTTTTTTAAAGCTATTAAACAATTAAAGCACAATTTCACATATTTTAACTATGGAGCTGAAGAATTTGAAAGAGTATTTCCAAGTGCTAAACAAGCTATAAAATTTCCTCATATCAATTTGAAAACATCTGTATTAGGACTTTCACTTGAAAATGATCCATTTGAAAATGAATTAGAATTAATTTTTGAATTAGGAGTTATCGAGCAAAAGGAAAGGTTACGTAAATTGAAAGCATTTGAATCAAAAGCTAAAGAAATGTTAGCAAATGCAGAACCAGATATAGAACATCAAATTGAATTGTCTAAAACTCCTGCTCCGAAACCTCCACCAGTCCAACAACAAGATAGTACCTGTAGATTTCATAGTCCCTTACGTCATGAATCAAGCTCAAGTGGCCATGAGAATGGAGGTGGTAAAAAGATCAAAGAAACATTTATGAAATTAAGAAAACATCATTCACAGACAACTAACAAAAGTAAAGAAGAATATTGCACAGATTCACAACCAAAAAAACCTCGTTTAACCATGTCACAGGCTGAAGATGAAATCAAAAAAGCAAGAGACAGATTGAATCAGAATTTTGCATTATCATGGACCAGAAAATTTGAAGTTATGAAAAAAGTTCGTGGTAGATTATGGCAACAAAGAATGGAAGACGTTTGGGGAAAAGATGAAATCACTGAAACTATGAAAAATAAGTATGACATTGTTGCATACCCTCATGGACCACCAATGGCTGGTGCTGTTTTTAGAGACGTTAACTTGACTTTAGATAGATTTAGAGGTGGTGACATTGATGAATTTTTGTATAAATTTGCTAAAAAACAACCAAAATTGACCTACTCGATTTTATGTCCAATGTATCTTAATTTGAAGTCAAGAAAGTTTTATATGATATTAAGAGATTATCCTTTACCATTAGCTTCATTTCCAACAGCTAGTAATCCACAAAATCCAACCATCAACATTGAAGCAAATATAATTATAAACGAACATTTATTTTCAAGGCAAGAAGAATTGAGATATATATTTGTACCATATTCATTAGCAGCGACTGATCCAAATTCAGCTGATAATTTCTATTCAGTTAATATTCCAAGAACATTAACACCTGTGAAAGTTGCAGCTGATTTTAATTGTGATTTGATAACTGATAGAGCATGTACTATTAGTTGGTGTAAAGCTTATCAACCAGCATTAGGAGCAATGGGTCAAGCATTTGAAAATTTTACAAAGCCAGCAATAGATGATAGTCCAATAGGATTTTGGGATAAAGTTCCATTAATAATGCACGGAAAATATCAGTTCAATGTAGCTAATGAATTATGTTTGTTAATGAAAAGTGGTACATCGCCTACAAAATTAGTTGGTAGAGATTCTGGATTTGCATTTTGTTGGAAAGATAATGTTTCGTTATGTTTTGACGGTACTATTGATCCAAAAAACTTTATTGTTATTACTAGTGATGACTTTATTTTTGCTATACCTAACTATTCAATTGAAGAGAAAAATATATGGAGTTTGTTTTACGATGGAGCTGATGTTACCACACCAGATTATGATTTGGATGCTAAAAAATTTCACAAAAAAGTTATCAAATTATCAACTAATGATAGAGTTAAATGGGTTTTAGGATTCATGTTTGAAAGAAATAAGTTAGATTCTAAGAAATTATGTGATGAAGAACCAAGAACTAGAAAATTCAAACCTCATTATGATGTTGTCGTTACAAATCCAATTAATAAATATCATCCTGATTCTTATGAAGGCTACAGATCAGATTATGTTCATATGGCTTTATCAGTAATATCAAAATCACATAATGGTGAAGCATACAATGCTGCATATTTAACTCCATTAACTTTTCATCATTTCTTCTATTGGTGGGATACTATAGCTCATTATTCTCCATTACCTACTAGAAATGGTAAACTTTTTGCTGAAGAAGGTAAGAAAAAAGTTAGTGTTAAATTTAGTCCTCATATATTTACTGTAAAATATCTAATGGTTTTCAATCCTGTTACTATCTCACATTTATATATTCATTCAAGTAATGAAATGCATAATCAAAAGAATAGAGTAGCATTCACCGGATTAAAAGGAAAGTTTAAAATTTGTGAAATTGACTTACATCAAGCTAAAGAGTTAATGACTTATGTGAACAAGAAATTGAATAGAAAAACACAAGTTAAGCATTTGAAGATGAATCAAGCAGAAATTAATATTGAAGAAGCTGACATTAGAGTATTGAATGCTTTGTTTCATGATCAATCAATAAGTGGTAAATTGATGAGTTATTTAACTGGTGACCTACAATCTTCAAATTCTTCAACAAATTCAGATGCTCCGAAATTTTCAAAATGGATTGAAAGTATTGATATACCAGATGGTGATTATTCTTGGGTTGATCCAGAAGATTTCATTGAATTGGAAGTTGAACCATTATCACCAAATCCTAAGATAAGGATATTACCATTTTTTTACACACCTAAATTCACTTATTTTAGAGAATTCACTTTAAAGAAAAAAGGACCTTTCCCATTTGGTAATGAACCCATACATGATTGTATAATGGATTTGGAAAAACCAGCAGCAGTTCAAACCAGAATTTTAGACGAAAGAAAGAAAACTTTGAATAAAGAAGTTGAAAAACTTAAAGCTAGCTTTTCTGATCCTAATGCTCAAAACATTGATAAACAACATTTGGAAAATGAAATTAATTTGTTGCAAGATAAGATCCAGGTTTTGGAAGAAGCAGGTAAGAACTTTACAGAAAATGATTTAAAATTGACTCAATCATTTGATGAAGGAGATCATTTAAGTTTGGAGAGACAAATGTCAGGATTATCAGCATATACTAGTCATACATCACAGAGTGAACTTTTGGAAGCTTCAAATGTTGTTGCAGTTGCGGAATTTCATAATAGATTTATTTTACACAATTTGAAATTAATATGGGATGATGATTTAAAGGAGTATTTTATTAGTTACTTGAAAAGAATTAGTGATAGAAAAAATCATGTTTATTATATGACAAAAACTGCAGTTGATTTAGTTCAAAGTGTTATAAATGAAAATGGACCAACTGATGATGCTTCAATTAAATTCCAAGATCAAGATAATGCATTTAAGAATTTTTTCAAAGATGGTTGTGATGTGATTGAAAGTTTTAACGAAGAATTAGAGAAAATTAATAGTGATGATGAAGAGCCAGAATTCAAATATTTGATTAAATTAATTCATCCTCAAATTCAAATGATTAGTAAAAAAGTGCCAGATTCTTGTGTGATATTAACATCAAAAGATTTAGATATTAGAATTGTTGATGTTAATGTAAAAGATATGACTAATATTATGACAGACTCATCTGATATGATTACAAAAGTGGAATCAAGATATGGAGTGTTATTTAAAGAAGAACTGATTTTTGTCATTTATAAAGATGATGTATTGTTCAATAATCCTAAAACTAAATTTGCAAAGAATGGTTATATGTCGAGAAATAATTGGCCTCCATGGTTTGAATGTGAAGTTTGTTATAATGGTTCATGGGCTCAAGATTATTTGGTGTCAGAAAGAAATACAATTTCATTAATTTATAAAAATCCTAATCAGTTGTTTTTAAGTAGTAATCATAAGGATAGTAGTAGTGGAAGTAAAGTCAATATTTATTTAGCAAAATATGTGATTGATGCTACTTCAGAGCAATATTCGTCAATATATTATGTCATTACCGAGTTACTTATATCTGACGGTAAAAAGGATACAGTTAATGAAAGATTATCTAGAGTTATTTCGATTGCTGATAGATCGGATTTCAAAGGGTTAGATTTGAAAGTTAAGGAATTACAATCAACAATAAGAGAATTTAAAGACATTCTTCTTAATTTTGATCAAAAAGGTGGAGTCTTGAGTGATGAAGAAAAGAGATATTTGAAATTAATAGAATTAGAAATGGAGAAAAGTAAATTGGAACTTTTAATGATTTTTAAAACTGTTAAGATGAAAAATAAAAAGAAAGAAGGTAGAGAATGGTATATAAATATTCATGAATTCATATGGCATATGTTAGATGATATGAAAAATCCATATGTTGATATTGCTGCTTCAAAAGCTTCTTTCAATAGAACTGAATCCGTTGATGGTACCAATATTAATTCATTTGAAGTTTCAATGATGCAAATGTTTAATTTACAAAATCATTCTTCACATCCTATTATTTTAAGTCCTTCCAATCCATCAATTACTCCAATTGTTAAATTTTCATGGGAAATGTTGGCAAATGTTGGTGGTATTGCTTTAGTTAAAGATTGTAAATTAGAAATGCAAGGGCTTATTATTGATTTAGATTATAATGTTGGTAAACAGATACATAATTATTTATTTCCTGGCAAAAATGATGATAATGATGATGATGAAAGTAGCAGTGATAGTGATGAAAGTATATCAGATGAATCTCAAACATCTGTTTCTACAAGATCATCAAGTCCATGGAGAAAAATGACAAATGGTAATTCGATATTTAGTAATATCAAATCTTCAAGTTCGTCCATTTCAAGTTATAGGGAGAAAAAGGCTCAAAACAAGGTTGATCAATCATTCAAGCGTAAACCTGAACAAGATGAATTGGATGTTTTAATTGAGAGATCATTGAAATATAGATCAATTATAAATTTCACAATTGAGAAAATGGATTTGGAAATTACTGTAACTGGAGCTAGTATTTTGAATTGTAATAATTTGAAATTACAAATACCTAAGATACAAATAAATAATCAAATATTGAGTGTGGAAGAATTTTCCAATATCATGAAAAATAATGTTATAAAAATCATTCTTAAAAATTCAACTAAGATCATCAATAATAAATTCAAAATACAAAGGAAAAACAACTACAACAAACCAATCAAGCAAATTAATCATTACAGTGGATATAAAACTTTAGAAGATTTAGAAAATGAAGGTGAAAGAATTAGAGATGAAGTTTTACCACATCATCTTAATGGTCATCATCATAAGCCTGCTCAAAAACATCATATGACTAGGCATTATTCTCATATTAATGATGATGAGATTTATGATAATATTGATGATTCTGAAATTGATCCATCGAAAGATAAAGTTGAAGGTGATATAGATGCTCCATAAAATGTGTGTATTAATGTATTATTTATTATATTGTTAGACAAACAACTTCGAAAGACTCTTGAACCTACTTGATTACGATTCATCATACCGTGAGAACTATATTTAAATAATCAGTTTTGAGAAAACGCTCACACGGAGATAAGTGAGACGGTATAAGTCCGAGTATTTTTAGGATAAAACGGATGTTTCACATTCTAATGCAACAAAATAGTAAAATATCCGACCGAAAAAAAAAAGAGTAAAATCTCCATGAAAAGTTATTACCAGATAAAGAAATTATACATTTCTTTTTTGTAATATTGAACCCAATAACATTTCATGAAATATTAATAGAATAAATATACGTTTGTAAAAATTTTTTAAAAATAGAAGCAATTCGTCAACAGACTTGAATTTCCTTGAAAGGCAGTCTAATCTTATGCCGAATCGTTTGGTTATTATGATTGATTTAATGAATACAACCCCATTTTTTTATATAATTGTTTCCCCTTAAAGAGTGAATTATACCTAACCATTGAAATTCTCGGTTAATAATTATAATATTAGAGCAAAGAATATTAATTTTATAAATGGTTTTGAATCTTGCAAAGAGACAAGAGATCTAGATCTTAGATGAAGTTAAATCAATCATTTTAGAGAAAGCCTTAAACCCTTGATAACGTTAACACCATCTGGATTATTAAAAGGTTAATGTTTAAAACATACTTTCACTTGTATTTTGTTCTTCTCAAGCTTTTTTTTATCCTGTAATGATTTAGAACACATTAATTGGATTAATGGGACTGAGTTGGAGAAAGGTAGTAAACTCCATTTCACAAGTTAAATATCTCAAACGTATAATAAGATTTTCAATTAATTAAGATCTTTGAATAGATGAAAGTATTGTTCTTGTTATTTTTTTTAAGATCTATTTGATCTCCCATACATTAAATAGAACTAACAAAATTACTGTTTTAGGAAATCAAATTATATTTTTATTACAATTTTTTTTTGTGTAACATTTCTAAATATATTTTGCAACAATTCTATTTTTATTTAATTATATGAAACTTGTGTCAAATTATATGATCATTAGGCAAGCCTACATATTTACTCAAGATAGTAATATGCTTTATTGAAAGGGTTTACACTCGAGTAATTGAATCTTTTCTATATATATAGCCTAGTTCTTGAATTATCATTCAAGATCAACTTTTTTTAACTTTTTCTATTTTAAATTAAATCTACAACTTCATCTTTTCTTTTACTTTGATTTATCTTATCCTAATCTAATTCATCACACAACTTCAACTTCAACAAAAATAACCACTACGTCAAAATGAAATTAAACCTTGTCACTGCTACTTTAATTTTAGCTGCTGTCTCACAAGCAGCTATTATGCCAGAAAATGTTGGTGTGAAATCATTAACCACCAGAGAATATGAAATGGTTAACAATGCTATTGCAAATTTAAACTCATATAATAAAAAAAGATCAGTAATGTCACCTAATGAATTAACAAAAAGAGAAAGTCAAATAGTTACAGATATTTTAACAATTGTTAAAGACACTAATTTAGCACCAACTGTTATTGAATATTTTATCAGTGACCCAACTTTATCACAAATTGCACAAAATGTTATTGTTACTGCCATTAAAGATGGTTGGATCAATCTTTCAACTTTATTAAAATCTTTAAATGATTCTGGATTAGCAGTTGATGTTATTAAAAATTTAATAAGTGATTGTGCTTTCTATGCTCAAATTTTTAAACTTGTTGCTCAACAATTAGCAAATTTACCACAACTTATTGGTAACATTTTAGGTTTGAATTCTCAACAAGTTGCTCAAAGTGTTGAAAAAGCTAAAAGAGATGCTTTAGCTGCTGTTGAATTAGCTAATGCTGAACAACCACTGACCTTAGTTACAAGAGATACTCAAGAAATTTTAACTTCATTGATGGAATCATTAAAAAATTCAGGATTAGCTAATCAAGTTGTTGAAGCTTTAGTTGTTGATGATGATTTTTATACTTTTGGTGCTTCATTAATAAAACAATTATTTGAAAGTGGTGCAATTACTTTAGGAGAATTATTAGATGCTTTAATTCAATCTGGTTTAATTCCAAGTATTATTGAAGCATTTTTAAACATTGATACTTTAAAAACAGTCATTGTTACTGCTTTAGCTGCTGCTTTTGGAAACTGTAAAGATACATCAAGTTCTTCAACTTTTGCAACTACTCCAACTGGTTCAGCTGCTCCAACTATTACTACTGGTACCCCAGATCCATCAATTACTTCACTTTTAACACTTACTTCTGCAACTACTACTGGTGGTCCATCAAAATGTAAAAAGAAAAGAAGATCATACTAAAAAGATCATGCTGGTCAGAATCATATTTTAGTTCAATTAATTATTTAATACCTTTACTCTTCTAAAAAAAAATTCGTTAAATATTTGGTCGATAATTTTTGTTTCAAGGATAATTGAAAATTTAATTTTGTTTGCATTTTAATAAAATCATTAATTTTAACACCACTTTGTAGACTTTTTTTGAGTATCCCCTTCACCTAATTTTACTGATTAAATGATGAAATATCATGTTTCGTATTGCTACCAGTTTAAAAATGAGCGGAGATCAAATTCAAATTATTTTTTCCAAAAACGTAAACAATAACAAAACACGAAACTAGTTTAGGATGCCAGGGTATGTTACAGCATTAGACAATATAATAAGTTCCAATACTAACTCAACTTTAGTGAAACGATAACATTACAAGTAGGACAATGTGGGAACCAAGTTGGTCTACAGTATTGGCAACAATTAGCTCAAGAACATGAAATAAACTCAGATGGAACTCAACTCACGATTAACAAAGCATCAGAACATCCAGAATTGTTTTTCACAGTATCAGACACAAACAAATATACACCAAGATCAATACTAATAGATTTAGAACCATCGGTTATTTCAAAATCTTTAAATACTTTACCAATGTTTAATCAAAGAAATATACATTTAAGTGAACATTCAGGAGGTGCAGGAAATAATTTTATAAATGGATATAAATATGGAAATGAACATACAGAAGAAATAACGAATTTAATAGATAGAGAAATGGATAAATGTGATAATTTATCACAATTTCAATTGTTTCATAGTGTAGCAGGTGGAACAGGATCAGGTTGTGGATCAAAAATTTTAGAAATTTTACTGGATAGATACACGTCTAAAAAATTAATAACAACAACTTCAATTTTTCCATCAAATGATAAAACAAGTGATGTTGTTGTACAACCATATAATAGTGTATTAACTTTACAAAAATTAATTGAATTTAGTAATGCTACATTTGTATTTCATAATGATGCATTAAATAATATTGAAAATTCAATAACTCAAACTACAAGTGATTCATATCAAGGTACAAATAAACTTATAGCTAATATAATGGCATCAACAAGTAATCCATTAAGATTTCCAGGATATATGTATAGTTCAATTGAATCAATAATACTGAATTTGGTCCCAACGCCAGATTTGAAATTTTTAACAACATCAATAGCTCCTTTCAAAACTAATAATGAATATGATATGTTTTTAGAATTATCAAATGATAAATATAAATCAATAATACCAAGTTCAGATGCATCATATATTAGTCTAATGAATTATTTAATAAGTGGTCAAGATTTAGATAGGAAAGAAATACGAAAAGGAATACTTAAAATTCAACAACGGACAAAATTTGTTCCTTGGACTTCTCGATCAATAGCAGTAGTTCATGGTAAAAAACCAAATTCTTTTTTGGAGGGGATACAAATATCAAATAATACATCAATAGCAGATACTTTTTCAAAAATTTTAAATCAATATGATTTATTAGTTAAAAGAAAAGCTTATTTAAATACATATACTGAAAATAATAGTATTGAAGAATTAGATCGAATAGTTGATATTTTTAATCAAGCTAAAGAGGATATAGTTAAGGTAATTCAAACGTATAGGGATTGTAGTTCAATAGATTATTTAGATTGAATATGGGTAATAGTTTAAGGTAGTTTGTTGGAGTATTTAAGTAAGTAAAAAGTATGGCTCGAAGTGAAAAATGTCTAAAAGCGGAAATTAGCGGAATTTAGATAAGAAGTGGCTCTCTTTAAAATCCTATAAACACACAAAATCTGAATTTAAGCTTAATAATCTGGTTTGATCTCTTATAAAGATCTCAACATTAGATCCAACTTTAAAATAAATGAAAATTTTCGAGATTCAAATTCCTAAAATTATCAACTATCAATTTATCAATTGATTTTAAAAAAAAATGACTGGAATATCCCATCTTATATCAAAAAGAGCAAAATCAAGACAAAGTTCTCATTTTACAAATGGACCAAGTGAACAACCTCCAAAAGGTTTTAAACCACATGAAAAACCATTATTATTATCATATGGAACTCCAAATGATGGGTTTTTTCCAATTGATTCAATAGATGTAAATTTAGTTGAATATCCTTTTGAACATCAACAAAAATTTAATAATTCAATGGAAAATTTATCAATTTCTGAAAAGAACCCAAATTCAGTTCATATTGAAAGACATACTAAAAACCCAAATTTAATTGATTTATCAAAAGGTTTACAATATGTTAAAGTTGAAGGTCATGATCCATTAATTGAATTTACTGAAAATTTTATCAAAAGAACTCATCCACCAAATTATGATAATTGGTCACTGATATTAACAACTGGTGCAAGTGATGGATTAAATAAAGCATGTGATGCAATATTAGATCCTGGTGATGTTATATTAGTTGAAGAATTTACTTTCACTCCATTTTTAAGATTTTCTGATAATTCTGGTGCAATTCCCGTACCTATAAAAATTGATTTGTCAAATGATTCAAATGGTATTGATTTAAATTATTTAGAAAATTTATTAAAGAATTGGGATACCACGAAATTACCAAAACCAAAAGCTCTTTATACTATTGCAACAGGACAAAATCCCACTGGTTTTACTCAAACATTAGAATTTAGAAAAAAAATTTATAAATTAGCTACTGATTATGATTTTATTATAATTGAAGATGATCCTTATGGTTATTTAACATTACCAAAATATCAAGGACCACCTAAAAAAAATCAATTTGAATTAAAAGATCAATTAACTTTAGAAGATTATTTAACAAAACATTTAACTCCTTCTTATTTAGAAATTGATGATGTTGGAAGAGTTATTAGAGTTGAAACTTTTTCAAAATTATTTGCACCAGGTTTAAGATTAGGTTTTATTATTGCAGATAAATCAATAAATTTAGTTATAAAAAATTATGCAGAAACTGTTAATAGAGGTTCATCAGGTTTAGCTCAAACTGTCGTAAATAATGTTATACAGGATAAATTAGGTGGTGTTGATGGTTGGTTACAATGGGTTTTAAAAATGAGAGCTACTTATTCATATAGAAAAGATCTTTTATTACAAACAATTTATGAATCAAAAGCTTATGAAAAAGGGTTAGTAGATGTAATAGATCCAAAAGCAGGAATGTTTGTAACTTTAAAGATTGAATTTTTAAAAGATGATTCAGATATAATTTTAAAAATGAAAGAACTTTTATGGAAAGTTATAAGTTATGGAGTTTCAGTTGTACCTGGTCATAATATGACTGTTGATAAAGAATTTTCAAAATCAAGAAGTAATTTTTTTAGATTGTGTTATGCTCCTGCTAATAATGATTATGAAATTATTGAAAGTGGTAAAAGATTAACTGATGCTATTTTGGAGTTTTATGAAAATGGTGAAAAGTTTTAGAAGTTGAAAAGTAGTACATTTGGAATAAAATTTTTGTTAATTTGTTGTTTGCATTATAAGTACTACTCTATTGAAATTTTGTAATGATTATGATTTTGTACAGTAGTTGCAAAAAAAGGATAGGCGTACATTTTAACCCCAGGTACATCCTAAAACCTGAAACCCCATACTTTTTTCATGATTAACTCCATACTTAATTACGCCTCGAAAATTATACATGTGAAGAAGTCGGACCGGATGACAAACTTTTCAGTTTGCTCATTCTAAAGATTCTTCAGTTCGTATCAACGTGTTACATCACTAACGAGTAAGATGCTCGAATTTGACTGAAAACCCCCCTGCATGAAAAATACGAACTTTGGAGACTCGGCTCTTTTTTGGTCCGATAAACAAATCGAGAACTATAATATTTGGAACGAGTAACGAATAAAAACTAAGCGAGGGAAAGAATAAAATAAAACAATTTAGCTAAAAAGAGTAAAGTTCTTCGATTCGACTCGGATTAGTTAAATATTTTCATGTCAATTTTTATAATTTTTTATTATTTTTTAAGAAAACTAAATTTGACAAGTAAAGGTAAGAATAAGAGTTTGTATGTTACTACTTTCAGAACATCCAATCCATCCACTACACTATTAAACAATCATGCAATCATGGCATTGATACTTGATATACCATAATCTTTAAGTCCAATGTTGTAAAGAAGAGTATTAATCAAGAAATTAAATCAATATTTTTGATGACGTTAATTATTAACTTGTGACATTTACACGTGTGTTATCTTTGAAATAATTATTTTAAGTTGTTTTGTTACCTTTTTCAAATTATAGTACAAAAATCATATTTTAACGTCTTTTGCAGTTTAAAATACAACAACAGTACGATAATTTGATTGGGCTTAATTAGATATTGTTAAAAGTTCAGACAAACCTATAGCATTAATTTCTCTCTCTCTCTGACGTAATGATTGACCGACCTAATATTTACGTATGAAAATTTTTAGTCAATTCGATTCAATTAAAGTGAAGTAAAGTAAAAAAAAATTTTCAGTTTCAAGTTAAAATTTTAAAACATTATACAGTTAATACATTTTTTATAGTGTGAATTTTTATTCTAATTCAAAATATTACAATACATAAAATATAATATTAAAGTACCATTCAATTCAATCAATATCATTCAACTCAACCTACCACGAATTACCGCCAACTAAATAAATGAAAAACATATATAAAATAACTATTACAAATTAAATACTGTATCCAATTTTTAAACTTCAATTGATAAGAAAATTCAAGATATGGAGCTGCAAAATTGGTTTTCACCAAATGAAAAATCACCATATTTTCAAGATTTAGATCCAACTTCATCAAATAATTCAAATCAACCATTACAACAGCACCCACATCATCATCAACATCATAATCAACATCAACAACTGCAACAACAACAGCTACAACAATTATCTAATCATTCTACACCAAATCATCCACAAAGTAAACCTATGACACCTCATAATCTACATAATACTCCTAATTTTGCAGAAGAACAAATGTTTCTAAGTCAATTATTGGAAAATCAAGATTATTATACTGATAGAAACTCAAATCAACCAACTCCAAATCAACATCATCCAAATATCAATCATCAAAATCATCATCCTCAAAATCTACATCATCATCATCATCATCCTCAAAATCAACAACAACCACTAGATTTAAATCAAACTTTCAATGATAATCGATCTCTTCCAAATCATATGACACCAAATGTTTTACCTCAACAACAAAATTTTGAATTTGGTTTAGAATTTATAGTACCTGAAGATTTAAGTTTTAGTGGATCTTCTTCCGCTTTTCCTCCAAATATAGTTGATGAAAATACTCCTATATTACCTACACAAAATTATTCATTTCATCAACAACATCAACAACTTCATAATCGATCACAACATCATCAACAACAACAGCCACATCAACATCAACAACAACAACTGCACGACCAACTTCAACATGACTTAAATCAACAAAACATACCTCCATCTCAAAACAATTTAAATTTCGAACCATTAACATCTCCAGCATTAACTGCTCAACAACCATCTATAAATGATAAAAGAAGATCAACGTCGTCACAATATGCACCACCAGAAGAGCAAAAACAATATAAACGAAGAACACCTCATGGTACCCCTATATTACAACCAAATGGGAATAAAAACTACACATCACCATCAGTGAAAGCTAAAAGTTCAACTCCTTTTAATAATTTTGAAAAATTACCAGAACTGTCTATACCTGAATCTACAACTATAAAAAAGGAAGAATCTCATACATCCCTACCTGGTGATGATGAAATGTTACCACCAATTAGAAAACCAGTGGAAATTAATGACAACAACAATAATAATAATAGCAATAATAATACAATTAATAATGACAGTAACGGTAACACACCATTAATGGGATTCACAATGGGTCGATTAGCAGAACAAGAACAACAACAACAGCAACAACAACAACAACAAACGAAAAAACAATCCCAGCAACAACAACCTCTAAAAAGATCAAAATCTCAAACAAGAAAACCATCATTATCACGTTCAAAATCATCATCATCAACAGAATCAAGTTCTACTTCAACATCACCAAAATTAAATAAAAAACCAGAAAAATTAGCAACAAAAAAGGCATCTCATAAATTAGCTGAACAAGGTAGAAGAAATAGAATGAATACTGCTGTTGCTGAATTGGGGTCATTAATTCCTCAAAGTTATCATGATGAAGTTACTATTCCATCAAAAGCAACAACTGTTGAATTAGCTTCTAAATATATTAATTCATTAATTAATGAAATTAATGAATTAAAATCTAAAGGAAATGAGAAATAGAAGATAATGCTAGATACTTGCTATGGGAAACCATTGTTCTTTTGAATATAAAGCTTTATGATTTGTTATGTTACGCTAATTCTTGATAAATTTTAAATTAATACGGTAAAAACGAACCTAACATTTTAATTTTTATTTAATATCTAGTTCATTATGTCTTATAAATAAATACATTTTAATTCTCTGTAATAATACTTTTAAATACGTAGACTGTAGTATTTGATTCAAAGAGCGAAATTAATGCATATCAAAGTCAGTCATGCAAGTGATAATTTCAGAGTAGCTGGTGAAATGAAAATGAAGTAAATTTGCAACAAAATTCCATACAGTTCAGCAACTTAAGCTTATAGATTTTCCCCACAATTCAAAAATTGCAACAAGATGAATAGATAAACTGAACAATTTTTATATACCATTAACTCTCGGCAGTCTTGACCTCTCAAACTACTTTCGAGCGGTATTTCAATTTCATGTGAAATCCAACTACCACTGTATTATAGATACATAGTCTTTCAAAACAACCATACCGCAATAAATTTTTTTAATTTTCTCGCGTAAAATTAATTTGTTCGAAAATTATTTTTCAGTTCGCTGTCAATTTATATTTCAAAACAACTAAAATCAACGTTCAAATCAATTACAACTACATCTCCACAACTACAATCAACCCTTACATTCATTTCAATCAATCATCTACATCATCTCATCAACAATATGAACTTCGAAGAAGCAGAAGATATTAATGGTGTTCGTTTTGCATGGAATGCATTTCCTCTGACAAAAACAGAAGCAGCTAAAATTGTTGTACCAACAGGAGCATTATACACACCATTAAAACAAAGAGAAGATTTACCTATAGCAGCATATGATCCAATATATTGTTCAAATCAAAGTTGTAAATCTATATTAAATCCTTATTGTGCAGTTGATCCAAATGGATTTTGGAGATGTCCTTTATGTCAAGGTAGAAATTCATTACCTGCTCATTATCATGGAATAAGTGGTGATAATTTACCTTTAGAATTACAAAATACAAGTTCAACTATTGAATATATTACAGCAAGACCAGTACAAAATCCTCCAATTTTTTCATTTGTTGTTGATTTATGTCAAGATGAAGAAAATTTAAAAGCTTTAATTGAAAGTATTATTGTAAGTTTTAATTATATTCCACCTAATGCATTAGTTGGTTTAATTACTTTTGGAACAATGGTACAAGTTCATGATTTAGGTTCTGAAAAAATTAACAAGAGTTTTATTTTCAGAGGTGATAAAATTTATGATAATAAACAAATTGAAAATATGATTGGGTCCAAAATTTTTCAAAATCAACAAATTACAAATTCTTTAACAAGATTTTTTTTACCTTTAGAAGATGTTGAATTTCAATTAACTTCAATCTTGGAAAATATAAGTAAAGATCCTTGGTCAGTTGCTCATGGTTCAAGAGCTTTAAGATCAACTGGTTCAGCATTAAATGTAGCAATAAATTTATTAGGTTTGACATTTCCTGGATTTGGTGCAAGAATCATGTTATTTTCAGCTGGTCCATGTACTTTAAATCCAGGAATGATTGTTGGAAATCAATTAAAAGAAGCTATTAGAAGTCATTCAGATATTGATAAAGATAATGCAAAACATTTTAAAAAATCTACTAAATTTTATGAAGAAATTGCTGCAAGAGCTGTTAAAAATGGTCATGTTATTGATATTTTTACTGGTTGTTTAGATCAATTAGGTTTATTAGAAATGAGAGATTTAACTCATAAAACTGCAGGAAATTTAGTATTAGCTGATGCTTTTAATACTTCAATTTTTAAACAAACATTTTTAAGAATGTTTGCACAAGATGAAGAAGGTTTTTTACAAATGGGTTTCAATGGTTCTTTGGAGATAAGAACTTCAAAAGAATTAAAAGTAAGTGGATTAATTGGTCATGCAGATTCTTTAGGTGTTAAAACTAATAATGTATCAGATCAAGAATTAGGAATTGGTGGATCATCACATTATAGATTATGTTCATTAACTCCAAGAAATAGTTATGGAATTTTTTTTGATGTTGTAAATACTCAACAATTACCACCTACAGCACAAAGTTATATACAATTTATAACTCATTATCAACATTCAAGTGGTACATATAGAATCAGAGTAACAACAGTTTCAAATTATTTAACAAGTGATGAACAATCATTAACAAATAGTTTTGATCAAGAAGCAGCTGCAGTATTAATGGCAAGAATTACATTGTTCAAAGCAGAACAAGATGATGGAGCAGATGTGTTAAGATGGGTTGATAGAATGTTAATTAGATTATGTCAGAAATTTGCAGATTATAGAAAAGAATCAGTTGAAAGTTTTAGATTAGGTCCACAATTTCAATTATATCCTCAATTTATATATTATTTAAGAAGATCTCAATTTTTACAAGTATTTAATAATTCACCAGATGAAACTGCATTTTATAGACATGTTTTATTAACTGAAGATTGTAATAATTCATTAATTATGATTCAACCAACTTTAACTTCATTTACATTAGATTCAGAACCAGAAGCTGTATTATTAGATTCAGTAAGTATAAAAGATGATAGAATTTTATTGCTTGATACTTTTTTTCATATTTTAATATTTCATGGTAAAACTATTGCTCAATGGAGAAGACTAGGTTATCAAGATCAAGAAGAATATTCAAATTTAAGAGAATTATTAGCTGAACCAAGACAAGAAGCTGCTGAATTATTAGCTGAACGTTTCCCATTACCAAGATTTATAGATACTGAAGAAGGTGGTTCACAAGCAAGATTTTTAATGGCTAAATTAAATCCAAGTACAACTTATTCAAATGATACTATAGGAGTTGGAGGAGGTGCTGGTGGTGCTATTGTATTAACTGATGATGTTAGTTTACAAGTATTTATGAGTCATTTACAAAAATTAGTTGTAAGTGGTTCAAATTGAAGTTAGAAAAGACGTAATGAAATGAAAAATATACATAAAAAAAAGGTTAGTTTGTTGATGCTATTTTCGTTGATCTCTTTAATGCAGTACGATGTGAATATCAGCTAAAATCATCTTTAAGCTTGACCAAGGTACAGCATGCGTTGTAACTGAAAATTATAAACAACTCATATTACACACGTCACATGCAAATAAATAAAATTATAAACTCTAAAAGTTTAAAAGAGAATGAACTTTTCGGAACTTATATTCTCCCTGGAACTAGAAAAATTAGATTTGAACAAACAACAAGTACGAACGTTTCAGAAAATAGACGAATAAAAAAATCTCAATTTCAAAGGAAAGACTAATCAAAAACTAGCAAAATTTTGAAACAAATGATTTACAACTCAATAAGGATTGAAATTATAATAATTAATTAATTCTGAAACAAATAATAACAAAGAATTTTGAAAAATTTACTTATTTTAATGCACGTTAGGTAAAGTATGGTTTGTATAATTTTTATTTATTTTCTGGTGATATTTTTAAAACCTGAAGTTATAATATGTCAATTCTAATTTGTAAGGATATGCTTTACATGGTGTTTAAATAACAGCATATTAGATTCTTTTATAGATTAGGGTTGTTTGTGAGTGGTAAATACGAGTTTGATAAGTTTGTATTTCATATAAGACAATACACGGACAACATAAGCTTCAGGGGAAAATTTTAAAAGCCGTATCGTGAAGTCTAGATCAATTTCACGACTATGCAAAGCCACTTAAAATGTTTCATGCATGCAATTAATTTAGATAAGAAATTTATCAACTCATTAAATGAAAACAATAGAGTGAAAGAAAGATATTTCAAATGATAATATTATTCAGGTACCTATTATTATTCCAATAAGTCAATATAATTCTTAGAACCTTATTGTTTTGAAGTTTAGTTGTTATAAAATCGGGGGAGTAGACAGAAGAGCCCACGCAATTTAAATTAATTATCCCACTTATCGTCAAAGAAATAAGAATTTTGAACATAATCAACTTGAATTCAGCAAGTTAGAAACGTTGTCAATTGATACTTGAATGAATTATTACACAACGAATCAAAATACTCAACAGCCAATTGCTTCATTATGTCATATGGGGTAAATCTCCAAAATTTGTGTGGTGTATAATTAATTTTTAATTTAAAAAACTTTATTTACAAAAAAAAGAAAAAATCTGAAACACGATAAAAACAATAGAAAGCAAACCCAAAATATTTGAGAAACAGAATGTAATCCCTCCGAATATTCGTCTTGAAAAGAGTTAACGCTTTAAATATACACATTTAATAAGTTTAAAATACGTAAAGCTTATTCAACTCCAAAATAATATTTTATTATTTTAGAAAGTGTAGAATTTTCATTTAGCCAATAAAATTTAACAAATAAAATAATTCTATTACGAAGATCAAATCAATAATAATTTATTAATTGAGTAAAGAAAAGTAGATAAAGATTGAAGAAAGGTTGCATTATTCTAGAAGATTTTGGAGATATTTTTATTTCTAAGTAAGTTTTTACTTTATAGTCTAATTATATATTAATTTAAAGTTCGTAGATTTTTTTTAATTAGTTAATATTTGTTTCATATTTGATCAACTAAACTTTAAAATTCTCAAATTTTGAAATTAATAAATCCCACATTTTCATATTAATACTACATTATAATTATCTCCATTTCATGCGTTTATTTATATACTTCGATATCCTTCATTTTTTTACTTTGTTACAAATTTGTCTTGCTCTTTTTATGAAATTTTTGGAATAAGTTATTTATATCATTTTCAAAAATCATCATTCCAACCAAGTCAAGTTAACACAATTTCCCAAACACCATAATTGGATTGTCATTCAACTACCTAACTAGGACGCGTTTTTTATACTTTCGTTCAAGAAATTTCGTTCATTTCAATTTCATTTTAGATTTGACATAAACTTACATATTATAAAAAGTTAATACTTAATATTTTGAAAAAGTAAACAATAGTTGTATTAATTAGGAATATCGTTTGATAATAATAATATTATTTCAATTGGAAGTGGGTTTATTTTTATTCTATTGGTGTACTTAGCCTTGGGAATCATCCAATTCATCTTTAGTTAAATATCTTACTGTACAAAATTGAAAAATATTTTGTGTTGTGTATATGGAAATATGAATAATAATAATAATAATAATACAACTACTACAACTATAAGTTCTACCACCACAAATAATAATCTTCCTAATATTAAATCTCCAAATCATCATCAAAATAATATTAATATAAATAATAATCATTTTCATCTTTCATCAAATTATAATACAACTTCAACTACCACCAATAATAATAAAAACCTTAATAATAAACTTAATAATAATATCATCAGTAATAATATATCATCTACAATATTAACAACAACATCTAATAATATCAACAATTCTACGAACATACCTTCAGCTACTACTACAACTAATACCAGTAATCAATTAACTATATTCAATAGTATATTAGATTTACCATTCACTCCTTTAGTTTCAACTCATAGTTTTAAAGAATTTTCATATTCTTCATTTACATTACCTCAAATATTACCATCACAACTGTTTAATTCACAACCACCACCACCTCCTCCACCTTCAACTAATCTATTTAAACCAAATTATAAATTACAATCGAGTACAAAATCTTCGGAGAATAAATCAAATACAACATCTTCAACTTCGTCTTCAATTAGTTCATCAATTTCAACTTCAAATACTTCTCATACAAGTTTAAATTCAATAGAGTCTTTGAATTCTTGTTTGAATAAAGATATGACATTTAATGGATCAAACAATTTAAAAACTAACATAAATACTAATATCAAAAACGGCGATAATCATAATTATCAACAGTATTTACAACAACAACAAACACAGCAAACGCAGAATAGTGATAATATATATAATAATACAACATCACCTACTACTCAAGTACATTCATCACAACATCATCAAAATACAAGCACCACCACTACAACGATAATGCCAACAATGATACAAAATGGTGCATCATCAAATCCTCCTATAATAAATCATCATATTTCATCAAAATTTTCAAATAATGATATACAAATATTAAGACAATTATTGATATCAGGAGAAAAACATAAATGGAAACAAATTACAAAAGAAATCAATTCATCAGCAAATCATTCAAATCATGTTATTGAAGCAATGAAAAAAAATGAAGAAAGAATGAATTCAGTATCAAATTCAAATTCTCCTCATCATATACATCAATTAAATCAAAATTCTCATTTACATCAACAATTACATCCTCATCAACATCAACAACAACAACAACAACAGCAACAGCTACATCCACAACAACAAGATCATTTACCACATTTATCCCATCTACATACTCATACGCAACAAAGCCTACAACTACAACCACCTCAATTTAACTACATGCATTTACAACAAAATCAACAACAACATTCCCAACAACAACCACATCAACCAATTCCGCAACATCATCATCTCCAAAATCAAATAAATTTAAAAAAATTAAATTCATCAACATCTCCATTACATTCCCTAGCAACAACAACAAATATTCCACTTAAAAATGTATCACCAACATTTGTTGCAAAACAATATACTCAATTATTAGGATTTCCTAATAACAGTATATATTTTGGTAGTTTAGGTTCTTCTTTACCTTATGTTGTTTCTGCTAATGGTTGGAATGATATTGATAGAGAAGCTTATGATTATCCTTTTAATGATGATGATAGTGATTGAAAAATGATTTTCTTTTTAAAGATATCATTTTGAAAAGAATTAAAAAGTAAAGGAAGTATTTTGAGTGATTGGAAAAAATCACTGGAAAGATAAAGACATTTTAAGATTAAAGTAGAGGTTTTTTAAAAATTTAGGTTCAATTTATTGATTTATGATTATAAGTTAGTTTGTTTTTTTGTTTTATTTATTTATTATTATGTATTATTTAATTTAATTATCTATTAGAATCCAATTTATGAATGTGTAATGTCTTTATGTTTTGTAGTTTGATAATTAGTAATATTCGTTCTTAAACCTTATTTTCAAATGATTTCATTCAACGTCGCTGTGACCTTGTTCTTTTACTAACTGGCATATTTTTTTCTGATTTTAACTGTGCTGTTGTTGTTTCTCTAGTAGGAATATGACTAATTGAGACAGGTGATGTTAATCGTTTTCCCAAGGATTTTGTCGTTCCTTTATTTGCAGTTGTTCTTTTATTTGCACTCCCCTTCTTCTCATTAATTACAAAACGAGTATCTCTAGGTTGTGCTGATCCATGTTCACGTATGATTTCATCAATAAGTTTCTTTTCTGACCAAATTCCTTTTCCTTCAGCTATTTTGAGATTTCTTTTTGAAATAATTCGTCTTGCTAATTCAACATCATCCGCCTGTTTTACGAACTCATCGAGGTCGAATTCGTATTTTTTAGGTTGATATGTTCCAATCAATGCCTCCATTTCTTCTAAAAGTGCCGGATCTAAAGAAGATAAATCCATTTCAAAATTGAACGTGTAAGTTTTGTGAAGGCTAGTAAACGTCGGTCTAATTTGTGGTGTGAGTTGAACTTTAAAGTAGATGAATTGTTTTGAAAGTTTTATTTCCATTATCTTAATGACGCCAAACGCCAAAATTCCGACGCGTCTTACGAAACCCCAAGTATACAAGCACAAGATCCTCATTAATTAATTTACATTACAGAGTAATTGTATCGCGATAGAGAATAATCATCAAAGTCATGAATCTATGTTTATTGACATTTATTACCAACATTCTTATTGCCTAATTAGCGCTTCAGATCTCATCATTTGGTAATAAGCAATTCTGAAATTGGTTCAACAACTTGATGCTTCATGTGCTCCATTCTGTTCCCATCTATGTTCACTTCGTAAAAAGTTTTTAAAATTATTAGCAACGTCTTGTTTTTCATCCTGTCCTTTCAGAATGACCAAAATTTTTAAACGAATTTGGAACCACCTCGTACCCTGATAACATTTGTATAAAAATAGTGGCTTGAGGAACTTGAGGAGTGTAAACAGCTTCTTGTGGATAGATTTCATGATGTAAATACAGATACTTCATATGTAGATTTCTGTTCAGAAAGTCTTAAATCTTCGAATAAAATACCGCTCTTCTTTAGTATCCCCAAATCAATCAAGCCTGCATTTAATCCAATAGTATTTATTCTGTTCATTAACCTCATTGATTTTCATTTTATTACTGAAAATAATCTCAAGATTTTTCACATTCAATACAATCGCCAGGTTGAAAATTATTTGTTTCTTCATCATCATCAATTATTTTTTCACTACCATCGTTCAACAAATTACCCTTATCACCTCTTTTTAAATGTTCTCCCAAATCATTTGTACTACTTACTCCATTATCATTATTTTGTAAATCCCATTTTTCTAATTGTTGACGAACTAAATTTTTTAATAATTTTGCATCAGGAAATCCATCATATGTAACATCTTCAACATCTTTATTCAATTTTGGATCTTTTTTCATTTTCCTTCTATAAATTAATTTAGTATGAACTTGGCGTGTAATTTCTTTTGATTCATTCGATTGTGATTGACTTGTTTGAGAAATATAAATTTCAAAAATTCCTGCATTTTCAAATTCTGGTAATATTGAATATTCATTTATAATTGGTGATGAGAAAGTTTGTAATAATTCTTGCACGTACCATATTGCTCTATTTGACCATTTACATTTCGTACAATATTTTATTGAAACTTTAGTATGTTTATTTGACATTTTGATTCTAAACTTCTTCTGGAAACTGTGGAGATTTGATATAAGCCTAAATCTATAATTTTTATCGCAATTACCTATCTGATTTTTCAAGTCGCTTATTATAGCCTAAGACACGACAATAAAAATTTTTGGACTATAAAAAGAGTGAGCAAACCAAAAAAAAAAAAAAAAGAGTCCTCAATATTTATTCATTTTATAAAATAATACTATTCTACAACGAACTGATTACCAGCTTCTCATATATCAAATTTGAAATAGTGTTGAGGTTATTTTATGGATATAACAGGTAGGGCATATCCACAAAACGACTTTGGCACTATAACAAATTTGGAATATAAGAAGATTTGAATTCAAAACCGATGATCATTTCACTTCTTGGACAGTTTGGTATTTTTAAGTTGATTCAAGTTATTCAACGACGGTTGGGTAAGATATTACAAGAATCAATGTAATAATAACCTGAAGAAGCAAACTTTCCAAGAAGTCAAATGAAGTCATTTGTGTTGAGCATTAATGAATACTATTCTAATTGGTATGATATGTGACTATCCTGTATGTTAATACTCGACATCTATTTTACCATCTTATCTTTAGAGTTATATAGGTATAAAACACTGATCTATCCTTTAATACATTTCCACCCTTAACGGATCAATACAACTATAGAGAAATATATTATCATTACAAATATCATAATTTACGTATTTCATTGAACAAATTTTACATTATAACCTATTTAATAATTCAACCAATCATATTCATTACTTGTAATTTCCTCAGTATTTTCAACCTTTATTTTAATATTATTGTTAACTGATATTCCACCAATATTTGAATTTATAACATTTGTTGTATTATTATTATTATTACTAATCCCATTTAAATTTTGTAAAAAATTTGCACCTAATGATTCACTTACTTTAGTTTTACTTTTATTTCTTTTAAAACTTGGTCTTCTACTTTTTGTAATTCCTCCATTAGTTGTTGCATTAGAAGTTGGTGTAGCTGTAGTTGTATTAGTGGTCGTTGATTTTTTATTATCATTTATCGAAGTTGGATTTAAATCATCACCATCTTCAATTGAATTTTTACCTCTTTGTCTCTTTTTTATAACATCAGTTTTTAAACTTAATGGACGAACAACTCCATGTAATTTCAAAAATAATCCACATGCATTACATAACGGTTGACCTTCTGGATTTCTTCTCCATAATGGTGTTGTTTTTGTATGACAATTTGTACATGATGTTGTTGAATTTGTATTATTATTATTATTTGATAGTGATGATAAGGAAGATGAATTATTGTTGTTGGTTGTTGCTTCTGGAGTTACATTCTTTTTAGGTAGTTTTGTTTTAGTTTGTTTTGATTTTCTCTTTTTTGGTTCTTCAATAGGTTCAATACCTTGACTTGGTAAAGTAAATGAAGAATCTTGTTGATTTATAAAATGATCATTATTGATATGCTGATTATTTAAACTTTGTGAAATAGGAGTTTGAGAAGTTGATCTATCTAAATAATTATCATTTAAAAATTGATGATTTGAAAAATTTAAACTTGAAGGATGAAAATTTGAATTTGGATGATGATTTTGATTAAATTCTGGTAATGAAATTAAAGATTCTTGTCTTAAAATATTTGTTGGTGTTGTCATTGAATTTCTTTGATTTACAAATTGAGTATTTGATGGTATTATAGTTGATAAAGATGATGGAGCAGTAGTATTTATTGGAGTTTGTTGAAAATCATCAAATATTGGTTTTTCAAATGATGATGTTATACTATCTTGAAATGAAGAATGTAAATGTAAATCATTAAAATTATTATTTGGACCTTCAAAAGCTAATGGATCTAATGAAAATTCAAATGATGATGAATGAGGTGGAAAATCTATATCATGGAAATTATTAGGTTGAAATTGATGATGTTGAGGATTTTGAGGAGTATGAAGATTTGGACTTTGACTATTAAATTTATTAAATTCATTTAATTGATGAGATAATTGTGACATTGGTCTTGCAGTTGGTGAAAATTGTGCTGGTCTCTTTTTTGGTATATTTGTTATAGATGTCATTCCATTCAGATTCAGATTCAGATTCTGATGATTACCAAATTCTTCTTCATCTAAACTATTAAATTCGTTATTTGAATCCATCAAATTTGTTGATCCAATTTTTTTTATATGTGCAACATAATCGAAATCATCTGCCCCAGGGTCGATTTGTTCGTAATTTAAACTATTCGGCTGCTGTTGTTGTTTTTGGTGGTTTTGATTATATTGATTTTGAATATGTTGATGATGTTGTTGAGCTTGTTGACGTTTATTACGCAAAGTTTGTTCTTCTATTGAGTTTTGAAAAGAAGAAGATTGTTGTTGTGAATTAATTTTATTGAATTGTTGTGGTTGAAAATTATGTGGCGTAAAGAACTTATTATCTACTTCTTCAATCAGTGAAATTTCATTATTATTATTTGTTGTTACATTTGTTAAATTATTATTCGTTAAATACATCATTCTCCATGTTAAATTTTCCATTCTTGATTTATAGGGTAAAGAATCTCTTGCTTTATTATACAATTTCCATAAATTTTCAATATTATTAGATTCTTTTGTTAAAAGATGATTTAATTTTATATTTGAATCAGATTCTTTATTAAGATTAAATTTAAATTTATGTTGTGAATTGGGATTGTTTGATGGTGTTTGACTTCTATTATCAAATGGATGAGGTTGATGTTGTCCCGGCTGTTGATTGTGATTTTGAAATACACCGTTATTAGGATAACTTGAACTTAATGACGATGGTGAATTTAAATATATGGGGGATGAATGTGATGTGTTATTGGCATTATTATAGTGATGATGATGGTGATGATGTATAAGATGTGGATGATTAGTATTACCTGACAACCCAGGTGAATGATGATTTATATTCATTTAACTTGCGTTGTTGTTTTAATTGATCTTGATATACTAATATTGGGATTTGGAATTAGATATATATGTTAGTTATGACAAGTTATAACAAGGTTAGTTGATGGTAAAGTAGCAATGAAGGATTTCTGATGTTATAATTCAAATTGGAATGTAATGTAAAACGGTATATTTTAATGATATAATGTTACTTATTACTATTTGATATTTTTTATTTTTTCTATTACCTTACTATTAATGTAAAGTTATAATAAAACGTCCAAATAATATTCTAAATTATTAAATTTTAGTCAATTTTACTTATACAAGTACAAAATGAAATTACAAAAGAAAGAAAACAAATAAGTGAAAGAGAAAGAAGTGAAGAAATAAATATACCACCAGCGAAGGATTATTATCCTTCTTTTTTTATTCAAGTAAACTTTACTAATTTCTTTGACATCAAAACTTTAATCAGAGTTATAAACTTTTTGTCTATTGGTCCTAATTTTAATATGAATATAAACTTCAATTCGGATAAATACTAAAATAATTTCAAATATTAAAATATTTTATAAACCCGAAAAATATCATCAAAATGAATATTAACATTACTTTAATATGGTAAATCTTTTATTCCATTGGATTGTTTAATGTAAGATCAAAGTTAAAAAATCTTTAATTAAATTTCCACTTTTAGTGTAATGAAATTTGAAACATTTACCTCGCTAATTCGTACTATTTCGAGACAGAACTCTCTACAAAGGTTAATCCGACCAATAGATTCTAACTTAGTTAAGTTAGTGGAATCATGGAATTTAAAACTATATGGAATATGGAATTAATTAAACTTCCCGGGAATTAAATATTATTGTTTTAACATTTATAATAATTTAGTATTTCAACATTTCATCTATCGTTAAGAGGCTGAAACATGTTTTAAAATTGAATAAATTTTCCTTTATTTCATAATAAATCTGTTTCACCATAATTCTTGCATTTGCTAGACATGCGTATCCCTACTCGTAAAGGGACATATGTTCTTTAAAAATTTAGCTGATGAGTCTACAAAGACTCAATATGAAATAATTCTCAGAATTCTTTGAAACATTTTTTTAAATTACCGCTTAAAATTAAAATTAAAATTGGTTTGTTTCAAATTTTTTAAATTAAATTAAAAAATAATTAAATTTGATTGGACGATAAGAAAATAAGGAACCTGATAAGAGCGGCTATAGAAAAACTATAAAGCACAAAAGTCATTTGGTAGTTATTTTGAGCTGGTCTGAAAATACTAAACTAAGACACAATAAAAACTGACAATTGAAGCTACCAAGAGCTCATTGAAATTTTTCGGAATCTTATTTTTACAACCAAATCATCATACTGAAAACAAATATTCACACAGATAATTAGTGGGAACCATGTTTATGTATATACTCATAAAAGAAATGTAAATTGAGTTATAAGGAATAACGGGAATCTTACGTACCACTAACATTGCACCATTCAAGAAGTTCATTCATGAAATTAATGAATCTATAAAGACAATCAATCAGTTCACAATTCAAAAAACAGGTCATTCATCTAACAACTTGAATAATCTTTTGAGGTCTTATTTAACATGAAATACATGGTAAGTCAAAGACCCCAAGATTGAAAATTCAATAATGTTGTATCTAAAATTCAAAATTTTTTCTCAGGGATTGGTCAAGTCTTTAATAAGAAATCAAGCAGTTTTCCGTTGAGGTAATACAGTTTGAGAATTAACTTATTTCACACCACATAGAATAAATCAAAAATATCCAAGTCATCACATTGTATTGAAAATGAAGTTTAATTCCCCATAATTAATGTACAAAATTCGGATTTTATAAAATACAATGTTAATTTTGTATGTTACAGTCAGTATATACGAATTGAAAATTCATACCTTATTATGTTACAACTGATCCCTATACGTTTTATATGTATAAAATTTGTTAAAAAATCTGTTTAAGAGTTTAATGATATTTTTCTTCAAAAACCTTATTTTTCAAAAGCTTAAATCATAACATGTTACATTTACGAGATCGATCATCCGGAATCATAATGTAGGTGACCTTATATACCAATATGAGTAGTGATTTTAATCAATATGATGAACCTTGTTCATCAAACAAACAAACCCAATTAATCAACATACAAATTAAAAACGATGCATTTATTCAAATTATTGACATTATTTTGGTCAATTTGGTTATTAAATTATGTTTTAACAGCTGAAATCACTCAAAACACAATATCAAGAGGTCAAGTTGGAATTGATTTTGCAGGTATAACAATATCACCAAATGTATTTTGGTCAGTAATTGATAATTTTATTTTAGAAATTATTGGACATGTTAAAATTAATTCAGGAAGTGGATTTTATGTTCAAAGTAATTCAAATTCAATTGCATTAAGAATTTCTTTATTAGGTTTAATTTTTAATTTTGAAAATGATGGTATTATAAGTTTTAATGCACACCAATCAATTATTGCTCCAACTTATAGAATTTTAGCAAATTCATTTGTAAATAATGGAGAATTTTATTTATCTGGTGATGCAACTTTAGGTGTACCCAATTACGAATTACATGCATTAACTTGGAGAAATACTGGATTAGTTGTAATTTATCAAAATTTTAGATCAAATGCAATAACAACTTTAGGTAATCCTGGAGGAAGTGTTATAAATACTGGAACTATATGTTTAAATAATATTGAATATCAACAAACTACTGCAGTATTTGGATCTGGTTGTATTGTATTACAAGGAAAATCAACGTTATTATTACCAAATGCCTTATTAGTATTTGCAACTGGTCAAAATATTTTAATGGAAAATGAAGAAAGTTCAATAGTTGTTGAAGCTTTAAGTACTCCTCAAACTTTTAGAGTTCATGGATTTGGTTCTGGAAATAAATTAGCTTTAACTACAACTTTAGCAGGAACTTTATTACATGGAGCATATTCTTATGATACTAAAACTGGTATTTTAACATTATATACTTTAGCATTACTGCAAAAATTTAATATTGGTTTAGGTTATAATTCAAATTTATTTTATATTACTACTGAAACAAGTGGATTAGTTCCTACTGTATCCAATGCAATAGCTTATTCAGGAAAACCTCCAACTACAGCAAGACCTTCAGCATGTATGGTTTGTAAGCCACAGCCAGAATCTCCAGGTAACAAACCAGTCATATTTGAATCAACTATTACTCAAATCACTGATACTGAAACTTTAACAAGAAGTGCTCAAATTCTTGTATCTACAAATACTGCTGGTAGTTGGTTTACTTCAACTTCATATCATCCTACTTCAATTGATATAATTTCCACTACTTATACTACATTATTTAATGAAATTTCAAATCATCAAGTTTTAACTAGAAGTGGTATAGTTGTTGTAGGTTCTGATACAGAATGGTTTACTAGTACTTCCGTTTTCCCATATCGTACATTTAATGAATATACTACAACTAATAATGAAGGTTACTTGGTGAAACTTGTTGAAACAACAACAACTTCTGGTGAATGGGTTACATTAACAAGTACAATAACTCCTGAATTTACTCATTATCTGTCAACTTTAACATTAGTAGAAGATGGTACAACTAGTTATGATGCTATAGAAATTTTTGTAACAACTAATGATGAAGGTAGTTGGACTACTATAACTAATGACATTCCTGAGGAATATACAAGATATACCACAACAGTATATGGTTTCAATACTGCATTAATGCTGCGTACTCAAGCAGCTTGGGAAGTTTTAATATCTACAAATAGTGCAGGACAATGGTTTACGACATCAAATACAATTGGACCAACATTTACTTCATATACTTTTACTCAAACTGTTATACATGATGGTCAATTGAGTGTAACAACTAACATAAGATTAGTTACTACAAATGAAGATGGAAGTTGGACAACTTTATATAGATCTATTGAACCAACATTTGAAACTTATGAAACTACTTATTTAACTACAAATGACGTGGGAGATTATGAAACTGTTACTGCCTCAGTAGTTGTCTCAACGAATGGTAATGGTCAATGGTATACTTCAACTTATAAACAACGATATACTACTTACACAACAACTTATGTCACAACTGATTCAAATAGTGTTACACATACTGCATCAGCTCAAGTTATTGTTTCAAATGATCCCGAAAATAATTGGTTTACAACATCTTCAATAATTCCACAATCTCCAACAGAATATACATCAATAGTAGTATATACTGAAGAAAGTACAACTTATACATCAGTTGTTGAAGTGATAGTTACAACAGATGAAAACAATGAATGGCATACAACTACAACAATTCCACAAAATGAACCAATGGAAGAATCACAATCAGCAATGACTTATTATTTTTCAGATTCAAATGATATTTATGTTATTGTAATATCACAAAATTCAAATGGTGAAATTTTTACAAGAGTTGATTCTATTCAAGCTTTTTATACAAGTTTTACAACAACTATTACTCAACCTTCAACTACTTATCAAGCTGTAATTGTTGAAACTACAAATAATGCTAGATCATTATATAGAACAACTTCAATTATTCCAGCACCTACAATAACAACTTTTACAACTTTATATCCAACTACAAATGCAGAAGGTGATTTAATAACAGCAATTGGTGAAATATTAATAACTACTAATTCAGAAGGTTCTTATATAACTCATTCATCAGCTTTACCTACATCATTAACAAGATTTATTATTCCTTTCGTGGATAAATCAGGTACATCATCCGAAACTTATCAAGTAAGTGTTTTAATAACAACTGATTTATATGGAGATTGGTTTACTGGAATTTATAGAATTTGGACAACCATTTTAACTTCAGTAAATGAACTTGGTTCGTCAACTACCATTACTTCTACAATTGCTGGTGAATCAATTGAAACTGAAAGTGAAGTTTTTGCTAGTGTAACTGACACGGGAGAGTCTACATCAAATACTGAGACAGAATCTGCATTGGAATCAACAATTATTACTGCGACAGATTCTGCATTAGAAACGGAGGTAAAGACAGCATCTGAAACAGAGGTCGAGACAGCATTTGAAACGGAGGTAGAGTCAACAATTAATACTGAGACCAATTCTGCCTTAGAAACAGAGACAGATTCTGCATTAGAAACGGAGTTAGAGACAGCAATTGATACTGAGACAGAATCTGCAATTGAAACAGAAGTCGAATCAACAATTGAAACAGAGATAGAATCTACAATTGAAACAGAAAGTGAACCAGGAATTGAAACAGAGGTTGATTCAGCAATTGAAACTGAAAGTGAATCTGCAGTTGAAACAGAAATAGAATTTGCTACTGAAACAGAAATGGAATCTGCAATTGAGACAGAAACAGAATCCGAGATTGAATCAACAATTGAAACAGAGACAGAATCGGTAGTTGAAACAGAAATAGAATCTGCCATTGAAACAGAAATGGAATCTGCAATTGAGACAGAAACAGAATCCGAGATTGAATCAACAATTGAAACAGAGATAGAATCGGTAGTTGAAACAGAAATAGAATCTGCCATTGAAACAGAAATGGAATCTGCAATTGAGACAGAAACAGAATCCGAGATTGAATCAACAATTGAAACAGCGGTCGAATCTGCAAACGAAACAGAGGTAGAATCAACAATTGAATCAGAGATAGAATCTGCAGTTGAGACAGAGATAGAAACTGTAATTGCAACGCAGATAGATTCAGCAATTGAAACAGAGATAGATTCAGCTATTGTAACTGAAAGTGAATCTGGAATTGATACTGAGACAGAATCTGCATTAGAAACAAAAATTGACTTTGAGACAGAAATAGATACAGCAATAGAAACAGAGACAGAATCTACAATAAATACTGATATTGAATCCGCATTAGAAACAGAGGTAGAATCAATAATTAATACCGAGACAGACTCTGCATTAGAATCAACAATTAATTCTGAGTCAGATGTTGCATTAGAAACAGAGATAGATCCTGCATCAGAAACAGAGATAGATTTAACAAGTGAAACAGAGGTAGAATCATCGATTGATGCTGAAACAGAATCTGCAGCTGAAACAGAGATTGAATCTGCTACTGAAACAGGAATGGGACCAGCAACTGAATCAGAAATTGAATTCGAGATTGAATCTACAATTGAAACAGAGATGGAATCAACAATTGAAACTGAGAGAGAATCTGAAATAGAATTACCACTTGTTACTGATACAGAATCTGCTATTGAAACAAAAATAGAATCCGAGACAGAAACTGCAATTGAAACAAAGGTAGATTCAGCAATTGATACTGATACAGAATCTGCAATTGTAACGGAAGTTGAATCAGCAATTGAAACAGAGATAGAATCAACAACTAATATTGATTTTGTTGAATCCGCAATTGAAACAGAGGTAGAATCTGCATTTTTAACGGAGTCAGAATCAACAATTCATACCGAAACAGACACCGAATTTGAATCACTAATTGACACTGAGATAAAGTTAGCATTAGAAACAGAGACGGCTTCTGCAATTAATACTGAGACAGAATCTGTGTTAGAAGCAGGGGTTGGTTCAGCAATTGAGACAAAATTAGATTCAGCAATAGAAACAGGAACAGAATCCACAATTAATACTGACATTGAATCTGCATTAGAAACAAAGGTAGATTCAGCAATTGATACCGAGATTGATACTGCAATTGAAACAGAGGTAGAATCAACAATTGATATTGAGACAAATTTATCAACTGCTACTGATGCGTTAGAAATAAAAACAGAATTAGCAACTGAAAGAGAGATAGAATCCGAGATAGAATATGCAACTGAAACTGAGGTTGATACAACAATTGATACTGATGTTGATACAACAATTGATACTGAGATAAAATCAACCATTGAAACAGAGGCAAATTCTGCTACCGAAACAGAGATAGAATCTGCAATTGATCCTGAAACAGAAACTACATTTGACACTGAGACTGAATCTGCAATTAATACTGAGGTAGATGCTGCAAGTAATACTGAGATAGATTCCGCAATTATTACTGAGACTGATTTTACATTAGAAACTGAGATAAAATCTGGATTTGAAACAGAAGTAGAATCAGCAATTGGTACTGAGGTAGAATCTACAATTAATACTGAGATAGAATCTGCAATCGAAACAAAGATAGAATCATTTATTGATACTGAGGTGGAATCAGCAATTAATACTGAGACAGACGATTTATTAAAAACAGAGATAGATTCAACATTAGAAACAGAGATAACAGACTCAATAACAACAGGGAATTCTGCATCAACAGGAATAGAGATTGATTCAGCATTAGGAACAGGGACTGATTTCGCAATCGATACTGAGATAGAATCATCTAATGAAACAGATATAGAATCAACAAATGATACTGATACAGACTCCCCATTAGAAACAGAGATAGCGTCGGCAACAAATTTGGCCAGCTCAACAAATGACATTGCGGAATCTGAAATCAACTCAATTGAGAATATTGGTGCTTCTATTGGAGGACAAACGACAGAAATAGTAACAGCCGAATCTTCTACTGTTGTACCAGAGACTTCAATCATGCTGTTGGTAGCGAGTGAAACGATACATTTGACGATAGGTGCAGGTTTGGAAAGTAATTTTGAATCCAATGATAATCCCGCAACTACATCGATATTTAATATATCTGAACCAACAACTATACTGCCTGATGTGACAAATGAGATAGGAGAAATTAGTTTTGATGCCAATTTAGAATCATTTAATCAATCAGAATCGTTTGTAAATACCATAGATCAATCAGAATCGTTTGTTAATACCATAGATTCTATTACAGCTTTAAGAACAAGTAATGGTATACTGGAATCTACACAACTGGCAGAAACTTTCTATACTGATACTCCCGAGTCATTTGAAACTAATCTGGAAGTCATATTAAATAAAACTCCTGCAAGTATTGAACCTAACGAGTTTGTCGTGTTTACCTCATCTGAAACGAAAACTATCGGATCAAATATATACCAAGCAACCAGCAACATTGAACCTGTGGAGTTCTGGAGTACTACAACTGAATCAGGAATCAGTGGATATACTAGAGGTTCATCTGAAGAGATATCAACAACGTGGGTGGAAAGCATCGAATCATTTAATGGTAATGGTAACTTAAGTGCTTATTCAACTTTTTTATCCAAATTTATATCATCCGCAAATGCTATTTCTTCACATAGTTTTGAGATATCTACAAACTTTTTGGTTGATGGTGAGTCTTCAAATTTGTATATGATCATGGAGCTGGAATCATTTACCATAGACTTTAATTATCAAATTTCGACTGATGACAGAGGGGCAACGTTCCACCAACCTGAATCAACAACTATAGGTGGTGTTCAAATTAATTTCACTTCGATTGATATCGCAGAGTCTTCCTTTATCAGTGGACAAATTAGTAGTGATATTACAATCGATGCTAGCCTGGTGAATATTAAAAGTGCATTGGTTGAAACTTCTGATGCTGCAAACTCATTATTAAATTCAATAAATTACCCATTGATGTCCGAAACAGATCCTGGTATAGCGATTACAGATAGCAACTCAGTTACGTTGGAATCTTTATCAAATATTGGGGTTACGTCCTTTGATTATGATAGTTCAAGCTCTACTACTGAGAATTTGTCCATAGATGTTATTACTCAAGTCGTAACAGATACAAATAATTCTTTAGTCGTTCAAATGGTACAAGAGGTTACTAATACGAACTCAGAAACATCCAGTATCATCAGGTCATTTGAGACAAATATTACATCTTTCAGAGTCATTATGTCAAGTTCTGGGATACAATTTTCTGAATCAATATATGTGGTGATTATATCAACTGATGTAGAAGGTCAATGGTTTACTCTGATAGATGGGATCCCGGCTACATTAGCGACAGAGATGGTAGATGCATCAAAAATATTTTCAACGTATTATTCGCATGAAAGTTTGGAAACCTCAATTGCGTCTCTACAAATTGGACGTGAGTCTGATCTTGAAACATCTGGATATAAAACTACTTATAATATTATGTTTACACTGGTACAACCTGATGGAAATACTATTACACTGACTTACAATGTCGAATTAAGCACAGAAGGAAATGCAACTTATATCCGTACTGCAAATAATGCTCAAGAGACAAAGGCATCTAGCTCATCCTTACAAGGTGTGGGCGATGGTAATTTTTCTATGGCAGTAGATTCAAAAGCAAGTTCTCAAGCGTCAAGTATTCTATTAGCAAGCGTTACTTCAAAAGATGGTCAGTCACTTTCACATGATCAAATTTTCTCAACTGCAGAAGTTGGAAATTCTAGCTTAGATCCTTCAAAATCTCAAGTTGTCAGTACATATGCAAATATTAGTTCCTCAACTTCAGATTCCATGTCGCAGAAGCCTGATGACTCACCAAGTCAAGATAGTGTTAACCCAATGAATGTTTTTGCTCCAATTTCAACTAGTTCAATCTTTGAGACGTCAATTGCAAACCCAACGGAATTTAGTAGTGGATCAAAAGATGTTATCCCTTCACTACTCATTACAATTTTCATTTCGTTCGTTATCGTAGTAATTTAATAATTTATAAAAAATTTATTTTTTATAATATACGATAGATTTTAGTAAGTAGATATTTATTTTCTATGTAAGTATATCTACAATTGAAATTTTCGATCTAACTGAATCGACCATTGGTGTAGCAAAGGAACTTTCGTCAATGATTTGAGGTTTATATACATTTTTCAAGCTATCTTTTTGATCTTTAATTCCATAATTTTCTCCATTTAAAGGTGCTGATAATAATTCCTCTACTGAGTTTTCTTCATTTTCGGTTTCTGGATCTTCAACTTTGTAATGACATGATTGACAAAAAAATCCAGAATTCTCTGGCCACCACATTGGAGAAGAATCAGTAAAACAATGAGCACATGTTTTCAGCAGACCATTTGAAGTGATTTTCACATTAGAAGCTTGATCCAAGTTGTAGTAGGAATTGTTGTTATTGACGAAATCCAATGATCTAGCAAGTGGACCACTAAATTGAGACTTATTAAGTTTAAGCAAATCTTCATAAAACAATTTGACAATAGGTTTGAGCTCTGTATCTCTTGAACCAATTCTTTTTCCTAAAGTTCTAAAGTTCAAAATAGTTTCGCTTGATTGATCATGTTCAGGACAAATAAGTATTGGCTTTAATTTTCCAATTTTTTCATTCACTATGACATTTTGTGGTGCTTTAGTACCGGTTTCTAATTTAAAGCCAAGTTTATAATTAGGAGTATCTTGAGCACAAGTCGGATGATAATAACAATGATCATTACAAAGACTGCATTTTATTAATGACCCATTGTAAGATTGACAAATTTCACATTTCTGATTGTGATTACGCAAATAAATTTTACTCACATTATCAATTGACAAGATGTTGTTGTTCAATTTGGTTTTCAGTACATGAATAAACTCACTATTAAAAATACAACACAATAAATGACACCAAGTCCCATTTGAAGTTGGTTTTAAAAAATCTGGTCTAACATAAGGTGATCCCAATATTGATAACTCATAATTTGTTTCATTCGCCATGCATAGGGAACATGAATAAATTGCTGAATGAATTGGTCTTAAATCATTAACACAAGGTTCACATAACCATTCTTTAGTGGATTCCTTCTCGTGTAATGTGTATGCAGCACAAGAAGCATGTACATTAACTCCACAAGACGAACATATCAACATCTCTTGTAACGAGGCTCTTGAAGTGTCATGCTCACGACAAACACAACATTTTCTATCATGAGGTTTGAAAGGTAGTTCTATCGATGTAAGATGGGGTGTTTGGGAATGTGTTAATGGTGAGCTAACATCTCCTAATTGTAGTTCTCGATAATGATTGAAAAAGGGAGCTAGTTGTTCTGTTGCCTCAGTATAAGTCAATTTTTTACTTAGTCCATAAAAGTTTGGTATATCATAGTTTGAATTGAATAGTAACGATTTGGTATGTTGTCCTAACGACGAGCCAACGACTTCATGCAATTTTTGTACAATTTGTGTTTTGATTTCTTGTTTAGTTGGTTTCTCTTTTTTCTCCACTTTAGTTTCAGATTTGACCTTTTTCACTTTAGGTGTGGGTGATTCAGTTGGTGAAGATGATACAGCTTTTCTTTTGTTGTTCTCTTTCTTTTCTGGAGAAGGTTTTGCAGTTGTTGGTTGAATGACTAATTTTGGATCATACGTCACAGACGCTCCCAAAGACAATGCATGTTCTAAAATTAAATTTGAATCTTGTAATAACTCTGGCTCAACTCTCTTTTTCCATCCATTAGACTTACTAGCTTTTTTCTGTGTTTCATCAGCATCTTGCCATACTACAGCATATCTTCTCCATAATTTTGCACATCTAAAACATAACGCTACAACAGAGTCCAGCTCCGTGTTTGCATCATGAGAACCTGTAATCTTGAACCATTGAGTTGAGTATGAGGCATCGCAATGCTTACAGATGAATTGAGTACCTGATGTAACTTTTTCATCATCCTCATATGATGAGTCATCTTCTAAATTGGTTAAATCATCAACATTATGAGATTTATTACCATTCTCTTCCTTCGTACTTGCGTGTGATTTCTTAGGTGCCCTTCCTTCGTAGTTACCCCATATTTGTTTCCCATTCTTAGTCTTTTTCCAAAGATAATAAAATCTAACGACTTGAGTTAATGGTTGCGATTTCACTTTTTTCTGAACGTGATATAATTCATTCCCAAATTCTTTAACACCAGCTTCAAATTTTTTGATTTCATCCCGAGTGAATACAGGCTCATTCAACTTCTTTTTGTTTAAATTTTGAACTTCTTTAAATGCTTTATCAATATCACCATGATTTTTCATATACAGTAAAACCACTGCATCAACAAAATTTGGGGAGTTGGGAGATAAATTCAATGATTCAGCTACAACATCACATGTTGTAATAAATTTGTCCAAATGCTCAAAATTGTCATCAATATCACTTTGGGAAGTTTTCCATAGCAACGTACAAGTTGTACCATTTCCATCATCTACCCCTCGTTCAATATATCCTTTTGGTCTTGGTTGTAACCATTCTGGATAATCTTTGACTTCTATATCTTCAAACTCTTTAGGGACTTCTAATTTTACGATCTCCTCAGCTTTTTCTTTTGGTTTTGGTTTTGATTTTTTCTTTGGAATTTTCTCCGTGTCATAATATACAATTGGATGACCATTACATTCAGGTATATAAACAGCTTGATGTTTCGCACCAATTCTAGTTGAAGCTCTCGGATACGGTGATCTATCATCCAAATCTACACCTTCTTCTAATTTTGCATTTAAACCTAAATATCTCATACACCACTCTTCTTTTACCCTTCGTTCTTCAAACGAAACCCCGGCGTCATTTGTTAGAAAATCTTTAGCCATTACTTCATACTTGGGTAGTATAGTTTCAGCTCCAGTTGATTCGTCTGCAATTTTCACATCAGCTTCTAGGGAACTTAATAAGGCCAACTCATCAGCTAATGACTCCTGATTAGATGATTTGTTGTCATGCAGTAGCATTAGGATCTTTTTTTGATGATATTCAATCTCATGTCTTTTAGTACATGATGCACAAGTCCAAGAAAAACCACGGCTAGGTTTTTTTAAAAGTGGTGGATCTAAGCAAAGCATATGAAATATTTTTTTACATTCAAAACAACTTATAGAATCATTGTGGTCCGACCATAATCCACATGTAAAACATGTAGAATTATCACTTTTGAATGAATTAATTAAAGATTTAGTTCTTGTAGATTCACAAAAGATATAGCTGAATCTTTTATTCAATGCCATTAGGTAATGCCGTGATTTGCTATCCTTTTTAGCATATTGTAGTAAGTTTTTAGTCAGTAACACATCGTATGACCTAATCATGTATCTATCATATAGTTTATCAAAATAAAAACAATTGGGACTTTGAGCATATGCTTCAGTCGGGGATATTCCTGGTGAAAGTTGTTTTCTCAGTTTTGCTGCATATGAATCTTCAATATCTTGCTTTAGTTCAACCGAGACTAAACCTCTGAAACTACTTAAAGGACATACATCTGAATCCATTGTTGCAAATAGTAACCTTGAATCAGCAGAATTTTTAGTTATATCCCTTGGTCTATAAAACCAATTTATTATGAAAAAATAACCTTCGGCTGGCAACATTTTGTCTTCTTTATTGTCTACTTCTATCTCCTCATATTTATGATTTCTTTTATTGGTGAAGCCTCGTATTCTTCCAATGTAGTAAGGTTCTCCAGGTGGTTCACTTATCATGTAAATACATTGACCTTTTGATAATGTTAAAGATTTTCCATTTTTATATTTACACTTTAAAGTCATTTTTTTCAAATTTATTGTTGCTCCCGTGAGGTCTAGTCGATTTGAAAATTGATCTTGAGCTGTCTGGGGTGGTTGCCAGTTATAAGGCACTACATTTGTAGACCCATTAGTGGTGATATTATCTTGCCAATTTTTGATGTTTTCTTTCTTCTTAGGTAGTGATGACGCCTTTTTGCCATTTGATTCCGAGATATCTTCCAACTTAGCTAGTTCTAGTGAGTCGTCGTATGTTTTATTTATAGTAGCTTTTCTTTTCGGTCGAGCATTTGAAGACATCTTCTATTTTAGCTGCATAAGTCCGAATTAAATTCTATGGTAAATCTATTGCTGATTTTTTGAAAAGTTTTAATTATTGAATGAGAATTGTATCTTCTAATTATTCAAAATACGTCGTTGTGAGATTTGTTTGTTTTAAAGAAGTTTGAAAAAATTTGGTTATTTCAAGACTTTTTTTTACAACCCATATTGGAGAGAGATTTTCGTGAAAATACTACAGAAGTGGAACAACTAACTATGGTGGGATGTTTCATTATTCATTATCTTCTAGACTGTATTCATACAACACCTTCTTTCAAAGTGGCTTCAATCCTTTCTATTTCCTCTATACTATCACAACTTTGCAATTTCATCAACAATTCTTTCCTATCTTCTTCACTTAACTTTTTGACAACTTGATTCAACTGTTTTTCTTCTTTGGTTATATCATTAGAGCTTATTTGATGTTTATCAAACATTCTTTTGGCTTTTGATCCCATCTCAATACGATTAACTCCATATAATTTTTCACTTTCATCCTTTTCTTTTTGTTTGACTTTCTCGAGATCCAAAACTTTCAAACTCGGTATAAGCCAAATTAAGAACAATCTATAATTATCTAATTGTGTTATGGGATTACCAATTAATATCAAGTTTTCTAATTTTTGAAATTTTGAGGAAAAACATTGCTGAAATCTATATAAATTATTATTCATTAATGAGATAGATTTGATTGAGTTGTCAGATGGTAAGTATTCTTCGTCAATATATGCTATGTTATTATTCCCTAATAGTAGTGTCTCTAAATTATCAAAATTTTTCGGTACATTGCTTAAACTTATTAAATCATTATTTGTTAAATCAATTACTTGAAATTTATTTCGAGTTATCTGTAGATTATCAATTTCCGTTATATCAAGGTTTCGCAAAATCAATGTTAGTTTCTTTTCCACGTTAAGTATTATAGGAGCATCGTTAATTTGCTGCGATGTCAATTTCATTCGAATGTTGATAAGTAAATTAGTATGTTAAACTAAATCTGGACCAAATGATCTTGAAAAAAAAAAAAATTACACATAATAATAATGTAAATTTCAAAACAAATTATCTGAAACACCACACAGTCATACAATCAACTATATCAAACAACAACGCTCATCAGACCATGATCCAATTGGAAGAACGTGACATACCAATAATACCTGGTACGAAGTTAGATGAGAACGAAACAAGGGAGTTGCGTCTCATGGTTGCTGAATTATTAGGTAGAAGAAGTGTCACATTTCCAGGATCACAACCAATATCATTTGAAAGAAAACATCTAGAAGAAACTTTAATGCAAAGAGATTATTTTGTTTGTGAAAAATCAGACGGGCTAAGATGTCTATTGTTCATAATAAATGATCCAGATAAAGGTGAAGGTGTATTTTTAATTACTCGTGAGAATGATTTTTATTATATCCCAAACATTCATTTTCCCTTGACAACATCATCAAGTCCGACCTATCATCATGGGACATTACTCGACGGTGAATTAGTACTTGAAAATAAGAATGTAAGTGAAGCTGTGCTTCGATATTGTTTGTTCGATGCTTTAGTAATAAATGGTAAATGTATAACAGATAGAGTTCTACCTAAAAGGTTGGGATATATAACTGAAAATGTGATGAAACCATTCGATCAATTCAAAAAAATGAACCCAAATGTTGTTAACTCACCCAATTTTCCATTCAAAGTTGGATTCAAAACTATGGTATTTGCTCAAGATTCAGGAAAAGTTTTGAAAAAAATGGATCAATTATTTCATTCTTCTGATGGATTGATTTATACTTGTGCTGAAACACCATATGTATTTGGAACAGATCAAACTTTACTCAAATGGAAACCTGCAAATGAAAATACAATTGATTTCCAACTTGAATTTAATTTCAATAAATTTAAAGACCCTGATATGGATCCCAGAGATCCAAGCTCGTCATATTTGGATTATGACTCAAAACCGGATTCTATAAAATTGAGGGTATGGCAAGGTTCAAACGTTCATACAGATTTCTCACAACTTGATTTATTAGATTCAGATTGGGAAAGATTAAAGGAATTGGGGGAACCTCTACAAGGTAGGATTGCTGAATGTAGACAATCTACAACGAAAAAAGGCTATTGGGAGATGTTGAGATTTAGAAATGATAAAAGTAATGGTAATCATATTAGTGTTGTTGAGAAGATTTTATTGTCCATCAAGGACGGAGTCACAGAAGAAGAGTTGGTTGAAAAGTGTCCCGAAATTGGGAAAGCATGGAAACGAAGAGAAATGGAGAGAAGAAATAAGCACTCTCATAATGGAGAGCACGCAGATGAACCACTGGCTAAACGAGCAAAAGCGGGACACCTGTCTCCAAAACCACCACAACCACAACAACAACATCGACAACTGCAACAACAAGAACACCAAGAACATCAGCGACAGCCTCAGCCACATGGGAGAGAACAACTTGATGAAATACCAACTTACGAAGATAGCGATGATGATTGAAATGACTTGTATTACTATTTATGTGAATTTAATGAAATGATTACAAAAGATTTAGGTAAAATACTTAAGATTCGTTTTTCTCTTCTTCATCATTTTCTTCATCATTTTCTTCTTCTGAACTTTTAACATTCCATTGACAACTAATGTCCCATTTTGAACCTTTAGCATTAATACTAACATATTTGACAAATTTTAAAACTGATGGGTCTCTAACAATTAAAGTGAGCGAATTCCATTTACATTGATTAGTATATAAAACACTATCATCTTCCGAATCCTTGTTTGATTTATAGATAGCTGGATCGTCATCTTCAAGGTCTTCAGCAGGTTGTTCCATGCACAATTCATAACCTCCAAATTCTCCAGATTCCCAACTTTGAGGTTTTATAGCCGTAGGAGTCAAATCCAAAGTAGCTTCTAATAAAACATTTTCTTCTTGATCATTTCTTGCTATTTCTGAATCTATAGTGGTGGCTAATATGAAATCATGCCCAGGCCTGAATCTACGTACTAAAATTTGTTCAGTTGTTGGTATAAGGTGAGTTATTCTCTTCAACCACTTTTTGAACGCTATGGATTTTAAGAATTTTGCAATTTCAATTAATTCTGTATCTTTTGAGCTTTTAGGACTAAGTAAATTAAAGTTTGGTTGTTCTTGAGGTCCTATCTTGTTTACAAAATTGATTGATTCTTTTGTTAACGTATGATGTGATTTCCCATCTATATACATGTATCTTTGTTTATGTGGTGGTATTGCTATTTTCCATGGATGTTTCACTGCAGTTGATTTTTGTGGTGGTTGACTATTTATTTCGGATTTTCTTAATAATTGCCTTAGTGAAGTTGCAATTTTTTCATTCAAAATGTTCTTCAATTCAAGTAACGACGAATTTATGAAAAACTCACTCAATTTATTAACTACATCATTTTCGAGATACTTTGGATTTAAAAATTTTCTTAAATAATTCAATTCTTCCTCAGTCGTTTCTTCAAATTCGATGTTTTTTAACTCTAATGGGTTAATTTCATCTCTTATGTTTTTTGGAAAATCAAAATCTTGTAGCTCCTTACTTTGTAGTTGTTGTAATGTAGATAATGCTTCAGTTTTAGCCTGTTCCCCTTCAACAAATCCATCCTCACCTGGCTGTGGTATATGAAACCATCCTTGTATAGATAATCTATGTTTATCTTCACGAACTTCCTCCACATCATGAAAACTTAATCCTGGTTGGACGGTAAAAAATGCAATTTGATTAAATTGAGGTACTAATTTACATTCATAATCAGTTTGAGGTACGTTAGGTACAATTGCTGGAAATAATCTTAATGCCCCACCATACTGTGGTTTCCATACTTTATCTGGTTCAGGTAAATATAATATGAAACTAACTCTTCTACTTCCTATTACATCGTCATGGGTTAATAAATGACATCCTTTAGTATATGTATTTATTGACATATCTGTTTTGATTCCACTTAATTTTCCACTTCCTGTTATTTTTGATATCACATCTCTAAACTCCTGACTATAAATTGCAGCTCTTAATTTATATAATGAAGGTAGTTTTGATAGATCTTCCCAGTCTAGTCCTGAAAGATTTGCTAAATCACCCGATTGATATACCTTGTATATATCAGTTTCCTTTTTCGTAAATGCTATCAGCGATAGCACTTCTTTCCTTACATCTCTTAATAATTTGTCATTTATAAGATCTTTGATAGTACCCCATTTGTAAGGACTACTATTTGCAACTTCTTCTTGTTTTAAATTTTGAAAATCTGGTTCCCATATTTGATCGTTGAAAAATGAATGAATATCTTCTTTGGTGAACTTTATATCTAGTTTTTTGTTGTCCGTCACGGGTTCTTCTTCAATTTTCCTTTTCATGTTGGTAGTGAAGGACTTATGTAAATGATTACTTTCAAACGCTTCAATATCTTATTTGGAAAGAATCATCTGATACACAATTAGGGAGAGCCGCACTGCAACTCGATGCACAAAACTCGTTGTATAAAAGATGTAAAAACGGTTGTTCTTGTTCTCATTTCGTATGGAATTTCTTTTCGTAATCGGCCAACACAAAATTGAAAAATTTTGACTCACTTTGAAACATTGAAAAATTATTCATTTAATCAGATCTATTATATTTTACAACAATTATCTTATACATAGTTTTTGCATCAAAAGATGTCTCAGTCACCTAGTCTATCTAGTACATTCAACTCGGTGTTAGATTTAAGAACAACTATGTCATCAGCTGATCAAAAAGGTTGGGTTGTACAAAAATTTGGTGGTACATCAGTTGGGAAATTTTCCCTAGAAATAGTGGATAATATAGTAAAAGAATTTCAAAAACTGAATAAAGTTGCAGTTGTATGTTCTGCTAGGTCATCAAAGACTAAAAGTGAAGGTACAACTTCAAGATTACTTCGACTGGCTGATTTAGCTTCTGATAATTTAGATTTTAATCCTTTATTGGATATTATACAGGAAGATCATATTACCAATTGTGGGAATAATATAAAATCAGAATTCATAAAGAAACAATTAATAGAAGATATTGAAACTGAAATAAAGCATGGGAAAGAATTATTACATGCTTGTCAAATTATTGGAGAAATTAGCCCGAGATCATTAGATTCAATTATGTCTATTGGTGAAAAATTATCATGTATATATACGACTGCATTAATGAAAGATCATGAATTGAATGCCGTATACCTTGACTTGTCGGATCTAATACCTATAAATTATGATTTTAATAATGGATTTGATGATTCATTTTATAAATATTTATCAAAAGAAATTGGAGCAAGAATAGAAGAAGCCACACAAGGTGATGCGAGTGTTATACCCGTAATCACTGGATATTTTGGTATAGTTCCTGGTGGATTGTTAAATGGAGTTGGTAGAGGATATACTGATTTATGTGCTGCATTAGCTGCAGTAGGAATTCAAGCAGATGAATTACAAATATGGAAAGAAGTTGATGGTATTTTCACTGCAGACCCAAGAAAAGTACCAAATGCAAGATTACTAGATAGTGTTACACCAGAAGAAGCAGCTGAATTGACTTATTATGGTAGTGAAGTTATACATCCTTTTACTATGGAACAAGTTATTAAAGCTAAAATCCCAATTAGAATAAAAAATGTTGAAAATCCTCAAGGTAATGGTACTATTATATATCCAGACAATATAGCAAGAAGAGGAGAAGATACTCCCCCACATCCACCTGCTGCATATGAAACATTACCAATAAGTTACATCACCACACACAAAAGAAGATCAGCCACAGCAATTACTGCTAAACAAGATATTGTGGTCATAAATATACATTCAAACAAAAAAACTTTAAGTCATGGCTTTTTAGCTCATATTTTTACTACACTAGATAAATACAAATTAGTTGTTGATTTAATCTCCACTTCAGAAGTTCATGTATCTATGGCTTTGCTGGTTCAACCTGATCAAGAAATTCAATTGAAACATGCATTATTAGAATTATCTAAGATGGGAACAGTTGATGTTACCAAAAAAATGACCATTGTGTCACTAGTTGGCAAACAAATGGTAAATTTTATTGGTATTGCAGGTAATATGTTTAAAGTATTAGCAGATGAAAGAATTAATATTGAAATGATAAGTCAAGGTGCTAATGAAATTAATATAAGTGCAGTTATAAATGAAAAAGATACAATACGAGCATTACAATCAATTCATGCAAAATTATTAGAAGGTAATCAATTTTATGATCATGAATCAGCAGTAGATTCTAGATTAGAAGCATTAAAAGTACAAAGTTAATAGACAATATTTAAAAAAAGATATCACATTTTAATACATTCATTTACTCTCAAATATCAAATTCTCCACTTTCTCTACTATTAGCATTTTTTGAACCAACATTTAATTTATTTTGTTCATCAATTAAATTTTCAAATTCACCAACCATACCACCAAATATTTCAGTAGCTAATTGATGATAAGCTAATTGAGCTTTTATTAATTCTAAAAATTCTTGTAAAGGTTTTGCATTTTCTATTACATTTTGCATTATATTTATAGCATCTTCAACAGTATTTGCAAATTCATCTTCTGCATTTTCCATATCAACTCTTAATTTTGATTCTTTTGCAGGGTTATTACAATTAGTTAAATTATATCTACTTAAATCATAATCAATTCTTTTTTCTTCTACTTTTTTTTGAATATTATTTGATTGAGAAATTAATGAACGTAATGTTGTTGTTAATGGTTTATTAAATTTTGTTTTGATTAATTGATCTTGTCCTAATCTTGCATTTGCAATTTTATTTAAATTTGATGAATATAAATCTAAACCTTTTATTAAAGGATCATTAGCTTCTGATGATACATCTGTTTTATTGGTTAAAATCGAAGCATTTGAAGCTCTACTTAAAGCATGATATAAAGTCTTTGGTTGTTTTGCAATCTCATTGTTTGAATTAATTAAAGCTGCTTGTGCTTCAGCAGTTGTAGTAGCTTTACTTAAGTTGTTGAATCTTGTGGTAATATTACTACTAATTTCTGAAAAAGATTCTTGTAAGTTAGTTGGATAATCATAAGATTCATTTTCATAATTTGAAGTAATTTTTAAAACATTCTTATATAATTTTTCAATATTATTACATTTTGTTGCTAATTCAATATATTCACTAGGTAATTGAGATATTTCATCTTGATTAATTTTACCCATTCTTTCTTGTACTATTCTTGAAGTTCTTTGAGCTAATGGTACAACTTCTTTATTAAATTCAGTACTTAATTTATCACCAAAGGACTTAATGTCCTTGGTTAAATTGGCAAAATTAAATGACATAGATGGATCGAAGTTGGAATTGGTTGTTTGTTAGGAAGTTGATATATGAGGTATTATAAAACGTAATTTACTGATCGATTAATTAATTTGAATCTCTCCTTTGATAAAACGTACTACTTTATTTATGAGTTATATACAGGGGATAAAATGCTACCAAAATTTCGTAAATTTTAATACTAATGTTCAGGCCATAGGCAAGTATAGCATAAATTTTTCCTACTGTATAATCAGAAATACTGTATCTCCTTGATTTAGTTGGTTAATGAGGTCGGTTTTTAAAGTATTGAAATAATGGTATCAAGTGCTTTGTCAGTGAATAATCAAAACATTATGGCACCAAGTCCTAAATTTTGATACAGCCATGTTGCAAAAAAAAATCATTTAACACATTCTTAAAATTACTATAAAAATTCTATCACCACAAGTATTTAAAGACTTGATGCCTTTTAAATGAATGATTTGGCTAGTTTTTTAAATATCATAAATTTAATGTATGATATATGCTGAAACATGCTGTTGAGCCTCTTTATCAGACAGAATCTCCGTATCAAACAAAGAAGAACGTTAACTGATCAATTAACTTTTCTAGTCTCTTAAAAATGCCAAATACGAGATGTCAATGATAGAAAGTCTAAAGGGAGACAGTTCCTAAGCAAGGTACCGGTGGGAAATAATAAGCATACTTTGCAAAAACTGTGAGGTTATGCAATGAATTTGAGTACGAAGTATTTGATAAGGTGCAAGGTTATACTGATACAAGAGTAGCTGTTGTTTCAGTTCAGTGATTGGCAACTTTAGCAAAAATGGTCTTATCAAGCATTGCTGCAATCTCTATAGTTACATATAGCGGCCAAAAACGCTGTTTCTTGAGATTTTCAATCTAATGTAGATTTTGTGGCGGTACATTTTTTTATTAATATCGGGGCAAATTGCTGCAAAAAATTCAACTTCGCATAACAATTCACCTTAAAAACCACACTTGACTATCTTGACTAACAATGTTCAATACGAAAAATCAAACTTTAAGTCAGTGTATCTTAATCTTTTTGTTAATGTTCAGAGTAACAATGTCACATTTTATTCAACCTCAATCCGAACCGTTTTTATTAGTTGCATATGATTCAAATTATGAAGAAAATAAAAGTACATCATTATTAAATTCAGGTATACATAAATTATATCAAAAAGATACATTAGTTTTTATTTCTGATAATTCTGAAATTGATAACAAAACAACTAGTTCATTTATTGAAGGTTTAACATTACTAAATGGTTCATTTAAATTAAATAATAATTTAATAAATGATGATGGTATGAAATTTATAAGAGTTGATCCAAATACCAAAAGATTAAAAGCTTGCCCCAAGGGTGATTCATCACAAAATTTTTCTATAAAGAAAGATGAATTAAATCATAAAAATTCAAATATTTGGTGTGTTTGTTATGATGATGAATTAAAATTAAGTTTTATATATTTTGGTTCAATTAAAGAAAATTTAAAATTTTGTGATCAAGAGGAAGATCATGAAATTAAATTAAGAGTTGTGGGAAAATATGATAGTTTTGGTACCATACCTGATTATCCATATTGATTTTGAAGCAAGGGTTTATAGTGTTTTTACATATAATTTCTTTAAGTTTCTAAATTTAACTTTTGTATGTCTCGCTAATTAAATTGTGAAACAATATGCAAGTCAACTTAATTTCTTAAGAGGTAAATTCATTTCTATATAAAAAACCATACTTACTCTATGTCGTAGAACAACAACGAAAGAACAAACAACAATTAACTATCAACAAAAATATACTTTAACAGCAACAGCTACTCTATCAAATTTGATCAATTTCATAATAATTTCTAACTTGTTCTAAACGTAATTGATTTAAAATTTCTTCATTATAATTATTATTTTTTAATTGTTCATTCATTTCAAATTTATGCCAAAATTCATCAAATTCTATAGATGATTGTTTTAAACTTGCTATAAATTCAAACTTAAAATTATTATTAATTTTATTTTTTAATATTGATTTTAAATTTTTATTATTGGGTGATGTTGTTGTTGTTTTTGTTGTATTGTTATGTGATTTTATTGGATTAGTTGATGTTGAAACTAGGTGTAAGAATGATTTTCTACGTTTTGGTTGATGAGATCTTGTGAGTTTTGGAGTAGTATTAAAATGATTTCCATTACCATTGATATTTCTTCCATTACGAATATTAGATGGATCCAAAACAGATTGAATATGTCCATGATCTTTTTCATCAGAATCTAAAAATACAAATTCTTGAAATTTAATTTTAGGAGATTCATCACATTCATAAGCATTTAAATATGGATGTGGATCACCAGAATTAGCATCTTCATAATTATTATGTTTATTAAAAAGCTCCAATATTGACTGATTTGAATGAGAAGTTGTTGTTCCAAATTTTTTAAAAACATTTGAAGAAGAATTAATATTATATTTATTAAAAACGTTTTTAAATTTTTCTAAAATTGTTAATTCTTTAAAACTTTCTAAAATTGATGAATCATAACAATCTTCAAAATTTTCAAAACTATCATTACTTGTATTATCTTCATCTGGTAATGTATTTTTATAAGTTATTGTATTTTCTTCTTGAGGAGTTAATGTTGTTGTTGTTTCAATTTGACTAATTTTAGTAAAAGAAGTATCAATTTCTTCAATTTTTGAATCTGGTGATAATGTTGTTGAACTAACTAAATTATTATTTAAATCATAAAAATAATCATCTTCAATTTTTAATAAATCTTCTAAACTCCAATTATTATCAAATTCAAAATTAAAATTTAATGGTGGTGAATTTATTAATGATGATTTAGAATCGTTAGCAGCAGTAGTAGTAATTTGATTTTCAATATTATTTAATTCATCAGAACTTTTCCTACCATATTGAGTTTGATAAACTTCTAATACCACTTCTTTAGTATCTTCATTTTCCTTTTTTGGTGTACTACTAACATATTGAATTTTTTCAACCGATTCATCACAAGAAGAAGAAACATTACTAGTTGAGGCTAATACAACATTATTTTCATCAACTAAAAATTCAATTGATTTAATTTCACTTATTTCATCTTCAACATTCGATTTGTTTTCTTCAAATGAAGAATTTGATTCATGAGTTGTTGAAATTAATGATTCTGAAGAAACAGGAGTAGATTGAATATCAAATAAATTTTTTATACTTAAAATTTGTTGATTTTGAGTTTTTTGAGGTTTTATTGATTCTGAACTTAAATTTATTGGTTCTTTTATATTATGAGTTGTATAGCCACTTGAATGATCTAACATTATTAATGATTGATCAAGTGGGATGAACAGTTATCTTTTTTTGCAGCTAAATTTTAAAAGGAGAGTAAATGAATTTGTGTTACTTTTGTTTACAAAATTGGTATGCTGTCAGAATTTGAGAGATTTGCCCAAATTCAGGGACAACTAAACAAAGATCAAGCGAATACTCAGTCCGTAATAAATAATAAATAATGCATATTTCTAAATCTATAAACTATATCTAATCTTAAGTAATTTCAATTTCATCTAATTTTGCAAAAGCTCTACCATAAAATTCACCATTTCCACCATTAATTTTTTCAAATTCAAAAATTGATTCTCTAATAGGTTTATTTAAATGAACATTATTCAAGATTAAATTTAAATAATTTTCATTATATGTATTTTGCGGGTCATCTAGTATTTTTCCTCCTGGTAAATCATTTATATTTTTATTTTTTGTTGAATCAATTTTAAATAAATATTTTATTTCATTTATATGAAAATTTGAATTAAATTGTGATAAATAATAAGATATTAAAATTTCTTGATTCTGAGATAATAAATTATAAATTTCTTCATCTGTTATTGAATTTATTAAATTTTCAAATTTTAATTTATTTATTTTATTATTATTTTCATCATATGTAGACTCCAAGTAATTATTTGCATCAAGAATTGGCAACAATGTATCTTTATGAATCCAACTTTGTAAATTTTTAACAAACCACCAATCATTATATTCAATTTTAGTTAATGCACCATCAGGATATTCATATTTTGATCTTTTGATAATCAGATTGGGAATATAACATGGTACACCATTAAGCATTGATAATTTTAAAGGAGATAAATGATTTAAATGATAAAAATGAACTCTTCTATCATTAAAAGTTTGTTCATTTTTATTTAATAATGGACCTTCATCAATATCATCATTTACATTTTGATAACTTGATATAGGAGGTTTTGCATTACTTGTTGAAATACCTGTAATATCAATATAAATACCAGTATCAATATCAATAAATCTTGCATCAATATGATTACCTCTTTTTGAAATATCTCTATTATGAACAAAAGTACCAACTTCAATTAAATATTTCCCCATACCTTCATTTAAATCTTCAACCACTAAAGTTTGATTAAAAAATTCACCTAATTTCATTAAATTCATTATAGGCATTTGAATATCTAAATCATTATCAAATGGAAAAATCCCACCATTCCAATACCAACTTAATAAAGGACCATGAGATATCCAACTTATAATTTCATATTTAAAACTAAATTTAAACCAATTTCTTAATAATCTTTCTAAAATTATTGAACTTCTTTTGGGGTCATTTAATTTTCCATTAAAAAATCTCCAATCATAATGCCAACCACTATCATGATTATCATTATTTAATCTTAATGTTGATTCTTTAAAATATCTTGTTTCTGGATTTGTTGGAGGTTTTACTTTTAATGTTTGCTTGATGGAATTTAAAAATGATTTTTGATGTAATGTTAAATTTTCTGGTTTAATTCTTGTTAATTCTTTTAATTTTTCAGCTAATATTTTTCTATTATATGTAAAAGATTCTTCTGATATATTTATAATTGGTTGAGGATTATAAAAAAATTCATCATCTATTGTAATAACTTTATTAAATTGTTCAACAGTGTCAAATTCAGTATCTGTATAATTATTTAATAAATCTTTTATTTTCCCCTTTTCAACATCTAATACTAAATCATTACCTTTATCATTCAAGAAAATAACTTTATAAGGTAATGGTTGACTATTCATTAAATAAGTTTTACCTTGTAAATTTCTAATATATTCAGTAGTAGTAAAAGATGTATGTTTTAATTGAGTAAAACCAATCATTTCATCTCTAGTATGACCCATTTCCATTAGTTGTTCATCAGTTAATTCATCAGTATTTATACAACCAAATAATAAATAATCTTTTTCAGCTTCTGATTTAATTCTATTTCTTCTAAAATTTATATGAGGTATTAAATCTTGACATTTTATTCTTGCTGCTAGTGGTTTATGAATTTGATGATTTAAATATGATAAATTAACCCAATCTGACCAATCAAATGGAATAGTTGTACTATTTAAGTTGTTTGATAAATAATTTAAAATTATTGAAAAAGTTAATCTATCATCTTGATATATAGATTTTGAATTTAGCAAGTTTGAAACTTCTAAAATTGATTTATCTAAAGTTGTTGTATGTTCAGGAGATTTAAAATTATATAATAAATATTCTAATTCTTCTGTATAATTTACATTTGTTGTTGATAATTGAGGTAATAAACTTTTATCATCAATTGAAACATGCCAATTTTTATAATTTTGATTATTTAAATTTGAATTTTTATTAAACACTAAATAATAAGTTATTAAATATATTGTATTGATTATAAAAAATAATATTAGTGGTTTTTTATAAAATCTTTTCTTTAGTAGTAGATTTGTTGTAACTTGTTGTGATTTATTAGTTGGTGTCATAATGCTATAGTTGGTTGATGCAAATTATGTCAGTCATTAACTGAAAAGTATGAATGAAATGAAAAGAAAATTGATATTTGGTGTTCCAATGAAAAATTCTATAACTCTATTTAAATGAATGAATGAATGAGTGAATGAACAAATGGTGATAGTTGTTGTTATAGATATAGTTGATTCAATCTAAATTTTTTGAAGTTTTCTTAAAATATTAGTATTTATAAATCATTATATAATTTTCTCAACCACGTCTAGTTCAATGTAAAATTATTTATTTATATTCTGACCAAGCAAAAGTTTTCGTGGTATTATAATATTATTTATTATGAAGTTCTTGGTGTTAATGTTATGTTGTAAAAATTATAATATTCTTTATGTTGTAAAAAATAATTTCATTTTTTTTTATGATCTCGTGTGAGCTTAAATTAAGATTAAGATTAAGGTTGAAAGAAATGAAGTTGAGTTAAAATTGATCGAAAGTAGAGTCCTCACTAAAGCATATAAATGAAGACACCTATACTTGCTGAGACCTAGTACTTTAATGCTCAAAATGCTTTGAAAATTAGTTTAAAGAGTCACTGTATTATACTTTTAGCTTCAGATCTCGTATTAAGAGGGTTAGATTTAGAAATATAATAATTGATTTCAAATATATCACAAAGTTTTTATTGAGAAAGAATACTACATTATCAAACATACGACTCATGGCTCTTATTGAAATTCATAAGCGTTGCTTTTGCTCTTGAACATGGCTTATTGAGCTATTGATATTCTATTCGAACTTACCTGGTAATCAAGAAAACAGTTACATCATATACAAAAAAAATCAAAATTCTGTGCCTCATTAAAAATATGAAACAAAAACTATTGAAAAAATAATTCTGCACGTTAAAACTTAAATCAAAAACTACTGAAGTAGATAAAATAATAAATTTATTACCAATAAGCTAAAAAGAATATTCCTCTTTTGGACTAAAACATCTAGCGATAGAATAGAATAGTTTAGTAGCGTGTCATTGACAAAATTGGGGTATTTCAAGCTTGTATTGATAATTTTCAATTCTTCATTCTTATATTATATAGAATACTTCTTTTTGCGCGACGCAAATTATACATACATTTGAATGTTTTTAGTCCAATTCAAATTCATTTTACAAGTCCAGTTGTAGAGTATCAATGCGAGTGAGAAATCAGGTTAAACAATTAAGCTTAAACTCGAATTATACTTGTGCTTGAGTTAACTTATTAAACGAATGTTTTGAGGAGTTCTTGTAGTGAGTTTTTCATTTTATAGATTACGAGCCTAGTTTCCATAGAATATTCATCAATATCAAAATTTAACTTTAAACTATCTCGATTGGAAGATTCGTTCATGAATGCTTTGTTACGAAAATAATTCTTACTTGGGAATGCTTCAAATACAAATATATTGTTTGAACAGTAATACTCAATCATGTGCAAAAATCTTAGCAGAATCATAAGATAGGAACGCGTCTATCAAAAGTTCATAACTTATAGGAGATGGATAACTCTTGAAGATAATACTTACCTTGAAACGGTTTGATTATACTCCCCCGTCAATGGCTATCCATGATGTGATCAAACCTTTGAATATTAGGGTAAAGTGGTGTTACTCCATCATAGAAGTGAAAAAATATTGATATGATAATTATTACTCCTAACCAACCGAGTATGGAGAATTTATGGATATCTAGCTTCATACTATTGAGAAGCTGTTAGTATCAGTTGAAGTTTCATCCAATCTCCACAACATACCCACAACATACGTTCCGGTTCCATATAATTGATGATCAAAACCCTTTACCCATTCAAAGGGTAGTTATGAAATTAGACCCATGAAACCTTAAGTCATTAGTAATGGGCTTGTGTTAATTTTTATATAGTCTATAGTTAATTACCCAGGGAAAAAAAATAATTTAAGCGTAATACTTTCCCCACATAATTATGATTTAGTTACTTCTACACTAAATCTTAAACCCGGATGTCGACATCCTTAATTTTTTCATACTACAATACTTAGACTAATAAAAAGATTAACAATAAGTTATATATTTATTTGACTCTAATCAAAATTTTTCAATTGATCAACATTATTTTTCCTTTTAACTGATCCAATCAAACATATCAAACCCAACTCAAGATGTTATCAAGAGTTATTAAATCAAGATCAACACTCAACAATGTTGTTTCTAAATCATTATATACACAATTAAGATATAAAACAATTATATCATTATCATCAACAATTGATTCTTATCCAACTCAACATACAACTGAAAATGATGAACCATATTTAACACCATCATTTTTAAATAATGAATTTATAAAATCAGAATCAAAAGAATGGTTTAATATTCATGATCCAGCAACAAATAATATTGTATCAAAAGTTCCTCAATCAACTGAACAGGAATTAGAAGAAGCTATTGAAAGTGCTCATAAAGCATTTCCTGGTTGGAGAGATACAAGTATTATAAAAAGACAAGGTATTGCTTTCAAATTTGCTGCTTTATTAAGAGAAAATTTGGATAGAATTGCAAATGTTATTGTTTTAGAACAAGGTAAAACTTTTGTTGATGCTCAAGGTGATGTTACAAGAGGTTTACAAGTTGCTGAAGCTGCATGTAATGTTACTAATGATTTAAAGGGGGAAAGTTTAGAAGTTAGTACTGATATGGAAACTAAAATGGTTAGAGAACCTTTAGGTGTAGTTGCATCAATTTGTCCTTTTAATTTCCCAGCAATGGTTCCTTTATGGTCATTACCTTTAATTTTAGTTACTGGTAATACAGCAGTTATAAAACCTTCAGAAAGAGTTCCTGGAGCAGCAATGATTATTTGTGAATTAGCTGCAAAAGCTGGAGTACCACCAGGAGTTATAAATATAGTTCATGGAAAACATTCAACAGTAAATAAATTAATTGAAGACGAAAGAATTAAAGCTTTAACATTTGTTGGTGGAGATAAAGCTGGTAAATATATTTATGAAAAAGGTTCAGCATTAGGTAAAAGAGTTCAAGCTAATTTAGGTGCAAAAAATCATTTAGTTGTTTTACCTGATGCTCCAAAACAACAATTTATAAATGCTTTAAATGGTGCTGCATTTGGTGCTGCTGGTCAAAGATGTATGGCTATTAGTGTTTTAGTTACTGTTGGTAAAACAAAAGAATGGATTAAAGATATTGTAAATGATGCTAAAAAATTAATTACTGGTTCTGGTTATGATAAATCTTCAGATTTAGGTCCATTAATTAATCCAGAAAGTTTAAATAAAGCAGAAGAAATTATTGAAGATAGTATAAAACAAGGTGCTGAATTATTATTAGATGGTAGAGGATATAGACCTCAAGATTCAAAATTTGCAAATGGTAATTTCTTAGCACCAACAATTTTAACAAATGTTAAACCTGGTCAAAGATGTTATGATGAAGAAATTTTTGCACCTGTTTTATCAATTGTAAATGTTGATACAATAGATGAAGCAATACAATTAATAAATGAAAATAAATATGGTAATGGTGTATCAATTTTTACTTCAAATGGAGGATCAGCACAATATTTCACAAAAAGAATAGATGTTGGACAAGTTGGTGTTAATGTACCAATTCCTGTACCATTACCAATGTTTTCTTTTACTGGATCAAGAGGTTCATTTTTGGGAGATTTAAATTTTTATGGTAAAGCTGGTATAACATTTTTAACAAAACCAAAAACTATTACTGCTGCTTGGAAAATTAATAATATAAATGAAGAAATTTTAAAACCTTCAACTTCAATGCCAATTCAACAATAGATTTGAATAAATAAGTGGAATGGGTGTATAAAAGAGAAAATTAGCTAACTATATAGATTTGAAAATAAAAGAGAAAAGGATTAAAATCACTGAAGTCTAACTCAATCTCTCAACTCTAACTTAAGCTCTAACTTAATTTCTATAGGGATGGACGTAAATAAGTTGAGATATTTTATAATTTTACGAGTATAAACATCTAAATAGAATAAACTTTTTTAAATCTCATTCAAGTTTCGTATTATTAAGAAAGGAAAAAATGGTACGTTTTATTATTTTTTCGTTTTAAACTTATTCTTTGGAAGAATCGGATTAATATAATAAAGTAATCGGAATGAAAAGGAAAGGGACCAAATAAACTTGATTGATGTTTCGTCAACAATCAAAATTTGTCTCCTTTATAATCTTGTTCAAAAATGTTCTATTTAATTGTAGAAATTTGATTTTTTCGTGTTTGTATTTCGAAAGGGTCTTGTATTTATGAACCGAGTTAAAAAGAACATCAAAAAATCCGACTGAGTTCTTTTGTGATTTAAAAATGAATGGAATAATTTATACTAATAGGGAAAATTCCGGGGAAGGTGATTCATTTTAGTTAGGACTTAATCACAACGAACTGCCTGTTTGTCGACTTAAATAATTAAAATCGATGCTTAATTTTAGATCGAATTTTTTTCTATTTAGGCAATTAAAAAAGAGTTTAATTTAAGATGATTCAATATTGTTTGATATTTGGAGTTTTGTGTGTTTTTGAACAACCGCTATTAATCTAATTATAGCGGTTACAAAATGGAAACAAAGGAATGAGAAGAACCATCTTCATTATAAGAGTTATTTTAGCAATCACCTTTGTAAAAAAAGAACACCCTTGGTGTTCTTTGATCTATAGCAAAGTTGTAGATAAACATTTGTGTGAAAGATAGATAGATTAATGAAATTGATTAAATGCGATCAAATGTAGGTTAACGTGCATACTACATTAACAACCTAACTCCTTATATTTCGATATGATTGCTGAAACTTGTTTTATAGAATGGTTGCACAAAGGAATTCTAGTGTCCGTGATATATAACTGATCGATGAAATCGAATTTTTCAGACACTAATTTAATTTTTTTTTTTTTCTTCAATTAATTTAATCGAATCGTCAAGTAGTATTTTATAATCAGATTTTTAAGATTAAAAGAATCATCAAACCAGAGTTCGTAATTTTTCTTACACCTCTGTGATTATTCACTAGAGTTGATACGCAAATAAGGTATCCGTGATATCAACAAAGGAAGTGGAAGAATGACTAGCCAAGTCAAATTGAGACAAAGTCATAAATATAAAACTTTTTTGCCGTTCCACCGTGTTCAAACGGTGACTGTGAATTATGATCTCTATGTCATGTTATTCTTTGTGTATAAATCTGATTGTGATTCTACGATTGATGCGTAAATACTAACAAAGAGAGAAAACTGACAAAATTGTATTTTTGGTTCTTTTTGGTCTTTTACTCGGTTAATTCTATAAATAATATTAGTCTAAGTGAAGAATATTAAGTATGAATTTGAATATCCATTTTTAGATAACCGATCAAAAATGACATACGTGTTTTGAGACATTGAAAGATTAAGTTTGACTCAGTCTTAATTTGGTCATATTTTTTCTTAACAAACTTTTTATTCCATTCGAGCTCAAAGTATATATGGAATGAGCGGTATCAACTTTATTTAAGATTTGAATTGTAAATTTATATTCTGACGAGTGGTTAAATGGTTAAATACTTGAAACGAATATAAAAACATTCGGTTGTATAATATTTTAATATTAGGCTAGGAAAAGTCCGCAAATTAGTGCTACCAAAAATAAATAAAGGTGTCTGATTCTATTATAGAAAAGCAATACGTAAAAAATCGGAATGAAATTTTATTTTTAATATTTCAGACACTTTCTGTCTTTTTTGTCTTGTTTCTATACATATTAATCTTAACTATGGTATTGTTCTAATTATTATGTATAATGTATAATGTCCTAATAAAACATCTGGAACTAATACTAACAATATTAACAATATTAATATTAATTATTTCCCTAATATTATATAGACTTTACTTTTTCATCAACCAACATCATCATCAACAACGATAATAACTATTCAATTCCCATCTCATCTTACATATTTCAGTCATATCTTTCAACAAACATTAACATAACAATAATCAATGAATATTATGTTACATCAACTTTAAAACATCAATAACCTTAATCAATAAAAGAAAAAGAAGAAAACGAAAAAAATTTCAGAATAATAATTGAAGTATGTTTTTTTACAACAACAATTAAATATACAAAATATTGGTCTTTTATATATTTGGATAACTTATTCTGTCATTGAAAACAAGACATACTCATCCTCCATTTCCTCTATACCTCATACCAAATTTTGAGTTGAAAATTTCATCGGAGTTTTTGCTGTTTTTTTTTTTTCAACATATTATTTTGCAACAACATATATACTGAACCATCAACCGAACAATTTTAATACTAAACACTTTTACCAATTTTTCACTTGACGATTAAAATTACTTTATCCATCCTAAATTATATACAATTCTCAGCAGTCGGTTATAAAACATTTCTACCAAACCACTCATTCATACGGAACTAAAAAATTTCAAATATAAAGACCAATATATTAAGAAATAAAAGAATATTTTACTAATGATATAATTATAGCTTCAATAAGAAAAAGTAATTTTAATAACAATAATAATAATAATAACTAATATTGTATAACTGTTCAGAAAAATGACTGAAGTACATTCACCCATAGTGCTAAAGTCAGAACAAGTAAAACATTTACAACCACCATTGAATAAACAATCATCTTCGATACAGAAACAGCAACAACTTCCACAACAATCTCAAAAACCACAATCTCCATCGAATTTACATCCTATACAACCTTCTCCCTGTGTTGTTAAAACTTCAAGAGAATGGGTTTTACCACCAAGACCCAAACCGGGTAGAAAATTAAAAGATCTTAAAGATAACAAACCAAAAAGAAAATCATGTAAGAAATCAAAAGATTTACCACAACAATCATCAAATCAAGAAGCAAAAGTAATACTGCATCATCAATCAATAACTCCATCAACTCCAATTACAACTTCAACCACTACTAAATCTATACCGAAAGAATTAAGTAAAGACTTAAATTCAGATTTATCCACAATTTCATCATTATTACAAAATGTTTCAATAATTGATTCAGAAAATAATTATTTAAAATCAAATTTATTATGTCTTATACATGAATATAAACATTTAAAAAATCTTGTTACAAATCCGACAACAGCAAATACAACACCTGAACCAGTTGATCTGGATTTTGGTTGTGCATCATCACCATCAATTCAAGATTCAACTCATCATCTTACAAAAATGATGAATGCTACTTCAATAAATACATCAATTGATTCCAAAGTACATAAAAGATTATTTAAAGAAGTTATAGAAGATGAAGTTAAAATTGACACAAATCAAAATTTTGAAAATTCAATTAATTCACCAATAAATTATGATTCATCAAGTTTAAGTACATCAGTTTCAACTCCTTCAACAACAAATATATTATCAGAATTTGAAAAATTTATAAATATAGAAGAATCAACAGAACCTTTGAAAAAATGTAAAACAAATGATTCTATAAAGCTTAACACAGCAACAAATACATCAAATTCTAAATCAAGTTTAAAAAGTAAAAAATTTGCTCATTATAAGGATTTCCATAAATTAGATACAGAAGAAGATTCAGATTTAGATATAAATTTTGAAGAAGATGATGAAGAATATGAAGATAATTATGCAGAAGATCAAGATCATCCAGTATATTCCCCATCATCAATAATATCAACATCATCATCATCAACAAGATCATCAACATCATCATCATCAAATCCATCAAATTCACAAAATTATTTATCAACAACTACAACAAATGAAGAATTATTATCAAGAACAACATCACCATATAATTCAGATTTTGAAACTAATAGTTTAATGAGTACATTAACAAGATCAACTACAGTTTCTTCAATAAATACAGTAATTCATGAAAAACCTCAATTAAATATTCATTCTCAACCTTTTTCATTAAAAAAATTAAACACCAACAATAATTTTTTTGAATTACCTAAATTAAAAGAAGAAAATAATTATAATTTTAAATTTGATGAATTTATGATTGATTTTAATATAAATGATGATAAACAAAAAAATGAATTTAATAAAAAGGAAAATGAACAAAAAAAAATTGATGATGAATATAATATGATTACTGATATATTAGAAGAAAAATTAATGAATAATGAAATTAATTATTATGTTTCTGGATCAAATGAAAATGATATGATGAATATAGATTGGTAATGCGAGCGAAGCGAGCAAAGGCGAGCAAAGCGAGCTTTGTTAGTGGTTGTTAGTGGTTGATACTTTTTTATTTTTTATTTATTTATGATAGACAATTGGAAATTTTTTGAGGAATTATTAAAGATTTTTTTTTTACAGAAAAGAGATGAATTATGAAGTTATGTAAGTTGGATATATTGGATTTTTTGTTTATTTTGTTAATTGCTATTGCTTTTGTTTTAAAGTTTATTTTATGTGTTTGGTGCTTTTTTTTTTATTGTTATTAACTTTATTGATATATTATATATAATTTTATAAATGGTTTATATACTTTTTTTTTAATAAAAGTTATTGATGAATAAACATGTTTGAATCTTTGAAAATTTCTATATTGCTCTAGTATTCCATAGTGCAAACCATATTTCTTGAAATCTTAGAAAAAGACTTAATTTTTTCAATCTAGAGTGAAAACATACTATAGTGTTTGTTTTTTAATAAATAATTACAACTTTTATTGAAAATCTATATACCAAAAAATCTATCTATCTAATTTGAATTTTTTAATTCAGATTTAACCCAACCTTCTAATCCACCTTTAACAATAATATCTTGTAAATTAGTTCCTAATTCACCAACTTTTTGAGTTAAAACAATTTCACCATTTTCATCCGTTACAGTAACTAATGCCTTTGTAACATCCCATTTTAAAATCCAACCAGTTCTAATAGTTAATTCTTTATTATCTTTAAATTTATTTCTTAATTTATTGATTAAATTAGGAATTTCTAAAGTTAACAAAGCATTATTAATTGAATTTCTACTGAAAATATTACCAAATGATCCAGCTACAATTAATTTCATATTTTTAGCTAATATACAAGTTGCAGCTTGTTCTCTACTTGATCCTGTACCAAAATTATATCCACTTATTATAATATCATTTGGTTTTGCAATATTTTTAAATTGAGGATCATAATTTTCCATACATACTTCTGCCATTTGTTCACGAGTTATATCATCTTGATAAGTATATTTTCCTGGATATATACCATCTGTATTTATATTATCTTGATCACATAATAATAATTCTCCAACTATTTCAGTTGGGAAACCAGGTATAATATCAACTGCTGCATTTGAATCATCCTCAATTACGGAGCTTGTTGTGTCATTTGGAATTTCAATAGATTTAACAATTTCTTCAGCTTCAACAGGTTTCCCACCATTAATTTCTTCAGGTGATCCAATTTTTCCTAAAATAGCAGAAGCAGCAACAACTTCAGGTGAAGCTAAATAAGCTAAAGCATCTTTTGATCCCATTCTTCCCTTAAAATTTCTATTTGTTGCACTTATACCAATTTCTCCATCTTTTAATAATCCTGAACCTAATCCAATACATGGTCCACAACCTGCAGGTAATGGTTTTGCACCACTTTCTAATATGGTTTGCCATGCACCATCCAATTCAGCATCTTTTTGAACTAATGATGATGCTGCTGCAACATAAAATTCAACATCAGGATGAATTTTTTGATTTTTTAAAATTTTTGCAGCTGATTGAATATCTGATAATCTTGAATTTGTACAACTTACTAAATATGCTTTATTTATTTTAATTTCTTCTTTTGATAATTTTGATAATGGAGTTGAAATTTTAACTGAATTGGGACCTGATATATATGGTGATAAAGTATTTAAATCAATAGTTAAATGTTTTGCATATTTTGCATCATTATCCCCCTGTTCTTTATTATTTTTCAATGATTCAATAGTCTCTGTGTTAATTCTTGGATGATTTGAACCAACTTTTTTTAATCTTTCTTCATAAAATTCAATTAATTTATCATCTATTGGAAATAATCCACTTAATGCACCCCATTCAGTTGTCATATTAGCAATAGTTAATCTATAATCAATACTTAAATTCCTAATACCATCTCCAACAAATTCAATTGCATGATTTAATACTTCATCTTTATTAAATATTCCACATAATGTTACAATAATATCTTTACCAGTGACCCCCGCAGGTAAATTACCAATTAATTCAACTTTTGCAACTGGTGGGATTTGCCACCAAGTTTGACCAGTTGCCCATATAGAAGCAGCATCAGTTCTTACAATTGGAGTACCTAAACTTCCAATACCTCCATAAGTATTTGAATGAGAATCAGAAGCAACAGTTAAATTTAATGGGAAAGCATAACCTTCTTCAATCATAATTTGATGACCAATTCCTCTACCAGCAGGATAAAAATCTATCCCTTGTTCTCTGGCAAAATTTTCAATATTTGTATATTTGGTTAAATTTTTTTCACTTTTATTTTGAACATCATGATCTAACGTACATACAATTTGTTTATTATTTTTAACTTTTTTTGCTCCTAATCCCATAAATTTTGTTGCTACTGGCCATGAATTATCATGACTCATACAATGAGCTGGTTTTATTGTAACATAATCTCCACTATATACTTTTTTTCCATTTGGTAAATTTTGTGCATATTTTTGTACAATTTTTTCAGTTAAATTTTGACCTCTATTTCGTATTGATGTAGATGAGAATAATCTTGTGAATTGATTATTTATTCTCATCTTTGGTATTTTAGACTGGGTTATCAACCTTGTGCTGCTGTACGTTGTTTAATGGTTGGTTTAATTTGGTTGTAAAATGATATAATGGTTCAAAAACATAATACGATAAGATTTTTTTTTTTTTTTTCACATTTTTCATTACACAAAGACAAAAAAAAAGTTAAGCGCCAGTTATGAGTAATAATTTAATTTTCATTGGTAATCACTTACGTTGAAAGGATGAAGTATGATGTTATTACCAAGTCAATGCAAAAGAGCATATTAAAATCAAATAGCAAACTATCTGGTATCAATGCTTCAAAAACTTTATGAAAATTGCACAACAGATCTGATATCTGCATGGGTAGCCTACTAGTATCGATAATGAGTGACTTGTCGTAAATGTGTCAAATGTTAGGATTCTCGACATCCTCACATTTATATAAAAACCTGAAATATCTTCAAAACTTGAACCTTCAAAACTTGAACCTCAACATCAAACATGAGTTTCAAGACGTTATTGGAAAAGAGGTTACAAGTTACATGAAATGGCAAGTTTCAAAAAAGGCTTTCAAATTCTATGGAAATCGTGAAATTTTGGAAACGGAAAGGTAATGTATCAACGCGTCAAGACAACAATCCGAGAAATTATTGAAACAAGGAATATTATTTCAAGACAATATAGCAAAAGTTTCGTACTGGTTTAGGCTCATTTTGGGCCGTGACAACAAATTACTGTAGCAGATGGACCGTTTGAGATCGTATTAGTGCCATGGTAAAAGAGTTGTTCAGTTCAGTTTTTTGAAACTCAAATGTTATTCCTTATAATATTGAAGAGGTAAATTATTTGAACAACACTACAAACGTTCCTCAAGTAACCACCATCTGCTGCAACAGGTTGTTTGATTTTGATCCACAAAGCAGCGCTTTTTGAGACTTGATGAGTTTGAGACTTTTGCTATATAGCTTGTAATGAAGTTCCTTACTTAGTTAATTTGTCGTATTGTTGAAATTGGTTTGACATTTTGTTTGCATATACGTCTTCTCGGTGATTTTATATTTGAGAGTTTCGGTGCTCCATAACACATTTAAAACCTTAATCTTAATAAGTCTTTTTCATGAGAGCAAAGATGGAACTATTACGTATTTGTTTAGTGTTGTTATCTAGTAATGTTATGAAACAAAAGTTTGAAATCACCAAGAACTAATAGTTGCAAGTAATGAGATATTAAAATACAAATGACCAATTGAAAAACTCTTTTACAACACATTTAAAGGTCTGCTGTGGTTTTTAGATATTTAATAATTTGAAAGAAATAAAATCTATATAAATTCCTTATCTCTATATTTTAGGCTCTTTAAAATTTAATCTCATTTTCCAAACTTCAAAGAATCAAGTTCAGCCCATTGCTCTAACAAACACTTTAAGAGATGAATAAATAGTCAAGTTGTGATCTAAGTTAATTCAACTTTGAGTTACAATTGTAAGACAATAATAATTTTATTATCGTGTAATTTATTTATTTTTACGAATAATAAATTGAAGTGTTTTATAAATCAACTCATATTAAACTACAATCTGTAATAACTACATGACTGACAATCATAGATGTTAAATGAAGCTTTAGTTTTATTAGTAGCATCATCATATGTATTTGCAATTTATTATAGAGTTCCAATAGATCTTTTAAATAAAGATAGGAATGATTTTGATGTAATAAATTTTAGATTACAAAGAGTTACTAAATTATGTATCTTTTTGATTATAGCTGTACCATTAATCTACAAAGATAATATATTGGAAGATATTAAAAAAATAGGTTTAATACCAAATTATACCTTAAACAACAGTTTTGAACAAGACTTACAACATATTGGATTTAGTTTAAAATTTATATTAATATTATTTTCATCGTCTATTTTTCAAATTTTAATTGGAGATCAAGAATTAGATATTAAATCACCATTAATATATCCTTTCAGGGACTACATATTTGCACCAATAACAGAAGAAATCATATATAGAGGAATAATTTTATTAATTGTAAACAATCATTGTCCAAATTTTATAAAATATACTCCTTATTTATTTGGTATAGCTCATTTTCATCATGCTTTACAATTATATAAAAACAAAAGTTATTCTATTCAAAATATAATAATACTGACTTTATTTCAATTCTTATATACTTCAATATTTGGTTATTTATCAAATTGGATATATTTTAAATCAAATAATTTAATTTGTTGTATTTTAATTCATTCAATTTGTAATTTATTTGGTGTACCTAATTTACATTTAAATAATAGAGGTTTGCTATTGAATTTAATATATTATGGATTAATTGGGTATGGTTTGTATAATAGTTATTTAGTAATTAGTAACTCATGAAATTGAATGAAAAATGATAGCGGATTCCTACACTTAGGTTCTGATATCTCTCTATACAAATGATATTACTGTTATATATTATTCCGTTTAAAGTAATATATGCGGCTTTACTATTAAAACGCGTAATTCTATAGTCTATTGTTTATTTAAAATCTGATTACATAATAAATTGCAAATCAATTTTTTCTTTGTTGATTCGTTTAATTATTTACAACCAATTTAATTCTTCATTCAATTACCCTGTTACTCTAATAGCCAACCAATTTACTAACTACAACACTCGTTAATTCTCATCTTATAGCATTTAATGTATACACTCATTTAATACCTCATCTTCAAATAGCATTAGAACATGAATCATAAAAGATATGATGAAGCAGTTCAAAATTTAAATCATGAAAAATATTTATTAAATCAATTAAAAAGAAGATCAATAAATTTATTTGAAAATAATACAGAAACTGAATATTTTATATCTAATAATCACAATAATAACAACAATACGTTACATTTACCACAAGATAACGAAATTTATTATGATTGTAGTGAAGAAGATATTAATATAAATCAAGTTGAAGCATTATTAGAAAGAAAATTATCAAAAAAATCAAGAAAATCATGTTTATCAATAACAGATTCTGATTTAAGTCATAATAATAATAAAGAAAATAACGAAAATAATGATATAAACAATTTGAATATTTCATCACCTTCCATATCTCCAGAAAAAGATTCTATAAAATCTTCATTATCATCAACATCTTCAAATTCACATTCACCACTGAAAACCTCATCGAATAGAAATTCATGGTATAATAATAATAACAATAAAAGATTATCAACTGTATCTTTAAAAGAATTATCAACTGAACTAAAAAGAATTTCAAAAAATGAATCAGATCCTACTTTTTTATCAACTTCTGGATATACCAATATAGAACAACAAGCATATAAAGAATTAAATAATAATGGTGGCGCATTTATAGAAAATAGTAATAATGATCATATTCCATTTCCTTCAACAAATGAAAATTATAAAAGTAATATAGAACCACAAGATTCACCTTATACAAATGAATTTCAATTACGTCGTAGTAAAAATACTTTTAAATCAAGGAAACCTTCTGTAACTTCATCATCATCATCAACTCCAAATGAAAGTAACAAGTTACCTATGCAATTACACCCCGCGAATAACAATAAGTTACCACCAACAACTCTTTCGAAAAAACCAGAGGTGACATTACCTACTATACCAAATACAAGTTCCAAACAAAATCGTGATCCAAACTCTGCCCAATTCCATTATGATCAAAGACATTATAAGAACAACGAGCAGATGCCGCGTCAACAATATCAACATATTCAGCACAACCAACAGCATCTACAACAACAGCAACAGCAACAGCAACATCGACCTCTGCAACAACACCCTCAAGTGTATCCTAGTCAGAGACAAGTAAAATTACAACAGCATCTACAAAATCATCATTATTCGCAACAACAGCAACAAAATAACATTAAACAAAGACATTCACCAAAACAACAACATTCTCAGGCATTACCAACTAGACAACATTCAAACCTGCAATATCCCCAAATATATCCTCAACAACAAAAGTATCCACTGCATAGGCATCAAGTTCCATATCAACAACAGCATGTACCATCAAATAAACATCATCATAGGCCAGAACAACCTTCCAATGAATTCATACATCAACAACAACAGCAACAACATCAAAAAGGACCAATGCATGTCAAACAAAGTCAAAAGAGAATTCCATCAGCATCAAATACAAACATTAATGATTTTATGATCCAAACTCCAACAACAAAATCAAAGCATCGTCATAGACATCAAAAAGTAGAACCAGAACCGATTCAAAAAACCTACCCTCAACAAAGATCGCAACCACAACAATATATTCGTCAACAAACTCCTCAACATTATAATTATAACAATGGGATACCCCACAGATCACAACAATTGCATCAAAACTTGGATTTATTAAGATCAGAAATTAATGAATTTAAAGAAAGTTTAAGTAGATCAACTGATGATAGACCTGTGATGACAAATGATCAACATCATCAAAAATCTTTGCATTTAGATCAAACAAAAGAACCACTGCCACCTAAAAATCTTTCAAATTCAGATATTAGTTTTGATGTAAGTTATCAAGATTTATCAACTGATGATCCTTTGGGTATGGAGAAAGAAATTTCAAGAAGTTCTACTTCACCACCAATTTTCAATAATCAAGATTCTGAAAAAGTTAATAATGAGGAAAATATAACTAATAATAAGCAATCAACTCCTGAAACTTCGCCTAAAAAAGAATTTAGAATTGGTGTTCCTCTTCATCAATCACCATCACCTGAAAAAGAGAAAATATCACCAATTGAAGATAGTGAAGATGCATTTGTTTTACATTCTACTCCTCAAGTATCACCAGTTAAAGCTAAAATCAAATCACCTTCCCCACCACACATCGTTTCACCAGAAAAGAAAGAAATTCTAGAGGAACCTGAGATAAAACAATCAACACCTGAAGCAATTGCAAATCCATTAGATGAAGTTGATGATATTTTTGCCAATATTCCAACAGTTGATAATGACTTTTTAGATCTCAACGATGATGAAGATGAAGATGAAAATCATTACACAGAAAAAGTACAAATTATAAGAGAAAATGATTTAGAAATTTCTCCAAAATTCCAAGCATCACCTAAATATGAAAATATTGAATTATCTGATGATGATGATCAATTTGAAAAATCAAATTCATCAAGAAGATTATTATTTTTACAACAACAAAATGAATCAACTAATTCATCTATAAAAACAACTTCAAAAGCAACTAAAGTTAATACTAAATTATTTAACAAGGGAAGTGTTCAAATAATTGATTCAAATAATTATGAAGAAAAAATGGGATTAAAAAAGCATAAAAAACAAAATAGTCAAGAAGATAAATCATTAAAAAAGAAGAAAAGTTTTGGAATTTTATCAACATCATTATCACCATCAATATCAGAAAATATAGATGATAAAAAAATTTTAAAAAAGAAAAAAAGTTGGAATTGGTTAAGAGAAAGATCATCAAGTTTATCATCAATGGATTCAAATTCATCTTCATTAAATAATCAAATTCAACCATCAAATAATCAATCTAAACCAATTAGATCTTTTTCAAATCCTGAAACTTCTTCATCAAGTAATAACGAAGATTCAACGGGGTCAGATAAAGAAAATGCATTTTCAAGATTATTTAAAAAGAAATCAAAAATTAATTTAAATCATAATGATAAATTAAGAAATTCAACAGATTCAGAAAATAGTAATTCTGGTGTTACACTTGTTGAAGAGAAAATTCCAACTATTAAGAAAAAATCAAGTGGATTGTTTAAGAAAAGATCTAAAGCGAAATTGAATGAAACTGTAACTGATAATAAGCATGATCAAAAAACTGAACGAAATATTGAACAAAAAACTGAACCAGAAACTACTGAGAAGAAAGAATTATCAAGTATCCCAATGGAAGTATCAACTAAAATCCATCTGGCTTCTAAATTAAATAATCATATTGACTCAAACGAATTGGATATTGATAATGACCTCTTAGACAATGATGAAATATTAGATAAAAATGTGGATCTTGAAGAGAATACAATTCCAACGCCAATTGAAAAAGATGTTGAACCAACAATTGATAGTTTAGAGAAAGAAGAAATAACAAATGATCAAGTATCTATCAATGAAGTAAAACTAGATCTGTTAAAGAAAAATAAAAAGAATCGCCTCAAGAGAAATAAACTCCAAAAAGAATCAGAAAATAATGAACCTTCAATTCAAATCAAATCAAGAACGTCAAAGGAAGAAGAATTAAATCAAATTGAATCAACATCAAAACAAGAAGAAACAGAACCATCCACAACAGAAGTAGATTCAAAAAATAAATTAGATATTCAAGAAAAACTAAAAAAACAAATAAAGAGAACTTCAAAAGCAAATCAACCAATAGAATTTAGTGATTCTGCTTTTGGGTTCCCATTACCACCACCCTCACAATCTACAATTATAATGTTAGATTATAGGTTTCCGGTACATGTGGAAAGAGCAATTTATAGATTGTCTCATTTAAAACTAGCAAACCCTAAGAGATCATTGAGGGAACAAGTATTATTAAGTAATTTCATGTACTCATATTTGAATTTGATTGATCATACTTTACACATTGAACAAATGGAAAATAAAGAGGAAGAGGAGGAAGATCAAGGGGATAAGGAAAATAATAATAGTGATAATGATGATGATGAAAAACCTATACATAATAGAGAAAAATTAGATAATAATGATGAAAATTTAGAATTAGAAGAAGAAATAATTATTCCAAAAACAAGTTTAGAAATAAATGAAAATGATGATATTGAAGATAATAATGAAGATATTCAAGAATTTGAACAATTTGTTGAAGAAGAAGATATAGATTATTATGATAATGATGATAATGAAATTGAAGATGATTATGAAGATGATGAAGAAGATGATTATGATGATGATGATGATTTGGAAGTTGATAATCATAAGAAATTAAAGAATAGTGTTATTGTAATTGGTGGAAATTTAAATGACAAACCAGAAAGAAATAAAAGAAGAATTAAACGTAATAGAGGTACTAATATTAATGGTAGTAGTAATACTGGATTTTCTTCAAAAAATATAGTTAATAGGAATTATAATGATTCAAGAATTATTGCATAAATATTTAGAGTATATAAAAATTTAATGGACTTTTATTTACATTATATTTTTGATAAAGTTTCAACCGGGTAGAGATATGTAGAAACCTATCTGATTGCGTTAAAAAAACTTTGATTTTTCAAATTTAAAATTCTATATCTAGTTGTTGCATTCACTTGATCAAGCACTAATTTTTTGAATAAAACCTTATGTTATGACAAACCCTAAAGTTTCGTGATACTTATGTGTAAAATTGATGTTTGGATAAATTCCGTATCTATTTTATGCAATATCGTTGTAATCATAATTATGGCTGGTTTCTAGGGACTAGATAATAGTATTATCTCAAGTTCTCTTTAATTTAACAATTTATTAAAATAATGAAACTTAAAGTCGGTAAGTATAGTGATTATTTTTAGATTCCTGTTTTTTTCATTGTTTAATTACAAATTACATAAATTTGTAAAAAACATATTAAATATAATAATTGAAATTATTATTTTTTGTTTTGAAATTAAATTAAAATTTATCGGAAAAAAAACTCAAGAAGTCAATTTGGACAATTCTATAATTTTAAGGTTGAGCTTGCAACTACGTTACATTTTACAGGCGGAAGTCATATCCACTTCCTTGACGTTTATTGTTAGTTGATTCATGAGTCATGAATTTAAAAAAAATGAGTAGATTTAAATCAAATTCGGTGATTCAATTTACTACACGAAATGTTTCATAATACTTCAAATCAGTCAAAACGCACGTCGGTTGAATTACGAGATCTTCTTTTTATTTTTCCACGTCTTGGCAAATTGATTTTGATTCAAATTAAGGGGTCACAATATTTCGAAAAAAAATCAAACTTATACCGTCCGACTTTATTGGTAAGGTATCTACAAGCCATGATGAAAGAGATATGAGTGGTTTTATTAAAAGTAATTTTCTAAACTTAAAAGTGAAAAGACATGAGGAACTTTAAAATTTGAATTTGAATCAAGGATTTGATAAAGAACTTGATTTATTAAAGTTATTCTCTAGATTATTTATTTCATTTAAATAGAGCAGAAAGAAACTTTCTAGTAATGATGTTCATGAACTATTTTTTAAACTGATTCACTAGGATAAAAAATTTTTAATCAAACAAAGATCAAATGAATGGTATCGATGATGAATTAGCTTCCAAAAAGGAATTAAATAAAAAGCAAAAAACTTTTGCAATCAAAATTTTAGTAATTATTTATGCTTCATTTTTATTATTGCTCATTTATACTATTATAAATTTTCATTTCATTACTCAAAGAGTAAATGAGATTACTACTGAAATTTATGATATTCATGTTTCTGATAATCAATTTGAAAATACTGAAACAATACAACCATATATTTTTGCAAGAGACGATGATGATGCTTTAAATGTCATCGCAACGGATGTAGTTGACACTACAACAATAGATCTACTTGGAAACACAAATGCTATATCATTATCAGAAACCCAAATAAAAGTTATCAATTACAAACGCTCAATTAAAAATGATAAAAGATGGATTTGGTGGGCATTAGGATTAGCTATAAAAGTAGCAGAAACAGGAATTGCAATGTGGCAATTAATTGATCTGTGTCAGAAATTGGAGTGATGGGGGTAATACAGCAAAATCTGGTTGTATATATGGAGCATTATCTACTTTATTAACATTAGCAGGAGCTGGTTGGGCTGGATGGAATAAAGGTTCAGAAATTGTTGCTCAATTACAAATTATTTCTGCCTGGGTTGGAGCTGTTGGTAAAAGAGATTCAAATGATATTACTAAAACATTAACTTCTTTATTAGTTGTTCAAAATCAATTAACTAATTTCACTGGTTTACCTTATCAAATGCTTTTAGATGATAATCATAATACATTATATAGTTCTTATTATCAAGGTGCACCATTATTTTATTCAATAGATCATGCAGGTACCCCAATAATAGGAGGATTAAAATCTTGGAATAATGGATCTCATGATTTAATTAGTATATATCATAGTTTTATTTCTTATAACAATACAATGGGATTGAATAAATTTAAAAAAAGAGAAACTTTCAATGAACAAGATTTTACAAATGGAGTTATTGAAATGACTTTTTTATTTAATGATGAAGATCATGGAGTTTTATCAACAAATAATGATTATACTCAAATGGATGATGAAGTTGCTTGTGAATTTGGAGATTTAGGTAATAATATGTATGCTTTTCAAATTATTGATTTTAATAACGAAGGTACAATTTCAGGAGGGAATGTTAGAGCTTTTTCTGATCAACCTTATGGTGAAAGTGATATGGATATTCTTGAGGGGGATTTATGGCCTGAAAGTGATTGTGAAGTTGCAAAAAGAAAACTTTTAGTGTAAACTCTTACTTAAAGACTTTTTTGATACATAAATAAATACTATATATCTATGAAATCCTTCATTTTGATTTCACTTTTAAAATGGAAATCGTCTGTTATAAGATGAAAGTGTATAATTTCGTATCAATTCCAACATTTGATTGGAATATAGCTATGTAGAAAAGTAGTTATTTATAAAACTTTCAATTTTAAATTTTAGATTTCAAGAATTAACGATCGTTGAAACGATTAATTTAGGTCCAACAGAAAATATTTTCGTACGACAAATGCCTGAATTTATTGCGACCAATTTATTTATTTTAGGTCGAACAGACTGCTTCGGGATTAAGAAAATGTCAAAATCTTAAATCTCCTATACTTACGTAATACAGTAAGAGAAGATTACATAATCATCTCGTGTGAATTTCTTTTTTTTTTTCTCTCTTTAATTAAACTTAGCCTTTACTTAAAAAAAAAATAAATATACAAACAAATTTAAATCACATCATATTTTTCATTCAAACTAAACAAAACAAACAGAAAGACATACCACCAATTTAGCATTGTGTATAAATATAACACATCGACTTCAGTTTTTTAGACAACGGAATTACTCAATTTTCAACATAACTTACTAAACAATTAGTTACTCTTCATCACGGATTCTTCGCCATTTAATTCAACTACCCAGAATCAACAATCAATCATGAGTAGTCGATCATTACCATTAATATCTTCAACAGAAGTTAACAAACATAATACAGAAAAAGATTGTTGGGTTACATTATATCAAAGAAAAATTTATAATGTAACAGGATTTTTAAATGAACATCCAGGAGGAGGTGATATAATATTACCATATGCTGGAAAAGATATTACTGAAATAATGTCAGATATAATAAGTCATGAACATTCAGAAAGTGCTTATGAAATGTTAGATGATTCAATGTTAATTGGTTATATGGCTACTTCAATTGAAGAAGAAGAATTATTAAATAATAATAATAAAACACCAGTTGAAATGAAATTAAATTATACTGGTGAAATTCCCAGTGATGAACAAAATTATGATATGTATGAATTTCATGAAAATTTACCAACTTTAGAAAAATTATCTATACAAACTGATTTTGAAGAAGATGCTAAAAAGCATAAATTTTTAGATTTAAATAAACCATTATTAATGCAAATATTAAGATCTAATTTCTCAAAGGAATTTTATTTAGATCAAGTTCATAGACCAAGACATTATGGAAAAGGGTCAGCTCCATTATTTGGTAATTTTTTAGAACCTTTATCATTAACTCCATGGTGGGTTATACCAGTTGTATGGTTACCTCCAAATATGGCATTATTCTTTTATGGAGCTTATAATTTACCCTTTTTAACAGCAATAAGTTTTTGGATAATGGGGCTTTTTGTATGGACATTTGTTGAATATTGTTTACATAGATTTATTTTCCATTTAGATGGTTATTTACCAGATCATCCAATTTTTTTAACTTTACATTTTTTATTACATGGTATTCATCATTATTTACCAATGGATGGTTATAGATTAGTATTACCTCCAACATTATTTATAATATTAGCTTATCCATTTTATAAATTAATTTTCGCAATTTTTCCATTTTATATTGCTTGTGTTGGATTTGCTGGTGGTACTTTAGGTTATATAATGTATGATGTTACTCATTATGTTTTACATCATACTAAATTACCTGGTTTTTTACAAGATATAAAAACTTATCATTTAGAACATCATTATAAAAATTATGAAATGGGATTTGGTGTTACATCTCGATTCTGGGATGTGATATTCAATACTGAAATTGATAGTACTTATGAAAAAAGGAATTAAACACTTGTGTGTAGAGGTTTATAATAAATAGTAATAATTAATAATTCTTATTTTATAGTATACATTTCTATTAAATCTTTTCCATCCGCCTTGTGTCGTTTCAGTTTCGGTTCGTTATCATCAGTATTATCAGTTTCATTAGGCTCATTAGGTTCATCATTTTCGTCACTTTCATCACCATCACTTACGTTACTTTCATCACTTTCATCACTTTCATCACTTTCATCAATTTCGTCAATTTCAACATTTTCGTCATTTTCGTCCTTTTCAACATCTTCTTCATCTCCCTCACTTTCATCAATCAATTCACTCTCTTCCAACTCAGAATCATCATCCTTTTTTCTTTCCTTATCCAAACTTTCATTAAATCGTATTGTATTCTTTATATCCTTTAAAACAACATTATCAATTTCATTATTAATTTTATGATTTTTTAAATAAGTTTCAGATAATTCAAAATAATTCATTTGACCATTATATTGATAATAAGGAGTTAAAGAATACAAATATTTAACAACATCAAAACCATTATTTTCTGTAATTGCATCAGACGGTATTTCATCATTTTCAAATTTATATATATCTGAAGTTATATTTGAATTAAATAATTTTTCACAATTTACTAATAATTGTTTTGATGTCGTGATGGATTGTGAATTATTAATTAATGAAACTAACATAATTTTTAACCAATTTAATGGATAATTTTTTTTTCTATATTTTTTAAAAATTGTATTTAATAAATGATCAAATTTAGTTGATATTATATTAACTGTATTTAACATATTTTCATTATTTTCAAAATTTATATTATATTGTAAATTTTTATCTATTTTTCCTTCTTGTTTCAATTTAAAAATTTTTTGTTGAATTTTAGTTTGTAATATTGAATTTATTGAATTTTGTAAAACTTCTTTACCAGAAGGTACATTTTCAATATATTCAACATCAACAATCTTATTATTTGTGTTTAAGAAATATGCAGCTTCGTCCTTGCTATCTTCATCATCAGATTTATCTTCATTAACTTCGTCACTTATTTCACTATATATCTCTTCATCTTCATTGGCTTTCTCAATTGATTCATCCTCAACTTCCTCATCCAATTGTTTCTCCTCTTCTTCTTCTTTCTCGTTTTTCTTCCGTTTCTTAACATAATATGAATTAGTATCTTTTAATCGTTTAGATTTAAATCCATCCATATACTTTCCAAATTCCAATTCATATAATTTAAAATCTAAATTAATATCTTGAACTTTTGTTGAGTCATTACTATCTTCTATTAAATTATTCTCATAATTTTGTATAGGTATTGGTACTTGACTAAACAGTTTTGGCCAATTACTCCATTTATCTCTTGGAAAATTGGGGTTTATTCTTTTTAATAAAAAAGTTGAATATAAATGTAATGATAAATTTGTTAAATATTCTGATTCTAATGATTTTAAAATTTTATTTCGATCTTGTTTTTCTGACATATTTGATATTTTTCTATATTGATATTTTCTATATTGATATTTTCATTTTATGTTATTCAATAGTTTTAAGTATGTCCTTGTATTGTTAAATTGTGGTGATGATGCTTGTTTCAAAATTATATGTTTGTGTCGTTTTTTCAATTTTAGAGTTGATTAAAAAAAAATAAGTTCTGTTGTCGACGAAAACCTATTTAAATAAGTACGTTATCAAGGTAGTCATTGACTTTGATAATTTGAGTCAATGAGCTCTTTTTTGAAAACAACTCAAGGACATGCTATTCCAATGATTTAACAAGGTTTGCTGCTAGATAAAGAATTAAGACATACATCACAAGCAGATTAGAAAGTGTTTTTGACAAAAGCAAGCTAGAGAGCAGTCCATTAGAGTTGCTCAAAATATATCAGCTTTTTGTTCCGACTAAATACTACCATCACTCATTTTACCAAAAATCAAAACCAACTCCATTCAGATCCTGTGAACTGCTCAAAATTCATGCTTTGAATTGTGAAGAGTGAATGATTTGTTGTGATCAGAATCAATTTTTTAAGTCTCGATGAAATTGAAGTTGTTTGATGCTTCTCCTACAGCTTGGATCGGAATGTTGCCTGCAATTCCGCTGTGAAGGCAATAGTTATAAGCACTCATGAATGTACAGGAGCAGAGGCAAGAGCAGTTCACTAAATGAGAGAATTAGAAAATCTAGATGATATGATAGACGTATTTAGGTTCTTCCATTTAAGTTTAAATGAACCAATGAAGTAGACCCAAAGAGAGTAGCTCTTTTTTTTGGGGCGATATTGGAATTCTAATTCCGCAGTTTGGTAGACGAAAGCTGAAGTGAGAAGTGATTTTGCATTCTGTTCGTTCTGTGCAAATTAACTTTTGGGATCTGCTACTCTGAATCTTTCATCAACAATTCACACCTGAACTAGTCAAGTAGATACTAATATCCCACATAGAAAAGAGGTGTTAAACAGAGAATCATTTAATCATCTCGGAATACCGAAAGATGGAACAACAACACATCTTCATTGGTACAACTAATCTTGAACTATAGTCTTCTCAAAAAAATCACAATCAATATGGGACTATTCATATGTGCTGCATTCAGTTTAGAATAGCGGATATTTGTTGAGGTTTTAAGTACCATGTTTTGTAAGTTGTTGTTTGATCTTTTGGTCCTAGCAAATGATTCTCTATTTGGTGTTTCTTTTTCATGTTGAAAAATTGGGCATGAAACTAGACGATAACGGAGATTAAAACATTAAAATTTATAACAATTTACCAAATTGCGTATACTAGCACATGAAGATTCATCTCAGTGGCTCATGTCCACAAGTTACGGCATGTTAAACAAGCGGATCGAAATATCATTCATCTAAAGAATATCTCAGTGAATGATATTTTGATGCGCATGTGAAATCTTTAGATGAATGATATTTCGATCCGTGTAAGTAATATGCTTAACTTGTCGTCAAAACTACCACAGACACAATTAAGGAACTTCGAAATTGATTATTCAAATTATTTCAGAAAATGATTGTACAACTCCGAATAGAATTTTAATATGTTACAGATTAAATCTAATATCCCAGAAAAAACTCCTAGTTCTTTAGCAAATGGTAAAATTTCAACAAATGCCTCAAAACAAGATGATGTAGAACAGGATGCAGAAGTTAATCTTACACAGGAAAAGAAGAAGATAATGACGAAAAAAGTTAGCCAGAACGATAGATGCATTTCAATTGTGGATCAAAAAAGTCTAATAAGAGACTGATCTTTTGTTCTTGTAAGTGTTAGACACGATCAAGGTTTAACTCACAATCTTAGAAAAAAAATCAAGAAGTGCTACTAGAGAGTCGAATTTATCTGATCTCACACCTCAATCTCAGTAACATTCTTCCGGAAACTATACTCCTAATATCAGAGGAAGAATTGTAAAAACATAGTTTAAGACACAATGTGCATCACAGTGTTGGGGTTTTTAGATGCTTACAATTGATACTTAGAATATTATTTATTAACCAAAAGAAGCAAAAAAAATTACAAATGATAAGACCTGGTGCTATAAGGACAAGATCAATCACCCAATAAAAATTATTATGCATTAAAACAATAGTATTGTCTCTATAAACTAATCTATGAACTAAAATAAAATAAAATAAATAAACTACAATATTAGCATCGAGAAAATTAATTAACCTAGTCGCTCCCACTGACAATTCCATCATTTGTACTCTCAACCGATTCGTCATTAATCTTTTTCTCATCATCCATAGCTTCTTCCATTAATTTTTTCCTTTTCTTTTTTTCTTCATCTGCAACTGTAAAATTTTTTAATATAAATTCATCAGCAACATCACCATCTAATTTAGCCAATTCATCTTTTGGTATAATTAATGGCCAAATCCATTTTGCACAAAATGCTAAAATTAATAAAACTCCTGGAAATCCAACTGCTCCTTTTGTTAAAGTTATTACAAATTCTGCAACTCCTCCAATAACTTCTAGCACAGTATATATATAAAACCATTTCTTAGTTTTTAATTTATATATATCTTTCCATATTTGTGGACATGTTGGATCATTTGCAATATAATTTTTATCTAAAAAAATATATCTTATTCTATTTGTAACTATATTTCCATGTAATCCAGATATTGCCATTATAAAAAATAATCCAGATAATACTGCTTGTGGTACTAAACCTAATACCACCAAAAATGGTCTTGACATCATAACAAATGTCATTGCTCCTTGTAAAGTATTTGTAACTCTTTGTTCAACAACTGATAAAGGTTTCCCATATTTATCATAAACAACTAAAGAATCAGTATGTAAAGGAGCTTGAGGTATTAAACCATTTGGTGGTGGTAAACCCATAATTCCTGCAAATCCAGTAGTTAATCCTAATAATAAAAAATCCCAATGAAAAGAAGCAGGTTTTGTTAATGGATATTCTTTTGATTGACACATTAATGAACTTACATTATGATCAAAATAAAATAAAAAAGTTAATAATATAGCAAATGGTATAGCTAAAAATACATCTCCTACATCAATATTTTCTCCTGGCCAAAAATGTATAAACCATCCATGAGGTCTTTCAATTCCTGATTTTGTTGGTTGAAAAGATTGAGTAATTGGTAATTTTGCTAAATTTGTTTTTGATAATTTCCCACCAAAATGTATGAAACCAGTAAAAAATATAACTGATGCAACAACTCCATAATCAACAAATACTTTTCTTGTCCAAGGTTTAAAATAATGTAAATTATTACCAAATATATTTGATCCAACTCCACATATAACCATTAATAATGCAATCATAACTGAACAATAACCACTTGCTAAATCAACTTTATCAAATTGATTAGTTAAAATTTGTATACCCTTTTGAATATAAACCATATTTATAAAAAATCCAAAAATATCACAACTATATAAACTTATAATTTTCATCCATGATATATAATTTCCAACTGCAATTATAATATGAAAAATCATTGACCATAAATAAATCCAACACATAAAAGGAAAATATGGTGTACCTCTAGGAGTTATAATTTCAAAAACAGTATAACTAAAAATTGAAATTGGACCAGTAACTCCAACAATACATAAAGGTTGACCACTAAATAATCCAAATATAACACCAGCTAAAGCACTTGACATTAATACTTCATTTACTCCATACATATCTCCAGTTTTATCAAACATATCTTGAGCAAAAGCAATAGCAGGTAATAAATTTGCAAAAAATATAAATGTTGTACTTGGTATAACTCTATAATTCCAAGCATCTTTAAAATCCGATTTATAATACGGTAGTCTTGTTTTTATATCATGATATATTCCATAACCAAAATAATTAAAATGTCGAAATGATAATCCCATTGTTGTGGAGGATATTTGATGAAATGTGTTTGAAGGGTAGGTAAGGTTTTAAGTTGAATTGGTACGTGACTTTAAAATGTTTGAAGTTGTTTTGATCGGTGAATGTGTCCTTAGTTGATGAGTCTGTGTGACTTAGTATAGTGAGTCTATGATCAGCTCGTAATCGATTGATTCTGTCAGTCTATTTTACTTCAGCTAGTACTGAAAGTATTATCTATTTATTGTTCCCAGGAACCTTTTTGTCTTCTTATCTTTTATGTTAATTGAAATGTTTAGCCTTTTAATCAGCCTTAGTTTGATATAGATATAGATTTAATCTAGGTTATGATTCTACTAAAATATTTATTTTAGACTTACATGTATGATATAATGATTATGTAATAAGTAGCTTATTCTTATGTAATTTATTACATAATATTTTTACTTTTTTTCTTGGCATAAATCAAAATTAACATTCAGCCTAAGAAGTTCAATAGCAAACAAAGATTCGATTAAAGATTAAGACGAATTACTTAAAATTCAGGCAAAATAGTTTATTATTTGGTCTGCAACGTGGTCTTTGATTTCATGGGTAATTAATCAATAAAGTTTTCGTAATTTTTAATTTAAGTTTTGGTAAGGGAGCTACACTGAGTTTGTGCATTAAATTAGCCTCGTAAATGATATCTTCCCAAGACAATTTATGGATTAAAGCTTTGAGATCAATTCATTGGAATCGGCAATTGAAATATATATGAATTATTGGTATGAACTTTGAGTTTAGGAAAGAACTGGGTAGAGTCGAAATAAAAAAGATCAGCTAATTTTGACCCAAGGACGAAAGACCAATCATTGAATGTAGGATTACATGTTATAATATTACTAAATTTCAATCATGGGTGAGTACTAGCCTTGGATCAAAATTTAACTCATTTTCATTATATGAAGACCACGGGGTTTGATATGAAAATTATACATATACACTCCTGCATATAAAATTATTACTAAATAGCAAATCCCGACCAAAGAATTTCGGTGATTGAAAATTCTTAACATCATAAATATAGACTAATTTTAATATGTTCAACTGAGTGGTCCCAAATTACTATCTCCATCCAATTTTCAAGGAAGATAAACATATGCCAACACTTACACCGTGGTAGCGTCGCCGCGATTTCAATTAACAAAACTAAACAATTTTTAATAGTTGAATCAGATTACTTGTACATCTACTTGTGATTTTGAGCAGCTTCTGAAATTAGATCAAAAAAAGATTGAAAAATGTACAATGAGTTTTGAACAAATTGATACATTGTTTGGCTATGTCAACTCTAATCGCCGCGACGCTATCACCGTGTCTGTTATTGTATCGTTCATCGATCGTTATGTAATCAACAATTAAGACAATTGAGCCTAAATGATTGCTATAACTTCCAAACTTTACCTTAAAAACGTATTGAATGACCCCTATTGTATGACGTTAGAATATCCTCAAGTTAAGCACATGGTCCCTGAAGGTTGTCTTCCCTTCATTGAATGTAAAAGAAAAGTGGGATTCTTAACGTTCAAGTCTATTTTATCTTTTTTTTTGTTTGGGAAATTTGACGGGTATAAATACACGAATTTCAAAAGAATAAAATTTACTCAATTTTCCCTGATTTGGGAACCAAAATTTTCTTGTGAACGTATGACGTGTTTGTAAGTAAATTTGTAGTGCATCGGTTATTGAAAAAATTGTTATGCTGAAGATTTGGAAAATTTTGGAAAAAACAGTTTCAAGTATTACTTACAACTACTTACAATGCAATTACAACGCGTCTATTAGGTTGAGATATATTCCAAGAATTTGAAGAAGGTAGTTCACGAGATGCACAGGTTCATGAATATCATTATTGTTTAATTAAACACGTCTTGTACATACAAATTATAAAATGGATAAATACTAGATAGGCAATGGTTGTAATGCCTTTTATTGAAAATCTTTCATAACAGAAAATGGATATCATTACATTCTAGCACTATTTGCTAAATTTACCAAACTTGCACTTTCCATCGTAGTATTAAAGTGATAACTACTTAAGGTTGGGCATAATTTTCGGTCGAAGAAAGATTCTAACTCCATGAACTAACTGAAGAGATTAAAACGATGTTGATTTAATACCTATTCCTGGTTAGAATTTTTTAGTGAGTACGAGTTGAACTACGTTTTACTTTATCATATTCAACGGGGGACATGAATTAAGCTCTATCGATCGACGGATCAGATATATGAGGCTTGCTAGCTTGGGGCATTTTGGTTTCTTGCAAAACCAAAATAAGTCAAGTATAAGCATCAAGCAAAATTCCTTAAATCGGTATTGCAAGCGATTTATCCACGGGAATAACTGCTTGAAATTGTGAAAATTGAGTATGATAAACTGAAGTGTTAGGTACTTCCACAAGTAACTCTCTAAAGAATTCTGACCAGAAATGAGTACCGAATCTAACATCGTTGTCATTATTGATTATTTACTTTGCCTTTGTTTTTTCCTTATTTTGGAATTCGAAGTTTAACAAGTGCCATCTTATATGATCTTGTTTATCTTGTTTAAATAAAACTTCGGGACTGTTTTTACAAAATCGCTAAAACTAACTACAGAATTAACCCTTGAATTATTTAATTATGTCGTAACTTCATTTACATTTATTGAACTATAAGATAGGTAAGTTTTCATTATCGCTATATAACTAAACTAAACTATCTAATGCAATTTTTTCAAATTTACTTAGAAATTGAGAACTATTTAACTTATTAATTTCTAAAGCTCTTTTTAATAAATCATTTGTTATTGGATCTAAAGGTTGTAAAGCTAAAGAATCATTAAAATTTTCAATAGCTTCAAAACAATTGCCCAATTTTAAATTTATTAATCCAATTGATGTTAAAATATTTGAATCATTTTTTATAGTTGTATATGAAGCAGATGAAGATTTTGATAAAATTGAATTTAAACAATCTAAAGCTTTATAAGGTTGATTTGATTTTCTATATACATGACCTAAATTTGTATTTATTGATATCCAAGTTTTTGAATTTAAATTAATTAAATTTTGAGATTTTATTAAAGCTTGATGTAAAAAAAATTCTGCTTTTTCAAATTGATTTTTATGAAAATATAATACTCCAATTTCATTTAATAATAAAGGATCTTCATTACAAATTTCATAAGATAACATTAAATATTCTTCTGATAAATTTAAATTATTCATTTGTAAATGTTGCATACCTAAAAATAAATTAGGTAAATGAGTACCAGGAAATAATCTTGAAGCAAAAGCATATGCTGATATTGCTTGTTCATGTTCACCTTCTGCTGCAAAAGTATGTGCAAATCCAATCCAAGCTTGCCCAAAATTGGGGTTCATTATAGTAGCTTTATTAAAAAATTTCCTAGCCTCTATAATTTTATTTATTGATAAATAATATGTTCCAATAGCTAACCAAGTATATGCCAGATTTGGATGATGTTCAACTAATTGATGACTTTTATAAAATAATTTATTTCTACCACCTAGTTCATATAAACAACTTAAATAATTAGGTAGTATATCAAAATTATATTTATCTTTTTGAAAAACTTTTTCACAAACTAATAAACAATCATCAAATTCACATTGAATATATAAATAATCCAGTTGACTAATTAATAAATCTATATTATTATTTAAATCATATTCATCTTTTAAAATCATTTCAGCTTCATTAAATTTATCAATATTTAAATATTTATTTAATTTTGTTGTGTAAAGTAGTTTTATTAATTCATCATTATTATCCATTTCTCTAAAATTTAATTGGGTTGTTACAAATTCCCATTCTTCCTTGGGGGTCATAAAATTATTTGATATTAACTCATTAAATGCTTCATAACATTTAACATCTACTAATAATGCTTCTTTATAACATTCTTTTGCTCTTTCAAAATTATTTTGAGCAGAATAAATTAATCCACGAAGATAACACATTGAAGATTCTAATTTTACACCTCCATCATCATTTTTAATTTTATCAATTGATTCAAATGGATTAATTTCTCCAATTATATCTAATGCTTCATCATACATTTCTAATTTTATTAAACTAAATCCTGCCAAATATCTACATATAATACTTGAAGAAAATTCTTCATTTGAAAGTATTAATTCTTTACATCTTAAAAAATTTCCTTGATTAAAAAATACTTGAGCTAACCAAAATGCATCATTTGAATCATTTGTTAAATCTAAAATTTTATCACCTAAAAATTCAGCTGTTTTGTATTGATGTTGCATTATGGCATCATGTCTCCATAATCTTAATTTTTCAATTGGTGTTAAATATAAATCTGGTTGATTTGGTAAAGAATCATCACTTTTATTTATTAAATTATTTGAAGTTTTATCTAGGTTGAAAAACAGTGATGAATTATTATGATTATTATTAATTGATGATCCTGGAGTTTCAAATAATTTTTGTTGATTATGAATTTTTGAAGTTGATATTGATGGATTTGGTGGAGTTTTGAAAATTTCTTTCTTCCGATTTAACATTGGAGATATGAATAGGGTGGAGTTGTGCTGTTGTGGTGTTTTCTGATTTTGCACCATTTTGAAACATAAGTTATCTTATTCGATTTATCATTCAATTGCCACTTTTCAACCTTTGGTGATCTGATCTTGATATCTGGAGTTTATTTATTTTACAATGGTCATGATTACGCGCATAGAATGTTACACAAAATGAGCTATTCATTTTACGCGTTGCGCTTAAATTTAAACGCATACAAAATATTAAGAGAAGCTCATCACTACTATTTGCAGTTTTAGTATCAAATCGACTCTATAAGATGTCGGAATCAAAACCAAAGAAAGTGATAAAATCAGCATTAAAGGGTAGCATTTCACAAATTGAAACAACAGTAGACACAGTCGAACAATCCTCCTCAAAAAACATTCAATTTAGAATATTTGTTGGATCTTATGAACATAATCTTCTATGTCTTTCAGTGATATTAGATCCTACAAACACAAAAGAACCTGTTTTTCAACCAATTTTCCATTTTCAAGCTCATTCATTGTCTATTAAAACTATCGACTTAGCTAAACGATATTTAGTGACTGGATCAAATGATGAACATATTAGAATATATGATTTACAAAAAAGAAAAGAGTTAGGAACTTTATTAAGTCATCAAGGAACAATAACAGCTTTAAAATTTTCAAAAGAAGTCGATTCAACGACAGATTCCTCAACAAGTGATAATTTACATTCTGGAAAATGGCTCTTATCTGGATCAGAAGATGGGAAAATAATAATATGGAGAACAAAAGATTGGGAAATTTTTGCAACTTTAAAAGGTCATACTAAAAGAATAAATGATTTAGCTATTCATCCACTGGGGAAAGTAGCAATAAGTGTAAGTGATGATCAAACTATAAGATTATGGAATTTATTAACTGGAAAAAAAGCAAGTGTTTTAAAATTAAAAGGTAAAGATCATTTAGGTCAATCTGGACAATTTGTAAAATGGTCAATTGATGGTCAATATTTCATAGTAGGATTACTTAATCAAATTTTATTTTATAAAACATCAAATGGGAAAATATTTAAGAAATTGAAGTTTAAATCAACTATTATGAGTATGGAAATTTTAAAATATAATGATGGTAAAGATGATATAGATGAGTGGTTAGTTATTGGATTAGGTGATGGATCAATTGGGTTTTACGATTTCAAATCAATAATTGACAGCAAAACTGAAGAAGATGAAGAAGAAAAATTGTGGGATAGTAAACCTGAAGAAATCGAACCAATTTTCAAATTACAAGGTCATACAAACAGAATCAAAAATTTTTATTTTTTACAATCTCCTATCACAGACAATATCCCAATACTATCATCAGTTTCATCTGATGGTAAGATTGTAATTTGGAATTTAAAAATACGTGATCAAGTTGCAATTTATGATACCGGTGAAAGATTAAATTGTATAGTTTGTGCTCCTGAACATATTGAAAAATTAGAAACAATGAAACGAAGAATTGAAGAAACTCCTTTAGACGTCAGTGAATCCGAATATGAGACAGATGGTGAAGAAATTTCTAAGATAATGAATGGATCAAAAAAGCAAAATAAAAAGAATAAAAAATTGAAAAATAAAAATAAGAAAAGAAAGGTTAATGTGACATTAGAATAAATTAATATATAAAGTTAGTATTAGCTTATAATCTTTCAACGTTTTTTTCAAATAATTGTTTTGCTCTTACCCATACAGATGCAGTATCTCTTTCTGGTAATTGTAATAAACTTGGAATTAAATCTTTTGAAAATGATTCTGAAGCTTCTCTTGGTAATAAACTTGGTAAATGATCAATTGAACATACTGATAATTTTGGACCTTTAGTTAAACCTGATACTTCAACAGTTGGAGAATCAAAAGTTGTTGCAATATCATATACAGGAATTGGATTATTTGGATTAGTAGTATCTGCACTTACATCAACAATTGTAGTTAATTTTCTATCATCAACATTTAAAGTTTCTAAATTAATAAAAGGTGGAATTTTTGCAGATAAATAAATACAATTTATAAAAATATTTGTATCAACAATTTCTTTAAATGGACCACCTTTTGAAGTTTCTTGAATATCCCATTTAGCAATATTTGAATCTGGAATTCCAACTTTTTTAAAAAAACTAATAGCTCCTGAACCACATCTACCTAATGCACCAATAACTAAAGTTGTTGGATATTTACCTCCATTTTTCTCCAAAGCTTTTGATAATTGAGATTTAACATAATCAATTAATTCATTTTCATTAGGATATGGAGTAACACCTGGTAAATTTTTTGAATCATCATTTAATTGTTTAAAACTCCAATCTAATACACCAATTGCTGCACCTGCAAAACCAGCATAAAATCCAAATGCTGCAACTCTTCTACCTTGTTCATTTTCTAAAAATTCTAAATCATATAAAGTACCTTTACCATCTGGAAATCTTTTTAATACTTTTTCCCAACCATTTTGATTTTTATAACAATGAGCAAATTGTATATGTTCATGAATTAATGGGAAAGTATCTGTTTCAGGTAATTCTTTTAATCCAAATATTATTCTTTCTTTTGGTGCATCAACCCATGATCCTTCAGGTACTATTTCTGCTCCAACTTTTTCATATTCATCTATATTAAAGGTTGATTGACTACTTTTTTCAACATAAACTTTAAAACCTGCATCAATTAATTGTTTTGTAGTAGTTGGAGTTAAAGCGGCTCTTGCCTCTAATGGTTTTGTTTCAGCTCTTAAATGTAATATTACTGGATTTGTACTCATTCTTATGTGAATTTGTTAATTTGTTATATCAATTGATTGATGTTTTGTATAAAAAATAACTTACGAATGAACTGATAATTTATAAATTTTTCATCTACAGTATGACATAATAGATCTCCCCGTAATAATTTTTTTCATCTGAGTCAACGCGGCAAACTTTTCATCTTACTAAGTAAAGTTAGTCATAATTTATCAATGACAGTTTTATATGTTTCATGAAATTGACTTCAAATAAAATGTAAAAAATGGGTGCAAAAAATTTTTAAACACTGTATAAAGTTCTACATCTCTAAATACTTCATAAAATAGGATTAAGATTGTTCAAGTAGTAATTTAAAATCCATTTGACCAATGTTTTTGACGTATTCTAAAACAATATTTTTCATCTTTAATTCAGCTTCATTATTCCATTGTTCATTTTCGATAGAAAAACAATCACTATATTGTTTGAATAATTTTTTAATACTGGCTATTTCTGATTCATTATCAATCATTTTGTTTTCAATAGCTTTTTCAAAAAGTAACCAAGCAAAATTTTTATCATTGTTAGCTAAAAAACCCAAAATTATCGATCTAGTAAGAAGACCCTTTTGTGAATTACCAGATTCGTTCACTTTACTAGAAAGTTCAGGAACATAATGATTATACAGTTTCAATCCATCATCAACATTAAAATAAGACCTTAATATAACCAAAATTTGTAATAATTGAACAGTTATAGTTGAAGGAAGTAAAGTATCAGCAATCTTTTTATCAATTTCTGAATTTTTCAAAATTGCTAAATAAGCATAACTTTTCACTATTGAAAACATGACATTATCTATTCCATATTTTGCTTTTGATTCATATTCATGATATTTTAGTAATAATTCCTCTGTATCCTTTTGTATAATCCCATAATTTTCAATGATTAATTTTCTCAATGGTAAATTCTCAGATTTTAAATCAATTGTCGAGTCATTGATATAATGTGTTATAGCTTCACTTAGTTCTTCGACATTTTGGTTGAAATTTTGCTTTTTGTTGCCAGTACTTGGATCTGTATCATTGTTTATGATATATAACGCGATTGTATAGTCTGAATCACCTATAGAATCTGGATTAGTTCTGAAGATCTTTTTAAAGTATTGTATATATGAAAATTTAATTAATGGCGAGTCAATAGTTTTATCATTGTCTTTCAAATTTGATCGTAAAACATTGAACATTAAATCTTGGTTTAAGTTTGAACCTGTCAAGAAATGATTCAATTCAGACACATCTCCATTCTTGATTAATTTTTTAAACAAATCGTTGGCTAAATTAAATTCAATTCCATCGTAAACTCCATATTTGTTCATAAATTCAAGAATGAATTCAATTGAAGAAAAATCATTACTTGAATCTTCTTGGTTTATAAAATTTGAAATTAATTTATGCAATATTTGTTTTTTCGTTTCTGAATTTTCTTTTGAATTTGATAATGATGCATGATTTTTCAATATTTCTGGATTTGTTACAACTCTTTCAGGATTTAATTGAATAAAATGATTTAACAATAGGTCATTTTCAATCTTGGGGTATTCATTAATATACTTGAAAAATGTTGAAAAATTAGGAATTAAATGTTCTAAAAATTCTAATTTGTCTTTGTTTGAAGAATTCACAATTAAGTTTATTAATTTAACTTTGTCTTTCTCATACTTTGGTTTGTCTTGTACTTCTTCCTTTGATAACTCATGAGTAAGATCACTTAAACTTAATTTATTCACATCTTGATCTAAAAGATTTGAGATTTGTCTCTTACAAAAAATATTCTTACTGCTCAAAGCAAACCCAGATCTATAATTCATCTTATTAGTCGTTGTAGCATTAGGAAAAAAGTAAGTATATTAGGAGGATGTCCTATATCTTATATAGAATCAGTGGATGTTTAGAGAACAAATTCTAGAAATCCGATCAGATCTTTGCTACCATTTTCGGAATGTTGCAAAATTTAAAACTCCGATCAAATAAAGTAATAGTCTAGATATTGAAATCTAAAGTTCGATAATTGTGACTACCATTCATTCATAAGCTTGCTTAATTGACAATTAAGCATTCCACAGAGCTTAAATCAGATAATAAAAGACTACTCCAAATTTACCAAAGTAACAAAATCAGCTGAAACCTTTAAATAGCAAGTATATGTCAGAAACAGATTTTTCAAGTTCCAAATCACTATTCCTAGGCTTTGACTTATCGACTCAACAGCTCAAGATAATTGTTACAAATGAGGATTTGAAAGCATTGAAAACTTATAATGTTGAATTTGATTCTCAATTTAAAGAAAAGTATAAAGTTTATAAAGGTGTAATCACACCAGGTGATGATGGAGAAATTGTAAGTCCTGTTGCAATGTGGTTAGATGCAATTGATTTCTTAATGGATAAAATGTTGAAAGATAAATTTCCATTTGATAAAGTGATTGGAATTTCAGGATCTGGTCAACAACATGGTTCAGTTTATTGGTCCGAGGAAGCTGACAAATTATTAAAAAATTTAGATCCTAAAAAGGACTTGAGTGAACAATTACAAAAAGCATTTTCTTGGGAGATGTCACCCAATTGGCAAGATCATTCTACAATTCCAGAAGCTAATGCATTTCATAAAGCTGTTGGAGGTAAGGAAAATTTAGCTAAAATAACAGGTTCTAGAGCTCATTTAAGATTTACTGGTTTACAAATTAGAAAATTTGTGACAAGATCTCATCAAAAAGAGTATGCTCATACTTCAAGAATTTCTTTAGTAAGTTCTTTTGTGACTAGTATCTTGTTAGGAAAAATAGATGATATTGAACAAAGTGATGGTTGTGGAATGAATTTATATGATATTGAAAAATCACAATATGATGATGAGTTATTAGCCGTTGCAGCGGGTGTGCATACTACTTTGGATCACCCTGAATCAAAGCAATACCAACAAGATAAAATTGAAGAGTTAAAGCAAAAATTAGGTAAAATAAAACCAATTACATATGAATCATCAGGACCAATTTCAAATTACTTTACCGAAAAATATGGATTCAGTTCAAAATGTAAAATATATTCATTCACTGGTGATAATTTAGCTACTATACTCTCCTTACCATTACAACCAAATGATTGTTTAATTTCATTAGGTACTTCAACAACAGTTTTATTAATCACTCAAAATTATAATCCATCTTCACAATATCATTTATTTGATCATCCTACTATGCCAAAACATTACATGGGTATGATTTGTTATTCAAATGGATCAGTTGCTAGAGAGAAAATAAGAGATGAAGTTAATAAAAAGTATGAAGTTAAGGATCATACAAATTGGTCTAAATTTGATGAAATTTTAGAACAAAGTGAGGGTAAACCATTTGATGATAAATTGGGAATATATTTTCCAATTGGTGAAATAGTACCTCAAGCTCCAGCTCAAACAATAAGGGCGGTGTTACTGAAAGACTCTGAACAATACAAGGTAAAAAAGTGCAAATTAGACACAGATGGTTTCACGGTGGATGATGATGCTTTAGCAATAGTAGAAAGTCAAACATTGAGTTGTAGATTGAGATCAGGTCCAATGTTGAGTAAATCATCTGTAAGTCAAAAAGATTCAAAAGATACAAAAGAATACGAAGAAATATATGATAAAGTTAATAAGAAATTTGGTAAATTATATACCGACGGTAAAGAACAAACTCGTGATAGTCTTTTAGCAAGACCAAATAAATGTTATTACGTAGGAGGTGCATCAAATAATCAAAACATAATTAATAAAATGGGTAGTATATTGGGCCCAGTAGAAGGAAATTATAAAGTAGAAATACCAAATGCTTGTGCATTAGGAGGAGCCTATAAAGCAAGCTGGAGCCATGAATGTGAAACTCAAAATAAACACATTCCATATGATGAATATATCAAGAAATTATTCGATGTGAATCAAGAATTAGAAAGTTTCAAAGTTGTTGATCAATGGATTGAATATTTTGATGGTGTTGGAATGTTGGCCAAGATGGAAGAAGAACTTTTGGTAAGCGATGATTAAGATTTCGTATAGACGATAGATTAAATAGACCCTTATAGACTTAGATTTGATTTACACCTTATTCTTGTATTAAAAGCTACTCAAATTATATCTTAATATTCAACCACTCAATGGAAGAATTAGATTGAAACCAAAAATTAGGAGCGACAATCAATACTAATATTATAAATTGAATACCAAAAGCAATCGATAAATATAGTAATGAATTCGTTATTAACCCAATTAATAAAGATATGAAAATATTACTTATTGATGCAACTTGAATAATTTTATTAACTTGAGGTTGATTTGGAATTGTTACTGGGAATTCAAACTTAGATATTATTTCATCCATCTTGTTGTGATTTGTAATAATTGATTGCTGATGTTATGGAAGGTTTGGTACAAATTGCAGAAATCAATAGACTACTACCTTAAGGATACACGTAAATCTTGAAATTCACTTAAAAAGTCAATGTCGCAAAGTCAATGTCTTGAATGATATTTAATGACTACTATGTGGCTAAAGTAAATTTTTCGAATTTTTCAAAAACCGTTGTGGTTCTCAGTCTAAATTTTCCATTTCTCGTACGGCAATTTTCATAACAGATTTCCGCTAAATCAGTGAAAATATTGAACTACAAACCAGTTAAATAAATCACTCCTTGTTTTCACCACTTCCACATTCGTTTATCCAACCAAAGTTGCCCTTACTCAACCACCAAATGTCAAAAAAACAAGTTTTATTTGTCGGAGAGTTAAATAAGTCTCTACCACAATACAAAGAGTTTCAAGAGAAATATGAATGCATAGACTATACAATTATATCAAGGGATCAACTTTTACTAGATCTTTATACAAAATATAAGGATATATACGCAATATATGGTGCATGGTTGGGCTTTATGCAAATTGGAGGCTTTCGTGAAATTTTGAAATACTATAAACCTAAAAATTTAAAAATCATTTCATATTGTTCGGTAGGATATGATCATATTGATGCTAAAGCTCTATCTAAAAAAGATATTGTAATGACCAACGTACCAAGTGATGGTGCTGCATTACCTGTTGCTGACTTGGTATTATTTTTGACTATAACAAGTTTCAGACAATTTCAAATGTACTCAAACCAGTACACTAAAGTACCTTACACAATACAATTGAGGTATAGACTAGCAAATGAACCATTCGACAAAGAACAAGGAGAAGTCAAATTGAAGCCAAATGGCGTCATAGGATATGATTTTGGAGAATACTTGAATAAGAGACCAAATTTAAACCCTCTGGGACATAGAGTAGTGATAATTGGATTCGGACAAATAGGTAAATTGATAGGTTTGAAATTGTCCCAATTAGGCATGCAAGTCACATATATTAAAAGAAATAAATTAAAGAGTGAAGAGGAAAGTAAACTCGATTACAAAGCTACTTATGCTTCTTCCTTAAATGAGGCTATTGATCAAGGAAAAGTAGATTTAATAGTTATTGCATGTCCACTAACACATGAAACTCATCATTTACTTAACTCAGAAATAATTGATAAAATACCAAATCCATTTAGAATTATCAATATTGGAAGAGGTCCAATAATTGATGAATCTGCATTATTGGTTGGATTAAAATCTGGTAAAATTTTATTTGCTGGTTTAGATGTTTTTGAAACTGAGCCTGCTATTAATCCAGAACTTATTGGGAGAGATGATGTTTATTTAACTCCTCATATTGGTGCTTCCACTGTGGAGAATTTTGATTATACTGCAATTGAAGCTATGAGAAATATTGATTTGGTTTTACAAGGTAATGAGGCTGTTAATAAAGTCAATTGAGGATAGAAAACTCCAGTTTTGACTATATAGACATTCTTTTAAAACTAGTGAGAGTACCAAACTACATGGGAAGGTTACAAGTAATACTGTTAATGTCATAGCATGTGAATATGAAAGATATAGTTCACAGTACCACTTTTTGCCAGTCGGTTGAGTGTAATTGCTCTCTTATAGTATTTGAATTCATCATTAGACTCTTTTCATCCTCCCGTTTTATCTCTGCGATGAGAAAGTATCAACCGGAATAATAATGAGATGCAAGATTCTGCAGGCTCTTACGAGAAGGGTTGAATGTTTGTTCCTTCAATAACCGAATTGTCAAAATTTCAGTGACTAATATTTTAGGAATTCAAGCAATTTATTCGCAATTGAGTGAAGTTGGAGTAACACTTTGGCAAACGGCACATTCATTAGAGAGGACGAAATACATGTAGGTCTATTTCTAATTATAAATTTGATACTTAGCGCCATGCTCCGGATTTAAAAATCGTATAATAGTTCGCGATGAACTAACGTTAGCTGATATTATACGAGGCGCATAAAAATGTTAAGTCCTCTAACGTTTATTGACTCCAGATTTAGTCAAAGTATAAGATAGGATCATATTTGGGGAAAGAACACACATGTGCTGACTCATAACAATTATATAGCTACATGTCTCTTCAAACCATTACCAATTTAAATCAGATCAACTAATTCGATTTTAACAAACCCATCATCATGTCTCCAACTTATAACTCAAACGAAAATTTAGAATTGATTCAAGTTACAGATAAAGATCTCATAGATTTTACTAGGACTCAAAACAGTTTGGCATGGAAAGGAATATTATCATCTAAGGATTATGTATTGAGAGAAATAGTATTAGGTAAATCGAAAATTGCAAGTGAAGGAGATAATAATTTATATGTTTTTCAATTGAAAGATGTTAATACCGACAAACCAAAATGTTCAATCGAATTGCTTGTAAGACAAAGTTTGAGGTTCCAGTATAATGAATCTACAAAAAAAGTAGAAACCAAAAATATTATGAGTGGAACAATTGGAGCTGTATTTACACCACCTGAAAATAGAGGAAAGGGTTATGCAAGAATTATGGTTGATAAATTGGTTGATATTGCTAAAAATCAATATTTGACCGACGATGGATATATATTTTTATATTCGGAAGTTGGTGAATTTTATAGTAAAAATGGATTCAAAACATTTGGGATTGATTTGATAAAAATTGATTTTGACCAAGATTTGGAATTCAAAATAGACTCAAAAATTAAACATGAAACAATTGCATTCCATCAATTTGAAGAATTAATGGAGAAATATAAATTCAAATTTATATCTGAAATAGAATCAGAAGTAGCCAAAGATCATAAAACACGCGTGTCAATTGATCCTACATCACATTTAATAGATTGGTTTCATTTGAGATCTAAATTTGTTACGCATAGGACATTTGAGTCATCAGAAGAATTAAAACAAGATGAATTTGATTTTCAAAATGAATCATATGATGCAATTCGTGAGAAATTTGAAAAATCACAACCAGAAATATTTGGTATTAAAACATTTGACTCAAATAATGATGTTAATGGTTTTATAGTATGGACTATTGATTGGTCTGAGAATAAATTACAAAACAATGCAACTATTTTAAAGATAGTGGCCTTCGATGACGACGAAGATATCAGAATAAATTTAGTCAAACTAACCTTTCAATATTTGAAAAACAATTCAATTTATGGTAAGACTACCTCAACTTTGTGCATTTGGGAGTCTGAAGTCTCAAGCAATTTGAAAGAGTATTTAGTGGGACACTTTAAAGCTAAATCAGGCTTGGAAAACCCGTCAATTTCTGCTATTTTAATGTGTGATCCAAAAGAGGATAAAGAATTAAAAGATGGTAAATTAATTTGGGAAGAAAATACCAAGTTGCCATGGTTTTGATAAAATCATGCTTTTGAATAGTGAACACCTTTAGTTTTTATATATTATAGATTTCTTATTAATTTCATATTTACTGATTGTTGATTGATCAGTTGTCTTAAATTACGATTTTCAATGCGTAAAATGAAACGCCAAAATCTTTTTCGATCTCTACAACCAAATAATTTTGAAAACAATAGTTTTAGCATATAGTATATAGATGTCAAATGATTCTATAAAAATAGGTTATTATGATCCATTTGGAATTTATTCCAAAATTGAAAATGAAATTAAACAACAATTACCTTTATCAAATTTACATATAAAATTACAACCAAATCAACCTTTCAAAACTATAAATCAATTACAAGTACAATTTGTTGAAGAAGTTCCGAAAACGGGAGACTACATTAGCAGCAATGACTTAAAAACATATGTTAGATTGATGTTTGTTCAAATTGATAACGTAGAAAAATATAGAGGACAAGTACGACCGTTGATTAGAGAATGGTTGAAGAATTTGGTGTTAAAGACAAATTGTTCTTGGATGATTGTACTATATATACCACATGATACGAAAGATAAAGCTTCTACTTTAATAAAGACTTCATTTTTTGATAAGTTGCAAAATGACTTTGGACCTGACGGGAAAGTGTTAACAACAATTTTACCAACTACTCAAAAGTTTAATGAAGGTAGTGACAAGATATTCAAGTTTAAAGATAATAATGTTGAGGAGTTTACTGTCCAATTGAAAAATTTATTATTAAATTCATTTGTCGGTAGGTATAATCAATACAATGAGTTCATCAACCAAAGGAAGAGTCATAATATCGAAAGATTTGTAAATAAATTGGAACTATGTAATTTGTTTAGAGACATGGTTTTATTACAAGATGCATTAAATATCAACGAGCAATTATTTGAAGATTTGATTGAGGTTTATGAACACAATCAAGAAAAATTTCTCAAAACTCAATTGGATACACTATCACCACCCGACGTGACCAAATATTATTTTGAACAATCGATAAATGAGGATGAAGTTAAATCACAACTTTTAAGTAACGAGAACATAAGTTATACACAAATTCAAACATTATTGTTCATCCACGAATCGTGGATATTACAACAACAAGCAAAATTAGCATTATCTAACTCATTAGCATCAAAACAAATATCACGACTATATAAAAAGTTGATGTTATATCTCAACGAGAGAGGCGGACATAACTATGAAATTGAATATTTAATAGTAGAACATTATTTGAATTTACCAATCATCGAGGAATTAGTTAAGCCAAATCCAGAAGATAATTCATATTTAGTTGACATTTTAGAAATGAGAGCTGAATTGAAATTGTACAAAAGATCGATTGTAAGCAAAATTGCACGTTCTCGAAATATTCAAATAAACGGACTCACGGATTTGTTTGAAGAAATATCTTTAAATGATGATCAACCTACCACAACAACATTGGAACTAAAATCAAAAGACCTTGTTGAAATAACATCAAGTAAATCATCATACATCAAAACATTTCAAGAATTAACAGAAGAAATAATTGAAGACTTAGTCAAATGTAATAGAGTTAAAACAATCGACATATTGTCAATAGATTTGGCAATAATAAATTATGAAATTAAGAATTTTGAAGAATGTTTAAATACATTGCAGAACTCATTCGAATATTTTATCGAAAATGATTGGAATTTCTTAGGTGGAATTTTATTAGAAATATATTTAGGTTGTATTGAAAATTTAAATGACAAACAAAATGATAAAGAAATATTAATTAATTGTGTTAATTTATTGGAATGTTTAGTTAAAAATCAAAATTCAATTGATATAAATTCTTATCAAAAAATCAAATCTATCAAACAAATTCAAAAAATATTTGAAAAAATAGAAACAAAAAGTCGAGATATTGAAGAACAGTTAGAATTTGATTTAAATAATTACTTCAGGACGAATGTCCTTCCATTTGCTTTTGCGGATGATTCAACAACTAAAGACGTATACTACATTGAAGTGGAAATTCAAAATCCATTTGGAGTTCCAATTTCTATTTCCTCAATAAGTTTGAACTTGATTGATGAGAGGAATTCTGAAATAAAGTTTTACACTGAAGAGATTCTGCTATCGTCTTCTCATGGTTTACAAAAGTTTAAATTGTTCACGCTGGATATTACATTTGGTTTGTTTTCATGTCAACAATTGCAAGTTGCCTTAAATTCAAAAATACGGTTCACCAAACTTTTTAATCAAGAAAAATTACCTATACCAGATCATTCTATATTTGATGACACCGTTATAGAGTATAATCAAATCTCATCAAATTCAATCTTACCAAATAAAACTAGTAGTGAATTTGACAACATACTAATTTATCAGAATTTGAATAAATTCAGAGCACAATTTTTCAATGTTAAACAATTGAATCTTGGAAGTAGTGAAATATTGTTAGAGTTGAATAATTCTAAAAACCTTATGAAATCAATTGAGATTAAATTGTTTTCAACTACAAAAGACCTCACTATTTTTGATTCGTTATTAAAATTCGATACAATTGATTCAGATGAAACAAAACAAATCATAATACCATTCAAGGATATCCATGAAACAAAATTGATCAATATGGGTGCTACAATAACATACTTTGTCGATGATGAAAAATACAGTTCAACTATATCATATAATGTCGATACAACTTTAAGCATATCTGTTTCAGTTCAAGATATTTTCAAAACCAAATTCATATATTCTAAATTTCAAGTTGGTACTATAAATTCAAAATTTCCTATAAAATTGATTTCACAAAATTTAGAAACTGAAGATTATGAAGTTTCACTGCCAAATTCATCTTCTAATGATGAACTGATTGCATTTGGTGAACAACCTATAATTTTCTTTTATAAAATAGTACCGAAAAAAAATCATAAGATCAATGAGTCTGATAGGTTTAAACTAACTATAAAATATATTAATTTAAAAGATGAAAGTGATGAAATAATAAACCAGGTAGTACTAGGACGGTTGCAAGATCTAAATTTAGAAAGATATTGGTATTTAATTAAAGAAATTTTGTTAACCAAGATAAAGATTCATTTAAATAATTTTGCAATTAATGATGAGATAACTGTATCTAACCTAATTGAATTTCAAGAATTTTCAAACAAAATTATAGAAAGATACATCCTGGAACTAATTGATCAAAACAGAATCCAGAATTTACTTGCGACAGTATTTCAAAATCCAATATTAAAACCTGTTGAGCAAAATTATGATGTCGTCAATCAGCTAACAATTAATGTTGCTGTCCCAATTCTTCAATATTTACAAGTTATAGAATACGAATTTGATAAAAGAACTTATGTTGTAGGAGAACCAATAACTTTAAAATTGATAATAAAGACATTAACAAATTGGTCTGAAAATTCGAAAGATCAAGTATTAGGTAGTTCATCTCCAACTCGTAATAACAATGGTTCCATACCACAACTACCAACAACTGAAGAATTTCAAATCAATATTCAAAATGATGATAATTGGTTAGTTTCTGGATTTAAGAGAAAATCATTTATATATACCGGCATCAAGGAAAATGAAAATATTACGGATTTAATTTTAATACCTTTAAATGTTGGTAAATTAATTTTACCTAAAATTTCAATTAAATTATTTGATAATGTTACTGATTCATTTATTAATTCTAATAATTTGGATTTAGAATTTATAAATGGTAGTGAAACTATATTAGTTGTACCTGATGTAAATAATATTACTTTTTCTTTTTAATAGGTTGTAATAATTTTGTATTATTAATAGAATTGTTATAATTAGATATCAGTGTAGAGCTAGACCCACAAGAAATGTCAGAATATAATTCAATCATCGTTTTCTTGTTTTTTCGGGCACAGTCTCTTATTTTAAGCTTTTTGACCCATTTGGTATGACGTTTAATTATTTTTAGAATTGGTAAAAGAAATCACACAAACAGAAATATTATAAATCTGAAATATCGGATCAATATTACAAGACCAAAAAAAACAATTGATATCTATACCAATTCAATCAATTGATCAAACATCCTAAATTCAAAATGGTCGTAGATACAACTTATTATGAGATTTTACAAGTAGAAGTCACTGCCAATGAGCAAGAGTTAAGAAAAGCATATAGAAAACAAGCTATAAAATTACATCCGGATAAAAATGGGAATGATCCATTAGCTTCTGAAAAATTTCAAGAATTAGGTGAAGCATATGGAATATTATCAAATAATGAAACTAGAAAAATATATGATGAATTAGGAATAGAAGGAATGAAAAAACAACAAGAACAAGGAGGTGTGGGAGCTGATATTGATCCAAGTGAATTTTTTGAAGTTATATTTGGTGGAGTTGCATTTAAAGATTGGATAGGAGAATTAGGAATGTTTGATGATATTACTAAATCTGCTGAAGTTATGGGTATGGATGAAGAAAATGAAGAAACTGTTGGATCAATTGATGGTGAAACTTTAAATTCTGAAAATGGTGGAAAAAATAGTGTGAATACAACATCAACAGGTACTTACAATAGTACTACTAGTTCAAATAATACTACAACTTCATCAAGTAAAGGTAAAGAAGATATTACTTCAAACTTAGATTCTCTAACAATTGCAGAAAAAAACAATTCTCCAACAACAACATCAACATCAAAACATAATTTAACAACAGAAGAACTTAAAAGAAAAAGAAAACAAAAAATAACTAAAGAACAAAGAGATGAAATTATAAGAATACAAGAAGAAAGTAGGAGAAAAAAGAAAGAAAGAATTAATGAATTAAGTAAAAAATTAATGGAAAGAATTGAAAAATATAGATCTTCATCATTAAATCCAGAAACTTTTAAAAAATTTACAACTCAACTTCATGATGAATTTGATGATATGAAAATTGAAAGTTTTGGTATACAATTATTACAATTAATTGGAAAAATATATATAAGTCAAGCAAATGCAACAATAGCATCACAAAAGACATTTGGCGTAAGTAAAATATTCACAAGTGTTAAATCATCAACAGAAACTGTCAAAAATGGTTATAGTATATTAAAAACTGCATTAGATGCTCAAGATTATATGGAAAAGGTAATGAAAGAACAAGAAGAATTTCAATTAAAACAAGATTTAGGTTATACTCCAACTCAAGAAGAAATTGCAAAACAAGCAGAAATTGAAAGATTTGTAACTGGGAAATTTTTAGCAACTGCTTGGTCATTAATTAAATTTGAAATAACTGGAATATTAAATAAAGTATGTCAACAAATTTTACTGGAAAAAGGAATTGGTAAAAAGGAAAAAATAGCAAGAGCTAATGCTATATTATTTTTTGGTAAAGAAATGATTTCTGTTAAAAGATCACCTGAAGAAGAAGAGGATGCAAGAATTTTTGAAGAAATGATGGGTGATGCTAAAATGAAAAAAGAAAAACGTAAACATAAACATAGTAGTGGTGGTAGAAATGAAGAACATTAGAATTATATAGAATATTAATATGTCCATTATGAGTAATAACTTTTGATATTTTGATGATTATCTCTTGGTAAACAATTTACATTTTTTGTAACAAATTTGTACGATTTTATACTATTTATGGATGGGACCATTGATTTTCGGTCAATATTAATGTGCCCTACTATTCTAATCAAGGTAAATATGATCAAATAGTATATTTTTTTTTATCACAATGCTTTTCAAAAAATCACTTCGCTCCTCGAGAGATCAATCAAATTGTAACTGATTTGCGGTTGCAAACCAAAAAAAAGTAAAAAGGCAATTCATGCAACAAACCTTTAACACAAAGTTTCAAAACATCAGACTGATTTGTGAAATGTTTTATCATTTAAGGCAAATTAGAATTAATTTAAAAATTGATGAAATTTAGATTTCTCTCAAGCATTTTTCTTAAATTTTAGTAATTAATCGATCAATATTTATTTTATACAATCTCTACCAGAACAAATAACACTGATAATTCATCATTGAACCTGGTTGTTATAGTATTTTACAAACTTTGATTAATTTTTAAAATTTAGGTTCGGGGTGGGTGATTCAAATTGAAACATCTCGGGTATCATCCTCATAATAAATGAAAAATAAGGAGATAATTTTTTACCTTGCATAAAAATTGAAATTGAATGTGCCACTAGCAAACAAAACCACAAAAAAATGGAAAAAGGAAGTTAGAATATTCCGGTGGAGGCTGTGTCTGTTCAATGACGTTGTTGATAAATTAACGAGTATGTTCTTGAATATGTAGTTTTTCAATAAATGTTTTCTTCACAAATATAATGTTCTTTGTGAAAGGTTGCAAAAAATTTAGCTTGTTTCAAATTTCGCTGAAACAAACAGTGTTTTAAATACCATTTTAGATTTTTCATACAGCCGAATAATAATTAACTAAGCGTATAGTTTAGAGTTACCTTGCATTAGTTTTAGTAAAAAATAACCACGTTCGTAAGTGAGATTCGAGGATGTCTTTACCACGAGAGTTCCAATAAATTGCGTAGATCCAACTTTTTAAGGCAACTTTTGCTTGATTGTTTGGTTTGGTTCAACTCTATTTAATACATGATTTATAAGGATGAACATTACGTTTTTGAACTTGTCGTTGAAAGAAAGAAGTGAAGATTCATAAGAGATAAAATGGACTGATAAATCTTTAGACTAAACACATAAAATTTGGTATTTGAAGCAAATTGTCACGTGAAAACTTATTGATGGATATTTTTTATCGCCACCGAATGTTTATTTTTGGTAAATTTTCAACTGATCTATCATTTTGCTTTCACAGTAAAAGTTTTTTTTCTTTATCAAATTATTTTAAACATTATTCTGATCATATTATTATTTGTATTATTTCATTGTTCTGATCATATCATTTGTTTAAAGTATTAAGATATTTTCAAAAAAATCACTATCAAGATGGGGAATCTCATTCAACCAAACCAAAGAAGGATGACAAATTAATCTGAAGGTGAATGCTAAAACTCACGCTCTTGAGATTAAAAGTTTGGTTTGAAAGATATTTTTGAAAATATGTATAAATATATCTCAGACATTCAAATTGACTCCTTACATCACTGTAATATAGACAGCCTTGACCAATCAACATGGTAAGAACTGAATAAGATTTGTAACAAAGGACATAAATAAATATACAAGAGAAACAAATAAATATATTGACATCAGATATTTTGGATCATAAAGCAAGAAACATAATCAAAAAATAATTTTCAAAACTAATATCTATCTTATTTGGGATTTTCAAAGTCAATACTAGCAAATAATTGATAATTCAACAAAACAGAATATTTTTAAATCTAACTTACAATTATGTTATTACCTCATTTATTAAAATTATAACCAAAACTAAATAAACTTAACCTCTTTCTGTTTGCTGAACGCTATTTCAGCTTGCCAACTGCTCTTTGTCATTGCTCCACTGCTCTTATTGCGTGTTGAGGATCAAAAGTATTGCAAAACCCATTATCATATCAAAGAAGTAAGAAGATCAGTGAGCTGTTAGAATTAAGCTTCCAAATTTGATTGTGCTTTGTTCGCATAATAGACAATTAATTAGAGTGACGTGCTATACTTTAGCACACTACGTAAAAAAGCACACCTTGTTTTTTGTGTGCATTTTGTATGAGAGATTAAGCTATACCATACAAAATTTGGGACTTTTCAGTACTTGTGCACACCTAACCAAACATGATATAATTTTGAAGCCTCAATCTTAAACCTGGCAGTTAGAGATACTATTTCTCCATCTATTCATAAAGTTTGGTGGTGAAAGACCAATTATGATGTGCTCAAAATCGGATTCAAAAAAAAATCACTTCTTTGAGAGAAATTTATTTATCTCTCTAACTCACCCAAAACAGCTACGATCAAACTCAAAATTTGATATTATATCTGAAATTGAGTACTTAAACTGCCAGACTACTCAAAATAAAATTTGGAAATTTTGAAATAGTTGAAATATCGATGTTTCAAATTTTTTGCAACTAATTTAGCGCAAAAAATTTGTTCAGAAAACTAGCGTGTGCTTTTTTACGTAGTGTGCTAAAGTACAGCACGTCACTCTATCGGCTTTAAACAAAAAATAAAAACGAAATCTTAGATCCGAGAAATCTTATATAAAAGATAAATCCGATCCATTTAATTCTTTTAATAATTTAAGCGAAATAAAAAATAAATTATTATCTAAGTACATTTATTTATTCTAAATTCGTATAAAGTGATGAAAACATTATGATTTCATATATCCATTTTAATAACTTTCCGAAATCCATCATTACGATCTTATGAAGTTGAATGAGCAAAAAATAATCTTAATGATCAATACAAAGTAAGATACGAATTTACCAAGTTTTGCATGAATCACGAATTTTTTAATCTCAAATTGTCAAACGTTTTATTATTCTCCAGCATACGATATTTATACATTTTTAATGATTTATACATTCGATTGTTCTCGTAAATCGTTTGCTACTATTATTTAGATTTGTTTCGAGGCGACAGCAAGAGAAGAAGGTTTAATTCAGCAAAGTAAAGTTATTTTGTTGATGTCATTTGGTACTATTAAATTATCTAAAAGTAGTATAGTCGATCTAGCAAAAAATTTGAAATTCAAGAAAGTGGTAAATGATAAAAAAGTAAAGTACAACGTTTGATTTAAAGTAAACAAATGGAAATTTGTAATAAATAATCTCGAAAACTCCATAATGTAAAATTGTTAATTTTCAAATCTTGGTTGTAAGTTACTACTTGCAATAATTTGAAAATAATCTACAAATTTATGAAATAATCGCGGAATAAGCTCTCTATAGTTACATGGATTCAAATTGTTTCTTAAATAAATTTACCAGATATAGTATTTATTATTAAGGTAGACCAAAAAATTGGAAGTGAACCAGTAAATGTCAAAGATAAGAAAATTAAAATTTTAGATAAGAATCTAAAAGATGATAGATAGAATTCAACCACAATATCAACAATTTATGATCTAATACTCATCATCATTTTGTTTAGTTTTAATTTTAGTTTTAACTTTGTTTATATTTTTCTAACTTGCCTTAGTTTCCAATAGAGGGGTAAAATATTTACCAATACACAAAAACCAAATATAATAATAATAAATGCAAGAGAAGAAACATTGTTCTTAATGGAACATTTATGGATTTTTTGATTTTAAGGATTTAATAATACAAGAAGGTTCTAGTGGATAAGTTAAGTATATACGTTTCATGTTCTGAAAGTTAAAGAAGCTAAGTAGAGTATCTTAGGAAAATGTGTGATGCAAGTGTAGAGTAGATTAAAAAAAAACAAAAAGAAAAATAAAATATTTTGAAATGTGGGGTTAAAGTTTCAAAACCAAAATTATGAAACACAAAGATTAAAATTTTAAAACAGAAAACAATAATCAATCAATGTCAACAACTATTCAATTTTTAAACTTTATTTGTAAGAAGATAAAAAGTAACAACAATGATTTTCTATACTAATTGATTTGATTGAATATCGTCATAGCAAAGATATATTTAGATTTTTTTCCACTTGAGTTGAACTCACTCTCTAATTTGCTATTCATGATTCCATAAATACGTTTAATTTCAAACGAAGATGAAGCAAATATGATTTGTTTTTGTATGAATGTGATTTTTAGCAGTTTCTGGAACATCAAAATTTTAAAGTTATTTCTTTGTTTTAAAAGTGGAAGGTTCATCTAACAAAACTTACGTTTCTTATCAAGATTTTTGAATTATACTTATGAGATTGGGTAATTGTTACTAGACACCACTCAATGGGAAGGCTTTACTTCAATCCGTTGAGCTCTAAAAACAATAACATCAATTTCGAATTAGTTAGTTATCATAACTATTGTTTTGGTTATGTAATTAAATTAAGTAATGAACTAAATTTACAACCTTTGAATTCCATTAACTCCAGTAGGTAAGTAACACAAAAATACAACAATACAAATACGAAAAAAACTCCGAAAAATTGAAATTTAGAAAAACAATACTTTACACATATGGCTTATCCCCAGATGATAATACTTCAAATTTAACCATCCAACTACTCTAGATTACAATCAGAAAAGAGTGATAGAGCAAGAAATGTGTGAATCTTCAATTATTCGATTGTTTTTATTCTTTTTTCATTTTTTCTGAGATTGAAAATTACCTATAAACAGATAGTAAATAAATAAAAATTAAAATAAATAAAAAATTAAAATCTTTCAAATCAAATCATAATATAATATGTTTCTATGAATGATGAATGACAAATTTTTTTAGAATTGAAATACAGTTGCTGAAACTTAACTTTTTTTTCTTTCTTCCTTTGTAAATTTGATGAAGTCAAATTGAGTAAATAATGATGTAAAAATCCCAAACTTAGAACAAACAAACAAACAAACAAATGAATGAATGAATGAGTATTTACACAAACACGATCAAAAAACACAACCCAAACAACTTTCAAAAAAAAGTAAAACTTCCTCTCCCCTTGTTAAAAGTCCTTACTCTTAAGTACATAACTTAATTTATATTATTATAAAATTGATGTTTAAAAGAACAAACAATAATATTATAATTATAAATACAATTATTCATAAAATCTAAAATTAAATCAATAAAAGACATGAAAATTATAATAATATTCATAAAATAATATATTACTAAATCAAAAGCATTATAAAATTTAGATTCAAAATAATTTGAAGTTTCTGTTATTGTTTTTTTTGGTTGTTGAATGAATGTTTGATTTATTAGATTTTCTGTTATTGATGATGTGTTTGATTTTGTTTTGTTATTGGTGGTAGTAGTAGAATTGGTTGATGAGGTTGAAGTATTTGTGGTTGTATTAAATTTATGTGAAATTGGTGATTTTGGTTTTGTTGAAGGTGTATTCATTAATGTATGACTTGTTGTAGGAGGTATAGTATAAGTTGTAGTTGCCATTGTTTATTCAGTTGTGGTTACAATTGTTTGTTTGAAATTGAGTGGTTGTGAAGATATTGGTGGTAAAATTCAAGATCTATAAAATATATTTTTTTATGTTTTTTGATATATGGGGGTAACTTTTTTGTGGTAAGTTGTTTTTCAAACTATGATTGTGAATGAAGGAATGAATGAATCTTAGTTGATTGTTTGAATTGAATAAGAAATGTAAAATAAACTGGTTATGAAATGAAAATGTATGAAATTCACAACAACATTCAAAAGTAAAAGGAATTTTATATTCTACTTATATGAATTCTACTGTTACTATGAAAACAAAAATATAAAATTTTAAATGACATTTATATAAAGAAGTACTGTATATAAGTACTGTTCTATATAGCCGTTATATACACAAAATCATACATAATTAAACTTTTCTATTATTTGTAATATACAGTACTAAACCTAATTAGTAATATACTTAAGAGTTATATACAGGGATATAGCTATTAGCGCTTAAATATTTAACTTAAATTGTATTACATAATATCGTGTCCTCTCTTACATAAGCTAATGGTAATGTTAAATTTCATATTTTTAATTTAGAATTAAGATTACACTACCAATATTCTACTAACTTACCATTAATACAACCAATACTACATTTTCAAATTACCAATTACTACATAACTTATTTTACTTTTATTGTTCAAAGATTTTCAATTCAAAAAGTATTTATTCACCTTGATTTAGATTTTTATTGTAACAACTCTAATAGGAAACAAGGATAATTAGCAAACAAGTAGGGTGAAAGCAAAGGATATATGCCAAACTAAAATTCAATGTTGTCATCAAAAGTTGTTTCAATACCCCACATAATCTACTATGCTACTACTACCTACTTCAGATGGTAGTAAGCAGTAGTACGTAGTAGCAGGTAGTAGTATCACGAAGCAAAGTAACGGTAGTAGTAGTAATTCAGTAAAATGACTTAAAAAAAACATTAAGTCACAATTTTTCAAACATCTCTCTCTCTCTTTAGCACTAAATTTTCAAATTACCCCAAATTTCAGAATAATTTTAGAGTAACAACATTAGTTGCATTGAAAACGGAAAACAGAAAAAGAAACTCTAATTTTATCACTAATTAATTAGAATGGTTAAGCAACCAAAATAAAAAACAATTTTAGTTTCAAAAAGAACATAAACATAATTAACCATTTTAAGAACACCCAAAAGAAGATTAGGAATATCAAGAAGACTAAAGGAGATAAAGAAAGAAGATAAGGGGTGCATTATTTACCAATCATAAGTTATGAAACTTATTAACTTTCAAGCGCAATATGGATTTAATTTAATATATGTACTGTACGGAAGGAAATTATATTCGATGGTGGTAGTCGGTCGGAAGTTTTTGTTTCTTCCGTTCTAGAGTTACTACGTACTTTTTTTCTTTCTTGCAGTAAATTAGTAATTCTCTACAACGAGAAAACACGACTTATTTTTGAGTGTGTATCCCGTTACAATTTTTCAAATCTTTTTCAATTTGACACGACAACTAAATAAAAAAATTGAATGTGAAAAAATTTTTACAATAAACAATAAACAATCAAATATTCCGTTAAAAAACTCCGTTTGATTATGAACAAATTTTTAAAATTTTAACATTTTATACATAGACTACATATTACTATTTTCATTAGTAAGTCAGAGAAATTGAGATTTACGAACTTGACTTTTACTGGTTATGTTTTATACAATTAAAAAAAAGGTTTGAAAGAAGGATCAAATTCGGTCAACACCTAATTTATGATTAAGTTCAACTTTGATATAGCATCCTCCGCTGAGTTTAATCCATTGTCATACAACATTATCAATCTAATTCAACTATGTCTCATAAAGTTTATCTCATATTAAATCGTATGTCATCCAATAAGATACAGATAACATGGAACTTTATAAACAACCTTTGACACCAAATTTTTACTTATTCGCTAGATCATTACTTTCATCATCCTTAAAGGAATCTACCGAATAATTAAAATTTTGTTTCGAAGGTTTTTTATGAAGTTTTTATCTACAAACAATTTGAGAATTACTTAATGATATGAAATTAAAAAGATATTAGGCATTGGGGGTTGAAGAAATATTTGCATCAAAGGAACTTAGTGAAACCACTAATAATCATTTTTTAAATGGATAATAGGGATATATCTTGAAAACAGACGGTGGAATGGGAAAGGTTGGAGACTAAATTCATAAATCAACAAGCTTAAAAAGGAAAATACAATTTATCAGTAATTTGATGGAAAGAAGTATAATTAATTTACTTGACATGTCCTTAATATTACGGCTTTTGATACATTTTTTATAATGTTACAATGCTGACGCTGATTGCAATAATTAAATTTCAATCAAATAATTGAAACAACCGATAGTGTTGATTCAAAAAACAAATTCCAGATAATTGTTAAAGTTATATTTAAAACAATTGTTTGTGAGACTGTGAAATTTAGTGATAAAAGTTTGGTTTATTGAAATATCTGCGTCTGATCCGTTCTTATTTAAGTTACCAGTCTCTATCACTAATCTTAACAGTATCACATACAATTGTGTTCTATATAGCTTTAACAATTTTAAATGTAAATTTAGAACTTAACTAATGACTTGAACAAGAAAATTTTAAAATTAATTGTACCAATTGACAATTAATTTAGACTCTTCCTGATGGATGATAGAGTGATAAAGGACAAGAGAAAAGAAACGGTTTAAAACGATAAAGCGCTGACATTGCAAACAATCAATGGAAACAAGTCTTTATATAAATTGGATCCTATTGTCTTAAGTCCAATCAATTGCAGACGAACTTGTTAATCTAGTGAAACAAATTTTAGGCTATCAGTTATATTGATCCAAAAAAGTTGTATAATTTACACGATTTATGTTGAATTTCACATGCCATATATCACCTTAACCAAGCGCAAATTTTCTGGAATTAATCATAATAGTTAAAATATATGCAAACAGCAGATCTATATAAATCATAGTCTTAATTAAACTCCATTTGTATGACAAAAAAGGGATCAATTAAAAAAATTTTCATATTCTTCCATTTTTGTACCCCCTTACTCCTTAATTTGAAATTTAATTAATTATTAAGTTTAGTTTGAAAGATAACAGTCAAATTTCTTACTTTAAAGGAAAAGACAAAGAATAAAGTTTCTATTGTTCTTTCAATTAAACAGTAATTTTCTTGTTAACTGTTGTGTGAATCTAAACGGTCAATCAATAATTCTAGAAAAGCTTATTGAGAAGTAATATGAGGTGTAGAAAAAGATCAAAATGAGTACAAAAATTTAGAACTAAATGTATAATGTATTAATTAAAAAGTGCTTACTTAATATAAAAATTTTAAGCTATTATAAAGTATAAGAATTGAATTCAACGGAACTATATATATTTTTTAAAGAAGATTGTTCAAAATTTTCAAATTTTTCAATATTATTTGTGAATGATGATCCATTTTTATCATTATTAATGAAATTTACATCGTCAATATTATTATTATCTGATTGATTTAAATTTTTAAAATTTTCTAATGATTTATCATAAATTAAATGTAATTGTTTAACTCTTTTAGCCCAATTACTTTCAAATTTTGAAATATTAGAATCTGTAGTTGTATTATTATTATTATTTGAAACTGATGCATACCAAACATTTGCAAATTCTGAAGCTAATATTGATAAATTTCTAATAACAAAAGGTAATTGATTTGAACTTATAATTTTAAAATGACTAGTTGAAAAAACTGCAGGTACTCCAGATCTTCTAAAAGTTTTAATTTTAAAAAATTTTCTTTCCAGATTACTAGACATGGAGTTATCTAAATTTATTGTTTGAGGAGTTATAACAATATTTAAAAAATTAAATTGAGATTTTATAAGATTAAAATTAAAATCTTGATTATTTGATTCATCCCAAAATATATTTACATGATTATTTCCAATATGTCTTTTTTTTAAATCTATTATTCTTTGTTGTGAGGGAGTTATTGAATTAGATGTAGTGGTATCATTACTATCGCCGTTTTCTTCCTCATTATTCATCATTGTTGTTATATGAAATATAATTTGAGTTAATTTATTTCTCCAATATCTTGTAAATTCACCATCTAAATTATTTTCAATATCTAATCCACCACAATAAATTTCTTTTTCACCTTTCAATTTTATTAATTTACCAATTTGATTTAAAAATTTTTGATAATCAATTGATCCAATTTTATTTAATAATACTTCATTTTCTGTAGTTTGATTCTTGTTAATATATATTATACCAATTTTATGAAACTCAACACTTGGTATTCTATCTAATACATTAAGAGCTCTTAATAATATTGAATCTTCTATAATTGGTATTGGTTTTGATATTGAATCAAATAATTGTAATAAAAAATAATTTGGATTTATAGCTTTTTCTGGTTTTGATTTATTTAAATCGGTTTCATGATTTAATTTCATTATTAATTTACTTACTCCTGTTGGTTTTCTAATTAAAATATCTGTATCGCCAGAATAAATATCAGTTTCAATACTTACAACAGAACATCCAACCATCCATCTATTTAATATTGTTCTTTCTGGGTCATCATTATCATTTTGTAAAAACTTTTTATTAGTTGAATATATGATCTTTAATGGGAAATCACTATATGTAAATTTTGTAATAAAATCTAAAAATCCCATAGTTTGATCAGTTAAATGATGAAAATTATTATCATTGGAATTATTATCTTCATTATCACAAGCTATTAAATTTTTAATTAAGAAAGATGAAATTTTTTTCCTATCATTCATTTCAATTTTTAAAAACCAACTTGATATAACATTATATGATAACATTAAAATATATTGAATTAAAATTGGTGAAACACCATTTTGTTGAGTCAGCGGAGTTTTTTCAATTTCTGCATCAACTCCATGTTTTAATATAACTTCATTACTTGTGGTGGTTGTTATATTTTTTAAATTCATTTTTTCTAAATCTTTTGAATATTGAATATATTTAAAAGCAATACCAAATACTCTTTTAAATTCATCAATTGTAAAATTTGAAGTTAATATAGGTAAATGAATTAAAGAACTTAAAAATTCTAATGTATGAGTACTTGCATTAACACTTGTTATTTTAGTTTGTAATTTAATTAAAATTAAACTTAAATATTTCTTAATAGACATTGGAATTTCAAAACAACTTATTGTTAATATATTAATACATGGTATAGAAGTTTTTTCCCATGATGATAAACCAAATATTAAACCATCTATAATTTCATCTTCATCTGATTTGGAAAATAAATCATGATATCCAATTAATGCAGAAAATGATCTAACAAATGCAACTTGTAAATCAGCTTTTGTTAAATCTTCATTCGTGGGGATTTTTAAAGTTTTAGGTAATTTTAATTTTAATTGATTACAAATTATAGTTTTTAATCTCAAAATTTCTTCATTATAATTTTGAAATAATTTCATATTTGATAATTGTGAACAAAAATGAGCCCAACAAAATGAATAAAGTTCCCAATCAATAAAATTCTCAAATATATTTAAAATTAAATTAAAATATTGTTTGATGTCTATATAAAAAACATCAATTTCATCATTTTTATCAGTTTGTAACTGTAAAAATTTATTAGGTTTATTAAAAAATGATTCAGGTACATAATCCAAAAATTCAGGATAATTCCATAACTGACCAGCAGTTAATGTGGCATTATCTCTTTTAAATGCAGATGCTAATCCATTCATATCCAGTGGTTGAACAAAATATATAAAATTTTCTGAAGTTACTCTAATTCTAATTAAACTTTTAATTATAATTAATAAAATTTCTCCATTTGAAGTTTGTTGACTTATTTCAATTAAAAAATTATAACATTTTACAGATCTTTCTGGGTGTGAAATTATAAATGCTTTACAAATTGATTTTGTTAAATATTTAAGAAATGTTTCATTAGTTGGTGACGAGTTTGAATAATCTGGAGTTGTAGTTGTTGTGACATATCCTCTTGCGATTATAATTTCATTCTTACTTGTTGATTTACGCTCTGAATATAAAGGTTTCATGATTTCAATTAATTTATTAAAAACTGATGTTGGACAATCAACAAGTAAATTCACTATAATTTCTTTAGCCAAATACAACAATATTTCATCGTTTGATAAATTTATTGATTTTTTTAGAATATCTATTAATATATCATAATTTATATCTTTTTGATCAAATATCAATATTGACGTTTTATAAGCACTGAAAATAACTTCTAAACATTTTAATTTTACAATTGTTGAAATATTTTTATTATAATAAAATTTATTTAAAATTTTTAATGAAGATTCTTTCCATAACGGATTCAATAAAGAACAACTTTTATCTTCATCAAATTGATTTAATATAAAAATTGAAGTATTATTAGATAAATTCGAACTAAAATTTAAATAAAATTCAATTAATTTATCCTTGGGAATTGAAAGTTCATGATTTTCATATAATTCTCTAATTGAATCAGTTAAATTTTTTAAATTATTTGAATCTGTTTCATTATTAATTTTAAAATTATCAAATAAATCAAATAATGAATTTTCATTATAATACCAAATTTGAAATGGGAAAATTAAATCAAATGATCCAGTCACTTGTAAATTAAAATTTCTTGAATAGTATGTTTCTTGAAAAATTTCATTAAATAAATTCAATATATGACCATTTAGTAAAGGGATATTCAACTTTAAGATTTTGTTAACTGAATTTATAATTAGAAAAAATGGAAATTCATTTTTATTTTTATTTAGTAGAACATTTTTTATTTGTAATAACATTATTAAATTAATTGATCCAATACATGAATAATAATCCAAATTTTTGGAATGGTTATCAAAATCTGAAAGTTGTAGCTTGTCAACGTTAGATATATCTTGACATAGCACTTTACAAACATAATCATATGATATTTCATTCAGTAATTGATCAATTATTTCAAATGTATTTTTAGTTATTATTTCATTTTGTTCATTCTTACCATATATTATAGAAGTATGTCGTATTAATTTGTTTAATTCGTTGGTTGGTATATTTCCATATTTTGAAGCTGATTTTAATAATTCAATTATTGAAATTATTAACAATTCATTATCAATATTAATTTTTATAATTTTTTCAATCATTGATCCAACAGCATTATCATTAATAATTCCATAATTAAATTTTAAACAATTACTCATAAATTCAATAAAATTGTTACTATTTTGTAAATTTTCTTCATTTAAATTATTATTTTCCAGTATATGAATCAATACTTCTAATCCTTTATTAAAAAATTTAATTAAATTTTTATTATCTTCAGTTATAATTAAATCATGAATATCTCTTCCATTATCACTTAATTTTATAAGTGCCTGTAAATACAAATCAAATTGTAAATCAAATCCTGTTGTATAAAATTGACAACATTTATAAATATCTTGAAAATATCTAGTTCTTGAACCAACTGAATTATCATCTTTTTCAATACAAACATTTAACAACCGAAGTGTTTGATTTCTTATTTGTTTATTTCCCTTGTTTACATCTAAAAATTGTCGAGCTAAATACCAAATTTCTTGTATTGATGAAATAGAATATTTTGAAACTGATTCAGTTAATTTCTCCAAAGCTTTTAATTGTTGTTGTTGAGAAATATTTTGAGATAAAATTTGATTAATTAAATCTTGTAAATCTATTCCTCCTCCAACAACTGTTGGATTAATTGTCACTGGTACATTTTTTGATGATGATGAAGGTTTAAAAGTTTTTGTTAATGACCTGAAAACACTACCTAACCCACTTGATGAACTGAATGTGGGATGATGTGTAGACATATAACAGTCTGAGGTGGTATAGTCGAATTGAAAGAGCTTGTTATGTGGTGATAGTTTGCTTAGTCTTGGAATGTAAGTTTAAAAGAAATGGTTGTAAAATTTATCTTGAAGTATTTTCTTTGTACCACTTTTAAATTTTCTACGATTCTATATACACTACACAAGTTGATTAACATTAAATTATCATTAAACAATATCACTATACATATAGTCTCTAATTTTACAAAAAAACATTACAATTAACAAACAAACCCAACGAACTAAATCCCAAAATACCTTCTAAATCCTTTTTTTTAATTTCTTTTATCCATATATTAAATCAACAATATAACAAATTCCACCACCCCATGTCATTTTTTGTAATAAAACTTTTAACCATCTTGGTTTTAATTTAACAAATATATTACCACAATTATATCCTTCACTTTCTACTCCAACTCCCCATTTTATATTTTGTCTAACATTACAACCTCTCCAAAAATTCCACCATTTTGATCTTTCACATGGTACAATTCTTAAAACATTTTTTCTTAATGGACCTGTTGGACCATCAATATATTTATAACCACCAATAAATGAATAAGTTTGTCTTTTATCAGCATTTGGTAATTGTTTATCACCCCAATGACCTTTATAATTTAACCAATTATCATATGACCATTCTCTTCCTATATATTTTGGATTTGAATTATTTAAAGCTGGAAAAACATATTTACCATCATAAGTATAACCTAAATAATTTTTGGAAGGATTCCATAATGGACCACGATCAGTAAAATCACTTAATATATCGTAAGGTAAATCATGAGGATGTTGACCAACACTTGGATAATTTGCATGAGTACCTCTTGCACTAAAAATAATAGGATGTCTTGGATCAAGAGTATATTTTTCTAAATTATGATAATAAAAAGCTCCTCCTCCACCATGAGCTGACATCCAAACAATTATTGGTTCACCCTTATAAAATCTTACTAATGAATGTTCCCAATCTCCAACATGATTTCCATATGGTCCTTGACCCATTACAAATGGACCTAAATTAAAAGAATAAAAATAAAACCAATAAGCATCAACCCATCCATTTCCTTTATCAACAACTATTAAAGTTGCAGGAGCATTTTTAATTTCTCCATTTATTAAATTTGGTTTATTTTTTATTCCAGTGATCCAATCTGGATCATCATCAAAATTTGTATTTGAAGTTAAATATAATTTTTTACTATGTTTTAATTGAGCAAGTTTTTCAATGTTCATATCAGTTTCAGTACCAGGATAAATTGATCCATTTTTAAAAGTTACATGAAAATTTGTAACAAATTCTTTTATATCATATGGTAAATATCTTTCTTCACTATATAAATAAACTAATGGAGCATAATCTATTACATATTGAGGAATTTCCCCAGGTTTTAAAGTTCTTTGATTTTGTTTTGGTAAACTTATTATTGGTGGGAAATCTTTATATTTTAATGGATTTGATAAAATATTTGAAATTTTAATTTCTTTATAATCATCTTGAATTGTATTTAGTATATAATTATTACCTTCTGATACGTCGTAGTATGGTGGTAAATTCGGTTGTTGATTTTCAACCGGTTGTGAGATTTGTTGAGATAATGTTGAGATCACTATGAAAGATAACAGGGTTATTATTCCTGACAACATGATATTGTTATTGACTGGATATGATTTATGCTATAGATTAATTGAAGTTCGTTATGCACGTGGAGAAGTAGTTACTCGTTATTACAACTTTACTCCACGAAATGCCGTAATGAATGGAAGTTGATTGGTCTTTAAATATTTGTACCGCTTTATAACCTCCTCTATCCGTCTATTAATGTACTTGATCTTGTTTTGACGATGAATCTGAGTATTTGTATTTGGTTAATAGTTTGTTTGTAGGTAAATCTATTTATAAGAATAGCCGATTATTTTATTGCGTTTTATTTTTTGCGTGATGTTTCTTTTTTTAATTCCGTTAAATTTATTTACTTATTAACATAAACTTATTAGTAAGTAGATCTAATGGTCAATACAGATAATACAAACAAACAGTTAGATGAACCTGGCGTTATAATAAGTAGCTTCTGGGACATTGAAGCAGCAAAAGCACAAGTAGTTGATGAGAAAATTGCAATTAAACGAGCACACAGAATTACAGCTATATTATTGGTAATTTTACTTGCCCCATTATTATATGAGTTAATGACTACAAGATATGATAAAATTACTGATGGACAGTTAGAACCAGCAACAGTTAAAGGATTTAGTACAGAGTTGACATTATACAATGCAGGCAACACAGATTTAACATTTGATAAGCGTGCAACGTGGGGCAGAGATATCGTAGATGGTGCAATTAGCACCTTCTCGATGGTTGTGACCGGTGCTAATGCAATTTATGCTATTGCGTGTTCAGGAACCTTTGCAGCTACTGTTGGATTGGTAATACCTGGCGGACCTTTAAGTACATTAGTTGCATGTAATTCTGCTGGTATTGGTTTAGCATTGTTCAATACAATGTCATATACGTTAAACAAAGAAAGCCAAGGATGGACGTGAAGTGGTGGCTCAATTTATCTCTGAGAAGAGTTAGCTGCGAACATTTCAACATTATACTTCAACGACTTACCGACTAGGTTTATCACTGATAACTTATATAGTGTTGAAGTATGATAAGCATAATTTTAGTAGCTACGTTTCCAATAGGGACGAAAATTCAGGATAAGTAATCAATCACGGTCTGTCATAACACTATTCAGAATGTTCAACCAGATTATATCGGCTATCAATTTATAGCGGATCATATTAATAAATCTGTGGTTATACATGCAGGTCATGTACAAGAAGCTATAGACATGTGGTTGAAACGCGGTCATGAAGAAGATTTTAGATCTGACAACTCCAATTTAACTAGTTTTCACTCATAACAGTTTTACATAAAAGAGCAATAATTTTATTTTCAAGATAAAATTTCGATTTGACTGTACTTACCTGAATTTTCGAAAAAGAAGTCCGGTTAGTACAATATCGGCTAAGATTTAGTACCGATAAGATAAGAAACATATAATTTTAGTCAAGATCTTTGCTTCCAACTGACCAAAGTAATTCATTAGCATCCATGAATTTTGTATACTACTCTAAATATTATATATGAATACTCTAGTTGATCTATGTCGTAAACGCTGACCATCTCACAATATGATAACGTCCTTTCTTCATTAATCTCCAAATCAAAGTTCCACTTAGAAAACGAAAACTTGATCACCTAATTTTGAAACAGGTTTTGCTTTTTCATAACCTAATGAAACAGCAGCTTTTTTCATAGCACTAATCATTGGTGGAGGACCACATAATAAAAGATTAGTATCTTCGGAAGGTGGAGGTAAATGTTTTGAAATTAAATCTGGAGTAACAAATCCAGTAGAATATTCCCAATCTTTAGGAGCTTCATTTAAAACATAATGAATTTTTAATCTATCTGGATGTTGTTTTGAAAAATCTTCTAATTCTTTTCTTAATAAAATATCATCTTCAGTAACATTTGCATAAATTAAATGAACTACGGTTTTATCTTCTGGATTATTCATAATAGCAGTAATAATTTGATACATTGGTGCAATACCAGTACCTCCAGCAATCATTCCTAATGTCTTTTTAATATTTGGTGTATGTGTAAAAAAACCTTTTGGACCTCTAATTTCAATTGTATCACCAATTTTTTTTGAAGCAACATGTTTTGAAATATTACCATTTTCATAAGTTTTAATTAATAAATCAAAATGACCTTGTTGATCACTGGTTGATATAGGAGTATAAGATCTAACAATTTCTTTACCATCTATTATTGCACCAATTGAAATATGTTGACCTATTGGTAAATTTAAAGTATCTGTTGGTTTATTTAATCCAAATCTATATATAGCTGAATTATGACTTACTTTTTTAATATCTATTAATGGAAATTTTTGAAATTTATCAGGTATTAATGCAAATGTTTGTTTTGATGATTTATTAGTAGATTTTTGAGATTGTCTAAAAAAATAAAATCCAACAAATGATAATATAATTGATGCAATAGTTACAAATACCACCAAAGGGTTTTGTTGTTCTGATGATTGATCTGCCATCTTGTTAGAGTCAAATAATGGAGAAAAATATGGAATTGACACTGAATCTGGGGAAATGAAATCTAAATGTTGTTTTAAAACTGTGAATGTTAAATTTTTGTTGAATTTAAACTTTTTTTTTCACTGTTGTTTTATTGTCTCACTTCTTTTTCATATGATTTAATGTAACAAATTAAATTTATGGTTAGATTATTTGGTATATCGTGGAAAAATTATAACCAATAGGTAGACCGGATGAATGGGGATGTTTGGATAAATGAATGTGTGAGTTTGATTTTTCAATAAGGTCTTTTGATCTAGTATTTATGTTAATATTTATATGAGAATTTATTATTTAGATCAAATCGATAAGTATTTTCTTACCAATTTTGGTTAAATTGTCCATTTAAAATATTTCGATCGATTTTCGGCCTGAAACTTTAGTTATCGACGAAATGGAACGAGTGAAAAAGGAACACCACCTTTTGATCCACTAAGTCCATCAAAATGCATCTTAGATAATCTTCTAAACGTTTAAAGAAGTCAATTTGCAAGATTGTCTTTCGATTTCAGGAATTAAGCTTTTAGGCAACTGAATGGATTTGATAAAAGAGTCTTTCGATGTCTGTTACTTCAAATTCTTTCAACCAAAACTACAAATCCAATTAACTCCAAATAAAATCAGGTCACCATCTTTTTTTCATCTGAGTTTTATTAAACTGCCTAATAGTACCTATTTTTGTACCTTCACAAAACAGACGAGGGATAGACAAATGTCAACTGACAGCAACAGGTTAAAAATTTTATTAACAATTCTAACAACATGTACCGTTAATGGAAGAAAAAGATAGTGACCAATTCGATTTCTTCTAGTATTGATGTACATGCTGTTATAATTGTTAATAAAACGTTGTATTGAACTGATTCACTATTGACAAATCAAATCGTTATGGGAAGTCTTGTAGAAAAGAGATCTTTGCCGTTAGATTTGATTACAAAAAAAGGTATATCAACGTCACGTGGTACGATTTGAATTCAAGATATACACAAAATCTCTCAATGTTGACTCAAAATCGAGTCAGTTTGAATTTAAATTTGCGTGGAATTGAACATAAATTCTAGAATCAATGTCTAGTGGATTTTGTTTTGTATAATAATATTCCATTACTATTAATGCAACATTTCTTTTATTCGATCTGATGTAATATAACTATACAATTTTTCAATTCATAAGCCTTCAACTACATCTAAGCTTTAGTTCATATATTACTCGATTTCAGCCTAGACCACAAACACAACATCAGCCTCACATTCCAAATGGCTGTTCAAATCAAAGTACTCTATATTAGAAATTTTTGTTAGATTTGAATCAATAATGCACGTTTTGATTTTAGTACAATCATATTACTTTAGTTCAAAATTACACTGGAAAAAGCAATAAATATTTCATGTACATAACCAATATTCACAATAAATTCATTAAATCAATATATAGCCTATTTAATTCTCAATTTGGAAATGTAATTAATTGCATACAGATATATTATTACCATCATATCGATTGAAATTTTACAAGAGTTTTCCTCACATTCCTTCTTTCTTCCACATATAGAATGAAATGTTTTATACGACTACTATCTATATTCATTTTTTCATGTTTAATAACTAAAATAAATTGTATAAGTTTTAATTTCGATATTAAATCAATCACACCACCAGAATCATCACTTTCAAAAAGACAGATTACAACTATTTTCAAAAATCAAAAAAATGTATTTTTAACAAATTTAGGAATTGGTTCAAATAATGATTCAGTAATAGTATCAATAGATACAGGATCATCAGATTTATGGATTATGTCAAATCAAGTTACATGTTTTAATGTAAGTGAATTTCATACAGTCAATTCTCCAAATATTCCCAAAATTTTTAATGATTTAGATGAATCATATTCATGTAAATCAAATGGAACTTTTTCATATGAAAATTCAAATACTTTTAAAAATGAAAATTCAGATTTCGTAATTGCTTTTGCTGATGGATCTGCAGCAAAGGGAATTTGGGGTAATGATTCTCTAATAATTGGTGAATCTAATATTACTGTTGCAAATGTAAAATTCGGAATTGCTAATCAATCAAGTATTGATGTTGGAATTTTAGGGATTGGATTTAAAGATGATTATGATAATTTACCAATTTTATTACAAAAACAAGGATTTATTGAAAATTTACAATATTCAATATATACTACTGGAAAAGATTCAGGAATAATTGATTTTGATAATATAGATGATACAAAATATGAAAATGATTTAGTTACAATAGAAATGGATAAAAATATTGGAATATATGTATCAAATTCATATACAGATGATGAAGAAGAACAAAAAAATTCAAAACAAGAATTAGCAATATTTGATACTGGATCAACTTTTTCAACATTACCAAAAGAATGGATTAAAAGAATAGGAGAATCGATAAACGGAACATATGATGAAAATGAATTAGCATATGAAGTAAATTGCAATTTATTAAATTCAAATAATACCGCTGAACAGCATTTTAATTTTACTTTAAATGACACCGTCTTTTCCATACCTGCCAGTAATTTTATAATTCAAAATGAAAGAACTAATAATAAGTGTTACTTAGGTATAATGGATGAATCAATTATAGGTGGAGTAATATTTGGATCAGATATTTTAAAAAATTTTTATTTAGTTTATAATTTACAAGATTCAACTTTATCAATAGCTCCAATAAAAGATTTAAGTTCAGAGGATCAAATTTATTCTTCTTCATCACAAAATTCAGAAATTTCATCAACAACTTTAAGTTCTTTAACTACATCATCATCTATTAAAATTACTTCATCAATCACGTCATCTAAAAATGGTGGATCCATTATAATATCTGGATATTTATTGACGTTTGTTTCAACTATATTACTATTTTTTACATAGTTTGATTTTGATACCTAATTTACTTTTTATAGACAAATCATCATCGAACAATAGCATTTATTGTAAACTAACAATTGTAAAACAATTCTTTTTTTCTTTAAAAGTTTAGTTCCACTACTGCGGATAAAGTTCGATAAGTATTCTCTGGGTATTACTTGATGCTACGAGTTACTATATTTTATGTAACAAATGAGGGGTTTTGAAACATATAGTGATAAAATATTGTGTATAATAATCTAATACAACGCGTATTAAAATTAAAAATCTGAAACAAATTTGGAAATTATAATACAATGAAATTTATTATCATAAGAAATTATTATATGAGCCCTTGAAGATGTAAATAATCATCAATTTCTCCGTATTTTTAGTTTCAAAATATTTTACATCAACTATTCAAATTTGAATCAATTTCATATCATCACTTGGACTGATCATTCATTCTTTAAATCTAGCTCCTTAAGTCATTCAGATCGATATCACCAAACCTAACACACACAAAAACGAAAAATTACTACCAGATCTATAACATCAATAATTCGAGTAGAAATTCAAAAGAGAAAGAATTCAATGTTTAATTTAGATTGTGATGATATTTGTATGTTATTATTCTTACTGTTAAGTGTTGTATTTATATTATTATCAATATTATGTTATAAAGAAAATCAAAGAATTAAATTATATAATGAAATTCCATCATTAATGAATGGAGGAAATCAAGTGAAATTTGAAGTTTAATTAATACAAATGATATTCAGGAAGATCTCGGTGAGATTCCCTGGTGGATCTCGTATATTTGGCTGGACCAATATACCTTTTTATAAATGGCATATACTTCAGTTCTTTTTTAATATATTCGAATATACATACCTTTATTGATACAATTCATCTATTGTAATACGTATGTAATTACTAAATAGAAAGTTGAATACACAAGTGATCTCCTTATTCGAACTTAAAATTGATTAGATTATAATTTCTCAAAAGTTGATTCAAAATTCATAGAAAAATTCCAAAAAGTAGTAACTTTCAGTGGATCAACTGTAGATCACGTTGGCCAGAAACATATTTATATATTCAAACTGTTACCATATATTGCATCATGACGATAGTTTTAAAAACTTTTAAAAAGTTGATTTAAAAAAATTCCAAAAGGTAGTAACTTGGATCATCAACAAAAGAATCAAATCAATCAGTTTGAATGTATAAATATGGCTCTGGCCAATTGTTGAAAAAAGAACTCATCCTTTAATGCTCGATCCAATATTAAAACCTTCGGACTTCTTTTCCAGTTTTGTATCTTTAGTAGTTTTACCCAAATCATTTTCAATTGATACATCAATCTTAAATGCTTTACTTTTGAACAGTACCTCAACGCCTTCAAAAATAGTCAACAAGATCAACAGTGAACACATACTAAACTTAACTTTACACATCGAGATGTAGCTTGTATGAAGATTGCTCTCTTGGGTGCTGTTAAACCTTGTTTGATAGGTGCTTTAAAGACGGATCCGAATTTACATCCAGTTGCCTTATTCTCCCAAATTGGGGACAGTGTAGCGCCCACTCATACCAAACACCTTTTGTAAAGTAAACTCAACGTGGAATTAATGATTTCAAGTGTGACTACTTAAAGATAGATTATGATATGTATGTAGGGTTGTAGCCCCATTGAGTTTTTTATTGCGCGCTTTTGGACTCAACTTTTTTTTGCACAAGAATTGTAATGCAAAATTAAAATTGAAATTTTTCAGATTCAACCTCATCCACTCTTTTATAATCAATCAATACAATCAAAAATGGCTCCAATTGTATGTATCATTAAAACATGGAGATAGAAATAGCAATGTTTCAAGAGACAAGAAAGAAGCTTTGACTTCTGCATCCGTCTACATGATCCTTTTTTTACTTTTTTTTTTTGGATTCAGAGAACTTTTTCCCATATACAAAGATCGGGTTTTTTAATCGTCGATAGATGGAGATATTGAACGTCAATATAACTACAAACCTATTAAATTCATTGTTGAATATTAAGGATTAATCAATGACAACCTCACCCCGTTATTTTGTGGGAGGAAGGGCTTTGCTGTCAAAGAAAATTTAAAGTTTGAGAGAATGGAAACCTAAGGACTTGGTTCTTAACAATGCTTATTTTTTCAAATTATTATAATTTTCAAGTGCGGTAGGCTAACTTTCTTACTTTTCTAGACCACTAAAAAATCAAAATCTACTAAAAAATTCACTGTTGATACTTCAGCACCAGTTGAAAATGGTGTTTTTGATCAAGAAGGTTATGTTAAATATTTAATTGAACATATTAAAGTTGATAATATTGTTGGTAATTTAGGTGATGAAATTTCAGTTGAATCAGATGGTACTAAAGTTGTTATTGTTTCAAATACTAAATTTTCAGGTAAATATTTAAAATATTTAACAAAAAGATATTTAAAGAAAAATCAAATTAGAGATTGGATTAGATTTGTTGCTGTTAAACAAAATCAATATAGATTACAATTTTATTCAGTTGCTGAAGATGATGATGAAGAAGATGAAGAATAAATCTTTTAAAAAGATTTTATTCAGTATTTCATCTTTTTTTCAACATGTTACAATAGATTAATCTTTATGTTCTTTTTTTTTAATGGGTTTTCATAGGTTTGTATAAAAATATCAATATTCAATTTTTGAACAACTCAAAACTTTGTCGCTTTAATTATTAACTGATCTTCATATTTCGAATATGTGAAAGAAATATGTATGTACTCATGATTAAGATATTTTCACACAATGAACACTTTTAGGTTTCCTGAGCTTTGTTTTTTGGCGTGGCAAAGCAAGCACATTTGATGAAAAATGTTTTTAAAATTTAAGAACACTTACACAGTTTAACAATGCACAATCATTCGCTTGCACTATACGTGAAAGAATGTAGCTCTGGAAATCTAGAAGTGTTCAAGAAGTGATATATATTATAACCATGAGAGCTTCAGTATATTTTTGAATTAAACACCTTCTCTCTTTCTTGAAATAGGGACTTCAAGAAGTATGTCAAAATTTTTCACGTCAATAATTAGTTGCATTAGTTGTTGCTGATGTTTGATAAGATAAGTAGTCGGTCTATACGATTTCTCGACTTACATTTTTATTGGCATAAAGATAGCCATATTTCATTCTCAAAGTTTTTATTTGAGCTTGAAGATTCAAAGTGATTGATTAAATTAGTAGTGAGCCGCACGAACTTTACTTTTGCAGAATAAAATATAAAACAACTTGAACCTGCTTTACATTCACCAAATACACTCATTCATTCACCCACCCACCAACATAATCACACAATGGAGTTACTACCTGAAGGTCAAAGAAATACTGCAACTGAAGTATCATGGGAAGATCAACAAAAAATCAATAAATTTTCAACATTAGTGAATAAAAAAGATAATAGTTTAATAATTTTAGAAAAATTAAAAACTGAAAAAGAATATTTAGATGATTTATCAATGGAATTAGAATTATTAGATGAAGATGAAAAAATTCAATATAAATTAGGTGATTGTTTTGTTTTTTTACCTGTTTCTAAAGCATTAACTAAGATTGAACAAAATGATACTAAATTAACTGATCAAATTAATGAAATTGAAAATCAAATTGAAAATTATGATGAAAATTTAAAGGAATTGAAAAAGCATTTATACGCTAAATTCGGTAATAATATAAATTTAGAAAGGCAGGAGAAATTGATTTAATGTGGGTGTTGAAAGAAGAATTCATGATGTCTAGGCATTTCCGTATTAATGTCAGTTCATTCAGCAAATTATGGTGTTGGGAAAATTGAAAATAACTTATACCAGAGATGATGCTTATAATGATTATTGACTACAAATTTCGTACTCAAAGCAAATACAACATGAACGTATGAAAAATTGATCAAAAACTAGACCGATCAAAAGTTTGTGAACTCTAACTCTCTAAGTTTTACTCGATTTTCATATCGAATTGCTAGCAGAAAGAACTCTATTTAGGGAATCATGAAAAGTTACCCATTTATAATCCTATGATTTTGCATTTGTCATTCCAATCATAACGCAGGAATGTTTACCTGACTGAGAAGCTTATAGCTAGAAAATTCATTAACATCCCATTTATTAACTTAAATAAACATCTATATACACTCCAAAGGAATCATGAACTAAAGTATCATAATGAGCATTCCATCTCGTTCTCACCAAAAGATTCGTTTTATTTATGTTTCTTCAAAGGTTCAACAACTAATTTATCAAAAGTAAACATTTGTGAAATAGTAGTTTGTCTAGTTAATAAAGCTAAATTATTTATACCATCATTATAAAATTGATTTATTTGTTGTTCATCTATTAAATCTTTATGATCTTTAAACATATCATGTACTCTTCTTTTTGTATATTCTTTAAAATTATAATTATCAAATTTATATGCTTTTTGTAGTAAGTTTTTGTATAACTTTAATACTTGTTTTGAATCTACCATTGTGATGTATGTTGTTGTTTGTTTGATTGTGGTGAAATCTAGGAAGAATGAATCAATGTAGATTAATCGTATTACCTTTTCTGTCATTTAGATTATTAATCCAAATCGTGAGAAATGTGTGCTACCAAATCGTACCGCTTGTTCTATTGTAGGCTCGCACAAAGCGAAATGGAATCCAATGAATTTAAACAACTGATAGACTAATTATGCGTAAGATGCAGCAGTAAAACATTTTGAATTGAATGATTAGATTGGTTCCACTTCTGTTGAAGTCACGAAACTGAAAAAACAGGTTTCATTCCAGTATCATCGTTGAAACAATTCCTTTATTGAAGTTTATTAATGGGACCATATAAACATCATTCAATTGAGTTCAAGAGATTATCATTACATACAAGAATTGATGATATCGAATTATGTATATTAAAACTTACTTACTTTCCACGCTGGTTGTTGCACTTCTTTCCAACTGCCTACTTCTATCAAAGTATAAATTTGGATGACTAATATGTTCTTGAGGAGCATTAGGATTAGCACTCTTTACTTTTTGATGAGTTAACTCGAAGACTCTTGTACATGCTACAGTATAATCTCGATTACTAACATCATCCATTATTGCATTCAAATCTTGTTGATTCTTTATTCCCATCTCATCAAGACTATGAGTTAATTGAGTTTGTGAAAAATCACGATATGGACATCCATGATATTCATTTGAACCAGGTTTTGGTTTACTTAAAATGGTTGCACAATCCCATGGTTTATAATTGATTCTAGCACCTTCTAATCCATATTGATGTCTGACATTATATTTATATTGTTTATTGAATGTTTCTTGACTCATACTACCATTCTTTGTAAATTGTTGAGACCAAAATTTAATAGCTTCATCCACATTTAACCCTATACCCTTTAGGAATATTCCTAATTGTTGTCTTCCTAAGTATTTCAAATGTGATGAACTCATCAAATTCTTTTGTAAATGACTTGCACATAAAGGATAGTGAGACATGATTTGTTTTGAAGTAATAGATAATGCATTTATGTCTGAAGTCAATTCACTATCCATATCGACTTCGTATTGGAAATTTGAAAAGTTTTTTGATAAATTATTTAATAACGGTAATAATCTATCATCTTCTTCCAATCTTGGAATTGCTTGAAATGTTTTTATCAATATTTGATTTAAATTATTTTGAAATTCAATGGCTAATAAATTTAATTGTAAAGATGTAGGTAAATAACCATATCCTTCTTGTAAATAAACTGATCTTGAAGAAACTAGTTGAGTAATTTTTTCAAATGGTAATTTGATGAAATTTTCTTTTTGAATCATCATTTGTTTTGTTTGTTCATTGTTTAAATTGAGTGTATCACCCGAATCTGCAATATATTGCAGTTTCAATATATTCCCACTTGCTGCAAATAATTTATCTATTAATTCATTTTTTTCTTTTGAAGAAATATATTTCCATGATAATTTATATGAATTCAATTCAATAAATTCTTGTTGTTCTTTAGGCTGTAACATATTATATCTCACTTTAAATAACATGGTTTCATTTTTAATGAATTTTTTTCTAAGTTCTTCAGATCGACAAAATACTAATCTTAAAATGAAATGACTATAATAATCTTTCATTCTTTCTTGTACAATAACTTTTTCGTTTAAATTGACAGCAGGACTTAATGGTAAATATTTTAATAATAATGGTTTAATACTAGTTTCTACGTCTTTTGGAGTTTTCGATCTAGCAACACATGACTCAATCTCTATAAGAATTTTTAATCTATCTATAGCCCATAGTTCAAATTCTTCTAATGTGATTTCTTGATTTGGTGGTAAATCATAAAATGATAATCTAGATGTAAATAAATTAGGAATTGAATATTGACTATCTTCAGATGCCTGTGACGGTTTGTCTTCAAAATTTCTTCGTCCTGCTGTACGTCTTTTGACTTGTCTGAACATGATTTGAAGTTTGTTGTGGTTGTTTAGTTATGGTGGTGAAGCTCAATGAATTTGCTAACATGTAAATAAAGAAGAATCAAATACAAACGCGTCTCAAGAATAGCGTGTTTAAATTTGGTAGCTTAACTCCAAATGCGCATGAGTTAAATATTTCGCGCGACTAACAAAAAACTCAATCTTTCTTTAGTGAAGAATTGAATTAAAAAATTGGTTGTTAGTACTGATTTAAGCAACTACATCTATCATTTGCCATTCAAAATTTCCAATAGACACCAATCATGTCGGATGTGCATATTGATGCTAATGCATTTTATAAAAGATTGGCCATCCTACAAAAGACACTTGAATCAAACAGTATACCTCAAGCTTTGATCATTGTTGGAGCACGTAATGATGACAACACATATAAAAAATCAACAGTTGTTCAAACTTGGTTATTAGGTTATGAATTTGTTCATACTGGTATTTATATCACACCAACAAAATGTATTTTTATAACATCGGAAGGTAAAGCAAAATATTTACAAGGATTAACAAACAGACCAGATACTGTTGAAATCTGGTCTAGAACAAAAGACGTTGAAAAGAATAAACAATTATTTAAGACTTTAATTGAAGACATGAAAGCTGTTAGTGATGAATATGGGACAGTATTAAAAGATAAATATGATGGTAAGTTTGTTGAGGAATGGAGGGAAATAAGTGAAGATTCTGGATTAAAACCAATTGATTTAGCATTAACTTTATCGAAATCTATGGAATTAAAAGATTCTGAAGAATTTGAAAATACAAAAATTGCATCAAATGCAAGTGTAGTAATGATGGATACATTTGTTAATGATATGATGACAATTGTTGATCAAGAAAAAAAAATCACAAATTCTCAATTAACTGATCAAATAGAAGATAAAATTGAAAATAATAAATGGTATTTAAAATCAAAATTAGGTAAAAATTTATTACAATCTTTAAAAGATTTTGATTCAGAATTTTTGGAATGGTGTTATTCTCCAATTATTCAAAGTGGTGATGATTATGATTTAAAACCAAGTGCATTGTCAACTGAAAAACAATTAGTTGGTGAAGGTGTAATATTAGCATCTATTGGTTTGAGATACAAATCGTACTGTGCCAATGTAGGTAGAACATTTTTAATTGATCCAACAAAAGAAATGGAAAACAATTATGATTTTTTATTAAAATTGCAACAATATATAAGAGAAAATTTATTAAAGTCTGGAGTTAAAGCAAACAAAGTTTATGAGGATGCTTTGGATTATATTAAAAAAGAGAATCCAGGTTTAGCTGATAAATTTACAAAAAATTGTGGTTGGTTGATCGGTATAGAGTTTAGAGATTCAACATTCTTACTTAATTCCAAATCAGATAGAACTTTAGAAGATGGACAAATTATATCATTAACTATTGGGTTTCAAAATATACCAAACAAAAGAAAAACTTATTCCGTACTATTGACAGATACTTTTAAAATAAGTGTTGATAAACCAATTTTATTAACAGACTATCCAAAAAATAAATCAGACATATCATTTTATTTCAACGATGATGAAGATTCAACCAAAAAAGCTAAACCAGAATCAAAACCTATTGAAACCAATGCATCTTCAAAATTAACTAAAACAAAATTAAGACATGAAAATTCTAATGCTGATGATAAAAATGCTGAAAAATTAAGACAAGAAATTCAAATGAAATTACATGAAAAAAGAACAGAAGAAGGATTAGCAAGATTTTCAAAAGCTGATGCAACTGATGCGGCGGATTATAAACCAATTTTTAAAAAATATGAATCATATATAAGAGAATCTCAAATTCCAAATAGTGTAAGTGATTTAAAAATTCATGTTGATTATAAAAATCATACAATAATTTTACCAATTTGTGGTAGACCGGTTCCATTTCATATTAATTCATATAAAAGTGGTTCACAAAATGAAGAAGGTGATTATACATATTTAAGATTAAATTTTAATTCACCTGGTGCTGGTGGTAATGTTAATAGAAAAGCTGAATTACCATATGAAGATTCTCCAGATAATACATTTTTAAGATCCATAACTGTAAGATCAAAAGATCGTGATAGAATGGTTGATGTTTTTAAAGCAATTCAAGATCTTAAAAAGGATTCAGTTAAAAGAGAACAAGAAAAGAAACAATTAGCTGATGTTGTTAGTCAAGCTAATCTTATAGAATTTAAAGGTTCAAGAATTAAAAAATTAGATAATGTATTTATTAGACCAACACCTGATACAAAAAAATTAGGTGGTGTTTTACAAATTCATGAAAATGGTTTAAGATATCAATCAAGTTTTAAAATGGATCAAAAAATTGATGTATTATTTTCAAATATTAAACATTTATTTTTTCAACCAAGTAAGGATGAATTAATTGTTATAATACATTGTCATTTAAAAAACCCAATAATGATTGGTAAAAGAAAAACATTTGATGTACAATTTTATAGAGAAGCTAGTGATATGGCATTTGACGAAACTGGAGGTAGAAAAAGAAAATATAGATATGGTGATGAAGATGAATTACAACAAGAACAAGAAGAAAGAAGAAGAAAAGCATTACTTGATAAAGAATTTAAACAATTTGCTGAATTAATAGCTGATAGTTCAAATGGTATAGTTGAATTAGATATACCATTTAGAGAATTAGGATTTCAAGGTGTTCCATTTAGATCTTCAGTATTATGTCTTCCAACAAGAGATTGTTTAATTCAATTAATTGATCCACCATATCTTGTAGTTACTTTGGAAGAAGTTGAAATTGCTCACTTGGAAAGAGTTCAATTTGGTTTAAAAAATTTTGATTTAGTATTTGTTTTTAAAGATTTTAATAAACCTGTTGTTCATATAAATACTATACCAATGGAATTATTAGAAGATGTTAAATCATGGTTAACTGACGTTGATATACCAATTAGTGAAGGTCAAATGAATTTAAATTGGGCACAAATTATTAAAACAGTTCAAGCTGATCCATATCAATTCTTTTTAGATGGAGGTTGGTCATTTTTAACTGGTGCAGGTGATTCTGATGAAAGTGAAGAAGAAGATGCAGAAAGTGAATTTGAAGCAAGTGATGAAGATCCACAAGATGAAAGTGAAGTTAGTGAAGATGATTATGAAAGTGAAGGAGATAGTGATGATTTTTCAGGTAGTGGAAGTGAAGCAGAAAGTGAAGAATCAGGAGAAGATTGGGATGAAATGGAGAAAAAGGCAGCAAAAGCAGATCGTCAAGCTGGATTTGAATAATCTAGTAGTAAATAAATAATTATTATTGTATTATTCCATATATATATAAGTCTATTTTAAATTTATTGACAGCCACATATCTTTAAAATTCCACCAAGATGCACCACAACCACAAAGTCCAACCCAAAATGGGGTTAAACAACCATCTCTTAAACACCAATGTAAAACTAAAGGTAATTGAATAACATTTTTAAATAAATTAATTTGCCAATTTTTTGATTTCCATTGATTTATTGGAGTTCTTCTAAAAATTTCTATAATTTCTATAATTAAATAAGCACCCCAAACTCTACAACACCATATATAAGTTTCAATACACCAATAAGGATTATTTCCTGTACCTATAAAATCATGATCAGTTAACCAACCAATATTTTCAAAAATTTCTAAAACAATACAATTTAAAGCTTGAATTACATTAACAAATCTATCAATTCTTGGTGATTTTGCAGTTGGATCATTAAAACCATGCCATTCATCAATTAACCATGGCATATATTTTATAGAATCAGTTAATCTATTAAAAATTCTAACATCAGCTAAATACAGATTTATTTTTTTTAAATGATATGCTAATTTTGATGGGTTTTGTTGTGATTCAGGAATTGGTTGAGGAGGTGATTGATTTAATATTTTGGAATCATTAGTATTTATATTTAATGTGTTTGCAGATTTTTTGACTAGTTGTAATAGATTATATTTTTGCTTTTGTAAAAAATTTAAAATGTTATATTTATTATTTAATATTGATGATAAAAGTAATGAAAAATAACATAAAAAATATAAATTTTGATCAACTGTTGAAGATTTTGATAATACTTTATCATTTATTTCTTGATAAAATTGTCTACTAAATATTGATTTTTTTAATAAATGATTTAATTGTAATAGTAAATTTAATGGTAATGTGAAAGTTGTTCTTGGTTTATGAGGTGGTGACATTGTGGATATAGCTAGTATACTCATACTGCTTTGTAGCTTGTAATTCTGATGGTCTGGTTAGAAAGAAGATGAGTTTGATATTATATCATATCACTAGTATTATTCTATTATTATTTTTCAATTGGTTAGCATTGTGAGGCTTTTGCCAAATTAAGAATATTTTTCCCTCGGTTGCAAAATCAATAACGAAATCAATATCAAGAGAATAGAGAATATGAACCAAAACAATTCAATCAACTGAGAAGATTAGTCTCACATGAAGGTAAAAATATATTATACAAAGTAATAAATAATGAAATATACAAACAAAAATGCTTTTAATGAAATGAAAGAAATGTAATGACTTTAAAATTATGTTAACCTTTCCCAAAGTTATTATTTATGATATGGTAAATCAGGTATACCATCAGACGATCTAACACTAGATACACCTTGATGATTATTTGATATTTGAGATTTCAACTGTTCAACAGTTATTCCTTCCTTTTTAGCAAATTGTTCTCTTGCATGTTCATCAGTTGAACCAACTGTTTCTAATACTAATTCATTAATTTCTTCAACATCATCATGAACTTGTGGTAAAATTAAATTTAATATAACTCCTAATAATCCAGTAACTGCAAATCCTGATTCCATGACTAAAACGATAGCATTAAAAAATCCCGATAATGCATGATTATCACCAGAATAAGTGAAAACATTACTAAACCAATCTGGTACTAAAGTTGCACCTAAACCTGGTAAAATTGAAGCTGTTAATACAAATCTATCTCTTCTTGAAAATTCAGTACCTGAAATAATCTTTATACCAGCAACAACAACACTACAGAATAAGAAACTTGTTAATCCACCTAAAGCAGCTTTTGGAATTGAAATAATTGCAGCAGCAAATTTTGCAAATATACCCATTATTATTAAAAAGAAACAACACCAATAACCAACAGTTCTATTAGCACATTTTGTAATTGCAATAACACCATTATTTTGAGCAAAAACTGACATTGGAGTAACAGTCATTAATCCAGCAATAATACCATTTAAACCATCTGCTAAAACACCACCTTGAATTCTTGATTCATACATTTCTCCTTCAACTTCTAATCTTGAAACATCTGAAGTAGCAGTTATATCACCAATAGCTTCCATCATTAAAACTACATATACCGCCAAGAATGGTAAAATTGCAGGTGCATAAACTTTTAATTTAAAAGTTTCAACCCATATAAAACTAACAGCTTTTGCACTATTGACAGTTGTTGAATCAAAATACCCCGTCATTAGTTCAACATCTCATGTATAATACTTACAACATCCACAAAGTGTATACCCCTATTCGAATGATGTGCTGATGCTTGTATTCAAGAACTTTAAAGAATGTTTGGGGAGAGAGAGTAATTTATAGCGTTTATTCTCAGGTTATGGACTTGAACTCTTCAAATGGAATAAAAGAATATGAAGTCATCAACTTTCAATAGTACGGTGTTACTTATGCTCAATACCTTTTGCTAAAAGTGCTTTTTTTGATTTATTGCTCAAATTTCTCTTCATTGTGGATATCATTTTAAATTTCTTGGATAATGATAGTTGCAAAATTGTTGATGTAAACTCTCACCCCTTAAATAAAATTTCACACACGTAAAATAATTTAGTTAAATACAAGTATGTATACACAGTATTTTTTACAACCACTTTTGTTCATTTTTTACAACCAACTATTTTCAATAGCTTATCACTCACCACAACACCTAATTCAGCATCAGTCACATTACCAACTCAATTGATATGAAATAATTCATAATACTTAGATTTCATTGATAATGACATTCTACAGATTACCACCACATAAAGGTGGTTTATTACCACCATCAAGAATCATGACTAACTATGGAGCTTTAAATTTTTGGGAGATTAAAGAGATATTAGATGCATCTTTGGAATTGTACGTTCTAGCTATGAATAAGAAAACTGGTAAAGTAGTATACTTGAGAGCAAGATTCTTCATCAACAATTATAAAGATTTTAAAGTGATTGAAATTAGTCGTGGTTCTCCATTTGTTGTTAAACATAAATTTCTCACTGGTACAAAAATAATTTCTAGAGATAACACTTCATCAATGAGGGGAAATATACAAAGGGGTCAAAGTCTAACATTTGGGGTTACTGATAATAATTTTTCAATGCCTAATATGAAGGCACGTAAAATGAGTGCTGACTTGGACCAAAGAGTCCAAATAATTGTCAATGGTTTTGATGGCTCAGCTGAAAGGCATGAATTCATGAAAGATTTTTTAGATGAATATCAAATTTCAATGGTTGACGCTGCTAATGTTTTAGGATTTATCAGCAAAGTTGGTATTGTGGAAGGTGATACAATCAAATTTAAATATTCAGTCAATGAAGTCAAAGAATTGTTTACCACATTAAAACTTCCGTTAAATGATAGATCTAAATTCCCAATAATACAAGATTGCAAATTAGTTGAATTTTTGAAAGAATTATTTGATTGGCATGACGTATTTGAAGATAAACATGGGTATAGATTTAGAAAAATACCAACCATGGCATTCAGGTTCAATAAAACTGAGGCACTTTCATTCATCAAAGGCTGTGCAAGTAAATTCTCCAATTGTACAGACAAAAAAATCATAATGTGGGCACATCATGAGCTAAGATTGGATCAAGTATTTCACGTTGCTCAACATGCAGGTTGTTATGCTAAAAAGGAAGCAGACTGTGTTATTGTCTATTCCGATATCACTTTAGATAATTATTCTACTATGGTGATGAAAAATCATGTTAAAGAAAAGAAGATAGCTAAAAGTATTGTTTTTCATATTATGCTTGAAAAATATCAAGACGAAAGTGGTATTTTTGATCATTTTTTAATTGTTGGTGGTGGTGCCAAAAGCAGTTATTCAAGAAATTTAATCGCTAAAAGTTTAACATTAAATTAATTCAACTTTATGGATCTTTGTTCATTTCGCTGCTGCTTCCTCTGATGATGTGATTCGTGGAGTTAATTTGTCGTTACGTAAAATTAATTTAGCGTATTTGTTCTGAGAAATAATTGTGTACTCTATTTTCTTCCTTGCATAGTAGCAAGAATTTCTGAATTGCTCAGAAGTCTGATCTACCAGATAGTAAAACTATCTCAAGTTCTGTCTGTTGGTCTACATTGAACAATATATGACCTTTTTGAAGAATTATTTGAGATAATGAAGCGCATGAAGTGTGATTGTTTATCAACCTACATTGCAAGTTACAACACGACGTAAATAATATATTAGCTCGAGTAAATCATGGCAAGGTTTCAAATCCTCATATATGATACATATAGTCATATGTGGGTGATATATCACACGTGATTGTTTTTCAAGCGATTCTATGCTCAAGTTGGTAGAGAAGTGCAATCGATTTCTCAGAAACGAAATGAGAATTGAATACAAGACTTCACCTGAAGCTACTTCGAACATTTTACTTGATATTTCCTACCAGATTAAGAATGTCTGCGGTACGGCTTTTTAGATCTCTCGGCGATGTGTTTGATCGTAGTCGTGACTATCTTTACCTCCTCAGGTTAGGTTTTATAATAATCGGGTTTGTGTCAACTTTTGAAACAAATTTTAAACAATAAGATGAATTTTGAAAGGGGAAATACACGTCAAGTGCGTTAATAAACTTGAAACATAAGTTTTACAACCACTTTTTACGACCACTTCTTCCAACCACTTTCAACCTCGTATATCTACATTTTATGTTACATAGTTTACAATACCTAATCACTATTCAACCCTCACATTCATCAATGTACACAACCCAAAATGTCAGATATAGATCCCATTTTGCATAGGGGATATGAATTTTATATTAACAATCCAAATCTACCACCACAACCAAATTTTGATAATTTTGAAGGTCAAGAAGTAAGATTTGAAGATATAGAAAATCATGAAACTCAAGAATCAGAAGTTGCATTATCCTCAGATCATTTACAATCCAGTCAAGTTGAAGATGAACTTAAATGGAATAACCCCAGAAAAGCGAAAACTTTTGATATAAAAAATATTGGTAAGAAGACCTTGGATCATGAAGATTTTCAACAGTTTGATATCCCTCCAATTAGTGCTTTCCCGGATCTGGAAGACAAAGATCAAATACCTTATGTGGAAAACAATGATAATTATTTGGAATTTAAAAGAGAACAAATTAGAAACAAAACTTGTCCTTCCACTTGGTTATATTCATCTTCAAGAGATCCTGTATTTGATGGAAAAAATTGGAGTCACCCTCCAAATGAAGATTCTCCCTCCAGAGAAACTCCATTGTTGATCAAATACCAAAAAGAAAAAGATCCAAAGGGTAAAGATAAAAATGATTCAGGAGTTCCCATCCACCTTCAATGTTTTACCGAATTTGGTTTTAAGCGTTTTGGACAAATTGACTACAAAATGGACAGAATCCAGTTTCCTGATTTAAATACTGGTCAATTTATAACTGATTACACAAAAAAAGTTGAATTTTCCAGTTTTGGTGATAAATTGGTAAGAAATTTAGAAGGAGTTACTTTACAAGCTGATCAAACACTACCATACAGGCCATCAAACGGAAGAGATTATGGTGAAGTTATTATTGAAGTACCACCAAATGCAGTTGAAGAAAGAATAAGTGGGAGAAATAATGTATACAAAATTGAAAGATTTAAAGCATTACATTCCGTACCCAGTGGAGTAGTTCCAGATTTGTCAAGAGAAACAATAGTCAACATTAGAACCTATTTACAACTAGTATCATTTGATAGTTGGATATCATTTTTACAAATTTTGGGTTTTTTCGCATCTGACGGATGCGTTCAGATGAATGAAACAGGTCACGTAACAGGTGTTAGGTTTAAGCAACACAAACCATCTGATATGGCGTATTTAGAGATGCATCTAATGAAAGTTGGACTTAAATATGATGATGATTATAAATTCCGTACTGGTTTGGTTAAATATTCATCTGATCTGAAAGCTGTCAAAAAATTTATTGAAGCTAATGAAAGAGTTAATGAAGAACAAATCGAATTAAAGGAAGAAGAAGACAAAGGTGAAGTTAAAGATGAAGTTAAAGATGAAGATAAAGAATGGGTTGGTCCCAGATTTTATGAAATTAGGATTGTGAAAGACAATTGGAAAATTTGGTTTACAAAATATTTTGGAAGTAAATACACCAATTCTTTGACCAGAATTGAAGAGGATTTTGCCTATTCCAATAGTGCAAAGCCTATAAGATTTTTAGGTTGGATGTTTCTGTTATCAAGAATAGAATTATATTATTTTTTAACAGGATATAATTATGGTGATGGTAGAGGTGAAGTTGAGCTTCGTCTTACAGTTGGTCACGTTGATGTTGCTAATTTTTTGACAACGTTAATTACTCGTTGTGGTTTGAAAACCAATATCAAAGTAGTTCTTAGACCAGACTTGTACACTCAGTTGGTTAAAGACCAAATAAGAGTTGGTGTAAAAATCAGATCAACTTCAGAATATAGATTGATCAAAAGAGCTGAATATGAAGCATTAGATGAAGAAGAACAAAAAAATTGGGTCCCCCATTTACCTAATGCAAAACCATGTTATGAATTGATGTGTATTGATGGTATAAAAAGGAATGCCGACGTGTATCCTGGTGTTTTGATTGCAGGAACTGAATTATATGTTGAAAAAACACAATTGGTCAAAGTGGATTCACCTACAAAATTATTATTTGTAAGACATGAATATGAAAATGGAGATACAAGTAGAGGTTTTATAATTTCTTCACCAGAATTTGATTATTAGCTGGCTGTTCAATTTTTTGAATGTTGGTGGTAGAATGTTTTTGACACGGTTTAAGAATAATTTTGTTGGCTGAAAAAGAGAAGATTGGGTGAATATTGCGGAAGCGGGTATATAGGTTTTTCGTTATAAGTTAATTAAAATTGATATTAAAATTGAATAAGTTCTCTGAGCACTCATTTAAGATATGATGATTGGGCATGCTTAATTATCTGGGCGATTGACAAAGCTTAACCGGTGTCAAAGAGTCTGCAAAATTTTAAAGACGACAATTGTATTATTGAAACAAACTATGGAAGTGATAGAAATGAAGAGTGTTTAAAAGCTAATGGATCTATTTTTCATATGGTAAGTCTGGAATACCATCGGATGATCTTACACTTGTAACACCATGATTATTTGATAATTGTGACTTTAATTGATCAACAGAAATACCTTCCTTTCTAGCATATTGTTCTCTAGCATGTTCATCAGTTGAGCCAACAGTTTCCAAAACTAATTCCTCGATTTCTTCAACATCATCATGAATTTGTGGTAAAATTAAATTTAATATAACTCCTAATAATCCAGTAACTGCAAAACCTGATTCCATAACTAAAACAATTGCATTAAAAAATCCTGATAAAGCATGATTATCACCTGAATAAGTGAAAACATTACTAAACCAATCTGGTACTAAAGTTGCACCTAAACCTGGTAAAATTGAAGCTGTTAATACAAATCTATCTCTTCTTGAAAATTCAGTACCTGAAATAATCTTAATACCACTGATAACAACACTCAGGAAAAGGAAACTAGTCATTCCACCTAACACGGCTTTTGGAATAGAGATGATAGCAGCAGCAAATTTTGCAAATATACCCATTATAATTAAAAAGAAACAACACCAATATCCAACAGTTCTATTTGCACACTTAGTAATAGCTATAACACCATTATTTTGAGCGAAAACTGACATAGGAGTAACAGTCATTAATCCTGCTAGTATACCATTTAAACCGTCTGCTAAAACACCACCTTGAATTCTTGATTCGTATTGTTCTCCTTCAACTTCCAATCTAGAAACATCTGAAGTTGCCGTTATATCTCCTATAGCTTCCATCATTAGCACAATGTACACAGCTAAAAATGGTAAAATTGCTGGAGCATAAATTTTCAAACTGAAGGTTTCAACCCAAATGAAACTTACGGCTTTGGCGGATTTGATCGTGGTGGAGTCGAAATATCCAACGGAACTACCTACAATGCATCCAACTAATAAACCACAAATTGGAGCACAACTTTTCATAATTGGTGCACCAAATCTTTCAGCTAATATTATTGAAACATAAACTAAAAATCCAATACCAATGAAATTTGCTGAACCCCAAGGTAAATTAAATTTACCAACATGACAAATTTCTCCAACACATCCAGAACCTCCAACCCAATCTTCAAATCCAGTTTCAACTAAATGAATACCGATTAACATAACAACTGGTCCAGTAACTAATGGTGGGAAAATTTTTTGTAAAACTTTTGGAGGTAAAAAACTAAGAGCCATTTCTAATAATCCACATACAATACCACTAGCTAATATTCTACCATATCCATCTGGACAAGGTAATTTAGTACCATCTTCTGCAACTGGACAAGTACCATCTGCATACATTAAAGGAAATGCATTTGAAGTAACTGGTAAAGTAGCAAAACTTGGTCCAACAACTGATAATAATCCAGTACCTAAATAATAAGGAGTTTTCCAAATATGAAATCTTGTAATTTGAATCATTGATAATATTCCAGAAACAATTAAACAAGTACTTACTAAATATTGTTGAGTCGAAGGTGGTAAATTTGCTGAAACACTAATTAATATAGGTACAACAACTAACCCACCAATCATTGCTAAAGAATGTTGAAAACCCAAAATTGCACCTAATATAATTGGCATATCTGAATCTAAACCAAAAAACGGTTGAATTTTTGGTTCTTTTGTTAAAAATGGTATATCTGGTGTAAATAAATATTTATAATCATAATCACCAATTAAACCATCTCTTGTAGTCCATTTTCGAACTATTTTTTTTAATGTAAGGGTGACTTTATCCATTGTATATTGAAGTATGAATTATAAGTGTAGGTTGAAAACTAATTGATGATGTTTTGAAAAATATTATAAAAAAAGTTATTGAAGTTGATTGATTGAGATCTGATGTTATATAAATATGGGGAAGATCGTATCAATAACCCAAAGATGAGGAGGGTTCTATATAGATTAAGTAAATCAAAATAACTTAAAATGGATCAGTCCGACTTATAAAAGATAAGTAAAAGGAATTTAAGTATCTGCAAATGATGTAATTTTAAATTAACTTTAATTGATAAAATATGATTCTGAATAGATAAGATTGATAATGAAAAATTTCCATATTGAAGGAATCATAAAAATTAAGAAAAAGAAAAGATAAAATCGTCCACCTTAAACTACTAGTTATTATGCATGTTGCGCTGTAGTAGTGTATTCAATTATACAGGTTCACCTTTCATTGATTCTAATTTAGCGACGAAACAATTGATAAAATGCATCTCAAGTTAAAATTTTTTAACAGATCTGTTAATCTGAACACTAATAAAATTTTGCAGCCTAATTTTTTATTTTTTTCCTCTTTCTTTTTTTTATTGTTTCAATATTTAATAATTTAACCGCCTTCTATAATATAGCAATACAAGAAGATTTTTCGCTAAGTTGAACTAAATCCGTCTTTACACTAGTTTTCAACCGCACGTATTGTCTTTTTAATCATCTTCAGTCATCTCAATCAAGTCTACTGAATGAGATCATTTTAACACCCTGGGGTTATAATATTACGAATAAATGATTTACATTCTATTAAGCCAGTTTTGAAGAAAGATAAGACAAGTAGTTTTAATACTGTTCCTATCGTAGAAGTTTGAAACTGTTTGAAAAATTCTTATGGTAATGTTTTGTCTTATCTTAATCTTATCTTTAAATTATATTTTTTTAATTGGATAAAACCGAATCAAAACTAAAAAGAGAGAGAAAATAAAAATCTTGAACTAAGAAATGCCAAATATCACGGAGTATACCGAAACAATTACAAAATCATTCATAGAATTAGCCAAGATCACAAAGAATTTAGTACAAGATTACTCATTAAGGCACCTGAATTGTCTTCTGACTTAACTTATGTTTCTTTTCTATTTTTCAATTCAAGCGAAGGACATTTTTAAAAATTTTACGAGATCTGCTAAAATATTTCGTTCCTATTTATCAGTTTTTATCGTAAAGTAATACATAAAATAACCATTCATTTAAAAACAGTAAAAATTGAAAAACCATTCAATATCGATTTAGCGATTGCATAACAATACAAACTTTAAATCTTTTCATTCTCACTATTACTGCATACGTTAGAAGTTTAAATTTGTTGTACAAGTAAGTAAGTACGTAAAGAGGAATTTTAACTTAACTAATGTTTTGTTAAATTTTGTACGAAATCTACTTAAAAAATTTAAATTTAAGGTACACTTACGCTTATTACCTCAATTGATTTATTCTATAATATATTATTACTTCATGGAATTGAAGGCATATAATAAATCAAATTTCTTAAAAGGTGACTAATCATTTGGACTAAAAGAAGCCGATTCATTAATGTGTGTGTTTGAAAATTGGAAGTGTTTGTTGATAGTAGCTAATTTTTATAATCAATCTCAAATGAGAAGAGATGTAAAATAATTTGTGAAAAAAACCATCACTGATAATTGATGTTGAACATTGTGGATTACGTATGTAAAAGATATTCCATGGAATAAGGATGCTTGATTTTGAACCACTGTAACAACCTTGTTCGAGTACGCTTGCATAACTACATATTGAATCCAATAAAAAGTCTGATAAGCAAATATCAAAAAGTGTATTTTTTCTGCTACTTTAATCAACGGTTATTAACAACAACAAAAGTTATCACCAAAAAAATTTCAAAAAACATTCAAACAAAATGTCAGAAGATTCAAAATGGACAAGATGATGGCCTAACTTGAGGAATTGACTACCATTACGCAACAATTGGAATGATTGAGGAGGAACAAGCAAAATCTTTCACCGCACAATTTGTTGAAAAAAATTCTCTATTTGTTAATGTTAATTTTTTTTCTTTCAACAAATTGATCGGCGAAGGCTTTTGTTAATTCCTCCTGAGATACTCAATTTGTTAATGTTGATTTTGAATAAGATCATACTGCAACTGGAATATTAGCAACTGAAGAAGCAGCATTTGAGGACTGTCAACACCAATACGAAAAAAAAAAGTAAATCTTTAGCATCTGAACAAAAAACCGTTACTGAATCGACTTCATATAGACTTGAAAAACCTCCCATTGAACCAAAAGCATAAGCTCCTTATAACTCATAACAAAATGCTGAATTGAGTTCGAATTATTTTCTTGGAATATTCAGGAAATCAAAAGATTTAGGAGGTGAACAACATTCTTTATTAAATCCATGAAGGATACCCAATAGCAAATGGTCGTGTTGAGAAATGCAATCATGCTTTTTTTTTTTGCATTATTAATTGTTTATCAGACCAGTAGTGATATTTCTTATCAAATGGACAAAATACAATTTTGGGTGTCCATCAGTAAAAGCTATCCACATGATGGCAACATTTTTAAACACGACCTTTTGCTATTGGGTGATATACTGATGTGTGTCTCACTTTTTATTAATCTGACAAATTCATACGAGCTGAAAAAATGTTTTCTGCAAAGAATCAGGTGGTCCGTCCACAAGAACTGATAATAGTAACTGGAATTGTGAACAAAATACTCTCAATTTCGATATCTTCTTTTCCTCCGGCACCTGTAATGAATCATGTTCAGAATTGAATTTCTCTTTTTTTCTGGATTAATGTCCATAAATATTTGGACTTCCCGCATTTCTTCCTACTAGAAACTAAATTTTTATGAAGACCCAGTGTCAGCTTTTTTATCATACCGGTTACAAACGATAAAAAGGCTGAGACAGGGTCTTCATAAAAATTTGATTAACCTAGGAATAGTTGCGAGAAGGCGTCATAACCGTTAAGTCTAGCCTGGAAACCTGGCTATAACTTCAAAAGCTGCATGAATACATTATAAATTTTTTTTCATGTTTTTTTCAACAAATGTACTGAATCCATTGGGAGCCCATTTGGCATTTAGTAAGGAGTCGAAAATAAAATTTAATAATTCTTTTCGAAATCCAATTTAGTGGTTGGATTACTTCTTCAAGCCGAATACCAGAATGAACAACATCAACAGAAAGCTAACACCAACCTTCGTATCTTTGTATAGCTGTGGATCTTTGTATAGTTGTGGAAGCGATTGACTTTTCTTGATTAATTGTAGGTTGACATAATCCCTGGAACTAGTAGTTTGATTCGTTCAATCCATGATATTAATTTCTACACTTTCAAGCGAAAACATTTTTTAATTAATCAAAATTCTCTGGTGTAGTGTACTCATGATAATTTTTATCTCAGATTAATTCATTTTAGAATCTGATTAACAACCTACTCATAGTGGTGATAACAAGGTGATGGCACTATAAACTCCAATTCTTATAATCGCACACGTACTCAAATAAATTCAATAGATAAGCTGACCAGCATTTCAAAATTTTTTTGATCACATGAAATACTTTTGGAAAGCAAAATTTCGATTGCATTTCTTGTCACTGATTTTGCGGACAACGTATCGTGAATCATTCTTTCATCACATGTGACTCAACAAATAATTTTATAAAACACATCGATATTTCACTATCACCTTGTTAGAATCGCGTCAATATGGAAATTGTAGAAAAAATTTATCAAGACATATTATGAAATGATTAAACTCAATGCAAATAAATGTGGAGTCTCTTGTGATGAAAGTACTATACGTGATTTGTTGTCTTCAAAATGGTTAGTTTCATGTGACGAAAAATATACAGGATTCGATCAACAATTTAAAAAGTCTCCGTCATCAAGATTATCAAAATACTTTTGTTATCAAAACTTGATATAACCTTCAATAATTACATCAAGTGAAATGAGTCACCCGAAAATTGATGAAATAATAGTTGAACGCAAGGTCATAAAACGCTTGTTTTGATTGTTTCCATGAATTCCCATTTTTCTTCAAGCGTTCATGGACTTGTGTTGAAATATGATTCTCTTAATTGGCTTTTTTATATGTTATGGTTGTGCTAATCTTTGTATTGAAAGTATCCACTATGGAGAGTCAGCAAACATCTTTTTAGTATTTGTTGTATTCAACAATTTCTTGAACCCTGACAATACTTTACTTGTATTACTGACGTGCACTATTTCAACAGCTTTTTCAATAAATTCTAGTAACATTAAAGTCGCTAAATTTGTCATTATCAACCATTGAAGAATACAGGAAGATAACTAATCAAATTTGATATGATTGTGATAAAATGTAATATTGAGTGGGAATATTCTGTTCATCTGATAGGTGGGATTAATCATATTTTATATACCTATATATTTAATTCCGATGTAAATTCCATTTTACTTTATCAGCACAACAAAAATACTGCATATAACTTTTGTAATTATTATGTCGTGTGACGAAACAAGTAGGTATAAATAAAAGAAATGCTCAGCCAATCAAGCAGGAATTTAAGGTATCATAGTGTATTGAAATAATTGGCAGACTTGAAGCTGCTTCAAAGAAGTCCTTTAAGTCCCATCCTGATTGTCCAAAGACTGATAAATATTTTTTTGGAACTCCATCTGAATTAAAAGTTTAGTGGTCGTGTGACACATTCAGTTTCATATGAGTTTTAGTTTCAATAATTGCTTAGTGATTTTTTTCCTTTTCTTTCCATTTCAAACTTAATCAATTATGCTTTGAAATTCCAAGGGGAAATTGTAACCATAGTGCATTGAAGTAATGTCAATTCAAATTCTCATGAATTTTTGATCACTACAACGAAAAATGAAAAGATATTGATGATACAATTTATTCTTAAAAAGTATTTCGGAGTATTTATTCCTATTGATAGGCTATTCAGTCGTTTACTAACAAAGAAAGTTATTTTTAGTCTTTGTCTTGGGACGGGAATAAACATTAAAACAATATATTTTTTCTCGGCATTTCATACATTTTGTGGTTACGATTTCAATAGGAACTGATATGTTTGAACATCTCATCGATGATTTGACTTCATTTTTGGTGTAAGGCATGTTAAATTTTAATAAAATTAGTTTTATTTGATCAAAACAATTGATACACAAATAAGAAAAGTAATTGACTACGATTGTATAATTTTAACCGGAATAATAAAACACTCAAATTATTATATTATAAATGGTGTTAATTTGTGTAAAAAGATTTAAACTAAAACCTTATTGAAATTAAAATGAATTTTTTAGTTTAGTGCTTTATTTGATTGTATGTATTTTATTGCTTTTAATGGGGATTCAATCTGAATTAGTTTAATTACGTTCCTGACTAATTGATTTTGATTTAGTTTGAAAAAATTTAATTCAAAATCAATCGCGTAATCAATAGTGTAAATATACGATCGATCTTTAACTATTGATTATTGTGGAAAATCAATTTCAAGATGGCTTTCAAGCTCTTGAAATTATAATTGTTCAAGTATTGCTTTTGAATAGGTATTCCGTGTTTTAAGTATTGTTTGATTAAAACCTAACTTACTAAATAAGGGATATCTCTTTATAATTAATAACTCCAAGAAATAAAGTTTCAAGACTCGTCTCCACCGGTTGAAAATTGCCTTTTGATAATTCAATACTCAGTAAATAGCATATATATCAGCATTTATACGAAAACTTTCCAAAAGTTAGATAATCTTGTTTCAACTAGCCAAAACTGATATAAAATAATTTCGTAAAAGATGATGAAATATAAAATCTGATTACTTTGTGTTTCATATATTTTCTTTTTGTGTTTCATGTATAAGAAAATAATCATTATTACACATAAAGAATAATTTTATTATAAAACCAAAATAATAAACAATAAACACCTATGCATGAAGTTTTAATAAAGAAGTACAAGGTATAAAATAGTAATTTACCTTCACTTTCTAAGAAAAATGAGTCTTAATATCATTAATGAAAACGAATTAGTGAAACAAACTTAAATATTTAACTTCGAATTATAACTTTAAAACAAAAAGTTTAAGGTTACATTTCTTGGTTTACCAAAAGTTCAACAATCAATTCAACAAGATAAATACCAAAGTAGAGAATTCATTGGTTTTTCCATTCTTAGATCTCAGTAATTTACTACAAAGATTTTACGGAACGGTTTTAAACAATATGGAATATTTATAAGAAATATATAATTGGAATATAAACAATAGACTTGCATTTAACAATAATCTTAATTTTCTAAAGGTCACACGATATTTATAAAAGTACAAAGTATCCTTAACAAACTATTTGGAATTAATCACTACCATCAAGATTTTAAACTTCAATCTGAATGACAAATTAAAAAATACCTACCATAATCACATAGAATTACAATGCTAAATTTTTATTCAGTTCAGCCTGCAAGCTTTATGAAAAAGCTACGAGCTAATTCAATAAAACAAAAAACCAAAACATTACAACTAATAATGGTATGTTTATTAATGCTAACAATAACGATACTGTTAATAATATCAACTCCATCGAGAGAAAAAATTCATTCATATACTCCATCTTTCAACATATTTGATAGAATGATTTATAAAATATACGATAATAAAAATTCACAAACCTCATTACAATCGACCGCAACAACCTCATCATCGGATACCGACAGATTGGATTATCATAATTCCTTAGATCCTGAATCTGACTTCAATTACAAAGTAAATGAATTATTACAATTAAAAATTGATAAAGATATTGAAGATAAATATTGGATTTTAAATACAAAATTACAAGATCAAACAAATTTACAAATTCCTTCTTATTATTATTCACAAGATGAATCAAAGCCAATTTTACAACCATTTGATCCAAGATTTACATTATCAATGTATTATTATTACATAAATAAACAATTAACTTTAAATAAAAAAATTGAAACATCAAAAGCCACTTTATCATCATTTGAAGAAAATCAGAATTCACTTAGTTTAAAAATTCCATTTAATTGGTATGATTGGATAGAAATGTCAATATTAGATAAATTTATATTAGCACCAGATTCAATAAAACCAAATTGTTCTATATTAAGTGCTGAATTAGATCATAAAATTGTACAAGAACAAAAATTAAATATTACTACTTTAGAAAAAGAATGGAATGAAGCTAAAAAAAAAGAGGAAGAAGATAAGAAAAATGCTGAAGAAGCTAAAAAGAAAGAAGAAGAAGAACAAAAGAAAAAAGAAGAAGAAGAGAAGAAACAAAAAGAGGAAGAGGAGAAGAAACAAAAAAAGGAGGAAGAAAGGAAACAAAAGGAGGAAGAAGAAAGAAGACAAAAAGAAGAAGAAGCCAAGAATCAACAATTCCAACCTCAATCTGAAACAAAGAACGAACCACAAGACAATCAAAAGCAACAAGAAGAAACCGGATCTGAAGATAATAATCCCGAAGAAAATAAAGATCAAAATAATGAAAATTCAAATCAAGTTGAACAACCCCCTAAATTAAAAAGACAATTAAGCAAAAGAGAAGAAGAATTTATAAAATTATTAAAAGATGTAAAACCAGTTGAAGAATGGTGTATTCCTAATTCAAAATTACCAGATAATCATAATGATGGTCATAATAATCATCATCCAGGTTTCAATGTTTTTAAAATGCCAGGTAGAACAGCAAATGAAAAAGGTAAGATCATTGGAAAATCATATATGTATTCATTTGCACCACCTCCATCTTCAATTATTTTTTTAACTGATTCTGGTTCATATACTGTTGATATTGATCTGAATTCAGGCTTATTAAATAATGAGATACCTGAAAATTATGTTTTAGATACAAGTTCAAAAGAAATTGATATATTAAAAGAATTTAATAAATTATTAAAAAATCATAAACCAAATACTAATCAAGTAATGAATGAATATAGTTATACTGTTCCAGCATCTGATTTTCATGTTGATTGTAATTCAATTATTAATGATTATGAAAAAAAAATCTCAAAAGGTTATTCCCTAACACGAAAAGAACAAAATTATTATAATAGTTTAAAATATTCAATTTATAAAGTTGAAAATGGTGGACCAACAAAATATTTTGATGAAGCAAGATTATTAGGAACATCACATGGTGATCATTATGATTGGAGATTTTTTAATGGTATTAGATTAGGATCAACTGAACAATTATTAACATTACATAGATTAGTACGAGCTTGGTCAAGTTTTACAAGAAAAAATGGTATAAATACTTGGATAGCTCATGGTTCTTTATTGAGTTGGTATTGGAATGGTATAGCATTTCCATGGGATAATGATATTGATGTTCAAATGCCTATAATGGATTTACATAAATTATCACTTAATTTTAATCAAACTTTAATTGTTGAAGATCCAAAAGATGGATTTGGTAGATATTTTGTTGATTGTGGTACATTTTTAAGTTTAAGAGAAAAAGGTAATGGATTAAATAATATAGATGCAAGATTTATTGATATTGATACAGGAATGTATATTGATATAACTGCATTATCTATATCAAATACAAAACCACCAGATTATTATTTAGAAACATTACCAACAGATTTCAAAAAAGATGATAAAAATTGGATTCCAACAAATGAAAAATTACAAATTTATAATTGTAGAAATAATCATTTTACTCCTTTGGAAGATATATCACCATTAATTAAAACAATAGTTGAAGGAGAATTTGCTTATATTCCAAAAAGACTTTCAAATATTTTATCAACTGAATATAAACATGGATTATCATCTGATAATTTTGAAAAACATGTATTTATACCAAAATTAAGATTATGGATTAAAGAAGAAGATTTATATTATTTTTTAAAAGATCGTCAAAAATGGATAAATTATCATACTTCTACTTCTAATTTAAAAGATTCTTATGAATTAACTAAAGAAGAAATTTCCCAATTAAATAAAGATAAAAATCCATATACAAATCATTATTTATTTAAATTAACAAAACAACAATTAGATAAAATTTCTAATTTTGATTATAATGATGTATTAGACTTATTATTAAAAGATGATATTATGATAAATTATTTATTAACAAGAGATTTTACAGCATTTCATGAACAAGAGATAATGAAATTAACTTGGGGTAAAACAACAAATTCACTAATTCAAAAACAAATTGATTTTAATCCTTTAAAATTTGAACCATTTTTATATAATTTAAAAATGGAATTTGAAACTTTCGAAAATAAAGTCTATAATTTAAAAGAATTGGAATCATATTATAAATCTGATATTGAATTTAATCCATTTGAAGTTAAAGAAACTACATACGATTTATAATTATCATTAATATAACACTGCATTAATTATTTAACGTATTATAACTGTTATCTCTATATTTACAATTATGTTTGAGCATTAGTTTGTTCTGATAATTTAGCTTGAGCTACTAAATTTGCAGGAGCATCCATTCTTGATAACATTACTTCAATTAATCTAATTTTATTAGGTTTTGAAAATTCATGATTATTAAATAAATTATTTAATTCACCAACTGTAGAAATTCTAATTGATTCATAATCTTTTGCATTAAATAAAGGTAATAATTGTAAAACATTCCAAGGTTGAATATCATTATAAGTTGCATTTTGTCCATGAATTAATCTTTCTATAGTATAACCATCATTATTTAAAACAAATAAATAAATATTATTACATTCCCATTTACACATTGTTGAAATTTCTTGTACTGTTAATTGTAATGAACCATCACCAACAAATAATATAACTCTTCTTAAAGGATTCATTTCTTGTATTGCCATTGCTGCTCCAAAAGTTGCAGGTACTGAATAACCAATGGATCCCCATAATACTTGTGATATTCCAATAGTATTATTTGGAAATCTTGATTGAATAATACCAAAAGCTGAAGTACCAGTTTCAGTTATTATAATATCACCTTCTTGAAACCATGAACTTACTTTTGTCCATAAATATTCTTGAGTTAATGGAGAATCTTGAGGATGTGGTGAATTAATTAATTTAGCTTGTGGTACTGGGGTTGGTAAATATGAAGGATTTATTGATGATGATATTGTAGTTAATAAATTTTGTAATGCTTCTTTCATTTGAACACCAGGAAATGTAGCTTGTCTTATCTTAGTATAATCTGAATGAAATTCAATAACATTTTTTGTTTTATAACCATAAGAAAATGAACCAGTATTAAAATCAGATAATAATGCTCCTATTGAAATAATTAAATCTGCACTTTCAATAACTTCTTTTACATCAGGTTGTGATAATGAACCAACATATACACCACCAAATCTTGGATGTGATTCATTAATACCTGATTTACCCATTGGTGTAGTAAATACAGGAAATTGAGTTAAATCAACTAGTTGAGCAACTTCTTTTTTACAATCATGTCTTGAAGCACAAGCATCAACTAGTATTACAGGATTATTTGATTCTTTAATTAACTTTTCAACAGTTTCAATAACTTCTTCCTGAGCTTCTGGATCATTTTTCTTTAATGATAAATCAATTGGAGTTTTTAGTAAAACACTTGGAACCATTAAATCAACTAAATTTGAAGGTAATCCAACATATACTGGTCTTTGATATATATAAGCATCTCTAATACATCTATCAATTTCTTTTGGTGCAGTATTTATATCAGCAATAAAAGCACTTGTTTGACTTATATTTTTAAACATTCTATGGAAGACTGTAAAATCTCCATTACCTAAAGTATGATGTAATAATAATTGTTTTGCTTGAGCATTAACAGAAGGTAATCCAACAATATTTAATACTGCACAATGTTCAGCAAATGATCCTGCAATAGCATTAGTTAAACTTAATTCTCCAACACCAAATGTTGATACTACAGCACTTATACCTTTAACTCTTGCATAACCATCTGCTGCATAACCAGCATTTAATTCATTTGCATTACCTGCCCATCTCATATTTTCAATTTCATAAATTTTATCCAATAATGATAAATTAAAATCTCCTGGTAATCCAAATATTGTGTCTACTTGTAATTGATGTAATCTTTCAAAGAGATATCTACCTAATGTAATTTCTGACATGTTAAGTTATTCAAGTGGTTTCGATTCAGTTGATGATTTTATGATTTTAACGAATTTTTAAGATTTTCCAATAATTTTTCAAACTCAATTGAGAAATAAAGCCTTTATTTATATATAGATATTACCCTAAGGCATGTAGTAATCCGAGATGTTAGTTCGTTGTCATTTTTCACTTCAATATAGTGAAGAATTGATGATCTGACTTATTTGTAGATATGAAAAGATTTTGTGGTCTTATTGGTTGGAAATTAATCTCCGAGTAGATCTAAACGCATAATTATAGAGTTTAAAACTCCTTTAAACGCATAAAAATATGACATGATTCGATAAAACTTAGTCATTTCGGAAAAACTCGTTAGACCATAATCGAAATGTTTCGGATTAACTGATTTGTGTAAATTTAGTTAATAAGGCCAAACGGTCAAACACAATCCGTTGATACAGCCTGTCCATCCATCAACTAGATCTCGGGTTTTGAGTTGTCTAACTATTGAATATTTTAACATGATAAATTTAAAAAGATGAAACAGAGCCGCATTGTACTCCCAATCAAGAAATGGTCGTGTACTTTTACGCATAAGAAAAAGTATCAACAAAAGGAGTAAAGATGAAAACGTGATCAACAATAGTAGTTTTGAGGACCATTTGAGTAAAAATTACAACCACCTAAACTCACAACCACATTTAATTGTTTCTGTTTTCAAGGTATGTTTAAAGCTCAAACGTGTTTATGCCGGTGAAAAACTTTTTTGAGATAAAGCATTGAATTTCAAGATTTGTTTTCAATCTCGAGTTTATTGTTCGAGTTTTAATCCTCGTGATTTTCACGAGGCATGTTTTTTGCAACCAAAATAAAAAGACTACTAACACATTAAATAATAGATGTCCAAAAGAAATTCACTATCAGATAGAGAAACTGATGCTAAAATTAGAAAAATTGCAGAAGAATCTGCCATTGATTCTGAGTTGATGGCTCATCATGAAAAACAACAACATCAACAACTGGGACAAGACAAAACTATTGAAAGTCAAAGTTCAAATGCTGCTAATGCTGTAGCACATGTCAACGATCATCACCAACAACAAGCTCAGCAAGCTCAAGAAGCATTTTTGAAACAACAAGCACAACAACACCTTCAACACATGCAAGTTCAAAGACAACTGACGCAGTCACAACAATCACAACAACAGTCACAACATCAACATCAACATCAAACACATCAATCTCCACCAGAGCATGATTCATCAGCTGCAGGATCTCCATCCCATCCTGATAGTCCATCATCTCAATCTGGTTCAAGGCCGACTCAAGGTTCAGATGAATGGCATAAACAAAGAAAATTGAATCATAAAGAAGTTGAAAGAAGAAGAAGAGAAGCTATAAATTTAGGTATAAAAGAATTAGCTGATTTAATTCCAACAAGAGATACAAATAAAACTCAAATTTTACAAAGAGCAGCTGAATATATTAAAAGATTAAAAGAAAATGAAAATAATAATATTGAAAAATGGACTTTAGAAAAATTATTAACTGAACAAGCAGTTTCAGAATTAAGTGCATCAAATGAAAAATTAAAACATGAATTGGAAAGAGCTTATAGAGAAATTGAGATATTAAAAGAAAAATTAAACAACAAATCTTGATTGATCATTGAATTAATAGAAAGTCAAGATGAAAATCCTCTTCTAACTTTGCAATATCAATCGAGAAGTATGTATATCCAGAGTTAATTAGTTATCAATACATGAATTATTGACTATTATCTACTCCCTACTCATAATGAGAGGTTGAATTGCTAGTTTTCTCAAAAAGTTAGTAAAAGCACACATCCAACTCAATCATGTTTCCCAATCTCGATTATCGCTGACTCAATTAACTGAGTTCGATGTAGCCTGGATGAGTTTATTAAATTTTGCAACAGTTCAGACTATTGATATTTATGTTTCTTAATAAGGCGCTCTGCATCAAAAATTAAATTATTACGCGTCTAAAATTTGGTAGCGTCTATCATTCTCGGACCAAAAGAAAATTTATTTGATCTTAAAAATATTATAGATATTTACAACCATAACTACTCATTCTTTAACGCCATCTTAACTCAAATCATTTTTCAATGGGAGTTCCATTCCCAGATATTAACCCATACGAAATACTAGAGGTTTCACAGGATGCTTCACCGATAGAAATCAAAAAATCATATAAAAAACTATGTTTGAAATATCATCCTGATAAGTTACAACAACAAAAAGATTTAGTGATTGAAGAAGAATATTTCACTAAAATTCAATTTTCATTTAGCATTTTAAACGATCCAATAAAAAGAACTAGATATGACACATTAGGTTCACTATCAGATTTCAATGATGATTACGACGATGACGGTGGATTTGATTGGAAAGAATATTTTGCATCAATGAATGATAAAATAACTATCGAAATGATTGAAGAAGATAAACTAAAATATCAAAACTCAGAAGAAGAAAAACTGGATATCATCACAAACTTTGTATATTATGAAGGAGATTTTTTAAGATTATTTGAAGTTATACCTCATTTAGAATTTACAGAACCTGAAGAACAAAGAGTATTTAAAATAATTGAAATAGAAATACAAACATTAAAACTTGATAAACAAATTTTAAAGTCATGGGAAAAATATACAAAAAGTCGAAAAACAAAAGTTAAAAGTATGTTGAATAAAATAGCTAAAGAAGCAAAAGAAGCTAAAGAATTAGAAAATTTGATTCAACAAAAGAATAAAGGTAAAAAACAAGATTTGAAAAGTATGATTAAAAGTCGTCAGAATAATAGATTTGATGATTTAATTTCTAAAATGGAATCAAAATATAAAAATAAAAAGGGTAAAAAGAGAGTTGTAGGTGATATTGATGATGATGAATTTGATAGAATTCAACAAGAAATGTTAAAGAAGAAAAGGTAAGGTGTTTGATGATAGTCGTAGGTTTAGTTCATCTTTCTCATTTGCTGTTTATAGCTTAATTAGTAATAAGTAATATTTATATTGGGGTTCTTGAATAATGATAACGCGCTCTTTTTGTGCTACTTTTTTGTTTATTATTTGTTTTGATCTATGTTAGAGATATTCTTTACAACCAAAGTCTCATTCATTCTTTCTTTTATAACCACCATTAATTATGTCCAGTGTGTCTGATGACGAATCTGATTATATATCAGATGGGTCTGACTACCAAGAACTGGCTATCACAACAACAAAACCAAAACCAAAATCAAAATCAAAAACACCATTGTCGGAAACATCATCAACTATAAATAAACCAAATACAACATCAAAACCTTCAAATGCATCTGAAACGTATCAGAAATTATCACAATTAGAACATATCTTGAAAAGACCAGACACTTATATTGGATCAATTGAAAAGACAAATGTAGAAATGTGGTGTTTTGATTCTGAATCAGAACAAATGAAACAAAAAGAAGTTACTATTGTCCCTGGGTTATATAAAATATTTGATGAAATATTAGTAAATGCAGCAGATAATAAGATAAGAGATCCAACAATGAAGAACATCAAAGTTAAAATAGATCCGGAAAATAATGTAATTCAAGTTTTCAATGATGGCAAAGGTATACCTATTGAAATGCATACGAAGGAAAAAATGTGGATTCCTGAATTAATTTTTGGTAATTTATTAACATCTTCAAATTATGATGATGATCAAAAAAAAGTAACTGGTGGTAGAAATGGATTTGGAGCAAAATTATGTAATATTTTTTCAACTCAATTTGAAGTAGAAACTGCTGATTTAAATACTGGTAAATTATATAAACAAGTATGGACTGATAATATGACAAAAGTAGGTAAACCTAAAATAAGTACATTAAAAACCAAGAAAGAATATACTAAAATTACATTCAAACCTGATTTAGGTAAATTTGACATGGATAGTTTGGATGATGATTTATTATCTGTGTTAAGAAGAAGAGTTTATGATTTATGTGGTACTGTAAAAGATTGTAATATTTACTTAAATGATAAAAGATTAAGTACTTCAACTTTTAAAAGTTATGTTGAAATGTATGTTAAAGCTATAAAGGAAAAAAGTCCAGAACCAGAATTTACTGAAATTAAAAATCCTACAACTATTGTTCATGAAGTATTCAATGATAGATGGGAAATTGCTTTTGCATTAAGTGATGGATCATTCAATCAAGTAAGTTTCGTCAATTCAATTGCTACTACAGCTGGTGGTACACATGTTAAATACGTTTCAGATCAAATTATAAATAAATTAGTTGATACATTATCTAAAAAGGAAAAAGGTAAAAAAAAATTGATGATTAAACCAAATGAAGTTAGAGAAAATATGTTTATCTTCATCAACTGTTTGATTGAAAATCCTGCATTCACATCACAAACTAAAGAACAATTAACTACAAAAGTATCACAATTTGGTGGGAAAGATAAATTTGTTGCTTCAGATGAATTAATTAAACGTATATTAAGAACAGGTATAGCTGAAAAAATTAAAGCTATAGCTAATGCTAATGAAGATAAAGCACTTCAAAAAGCTGATGGATCTAAAAAATCGCGTATTAAAGGTCAAGTAAATTTAGTTGATGCAAATAAAGCTGGTACTAAAGATGGATTTAAATGTACTTTGATATTAACAGAAGGTTTATCTGCTAAAAATTTAGCTGTTGCAGGTATGACTGTGATTGGAAGAGATTATTATGGTTGTTTTCCATTAAGAGGTAAATTATTGAATGTTCGTGAAGCATCAGCTGATCAAATTGCCAAAAATGCTGAAATTAATGCTTTAAAACAAATTATTGGATTACAACATAAAAAAGCATATAATCCGGAAAATATTAAATCTTTAAGATATGGTCATATAATGATCATGACAGATCAAGATCAAGATGGTTCACATATTAAAGGTTTAATTATAAATTTCCTTGAAACTTCTTTTCCTGGATTATTAGATATACCAGGATTTTTATTAGAATTTATTACTCCAATTGTTAAAGTAACCATAAAAGGTCGTGGAGCTAAAACAGTTATTCCTTTTTATACAATGCCTGATTTTGAAAGTTGGAGAGAAGGAGAAGGTAAAACATGTCGTTGGACTCAAAAATATTATAAAGGTTTAGGTACCTCCACATTAATGGAAGCAAGAGAATATTTTCAAGCTTTAGATCGTCATATGAAAAGATTTCATGCTTTACAAGGAGATGATAAAAGTTGTATTGATTTAGCATTTTCCAAAAAGAAAGCAGATGAAAGAAAAGATTGGTTACAAAATTATGTACCAGGAAATCAATTAGATCCTGAATTAAATGAAATTCCTATAAGTGATTTTATAAATAAAGAATTAATTTTATTTTCAATGTCAGATAATGTTAGATCAATACCTTCTGTATTAGATGGATTGAAACCTGGTCAAAGAAAAGTATTATATGGATGTTTTAAAAGAAAATTGAAAAATGAAATAAAAGTTGCTCAATTAGCAGCATATGTAGCTGAAAGTACTGGTTATCATCATGGTGAAGTTTCATTAGTTCAAACCATTATTGGTATGGCTCAAAATTTTGTTGGTTCAAATAATATTAATATTTTGAAACCAAATGGTGCTTTTGGTTCTAGAGAAGCAGGTGGTAAAGATGCAGCAGCTGCAAGATATATTTTTACTGAATTAACTGAAATTACAAGAGCTATTTTTAATCCTGCAGATGATCCAATTTATACATATGTTCAAGATGATGAACAAACAGTAGAACCTCAATGGTTTTTACCTGTTTTACCAATGGTTTTAGTAAATGGAGCTGAAGGTATTGGTACTGGTTGGTCTACAAATATCCCATCATTTAATCCAAAAGATATTGTTGAAAATATAAGAAGATTAATGAAGAATGAACCATTATTGGAAATGACTCCATGGTATAAAGGTTGGGAAGGTTTTATTGAACCAAATGGTCCACAAAAGTATAGAGTTACAGGAAAAATTGAACAAATTGATGATAATACTTTAGAAATAACTGAAATTCCAATAAAGACATGGACAAATACAGTAAAAGAATTTTTATTATCTGGATTTGGAAATGAAAAAACTCCACAATGGATTAAAGATATGGAAGAACATCATACAACAAATATTAGATTTATTGTAAAATTAAATGATGTAGAAATGGAAAAAGCTTTAAGAACAGGATTATTAGAAAAATTTAAATTAGTATCATCATTAAGTTTAGCAAATATGGTTGCATTTGATCCTTATGGTAGAATTAAAAAATATAATGATGTAAATGATATATTAAAAGATTTCTTTTATGTTAGATTAGAATATTATGAAAAAAGGAAAAGTCATATGTTAGAAATGATTCAACAAAAATTAACAATGATTTCAGAACAAGCAAGATTTGTTAAAATGATTATTGAAAAACAATTATCAGTTGCAAATAAAAAGAAAAAAGAATTAATTAAAATTTTAGAACAAAATGAATTTATTAAATTTACAAAAGATGGTAAACCTATTCAAAATTCTAATGTTGATCAAACATTTATTGATGATGAAGATTCAGAAGAAGAAATTGAAAATGATGGTGATGTTTCTGCATTGAATTTAAAACAAACAAATACAGAAGTTGAAGGTGAACATAGACCAGATACAATTTTTTCATCTTATGAATATTTATTAGGTATGACAATTTGGTCATTAACTTATGAAAGATATATTAAATTAATTAATGAAAAAGATAATTTACAAAAAGAATTAGATATTTTAATTGGTAAAAGTGCAATTGATTTATGGAACCATGATTTAGATGAATTTATGAAACAATATGAATTATTTTTAGAAAGAGATGAACAAGAAAGAGATCATTTAGCAAGTAATGGTAGTAAGAAGAAACCAACAAAGAAAAGAAAAGCAATTGAATCTAAAAAGGAGAAGGAACCTGCAACAAAGAAATTAAAAACTGAACCAAAAGTAACAAAAACCACAGCAGTCAAATCAAAAGAACCAAGTCCAATATCGGTATCTACTTCCACATCTACATCTACATCTACTCCAACACCAGTTGTCAAAAAGGAATCAAAACCAACATCAGATATTCTTTCATTCTTTTCACCAAATAGTAAATTAAAAAATCAACAAATAAAGTCAAAATCAAAAGAAAGAGTAAAACCATCAACATCAATGTTTGATTCAGATGATGATGATATATTTGAAATAAAATCAACACCTCCAAAACCTAACCCATCTTCTACAAAACCAATTAATACTATAAAAAAGAAATCTAAAATTCTTGATGAATTAGATGATTTAACTATTATGGGAGAAAAAGTTGAAATATTAGAAGATAAAAGAAGATCAGGTAGATCAACAAGACCAACAACTAAAAATTCAAAAAAGAAAATTAGTATTATAGAATCTGATTCTGATTTTGATTCTGATGATGGTGGAAATGATGATGTTGTTATTGTTGATGATGATGATTCACAACTGGTATTTCTTGATAATGATGATGATGACTATAATGAATAAAAAATATAAGTATGTAGCTAAGTATTAGTTTCTTTATAAATATATATCTGAATTAGATTTTGTAACTGATATCCACTAGATCCGCCTTTTGTGTAAGTTTTAGTAAAAAATAATATCATCAACATTCCAACATGAAACAATTTTAGTTCAAAACATATTATTACACGGTTGGATGTAATTTTCTGTATTACTTTAGTTGTATTACTTTAATTAATCGAAATGAAAACAATGTAATGTATGTTGGTTTTCATTGTTGATTGAAATCAATTGTTTTGTCAATTTGGGATCAATGTCTGCCTCAGTTATATTTCAAACTCAAATGAAGCGTAAAATGTTTTGAGCACACCTAGAAAACTACTGTCATCCCAACATCAAAAATGTTAAAGTAGTAGTTAAATGTATGGTGTGATCTCTCCATGTTTTTTTTATTGTTTATGGTTCATTGTTTAATTTTTGTCAATCTTGTTGATATAAAATTTTTCAATATGGATATATGAATCTGAAACACGATTAATTTAATTTACATCAATTTTATTATTATTTTTAAAAAGTTTAATATGATAAATCGCCCAATTTGCTTAAATCTAAAAGATTAAATTTTCATCCCATTTTTTACTTTTGATTCAACTCGATTACATCTTTACATACAATCATCGAAAACTATAAAAGTAAAGACAGTGTATTCTAAGTACAGAGTTAACTCAATTTATTTAATTTAAAACGAGACAAAAAAAAAAATTTAAATTTTGATAAGAATTGAAAAAAAAAGTCATTTAAATTAATTCAACTAATATATTTAACAAACAACGTATCCATCAACTGGTTAACATCTATAGATATAAGCATATCAGTTTTAGATAGCAACAACACTCGTCACTCCTTTATATCCAACAGACAACAAGGCGTCCAAATCATTCCTTACTCATCTACTTCATTGATTAATACTTGTCCATTTTTATTAGAGGACCATAAACACATCCACACCAATTTATTGAATTATCATCTACTGTATCTAGATCATAACTACTTGTTAAATAATGAACGTTGATCAGCTGTATATACAACAGTCACAACAACATCAACCTCCACCACCTTCAGATTATCAAAATCAAAATGTACATCCACCTCCACATGTACAACAACAACCATATCCACCTCATCAACAACCTCCATATCAACAACAACAACCTCAGCAGCAACAACAACAGCAACGACCACATCAACCGCAAAATCAAGCACCTGTGCCGCAACCTCAACAAAGTTCACAACAACCACCAGCACCACAACAACAGCCTCCTCAAAGACAAGTTTCATTCAATGTATCTGATCATTATCAAATATTAGAAATTGTAGGAGAAGGAGCATATGGAGTAGTATGTTCAGCCATACATAAACCATCAAATCAAAAAGTTGCAATAAAAAAAATAGAACCATTTGAAAGATCAATGTTATGTTTAAGAACTTTAAGAGAATTAAAATTATTAAAACATTTTAATCATGAAAATATTATAAGTATATTAGCTATACAAAGACCTCAATCATTTGAATCATTTAATGAAATTTATCTTATACAAGAATTAATGGAAACTGATTTACATAGAGTTATTAGAACTCAAACATTAACTGATGATCATATACAATATTTTATATATCAAACTTTAAGAGCTTTAAAAACAATGCATTCAGCAAATATTTTACATAGAGATTTAAAACCTCTGAATCTTTTATTAAATTCAAATTGTGATTTAAAAATTTGTGATTTTGGTTTAGCAAGAAGTATTGCTTCATCAGAAGATAATTTTGGTTTTATGACTGAATATGTTGCAACAAGATGGTATAGAGCTCCAGAAATTATGTTAACTTTTCAAGAATATACAACAGCAATAGATGTTTGGTCAGTTGGTTGTATATTAGCAGAAATGTTAAGTGGTAAACCTTTATTTCCTGGTAGAGATTATCATAATCAATTATGGTTAATTATGGAAATTTTAGGAACACCAAATATGGAAGATTATTATCAAATAAAATCAAAAAGAGCAAGAGAATATATAAGATCATTACCATTTTGTAAAAAAATTCCATTTGGTGAATTATTTAAAAAATTAAATCCCAAACAACCAGATATTAATCCATTAGCATTAGATTTATTAGAAAATTTATTAATTTTTAATCCAACAAAAAGAATTACAGTTGAAAATGCTTTAAATCATCCTTATTTAAAATTATATCATGATCCAAATGATGAACCAATAAGTGAAAAAATTCCAAATGATTTTTTTGATTTTGATAAAAGAAAAGATGATTTAAGTGTTGAAGAATTAAAAATTATGTTATATAATGAAATAATGAAACCACTATAGTGATTTTTGAGAGATGAATAACTTCATTGGCTTTTAACTTTAGGTTTCAAATAATGAGATTAGTTCATAATTAGATCAATGTAAATGTATAGTTTATTGATAAAAGTAAAAGGATTTGGTAAGTATAGTTTAAATATCACAGTCTTTATTAAGTCTAGTGTGATGAAAATCTGTGCGGTGCGGCTCTCATAAAATTAAACTCTGTTTACACAAAAAGATGTCGACGCGGTGCGCGTAAAAAATTACCATAGCCCGATTATTAGCACTCCAACCCAGTCGAATAAGCAAAGTTTATAAATGAAAATCGATTTGATTGAGGTACAAACTAGTGATTCTGATGCAATTATGCATTTTTGGAGTACATTGATCCTTTGAATCACGTCTTGAGTAGATTGAGTTTACCCCAACTTTTCTCTCCTTGGATCTAATGACGATCGGATGAAAAAAAAAAAAAATTCAACAATATACAGGAGATATCAACAACAATATTTCGAGGCAGTGACAATGTTCTTGAACATTAAAATACATCAACTCAGAGCAAATATCATACAACAAAAAAACAAAGAACCTATATTATAAACTAAAAAAAGAATATAGAAATGAAACTGAAAAGAACTCATAAGAAAGGACCCCAAAAAATATTCATGAACAAACATAAAGTTAAACCAATTTAATATTATTAATTCTTTTTACCAAATAATCCTCTTTTCTTTTTCTTTTGTTTTTTACCACCATCAGCTTGTAAAGAACTAGCACTATAATTACCAGCTTGATAAACTGGTTGTTCATCAAAATTTATAACTGGTCTTCCGTTATTATTATTATTTGAACCTCCAATTCCTGAATTATCATAATCTTGTTGTTGATTTCTTGATTGACCATTTAAATTATAATATGGAAAATCTTCATGAAAACCCCAACCTAATCTATTACTTTCTAATTGATCTCTATAAGTAATATCACCAGTAATAGCATATTCAAAAGCTCTTATTGTATCAAGGGGTCTTTCATTTCTATTTCTTGTTGGATTACTCATATCTAAATTTTTTATTGGTTGACCAAATATATCTTTTAAATCCAGTGATTCATTACTTAAATAAGAAGGTCTTCTATTATCACCTGGTCTATGAGCAGCTTGTTCAAATGGTTGTAATTCATTTACTGCTGTTAATATTGGATCATGAACATTTGCTGTATGTACTTTATAATGTTCTTGATCTGCTGATGTTATTTTTACATCTATATTACCACCTTGTTGTGGTGTTTTTTGAGAAGATTTAGATCTAAATATAGCCATTTTAGGATAATTTTATGTAAGGATATATTTTTTTTGATTTGTTGTTGTTTAAATAGTTGATTTCAATTAGCGAATGTGTGAACTAGTGAATGATAGCTGATTTAATGAAAAACTAGACTATTATGGTATTGAAATCAACTTTATAAGATACTTTATGATAAGGAAAACTTTGAATTATATAAAATTGGAAGGAGTATATTCTTTAATTTCTGTATAAATTTTAAGAATTTTTTCCTGATTTTGAGATTCTGAATTTTTTTTTTGGTTTTTGTAACTCAATTGTTGATCTCACTAATATATCATAATATCCGAAGTACTTAATATTTATAAGTAGCATACGATACGAAAGTTTTCATTATAGAGCAAGAATTTGTATTCAATAGTTTTAAATACTGTTGGATTTACATCAAATCTACTTTGGTACTCAACCATCAAGGTAAAGTTGTTCCTCTATAGTATATAGTATCCCTTATTTTTTATAAAAAGAGTAAAATTCAAGGATCATAATACATAAAACAATCAATTTTGTGCTTTTTCAAAATTCAAAATTCAAAGCCTTGATTAATGTGAGATATTTACTTTGAAGGTAAGAGATAAACAAAAACTGTATCTATGTAGTTGATAACAGTCTATTAAAGAAGTATCTAGGGTACGAATGAGAAATGGTTTCATATTATCATTCCGTTTCTTCCTAATTCTCGAGAAATTGCATAATATTATTGAAAAATATTTTAAGGTACCTCGTATAATTTATATTATCATCATGATCTATTCTTGCTAACAATAGATACGCACTTTCGAGTTAATTTGTATATGGGCTGGATTAACTAGAACCCCAGAGTTACATTTCTTAGTGAAACATAAAAAAACATAGTTGAACAACTCATGAAAGTTGAGATCGGTTTGTATAAGGGTCATTTGGAAAAGATGGATACAGAAAATATTTACAATCTAGTTTTTGTTTTTGGATTTACTGCTCCCATGATGAACTTTTGAGCTTAAAAAACGGTTTGAAATACAGCTCTACTAAGAACTCACAATTGATTTTTGGTGCTTCGTATATAGCGTGTAGCTTTTTAGGACATTTTTTGAAACAAATATTAATTAATAGTGAGTAAAATAGACTGGTTGCAAAAAGATATCTAGGCAGCAACATTGCAAACTTCAAATCACTTTACAATTGAAAGATTTTCTACCTTCAGGGCTTAATTTCAGGATAAGATTTAAATTTCAGGTGTAGCTTAACTAGGAGTTGAAGGTTTTTTTTGAAGTTAAAAAATTGATTTTTTGTAAATAAAGATTTCCTTACAATATTTTGCTGCAAAAAAAGACTTCAATTAAGATAAATCGTTGTTTTGACCTCAGAGTTTGCTATGAAGACTCTTTAAGAGAAGTTGAGGTGTTAAGTTGAAGACATACTGACTAACTTCTTTAACGGATCACTGAATCCTGGATAGTTTGGAATCTTCTGTTGCAATTTAGTTTCTACAAATTATATTTTTGATTCTATGACATGGTTGAGTTGTAGTTGGCACAAAATTTTATACGAATTTTTATGTTTAGCAAAGCCTTACTTCTAGTTATTATGTATAACAAATCATTAAATTTTGAATGTAATTTGTATGGACTTAATGTTCATTCCTATAAAATTTGTTAGACTTTAATGCAGATTTTAAAATTATTCACTTTAGAAATTAATAGATAGGGAAAAAAAGTCCTAATATCTGATACACTGATAACTATCCATTAAAACAATTACATCAGATATATCAATTTCTACAAAAGCTTCACCATAAGCATCCATTATTCCACTAACAAGTCAGCTCATATGTCCAAAAACCCTATACAATTTGTATCACTAATATCGAGAGATGATAAACCACTATATATACAATCATTCCTACCTGAATCCATAGATCAAGAATCAAATACAAATTTAAATACAACTTCAAATACAACATCAAACACAACATCAACATCAAATATAAATAAATTCTTAAAATTCAATTTCTTTAGTCATATAGCAGTGGATATATTTAGTTCACCAACATCATTATTATTAAGAGAACAACAACAACAAACAATAAATAGTTCAAAACTGATAAATAATAATGATGGTATTTTACTTCTATTTATTCAAGAACAAGTTATAGTATATGGATATGAATCAAGTAATGGACTAAAAATAATTGTTGGAATTGATCAATCAATAAGTATAAATCATGATCAATTAAATCAATTTATTAAAAATATTTATAAATTATATTTAAAAATTATTTGTAATCCCTTCCGGAATTTTAAAGATAATTATGATTTTGATGATGATAGATATAATAATAATAATAATGATGATTTATTAAATTCTCCAAAATTTAATGATGGTGTAAAGAAATTAGTAGATGGATTTGTGAAGAGATAAAAGTAGAAGTTAGTGACTAAATTTTGTCATTAATTCATTATCACGTAAATATATATATATAACCTATTTCAATACAACATTAGCACCTCTTAAACTTAAATAAGCTTGATCAACACCAGGTTGAATATTTTTAATAACTTCTTGATAAATTTCAACATTATAAAATCTTAATTGATTTGAAGGATTTTTATAATTTCCTTTTAAACCAGTAATATCACAATAATGTTTTTTAGGTTTTAAACTTGGTGGAGCTGTTACTGATAAATAAGTTGGTTTATCTATTGATAAATTTGTTTTTGATTGAATATATTTTATTTCATCTGATATTAATTGTCTACTTGGTTTATATCTTCTATTTCCTATTGGTTTTCTATTTGGATTTTGTTTAAATGAATGTGGTTTTGTTGTTATATTCAGTAGTTCATGAAGTTCTGGTGATACTGATGCTGACATTTGATTAAGTTGTAATGGAAAGTGAAGAGAAATATTGATGATGTTAACTTATGATACGATAGTTTTTTTTTTTCGGGACGAGAAATGGTATGAATTTGATTTAATGAATTTAACGCATCATAGTTGTTTTAATTTAATGGGCAATAGGACTATAATCTTACTTATTATTGCATATATCTGAGACTAGTTTTGCAACCATTTGATTAGATAAAAGATTCTTTGATGAACCTACGTGAATTGTTGTAAAGTCAATATGGTGAAGAATGTAAAGTAATGATCATATAGCGGTTAATTTAAAGCCTCACTTTTTCAGAAAAACTGAACCAAACAAATTCCGTAAAAAATAAATTCGCTTCGATAATTTCTACCCCAGACTTTTAACCATTTCATCAATACATTAGCTACATATTCACATCAAATGATTGTCATATAGAGTCACTCCATTGCATACCTGTACTATATTATATATTCTTTTTGTATTATAAAACCAACAAATCAAAGATAGACATTGTTATAGACTAATTTATTAAAGCAGCATTAACTCAAAAGCATCAATTTAAATGATAATTTCGAGGTATATACCAGTCAGACCAGATATAATCTTTAAACAATTAAATTTGTTTATACGACTAAATCGATTTCAAATAAATTTAAATCGAAATTACTCAACAACACCCACAGAAAATAAAACTCCATTACAATTATATAATGAAAGAGTTGAACAAGGTAAATTAAGAGATGATCAATATCAAAGAAAAATTATTACTTCATTATCTATATTACATGAAAATTTAGTAAATTATAAACCTCCTGAAATTCATATACCAACAGAAGAAGAATTTAAATCATCAAATACTTCAAAGTTCTCATTTGGCAAAATATTTTCATCATTTTTTGGATCAAACACTTCTTCAAAAAATTTGAATTCAAATATAAATTTTGAAAATAATGAAGAATATAACTCATTAGATAATAAAGGTATATATCTTTATGGAGATGTTGGATGTGGTAAAACAATGTTAATGGATTTATTTTATGATACTATCCCATCAAATTTAACTAAAAAAAGAGTTCATTTTCATCAATTCATGCAAAATTTACATAAAAGATTACATCAATTAAAATTACAATATAGAATAAAAAACAAAAAGGGAGAATATCATGATGAAATTGATGTTATTCCAATTTTAGCAAGTGAAATTGCTAAAAATTCAACTGTATTATGTTTTGATGAATTTCAAGTTATTGATGTTGCAGATGCAATGTTATTAAGAAGATTATTAATGTTATTATTATCAAAAAATTATGGTGTTATATTATTTGCAACAAGTAATAGAGCTCCTGATGATTTATATTTAAATGGTATTCAAAGAGTTAGTTTTATACCATGTATAAAATTAATTAAATATAAGACAAGAATTATATATTTAAATTCTCCTATAGATTATAGAAAAATCCCCAAACCTATGAGTTCAGTATATTATTATCCAAAACCTGGAGTTAAATGGAATTCAAAAATAAATCAATCAAATTGTGTTAAACATATCAATCAATGGTATGAATATTTTAATCAAAATAATAAAAATCATGACGGTAGTGATGAAAAAATTAAAAATTATTCATTAAAAGTATGGGGTAGACAAGTTATAGTTCCTTTAAGTTCACCACCAAAAGTTGCACAATTTACATTTTTTGAATTATGTGGTACACCAATGTCAGCAGCAGATTATTTAACATTAGCAGAATCTTTTGAATCATTTATAATAACAGATATACCTTATTTAAGTATTGATCAAAGAAATCAAGTTAGAAGATTTATTACATTTCTAGATGCTGTTTATGATTCTCATGGAAAATTATCTGTAACATGTGCTGCTCCATTTAAAGATTTATTTGTTGAACCAGAAGATCTAATAAATGATAATTATCAATTATATAAACAAAAATCAGATTTAAAAAATAAAAGAAATAAATTAAATGATGAAGAAAAAATTCAAATAGAAAAGAAGAAGAAACCTAATGATTTAAAGAGTGATGAAGATTTAGAAAATTTTGAAAATGATGAATTAGTTACAAAACATGGATTTGATAAAAATATTGTTAAAAAAGCAAGTATGTTTGTAAATGATGAAGAAAAATTTGCTTTTGCAAGAGCTTTAAGTAGATTAAGTCAAATGAGTACTACTGAATGGATTGAATTTGATAGAAATAATTGAATTATAAGTTAGAAATAGAAGATAATAGTAAAAATTGCATATATAGAAGTTGATGAAATTGATAAGAGTTAAAGATTGATTGTATTTATTAAGTTCCAATTTGTCAAAATTATGATTAGAAGACCACTTTACCCAATTAAACTAAAATTAGATTAGATTAGATTAAGTTATAGTCATTATATAGAAAAATTTATGAGCATGTTTTATTTATTAATGAATGATTTTGGATATAGATTCTCTGTTCAGAAAAATCCAAAGATTCCATTTGTTGACACTCCGTTGATGAATGCTATTCTACAAATTCGAGATAGCACCAATGCTCTCCCTTTTGATATTGTCAACTTCATAAATAAATCGGTTTTAAAATTCAGTAAGAAGCGGCTCTTGAAATTTTTCCGGATCTGATTTTTGAAATCTAAAACACACAAAAAAAACTGGTTTTGTGTTGTTTGCTTTCTGTAAGGTAAATCTAAACTTATATGCAGTACTTGCGTAATATATAAAAATAAAATAATAAAATAAACATGTTATCTTCCCCCTTTCGATCCATCAATTTAATCAAACTTAGTCAGAGTATGTTTACCCTAAATTTGAGTTGTTTCAAAAATTCATACCGAGATGAAAGGGACCACTATCATCTAAGTATTTTCATTTTTTTTGATAAATCCAAATCTCAGTGATTCTCGAGATCGAATCTCGAAAAATGTTTCATAAGATACGACGAAATCAAAGATTCGACTCGACTAGAATTACTGTCAGTACAATTCAAACGTTTAATTGTCTCAAAAGTATTCTTTAATTTCTTTTACAATCGTACAAATTTATTTACATTTCGAGTTATAATTAATCTTTTTTAAGAATAATAGCAAAGGTACAATTTCAAAACTGCAAGAGAAGACTAAGCCATTAAATTAAATACGTTTCCGAAAATAAAAAGTATAAATATAGTTAAAGGCAAACACGTCTAAATTTAGAAATTATGTAAAACTCGATGTTAGATGCATATATATTGATTTGTCAATTTATGCAAGGGTATAAAACTCATTAGTAAAGCATTAGCCTGACAATTCTCACAAATGAAACCGGAACTTATGGGTTATTTATGAAAAACATTCTGTTTGATTTATTCTTATCTTGAGAGTATTGAATTCAGTTTGAAGTCCTTCTATTGTACTGTACGGTTCCCATCCCCTTGTTTATATTTTATTAATTTAACTTTTAAGTTTTTATACATTCAATCTTGTAACAATCAAATAAATTCTCGAGTTTTACACTTGATACGTCAAATTTATTTATTTATTAATTTGATTAGATTTCTCCGTCGTGATGAAAGATATCCTTCAATCAATTGCCTAACTTCATTTCATTTTCATTTGCTTTGTGTAGATAGACTAAACTGACAACTACTGTACGTATTGTTGTTTGTGTTAATTTTTGATTGCTTTGTCATACCGTTTTTTTAAAATCTAAATTTATTTCGTTATCGTACTTCAATACATACTATTTTCGAGTAAGTTGCAAAATGTTTGAAAATTTCAGGATTCAAACCGGCAATTGGTTGTATGAAGCGTTAAGTTCGTAGTCTTGATAATTTCACTTTATCAACTTAGTTATCAATTAGTTCCAGTTTTATAATAAATTATTATATAAATCATGAATTTTATAAATAACTTGATGAAACCACACAATTAAACTACTGTTGCAACAATTACTATTCTTGATTAGGCTTAAATGAAATTGATCCAACGTCTGACACCTCTTTCATGCTATTTCTTCGGTCTTTCATTTAAAATCTATGTTTCAAATAATTTTCTCTTAAAACTTACCGATTTCGAAAGCTATACCTGGACAAAGCACCTTTCAAAAGCATACAGATCGTGGATTGAGAATCAATGTATTCCATCAGCAACATTTGAAGAGTTTTAGATGCTTTGCTAGTATTGATAATTGCTTCTGATTTAAAGTGTATATCTCTTATTGACTAAAATATAATACAATGCAAGTATGGTTTAGTACACTTATCGCCTAAATAAATTTTGACAAACATAAAATTTCATTTCAGAAGAAACGACACACAAAGATTTAAATTTATTAAATTTTTTTTATTGCTTTTATATCAACTTTTTTATTATTAACCACCACTATCACCACCAACGTCTACTTACTCAACCCAATTACTACTATTCCTTTGCTTTTATCTGTTTTATATTCAATTTAACTAGCATATTCAAATCATATATTGCATAATTAACTCAATTTACCATCATATACACAATTTATCTTCATATTCAACTTTTTTACAACCAAAAGTTTTAAACATTTAAACAATTAAAATATACATTAACTAATATTCATTCGCTTAAATAAACTATAAACTATACTATCTTCAAAAATTATGTCAAATGTATCAATAAATAGTCAAAATTTGTATGATATATCATTAAATTCAAGAAAATTATCACAACCAATAATACCAACAACAAATTCATCAACAATTAATCAAAAACCATGTTTACCTCCAAAAAGAGTTGCTTCAATGACTTCATTACCTACTTTAAATGAATATGGTCATTCTAACTCCACTATAAAACAATCAAAAAGACCAGGAGATTATTATATTCAAAAAATTAATTCAAAATCTTCTTTAAATTTAAATAAATCTATTCAACCACCTTCAACTCCTATTTCATCATTACCAAATCCATTAACTCAACAACAACAACAATTCCCCAGAAGAAGAATGTCTCAAGATTCATTGATGTCATTACAATCTTCATTATCAGATGATCATTCACTGATATTATCTTCACAATTTGATACTCCAGTTTTAGGTTCTTCTTCACAAAATACAAATACTAATCAAATGGATACAAGACATAGTTCAATGACTTCATCTTCAACTACAAATTTTGATCCAAATTCTTCATCAACTATTGATAATGATTCAACTATTTCATTAAAAAATTATTCACCAAATAATAGTTTTATAAAACCAAGACCATTAAAATCTGCTTCAACAACAAGTGTTTTAATGAGTACAAAAAAGAATCAACATAATTTTACAATACCTCAACCACCATTAAAAACAACAAGATCAAAATCAGTTGCAGCAATCCCTACATTAAATAGATCAAAATCTAAATTCTTAAGTTATCAAGAAAGTAAAGAACGTTCAATATTACGTAAAAAGAAATATGAAGAAAATGATGATGATGAAGAAATTTTATCAAATGATTTAGATAATTTAATTTTTAATGTTCCAATGATTAAAAATCATAATGTTATTTATAAATCTTCACCATATCAAAACACTTCAAGGTCTTCTTCTAATTCAAATAATTCTTCAAATTCAAATTTAACAATATTATCAAGAAATGATTTATTAGTTGGTGATGGTAGTGATAAATATAATATAAGACCATGTCCATTACCTGGAAAATTAAGTACAACAAATTTACCAACTTTAAATACTCAAAAAGATGATAGTATTTTAGAAGAAGAAGAAGAAGAACCACAAAATTCAAGTTTTAATGATGATTCTGAAATTATTCAAAATATTTCTCAATTTTATACAAAAAGAAGTGAATCAAATTCAAAATTAATGAAATTATCAAGAGAAACAAATTTAATGTATAAATTACCATCATTTATAAAATCACAATCATCATTAGAAGATTTACATTTAATATCTCCTGAAAAATTAAATTTTTTGGATCAAACAAGACCAATAAATTTACCACCAAAATCATCAATTGATAAATCAAAACATAATAAAGAATTTAATAAAAATTTAAATAATTTTGAATCACATTTAAAAAATCAACAAGATTCAAGGTCTAGAAATTTTCAACAATATCTTATATTAAGACAATCTTGGTTAAAAGAGTTGCTGTTGTTAATGGAATTAGATAATAAAAATTTTAATAAAAAATTAACAAATGATAAAAATCATTTAAGAAAATTAATTTGGGATTGTAATGTACCTACAGTGAATGATTTAAATTTTAATTTCCTAATTAAAGTGTTGTCCAATAATTATTCATCACAAGATTCCATACATACTATTAAAAATTCATTTGAATTATTTAATAAAAAATTAGATTCTATTACAGGGGTAATGAAACAAAATAAAGATATTGAATTTAATAAAATTTTAGATAATATATTAACAAAGCCAATTTTGTCAGCTCGTAAAAATTTCGATATTGAAAAATTTAAATTAAATTTTATAAATTTATTATATATAAAATCAATAAGTGAAACAGGATTAAATGAAAAAGATTATATATTAATTACAATTTTATTAGTGATTTTTCCACAAATTTCAAAATTAAATATTTATATTTTATTAGAATTAATAAATCAAGAAATTTTTAATAGAGATATTTTAAATTCAAAATTTCAATCTTCAAAATTTGATAATAATGATCAGATTACTATAAATGAATTTTTAAAAATTATATTACAATTTAATGATAATTTACCATTAAGTTTATCAGCTCCAAATACTCCAATAGTAGATCAAAATTCAAGTTTTAGAAATTCAACAACCACCACCTCCAATTCATCCTCTTCATCAAGATCTTCTTCTCAAATTTCATTATCATTAGAAGAAGAAAATATAGAATCATCAACATCAGAAATTATAATTAAGTTGCTAACTTTGCTAATAATAAATAGTCAATCCCTCAAGACAAAAAATAAAAATAATTTAAAATTAATTAAATCTTTTTTAAAAACTATTTTTAGTCAATTTCATATAAATTGGAATAATAAATCTGATTTATTAGTGGGTAATAAATCTATTAGAATTAATTTTTGTTCTGATCAATTTTTAAATTTAGAAAAATTTATTAATCGTTGGTCAAATGATTATTTTAATTAAAATTTTGTTGGGAGATTGATTTTGATAGAGGTTTATAGAGTTTGTGGTTGATTTGGGTTTATGTTTTGGTTAACAGTTGGAGATTTGGGTTTTGGTTCTAGATTTCTGGTTCTTGAGATTTTGAGATTTTATTAGTTCTTGTTATTAGCTACATATTTAATACATATTTAAAACATATTTAATACATAATTTTTTTAATATAAATTTGATACGTATTTACTTTAAATAACTTAACAACAACTTAACTATTAAATTTTAAAATGAGATCAATTTTAAAAATATTCTGTTACTTCAATGTCCAGATAGACTTAGATCAAAATAAAAAAAAATATAGTCTCTAAAATATACTACTCCCAGACAGGGAATTGAACCCTGGTCTACCATGCGACAAACGGTAATTCTAGCCACTAAACTATCTGGGACGATTTTTTTCAAAATTTTTTTTAAGTGCCTTTAAGTGCAACTAAGCTCAGCCCAAAATTATAAGTCGATTTTGAACGACTTCTGGACTGATTTTTTTAAATTCTCGAAATATTGTGTGGAGTTATGAATGGTTCAAGTTTGTTGCAAATTTTAACGAATGTGTTGAAAATTGTAAAAGTAAGAAAGGAATATGACGTAGATGAAAGAATATTTAATATAGAGTTCATTAACAGGTGAAATAAATTGAATCTGTTATATAACGTACATGAAATCCAACCTATTCAAACAAATTGTTATACCTGATTGAATTTAAATATCTTTCTTGATTAAATTTAAATATCTTTCTTGATTGAATTTAATCATCTTTTTTAATTGAATTTAAATATCTTTCTTGAATATCTTTTATCCTTTCTTTATTATCAATATATTTTAATTTAGTTAAATAAATTTGCCAAATTTCATATTGAATATCATTATCTTGAAATAATTGTAAACATCTTTCATAAATAGCTAAAGATTTTTCAAATTGATTTAGATTCTCCAACAATGTAGCATATTTTAATAGATTTTTAGGAGTTGCAATTTTTAATAAAATTATAGTTTCAATCACTTCGTTTAGCCTATCTAAATATTTTGAATCAGGATTTTCAAAATCAATAAATGAAATTAACAAATCAATAAAAAAATCATATAATAAATTCGATTTTTTAATTCTTCTTTGAACTGGAACTTGTGAATCTTTAAAATTTATATTTTTTAAATCATTTATTTCATCTTCATCTATATTTAAAAGTAGTTCAGAAAGTAAATCAATTGAAGAATCTTCATCAAAATGATCATTACTTAATTTTAATTCACACCAATAAATATATATATCAATTAATTCTTGTGGGTGAGGAAATTGTGATTGAATTGATTTTGATAATATAAAATCAGCAGTTTTAAAATCTTTTGATTCTGAATATATTTTTGAATAATTTATCCATATTTCTTTTAATTTATGATTACAACCAACAGGTATTTTCAAAGGATTTATTGATTTTATTGATTGTGCAATTGTTTGAATTAATAAATTTAAATCATCTTTGTATATATCAAATCTTTGAAACCAAAAATCTATATTATTTATATTTGATTTTAGTTTTATATCATTTATTAGGAGTGCTCTATTTTTAAGGAGTGATTCAAATGAATTTAATTTATTATATAAAATGGTTAGATTGGGCTCATTTTCATTAATATATTTTTCGATTTCATTTTCTTCAAATTTAACATATTCATTATAAATCTCTTTAAAATCTAAGACTGTTTTACATTCATTTATTGATTCTTCAAATATTTTTTTAATCTTTTCATAATTTGAATTTCTTGATTTTTGAAATTTAATTAATTTTAATTTGAGATTAGATATCTGATCTGGATATTTTGTAATTGATTTATTTATAATTTTAATAAAATCTTTTTCATTTGTTGATTCATCATTTATTAGATACTCTAAATAGTCTTCTAATATTTGAAATTGAGATTTTGGTAAATTTGAATAATCATTTGAATTTATAATTTGATTATATAATTTTGAAACAGTGACCTTATCTCCAAAACTTTCTAATTTTTCAATAAAATCTAAAATGTTTTTGTTTAGTCTATCATTTGAGTTTATTTCTGACCCATTGAGTACTTTTGGATTTATAAATTTCATTACTCTTGTGTAAATGTTTATGGCAGTTGCACCTTCCACTTTATCTGCAAAATCTAGATACAATTCCCAAATAGATTCATGATTATCCACGGGTAAAGATTGCAATGATTGGTCGAATTTCTTTCGTATAGAAGTAATGCTTGTTATAATATGAGATGTTAAAAATTTCAAAAGAATTATCCAAATATTTAGTGATTTTGATTGAGCCTCCACACATTCATCGATGATTAATTGAATATCTGACTGACTTAGCAAAAGATAACTCTCAACCACTAAGTTTAAATAAATTGTCCATAATTCTTCCAGTTTTACAAATTTAACTGCTCTTGTAATTATAAATAGCTTAGCTTGAAAATTGTCATTGATTTTACTTTCATAATAACTTTTCCAAATTGATTCATCTTCTGGTTTCTTTAGTAGTGATTCTTCATACAGTAGGTCTTCATCATTGATAAGCTCATTCGAATTGTTCATCATATCATTTTGATTGATATTGATTTTGCAATCGAATTAATTTTTATCTTAAGTCGCAATTAAATTAATTCTTCAACACAATTCTATTAACATTCAATTCAACTCAATTAATCAAACACATCTAAGTCATTATGTCCGGTGCAGGTAATCGTGAACAAGTGTTTCCAACACGTATGACATTAGGAGTTATGAAATCAAAATTAAAAGGAGCTCAACAAGGACATTCATTATTAAAAAGAAAATCAGAAGCATTAACAAAAAGATTTAGAGATATAACTCAAAGAATTGATGATGCTAAAACTAAAATGGGTAGAGTAATGCAAACTGCTGCTTTTTCATTAGCAGAAGTATCATATGCTACAGGAGATAATATATCATATCAAGTTCAAGAAAGTGTTCAAAATGCAAGATTTCAAGTACAAGCAAAACAAGAAAATGTATCAGGTGTATATTTACCAACTTTTGAAAGTAAAATAAATGAAAATATAAATGATTTTAAATTAACTGGTTTAGGTAGAGGTGGTCAACAAGTTCAAAAAGCAAAACAAGTTTATACAAAAGCTGTTGAAACATTAGTTGAATTAGCATCTTTACAAACTGCTTTTATTATATTAGATGAAGTTATAAAAGTTACAAATAGAAGAGTAAATGCTATTGAACATGTTATAATACCAAGAACTGAAAATACTATATCTTATATTAATTCAGAATTAGATGAATTAGATAGAGAAGAATTTTATAGATTAAAAAAAGTTCAAGAAAAAAAACAAGAAGCTGCTGCTGCTGCTGAAGAAGAAGATAAATTAGCTTTAGCTGCTGCTGAAGGTGAAACTGATATTGGTGGTATACGAAATAATGAAAATAGTTTAAATGTTCAAGCTGATAAAAAAAGAGATGATATTTTAGAAGAAAATGAAGATGATGTTATATTTTGATTGTTTATATTGTTTTTAATTGAAAAAATAATATCATAATGTTTATTGGACTGTTGAATTAAAGAATGTTGTTATAAAGTACTTTTATTTTACAATTTTGTTGAATTTGATTTTGTAACAACGATTTCTACAGACGTGTTTATCACCAGTTTGATTCACTTCACAATGATTTTTACAGAAATATTCATAACCTCAGAGTTTCTCATTTTCTATATTACAGAAGAACCATTCCTAATTATCTTGTTGGTAAATTTTTAGCTAAATTTGATTTCATACTCAATCTAATTGTGTCCAATAATGAAAAAAAATTCCACGTATATTTTGATCATGGCTTTCACGAACTCTGAAAGTATGACTCTTCTCAGCTTTCAATATCAATGATTCTAGCCTGATTTTGGTGATTATGGAAAATTACGACCAAAGGTGGTTGTATGTCTGCGTTATTACTTACAAAATTTATGTCAATTCTATTGTCGTAACATTCAAAATTTGAAATAAATCTCTGTAACAATTACACTACCTTTACAAATACATTTATAGCTATAAACTAATAAAAAAAATCTAAGTACACGTATTACTATACTTACATTCAAGCATTTACAAGGCAAAAACCAAGCCAATTAAATAATTGAGAACTATGGTGACCCATACTCATTCATGTTCACTATGGTGATTTTTAAAATTGTCAGATCTAAACCAGGAATGTACGAAGATGTCAAGACGCTTTAACATCACTTGTAAGAAGAAATCCATCAGTCAATTTATTAAATAAAATTCAACTTGAGTATGGACCAGTTTAATTAATCAATTGGTTGGCACTTAAAGCTACAATTGTATAGAACCATAATGGAGGTAATTGCAGACGTATTGATAGGTTTTTGGTTCGCTATGCAAATATGGGTACTGTTACAAAACTAGGGGTAACCGAAATTCCAAATTTAGAAAATCATTCATGAATCATCTAAAATTTGGTTAATGCAAGTATAAATTTAACATGGAGGGAATTAGAGTTATTGCAAGATGATGAATTAAAATTGTTCATAATACAGTTATTAACGAATCCAGCTTTAGTTGTGGTGAGTTTTTTGATACGTGTATTGATGTGTGACTTATTGTTTGAAATTGGAGATTTAATGGTGTATATCTGGGAGTTTCTAGAGATGTACTTGATGCTCCAGTTGAAGCATTTGGGTTTGAATTATTGTTCGAACTCCGTATGCCTTATGCTTGTTGAAGATTAAATGATACTGAATTCACACAGTTGACACAGATTAATCTGTATTCCTTAAATACATTAATTCGATTCAACTGTTCCATTTACAAAGTAAGTATAAGGTATTCCGAGTTTGATGTTAATTAAACCCATCAGCTTTGACGGGTGCATCGAACACTTCTTGAGGAATTTTCAAGTTATAATCGATTACATCTCTAATTTCTGAAGGTAAATCACCTATCAAAGTATCATAGAATTCGGCACATCTACAGCTGTGATTCATGAGTTTTGTATTGTTGACGGTTTTTGAATTCACATCTTGCAACAATTTAAATCCCTTTTTGTAACATTCACGCTTTCATTGATCTGATGATGGATGAGTGACTTCCAAAATGAGAATTCTTGGTTACTCCCAATTTTGTGACTGCACCAACTCTTGCATAGGGAATCATAATACTATCGTCAATGCGTCTACAATTCAATCCATGATGTTTGTTACAACAGTAGCTTTGGGTGATAACCAATGTATTAAATCAACTGAAACGTAGACCTGCTGAACTTTGTTCAATATGTTGATTGATTTTTGTCCGATTTTTTTGAAGGTAAGCATCATAAATTAAGGGCCGCATGGTTTAAAAATTATCGAGACATTAGTAAGACAAATTCTTACTACAGAAATTGCGCGTAAACACGTTAATCATTTTAGAGTTCAACCCATTGATTTTATTGCTGGATTAATTAATGAAAAATTCAAAAATAATTTTAAAAATTGATTTAGCTATAGATTTATTTCGTTTAAATTCAAAGTTGGATTAAAACTAAACAAATTCAGATATATAAATGTGTATTATTGAAATAAATTGCTAATCTGAATTACCAATCATTTATCGGTGGTTTAATATTGCAAGGCACTTAGTAGCAAAGTTCTCTTTGTCTATCTTGTTGTTTTGTCTGTTAGGTATATATTTCATATTCAAAATACGCACATTATATTGTAGCAATTAGAGATCTAAAGTATAAATTTTTACCAAATGTTTAATATCTCAAGCTAATTGTACACTTGTTATAACCCAACTTTTTGTTTTTCAATGAATTTGGTTATTATTAGGTATCGTATCTAAAAATAGCATCAGATCTCAAAGTCGATTTTGTGTTACAAATCTGAAACTCTAGTAAAATGATTAAGAGTCATTCGAATCCAAAGTTATAATCCATCCAATTAAATTTATCTATGTATCAAACCCATCAATTAACTTGACATTTTCTTTTTAGTTGGATGAGTAAACGTTGTTGCTTTAAACGAAAAGCTAGTTTCACAAGAAGAACTCGAATTGTCATATCAAATCGTACCATCAAATTGCTCGGACGGAGTTTGTCAAGTTCCTAAGTGTAGTTTATTAATTTCAAGCTACAGCTTCTTTAATCCAACTAAACTTCAAAACTTTTAGAACAAAATTGCAAAGACAGGATTTTGTTGCTTTGCAACATTGAAACTTTTTAAATTTTGTGATCATATAATTTTTTATTTTCAAATAAACACTTGATTTTTTAAAAAATTAGAAAAAAAAATAAAAGTAAACTACAATCCACCTCGTAAATCAATTTACTTTACTTCAATAAAATATTCATATTCATAGATCCCCCACCTAAATTATCTATACAATTTCGGAAGAAAAGAATGAAGAATTCACAAAAACTGTTGATCATATTAGATTTTGTGTTTAATTTGCTATGAATTAGAATGATAAAAACAAGAAATTAGATTAGTCCGAGAATTTTTAAACAAACGAACGTTACCAAAGATAAGTTTGCTGTTGATACACTAAATACTTTCAAATTAAGCTGTCAAGAAAAGTTTTCACTATAAATACAATCAACAATGTGTTTCACTTTCTATTTTGAAATTTTTTTTTCAATTCCAAGTAGTTAGCAAATCAACTCCAATAAATAGCTAGTCAACTAGAATAGGTAACAAGTCAACTCAATAGGTAGCTAGTCAACTCCAATAGATAACTAATCAACATCAATACTTAAAGAAAATGAGTGAAATTAAATCATATTGTAATGAAGAATTAGGACCATTACCAACCAAAACTCCAGAACTTCCAAAAAACGTGATGGATATGTTTTCATTAAAAGGAAAAGTAGCATCAGTTACTGGTAGTTCAGGGGGAATAGGTTTCGCAGTTGCTGAGGCATTCGCCCAAGCAGGAGCAGACGTAGCAATATGGTATAACTCACATTCTGCTGATGATAAAGCTGAATATTTAGAAAAAACATATGGAGTTAAATCAAAAGCATATAAATGTAATATCAGTGATCCTAATAGCGTTGAAGAAGTAATTAAACAACAAGAACAAGATTTCAAAACTATTGATGTATTTGTGGCTAATGCTGGAGTTGCATGGACTGAAGGACCTGAAATCAATGTTAAAGGTTATGATTCATGGAATAAAATTATTAATACAGATTTAAATGGAGTTTATTATTGTGCTCATAATGTTGGACAAATATTTAAAAAACATGGTAAAGGTTCATTAATTATTACATCATCAATGTCAGGTACTATAGTAAATATTCCTCAATTACAAGCTGCTTATAATGCTGCTAAAGCTGCATGTACTCATTTAGCTAAATCATTAGCTGTTGAATGGGCTCCATTTGCTAGAGTTAATGCTATTTCACCTGGTTATATTGCTACCGAAATTTCAGAATTTGTTGATAAAGATATGAAAGCAAAATGGTGGCAATTAATACCGCTCGGACGAGAGGCAGACCCAAGAGAGTTGATTGGAATTTATTTGTACATGGCAAGTGATGCCTCGACGTATACTACTGGTAGTAACGTATTAGTAGACGGGGGATATAGCTGTCCATAAAATTTGATTTAAAGTGTATCCAGTGCCCTCAGTACAATCTAGAGTTTCTCAGAGTGAATTCAATATGATTTAGAGTGATCTAGAGTGATTTACAGTGTATAAGAATGTGGCAATTCACCAAGGTAGTTAGCATAGTTTTTTGATAATTTTTTGAAACGCAAAATTTATATAGAAAATAGAGCCATAGAAGGACAACTTATTGACATGCTAAAACATTCAATGCTAATAGTGATCTCTCAACTCTACGATGCTGACTGTTTAATTTAAAATTTGAGTAATTAGGTACTTGGCCCTGCGCTATTATTTATTTTGCACTTAGAGGTTTATGATAGCTTTACATTACAGGAAATGATGTACTCTACATGTGAGTTGAATGAAAATTGGTGTTATTCAGTAAACATATATACATCTGGTTTGAATTGTATATGTCTTTCAATCGTTATCTTCAATTGATTCACTGATAAAATAATTACTAATTTTGCAACTCCTGGTTTTGTGTAAGTTTCAAGAATTTGAAATATTTTTTTTTTTCAAAATTTACATCGGTTACCATCCAAACATTTGAAAAAACATTGAGGAGGGAGGGAGGAACAATATTGCTGCTTCAAATAGAGCAGCTACCACTAAAGCTGATCCTTGGTTTAGAAATAAACATTTGCCAAGTGTTTTCATTGATCAAATTACTCCACGGTCGTTTAACGTTGCCATAACAGCTCAACAACAAAAGTATACAATGAACGGCCAGATGTGTTAGATTCATACATCACATTATTGTTACATACCAATAGTCTTTTACCCCATGTCAAGTAAGAGTTTGTTTAAAATCCAAGGCGATATGTTTAAGAGTAAAATTTGGTTGATCAAATAATTAAATCGATTACATTGTCCATCAAATAATCATTAACTTAATTCAAATAATAACTTGCTTCATCAAATTACCAACTTTATCATTTAATCACTTGCTTCATCAAATACTTCAAAATGGTTATTCAGAAAATGCACCAATCAAGAGTTTGATTTTCAAATATATTAGATATTGAAGGCATTTTTTATTCACTTTTGCCATAACATCTCGAATGCCAACAATACGATATGGATGGGTCATTTAAATTTAACATCTAAAGCACAGCACAAATTGAAAGATTCTGGTAGTTCCGACTACCTCGAAATGGAGAATAATTCAAAGATCATGTATGGAAAATAATCAGATTCAACATAAATCGATTGAGATTATAGATTGATTCAACAGATAATGAGAAGAAAAAATGTTCATTATATATTGTCAACTGTCAATTATGACTTAAGAAAGACAAAAACAAACACAAGACTTGGCAATTTATTCAGGTTTTTCTTAACATTCTACAAATATATAAATTCATTAAAATTGAGTGCAAAATAAGCTTGAGTTAAAACAAATATGATAGTGTTTCAATGATTATTCAAGTGACTCCAGGTCCTGTTTTCAAAAAATTAGATTCATCAAGTAAATTAATTCCACTATTTGGTTGTGGCATTAAAATCAGATTCTTCGGTTACAAATTTATCTTCTACTGTAGTAAAGCAAGGGGTATCAAGACTTTCCAGAAACAGATTAAAACTTGTTATAATAATACTTACGCATATAAATGTTTTTCATTGAAAAATGGCAAAATTTGAACTGAGAGTTGACTATGTTGGGTTTGTTAAAACTGCTTCTCATAATTAGTTAGTACGCTGGGTCATTTAAGAACTTGTTTCTACGAGGTTAATTCGTGGCCCAAAGATCAAAAGGATTCGAATTTGTTGAATTTAACTTTTCAAGTAAAGCATATACCTAGTGGTCCAGCAATTAAATCTAACAATGAAGAATCATTATAGATTGATTATGAATATACTTTCCCAATATTTACAAGGAGAATGAACTCGATCAAGAGCTTGATTATAGATAGTTGTACTTTGTATTTGAATTTTAGTAGCTTGGTAGCAATTTTTTGTAAGTGATACTAAATTTTTGCAACACAATTTTTGAAAATGAAGTTTTACAACCAAATTAAAAAACTCAATTCAAACAATAGTAAACCTCAATCCTTAAACCTTGATATTTATCATGGTAGTCTTGAGAGGTTTGGGTGAATCACACTCATCCAATTACCAAATTCTAACCAGAAATATAGAAAGATGCATCAATTCATCAGTCTTATTTGAAATTGTAAAGGCTGACATCTGTGGTTTAACTGAATTAGGATACAAAGCAAAAGATAATACAAATCCATCCATCAAAATATTAAAAGCTATACCTAGTTTGAGAGTGCTAGGTGAAAAGAGAGCTGCTATTTGTATCAGTAATAGTACAATTGGAGTTGAAATTGATTTAAATGCTTATGACATGAAAAATTCACCTGAAATTAAAAAACCTAAACTCAATAATACACAATATGATTCAAGTGTTATTGAAAAATTATCAACCACTGCAAAAAATGAAGGAGGATTTAATAACGGAAAAGAATTTGCAACAAGAATTGCAGCAGCAGTTTTAAATATTGATGGAAATTTAGTTCACTTGGTCAAATTATATGCTCCTAATACGTTTGATGATCGTGCTCAAGAAGAATTTTACAAGGATTTATTAATTTATTTATATAATTTGAAGATTTCAGAGCTATGGATAATGGGCGACTTTAATGTTGTCCAGTTTCAAGCATATACAATGATTATCCCTCGTCAGATCAATGGAATAGAAAAACGATCAATTGACATTTTAGATAAAGTTAAAAATAAATATAATTTAGTTGATTTGGTAAATTTCCTTGCTCCTCAAGGAACAGTCATTACCAATCATGCTGGTCTGAATTGTCGAAGAATAGATGGAATTTTAATGCCTCGTACTAGAGTTGGTGGAGTTTCGAAATTGGCTGTTGTTAGAACTCCTAGGTTTGGTACACATTCATCAATGATTTTAAGTTTAAATACGTTAAATAAAGAAATTAAAGAAAGTGAACTCAGAGCTTTGCAGAAAAAGAATAAAACTATTGTTGATGGTACAATGATTAAAGATTTCACTTGTGCATGCCGTAAATTTTTTAATACTTTATTTGGTGATATACCACAGGTTATTATTAAGACTAACAATATAATTGATTATAATATTCCACTGAATGTTCTTGATGCAAAAGTGACTGCTGACGGCTTTGGTTTTTCGTTTAGACTTAAATGCCACTATGCATATTATGACTTGGTTAAAGTAAAAGAAAATGATGATGATGAAGAAGTCAAATACAGAGTATGCAAATTGTTGGAGTTGGATTTGGTGAATGTTAGACAATTGCTTAAGATAAAGTTCAAAGATGAAAACGATCTTGAAAATGCAGTTAGAAGAGTTAATGAAAGACAAAGATTCACGAATGCTGAGCATGTTATTAGGGGTGCATATGTTCCTTCAAAAATTGCTTATAGTTCATTACTTCAAAATGGCATTGATAATTTAGTTGAAGATGGATTAAGAATATTTGGCCACGTTGAATATGAATTATTTGATGACGGTAACATTAAAATGAATGATCCAAAACTAGAAATTATTGGGAATGAATTAAGATTACATTACTCCAATGAAGAATATGTTGTTGTGCTTTTAGATAAAATGTTAGTTGGAGTCAGAAAAATTTTAAAAGCTGTTGGAGTAGCAGAAGGAAGAGCAAGAAGCATTATTGATGACGCAGATTCTTATGATATTGTTCAAGTCAAGCAAACAACGATGACTGCTTTTATTCCTTTAGAAAACTTAGTTCATTTATTAAACATCCCATTAGGTAGAACCCGAGATCAAATTACTCAAGGGATTAGATCAATGTTCCCACTATGCAAAAATGATTTTGCGGGAGATTACAAATCTGCATTTCGAGAATTTTGTGAATCTTTAATTAAAAATTATGGGGATGAACCAATTTCAATCGAAGATCAAACCAAATTTAAATATGGCCAGGAAACAATTGTATATGAAGGGGTCGCTAGAAAGTTAGATAATCGTGTTTCTTTAAGAGATCTATTTCAAATTATTAGTGAAAATAGCATCCCAATCGATGCACCAAACAGGAAGCAAAAGCTATATGATGAAGTTAATAGTTCAATAGGGCATTATGTTCTGAAGTTTAAAATACCTGTTGGTAGTCAATTACCAAAGATACATCCATTTGACGGTTACATTTCACTCGCATCATACTACATACCATTGTTTCAGGCTAAACAACTTGTCAAAATGCATGATGTTTTGAATCAAATCAGCCCCATTTTGAATTCAAATTTATTATCATTTCATTTCATACAAGACTTAACTAGAAATTATGATTATAATGAAGACATATCGGATGTTGAAATCTCAATCGGCGAACGTCCCAATAAAAATGGGTTTTTTAATGTCAATGGAATTCTAAGAAATCCTGCCACAGGTTTGATAGTATTACTGGATGTGTTAAAGAAAATCAGTGTTTTTCTGAATACTCGTGTTAAAGAATACGTTCAGAAATTTCCTTCTGAAAGAGTGGCTAGTATCATTAAAACGAGAAAAATGGTTACTCTTGAAGTTGCCAGAGAACAAGCGGAATTTTTCAGGATTCCACCAGATGTTGTATACCCTGCTTTGGTTGACGAAGAAAAATTCAAAAATTATTTTCAAAATTAATTATTTAGCTATAAATTATTTATTTCATTAACATTTAAAATTAAGATTAAACAAATGTATAATCTGGTTTATAAATGTGTATTACTAAAAAAAATTATTAATGTAAATTCCAATTATTTAGCAGTAGTTCTATGTTTATGGTTTAGCATGCTTTGCTCTAGTAGAAAAGTCCTCTTTGTTGGTTGTTGTGGTGTCCGCTTATACAATTTCAGGTTTCAAAAGTTTGTAAAATACCGTAGCAATAGAGACTGCTTCTTAATCCGACAAAGAACGAAAAGCTGAATTAATTGATTTGCTTGATACAATAATAATACAATGTTATGTAATTTCATCTCCGTTGACGTGAATTCCAATTATTACTTTAGGGCATGTACTATGAATACAGACATTCTTTTGACGTACTGAATTTGTGGTGTGTAAATCTTGATGTGTTCATTTCCACTATTTGATATATCATACTTATTGAGCTTGTCCATTTCCATGTCAACTGATTCATCCCATAATGCTGAATGACAATTTTGTCATTTGGTTTCTTCTCAAATTGCGTTATTTGATAAAAATATGTTTACTTGCATTTTGCACTGAGTTTGAGTTTCCTTCCATTTCGAAGTTGAAAATGTTAAGGCTTGTGTAGTTTTCATTTTGAAGTTCGGAATGCTCTTCCCAGTGCAATCCAGATTCTGATAATCGTAATAATTCCATAATCAACTTTCCTGTATCTCGGTTTGAGACGATACTTTTGACAAAGCTGGGTGCATTGTTTCAGGGTACGATTCAACTGGTTCAAGTTTCAAGAGAAAAATATTTCAGTTTTTTGAAACTTACACAAAAATCAAGTTGCAAAATCAGATTTTATCGAATCAAAATCATTATTGAGACATTAAACATTCACATTTCAAACTATACGAATTACAGTTATTGAATTGCATGTGCTTCTTTAAAATCCACATGCTCAGTACAACTATTCCAAGTAACATGTTACTTAAACTTATTACAAACTTCTAAATATAGGACAATATAATAGCGTAGGGCCTTGTTTACAGTTCGACAGTTAGACACAAAAACTCCATCAGCAGTTGTTTTCGTCGAGTTGAGAGATCATTAGCGGTGATATAGGTTTCAGCGAGTCAGTAAATTGTTCTTCTATGGCTCTATTTTCTATATAAATTTTGCGATTTTCAAAAAAATCAAAAAAACATGACTTCTAATTCAAGAAGAACCACCATAACCTAAATAGCCTAGGACTGAGCTCAGACTCGTCAGAATTAGATAGTTAAATAGCCCCCGTCTATATTTAGGTCACAGCCCGTCGTGAAGGATGCAGCATCACTCGAAAGATAGATGTAGCCAGCTACCAACTCTTTTGGATTCCCTAACCTTCCCAATGGTGTTAGTTGAACCCATTTTGCAACTAATTCTTTATCGGCAAATTCAGTTAAATGAGTTCCAATATAACCAGGAGATACACTATTAACTCTTGCAAATGGTGCCCATTCAACAGCTAATGATTTTGTTAAATGCTTTACTGCAGCCTTTGAAGCATTATAAGCAGCTTGAGCTTGAGGAATATTGACTATTGAAGCAGACATTGAAGCAGTTGTTATTAAAACACCAAATCCTTGATCTCTAAAATGAGGACCAATAGCATGAGCACAATAAAATACTGAATTTAAATCAGTATCAATAACTTTCTTCCATTTAGTTAAATCTGGTTCATCAATTAATGGTCCCCAAGTCCATGGAATTCCTGCATTAGCAACAAAGATATCAATTTTACCAAAATCTTTTCTAACTTCAGCAACAACTCTTTTAACATCATCTGCATCACTTGTATCTGATTTATATGCTTTTGCTTTAACTCCATAAGTTTTTTCTAAATATTCAGCTTTATCATCAGCTGGATGTGAGTGGTGCCATATTGCTACATCTGCTCCAGCCTGAGCGTATCCTTCCGCCACAGCGAAACCTATCCCTCCAGAACTACCAGTAACTGATGCTACTTTGCCCTTTAATGAAAATAAATCCAAAATATTACCTGAAGGAGGTGTGAATTTTTTTGGTAAAGGACCTAATTCTGGATTTGTGTATGATATAATTTCATCTGAACTCATTTTTGTGGTTGAAGTAAGTAGTCTTGTTTGAGATATGAGGTAGATCCTGTTAGTTAATCTAAGTCTAGGTTGTAGTCTTCTAGAAACAGTTGATAAAGTGGATAATCTATTAATTTTGAAAATTGTAAAATGTTACAAATTTAATTATTTTGTGTTTCGCACGATCAAAATGTATGATGTAATAGGTAAACTGTTTTGAATAGTCTATCAATTGTAATTATCAATTGGTCTTTCAATCTGTTTCAAAATTAATAGATTCAGAAGTGAGATTAATTGATATTTATATATTAATTACAAATTTAAAACAATATCGTTTTCATCACTCATTCAAAGTATCAAAACCAATGTTCCACATTTTTCTACTCAATTATAATATCTTAACTATTATAATTGCTGTTTATTAACTCAATGAACCAAATAAAACTAAACAAAGTAATATATGAATAATATGCAAAGTTCCTTATTACTTTATTAACCGATTGTCCCTAGTATTTGGATGTGAAACTTTATTTAGAATTTAAGTAAAGTATAAAATATGGTGGTACGGATGTCACGGTCATACATAAACTTTTATAGTTTTCAAATTATTTTTCATACCGAATCAATTTAGTAAAAATTAATAATTGATCGGAGATTAAATTCAATCTGATGATGAAATAATTCGTAATTTAATTTGCTTGATCATTTGAAATGAATTTGCAGCTACGTGTAAGAAGATATTGAGCAAGTGGTATGATTATGAAATCTGGGGAAGATTGAAAGATTTTGCAAGTTTCTATTAGCGTCTTTGAAATTGATGTCGGTAGCGAAACATTTCCCCATACTCGATAATATTTATATCTCAGCAGTGTTTTCAATAGTCTAGGGAATTATGAAAATCAACCATCTAGCTATGACTTCTCACTTATCTAACCTAAGGCTTTAAACTGTAGATTGTAAAATTTTTGATGAAACTAGTATACAGGTTGCTAAAGATGTCGATCGGAGAAGTCACTACGTATGGTTTAGTTTCTCCATGTAATTTACAAACAGCTTACAAATTTTAATTTATTATCTTATTATTCAATTTTAAAATTATCTACATATGCTTAAATAAGTTTTGCATTTCTTCAAAAATGCCAGTTTAAATTTTCTTTCCTTTAATAAACACGTTTAGCTGGTGGAACTGGTTTACAATCGTTATCATCTAAAGTATGTTTAACAACGTCTCTATAATCTAAACGAACTGGAGCTCCAAAAGCATCTTGATAAGATAAAGTATGTTTTCTCCAATTAACATCATCTCTATCTGGATAATCATCTCTTGCATGAGCACCTCTTGATTCTTTTCTTGCAGCAGCAGAAGCAGCAGTTTGAGTAGCACAAGTTAATAAATTTTGTAATTCTAAAGTTTCAACTAAATCTGAGTTCCAAATCATTGAACGATCAGTAGTTTTAACATTTGCAAAATCTTTATCAACTGCATTTATATGTTCAACACATTTATCTAAAGTTTCTTGAGTTCTAAAAACAGCACAACCTTTTTGCATAGTTTTTTGCATATCTAATCTAATATCAGCAGTTGGTTTAGTTCCATTAGCAGTTCTTAATTTATCTAAATTAGCAATTGATTCATAACCAATATCTTTTGGATGAGCTTTTATTGGTTCACCTGGTTTTAAATTACCTGCAATAGTATGTGATACAGCTCTTCCAAATACAACTAAATCTAATAATGAATTAGCACCTAATCTATTAGCACCATGAACTGAAGCACAAGCAGCTTCACCACAAGCTAATAAACCTGGAACAACTTCATCTTTACCTTCACTATTTTTTTTCAAAACTTCACCTTGCCAATTTGTTGGAATACCACCCATATTATAATGAACAGTTGGTAAAATTGGAATTGGTTCTTTTGTAACATCAACACCTGCAAAAATATGAGCAGTTTCTGAAATACCTGGTAATCTTTCTTTTAATACAGATGCTGGAATATGAGATAATTGTAAAAACATATGATCTTTTTCTGGTCCAACACCTCTACCTTCATTAATTTCCATAGTAATAGCTCTTGAAACAACATCTCTTGAAGCTAAATCTTTTGCTGATGGTGCATATCTTTCCATAAATCTTTCACCTTCTGAATTAACCAAAAAACCACCTTCACCTCTTGCACCTTCAGTAATTAAACAACCAGAACCATAAATACCTGAAGGATGGAATTGAACAAATTCTAAATCTTCTAATGGTAATCCAGCTCTTGAAACCATAGCATAACCATCACCAGTACAAGTATGAGCTGAAGTACATGAGAAATAAGCTCTACCATAACCACCAGTTGCAATAACAGTTCTATTAGCAAAAAATCTATGTAAAGTACCATCTTCTTCATTATAAGCTATTATACCAATACAAACACCATCTTGCATCATTAAATCCATACCAAAAAATTCAATAAAAAAATGACAATCATGTCTTAATGATTGACCATATAATGAATGTAATAAAGCATGACCAGTTCTATCAGCTACTGCACAAGTTCTATAAGCTTGACCACCTTTACCATATTCTTTAGATTGACCTCCAAAAGCTCTTTGATATATTCTACCTTCTTCATTTCTTGAAAATGGAACACCATAATTTTCTAATTCATAAATTGAAGCAGGAGCTTCTTTTGTCATATAATGAATTGCATCTTGATCACCTAACCAATCTGATCCCTTTACAGTATCATAAAAATGCCAATGCCAATCATCTTTATGCATATTACCTAAAGCAGCATTAATACCACCTTGAGCAGCAACAGTATGAGATCTTGTTGGAAATAATTTAGAAACACAAGCAGTTTTAAAACCTTCTGAAGCTAAACCAAAAGCAGCTCTAAGACCTGCTCCACCAGCTCCTAAAACAACACAATCATATTCATGATCTACTACATGATATTTTTGACTCATATATTTAGCAGCATCAAAATCTTTACCTTTAACATTTGATCCAGTAATTTGTGACCTTATATTACTACTACAAAATGATCTTGTAGTTAATTTTGTTGATCTTATTTGCTTACGTAAAGAACTCAACATTATACGCGTGGATGTTTCTTTTAATAGCTTTTGTTGATCTTTAAAGTGAATATGTAGTTTATATTTAAATGAATAAATAAATTGTATTTAGATTTTGATGATGAATGAGAGATAAAATCTTGATCAAATATTTACCTCTGTTTTGGTGATGATAGTTGTGATGTTATTGTTTCTCTAAACTACTTCAAAGTTAAATTTGAAATACTTAGTAGTGTTTGATTTAAAAAACGGTTATTTGGTGTAAATTTAATTGGTTTTGATTTTTTTTTTCAGTTCTTGCAGAGTAAAATATTATTTTATCTGGAGTAAATTTTAAATTTCGCTCTGACTTATGTATGAAAATAAACGCATTAGTCGATCAAGATGAATCCATATTCGGTACAACCAGGATTATTCTTAGGACTGGACAGAAGAATCTACAATAAGCAATAAAACTAGATGAAGAGTAAACTTTATTCTTAAACTGTGAGTTTATTTGACTCATCAAAACATACTTCAATCTTACATACTATTAATATTTCAACTTGTATTACCAAATGATTTGATTTAATAGGTTGAAAATTTTTATTAGTATGAAGCCTCATGAATTGCCACTTTAAGAATGGCAAAACTAGTCCCCGGGTTTTATTCGTATAACTACCAAATGATAGTTGTTAGAAAAATAATGTTTCAGACAATAAGTACAATAATGCGACAATCATTTTCATCATACTTAACAATCATGTCAAGTCTGTTTGACTTAAACTACTACTATATTCATAAATACATACTCTTTTAAGATTGCAAATAAATAAAGAATACTTTACAAAAGTGGATTTATTTGATTTTGAAAGTTGTTTTTGGATCAACTTTTTGTCTTGCAACAATATCAATTGGTATTGATTTTTTACCAATAACTTGTAATTTATTGGTAACAACATTATATGCTGGTTCCAGACCTGCTTTTAAATTTTCAACAATATTTAATCCACTGATACCTAAAAATTGTAATAATTTTTCTAATAAACCACTTTTCAAATCAATTAAATAAGTAATTAATGGTTTTACAAAACTTGTCATTTGTAAAATTTCTCCTTCAGCATTTAATTCTAATCTTTCTTGATCTGAAACTAATTTAAAAACATCTTGTAATTCCTCATCAAATTCAAATTCAAATTCATTTTGAGCTCTTTTTCTTTTTGAACTTCCGTCATTTGGTTCAACTTCTAATAATTTTGAACCTGGAGTATCAAGATCAATATAAATTGGAGCATCAGCGAATTTACTGCTCAATTCATTAGCGTCATCTAAAACTCTGGCAAATAAATTTAAAGTTTTAATTTGAGCATAGACTTGTAATGAAAATAAAAAACTTGTGAACAAACTTGAAGACCTCATTGATAATGGTTGAACTTTGAATGTTTCATTTCAATTTTTTTATTTGCAGCCATTTCTCTTTTTATACCCATTGAAAAATCTGTTATTAGGGATCAAAACAAATGCATAATAGTGCTTAGTATCGTACATGTAAGAAAAAGTAAGGATAGAAGAGAATTACTTTGTTGCTATTATAATAATTGCCCTGAACTAAAGACATCATATCGTCCGTTGAGTAATCATCAGAACAGTATAATGTACGTTGAATTCAACGAGTCCTACAAGCTTTCCTTTAACCAAAATTGTTGGATTTTCAGCCTTCTTATAGATAAATATCACCTTTATCTAACATTTTTTTCTAAGATACTGTCTAATGCATGAAAGTCTGGAACCAGTAACTTGTTTTCAGACCATTTAAAACTTTCCATGTACATAACTATTATATGACATCACTGTTAGCTCTAATCAAACAAATTTTTCAAGATTTTGACTTCAGCAATTTTTGAATCGAATTCAAAACTTGCCTCATCATTGGACCTCCCTTAACAAAGGGATTTCATTTTGTTTCTCTCAAAATTAACTTCCATTATGTGTTGTTGTCTTAATTTGGTAGAAAAAAAATACGTGAACTAAAACAGCGCCGATAATATTTTATTGATTCAACCATAATTATTTGTTCGAATCAATTCTAACACCTAAAATATGGACGATCTAACGAAATCTGTTTGGGATGATGATTTACCGTCTAATTCAAACAAACTTGACTCAGAAAATGACAATGAATACCATTCGAATTTAGGCTCAAATACATTTAATAGTTCATTAACCCCACTAGTTAGTGAATTCAACTCATACGCAATTGATGACCCATTCGCAAACCCATTTGAAGAACCAAAACCTGATGAATATAATGATAACGACAATAACACAATTCTACGAGATAACTCAAATTTTAATGCAGAAGATGAACAAATTCATGAACTAAAAAGTGAAGAACGTAAAGAACTTAAAGATAAATTAATTTCAGATTTAACAGCTGGAGTAGAAGAAGAAGATAATATCTTAAGTCAATCAACAATAAAATCAAAATCTTCTAATTTAAAACAAACTGATGAATTATTTCATGATCAAGGATCTCCAATTAAAGTTACAACACAGGATCAAGAGTCTATTATATCACCTCAAAAATCATTAAATGTGAAGAAATTTAGAGCAGTACGACCAAGAAGATTTAATTCAAAGACTAATGTACAACATTTGAGAGAAGAAGAAAATGATAAAACAGAAGATTTATTAGGACCATTGAGTATTGTTCATAAAAAACAACCAGAAAATTCAGTAGATCTGGAAGAGAAAAATGATGATAAACCTTTTCAAAATGATAAAGAAGAGCAAGAATCAAAAACCAAAGATCCAATCAAATCAACACCAAAGAAATCAATAGACAATAATGACTTAGAAATAACGGTTGGAGATCCAATGAAAGTTGGTGATATTACTACTGCTCATGTAGTCTATACAATCAGAACTAAAAATAAAAATATGGAATCTCCACATTTCCCTAAAATTGAATCAGTTGAAGTTACTAGAAGATATAGAGATTTTAGATGGCTTTATCATCAATTACAAGCAAATCATCCAGGTAGAATCATACCACCTCCACCTTCAAAACAAAGCATATTGGGAAGATTTAGTGAGAAATTAATAGAACATAGAAAAGTTTCATTAGAAAAAATGTTAAATAATATAAATAATCGACCAGAACTATGTAATGATTCAGATTTTGTTTCATTTTTAACAAATGATAATGAAGGTGTATTTAGTGATAGCGGTTTAGAAGATTCTTCAATTCAAGAAAACCAAAGCCAAACACAAAATGTTGCATCTTCAGCTGCAAGTGTAGCATCTAGTGCTGCTCAAGCTTCAACTGGATTTATGAGCTCATTATTCTCAATCTCAAACAAATACACAGAACCTGATAAATATTTTGAGGAAAAGAAAAATTACATTGATGATTTGGAATTTAATTTAAAGCAATTTTCAAAAACTATAGAATTAATAGGTAATCAAAGACTGGATATGGTTACAATTTTGGAAGAAATGGCAACAACTATTGAACAATTATCCACTTTTGAGATTAGTAAAACCACAAGTGATCTATTAAACGCATTCGGTCAAGTTGAATTCAAAGTTAAAGATAATCTAGATAGATTAAACTTATCTGACCAACTCACTATAGGTTACACAATCGAAGAATACCTAAGAATAATCGAATCAATTAATTATATATTTCAGACAAGAATTAAAATTTATCAACTGTTATCATCAATAACAAATCAAATTGAAAAATTATCTAAAAAACAACCATTACTGTCTGAAAGATCATTTGAAATTGGGAAATTAAAAGAAAGACAAACTACATTACAAAAAGAATTTGATGATATAAGTTTTACAATTAAAATTGAATTACAAAATTTTGAATTATCAAGAATTGATGATTTTAGAAATAATGTTGAAATTTATGTTGAAAGTTCAATTGAAGCTCAAAAGGAATCTATTGAATTATATGAAACTTTTTATCAAAAACATATTGTATAGCAAAATAATAATAAATGTATGTTTTTACAATGGTAACTTGGATAAATATTGTTTTGCTGAAAGTTTCAAATATTCTTTTATAAAAGTAGTAGCTCCAGGATACAATAAATTTGATATTCGTTTTTCCCAATGACAATTCCCATTATAACTTATTGCTTCATCATTAAATCTATTACTCAACCATATTATAGATGCAGGTATACCTGAAAATGCTTCCACCATATGATTATAACTCAAATCTTCTGCAAATTCCAACTTAACACCATTTTCACACCATTGAGTTATCAATTTATGAACTTCATCAATAGGAGACATTTCATTTATTTTTGAATGGAAAATGAATATCGGAATCTCAGGCATGAATTTTCCACCTAATAAATCATTACGTTTAAAATATCGTTGCATAACTTTATCATTTATAAAATTTTTATAAATATGTTCATTAAAATTTGTACCAAAATAATGAATAGCTGCTGAAAATAAACAATAATTTTTTAAAGTTGGACCATATTTATGAATAGCATTTTTAAATTGAGGATATTCATTACTTAACCCATTTAATATATTAACAATTAATCCAGCATATGGTCCACCATCAACATTTTCAATTAAAGCAGTTATATTTGGAATTAAACCACCTAATGCAGCACCAACCAAGTTCAATTCAGGTGCATAAGTTGGTTGATAAATAGAAGCCCATGCTGATGTGAAAGCACCTCCTGAATATCCCATCATACCAAATTTTATATCTTCTTCATCAAAAAATGTCTTTGCTGCTCTCATACAATTTAATACTGCAAATGCTGTATCTTTTGCAACTGGGAAAACAGAATTTGGACCCTCTATGATATCAAAGGTTAGTATCTTTCATAATATTAGAGTTACTGAACATACCATAATCAGGTATTATAACAACCCATCCTTGAGTTAATGCCATAGAAATGAATGTCAAATCACATTGAGTTTCAAAAGTATCAAATGCTCCAGACAACAAGGCAAAAGAAGGAGAACAATCAATCATTGCTGAATTTTCAAAAGGTTGATATGATAATATTTTAGTTGTATCTGGATTATTTGCTGGTTCTAATAATGTCATAGTTATACATATTGGTTCACCATCTGAATTTTCAGATCTTACTAATATTTGCCATGATATTGCATCAATTGGTGCAAAATATGATCTAATTGGACCTGGTGGCGGTCGAATTTTTAATATTTCTCCTAATTTTGTGCTATTATAATTTTTTGGTGGTTTATAAAATTCATCTAAATGGGGTGGTATTAATGTTGTAGCTAATGTGAAAAATGAGAAAAGGTATAATGCTTGGTGCATTGGTAGGTATTGAAAACTTATATCAAAACATTTATATTATAAAATTAGCCATTCGATTTATCTCATAGTGTATCTAGTAATGCAAATTGAATAGATTTTAAAAATTTTGAAGATATATTTCAAATCTTGGATGACGAGTAGATTCAAATCTATGGTGATTTTCGTCTAATTGAGTATGGTTAGGTCCATGTTTCATCTTGATACGAATTGGTAGCTATCGCAGATCATTTATAAATTTAAATACTTTTTATGGTGAAAAAAATTTTTAGTACTTTTAAAACGCACATTAAACCGAGTAACACATCAGTTCAAGAGTAACCGTAAAGCTTACAACTACTTATATCAAGAATCAAAGAGTAAAATTTTATAGTTATTTTAATATTCCCAACTCAAAGTATTTTTCATAATAAAATGTTTCAAAGACAACGTAAAAATCAAGATCAAGTTGGTAACAATGATGAAACTGCAACCTCATCTTTTTCAAATTTAACCAACAATAATTTGAATAGCAGTCATTCTCATAATGGAAGCAGTCAGAATCACAACGGTCACTCAAATAATCATTATCATAGTAATAATGGAAATTCAAATAATCTTGTTAGGAATAATATTTCAGAAAATAAAAATGGCAAACATTATACTATGGAAGAAGTATTTCAAGTATGGTATGATAATAAAGATAAAATTTTAAATTCTGAAATTAAATCTAATGGTAATGAAAATTATAAATGGCCGAAACCTGAACCTATTTATCATTTAACTTTGCAGGAACAAAATCATAAGGATGAGGTGTCGCATATTTTCAATGCCCAAGATCTACAACAACCAACTGAGCCTGTAACTAAAAACGATTTAGGTTCAAATGGGAGTCAAGTAACAGAAGAAAAAGATGATCCTTCATCGTTGGCTGACAAACTAACAGGTTCATTTGGGAAAATAAATTTAGGATCTGGAGCGAATGAAAATTTGAATTCTTTTACAACACCATCAAATGTGAATTCAGATCTTAATAGAACTTCAAGTTTTCAAAGTAGTTTTGGAACGGCAAATTCATCGATTTCAAAAGAAGCTCAACCTACATTATCGCCTCCAGTTAACTTGATTGCGCCTGATAAACTTCAATGGCTTTATGTTGATCCTTCTGGAAATGAGCAAGGTCCATTCAATGGTGATATGATGCAAGAATGGTTTACAGGAGGGTACTTAGATTTGGAACTAAGAATTAGAAGACAAGATGAGAAAGAATTTAAAACTTTAAAAAGTTTATGTGAGGCAGTTCAAAATTATATACAACCGTTTAAGGTACCATTACCTGATTTATCTTCCCAAAAACCATTAAATGACTTTGGACTTAGTAATACAAGTACAAATCAATCATTTGGATTCGATAACGGTAATTCAATGAGATTACCATCATTGAATTTATCACTGTCAATGTTTGCAAATGAATTCGTAAACTCACCAATCAATGACGCATTTAATCCAAACTTTAATCAAACAATCAATAATTTGAACAATGGATTCCCAAATGGTTCAAATTTTGCAGGTATTGAAAATTTCAATCAACCTTCTCAATCAAGCAATGTAAACGATTCTTTTAATCAAAATTTCAATCTACCATCAATGCCAACTTTGCTTCAGCAACAAATTCAACAACAACAGAAACCATTGTTATCTAGACAAGGTAGTGGATGGGGAATTGATACTTCTTCACCCCTCAATCAACAAATGTCAGGACCAGCTTCTGCTTCTGCTTCCGGAGTTAATTCATTTATGAATAATCAACAAGTGAATCAACCTGCTCCTATTTCTCCATGGGTAAATGGGGTTATGGGACAATCCGTTTCAAGAATTAACTCACCATTTATTTCAAGCACTAACGTCAATCAATCTTTTGGAAGTAATGTTAATGTTGCTGAATCTAGACATGACTCATTGAATGACAATGATGAGGATGATCAAAGTAACGCAGTTATGAATTCTGTAGTAACTGATGTTTTACAAGATGATCTTGATAATGTGAAATCCATAACTGAGCAACAAAAATCACAACCACATAATCAATCACAACAAACACAACAAACGAAACCAAATACAACTGAATTATCAAATCAAGCTCCTCAATCTAATCTCCCACAACAAACCGAAGTGGAAGAAGAAATTACTGCACCACCAACAAGATCAGTTGATTTAAAACCTTCAAAACCTGAAGCATTAGCACCATGGGCTACAAAATCTAAACCTGAAGAAGTTAAAAAACCTAGTTTATCATTAAAAGAAATTCAAAAAAATGAAGCTGAAAAATTATCTCAACAAAAGAAAATTCAAGAAAAAATAAAATTAGAACAAACTTCTAAAGAATGGGCTGCTACTGCTGCTGCTGAAAAAGCTGCTGCTGAACAAGAAAAGAAACAAAAAGCTCAATTACCTCCAACTTGGGGAAATACTAATGAAAAATCTATTCCAGTAAAATCTTTGGCTGAAATACAAAAAGAAGAAGCTGAACTTGCTAAAGCTAAAAATGCTGCCGCTCTTGCGGCTGCTGCCTCAGCTGCTTCAAATGGTACTTCAGGTTTAGGTGGTTTAACTGGATATGGTAATAGTATATCATTTGCAAGTGCATTAGCTAATTCAGTACCAAAAGAAGAACCTACTGCTTGGACAACAGTTGCATCAAAAAAACAATCTTTACCTAAAAAACCAACAAATATATCAACTTCAAATATTCCATCAACCAAAATAACTCCACAATTATTACGTAGTGTATCTGCGTCAAAACCAACAACTGCATCAATTAATTTACAAGCTATAAGAGAAGATTTTTTAATTTGGGCAAGATCTCAAATGACTAATCTTTATCCATCAGTTTCCAAAAATGATTTATTAGAAATGTTTATTACATTACCATCAAATTCAAATGATACTCAACAATTAATATCAGAAACTATTTATTCATCTAGTGCAACTATGGATGGTAGAAGATTTGCTCAAGAATTTGTTAAAAGAAAATCAAAAGTTGATCATCAATTAGGTGGTGAAGCTGCTAAAGATTTATCTAGTTGGTCATCTGCAATCATATCAAGTGCTGATAAAGTACAAACTGTAGATGAAGATGGATGGAGTACTAGTGTTAAACAAAAGAAGAAAAACACAACCCCAGCTTCAAAAAGATAAAATTTAGGAAACAAAGTATATAGCTTAAAATTGATTATATCATTATTATTCATTATATACCTAATCTTTTCTCTATTTCATTATGCATATCCATTGAATTAAGTCCATTATTATAAAATCCATCTGGATAAACATCATTCCAATCTAAACTTGAATCTTTTCCTAATAATATATCTTTATGTAATGAATCGGACCCACCTAATAATTCAGGTTTAAAATCAGTTGCTTCAACTATTGATAATTCCATTGTTCTTTTTATTGGTTCACCTGCACCAAATAATCTTCTATATGTTTCTAATCTTGTTTCATGTTGAGTTTGATCCCAATTACTTATACGGGATTGTAATGGATGTAAATTATTTATTTTAGAAGCAATGTTTTGAGGACCTGCTTGATTATGTATAGTTTCTGAAAGTGATGGTGTATTTTTTGATGCATCATTAAAATGAGTTGATGAAACTTGTGATTCTCTTGAATCTGATGGAATAATTCTTAATGACTATCAAGATGTTAGTAATATGTTTATAATGAGTCATTTTCTCCAGTTCTAGTAGATACATACCATTGTCTAGAGTTAATTGAATGAATCTGTGAGTGTTCAAGACTTAAAAGTGGTTTTGTTCAAAGGCAAAATTATATTTGTTGTATTTTTTTTTGGTGATAAAATAATTGAATCAGATTACAAAACTCAATAATTCATCAAACGCCACTACATCAATGACTTTATAAAAACGAATATGACTCTTGTTAAGGATTACGTATTTGGATTAATAAAAGGGACATTTGAATCCAAGGGATCAATCACTCGAGGAATGTTTGTCAACTCATTCACTTAATCAAATTGACTTTTGGAAAGATCAACAAAAAAAAGACTGCTTCACTAAGTCCATATCTGGAGTACTTACTAAATTAATTTGGGCTGGCTACATAGATTTCAATACTGAACTTGAAAGTTACAATTTTATGTCTTTTCAATTGACTATCATGGTTCTCGAAGTTATATTTCCCTTCAAGATGGTAGTTCACAATCAAACCAATTAAGAACTCTCCAGATGGGCATTAAAGGTATCAGAAATAACCTGTTTAGTATTTGCAAGGACATTGACTATTGATATATGTTTTAAAGAGTAGAGAGGAGATTGAGATATATGATGTTCATAGCTAGTTCCATTGCGTTGAAAAGAAAGTGAAATGGCTTTGGGGTAGGGTTGATTTAGAAACCTGCTATATTTGATACAGCTTGTAACAAAGCATAGTCAAGTGAAGCCTTCATAATAAATCATTTATATTCTTTGTGTTCTATGATTGACAATCAATGATACAACACAAAGAATATAAAACGATTTTTTTTTAAATCTAAGTGATTGATAATATTAGATAAGTTTTGAGCCAGAGAAGAGAGTTGGTTTAAAATTTGAAAAATTTATGTCACTCTTACGGAATCACTTCATGTATACACCTACTTCGAAATTTTTCTTCAGCATATCGTACTCTATTACAAATTGCATTCTCCGATCTATTGACTCACAATTTTAACAAACAATTTTTCCAATATCATCACATCTTAACGCTTTTCTTTATCCTTAAGATTGTTTTATAGATGAACTTTAATGAAGGTCGAATTTTGGTTGCAATATAGATAGTCCAATCCATTTGATTTTGTGTTAATATCTTAGCGTCAGAAGACCAATTTTTAATTCACTTGAATAAAGTGTTCCAAAATTGATATTCATATACCATTGTATATTTGTAGCAAACTCTTTATAAATGAAAACTTATTTGATAAAGCATGTGCTTTTTAAGAGAAGAAGCTGAGTTTGTCTTCCTTTGCAAGTTTATCAAAATAGTGGCATCATGAGTTAAACAAAAGTAAAGAGACATGCGAAAAAAATTTACTTTTATTACTACTTTTCACTTGGATATAGATCTAACATCTTACAATTATACTACAAAAAACCAATATGACTAGTGTATGTTCAGCACCACAGTGTGGTAAAGAAACCGAATCAATGTTAAAATGTCCAGTTTGTCTAAAAGAAGGAATATCAAATGTTTTCTGTGATCAAAATTGTTTTAGATCAAGTTATGGAATTCATAAAGCTATTCATAAATCAGAAGATGGTGAAAATTCATATATTCCATTTCCAAATTTCGAATATAAAGGAGATTTAAGACCTCATTATCCATTATCACCAAGAAGAAGTATACCCAAACATATAAAATTACCAGATTATGCAAAAGATGGTAAACCATATAGTGAAATTAAGAATGATAGAATTGGGAAAATACCAGTATTAACTGGAAAAGAACTTACAAAAATCAGAAAATGTAGTAAAGTAGCAAGAGAAATTTTAGATATTACAGCAAGTCATATAAAACCAGGAATAACAACAGATGAAATAGATGAAATTTTACATAGAGAATGTGTTAAAAGAAATGCATACCCATCACCATTAAATTATTATAATTTCCCCAAATCATTATGTACTTCAATAAATGAAGTAATTTGTCATGGAATACCAGATAAAACAAAATTAAAAGATGGTGATATTATAAATCTAGATGTAACTATTTATTATTTAGGTTTCCATTCAGATTTAAATGAAACTTATTATGTTGGAGATAAAGCTAAAGCAGATCCAGATACAGTACGATTAGTTGAAACAACTAGAGAATGTCTTGATTTAGCTATAAAAGCATGTAAACCTGGAGTTGCTTATAGAGAATTAGGAAATATAATAGAAAAACATGCATCAGAAAATAATTGTTCAGTTGTACGTACGTATTGTGGTCATGGATGTGGAGAATTATTTCATTGTCAACCAAATATTCCTCATTATGCTAAAAATAAAGCAATTGGAATAATGAAACCTGGTCATGTATTTACAATTGAGCCTATGCTTAATTTAGGAACTTATAAAGATTGTACTTGGCCTGATAAATGGACTTCAACTACACAAGATGGTGCAAAATCAGCTCAATTTGAACAAATGTTATTAATTACTGAAGATGGTGTTGAGATATTAACTGCAAGAAATGAAAAATCACCTGGAGGTCCAGTACCTAGAATATAAAATAGTTATTAGATAGATATTTATACAATAAAAAAGTCATAGTCATTAAAGAGTTTCCTTATCACTAATCAAATTGTCTATTAATGTATTTTCAATTTTATTAATTGAACTTTGAAATACTTGTAATTTCTTTTTAAATGAATTATTACCTTTCAGATTTATTGAATTATCAAATATTCCATTATATATCGAAACCCCTGGATAATAAGTTTGTAAAGTAATATAATGTTCATATAATTTTTTCATAAAATCATAGTCAATTAATGTTTGTGTATTTTTAATCATTCCATCGGTATTTGTTGATTCGGATATGACCATTCTCATAATTTCACCTGAACAATCAAATAAACCCATTATATAGTCTGCTTTATCAATTACATCAACATAAAAATGAGGATTCGACGTATCGATTTCATCAAACTCTTCTAGATTCTCCTTGCCAATAATGATACCAGCAACGTAATCTAAAGAACCTTCTATTAAATTATCGATTAAATAAATGAAAAGTTCATATCGTAGTAATTTTCGATGATATTTATAAAACCCAAATGTGAAAAATTCTATCAATTCTTCAATTGCACCTGATATGGAACCTCTTAGACTATAATTTTCATTTTTATATATCTTATCAATTTGAATTAAATGATCTTTTATAATTTTTAAATAATCTTTAATCTCATTATATACAGCTTCTTTTTCAACATGTCTATGTAATGAAAATATACATTTTTTTGAATAACTTGTAATTTCTCTACAAGATCTTATAACTGTCTCTCTTTCATCTTGTGAAATTCTTAAACTATCTCTAGCTGGTAAGAATATATCCAATTCATGGGACATTTAAATATTTTTGAGTTCTAAATCATTCTATTAAGTTCGTGTATCAAGATATTTTTCACAAAAAAAAATATAATAGCGTGAAGATACTAAGCAGTTACATCTATTATTCAATCAATTGTCATCAATGTCATCGTCAATTCAGTTGCTTAACCCCAAAGCAGAATCATTCAGACGTGCACAAGCATTACAAGTAAATATAAGTGCAGCACAAGGACTACAAGATGTTTTATCTTCAAATTTAGGACCAAAAGGAACTTTAAAATTATTAGTTGATGGATCTGGTGGTTTAAAATTAACAAAAGATGGGAAAGTATTATTAACTGAAATGCAAATACAACATCCTACAGCAGTAATGATTGCAAGAGCTGCAACTGCTCAAGATGAAATTACTGGTGATGGTACAACAACAGTTGTTTTATTAGTTGGAGAATTATTGAAACAAGCAGAAAGATTTATTAGTGAAGGTGTACATCCTAGAGTTATTGTTGATGGATTTGAAATTGCTCGTGAAACAAGTTTAAAATTTCTTGATGAATTTAAAACTAAAATTGAAAATTTTGATCGTGAATTTTTATTACAAATTGCAAGAACTTCGCTTATTACAAAAGTTAATAATGAATTAGCTGAAATTTTAACTCCTATTGTAACTGATGCTGTATTAACTGTAAAAAGTGATGATCATCCATTAGATTTACATATGATTGAAATTATGACAATGCAACATGGAAATTCAAAAGATACAGAATTGATTAAAGGTTTAGTTTTAGATCATGGTGCAAGACATCCAGATATGCCTAAAAAGATAAAAAATGCTCATGTATTAATTTTGAATGTTTCATTAGAATATGAAAAAACAGAAGTAAATTCAGGTTTTTTTTATTCATCTGCAGAACAACGTGAAAAATTAGTTGAATCAGAACGTAAATTTGTTGATGCAAAATTAAAAAAAATAGTTGATTTAAAAAATCAAGTTTGTCCAAATAATGATTCTGGTTTTGTAATTATAAATCAAAAGGGAATAGATCCAATGTCATTAGATGTATTAGCTAAAAATGGAATATTAGCATTAAGAAGAGCAAAAAGAAGAAATATGGAAAGATTACAATTAATATGTGGAGGAGAAGCTCAAAATTCTGTAGATGATTTATCACCTGAAATTTTAGGGTTTTCAGGATTAGTTTATGAAAATAGTATTGGAGAAGATAAATTTACATATATTACAGAAAATAAAGATCCAAGATCAGCAACTATTTTGATTAAAGGATCAAATTCTCATATTTTACAACAGACTAAAGATGCTATAAGAGATGGATTAAGATCTGTTGCTAACGTGATAAAGGATAAAAGTATTATACCTGGAGCTGGTGCTTTTTGGTTAAGTTGTAATAATTATTTATTAAATGATAAATCTATTTTAAAGGGTAAAAATAAATCAGGTATAAAAGCATTTGCTGAAGCATTATTAATTATCCCCAAAACTTTATCACAAAATGCTGGATTAGATCAATTAGAAACTATTTCTAATTGTCAAGATGAAATAAATGATGGTCATATAGTAGGAATAGATTTAAAAAGTGGTGATCCATTAGATCCAACTATTGAAGGTATATGGGATTCTTATAGAGTTATAAGAAATGCTATAAGTTCAGCTACTGGTATTGCTTCTAATTTATTACTTTGTGATGAATTATTAAAAGCTGGTAGATCTTCACTAAAAGAAGGTGGTGGTGCTGGTGGACCACCTGGAGGTCCTGGTGGAGCTATGCCGCCCGGTGCTGGTGGTATGATGCCGGGAATGATGTAACTATAGGTCGAAACTAAATATTAGTAATGATGATGAAAAATTATAGACTTTTTACTCTTGTTTAAGTTGATGAGTTGTTGAACTTTCATTGTTCTTTTTTGCTTATAGACCAATTGTTTTTGAACTTAGTGGCGTAAGTACAAGTCAAGAGCCACTCGAATAGTTTCGAGTAGAAGATCATGAGAAAAGTGACCAGTGATATAGCTCATTAACTTGAACTTTCTCTTGAAAGACTCGTTAATTTGAACTTCTCTTGAAAGATTTTTGAATAAATGCAGAATGTGTAACTTATCAAGTTTAGAGAGTTAAAAATGAGCAAAATCAAGAACGAAACATCTTTGGAAAAATCCATTGTGCAGTTTGAAGAATCATTCGTTGATATGTCATTAGGTTTAATTTTGATCCTTGTTGAAGATCTAATATCAGCCGCAGAATTGTATCGCAAACAAATTTTTGTTCTTTAGGCCTAATTCTTAAATTTTAGCCATCGTAAGTAGACTTATGTACTTAGAAGAAGTAAGTATTGCTGTTAAATTTTTTTTCCTAAATTTTTTGTAAGTAAATTGAGTTAAAGTTGGTTAAATGTTTTTGCTTCGTAAAATATTAATTTATTCTGTAGAGCTGTAGAATAATTTTGTAAATTTTGCATTGGTGTAGTCAACTTAGAAGCTAGAAATCGGCTGTGCTTATTGTTGAATGTAGATCATTTGATCGTCATCATTAATACCCGTATGTCCAAAGTTTAAGACGCCCTTGTTTTTTTAAAAAAGATCCAGTAAGTTCAGAATGTTGAGATGGTTAAATTTAAGATAAGAGATACGAAAATATAATAATTCGATTATTTTCAGTAGAATTTATAAAAATATTTTAATAAGACTTACCTATCAGATACTTTCGATTAAGATCTCAGGCAACTTCACTAAAAAATTATTGGTGATTAGACTTAAAAAAGTCTACAAACCATCAAAAAAAATTTAAAATAATAATTCAGGATTGCTAATGTTTCAATCTTGAGGGGTATTTTTATTTAAAGCTGATTTGAAACATGATTAAATTGCGTCTTATTGTTTCATTTTTATTGCTTCAAATTTTCACAAATTCCATAGACTCAGTTAAAAAGGTTGGTCTCAAAACATAGAAACATTAACATCATGAAATGGAGTCACCTCAGACTAGGAAAAGACTCAAATTATTTTCAGACACCAGTTCTAGCACAAAACAGAACAAAAATTTAATTTATTTTAGTACGTGACACGTAGAATTATAAAAAATTTATATTGAAAATTTCATGAAAATCAATAAATGCATAATCATTTAGATTCGTCATCTTTTTGCAGATCCTATTCTGGTCAATCTAGTTATGGTGTTCCAACAGTAAAACTAAAAAATATGGTGCTCCTCTATTTTACTTGAATTTTTAATAGTACAAACTAAGAGTTTAAATTTTTCAATCCTATCTGAACCATTCAAGTTACCAGCTTTGAGTAGAGTAAACTAAACGACTCAAAGTTGGATGAATTAAGTTGAAACGATTGATGGAAAATATTAATGTAAACATGGATAAATATTTAAAAATATTATCCGAAATATTTAATATTTTATTGTAAATCTTTAATTAATTTTAATTAAGTTCTGAACAATAAAAACAATTACAATAAGTAGTAGAGTCTAATTAATTTATGTGATAACAAAATTTTGATGTACAAGATGTGTTAATAAATTGGTTTTTCCATACAATTCCTTGACTAAATTTGATCAAGAGGTCTTGTATTGTAAACATCCATAAGTGTTGGTCTTTTGTGATAGAAGAGAGGAGAACTATACTTTCGTCTATTCTACCTTATTTTTGATCTAATCGTTTGTTATCAAAATATTTCTCTAAATAGATGTACTCTAGTTGACATCATTATACATTATTTCCTCAAGTGAGTTTATTTTAAAAAAATGTTTTTAGGGGCAGAATAATAAAATTTCATTTTCATTAATTCAATAAAACTGCCTTATGTACGTTTATTGTTAATGGAATGAAGTCAATTTTAAAGTTTTGTATCATCTGTGTTTTAGTTAACCTCCATCATTCTAATCCATCACCTATAATGAATACTAGAACACTAATCCATGACTATCTTTGAGGTGTGCCTTAAGATATACTCATGGCTCAGAATCATTTTGAAATATTTGTCATATGCAAAAATTCCATACAAAAAGCTTATTTATAAGTTAGACAAACATGAGTTTAAAAGTATTAACCATCATCTCAAATTGCGGATAAATCTTTAAGACTAACTATAAAAGCTCACTTTGAATAATTGATAAAATCACGGGATCAGTGCTATCTGCACCCTATAGTTTTTTGACTGATTCTAAGATAAATGAGTGAAGAGTCAAACACCGTACATTCTTTACAAATGTCACTGATGTTCAGATCTTACTCAAAGTCTTAAGTGAGTGAAATAAAAATTAGCCTCATTTATAATTGATTATGATGCTAAGGCGTCTAAATTTCTTTCTTCTACAAAAGATTGAGATCGTAAATTTTTTTAATTTGAAAAATAAGTTTACAAACATGATATTAGAAATTTACATGAAGTATTGTGAGCTCTTTCAATTGAAGTTATCGATTTTGCAAAGTTCAAAGATACAAATGTTACCTTTAAAGCTTCTAAATTAGTCATTCATCTGAAGTGTTTCACGTTGAAAAATCAAATTCAAGACTAAACTAGAGCTTTGTAGTGTGATTTATAGTAGTAGTATCATCAAAATCATTTGTAGACCAAATGAGATCTGAGATTTCAAGATCTTGAGATCTCAGATCTAAACTTTTCTAGATCTGAAAAAAAATAATCGGATTTTTGTCATGACAGAACGATTTGGAATTTTAATCAAAGAGTCTTATCTCAATTCAATTCCCCAAACTACTAATGCTGTTTCGCTTGAAAATTAAGCCGTTTATTAAAGATTTAAAATTGCATAAAAGTTTGTGATAATTACGTTTTCTAATGTATAATAACTTAGTTTGCTATAAGGCGAGTATACATTTAAATTAAAACACAAAATTAACATATGCAGTACTTTGTATGAATATGAAAATGTGTAGGTTGGTAGCAAATTGTGAGAGGGTAATTAAGGGTGTTCTTTGACATATTATAACTTAGCTCATAAATCACTCGTTTATATTATTATAAATAACAAGGAGTTCACGCTATCTCAAAATGTGTTAAGCAGGATCGAAAGAGTACTGGCTACTCTTCCAATCTTTATGTGGAGTATCTTAATCAACTTAAAATTTTAGTTTTTAGTAAAATTATTAATAAAAAATTTTAATCCATTATACGTCTTTCTTAGTTTCTATTAATTGATTAACCAAAGGTTCATAATCATCTTTTTTTTAGTTTATGTAGAGTTCACTGTATTTATTCATACTTAATTTAGTTATTTATTATGTATTATTTGTTAAATATTGAAAAATGATTGCCCCTAAAAAAAAAAAAAAAAATTATAGTCAAAACAAATCTTCAACAATTTAAATATTTATATTTATGTTTTGATGTTGATTTTATATAAAATATATATAATTTATCTCTTCTCTTTCAACATTTCTTTGAATAACCAACTTTCATTATTTAAATTTTGTTTGGTTGTTTAAAATCATAACTACTTATTAGTCAAAATTTAGTCAAAAAGATAGAATCAACGATTCATAAATAAAAGGATCGAAGAATTTAGAATTAGACTTTTTATATACAATCAATCAAATCTTTCTTCTGTTTTACAACCATCAACAGAAAGTTTACCTAACTAATCATATTCACTGGCATCATATAAATATAATTGATCCACATTCATTCATTTTTCATAAGATTAGAAACAAAGTTTAATTTTATATTACATCAAACGGCATTATATACCGAGACTTATAAAACACTTAAATATTGAAACATCAATTATAGTTCATATTCAATAGTTGTCCTACTCCTCAAGAATTCCGTTCAACTCATTAAAATCACCATTTACACATTTACACATTCACGTAATCAAGAACTTTAAACTTTTTATAAAAATTGAAACTTAAAACTTTAATCATAATTTTCAAATTTTCAAATAATAACATCAATATCCTGAATTAAAAAAAAAATTTCTTAAATATTAGTTTTTGGGGTTATTTGAATTTACACATTTTTTTGGGGGAATTCATAGTTAACATTAAGTTTCAAAATAAACAAGCATATTCAAAATATTTCAGTCATTGTCGGTATTGAAAACAAAGCATACTCATACAAGCATAGAAGTACTTTAATAGAAGAAAGAAAACGCGTCTTTTGATCATATAAATTACAAGTATACCTGTTTTTTGCAAAATCTTCAATTTAAAGTAAAAGGAGGGTTAGTCATTAGTTTACAAATCTAAAGTACTGATACTCAAAGTTTATCTACAATCAATCAACTTCAGTCAACAACGAAGTAGTAACAACCTTTTTCATTTAAGGAAGAAAAGAAAGGATCAAAATCCCTATCATACATTTGGAAAGAGATCATCACATTAATAAATTGACTTTCTTTTCATCAGATTACTTTAGTACAACCCCATTTTCTTATTTTTTAATCATTTTCCTTCAGATACAGTTTGGAATAGATTTAGATTTAAAGATTTCTTAATTAAAGTATTGGAAGACTACCAGTTGTAATTCACACATTTTTTTAATCATTTTTGCATTAAGTATAATTAGGGAATAGTACATTAGATTATCTTAGGTAAGATTGTGTCAGATTCAATTGAAGTTGATATCATCATAAGTAATAATTTGTTATAAGAAATTTACATCATTTAGCTTCAGATTTGTCAAACAACATTTGTTATAATTTTTTAAATCAAAAGAAACAATTTGCAATTTAAACAAAATTATTAAATTAATCATTTAAAAACTATATTTAACAAGTTTCTACCCCCCATACATACAAAGAATATCATATTTTTTCAGTTTTACAAGAAAAGAGAGCTTTTTTATCCTGATTACACACATCAACCTACGTTTCTAAGTTTAAAGATATATAACCGATACATTAAACTTTTAAAGATAGATAGAATCAAGGATCATAAAAATATAGTTCATTATTTACTTCATATTCAATAATCATTTTTAAAGTTTCAGAATATAACTGATTAGAGGTTTTTGTTACTATATATTTGAAAAATCCTGGAGATCTTGGTACAATTTTTTAATCAAAACAATTACACATTTTTTATAAAACAATTTTAAAGAGTGCACATTTTCATAATATCTATTCAGGTGCACAATAATTTTTTTTTTAATTTAAACTCCTCAAGATTACCTAATTTGATTTATTTTTGAAATATGAATTCATTATCAAATAATGGGGATAATAATAATACTAATTCCTCAAATAAATCACAACAAGGAACACCACAACAATTGAATTCATCAACTCAAGGTTCATATGCATCAATAATAAAAGCAGAAGGAAGTTATACTACTTATTCCAATCCAAATAGTGCTAATAATGGTAACACTTCTCAAAGAAATACTTATGTGCCGAGTTCAGGACAAGATCCTAAAGATAATCAACAACAACAGCATCAACAACAACAATCTTCATCACTATATAATCAATACCAACCACAGCCGTTAAATTATCTTGGGCAAGAGGTATATAATCCAAATTCGACTCATCAACAAACTCAACCACAAGGAGATTATGCACATTTACAAAATCAACAATACACTTTGCAACAACAACAAAGACCTAATCAACTACTATCTCAACATCCAGGTGCTATTCCAAATCCTAATCAACAATATCCTGCTCCTGATTTAAATTATCAAAATCATAATGATCAACAACATCCTCAACAATGGGATGGATATCAACAACCACAACCACCACAACAACCTCAACAACAATCACCACAACCAGTAGATGAAAAACCAAAAAGACAAGGTAGAAAACCTGGAAGAAAACCACGTGCATCAAAGAAGAATAATCAAGATACAATTAATAACTCATCAACAGATTATCAAAATCAACCAAATTCTGCATCAAGTATTCCAAGATCAATTAATACTCAACAAAACCAACCGCCACAACAATTGCCACCTCATTTACAACATCAACAACAACAACATTTACAACATTTACCACCACATCAACAACAAGCTCATTTACAACAATTACCACCACATTTACAACAACATCCTCAACATCAACAACAAACTCCTTTACCACCACATCAACAACAACAACAACCTCATCAAATCCCTCAAAATCAAGATTTTCATGATCCATCGTTAACAACCCCAACAAACAAATTAATAACAAAAAGATCAAGAATGGGATGTTTAACATGTAGACAAAGGAAAAAAAGATGTTGTGAAACAAAACCAAAATGTACAGAATGTTCAAGATTAAAATTAAATTGTATTTGGCCAAAACCTGGTACTGAGCATAAAAATAAACCAAAAGATCAAAAAGATGATGAAAATACTATTGATCATGAAATTTATGGTAGAATTAAAGTATTGAGGGGTATAGTTGAATATAGATCTTAATAATTGAAAAGTATTGTAATAAGTGGTGTTCAAACGAATTTTTTTATGTATAAAATATTATTATTATTTTTATTTCATTGTGTATCTATTTATTTCCCGATTATTAGTTTTATTTTGTCATTAAACTTATGTACTATTATATAGATGTGATCATTAGTTGTTTAATGTATATTTATAATTCATAATGATCATTTTGTAGATATTCTACAAACCTTTGTAATTAGATACTACAATTTTCAGTTTTCTGGTAGTCCATAATACCGCCTAACTTTAAGGGGTTAATTTGTTTTAAGTGTAATATTCAAATATAACTACTCAGCAGGTCCAAATGCAGTACAAGATTGGCAGATAGATTCTATGGGCTTGATAAACCTTTAATCTTAGAGTGCTAATGATAAAGGTTATAGTATTAACACCTCTAAAAGCGTGAAAAGCAATTTTTGGACAACTGGTAAGACAATGAATCAAAAGTAGAAGTAAAAACCTGAAATCAAATCAAACTTGTCTTCAGTCATCATTCACAAATGTGAAAAATCTAACTATTCTGTAAATCGGACTGAACATTTTCACTGATATTAACGTGATAAGTGTTTCAAGTTGTATTTATTACCCCCTAATCTACCCTAATTAGAAATCTGAAAATAAGTCAAATAAATTTTGACAACCAAACGAGAGTTGACGACAATAAAAATCTCAACAATAAATTCAATACGTGTAAGCAAGAACTCATTTAAATCAAACCAACCATAGAATCCCACACTACATCAATATAAACAAATCACTTACAAATTATGTCGTTGGAAGCCTACAGTCTAAGAGATAAACAAATTTCTCAATTAGAGAGAATGCTACATTTAAATAAAGATGGTTCACCAGATTTAACATTAGCTTCAAAATCAGAAGAAATTATATGGAAAGTTTTAATACTAGATGAGAAATCAAGACAAGTCCTTTCATCAGTATTAAGAGTCAATGATTTATTAAGATGTGGAATAACTGTTCATTCATTAATTAATTCAAAAAGATCAAATTTACCTGATGCACCAGCAATATATTTTATTGAACCAACTATACAAAATATAAATATTATAATACAAGATATTGAAAATGATAAATATGAATTTTATTATATAAATTTTACATCAAATATATCAAGAGATTTGTTAGAAGAATTTGCTAAAAAAATTGCTTTACTGGGTAAAACAAATAGAATAAAACAAGTATGGGATCAATATCTTGATTTTATAGTTACTGAACCAAATTTATTTTCATTAAATATGAATGAAATTTTTACAGTTTTTAATACTTCTACAACTCAAGAAGATACAATACATCAATTAGTTGGTAAAATAGCAGATGGTTTATTATCTTTAATTATAACGTTAAATGTTATACCTATAATACGAGCTCAACAACATGGACCAGCTGAATATGTTGCTCAAGAATTAGATTTAAAATTAAGAGAATATATTACTAATTCTAAACTGTTGGGACAATTGGATTCATCTTCAAATATATCATTACAAAGACCAGTATTGATACTATTAGATAGGAATTTTGATTTAGGATCAATGTTTGCTCATTCTTGGATATATCAATGTATGGTAAGTGATGTTTTTCAATTAAAAAGAAATACTATAAAATTAATTAAACCAGGTAAAGATGAAAATTCACCCTCCGTAACAAAAAATTATGATATTGATCCTCGTGATTTTTTTTGGAATAAATATTCACAATTACCATTTCCTGATGTTGTTGAAAATGCAGATGTTGAATTAAATTCATATAAACAAGATGCAAAAGAAATAACAAATAAAACTGGAATTAGTTCATTAGATGATATTGACCCCAATGCTAATGCAACTGCAAATATTCAACAAGCAGTTGAAAAATTACCTGAATTAACTCAAAGAAAAACTACATTAGATATGCATATGGATATATTATCAAGTTTAATTAATGAATTACAAGCTAAAAATTTAGATACATTTTTTGAAATTGAACAGAATTCAAATGATCCAAAATCACTTAAAGAATTTCAAAATGTAATTGATGATACATCAAAAATTGATAATTCATTAGATAAATTAAGAACCTTTATAATATTAATTTTAGTAAATGATTTAAGTAATGATTATGTTAAGAATTTAAAATCACAATTAATTTTAAAATATCCAGATTTAAATATATCAGCATTAGAATATATTTTAAAATTTAAAGAAAATTCAAAATTATCAAATTTATCTAATTTAGGTAATGATAATGATAACAATCATTTAAATTCAAATCATAATCAACAACAAGCATCTGCTTTATTAAGTGGATTATCATCAAAATTATATGGATTAACAGAAGGTAAAATTTCAGAAGGTTTGAGTTCAATTGCATCAAAAATAAAAAATTTTATACCTGCTAAAAAATTATTACCAATAACAAATATTGTAGAATCAATAATGGATCCAACTAATTCTTCAAATCAATCATCAATACAATTAACTGATGATTATTTATATTTTGATCCAAAATCAAGAGGTGGTGGTCATTCAAAACCTCCAAAAAGACAAAGTTATTCAAATTCAATTGTTTTTGTTGTGGGTGGTGGGAATTATTTAGAATATCAAAATTTACAAGAATGGAGTAATAATTATAATTTTAATAATCATGGTAATGATTTAAATAAAACTAATGATGGATCTGGTAAAAATGTAATATATGGATCTACTAATATTTTATCACCATTAGAATTTTTAAAAGAGTGTGAAAATTTAAATAACTAATTAAAAGGAGCTTAATGTTTAATTAATAGTACATTTTATATACATTTAAAGAAATGATTTAGTTTCATTTAAAACTTTTGTAGATCTAGTTGAATCCAAGAATAATAATTCACATTCTTCAATATCTTGTAAGTTTATTTCTGATCTACCTGAAGTTGAAGCTAATATTCCAGCAGGAGTTAATAATTGTAATGAATATCTTAAACTTGTATTATAACCATGTTCAGCTAATTTATTTAATGCATCAGCAGATAAATTTAAATTTTCTAAATTAGCTCTTTTTTCAATTATAATTTTTATTTCATCTTTATTATATGGTAATGTTCTTATAATTAATAATCTATCAATTAAATCTGGTGGACAACCATGAGGTGCTTTTGTTGATAAATCATCTGATCCCTTTATTGTAGTTAAACCTCTATTTGAAGCTAATATAACTATTGGAGCTATAGAACTTTCTAAAGCTTTATTTAAATAAGTAAAAATTTCTAAATCTAACATATTAACTTCATCAATAAATAATACACCAGGAATTAATTCTGCAATACCTTGATCAATATATTTTGAAACTATCTTGTTGACTTCTGTTCTTAATTTATCTGTAATTTCAGTTTTTTTAGGTTTTAATAATTGTCCCATCATACTTAAAACATCTTGACCACCTTGAGGTCTTGAATTAGCAACATCTAAATCATGTAATGTTACATCTTGTACTATCTCTTTTTTTTTATGAACTTCACCTTTTGGTAATGGAACATATTCTTCAGCTTCTAAATCAAATTCAGTAGCATAAGCATCTGATCTACCAACTCTTTTTACAGCTCCAGTATTTGATTCAATATATATTACATCACCAATTGATACTCTTTCTTTTTGTAATGATTCATATATACTTGGATCTAATCTTAAATTTTTAGTTCCCTTTGCAGTTTTTAAACCAACTATAACATGAGATATAGTTTTACCATAACCACCTAAAGGATTTTCAGCTTCTTCTGGAGTTAATTCAATAACTTCACCTTCATAAACTTCTTTTGTTTCTTTAATTCTTAATCCAATAGCTTTTCTAAAATTTTCCATTAATGCACTTGTTTTTTTAACTTCTGCACTATATAATTCTGAACCAACAATAGGACAAAATGGAACTTTTGGACCTAATTCTTGTGATACTGCAAGAGCCAAAGCTGTTTTCCCAGTTGCTGGTGGTCCAGCAATTAATACTGCTTTTCCTGACATTTTTTTAGATTTAATTAAATCAACTATTATACCACATGCTTCTCTTGCATCTTGTTGACCTATGAATCCAGCATCAATAGGTTTGGCAATTCCATGTTCATTTAATCCTAAACCTTTTATATGAGTATGTGTTGCTGTTCTATTATCTTTATTTGTTGAGACTGAATTTGATTCATTCACTTCACTTATTTGGACCATTTTGATGATGATATTATGTGATATTTGTGCTAGAATAAACGGAGTTTTGCTGAGCAGGTAGTAAGAGCAGTTAGTGGTTTCTTATACTGACTATTGTTGTTGAATGGTGTGGTGATTTGTTAGAATGTTTAAGTTTGGTGATTAGATTTTTTTTCAGATTCAAGATGTTTTCAAAATCTACTTTTTTTCGTGATAGTCAAAGAGGAATGATGATATTGTTAACACTTCAAAGTAAAATCCACAATTTATAACGACTTATGAGTATTGCAAACAAACCTCATTCAAAAGGATCAATTGCATTCATACAATACATTACTGAATCGGCTGATCAACCAGTCGTGAGACTATTATTGTAAAGAAATTTACTACGAAGCTTGAGTTTGGTATTGTGAATTAAAAATTAAACAGAGGTGCGTAGTGGACGTGTTCATTCATTGTTGATTGGCAAATCCTCATTAAAGAAGTTGTGAAGACATAGGAGCAATAACCAAAGCTATTTTTTTCCACCTTAGTGCTATTAACACCGTATATGTAGTTCATTATTACTACATAAACAGATCAATTAATAAGTAGAAAGGTTTATTCATGATAGGAATGTGATACGGCTAATCATTGGTTGGTGTTATATCAGATTGTTTTGAAATAAGTCAAGATCATTTATGAAGACAATCAGTAAAACCCATACTACTATATATTAGTAATCCGACGTGAGTTGTTGAATTTCTAACAGTCTATAAATATGTCTCCGTGTTAATTTCAATCACATTAACATCAACCAGTCAGAGGCAACATTAGACTGTTAGTGATTCAACAACTAACGTGGGATTACTAATATATATATAGTTGAATGTTGTAAGAACCATTCATAAATGACCTAATCAATTTACATTATATTGATAACACTAACTGAGCATCCAATACCACTTTGAAATAAAACGTAACGTGATGTTTTGAATAAAAATCTAAAGAGTAAATACATAAGGATAAGATAGATATCTTGAATTTGAAACTTAAAAAATTATCATTGATTTCTGACATAGTCATTTCCATCGATGTAAGTCATAATCTCAGTCCACAAATGCCATCAGTAATGTATTAGTCAAAACAGCAGTAGAATTAGTAGAATTAAACCCTACAACAAATTCACAATCCAAACAAATGTATGCTATTTTATATATTAAAAAAAAAAAAATTGATCTATAGAAATGTGTTTTATTCATATTTATTTTATGAAAAGTAATAATATATTTAAACTAAGAACTGAAACCTCATTGAATCATCATCATCATCTTTTACTCTATTATCCAATTTATTAAAAAATGAAGTTTAAATTAAAAAACTTCACCTTGATCAAACATAGCATCAGCAACTTTAATAAATCCTGCAATATTTGCACCTTTTAATAAAGAAGGTAAAATTTCTTCACCTTTTTCAGTTGAATATTTCTTTGCGGTATCATAACAATTTTCAAAACAAGTAACCATAATATCTTTTAATTTTGCATCAACTTCTTCTGCTGTCCAATTAACTCTTTGAGAATTTTGAGCCATTTCTAATCCTGAAACAGCTACACCACCACAATTTGCTGCTTTACCTGGTGCATACCAAACTCCATTATTTCTATTTGATTCAAATACTTCAATTGCTTCTTTTGTTGAACCCATATTTGAACCCTCAGCAATAAATTTACATCCAGAATCAACTAAATGTTTAGCTTCTTCTCCACTAACTTCATTTTGAGTAGCTGAAGGTAAAGCAACATCAACTTGTCCAACTTTTGTCCATGGTCTAACACCAGCAATATATTCAACTTCATTATCACCACTAAAAATTTTAACTTCATCTTTTATAATTTGTTCCAAAGATTTAAAAACTAATTTTGCTTCAGCAATTGCATGAATTTGTTCATCAGTTATACCATTTTTTGAAATTATACTTCCCTTTGAATCAGATAATGATACAACAATACCACCTAATTCATTAACTTTTAAAGCAGCATATTGAGCAACATTTCCAGAACCAGATATGGCAACTCTTTTACCTTTAAAACTTTCTTTACCTTGACTTGCTTTTTCAATCATTTTTTCAGTATAATAAACACAACCATAACCAGTTGCTTCTGGTCTAATTAAAGATCCACCCCAACTTAAACCTTTACCAGTTAAAACACCAGCCCAATTATTTTGCATTTGTTTATAAGCACCAAATAAATAACCAACTTCTCTACCACCAACACCAATATCTCCTGCTGGAACATCAGTATCAGGACCAATATATCTTGCTAATTGTCTCATGAAACTAACACAAAATCTTCTAATTTCAGAATCAGTTTTATCTTTTGGATTAAAATCAGCACCACCTTTACCACCACCCATTGATAAACCAGTCAAAGCATTTTTAAAAATTTGTTCAAAACCTAAAAATTTTAATATTGATAAATTAACAGTTGGATGAAATCTTAAACCTCCCTTGAATGGACCTAAAGCAGAATTAAATTGAACTCTATAACCATTATTAACTTGAATTTCTCCTTTATCATTCTCCCATGTTACTCTAAATTGAATAATTCTTTCAGGTACTGATACAACTGGTATAACTTTTTTATATTTTGGTTGTTCTGTAAATAATGTTGAATCTTGTACAGCTGAAACTAATTCATCATAAGCTTGTTGAAATTCTGGTTCATGAGGTAATACCATTGTGAATAATTTGTATATGTATAGATTTGTATATGTGTATAAAAATGTATTAAATGTATATAATCAACAATTGAATTGTATGAATATATATATATATGAATTTGTAATTACTTAAATCTAAAGAAAATAAGTAAGAGATGAATGATATAAATTTCTGATGATATATTTATCTATTTATAATAATTCTTTCAATTGATAAAATAAATAATAATCATCTTAAATTAATTAAATAATTATGATTCAATCTCCAAGCTACAAAATAAAATTTCTATTGTTCTATTAACATAACGAACTATAAGTTACTTTTTTTTATCAATCTTTGACCAATCATATTCTTTATTGATTAAGTATGATTTCTTATTCTATTTACTTAATTATAAAATCTAAAATTTAAATTTCTATTTTTTCAAAATTTTTCATTCTTTATAATTTTGCCCCTAAACCGGCCCATCACTTCTATTTGTGTATAACGTCCGACTTGTATTGTTTGTGTTCAATATTATGAATTTTATTGGACCTCACTCTACTATTATCAACAATAAACCGTTTGTTTTACTCTAAGGCAGTCAAGGCTGTTTGTGGAGGTGAAACTCTTCTGTTTCAAAGTAAATCTTTACATGATTCATTTTAAAATATTCAATGATCGGTTTATTCAAAATTTTGCATAATTTTACATATTTCCGTTACACTAAATTAAATCGAACACCTTTACTTTAGATTTTACAATGATGTGAGTAGATCATTAGTGAGCTCGATCTAATCTATGTCAAATAAGAGTAGAACTTGAACAAATTCACTCTATATTTTCTTGACTTTTTGGTCAAAATAGGGCAAACAGAGGTCGAACTGAAGTCAAAAGAAAATACAAAGCTAAGCAATATGAATGACTCCAATAGAATAAATTTCAAACGGAATATTCCGTATAAGAAATTTAGTGTTAAGCATATTATAATTAAGCGAAAATTATATAACATTTCATCAATCAAATTAAGGAGAACGGACCCGATTTAAAAATTTGTATGAAATGGAAGACTAAGTTGAGAAACGCAAGGCAATTACTTGAATATTTTTTGAAATTCTCAAAACAATAAGATGATTTACTCAAACCTAAACAATATAATTTGATTATGATCCCTGAAACTGAAATATCTCTGTTAGCTTTAACACTTTAATAAGACGGAATTTGTACTTAAAAATTGAAATTAAACTTTTTTAAAATTTGTTTTAAATATTATTCTTAAAGAAGAGATCAACTTAAGTAATTGGATAAAGATAAAAGATGAAACAAACAAAAGATGGACAAGAATTTCTTATGACGTAGATTCTTCTCTCATGTAAAAGTAAATTCAAAGTGGTTATATTCATTTTGTATTTGTTTCGGATTAAAGATCTTTATTTAGGAAATGTTTCAGAGTCAAATTAAAAATATTATAATTTATATATAAAGCCGATATCGAATTTATAAAAAAAATTGGTCAAATTCAAATATTATGTAATATTCACAACAAAACAAGTAAGTCTTCAACACTTCTTTGATCTTATCACTCAGAAACGAAATTAATCTACTTGAACAAGCCAATTAAGGTTACAAATTCCAAGACTCTTTCTATTGCTTGAGACGACCCTTGTCCATATCAAATGTTTGTTTTGTGTTTCTCTTTACCTTAGTTTCATATTCTTTTAACACGAAGTTGGTTTCACAATTTACTAAGTCAATAAAAATCTAAACAATTTACTAAGTCAGTAAAAATCTATAATTACAATTTCAAGCTTAATCTTACTCTAAAAAAATCCATTCCTTCACAACAAATTCAGAACTTATGCAAAATTATGGCAATTGAACAATTTCTTGAGTATTTATACCTAATTCATTTGATTAAAATATTCTATATTAATAATGTTCTGTATAAATTAATTAAGTTTCTGGTGACAACTCTAAATAAATCCAAAAAATTACTTTTCTAAAAAATCGAAATAATGCTTTCAGGTACCTGCTAATTTTCTCATATTTCAAATATTCTGTCGAAGATTTCTATAGTAATTGCTTGATTCAAGAAGTGAGATATTTCAATCAAAACTCATCAAATGAAACAAAGTCTTGCATCAACAGGTACCTAAAAGCACTGTTTCAAAATTTTATTAAAGTGATTTATATATCAAGTGTTGTTGCTGTTGGAAATCAATACATAATAAGATTGCAGGATCCTTATACTTTTAAAATTTGCATCTAACATTTTGAACATCAAAATCCTACTATCCAATTTTGCTTTCTTGTTTTTCATCCTTTTGTATTATATCCTGTTACTTTCATATGAGATGACCTTAGCATTTTTAGTTTATTTAATTAAATTTCATAATGGTGTAGTAATTCTTTGTTCAAATCAGGCAATAGGTTAAAACAGTGCTACTTATAGTATAACTGACTAGTAACCTCCATCGGAGTTCTGTTTTGGTTAAATGACCCTTAAATAACCAATAAAATCGAATATCCACTTAAGATTTTTCTATACTTATTTGGTTTTTCAATTTCCTATACTCGTATATGGTTTTGATCAAATGAAAAAAAGCAAGAATCATAGTAATAAAATAAATTTTAAACATTAATGGATCTTTTCTTAATGTTGTTGAAATAATTTCCAATATTCCAAATATAATAACTTGAAACATTCTATAAATTGATTTTTTACTTTTGGAATTTTCTGAATCATCTTTAATTTTGTATATAATGTATTGAAGTATAAAAAGTGATGGTAAACCTATGATAAACATTATTAACATGGTTATTGTTTCTTGAGTCTTGGTTGGATGAATCTTATTCAAGAATAAATCCAATTTATCCAAATAAAATAATTGATAAAAATAACCTAGCTCTGGTGAGTTTAGTAGTTGAATGAAATCATTTTTTAGTGAATTCATGATGACTTTCATATAGAAATTTAATTGATCCAACTGGCCAACCTCATTTTATAGTTTTCATTTCTCAAATTCTTCAATGGTTTGTATAATTTTGTATAGACTAGTGATCGTTACGTCATAAATTATTGAGTTAGGGCTAATGTCTTAAACAAAATGTCAGAGTTTATTTGTTTCAGACAATAAAATTTATTGGATGAAATTATAAATAAAAGTGAAATTCTTACCTAATGATTTTTGATTCATAGAGTTTTATAAGAATAAGGATGTTCTAGAATACTATCATACCAAATGACGACTATTTTATCGCAAGTTAATGAACGCTTTGATTTACTCACTCGCTAGTATGTACAACTCGAATTTTTCATCAAATTGCAAGTTCACTCGAAAGATAGATATCGGAGTTTCTGGATGTGTTAGTGAAAACACTTCATGTGGATAGGGCACATTTTTAAATAAGCATTGTATTACGGTGGTATAAATTACTTTGCAGTCCTGCACATCAAAGAAAGTGACTTACCTGAAATACAAAATGAGAACCTGAAGTTCAATGGGATTAATGATACTGTTGTACATTAATCTTATTTTTCTTTGGTCTTTGTTACTGAATCCCTTGAGGTTTTTAAAATTCCAGACCAATGGTCGAATTTTGAATTAAATTCGACCATTGGTCTGGAATTTGCTCCATGTTCATTTTGAATTGCTAAAACTTTGATGTTATGATACCAGAAAATTTAAAATTCACAGGTTATTAAAAGAGCATTTGGATTAGCTCCAGATTTTTCCAAGCTTTTACATGAAAAGAGAAGTGGTGATTTGGAACCAAGAATTATGATTATTACACTATCAGAGTCTGACAAAGTTATTATTAAAGATGATCCATTTCACTCTGTTATATCAAATGGGGCCAATGTTATCAACGGTGAAGATCCAAAAGTTGTTGATCCATGAATAATGCTTGCTTCTAAAATACAAGATTGGTCAAACTATAATGATCTCGCATTCAAGATTGGAAGCATACTTTGAAGCATGATACAACTTTTCAAGTCATTTAAAAATTTCCCAAAGAGTTCGATATTGAAAAGTTGAAATTGGATCATACATTAACTATAATTAGGAGGGAATAATGATAAGTCAAAGCTAAACCAAGGTGTTTGTATTAATTCTCTAGTCAACTGTATTCCAAATTAAGGTAAAATCATTATTACATGAACATATCCCAAAGGATCAAATATTACTTGATTTAGCTTTTCAAAATGAACATAAATTCAGTAGATGTTGGTCTCAACAATAGAATTAATCAGTTTTTATAAATTCCCATTAGACACAAAAAAAACCATTTCAATGTTGGAGTAAGTATATCCAGTGAAATGTCAATAAAATTGGTGTAATTGACATACAGGAATTGCTTGATGGCTGCTTTTAGGGTTTGGTGTTACTGCAGAATAAATGACAGCAGTTTATTGAACAATTGTGTCATCATCTGAATTAGATTATTAGTAGCAGAGAAAATTGTTGATTTAACCTTATATCGTCAATTAAAAGTTTTAAGCCAGCTACTTATGTGTAATAACCTTGGTCTTATGTTTTCACCGTTTTACAATATGCTCCACCTTAATCAATATTTTGTTTGCGTACAGCGATTTTACAAAAAAATGACGACATTATATGATCAGGGTCATGTTTTCACTATCAAGAGTTGGCGTCAAACTTTTAGTTGACGGTATGAGGTCAAATCAAATAAACTAACATAACATATAATGTTGAGGTTTTTCTTTTCTTTACATTTAAAAAAATTAAAAGCTTCCTCAACCTAGGTAAACATAAGCGTTTATTTTGTAGGTTTATAATTTTGGAATATTTAACTAACTTAAAAAATTGCTTCAAGGGAAGCAAAAAAAATTTTTATTAATAGCTTAGAATTAAGAGAAAGGTTTTTACTAATGCAAGAGAATATTGAAAAATAAGAACTACATATTGGTATAAATAGTTTCTAATTTAATGTTCAATTTTAAATTGTCATTATGCTACGTAATTTCAATTGAGTTATGTTTTAAGTTACTAATCGTCGAGAAACGGAATCATCATTCAAACACCTTATTATAGTTCTTCTTCTTTAATTGTTCAGTTCTAATGATTACTTATATTTGCTTTTTTCTACACCAACAATCATCATAATCATTTTCAATTTGAATTAGAATATCATCATCAAAACAATCTTCTAATTTAAAAATTTTTTCAATTTGTTTTTTTAAATAAGAAGAATTTTCACCTCTATAAATTTGTACATGTAAATAACCACATAATTTTTGAGATTCATTCCCGTTTTTAGGCCAAAATCTTGGTGTAGTTATTGATTTTATACCTTTTATACTTGAAATTTCATTTAATTTTAATCTTATTTTTGATTCTTGGGTGTGAGATAAATTTAATAATAATGTTGATGATGTTGATTTCATTAATGGAATTGAGGATAAAAAAATTAATATTGCTATAATTAATGATGCTATTGGATCAAATCCTTGCCAATTAAAAATTTTTGTTAATAATGTTGATATTACTACACCTACTGAACCTAATGCATCAGCTAATATATGTAAAAAGATTCCTCTCATATTATCATTTATTTTTTGTTTGTCGTCTTCATTCGGTTCATTCAATTCGGCTTGATGTGATGAATGAGTATGATTATGTGAATGATCATGACTATGTGAGTGTGTATCTAAAGTATGTGAATGACTATGATTATGACTATGTCCATGTCCATGTCCATGAGAATGTCCATGATTAAAAGCAAATACACCAACAAGATTAACTAATAATCCTAATATAGAAACAACCATTAATTCATTAGTCTTTTGTAAATGTATAGGATTAAATAATCTACCAATAGCTTCAAATAATATTGAACCACTTATACCCATTAATAAAGTTGCATTAGTAAAACCAGCTAAATTTTCTAAATTTGACCAACCAAATGGATATTTTCCATTCTTGTTGACTTTCATTTTGGATAATACTCCAGCTATTAAACCTAATGCTAATGATATACAATCTAATAACATATGTAATGAATCTGATAATAAACCTAATGATTTTGATCTAAATGAATAAAGAAATTGAATTATCATAAAACTTGCATTAAGTAATAAGAAATTAAAAATTGCTTTTGTATCTTGATGTTTTAGTACTTCCCCTAATATTGTAGAAGTATTTGAAGTCGTTGTTGTTGTAGTTGATGTTGTGTTTGTTGTTGATGTGGTATATTTTTGATTTAATTGATAAAAATTATAACTTGAACCCGGAATTATTAATATAGATAATACAATGTTTAGAATTGTATAAAAATCTAATTTTTGTAGAACAACGTAGCGTAGTATGGAATTAATGACTGATAAAAATATAAAATGTATCTTGTTACTATGATTTGAAAATTCTTGAAATGTAATTATACTGATAATGAATGTAATTAAGTGAACTCCAATCATACTGAAGTTGAAAATCTGGTAAAAAAATAAAATCAAAATTAAGGACGACATTGTTAGAACTGATATGATTATTTTATCCAATTTTAATTTGAAGTTGACCCTAGTTAATGTATAAAATCCAGAAAATAATAAAACATATCCAACCAATTTTATGATTGACAATGATTTTATTAAATCTGAAATAATGATGACAGGAGTATAATAATTTCTATAATTAATAAATAATCCAAAAAGTAATGAATTAACTTTATCAAATTCAATAAAAGTTATAGGTAGATATATTAAAAAAGTTGCAATTAATAATTTTATAGTGTGTTTTCTTGATTCTGAAATGTCAATTTCAGTATTTGTAGATTGAGACGGTATTAATTTAATGAATTGTGCAATGTATATGCATAGTACGGTGAATGAACTTAGTATGAATGCAACTAATGAATTTATAAATAATTGGTATGTAAGGGTATAGTAATTTTCATTGTTAATGTTTGATTGATGATCAGACGAATTTGTTTGTAACGCTGAATTATTTATTATAAGTTCATATGATAAAAATACAATTGGATAAGCTATTAATAAAGGTAATGTTGTAATTAAAATTGTAAATTGATTTGATAAATTTTGACCATTTTTAATTGATGAAAAAGTATTTGAAATTTTTTCAAATTTGTTGTTAGTATTCAACTGATACGGTATATCATTATTTTCCATATTACATTAAACTGGCTGTATAGGAATCCTGCTCTTATAGTGAATTGTATAATTCTCTATGTTGTTATAACTACTACTGTTCAATAAGATATTGGTTATTTAGTTTTGACGTAAAATAATAAAATGAAACAATCAATCACAATACGGGTTTTGTGTAATATTGATTGCAGTTTTGTCGTGTCATGAATCTACAAGGACTGACAACATTTTACATGTCATGAAACTGAAAGTAGCGACAAACTCAAGCTAGTAAATCAATCTTATTAAGCAGATCATCTAAGTGAATTATCATATACCAATTTTATAGAACTTAATAGAATTATAATACCAATAACTCATCAAACTCAAAATGTCACGAACAGGCGTATTAGTAATGGGTCCAGCAGGAGCTGGAAAATCTACTTTTTGTAATTCAATAATATCACATATGCAATCAATTGGAAGAAGAGCTCATATAATAAATCTTGATCCAGCAGCAGAACCAACAGAATTTGAATTTACAATAGATATAAGAGATTTAATATCATTACAAGATGTAATGGAAGAAATGGATTTTGGTCCCAATGGAGGATTAATATATTGTTTTGAATATTTATTACAAAATTTAGATTGGTTAGATGAAGAAATTGGAGATTATAATGATGAATATTTAATATTTGATATGCCTGGACAAATTGAATTATATACTCATATCCCCATTATGCCAATAATAATAAATCATTTAAAACAAGCATTAAATTTTAATTTATGTGCTTGTTATTTATTAGAAAGTTCATTTATAATAGATCCATCAAAATTTTTTAGTGGTACATTATCAGCAATGAGTTCAATGATTTTATTGGAATTACCTCATATAAATATATTATCCAAGATAGATCTTGTTAAAAATGAAACAAGTGTTAAAAAATTAAAACAATTTTTAAATCCTGATCCTTATTTATTAGCAAAAGAAGAAGATGAAATAAATCCAAAATTTAAAAAATTAACAAATTCTATAGCAAATTTAATTGATGATTTTGGTATGGTTCAATATTTACCATTAGATTGTTCTTCAAAAAATGAAAATAATAAAAGTATTGAAAATATTTTAAGTTATATTGATGATGTTACTCAATGGAGTGAAGCTCAAGAACCAAAAGAACCAAATGATCAATTAGAAATACCTGATGAAGCTTTTTAGATGAAGCAGTTTCAATATAAAAATTAGTTATAATTCTTGAATGAAAGCGAAGATACCATAACCGCTTAATAGAGCGTGAAAGACAATTGGGAACTATCGCATTGCAAAAGGCATGAAATTTTTTGAATAAATTTTCAAAATTGTTTATTTTAAACATGCTAAGGAGCTACAGTAATGTTTCAGGACGATAATAAAGCGATGTTTAGTCTATTAATTTTTCGTTCAATTCAAATTCATGGAGCGTAACATTTAGAAGCTTAATATAAATACAATTAATGAATAATGACAATAAATACAATGAGTAAATTTAAAAATTAACTATAGAAATTTCAATCAATTTCTATTTAATCTATAACTCTATTTTATTTCAATATATATATTCATTAACTTAAGAACATTCTATTGAACTACAAATTCTTCAACATCAAATTTTTTTGGAGAAATACCCATATTACCAATAAATTTTTTTGCATCTTTTCTCATTTTTTCAGTTGTTTCAGAATCCCAATTTAATTCTTTGGACATAATTTCAACAACTCCATCAACAGCACTTAAAGCTTCTCTTGCATTTAAAAATGCTAATCTTGTTCTTCTTGCTAAGAAATCTATTGGAGTTCTTGGATATTCATATTTTAAAGAATATAATAATTCTGCTATAGTAAATGGTTCATCAAATGATTGATAACTTAAATTATTTTCTGGACTTACTTCAATATGATTTGGTTTAAATTCTTGTGATGATGCTAATGTTATTGGTAATTTATTAAAATCATTTGCACTGTATAAATCTAAAATCATTGCTGATCTTGAACCATAATTATGAGATAAATGTTTTGCTAATTTTAATGGAATTTTATATTCATGAATTAATCTTGCTGAATAATTTTTTGAATAATCTTCTCCTCCAATTAATATTAAATCATTTGTTTGACATGGTTTTAAGGTTTTACCAGGAAATTTAAAATGTTTTACAACATAATCAATTGTTTCTTGTGCCATTTCTCTATATGTTGTCCATTTACCTCCTGATATAGTAACTAAACCCGAGGGGGATTCAACTAATAAATGTGATCTAACTAATCCTTCAGTTGATCCATTTGATTCTTGACCTTTTGGAACAGTTGAAGGATCTCTAACTAATGGTCTAATACCAGACCAAGCAGATAATACATCAGCTCTATCAATTGGAAAAACTAAATATTTTTGCATTTCTTTAATAATATCTTGAATTTCATCTTCTGTTGGTATTGGATTTATTGGAACTTCTTTTAAAGGAGTATCAGTTGTACCAGCTAAAACTTTTCCTTGCCATGGTAAAAAAAACATAACTCTACCATCTGATGTAGAAGGATCTAATAATCCCATATTTTGAGGACAATAATATTCAGGTAAAACAATATGAACACCACTTGATGGTACAACCATTCTTGGTTTTTGAACTTCTTTTGGTGGTAAACCTTGAGGATCTTCATCCATTTCTAAAATTTTATCAGCAAATGGACCAGTAGCATTTATTATAGTTGTTGCTTTAATTTCATATTGTTCATTAGTTTCTAAATCTGTTGCTTTTACTCCATATAATTTTCCATCTTTATTTTTTAATAATTGATCAACATTAAAATAATTTAATACTGTTGCACCATTTTCAATAGCTGTAATAGCTAAAGTAGCATTCATTCTTGTATCATTAAATGAACCATCATGATAAACACATGCTGCTTTAACATTAGCAGTATCCATCATTGGAGCAATAACACCAGCTTGTTCTTTACTCAATAAAAATGAATTTCTTAAATTTTGTTTACCAGCAAACCAATCATACATTTTACAACCTGCAAAAAAATAAGGAACTTGCCAATAATTATAAACAGGTATCATTATTGGTAAAACAGTACATAAATGAGGAGCAGTTCTTAACATATTACCTCTTTCATTTAATGCTTCAATAACTAAATCTAATTGAGCTTTTGATAATTGGAAAATTGCTTTTTCTAAATATCTAACACCACCATGAGCCATTTTTGTTGATTTTGATGATGTTCCAGAACCAAAATCAACTTTTTCTAATAATACAGTATTTAAACCTCTTGTTGTTGCATCTACTGCACAACCAGTACCAACTGCTCCACCACCAATAATTAAAACATCAAATTCTTTGTTCTTTGTTGGTGATAAATTTTCAATTAATTCTTTTCTTGTTGGAGGTTTTGGATAATCTTTTCTTAAAGGTTTATAACTTGATATAATTTCAGGTTTATGTTTTGGTTTTATAAAATCTAAATATATTATTGTTGAACCAACTATTGCTGTTGATGCTAATACTGATTTAGCAAATGTTGTTTTTAAATATTTTGACATAATTGTGTTTTCTATGGTATATATATATCTATGAATATGTCCAATTTAATGGTGATAAGAAAGTGAAAAAAAAAAAAAAATTGGTACGTTGATTAATTATTGATACAATTTATGATGATATAATACAGATGGTAAGTAGGTTATTAAGTTGGATGTTGTCTTGTATAAACTTCAATAAAAAAGGAACTAATTTATGAAAGATTTTAGAATGTGACAATTTATAAATATTTTATATGAAGTTTGAAAATTATTTTTTTTTTTTCACAGACGTTACTTATTATTATTATTCCGAAAGAACAAATATTATTGCAATATTAGTACAAGAAATTCCGAAATATTAGTTGGATACCTTTTGATCACTTTTGAGTTGATTAGGTTGTAAATTATCTTGGTTATATCGTCTAAAGAAGAAGAAGAAGTAAGTAGGAAAAATAGAAAGAATTCAAGTATTATTTGAATTTTTATTCGTTGAACTGCCTAGCCTAGAGAAAAAGAAAAAGGTTTATTATTATGGAGAAACACTACACAAAGATATATACTTAGACTTAGCCTAATACTAAATTAAAGTAATATGGAGATCTAGTTTTGACTGAACTCATACCATGATTATATCCATGTTATACCTACGTTTCTGACTCATTGGCCGCACACGCAAGGAATAGTTTTAAATAGAACAATTCTCAAACTTATTTCTCATACTAAACGTATTCAATGATTCAGTCAATCCATACGTCTCGTACTAATTCTAAGTCATATAAATTTATTATTGCTATAAATCTTTAATTTTAATTTGACAAAAAAAAAAAAAATTCTGAAACAAAATCACGTTTTTAATTTTTATATTTAATTTTTAACTACCAAATACTATTTCAAACGGAGTTCAGATATAAATGATGTAAGAATATATAGTTCAGTCATAGTATATGTCTCAGATACTGTTTAGGAACATCTATTGCCTCACTATTCGGTTGTCACTGTTTGCCATTAAGATTATGAAAAGAAATTAAAATTGAAAAAATAAACTTATGATGATAAAACCGTTTTAAATAATTTTGTTAATAGAAAAAGAAAAACTTAATTTTGTTTCTAAAGTAGAACCGTTTCATGAATAGATAAGGTGTTACAAATCTAAATTACATATCTTGAAATCTCCGTTTCTCCAGATTTCAAAAAGTTATCATATGGTTTATGATATTTATGTAGTATCTCGTGTTAATGGAAGTATTAGTCAAGTAAGTACATGATGCAAAAATCTCCGGTTCTATCAGATAATTTATGATTCTATGCATAAACATTTAACATTTAGAGAAAAACCGTTCAGGGACTAAACTTAAAATTAAATTCGATTGACTCGTGTTAAAAATTCTTACATAGCACATGATTTTTGTACCTAATTTAATACTTAATTCGAAGATTTTAGTTCTAACCGTCTGTTTTTTTGGTTCTAAAAAAAGATCTACGTGAAGCCTGCACACGTTTGAAACAATTTTCGGTAAGATTTGTGGAGTAACTATCTGTTTTCGATCTTTGTGAGTAAAAGAATTTGAATTAAAAAAAACATTTTGCAGCCTAATTTTTATTCAATAGTGTTTGTATCAATCGGGAATTGTTTCATATAACCTATATAGCACACGTCCAATCTTCATTGATGGATCATTCAAAGTAAAGACTACAAATACTGTAATAGATTTTTAAATATAAGCTATACAAAATTTATTCAAAAAATAATATGTCAAAATAAGAATATTTTTGAACAAATTTTTTCGGTTAATATTATAATTTTTATTTTTATTGGTTTTCTAACCGAGGTTTTTTTATTTATTCTATTTTTTAACACTTCAAATTCCTTACTCTGAATTATTCCTCAATCATATCTCTTCACCAAGGACTCTCAAGCCAACAGTTTTACTCTAACTCAGTTTTAATTGAATAAGATATTGTTTCTTCATCCTACTATGTGGAAATGCGAAGTAACAGTGGTCTCAATCTTCTTAAAAATGGAGTTGAAATATGTTTTTCAAGGTAAGCAAAGCTCGATTCGAACTAACGATTAAAAAATTAAGTGGGTTTAGATCTCGATTTGACGACTATGCCACGAAATTCTGCAATTTTTGGTGGCCTAGTGGTTACTTAAGTGAAAAATTTGTCTTTGGTTCGAGTCGTTAGCCTTGCTTTAACAGTAAAATTTTACTCGTTCAACGATTTGAACTTAAGATTAATTCTTTTTGCAAGATCGGATCTCAAAATTACCACTACGCCACGTCAGAAACCAAATCTGGCGTGGTGTACTTGTTTTTGATTGGTAGCGGGGGCCAAAACTTTCTAATTGATCTTTTGTTCGAATCTTAGCATATGGAGGCTCCATCTCTCAATTTGACACTCCCTGGAAGGATTAGAATCAAATAAACTTGAGTGGTATAAAATTTGAGGTAAAATAAATTATTCGCTTGCCAATTCTGGTCAATTACCTACTGCTCTATGCAGTTATACAATTTTTGATTTTCTAACCCTACGCGGATTCCAATTTGTATTTGAATTGACACACTGTAGTGAAAAAAACCTTTGGACTTGCTTGTTGAGCAATGTGAGCAATGTGAGCAATTGAAACTCGAAATTGTTTGACCTTATCGGATAGGCTATTGACAATTCTAACCTCATTTTCTCTTTGTCAACTATGCAAATCTGAATTTGAAGAATGGCATCTACGGAAAAAAGGCCTGAATAATTTGTGTTCTTCAAAAAGATCTTAGTCTGTTATGATAATCGAAACAAATCTACCTCTCTTAAATTGAGTCTTTCGCAGACATGGATATTAGTGGGTTAAATGAATTTTTAAAGGTTGCAAAATTATATCATAAAATTTGGTAGCACCAAAATATATTTTAGTTTTGTGGTGCTCATAGCCAAACCGAGTTGATTCACTAATGAATTCATCAATAATACTCAATTAAGCTAAATCAAGATAATGGCAGAACAAACAAATCAAGAACTAATAGAACAATTCAAACTAATTATAGGATTTGAAGCTAACGACGATTCTGGTGAAAATGACATAGATTCCAAAATTACTCGACTATTAACAATTCATGATTATAATTTAAATAATTCAATATCAACATATTTTGATTCTCAATTTGAAACAATTGAAAGTATAAATTCAATTAATAATGAATCAGAAACAGGTATAAGTACATCTATAGAAGCAAGAGAAATTGAAGAGCTAATAGGTAGTGATGATCAAGAAAATGGAGGAGAAATTGGAGAATTAATACATAGATCAACAAGTTCAAATACAAGAGGTGAATTCGTAAATTTACAAAGTCAAATGTTTATGAATTCTATGATGCCTAGATTACCTAAAGCTCCTACGATTCCAATGCGATGGCAATTAGATGTTGGACTTTATAGTTCTATATTACATGATAAAGAACAAAAGGAAAAAGAAAAAGAACAAGAACGATCCGAAATATCCTCAATAGCAGATAGTGAAAAATCAAATGAAACATATGAATATAAAGATAAGACAATAAGATCAAAATGCAAAAACTCAAGTAATGGTTCAATTCTAAATACATTATGGTTCATCCTTTTAATTATTCCCAAAAATTTTCTACTGATTATTTTAACGTCAATTAAATATTTATTTGGAGTTGGAAGTTGGGGAGATAATATTAATGGAAATAATTTCTCATTAAATAAACTGTTTAATTTTGATGAAAATTTTAATCCAAATTATTCATGCATAAAAGCATTGAGTGAAGAAACTGATAACCAGAATATTAAAAAATTCAATAACTTGAAAGATTCTGATTTTAATGAAATTCATCAACATTGTCAAAAGGAATATGATTGGTTATTAGTAATTCTAACTAATGATTCCCAAGAAAATCAAAATTTTATACAAGGTTTATTTAATAATAAAAATTTTCAAAAAAATTTTAATACTGAAAATGGAATTTATAATAATTTAAAAATATATTTAGGAAATATAGATAATCAACCAGAATCATTTGAAATTGCCAAAACTTATAAAATTAAAAAATTACCTTACGTGATGTTAATTGCAAATGTATCATCATCACCAGATATAATGGCATCAATGTCAATAGTTTATAAATCAAATATTTCATCAAATTTTATAGAATCAGAAAAGGAAATAAAAACAACTATTTCAAAAATCATCAAAAATTTAATTAAAAATATTGAAAAATTTAATCCTCAATTAATTTCTGCAAAATATGATAAACAAGAAATGGAATTTAGTAGATTAATAAGACAACAACAAGATGATGCATATACTGAATCATTAGTTAGAGATCAAATTAAAAAACAAGAAAAGCAAGATAAAATATTAAAAGAATCTAAGATAAGAAATTTAAAAAATTTAAAAATTTGGTATATTAATAAGTTATTAAATGATAATTTTATTGAATCAATTACTGGGAAAGAAGATTCTACTGAAACATCACCATCAACATCTTCTTCTTCTTCAGCATCATTATCAACATCAACGACAGCATCACCAACAAAATTAAGAGTATCAATAAAATTACCAAATGGTAAAAGAATAATAGAAAATTTAAATTCCAAAATAACAATACTTGAATTTTATATATTTATAGAATTAAAAATTTATTTAACTAATGAAACAAAATTGGAAGAAGAGGACCTCAAAAGTTTAGAAATTGAAGAAGAATATAAAACAAGATATAAAAATCATTTAGAATTTTTTAAAGAATTGGGTTTTAAATTTAATATTATTCAACCTTATCCTAAAAAAATTATCCAATGTAACAGTTCAAATTTTATTGGTGATTTACCTGAATTTAAAGGAGCTAATTTTTTAATTGAATTTAATGATGAAAATGAAGATGAAAGTGAAATTGAAGAAGAGAATGAGGAATTGGTTTCATAGGACTGATTTTTTTAGTATTATTGAAGACAAATAATTTATAGGGCATAGTAATGAAATAAATAATCAATTTTTGTTTCAATTATTATGATTTCAAAATTAGTTGAAGCAATTAATTCATATATCTTGTAAATTCAACTTTATCTATACCAAGCTCTTTCTAAAATAATCATATTCAAGTTAGTAATCAAATAACATCAGTGCTTTTTTGAATATACATACTAATAATTCTTTTTCATCAATAAACTCAGTAAGATTATTATAAAAATTTTTAAACTAAAAGATAATGAGTTAGTTTTAATCCTTCAGGGTTTATGAATATATGAAAATTACATACAATTCTTTGTTGTTTTTCTTTTAATGTAATTAAATTAGTAACATAGTCGATAGAATTATTATTTTCATTCGTTTGAGTTTTGTTATTCAATTCTATTTGTTTTAATCTTTCATCAAGTTCATTCAATTTAAGTTTTGATTCATTTAATTTTTGAATTAATTGTTCATTTGTATATGTTGATTCTAAATTTTGAATTTCTAAAATCTTTGTTAGTGTATTTGGTGTTTTAATTGAGAATGAGTGAATAGAGACGTACCTTGATTAATTTTATTAATTTCATTTTTTAAATTTGAAAGTTTATTAGTTAATTCAACAATGTCATTTGACAATTGATCATTATTATTACCTTTATCATCGCCATCATTAGTTGATAATTGTATTTCTTTATAACAATAATAATTAGTTTTACCAATAGTTTTTAAAATTAATTGTTTTGAATCAACTAAATTACCTAAAATCTGAGTTAATTTTGATTTTTTAAATTTTCCATGTAAATTTAACATAATATCATTTAATGAATATGGTCTATATTGAGATTTCATATAATTCATAATATATTCATTTATATTTGATTCTGTTTCTGGTTCTGTTTCTGTTGTAATTTCTGATTTAGTTGGATTATTTTGTTGAGGATTAAACTTTTGCTTCTTAGGTGGCATATTTTTTTATTATACTTGAACTGGTGGCTGTTTACCTCACTTTTTGATAGTTTGTCAATGAATAGTTGGTTTTAAAGTTGGTTGTAAAAAAGATATTTGTATTGTTGAACCAATTACTTTTTTTTTGCAACCAAAACAAACTCAACATAAAACTTAGGACAATATCAACACAATTAAAGCAAGTTTGTATGGAATAAACACAGCTTTTTATGATAGGTTGATACATAAATGTGCTTGACTGCTCAAGGAATCATAGAATTCATTCCTTTGATAACATGGATCCTTGGTTGTTCTTATTTCCATTATCTACTGTGGTATGGTTTTAGTCAATGACTTTTTTTGAAATTTTGTGACACTAAAAAGAGACATTGAAACTTATCGATAAGAAACAAATCATTAGATTCATTTTTTACAACCAAATAACAAACTGACTACATTATCAACAAGTTACAAATCACACACCACCACAAACAATGAAACATTTATTTGATGAATCTATATCGAAACAAAAGATAGATAAATTAGTATTAGAATACTTTATACATGAAGGTTATAAAAATGCAGCAATTGAATTAACTAAAGAATTAAATATAAAAATTCATGGTATAAATGAACCAATATATAAAGATGAATCATTTAAAATTTTAGGTAAACGAAAGAAGATTCAAAAAAATGCATTACAGAATTCAAGTTATACAGCAAAATATACAGATGATCAATTGATTGGTGATCTAATGTTTCAAAATTATTATACTTCTCCTAATGATATTCATAAATATAATACGAGACAAATATCTGGTTTTTCAACTTTAAATCAACGTCAAGAAATTAAATCATTAATATTAAAGGGGGAAATAAGTGAAGCAATTACGAAAATTGGAACTTATTTCCCAATAATATTAGATTCAAATAATTTATTACATTTTAAATTATTAAGATTAAGTCTTATTGAAATGATTAGAAATCATAAATTTTCAAACTCAATGGAACAAGATGAAAGAAAATTTTTAAATGATATATTAAAATTTGTTAGAAATAATATGATAAATAAAATTTCCAAACTGTATAAATTATTAAAAGAATTAGAATTTACAATGAGTTTATTATGTTTTAGATTTGATCCAACTATTAAAAATTTAAATGAGCAAAAAGAATTACCTCAAGAATTGAAAAATATTTTCAATTTAAATTTAAGACATCAAGTTTTTAGATTAATTAATAAAGAAATTATAAAAATTTATGATGATGATGATATTAATGATAATGATGAAAATGAAAATAATGAATGTAATGGATTTCCTAATTCAAATAATGATAATGGATTAATTAAAGATGTAATCAGAGAGATACGAAATAAAGATGGTAATATTGAAGATATTGAAGATACAAGCATAAAACGAAATAAATTAAATAATTATGAAGGAATAAATTATCATGAATTTGATTTTCAAAAATTAAATGAAGAAGAATCATATGATAAATTTATACATGATAATATAGATGAAGAAGAAGAAGAAGAAGAGAATAAAAATGAATATAAGTATGAAATTGATCTGGAACTGATAAAAACAAAAGAACAAAATTTAATGGATGAAAATTTAATAAAAAGTGATATAATTATTAAAAATGAAGAAGAAATTGAATCATTAATTAAACTTTCTTTAGAAAGTAAAATTGAAAGAATTTTAGAACTATTTATATTAACAGAAGATAAATTATCAAATGGTAATATACTGAATCAATTATTAAAAGATATGCTTAGGGAAAATAGGCTCTGAATTAACTATGCATTATTGGATTAAAATATAACTTTTTGAATACAATGGAAGATATCAAATTATTATAATAACATCTATTATATTCCCAGTTTCAATATTACATTTACTTAAATAATTTCCATTTTCTTCAATTGGAACCTCATGATTTAAATTATTATAAATTTTAACATCATTAACATTAATTTGGTTAGTGTTATAATCATTATAAATTTCAGATTCATTAAATAATTTTAAAATTTTTTTACGTAAATGTAAAATAGTTGAACCAAATTCTGGTTCTTTATTCATTTCAAAATCATCAGGACTAAATTCAAAATAATATTTTATAAATTTTGAAAATTCAAATAAATCTTGAAACTTAGTTTTGTTGCTATTTTGTTTTAATAAATTTAAAAAATTGATTTGATTTTGTTTTTCAAAATAATATTCATTTAATTGATCAATTTTATCACCCTTAACTAAATTTAAATTTATATTTATATGAGCACAATGTATAGGAATTTCAGTAAATATATCTTTTGCATGATATTCCCAAATTTTTAAATATATTCCACTCCAATATATAATTTCATAACTTATTAAACTTAAAAATATAATAATTAAAATTTCTGTTATAAATTTTGATGTTGGTGTTATTAAAAGATTTGATGTAAATGAATTTTTTTGTAATTTATTTGTTAAATATTTGTCAAATTTATATAATAATTCAATAATTGTTGTCATTTGTTGATTATTTTGTCTTGTATATGTTTGTTTTATAAACTTCGATTAATCACGTTCGAACTAAACAAGTTGAACCGATATTTATTGATGGTGATTGGTAGATTGTAGATTAAGGTTTGATTAGCTGTATAGTCCCCTAGCTAGATCTCAAATGCAAATCGACACTAGTCGTCTTAAGATTTGTCTATTCAATTGCTTCAATTCCTAGATTATGTATCGTTTTGTGAAGTTTAAACTCTTGAACTTAATCGAAAGATCCTTCAGATATCCGAAATTGTTTTATTTAATCTTGAAAATATCAAGTGCTACCAAATACATTTCATATTTTTTTCATCTTTTCGTAAAATGTCTAAAATTCATCTTTTAGAAATGTTTCGTCTAACTGACATCTATCATCAATACTTCTTACCAACATCACACAATCAAAAACTAATCACTGCAAGGTTTAATTAAACTCAACATAGCTTTACATGGCTATTGCACTAATTAGAAAAAATGGATAATAGAAAAATCTATAAAACATATAGAGATAATTTAAAATCAAATACAATTGAAAATAGCAAACCATATTCATTAACTTCGAAATTAAAAAATATATTAAAAAGACCATGGAATTCTTCAAATTCAGATAGTCAAAGTATTAATAATCAAAATTTATCTACTGAGAACAAATCTTTTAAATTTCCAGAACCAAAAATAATATCAAATCCAAACTCCACGAAATATTCGGATTTAAAAGATTATAAGATTCCAGGATCATTTTCAGGGAATTTACCAACATCATCATCATTGACTATAACCAAAGACATAGAAACTCCGAATACTACAATTAAAGAAATCACACATAGACCTTTGGAATCAAAAATTGAGGAGGAGGAAATAGAAGAAATTGAAAACCCAAATGATATACTATCTGATTTTTTCAAAAAAAAGGGAAATAATAAATTATCAGATGTTGAATATGAAGGAGTAATGTCATTAATTTCAAAATCTAAATCTGGAACACCATATAAAAGAAAATTTTTTGAATTAGATCAAGAATCAATAGATAATGATAGAAAAAAAAGACAAATTAATAATAACTTATCTCTACTTAATGGAAATAATACATCAATTATAGAATCAACTCCAAATAAACAAAAAATTTTAAAACAAAATGGAAATATTACAATAAGTTATCCAGATAATAAATTTAATTATTCAACAGTTAATAGTACATTTGATAAATCTTATCAAAATATAAATAATACAACTTTTGGTAGTAGAAATTTATCATCAACTGGTAGAAGTTTATATTTATCAAGGCGACCTGCTCCATATAAAAGTAGATTAAGAGGTCCAATTTATACTAAAAAATCAAATACAATTAAATCTGATGATTACAAAAATTTAAATAATTCAATTCTTTCAACACAATCGATATTAAAATCCAATGTAAATGATGATTCAAAAATCATAAATGAAAAATCAAAACCCAATAGTAAAACAGCTCAAATATTACTTGATATATTAGATGGAAACAAGAATCAAAAAGATCAAGATGATAATGAAAAAGTAAATAAAGATTCAAATAATAACAAAATCAATTTATTTACAAATCCTTATGAATCATCACGTTCCAAAAAGAAATCTAAATCTATACCTATTACTCAAATTGGCATAGAAAAATCATCAAATACTAAAGTGAATGGAAATGAAATAAATTCAAATCTGAAATTTTCTTTCAATAGACTAAAATCGAAAGAAGAAGAAGAATCAAAAGAGGAGGAAAAATCAAAAGAAGAAAAATCAAAAGAAGAAAAATCAAAAGAAGGAGTGAAATCAAAAGAAGAGGCAAAATCAATAGAACAAAAAGAACATAATAATGGATCATCTGAAACAAAAACTACTAAATCATCGAAAACTTCATTATTTGGTAATTCTCATCTGCTATTAGGTCAAACTTTTCAAACTGTAGGACTTAATGGTAATTCATCAGTTACTTCAAACAATAAACCAACTAAACCTTCAAATTTTGATCTCATGAAATATAGTAAAGAAAATACTCAACCTAAATTTTCATTTAATCCAAATTCAAATCCAAATTCAAATTCAAATTTAAATCCAAATTCAATATCAAATTCATCACCTGCATCAAAACAAACACCAACTCAAAAACAATCTGAAAATGGAGAGAAAACAACTAATGGAAAAGCCGATTTAAATACTGTAAAACAAACATCTGAATCACATCAAACATCTGAATTTGAATTTCCTGATACTGATGTTGTTCATGTTGAATTAGATAATACAGAAGTTAATAAATATAAATCTTTATATAGCTTTTAATTTACATTTTTAACTACACTTGAAACATGCCATCTCATCAAAAGGCTTTGGCTTTGGTCTTTCATTCATTTTCATAGATCTTATCTCTATAATGCTACTAGACTATAGCTGTTTCATCTTGAATACCTCGTAGCAATATGAAGTCTTATAATATTAAGATAATACGACATTGAATATTTCAAACTGGACTTTTTTTTCTTGGTTTGACTTATAATAAAAAGTCGTACTCTTATCATTTTTTGATTATTAGTCCCCATAATTTTTTAATCAAAATGATTAAGTTATCATCAATCACAACATTGTATTAACAAAACAAAAACCATTCAATTGAATACAAATATAAAAACAACGGTCACTAGTATTATATATTCAAAGATAATTCAAATAGCTCATCTAACATAAAGTTTATTTTTCAATCTTTGTTCAATAATCTTCATTTTAAGCCACCCCCTCAATAAATAATAAAGTAATTGCTAAGATAGATTAAAAAAAAATTTAACATGGCTAGTCGTCAATCTAGATTAGAAGCAGAAAAACTTGCAATAATTCAAAAATCAATGTCAAGAGGGAGATCATTATCACCTGGAGCTGCAGCAAAAGGAAACTTTTATAATAGTCGATCACCTTCAATATCTAATGAAGAATATAATAAAAATCTTAAATGGTCAATAGTAAATCATGATCCACTGGAAAGATTACTTAAAGATGGAGAAAAACCAAATGATAATGTATGGGAGAATGAAGTTAGTGAAGAAGAACATATAAGTGATGATGATCCAAATGAAAAATTTCAATATGATGATACTGGTAATATATTACCAAATTATGCTTGTCAAGATGAAAAAATAAATGAAATAAGTTCAATATTAGAAAATTCAAATTTAAATGATAGATCAACTGTTAAAAAATTAGAAGAATTAACTGCAAATGAAAGAGCTTTAGCTGCTGCAAGAAATGCAGGAAATAAAATTGATCCTGATATATTAAATAAATTAGCAAGTGATAAACATAAATTAACTGGACTGGAAGCTTTAAATTTAAGAATGTCTGATCAAGATGCTTATACAAGAAGACAAAAATTAGAAAATTATCAAGCATATAGACAAAAAATTATAGATCATGAAAATGGTAGAGATGGTCGAAATAATAATAATCAATCATCTAATAATATACAAACACAAAATCCTACTGAAGGGAAAGAAAAAGAAGGACCTGAAGATGAAGATTTTATGGTTCCTTATACTTCTGCTGTAGAAGATAAACTTGATAGTGAGTTTGCTTCTCAATTAAATGAAACTATAAAAGAAGGGAAAATTGATTCAAATAAAGCACATTCAAGAGTTATACAAACAATTACTAGAGGGAATTTTTTTCAATTAGTTAATCCAAATGTAAAACCAAAAATGTTTTTAGTTTGTATGGATTTTTCACCAGAATCTATATTTGCATTAGAATGGTCATTAGGTACAGTATTAGTTGATGGCTCAATATTATTTGTTATATGTGTAATTGAAGATAATGATACAAATCATCATTTAAAAGGAAATACTCAAAATGAAGGAATAAGAGAACAACAAAGATTAAATATGTTAAATAGAGCAAAACAACAAGTATTAAATTTATTAAAATTAACAAAATTACAAATTCATATAGTTATTGAAATTGTACATCATCCAATACCAAGACATTTAATATTAGAATTTATAGATAATTTAAAACCAACTTTAGTTGTAGTTGGTTCAAAAGGTCAAAGTGCTATAAAAGGTGTTTTATTAGGATCATTATCAAATTATCTTGTTACAAAATCAACAGTACCTGTTATGGTTGTTCGTGAAAAATTGAAAAAAATTAATAGATTTAAATCAGGTTCTTCTGTATTTTCAAATAATATAAAACCATTGACATTATCAGAAGCAAGAATTGATTAGTTGATATTAGAATAATTTTATATAAATTTTTAGTGTTTTTAATTTTTTTTGTTTTATTAAAAATTTCCTAATATACATATAATCCCATTAAAATGTCAAAGAATGATAAAGCTTTACTTAATTTATTTCTTTATTCCACTTCTCATATAACGACCTACAACAACACAATGATCTCTCTCATAAGGTTCTAAAGTTAATTGTTCTAAAGGTTTTATTCTTTCTTCTCTTAATTTTTGAACTTCTCTTGCAAAAACAGTTTCAGCATCAACTGTTGAATCAATACAATTAGCCTTTATTGAAATAACAACTATACCACCATCTTTTAAAAATAAATGTGAATTTAATGCAATAATACGAGCTTGATCTGGTTGTGCAACATCAGCAAATACACAATCAACCATACCTACTAACATTCTATATTTTTGTGGATGTCTTGCATCATCAATAATTGGTATAACATTTGGTCTTTTTTTAGCCATTCCAATTAATTCTCTACCTGGTCTATGTGAAAATTCAACTGCATATACTAAACCTTCTGGTCCAACAACATCTGCAACATGAGAAACTGAAGTACCTGAAGCAGCACCTAAATATAAAACTTTTGAACCTGGTGCAACTCCTAATTCATCTATACCTCCCATAATACCTGCTGCTAATTTTGATCTAAATGGATTCCATACACGATATTCAATTTTAGTTGGTGGTACACCTTCTTCTTTACTTGGTTCTTCAACACTTATTCTTTTTTCTCCATATACTGATTCACCTGGTGCTATATTTTTTGTAACTAATAAATCTTCTTTACCTCTTGCTATAAAAACTCCTGGATGTCTATGAGGTTCAATAACAACTTTTGCTCCTCCTTTTGCACCACCTCTAGCTCCACCTCTGGCACCACCTCTTCCACCTCTAGATCCACCTCTAGCTCCTCCTCTTGAACCACCTCTAGAACCACCTCTACCTCCACGACCACCTGCTGAACTTCCACCACGGCCACCACCTCTTCCACCGGAAAATCCACCTCTTCCGCCACCACGACTTCCACCTCTACCTCTTGGAGCTCCAAATGCCATTATTTATATATTGATTTATGTGAGTTATATATGATAAAGTTGGTTGTTTATCAACTTATTGTATAATTTATTTGATGTTTGTAAAATGATAAAAAATTTTCCTTGATTTTTTCAAGTGATTAATTAATTTTGGATGAGATGAAATTTAAGTATTGTTGTACGGAGTTTTTCAACTTTTTAAATTGCCATTTTCATCAAAATTATATGAACTTCAATCTACTAAAAACACATCATATCTAGACTATCTGTGAATATTGAGGTGTTTCAAGGTACCTTTAGATCAATAGTCGATGATATTGATCTTTAACGAGAAGTTTAAGCTTCATTGAATCCTAATATTTCACATTTTATACAATTTAAAAAGATATTTTTATCGATTTTAATTATAACTTAATACTGAGGCAAGCAGTCAACAAGATTTTGGTGTCAATTTAAAGCAAAGATTTCAAACTATATTATCTAAGCTCATGATTGAAACTTTGATATACAATTTGATGATTAATATATAGATTTAATGAATATTGAAGATGCTCATCGTGCGGCTTATTTTCAAGTTAATTACCAGATCTGGGGTTCGATTTTGTACAAAATCGAAAATTTCATGAGAATGAATTGCATAATATTCCTAAATATTTTCAATGATGAATTTTCAGGAATGACAAGGCAACAATGTATGATAAACTTACTATTCATAAAACTACACAGAAAAGTACCAATTTCAATCAGACTTTTTTGGAACAATAAGTAATACTTGGAACATTTGGAGTTTAATTATCCCACTTGTAAGAACAACCAATGGTTTTTGAATCAATTGTATTCATAATAGGAGATATCAAAAGAATCCAGTGATTTATTTTTCATGTTCTGGACTGCCTGATCCAATCATTCTTAATTATTAGTTATATCTTTGAAAGACTCAAGATGTTAGGATTATGTTATTATAGAAGATCAGGTTCATTTAACAAAGATAGTTTTGAAAAATTATTGGGGTTAATCGATTCAAGCAAAAGACTTTAGTTTATTGTTGGTACCACGTCTGATGTACCCTACATTCGCAATATTACATCAAGAATTATTTTGTTTTCAAGAATCAAGACTATATTTCCTGATACGTCAAAATGATTATTTATCAATTAATTCATTCTAGATTTGTTAGTATAAAACAACTTTATAAGAATTAAATTAAGATTCACCGTGAAGTATTGCTGACAGAAATGAAATTAGCATGTTTTAGAAATTTACATGACCAACATAGTGCAACCTTGACTTTAATCGCATACAAAAAGACTTCAGCTCTGTTCTCATTAGATCATGAGATCACAGCTTTGAACTACTGCTGGTTTTTATTTTCAATTGTTGTATTCACAATACGATAAGAAGTTGAATTGAAACAAAAGGCGATATCAAATTAGGATATAAATTTCATGCATTCATTAGTCGTCAATCATTAGCCTATATAGAAGCTATAAATAGTGATAGGTGGGAAGTAAAAGCTTTCGACAAAGTCCCAATTGGGTATTGTTGTTATTGTTGTTGTTGTTGTTATTGTTGTTGTTGTTTTCGTTGTTGTTGTTGTTGTTGTTGTTGTTGTTGTAATTGTAATGGAAGCACTTTTATCTGTTGTTGTTATTATTCTCTTTGTAATAGCTATGGTTGTAGTTGTAGTTGGTGTTGTTGTTGTTGATGCTCTTTTTATGACCTTTTAGTAGATATATTGAAGGGTTATTATCATTTCGCATAAAAGATCCTACTCGAGTTTTATCAGTGATTGATTGACCTGAATCGAGACTTGCTCATCTCTTGTGTTACCTTCTATGGTGAGCGTAGCTCGACTTGGACTCAGTATTTCTCTCACCGATCTTGGGGTAGCACCAAATCCTTCCATTCTTCCTCTATTCGAAATCATCACGTCATGAATTACACTTTCAATCAAACTAGGAATTTCATTTCGGAATGACCTCAATGGTATGGTAACCATCCAGAATAGTAAATCAGGTCCAAATTCATCAATAACTCTTTCAACTTGAATAAACTCAAACCCGTATCTTTGACGGACTTTTTCCAACAAATTCTCCATATACTCTGGACTAGGTCTTTCATACATATAATTTGCATCCACTAATGCCGTGATAAGCTCTTCAAAAAACAACTTGATCTGTTTCACAAAATTGTAATAAATACTAAAGTTAATGGTGATAAGGTTCATGGACAAAGGTTGGGGATTGTTATTGACGGCATCTTCATCAAGATAATTGACCTTGTCAAAATTAAATTTTTTCAACACGGGACCGATTTGTTGAGTAATATTGTCCTCGTTATTATCTGAATTCAAGGACATTGAGTATTTGATATGAGTTATTATTTATTATAGTAGTTAAGGTTCTAGTTTTAAATTTATTACATAGAATATTCTATTGATTCTATAAATTATAATGATAGTGTAAATATACCAAAAATATATTTCACATTTTAAATATATCACGACAATAAATATGACATAAATTGTCTAATAATAACAATATAATTATAATACGCATAACCAGAGGAAAAAATACAAATCTAGTGACAAACAAAAATCATGAGATCTGAAACTACCACTACATTTAACGAAATACTAATTAATTAGTATTAATACAATAACTTTATGTTACAATCCTGTTAAATATTATAGCCATGAATATCACGCATACTAATTGTCCATTAAATAGTCAATCAAACGCAAACTACATTTGATATTTACTTTCACAACAGTTATAGCAAATGGAAAGAGGAAAGTTTTAAAGAGTTAACCTTAAACAATCCACCAAACTCAATTCAGACTTATTGAAAATTTGATTTAAATTGTCGAAGATTTTCAATCCCTCACTCAAATCATTTGACTCCAGCCCAAGTATTTGAAGATTTCTATTTTATCGGTTAATGCTACTAAATTTTTGCTCAAGGCTATTTTCTTTGTTTTGAATGCATATCTTATATAATGAATGTAACCAACAATACACTATTTAAACAATCCAAAAGAAATCAACAATATTTGAAAATAAGATAAGATTTAAAATTCAATTAAAACTTGAAGAATTTTTTTGATTCAAGGTTTTGAATCAGGATGTCACTTTTAAGTATATTGCTACTTCAACATCCATAATTTTCCATAATTTTCCATCATCATTACTTTTTCATTTTTACGGACAAACCTCATCAGCTTCAACTCCATATAATTCAAACTATCAATTAAAAAAAGGTCATACCTTCACTTTTGTCCATCAATACAAAACCTTCGTATGAATTACTTCTATAAGTTCCACACCTTACTCACCATCATCAATTAATGACAACATGAACAACACAAAAAGGTAATAAGATGCTCACGAATCTGTGGTAGTTGATTGTAGTTATAAACCTGGTTACGAAGGTGAGTTTTTAAAAAAGGTGACCATTTTTCAATCTGATATTCAACAACCATTTAAATTATTCAGGATGAAAATAGTCATATGAAACCTATAAATGCTTATCGACTATTTAGCAACTACTATTTCATACACTCAACTTACAGCATCAACTTCAAACATACATCAACACGTGCCACCTTGTCAAATTCAGACTGTAAGTCATATCAATGGGACACGTTTTATATTATCATGCCATTAAACATAGTCGTTATGATATATATTAAGTCCTCGTATATTATTCAAACATAAATTTCTTTCAAGTCCTAAGTGGGATTGGTGCATATAAACTCCTCGCATAAAAAGTCTGTAGTATCTAACCTTAATATTAATTTTTAAGGATACTTCAGTTTTTTGGAAAAGGATAGTCAAGTTACTACATTTAAAGTCGCTCTGTTTAGTCCTGTTTATTTGCAAATCTAGCTTAAAAGTAATAGGACCGATACGCATTATGAAAATAGACCTTCAACATCTAATACGACCAGACGAGTTGTTCATTCTTCTATCGAAATGCTAAGAACAATGCGTTATTTAAGCTTGAAATATGTATATTTAGTCTAACTCTAGATATAATTCAACTAATAGAGACGTTAAATTCTTATTCACTAAATCCTCTTCCTCTTACGGTCGAGTCCGTAATCTAACAAGCCATTCAAAGCTCTTGTTCTTTTGTTCAACTGAGGGTTTAAGTCTTTGATATAATCAAGAGCTAAGTCAAATGCAATAGGTCTATTTCCATTGATCAATCTATGGTAGATTTTGATACTTTTGAGAACTTGCTTAATTTCTCTAATCTTCTGACCATCATTGTACACTTTTATAATATAATTCTTCAAATTCACTTGGTCGAATTTTAGACCGTTTAAAAAACAAATGAATTTTCTAAAAATGATCTTGTGGTCGACCAACGCTTTCTGAGGCATAGCTTTTAGCAAATTTAAATGCTTATCATTTTTATTGACCAACTCATCAAATTCTTTGAATAGATTTATTTGATTATTTGAATGTTTTTTATCTATATTATTATATAGAAGGGTAAAATCTGGTGATCTTGATGATGTTGCTGATGTTGAAGTTGCTGATGTTGAAGTTGCTGATGTTGAAGTTGCTGATGTTGAAGTTGCTGATGTTAAAGTTGCTGATGTTGATGTTGCTGTTGATGTTGATGTTGCTGTTGATGTTGATGTTGCTGTTGATGTTGATGGTATTGTTGATGTTGCTGTTGATGTTGATGGTATTGTTGATGTTGCTGTTGATGTTGATGGTGTTGTTGATGTTGCTGGTGTTGTTGATAATGTTGATGTTGCTGGTGTTGATGATGCTGATGTTGCTGATGTTGAATTTGCTGATGGTGTTGTTGATGGTACGGATTCATTCGTCCTTTTCTCATTTGTTGTTGGTTGAGGTACTAAGCTTTCTCTTATAAATTCCACGTCATCGACCTCATCTCCAATATTATTTTTCAAATCCTTGTAGATCGTTTCAACTAACGATTGTACGTTCTCTTTGAACGACATCAACGGCCAAATAACTGCCCAATACACACTAGCTTCTCCAAACTTGTGAATCAATTCTCCACAATTGACTCTTTTAAATTTGTATTTTAACAATATTTCGGCCCTCAATTGTTCCACATATGAGTCACTAGGAACTGCCATTGATGGATTAAGACTCACTATGTCCTCAATCAATTGTTTTAAAAAAATCAGCATCTGTTCAAAAAGAGCATGATAAATTAATAAATTATTTGTGATGAAATCCATTGGTATAGGGTCCGACTTGTCGATATTCCCATCATCTATATTCTTAAGATCATTTAATTGCGCTCTTCTTATTGCGCGACCAACTACTGATGACAAATCCATTGGTGATTAGCGCTGACGCGTAAAAGGGGTAATAATCTGTTTGTTTATGTTTCGTTTGTTTATATTTTGTTTCTAGAAATTTTAATTTCTCGCGTGCTACCACGAATTGGTCACGTGGTTTTTTAGTGTATGATCATAAACTAACTCTTAAAGAAATCCCATAATTATTGAATGGTTGGACTCAATTTGAAAATGCTAGGAAGATTCGATCAAACAGTGGAGATTATTTTGGTCGACACTACGTAAATCACATAGAAAATCACTGAGCAATGTCAATGTCATCACTTCTTTAAATTAGGTACCACATTCACATAAAGCACATAAAGCCATACGGATTCAACAATAAGAAATGTACATTTGCAATATCAAAAAAGCATATAACACCATGCGTCTGAATACAAATATGCAGAGGACATATGGAGAAAGAAAATTTATACTGAAACAACGATCTTATATGCCATGGGCAATTAAAAAGAAATCAATTCCATCAATACCTATTTAGAAGATTGCTTATGCAGATCGAGGATGACATAACTAAAACAATCGGGACAACGAAGTAAAAACAAAAGAGAGAAGATTGGAGAAGAAAAGTCGTATTTGAAACATCTTGAATTTAATGATTTCACATGGAAGGATGTACGATGATTTTTGAAATTATTACCAGTTGCTCAATCGTACGTCAAATTGAAAGATACAGTGAATTTCATTATACGTCTTGGACAAACTGATGCAAATATTGACTTAATTATTAGCTGTGACTTTGAAAGATTCAATATGTTAAAATTATATTATAGTAAAAGATCATTTTACTAACAAAGAAAATTCCAAAGACTTACAGGACTTAGCTCTAGGCTATATTTTATTAAAATCAATTCAACAAGAAATGAATCAGTTGAGCTTCAATTTATGCAGAGACTTTTATGGTATATTCAATTGGAGATAAAACTCACAAACAATTTTACGAATGTTGTCACCGCACCACACGAAAGTCAATTTATTCGAAGGGTTCGACAGGTTTCTCAAGAAAAACAAAAAGAGTTTAGATTAATCTTATGGCATACATTCGAAGACTTTGAAGGATCGAAATAACAAAATTTTTCTATAACGGGAGAAGAAACAAAATCCAGTAGCAATAGTTTATTTAAAAAAAGTTTTCTGCAAAACTCATTGCATCTTAAATTTTCTATTCATATACTTTAACCAGTTTTAACCCCAAGATCTTCAGGTCCAAAACTCATTGGTAATAAATCTTTTAAATAAACTTTTATAAATTCCCCATCTTTGTTAAATAAAAATATTGTTATATTTTTATTAAACTCCCTGATAAATTGTCTACATATTCCACATGGTACAATTGGTTCATTTGTATCTCCTGAAATTGCAATTGCTTTAAAATTCTTGTAACCTTCAGTCTAATCAAGTCAGTAAATAAATTAAATTTTAATTCAATTAAATGTAGATTGTGTGAAATGACATTGAATACATACAACTGCTTTGGTTAATGCCGATCTTTCTGCACATACACCTGCACCATATGATGCATTCTCAACATTCGCTCCTCTTATGAATTCTCCTTCTTGAGTTAGCACTATACATCCAACTCTTAGTTATTAGTATAATTGATTGATTGAAAATGTGGGTGTGGTAAAAAAGTTCACATACCTAAAGTTTGAGTAAGGACAATAAGCATAATCTTTAGCTATTTGAAACAAATAGTTAGTATGTTAATTTATTTTCTTATGAATTTACTGGCTGAATCTATCTTATCTGAAAAACTCAAGTGCAAGATAATAATGAATTTGGAAGTTAAATCTCAATTACTAAGCTAAATATCATACCTTTTAAGACCAAATCTTTTATATTATGGAATTCTTCATCTGTCAATTCATCATGATCATTATAAGTTGTAACACCCATGGTGGAAATAAAAGTAAGATTTTAACGTCTAAGATAAGAAAATTTGATTTATTTTTGACGTGTCGTGTGATGTCGCAAAATACTGTAGAAACTAATTAATTTTACTTTTCTGACAATGAAAATGAGACAGTGATTTTTTTTTTTTCTGTCGCTTTAGTAGTGGCAAACCATAAAGACGACCATAAGACTATTGTAAATTGAAATATTTCAATTGTATTATATCAGCTTCAAGTAAGACATAATTAGCTCATAAGAAGAATTATCACTTATAAAGTGTTTCAAAAAAATATCAAGACCTTCAATTAGTCAGAACATTAACCATAAGCAGAGCAAGATAATACAAAATAATTAATAATCATGGTAACGTTAGAAGAATTAGAAAATATACCAGAAGAAGAAACTTCAATAGATTTGGAAATATTACAATCATCAACATCAGATATAATAAATAGAACTAAATTGTTGGATAATGATATAAAAGTAATGAGATCAGAAAGTCAAAGATTAACTCATGAAAAAACAATGATGTTAGAAAGAATCAAAGATAATCAAGATAAAATAAACAATAATAAACAATTGCCTTATTTAGTTGGAAATGTAGTTGAATTATTAAACTTGGATGTTGAAAAAGAAGCAAATGAACAAGGTGCAAATATAGATATTGATGCTGCTCGAAGTGGGAAAAGTGCAGTTATAAAAACTTCAACAAGACAAACTATATTCTTACCAATGATTGGATTAGTAGATCATGAAAATTTAAAACCAAATGATTTAATTGGTGTTAATAAAGATTCTTATTTAATTTTAGATACATTACCTTCAGAATATGATTCCAGAGTTAAAGCAATGGAATTGGATGAAAAACCAACGGAAACTTACTCAAATATTGGAGGATTAGATAATCAAATTGAAGAGTTAATTGAAGCTGTTGTATTACCAATGAAACAAGCGGATAAATTTAAAAAATTAGGTATTAAACCTCCAAAAGGAGCATTAATGTATGGGCCACCTGGTACTGGAAAAACATTATTAGCAAGAGCATGTGCAGCACAATCTGGTGCTACATTTTTAAAATTAGCAGCACCACAATTAGTTCAAATGTTTATTGGAGATGGTGCAAAATTAGTAAGAGATGCATTTGCTTTAGCAAAAGAAAAAGCTCCAACAATTATTTTTATAGATGAATTGGATGCTATAGGTACAAAAAGATTTGATTCAGATAAAAGTGGTGATAGAGAAGTACAAAGAACAATGTTGGAATTATTAAATCAATTAGATGGTTTTGGTTCTGATGATAGAGTAAAAGTATTAGCAGCAACAAATAGAGTAGATACATTGGATCCTGCTTTATTAAGAAGTGGTAGATTAGATAGAAAAATTGAATTCCCATTACCATCAGAAGAAGCAAGAGAATCCGTTTTAAAGATTCATGCTAGAAAATTACATTGTGATAATGATTCTATAAATTGGAGAGAATTAGCAAGATCAACGGATGAATTTAATGGTGCTCAATTGAAAGCTGTTACTGTGGAAGCAGGTATGATTGCATTAAGAAATGGTAAATCTATAATAAGACATGAAGACTTTGTTGAAGCTATTGGGGAAGTACAAGCAAGAAAATCAAAATCTGTTAATTTTTATGCATAATGTTTTGTATATGTTTATTCAAATTATACTTTGTACTATTTAATGAATCATTGTACTTCAGTAAGTAGATCGAATTGTTTGCCTTTGTTAGGTACTTTTGTGAATTCGTGGATTTAGTCTGACAACAGACCGTATAAAATTACTGAATTTTATACTGGCCTGGGCTTTTGTCTCATGACATTGTTGATACAGAGACTTTGTTTCAGACTAATTTAGATTTACAACAATTTTTGACTCAGAATAACAAGAGCAAAGTTTGAAAATGCACAGAACAAAAGAATAAGGTAGCTGAAGTATCATGAATACTGTAAGTTACTAATTTCGGCTGATTTTAATTCTGGTCCCTCTAATCTATGATTTTTCAAGTATAAAATGTTAGCTCCGTGGGGCAAAACAGATTCAGCAAAACCCGAGCGAAATATTTTATTGGCGCGAATTACTGAACGATGAAATGGACGGATGTGAAAAATCTGTAAATTTCCACGAAAGGATTGTGTATCCATCTTATACTTTTAATTAGTTTTCATTTCAAAAAGTTTCAAATGTATATAAAGTTGGGTATATCCCCTACATAAATTCACATAGAGTTGTTATCTACAAAGAGAAATTAACCATTGTGATTATTGTTTTGAAGAGAGGCATGTTGGTATGAATTGTTCATGAGCAAGCAAGTGTTCATTTTTCACATAGCAAAATGTGGATTGAAGGCACCATCAAATATGAATTGGGAAAATCACTATCATAATTCATATAGATCAATAGGAATAACAGCTATGTGTCTTGCGCTAAGTTCTAGTGGAATGGCTTCAATTATAAAAAGAAAATATTTTAGAGCAGAACTTGTTTTTGGCTAATATTCAAACCGACTCAAACAACTTCAATGAAAATAGTTGCCCAATGATGCTTTGAATGATGTATGAATGTGGAGTTTGCGAGTACATTTGCAATGAAACCTGCCTTTCTATGATTTAACCACCGGTAGCTGTTTTAAGATAGGTGATGACCTATTATTAATTGATGAGACAAGACTACAGGAGAACAACTTTTAAAATCCATTGGTAAAACTAATGATAGAAGCTCATTGAGGCTTATTGGGTCAATTTGCATGGACGACAGGAAAGACTGACGAAAAATTTGCTTGGAAACCGATCTCAAATGGGTATCTCAGAGCGTTATTCACCTCATAGTTAAGACATTGTGGAGTTGAAAATATATCTGGTAATTGAAATATGGTTCATCGAAGGAATATCTTATCAACTGCAATAACTTCGTTCTTTTTAAATTCGGTAAAAGCGTCTCGTAATCAAACTTTGTAATAACTGAGAGTCCGTCATTTAATTAGCTTAAATGTTTGGAGCTCTGGATTATTGCTTCAAGGCATTTATTGGAACAAATTCATCGAGTTATAAACTTTCTTGAGTAAAACATCAGGTTGCATGTTAAAAGTTTTGAAACCTCAAGTGGTAGCATTGACAAAGTCACGTCTAAAATATTTTGATTTTATAAAATGACAACCAAAATATTAAACTTCATATACATTTTTTTTCTAACAAAAATCTTTATAATCAATTACCCATTTTGAAACTAAGATCGGCAATGAAAATTTTGCTTAAATTACCAAAGGAGATTTTGTTTATGATTGTCGAATACATCGATGATATGAAAATACTTGAAGAGCTAATTGCAATTCCAGAATTACAACAACTAGTATTGAGGAAAAAATACTTTAGATTTAATCTTGAAAGTAATTGGGAACAACAAACTGAAGATAGGAATGGAGGTGGAGATATTGCAAAATTAAAATTTCTATACGAAAATTATGAGTTTAAACCTTCAAAAATTAGGGGCAATGTCACTATCATTAATGAATTGATAAACTCAAGATCTTATGATATTGGGGTTAAAAGAATTAAAATAGATAAGGTTAATACGTCTAAGTTTAAACATCTAGACCAAAATTATGAAGGAGCCAGCTACAAGGGCGTTGATTTCGAGGTGTTTTTATCCACAAGTACTACATTTGAGGCGTTTAAAGAAGTCAGTGATAAAGTTAATATCGTTGCAATACTTGCAGCATCCCATTTTATGAGTCCATTTGGGCTTGAACATGATCAGGAGATATTATTTTTGGAAGAATTTAGGAAGATGAATTTGGAATCTTTGAAAATGTGTTATTCGAATAACTTCATGGTTCAACTTCCAGTATCGTTAAAACAATTATTTTTGGTGAGTTCCGCATGTGACAATGCTAACCTAAGTAGCTTAATTCATCTTGAAAACCTTAAACTATATGACTGCACGGGTATAAATTCCTTTAGCGATTTACAACTATCAAAGTCTATCAAGCTCCTATCGTTTGAATTCTGTGATATAGCAGCCTTAGGTGATTTAACAACCTATAATGAGTTGAAAATTATTGACATTTTTGGTTGTGAAGAATTAGTCGATTTCATTAAATGCTCCCTTCCAAATTCGATGGAAAAAATAGTCTACAGTCATGATACCGCTCAATGGAGAATATCTGATTTGATAAGGGGTGTAACATCAGGTGAGAATACAGAATTTGATGTATCTGACTTTTCAGAAGATGGAATATTTCTTGGGGCTAATTTTATTTTACCTTCTCAATTGAAAGAGCTAAGCATTAGTTCCGTAGTTAATAAATTAACATTAGGAACCAATTTGGAATTAAAAAATCTTAATAGATTGGAGGTTGTAAGCCTTCAAATTGATTTGATTGGTTTGCTATTTTCGTTGCCATCGCGTATGTTAAAAATTGAAATTACTTCCTGTTTCATTTCCAAGGTTGAAACAATAGCTTTGTTTCCAGAGCTGGTCCTAATAATTTTTCGGGACAATACCATTGAAAACGTGTTTGAAACAAATTTAAATGGAATGAAAAGATTGAATACTTTGAAAGTTGAAAGCGTATTCCTAAGCCTTGACGCTGATGAAGAAGATGATGATGCTGATGTTTGCCGATTGATGATTCCAAATTCAAATGCTGGTAATTTACTTGAACTAAGCGCTGAAAGTAGGAAGGAAGAAATCTTGTTTGTCGATTTACCTAATGTAACTCAACTTTCCCTTTGCAATCCAGAGGGCGATTGGTATGCAAGCTCGATTCCTCCTCAATTTTCATTAACTGCTTGTGGTAATTTAAAAAACTTAAATTTAAGAAGCTTGAAATTTCATCAACTAAATCTTGACTGGTTCCCCAATTCATTGGAGGTTTTGAATATATCTGGTATGAAATTGAACTCCATCATTGGAAATTTTTACAACTTTAATAAGTTAAAAGAATTGGAATTGGTAGAAAATGAGATCCGAAATTCGATGTTGATTTATAAAACTTTCCCTTCAAGTTTGCAAAAGTTAGATTTATCAAACAATGAGTTTGAGAATTTGAAATGCTTGAATTTAAGTAATTGTGTAAGACTTCGTTTTTTAGAATTAAACGAAGTTACAAGACTGAAATCACCATTAGGCGCAAATGAATTGAAGGATTGGTTTCTCAAATTAATGACAAATGCGGGTGATAGATGCAATCGTGCGATTTTATCGAATTATACCTCCGAGATAATTTTTGTTATTGTTGATGGTGTTGATAAGACACGTTAGATGAAAATTCAGGTTTAAATTTGAAAGGAAAATTAATTATAAATCATATGAATTAAACAGGGAGCTAAGAGAAATAGATGAATGGAAATTTAATTGTTATCAACTATGTGTAATTACTTTGAAAGAAAATTATGTTGTGTGAAACAGATTAATTTTTGATTTCTGATTAGTTTTAAAAGCAGTATGGCTGAAGGGTAAAACATGGAGAGATACAAGAAAATAAAGCATGAAATTGCAAGAGTGTTGTTCAAGTATACTTCAGTGGTGATGAAGATTGTCAAATAGATTTCCAGGTTCGAAACAGGTCCTTCTCCGGTGTTTGGTATTTTTGTCAATTTATTAGTATTTGGTTCAAAATTTATGCTAAAATGCTATCTTAAATGATTGAAAACTCTACGAATATATATAAGATGTTTAACCATTACAGTAAAGTAATATTAAGTGTTGTTAGTGCTTCTCTAAATATTATATATTATTCCTTTTTGATATTGCAGTAGTTGCTGTAACTAATTTTAATTTATGGTCAATTCCATTCTTTTACACAATCGGAGATCGAAAATTTGTATGATGTTCCCTTCATAATATACTTTGTCGTTACCAAGATAATATTTCTCGCCATCATCATCATCATCATCATCGTAAATTTTTATTATCATCACTTTTATTATCATATCAATTTTCAATTTTTGGTAAGGGAGCGAGTATATGGCTGTTCTGAATTCTATCGCTTATTTTAATACTTTGTACTGCTAATTTTGCAAATGTTGAATACTGTCCCTCAATTTAAATAAACTTGAAAATGAATTCAATACTCTGATATATTACTTTTTAACCCATTCTTCCCTTTTCTGCAACTTCTGAGATGAATTGAACAAAAATGTTCCATAAAAAAGTTCATTGTCTTTCGTGAAAGTAGTTGAAGCCAAAATTATTGTGAAAGCTTATACATTTGCAAATGAAGAATGAAGACAACATAATGTTTTGATAAAATGCTTGGACATATCTTTTAAAAACTGCTATTAACTCCAACTGACTTTGATTGAACCAAACAAAAGCTGAAAAAAAGACGAGATCTACTGGATTGTAGACTGTGAACAATCTAGTTCAGAAAACATCTTGATTCAAGATAGTCTTAATCGTTGAGTATCTAAGGGTGAAACGAATATAGATGACGAGATAAGATTATTAATCTATTATATAAAAGTTTCAGAATTTGACCAGAGGATTGTATGCAGGTTAATTTATCAATTCCGAAATGAAAAGTTAAATTTCATTCTGTTCTTTGATTCCATCTTCATCTTGATCTGCAAGTATTCACATTTCCACTTTTTCAGTCAAAAATCAACTTATAACAAGTATCTCAACAAACATGAAATATTTTATTGACTCCATCACTGATATAAATTGAGTTAGGAATAATCATCAGATAACGCAAATTTACCTTTCTTTTAAGAAAAAGTGAAAGCTGAGACTTTAGCTTACTACAACTCATTCGTGTTTGTCCCTTTACACTTCACCACCCCTTATCACTTCAAAAATGCCTGCTTGAAATGACTTAAAATGAGGAACATTATAACAAATGGAATATTTTCTTGACATGATTTAGTTTTTAGAGTCATGTTTGCCATACCAAAGTATTTGCGAAGAAAAATACTTCAGATGTTATCATCAAAATTCGAATTAGACTTGCTGAATTTTAATGACAAGATTTTACAAATTAAAATCACACAGTTTTTGAAAAGGAATATTGCTCCGTGAAAGATTTTGTTGTGCTCCATTTTTTATTCTCATTTGGGGAATATGAAGAATGTTTTGATGAGAACGCCTTCGACATGAAAGTACTTTAAATTATGATGGTGTTTGACTAAACTGGTTCAGCTAATTTTGATGTTGCATCAAGATGTTAGAAATTTAGTAATGATCAAGAATAACACGTTGCTTGCGATTAATTGCGTGCGGTCAGTTTCCAGAACTACCTTTTAATTTTTTTTGAAAAATTACTGTGTTTCAATTTATCTATTCCATCATCGTTAAACGAAAAATTACTTATTTTAAAAAAGATTTTAAGCTTGAATAATTCAGGAAAGAGAGGTAGTGATGTAACTTATAAGAGGAAGATGATTTCTTTGCACAGTTGGAAAATATTAGACAGCTGGCGTGATAAACTGTCGATTATTTTGAGCTATGTGATTGTCAAATTCAGAGTCAATATCTGTTTCAACGATTGAACCGTTTTGCATAATTGACACATTTGGAGAGGAATTCGACAACCTCTCAATTGTGACCTCGTGGAGTCAAAAATATTTGTGGAAGTGGGACTTTAACTTATTGAAGGTGTTTTCCTACCTAACTATACCCGTTTTTATTCGACTAAACCACGACAGTAAGATTGTTTTATTCGAATTCCATAATAGTTGCACGTATTTACAATTTTGTCATCACTAAGACACAGTCTTTCAATTAATTCAATATTTGGTGTATTCGACTATTGCTTCGAGGCAGTCAATGAAATAGATTCATCGAGTTTTGAGCTTTCATGATTAAAACATCAGGGTTGTATGCTACAATTTTGAAACCTCGAGTGGTAGCATTCACAAAGTCACGTCTTGAATATTTTGATTTAATAAAATGACATACAAAATATTACATTTCATATACACTTCCTTTTTTTAAAAAAATCTTTATAATCAATTACCCATTTTAAAAGTCAGATCGGCAATGAAAATATTTCTTGAATTACCAAAGGAGATTTTGTTTAAGATTGTCCAATACATCAATGATCAGAAATTGCTTGAAGAGTTACTTTCAATTCCAGAATTACAACAACTAGTGTTGAGGAAAAGGTATTATAAATTTCAATTAAAAAATACTTTGGATCAATTGAATAAAAATGAAGACGGAGTAGGAGACATTGCTAAGTTGATATCATTATACGAAAACTATGGATTTAAACCTGCAAGAATTATAGCTGATGTTACCATCATTAATCAATTATTTAATACAAGATCTTATGAGTTTCAAAAAACAAGCGGCTCCAAGCGAATGAAATTAGATAAGGTTACTAAGGCTCATCTAGATCAGAATAATGAAACCGCCAGCTACAAGGACATAAATTTTGAAGTGCTTTTGCCTACAAACACTACATTTGACGCGTTTAAAGGCATAATGGAAAAAATGAAAATAGTAGGATTATCTGTGCAAACTGATAATCTGAATCCATCTCGATTTCGCGATGATCAGAAAGATCTATTCCTAGATGCAATCAAAAATTTTAAATTGGAATCTTTAGAAACCTACTATGTGGCTAATTTTCAGGTTCAATTTCCAGTATCACTAAAAAAATTAACTTTAAAAAATCATTCCACATGTGAGAATCTTAACTTAAGTAGTTTAATTCATCTTGAAAACTTTAAAATGAATGATTGCACAGGTATTAATTCATTGAGAGATCTTCAGCTTTCGAAGTCTATTAAATTTTTGAAGTTTGAATTATGTGATATGGCAACTTTAGGTGATTTAACAACATATAACAAGTTGAATGTTATTGAATTTTGTGGTTGTATTAATTTAATTGACTTTGTCAAATGCTCTTTCCCAAATTCGATGCAGAAAATTATATACAGTCATGACACCAGTAAAGGGACAATACCTGATTTGATAAGGGAGGTAAGAGCAGGAGAAAGTACACAATTTGATCTAGGTGACTTTACTGAAGATGGTATATTCCTAGGTGTTAATTTTAAATTTCCTTCCAAATTAAAAGTGTTAACCATTAGTAACCGGAGTGATTCATTAACATTGGGATCAAACTTGAATTTAAAAAATCTTAATACATTAGTGCTAGATTGTATCAGAATTGACTTGATTGGTTTGTTATTGGCGTTGCCAACGCAAATGTTTGAAATTATTATTACTTCTTGTCACATTTTGAAGGTTGACACAATTGCTTTATTTCCAGAGCTGGAGGTAATAAGTATTTTATGCAATACCCTGGAAAACAGTTTCAAAACAAATTTAAATGGAATGAAGGGATTGAGGCATTTGGAAATTGCATGCGATAATGAGGGCATTAATAAAGCTACTGCTCACCAATTGATGAGCCCGTATTCAAATACTGGCAATTCTTCGCTTGAACTATACGATGAAAGCAGAAAGGAAGAGATCTTAGTTGTTGATTTACCGAATGTTAATAACATTTCCCTTGAAAATTTGGTCTATGATAGGGATGCAAGCTATAATCAAATAGATTTAACTACTTGTGGTAATTTGAAATGGTTAGAATTAACGCATTTGACGTTTCATCATTTAAATCTTGATAATTTCCCGGATTCATTAGAGGTCTTGTCGATTTCCGAAATGAAAATAAAACTGATTAATGGGAATTTTGGCAAATTTAATAATTTAAAAACATTAGAGTTGGTACGTACTGAAATAACGGATTCAATGTTAGTTAATAAGACATTTCCCGCAAGTTTGGAGCATTTAAATTTATCTGTCAGTGTTGAGAATTTGTCATGTTTAAACTTAAGGGATTGTATTAAACTTCGATTATTATTTTTAGATAATGCTAAGCCCTCGAAAATGAAATCACCATTAGGCGCAATTGAATTGAGAGACTGGTTTCTCGGATTAGTCCGCAATGCGGGTGATAGACACAATCGGGCAATTTTAACGAATTATGCCCACAAAACAATTTTTGAAATTTTTAATGGTGTTGAGGTTATTCAGTTGACGAGTTAGTTGAAAATTCAGACATAAATTCGAAACGAAAATCAATGGTAGAAAGGATAAAATTTACAAAGAGCTAAAAGAAACAAATGTAAACTAGTGTACGAGTTATATAGCATGTGTATCTACTTTGAAAGAAAATATAGTGTTGCAAAAAAGATGAATTTTTAATTTTCTGATCAATTTTTCGAAGCAATATGGTTGAATTGGAAGACATATAAACGTGAGAAAGGTATGAATTTGAAACATTGTTGTTCAAGTTTACGTCAGTGACCTGGTGGAGATGAAATTGTCAAACAGCACGTTCGAAAAAGGTGCTTCTACGGTGTTTGATATCATTTTCAATTTACGAGTATTTGTTTTAAAATTTATGCTAAAATGCTTTATTAAATGAATTGAAAACTCCAAGAATGTGTATAAAAAGTTTAGATATCACGGTAAAGTAATATAAAGTATTGCTAGTGTTGCTCTAAACATGTAATATTCCTTTTTGATTTTACAATAGTTGCTACATCTAGTTTTACTCTTTTTTATGGTCAATTCTAATCTTTTTCACAATTGGAGGTAGAACTTTGTATGATGTACTTCGTCGTTCCCAAGTCAATATTTCTAGCTATCCTCATTTTTTATCATTATCTATCATCCCGTTCATTATTATATCAAGTTTGAATTTTTGATCAAAGATTGAGTATTTCGCTATTTTATTTCCCATTGTTTACCTCAATACTTGTTACTGCTATTATTGCATTGTTAAATGTTATTGTTCATTTTATATTTTAGAAATTGGAAATGAATTTACCACTCTGATATAATACTTTTTAACTCATTTTTACCTTTTCTGCAACTTTCGAGATGAATTGACTGGAAAATTAAATGAAGTTTATTATCTTTTGTTAAAGCAGTGAAAGTCATGATTAATGTGAAAATTTATACTTTTGCTGATAAATACAACATATACCTTTGAGTTTTGTACACCATTAAAAACTAAGTACCATTTTGAAATTCCAAATTAAGTATATATAGCATCAAATCTCTAACACTTGGACTATTATAATAGTTTTTAAAGTATTGAAATGTTTTTAAAGTATGATGATGATCCAATAATGCTAATGATAATACAGACGATAATGATGATAATGATAATACAGACGATAATGATAATGAATATAATACTCACAAAACTAACAAATGCAGGAATTCCAAATATAGATGATGGTCAGAACGAATACAACACGTAGACGTAGATCATGGTATGTATGATAAAAAAACCATCATTCATAAAATTATTGTCATTTGGGTTTTCCTCATCAAGTTCATCTTGTTCATTCTGATGGTATTTTTCTCCATTATTCTTGTATCTCTTTTAGTTAGTTCATCAACAAGAAAATTAAAACTAATTACCACAATTGTATCAATTTAAAATCTGGATCTTGTAGTTGTTAGTTAATATACACCTGATATTTCAATTAGGTATGTCTCCTTAAAAGTCATAAATTACTTGTGTGTCGTAAAATACAATGTTTTTCCAATTAGACTGTATATAAAATATTAATGAGTAAATTATTTAGATAAGATAAGTAAATATTATGTACTGTACAATACAATATTTAAATCCTTAAATTTATCTATTACTAATTTATAAATTTACAACCAATTACTATCATCTAATCATATTTCATAAATTTTATACTACTTTATCATTTATTTGTATATCTTATCAATAAGACATTCAACAAATATTGATAAATAATAGAAATATAGAAAGTTTATAAGTTTGAGATTTTTAACTTAATATTCTACTTTTTATTTAAAAACTTATATATAAACTGTGGATTTTATAATAATAAAAAGTAATGGAAGACAACAACAGTGTTGGAAATAATATAATAAACAATAGATTCAATAATAATAAATATAATAATAATAATACTTCTATCAACAATAAGTCAACTTTGCCTTTTAATCAAATTAATAGATTTTCATCAACAAAAGAAGGATCAAATCAACCACATAATATAATATATCAAAAGAATACATTGTCTAATCAAAAATTAATCCATAATAATAATGATGATAATAATAAAGATAAAATTATATCACCTACTTCAACTACAACTACGGAATCTATTTCAAGTAATATGAGTTATAATACATCAAATTCTTCTTCTTCAAAAAAATTAGATACTATTGGAAATTATAGTATAGGTCCTGAAATTGGTAAAGGATCTTTTGCTATAGTATATAAAGGAAATGATTTAAAAACAAATAAATCAGTTGCAATTAAATCAGTTTATAGATCAAAATTAAAATCTAAAAAATTAATTGAAAATTTGGAAATTGAAATACTGATTTTAAAAACTATGAAACATCCTCATATTGTTGGTTTATTAGATTATAAACAAACCCCTGCTCATGTACATTTAATTATGGATTATTGTTCAATGGGTGATTTATCATATTTTATAAGGAAAAGAAATCAACTTATTAAAACTCATCCTATTATATCAAGTTTATTAGATAGATATCCATCTCCACAAGGATCTCATGGATTAAATGAAGTATTAGTATTACATTTTTTAAAACAATTATCATCTGCTTTATTATTTTTAAGAGAGAAAAGTTTAGTACATCGTGATATAAAACCTCAAAATTTATTATTATGTCCTCCTTTACATTCTAAAATTGATTTTATAAGTTTAAATTATAAAGGTATGTGGGAATTACCTATATTAAAAATTGCTGATTTTGGATTTGCAAGATTTTTACCTTCAACTTCAATGGCTGAAACTTTATGTGGTTCTCCTTTGTATATGGCACCTGAAATTTTAAGATATGAGAAATATAATGCAAAAGCTGATTTATGGTCTGTTGGTGCTGTTTTATATGAAATGACTGTTGGAAAACCTCCTTTTAAAGCTGGTAATCATATTGAATTATTAAAAAACATTGAAAAAGCTAATGATGTTATAAAATTTCCTATGGCTGCTCAAGTACCTGAATCTTTAAAACAATTAATTAGATCATTATTGAAATATAATCCAACTGAAAGAATATCTTTTCAAGAATTTTTTAATAATAATTTAATAACTTGTGATTTAGAAGATACTGATAAACCTTTAGAAACTTCAGAAATTGATGAAAATTTATTCATTAGTGAATATATAAGTCCTATAAAACATAATGAAAGATCACAATTGTTAAAAATGACACCAGTAAATGAAGAAGCAAATTTAGAAAAAGAAATAATAAAGAATCATGAAACACCTTTGAAAGAAATTGATATTCCAAAAAGTAGTAGGGATGAAGAAATAAAAAATTTAATAAATAAAAACAGTCCTGATCCAGAAACTTTAACTCACTCAATTAATAAAAGTCCTTCTTTTAAATTGAAAAAAGATGATGTAATATTAGAAAAAGATTATGTTGTTGTTGAAAAAAGAGCTATTGAAGTCAATGCTATTGCAGATGAATTAGCACACGCTGGAAGTGGTGCTGGTGCAATATCTGATCCTCGCAAACATACATCATCATTGAATTATCAACAACAAACAAATTCACAACAACAACAACAACAACTGCAAAATCCATTTCTTCAACAAAATCAAAGAAGAAATTCTAATAACAGACGTCCAAGTTTTACTGATAGAAGAATATCTATTTCAATATCTCCAACTAATGCACTTAGTAAAGCTATAGGTCTTGCATCACATAGATTATTTGGAAATACACAAACAACAACTTCATCCAACATTTCCAATAACAATTCTTCAACCAATGTAACAACTAATCAAGAAAATAATCAATCATTTTCAAATTTAATATCAAGTCCTCATTTTGCAAATAATATGTTACTACAAAAACTTAATTTACCCAATATTCCAGATCCATCAGGATCTGATCAATTTTATTCAGATAAAACTAATCATACACCAGATGAAATTTTATTAATTAAATTAGAAACTATAGCAACAAAAGCACATGCAGTAAATTTATTTGCTGATGTAAAATTTAGTCAATTAATTCCAAGTCCACCTTCTTCAGATGATACGAAAGCTGAATTTATGAATGTAAATGATATTTTACCACCTAAGATTATAAAAAGTATAAGCGAAGAAGGAGTAGTATTATATGTTAAAGCATTATCTTTATTAGCTAAAGGAATGGCATTAGCAAGTGAATGGTGGTATGATCAATTTGATTCTTCTTCATTAAATGAATCAAATAGATTAAAACCTGATGCAAATATAAATTTAAAAATAAATCAATTAGTTCAATGGATTAGAGAAAAATTTAATGAATGTTTAGAAAAAGCAGAATTTGTTAAATTAAGATTACAAGAATCAAAATTAGCTATAAATAATTCAACAATAAAAGAAGGTGATGATGATGAAGATGATGGTGATAATAATAATAATAAATCAATAACTACAACAAAAGTAGTAGCTGAAAAATTATTATTTGATAGAGCATTAGAAATGTCAAGAAATGCAGCAGTTAATGAATTAGTAAAAGAAGATTTACATGGTTGTGAATTATCTTATAGTACAGCTATATGGATGCTTGAAGCAGTATTAGATGAAGATGATGATATTGATAATCAAAATTCAAATAATAATAATAATAATAATGGTGAAAATAATTTTAAAAAATTAGATGATGAAGATAGAATAATGGTTGAAAAATTTATTGTTAGTATTGGTAATAGATTATCTGTATTAAAGAAAAAAATTGAATTTTTATAAAATTCAAAGTATAGTTTCATTAATTAGTTTTAAAGGTTTGTAAATAATAAATGGAATATTTGTTTCAATAAAATTACAATTTTGTGAATAGTTTTTTAAAGCTTTTGTATGAAGTCAAGTTGATTATACTATGCTTTCAAAATTATTCTCTTACCGCAGACATCCGTACTACTCTGATTACATTGTAGTTACGGTTGCATAACAATCATTCATTGCGGTACGGATGTTGGATCGCAGCATATCAAAAAAGACAATCTAGCATAACAAAATAAAGGTATAGCATAACAAAATAAATAAAACTGTGTTTGATATGCCATACCAAAATAAAAATTTTTCGATATGGCGTAACAATTATTCTTTTGATATGGCGTATCAATTATTCTTTTGATATGGCATAACAATAAAGTAGAAGCATAACAATAAAGTAGAAGCATAACAAAAAATATTTCCAAATTGCATAACAAAATATGAATTGAGCATATCAAAAATAGGTCAGATCTCAAAGTAGAGATCTTCAAATCTATTAGATCTACCGTATCGATCTGATTGGGAGTAAAATCTAAGATTTTGGAGTATAATTCAATATTTTAGATTTAGCTTGAAAAAGGACTTTAAATCATATATTTCTATTCCAAAAATTAGCTCAATTTAATTAATATTGATATCATTAAATAGAAGGATTATTATAGACAAGTATTTAATCTAAAACCACAGGATCATCCCAGCTGCTCCCGTCACCTCCTCCTCCTTTATCTTTAAATGCATCAAAAGGATCAAAATGATTTTGTTTCCATAATGATAAATTTCTTTTAGGACTTTTTTTATTATTAATATCTCCTCCATTCATTATATTTCCTAATTTCATTTTTTTATTATTATGATTTAATTCTTGTTTATAAATTTCATCATCTTCATCATCAGAACTTAATGTTATTATTAAATCTTTATCATTTTGATTATTTAAATTACTACCATCATTATTATTAAAATTCAGTGGACTTTTAGTTTTATAAGAATTTGTTGAATCAATTGTTCTATATTTTTTTAATCCAATTAATTCAATTTTATCAATTTCTTTTGGAGTACGTTGTACAAAAAAATTAAAAGTTTCACTTATTGTTAAAGCATTTAATTGAAAATTTACATCACAAATTGGACATTTATAAAATGGACATGCTTGATAAGTTGGAGTTACAAAATTTGATGTATATCTATTTATTGATACTTGTCGATGTTGTTGATTTGAATTGGAATATTGAGTGGTTCCATTCAGCCCATTATTATTTGTATTATTATTTGTTCCATCATTATTGAGTACTGTGACATAAGGAGCTAATCTGAGTTGAGGTATGATAACATGTCGATTTGTATTCGATGTTGGGTATGGTTGATTTGTGCTTGTGATTGGTATTTGAGAAGATGTATGCATGGCTGGTTGGAAAGGTAGTTGTTGTTGCAGTGTAGGGTATTGATGATGATAATATGGTGGATATGGTGTAGATGGTGGTGATTGTTTTGGCATAGGCAGTGGTAGTGTTGATGGTATTGGTGGATATTGTTGTTGATGTTGTTGACGATGCTGCTGTTGCTGTTGCTGTTGCTGATGTTGAGCTTGCGGTACAGATGCTTGATTTTGTGGTTGTTGTGGTTGTTGTTGTTGTTGTACCTTTTGCTGGTTTCTTGATAATTTTTCATAATTTTGTCTAAACAAAGTTTTTTTTGTTAAATCTTTAATCATTTCAGGTAATTTATTAAATAAACAAAAATTTTCAAAATCAAAACAATCAAAATGTTTACAATGTAAACTTTTAACTGGTAATTTTATTCTACTACCACCTAATGGATCTTTTAAAGAAAAAATGATTTTATCAATTAAAAATTCATCATCTTCTTCTTTTTCCTCATCAGGATTAAGTTCTTTTATTTCATCTTCTAAAACCGAAAGAACATTTGAAGGTAAAATTTTATATTCTTGACCTGATTGAGTTGAGGTTTGAGTATTATTTGATACCTGTGAATTATCGAATGTCGTCATCTGAGCTTGATTTTCTGGTTGTTTTAATATTTTATTTATTTCATCATCAATTTTACGTAATTCTTCCGTAAAAGCTGTTGATTTACCTTTCATAGTATGAGGATGTCTTTTATGATCATTCGCAATGTTTGTTTCGTTTCTTCTTATATTTTGTTGAGGCGTATTTATTTGTTGAATTTGTGAATAGGGATATGTATTTGAATTCGAATTGGAATCTTTATTCGATTTAGGTTGTGATGATTTGGAATTCAGTCTTTTTTTAGTACTAGTTTTATCCAAAGATGAGTCTTTTGAAGTATCAATCAGTTTCAAAATACTGGAAGGCAATTTTATAGTAACTATCAACCTTTTTATCTTCTTTCTTGTTTGAAAATCATTCAATATGAACACTTTATCATTTGATGTTGTTGGTCCACGAATAGGTTTCAATTTGGGCATGTTTTATCATATAAATAATTAGATCTTGATGTTATTTGATGCATATATTGTGAAATTATTTATTGGGAAGAATGTTACTTTATTAGTCTAATGATTTATTATGATTGACTTATGAGTTACCATCCTATTTTATAATACTATGATTTTTGGTCGGTTTGATCTTTTTCAAATACAGTATCGATTCGTAAAACAAAATGGATTAGCTCTTGTAACAAATCTTTATCTATGAATTTAGTGGATGTTGAGAAAAGAAAATGGTGGTAAAGTTTGATAAATTTGTTTGAATAAATAATAATCTATATTATTAATTTATCTATCACATATTTAAAACACATACAATTTATTTTACTAATACAATACATATTATTGATGTAGTGCTACCAAATTATTGAAATTTTGATACAGTTATATTAATAGTTTTAATATTAATGTAAGATGATTGAACAGTCTTTAAATGCCTTGAAAACGAAAGTAAAACATTATAGTTGTTTGAACTCCTATTTTACCGTTTGAATTTTAATATCCATTGTTACATTTACAAATTTTTTAAGCGCTAATTAGTGTATACATTTTTTTACCAAGTGGTCTTCTTTGAATCAATTAAACCTACATAAATAGATGATATCGAATGAATTTATACGACACCTCTATGTGTAGCCACTGTCAAGTTGAGTAGCAATTTCATTTTTCCATCATGAGATCAAAATACATTTTGCTTCTATTCATCATTCTACTTTATTGTGCGGAACAGAATTTTGTGACTTTTTGCAGCCAAACTCTACACAACGAACATTTAAAGGATTATATACTCAATTTTTCTAACCTCAAAATTAAAAAAGGTTGTTGTAATCCAAATATCTTATTATCAACTCATTTTAATCTCCATTCACCCACTCAAAAGTTTAATACTTCCTTCATCCAAATTTGTATTGCTGATAAATTAAGTTTTTTTCAACTACCAGCATTTAATTAGTCATGTTGTATGGTTGTAAATGATTAGCAAAAATACAACTTTTAATTTAAACACTAAAGCATATAACACAGTCAATGCCATACGTTGACTAACTGAAAACTTAGAATAAAATGATCAAAATTTGAAGTAGTTATCTCGATGATGAAGTAGATTCCAGAATTTGGTTCGAAAAGAATGCACAGATGTGCGGTACGGATGTGTAAAATTTGTTTCAAAGTCGTAAACTATTGGTGTCGCAAAACAAAACACAAGTAACAGATATTTATTCTATACGGAGAAGTTTCCGATTTGAATCACAATATATGATAACAATATATCATTCTTTTATTTCAAAACACAATTATCAAATATTAATTACAAATTAAATCCCTTTAACGCCACTACAATATAAGAAGTTTGCAAAATGTCGGATAATTCAGAAAATGCTCCTAATATTACAGATCTCCCAAAGAAGATTCAAGATCTTGAATCTATCTTTGAAATACAATCAAAATTAATTGCAACAACAAAACAAAAATTGATTGAATTACAATTAAATGAAGTGAAGTCCAAAATGAAGCAACTTGATACAAACAATAATATTGAATCTACCAATACTTCAGATTTTGTCAATAATGAAGATATAGTTCAATTAGTGACAGAATTACAATCTCAATTGGATAGTTTTGAAGATAGAACATTACGTCGGACATATAATTCATCACTTAATTCAAATACAGATAAAATAGCACCTTTATCCAACAAAGATGGTGATTTTCCAGATTTCCAGATTCCTATTACTATTGATGAATTTAAAAATTTATCGAAAGAAAAAGTTATAGAAATGGGATTTTTTTACGAAATAATTTTACCTACTAAGGAAGAAATAGATCAAGTTCTTAATTCTGATGAAAATAAAGAACAGAATAACAGTAAAATTGATATAATTAATATTAATAAGAATAAAAATATCTCACAAATCTTATCAGAATTTAGTGATGAGCAGGTTGATGAAATTTTTGATGATTTAGCAAGATTTTTTGGAATTAAGCTTAGAAGAGTAAGCGATGGTTGGTAGAGATATATAATATAGTAACTAACTAGTTCTACAAAAAGTTATAATATTACATTTAATTCAATTTCGATTGCAAAAACTCTATCACATCCAATGATTTATTTGAAATCCCATAAAGTACTTAAATCCAATGCTCTATCATCTATAGCATTAATTCTTCTTCTTAAAGCTTCATTAAAACATATTTCTTGAGCCAAAGGGAAAAAAGTTTGTGACCAATTTTTCTTATATTGTTCAGTTTCAGCTACAATTTCCTTTAATTCTAACTCTTGAAATTTTATTTGAAATTCATATTGTTTGTACATATCATCACCAATCAATCCATTTTGATATAACTTATTGAATATGGCTTCATTTTCTTTTAATTTCATACTTCTTCTTATTGCTTCTACTGCTCTACGCAATAAGGCAGCTTTCATTACTTTTTCATGAGGTTTTTGATCTTTTGATAAATTTGGGTCTGTGTATTGAGATTTTAGTTGTTGATATATCGAAGAATTATAATTTTCTTTAAAAATTGGCTCTATTTGTTTAAATTGATTTACTCTTCTTTTTCTATAAGTCATTGAGAATATAATGAATAGTGATAATACCACTCCAACATATATCAAGGGTGTAAATACCGATATTTTGATAACTTCTGGCTCAGGAATCGTTGTTTCTTCGGCCATTGTGGACAATCAAATTCAATTAGTTAGATATGAAACTATGTTGTTTTAGTAGATTAATACCTCGTGAGATAAATTTTCAACACGTCAAAAGTTTCAAAATCACGCATGGTAGCATTTTTAGCATTATTCAGTGCTACTCCAAGAGTGATGATTTCACAATAAAACTTCCAATAGATCCATGTATAAATGAGCTATTAGTAGGTATAGGCGAGTATGAAAAGTATTTGAAATTTTGGCTTTTTGTTTAATCTTGTTTTGCACCCGTATTAACCTTTAACATTAATAATCAAAAAATCGAGACAATCGAGACATGAAATTTTACGCAGGATTGAAGTATGTGGGGATTAGATGTCTACTACTCTACATACTTTTTTCAACTCCTGAGTAACAACATTAGATAAGAAGATACGTTTTGGGGCAACGGTAGCATATTTTCAGCATAAAGATAATCGAAACTGAAATATTGAGTTGAAAAACTTGAATTTTTAATGCAATTTTTTACTCATGCAAAATTCATCATACTCAACGAGTTACTCCAGAGACAACAACCATATTCAAATCAATGAGTCCAAACTACAACACTCGAGATTAAAAGAAAAATACGAATCAAACTCGATCAAAGACTTACCCAATGGTATTGATGAGATAATTGAAAAAACCTCAAAGCTTCAATTATCCACTAACTCAAAACGAAAGGAAATATTTGTGAATGTTCTAAATCCTTTAATTTTAACAGCAATATCCGCATTTGTAAGAATACATAAAATAGATGCAGCCAATAGGGTGATATGGGATGAAGCTCATTTTGGGAAATTTGGATCTCATTATCTTAAACGTGAATTTTATTTTGATGTTCATCCACCTTTAGGAAAACTTTTGGTTGCTTTATCAGGCTATTTAGCTGGTTATAATGGAGATTTTACTTTTGAAAGTGGTTTACAATTTCCAGAATCAATGAACTTTACAATAATGAGAATTTTCAATTGTATGTTTGGAATTTTAATTACACCTATAGCTTATAGAACAGCAGTACTTTTGGAGTACAGTCAGCTTACTTGTTGGTTTATTTCTTTGATGGTTATATTTGAACAAATGTCTTTGACATTATCCAAATTCATTTTGCTTGATTCAATGTTATTATTTTTTGTAGCTTTTACATTCTTTGGGTTGATCAATACTCACAAATTAATAATCAACAAAAAGGAAATGTCAATGAGTAGTATCAAGTGGTTTATAATTACTGGGATCAGTATTGGATGCGTTTGTTCGGTAAAATGGGTTGGATTATTTGTAACAGCCTTAGTGGGGATCTATACTGTTTTTTATTTGGTAGTAGAATTTTATAAATGTGTTGCCTCCAAAGAACGTTCACAATGGATTGCTTATACACAGCAATGGATTTTGAGAATATTCACTTTGATTTTAATTCCATTAAGTATATACATGCTATCATTTAAAGTCCATTTCTTGACACTTAATCACACAGGTCCAGGTGATGGTTCTATATCGACCTTACTACAAGCTTCTTTAATTGGTAACACGATTCAAGCTGGACCAAGATCAGTAGCGGATGAATCGTTGATAACCTTGAGATCACAAGGGCTTTCTCCTAATTTACTTCATTCTCACGCACATACATATCCTGAAGGTTCACAAGAACAACAAGTCACCACATATGGGTTTAAGGATGATAATAACGACTTTATTGTCGAATTAAAGAGACTTACGGAGTCAAATATAATTCAGAACCACGATATTATTAGATTGCGTCACAAAAAGACTGGTTGTCACCTAACTGCCAATGCTATTGGTGCGCCCATATCCAAAAATCATTATGAAGTATCTTGCTCAAACCCCAATCAAAACAATGATAAACATGAATGGATAATTGAAATACAATCTCAAGAAATTTCACCTTCAATTCATTTTCACAATGAGAGTGGAGTAGAGATCCATCCGATTTCTACGAATTTTAGATTGAAGCACAAAGTTTTGGGTTGCTACTTAGCCACTACTGGAAAATCATTACCGTCTTGGGGTTATCAACAAGGTGAAGTTATTTGTCGCTACTCTTTATTTTCCAAAGACAAAAATACTTGGTGGAACGTGGAAGGACATATTAATGAAAATTTAAATCCACCCAGCTTTGATTATGTTCCACCTAAGCCAAAATTTTGGAAGGAATTTTTAGTTTTAAATTATGGAATGATGGCTTCTAACAGTGCTTTGGTTCCTGATTATGATAAATTTGATAAATTAAGTTCTGAGTGGTGGGAATGGCCAATTCTAAATACAGGTCTAAGAATGTGTGGTTGGGGAGAGCATGAAATTAAATATTTTTTAATTGGAAATCCTTTTGTCACTTGGTTTTCAACTTTTTGCTTGGGTACTTTCTTATTTTATGTTTTGTTCAAAGCTTTCCAATATCAAAGACAGTGGTTTAATTACAGTAAAAATGATGATTTATTGGGACAAGGTATTCTTCCGTTTCTAGGCTGGGCTTTCAATTTTTTTCCATTCATATTTATGGGAAGAGTTAAATATTTACATCATTATGTACCAGCTTTGTATTTTGCAATATTTGTTAGTGGATTTATGATGGAAAAACTTATTTATCAAAACAGATATTTTCATAAGTTTGTTACACAACTGGTCTATATTATAGGTTATTTTTTTATAATCTACTCATTTTGGTATCTCAAAGAATTGGCTTTAGGAATGGAAGGTTCTTCGAAGCAATATCATCATAAAAAACTACTAGACTCATGGATGATTTGAAAATTATCCACGAGATGAAATACAATAAAATACAATATTATCTTAAATTTAAATAGACGGTGTAGCAATATACCAAATTAGTCGTCATGGAAGACTCGTTCTAATATCAGCCAGATTAATTTAAGAAAACTGTTCTATCTCCCAAAGAAATTGAAGCGGACGCGAGTCAGCATGTTAAGACAACCGCTGACGTATATTGAGGCTAAACGTACCGCTAGACTTTTCTCTGTATTGAACTCTACGCTAAGAATTTTTGTCCCAAAACTTTTGCGCGAGACTTGCAAATAAATGTGTTAATTCGAATGAATTGATTTTCACTATGAGATCTACCTTTATTATTTCACTAGTGAATCGGCAGTTAATTGTACTTATCGTGGTTGAGTAAGTTGACAACTAAATCATACTTCTGTAAGTTACATTTCCAAAAATCAATCGCATGGAAATCTTGACAATTAGGCTGACGAGACCAAATTAAGGGAATACTCCTTAGAAAATAACTACCTTTTCATACCTTCGTGGACTTAAATTGATCAGTAACCCGTAATAGCTGTCGCTTAACAAATAAATATTTTACCAGTGAAGTAGAACCTACTTTTAACACTTTTGACGCTAGATGTAAGCTTCTTAACGCCGTGTAATGCTCATGTAAAATATTTACTGCATAATTTTGATGCTCAACACGAACTACCACGATAATGCACTATGTATATTATTTTGTTCTTGTTTACAGCTGGTAAAGACAACTTCCATCGTTACAAGGGGGACATGATTTGACCAACGAATGAAGTCAACAAGACTTCGGGGAACTTTATGCAAATCATGCACAAATTTGAAAATGAACTGAATCGCATAAACAGGGGTTTGAACACCCACAAGTTTATGCACACAATCATCCGATCATCATCACTCTAGAACCCGACAATGATAACAAAATTAAATAACTCAACAAGCATGGATCGTCACTCACACTACTACAAAGGTAACATTGATAACTTTGATCCAACATATTAATGAAGTCTCTTTTGGGTATTCAATTCAACAAATAAGTACTATTCAAATTTGAATTGATCAGTCCATAAAAGTAAAAAACTCATTTCTTTTTATACACTAATACAAAAGCAATTTAATTTAAACTTCTCATTAGCAGTTAAGGCTGATTTACTAGCTCAATTCTACACTGTTTCCCAATCATTCCCCCTCCAGATTATACACACTAAATATAGATAGCACAACTAATAAATCACTTTGTACAACGGTGCATATCGTAATTCTTCGTTATTCCTTCTAGCCCGTCAAAACTATACACATGTCAGTACAGGATATTGCTAAATCTACGTAATAGATCGTAACTTCTCAACCCTAATCTATCGATAATGCAAGGGAAAGGTTTAACAACTGCAGATGATTGATAATTTAAATAAGTCCACTCCGAATCATGTGATATAACGTGTATTTCAAAAGCTAGCGGAAACTTCTGGGTATTCTCTCAGATCAAAGCAACATATGCCGACTCTATCAGTCCCCGTAGATAAGTGGTTACGAATTTAACCAACATTCACCCAAGTATGTTAAATTGATGGCATCAAGCAGACTGTAAAACGAAAGACGCTAAACATTTCGTCAGATTAATACGGGGAATATCAACGATACAATGAGCTTCGGAATACCAGAACCTAATACCTGCTATGAAGCAAAATGCTCATAAGGACTCATACGCTAGATGACAGATGATAGAGATTACAAATACCTCAAGTAATATAAATACCTCGAATTATACAAACACCTACCCCCAGAATAAGCAAATAACTCGTTCTAGCATATTTTGGATTGGAAATTCAATGATTAGAATAATCAAACAGCTTTGACGTTGATGAATGGATTATGTTAAAGCATGAAAAGCGTCAATTGAATTAAAATCACTCATTCGAATCGTAAACTTTAACAAGTAAAATTAAGGTTGGCTAATCTATTGACCAAAGCTTGACTTGAAGCCTCATTCCCAACCAAGCTGCCAAAACTAACGGATGATCGCATACTAGTTTAGAACCTGATGAACATAAATCTAACCGATGTAGTAAATCTAAGTGCACATCTAGAGTCGCGAATATTATTGTACCTACCACAAATATTTAAAAACATATACAAGGTACTCTCGGTGATTATTTTTTGAATAAGCTGACCAAAAACCCATATGGATGACCACCTCCCACATGAACGGAAAACTTACTGAAATACTAAAATCGCTTTTCGCATAGAAATCAATGTTTCGTCAACCAAGTTCTTAAATAAAGTCATATAATCTAAACAGCAAAATGATAAACTTTTTGGGGGAATCAGAACAATTTTGTACTGAATATCTGTATGTTTAACATATATCCTTTTATTTCAGGCGACTCATCTTTAGGGATAATAAATAGCATTACAGTTCCGGTTCACATAGCAGTCCCATTTTATAGTTATGATATGTTCTCAGCAGTTCAGATTGTTTCGCCACTCTGATTCATGGATAATCGATCTACTGTTTTAGTGCAGTTACTCTTAATTTTACATATCTTCGTTCTTTTGTATTTTATTATTACTAGAGCCTCTCAATATTTAGGTAAGTACATCTTAATCTATGTTTTATTATCGAAATTCGTTATTAGTATTTACTATATGTCTGCTTTAATGTTGAATATATTTTCGTTATTATACTTGACGATTGATATAAATATTTTTATACTTATAGGGGATTAAAATACCGACAGACATGCCTGGGCTCATACAAAAGTGATTTGATGATTTTGACTAAACCGGCCGTGTGTAGCTTAAATTTTGCTCATTAGTTTCTGAATCAAAAAAAAAATAGTTTCGGGCATGTAGATAAAACAAATTTATAGAGAATATAAAGTATTCATGAAATACGACTGTTGGAGAAAAAACTTGTTGTGACGGTCAATCTATGACCGCCGCAGCAGCAATCAATTAATAGCAATCTAAATTTGTTGTTGTTTATCACAGTATTTTTTACCTATCAAGTATTTTTGGATTTAATCCATGTTGCATCTCAAATTTGGGCATGCAAAACTTATGTTATCCTGTATTTAATAATTTGGGATGATGTGTTAACTTGATTTTGATGTGGGTTTATTCAGATCCTGTTTGCTTCATCTGAACTTCTATATGCTATCGTTTGAATTTTGGTGTGGTGCTGATTATTGCTACGTATTGGTTGTACAGCTCATTGTTAATTTCTTATTAACTTTAAATTTTTATGAAATCGGTGTGTTTGGATTGTAATTTAAATAAGTTTATTTAAGCAAATGTTTCAATCGTTTGCCAATTTCGGGAAAGATTTCATCGGCAGGTTTCAATAAAGCTTTCTAGTTTGAATTCTTATTTGAATCACGTTCCCAGGATTAGTATATTCGAGGTATACTATGCTCATTGTTTTTTTTTTGTTATGCCTATATTTGTTTGATATGCGGATTTTATTTTTTTGATATGCTGGAAATCACTATTTTGATATGCTGGATTTTATTTCTTTGTTATGCTGGAATTCACTATTTTGATATGCTGGATTTCATTTCTTTGTTATGCTGGAATTCACTACTTTGATATGCTGAAATTTATTTCTTTGATATGCTGGAAATCACTATTTTGATATGCTGGATTTCATTTCTTTGTTATGCTGGAATTCACCAGTTTGATATGCTGAAATTTATTTCTTTGATATGCTGGAAATCACTATTTTGATATGCTGGATTTTATTTCTTTGTTATGCTGAAATTCACTAGTTTGATATGCTGAAATTTATTTCTTTGATATGCTGGAAATCACTAGTTTGATATGCTGGATTTTATTTCTTTGTTATGCTGGAAATCACTACTTTGATATGCTTGATTTCATTTCTTTGTTATGCTGGAATTCACTATTTTGATATGCTTGATTTTATTTCTTTGTTATGCTGGAATTCACTAATTTGATATGCTGGATTTTATTTTTTTGATATGCTGGAATTCACTATTTTGATATGCTGAATTTTATTTCTTTGATATGCTGGAAATCACTATTTTGATATGCTAAATTTTATTTCTTTGTTATGCTGGAAATCAATATTTCGATATGCTGAACTTATTTGTTTGGTATGCTCGATTTCGCTATTTTGATATGCTGGACTTATTTGTTTGGTATGCTCCATTTCACTATTTTGATATGCTACAATTTTGCTGAGTTCAAATTTGATATGCTCTATGCTCGATGTGTTTGAGTTTTAAATTTGTTACTTTAGTGTGGAGAGTTGATTATGCGAAATTCCGTTAAGCATAGTCTCTAATTGTTAATAAGCTCAGGACCTTGTGTGGAGTTGTCTTTAGTACCGAAGCCGTTTTTATATCAATTATCAATTTTGCTTGGTGACAGATCCCGATCAACACTCATTTAGCTAAAACTTTAATAAAATTAATATGTAATCTCATTTTTAGACTAAAAAAAATTGAATTTTAGAACCCAAGTCCTTCTTCCAATGATCTCGGTAAATTTTGCTTTTAAAGCTAGTAGAAAGTGAGTGACTTCAATTTAAAAGTTTTCATTTGGCAGTCAAACCTACGTTAGTTAATTATTAAAAGCTGATAAAACGATTTAAAAAATATATAAAATATCGCTTTCCAATATACTATTTGAGGATACATTCAGTATCACAATAGTCTAATAACCAAAATTTTGTATAGAACAACATGCATTTGAATTGAACTTAACACAATTGTTATAATAGATTCATGTAATTCACAAAATTTTGCAATCAAATAAGGTTCTATTTTTGAAAGTGAAAAAATTTAAAACTTTCAAATATGTGCATTGTAACGGTAATTTATACCTTAAGTTAACTTTGCTTTAATGAACAATGAAGTGTTAAACTTGAATAATAGGGCAAACTTTTGACTTGAAGAATATTACATTGCTTTTCAAAAGTTTTTAGTCATTAGGTGATATAGTTAAGTTGAGAAATTTCGCTCTAGTCTGTAATAAATTTATACAAAAGCGAATATATATTTAATTATACTAATACTATATGCAATTTACTCGTTAAAAAAGTAGCTATTTGAGTTTATCATCAATATCATCACCATGATTATCTTAGAAATGATCATTCACTTTTTTGAATGCAACCAACTCAATTTTGGGGATGTCAAATTTTGAATCATGAAGTCTAACTGTTCTTGTTTTTCTTTAATAAATTTTTGTAAAGAAACATAATCATGATCATGTCTTTTTAAATCATTAATCAATTCACTTTCGAATTGAGTAATTTTATCTGAAACTGATATTAATCGACAACATGCTTCAATTTGCAATTCTAATTTTTCTTCTTCCAGTAAGTTTGGATCCACATCTGCGATCAATAATGAAATGGTTTCTTGAATTTCTTGAAAGCATTTACCTTCTTCATTTAACAAATTATTGATTTGATTCTGATTCTGATTTTGATTTTTATAAGAAGAACTCATTTTGCAATAAGCTCTTGAAATAAATTGAAGTTTTTAATATAAACTTTTGAAGTAATGTAAAACAAGTTGAAAAGAAAAATTGATATAAAATAAATTTAAAAAATCTATTGTTTATATTTTGTTTATATATTAATATTACTTAATAGAACTTTATAGCATTAATAATAATGATTAATAGGGGTAGTAGTATAGTAATAGTATATTAATACTATTGTATAATATATTACACAATATTCAATCACTTAATTTGTAGATTATATAAACAATTATTATCAATATATATAGAGTATAGTAGTAGTAATAATATAGTAATATATAATCAATATAAATCATTCATACCAATAAATTGTACTTCTATAATAATAGTTCAGTTTAAAAAACAAACATTATTCATTTTGATCCCTTCGACTCTTTCTGTATTTTAAATGTTTTAAATTTAGAGTTTAGATCAATTGCTTTAAGACTTTGTACATGAATTGTATTATAATAATAACACAAGTAATTTAAACTTTATTTTAAATCTATTGTTTGATTTAATTTAATTTTTATTCTTAGAATTAATTTTTAAATTGGTCAACAAATTTGATAGTAGAATAATTACATAAGTAGCTATCTAGATGACAAATCTATAGAAAGATTTGTTTTTTGGACAATTAGTTCATCTGCTAATGATACAAAAGTTTTCAACGAAATCTCGTATTATAAGAAAAAAAATACTAAATCGTAAATTGACGTCATAAGTAAGGGGTAGGTAGGTCGGTTATGAGATATTGAAGTACAAATATAATGTTTCAAACTTTACCTTCACTTGCACAACAATGCAGCAACTTGCATGTTGTACTTGTGAATCTTTCAAATTCATTTAAGGTACATTTGTATGTTGATTGATGAAAAAAAAGAAACAACCATAAGGGACCAAGTAAAGATACATCTTAAAAATTGCCTGTAATGTTATTTCTTTACCCATACTGCTAGATATATACGTGAGGATTTGATTGAGGATGAATATATTACTAAGGTTATAAACAACTTTGAACAGATCTGAACTTAAAAATTGACTTTGAATTAAACTTCGATAAAATTCGCTATCTCACAGGGGATCCTTTCTTCTATTTCCTCTTTTTTAAATGCTATGGCATTGTTAATGCTTCAATCTCGTTATGATTTGACTTTGTAATGCTTTGACTATGTTCTGCTTCGATTTTGTCATGCTGCTATGGCTTGCTTTAAATATCGTTATGCCATAGTTTTGTTCATGTTCAAACACCAATACAATGATCCAATGTAATTTTTATTATATGTTGATAAATTCGGTACTCATTTCATTTCTTGGAGGTCAGTTGAAGATGTTTCTATTCTTGGCTCTAAATATAGTTTGACTCTATACAATTTTGATTTTGAGTCTATGTACCATCATGTTGACATGGAAGTATGATCTTATCCTTTGAAACCACATTATGTGATTTTAGATTCATTAGTTGAGAACAATGAATTTCCATTACTACCAGAACCAATCTTTACATGATCTTTACTAATAAAATATTTTGAGAGTTATTGAAATTGACTAATGGAATAAATTTGATCAACTCTAATATATTAAGGAAAAAAATTTATAACCTTATTACTGAATTATCATTATTTGAATGTGTGAATCCAAATCATTTTCCTTGTATAACCTAAACTGAGGACAGTTATGAATACCATTATAAAAGCGTATATTTGTACCCTTGCTAATAATTTAAAGCTAAAGTAGGATAAGTCGGAAAAACATTAGGAATCAACTTGCTATGTAATATCTGAGGATGAATATCACAAAAAAACAAAATTTTAAAGATCTAGTAGATAACACGTATTTTGTTGATGATGAGTAAAAATGAATAGAGTTGCTTCAGTTGTTACACGAAACTAATAAAATTTTATTAAATTAAAATTGTAATATTCGAAATTTTTAATAATGTACATTTGTATCGATATTTATAAGTATAATCAACCTTGCTTAAAGGACCAAGAGGAATAAAATTTAAATGAGACAACATATAGTAGAAGAAGTGACTATTGCAGTTACCATTCAATATTTTTTAGTAGGGCTAAGTTGAAAGTTTCGCTCTATATTAATAATTACAAGAAGTAAATATATTTATTAGTTAAAGTAATACTATATGCAAATTACTATTTAGTTAAAAAAAATAGATCAAAATGATTCTAGTTTATTTGAAAATTGAAGTTTTGACTCGTGTTACTATTGTATAATCATTAATCAATCTCATCATCAGTCTTACAAGAAGAACCATCAACATAATTACAAATTCAATATAGATTTAATACGTTCCCTATTTTCGAATCTTTCCAATTTTGCATTAATTTGATTTATTCTATCTTTAAATTCATTGAAGAGATCTCGATTAACTTTCGAAATCAGTGTTTCTGAATAATAATAATAAATTTCTTGATAAATTTTTAATAAATCTATTAGTAATTGAGCTTTTTCAATTGATCTTTCCTTAATTTGCAGCTCGTTATTCAATTCTTTTTTTAACCCAAAGTCCTTTGTTGACCAATTAGCAATTTTTCCAAGTTCTTTTGAATTGATATCAACTTCTCTTTCTAAAATATCAATTTGCTGAATCAAGTCTTTTGTACCTTCAACTTTAAAAATTTTTTTTAATTTTAATTTTACATCTTGTATTCTTAATTTTGCTAGAATAGCTCGTCTTTTTACGAACTCTTTTTTCAATACATTATCTAAATCCAAAATTTCTTTATCAGAAATTTCTTCATCATATTCTAACAAACAACAGATATCAATTGACCGTGATAATTTTTTTAAGGTTTTTTTTCTCTCAATTGAGAAATCATAATCCAATTGTGCTTCAAATAAATTATTTTGAATTTGATTTTGATCTTCGTCAAAAGAGCTCATTATGCAGTGAGCTCTTAAATGAAATCGAAGTTCTTGAAGATGTCTTTTGAAGTTTATAATAAATTGAAAAAGAAAAAGTGATATAAAATAAATTTAAAATTTTATTTGTTTATATTTTATTTATATGTTATTAATATTAATACTTAATAGAACTTTATAGAATTTGTTTTGTTAATTAGTTAATAGGGGTAAGAATATAATACTATGGTAATATAATATATAATATATTATGTAATATATTACACAATATTTAATTACTTAATATATGTAAAATTATATAAACATTTATAATCACAATAAAAAGTGTAGCATTAGTAGTTAATAGTATATTAATATATACTAACCATCTATACCAATGAATAGTAATTCTATAAAGATAAATCAATTTGCAAAATAAAGTAACAAGGTTGGTCCATATATTACTTTCAACTCAATTTATATTCAAAATCATCTAATTGTTTCATATTTAAAGTTTAAAATAATTGATTTTAGACTTCGTATATCTCCTGTATATAAAGTACTGTAAGTAAGTAATTATATTCTATTGTTTAGTTTAAAATTATTAATTTTTGATCTTATTCTTGGTCACTAATACTTAATTTCTCAATTAATCACCTTATTTAATAGTATCATAATTACATAGTTAAGAAATCAACAATATTGCTGCAGGAATAATTCTTCATTTGTTAATAATTTAAAAGTCTTTTAACATATAATCTCGTATTTTAAGACAAGAAAAAACTATTTAAACCATAAATTGACGTCATATGTAAGGGGTAAAGACGGTTATAATCTTATCTTAGATCACAAATATAATGTTTCAAACTTTTCCTTCACTTGCACAACAATGCAGCTAACTACATTTTGTAATTGTAAATTTGACAACTCATTTGATGCATATTTGTAAGTTGAAGGATAAAAAAAAGAAACAGCCTTACAATACCCAAATAGAATATATGTAAAAAACCATCAATATTACAATTCCCTATAAACATCAAGCTGGATATAGATACTCCTTTCAATCTAATTGCGGATTGATATATTTACAAAAGGTTTTATGCATCTTTTAGCCTATACACTAAACCAAACTCTAGAATGAATTTCCAAGAAACTAAGCTATCTCTCACAAAACCGTTCTTTCCATCTTTTGAATTTTTGTAAATTATTTAATGATCTTGATAAAATATTACTTTTTAAATGAAATTAAGCATTGCATAGAAAGCTCTTTATTTGAGCCTCTCGTGCCATAAAATTTGAATCTAACAGTTCATTGAAAAATAACAACAAAACGTTTTGTGCGGTCCAAACACGAAAAGATAAAAAACATGTATACTTCCATCAAGTACTCATTATAGAAATTACAACTATCAGTTAGTTGTTAAAGCTAGACTTATTAAATTTCCTTTAAGTTCATTTGCTAGGCTATTAGTAAAAGATAACAGAGCTACCAAATACACCAGCCTCAATTCAATTTATGTTTCAATTTTTATTTTGCGATGAACTGTTTTATATTAACCATTTCGAATTATTTTGTTCACGTACCTAATAATGTTTTACCAAAATTTGGTGAAATAATCAAAGCATTTCCAAACTGATTAATCCGTATCAAGATTTACCAGCTACGCTTTTAAATATCTAATGAATTAATTTCATATCTTATGCCGTACATATTGTTTAAAAGTTCAACATCAACTCAACAGATTTCACAAGTTTAAAGATCATTGAAAATAATTAAAAGTGAACCACCAACTTCACCAAATTATGGCGGATCCATTAATGCTTCTAAGAAATATGGAGTTTCAAGAATGAAAGTCCATTGAGGCTCAAGAATTTCCTTGTTCAATATTTTCAACATAATCTGCATTAAAGTTATTTTAACCTGGTACTGAAAAAATTATCATATTGCAATATTTTACTTGCTCACTGCCTATAATTAATAGTAAACCTATGTGACACCAAAGTTGAATATTCATTTCAAACAAAAGATTCAGAAAGGAAAATGTTACTTTTATTGAGTTCAACTGTTACTAATCAAGTTTGTGAAGAACGTGTAACTAACTTACTTTAAAATTCTTCATCTTTTGAGACTTTTTTCGATCATATGTTTATTTCATTACCTTCATAGTGAAGTGTCAAGATTGTGTTAACACAATTGGCTTGCTCATTCATCATCCACTACCAAAAATCAAAGCTTTAGATACCGCTATAGTTTAAAATGAAAGGTTCTTGAGTCATTCTATTAAGCTCAAAGTTTTACTACCATTTATACTTCTAGAGCTTCATCTTTTTCAAATTCAATAGTCCAACATGCTAAGTGCAACTACTTTATCCAGGCCCATATTCAATCCTAAAAATTATGAACTGGTGAGGGTTCAGATGTTCTACTTACAAGTTTCAATCACGAAAAATCCATTTGCACTGAAACTAACATTTCATTTTGATGTTGCTATTGTTAATTTAGCTTTGGAAAAAGTAAGACACATTTTGAAAACAAAACCATTTAGTTAAAGATTTGTTCAAAAACCACTAACTGTATGTTCTGATCAAGATAAACTTGGTCAAATACATTACAACAAAATAATTCTTTCAGCAAATTTCAAGTACGGCATACTGACAACTAAACGCAGTTATTTGAGGCGAACATTAATTGATCATGAACTACGTACGAAAACACTCTTCCGAAAAATTAACTGCAATACCCATCATTTTGCAACAAAATATCACAGAAAAAAGTCAAGCGGCAAAAGGAATAATTTCACCAGATCAAAAATTGTATCATATTAATCAAGTGAATATTTTCAAGGGTTGTAACAAAAGAAATTTATTGGTTGTCAAAAATAAATAAAAGTATGGACTTTACCTTCTAATCGAAACAACTCAATTGAATCTATAGTTTGAAGAAATATGCTGACACAGACTCAAAAGATCCCTAAGCTAAAAAAATGATCAAGTTTTGCTTGAATTGAAATTAATTAACTTGAAACACTCCGACAACCAAATCAACAAATGGAAACCAGTATTTCTACCTTTTGATTAAGTTTAAATACTTTATCAAAATGATATCATGAACTTTCAAAAGACAATATAGTAAGAAAATAAAAAAAATATAACAAAATGCAGAGGTTTTTAGTGGGTAAAACTGAACTGCTAATTCAAAATTAAACTACGAAATAAGTATATAGAAATTATTAGTTAGAAATCTTTTCTTTTAGACTTAATTTATTCTTTTACTGTTTAGCAAGCTAGACTACTAATTTAATAAACAATCAATAATGAAAAAACAAAATTAACTTGAGTCTACAGCAACAGATTCAAAACGAAAAACCTTTGATATAGCCATTTACGAATTACAGACGTACTTACTATTTCAAATAACAACAACAGATAGCTTTTATAATGATGCAGTATTCATTTTCTAGTATGGATGAGCTAGAGAATAACAACTAAATTTTGAACATAAATTTTGTTATTAGGCTAAGTCTGCTTAAACTAAATAGAGTCTACACGGCAGAAATTTTTAGAAGGCAAACAAATTTAAAAGGTGCAGTTAAATGAGAAGCAAATTTATTAAGCAATTTATATACCACTTTATGCAAAATATAGTTATTCAATTATTGCGCCAACTCGACCCTGTGTAAAAATTATTATTCGAAATGAAAAAATGATTTACATATGTGTTTTCTACCCTTTTATTGTTATTTGCATGACCATTAGTACTATCATTATTTAGCTGCTTTGAAAGGATTAAAAAAGATCCTTTGGGTGTTGGCTTCAGCAATATCATCATTTCTCCCATCATCAATAATAACATCATTTCTCCCATTATCAATAATAACATCATTTCTCCCATCATAATTTATATCATTATTATTGCTTTCATCATCTGGCACAGTAATAATTTCATTTGTCGATTCTTCATCCGGCACAGTAATAATTTCATTTGTCGATTCTTCATCTGGCACAGTAATAATTTCATTTGTGGGTTCTGCATCTGGCACATTATCCATTTCATTTGTAGATTCCGCATCTGGCACATTACCAATTTCATTTGTATGTTCTTCATCTGATAATATATCAATCATTATATCATTATTGTCTTCTTCTTCAATTTCCATGTTATTGTCTGGCATTTCCTGGTTGATTACCTCATCTGGTAAAATATCAATTATTAAATGATCTTCATTTTCCAAGCGTCCACATATTTGTTGAACTCTACTATAATTTGATATATCGGAATTATGACTATGGAGCATAATATTTTCTCTAATAGTTGGGATATCTTCATAGTGATTTTTGTAATAAGTAAATGATTTTATAATATAAAATATTTGAAAGCTTTTTTTACAATTGACTAACGATAAATTGTAAAAGGGTAAAAATTTGACTTCACGTTGGTCCCCCACACCAGCTTCATTATTAAGTTCAAAAAAACCATAAAATCTTCTAACAATTGAATTTCTACCAACATTTCGTTCTAAACAACTTTTGAATTGTTTTAAAGTCATCATTCTGTTCAATTCATCAATTGCAGTTCCTGGTAGTTGAAAATATTGATATAAACTGGCTTTATTTACATGTACATTACTCAAATTATGATCAAATTCTAAAATTTGTAAGTCAGGCTCTGCCAATAAGATTCTATAGAATTTGTAACCAATATGGTGTTGTATAATATCCCTAAGATTATGGTTGTCACCGTTGATTACAACTATGACCAAATGATTTTCGTTATAGATAATGTAACATCTAGAAAAATCTTCTAAGAACATGAAGCTAATAGCATAATCCTGTTTCATTGTACTTCCTAATAAATCTTTAGAATAAAAAATAAAATAATTCTGTCTTGTTACGTTATTATAATTCAAGTAGCTAAGTTGTAGTTGTTGACGAAGAAACTCAATAAGGTTTTCAGTTGATTCAGGTAATAAATTGGTCTGTTTGTTGATGATAAGCTGATTCAAATAATTTTTGTTTGTTAAAAAACCTTGTTGGAACGCCAAGAAGTGTTGCTGAAAGTTTTCATTTAGGACGCATTGGTGACCGTAATGATTACTTGTGATTAGTATCTTCAAGTCAATATAATTTGTGATTAACATAGCCCCACATCTATCATTGTGTGTACATTTGTACGCACTGGGCAGAACTGCTAATAGTTGCAAGCCGATTACTAATACTTCTTGACATTGTTGCAAAGCAGCTAAACTTCTGAATGTTTTTATAAAATACTCATTATAATGCTCCCAATTAGTATATATATAATCAATATTCTGATCGACTGGTAAATTGAATGATCTTGGATTATATTGTTGAGCTTGTAATTGTTGATTTCGGTTTTGATTCATGTTGATTAAAAATTGATCATAATGAAAATCTTGGTTGTAAAAATAATTAATTTTATAAATTGATTATATTATATTTGAATATCTTATAATATGTGTATTATCTCTATAATAATAATAATAATAATAATAAAAATCATAAAAAATCTATTTGATTTTGTGTAACCATACACTCAAAGTCGCATTTTCAAATGTTATGACATAAATGATAAATTATAATAAACGTCAGTTACAGAATCATTAGTAATATTTTTATAAAATGTTCAATTTAAAATATGCAATTATAACCTCTCGAAATCTTCCTGTAATTTACCTGATAGCGTACTTTTTTGATTATTTTGCCATATAATGGTCACTAAGTGCTGAGAGCTTGATTTGTAACAACATCCTTTCCAGCAGACGTGAGTTCGCTCATTTTTTCGTTAAAGAAGTCTTTCCTCCTTAATTTCAATATCCAATTTCAATTCGTCTTCTTCTGCTCTGATAATCCATTCTGAAAATCTTCGACACATTCTTTATATTCTTCGATAAAGCTGAAACTTAAATCGGAATTATAGGGTATAAAAAAACCTTTAAGCTATCGGTTTTTTTTTTTTGACCCTTCGTTCTATTTTGTTAATTTCATTTGTATTCTCATTTATTAAATTGGTGACGTAGCTGGGTTCTTTTGAGTGACTAAGTCAATGCTTTAAAATGGGTCTTGGTTCTGCTGGATGCAATTCGAAAGTATCTACCTTAAATTTGTTTTGCCATATTCTTATTATTGCAAGCGTTTGATGATTAGTGATTGCTTGGGATTTCAATTCTTTTCATTTTTTCTATTATGTAACTTATTTATTAGGTAAGCATTCTATATAGTTAAGTAGTTTCCTTATTCGTAAATTATTTCCGCTCTACTTAACACTAATTTCATTTATTCTGTCTATTATGGACATAAGTTATAGTCAAGTTAGATGTACCAAATAATTTGATGGATGTTTTATAGCTTGAATAAGTGGATGAATAACAAATGTAGCTTGAAAATAAATTTTGAATATAGATCTGTAACCTATTATAGAGTCTACGCAAGAGAATCTTTTAAGGAAGGAAATTAAACCAAAAAGTGCAATTTGGATGAGAGATAGATTTAGTAAGCAATTTATACCAATTTACGTAATATCTAGTTGAATATTCAATTGTTCTTTTATTTGCGGAATTTTCGTTAGATGTTGTTATGAACCTACTACTTGCACCATGTTAGAACTAATGAACGTAATCAAGTTTAACATGTTTTCTAATTCTTCCTTCAAAGCTCTCAAAAAATTAGTAAAAGTTTCATGAAATTTTGAATGAGTCTTTAGGTATGAAAATTCAAAAAGCTCTAACTTCAAAAGAATAAGCAGGCCCCATATTTCTTTAGTTCGATCTTTATATTCCAGAACTCTGACAAAATCCGTTAGATAATAAATATATATTCTATCTTTATTACTTAATTATTTAAGTCTTTAAATTTATATTCTATATTCAATGCACTAGATATTTCATTTTCCAATAAATCAGTTAAAGCAGTTCCATCTCTCAAAGTGATCCATTTTCCTTCAATTAAATCATATCTTTTTGGCCCACTTACCGGTGAACTTAACCATATTTGTTTATTTGGTGGTTGTTTGTTTATCACATAGGTTCCATGAGGTGGTAAGTGTAAGGTTAAAACCCCATGACTAAGTTCTGCATCAACTTGTTCGTACTCTTCATTCAAATCTTCTAAAGATTCTGCTAAATTATCAAGATATTCATTTGATATATTATTATACTCTAAATCCAGAATTTTGTCTATTTTACCTTCCAAATTTTCTCCTTGAGTACTAACTGAGTAGAATCTTTTACTGATATTTTTTGAAAGGTTTTCATGATTGATATTTTTGCGATATATTAGGTTGTAATTGAATATTTGGAATGTGTGGCTAAAATTTTTGATTGACTTTGAATTTATCAAATGCTTGGAGCTTCGAAAAGAACTAACTTTTATTAGACTTCTAAACATTCTTTTCTGATATCTTGTAGCTCGATCGTTTAAATGTATAATTCAAAGATCAATTGATTTGAATGATATTATTCTAATGGCTGAAGTTAGTGTCTCCACAAATCTATAAAATTAGTTGAATCTGACCGAGAAATCTTTAAAAGTCGGTTAGAATTAAAATCATAACTATTAGCGATGATTATCTGCTACCAAATCTTCTCAATTTTTAGAACTTGATTTAACTTACCAAAAAGATCATTAAATTTTTCAGCTTCAATTCATAGTCTTCAATTTTCAATTATATGAGAGACTGAATATTCTGCTCAAGCAAGTTTTCTATTATTAAAAATGTTTTTACTAATCATATTCATTGCAATTATCATCTGCATTTTGATGCTATTGTTACCATATTATTCAGGTTTAACGTCAGTGAAAATTGAATCAAATCATCATAAATATCAAACAAAGAATAAGAAGAGAGATAATCATGAACCTTCGATTCTGGCCAAAAACAACAATGAATATGGATATGTTTCACCAGACAGTTTTCTTAGTGGTGAAGAGAACAAAGATGAGGGATTTTTAAAACATAGTGCAGCTGCTTTAAAGGATAGGTTGAAGTTAAATCAAGAAGACATGCCTATCAAAATTCAATTAAATAATGGTTTATCAGATCATTCTGGAAATATTGATGGTGAATTAAGGAAAAGAAGAAAAGAGAAACTTGATTTAAACACTGATCCGAATTCATATGATTATGATTTAGACGAGTTAATAAAAGAAGAAACAAATTATGCGAAAGAACAACAACAACGAGAATTTTACAAGAATCAATTGTTTGGGGAAGAAAAAGAGGCAATGGTTTAACAAGGCTACTTGAGATCTTATATTAGATTTTTTGTGTTCAAATTCGCGATGGTTTGCATTATAAGGTAGAGATCGGAATAAATTTCAAATCCATTTGCTTTTAGATTTAGCTTTCAACAACCATTTGCTTAAATCCACTTGCTAATCAAATGCTTACATTTTAATGGCTATTACACTAAGTATCAATTTTGTCTCCGAGGACACATTTAAGCTAGTATGTTCAATTTGTGTAAGTATTTTGCTAATTTTAATAATTTCTGATATCACGAATAAGAATGAAGGCGTCAAAGAAATTTTCAAAATTCCAACAGAAATTCCTATATTTGGTCATTGGTTTGAAATACAATCTAATCCTTCTTTTGTATTTTATTTTTGGTGGAGAAAATATAATCAATCAATTTTTCAAATTAAAGTTGGTTCAAAAAAAGTTATTATAGTTAATTCATATGAGGATGTAGCAAATTTATGGATCATGCACTCTTGTCAAAATAATTCACGTCCTATGAGTTATACATTTCATAATGTTGTCAGTTCCTATCAAAGCTATACAATTGGCACTACTCCTTTCAGCTTCACTTTTAAAACCAAAAGGAAGCATTTGGGTTCATTGTTGAAAAAAAATTCGTTGGAGACTTTGTTACCTATAATTAAGAGTGAAAGTTGTTATATTGTGGGGCAAATCGTCAAAGATTTCAAAGAGGGTGAGTCGATCAACTTAAGAAGTTACTTTCAATTCTTCGTGTTAAGATGTTGTATACACATGAGTTATGGCTTAGTTTTAGATTGTTTTGGGAAAGATAAGGAGCTTTTCATTAACATTATTCGAAATGAAAGCGAAATCATAAGGTTGAGATCACCGTTTTCAAATATTCAAGATGCAATACAATTTTTAAGATTCTTGCCCTTAGTGAACAATACAGAATTTGCCCGGGAGTGTTCAATAAAAAGAGAGAAGTATATGACTTATTTGTACAAAAGGTTATTGGAGGGAATGGATCAAGGAAACGAGGAATGCATGAATAGCTTAGTTGGGAGGTTAATTCAGGGTAAATGTAAGTATGACTTAATTGATCAGGAAATTAATAGCATTTGTTTAACCTTGGTAAGTGCAGGTTTAGATAACACGCCCTTGACTTTGGATTATACTTTAGGAGCTTTATCACAACCCAAGACTGGATTAATATTACAATCTAAAGCAAAGGAATATTTTAAAAATGAAGACAACAGCTATGGATTACTCAGTTCCAATAATTATGAAAAAAGCAATTCTTATATTGTTGCAATTCTTTTGGAATCATTGCGGCATTTCACTGTACTACCATTGGGATTACCAAGAGAGACCACTAAACCAATACATTATAAAAATATATTAGTCCCTTCTGGCACGATGCTTTTAATGAACGCATACGCCGCGAATCATGATCCTACCTATTTTCATCAATGCTTTCGATATATACCTGAACGTTGGTTGGATGAGGAAGGTATGATTAACTACAAAGCTAAAAAGTTTCAACATTTTGCATTTGGAGCAGGTTCTAGGATGTGCATCGGACAAAATCTTGCAATGAATCAAATGTATGTTTTTTTATCAAAATTTTTGTTGGAATTCGTAATTGAACCACCAGAGGAAAAACATTTAATGGAAATGAACCCCTTTATCAGTAATGCCAACGCTAAAGCCACATCTTTCGAGCCTAGGTTTCACAAAGTGCGATTGAAAAAGAGATATCAAAAATATGACTTCATACAAACAGGATGACTATTAAATCAAATAATGGCTTTGTAAATAGCTATTTAGCACGTACATAAACAAATACATTTTATCCACTCTTCGTAATATTAAAATAGTACAACGTAGGATCAATATAACCTGTTTTTCTAACAACGACAGATTTAGTGCTTGCACCTAGTGGTAATTCATATTTCAAGACACCTGTAATAATCAAATCAAATGGATTTTCACTAATTATTTCCCATTTTTCAGTATTATCCTGACCAGTGTCATTAGAATAGGTGATTAATGTAACGTTTTTGCCAGGGTTCAATAATTTAATTTCACCTTTTTGGACAGTAGGTTCCCTTGAAAAAAAGCCGCCTTCAAAATTCATTTCTGATTCTAAACTAGTTATTGTACCCAATTTCACGGTTTCAACTTTTGATGAAGAATCTTTAACGTGGTATTCTTTGGACACATCCATAACATCTGGAAGGTATCCGCTTCTAGCAAATAAATCTAATTCAACCTCTTTAATATCGACGTTAAACCAACCAGGATTGAATGCCTCCACTACAATATTGAAAACAAGTTCATCTTTACTAACAATTGGATTTTCAATGGACGTAATCCCAACGTCTGTTAAATCTTTTGTGGTTGCCATAACGAAACCTAAAATAAATCCGACTGATAATATGACCACAATGCAAATCAATGTATAAATAAATGATTTAATGCAACTTGATCTTTTTTCAAATTTTTGATCTAAATAGAAAGGTTGTCCATTCAAATGATTATTATTTGTAAAATTCCTAGAACCTTTTTTATGCATTGGTAAGTCCGGAAGATCAAAATTGTACGATCTGTTCGAATTTTGATCAAAATCATCAATATCATAATAAAAATTGTGTTGTTGCTGTTGTTGTTGTTGGTGTGGTTGTTGAACATTGTCATTATATGGAAAAGGAAAAATATTTTTGTTCGAATCATGATCAGAATTACTTAGTGGCTGACCTGTTGATAAGTATCTTCTCTGGCGTTTAGATCCAGATGGATTCATGTTCAATGATCTATAATGAGGAATTTTCTTCTGAGGATTTTTCAATAAAGATGATGATTCATTAGCATGTGGAAACTTAACATTGTTGTCGTAGTATATAAGTTCGTCGTCAAAATCTTCAATATCTATATCGTCAGGTATAGTACTATATCTTCTTGGTTGAGAGCCCTTTTTATCAAATAATTTTGACGTGGTGGATCTTAGTTTTGAGGAAGTTGTTGATGATTTACAGTTTTTTCTTGACGTGTTTTTGCTGGAAACCGAATGAGTTGTAGATGATGAAGGAGCATGCAAATGCTGTAATGATGATATTTGTGCATGTGTTGGTACTACTGTATTAAATTTTTCAGCATCATCTTCTGAGGATGCGTGTTCTACCATATCATCATCAATTTCGTTGTATGAGTAGGCATCGTCCTGGCGATAAATATCACCTATCGAATGACCTATTGTTGTATTTTGAATGTCAATTTGACCTTGATTTTGATTTTGCTCAATAACTGGTGTATGATGAATTTGTGAGGAGTTAGCTTTGCCATTATCAGACTCGGAAATTGAAATTGAAGACAGGACCGGATAATTCTGGCGTTTGAATGCAAGAGGTTCTAAATGGCTAGCACTCGTCATAGAATTGACTATCGACGGAGCCTTATTTCCCTTTGATTTAACTTTTTCTGCTTCATCCTTAGCATTGAACCCAATACTTCCACTTACACTTACATTATCCAATATGTTGAATTGATTTGGGGTATCGTCATCATCATCATTGTCATTTTCATAAACAAAAGTCTCATCACTATCGCTACTTTCGACATCATCAACGGCACTCGCTAATTTCGCAGCAAAAAAATCGGTTTTAGTTGAACTTTGTTTTGCTATTTTTTTGTGCTTAGATTGTTTGTTGGTGTCTGATAAATTTGTGACCGAGGACATGTTTAGTCCAGAATTATTAGGGTGATTCATGAAATTAGGTTGCTGGGATTGTTGAGCCTGAGTAGCTTGTTGTTGAGTTTGATGTAAAAATTTTGGAGGCTGAGAAATTTGATGTTGGGGATTGTCTTGAGGATCTTGAGGTTGTGACGATACATGTTGCCGCGATGGATAAAGTTTCGAATCGATATAAGATTGCTGACTTGAAGCTTCATGAGTTTTCAGAATATCATCATTATTATTCAACTTATTAGTCAGTTTTGGATTTGACACACCTGGAGTGGAGACTGCACTATTATTGTTTCTTAAGTTGGTTAAGGTAGGGGCAATGTCGGAATTGTGGGATTTGGAGTGTAAAATAGGAAAAACTGTAGATTGAGGTGATTTGTTTATTATGTTGGATATCAAAGTTGGATTTTTAGGATGAGGTTCTCTAGAGTGAATGATTTTTTGTTTAGCCTTTAGTGACTTATTAATATTTGAAATTGAATTCTTATTTAGGCTCGGAGAATGTGACGCTTGTGAGATGTTACCAATTTGATTTAAACTTGTTGATGAATGATTTGTCGACAACGGGCTTTTGAGCACATTACCGTCTAGTATCGATGATGTCGTTACGATATGTTTTCCCTGTTGTGGAACTTTGTCCTTGTAATTTCTATTTCTATGATCTGTATTGATTGCTAACGATTTATGATTCTTTGACGGTGATACTTTAATTGGCTCGTCAACTTTTGTATTATTGGAGGTGTGGTTTATATCTGGTATGGTCTTATTGGTTTCATTAGACGTATTTTGACTCAGTACTTCATTGCGTTGTTCTTCTGAAGTTTCATTGGACATAGTTGTCGTATCATCTAATTATCCTACGCATATAAAATTTGAATCACAAATATAAATATGATGAAGTTAGTTGAATTTAGTATTTGAGTGGAAAGAGTTTTTGAACTCTTTAAAAATGAAATATATAATATAACTTTCCCAAAGTACTTGATAGTGTAAATTATAATGGTATTATTATTTATTTATTAGATTTGATATCGTAAATAATGCGTGCTTCTGAGCTACCAAATATTTTGTGCCAGCTGCTTAAGTTAAAAATTTACGATAAGCAATAAGTTTATGTCATTCTACAAATATTATTACAAAATTCATACACATTTCATTATACAAGGATGATAAAAGATATGAGTTTTTTTTTTTATTTTATTCATGATGGGTTGAAAGGTATGATGTATTCACTTCCCCATTGATCATAAACACTTTCATTTTTTTGATAAACCTGCTCTTGAGTCAATTGGCTTGGTTGAGTTTCAGGGAAAGTTGAACCTTCTTTCGTGTAGACATTATAAAATAATCCATATGAATTGAGAAGCTCTTGATCTAGACCTGTTTCACCTAGTTCTCTCGCCAAAATTTTATCTTCTTCATCCAACTCTTCATCATTTAGTAAAGTATTTTGCGTTTGTTGTTTCTTTGGTGTGGATTCACGAGTAAAGCTATTTTGATAATGTAGTGGATGATGTTGAGAAACCGGTCGTTCTTTTGATTCCTCGGAGTTTTGGAAATTCTTTTGACCTGGAAATTGATTTTCTATTTGATTTTGATATTCAGGTGGTTGTTGATTTTGACCTTCATACCGACGCTGAGAGTATCGGTGATTTTGCACTTGGTTGGTAACTTGGTTTTCAACTGGAACTCGTCTATGTTGGTTCAGCAATTGCCGTTCCATTTGATGTCGTTGGTGAACATTCATTTGATTTTGAGCACTCAGAGAGTGTCCAAAATTGTGATTTACATCAAAATTTTCATTTCGTTGCTGAATTTTGTTTTTATGTATTGGTACCTCTGTTAAATTCCGCATTGTTTCCCAAAAATCTAATCCTTCTTCATCCTCCTCCTCTTCATGCAACTTCTGATTAGTTACACCCAATACTGTGCTTGGTCTCATTTTTGAATTGTTGCCAGTTTTAAATTTTGAATTTTCAGCAGCAGTAGCCAACTCAACTGCTTGTGTAAGAGGAGTCATGGCATTTGAATCCGACCGATTTTCGTTTTGATCGTCAGTATTTAGTAACCTCAAAAGATCTGATTCACCTCGATTTGCTTCTTCAGTCTTTGAATTTAAAAGGTTTTCCAGTGGCGAGTCCTGGTGATGGTGGTGATGATGATGATGATGATGGTGTTGAGTGGTAGTTGCATCGGTAAATACATTTGGAGCTGAGGAATTTAATTTGGGTACTTGAGTCATTGGTGGTAAATAATTGAAGTGCAAAAATCTTGACATTTGTTCTTCGGGTTCTACAATACTACCTGGTGTACCTGAATCACGTCCAGAATTCAGTGAGTAATGATGATGCACATGTTGGTGAATAACTATCAGTAAAGAATTTGATCTTGCATAGTCCACTAATAATTGAGCTGTCTCGCGATCTTTAATAGCTCCTACTTTAGATTTTTCTGACTTAAATTCAGCATCTGTTGACTTTGAGTTTAACTGATAAAGCCATTCTACTTCGGTTTTAATGTTATTGTTTGGTTCAAGTTTTCTTCTTTTTACTTTTCTTGCTGCATCTGAATCATCATATGATTTCGATAGTTCTTCTTGTTGACGAGTCAAGTTTTCCAAGACTTCAGATGAATTACCATTAGTTACATTTTCCACTTCTCTTTTAATAATTGGATCTGCTTTTCCCCTAACCACTTCGGTGACTAATTTTCTCCATCTATTTCTGCAAGTTAATGATGGTCTGCTCTCAAAGGCACTACAAACAGTTCTCCATTTGGTACCATATAATTTAACTTGTTTAATTAATAATAAATCCTCCTCTTGTGTCCAAGGTTTTAGTCTGTCCTTAGTCTTCGGGTCAAGCACTTCCATATATCTTTTTGCACATTGATCATCAGTTCTTCCCTCTATCTCTTGAGCAACTTTTAACCAAGATGTACCAAATTTTTCAAAAGCTCTCACTAACATTTCATCTTCTTCCGTTGTCCATTTCCCTTTACGCAATGCTGGATCTAATGAGTTGCTCCATCTTTTGCGGCAATCCTTACTTTTTCTAGAACCGTCTGACGAAAGTAAATCTGAAATTTTGTCCCAATCAACTGAATCTATGTTATTATTGTTTTGACTTAATTCCACTTGCAATAACCTTGATAATTCAGCATCTTCCTCTTTTGTCCAAGGTTTCCGCGCCCCTTTTCTAAATGTCTGAAACCCTAATGATTCTGTTACTGCTAATGGATCAATTGGTACCACTCGCTTTCTTGAAGATTTAGTGTTATCGGTTTGATTCATATTCTCTCCAACTTTACTTCTCTTTACTTCATTAGTTAAAATTCAGTTTTTTTGGCAAATATATTTATTAGACTTCCAATATCCAATTTATATAAAATGGGTCTCTATTGTGATATATAGTGTGGTGCTGACTTTTGTAGTAATTTTTGATAATATACTTAAAGTAATCAAAGTTCGCTATCAAACAATTATAAATAATCGTTAATACTAAGTGTTTTACATTTGTACTATTAAACCGTTTTATGATTCAACAAAAATTGGTAGCTCATTTGCATGAGATTATGCATTCTGCTTATCGTGAATTTATACAAGATCATCATGGGTGTCTCTATCAAAAAACTTCTACATTTGTGGCTAATACACGATATACTAAAAACATTATGGTAAAGTATACGAAGAGTTGACGTTATGTATCCTTGGGCTTTAATTCTGCGTCTCTAATCTCTTTGTTCTCTATCAATCGCAACAAATTTCTTAAAAGTATTGATATAGTCACCTTACCAATTGAAGGAACGTATAATCCAGCTCTTTGTTTAATATCGTCATCAAAATTTTTGAAACTTGAAAAATTTATGACAACAGAACCATGAGTAACAAGATCGACTGGAAACTTGTAATTTTCTGAAGGAACTCCGGTGATTATGACATCGCATTGAGGAGCTAAAGTTTCAACAGTATCTTTTTCGTCCAAATCTACGACCAAATGTCTATGCTCCAGTAAATCATCACCTCTAGTAAATTGTTGAATGTTATTTATGTCAACTGAATAGACAATTGCTCCATCATTTGCTAATAATGCAGCTAGTGGTCTCCCAACAATTTCAGATCTATTAACAATCAAAACTTTTTTCCCGTATAATCTGTTTCCATAGGGTAAAATATTATTATAAACCCCCAAATACTCTAGTATTTTAACCATTGCCAAAGGTGTACATGGTAATATTGATTTCTGTTGGTTTTGAGGTGGATCTAGGAATCTAACATTATGATATAAATTATGATAATATAGAAAATTTAATCCCTCCACATCTTTTTCAGGTGATATTAATTGTTGTAAATATTGATCTTGTTTATCTCCAAATACCGGAAAATATACCATAATTCCATTGACTTGATCATCTTTATTTGCTTTTATTAAGGAAGTTTCCAATTCATTCTTATTCACTTCAATTAATTTGTAATTAAATCCCAATGATTCACAAGTCTTTCCTGTCCAATTGGCATACATCTTTGCAGCTGGATCTCCATTTGCCAAAAACCCAACAAGAGTTGGTCTAAAACTCAATCTTTTAACGGCTGAAATTACCTCTTCTTGATATGGTTTGGCGATAGTTGAAGCTAGTATGGTTCTTCCGGCTGGTCTAGACATCTTGCACGAAACTTATCCAAATTTTGAAAATGATTCTTCTTATTTGCAAATCAAGTGATATTGAATTTCTTGCAATGGTTTATACAACACGAATGTAGTTCCAATTCTATTTGATGAAATTTATTAGATAAATCTTTGATGTTACAAGCACATTGAACTTTACACAAAAATAAAAAATTAGAGTACAGTAATTAAATTTGACTCCCTCCCCTCTTTTCTCATAAACTCGAAATCTTAGTAGAAGTATCTTTTGAATAGTTCACAGAGATTATAGGCAATATACATCAATTGGCAAGTTTCGTTTATTGAATCAGTACTGATTCCTATTTTGCTAGTAACAGTTTCACAAAGACAAGGGTCATCTTAAATGAGCAGAAGCGTTCTTATACAAACTTTGCCAAATATAAGCTTCACTAAGCATCATCTCAACATCTTTTTCCTTCCAATCCGATGTAGGCGGGTTTTGTAAAAACAATAAAATTTCTTGAAAATCCTTTTGTTGCAAAATAGTTGAAAATTTAACCAAAAATGCAGCGCATACATAAGTATGAAACGTGTTAAATCCTAAAGGTTGCTCACTCAAATAGGTATCCCACATTCTTATAATAAGATTTATAGGCATTTCTCTCATTAACAAACAATTCATCCATCGAAAAGAAAATTGCAAAAATTCCACTCCTTCGTTTTCAAAATGTGTTAATAAATTCTTATCTATCTTTGTCATTAAATTTTTTAACTCATTTACTTGTCTTATAATTCCGGGTTGCTCGTGTATGTAATTATCGGTTATATTTTCCAACAACCTTGATAAGCACCAGTATGTGTCTGCTTCAATAATTGATGTTACTCTTTTACTCAATAATGATGTATCAAAATTATCCAAACAATAATGCTCTAACTTTGGATCGTCTAGTAAGGATATTTCTTTCTCATCTATATCATTTCCCGTTGCCAAATATCCAGGGATAAATAATTCATCATCATCGTCCCCTTTAAATTTCTTCCTTTGTAGTTGCCACAAATAATTATTCAAAAACAATTGATAAAATGGAGTTGCTAAGTCATTTATACCTTGGACATACCCACTTGCCGGATGTCTGATTGCCCAGAGATATAGTACTTTTCTAAGTGAAATTTGGGTTTTTTTATTCGTGTATAATGGAATTGTTGGGTTGGTTCTTTTGACATCAATTTTAATTTGATGATATAGTAGTTTTTCTCTGCTAGCGCTTGATAACGAAGATGTCAGGTTATTTTCTGCTTCATCAAAATCTATTTGAACATTTGAGATTCCTTCCAAATACTCTTGTCTTTTTCTTTTCAAAGTAGAATTTTGTCTAGCTTTATTGGTCGGAAGATAACCAAGTAGTAGTAACCAAGATAAAGCTCTTAGTTCATGCGGTATACCATTCCATGATAATTTTCTCAATTCTTGTAGGTCAATGATATTGTTGGCTGTTAAGATTGTTCTAAACTTTGCGAACTTGCTATTTAATTGATTTAATTTATTAATTTCAATTTTTGTTTTCATATCCTCGATGTCCATCGATTCTTTGTTGATGTTTTCGCCATTTAACTGAACAGTTAAATCAGGGTATAATGAATCAATCACGGGACCCGAGTAAGAAGGTTTTGATTTGAGCTCTATATCTGCATCCCAATCATCATCTGAATCTTTATACTTAACACGTCTTTCTGATTTTGAAGTTGATGAAATATTCCCACTACTACTGCTTCTATAATTGCTGCCTTGTAATGACGGAGTATGATTAATATGTGGACTTGAGTTGTTGTTTGACTTCTTATACGACAAACTGCCGTATATATTGCTATTTGCTTCTTCTATTGAATCTCTACTACTGTTTCCTGTTAAAGATAAATTCTTCAAAAATGATGATAAATTTTTACCTTTCCCACCCTGTACTTCAAAAATAAATTCATTTGATGATCCATTATACACTTGAGCCATCTCTTGTTTCTTTTTCCCCATATTGGGTTCAATCAACTTAATATTGGTTAATGATTTATAATTTAATTGATTATGTTTATTAAGTCAAACATTAGTGTCTCGTAATTTTAATTTTTTTGCTGTAATCGAACGGATTTGTGTTATTTTTCACTTTGAATGTGTTAGCCTTATATAGCGTTAGGTCTATAGTTGTAAAAGTCTATGCTAATAATTACATTATTACAAGAATAATACTTAGCTGTAAACTCTTAAAAAGATTTATACATTACATTCAATTGTTTAAATCAAGGTAATTGAATAGATGATAGAGAGTGAAAAGGAAAACTATATCATTGAATTCTAAGTTTATTATCTAACTCTTTGCTAAACATACTCTTTAATTTACTAATTGATCGTATGAGTCACCCAATTCATGTTTCAAAAAATATTTTTTCACTTCAACTCCCCATCTGTATCCAGAAATGGTCTTATTTGAGGCTATCACCCTATGGCAAGGAACAATCGCGGCAATTTTGTTAGCACCGATGCAACCACCAATTGCTCTACTTGATGTAGGCTTCATTCTTAGTTTTCTTGCTATATCTCCATAAGTTGTAACTTCACCATGAGGAATTTTCATCAACTCCAACCAAACTTTACGTTGTAAACTAGTTCCAAATATAAACTTGATTGAAAACTTTTCAGATCGTGAAGGATCTTCTAGCAATAACTTGAATTTATCAATTGTAATTTCGGTTAATGATTTGTCTTTCAATGTTGAATATGGTAATAATTGATATTGGTTTGAAGATTTGAAATCTATGACTAACTGATTTTTCAACTGATCAAGACTATTACCTATGGACGCGTAATAAATCGTTCCAAACTCATCCAAAACAACCAAAGCATTAAAATGTTTACTTCCAATGATATTGTAAAACAACCTTTGTTGTTTCATCTTGCATTTTGACGTGAATTAAAATTTTAATGATGATAATGATGGTAAAAAATCAAAATGTGTATTTTTGAATCTCATATAAGTAAACTAGAGTACTTAAGCTAAGTATTTTAAAATTTCGAACAATCCAAATTGGTAGCTGGTGCCACAAAAATAATTTTCATCTTCTTTCATAAATTAGTAAATTTTTATCACAATTCAAGAAACTCATTCATTTCAAGTACACGCACACGATGTCAGTGATTGGAATTACTTTTGGAAATACTACCTCTTCTATAGCGGTGGCATCACAAGATGGAAAAGTTGACGTTATTGCAAATCCTGATGGGGATCGTTCAATTCCTTCAGCATTATCATATGTTGGATCAGATGAGTATCATGGATCACAAGCTGAATCAAGATTAATAAGAAATCCAGATAACACAATTGTTAATTTCAGGGATTTTATTGGAAAAAAATTTGAAGATATTAGTGAAGAATTTTCTTTTGGTGCCAAATCAAAAAATAACAATGGTGAAATTGTATATGAAATTAAAAATGAAGGAAAGACAGAAATTTTATCAGTAAATGAAGTTGCAAAAAGACATTTAAAACAATTGAAATTAGCAGCGGAAGACTACATTGGTAAATCAATTGAAAATGTTGTTTTAGCAATTCCAACTGATTTCAATGATACTCAAAAACAAGAACTTACTAAAATTTCTAAAGATGTTGGATTAAATATTTTACAATTTATAAATGAACCATCAGCAGCGTTATTGGATCATTTGAGTGCAGAAGAAAATAGATTATCCCAAGATAAGATTTATGTAGTAGTAGATTTTGGTGGTATCAGATCAGATGCAGCAGTCATAGCCGTTAGAGGTGGTGTTCTTACTATCTTGGCTACTTCACATGAATATGGATTAGGTGGTAATAAATTAGATGATGCTTTATCTGAATTTTTTGCAAAAGAATTTGAGAAAAAGAACAAAGTTGACCCAAGAACTACAAAGAAATCATTATCAAAATTAAAAGCTGAGTCTCAAGTTGTTAAAAAGACTTTATCTAATGTTCAAACATCTACTTGTTCAATAGAATCATTAGCTGAAGGGATTGATTTCCACACCAGTATTAACAGATTAAGATACGAGTTGACTGCAAGAGATCCAATATCGAAAATGACTGCTTTTGTCGAAAAAGTAATATCAAAGGCCGATCTAGAACCTTTAGATATAGATGAAGTATTATTAGTTGGGGGTACATCTAATACTCCAAAATTAGCTACTAACATCTCATACTTATTTCCAAAAACTACCAATGTAATTGCCCCATCATTAGATTCAAAAGCATTGAATCCATCAGAGTTAGTAGCTCGTGGTGCTGCATTACAAGCTTCATTGATTGAACAATTTGATGAATCAGAAATCAAGGAATCTTTACAGCCAATTGTTGTTAACACTCAGCACTTATCAAAACCTATTGGTATAAAAGATGCAGAAGGTAATTTTCAACCAATTTTAGTTGCTGAAACTGCTTACCCTATCAAAAAATCAATTGAAGTCACAAACGGGGATTCATCATCAGTGTTAATTCCATTATACGAAGGGGTCAGAAAAATTAAAGAAACAATAGTTGAAGTGGAAAAAGATGAAGATGATTCTGATGAAGAATCAGAGGAAGAAGAGCCAGAAGTTGAGAGGGAAGCTGTGTATGAAGCTGATAATTTATTAGCTGAATTATCATTAAAAGATTTAAAACCAAATTCAAAGTTGGAAGTTACTGTAAATATTACTCAAAATGGTGTATTACACGTGTCTGGTAGAGAATTAAAACAAGGAGCTTCAGCCGTAAAGGGTGAAGTATCGGTGTCTCAATAAATGATTTGGTTATTTTTATAGAGATATAGACAATTGATATATCATTTGTGAAACAGTTTGTGCGTTCTCAGAACTAGCATATTGTGGGTTTATTTCTTCTAATCAACATATGTATTTTAAGCTCACTACATAAGGGACGCCTACTGCTTAAAATACAGTAGTGGACTTGAGGCATTACCTATCATCATAATTCAATCAAGAATTAAGAAGTTTATCCTATATTTGAACACACTGTCAATTGATGGATTACATAGCATTTCAAACACAACTTTCGACACTCAGCTTTCCTTATTTACTTTGTTCGTCTTCTTCACTATTGATTATCAGGTGATTTATCAGTCTTAATCGACTTTTCTCATAATTGATTCGTTATTAATGACCACTTCTTCTGAGCATCGGGGCCTGCTATTGCTAGTCATAAATGCTTATTTTTTAAAAATTGAAAAAAATGGTTCCTTGGCCCAGTTGGTTAAGGCGTGGTGCTAATAACGCCAAGATCAGCAGTTCGATCCTGCTAGGGACCATATTTTATCTTTGACGAACTTTTTTTTTGAAACAAAAGTCTAGACTATATTGAATTAAAAACATAAGTACTTATCTGCTCTACAGGTGAAGCCTTGCTGACATTGCTTGAAAATGATTCTCAAACAATTTCGTTAAATCATGATTAGTAATACTATTGTGAGATTCAATTTTATTTTTATTAAATTTTTGAATTATTTTGGATTTAGTAATGAAATAAATCTTTAAATCACTATCATATGAATTTTTTTCTTGATTGTGATGAGAGTGAGTTTAACAGGTTCAACACTTCTATATATTCAATGATTCAAAGAAGTTCGGGATTTTAATTACTTAGAAAAGTTAACTTCATTTCAATGATATGCATTTCGTAACTCAATTGTTGTACATTAATCTAATAACTAACTATATAGGTTGTTTAAAAAATTAGACTAATGAAATGCAAATAATTTGTTATCATTAACGATTTATCATACCTTATTTAAAATCTTTTACATAATTCATGAATAGCTTCATCATTCATTAATAAAGCATTAGCAACTTTAGACATTGCTTTCTTTTTTGAACTATCAATAGCAGTACCAACTAATAAATTTCTAATTTTTAAATTAACTGTAAATTTTCCAAATTCATTTTGACTTACAATATATTCTGGTTTTGTTCCTGTTTTGGTACCAATTAAAGCATATAATTTATTTTTTGCTTCAACATTTAATTCAATATTATCTTTAATTTCTATTGGAAATAAATCAGTATGAATTGGTGAATCAGGAATAAAAGGTTCTTCTTCTTCTGAATTTAAACTCGCTTTTTCTTCTTCTTCTAATTTTTTTAATTTTTCTAATCTTTTTTGTTCATTTCTTTCTTTTCTTTGTATTCTAACAGGTTTTTCAATTTCTAATCTTTGTAAAGCATATTTTTCTAAAACTTTTGTATTTTTTAATGCATTTGTTGCAGCTCCTAAACTTGCATCTTTTGAACTTGAAGCTATACCACGACCTAAAAATTCAAAACCCATTTTACAATCAACAACAAAATTAGTAGTTATACCATCTCCAGCAGTAACTATTTCATAAGTTGGACGTAAATCAGCTCGACCAATTATAGCATATAATTGTGATTTTGCATCTCTATCAACTGGTGGTTTTAAATATTGATTTTTTAATTGAGTTAAAGTTGGTGCATATAATTGTTCAAGCCATTCTTGAACTTCTTTTAAATCTGAACCTCTTTCAATAGCTAAAGCACCAACATAAGCTTCAAAAACATCAGCATACATTTTTTGATCAGCTGGTTTTGTTGAATCAACTGCAAAATTAGTTCTTAATTTTTTATCAAATCCATATTGAAAAGCTAATTTTTTTAACATATTATTATTTACTAAATCTGATCTAATTTTTGATAATTGACCTTCATTACATAATGGAAAAGTTCTATAAATTGTTAAAGTTACCAAATTATTTAATATTGAATCACCTAAAAATTCTAATCTTTCATTATGAGCTTGTATCATTGCTTCAGCTCCTAAATAAGTTCTATTATTAACTCCAGATTTATGAACAAATACTTTTTCAAATAAACTAATATCATTAATTTTTGGTAATGGTGGTAAATCATTATCAATACCAGTAATTGAAATTTCATCAATTTCCTTTTTTGGAATTTCATATTGTAAAGGTTTTGGATTTTCAGATTCTAATTTTGATAATTTAATTTGATCTTCTTTTGTAATTTTAATATCATTTTCATATATTTGATCAAGTATTGGTACTTCACCTAATTTATATTTTGATTTTATTTTACATGCTAATGCCATTAAATCACTTGATTTTAATTCATTTCTTGTTGTTGAATCTATATTTGAAGAATTTATTAATTTTATTAATTCATAATAATCTGGTGCACTTTTTATTATAAGACCAACATTTTTTTGAACTAATTTAGCTGCATATTCTAATCTTTGTATATCAAGAAATCCAACATAAGAAGGTTCTTTATCAAATTTAGCTTCACCGAATGTCAGAATTTTACTGACCTCACTGATGCTAGTTTTGACTTTTTTAAAACCTTCATCATTGTCTTCACTGATGTTAGTTTTAACTTTTTTCAAACCTTCATCATTATTTTCAAGTGTTTCAGAAGCTGGTCTTTTTATTCCTTGAGTTATTTCTGGAGATTTTGATCCAACTGGTGTGTGTGTAGTAGTAGATAATGATGCAGTAGTAGATAATGATCCACTACGTTTGAAATCATCACTTGAACCTCTCATGGATTTCAAGAAGTCAAGAAATGCAGAATCAGACATAGTACAATATCTGGTTCTTCTTCCTTGCTTCAAATGGTTTAAAATTGGAAGGTATATTGGTTGATATGATGTTTTGATAAATATGGTTGATATATGTTGTATACATAAAAACGTAAATTATATATCTGAGGAAAAAATGTCAATATTTTTTATCACCAAAATTTTTAACTATAGTTCGTGTGAGTATCAAAATTTGTTTCAGATTTTATATTATGAATATTCTCTTGAATTTATTAATGAGTTACTTCAAATCTCACGTTCAAAAGGTTACTCAACTTCATTTCTACAAATACATATATATAGGTTTACTACTGTAATCTCTTCGAGATAAGTTTCAGAGAGAATCTAGAATGATTAGACCACTACAATTTGTTAGAAAAAATGTTCCATTGAGTTAAGTATTGAGTTAGGGATGTTGATGCCTATTCATTAAATAGATGTGATATATTAGCATTAAACTTACTTCAATGGGAGAAGATGATTCGGTATGGTCATATGGCAAAAATGGCAGAATATTACGCTTATAGCTAACACTTTCTTGCACCTCCATGGAATAGTTTTTGTAATATATGAATCGTATTTTTAATCAAGACATCATTAGGAATAAGTTGGTTTTTTTGCAACAATTTTTAAAATAATTGTATGGACTTAATTGTTACTTAGATGTATACCAGTTACTAAATTAATTATAATGACATAACCACACCAAACGCTGATTTTAAAGAGCATCAGTGCCTTAAATGCATTTTCTTTTAAATTATAAATCGAGTTACAAATTGGGTTCATTTTTTATTACCGCTCAACTCTATGATTTTTCAGTTTAGTGTTTTTTTTTTTTCAAATTTCAATCTGGAGTATCAATTAAATATATATAAATCTACCAACAAATCATACTGTAAATACAAACAAATGTCAAAAGCTTCGGTTAAACGAGTAGTAAATACAAGTATGTTAGATCTATATCTATACAAATTTCAATTGATTTAAACAAAGTTTGTTTACTGACTTCATTCATAAATTAGTTCAAAAATTTTATCCAATATCATTAGCAGATAAATCATGGGATAATACAGGACTTTTAGTAGATTCATCAATAAATAATGAAGATGATTCAAACATATCTTCAAATTCAACTTCTTCAAATTCATTAAATCTTAAAATTTTATTAACTATAGATTTAACTCAATCAGTAACAAATGAAGCAATTTCAAAAAATTGTAAATTTATAATGTCATATCATCCATTTATTTTCAGGGGTTTAAAATCAATAAATCAAATTGATCCTCAACAAAAATCATTAATTAAAATTATACAAAATCAAATAAGTGTTTATTCACCTCATACTGCTGTTGATAGTGCTTATGGAGGAGTAAATGATTATTTAGTTCAAATTATAACAAATAATAATTTAAATTTGAAAAATTCCAAACCAATAAAGCCAAATTTAGAAAATTCAAAATGTGGAATGGGTAGAATTATTGAATTAAAAGATTCAAAAACAATTTATGAAATTGTTGATTTAGTTAAATCAGGTTTAAAAATAAATCATTTACAAGTTGCAATATCAAATAATGGTATAAATCAGAATATAAAAACTATTGCAATTTGTGCTGGTTCTGGAGGCGATGTTTTTAAAGGTGTAAAAGCTGATTTATATTTTACAGGAGAATTATCTCATCATGAAACTTTATTTTATAAGGAAAGTGGAAGTCATGTTATATGTTGTAATCATTCAAATACTGAAAGAGCATTTTTATATGTTATACAAAGACAATTAATTGATGAATTAAATATTGATGAAAATGATGTAATAGTAAGTGAAACAGATAAAGATCCTTTTACAACTTGGTAAGACTTTTTACAACTTGGTACAAGTATAAAAGTAAAGATTATTAGATTTAAACCTTTCATTTCTATAATATGTACATACAACAAATAATTTTATTTAATAAAATGCAAATAAAGATTGATTTTTAAATTCAATTTCATCATTTAAATCAAAATTAATAACTTCAATGGTTTCTTCTTTTTCTTCTTCTTTTTCTTCTTCTTTTTCTTCTTCTCTTTCTTTTTTAAATTTATATATTCCATCTGGTTTTAAACTATCTAAATCTGTCTCATCTTTATACACCAATTTTAAAGTTTCATTTGAATAAAAAGGTTTTATTGGTGGGAAACAACCTATAGTTACATGTAAATATTCATTTAATGGAATTAATTCAATTGGTTCTTCTTTTTCTTCATTTTCTTTTTGAATTGATAGGATCTTAGCTTTAATACATATTAATTTATCATAGTCAATTAAAATTTGTTGTAATTTAATATTACTTTTAAAATTTAATATATTTTTACCTTCGGCACCATCACCAACTCCCAAGATTTTTAAAATATTTTTCCATTTTTTTTTATTTTCTTTTTTTTTACTTTTGTAGGCATCTGTTATATGAGCTAATGTAATATGAAATTCATCTTGTATTAAGTTTTGATTTTTTAAATTTTGTAATTGTTTATGATTTTCATTTCTATTTACCAATTTTAGGACGTCTTTTTGTTGAAGTGAGATCCCAAAATACGTTGGTTCTTTTTTTTTTTGAGGGGTAGTTGATGATGATGATTTATTTGAAAATTCTTTTGTGAATGTTGGTTTATAAGATAAACTTTCTTGAAATTTTATATCTATTTCTTCATCAGTTGGTTTAATTTTAATAAGATCAGGAATATTTTTAGTTGTATAGTCTATTATAATTTTAACATTCTTTAAAGATGAATTTGGTTCTTTTAAAGTTAAATTTATAACATAATCAAATTGAGAATCTGGTAATTTTGAATCATCAATTGGTTTAAATCTATTTATAAAACCTTTCATAACTGAAATTGCTATTTTTTCATTACTATTAATTTTAATCAGTTGATGATTATCACCTCTTTCTTTTATTCTATTATAAGTTATATTCCATAATTCTTCATTATTTATTTCATCAGTTATAAAATTTAAACCAATATATTTTAAATTAATCATTGGATCAATATAATTATTTCTTTTTTCAATTATTGAATTAAAAATTTGTTTTCTTTCTCTTATTTCTGAATTATTTCTATCAAATAATACAACAGGATAATTATCTAATGCTTTTAAAGTTAAATCTACCAATTTTAATTTAGATTTATTTGATATATCATCATTTTGAAAATGAATCCAATCAGGAAATAACGAGTTTAAAGTTTTTAAAACTGTTGTTTTACCACATCCAATAGTTGCAACTGGTATAATTATATATTTTGTAGTTTCTTCTAAATTTAATTCTTTCAATTCTTCACTTAATTTTGCATCTATAGTTAATAAATTCATTCCATTAGTTTCATTTAAATAATTCAAGAATAATTGTCTTACTTTTATAATTCCATGACCATTTGAAAATTCTTCTTTTAAATCCGGTTGATCCTGAAATAATTTTTCAACAAATTCTAAATATTTTTTAACTATAAATTTATTCTTTTTCATTCTTATTGATTGTATAGGTATTCCATCAATTAAATTTTTTGTAACTTCTCTAAATTGTCTATATAATAAGTATGGTTCTTCAAATTTATATTTAAAAAAAAAATCATCATTATTTTTTGATAATTTACATCGTATAACAAATCCTTCAACTTCTCTTTGATTATAAGTACCTGTTTCAGCACATTTTTTCAAAAATTGAAAAAGTTCATCATATTTATTAAACAGTAAATATTCAATTGATTTAAAATTCCATTTTTTGGCAAATTCATTGACCTCCTGTATAGGTACAGTTTTAAAATTTATAGTATTGTAATTTAATCCATGTAAATATAATCCAGATTTTTCTTTAGGATAAGGTAAAACATGTTCTTCAAATTCATCATCACATAATTCAGTTATTGCAGTTAAATTATATTTATATAAAAATTTTGATAATTCTTTAATTTTTTCATCACTTAATTGTTTTCTTAATTGAATTTCTCCTTCAATTGCATGATTTCTTATACTTTCATCTCGAACTCCAGTAGAATGTTTTGAACAAACAACAATTTCTCCAGTTTCTAAACCTCCAATGAATATAATACAACCATTTTCTTTTAATGTAACATCATATGGTCCCACAGTATTTGATTTTAAATTTTCTTCTTTAGTTATTACTTTTTCATCAACATTAAAAAATTTATCATATCCTCTTATAATTATTGATTTATTATTTAAAGTAAATAAACCTCTTGCTTGAATAGGTAAATTTATTTTCTCTTTACCATAATCAAAATCTAAAAATTTCCAAGAATCTATTGTTATGTTTGTATTATTTATATAATTTGAAAATTTTATACATTTACCATTTCTTTTTAATTTTGTTGATTCTTCTAATTTGTTGCAAAGTGTTTGAATTTCTTCTTTTGTATTGGATTTACTCATGAAATGTTAGTTAGCATGGAAGATTTTTTGCTATTTAGAAATTTCAAACAAATGAATGTGGTTTGTTTATATGCACGGTTTCCACCAGCTAAATCTGAGATCTAAAGTCTAATTTTGAGAAGAATGAGTAATGCTTTATTTGTTTAATTTGATTTGAATTATAGAAATGAATCAGATGTACAATTGGTTTTAAATTTTTTTTGAGACATTAAACAATGACAAGGAAATTCACGACACAGAATCGGTAACTCAATTGATAAATTTACAACCAAACTTTCACCAACTCAATATCAACTAAACACTACAACATAAACAAACAAACAAACACAATTGACTCATAATATTAGTCATAGTCATATTTGGGGACTCAGTCATTTTTAGAATACACAGACTTAGCTTTTTCTACCCTAGAAATGCCATATAAAGTAGATATAGATGAAGCAGATGTAGCAGTATTAAATCAAAATTTATTAAAATCAAAAGAATTATTTGAAAATATAAATAAATCCCTCCTTAAAATATCAAAAAATACAGAAAAAGCTCATATAACAATAAAACCAATAATAAATAAAGTAAATACATTACAAAATTCAAAATTAGAAATAAATAAAGGTTTAAATTTATTACTGGAAATTAATGAAAATGTTGAAATTATAAATAAAAATGAAAAATTATTAAATAATTCTATTGAAATTATTGGATTAGGTAAATATTTAACGAATTTATCTTTTTCAAAACAATTATATTCAAAAATTCAAAGTAAATTTAAAAACTTTAGGGGAATTTTAATAAATTTTGAAAATGTCTTGAATGAAAGTGATAAAAAATTGAATATATATATTGATAATTTATTTAATCTTGATAATAATAAACTTATAGATAGAAAATTAGATTTAAAAATTTTATGGGAATATTATCAATCAACAAATAACTTAAATTTTATAAATGAAAAATATTCAAGAATAAGAGGTTTTAAAAATTTAACTCAAATTCACCTGTTGGAAAAAGATTTAAAACCATCTTTTATAGAATATGAACAATTTGAAAAAAATCAATTTAGTTATAATGAATTTATAAAATTAATTGAAGAAATTATAAAACAAGAATCTATAATATTAAATCAATGTTCATTACCTTTTAAATTAATTGATAATATACTGAATTATTCAATTGATGAAATTGGTAAATTAATTATTTCATTTTCAAATCAAATAAATAACAATACCAAAGAAATTAATAATTTAATAATATTAGAAATTATTGATAATTTAATTAGATTTGAATATCAATTAAAAAATAAATTTAATATAAATAATTTAAAATTAAATCAATTAATTAATAAATTTATCTTGGGGAATTCAAATATTTTTAATAAATTTATAAGAGATATTGAATTTAAATTTTCTTCAATTACAAGATATAATGAATCAAATACTCATCAATTAACAGCAGAATTTATAAATAATGCAAGAAGAATGTGTGAATTTAGACAATCTTTATTAAAATTAATTTTAAATTTAAAACCTGGTGAATGGATTCAAGGAAATCCTGGTTTAAAATATATTTCAATTTTTACATCAATTTTACCAAATATTTCAAATGATACTTCACCTGAATATTTATTATCTTCATATTTTTCAGATATTATAGATTGTATAATTATAAATATTGAAATTGGATTAAAAAATCAAAGTCAAAAAGATTCTACTGGTGGTGGTACTTCTAATGATTCACAACAATACACAAAAAGATCAAATCAAGGATTTTTATTAATTAGGAATTTACATTTAATTGAAAGTATTATAAATAGATCACAAGATTTACATAAAATTTTAGGTACAATAGGACAAGAAAGAATTTTAAAATTAAAAAATAGATGTTTAAAATTATTTCTTGAAGATTGGAATAATGCATCATTTATAATTATTGAAAAAATGGCATATATTCAAGCTCAAATTCAATTAAATAATCCAAATTCAAATACTGGTAATTCTATACAACAATTACAACAACAACAACAACAACAATTACAAAATCCAAATTATTCAATGAATTCATTAAATACAAATACAACAATAAATACAATAACAGAAACAAATTTAACAAATAAAGATAAAGAATTAATAAAAGATTTATTTAAAAAATTTAATGAAGCATTTGAAGAAGCTTTAACAAATTATTCAAAATTTAATTTTGGAGATTTAAATTTAAAAAAATATTTAGGTAATGAAATTAAAAAATTAATTTTAAATGCTTATTCAAAATTATATGATAAATATGGTTTAAGTGATTTTACAAAAAATAAAATTAAATATGTTAAATATGATAAATTACAAATGGAAAGAATTTTAGATGAAAAATTATATTAAGGTGAATTTCTATTATTTTATGGTCCATTTTAAAATAGAAGTCCGGTGTATCAATATGGCTTGAACTGATGTGTTAACACATTAGTCAACAATGGTCAATCAAGGAATTCGCTTCATACCCCATGGGAAATCTGTCAGTGATAAAAAAGTTGTTTTGGTACCTTAAAGAACTTTTCGTTTAATATTATTAACTACAACAATATTACTACAGTAAAGGAAATAATCAATGACGTAAGTGATACTATAATTTATTTGGTCTGGACAATATTTAAATAGGCTAGGATAGAAATATGAAACAGGTCATCTTCGTTTCAGATCAATCAAATTGAATTTTGTTAAATATCACACGAATTCAAGGTGGTTATGAGTTATGAATCAGTCCAAATTTCAAATTGATGTTTGCTACTACTGATACTGCTCTAAGCTACACTTGCTTTAATAAAATAAAATATTTTAATTAATATTTTGCTCTCTTGTGACAATTAAACGAAAAAAAGGACTTAAAAAGCCGCAGAATATACTTTAAATAGACGAAATATAATATAAGTAGTAATATAGTAAGGGACAACAACGCAATAAGAATGGAAATAGTATAATGAGTCAATAAACATAACAAGTGCATCTAGAATGATAGAACGATATACTGTGTCTTCTTTTGTTAAATGTTTGCTGTTCATTACAAATTAACTTTAATTAACACAGTATGTTTTAATCGAATAATATATCAAGAATACGATAATAAATTAAGGGGATCTCATTTTAAAATTTCTAATCTATGTCTATACCAAATTTATAGTCCTACTTCAACTTTAAAACTAATTCTTTAATTTTGGACCAAGTGTTTAGACCTACAATTAGGCTCCTAGTACTCCTTACTACTTCTGCTTCTCTAATCAATCTACACTGCTATAGCGTAGAAAGAATCTTCCTATAATTCTCTTTACTTAATTAAGTTATAACTTTGCTATCTTAAATTATTTTTGTGTAACTTTATAAAAATAGTTTAAATTTTTTTTTTGCCATTTCAACCAACTAGAAATTTTTAAATAATTTTTTGACAACCAAACTTTCTTCTTCTTTTTCAAATTTTTCAATTCAATTGATTTAGAATAAGATAATTTTAGTGTTAAAGATATATATTAATCAACTCAATTGAATCAATTGATTAATTCAACTTATTTTTTAAACTTATTTTAATTTTCAACAATTTCGGCTTATCTTATCAACCACAATTTTTTTCAATTCTACGGAGAATTTAAAGCAAAGAAACTAGAAATAAGAAACAGATACAATGTCATCACTTGATCCTTCTCAACAACATACTACTCAAATTCCAACTGGTGGTGTTCCTCCAATTGGTGAAACTTCACCATCTTATGGTAATAATGATAACCACACCACTACATCAACAAACAATTCATCATCTCAACAACAACATACTCAATCAAATCCTTTCACTGATCCATCATTAAAATCAACTCAAACTGCTCCATTAGCTACTGGTTCATCTGCTTTAGGTATCAACAATACTCATCAATCAAATGATGCTTTTATTAATTTATTAACTTGGAAAAATCCAATTTATACAGGAAAAATATTTGGATCAATTTTATTTGGTTTAATTATTTTTAAAACAATAAATTGGATTAAAATAATTTTTCATTTATCATATATTTTATTATTAATTTCTGCATCAATTGAATATTTAGGTAAATTAATTACTGGAAAAGGATTTATAACAAATTATAAATTAAGAACAGCTAACCAAAAAAGTGGTAATGTTTCAATTGCAAAAAAATTTAATAATGAAATTTTACCAATTATTGGTTCAATAAATATTGAAATTGAAGAATTTTTAAAAAAAATATTTTATGCATCAGATATTGAAACTACTTTAAAATCAAGTGGTATTTCTTATATCTTGTTTAAATTAACTACTTATATTTCATTATTTAATTTATTTGTTATTTCAATTATTTTATTATTTACATTACCATTTATTTATACAAATAATAAAAAAGAAATTGATTCAGCAATTGCAAAATATACTGATTTTACCAAAACAAAAATTGAAGAATTAACTTCTCAAGCTCATAAATCTGCTGGTCCTTATTTAAATGATTTAATTAAAAAATTAGGTCCAATTGGTGAATTTATTCAACAAAAAATTCCAACTAGAACTGCTGGTTCAACTGTTGGTAATTCAAAAGCTACTTCTTATGGCACTGCTGCTGATACTCATGGTTCAACTACCACCCCAAGTGGTTCTACTACTACCACCACTAAACCATCAACTGAAACTTCAACTGGTGTTTCAACTGGTAGATCACAATTTCCAAATGCTCCAACTTCTGGTTTACATCCAACTACTGTTGAAGATGTAGGTAATGATTCATTTGATGATTTTGCTGATACTACTCAAGATTATAAACCAACTTTACATTAAGATTTGAATATATTTTGATTTGGTTTGATTTGGTTTTTGAAGTGATGTTTGTTTGAGATTGTTTTAATTTCAAAATTTCAACCACACACCAAATTCATTAGTTTTTGTTATATTATCCATTTTTTTATATTTAACTAAGTAGTGAAGTACTATAATACTTTCACTTTTTTATATTACTCTATATCTTTTATAATAATATTTTTTTACAATTAATTTAAAAACCTCAAGGTCTACATCGATTTCACACTCTTGATCAGGCTCATAAAAAAGACAAATGGTCCGCAATAAAGTTTGATTGTTATTATTACTACATTACAGTCTATACATACTTATTCACAATCATCAGGATTTTTAATTCTTCTAAAACAAGCAATATATTTATCACCATCATTTCTATCAACTTTTTGACCTTCTTCAGTCAGATTAAGAATTAAAGAAACACATTCATCTTGATCTTCCCATTGTTTTGGTAGTCTTTCAAATAATGGATGCTCCTCCAAGTGTTTTTTCATCCAATTATGTAAATCTAAAACATCAGTTATAGTATATATTATACCTTCATTTTCTTTTAATAAAAAGGCATATTCATTCAATAATGTATTTGTTATTATTCTTGCTTTATGTTTTCTTTGTTTAAAATGAGGATCAGGAAAACAAAAAAATAATTTTGAAAGTTGTTGCTTATGAAAAAAATTTGGTAAGAATTTCATTGCGTTTCCTCTTATTACTCCTATATTTCCATAATTATATGAATTATTTTGTTTGGTTTCATTAGTGTTTCCATCATCTTTATTGGAATTATCTTCATTATTATGACTTTGATCCGTTATATTCTTATGATTATTTTGTAAAGCAATTATTCTATCTTCAACATACTGAGTAACTTGAACTCTAATTTCCATCCCTAATATTAATTTCTCAGGAAATAAAGGACCTAATTTAATTAATAAACCACCAAATCCACAACCAATATCTGCAATTTCAACTTTTTTCCCCTTGTCTAGTTCCAGTTGTGGATATATGGTTGACCAATTCATTGAATTTGGAGATTTTGGATAATTCAATCTATGATCACTAAATGGATTTGAATGAGCTCTTTGTCTATAAAATCTTTTTCTTGGTAATTCTATTTGTTTTTGCTGTTCCTGATCTGTTATTAATTGTTCTTCTTCTTGATTTGGTGTTGGTGATGGAGATATTGATGATTCATTTATTTTAACTTGTTTCCTTTCTGAATCTTTTAAATTTCTATATTTTGTTCTTTTAGTTGATTTGGTTTGAGGATGTTTACGTTTTGATGGAGGTATTGTTTCGTCATTGTTATTACTATCAGTGGTAACCGTTATTGATTCACTTTCACCCGTCGGCTGTAGTAGCTTCTCATCTGGTGTATGATTTGGTATTTGGTCTGACATTGTTGTTTGATGTTAAGTTAATTTTGAGATGGTACTTCCTTAAAGATGAAACAATTTTTTTTTTGCAACACTTTTTTTAAACAGAAAATTTAATAGATAACTCAGGTAGATAAAGGTTTTACGTTTCTACAGTATGACTCAATTTCTTTAGAATATATACATTTATATTTACACCAATCTATTTACTTATTCTCTTCCTCAGTTTTTGAATTAGGATCAAGATCTGTTTCACGTTGTTTCATAGTTAAATATAACATTTGACTAGGAGTTTCTAAAGTTTTAACTAATCCAACACCACCCATCATAGTTAATAAACCAATTAATTGACCTTGTAACGTTTCTTTATTTGGTAAAAATTTAAATTCATCAATTTCTTTTAAATTTAATATTGAATTTTGATCAATTTTTGCACCTATAATTATAATTTTTTCATTTAACAGTTTTATTAATTTTGAAATTTGTAAAACTTTTGAAGGTTCACATTTTGGTATACTTATTATAGCTGTTGGTCCAACAAATAAAGAATCTAAATTATTTAATGAATTATTGTTTGATTTACGTTTGTTCTTCTTATTTTTATTATTATTCCCAACTAAAGCTGGATCGATTTCATGAGATGATCTTAAATAAGTTTTATAAATTGAATTTTTAAGCATTGTTAATTTACTTTCAATTTTATTTAAATCTTGTCTTAATTTTTTATTTTCATTTTTATTAAGATTATTATGATGAATAAATAATAAAATTTCATTATTATCATTTATATATTTATATAAATCTATAAGATATGTTCTTCTTGAAAATAATGGTTTTTCAGTTTTTCTTGTTATGAATTTTTTATGTTCTTCTGTTGTTGGAATGAAATCTGAATATGATATTGGAATAGATGATATTGATGATGATGATAATTCTGTTGTGATTGAGTTGTTAAATTTTGGTATTGTAGTTGAAAAGAAAGATAGTGAAGACTTTAGAAGTGGTGGCGACCTCTTCAACAGGTTTATGAAATTATTCGATATCATGGTAATGACGCTGAGTAGTAGGAAAGTGAATTGATTGTATATCTACTTGATCACTTTGGTTATTCTGATTTTTTTCAAACTTTTCAGTCAAGTTTTATATGCAGAACCATACAGTTTGAAATAGATTAATCGGTTCAATTCGTGACAATTAAACGCAAAGGTTTCTACAAAAAGAGTTATAAAATAGGTCTAAGGTATCTTGACTTTCAATGTAACATAAGCTATTTCCAAATAGTGTTTATCCATCAGAATATGATATTGAAGTGATTTTTCAATTATACAAACAATGTAGTACAAAATAAAATCAAAGAGATATCGCACAAACATTATGAAATATATTGTAATTAAATTGACAACCAAGTAAACATCTAAACAACTAAGCTCATATCCAATTGGAAATACAATAGATTGAAAAATTTCCAAATGTTATGTGGCCACATAAGGAAGGGCTTGGGGTTCGACTAAGTTATGGTGTAAATGGGAATGGGTTATTGAATATAAAGTCAAACAATCTGGAATTAGAAACTAAAGAAGGTGATGAGGATAACAACACCAAATTACAGTCTCATGTTCTTTTTCCGAGAATACAACCAATAGTTGAAAATCAATATTATGTATCAAGTACCAAAAAATTATTAAAAACTCCTTTAAATTCTTCAATACTTGATGATCAAATATTAAATTCAACTTCAAAAATCACTAGAAATGCATTAAATTCAAGTTATATACCAAATCAAATTATATCATCTTATGGATTAGAAAGTTCAGCAATAGAATCTAAATTTGCATATGATCCAATTTTTGGAGATATTGTTAAAAATTTTAATATGCAATGTTCAAATAGTTCAAATGAAGATTATAATGGTCTTATTTATGTTACAGGATCTTCATTATCTATTTTAAATTTTGCAATTTTAGTTAATTTCCCATCAATTAAACATATGAAATTATCTGAACCTTATGAAATTGATTTTTTAGATAATATTAGACAAATTGATATTAAAAATGAAAAACAAAAGCTAGTAATTTTAGTAAGAACTAATAATAAAATTTATGTTTTAACAAGTAAATTAATACAATTTTCAAATAATTCAAAATCAAGTCCAAATTTTGATATCTCAATTATAAAAGAAATAAATTCATTTAATTTTGATAATTCCACATTTGCTGATGTATCAATTTATTCTAATGATATTAAAAAATTTGCTATTATTGATATTTCGGGTAATTTAGCAATATGGGAAATAAATGAAAAATTTACAAAATGTATTAAACAAAGTGAAAAGAATTTAAAATTACCTTTACTGAAGTCACAAGATCTTTCCAATTGGGTTAAATTAAATTGGATTTTTTCATCAAATGAACTGAGTCGATTATTAGTTTCAACAAGAACCAAAACATATGATTGTGATATGATCAATAATACTTATTTTTTATTAATGACTTCTGATACATGGTCAAGATTAAGAGATGTTTGTGTTTTAAATAACTACATTTTTTATCTAACTTCAAAGGAATTAATTTGGTTTAAAATTGATTCAAATCCTAAAAATGGTGTAAAATATGAAAGATTATTATCATGGAAACATTTTCTTAATGATGACGACCCATCATTAAAATGTTCAATTATGGAAAATGATGATATTTTTTCAATTTTTATTTTCTCACAAATTAGTCCCATAATCATTGTATATACATTCGGTTTTCAATATGGAAAAGCCGTCAGTCTTCAAGATCCTTATATATTGAAAGGAAATACGTTTGGTCTAAAACAAATTCTACCTATGAAAGATGGAAATTCAGCTACTTGCTTAGTAGAACTATCCTCCAATTTGAATTTACTGGTATCGTTTTTACAACATGGAACTTCTACTGATATTGTTGGACCATCTCAACAGAATCCCAAAGTATTGCAGAAGGATAACATAAGAAAAAGCAAACCAAACACAAAAAAGTTAAGAAAGCTTTATCAATATTTGGCTGATCTCAAAAGCAGAAACTTAAATGTAAATTCCGATCAAATATTACAACAATACGCTACTGCTTTAAGCTCAAAGTTTGAAAGTGAATCACAAACAGAAGAAATCAAGTTTGATCGTTACACCTCAATTCTTGAAATTGAAAATAAAATTCCATTAAATATAAATGATATTTATGAATTAGATGATTTGATAGTTCAATTAAAGAATAGTACTTATATGGAAAATTTAGATATTAAAAGTTTTATCAACAATGGGTTTATACAGAAAAATGGTTTTATTAAAACTTCAGATTCACAATCACATATTTTTAATATATATCAACTTCTACAAGAACTTTTCAAAACTCAAAATTTGTCAAATTCAATAATTAACACTTCAATTATATTAGGTTTGTCATTGATTAAATTTGAAATAAAATCAAATAATGTCTATAAAACAAACTTTGAAACAACCAAATCTGAATCATCTGAAAAAGTTCAAGAATTACTCGATCTATGGGACGAAGATGAAACTTTTGTGAAGCCTCAACAACCAACTAGATATGAATCGGATGTATCATCACAGTATAACACATTACCAACATTGAAATCAAGTCAAGTTCATTTCAGTGAACCTACTCAACCTTCAATATCTCAACTAGATCCTTCTCAAAATTCAAGAATGAAACGTCAAGCACCAATCAAATCATCATTATCTCAACCTATTAGATCATCTCAATTAAATTCACAATCATCATCACAACAAAAACGTAAAAAGAAAAAAACAAAAGGATTCGGTTAATCCATTTCTATCTTCATGCATTTTAAAAAAATTCCATACTTTTAGTTCTTCATATATTTGTATTTTTAACGAATGGTTTTCTTTAATGAATATTAGTATCAAATCGTTGTCTCTTTCTGTATATCTTTAATCTTTTCAGCTAGTATTTTTGGATCTACTCCTTCATCTAATAATTTATAACATAATGCTAAAGTAGTATCATCAATTCCTTCAATACCCAAAAGTCTTGCTAAGTTGTTCAATATTTCATTTGAACTATTATTGTTTTTGCTCTTGCTTATGTCTCCTGTAGCATTGTCGGTATCCATAATTATATTCCTGATGATCAATGATGAGGTGTATGAAGAGACTTAAGTTCTTGATGTTTGGCTTTTACAAAAATAAACAACGCGTTTATTTTTTTTCGGATCTGTACAAATTTGAAAACAATTGATGATACAACCAATATATCGATCAAGATTGTTCAATTCAATACGAACTATATCCACTACTTCAACGACTGCTATACGACATGATCCATTGAAAATTGCATTTTTTGGCAGTGACAAATTTAGTGTTGCTAGTTTAAGGAAGCTTCTAGATCTCAAGTCAAGTACAAATGAAGTTATAGAGGATATTAAAGTCATTACTAGAACGATAAAACCAACTGGTCGATATATGAAAAAATATGAAGAACTACCCATCAGTAAATATGCACTAGAAAACAAAATTCCAGTATTGAGAGCTGACTCATCACAAGACATCTTGAAGTTATTAGACAACAATACTTTTAATTTAACTATAGCAGTATCATTTGGAAAACTAATACCTTCAAAATTTTTAGAAAGTTGTACTTATGGTGGCTTAAATGTTCATCCTTCATTATTACCCAAGTATTCTGGCTCATCTCCAATTCAACATGCAATTATGAATGATGATCAAACCACAGGAGTTACTGTACAAACTTTACATCCAACTAAGTTTGATCACGGAAGGATAATTTCTCAATCAGATGAAGTCCCTATATTGAACGACAATTATAGATCATTGGAATATAGACTTGGAGCTGAGGGCGGTGAATTATTAAAAACTTGCATCAAGGACTCACTTTTTGTTGAACCCCAAGGAATTGAATCTAGTTTCAAACGTTCTTTTGCTCCTAAAATTGATAAAACCAAACGTCAAATACTATGGAATCAATATAGCGCTAGACAAATTGAAAGATTGAATGATGCATTAGGTCCATTATTTACATTTATCAAAGTTCAAACTAAATCAAAAGGCAAATTGTCTCAAGAAATTAAAAGAGTCATATTAGACCGAGTGAAAGAAACCAAAAACGAAAATGAGTTGTGGAATTTGAATTTGAAACAACCTGGTGAATTTTACCTTTCAGAGGACAAATTATATATTAAAGCTAACAATGGATATTTGACTGTTGGGAAACTCAAATTACAGACTAAACTGGAAGAAACTCCTGTGGAGTTCATGAAGAATTACAAAAAAAACATAGGTAAAATGCCTCAAAAATTTGTTGAAACAGAACAAAATAAGTAAAATATCTAATCTTCTTATATATATTAATCTAGTATATCAACTCATTATAAAGCTACACGACAACTTTTGTTATACTCTTTTACAGCAACTGCAATCTTATTATAAAGATAATCTCTATTTTTTCTCTCAGGAATTGGAATAAAGGGTCCTTGTCTGTTTTTCAAATAAATACTTAATCCTGTTGGTTCAACTGATATCGATTTAATTGTGTCAAATTTGATACACCATCTTGATTTTAAGTTCTTTATATCGAACAAAATAATAAATTTAAAAGTCAATAAAACTGCCATTTCATCACCAGGTAAAATCAAGTGAGCTAAATATGTTTGATTCCAAAATCTACCCTTATCAATATTAACCATCCAATATTGACCTTGAGAATCTCTTTCAGAATAAGGCTCAATAATTCCATCAGGATTTATATATCTTGGTAACCTAACTTTATCCAAACCTTCACCATCAAATACTGTTGTTGTATTTCTTATACCTTCACTAACATTTGATGCTAAATCTAACACACCAATTGCTGTTTTTGTTGGTAATCCAATCAAACCTTTACCAAGACCTTTAAAAAATCCCGCTGCTCCATCTTCATCAGCTCCTTCAATGGGAGCACTAGCTACACCTTCAACACCCGATGCGATTGATTCAAAAAAGGAACTAGCACCTGCTGTGAATCCATATAATGCATGATTTGGTTTATTTCTACGACCAGTTTGTAATCGACGTCTTTCTTGAAACTTTGGATCCATTGTTGCTACAGTTAACCCTTTAGCTAATGAACCAGTAACTTTTGAAATAGAATCTGAGAAACCAAATACAGATTTTTTGAGAAAACTTAAACCACCTTTTGCTAAACCTATTCCTAATTCTTGTGGACGATCAGTTAAAACAAAACCTTGATATGGTTCATAAAATATATCCATAACACCTGAAGAAAGAAGATTGAATAATCCCACGGGATTTCCAAGGAAATCAGCCGAGCCCAATATGTTATAAATTTGATAGAAAAAAGCTTGACTATAATGTGTTCTAATTGACTCAATTAAAATCGGAGTTGGAACTCTAATATTTTCAATAAATAATGCATTTAACCTGATTGGAGCATCATTGATATTACCTATTGCCATAGTTAAAACATTTAAAAAGAACATTATTGCATTTTGTGAAGATGTTTTATCATCAACATCAATTCTTTCAGTTCGAACAAATGATATATTTGCCTTTATGGGTTGCAAATGTAAAGCTTCAAAATAGATGTCACTTGCTTCATTTAATTGAACTGGCTCTGGTATGTCAAGACTACCATCATATAATCTGTCCACTTGTTCTTTATTCCAAGCTGCTCCTGGGAATTTTGCAAAGTCAATCAAAGCGTATAAAAAGTCCTCATCAATCTCTAAAGTCAATGCCTGAAGCAAAACTGTTGCATATTTAAGAAACAAAACACCATGAGCGTCATCCTTTACTTTGCAAATCGATGCTGAAAAGGCTGGATGATCATTCAATTCTTTTCCAGAATTGGGTATTACCGTTGGATATAAGACAATTGGGAAAATTGCTCCATATAATTGATTATCAATTTGCAACCATTTTAGCTTCAAACTATAGTTTTGAAATAAGTTTGACTCATTGTACCTAAATTCTAAACCTCTCATAGTAATGTAACAGATTTCTTTATCTTTTGTATTAATTAAAGACACACCTAAACCTTCAAATTTGGTAACAAATTGTACATGGTAGTTGTCCTCCGTGTCTGCTTCCACAAAATAATCTTGACTTGTTGAGGCAGTGACAGTTGACGAATTGCCTCCTTTGACTTGATATAAACTCTTGGAAGGATCATAGTTTGTGATGATTAAAGCTTGAATTGGTCCATCTGCAGCTACATTCAAATCTACTATACATTGACCTTGGTCATCTGTCGCTGGCAATCTAAATGGTTTCAAATTACCAATCTCAGCTAAATTGACAGCTCGTTCACGATCATGAGATTTAACAATTAATTCTTTCAAGATTGCATTTGGATAGTCATACGCATAAGGCATAATACTTTTTGGTGGAATTTTATAATAGATTGGTTTATATGGTGTTTCAGTTTTAACTAATTCTCCATTTGCATTAATATTTGGATTTCCTTGATATATGTAAAATTCTTCATCCGTATAATTCTTAATTGCATACGGCCATTGATTATTACCATCTTCAACGTGTATAAACATTGTGGCATCCTCCAATAGCAACGTGACTTTTAAAAGAACTTGAACTTCATTTTGTTTTTGAACTTTGATGAATAAGAGTCCAACATTGTCAATACTAAAAGGCTGTGACCATCTTGATGAGTGTCTAAACTTGAACATTAGATTTTTTTTCTCCAAACAACGCATACCATACAACGGGATTGATTTATTAGGGGCAACTTGACATTCTTTAGATACGCCCTCTTCGACAATCAAAAGATCCTCTCCAAGTTTATTAACCACTACATATCTTGGAGCTATAATGACAGTCTTGATTAAATTATATGCACCTTCTCCTTCTGAAATTGTAACTCCCAAATTGATTTCTTTTTGTTTTCCCAACATCTGCAAACTTAAGTGGGATGATTGGCCAATAGTGTCAAAGCTCATTGGACGAGACCATACCGTATCATCACTTTTAATAGTTGCTCTATTTCTTTTATCACCGTTTTTATCAAATGAAAACATGGTAGGATTAATGGGATCTGATACTATCGATTTACCTAATGATTCAAAAACGTTGCCACGTTCATTGGCAAAAATATTTAAATTTGATCTATTGAGAATGACATAAGGACTATAGATAATCACTTTCAAACTGGTACTGTCCGCTTGCTTCTTCGGATAGTGTATATTCAATTTCAACTTGTTATCACCTCTTAATGAAAGAATGTTCTCTCTTCTGAATTCATTCTGCTTTGGACAATTAATTATTGCAAATTCTGATTTTCCATATTCACAATGTAACGGTTCAATACTTAATAATAAAAGGTTTTTCAAACTTGCAACATGAACATAACTTTTGATACCTTTTTTCACTTCTCCAGTCCATTCTCTTCTTGAGTTTTTATCGTATAATCTGTAAGAAAAATCATAAGGTAATAAATTTTCAATTTCCAATGGTGCAGATATGATGAATTTCATATGAGGATATACTTGTGCCAAAGGTTCTTGCTTATCATATGAAGCTTCGGTTTGAAAATAATAAACTGAAGTATCTCCTCTCTTGGTTGCTGGACATTTGAACGCAATATCAGAATTTCCTTTCATAACTTCTTTCCAGTTGATACATTCTTCTGACCAATTAAACGAAGTATGTAAATGTGGTTTCATTCTTAACTTACCATTGTAAACAAAATCAATTGGAATAGCAAGATTTTGCTTCGACTTTATTAATAATTGCTTTGTTTTGTTTTGATCGAATATCTCAATGTCTATAGGAACATCAGCATCATTTTCAATTAAAACTGTCGACCTTAAAGTAATTATTTTGACATTGTCCTCCGCAAGAGTAATGCTGACACATAATCTGTTATGAACACCATCGATTGAAGGCTCCAAAGCAAATAATTCTTCCCCAACACTGGCAGCGGATAATTGACTAATACTTTCATATGCATCATCTTTGAAAGATATTCCTAATGTACTAGATGTATCGGCATCCAAATTTTCACGAATTTTTCTCCAATCTTCAAATGTCCATGGTTTAGACTCTCCGTAATTAAGTGTAGTCTTGGTGGCTTGCTTTTTTCCGTCTGACCAAATATTTAAATCAATTCCAGTATCGTTAATAATAACAAATGGATAATCTTGTCCTCTTGGTTTCAATTGCTCTTCAGTACTTAAAAGATATTGCATTTGAGATAATAATGCTACTGATCTTGATGTAATTGTAACTTCCGCAAGATGTCTAGATACAACTTCAATAAGTAATTTCAGATCTGGTCCTTGCTTTTGTGATGCATATATAGCTACTGGCCATGGTTCAATCATTGGTTCCCATGTTGATTTAGCATAGTTGTAAATATTCAAAAAGCTTTCAAGATGAATTTCAGCAGTAAGATCGGTCGACCAATTGATGGCATGAAATTCAAAAGGTTTCAAATTAGCATCAATGACCGGTAATTCAGATACATCACCAATTAATACAAATCTAAGACCTCCAAAGTTAATTGTTGCTTCTTCACCTCTTACAGTTGGGACATTGTCTTCCAGTTCTAGCAGCTTTTGTGATTCATTGTTTTGAGAAGAAGTAACTAATGCATTTGAAATTACACTAGGAGTATGTGACAAAGTTGACAGCTGATCACTTTTCTCCGACTGGGGATTCAGCTGTTTATTCTTTGCTAGCAAATCGTTAGCTTTGTTGATAATTGATAAACCGAGTCTTATATCTCTCACAGATACTCTTATTACTAATGGTTCAATCGATGCTTGAATATTGTCCAAAAATTTTGTCGCAGTAGTTTTACGATTGTCATATGCAAACGAAATTGTAAAATCATCAATTATTCTGTAAATTGCATTTTTTGGATCATCCATTCTTGCCAAGTATAATCCAATTTTGCTTGTAGCTATAGATAGTATATTCTGCTTCGTGATTAAAATTTGTTCAACTTTGAAAGCAATCGCTTCCGTATCAGCTCTTGTTTCATCCGCTAGAAGAAAAATTGATGGATTTGTAATATTTATTGATAATCCTAATTTTGCAGCAGTTGTTGAAACTTCTTCCTCATTATGTGCTCTATTACCTGGAAACAGTGTGATAGATTTTCGTGATTGTCTTGGTTGTAATTCAGGTCTTTGAGATGAAGGTTTTGACTTGATAAAAAAATCCTGCAAATTGAATAAATAATCTAAAGCCAAGATGACCTTTGGTTTTTGAACGGTTAAGATTGTTGTAATGGATTTATTAGTATCTGAACCATCCGAGATTAACTGTAAAACAAACTGATTCTCAACATCTTTTGCAGCTGGGATCAATACAGGAAACTTATTTTGTGTCTTTTCTCTAACGTCTTCAACCACAAATGATTTAATGGCAAATTTTGAATTAAACAGTTGATCCTGAGCTAAATCAAAAACTATATCAAAGTCATTCAATGAAAATGTGGAGAATTTTTGACTCGTAATATTTTCAATACCATCGGTGTCATTATAAAGCGTTAAAGAAATTTGAGGCACTGAAAATTTGAAATTAGCCATTTTATGATCTTTTGGAATTTCTTCTTTGTCTGAAGAATTCTCAGCTATTGCAGTTTGGGCATCATCATTGCGGTTACCTTGCACAATTTTTGTATTATGTTTTAGTACTTCGTTCGCATAATTAGCTTCTTCTTCAATCTCCTCAAAATTTGTTGATGAATTTTCCGAACCAAATGTTTCACTTATCAGTGTGAATAATTGAGTAATCAATTTTAATTGTAATTCCGTTAAATTTATATTTAATTGGGGTATTTTACCAATGATATCAAAAGTTGGAACTCCATTTTTGAAAATTTCGCACCAATCAACGTTAAAGGTGATATCCAAATCATCCACAATTGTAGCATTCTGTTGCACTTTATCAAATTTTAACTCTGACTGTAAATTTATATTTCTTACCCCAGCTTCAATTGTATTTACATCTCCTTTAAATACGTTTTGAGCGTATAGCTCACCTAGATCAACTACAATTTTATCACCAGTCAATCCAAAGGGAAAAGTAATATTTGGTGCTTGCACAACTACATCAAATTTGATTTTGGTAGGAAGTTGTGTAGCTTGATTCATTGCAGCTTCTCTGGTGCTGTCGTAAATTGCTTTCATTTGCATAAACTGAGTACTATATGATATGAGCCTATTGAAACTACTTTCAATGAAGTTAATAGACAAAGAATTTGTTTTAAAAGCAACTTCCGCTGGCCTAATTCCATGAATGTCAAAAGTCTTATAGTTAAATTCAGCCAAATTATTTCCGTCCATATGAATTAATTTAGTAGCACCAGAATTGTAATTGTCAACTAAAGATAAAGCTCCAATCTTACCAGTTACATCGATACTTTCAGGTAGCAAGAACAACTTAATTTGAGCTAAACTCAATTCAAATGTTGCTAACTTTCTTCCGTCCTCATTCAATGCTATAATGATACTGTCCAATCCCAATTTCATATTAATCTTCTGAGGAGCCGCTTCTTCATTTGCATCGTTGTGGCTCAATTCATCAGCAGGTGTTGTTTGAGCGTTTGGATCTGTGAAAGTATTCATACAAAATGCTAGTATACTCAAAATTGACTTTCTTGTAATCACAATTTCAACAGTTGCTATTTGCATATCAATGTCTTGATCAAAAACCTCAATTTGTGACCCCTTAAAATCAACCAACCTTTGAAATCTACTCAAATTGATTTGTAAAATTTTTTTAGATTTTGAATTTGAATTGGAAGATATAAGGTTGTTGAATTTAGCAACTCCCGATTTTTCTAAGCAATCTTCAATGTTAAAGTCTATCAAACTCATATCCAAGTGCAATTCCGTCTCAGTTTTAAATAAAGACAACAGCAAACCATCTCCAACTATATCTATTAACGGTTCAGCTTCTAAGGTAACCCCATTTATGCATCTGGAAAGGGACACAATTATCAGATTTATCTCGAATTCTATTTCTATTAACTTTTGTTCAATGTCGTTCTTTTTCTTCAAAGATTGGTTGCTTTTTTCATCACTAGATACATGATCATCAATTGAAATGCCATCCTTTTGTGTATTCGTATCTCCATATGTAGCAAATACACTTGATTCATCTGTATTTGAAGTTCCAGTATTTGGGATTGCAGCTTCAAGAATACTCATAATAGTTTTGTATTGAAAATCGTTCATAGCTATATTAATTTTAGGAACTCCACCTCCCAATCTCATTTTAGGTAAATTTTTGGCATCAGGTAATATCGAAATTCCCAAATTAATATTCAAATTTAAATTATCTAGCATAACTGCTGACCTTTTAACATCAGGCTTATATAATTGTTCCATTGTAGTTTTTATATTCTGACCTACTAAAAATTGGGCGTCAATTAAACTTAATTTGAATTGGTCATATAGCAATTCCTTCAAATTCTGCCAATCTTTGTCTGTGTATTTTTCTTTGTCTTTATATTCTTTAATTTTAGACTTTTCAATCAAATCACTTACTACACTTACATGACCAGCATCCAATATCGCTACAGGCGATTTATAACTCGAAGGATCCAAGGGCAATATTACTAATGGGGCTTGTAAATCTAACTTGACGTTAATTGTTTTGTGCTCTTCCAACGCATACTCTAGACCCATTCTTGTTTGAGATGTTAATCCTTCAACAGTCGATTCAGCAGCATTCATGATTGCACCAACTGTATCTAGATGAATTTTTGGAGGTGTAAAAAATTGAATCAAATTTTCAACAAATTTTGGATTATAAAATATCGTCATTGATTTTAATCTTCCTAATAATTCTGAGTCAGCTCTGCCATCAAGGGGATTTTGTTCATACAGCACTTGAAAGAATGGATCGTGTGATTTGGCAGTGTCATCGTTTGATGCTTCTTTGACACTAATAAGATGTTTGTATATGCTAGAATTAGTTCCATCTTCTACTTTGAATTCTGACATCTGAAATGAAGCCAAGAATGATTCAGGTCTTTGGAAAAATTTAGCTTCGCAGCCTTCGAATGCAATCTCTGCCAAACTGGTCAAATAATCCTTTTTGATAACCAATCCACCTTTATTTAAAACAGCAGAAATTTTGTTCTTTACACAATCATTTGGAAGATCAATATCAGATGCTTGTGCTTTAGCATCGTAATCAATAGTATCATAAAGTGACTTTCTCTGATCATCATTTAAAGAAACCGCAGTATGTTCACCATCTGCTTCAAGGGTGTCTTTCTTTTTTTCTTCTGACTGCTTGTTCCCACCACCCCACCATCCTGAGAACCAACCAGCATTTTTCTTTTCATTTTGATCTGCTGCTTCTGTATCGAATAATCGAACAATTTTTCCCAGCCTTTTTAATTCATTTCTTGCTAATGATCTATATAATTTGATATCATCAAAGGATAAATCCCACTCCAACTGCTGCAATTCCTTTTCTTCCTCGGGACTTATTGTTCTATCCAATTTTAGTTTCCATAACTTCAAATATGCAATTCTTTGATCTCTTCTTTTCTGGAAGTATTCCCAACTCCACTTATAATGTTTTTCATGAATTTCATTCAAGACACATTCAGCAGAATATTTGAACCATGCCTTAGGGTCTTCGCTGGGTGACACTTTTGGCCTTAATTTTCTAAATTTTGCTGTTTTCATATACCAATGAAACTTTGAGGCAGTCCAAAGTATATCCTCGTATTGTTGAGCGTTAAGCTCTAAACCAAATTCTTCGAATGATAAGTCTGATTCTAAATGTGGTTGATTCTTTGTTGCACCAGCTTTGTGTATGGTTATTCTACCATTACCCGTAATAGGTTTCATTAGATATTCTTCCTCAACAGTATTTGATTGAAATTTTTCAAGTATCACATTTCTATCCAAATCAGAAAGTAATTGTGGCTCTCTCGTATTCATGTAACAGGCAAATTTATCTAAAGTCAACAATTTTCTTGCAAATACTTGCGTTATGGCTATAAATGATGGGTGCCAATTTTCATCGGTGGAAACTGCTGATAACTCTCCCAATGTTGCTCCAAGTGAATAAGGATTTTCCGTCAAAACAGAATCATCTTCATATTTTAGATGTATATTCTTTATTGTGACTTGTAAATTATCAACGATTTTGGTAATTAATGATTCTGCGAAGGTACTATCAACTAAATCTTTTCCCAATTCTTCACTTTGTGCTTCCAAAAAGGTTTCCAATTGCTTTAGTTTATCTTGTTTTACTGCTTCCTGTCTTTTTTCATCGTCCTCCGCATCATAGTTGGATAGATCTGCAGGCGTTGCCAATAAATATAAATCCTCTATTATTATTCGAACAGGTTTGCCTTTCAAATTAGACCACGGTATTTGCAACGTCAAAACACCCAAATGGCCAAATGTAACATTAACAGGTAATTTCAATTTATCCAAACTTTCCTTTTTCAATCTTAAATTTGTCAACTTCACATCACCACTCCATATTCCAATGTTTAATTGTTTTGTATCAAAATTTTCTAGATAAGAACCCAAAAACCTATTCAAAAGATTTGCAACAAGTGACTCAAACATGTCAAGAACTCAATTGATTGATAATGTTAAAGCTTATGTGCAATAAGCTGCTAAACTATCGAATTGGTGGTGGATACTTCTTGTAAACTATTGATTTGATTTATATAGCAAGCTTATTAAAATCATTATCAATTAATTTTTATTACACAAATTTCGAAATCTCGAAAAAAAAAGCCGCTTAAAATGGCGAGAAACTCCGAATTAATTCCAATGGATCAATCGATCCTGCCGCATGCTGGTATATCAAACTTATGAATGTATATTTCTCATTGATATTATTTAACAAGAGTTAATGCATTCATAAGAATGAGAGAAAAAGAAAAAAATAACAGGTTCCAGATTATTATAGTTTGTATTTTCTATAAATCAATATCTTATCGTGGGTCAGAACTAAATTACTATAGGCAGACTTGAAGTCCCATTTTGACTTTTAATGTTATTAGCACTTGTATTTTGGTTCTTCCCATTACCGATATTGGTCGGAAAGTTTCCCTTTTTCGCACCTTTTTTGGTAATTTTATTAGAATTGATGTTAATCGATCCATTATTTGGGGTCGGGTAATTACTATTTTGATTTGGTGTAGTGCTTGCAGCGTTGGTATTTTCGGAACTTGAGATCATTGGAGATGGTTTGTTACCCATATTAGGCGTGTTATTAGTTGATGATGGATTTGAACCTTTGATTTTAACGTTATTTGGAGGAGCCTCCACTTCATGACCCAACTTTATTTGTGCTAAATTTATTATAGGTAGAAGTTTGTTGTACCTTTCACAGTACTCATTTATACTTTGTTGTATTGTAGCAAGTCTTGTTATGATAGTTTGAAAAAACTCCTTTTGTGAATTGTCTTTGGGAGTAGTTGTTAGTGCTCTTAAAAATGAAGACATATCATTTCTTAGTATGTTAGTTTCTGCTTTTAGCCGTTCTATTTCTTCATAAATTAGCTTTGGGTCTATTTTACCGGATGTTATATCATCTATCTTTATCAGGTCTGGTAGTTTTGGTCTCAGATCATCGATAGTATCAAATTTGAACATGAAAAGCTGAATAGATCAATTTTATTCTGAGAATATAGTAGCTAAAGTAGTGATAGAACTTTATAATAGGATTTTGAATGTAGCGAAATAGGGTTGTTTTGAATTATAGGCTAATGCCAACTTGAGTTGTGGTATTTTTTTTCTTAGCATTCAGATTATTTTCTGTCGCACTGGATTTTACACACTGATTCAGCCGTCGCTCGAAGGGTAAGCCGAAGTTTTCTCATGAAACAAAAGTTTTTTCGTGTGTAATGGGAGTATGAGAGAAACTCAAAATCTGGGAACCTTTATCATTCACAAAAAGCATTACAACAATTATGATCCATTGAAATTCAAAGCATAATCACTATTTGTCAAATTTGATTTATGGACAATTGTTTAAAGTTTACTTTAAGAAATTATAACTTTTATGAAATCGATATAGAATATACAAATAATCTCAATATTAAATTTGATAATAATTCATCGACTTTGAAATCAATAGAAGAATACCCCAAGAAAGACGAATTTATGCCAAATAATATATCTAAAAAAGAAGACCAGGAAATAATACTGTATATATCTGATAAAAGTACAAAATACATACCACCTCATAAAAATAATAATAAGTCAAATTCACTAAATCAATCGAATAAAAATAAATATCAAAATGTGGACCAGAGTGAATTACGTACTACCAAAAATGGATCAATATCTAATAAGGATATCTCAATCATTGATGATGAAAAGATGGCAATGAGAAAGAAAAGGTTTGAAACTAATAAGCATCATAAGCAGGGGTCGGACAACTCACTGAATAACAAGACTAAAAAGTACGATTATGGATTGGTAAGTAGGGGTGACGATAATAGATTGAAAGAATCCCAATCTGAGAGAGAAGAGTTCTTCTTATATATTTTGAACAAATTCATTCGATATACGTCACAAAGCTCATCACAATCATTGTCAGAGACTATCGAAAAATTAAAAGAGTCAAATCCCGAAGATTTTGAAAGTGCAAAGTCGTTAAACTCACAGGATGATCAACAAACTCATCAAAAATCCGACGACGAAGTGATTTTGGAAATTCTATCAATGGATCTTAGAAAATTACGAGAAAGTTTGTTAAATATCCCTCCGTCCAAATTTCATAAAAAAGTATTTCTATTTTCAATTCGATTTTCAAATTATTTTGGACATTTCAAGACATACATCCCGAGTATAAACTATTTGATGAACTTTGAGAAACAATTAAACTTAACAAGGCTTGAAGTTGAAGAAATTGCTATTATTTTAATCTTGCATACGATCCATGTCAATAACGATGCACAACAATCAATATTCTACTACCACAAATACATACCTAATAGAGTGGACATTCTTCGAATTATAAGGTATTGGATTCATATCGATTATTATCAATGGATGAAAACATACAATACTTGTGAAAACTATACAATACGATCAATGATGAGTTTAGGTTTAAATAAAATTTTAAATAAGATGATACATATTGTCACTGCAAGCTATTATAATTTACATAAGGATGTTTTAGAGAGGTATTATCTACCGAAGGAAATGTCGTATGGAGATTTCAGTAAAAAATACAAGGTAAATTGGGTCTTAGAGGAGAATGGTAATGTGATAATACGAAGTCGAAGTAGTCGTAAATAGCTTTTAAATGAAGAATTTTACGGCCATATTAAGATGCTTTGGTTTCTGACAACTGATTTCATAATTTTGAGCTATGATGCATGCAATCATTGCAAAACGATTGTGAAGTGCATGTGATGGAGCTGATTGGCAATCAACACACTGCATTCAGCATGTATAACGACCTTCGAAAACATTTAATTAGTTCGATCATTGCTTAGTATCTGAGTAGCAGAATTTTGTTTTTCAATTCAACTTTGATTCACAAATTTTACCTAATGTAACAACAGATCTTTTTCAGCATTTTGTTAAATACCTAAAAAAAAACACATTTGACATCTGTTCATAAACAAAAATCCATTCCTATCCAGCGTGGCAAATATTGCCCTGTTTGGTTATCTACTCTTTTGCAACTGAACGGGATTGAAGTTAATGAGTTTCATCTTCGATATGCTTTGTATCTTGTAAATTCGAATCCTTCACAAGGTCTTCTCGGATCTCATGGCTACTAGTGTTTCAAATTTTAACAGTTTGAATCTCTCATCCTAGGCTTCATTGTGTTACAATGAGACTACTTATATACGGATCTATCACTATTCGTGAGCATGATATAATAGATCAATAGGATTTGTGCTAATTACGACCAAATGAATCACGTTACTACTACTCTTCATTACAAGTTCATTGAGGTAATGGGCGTTAAAGAAATATTACAAGATAGCACTAACCACCCTACATAATTCGGTGATCAGAAACTTCACAGATCGGTGCAATATAGTCATTAGTTTATTAGGAACTTTATTTAATTATTAAATTCACCTTTCTTAAGTATGATAAAGTTGATCATTTAGCTGCTAATAATTGAGTGAATTCTTGGATATCAATTTCTCCATCGTTATTAGTATCAGCTTCTTTTATCATTTGATCAACATCGGCGTCAGATAATTTTTCTCCAATTGAAGTTAAAACGTGTCTCAATTCAGCAGCACTAATTTTGCCATCACCATTTCTATCAAATACTTTGAAAGCTTCAGCAATTTCAGCTTCGGAATCTGTGTCTTTCATTTTTCTAGCCATCATTGTTAAAAATTCTGGAAAATCTATGGAACCATCTGAGTTAACATCTACTTCATTTACCATATCAGTTAATTCACTTTCTGATGGGTTTTGACCTAATGATCTCATAACTGTACCTAATTCTTTTGTTGTAATTTTCCCATCACCATCTTTATCGAATAAGGAAAAAGCTTCTTTAAATTCAGCTATTTGCTGTTCTGATAATTTTTCAGCCTGATAATGAGATGTTAGTATTGATATATGCATTGTTTTGATTTAGAAATTAGTTTATCTATAAGGAGTCATTGATCCTTGATTTTCATGAATATTACATACCATTGTATCTATGATTTGAAGATTTGCAAGCTTGAGGGTAACCGGCAAGACTTATAAAAGATGAATTAAATGTATAAGATAGACTTATTGATTATGAAATTCTATGATAATAATTGATCTATTTTTAGTGTTTAGTATTACGTCTCTTAAATTACCGCTACCAAATTGTTATAACTTTTGTACTCATAGTATTCTATCTGCGTAAATCTAGATAGGTGAATTTACACTACCTTATAGACTCTTATGAATTAATATAAAACTAGTTTAAAAAGAATCACGTCTTTTTGCAACCAATTTTAATATCCTTATAGTGCATTAACTCATTTTTATATGAAAAATAATAATGGTGAACAACTAACAAACAAAAGTGATACCAATGATGTTGAATCAGAAATACCTAAAGACACTGACGATGATAATGAAGATGATTTTGGAGACAGTCAATATCTGATTTTTTTAAAGTCATTAGACAATGGAAAATTAATAAATCATATTAATCGTATAAGTCAATCTCAGACCCAACCTCAAACTCAAACTCAAACTCAAATCAAAAGATCAAACGAAAGTCCGGAATTAAAGCAGCATTCATTTCAGGAAAGTTCTACTCCGAAAAAACTACCATCAATCTTAACTTCAGTCAGTTCAGATCCCTTTGATGATGATTTAGATATCAACATACTTAATAATGAGGTAATAAATGGAATAGACAATAGAGCATTATCAAATCTTACTAGTAAAAATCCCGAAATTGTGCATAAAAATATAAGCGCAGAACTCACGAAAGGCATTGAACCAAACAACGATCAAAACAAACAAGTTTCAGAATTAAGCGACTCGGAATCAGAAAGTGATAAAGATGAATCTGCTATTGGTAAGCTACATGAATTTGGAGATTACAAAACATATTTTGATTCTAAACATATGAAGCAACAACGTCAAGATGAAGCATATGTTAAGTGGGATAAACAAAGAAGAAAGGATCAAAATTTAAGTCTGCAACCAACTACTATTTTCAAAGATTGCGCTATATTTGTGAATGGACATACGAAACCTTCAATCAATGAAATTCATAGATTGGTGATACTTCATGGTGGTAAATTTTTGAGTTATTTACCAAATAAGTCAAGTGCAACGCATATTATTTGTGATAGATTGACTCCAAGAAAAAACGTTTCATTCAGAAATTGTAGGGTTGTCAAAGCACAATGGATTGTAGATTGTGTTGAGGCAAAAGAATTGTTAGATTGGCAAAAATATAGACTTATTTTGGATGTATCCTACGATCAAAAAAGGCTAACATTTGGCAACAACAACAAGAATGACGAAGATGTGGATGGTAAAGAAGTAATTTATTCGGGTAACTGTGCTGAATATCAGACCAGAGCTGAAAATACACTTATAGCACTAAATGGTGGTGTCATAATTCAACAAGGCAACGACAAGATGTTGAATCGAATAGATGAGGATGATGAAGAAGAAATTCAGTCAACTTTGTTGAGACACGAAGAAAACATTTTGGAGAAACTGCAAAAATTGGAATCACTGCAAGAATCAGCAAATTATGATGACGTCGAAGATTTTCCTGTTCTTGACAAAATACCTACAGAAAATGATAAAGGGGTCCATAAAGTTCGAGGTAAATTTGTATTGGATGCTAGACATCCTGATTTTTTAGCTGGTTTTTTTGCAAATTCTAGGTTACATCATTTAAGTATGTGGAAGTCTGATTTAAGATTGAAATTTTTGAAGAGAATTATTAAAGAAAATTTACATAAACCTAAGCAAGATGCATTTTCTGGAGTACAAAAGAATCGAAAGAAAATTATAATGCATATTGATTTCGATTGCTTTTTTGCAACTGCCTCTTGCTTGAAACATCCCAATCTTGACATTGAGAAGGATTGTATTGTAGTTGGTCACGGAGGTAACAGTTCAGACGTGGCTAGCTGTAACTATGTCGCCAGAACTTTTGGTATCAGAAACGGTATGTGGTTACAAACTGCTCGAAAATTGTGTCCAAATTTGAAACTTATAGACTATGAATTTAATGCATATGAAAAGTTTTCTGGGGAGTTTTACAATTATTTGGTGTCAAGCAAGTATTTTGATACAATATTTCCAGTTTCAATTGATGAAGCTTTAGTTGACGCTACCTCATATTGCAATTCGTCTGAAAAAGGTATTGAAGTTGCAATTGATGAATTAAGTACGTTAATTCGAAACCATGTTTTTCAAATAACTCAATGCCCGGTTAGTGTTGGTGCTGGTCCAAATGTCTTACTAGCCAAAATCGCTTTAAGGAAAGCAAAACCGAACGGTCAATATGCCGTATTTCAAAATATAGATGATATTATTTCATTAGTACCAGTGAAAGATTTACCAGGTTTTGGGAAAGGATTTTTAACAAAATTGGAACCAGAACTTGATAATTCTAGCCCAGTTATTAAAGATATCCTACCAATTACAAAGCCCAGATTAATACAATTACTAGGTGAGAAAACAGGAACTAAATTATATGAGTATGCTAGGGGAATCGATCAGACAAGTATTGAAATTGATACTTCAAATCCTGAAATGGTGTTGGGAAGAAAATCAATATCCGTAGATGTTAATTTTGGTATTAGATTTGACACTATAGAAGAATTAGATGACTTTTTTATCAGATTAGCAAGAGAGGTGTATAATAGAATGGTTAATTTAGGAATTATTGGGTCGACTTTGACCTTGAGACTAGCAAAGAGAAGAGAAGGTGCGAGTGTTATAACTGCAAAGTTTCTTGGATTAGGTGAAGTCGATTTTGTTAATAAAAGTTCAAGATTAGGTGTAGCTACGAATGATTGGGGTGTTATTGGTAATGAAATAAAAGTTTTATATCGAATGCTCAATATACCAGTGAAAGAATTGAGAGGGATCTCTATCAGTATAACTAAATTAAAGGATGTTGAGTCATCAAAGTTATCAAAACAAATGACGTTACCGTTTGCGAAGTCAATAAATACCGGACTGCCGGTGCAAGTTGGTAAGCACATGCATGTCATTTATAGTACTAAAGACTCAGACCTGAATGTCTCACCAAAACTTGACGCTTTTGGAACACCAATATCTATTAAGGATACGAACCCGTTTGCACAATCACCTGCCAGGTTAGCTTCAATACGACCAAAAGAGCAATTAATTTTCGATAAAGAAGATATTGCTAGAAGAAGAAACAAATCGAATGTCACAAAACCACCACCACCGGATCAGTTTGAAGACTTGAATCAAATTGATTGGGAAATGTTCGATGCCCTACCGCTGGATATAAGACGTGAATTAAAAAGTGAACTTATCAGGAGAGGTATTTTACCAGAAGAGAAAAGTAGCCCTCAAAAAGGCAAATCATATTTACAACAGGTTTTTCCTAGTCCTGGGGGTGAATCTAAATTCGTGAGAGTTCGGGACTCTCCAGGTAAATCACCATCAAAATCACCTCATAAGAGAAGACAAACTCCAGCTGCATCACCAGTGAAAAAACAAAAACAAACTCCAATTACATCACCAGTGAAAAAACAGAAACAAGATCCAATTTATGAAGACTCTCAATCGTATGATACATCTTTGATTAACCAGTTACCTTCATCTATCAAACAGGATGTTTTAAAGGATATTGAATATAAGAAAAAAATTCAAAAGTTTGATTTATTACCTATGAGAGATAAGATAAATCAGAAGATAGAGGAATCGAAAGTCGAAGTAGAATCAATTACAATGAACTGGATATCCCACCAACCAAAAATTCTAAATTTACCTTCATTCTTAAACAACAAAATCAGCACAAGACAACTCCGTTCTAAAATTGAGGAATGGGTGTCTACATCACTAGACCAACAAGGTCCTCACATAGAAGATATTAAATATTTTCAACAATTTTTAATTGAAATGACGGAACGCGGTCAATCAAGTAGAGCTATATTATTAATTCAATATATTAGGGACTTGTTAGAATATCATAGATCAATTATTAAGTTTCATGATGAATCAAATACTCAATATTCTGATGGTCAAAATACATTCTACATGCTGGGAATTGATGATTGGGAAAATCAATTAGATATATTACATAACGTTTGTAAATGATTCAGGCTTAGCTGGAGATTTTTTAATCTATGCTACAAATATTGACAAAAATTCAACCTCTTAGGAATGTAGAAATAGTTGATAAACGTTCAACAAATATACTCTTACTTATTAGATCTTTGCTGATCTTGTGAGACATACTCAAATCTGAGATCTGATCAAATCTGTAAATACGAGATCTGAAGCATATCAAAATTGCTGAAAGGCCCAAACTCATCGATTTCGAACCCGGACGTTTGCAAAAACGTGCCAATAAACTTCGATACCTGTGCTTGTTTTAAGCTAATGAAGTATTTGACATATTTTCATGGATTGAGAATACAAGATCTGCCGATGATTAACACGTAGAATAACTACATAAACAATCTTTTCCTTGATGAACAAGAGAAGACTAATATGGCTTGATTCATGTCCAGATGGAAAATTGAACATTCAGTCAATCAAAAAATAAGTGTAAAAAGTTTAATCAATTGTGTTGCAAAATTAAATGAATTAGTTTGTTTTGAATTTAATATATGAAACATATCTTTATCACCAATTCAAATTTACTCACAAGAATTACAGATGAACTTCCTTCAAATGAAACTAGGCAATCTTTAGTTCAGGGGTTGATTCAAGCGTATGGTTTGTTAGAATATTGTGAAGTTATTGACGTTGAACCAATTGAGTACAAGGAGTTAACTTTATATCATGATTCAAATTTCATAAGACAATTATGTATTCCAAGAATTGAAACTGATCAAAAGTCTTCTGAATTTGATAATCTCAAAAATGAATTGAATAAGTTGTTTGATGACGTTGAAGATATAGAATACGAGGAAACCAGAGTTGATAATGATGATTTATTCGGTTTATCTCATGATTGTTATCCATTTCCATTCATGCGTTATTATATCAATTTAACAGCTGCTTCAACAATTCAATTGTTTACAAAAGTACGTGAATATGTTAAATGTCAACAAGATCAGCAAGTTAAAAAACGAGTAATTGGTCTCAATTGGTATGGGGGTCGCCACCATTGTCACAAATCAAAAGCATCAGGTTTTTGTTATATTAATGATATTGTATTGGGCATTTCAATTATTAGAAGGTTAACATCGAAGTCTCGAGTCTTCTATTTAGATCTTGATCTTCACAATGGTGATGGAGTTGCAGAAGCTTTTAAATTCTCATCAAAAGTTATAACTTGTTCTATACATAGATATGATGTTGGATTTTATCCTAATAGTGGTGGATTAGAGGAATCACGTTTTGGAATGTATAATATACCTACAGACAGAGGGCTTACAGATGAGAATGTGATGTGGATTTTGCAAAATATAGTCATCAATTTGATTAATAAACATGAGCCAAACTACTTAGTCATTCAAACCGGATGTGATGGTTTAAGCACTGATCCTCATAAGGAGTGGAACTTAACTATGAGTGGTTTTGATAGTGCCCTACAGTATTTGATTTCGAATATCAGCATTGATATTCCTATTATGATATTAGGTGGAGGCGGTTATAACGACACAGAGACAGCCAAATGTTGGACATATCTTACCAAATCTTTAATAGGCTCACCCATCCCAAAACGTTTGGTGGATGAAGCGAATGAGATTCCAGAGCATACAATGATAGATCACTACGAGAAAGATGGTTATAGGTTTTGGACTGATCTAAATTCCAGTCCTAGTAAGATGCAGAATCAAAACGATCTAATTAAGTTGCAACAAATAAAGGATTATATATTGTCTATTACTTGACTTTTTTTATTGTTTATTACCAAATTTTGGTTTCAATACTCTAGCCCAATTTTCATCCCATCTAGATTTACTCTCATTTAAAGCTCCATCTTTCAAAGTTCTTAAAAGCTCATCATTAGTGAAAACTGATTTTATCGCTCGAAATAACTCATTCGAGCTTGATTTTTTGACAACCAATCCATTTACTTCATCCTTGACTAATTCAGATATGGCAGGAAAGTTCAAGGATACTACTGGGATACCAGATCCAAAGAAGTCTACAATTTTCATAGGCAAATCTATACCACTTGAAGATGTATGTAATGAGACACCTAAATCTGCTGTTGCTAGTATTTTTGGATAATCTTCTGAACTTAACCAGGATGTACTTATAATTACTTTTGACGAAAATGATAATTTATCAACTGTTTTAAGAAATTCTTCTTTCATTGGTCCTTTTCCTGTAACAATCAAATAAATCGGGGGAGTTTCTGAATCCGCTTCATATTTTTTCAATGCGTTCAACAAAAGGTTGAAGTCTTCATCTGGCGTGAAAGATGTAGAACTAACCAATATTTTCCTTTCAGGTAAATCATTCATATCTGTGAAAACCTCATGGTTGTAATTTCTGTCGGTTACAGCTATAGGTTGAAATTGTTTTCCTGGTCTGTCATAAAGTGTCACTACTTTAGATTTATTAAAACAGAATTGTTCAACCAAAAATTTCTTCATTTGTTTCGTCACAGTTATATTTAAATTAGCAAATTTTCCCAATATTTCCTCATATTTTCGAACAATTACAACAAATGGGTTATTCAAGTTTTGATAACGTAGATTCAAGATTGTGTAATTCAAATTATGCCAGTCTATTATTATCTTCAACTGGTTGTTTATTGTGTATTTAAATATCAAAATTATTAATAAAATTGGTATACAAGGGGGATTTTGAATTAAGACATAATCAACTTCTTTTCTTGTTTTCCACATAATCTTCCAAATTTGTATAATCTGAATGAACATTTTAAACCCTGCAAACACTATGAAAGGTAAATTCTTTTTATTCTTCAACACTTTAATCGGTATTATGTCTATATTTATATCATCAATAATTTCATAAGGTGGTTCCGACTCCACGTATCCGCATAAATTCACATTATAATCAATTGAACTGAAAGATAAAGCATGATAACATATTCTAGGTGAATGACACAAATCTCCCATCACAAAGATTGATATTGTTCTTCTTTTGTTTCTATGCTTCAAGTTTGTTTGGAATAAGTAGGGCATAATCTTATATGCTAGTATTGGTAAGCTTATATATACCGCTAGTAGATAATATAGCCATGGACCTGAGTATTGCCATATATGATCAAACCCTCTATACTTGATCACATCGACCATCTCGCAAGTTGATCTGATTACTAACGAATTAGCTTGATTTGATTGATAAAATGAGATCTTTATAAAAACAATATGAGACTGTTAGATCGCATCATTCTTACCCCAAAAATTTTAATTGGTGATAAATCGTACCAATTGGGTCACAGCAAATATCAAAAATTGTTGAAAATTATAGAAAGACCAAGCAAAAATTCGGGCACAACATTGCAATTATTAAGAGCACTGTAAAATATTAAACTTAAAATTTGGTGCTGTGGCCTAGTGGTTGAGGTCACAGTCGAAAAATTTGGCAACTTGTCCGAGTGGTTAAGGAGAAAGACTTGAATAGTTTTGTACAGTTCAAGGTATCTTTTGGGCTCTGCCCGCGTAGGTTCGAGTCCTGCAGTTGTCGTTTTTTTTTTTTTTTTCATATTCCAATATCGTTTGTTAGAGTTGAAGTCTGGCAATATGAGATTCTCGCAAGATTATATGGTTTTATGAATATTTTTACTATCGGTTATCACTTGAAATTAGCTTGAGTGATATTACATGTATTCCTATATGAAAAACAATTCATTAAAAAGTATATAAAATACTTTCAAATATCATAAAATTAACAGATATATATGTACGTAATAAGAAGTGGTGAGTTATACTACTGTGATAGGTAAGTACCATTGTAGTTTATCATAATCCATAACCTCATCTAATGTCGATTTCATTGGTAAATGATTGGTGTGGCTGTAACAACATCTTAATTTATCTCCAATAGTTCGATGAAATCTTTCGACGGTTGAAGTTCTTTTAGTCGTGGAGCGGAATAGGATGTGGATAATTCCTTCTGCTTTTAATAACTGTTGAAAGAGACTATGTGGATACTCCGATCCGATGCCAGCGTGTAATGCTTTGACTTTGATTTTGAATTTAGTGTTGTTTAAGGTTAACCCATTTTTGACTTTTTGATGAACTTCCTCCTTTGTATTGTTTTTTCAAAGAAATAACGAAAACATGTTTGCTAATGTCACATCCGTATCTTCAATTCACAAATGTAAATTAAAGATACATTTTGTCTTTTGTAAAAAATATATCTGAATGTAGATAGTTGAAACCTCATTTTCATTTGGTCGGCAGCTTTCTCTTGAACCTTTTGTGCTCAGTCCCTTAAGTTAGTTCTTTACGATACATTCTTCACGATCCGCTTTATCTGCCAATTATTTTTTTAGTTTGGATAGTCTAATTCAATCATTTTCTTTGAATATTCTGGTGTTGGATGAAGATGATTTTTATGAATATTATTCCATGATTTCTTCTTGATAAAGATGTGGTGTTTTGAGTAATTGTCTTTGATTTTGAGATTAGTGGTATCAGCCTCATAATGTAATGATTGTTGGTTGTTGGAAATTTGTCCTACGTCTCTCAATTCGAAATCATTGATTAAATTGTACTCTACATTGGTGAGTATAATAGCTGATCGTCCCGGGTATCAAATTTTTGAACCAGATATAGTTCAAATAAGAACTTCAAACTTGGACAAAGAACCACAAACATTATTAGTGTTCTTTATATAAGTTTGAGACTATCATATGTACTATATCTTACTTGAGTCTCATTGAATCTGTAGTATCATAATCTTCTATTGGATTCACGTCAATTTCCATATTGATGTAGTATTGTTGGTTGCACACACAGTGATCAGTGAACGATTCCAAATCATGAAATTAATCATGGATTGTCGAAAATAGGAATGTATGATCCAGAGTCAATGATTATTAGATTTTTTTTTCTGATTAGTGATGCCTTGCGTTGAATGAATCATCAAACTCATATTCATTACTTTTTTCCGGATCTTGAATGTCTATATTAGAAATATTCTTTGATTTAGTATGTTTTTGGAAACCAGAAAACCAAAACCTTTGGTTCCTTTCGTGTCTTCTCATATATATATATAAGCGTGGTTGCTTCTTACTTGAATGTTTCTACTTTTGTTTAACGTCGTCTTCCTCTTCTGAATCAACATCAGTATTTTCGTATTTGGTTCTATTTTTGTATCTAACATGATTGATCTTAGATTGCTTAAGGTCTTGATGATCTTTATAGAATATGTGAGGAGCTCTAAGTACTTTTGTCTAGTGAATCGATGTCTCTTTCATGAATATATACTCTTATCTTGATCTTGAAGTGCCCTTTATCCAAATTTGAAGTAATTATTTGAACTATATCTGCCTCCGAAATTTAACAACCACAACGATCAGCTATCTCTTTGACTCTTAAAACATTAGCCATAAAATTCTGAAAGTTGAAAATGCGTTTAAACCTTTACTTGCTAACCATTTTCCGACATTATAAAAGATCCGGTGTTTGTTATTATTGATTTTGGATTTCCTTTTGCAGTTTGAGCATTTGAAACATAATATTCAAAATCTGGAGCAGATGATAAAAATATCCGTCATTAACGAACTGCTCTGTTTTTTCGTCAAACCCGACTGGACTTGATCCTAATGATCTTTCAACAAATTCAGCAACTTCCCCTAAATTTTTTTTTATGGAAATCATGTTAAGTTTGTAAAAATAATCTACAGATCGTATATAAATTTGATTGGTGAGTATGGGAGTCCCCTCTTTGACTTTTTCTGATGGATTGTATGGCTTGTCTTCATTTTCTTTTACCAAATCATCAATGCCATCATTAAGACTTTGTACGTTGATTATTATCTCATTCCTCTAATTTTATATTTAAAAAAGCTAAGAAGTGGTTAGATGAATCAGAATAAAGTGATTGCATAAACAAATTGACAATTGTAATCCCAATGGTTTCTTTTGCTAATTTGCTAAAATTCCTTAATGAATTTACGATTGGATGTGGGATACTTCTAATTTCTTGTAGTTGCAACCATGAGGGTGAGGTGTTGTCGAAGTTGCTGACTTTTTTTGATTCAAGTTAATAAGTTACTACAAATTAACTCTCTACTTCTCTCATTATGTTAGTACGATGCGCCGCATAGAAAAAGTGTAAGTTTTTTTTTTTTTTTTCTTGTAATCAATATATATTTAAGCAAAACTATAAAATTATAAACTTAATTTACGGGTCAAGGTGCTCTAAGTTGCCACTTGCCCAATAAAAAATAAGATAAAAAATGAAATCTTTATAAAAATAATATGAGACTATAAGATCGCATCATTCTTACCCCAAAAATTTTAATTGGTGATAAATGGTACCAATTGGGTCCACAGCAAATATCGAAAATTGTTGAAAAATTATAGAAAGACCAAGCAAAAATTCGGGCACAACATTGCAATTCTTTAAAGCACTAAAAAATAATAAACTTAAAATTTGGTGCTGTGGCCTAGTGGTTGAGGTCACAGTCGAACGACTTGGCAACTTGTCCGAGTGGTTAAGGAGAAAGACTTGAATAGTTTTGTACAGTTCGAGGTATCTTTTGGGCTCTGCCCGCGTAGGTTCGAGTCCTGCAGTTGTCGATACAATCATGTCCATAATGATTTTTTTTTTGGATTTTGGAATATGGTCTCTAAAACATATTTCACAATTGACTTCCTTGTGGTCAAAGAGTCTAATATATGATGCTAGTGGAGGGACTATTGATTTGAGTTATTACTTTTTAGAATGTCCAATGAATACTCAAATTATGGAAAAAGATCTTCTCGATTTATTTCAATTTGAGTTAATATTCAACTCTATTTCGATACTGATTAGCAGACTTTTAATGTAATAAATCATTGATTTGGTCGAAGAAATTATTCATCAAACCTTAAAATGCTCTGTTTGTTGATTCAGAATAGGTATAATAATAATCATTACTTATATCGTTGTGCTCAATATTCAATTTCACATCAATAAAATAAGCGCGATTTTCTACCACAAAATCATTCTTGAATGGAATGCTAATTTGAATACTGAAAGTAAAAACTTATATTTCACTTATCATCATTCATACAATCGAAACCAGTCTAAGACTTATATGAGGTATCTTTGTGTATTATTCATAAATTATGGTTGATATACGACCAAATTTAAATAATCTGTCAATTAAATCTTCTTCGATATTGCATAATTATACCATGCCAACATTATTGAATCAAGATGATACGTCAACTACATCGTCCATAAAATTTAATCAATTGAAAGGTTCAATTCCTTCTCATAATCTAAAATCAACAATAGTTTCTTGTTCAAACACTCCATATGTATTCTTATATGGAGGTTTTGATGAAAATGATGCATTAGATGGAAATGTTTATTTGTTAAATATAGAGACGATGGAATGGGAAATTGATAGAAAGAATGGAGTTGAAGGATTGTATAGAGAGGGTCATCTGGCTGTATATGTCAATAATGGAAACGTATTAATTTTTGGTGGGCTACCGTTTGACGATGAAGTATTTGACAATAACCAACACAATCATAATAGTAATTCCACTAGTTTCAACAAAGACAGTTTGATGATGATATATAATGTTTTCGACAAAAAATGGATTGGCCCACCTCCTTTTGCTTTGAATAATGCTCCCAAATCAAGATCACGTCATGCATGTTGTTTAAGTGAAGACAATTCTAAATTATTTATAAGTGGTGGAATAGTGAAAACAAATCCAGTAAGCGATTTATACTGCTATGACTTAACAACTGGTTCATGGTATGGCCCTTTTCTGTTTGTTCCAAGATTCGATCACACAATTGTTTACAACAATGATAGAATTTATTCATTTGGTGGATTAGATAAAGATATGAATCACGTAAAAACAATTTCGTATTTTTCATTCAAGGATAACTCAATTGCTGAAATTTCAATATCTAATTTGATCACAAATAATTTGAATTATTTGCATTATGATTTATTTGTTTTACATTACAAGAAGGAACAAGGCTTGGTGTTATTCGTTAACTTACCAACTTGGAATTCAAACAGTGGTGTTGATATAATGAGTATGAACTTGAAAACTTTTGAGGTGGAAGTCTTGTATAGTCAATTGGACTTACAAAATTTCATAAATGATGATACTAATGGAGTAATAAATCTAATGGACAAGAATACGATAAAGTACACTTGGAACTGTGCCTTTATTAGTGATGATGGCGTATTATTCGTCTTGGGTAATCGAAAACGCCAATTTTCTCAGCTATTTGGTAACGTGATAACAAACAATGGCAGTATTGAAAGTGAGTCTGATAGATTTATAATTGATCAAGAACCATCCGAAGAAGACGATGAGCTAATGGATCTGAGTAGCAAATTGTCCAATATCATTAGAATTGATTTGAAAGGTGTAGCTAAAAGAAACCCCACACATAGTTTATCACAAGATTTAGAAACGTTATTCAATTCAAAATTCGAAACAGATTTTGAAATCATAACGTTAAAAGATGAAGAATCAAAGTTTAAATTTGATAACTCCGAGCTTAATCATGAGACAAAAAGTATCAAGGTCCACAAATCGGTTTTAATTGCAAGATGGCCACATTTTAAACGAATGATTTTTAGTGGAATGAATGAAGAACGAGAATCAAAGGTTATGATACCCGAGACATATTCAAAAACTGAAGCATTAATCTATTATTTGTATACTGGAAAGTTGAGAATTCAAGATCATCAATTCAAAATTTCAGACTTGTCAGGGTTGTTGGTGATTGCAAATTTATATCAACTACAAGATTTCAAGTATTTGCTATTATCAGAGTTATATCCACAATTTGATAAATTTCAAAGAAATTTCAATAATAACAAGGACAATGATATCACAGAGCTATTACAATTATGGAAAGACCTAACTTTATCTAATGAAAGTCTATTCAATACTAAAGTCTTGAACCTCATTAAATCTAAATGGAATCAAATAATTAAATCAAAAACATTCTTAAATCTAGATAAAGTTGATATCATCAAATTGTGTCAAGATACGAATGATTTACTTGTTTCACCTTTGATACCGGAGAGTCAAATGTGTATAAGACAAGGTTTTAATTTGCAAAACAACAGCCAACCCAATTCTGGCACTTCAAGTAATCCAGAGACTCAATTTACTCAATCTTCAACCATTTCTGAATTAAAATCACCAAGTCGAAACTCATTGGCCTCCTTAGACTTGACTAATAATCCAGACACTCCAATCCGAAATACAAATTCACCGTTTTTGATTGACTCGCCGGCGAATCCATCAACTACATAGACAATTACAAATAATTACTATTAAAATAAAGACCAAACTCAAATATGTTTTATTTAAAAATTGTCATCTATCAAACTATGTAAAATATCTCCGATTGCTTCAACTCCTTCTTCAACTCCATCTATTATATCACCTAGTATCTCTCCAAATCCCTCATGAGCTTTTGTAGTTTTAACTGAAACAGTAGTCAGGGTTGCTGCTTCAAATGATGATTGTGTAATCGTAGGTATGAAATCACTTGGTTTGGGTAAAGTTTGAGATTCAATAGTTGTCTTTTGCCCTTCGTCTAAAGAGCTTTTGGGGTCATTATTTACATCCGCTGGCTCCGGATTATTCTTTAGTCTCCACAACTGATCGTAGGTTGCATTATTCTTAACTATATGATCCACCTCAAAATCCAAATTAGGGAATTGCAAATCATCATGCCAATCATTAGGTAATTTATCTTGAAATAGTAGACTTGCTATAGTTCCGTTATTTTCAGCAGGATTTAAATCCAAAGTGTCGCAAACTATGTTATAAAAATCAGTATTTTTAAAAGGTTTAATTTTTTTATTCTTGAAATTTTCAACAAAATAGGGACCTGAGCCCAAAAATATAGCTCTCATCAACAAATGTGTATTATCATACCCATGTACTCCTTTTGGTTTATAGTCATGCTGCATTTTATCCATTTGTTCATGAGTTGTTATCACGTATCCTACATCTGGAAATATCCATATTGGAGCTAGTCTATAGTTAAATCTATGATCATTTAATTGACCTCCAAGCTTAAACTTTTTAGGTATATTCTCTCTCGTGTAAATGTTGTAATTCTTAGATAATTTAGGGTCAAGTTGATTGATTTTCGTATTCAATTCTATCACAACATCCTCCACTTTCACATCGTCTTTTGGTCTTAAGCCTATCAATGGCCAGCCATCAATGTGCTCAATTTTATTAAGATCCACCAAATCATCAAGATAGATTAATCGATCATTTGATGTAGGTGACATTCCATGATCACTGACAACGATCAAATTTACAATATTCTGCAAATTTCTTCTTTCTAATTCAGTTCTCATTAATTGAAGGAAGTCATCAACATAAGTTAAACTTTGAGTTAAATCATCACCTGATATTCCATATTTGTGACCATATTCATCAACTGTTGGTACATACGTTAAAATCAATTCTGGTCTTGTTTCAATTTCACGATCTAACCAACCCATAACCCTGTCAACTTTAAGAGATAAAACCTCAGAACCATTGAATTTATCATAATCAGTTTCTGGTCCAATAGTTGGAACTTCAGAGCCGGGCCACATATGAACTGCTGGTTTAACATTCTGACGTTTGGCAGTTTGCCATATTGGTTCTCCACCTTTCCAAAAATCTGGATCTAATCCACCAACTTTCGGATCAGTATTTATAAATTGTTTTTTTAACTGAGGATCCCAAAATGTATTTCCAACAATACCATGCTCTGAAGGATACAAGCCAGTAACCAACGTCCAATGATTGGGGAAAGTCAGTGATGGAAAACTGGGTATCATATAAGGAGATCCATAATCTTGTAGTAACATATTATGTAGTGTAGGTGTGTCATGAATATTTATATAATGAGGATGAAAACCATCTAAAGATATCACAATAGTTGTTTTATAAAATTCATGAGTCGAGTTTGAAAATATAACTCTTCCTTTTGAATTTGTACTTTGATTTGTGAAATTTACTGGATTCTTTCTAGTGAATACTAGAATAAAAACTGAACTTGCAATTAAAACTAATATAAACCCTCCTAAAAGTGTTCTATTTCGTACTTTTCTCTCCAAAAGTTTCAATCTATAATCTCTTAAATCTATTGGAGCTTCTTCATCTAGTTCGTTAAAATCATTGCTGTCATCTTGAAACCTATTTGAAGAATCCGATGTATTGACCATTTCGTATTGATTTTTCCGATTAGAACTACTACCCAATAATGATTTTAATTTGTTTATCAAATTTGGTTTATTACCACTTTCATCATCCTCTAGTGGATCAAAAAATGCATTTACATCATGATTGTAGTATTTGTTATTTTCACCTTGGTGGTGATTGGTATCCTGTTCTGCAAAAATTATATCATCTTCTGGGTCGTCCAAATCAGTTACAGGCACATCTACAGTATGTGGCGTATTATAATTCACAGACATATATTTGATTTGTAGCCAAAATTTGAAGGTTGATATGAAATCTTCTATTGATAACTAATAGTAAGTCCATACTCAATATTAAGAGTTAAGATAAAGTAAGATAAAGTAATTCTTCCGAACTCATGCAAAAGTGCAACCGCTACCAACTTTTTGACTTTAAGAAGCGTGTTTCACTATGAACAGAAAGCTCCTAAGAGTTCGATATATACTAAGCGTGAAAGAACATACTATCGATACATTAAAGTTATCTATTAAATTATAAATAAGCTATGACATTAAATTTTTTAATTCTAACAATTGATTATAATATAAAATAATGTCATCACCCTTGGGTTTTGATCCACTTAAACTTTTCAGTTCATGGTATAACCTTTCATACTCCTTTATTGAACTAGACCCTATTATACCTTCTAGCCAGTCACAGTACAATTGATTGTATTGTTTAACAATCAATTCAATAAATTGATTCAAGTGCATTACATCAATGTTACCACTTTCTGCGATCTCTAAACACTCGTCTATTGGACAAATCAACTTCTGATCTATGAGTGGAACTACAGTATCCTTAGTAAATTGAATTTGGTTCTGTAACTTTTCAGTAAATAATTGATACATCGATTTAATATAAGGAGTCTTCTCAGATGTTGGATATGTAGCGCTACTATTTTCCCATAATTTCACATATTTCAATTGAATAATCAAAAATTGAATCAATTGTTGGCCTAAACTATTCAATTTTCTGCGAAATTGACTCAAGACATTTATTTGATGTTGAAGTGTTTGACTTTTTTGCAATTTTAAGTTTAGTTCCCCTCCATCTTGAATAGGTAACAGTTCTGTCACTTCCTTTTTATTGAAAAATGATAATTGTCTCAAAGAATTGCTTCGGGTGGGTGGTTGCTCTGGTGATGAATTATTCTCATGACAATTGTCTTTGACTTTTCCTTTCAAATCACCCAAAGAAAAACTCCTTTTCACCATGGTAGTCAATGATCTTTTGAGTGAGGTCGATCTCGAGATTGAAGATGATGATTGTTTGTGGTCTTTATCTTTGAAGTTTTGATTCGGCTGATTAACGTGAACTAACTTGTTATCAATTGAGGTGCTCAATGGCTTTTGATTAAAATCATCAGGAATTTCGGAATAGCTGATACTATATTTATCAACACAATAATCCGGAAATTTCATCTTTAATGAATGGTCAATTTGTCTTAAGTCTGTCCAACTAATTATGGGGTTCTTATTTTTCAAATTATCAACAACCTTGAATTTTGAACTTATTGAATTTAACTTGACTAAACATATTTGTAAGTCTTGAAAATGGGAACTATATAATAGTTTAACATCATCATGAATTAGTTTTATAAATGAAGGCAATTTGAACCAAATTTCGATGGGAATTGAACACCATTTTTGATCATTATTCAAATCTTGACTTAAAATAAAATTTAGTTTGTAATAATAACTTAATAAATTGAATTTGAATTCATCAGTAAACAAGGATTCATTAATAATCTTACCAAATCTGAATTGATCCAATTGTGAGTTATATACCAACTGGAAAATATTACAACTTAACAAATTTTTATCAACAAAAGTACTCAACGAATTCAAATGTTGTAACAAATTCATTATCATATTTTTATAGCCATTACCCAATTTAATCAAATTTAAAAATACCAAGTTTTTTTCAAATGATTCATTCCATATAAATCCATTTAGTTTTAAATTATGTTCAAATTCCTTATATTTACCAATAATGTAATTTAAAAATTCAATCAAATGTTGTTTATATTTAAACTTTAGATCATCGGCCTTCACTTCATAGGAGTCTAATGAGTTTAATTTCTTTAACTTGTTTTGAATGAGACTAGACGAAGCGGAGTCAATTGAGTTTGAGGTGCAAGGATGGTGATTGTCTTTTGATACAATACCTTCAAATGGATCATAAAGCCTCCCTTGGTTGAATGAGGTTTTTGATTTTGATTCAGCTATATCTGAATTTTGAATGGAATTTATTAAATGTCTGTTGTTGTATGCATCTACAAATTTTGAATTTGAAAGTAAATAGGTGGAAGATGCTTGTGATACGGATGACATAGTTGTTGTAAATTGATCGTAACCACTTGGATGAGCTAGGTCCATTTCAAAATCGACCGAATATTCTAATTAGATCGAACGTTGAACTCTCTTCATTGGAAATTAGTGGAATTTTATATCTTCATGTATATCCTAAAAATAGGCTTCTAGATCAGCATTTTATAATAAACTTTTTGAGTTGTTTCATATTAATATTATAACTGAAAAATTAAAAAAGAATCCATGTTTCAGATAAATATGATAAAAATTATTTGTTTCAAATTTAGGTGTAAATTACGTAATCACAAAAAAAAAGGACCAAATTATTTTAGACATGTTACAAATTTGATGAATAGATTGATAAATGTAACAAAATTATATTTATCAGAATAAATAATTAATATTATTAAAAGGGGGAATATTTTAATTCCAGAATTGATTCTCGTACCAGAAATAGAGTTCTTATCGCAAGGATTTAAAAAGTTTTCTCAATTAAAACTTAAACTCAATTCATGTAACAAAACTTAAAAAGAATATTCTTAGGTGAATATCATGAAATCACAAATTCAAGATCGTGTTTTGCCATGGACTGACTTAACACAATTCTCGAAACTATCAAGGAATAAAATAAAGCATCAAACTATCAAGGAATAGAACAAAGCATTGATTTAAGCTTCTTTAATTTTGATGGTGGATGAATATTATTCTAAAAAATTAAATAGATCTAGTTCTGATGATGAAATTTCGTGAAAAGTTCATCGTATGATCTGATTCAGAAGCCAATTAATGACTAAAATGGAATTTAATGTAGGGTTATATTAGAATTTAAGGTAGGTTTAAAATCAAAATTGAATAACTGACAGAGAAAAGTGGTTATTGTCCCAAAATTGGTAAGCGCTAAATTATTCAAGCCTCAAGCTTATAGATAATATAGTTCAATTGATCCTAGTGTTTTCAGGTAGCTATAGATTAAGAAATATAAGCTGTTTATGATAAGATTCGAACAAAAGATCAAGTGAAGTTTTGACAGCTCGCTACCAATCAAAAACAAGTACGCCACGCCAAATCTGAGTTTTTGACGTGGCGTAGTGGTCATTTTGAGATCCAGATCTTGCAAAAGTAATTAAACCCAAGTTCAAACCGTTTAGTGAGTAAGAATTTAATCACAAATACAGGGCCAATGACTCGAACCAAAGGTCAATTTTTTGATTTTGTTAAAAAATGTTTAACCGCTACGCCACCAAAATTTGCAAAGTTACGTGGCATAGTCGTCAAATCGAGATCTGAGACTACTTTAATTTTTGATCGTTAGTTCGAATCTTTATATTCTTCGATGTATAAACCTTGTAATGGAAATTTTGATTTCATTAATTGAAGACTTAAACCACGAAACAATGATGGTAATCATTTTTATAGATGATAAGTTGAAAGAGCAATATTTTCTTCAATTAAAGATGTAACTTTTAGTGAAATCGATTACAACATCAATAATAATATACACCACCGAATGAATCTATAAATTATACTTTTTCAATCATCATTAACAAATCCACCTTCTTTACATGAAGTATAAAATAATGAATGTTTATTTCTCATAAATTTTCAGGAGTATCAAATTCAGCTACTTTTCCTTTATCTAATATTAAAATTTTATCAATACCCAAAATATTATCCATTCTATGATCAATAGTTATAATTGTTTTATTTATTCAGTTCTTATTGTTTGTTGAATAATCCTATCTGTTGATTGATCAATGTTTGAAGTTTAAGCTTGAGCACTGGGCTTCAAAAAGACACGATCTTTTATCAAATTGAGCCTATGGTTCTTATCCCATATGACGGACGATATGCCTTATTTGAATAATTCAAGGTTCAAAAGTAATTGATTCATTCTCCATCACTCCCTTACCAATATAATCTGAAATAAATTTAAACGAGTCATTAGTATTTTTTAAAGAGTCAGCAAAAATATCGTAATTATCTTTCAACTTGAACTGTTGCTGCTTTAATTCTTTAGTCTCATTGATTTCTTGAATACAAAGTGGGCAGGAATTCAACTCTTCGTCATTCTCGTATTCATTCTTATATAAAATCAAATTTGTAGATAAACATTTTTGATGAAATGAGTGCTTACATTTGAAATGAATCATTGGGAAATCCAATTTTAGTTGACATAACGAACATTTGCTGTTTTGAATAACAAAAGGATGAGTTAATTCAGATAGTTTATACGAGTTTTTAATGGATTCTTGTTCGTATAATTCTATTAGTTTTTCATTATTCACAATCTCTTGTTCTTGTTGAATGAAATATTGTAGTAAATAATCTTTGACTAATCCAAATTGTATAAATTCGTTCTCAGAAGATACTAACAAGTTTATTAATTCCATTGGTTCCATTAGCTTGTGCTTTCTTATTTGTTGCAACACAATTTGTATATCTTCCTTATTTATTTTTTTATAGATCTTTTCACTAGATATGATGGTTTCAAGCATTAATTTATATAAGATAGGTTTTTTGGATCCATATTTTTCAAGAACTTTAAAACATCCTTCAATATCTTCATTCGTTTGATAAGTTAAAAATAAATCTTCCTCATCGTTTGAATTTTCTTTAACAACTACATTCCCAAGTTTAAAATCATATAAATGACTCAATAATAACAATGATTTGGAATCTAGTAATTTTTGGTATTGGGTTGTTAGATCATTAGCTTTATTCAACCATTCTTCTTGATCCGTCGTTTTATGTAATGATAGATACATTTCCAATAAAGTAATTAATACCTCTTTTTTATCCATTATGTTCCCTTGATATTTATCAAACGCTTCAATACAAGCTTCCAAAAAAATAACAAATTCATTTGGATGATTTGTAAAACTGGAATAGATAAGATTTGGCTTTGGAGGTAGATAAGTTGGTTCTTTGACTGTAATATTTTTGTTATCACCATTTGACTCTGCTTTTAGTTCACCTTCATTTTCTTCCGAGCTAGAAAGCAGTAAATAATTCAAAAACGCTTTGTAATTCGTCAATTCAACTGACTTCTCCATGTCTTCTTCACTTTTGTTGTTATTGTTGGTTCCTACTTTTGGGCCCTCTATTTCTTTAGGTTTATACTTACCAGTAAACACATTTATTAACAACTCGGTGGTTTCAATTGGACAGTCATCTAATAATTTCTTTGAATGATCAATTAATATAATCAACAAGTCATCAATTTTCAAAGATTTCATATAATTTAAAGCAAGCTTAGGTTTCTGCAAGTCATATAATTGTAAATCAACTATCAAATCGGATTGATTTAATTTGAATAATAATTTTAAAACTTGTTCAAAAAAACCACATTCTTTAAATAAATTGATTATAAGTGGAAAATTCAAATTTTGTAAATTATCAATGGATAAATCGAAATTGTCAATGAATAAATCGAGTTCTGTTAAATTTTTTAGTTTACATAAGCAACACAATAACAAAGTGATGTGATCAACATTAGCGACTGATTTGGAATATAGCTTTTGCAAAAACTTGACCAAGTTATTGATGTTTGTAGCTTCTTTGAATTTTGTAATTATATTCATTATGAACTCTTCCTCATCTTCTTCTGATTTTTCAGTAAATAATTCAAGACAATCGATATACACGTTAATAGCTTCATTGTATTTCTGTTCTTCGTATAAATAGTCCCCATGAAGTTTTTGGATCCTAAGTAGGGAATCTGCTGTCAACTTGTGCTGTTTAGCAAGACTAAAGGCTACTGTAAATAATTCTCGTTGTAATATCAGTTCAATTTGTTGATTTATCGGTTTTTCAAAAATCTTGTAAAGAATACCGTCATTTGATAAAAAAAATATATCTTCATTTAATTTAAAAACAAATCTTATAGCGTTATTGGGAATCAATAAATTAAAAGATATGTGATTATTTTTTGAGTCTAATATTATTATTCTTGTTTGAACTTTAGACAGTTTTTCATCCGTCTGAGGACTAATCATTAATATGAAGGAACGATATCTTAAAATTCTAGATTTTGGTATTTCGAAGTTTATTGTCTTGATTTTACTGGTGGGATTGTAATATCGTATTGAATCAGGGAGCCCCACTATTAACTCTTGTTTCAGACTAGTCGCAGTACAATGTAGATCAGCTCCAGATTTTTGAGATAGTATTCTTAATGGCTTGCCTTGATTTCTACCAGTGGTGGTGACAGTTAAAATTTTGGATGTAGTTGATATGTATAAGATCTGTTCTTTTTCATTGAACTGTATGCCGGTGATGGGATCATTTGCAACACTTTCGAATATGACTCTTTGCTTTGCACCTCTGTCTCGTAACAAATCTCCTCGTACTAATATAACTTTACCATTAGTGTATCCGATTGCTAGGCATGTCAAATCAAAGGTAAATTTGAAACAACTTATAGGAAAAGAGTTATCCCCGATTCCTTCGCTTCCAGTACTGTTGACGGTGACTTGAGTTTGAAATTTGAACTTATAATCTGATTCTTCGACGTTTTCAAGGTTCTGTATCTTAGTCAAATCCCATAATTTTATGACCGAAGAAAATCCTTGTTTTTCAGCTAAAGTTATAATCAAATTACTTGAGTTTTTCAACGGTTCAATGAAAGTAACTCTATATCCTATTTCGTACGCTTGAAATTGACATACACACGTTATGTCTTTGGGGTTAATGATTTTTAAAGTTGAGTTGTTCACTGATATAATGATATATGATTTGGTTGCGTTTATTGCGCTTAATGTTGGATCTGAATACAAAGGATCATTTGATTGGTAGTTAGGGTCTTTTAGTGGCGTATAATCAAATAGTTGAAATTGCCTCCATGATGAAAGAATTGACATTGACTTGTAGCTGTTGTTAATTTGGTTGCAACTTCTACACCTTTTAGATTTACAATTATACATTATCATAATATAGGTACACTATACACATGAAGAGTAGCTACCACGTTACATACATACTCTTTTACATTTTTGCCTAGTCTACTCTACAAATTTAATTTACCTTATCATAATTATTCAAAAAATAGCATGATTTGTCATAGTAATAAGATTAATCCGGTGATTGACATGATCAAAATCCCGATAATGTAATCCTTGGAATTTGAAGGTATTGAAGACATAGATTTCCAAGTAAACTGATTTTTAGGTAAAACGACACCTGTGAAAGAATATGCATCAGCTTCATTTGTATCAAACGTAACATTTCGAATTTCAGCTGTTGTAATTTTTGAAACCGGTGATATCAAGTTGGTCGACAATTCAAACTTAGTGTGGGGAGGCGTTGAAAGACTTATGGAATCCAATGTGGAAGCAAAAGTATGATTATTTAATTGGTTCAGACTTTTCATTTTGATTTTTGATTTAAATCTGCTTTTAGAAGTTTTATTTCTAATCGTGGGGAAAGAAGTTTGACTTAGCACGACAGTGGTTTCGCTTAATACGACAGTGGTTCCTAATATTGGTAAAATACTCATTAATTCAGAATCAGAATCTATGTCTAAGGATGAAAATGTGGAATAAATTAAAGATGGGGACGAGGAATAGATCGAAGATGAGGCAGCTGCTGTTGTTGTAATTACGGACGTTACTGGAGCTAATGGAATTTTACTAGCTTTCCCAATTATCAAATGTCCATCATCCGCTTCAATCAATTGAATTGACTTTGTTTCACAAGTTTTTGTATTTGAACCTTCGTTGTCATGTTTGGAAGATTTTGTTTGTACTGTAGGTATCAAATACTTTTCCAACTTGCTCTTCCATTTTTGAAAATAATCTTGTTCAGTTGTATTTGGGACTGATTCTACAAATGGTTCATTATCGTTGGTTGGTTCAGTGATTTGGCTTGGTGAAGAATTAATATCTATTGTGCTACTCGGTATACCTTTTGGTTCATTATTTGAAATATCTTGAACTGTGGAGGAAGATAAAATCTGAGCTTCTGGAATTGATACTTGAGATTCTGCTGTTGGTGTGATATTGAAATCTGACCTCAATGACACGAACTCAGTTGGAAGTGGTTCGGGAGAAGCTGGAACTGCTATTTCATATTCATTGCTCCATCGAGACTGAGCTTCATGAGTGGTAAGTGTTTGATATGATTTTGGTGTTAATATTTTACCATAGGAGCCATCAACGATTTTGCTGTCATATTTTGACCCAGAGTTTGGGCTTGTAATAAATGAAGAATCTAACTTTAAATCAGCATTTGATGGTATTTCGTGTGATTTTTCCTTTTCAATTAAAGGCACGTTCTCGTACGAAGTCGTTTTTGACTTGAATACTGGACGGGGAAAATTGGAATTGGTTATAACAATGGAGTAAGTTATTTCTGCAGTCGAGCCTTTTTGAACTTTTGTGGAAAATTCATCCGTCGGAGAGGTAGTTAAAATTATCGAGTTTGCCCGTTCGAAATCTGTTGGGAATGAATGATAAGTTGTGACTTCGATTCTTTTTGTCGTTTTAGGTGGAGTACTTGAGCTGGTTGAATATAAATCACTTTTGGTATTGATCAACATAGAGTTGATTCTTGATAACAATTGTTTAGGATGAATTGTGGGTCTGGATTTGGGGAGATGTGTATCGCTGCGAATGCTTTTCAATGTTGTATGTGAATCAATTGGCTCTGTAATGGTTGGAGTTGGTATTTCAAATGCAGGAGTGTTTAAGGAATTGAAATCTGATAACACTTTTGTTGGATTAATGAATGAGCTGCTTTTGACTTTGGAAACAATCGGTAAACTGACTGTTGATTTGACAGGGGCTTCATCGACTCCATTGGGAAGGTAAGATCTTATAAACGAGGAGGTACTTGGAGTTGTAAACTCGGTGGACGTTATTCTTGAACTTGCTACATCTGGTGCTTCCGTTTTTCCACTATCGGAGTCTGTATAAATTTTAGTTGGGACCGCTAATTCATGATGCACGGTTGTGGTTGGTGAAATTGTCAAAACCTTGGTCACGGTAATAATGCTAGTAATGATAAAAGGATTCCATATTGAAGTTGGGAAATAGTCTTCAAGAAAATTTTGTTCACTTGATGTGAAGGTAGACTTGCTAGACTTGACCAATTTTGTATTACTGAATTCATCGGAACTGTCAAATTCATCATCATCATCATCATTAGAATCATTAGAATCTCCACTTTCATCAATACTAGAGTCTTTCCTGTTATCTGTACTTCTCAATAATTTGTCAAGGAACTTACTCTTTGGAAATTTTGGGCTCCAGTTAAATCTAAATTTGAAATTATCAGTGTTGATCAATTTTTTACCAGAAACAAATGTCTTTTTAGAGTTAACTTTATTTTTCCATTCATCAATTTTGTTTTTGGTGTTTAATAAGTCCATTTCATCTTGTGAAAATTGAGAATCAACTATACTTTGATCTTCATTAGACCTTTTTATTGTTTTCGAATGTGATTTGATTGAATTCAATTCGTGTTTGTCTTCATCACTTGCACGATCAGTTTTACATTTTGAATTATTGTCAATTCGAATTATACTTTCACACCAATCATTGTTTTGGCAATCGGATTCATTTTCTTTATCTGAACTTGAATCTGATGAAGAAGAGGAACATGATTTATCTGTCCAATACTTGTCTCCCAAGAGGTTCGTAATTCCCAAAAGCCCTTGCGCATTTATAGAAGATGAGTTGGAGTCATTTTTGATCGATATCTTTTGAAATTGATTGGTATATTGAGCTAATAATGCATGGATTATGTAAAGTATCAGGATAGTGTAAGTCCATTGCATCTTTAGATCATAAAGTTTTCAACAAATCAAAAAATTAAGCTTGCGATGCTTGGTGGTTCTTGTTTGATATAATGTAATTTTTGAAAATTTGTCTCTTGTCAACTTATAATTATATTTATTTTGCAGTCAAAGTTAATCCGTTTTGAATAACAAAAATTATTTCTAGAACGAATTTGTGTAATTATGTATATTAAATTAATTTACGAGATTTAGTTCGTATATTCAAGATCAAATACTTAAACTGGCCAAACATTTTTGATCACTCAACTTGAAAAGAATTTTGTTCATAGGTATTACCCCTCATGTTACTCTTGCCACTCAATAGGTGTTGTCTGGGAATGAATTAAAAATGAGTTTGCAGGGTTAAGTTTAATCTTGAATAAAGTACACGCCGTATGAGATCTTGAAAGTCGAATCAAATGAAATAACTCACGATGAGACACTAGCTTATGGTTAAAACATGACCAAGAATCTACTTCGCTCTTAATATTCCAACTCAATCTAAGTCTTTGTGTGGAAATACTTATTGAAATTCTAATGAAATAAACAGTACTTTATAGAATGTTTAATACTGAGGTATGGAGTTTTTCCACTTCTTTCAGTACGAACGTATTTGGTTTAAATTTTCAGACCAACTTTCTCACAAAAAGAATTGAGAATTCAATTCATTTATCAACAATCTCTTGTTAAAATATGAGATGGAGTATAGCTTATCTCATTTCCATAATTTATTCCATATTTGTCTTATCTGTCACCGCAAATCAGCAGAAAACATTCGATTTATATGCCTCAAATCCATATGAAGTCACAGATGATTCGAATTTAAATGCAAAATATTCAAAATTATCAGATAACTCACTACTATGGGGTCCGTATAGATCTTCGCTATATTTTGGTTTAAGACCGAGGCTACCTAGATCATTGTTGAGTGGGTTAATGTGGTTTTCCATGGACAATTATAATCAGATTGGTAATATTCGTCATTTTTACGAACAAAATGACAAAATGTCGAAGGCCAATTGGATTAATTATAACCCAAGGATAGGTGGAAGACAATACATCAAAGACGAGGAAATCCATTTTGATATATATATTGACTTTGTTAAAAGTTCAGATGGTTTAAGTTGGGGAGTCAAGATCAAAGGAGTACCTCATAAAGGCTTTGAAAATTCCAAAATTTCATTTGTATGGTATTCCGGTTTAGAAGGAGAGAGAAAAGTGGAAGATTCTATAAATGTTAAAGAGCGAACTGGATATATAAAATTGGAAAATGATGAGAGTTTGGATGGATACGAGGAAAATATAAGATTCAGCGGTATTTCAGAAGAATTGGGAGCTTTTAGTCTTGTGATAAATGATGGACCTGAAACCAATAAACATCCAAAAGGGCTAGAGGAATTAAAGCACGAGTTTAATCCAGCTTATACGCATCATTACAGTTTGACTGTTCCTGATGATAATGTATGGCAAGCAAGAGATATATTCATGACAATGTTGCAAGAATCTATAAAAAATTTGAATGATAAATATAAAGCTTTGGAGTATATACCACCGGAAAATTCTTTTATAATAAAAAATCTACAAGGATTTGAAGGAAATTTACATTTTATCCAAAAAATTTATCAAGGTGAATGTGAGTTCGATATCATTTATACAAATTCCATGACACCAGAATCTGAGATACCGACTTTTATTAATATTCAAAAAATGATAGATGCTAAATTGAGAACTAATGATGCAAATTTTGAAAAGTATTACAAGTTACAACCGCCTTTTAATGAACCAAAACATAAAATTTTTGCTCAAGAAATGATTTCTGGATTACTTGGTGGAATAACTTACATGTATGGAGACCATTTAGTTGACAGATTCACGGAATTTGATGAAGATACGTTTGAATCGTACACCTTGCAAGGTTCATACGAAGGACCTCATGAATTATTCACTTTAGTTCCATCGAGACCATTTTTCCCAAGAGGATTTTATTGGGATGAAGGATTTCATTTGTTGCCGTTGATCAAATACGATTCAGATTTGGTTCTAGACATCGTCAAATCGTGGTTCAATTTAATTGATGAAAACGGATGGATTGCTAGAGAGCAAATTTTAGGACCTGAGGCTAGATCAAGAGTTCCAAAAGAATTTAGAGTCCAAAGTCCTCACATAGTGAATCCACCCACATTAACTTTAGTACTTAATAATTTGTTGGAAACAATATCTCAATACAAAGATATATCGGAACCAAACGAAATTGATGATGAATCACTGGAAGTCAGGTTGGGGAAGTTTACATTAAGTAATCCAGAAGTTCTATTGAATTATACAAAACAAATATACCCGAATTTGAAAAATCATTTTGAAATGTTTAGGCGTACTCAGAAGGGATACGTTGAAGAATTCGAGAGACCAATCGATAACAATGAGGTATTTCGATGGAGAGGCAGAACTTACACGCATTGCCTAGCAAGTGGACTAGATGATTATCCAAGAGCTATACCTCCAGATATTGGGGAACTAAATGTTGATTTGATTTCATGGATTGGAGTTATGACTAGATCGTTAAGACAAATGGCAGAGGTTTTGGAAATTGATGATGATATCGCTTCTTTGAAAGAAATTGAAAAAAACATAATTTCAAATATAGAAAAACTTCATTGGTCAAAAGATAATAATGCTTATTGTGACATTTCAGTTGACGAAGATGATGAAAGTATATTTGTTTGTCATAAAGGTTATGTTTCTTTATTACCATTTTTAACGAAAATGATACCTGGTGATGATCATGATAAATTAAATGATGTTATATCACTGATAATGAATCCCGAGGAGCTTTGGTCAGACTTTGGAATCAGATCACTTTCGAAGTCTGATGAATTCTATAAAACTGGTGAAAATTATTGGAGATCACCAATTTGGATCAATATGAATTATCTAGTTTTGAAATCTATTCATGATTATTACTATGAAAACAAGTTCAGTTTTTCCCCTGAGTTGAAATCAAAATTTGAATCCGCTTATCACGATTTACGAATCAATTTAATCAAAAACGTGTTTGGACAATGGCAAAACACAGGATTTGTATGGGAACAATACGATGATGAAACTGGTGTTTCCAAAGGCGCCAAAAACTTTTTAGGTTGGACTTCGACTATAGTCCTAATAATGACAATGCCAGAAAATTTATAGATTTATAGAAGAATAAACTAAACATGTCTAATTGCTTGTACTTACGTCTATAGGATATTTTTCTTAGAAGGATCTTCTTCAAATCTTAAATCCCATCCAATTTCATCACCTAATTTGGGTAAAACTTCAGCTACCGATTGAACATCCTTATCACCTCTTCCTGATACATTTATAACAATGTGTTGATCTTTAGGTAACGTTTTTGCTAATTCAACACCACCATAAATTGCATGAGATGACTCTAAAGCAGGAATAATTCCTTCCAATTGTGACAATAATTTAAATCCTAAAAGAGCTTGTGCATCAGTTGCAGCAATAAATTCAGCTCTTCCTGTACTTTTCCAATATGCCAATTCTGGTCCAACTCCAGGGTAATCTAAACCAGCTGATACAGAATGAGTGTCATGTACTTGTCCATCATCATCTTGTAAAACGTAAGTTCTGACACCGTGGAATACACCAGGTATGCCAGCGGTTAAAGTAGCTGAATGACGATTTGTATTTATACCATCACCACCAGCTTCAACTCCCAACATTTTAACTTCAGTATCTTTTTCAAATGGTGAAAACATACCGGTAGAGTTTGATCCACCACCTACACAAGCAACAACAGCATTTGGTAACTTACCATCATTTAATTGTTTAAATTGCTCTTTAGTCTCTTGTCCAATGACACTCTGAAAAGTTCTGACTAAAGTAGGATAAGGATGTGGACCAATGGATGAACCAACAATATAATGAGTAGATTCTAAATTCGAAACCCAATACCTGAAAGCTTCTGATGTTGCATCTCTCAATGTTTGAGTACCATTTTTTACCGGTATAACTTTTGCACCCAATAATTTCATTCTGAAAACATTTAATGCTTGACGTCTAGTATCTTCGGCTCCCATAAAGACAGTACATTCTAATCCAAACTTAGCACAAGCAGTTGCAGTGGCAACACCATGTTGACCAGCACCAGTTTCGGCAATAATTTTCTTTTTACCCAACCTTCTTGCTATAAGAACTTGTGCTAATGCATTATTAATCTTGTGTGATCCAGTATGATTCAAATCTTCTCTTTTTAACCAAATTGTGGCACCACCTGCGTGTTCAGTTAACCTTTCAGCTTTATGTAAAGAAGATGGCCTACCAATATATGAATATAAGTCTCTAAATTCCTTCCAAAAATCAGGATCACTAGTAGCATCTTCAAATGCTCTTTCCAATTCAGCTAAACAAGTATGTAAAGCTTCAGGAACATATTGACCTCCGAATTCTCCAAATCTTGGATTATATTTATGATTTTCCTCAAAGAGTGCTTTGAATTTGGCTTCGTCTATTTCATTTTTAATTCTTTCATACGATTTTGGAGCGTTCGACTTGTAATCTTCTCCTAAAATAGATTTCACATAGTCATAAGTAACTTTACCTCTTTGACCTGGTTCTGATTCACCTATTATTGTTATGATTTTAGATCCAATGACAACTCCATCAGCAACTTTACCGACAGCTAAAAAATGTTCTCTAGTGGATACTCCAAATCCAACTGCTATTGGAGTATCTGCATTGATAAATTTTCTTACTCTTGCACATAATTCTTCTATACCTGCAGAAACTTTATTCGATGCTCCAGTTGTACCCATTTTGGAAACAACATAGACAAAAGAGTCAGCTATTGAGCCTAACACTTTTAATCTTTCATCAGTCGTGGCTGGAGCGACTAATGGAACGTAACTCAATCCATATTTTGAACAGGATGTTCTAAATTTCACTGCTTCTTCAGGTGGTAAATCGACTATAATAAATCCATTAACTCCAACTTCTTCACAATCTTTTAAAAATTTTTGTTCGCCATATTTCAAAATTGGATTATAGTAACCCATCAAAATTAACGGTATGGTAACACCCTCTGCTCTTGCTTGTTTGACTAAACTTAATACTTTTGGAACAGTAATACCATTTTCTAAAGCTTTTATGTTTGCAGTTTGAATAGTAGGACCATCGGCTATTGGATCTGAAAATGGAATACCAATTTCAATAATATCTACACCAGCTTGTTGCATGTTTTTCAATATTGGAATAGTATCTTCGACAGTGGGAAAACCTGCAGTGATGAAATTTATGAGTGCATTACGTCCCTCCTTTTTGCATTTGGCAAAAGTTTCTTTCAATAAAGTTGACATCTAATTATTGCTTTTGTTTCTTTTGTTGGATTGAAGAACCGTGAGTGACTAATGAATTAGTTGATTAAGATTCATAGGATTTATATACGACTATTTTTGAAAAATTAATTTTGTCTATGACTCAAACTAATATGCAGGTTCTCAGAGGGTCAGACAAATCAATCAGTATTATTCAAGATTTAGAACTCTAATTGTTTTAAAGATACAAGCGACTCAGGTCCAGTAGTGTATACTTAGCTTTTGTAAGTGAGAAACCGTAAGATTTTAATTCATGATTAGAATTATTAGCTTAATATAACAATCGATGACAATGCAATGTATTGGAGACTTTCAGAATGATAATTTGGAACTGAGTATCACACGTCGTTGAGAAAAGTCTTAGCAGTTAACCAAATTCAATAATACATAAATCTGAAAATGAATTTTCAAGAAATGGGTATAGTACTTGGGTAGTTAGTTCCAATTCATTATCGAATAATTATAATTTTGCAACCACACTGTGTCGCAAGATTTGTCATATTATTTTGGACTTAACACGTCATGTAAATTTTGAGTCCAAATAAATAATCAATAATTAGATTACACAAAAATACGATAATTATTTTACAAACAGATCAAGAAACTTTCAAATTACAATACACAAATTTAGAAGCAAAATTATTCAAGAATTCAATTGAGTGCTTATAGTGATGAATTGATAATAAGTTCAAAGCACAATTCTTCATAGACAAAAAGAAGCAGAAGTAGTAGAAGAAGTAGAAGTGAGGAAAGAAAGAGCCATTTTGCTTATTCATTTCATAGATCAGATAGTAAAAGATTAGAAAAAGAATCGGTGTCCAAAAGCAGTCTTAAATTTCGAATATCATGGTCACAAGGAACATTCAAAGGGTATTCATTTTGTTATCATGTACATTTTTAGGTCTCATATGTGGAACATTATATCTATATAGCTCATATTCACCACAATTAGCCAAACAATTGGGTTACACAGTTTCTGAAAGTTCTAAAATTGCTCTTTTTGGAACTTTAGGTGCAAGTCTATGTGGACCACTATCTGGATTTGTAGTAGACACATTTGGTTATACTTACTCATTACTCATTGGGGGAATATTAATAATATCAGGATATATTGGTATAAAATATCAATTTGATCTGAATTTGAGTTGCATGAGTTTAACATGTTTTTGGCTATTTAACATTGGAAGTGGTTCTACATTTATCAATTCGGGTTGTTTGAAATGTTGCGCAGTCGGGTTCCCAAGTATTAGAGGTGTTGCAACTTCGTTACCATTAGCATTGTATGGTTTAAGTGCCTTATTTTACTCAGTTATTGCATCAGTATTTTATCCTGGAAATATCTCAGACTTTTTAGGATTTTTGGGACGATCAATAACCATTATTTTCATAATATGTTTACCAAGTGTTTACTTAGCTGATAAGGAACATAAGTTGAAGAAAGCTATCAATTTTAAGAATAAGTTAGAGCAACCTGCTTCGGATACCATTGACGAAAAACAGTCGCCCAATAATGAACCCAAATCTACTATGGAGATGTTTAAAAATTACAAATTTTGGTTGTTGTTTCTCATAACTGGTTTATTAGCATCACTAGGTCAAATGTATATATATTCAGTGGGATATATAGTAAAATCATTAGTGACTTATTCAATTGCAACCAACCAACTACAAATAGACCATTCATCTACCACTACTTCATCATTATCATCAGACACCTACTTATCTCAAGACAAAATTGATTTAATCGTCCAACAAGAACAACAAATCCAGGTTGGTTTAATTTCAATTGCGAATTGCATTGGAAGAATAGTATCTGGTATATTGGGAGACATAATATCACAATCATTTCAAAAACCAAGGTCTTGGTTGTTATTCATTCCATCGATAGGGTTAGCAATGAATCAAATCTTAAATCATATTATAAATAATTATTCCAGTTTGTCCATAAATTCTTTTCTCATTGGCTTAAATTACGGATTTACTTTCTGTATTATGCCAATTGTTATCGGTGACTTATTTGGGATGAAGAATTTTTCCTTGAATTGGGGGATCATTAGTTTATCACCAATTATACCTGCTTATTTTTTCATTAGTTATTTTGGCAAAGAATACGATTTGAATTCAAGTAAACTTACAGTAATGAGTACAAACTCCACGATAAAATCTAGCATTTGTTCAATTGGTAATAAATGTTACAATAAAGTTTTCCAATTGACTTTTTTCGCTGGTATCTTGTCAGTGGTGTTAATTTTTATATTTAATTTTGGACATTTTAAAAGAAAGAATAATTTGCTATCGCTACAAGACCTTAGATCTAATAACTTACATGTCGAGAAACCAAAATAAATAAATAATACATACAAAATATATAAAGTAATGACACTAACTTTTAATCATTTTTTCTTAATGATTGCATTCTTGATAATCTACCAGATGAAGTTGATGGAGGTGTGACTAAAAATTGTTGTGAACTTTTTCTCTTCGGTCTAGGATAAGCTCTTCTATCACCAGTATCTAGCAAACTTTCCAAATTTCTATGAGATTCTGATTTAGGAGGATGAAAAGTTGATGGTGAATGAGGATCCGAAATATGATTATTCTTTCTGTCAAAATCATTGTCATTTTCGTCCTCGTCAACTATTAACTCATCAATGTTTCTATTAATTAAATAACGAAGGGCATTGTACCAGATATTATGACGATGTCTTGTAGCGCAAGTAATTTTGATGGATCTATCAGTCGAATGAACAACAATACTTTTGTGATATAAACCTGTTGGCAATGGATTGTTATCATCAATACTTTCAACTCCCAAAATAGCAGCTGCTCTTGTCTTACTTGATGTTGAGCTTGATAAAACTGGATTGTTTTCCGTCCAATATAAAGTCAAAGAATAAGGATGAACCCAGAAATATCTTTCATGTCTAGTTGAAGCTATTGCACTCAATGCAGAACCAAATTTTCTATAATACTTGAACAAATATTCTCCGATTACAACTTGAGTTATTGCAGGAATCATTGATTTATCTGTGAAAGAGACATCAGTGGCCATTGAGAATACTGCATTTGATCTGATAGAAGCACCCGCTATAGAACGTTCTGATAAATTGGACCTAATTGATTGAGATTGTGGCACACCTCTTTGAATTGTTGGTGCAAAAGCAGTGGTTGAACTGATAATTTTATGTGGAGGCGTTTGTGTTTCATGATTCTCTAAAACAGTAGCTGGAGGAGTGAATTGCTTAACTTCTTCTTTTGGCACAAATCCTTTTTTCAATGCAAACTTTTCAAACTCTTCTCTAGTGATTTTGTCAATACTTGTAGATTTGAATTTTAATAACTGATTAAAATACGTGATCGGAATAACTTTAACATTAGCAACGTCAGGAATTGGATTAGTTGTTGTGGCAACGTATTGATCTTCAGGTATGGATAATAATTTCTCGCCATGTGGAGATTTTTCAACATTTGCAGTATAGGCACTATCATTCAATTCACGCTTCAATTCTTCAATCTGTTCATTTAACGAAAGAATGGTGTTTTCCGACCCAACTTGTTTCGACAGAAGCAATTTCTTTTCTGTCAAAATTTGATCTAGTACTGTAACTCCGTCTCGACTATCACTTGTTTCTGTAATGTCTTGATCTTTATCACTCGACAAATCCGCTGCTGGTGCTTCATTCGTGCTGGCGTGAAGCTTTTTAATCATTTCATTAAAAGTTTCAAGTTCCTTTGCTGGTATTATATCATGAGAAAGAGCTTTTGCTCGGGATTGTATAGTTTCGAGATCCGATCTATTTAAATTGTCGTAGTTCGCTTTACTTAATAATACGTTCTCAGCTTTTGAAGGAATTTCTGAGTTTTCACAGTCCCCTTTAATAACATGCACCAAATCCTTATTCAACATTAGTTGTCCCATTTTTTCACAATGCTCTTGTAAAAAAATCAAATCAGGGTTGTTAATCTTTTTACTAAGATTTGAATTATCCTGTTCCAAACTTTGATAATTATTCATTAATGATTCAAACTCTTGAATTGGTAGAATTTTCATCTGTTGCTCCTCCGCTTTTTGAAGCAATGACTTATTAGCATTCGCATTTAGTTTCAACAAATCATCAGATGGTAAAACTTTCAATCCCAAACTTTCAGCTATTTCAGTGATTTGCTCATTTGTTGGATCAGCAACAATTGCCTCAAGATTATTGAAAAATGACATAACAACAACTTTCAGGTCGAATAATTCAGCTTTTGAATTTAAATAATTTAAGGAAGGATTATTCAAATTCTCAGTCAAATTTGAGTTCGAATTTTGCAATTCTATATTCAGAACTTCCAATTTTGATCTAAGATTGATGGATTTTTGATAATCGTTTTGTAATTTTGTTAAATCTTCATTCATTGAATTATATCTAGAACTTTCCACTAATACAAAACCTGCTGCAGTAGCTTTATCATCCAAACTTTCAGTGGCTTTCAATATTAATTCATTGTACTTCGATTCATCAATGACCACCGATTCGTGTTCGTTTGCTTTGTCTTGAATGTATGAAAATTGAGGATTTTGTAATGTCTTCTTCACAATGTCTAGTTCTTTAATGGCTTCCTCTTTTTCCTTCTCTAATTTCGTCATTTGATTATTTACAAATTCCAACTCACCTTGTTTTTCCGTTTGTGCTTGAGATAATTGATTTTTGAGATTTAAAATTTGGCAAGAAGCAGTTTCCTTCTCACTTTCACTAGACTTCAATTTATTGAGCAAACTATCAAATTCAGGTAAACTGATAATTTTGTTATTATTTTTGGCTGCTTTTTCTTCCAAAAATGAGATTTCAGGATCATGGAAATTACTAACATACATGGAATAATCATTTTCCGCAACAACAACATGATTCAATGCTTCGGCTTTCGAAGTTATAAATTCTAAAGAAGGAGACTTTTCTGTTTCAGTTAATTCGATAAATCTAGATTTGGGGGACAAAATAATTTCTTCAAGACCAATTGAAATCTCAAATGGACTTTTCAAAAATTTAACAAAGTTTTGATATGAACTTGTTGGTATGACAAAATATCCTGAAGCTATGGCACTTTCTGCGTCCAATTGTCTCAAATTTGTAATTTCGACCACCGTGTAACCATCACCAGCTGCTTTCAGCTCAAAAGATTGATCTGCCAAACTCTTAAGACTTTCTAATTCTTCGATGGATATTAATTCATAATTTTGGTTCTTTGCAGACTCTTTCAACGTACTTAAGTTTGGGTTTTTGATTAAAGAATTCAATTCATCATATTCATCATTGGTCAACAATGCCATATTACTTTCTTTAGCTCGTTCGGTTAGACTCTTTCCCGCTTCGATTTTCAAATTCGTCAATTCAATAGGAGATATGACAACCATATTCAGTTCTTTAGCTACATCTTCCAATGATCTACTTTCCTTTTGTTTAAGAGCTGAATATTCTTCTGGTGATAATAAAACTTTGTTCTTTTCCTTTGCATGTTCCTCTATAGACTTTGTGGATTTAACTTTCAACTCTTGGAACAATGATGGTGAAACAACAATTTTACCACTTGTCTCAGCAAACTCCTCTAAAGACCTCGATGATTTTTGCTGTAAATCCAAGTATTCTTGATCTGGTATAGCCACCATTTTTTGACTTTTTGCAATCTCAGTAATTGGAGTTTGTTGATAATGTTGTAACTTTTCAAGTTCAGCAATCGGAATTGTGACATGACCATATATTTTTGATTTCTCTTGAAGTTCTTTCAACGATGGTTTATTAATTTTATGAATCATTTCTTCATACTCTTTCACCTCCAAAACTTTGAGATTTAACCTATTGGATTTATCAATAATGTGGTCCTTACTTGGGGTTTCAGCTTCATCTTTTAAAGTCTTATAAATATCATCCTTTATTAATTTAAATCCACCCAAAGCAGATTTTTCAATTAAATATTCATTCGTAGGTTGATCGATTTGGGACCTTAAGTTAGCAAATGCAGTATTTGATATAACCTTGTAATCCAAAGCATTTGATTTTTCCTCTAAATATTCAATATTGGGCATTTCCAACTTCTTTTTCAACTGTAGTAACTCTGGTTTTTTGACAAGTGCAAATCCTAATTTTGAAGCGTTTGTATTCAACAAATCCTCATTTGGTTCCAGAAGAGATTGATACTCTTCATCGCTGATGACCACCATGTGACTCTTATTTGCATTAGCTTTCAAAAATTCAAGAGATGGAGAATTGATGGTTTCTTCCATTTTAGTAAATTTTGCATCATCAATGACTTTGTAATTTTTTGAAGCAGCTTTGATTTTCAAATATTCAATCGATGGATTTTCAACATTAGTTTTCAATTGTTCTAATTCTGCATTTCCGATTAACGTATGATCAATTGAGGAAGCTTTATCAGCCAAATATCTATCACTTGGTTTTTCAATCTGCTCTTTAAGCGACAAAATTTCATCTGATTTTACCAATTCCATTTTGTGACTTTTAGCCTTCATTTTTAAATGATCTAAGCTTGGTTTATCAACTTGGTTTTTCAAAACACCTAATTCACTAGTTCCAATCAATTGCATATTAAACTTTTCAGCTGAAGTACCTAACTGTTTGACTGTTGGATTTTCAATTTTAGATAATAGTTTCTCATAGTCTATTTTAGGCAAAATGACCAAACCTACAGATTGTGCTTGTTCTTCTATATGTTCTTTTGAAGGTGAATTGATTAAGGTGACTAATTTGTTGTATTCAGTAGTTTCGACAACACTATAGTTCAATTTATTTGCATTATCCGTGATGTATTCGATAGTTGGTGAGTCCAAACTTTCCTTCAATTTCTTAAATTCCGATTGATCCAACACTATCATATTTATTGATTTCGCTGCAGCTTCTACATTCTCTTTAGTCGGTTTATTTTTATAGCTTTTCAATTCTTCCAATTCTTCGGCCTTTATAATTTGACAATTATAGACTTTTGCTTTTTCCTCAAGCATATTAAGTGTAGGATTTTTAACAATATTGCTCAACTCTTTATATAAATCATCATCCACTAAAGATGAATTATAAATTTTAGCTTTTTCATTCAAATACGTTGAAGAGGGATTATCCAAATTATCTTTCAAATTTTCAAGCTTGCTTTTTTCAATTATTTCATAGCCTTTTGCAGAAGCTTTTTCTTTAATATATTCAGCTGTAGGGTTTTCAATGTTATCATTCAACTTCTTGTACTCATCTTTAGATAAGGTCACAAGCCCAATTCTTTCAGCATGTTGAGTAATGTGATCTTTGGTAGGGTCATTTGCTTTTACCACCAATTCGGCATGTTCAGCCGAAGTTAATAACATATGATCAGCATTGGCTGCTTTCAATTTTATGAAATCCAATGAAGGTTTGTTCTCAATGTCTTTTAACCTTTGTAATTCTTCATTCAATACGATCGAACTATTTAAAAAAGACGCATGCTTTTGTATCATATGTTTTGGTGGTTGTAAATATTCTTTTAATTCATCTTCAGAAATTAATTCAAATCCTTTTGATTTTGCTGACTTTCTTATTTGAGCTTCTGATGGGTTTTCAGCTAATTGACTCAATGCTTCATAATCCGCAATAGGTAAAATTATATGATCGTGTTTTTTACTCATTTCCTTAATATGATCTACACTTGGTTCATAAGCTTTTGCCTTCAAATCCTTCAAATCAGTATCTTTGATTAACGACGATTCATGTTGAGATGCAAACTCTTTCAAATAAGATAAATCTGGGTTTTCTAATTTATGTTTGAGTTCTTTAAATTCCGAAACTGAACAAACATGTAAATCCAACTTTTCAGCAGCTTGTTTAATATTAAATTCAGATGGTTCAATTAATTTTTCATATTCTGATTTATCAGCAACAACGAGATCCAAATTACTTGCCTTCGACTTAATAAATTCAACCAGTGGAGCTTCCATGGTATTTTGTAATGTCCTCAATTGTTCTGTTTCAAATATATCATATCCTGCATTATTGGCCAACTTTGTGATGTGCTCAATATTTTTTGAATTGGCTTGATCTTTTAACTGAGCTAACTCTTCATGCATAATAAGTTCATAACCTAGATTTTTAGAAACACCCGTAAGATAATCTAAAGTTGGTGAATCTGTTATTTGTTTGAGCTCGGCATATTCCTTGTTAGTTACTAAGACATATTGATTAGCAGCGGCTAATGAATGTAGTTTTTCAAGATCCGGAATTTCAGCTTTTGATTTCAAGTCGTTGAAGGATTCAGTAGATATTAATGTATGGTTGTTTTTAATGGCAGCATCACTGAGGAAGTCAATTGTTGGTTTATCAACAGTTTGAACCAATTCATCATAACGTTTGTTTAATATGAATTTATAATCGTTTTTATCTGCGTGGGTTTGTAAATGATCGATTGATGGATTATGTGCAAGTTCTTTAATTTTGTTCAATTCTTCATCTTTGATCAAAGCAAGGTTAGAAATTGAGGCCTTTTCCTTGAGATATTCAATTGATGGAGAAGTTATTTGTTGTTGAATTAAATTGTACTCATCTTGACTTAATACTGCAAGATTATGCTTTTTACCTGTAGCTATTATTTCTTCTATTGATGGATTTTTCAATTTATCAAATTGTTGACATTGATCCTTTGATATTAAACAATGTTCCAAAACTTTCAGCTTCGATTGTAAATATTCTATTGTAGGGGAGTCATATTGTTCCTTTATTGATCTCAATGAGGCCCATTCATTATTAAGTATGATGTCGTGATCATGATTGGATGCTTGTGTTTTAATTTCATCAAGAGTTGGATTGCGAAGTTTATTGATTTCATCTTTGCTTATTGCTGTGTAATCATGTTTTTCTAAATTCGATGATAAGTAATCCAAAGTTGGTTCATTAAGTTGCTTCTTCAATTCCATTAAGTCATCATTATTTATCAATTCGAATCCCAAGTTGGAAGCTTTTTCTTTCAATTCTTTTTCAGATGGTGCCAATTTGAATCTTTGTAGCTCTTGAAGTTCAGATTCTTTAATATGAGTATATCCATGAGTTTTCAATAATTCAATAAGGTGAGATAAATCAGGCGAATAAGCTAATGATTCCAATTTTTTCATAGCTGCATCTGAACATAATACTTGATCATATTTCTTAGCTTGTAATTTTAATTCATTCATATCAGGATTTTCCAACTTAGATTTCACAGAGTTTAACTCTGTTGTTATATTATTGAAGTCTTCAGCTGGTAAAACTTTCAATTTCATCGCTTGTCCTAATTTAACAAGTTCCTTCTGGCTAGGATTTTTGAGTTGAGTGTACACGTCTTGCGAGATCGTGACATGATCCTTACCAGCTATTACTTTTGATAATTGATCCACACTTTGATTGTGCACCAGATCTTCTTTCAATATCTTGTATTCATTCTTATTGAGAACCACCATATCCATTTTTTCACAACTTGCTTTTAAATCCACAATTGTTGGTTTTTCAACTTTTTGAATTAAATTGTTCAATTTGTCATTTTCTATCACAGCAAATTCATGCGTACTTAAATGTTTTTTCAAATATTCAATTGATGGGTTTTCCATCTGTTTCTTAGTTTGATGATACTCTTCAGATGGAATAGCTAGTAGATTATATTTCAGTGCCAACTCCTTAACTTTTGCTTGATCAGGATTCTTCAAGACCATTAAATCTGATGTGGAGACTAATTCAAAATCTAACCTTTTAGCTTGTGTTTTAATCTGAGAATGATTTGGGTTTTTCAATGATTGAAATTCTGATTCTGATAATATTTTCAAGCCCAACTTGTTTGCCTTTTGTTCAATTTCAACCTTAGTTGGATTTTTAAACGCGTTTAATTCTGATTCAGTAAGAACTCTTAATCCGAGTCTTTTGGCGTAATTTGTGACTTGATGCTTATTGGGTTCTTCTAAGTTTTTCAAAACATCTTTTTTGATTAATTTTGAATTAAATGTTTCTGCTTTCAGTGCGAGGTGTTCAAAAGATGGATTGTTGGAACTTTCAATTAATGAATTATAGTCAGATGTTGGAATAACGGTATGATTAATTGAACCGGCAACTTTGTTAAGTTCTAATAACTTTGCATTTTTATCAAGTTTGTCTTTGTTTGACTTTTGTGAATCTACCAAATTTTGATACTCTAAATTCGTCATCAAATGCAATCCTTTTCTTTCAGCAATTTTCTCCAATTGATCAGTGGTTAATTCAGTATTGAATTTACTTTGAGAAATGTCTTCTTGTCTTTGACCTTGCTTGGATTTAATTGGAGACTCAACATATGATTCATCAAGTATCGATGCATCATTCTCGATAGTGGTATCATCCTCAGTTTCGAAATATTTCAACACGTCGTTGGCTCCTCGTTTATTTGGTGATGACTTATTTGATGTTGGATGTTGGATGTTTTCACCTAAAAAGTTTTCCCATTCTTCATCAGCATTGCTGAATTTTTCAAAATCGCTTTTATCATTATCGTTGTATATGCTGAAAGTTGAATCTTTTTTAAGTGGTGATATTAATGAATTTCTCTTGGATTGTTTTCTATTTGATTTGACCATTGTTCTTTTGATTATTGAAGAATTTATTGGAGTACGTTGCGAAATTGATGATGTACTTGATGTTTTCGATTTATTTGCAATTTCTTGTTTTTTGAGATTCAAGATTTTTGATCTTAATTTAACAATACTTTTATTCGAATGTTGTAATAATGATCGAAGTGTATCTACCTCTGATTCATGATCTAGCGTTGCAGTATCTGGTATTTCATGGGTATTTATATCTTTTAACAACAGGTCGAAATCAATGGACTCATCATCAATTGTACTATCATTGGCATTCGAGGTTTCACTTGTTGTACTATCACCTTGAATGATCAGAACACTCTTGTCTCCGTACAATTTACCATGTAAAGAATCATTTTCATCATTAAGTCCATTTATTCTCTCATTCAATTCACTAATTTGTCTTTTATAGTTTTTCTCAGTATTTTCAATTTTGGTGATTAATGAGTTATTAGTCTGCTCTATATCATCATGTTCTTTGGATAAAGTATTTATTTTAGTGACCAATTCCGACTTTATGATTTTTAAATTATCATGATCATTGTTCAATGATGAAAATTCCTCATTCAAATTGATTAATTGATTCTCCAATTGCCAGTTCTTTTCTTTCAACTCCAATTCATTTGAATTATAAATTTTATTATGATTTTTCAACTCTAATATTTCATCTTTAAATGATTGTATATCTTCAGTTGCTCCTTTTAATTTCAGTTTCAATTTACTATTCTCAGCATTCAATCTTCTACATTCAGTCAACAAATTTTCACTTAATCCAACAACAAAATTCATATCATCTCCCTTAGATTGCGGACCCATTGACAAAGACGAATTATGAGATTGGGATAAATCTAACCTTTTAGACTTAGAACCTGTCGAACTTAACGAACCACTAGCTGTTCTTTTGGTTGGTGGTAAAAAGACTCCCAAATTATTTTCTTGATCATCTAGCGGTTCTATACTTAAGTTTCGATCTGGTGACGAGCTTTGTAATGGTAATGGTGTTAGGATTGGTTGATTTGATTCCTTTAATGCATTGTGTTGCGGTTTTTTGCTAAATAATCTCTTCTGTAAATCTGAAAATTGACCTCTTAGCTCATCCTTAGACAGTCTTTCTTTTGAAGACATTTAAACTGCTGTAAAGGATTTGTTATGAGTGGTGTTAATGATTTATCTGGTTTAAAATTAGTTGTTTTAAAATAACCTGATTTGGTTTTTCTTTTGTTTGTTTACATTATTTTATTAATGACTTCATTTTGAAACTTAATCAAGCACAGAAGTTCACAACTCTGCAAAATGATAAACACAGTCGATTGAAATGTGGGTCAATGAAGAGAGTAGTTAGATACGGTCGTTATAATTTGAATCATTAGTTTTACAGTTGCCAATAGATTTGAGAGTAATGATTTACTACAAATCATGAAGTAAACTATAACAATAAACTTCGTGAAAATTGTTTTATTTAAAGCAGCAAATATAAACCCAGGCTGATTGCAAGATATTTAGGCAATCTACTGATAACATTTCTCTTGATTAGTAGACACACTTAAAAAGGTTAGGGAATTGACTTTTGTCTTAGTCTAATATCTTATCGTAAATATTTGATCTGGTTCTCGTATAATTTACCTCGCGTCTCTTTGAAAAATTTCAATCTAAATACTTACTTATCAAAACCAACCAACTACTTTATAACTTAAGTCAATTGGCTTATTCATAATTCACGAAATGTCTTCAAATAAAAATAAAGAACAGATAAAGTCGGTATTACTAATTGGTGGTTCGGGATTTTTAGGACTTCATTTAATTCAACAATTTTATGAAAATATACCAAATATAAAAATTTCAGTATTTGATATACGTCCATTACCTCAGAAATTATCTAAATTTTTCACTTTTAACCCTCAAGATATAAAATTTTATGAAGGAGATTTGACAAAGGAAGAAGATGTAACAAATGCTATAATCTCATCTAAATGTGATGTATTAGTACATTCAGCATCTCCAATTCATGGATTATCACAAGAAATATATGAAAAAGTTAATATAAAGGGGACTGAAAATTTATTAAAAGTTTCTAAAAAATTAGGAATTACATCATTTATATATACTTCATCAGCAGGTGTTATTTTTAATGGACAAGATGTTATAAATGCTGATGAAAGTTGGCCATACCCAGAGATTCATATGGATGGTTATAATGAAACAAAAGCTATAGCAGAAACTTTAGTAATGAATTCAAATGATCCACAAAATAATTTTAGAACTGTATGTTTAAGACCAGCAGGTATATTTGGACCAGGAGATCGTCAATTAGTTCCTGGTTTAAAAGCAAGTGCAGAATTAGGTCAATCAAAATATCAATTAGGTGATAATAATAATTTATTTGATTGGACTTATGTTGGAAATGTTGCTGATGCTCATGTATTAGCAAGTGAAAAATTATTTAGTGAAAATAGAGATTTAATAAGTGGTCAAACATTTTTTATAACAAATGACGCTCCTACTTATTTTTGGACTTTAGCAAGAACTGTTTGGAAAAATGATGGTTATATTGATAAATATTATATTAAATTAAATAAACCAATTGCTATATGTTTGGGTTATGTTTCAGAATTTGTTTCAAAATTATTAGGTAAAGAACCTGGTATTACACCATTTAGAGTTAAAGTTGTATGTGCAACAAGATATCATAACATTAATAAAGCTAAAAAATTATTAGATTATGAACCTAAAGTTGATTTAGAAACTGGAATAAAGAATACACTAGAATGGATTAATGAAAAATTGTAATGATATTGGATTAATGTACGGAAGTGAAACGATGATTAAAATTATAAAAACAGCTATAACAATTGATTGAGCAGACTTAGGTCACATTGAAAGTAAAAGGTAAGAAGAAAGAACAAAGAATATTAAACTCCAACCATTATAATCTTTTTGGGAGTTTGATTTCTTAGCAGCAACTATTAAACTTGTTGAGTTTGTAACATTGGTATATGTGGAATTAATAAGCTTAACATTGGTGTTTAATTTCTTGACTTCTTCCTTACTATGATCAATTACTTCCAAGTCTTTATTTTGAATACCTTCATTATTATCAATTAATTCATCATCAGGAATAACCAATTTAATTTTTTTACTTTTAAATGGTCTCTCAGTTAAATCTTCAACATTATAAATTTTACTTTGTAAACTTGCATCAATTTTTTCATCATTTAATCTAGGATCATCATCTTTAATTAAATCTTCATAATAATTTTCAATTCCATCACCCAATGAATCATTCTCATTATTATTACCTCTAAAAAATTTTTTTGGTGGTTCAGGATCTTCTTTTTTAAAAGGAATAGAACAAGCATTAATTTCACTCATAACTTTACAATCACTTAATAAAACTGATAAAAAATTAGTATTTGGATTACCAGGACATAAATGATAACATTCTTGATTAATGCTTTGTAATGCACAACATTCACAAGCTAAATCATTTGGTTTACATTCGTCTAATTTTGATAAAATATCATTGCAACAAGCTGATAATTTGACTAAATCATTTGGTTCGCATTTTGATGATAATGAGGATTTTCTTGGATTGGGATTCATATATGTTCCATATTCACTTATTTTATTTAATGTTGCAGATTGAATACATTTGATAAGTGATACAAAAAGTATCGTAAATTGAAAAATTCCATGAATAATCATCTTTTGTCAGTGTTGAGTTGTTTCAATGTAAAATGAATAAGACGAAGGTTTGAAAAATACGTTTTTATAATTAATCGAATATGAGTACTTAGCTGCAAATAAATCATTTATTTTTTCAAAACATCAACTTGGTATGCTACTTTCGATTTTGTGTAATAAAATCTGACATTACTAACCAGTTAAATTAGTCAAGCTACTATGCATAAAATTGACGAATTCGTTGTAGCGTCGCGTAAGCAATACCATGTTAAAGTTTCAATTAATGAGTTGATATTGCCACTTTGTCAGCAATACCAGAATTTTTGTGATGAAAACTGATGGTTTCTACATTGTATTTGATTATAAATGTACTCTTCCATCCGATGCATCAAAATTATATCTACCACCTGAATATTTTGCCATTTTTGTAATTAGTCCTCGTAAGAAGTCAAAAGTTACGGGTAGTCGTCCTTCACTGTCTCAGATTTCATTTTATACCCTATCAATGAAAAATTTGTTGCAAAATATGCTTAATGTTTCAGATTGAGCTACCAATCCTTAGCTAATTTTCTGATTTTCTGATTAATAATCTAAGTCTTCATAGAAACAGTTGTAATTCAATTAGCAAATAGAATCACCCACTGCAATATTGACTTCACTGGCCGTAAAATACTAATGCTTGTTGAATTGACTAAGTATCTGTCATTCGTTGTATCTTCTATCTTTCGTTTTTTTAACCATTTTGCAAATCCCTTTGCGCTCATATGTGTAAACTTTAATCGGTATTAAGCGAATTAATAATCTTCTTTATACAACCAATGTGTTGAAGTATTTTGAAACGTTGAAAATGATTAAGACCGTTTGTTCATTGGATTAAAATATGTACGTCATTCAAAATGGTTTAAACTTAACTGCTCTGCTCGAAATAAAAACAAATACCAAGCATTAATTTTTATAGTGATATATCAAAGATGAAATTTATACATCAGGTTACCGAGTTAACGAAAAAATTCCAAGTGGAGTGAATTACAGGCTTGATGAACCTAAACAAGGAGACTTAGATAGAAGGAATCAGAAGTCTAGCCTGATAATAATCCTTAATATTCATCGAGAAAAGATCATATAAAATAGAATAGAAAATTACTCGTGTCGTGAATCAAATCAAACTCAGCCACTTTTAATTTTTTTTTGTTCGAGTTTACGAAAGACTAAAATTTTTTACTTCAGTCTCAACTTTGACTTAATTGAAATAATAGACATACAATTTTGCATGTTTTTTCTTGAAATTAAAATTAAGGTAATGATGGAAGGAGAAGGGTAAAAAGAGAATCATTACATAATTTTATAATCAGGGCACAGTCAATTCAATTCAATTCAATTCTTATTTATCGTACAATATTATTTTTACGTTATTGTGTTATATTTTTCTTGTATTACGTAACGCGATAAATATAAAATAATTATGAAACATGGAGTAACTACCAATTTACAATTTTAAAAATTTATATGCAGAATTTGAATAAAATAGTTTTCTGTTTAAAGTATCATGGATCAGTTACAACTTCAAGTTAGTTGATGATATTCAAAAAATAATATTAAACCCGACATTCTTTATTTAACTGTTCAAACACCAACTAAGCACACCGCAGATCATGAATTCAACCAAGGAAAAATACTCATTTCTTAATTAAAACACAAGAATATTATATTTCTTAACTTTAAAATAATAATAATAATATTTTTCTTAGCCAATTATTTAGTTAAGATCTTGTCGAAATCGAAAAAATTTTATGTTGAATGTTTGTTGATAATATTGTTGATTTCTATAATTCATTTAAATACTTCACTTTCCTTTATAACCATTTAGGATTTCTTTGAAAGTATATATATCAATCATTGAAACTTAGTGTTAGGAAAATAAATATTTTGCAACCATAAACAAATATATAATCACGACCCGCACACATTCCATAGATCAATTATTTAACAAACACGCTAAATATTATTAGTTCATTCGCTTGATTCAAAACCAAATAAATTCAGAACAGAAATCATAAACCATATAAAGAACATTTCAAAAACAAAACCATATCAATTCATATTATTAAAATGTTTTCAAATTCGAAACTATTTTTTTCATCATTTACAATATTATTATCATTTTTAATATCAACAACAAATGCAAAATTTGAAGATTTAACACCACCAATAGAAATTATAGGTAATAAATTTTTTTATTCAAATAATGGATCACAATTTTTAATGAGAGGTATTGCATATCAAGAAGATACTTCACAATTATCAAATACAAATCTTACATATAAAGATCCTTTGGCAGATATTGAAAGTTGTAGAAGAGATGTTGAATATTTTAAAGATTTAAATACAAATTGTTTAAGAATTTATGCTATTGATCCAAATTTAGATCATGATGAATGTATGGAATTATTAGCTGAAGCTGGTATTTATATTGTTGCTGATTTATCTCAACCAATGACTTCAATAAATCGTAATGAACCTGATTGGAATTTAGATCATTATGATAGATATACAAGAGTTGTTGATAAATTAAGTGAATATTCAAACGTCTTGGGATTTTTTGCAGGTAATGAAGTTACAAATAATAGATCAAATACTGATGCTTCACCATTTGTAAAAGCTGCTGTTAGAGATATTAAAAAATATATTGATGAACAAGATGATATGAGAAAAATTCCAGTTGGTTATAGTTCAAATGATGATGAAGATACAAGAATTGCTATAGCTGATTATTTTGCTTGTGGTTCAATTGAAGAAAGAGCTGATTTTTTTGGTATTAATATGTATGAATGGTGTGGTAATTCAACTTATGAAGAAAGTGGTTATCAAGATAGAACTGAAGAATTTGAACATTTACCTATCCCATTATTTTTTTCAGAATATGGTTGTAATGTAAATAGACCAAGATTATTTACAGAAGTTGGTACATTATATTCTCCTCAAATGTCAAATATTTGGTCTGGTGGTATTGTTTATATGTATTTTGAAGAAGAAAATCAATATGGTTTAGTTTCTATATCAAATAATAGAGTTGTTACATTAGATGATTATAATTATTATAGTTCAGAAATTAATAATATTAGTCCAAGTTATGCAAGAGCTTCAGATGAATCAACTCAATCTTCAACTTTAACTTGTCCTGGAAATCAAATGTCAACTTGGAGAGCTTCACCAACTTTACCTCCAACACCAAATGAAGAATTTTGTGAATGTATTGCAAATTCTTTAAATTGTGTTGTTGATGATGATATTGATGAAGAAGATTATGGTGATTTATTTAGTACTGTATGTGGATTAATTGATTGTTCAGAAATAAATGTTGATGGAATTGAAGGAGAATATGGTGAATATTCTTATTGTTCAAATAAAGATAAATTATCTTATGTTTTAAATCTTTATTATGAAGATCAAGGTTCTGTTAGAAGTGCTTGTGATTTTGATGGTAGTGCTTCTATAAATGGTAATGCTTTAGCTGATCAAACTTGTTCAGTCCAAACAAGATCAAGAACTTCAAATAGTTCTTCTTCTTCTAGTGGGTCAAATTCAGAATCAACTAATGAAGGTTCACGTTCAAATTTAGGTAATTCTAATGTTGAAAGATTATCAAGTTATAAAGTATTTGGATTGGTTGCATTGATAACTGCTTTCGTCGGTGGATTTTCAATAATCTTTTAAGATGTTACATTCGTTTATTTAAAGAATCAAAATAAAAGTAAAAATAAAAAAAGTTTGAGTATTTTATTTTGAATTTAACGTTTAACGTATAATGCTATCGTCTATTAGTAAAAACTCTATTTTCTATTTCGATATCATAAAAATTTCATTTAATGCTTTTGGATCCATTACTGATGCTCTTTTTTGTTTGATCCATTTCGATCTTGCCGAATGTCTTGATGCTAATCCTGAGGAGGGAGTTGGTGTTGAGGATGAGGATTTTGGTTCTTGTGTTTCTTCTGATTTGGTTTCTTTGATTTTTTCTTTCTCTTTCTTCTCCTTCTTTACTTTAGACAGTGGATCCTTATCTACTTTATCTTTCTTTTCCTTTTTCACTTTCTTGCTCAGTATTTCATCATCTTCAGTTTTACTACTTTTCTTTTCTTTTTTCTCTTTTTTATTCAGTATTTCATCTTCTTCATTCGTTTTACTACTCTTCTTTTCCTTTTTCTCCTTTTTGCTCAGTCTTTCGTCTTCCTCCTTGGTTTTGCTTTTTCTCTTTTCTTTCTTTTTCTTGTCTTTCCTATCCTCCTTTGATTTTCTTTTATCCTCCTTCTCCTTCGAATCAAGTTTTATCTTTTTGCTTTGTCGTATATCATCTTCAGTCTCCTTGTGCTCATTTGTTGTCTTTATTTCATCATCATCTTCATCCTCCTCCATATTTCTCTTCTTACTACTGTTTTCATCTGTATTCTTATATGATATTAATTTTTTACTATCTTTATCCCAAGTACTTGATAAAACTTCACCTTTTACAAATCTAATCCCCCATTTCCCATTAATAATCTCATCATTTTTTTTTAAATCCATAATTTTATTAACTTTATTTTCATTCCCATTTAATCTACCTAAAATTCTTTGAAATGCATCTAATCCACTACATTCATCTAATGATTTATCTTCATTTGATTTTTTTAATTTTGCACCTAATCCAGAATTATCTTGTTTTATATGAATCTTTATGTGGCTTGTCATTGAATTTGGAGTTAATCCTAATCCTTTACCTGTTTTCCAACCCATTTTTGATAAATATTGATGACCAAATCTTGATGTATCATTTGACCAATTTGTGTTTCTTGGATCAAGACCAAAGTTCTGTTTAACTTTGGTTCCTGCAAGTCCCATTGTACGTAGGTTTTCAGTGGGTATGTGGGATGTTGGTTGTTTTAGAGATCTCTTGATAAGTAGTTGATGCTCTTCTCTGTGAATTTTCAAAATCTAATACTTTTACTTCAAATAATTTTGTCGCACAAAACCTGAGAACTATCTCGTATTATTATAAGGGAAGATAAGTTTTGCAACCAACGACTGTTAGAATTTTCTTAAAAATAAGACTACTTTGCTAAAAACAGAAGAGAAGTACTGTTTAAGGTGACAGAATGTTTCAGTGGTAGATTCTGCTCTTGATTTTTGTGATTTTCCTATCATCAGTTTTTTGTTTTAAAACTAGATGGTCAACCCGACGTAGTTTAGATATCGAAATCATCGTAATTATTCTCTCTCATCTCATTTAGCTATCAAAGTCTCGAAATAATGGATCCTTTAATGATTGTAATCGAAATCAGAGTATTAGCTTGTAAGAAAGATGATCTTAATCGAATTTATTGTAGTAAAAGTCATTTCCATTTGAAGCGAGAGAAATTAATATTGGAAACTTCAATGAAATAAATCATTAACAAGACAGAATAACCAAATCAAGACTACCAAATAATATTGATTTGGGAAAAGTCATCAAGCCATTGATCTGTTTAGCATTTATTAATTGACTGTTCAAAATAGCAATTGGATATCTATTCAAATCTTGCAAAAATATCTGTACATTACAATATAAATTGGGCAATACCAAACAAATAATGGAGACATAAAGTGTACAACAAGATGTTCAAAAGTCCAAGTAAATCAAAAAATAAGCAACCTCTGCAGCAACAGAGTCAGCAACTTCCCCAGACGCAACCAAACTATAGGCAACATCAATCAAGATCCTCCATTGATCAAACTAGACAACAACCATATATAAATACCACCTCAGATCGTAATGCATCTTCGTATTCCACAAACCAAGGATCTGCTTCTCCATTAAGACATTCTTTCAATTTAATGGATCAAAGTAATTATTCAAATAATTCAAGACCATTGTCCCCAAGTCAAAATAGTCAACATTCCAATTCTGAACAACAAAGAAAACAAACAACTGATAAAATAATATATGATTGTTATTCAAAAAGAAGTGCAAATGGTGCTCCTGAAATTTCGTATATTGCACACATTGGAATCCAAGAATTTTCACATTTTCCAAGTCAACAACCTCCACCGAGTTCAGATCCTGGACCAATCAAAAAAAGAATTTTAGTATTATGTAAAAAACAATCAGGAAGATTACAATTACAAAAAGGTAAATATGCAGATGAAAAAAATGTTTTTCAAATTGGAAGAACTTGGGATTTGACTGAATTACTGGCTATTACAAGAAGTGGCTTTGATGGGTTTACATTATCTTTGAATAAAGATTATTATTGGAAATGTGATGAAGATGATTCAAGGATTTGGAAATTTGTTCGTTATTTATGTCAATCATACGGTGAAGCTAATGGAAGATATCCAATTTTGAATGGTTATAAATTAGATGATTTGATGTTAACAGCAACACCAAAAATGTCACCAGCTCAAGCATCTTCACCAACTTTCAATTCATTTGCTCAACTGCCAACAAGACAGCAAATTCAACAACAACCACTACAACAGCAGCCACCTTTATCCTCACCAGATAAGAAGAAATCACTAAAACAAAAGTTGACAAAACCATCAATTTTTTCACATGATAAATCACATAACAAAGATGTATCACCAACTCCAGCTTCAGTTGCGTCATCTTCAGCATCAACTCATTCCCATAAAAAATCACTCAGTGGAAGTAAGATTTATAAAGATATGGATTTTACTTCAAACGGTCAATTACCACAAAAGCCTATGCGAGTTATTCAAAGAGACGCAAGTATAACTACTTCTTCACCTTCAATTCATTCATCAATACATCAAGATCACCAATCATTTAACTCTCATCAATCGAAGGAACAATCAAAACATGAATCTTCTCAAAGTGCGAAATCTGTGCCGATTAGTCAAAATGATGCATATTCTCAAAGACAAAGAGATAGTGGAAGTAATAAAACTCCAGAACCACAAAGATCAGAATTTACTAATAACTTACCTACTAAAGAAAAATCACAACATCCATATCAAGTAAGATCGATGATACCAGATGATCAACGAAGTGTAAATAGTGATGCAAATAGTTTTGTTTTTGGTTCAAGTGATCTAAGCAACAAAGAAAAAGATTCTAAGTTTCAACCCATGAAACCACTTGAGGAAAATAAATCTAGTTTCAATCATAAACATCAGAATCTGACAACATCCCAACGTTCAGGAGAAGAAATTATTCAAGAATTTAGTCAATCAATTCCTTCTCAACAACAACAACCTAAAAAACCTAAAATGGCAGCTTCTGCATTTTCACCAGATTTTGGTATTGAGGAAATTACTGATGAAAGTGATAATGAAACAAAACCTGGAAAAGGGAATTTTATCAAGAAAAATTCTAATCCTTCATCAATTAAAAATAAATCAACGTCTCAAACTGATATTGCTGCAAAGACTCATTCACGCCAATCTTCTGAAGTAGGAATCAACAAAAATCCATATGCTAATAACAATAATTATGATGTTGAAATTACAAAAAATCCATATGCTTCAAATATAAATGAAACTTCACGTCGACCTTCTGAATTTGATAACAAAAACCCATATACTAAATCTGCGTTTGGTGAGGAAAAAGGATTAGGAATACAATCTGCAAATTCATCAGCATTCATTGAGGAATCTACAAAAATTCAATTACCAATGCAGGAATTAAACGATATGATTGATAATCATATAGCAAGTGGATCAAAAAAAGATGAATCATTTGATTTTGATGATAATTTTGTTGATTTAAATGAAGTGGAATCTCCTCAATTACGTACAAAATCAACAACTTCAATTAATCGCGAGATAAAACCTAGTATTTCAAAGGTACCTTCCATATCATCTAAAGCAGTGGTTGATAATTCATCCACTAATTTTGAAAATGAACCTGAATTAAAAATTTCAAGAAAAAAACTGACACAACCATCATCATCAATCCCAAAACTTCCAACTTCGGCACCAACATTATCAAATTTTGAAAAAGATTTTGAAACTGAAGAAATGTTTAAAGAAATTGGTTGGAACCCCAAAATGAATGCTAATTCTTTATTGAAAAACCTAAATAAAGAATTAAATAAAACAAAACAAGAAACTGTTAAGAAATTAGTAAATATTGATTTAACTACAACATCAGCAAATGATACTGTTATTGCTTCAAATGAAATTTTAAATATGTTACATATTTTTCAAAAAATGGATATTGGGTTTAAAATGTTAAATAATAATGTTCAAATAATTGACAAAGATTCAAAGGGATTACAAACAAAATATTTAAATAAAAAATTATTATATAATGATTTACAAAGTATATTATCAAAAATTTCAATTGATAACAAAGATTTAAATGATATAAGTGAATTCAAAAACTTTGATCATATAAGTTTAATTGGAAATTTAGAAATAAAATTATCTCATTTATATAATGCTATTGTTACAATTAGATCTGATTCTCATTCTAATAATAATGAAGATTTAAGTTCATTAAAAGCTTTACAACAATACAAATTAAAATATGAAAATGTTAATCAAAAATTTGTACAAAATTTTACAACATTTATAATTAATAAAATTACTCAAATTGGGAAAAATTTGATGAATAATTTAGATCAATTTAGTCTGAATATAATTTATAAATCATTGGTTCAATTGCTAGTTTATAGTGGGTTAACTTATTATATTAAAGAAATTGGCTGGACTCAATTTAATGAGATTAAACAACATTTCAATCAAACTTTCGCATCAGTCTTAATTAGAATGTTATTTACAAAGGTACAAAATATAAAAATGGCACAAAAATCACATTCTTATAGTAGTGGAAGTAATTTAAACTCAGAAATAGATGAATTACCAACAACTCCATTACAATCAAGTGGAAGTCAATTTAATAAATCTTCAAGTAGACGTAGATCAGATAGGACTTCAATGTCACCTGGATTATCTAATTCATTAGATGATTTATATGATGAAGATGGTTTAGATGATGATTTTGCACCATTAAGAAAATCAAGAGGTTCAAGATATTCAAGAAAAGGAAGTTCTAGATATGGAGGTGCGAATAGTAGTAGTAGTGGTACTTTTACATCAGAAAGAGAAGATGATTTAAAAAGAAAACAAAATATAGAATCTATAAAAAGACATATATTATCAAGAGGTTCTAATAATGAAGATGAATTGGAAGATTCTAAGTCAATTATAGGATTAATTGAAGAATCGAAAACCATAATTATGGTTTTACAATATTTTTTTGCTTTATTTTTCCATTATGATGTAAATTCATTAGATTTTATTGAATTCTTACATCAAAGTCCATTTACAAAAAGAGATGAATATGCAAGTAAATCTAATCCAATAACAATTAATGAATTTATTGATGATAAAAATGTTAATTATAATGTGTCACAGGAGGTGTTAGAAAATTTAAATTTTGTATTTGGAAAATTTATATTTGAATTTTTAAAAATCGTTACACCAATAGATTTAAATTTACCATTAATATTATTAAATTTAGAAGATTCAATAAATCATGTTCAAAATAATTTTATAAATCAAGAATTTTTAATTTATAATTTTTTAAATAAAATTAATGAAAAATATCAAACTCAATGGTTTAAATTTATATCAATTCAAGTTGATGCAATAAATAATTCAATAATTATCCCCAATAGTGGAATTTTACCACTGATAAAAAATATTAATTATTTGATTTTAATTACTGAAAGTTCAATTGATAATCGTGATATTAAGGGAACCAAAATTAGAGAAATTATAGATAAATCATATGATAAAATATCAAATTCATTAATTCAATTATTTAATAGAATTGATCCATTAACTTCAAAATCTTCAATAGATCAACAAGATTTACAAATTAAAAATGTTTCAATTTTAGAAAATATATTTGTTATATTACAACAAATAAATGAAATAAATTCATATAATCAAGCAACAAATAAATTAATTGAAAAATTAACTTCCATATTTAATAAAATTGAATCTCAATATTTTCAAAAATTAATTCAAAAAAATTTTGGTCCATTAATTGAATTTATAAATAATGAAGGTGATAACAACAAAAGACAACAAAAATCAAATCATCATATTCATAGACCACATTTTAATCATCAAAAATCAAGTACAAAATTACTTTTACAAAATTATTCAGAATCAGAAATTTCATTAAAAATTGAAAATTTACATAATAAAATTTCAAAACAATTTAAAAAATCTTATGAAAATAATAGCAAAGGTATTAGTGGTAATGATAATTTATTTACAAGAGATTTAATTGATAAAATTTGGATTGATTTAGAAAATTTATTTATTGATTATTTTACAAAATTATCTAAAATTTTAAGATCTGATATTGAAAAAGATTATAATTATAGTGTTGGTAGACAAGATATTCATCATATTTTTAAATCAATCCGTGGTTAAATGAGTTAGGATTTTTAGTTGAATGAATGAGTTAGGATTTTTCGTTGAATTAATTGTAATGCATGAATGAATTCCAGTCTATGTAATATTTGTAATTCGTTGACCGTAGCTTCTCAAAGTGAGTCCTGATAGTGAGTCTTCTCAAAGCTCACTCTCAAAACTCACTCTGAAGACTCACTATCAAGACTCACTTTGAGATTAACTCTCAAGACTTTTCCTCAAGCTTCTACTTCTTCCAATAATGCAAATTTATTATTTGACAAATCAGGTTTATCATCATCATTCTCATCTTTCTCCTCATTTTCATCATTAATTTCTTCATCTTTATAAAAATCTCGTACTAATTCATCTTCTTTCAATTTTAAAATTTCTTCTTCAGTTAATTCCTTTTCAGGTTGTTCAATTTTAAAATCATCACTCAAGTGATTTTTAATTTCAATATTTGAATTAGTTTTATCCCAATTTGATTTTCTTGCTTTTTGAATATATGAAGCTCTTGCAATACTTGAATCAATTTTATTTTCTAATATTCCTGCTAATTTGTTATTTCTTTCTAATTTTGTCTTTATAGTTGATGATTTCTTCTTATTATTTTTTTTAATTTTCAGTGATTCAATTTTTTTATTTAATAAATTTTCATTTTTAATTTGAGTTCTTATTATTGATTTTTTTAATCCATCATTATTATTGATTGATTCTGATTTGGTTGTCGTAGATGATTTATTGTTTATGTCATCGGGTATTTCCCCTCTTCTGGCTGCTCTACTTCGTTTTGATACCTTTTTAACCATCGGTTATTACTATTTTATACTTATATTTGATATAATAGAGTTATGTCATAGAATACTCCGTATATTAGTTTTGATCTGAATGATGAGGTACAGTTTTGTGTAACTTTGTTTTAAGTGAGGCTCACTTTCCCAAATCAAGTAGTTAAGCGCATCAATTACCTAATTAGGCAATTTATCAATTCCTTCTAAATTTTTCGTATTTGAAACTTAAACATTCCAACTCCCACATTTCAAATTCATAATTTCTATAAACAACTTTATCATACTTTCAACTTCATTTATCAATATTTAATTTTGTCACTTTTATCATATCATTTTCAACTTTTTACAGCTTTAATAAAATATCTTGACAAAAATGAATTTGGAATCATTTATGTCAATTAATCAAGTTAATTTTAATAATCAAAATAATAATGTTTCAAATAATAATACATATATCATCAACAATAAATCAAATAAAACTTCTCAACTTAACACAACAATAAAATGGTGTCTTTGACTTCGTAATTCCACCAAATTTCAAAACAATTCAATATTGTTTAATTATAGAAATTTTAAATTTTAAAATTTATGGAATAATAAATACAACTACCAGTATAAATTCAATTACTTTAATTTTTAATAGTAATTCTCAATTATATGATTTATTAATCAACAATAAAAATTTAATTATTGAATTATGTGATTTATTAATTGATGAATTTGAAATTTTCCAGCTTAATTTTTTAATTGAAAGAAATAATTTAGGTAAAGATGGTATAAAATTAAATGAATTTTTAAGTTTCTTATATTCTTTATTAAATTGTCAATTATGTTCTGATTTAAATTTTAATAATTTTGGTATTAATGAAGTTATTGATAAATGGAATTGGATTGGATTAATATGTGAACTATAGTAGTATATGTTCCTGGGTTCTGTTTGGATTATATAAACTAGTTTAATTTTTGCATGGTACACTTTAGTTGGTATAGATAAATAATGAATAAGAAGTACATTTCAAGAGCTACATCACACCCCAATCATCCATAAATAAATATATAAATAAATAAATATTAAATAATAAATACATTCTAGAGGATTACTACTCCGAAGTGTAGCCTTAAACCTCTTGAGCATTGACAGTACCATTCCCATTACCATTGGCAGTAGTATTACTATTCTTAACAGCTTCAGCATATTTATTTAAAGCATTATCTAAACTAATTTCCAAAGGTTTTAAACAAGAATTAAAATCTTTTAAAACTTTATCTTTTAATTTTTCATTACTCTTCACTATTTCAATTTCATTTAATTCTGTTATTGATTTAATTTTAAATTGTTTTAAAGAATTTGAACAATTTTTTAATGATGTATATATTTTTTTTAATTGATTTGAATTGCTTTCGCTACTATTTAAAAATAATTTCCAAAAATGTGATAAGAATTCTACTATTGTTATATTATATGTTATAATTTCTTGAATTAATAAATTTGGTATAATATTTATTGGCTGAGATTGAATTGTTGAAGATGATGTTTGTTCCTCTTTATTTATTAATTTAAAAGTTTTAAAATTTTGTTTTATTGTATTTGAAATTTGTAAATATGTTTTTTCAATATCTTGTTCTTTATTTTTAAAAGTTTCACTTAAATCTATTTCATTTGTTTGAATTTGATTTGATAAATAAGCGGAGAGATCTATATCATCTAGTTGTACATCATTTGAATTAGTTTCTTCAATATTTAAGTCATCATCAATCAATTTCTCAATTACTTCACTTGTAGTATTTCCATTTGTATTAATATTTAATGCAATATAATTTGAATCATTATAATCATTTAAATCATGTAAATTTAAATCTTCTTCATATTCATTAACTTCATTAGCTGATAATCCATCAATTGAATTTTCACCATTAGTTGGTATATTTTCAGAACTCATACTCATCATTTTTGAAGATAATTTATTCATATTTTTCATTAAAATTATCATTTCATTTTCCTTTTTAGAATTCTTTGCTGTTGTTGTGGTTGTAGTTGTTGTGTCATTATCATTATTATCATCATCATATCTCATTGTCATATCTGGTCTATTACCTAATTTTTGTGAATTATCTTGTTCATTACCGGATAAATCTAAAAATTTATTTATATGATTTGCATTCAATTCATTTAATTTTCTTCTTTTGGTGATTTGTTCATCATTTTCATTTGTATCACCATTTTGTTCACCATTATTATTTTCCTCATTAATTAATTTATCATCCATATAAATATATTTATCTAAAATTGCATCACCTCTTCCACTATTAATACCAATTTTATCACCTCTTAATCTTCTAAATAATTTTGAATTAAAAAATCTTGACCAAAATTCACCTTCCAGTAATTTTTGAGGTACTAAATCTTGAAAAGCCCTTTTTATTATTGGATAAATTTCAAAAATTTCATTTATTGTATCTCTTGTAACATTAACATTAACTTGATTATCTGATGTTGCTACTGGTTTTATAGTACTTAAAACATTATAAGGACCTCTATGTTGTGATATAGTTAATGCAAAAGTTCTTAATTGATTTATTCTACTTGACCAAAAAATAGTTGGAGATAATTTAAATTGCATTACAGATTTTGTAAATATATTTCTTAAATTTTTATCTTCTAATAATAATTTTTGTTGTAATTCAAAATTTTTTAATAAATTTGAATCTGATAATGAAGGTGCTGAAGTACTTGATGATGATGAAGATGTTGGTGTGGGAGTGGCTGAAGCTGAAGTTGTTTGAGGAGTTGTTAAACTTTGTTGAGGAGTTGGTGTAGATGAACCTTCAACTCTTGTTCTTGATCTCGCCACAATGGTTTGTAAAGCATCTTTTATATTATTCATTGTAGGTCGATTATTAAAATGTAATCTTATTTTGGTTGGTTCTTGTTGATCATCATCTAATTTATAACTTATTTGTAAAATCATCTTGGGAGTTGATTCTTTTGATGCTTGTAATGCAATTAATTTATTTAATGGTATATTTAAAAAGTTTTTATCATCTTCAATTGCTTTCCATTCTAACATTGATGGTACTATATCTTCTCTAATATATACCATTCCTCCAACTTTATCTTTTGAACATGCCCCTCGTATCACATCCATCTTGTATATTTTTGTAAAAAGATGTTGAAAGCTGAAGAACCTTGTTGTATTAGTCCTTAAAATCTAAAAAGAAGAAGAAGTTAGAATGTTGCAAATTTAAATTTTAATCTTGCATACAAATTTGGTGATAAAATAAAATTATCATCAACTTTGAATTTTTCAGGTCAATTCAACTAAGATATTGAACATCAAAAACACAGACAATGTTGAGTCTAAAGTCCACTTTTAGACCTATAAAGAGTTGTCTACCACATAAATTAATCACCACCAGACTAATTCATACTTCTTTAACCCAATCACGAGATATTAAACCTAATACTACACCAAACAATGAAAAACAAAAAGTTGTATATAAACCACCAATAACAATAGAACGTAAATTACCAGATCCTTTTAAAAAAAGAGATCAAAATAGAAGATATTTCATAGTATACGCAATAGCAATAACATTATCATGTATATTTATTTTCAATTATGAAAAATCATCATCACCAATAGTAAATTCAATATTATATTTTTTGAGAAGATCTCAATTAGGTAATGAAGTCCTTGGTTCAAATATTGAATTTGCAAATAATTGGCCATGGATTTGGGGTAAATTAAATACTGTTCAAGGTATAATTGATATTAAATTTAAAGTTAAAGGTTCAAATAACCAGATAGGTTGGATTAAATTAAATGCAACAAGACAATCCAAAATGCATCCTTTTGAAATTCATAAATTTATTTTAGAAATTGATACTAATGATTCTAAAGTTGAATATAATTTAATGGATGATCCTGAATTTGAATTTGATTTATAATATGTTATATAAATTTTAATATATATATCTTGTACATAAATTAATATGGGTTTAATAGTTTTGATTCTTGATATTTGAATTTTACAATCCAGGTTTTCAGATTACACGCTTAAAGGTAATGTTTTAACTGTATTTGCAGTCTCCTTCTTCATGGTAGTTTCATAAGTCTCCGTAGCTTTCAAATGGCTGTATCTTGGCTTTTTTCTTTCAGCTTCATCAAATCTTTGAACTATATTGATTTGTACTATTAGTTGATTACTTCATTCTCATATACTTAGAGCCAATCATCAACGAGTTTTACAATTTTACACCAGCTTAACCTATCTTGTTTTAGTATTATTTAAGATACGCATCTAAGCTCTATTGAGAAGCGCCAGGATTAGCTACGAAATAGAAGCTAATGTCAAACGAAGGTCACGGCTGAAACAGAATTAGACGTACACTCAAATTCTTCGTTTAGTTATTTGGATCAATTACTGTTTTATAAAATTCAGCGCGAGTTCAGGTTTAACTTAAGCTGGATCAAAATCAATCACGCTCACATCCCTAGTACTATTTTAAGACATTTATTTGAATTGTATAAACTGGATACAAATTCAATTTTTTAACTTTGACTTCGCTAAGTAAAGTCTTACTCCTAAAATTTGAGTCTTTCAAATCATAAGCTCCATACTAAAAAACAGTTTCATATAAAGAATTGATATTTTTGTCCTTTTGCATCTTCTATATTTTGTTTACAAGTTTGCAAGTCAAGTTGATGATGCTTGGTCTGTGAAATGTCGCAAATTGTTTCAAATCTGGAATGTGTCACAAAATCTTATCTATTATCTCGATATCAAATTCTATGGAGCTGGCCAAACTCAACCTATTTAATTTCCTACGCCTGATAAACATTGTACCATTAGAGAATTGAGTTTGCAATGAGCTTGATATCAAAATGATTAATGTAAAGTAGCATTAACATTTACTCCTATCTTTTTGATGAAACATTTTGTTTAATTTGAAAAAGGGCAAAGTAATCCGAAATTTCCATCTTATATAATTTAGATATATATAGCATGCAGAATATTAAAGAACTATTGTTAACAAAATCTGTCAAATTTAAATATACTTGATTTCGGATCAATCAACTGTAAAGATTATGATTATTTGATTGTTTTTATCTAAAAATGGAATAGTAATTAATTGAATTAAAGAGTGGTAGTGTATACTTGTTCAATTTCCTCGGTTTAAAATTTTCAGAATCCTCGAAGGAATTGCATTTTCTACACATTTTGCATTACTTCATTTTTTACCACTTCGATTGGCCAGATTGAATTATCAAGTGTAGATTCGCCATCTGCTTATAAAGTACAAAGAAATACGACTGATGACAAATTGAATTTAGAAGTGGATTTTTAACAGATCGAAGTAAAGTGTTGTCTATATGAAAAAAAAAACAATAAGGTACAAAATCTATACACTATTATAGTAGCATTAGACTAAGTATTGTTTTAAAAATAGAAGTTAAATTACAGTAATAGTAATAGAATAGTACAATATGCATACATGCATACCTTTATCAACTTACCAATACTTACTGCCTTGATGTTAAGTCTAAAATTTTCCATTCATTGCTATTTCACTTTATATAGTTTAAACTACTAAGTACTTACAATATTTAATGTTGATCTACTTACATTTGAAATTGCGACAAATCTGTGTATTAATTTGACATCCTTTTGCAGTATTGGATAATCAAATGTTGAGTTGAAGCCTAAGAGATTCAAGGACGAATCAAGCGTGAGTTCTCCATTCATCTTGTTTCCTGCTAGTCTATCTACTTACTAATTAAATTTCAACTCTCTCTCATTTGCTAAATCTGTAATTAAATGCATAAATCTACATAGATCTGAATCAAAAACTTTAAAAATCGATCTAATACAAGAGCTTTACTCAAAACCCGTGAAAAATTGAAGCTGAATGATACTTACTTTCAGATCTTTTAGCTGAGTTTGCTTTTCCTTTAGTTGATTCACTAAAGTTGAGCCTCTTCCTTCCATCCCCTTTTTTATTTATTCCCTTGTTATTGTACTTGTTAGTATAAGTTTTGTGTTCGTTAACTCTACATTAAAGAAGATTTCTTTTTTTCCTGTCTATTTCTCTATTTTATCAAATAATAAGAATAATAGAATAATATAATTTGTTGAAGTATTATATTCACTTGTTCTTTCTATCATCGATATCACTTTCCACAAGTTTTAATATAGATCAATCTATCAATCATAGTATCTACTTAATATTAGAGTTTACTGCAATTAAGTACTAGTCTTTCGCTATTTAACAAAAAACCAACGAAATAAAGCACTCACTATCAACAAATTTCAAGCCTTAATTTCCTCATTTTTAGCTTTTGTTCAATTTAGAATAATAATAATATATTATTTTACAACCCAAGAAATTTATAATAGCATTCTTAGAAAGAAGAAGCTTATCTATCTTATCAACTCATCCAACTCATCAAATCATCAATTCATAATATCATCTTACAACGCATTTTAAAGACATCTAAAGAACATATATACATATATAAACTCCCAAACAATGGCTAATTCAAATGGTTTAGCTGTTGGTTTAGCAGTTGGAATTCCATCATTATTAATAATATTAGTAGTATTAATATTTTGGTATAAAAATCATAAAAAGTTACAAAAAGAAGATATTGATGATGAATTTATTGAAAAAGAATTACAAAATGATCAACTGAGTTTTAAACAATTTCATGAACAATTACATAGAAAGTATCACAATGAAAATGAAAATATAATAAAAGGTAAAAATGGTGATGATATACAATTTAAAGAAAATATTATTGTTGATTCTTCAATTGGAAGTTCTGAATCTGATTTTCCTTCAAATACTTCTTCATCAACTACAAATAAACTACAACAGCCTCAACAACAGCAAACACAGCAAACACAGCAATCACAGCAATCACAGCAACCCCAACATCCTTATGGTCAACATTTAAAACTTCCACAATATCCATCAACTCAAAATAGTCAAACTTTATCACAAATTCATCCAACTTATTATCATCAAAATTCTTATTCACAACATCAATCATCTTATGATTTTTATGATACTTTTATTCCAACTTTTACAAATAATGATATGATAGATTCATCCAATGGTTTCCCACAACAACAGCAGTCACACCAACAGCATCATTCTAATCATCCCCATTTAAATCATTTAAATCCATTAGGAAATTTCTTTTCATCATCAAATTCAAATTCTAACTCTAAAACAAATTCATTTATAGATTTACCAAATTCTTCAGAAAATATAAATAATCGTCAAAATTTACAAGAATTTAATTCACAATCATCATTACTAAACAACACACACAATAATAACTCTTCTCAATCACAACCTCATACAAGATCATCATCAACAGATTTAGATACATTAGCAAAACAATTAAATAATCCAATATATTTTGAAAAATTACCAAGTAAAATAGCAGCACAACAACAAAATTCATTTTTTATAAAACCAAGATACCCTTCAACAACTCTTAAGAATAATAAATCATCTTCATCTGAATTAATTAATAATTATTTAATTGGTGAAAATTCTGCAATAAATGATCATTTTACTTATGATGCTCCAATTATAGAAAATAAACAACAATTTAAAGAACAAGTTAAAGAAGATAATGCATTAAAAGATAAAGAAGTTAAAGAACAAGGAGGGAATAAAGAAAAAGAAAAAGAACAAATTAAAGAACAAGAGATAATTGAAGAAAAAATTTCAAAAAATCCATTAAATAATCAAATTGATAATTCATTTGATTCTAAAATAAAATTAAATCCTACTCCAATAAATAATATAAGTAATGATATAACAAATAAAGAAAAAGATATTATTCCACCAGTTATATTTCAATAAACTACTTAATTAAACATTTAATTTGAATGAAACTTAAAAAAAAAAGGAAGAAGAAGTTTGTAAAATTTTATTTTTGTTATTTGTTGAGAAGGTATAGAGTAATAAAAGTGTTGAATTAATTGGTAAGGTATTATTTAAAATTTGTTTAAAATTTGTTTTTGCTTATATATTAGATGATAGAGGTATTAACTAAGTATTGTTCAGTATTTTTTTTCATATTTAATTTAACTTTAATTTTAATTTCATGTTTTGGAGTTTGTAAATTGTATATTTCAGTAACTCCTTTTTTAATTTATTCTTTATTAATTAATTTGGATAAATAACTCGTCAATTGTTTTCAATAAGTTTCTTACCTAGATTTCAAATTACATGTTATATATTTTCATATAATTTTGTAACAAATCTTAATTATTTTTCTTTTCCTTTATCAGATTTATTTGTGGTACATAAATCCAACCAATTTTGTTGAATCTGGCCTAATCGTAAAATTAATCAAAAAGTGAACCATTTACATGAATCATCTAAATGAATTAATCAATCAATGAGTCGAATAATCCATACTGTGATATGAATATTAGCCAAATTTTGAACCTTTACCAACAGTGTCGCGTATTAGAAATTTCTATCTCGACACTAAACACGACTTCAAATCATTCTCTAAATTATAAATTCTGATAAAGTATTCAAATTTGCAACACTTTTAAACATCAATACAAGGTTTAGACACTAGTAAGAATCAGTCACATAACTTTCCAATGAAACATAGCATATAACTACGAGAAGCCATGTCAGAAACCGTACCAACCACCACAATAAATATAGATTCGTCAAATAATATTATTGAACCACCAAAAGATATTAAAGAAACAATAGATAAAACAATAACATATGTTATAAAAAATGGAAAAAGTTTTGAAGAAAGATTACTCAAGAATGATAGTTCAAAAAATGGAAATAATCAATTCACTTTTTTGAAGAAGGAATCACCTTATCATTTATATTATTTAAATAAATTAAAATTAGCATCTGAATCAAAGGGAGATGAATCGTCTAATCTGAATGAAGTAAAAAATGTAGAGGAAGAAGATGAAGAAATCTCTAAACCTGATGAATTAAAATTTTTAATTGATAAATTTCCTGAAAATTTAACAACAAAAGATTTAAAAATTATAAAAATAACAGCATTATATTTATCAATTAATAGTAAACCAGAAAGTCAAGATACGCAGATTAAGAATTTATTAAATCATGAAAATAAGCAAAATAAATCAGCACAATTTGAATTTTTAAAATCTTCTCATTCATTAAATCCCATATTCAAAATTTATTTAAATCAATATAGATTAGTTAATGAAATGTTTAAAAATAAAGAGTCATCAGAAGAGTATCAAAATTTTCAGAAAAAGGTCCAATCACAACAAGATAATAAATTTAATTTATTAATTCAATCATTAAATCGTTCAATTTATTTAAAACAACACCACCAGAAACATAAAAATGATGAAAAATTAAAACAGCAAAAATTAATTCAATTTGCTTCAATAAATTGGCAAGACTTCACTGTATTATCATGTGTAAATTTTAATAAAATTGATGATGTTAAAGAATTAAATTTACCTATAGATAGAGATTCATTAATTAAAAGATCATTAACTTCAAAAACTCATGATTTAAAATTAAAAACTGCAACTGCAAAACCTAAAGTTCAATCTGAATCTGAGAAAACAGATACTAAAGAAAATAAGGACAAAAAGGATGCAGACTCAGGAAAAGAAGAATCATTAGAACCAGCAGAAGTATCAAAACCAATTCCTAAGGCAATGAAAGGTATGAAAATAAAAGCAGCAGGTTCAACAAGATTAAAAAAACAAAAAAATTCATCATCAAATTTTTCAATAACATCAACATCTCAACCTTCAAAATCTTCTACCACAGATAAAATTAAATGTCCAATAACAGGAAAATTAATCCCCCAAAATGAATTTGATAAACATTTAAAAACAATATTAAGAGATCCTTCATACAAAAAACAACAAGAAAATTATTTAAAAAAAAATTTTAGTTATGAATCTAATATTTCTACTGATAAAGTTTTTGAAAATATTAAAAGATTAATTAAAAAGAGGAATTTTGATGATTTAGATGATAATTCTGAGTAAATAGAGATTCTAAAGACCAAAAAGTTAAATAGATGAACCATTTGATCAATCAATTCTTTCTTTTTAAGATTATATAATCTAGATTGATTTTCACCTAAATAATAGTATCTTAATAAGATCAAACTTTCAAAAATAAAAGCTGTAATACTCCATCAACCAACTCTCTCTTTTAAAGATAATTTAATCTACAATTAAACTCATTTTACAATGTTTTATATATTTATCATTATTTTTTTTTCCCAACTACTCCTAATTAATATACAATTAAAAAAAATAATAAAAACCTAAAAGTATTTCATCTCAACAGCTTAATAACCTTAACTAACTCTAATTAAGTTAACTCACTTAATTTTTTAAAGATTCAGCTCTTTTCTTTTTAATTTGAACTTTTTCTTCTTTTCTTTCATGTAATCTTTTAGCTAATAATTGAGCATATTCATTAGCAGCATCTCTTTGATGTTGAGCATTTTTAACTTTTTTAGATTTTAAAGCTCTTTTTCTTTGTAAAGTTTGAGGAGTAACTAATCTTTGAATTTTTGGAGCTTTTGTATATACTTTATCTCCCTTTTTAATTTCTCTTCTAATGACATAATCTCTTACATCATCTTCTTTTGTTAAACCAAAAAATTTTCTAATATGATTAGCTCTTTTTGGTCCTAATCTTTTTGGTACTGTTAAATCTGTTAATCCTTCAATTTCTGATTCACCTTGTTTGACAATTGATAATGATAATACTGATAAATCTTGAGCAACAATACATCCTCTAACTGATTTTCTTTTTCTTTCACCAGTTCTTCTTGGTCTATAACATGAATGACCTTTAGCTAATAATAATCTAACTCTTGTTGGATGCATAACACCTTGTTTCATTGGAAAACCTTGTTTATCATTACCTCCAGTAATTTTAAAAATATATCCTTTAAATTCATCTCCAACTGAATCTCCTTCAACTTCTTGTCCCATTCTTTTTTCATAAAAAACTCTTAATTTATGTTCATCATCTATATCAATAGATTTTTGAGTACCGTTAGCTGGATAAGAAATGTTTAACTAAATGAAATTGTTAGTACTTGGGATTATTTAAATATTGTGAAGTTAAATGAATGAAGATTTGATGACGAAAAATGTTTAGCCCTCATGAGTAAGACAACTCTTTGTGAATGTATCATGGAACAATCCAACTAAATTCAAAAACGTGAAAAATGTTTCTTTACAGTGAATATTGATTTTGATCTCTAAGGAATCTTGTAGTTGTGAAATATACCTGGATGTTTTGATTCCCTCATTGACTTTTGGAAGACAGTACAATACTTTTGGGGAATCCCTTAATGTCCATGATATACCAGAATAGGTTTTCTTTCTCACTCTATGTGAATTCATTTAAATATGTAATGATTCTTTCTTCACTCTTTTTTGTCGTTGCCTTTTTCCCATTGTTCATTCATTTCACTTCATTTCTCTTGAACATACCTTCATCTTGGACTATTGGATATATAAAGTTAATCTAGGCTAATGATTTTTGATTTCTAGTTTCTTAATACCTTTTGGTTGATTTTTTTTTTTCGCTAGTAAAGCGTAATCTGAAAATTTATTATTGTGTACGAAAAAAAAGTTAACTATGAGAACTTGCAAGATCATGGTTGTAGCCCTAATGACAAAAACTGATCTGTCTTTAATGACGCGACGAGAAAGCGACACCAAAACTGTTTTTACTTTGTGTAATGTTTTATTTGCTGACTTGAAACACATTTTCATAAACGTAACTGAATCATAGTTATCATTTTCAAAGTATCAAATGAGAGTTTGAATGAGAGTTAAGAGATAACACTTAGACAATTTATTGAGAGTTTAGGGATCAAATTCAGCAATTAAAAAGTAAGTTGGCTCTTTTGAGTCACTGTCTTTTTTATTTATAACCTATATTTATACATCGTAAAATAAAACAAAACATTAACATAAATACATCGACACTAAGAACTAAAACTTTGAAACGAACTATTATTGAGCATTTTAAATATCGTTTTCAAATTATGTAAATTATTTATCTTTCTTTTCAATTTTGATTTTATTTTTTAAATCATTATTTTTAGATTCATCATGACTAATACTACTTTCTTCTTCTTCTGTAATTTTATCAACATTTGATCCTTGATTATTAGGATTACTTCCATTGGTACTACTACTATTATTATTATTATTATTATAAATAATTGGTGATATATGAGAATTATACAGTGGGACATTCCCACTTGTTGAAAAGTTCGGAATAATGCCACCACCTCCATTGTTGTATTTTCCTTGCACCTGTTGATTTTGATGTTGTTGATTATTTAATCCACCACCACTTTGTAAAGGCATCATATTTAAAAAAAATTGAGGAACATTTGATGTTGTAGGAGTAGCACCAGTAGCCCAATCTTGAGGACCTAAAAAATTTGAAGGTGATGGGAATGGAAACATATCATTTACAAATTTTGAAGGTAATCCTGATATTGGAGTTTGTTCACCTGCTTGTAATTGATTTTGTTGATTTTGTTGATTTTGTTGATTTTGTTGTTGATTTTGTTGTTGATTTTGTTGTAGTGAATTTGATCTAAATCTTAATGCTGACTCGGGTTGTTGAGTTGATGATTGAATATTTGTCGTTCCTAGTACACCACCACTTTGATTAAAATTTGGATTGTGGTTATATTGTTGTTGCAGTTGATGCTGTTGTTGTTGCGATTGTTGTTGCTGTAGCTGCTGCTGCTGCTGTTGTTGCTGCTGTTGTGTTAAATTTGAATTAAACAGTTGAAAATTTTGATTAAATCCATGCATATGAAATCCTCCATATGAATTATTTTGAGGACTTTGTTGTATTCCATAAAATTGATTACTATTATGTTGTGAGTAAAAATTTGAATTGTTATTGGTATTACTATTATTATTACTAATATTATTTTGATTATTTTGATTATTTTGATTACTTAAACTACTATTACTACTTGATCTTGCACTTATTGGATTTGTAATTGGTAAACCAGGAGCAGTAGCACTTGCTGGAGAAGAAGTTTGAGATTTTGAATTTACTGGAATTGGTAAAGTTGGTTTTCTTGTATCTGGAGATTTGAAAGATGAATACCCTGTAAATTTTGTTGATGGAACTGTTGCAGAAGGTAATAAATGATGATTTGAATGAAAATTTGAAAATTGATTATGATTATGATTGTTATTATTGTGGTTATTTAAAACGTCTGAATGTGATCGATTACTACTATTTATACTTGAAGTAGTTCCAGTATTTCTACTTGAATTAGTTTGATTTATTGATGACGGTTGTAATGATGAATTACTATTATCAATTGCTGTTATTGTTCTTGCTGTATCATTTCCTGTATCACTTTTATTATCATTATTTAAAAAATTAGAAGAGCTGGTTTCTTCATCATTATTTTTTGTTTTATTTCCTTTTGCATCTGTGGGTATTTGAACTCTTAATATAGGTCTTGATGAAGTTTCTTTTCTTGTTAAAGATGGTGAAGGAGTTGAAGAATTATCATTATTATTATTAACTTTTGATATTTCAAATTTTGGTTTTTTATATTTATTAAAAGTCGGTACATTATTCATTGATATATGAGCTGGTGGAGGTGATGGAGCAGGTCGTTTACTATTAAACATTTTTGGATTTCTATTTTTTTTTGATTTATTAGACAGATCTTCTTCTGAATCATCTTCATCTTCATCATCCTCTTCATCTTCTTCATCTCCATTAAAACTTTCTCCATCATCATTTGAATTTAATCCACCACCTAATTTAGGTTCTATAATTTGTCCTTTTTTATTCATCAAAGGTTCATTTATAAATTTTTTTTTTTTATATATCAGATAATTTTCAGGAGATTTTGATTCATGTATTGGTTTTTTATTTTTTAAACAATCTTCATAAGTATTAAACATTTCTTTTGTATTAACTGTTGAAAATTCATAAATTTTATTATTATTTCCAACTATTATAATTGATAAATCTACTTGACATAATATAGCTAATTCATAAGCTTTTTTAAATAATCCTGCTTTCCTTTTAACAAATGTAACTGTTCTATTTCTATCATCAGTTAATGGTTGAATTTCAATTTTTCTTCTACCCATTTTGATTTATTTGATATACTTTAGTTACGAAGGTGAAAATGGAGTTTATATAATATGGATCTGTGATTTGTATAGATTTTGTGTTAAGATTTGCAATGGGCGAGATGAGTTTGAAGTATCAAGATGATAAAAATTCAACTGAATTATGCTAAACTTGAATTAAGATTGAATTATAATGATGTTTCTTTATTATTCGATGATATATACATAAATGTACATAATAAGGGTTCTAGATGGATATAATTTGATTTGATTCAAACAACTAGACTTGACACCTTAGTATAAAATTGATGAAGTATTCTTGTATAGAATTAATGAATTTCTATTATAACTAGTTGGTATATTGAATGGTAATTTACAAGAATCCTAAATTAAAGTATCTTATGATCTATGATTAATTAATTAAGCTGTAGAATATATTTTTTTTTTCTTAACTTTATTTTATTAAGGGTTTTTTTTTTGTTTCCATATATCGAATCAATCTACCAGTTAATCTATCCTCAAAGAACTCGGATGGAAGTATATACGGGTTGATACCAAGTGAACGTTGCCGAGTAATTCTATCGAGTTTTAATCAGGGGATTTAATTATATTTTTCTTTTCTTTCAACGATTTCAAATATTGAGAGGCTTATATATAAAGACTAAAGACTTTCTATTCTTAAATTGAAGAAGTAGAGAAGCATCATGAGAAGATTTTAGATCTATTCACTTAATTCCATCAAAGTTGATACAAGCCTCCTCAACGTATTAGGGGAAAGTTTGACTATTCTACAATTTAGAGCTATTTAAAAAGGTCAAATTCTAAATTTAAACATGAACGCAAAGGTATTTCAAGTGAATTTTCCGTTTTTTATGCATGTTCATCGAAACTCAGTGAAATGAAAGAAGCACAATATCTAAAATCTATTATTGAATTAATCTAGATTAAGTGAATTGAACTAAAATAGGAAGTTCGATACTTTTAGATTTAGTCAACTAATATACGGCTCTTCATTCTTTTCTATATCTTCGTTCAAAAATTTAACTTCTGTTTCATGTAATCTTACATTACTACAATCAAGGCTTGTTATAATCTTGAGAGCTTATGCGTTCACTAAATGATACAAAAAAACGATTTCAATCCGTAAAACCGTTTATTTTTTTTATATTTTGAGGGAATTTACATTGTCTTCTTAATTTGATATTTAAGGTTCATATTCCTCATTGCATAGCATTACTTGTGGTACGTGCTGGGAACAGAACTACTAGATTTACGTTATGACATGAAAGTAGTTGATATTTTTCACATTATTCTCATAACCTAACTGTATACTTGATAGTTTTCAACGCTGATGTACATCTATGTTAAAAAGTACTGCGGTCTGAAACATTTAAATTTGTTATTGTTTCAAACAAGAGGATCGACACTTTTGACTTGACTTGATCAACTTTTGATTGTACTTGACATCTATGGATTAGCTCAAGTACTCTGGGAAATGACTTTACGATCTGAACTCTTGAATGGAGTAAAAAAAGATCAAGCTACAACGGCCTAAAGAATTTTCAGATCTAAACTTTTTTCATTCTATCGGATTTGCAACCGAAGATTTTAAATTACGGTTGAGAAAAAAAAAAATAAAGTTTAAATTAAAAACAATAGAAATCTATTTTTAGTAACGATTTCTCCAAGAGGGCTATACAAGATATTATACTATAATACTGTTAAGTTATTCGTAAGAAGGGTTACTTTCAAAAATTACGAAGTCTAGGCTCCTATTGCATATGATTTTTTGATCATTAATGTTGACAAAAATTGCGCTTATTAATATAGGAGACATTTCAATTTTGAAGAAACAAATACCGCTTAAAAAGCGCATATTTATTCTTTTGAGAATGAAACTATAAAAAGCCTTGTTGAACCTAGTAGAGATTCGTCATTTGACTATTTAATGATGATCCATTCGTGGATAAAATAGATGTAGAACTTTGTAAAATGAGTCATTATCCATAACTTTTCTTGATTTGGAAATTCTACCGTGCTAGATTTTGAAAGATTTAGATCTACTCAATATGAGTTTGTTTCGGAGTTTTCGATGATGAGGTTTCAAAATAAATAGAAATGGAATGATATCTTTTCAGCACACTTATTAACAAACTAGAGATTTAGATATTATATTCAAAATTGAGAGACGAATGTAAGTTGAAGAGTAAGTCGTCACTAGTTAGAAATAATTGTTTGTGATACAGAGGTAGGCATAAGTTGTTGACAAATTTTAAAATACGGTCAAACTCTTGCATTTCCCGCTATCATCCAAATTAACTTCGACTTTGTTCGGAACTGTAGTCCTAATTAACTGATCGTGTATATTACAAATATCAACAACATTAGAATCATAGTATTAAAATCGATATAACTCCATTTAGCTTTCTGAAAGCTATTTACGAGAACAAATAATCGTTTGCGTCTAAAGATTGTCCGATTTTTTCGTTGTAATGCAGAATTAGCATCTGTTGATTTTTATCTAGAAAGAAGGACAATGCTTTCTAAACCCGTTATCGTATCTCAAAAAGTAAGATTTTGTAAAATAAAATAAATAGAATATATCGGCATTGGACGATGTGGCTGAAAATAATTTTCAATCACCGAGCTAAAAATAAACTTTTCAATTTTTTTTTTTTTTTTTTCAATCACCGGATGTATACGAGTGAAGAAAATATATTAAAATTATCACATGTTATGATAATTCTATTACTGTTTTCTTCATCTTGGTGTCCAAAGTTTATTCTTTGAGTGTAGTAAATTCAAAGTCAATCTAAACCTTACTGGCTTAACTACTTACTCTAATTCCTTTCATCATAAAGTCTTTCAAAAGTACTATTGTATTTTCTACAACAAGTATGGGGTGAGAGTTCAATTGCATCCTCATGACAATTCTGTCGGAAATTTGCACGCCTGGTAATGAAAGAAATCACAAGAAAATTGCGTCCTTGTGAAAACAAATTGGTGCTCATGAGAGCAACTAATCAAAGAAGAGAGTAAACATTTTATTGTCCTGATGCATAAAACTCAAGTCTAGAATTCTTTATTAGATTCAATTAATTGAAAATTTAATCAAAAATTAAGAAGTCAATTAGACCTTATTTTAATCTTAACACCAGTTTTAAATAATGAATTTTAGAAAATTTGAACAAATATAAACTTTAAATACAAATTAAAATCTTGTGACAAATAAGGTCATTTTTCAATTATATATCAAACATATAATTAATGTCAAATATCCGTAAAAGTGATATGATATCATCAGGAGTGCCAATTTTAAATCATTAATTATACTATTTGAAAATTAATTAATTAAAACTAAAAATGATCTGAATTTGCTCTTCCTACATTATAATTTTTAAAACGTTTTACGTGACAAAGTTCATTTTATTATTTTAATTAATTTATTTGCGAAAAACAAATTTTCTTTCTGATTCTTAGTACTTTTCGTGGTCTTGGGGTGTTAATGAATGCTTTTCATCTAGAACTAATTTTCATGTTGAAATGGTTTGAAAATATTTGTTTGCAGGTAAGCTATTTTTGGTTTGAATTAGCGTGAAAAGCAACTTTTTAAACAAAAATTTCAAGATTATAAAGTAAAGAAAATTTCCATCAAAATTCTTGATTTGACCTTTTCTGATTGATTGGATTTATTATTACATTGAGTGTTCATTGAAATTTCAAATAGTTTGATTAAAGAAAAATATGATTTGTAGATGTACTATTTGTGGTAAATGGCTTTATTCAGAAAGAATAGCAAAAGAACATATAACTAATGACCATAAAGTAGAACAAGAATCAAACAACAAATTTTTCTATTCGATTGGTGTTCAATGAAAAAAATAGTTCAGCTAATTCCTACCAATAGAATGCCATTTACAAGTTAAAATTGCTGCTAATAAACAAGAGTAGATCAAAAATACAAAATATCGAATAGAAAGAAATAAAAACAAAAACATGGACCAAATTTTAAAAACAATTTAGAAATTAATTATAAAGAGCAATGCATAAATTTATTAAATGAATCTTAACTATAAAAATTTGGGGTGTTTCAGAATTAGATTTATCATAAAATTTAGTCCTTACTCGTAAATTTGAGATATAGTTTGATGACGTCACTAAAAACAATCTGTCCAAATCGGGTAAAATCTTTATTACGTAATTGATCCACACTTAATTACATAATACAAATAAACTAAAGTTAAATTAAATTTTGAACTTTACGAGATTTAGAATTAATTAATAAAGAAGGAAGAAAAAAAATATAGATAGGCCTATAGAGATTTGGTAATAAAATCTACATCAAATTACATTAATATCAAATCAAATTTGTACCAAGTAATAGTGATATTTATCTACATATAATTTAACTTTTAATCAGATCCAATACAATCAATTTTAATTCAACAAAATTCCGGCTTATCCATCGTGAAAGGTTGATTTCATCATTCCATATAATTTTTCAATTCTTAAATTGTATATATAAATATAAATAGATTAAATGTACATCATATAAATCATCTATTACCATAATTAACTACTATCATCATGTCACGAATCATAACCAAACGAAGTAATTCAAATATCATAACAACTAATGAATTTAAAAAAATAGCTATTTTAGTAACAATACTATGTTTTCTACCTTTAATATATTTATATTATGTTCATGTACGAGATAAGTGGGATTTAAATGAATATTTTGTTGGAGAATTAGGTAATTTAATTAAAACAAATAATCCAGATAATATCCCAAAAAATAATCATGAAATTCAAACAACACCAGAAATTTCAGAAATTGAAGAAGAAGCATTAAAAAATCCAAAAAAATTTTTAGGAGATATTAAAAAAATGGGCAAGAATGAAAGACCATCATATACAAATTTAAAATTTTCATCAATTGGAAGAAATCCCAAAGATTATTTACCATTAAATGATGATAATTCTCAAGATTTAACATTTTTTGAATCACCAATCAAGAAATCACAACCAAAATTAAATCATGATAAAATTGAAATTAATCTTAAAAATTTAGATCCTCATGAAAGTTTTTTAAATTTTAGAATTTATTCTCATAATGTTAAAAATGGTAATGGGATAACTCCTTTAAAAAATGGAGAATTTAAATGGGAAGAAAGATTAAAAGACATATTGGCGTCTATAAGATTTAATACTATAGATAATACAATTTTTACATTACAAGAATTATACAAGTTTCAAGTCCTTGATATTATAGAAAATTTAAATACATACAAAGATAATGAAGATGATCAATGGGAATATTATGGAGTTGGTAGAATTGATGGTGATTCAATGGGAGAATTTGTTCCAATAATATATAATTCAAAAGAATGGGAAATTTTACATAGTGATACATTTTGGTTGAATGAAAAAGATCTTTATATGTCATATGAAGGTTGGGATGCAATATATAGTAGAATTTGTTCATTTATAATTTTACAAAATAAAAAATCAAAACTAGTTATTAATTTTTTTAATACTCATTTTGATCATTTAGGTAAATTAGCAAAATGGGGTTCAGCACAATTAATTACTGAAGTTATAAAACAATTAACTTTACAATCATCAAATGAATGGCCAACTTTTTTAATGGGAGATTTTAATTCTGATTTAAAAGATGAAAGTAAAGCAATATTAGTTATAAAAGAATTATTAAGAGATTCAACAAGTTTAACATTACCAGGAATAAATAGATATGGTCATATAAAATCAACAGTAACAGGATTTGATGGAGATATTTTAAAAAATGGTGGACAAAATATTGATTATATTTTTACCCCCAAATATTGTAAAAAATTAGATAATAAATTTATTAAACAAAACCTAAAACAAAATTGTCAATATCAAAAATTCGGAACAAAAAATAATAAATTTCAAGATAATTTTGATTTAATCTTGAAGCAGTTTGGTATGTTACATTCAAAATTTGATGGGAAATATATGAGTGATCATAGACCTATTGTTGCTGATTTTAAAATTTATCCAAAATGTATTGATATTAGTGAAAAATGAGAAATAAATAAAATAAAGATGCTGATATAAATATTTAAAATTCATCAAGTGCAGCAAGGAAGAACAAGTTAAGAAAGGTTATCATTATAGAGACATACTTTAATTCAACAACAACAAAAGATTCCTTTAACTCTAGTATGAGGTTTATCTTATTGATCCTTCGATGTTACTAGACCAAACTATTAGTCATTGAAGCTCTAAATGTTCAATCAAGACGCGTAAATTTGTACCATGTTGTTACATGCCAAAATAACTAATGATTGTCGTTTTCTAAAGTTTCAACTTTTAAGTCTAATGACCATGAGTATTATTGCTTATGGATAAAAATAGCATCAATTGACTCAAAACAATTGATTTTCAAATTTTCCCCTGCGCCATGTTTTTTAGTTCGTAATGGAACTAAAAAAAAGTATGGGGAACTATGGGATCGATACAGAGATTATGGTAGTAGCTAACTACATTTCAAAGCAAAGTACAAAACTGAATGGCTCTCCTATGTAGTCTTAGTTGATAAATTACCCCCGTGTCTTATCTCAATCTATTGTTCTGTTTTTGTTGGACCTAATAGTAAGTAAATCATTCGTATTGTATTCTTTTTATCACAGTACATTGTGATATAGATTACGTAATTGATTATATAATACAAATATTTTCTTGATCTTTAACATCATTTAACAACAAACATTCCATTAACAATATTATTGATTCATTTACTACTAAAGCTTAAATATAGGAAGCTTATATTGAAAGTTTTTATTAAATAGCATATATTCTATCATATAAAGTTACTCAGACTTAACTATAAACCAAAATATACAAATGTTCAATTTTAAAACTTGTTAATTTTTGAATCATTCAGGTTAAATAAAATTCCGGTCAAAGCGTTACATACCTGACTTTCATCATATAAATATAGAAATCTCCATCAAAAAAACATAAGGAATGTCAAGTCCAAATTCATCATCATTTATACATCCTTATCAATCTTCACATGCATTTAAGAAACTACCGAAACCTCCACCACCACCTCCACCAGATCAAGCACCAACTCCACCAATTCATAAACAACAACCTATAACTATAATGCACTCATCAGACAATAACTCATCATCGACTAGATCAACTTCACCAATATATATACATTCATCGCATAAACATCTAGACCCTTCAAATCAAAATGACAATCATCACCACCACCAACACCACAATAATCATCATATGGGAATACGATTATCAGTTTCACCAGCTTCAGTTAAATCTTCACCACAAACAGGCCATCAATTATTAAAATCAACATCTATGCGAGAATCAACCTCCAATAATTCAAACTTAAGTATAGAGGATATAAAATGTTATTATATAAAATTAATAAATTATGAATTTAGAAATTTACAATTAGATATAGATTTACAATCAAAATCATTATTTGATTTAATTGATTATTGTGAATTATTATATGAAAATTCAAATAATGATGGTATAGAAAATAATTTAAATAATTTAAAATCATATATAAAAGGATTTTTAATTTTTAATTATTTTATAAATGGATTTATAATGTTTCATTTTGAAGGATTTGATTCATTTATTGAATCAAATGAACAAGATTTTATTATATATTTAAATATTTTTGCATTTTATAATACTGATCAAATTTTTAATAATGGTAATTATACAATAAATTCAATTGATATAAGAACATATATAAAAAATTATTTATTTGATAAAAATTTATTAAGTTTTGATATTGATGAATTATATGATTGGTTGAATCAATATATAAATTACTTAAAAGAAAAAGATATGTCTTATGATAACCAAGATAATGAAGATGATAGTGATAATGAATTTAGTTTTGAAAACTATAATAAATCAGAAAATAGTGATGAATTGGATGAAATGTCAAACTTAAAAATTGACTACACTTCAAATTCACAAAGAAGTAAACCTCCACATTCAAGAAATTCATCAATTGGATCAATTGATGGGTTTAAAAATAGATATCCTTCATTAAATGTACCGAGAGATTTTTCAAAAGAAAATAATCACAGTATCTTGTCATCATCAACTTCAACAGAGCTTAAAAGGAAAGCACCACCACCAATACCTACGTCTTTACCACCTTCACTTACAAATAAATCATCCGCATCACCAAAAAACAATACTCATAGTTTATCTCCACCAAAAAATCATATACCAAAACTTAGTCCGACCCCTTATCCAGAAAAGGACATTGTAATAACCACAAAATTAAATTCGGACGGTCTTTATTTTACAACTCCATCTACAAATGGTAATCACAACAATAATGACCATCAAACTTCAACTTATAGAAGACAAACAGAACCGATTGTTGAATCAAACGTTTCACATCCTCATGATTTGAATGGACATTCATCAGAAAATCATTATAATCCATATCATCATCAACCTTTACCTCATCCTCATACTTATCAATATAGTCCCGCACCCAATTTTCCTCCACCACAACAACCTAATCATTACTATCAAAATAACGGTCAACCATTCATGTATCCCTCACAATATTCACAACATCCTCACAATCATCATCTCAGTCCACAAACTTACCCTCAATATCAAAATCAAAATAATCATCATCCAATAATTCCAAATCATGTAATGATACAACAAGAACAAATTAAATCCCAAAAATTTAATATGTTAAAAGATTTATCAGTATGTGGGTTAAGAAATTTTGGATCATCATGTTATATAAATTCAACAATACAATTATTATTTGGTATATATCAATTTAAATTAATTTTTAATAAGAATTATCAAAGATTTGTTAAAAATCCAAAATTTATTAAAATAATGCAAAATTCAAATTCTCATAAAAAGGATTCCATTTTGTTAAGTGAAGCAATTAATGGATTATTAAAAACAATGCAACAAAATGGTGGTGTACCTATATCACCAACAAAATTTATAAGAGTTACTTCACTACTTAAACCTGATTTTAATATACCTCATGAACAACAAGATTCTCAAGAATTTTTATTATTTATATTAGAAAGATTACATGAAGAATTAAATGATAATCATCAAATGGAATTTAATCCTGAATATTTAATTTCAAAATGGGCAATATTAATTGATATAGAAAATGAAAAAAGTTATAAAAATTGGTTAAAATCATTATATGAAAATGAAGGATCGTCACCAATACTGGATTTAATTCAAGGTCATTTACAAAATAAATTAAAATGTAATAAATGTCATTATGAAAGTATCTCATATTCCCCCTTTTCAATATTAAGTTTACCTATCCCCAAACAACAATTTCCTAATGAAATTATTGATTTAAGTTCTTGTTTAAGTTATTATATTCAAGATGAAATATTATCTGGTGATAATGCATGGAGATGTCCTAAATGTCATGGAGAAGTACCAAGTATTGATAATCATCCAGTATTTGAAAAGAAAAAAGGGTTATTTAAATTGAATAAATCAAAAAACAATCAAAAAAATTCTTCATCATCATCAGCACCAGCCAACAACCCATCAATAACATCAACAAAATCAATATCATTTGTAAAATTACCACAAATTTTATTTATTCATTTATCAAGATTTTCAATGTATAATTTAACAGATAAATTAAATACTGCAATAAGATACCCATTAAAATTAATTTTCAATAATTTTAAATTTAAACATGAAATAAAATATAAACTTTGTGGTATTATAAATCATTTTGGTAATTTAAAATCTGGTCATTATACAAGTATAATAAATAAATCAAATTTAAATGAAGATCAAAAAAATTTACTGAATTTAATTCATCCTTTTTGGTGTTTATTTGATGATGAAAATGTTAAACCTAATATTAATAATGGTTCTTTACGTGATGATAATTCCGATGGTGGACATTATGAAGAAATGATATCTAAAGACGTATATGTTTTATGTTATGAAAGAATTGATTAGAGAAAATTAGTTATAATTATATATAAAAGTTTGTATTCTTGTTTATGAATTAATAATGCATAGAGTTTTATTTACCTAGTTTTGACGATAGTACTTAGTGGACAAAGAACTTGAATATTTTTTTGTAAACATTCTCTATCCTTTAAATACAAATTTTTAAAGCCAGGAATATCGAAAGATGGCATTCTACTCATCCGATAAGGCCAAATAATTACGAAATTTTTGTAACTCCATTGCTCAACATGTAGATACAAGTTGATGTAGTTTTTCAGGACAAATTAGAATTTAACGTAGGGTCAAAAAAAATAATTTTTAAATCTCTGACATGAAAATGTCCATATTTGGCCCTAGCTAAATATCATAGAATTGCCTTTGCCTCAATTTATATACTAATGAAGTCTATTTGATTCTAACCATTTCAGAAAGCTTTAAATTGAGATATTTAGTCACCATATATAAAGATTCGAACAGAAGTTCAATTAAAAAGTTTCGACCATCGCTACCAATCGAAAACAAGTACGCCACGCCAAATCTGAGATTTTGACGTGGCGTAGTGGTCATTTTTAGATCCAGATCTTGCAAAAGTAGTTAAACTCAAGTTCAAATCGTTTAATGAGTAAATATACATTGGTAAAAAAAAGGCTATAAAGATCGAGTTTGCATCTGGTTAATCAAATGTGTAACGTCTAGGGCACTAAAATTTGCAAAATTATGTGTCAAGAGATTGAAAATTGCTCTAATCCAATTATGAGATTATCCAAAAAGCAATGAGTGAGCATATTTCACACAGAATTTCAAATCAACTTCATATATATCTATGGTTCAACTATTTAATTGAACTTCCAACAAACCCCGGTCTTCCATTCAGTTTTTATACGTTTGTGTAGACACAACTTTCCATTGTGACCCGTAGATCACTAAAAGTTGTCCCCACATATGTTATGAAATGTGTTGAGATCAACAAGGTTTGAAGTTTTGACAATAACATACGTCACTTTCGTGGTATGACATAACCTCTCTGAGATTATTAAATCAAGTTTATTCACTCGAATTCATTCTTCTTTAACATTTTCTTATTCTTTTTAACAATCCCTGGTTTGTTTAAACTAATTTTAACAGGACCATCAACTTTGACACTACTTGTTTCTTCTTTCAATACTTCTTCTACATTTTGTTGCTCTTTCGATTTAGCTTCTTTTGCTTCTTTTTCTTTTCCTAATCGTATTTGTTCTTGTAATAATTTATCTTCCAAAGCTTGATCTTTTTCAATTTGATTATTATTATCTTTTTCTTTAATTTTTGCAAGATTTGAATTATCTATAAGTTGAATTTCAAGATTAAAACCTTGTTGATCATCATTTTGAAAATTTTCGTCATCAATATCATCCATTTCATCTTCTCCTCCTGTTTTAGTTACTTTCACTATTCCATTTGATCCCAAATATTTTACAAAACTGGTTAAACTTTTCCATCTTGTAACATTCATATGAATATGATCTTTTTGTATAATATATTTTTGATAAAATTTATTTGCATTAATCTTTTTATTACCATGATTTTGTTTTAACAATGATAAAAAATTTCTTTGAAATTCATTTGAATAATTTGTAATTATCTTTGAACTTGAATTATCATTAGTTATATTTGATATTCTACCTAAATGAGATTTTGAATTTAAATGCATTTTAAAACCATTTGAATCTCTACATTGTTTTGAACATAATTGACAATAAAATTTTAATTTTTGTAATCCACTCGCTTTTAATCTTTTTGATTCATATTTTGCTGTTCCTATCTCTGCTCTACCCATGACATATTTAATATGTGTTGATTGATGTTACTGTATTTAATGTAGTTGAACTTAATGAAGTATTAAAGAAATGTAAATTTATTTGTGTTTCAAATTGATGTTTTTTTTTCACAACCATTTAAATCTAATACAATGAATGATTTAAATGATTACTTCATCTACTACTAAAGTACTACCCATATCAAACCTTATACGACAGAAAAGATCAATTTCACTATTTACCAAGAATAATGTCATACCTAGAAACTCATATATAGCAAATAAAACTTATCCACAACTTATCTGGAACAATTACATTCCATCAAATTTTAAGATTTTTACAGTACTAGGAACTGGTGTAATTGGTTTTATAAAGCTAGATCCTAATATTTGGATTACTTTAGGACCTCCAATTGCTGTTAGTGGATATTATTTGAATAAGTATCTCAAACATAAGATTTATTTAAAAAATGTATCTAAGATACTACCTCATGCTTCTAATCAAAATATTGATGAATCAAATGTCATTATTGAAGATAACAATAATGAGAATGAATTAAATCCATTCAATTCCACGGAATGTGTCAAAATTTTACCCTATGATGAATCACAATTATACAATTTGAAATATGAAATAGATAATGAATATGATTCACTAAGGAAACAAATTGTGAATTTAGTAGAGAAAAGAATTATAGAATATATACTTTTAACTCAATCAAATGATGACTATTCAATTTTAAAAGATTTTATGACAAATGATAATCAATTTAATTTTAATACAAATGAAAATGAAATTGAAAGTTGGGTTACAAGTAAAATTAAATTATCAACTAGTTCACAAGAATCAGAATTAAAAAAATTTATTAAATTACTGATTCCATATTATGATTCAAAGAGTAATAAAAAGAAAAGAATTGGAACTGTGTCTATATATTTAATCAAATTAAATAATATAGATTGGAAAATGAGTATTGAAATATCGAAATTAAATTGGCTGAAATCAAAATCTATTTGGATAAATGGAATACCCAATAATGAAATTATGGAAAGTGATATATATATTAATCACACCCCTCTTGTAAATAATAACCAAACCTAGATGTAAATAAATTGTAATTATATATTACTATTTTAATAATCTATATCTAACGTTGTCTATTAAAAAAATTAGTATTAAAATTATGAAATTTTCCATATTCATAACAACCACTTGATTCACTAATTTCTCTGAGGTGAGGCATCCAAGATTCAATATCATGAATTCTTTTATTTGTAGCAGGATGAGTTGAAAACCATTCAACTAAACTTGAACCAGCACCACCAACACCACCTTGTTGTTTTGTCATTTTTTGTTCCATTATCCCCATTCTTTTCCAAAATTGTATAGCTTGATCTGGATTATAACAACTTGCAGCTAAAATTTCACAACCAATATGATCAGCTTCAGTTTCCATTTCTCTTGATGCTGGCATTGTAAATATACCATTAATTAATAAATCATTAAACCATGAAATACCAGTTAATGAATATAAAACAGTTGATAAAAACATATATATAGGTTGAGAACTTAATTGTTCACTTGAATGTTGAGCTAATTGATGAGATAATTCATGAGCTAATACTGTTGCTATTCCATCATCATTTTCACAAATTGGTAATATGGAACTAAATATAAATATTTTTCCATTTGGTAATATAAATGCATTTGGAGGTAATTTATCATTTTGTATAATATTTATTTCCCAATGTAAATTTTTTAAATGTTGTTGTTGCTTAGGGTTTTCTTTATCATTATCTATTGCTGTTTTTAATAATCTATTCATTATTGATGAAATTCTACCATATAATGGATTTGAATGTGGTAATATCATAGATCCATATTGTGCCATTATTTGTCTATATGAATAATCACCAATTTTAGTTTCTATCCAATATGGAATCCATATAAATCTACGTCTATGAGTATATGGAGCTTCATGTAAATTATAAATATAAAATACTAAAAGCCCACCACCAACATATAATGTTGTTCGACTTGTTAAAATTCTATAGTATAAGTCGTATAAATTTTGTTGGTTACTGGATCCATCAAATCTTCGATAAGATGCATATCTCTTTATTTGGATCTGAAATTGAGATTGATTAGATCTACAACGATAATAATTTGAAATTGACGGTTGTACAAATGATCTGCTAAAAATGGGTTTGTAAGTGGATTTGAGGGAGCTTTTAAACAACGGTAGTTGCCCTATTATTTTTGAATGAATCATGGTTGATTACGAAATGCTTTGCTGTGAGTTTAAGTCAGTGGATATTAGATGTTTCAAATATTATAGTAATGCAATTTGTGTAATGAAAATTAGATATCAATAGAATTTCCATGATGGTAAGTACGCTACCACTTAGAAAACGATTTTATGGAATGAATTTACCAAACATTGGGTCCATAAATACATGTTCAGATTGATAGGCAGGCTGTCCCTCATACAAAAGACATTGGAATTTTTGAAGTGGATATTCTGACAAAATTTTACAGCATAATAAATTGTTTTCAAAATTTAATTAAATTTAGTGGTTGTATGGGAGATTTGGTGCTTTGGAACAATTATCTAGGTGCAACAACTCAAATGACATTTTGCATTTTGCACCAATTTTATAAAATTTTTCGGATCTAATATTGAATACTTTGAATTTAAACCATCATCTCATATAAACAATTCTAAAAGTAATTTGTGTGGAAAATTTATTTAACTTTTATCATTTGTTTAGTGTTTTTGCTGTTTTGATCAATCTCGATTTAAATTTTGTATCAAGCTCAATGCATTTTAGTATTTAGGCTATTTCAACCCCTGAAAGATATAATCAAGATCGAACCCTCATATAAATTACATTCAAAATCACTCAATTAACAAGAAACTTGGTTTTCTTCAAATCATTACTTTGTTATATAAAATTTGGGTATGTAGGATACATTCAGCCCACCGGCGACCCTGCTATATAGAAAATGAGAAGTGTAAAGATAAAAAATACAAACACTTTTAAATTCAATAAATGGTGATTGCATTGAACAAAGTAGTTTAGGCTGGAATATGAGACGCTATGAAGAAACTTTACTTAACAGTTTAAGATATAATTGAGGTTCAAACCATTAGCAGCTGTTGTATAATAGCTATTATATGTACAATTAGTGAACAATAAAATGATCGTTGTATTATTATCAAACTATTTACTTTTTAATGGATTATAAGCTCTTTATATACTGTTGTTTAGCAATAATGTCGTAATTATGAGACATAATTACGGATAAATTAGCTGCTATACCACAGTTGCTACTCAATAGAGCCAACAACTTTTGAACATGCGGTTGATCGAAGACAAAATTGTTAGAATTAAAATTTTCTACGACGGTATAAACGTTTTGATCAGTCCACTTTTTAAAAGACATCCCATGTAATTTATATATTGTAGTGGGTTGTACAAAAGTATTGTAGATCAATAGAGAAATTTGTTCATACGCCTTTGAGCAAGCATAATTAATCCTTATTTGAAGATTTAATTGTAGGAAATCAGATTAGGTTTTCAAAAATTGATAGATTTACGATTTTAATTCTCGTACTATTGTTCTTCGAATAATTTAACGGCATTTGATGCGAATTATTTTTCTGTGCCTATATGTTTATCTCATAAATACCGAACAATAGAAAAAGAAAAAGAACGAAAACTTTTTAATTAACAATTGCCGTAAATCTCGAAAAGAAGAAATTAGTAAAATCATAATCATACAAATACGACTGTTCTTTTTGCTTTTAAAAACGTCTTTCCATTTTAAATAATTACAGAGTCTTTGGTTTTGGTTTTAGATTGATAATTCATGTCACAAATCTCTTGCAATCTAAACTTTTCGTACACAAAATCTGGGATCTGGGATCATAGATCGAAGAAAAAAAAGAAAAAGATAAACGGATTTATAAATCAAATATTCAGTAAGTGTTGCAATATCCGAGAATTCAGTTTGTGTAATTACAGAAAATGACGCTAAAAGGTGCTAAAAGTTTTAGTAAAATGTTGCAATAAAAATTTAGGACTAAAGATGAAAGATAGCCAAACAGATGAAAGTATCGGTATATAATCGGAGAAGGTGATATCGGTAGATGGTCGGAGATGCATATGATAAAGTGAGAATTTATATTAGAGTGTGATAGAAAAAGAGGTGTCTGGAACGGTATAAATAGAGCTGGAAAATCCTTTGATTATGTGTGTAAATTTTAGAAATTAATTAAGTCTCAATACATATTTTACTTTAAGTCACAAAAAATTAATTCAGTAAGTAGATCTTTTAATTCGAATTTTAGTAAAACGCATAAAGTATTAAATCAGCTTTTTGATTTTTTCGATTTAAGATTTGTAAATTTTGGAAAGATTAAGTTTAAAAAAGTGTAAGATCTTTGAAAAACTCTAAATTAACTTGTACAAAATTTTAATCAAAATAAAGGGTTTAAGTTACTCTCTCCTAAGAAAATCTCCAGAAATAAAGCCAAGAAGAATCTCCAACCTAATCTTACCCAATTCCGTACCTTAATTAAGTGGAGAGGTTGCTGTAAATTGTTACAGTAGATCAAATCACTAAAATTAAAACTACAACCACCATTCAACTTAATTTTTGTAGCTAAAGACAACCACACCTTATTACAATAAATGTTGAACGGCATAATTTCGATTAAAATATTTCTTAGTTGTTGAAATTTATTATAATCGAGATTAAATTTGAAAATTAGTTTATTTTTGATGTGGATCAACAAAAAATCTGCATTAATTCAAGAATCTCTTTTGAAAAATTAAAATTAAGTACTCTTGTTTGGAATACCCACATCTTGGATTTATTTTGATTCTTTAAAGATATTGATACAAAGGTCAAATTTAAACTAATAAGTTGAAAAACTTATTGTTTCTAAAAATACATTTATAATATTTATTTTTGTTTGAGATTATAATGATTATGTAAGTACTCTTAAATATGTTATGTAAGTATTATGTAATTACCACCAAAAAGTTACGTAATTTTAGGTGGTAAATTGTATTTCCTTATCTAAGCGTCTCTGCAATTGATTACATAATCAATAGACTAAAAAATTTACGAACTTTTTTATAATTATAAGAGAAAGAAATTAAGAAAAGACACTAATTTTCATATAAATTATCTACTTTTTATCCTCTTTTTCTTTTATTGAAATTTAATACAAAAAACAGTTATTTAATTGAATTCATTACGCGTCATTGACTCAATTCGACAACTCAATTATTCGGTAAAACCAATTTATTCAATTCTGGAGTTTCAAATTCAGAACTTACATGTTAAAGAAGTAAATTGTTCCATTAGTTCCAGACCTTTTTTTCACAATTTATTTTTTTCTGTCAATCTATAAAAAAATTTAGCAACACAACAAGAAGTTTCAATTTACCAATATATTATACATTTTTCATAACAAACAGTGAATTATACTGAAATACGAAGATCATATCATTCATTTTTAATAGGTAATTGTTATAGTAAATTATTTCATTTTGGTTGTAAAAAATTGGAAGTTGAATCAAAATTTTATTTAACATCAAATCAGATCAAATAATTTTTTTTCTTCTGTCTTTTTGCAAAGTCTACTTGTTTTTACAACCAACTAATACTTCATAACACCTTAGATATAATACATAAGAACGCGTTTGAAAGGGCATTTAGACTTCATCACTAGCAAAATATCAGATTAGTATGGAGATATATAAAATAACTTCACCAAAAGAATGGAAATATTTTGCAAAAGGAGCAGCAAATATATTATTTAAATATACTGGTTCAAATGATTATTTAAGACATAAATTATTAAGATTAAGATTAAATAAAAGAGATGAAGAATATATAAGCACTTGTGAATTATATGATTTTATTGAATTAAAATGTAAAAAATTATTTCCAAATTTAATAATTGATATTCAATTGATAGTTTTAACATTTGAATTTATATCAGAATTAAATAAATTAAATAATTTAAATAATGAATTTGAATTAAATTTAAATGAAAGATATGGTTTATTATTACCAAATATTTTAGATGGTGATTATATAAAATTATCATCACTGAAACATTGTCAATTATATTTTAATAATCTGTTAACATCACAAGAGCAATTTAATATTAATAATAATAATAACTCCTCAATACGACTAAATAATCAAGAAAATGGTAAAATTATAAATTATACTCCAGACCTACTACTAAATCCATCAATACAACAAAATAAAATAAATTCAATAATATTTGAAATAAAACCAAAATGGTTATATGATAATAAATCTCAAAATTATTGTAGAACATGTTCATTAAATCAATTAAATAACTACAAGAGACATTTTTGTCCATTAGACTTGCTATATGAAGAAACTTATGATACAGTAATTGAAGATATATTTTCAAAAATACCCCCAGAGTTATTAAATTTAATTGAACAAACAAATGATTTCCCCATAAAGTTATTATTTAAAATTTTTTTACAAAATGAAAGTAAAAACATATTTTTAAAATTAAAAAAATATCAAAAAATAAATAATAAAAATGATTTAATTGAAAATTTATCAAATTCAAATGATGTTTCAAAAAATTTATCATTAGTAATGACATTAAGAGATGTTGGAATATTTATAAAATTTGAAAAATTTAATAAATTTAATAATATTCATAATTCTCATAATAATATTGATAATACAATAAATTTAAAAGATTTTGAGGATTGTGTGCCTACTACTACCACTAACAATAGTATTAATAATAATACAGCAAACAATGGAATTGAAGATGATGAAATTATAAAAGATAAGTATCTTATAACTTGTAATATTTATGATTTAGATTTAAAATCAAAAAATAAATATAAATATTGGATTAAAATTGAAAATGATTTAAAAAAAATATATAATCTGGAAAATAAAAATTGGAAATATTGTATTAAACATTAAGAGAAGTTAAATTATACTGATTAAGATCAATGTAGTTATAAAAATCATGATTGTTGAAATTCGGGAAAGATTCATTGAGCTTTTGAGACTAATTATTATGATGAGGAAAAATCAAGAGAAGTGCTAGGTATGGGATATCAAGGGTCTTAGGTCATAAAATATACAATTTAATTGTCAGTAGATTGATTATTGATTGCTTATTGTTTAAGATCTATTTACATTCATTGAAATTTACGTCAATATCAAGAAAATTTAGTATAAAACATGATATTAGTACACACTATTTTTATCCACAATTATGAGAATTTTGAAATTTGGACCTTACCGATGATTATTTTCAAAGATTAGGAAAAGTGGCACGGATGACTTAGTTATGGAATACCTTGGCCACAATACATTCAAACTAACTGACGGTTGATTAATTATAGAGCGCTTTCATAGGTCACGCTGTACAAACAAATTGAACTACAGTTATTTAATTGCTTATAGTTTTGAATTCTAATTTTCATTCATTAAATTTATTCCATCAAATATTATTAAAATAGCATCTATATTCATTAATCTAAATTTATTTATTAAATAGACATTGTATTAATTCTGTTGTAAATCAATTCCAAAATTACTTTCTAAATTAGTTTGAACTAATCTCATAATATTAGAATCAAAATTAATTTCATCATCATTTCCATCATTATCTTCAACATTAACTCCATCCACATCAACATTCTCATCAATTCCATCTTCACCAATTTCTTCTGGTTTTAAAATTTTTAATTTATTTGTATTATAACTTTTACAATATTTACATTTTAAACCTAATACATGATAACAAACATTTGATTTTCCTTTACAATCATTACAACTTATAATACATTTCCAATTATTATATGGTGGTGGTAATGGCAGTAATGAAATTTCTTGATCAATAATTCTAAATTGATTTTCAACATTTATAATAGTTTTTTTACAAATTGGACATTTATATGAATGATTAATTAATTCCAAAAAACATTGGTTATGTATAGAATGACCACATTTCATTACAATAACTTTTTCTTTTGATGTAAATAAATATTCATTACATATTGTACAATTACAATGAGTTGTATTTGTAATACATTTATGTTTATTTTTTAAATCTATTGATAAACATATATTACATTCATCACAATGAAAATAATCCCTGTCTAAACCCAAACCTAATCTACATATTCCACATTTATTACAATGATAAATATCTTTTGTTTGATCATTATCATATAATATACATTTTTTACAAAAATAATTTGATAATTCTGCTTCACATTTTGAATTCATACAATAATTTGAATCAACAATTTGTGGTACATTGCAAAACATACATAATATGTTTTTTACTTTATTTCTAATTAATTTATGATCTTTTATTTCTAAATCATGACATTGTGGACATGTATACCATTTTTTACAAACGGGACATTCTAATTTACAATTTCTTTGATAATGTGAACATCCAAGGATATTTTGTTTCTTGTCGAAATAAGTTGGAATTTGATCTTTTTCTGATATTATAACTTCTTCATCATTAATGATCATAGATTTTTGTTTTGGTTTAGGTAGTTGTTGTTGATTTTGCTTCTGTTGTTGTTGTTCATCCAAAATTGAATTTAATCTTTTATTTTCTTTTTGTAATTGATTATCAATAAATTTATAATAATTATTCATCATTAATTTAGTTTGTAATTTATTTTTTAATTTTTCATCAATTTTTAAATTTTGAATTTGTTTGAGTTTTATTCTTAGTGTTCTTTCATTTGAAAATTCTTCTGGTTTTAATTGAATTAAATCTAATAAAGTTTGATCAATTTTTAAATCATCTAAATTCTCTTCTATTTCTATGTCTTGTGTTGTATCATTATCATTATCATTATCATTATCATTTCTTGAAATTTGTTTTAGTAAATTTGAAGTAAAATTCTTAATAATTTCATTTATCCCAATAGATTCAATAAATTTTTTAAAATCAGGTTCAATCAAAGTTTCAATACTTTCATCATCTTCATCATCATCATTATCATTTTCTCCTCCTTTTACCTCCTCTTCATCTTCATAATAATCTTCAAAATCACTTAAATCTTCAACAGGTAATGATACAGCTCTATGAACAACTTCAGTTAAATCATTTGAAAATTGTTTTAATTGAATTTTAGTTTCTAAAATTGATTTTAAAGAATCTAATATATTTAAATGAATCATTCCATCTTCATCTTCATCTTCACTATTCAAATAATAATTTTTATAAATTAATTTATATTTATCTATTTGTTTTGTTATTTCATTTATTATTGATATATTTGATAAATTTGATATACTAGGAAAATTTGGTAGATTAGATAAGTTTGGTAGATTAGATAAGTTTGATAAGTTTGGTAAATTTGGTAAATTAGATAAATTTGATAAATTTGATAAATTTGTTAAATTAAAATTAAAATTTATCTTTTCTAAAAAATTTAGTCGACCAACTTGATCTAAATCTATTGTAAATTCATCATCATCTAATTCTATTTCATCATCTATTATCTTTATAGTTGAATCTAATGGATTATGTAGACTTGTTGTATTTGTCATTATTTATTAAGTTGTATATTGAACTATTCTACTCTATTTAAAAATAGAAAATTTGTAAGAAATTACTTATCAGAGAAATTTTGATAAAAATTCAGGAAATCCCCTCAAATTCAAAAACCTTTAGAAAACAGGATTGTATAGATTTAAAACAAGGACACTCCACGAAAACACATATAGATTATAAATTACCTATGATAGCATCATCAAACTTACTAACTTAACAGAACTCTTGACAAGCAAGACTACCAATAAAACTAATACCAGATCCAGCAACAATACTAGCCTTATCTAACTTTGATTTCATAAGTTTTTTGTTAGAATCTTCAACATCTTCATTTGACAAATTGATCTCCTTCTCATGATTTATGTTTAACTTACTTGCAATCAATTCTTTTGGATTATTTATATTACCTAAAACACCAATTACAATTCCAGTAAATGTCATTCCAACACCTGTAGTACAAACAAATATGTTTTTTCTTTTAATTAATGTTGGGGTTTTATCTTTAAATTCAACTGTTGTTGATAATGCACAAGTTATAGTTAATAAAAATAATAAAAAAATGTGTTTCATTGTAGCTTTAGTAAATTAGGTAAGTCTATGAATTTTGAATTTGAACTATGGGTAACCTTGACTTTTAATAAATTTTGAAGTTGATAATGATGAAAAACTATTATTAAAGATTGAAAGGAATTTTGAATAGGATAATCGAATGGTTTTAAAGATACTTTTTTTCCAATTATCAAAACAATGTAAGTTATCTTTTTATTGTTTTTGGTTCTTATTGTTCATTTAGCCTAAGATATCAAATTGTATTAAGTGCCGTAAAATAATGTGGCTTATTTATTCTAGTTTTATCAAGTACTTAAATATTCTTATCAAATTTGATTGTTTGTTTTTTCTCGAAAGGCATTTAGTAATTTACCGAACTTGCAATAATTAATGATTTTACAAATAAGCGTATTGAAGTTATTTAATTATTGAAGAAATATTCGTCCAGAGTTGAATTAAAATCTTATTGTTGTTTAAGGTTTGAAATGAGTTCTTCGGTGTTGAATAATAGTAATAACACAAACTCGGATTTAATTCAATTTTAATTGTGAGATCTAGAAACTGCATCAAGTACAAATGGAATTGGCACTACGGTCAAAAGAGCGTGGCTTTATTTGGAGACAAATACACGAGTGTATCAGAGAAAGAAGAAGGATCGGGATTGTATATTTTCATTTTACGAAACCTTCGATCAATTTTGTGTCATGATGTCAAACTCGTATTACTTCGTATATTTTAAAAGGTTGCAAAAATAATAATTTGACTCAAAAACCTGATTAGGTATAACCTCATTCATTTACAAATTGTTTAACCTTGAATTATGTGTGTGTAATTAAATCTAACTCGACTAGTCTATAGACTCTATGGAAAATCAGTGTTAGTGTTATTTATTTTAGATTATGAAGAGTTCATATTTCACTGAATGAATGCTTATCCACATACCTCAATAATTTAAAACTTTAGAATTGCGAAACCATATAAACAAATCGCAAGGAAATGAATCTAAAACAAAAATTTCGTTCATTTGTTGTAAATTCAAAAGCATTTATTTGAAGTAAAATCTGCAGATGAAATCGCGCCGATTAAACCTAAACAACTTTGATAGAACATTTCATCGAATTTTAACGTGAGCATTGAAAACAAGAAGTTTACATCAAGGTAAATGAAAGAATTAGCTTTAAAAAATTTTACTAATTCAAAACTATAAACTTGGAGATGTTTACCTCAGAATTAAAGCTGAAAAATCATTTCATTGTATACCAAACATAACATGAAGTCTTAAAGTATGCAACTCGAAAAAAACAAAAGAGAAAATCAGGAATGAGATTTGCAGGTAATGGTGCTGCAGTTTCTGAAATGTTTCGTTAATTATTCAAAATGTTCGATCTTTTACTGAAAATCTGTTAAGAATACTAGACATTTGATTTATCTTTTAAATATTATTTTGTTTTAGTCTGCAACAAATGAATTTAATATACAATTTTACTTACCAAGTTTTGCAGACTTCCCCTATCAATTAATGCTGAAATTCTCTCTCTATTCGTGTTTGCATTCTGATTCAAAAGCAAAGCATGTTTCTCTAGCAAAGCATAATCTCTTGGAGATCACTAATAAATACGATTTAATCTCATCTTAAGCTTGATGACGAATAATTTTGAAAATGAATTTGTCTGCTAAGTTTTCATTAAAGATATTGACAATCAATTTATGCAATAAACAGACTACTCAACCTTGAGTTACTTGCTTCCAAGTCAACTACTGTGATACGTTTCTGCTTTAAAGCCAGCGATATTGTCACAATCAGACTCGTTTAGAATTTACGTCTCCTTGAGTCACTTTCAAAACTGGATTTTAATGTCGTGTCATATTTTTAAATTAAATGTCCTGCAAATTCCACATACTAATACATTAAGGATCATTCAATAAAGTACATCCAACGTAAATTATCACTCCTGAGGAAAAATGATCACTCAATGTTTCAAATGTAGCTCCTTCAATTCCAGGCTTTAGATCATTTTCGTACTACACGTAAAACTAAGAAAATACCTTTTATGGTGATATACTATCACGATCTTGCTTTTTGTGTTCTCTTCAATTAATTTACCCCAAAAATAGTTATGATACTTTTTTCTATTAATATTTTTTTTTTTGAAACAATTTATGTTGTAAAAACTATTCAATTCAAATGTATAATTAAGAAAAACAAATGGCGTCTAATAGGTCAGATGTTGAACAAACACCATCCACGGAGTCATTCTTACAGGACCCAAGACTACTACAACATTTCAATATCACTTCCGCTCCTTTATCACCAACTAATTTGAATGAACTAATTGATCAATCTCAACAAGATAATACAACATCACCGGTTGTAATAGAAGGTAAAGGATGGTTAGACAACTACTCAGTCCCATATAGTCTAATAAGCTATAAATTATCTAATGAAAAATCGACTAAAATAGATTTCAATGAAAATGAACGAGATTTACAATATGTTTTCACACCACAATTAAATTTAGCAGAAATTGAACATTCAGCATTTGGAAGAAAAGATTCTACAGTATCTTCAGAAACTAATCAACAAGAAGAAGAAGAAAATAATCAAGCAATAACTCCAGAAATTCAAATTGCAAAAGAAAAATTATTACAAAAATCAGATGAAAAAATTGATGCTTATTCTGGTTATATTACAACTCCAAAAATATCTTTCAATGTTCCAAATCTGATTAGAAATGATAAAAGAAAGTTAAAAAAATTATCAGATGTTCCAAAAGTATGTTTTCAAAATTTATTTGCAATTGATGATGTAAGTTATATGTTTGGAGGATTATATGTTACAAAATTTTCAAATTTTAATCATTTAGGTTTAAATTCTGATATTGATTTAAAAAAAATTGCTATATATTTCCCATATGATGTTCCTCCTTTTTTAGATCTGAAAATGTTAACTAGTCCTTTTTTACAACCACATCCTCATTTTGTAAGATATAATGCTATGAGAGGTACTTGTACATATATGGATACAACTAATCTTGGAGATTTTCCTGGTCATTTACTATCAATGACATCAACACAAATTTCACCAAAACAATTTTTTTTTTATGGTGGTTTTCATATTAAAGATTTATCTATAAAATATCATGCAGATATAGATAAATGGATCATTAAAAAGAAATTAATTATGAATGAAGATGGATATATTTTAGATACAATCACTTTAAAATTCACTAAAGTATTTCTTGAAAGAAATAAAAATACAATAAATGTTGGAAGAATAGGTACTGGTATTTGTTCAAATATTTATGATTTACAAAATGCTGAAAAAGATAGAATATTGGAACATGGAGTAGCACTGCCACCACATTCAGATATGAGAGATCGTGCAAATAGTTCACCTGTGACTAGGAATACAACTAATACTACAAAAAGACCAACAGGTCGGGATTCACCAATCTTAAATAGAGATGACGATCTATATTCTCAGCAGACACCACAATCTCAACAAACACCACAATATCCGCAACCGCAACATACTCCACAAAACACTCAACAACCTCAACAACCTCAACCCCAGCAACCAATACCTTCAAAAAATGAAGAAAAAGAAATAAAACCAAAACTCCACAAAATCGTCACAACTCAATCTACAGGGTCATTAACTGAATCAAAAAACTCGTCATCATCAAGTTCTTCCAAAATGGATAAGTTTAAAAATAAATTTCATAGAAATAATTTGAAAAACACATATTCTCAAAAAGTTCGAGAAAAAAGATCAAATTCAACAAATAATAGTTCTAACGCAAGTAGTAGAGCAGTTTCTCCAATTTTAAATCCAACTCAAACTCCTCAACAATCAAATCATTCAAATAATACAAGTAGTTTGAATTCAGCTGCCGCTAGCTCAACCATAAACTCCCAAAAAGAGACTAATGTCCCTACTACTCCTTCACAACAACAACAACCACAAACACAGCACCCGCAACCAAATTCGACAAATACTTCATCATCATCAACTAACGTTCCACAATCAACTACACCAACATTAACTACCCAATCACCAATTACATCACCAACTTTCTCAACAAGACCAATAACTCCTTTATTATATAATCAGAATAAATTTAAATATGATCAAAGTGGAAGATCTTCACCAAATAAAGATGTTATTGAATTTGTTCGAACACATCATCAAGATAATGAATATAAAAATCAATCACCTTATGGAAATTTTGATGAACAATCTCAAGAAGAATTTGTTGGAAATAATAATAACTCAAGATCCAAATCTCCTCCAAATCCTTTATTTAATGATTCAAATTCATTATCAGGAGTTTGTATATTTGTATTTGGTGGTTTTATATTAGAAGAAAACCCAGATAATGAAGGTATATATCATTTTAAATCAAATAATGATATGTTAAAAATTGATCTATCAACAAAAGAAGAACATAATATCCTTAATATTATATCTTTTTCAAATAATGCAATAGTTACAAAAATTGGATCTGATCCAAATACTTGTGATATAGTACTAAATCAAGATGAAAATTGGCCAAGTCCAAGAGGATTTTTTGCAAGTATTATGATTGATAATACTAGAGGAATAGATGAAAGATGTATACTTGATGTAAGTAGATATGATGATCAATTTCTACAACAACAAGCTCAACAACAAGCTCAACAACAACAACAAGCTCAAACACCACAAAGAAGTTCATCACCTGCTTTAAGTATAAGTGGAAGTTCAGCATCATTTCAAGTTGGTAGTGCACCAAGTGAAATCTTACAAGATGATGAACCATTACAAATTCAACAATTTTTCAAAAAGAAAACATTTATTGTACAAGGAGGATGTAATGAAAATAATGAATTTTTTAGTGATTTTTTCAAATTTGATTTTAATAAATGTAAATGGGAAAAAATTATAACTTATGCATATGATTATTATAATAAACCCCTTTTAGAAAATGGTGATGAAGATTTAGAATATTTAACAATGGATAATATTGTATCTAATCCCACGTTAAAAGAAGCAGAATTAAGATGTTGTCATCATACATGTTTATATTATCAAAATGAAGAAAGAGATTATTTATTTTTTTTAGGTGGTATAAAACCAGATCAATTAAGATATTTTGATTCCAAACCTTATAAAAGTAATAAATTTGATATAACAAGATTTTCAAAATTACCATTAATTACAAATAATACAAATATAATGAGAATTGCAGTATTAAATATTCAAACTCAAACTTGGAGATTTATGAGATATTATTATGATATAAATCATTCAATGAGTCAATCTTATGTTAATAGAATGTTACAAAATCCTGTATTTATGAATTCAAGAATTTCTCATATTAATGGTACAACAAATTTAACTGGTAAAACTCTTACATTAAGTCAAGGTTTAGTTATTATTTCACCTTGTAAAAAAGATGATATGGAAAAATTAAAAAAAGAAATTCCTGTTGATGAAATGTTTTGGGGTGGTCAAGTTCAAGTTACATTTGCTGGTTTATAAAAAAAATGTTATGTAGGCTATAATTATTTTTGAAAAAATGTATATATGTAAATATATATATTGATGATTTCACAATCTTAAGCTTTAATGATACGCCATAATTCAGCATATCAACATTCTAATCAATAATGTCAAACTTTGAATTCAGGCATATCAACGATCTAATCAATAATGTCAAGCTCTAAATTCAAAAAAGCTCACGAATAAATTGAGTGAAAGTAGATTCCATAATACGATATTGAATGAGATCATAGAAAAGCAGGTTGCCTTTATTTTTATATTGATTGAGAGCTAAGAAATTTTAAAGCTTTAATAAATATTTATTAGTTAAAATGGGTATAAATTCATACACCTTGTATCCCTGAAATAAGTCAAGAAGTGAGTTCTTAATCAACTCGACTAATCTAGAAACAATTTATCAAATGGATTTACAAATTTTTCTTCTTTTATGTTTAATAGATTTTTTTTTAACTCCATCAACAATTTTGAAAATTACTCTTGAACTATAATTTGTTAAAATTGCATTAAATTTAGCAGCAGTAGGAAGATTCATACATAATTCCATTAATTGAATAGCACCTTCTGGTTTATCTTTTGCAGTTACTTTTTTCAATGTTAAATTATGCAAATGAACACAATTATCTAATTTCAAACAATTTAAATCTTCAAGTTTATTGTTCGATAAATTTAAACTTATCAAACTTGATGGGAAGTTTTGATTTTCTAACATTGAAAAAGTAAATTTATTATTTTGTAAATCTAAAATCTTTAATTTATCTAAATTGGAAAAATTACCATGTATTGCTTGTATTTTTGAGTTCTTGATAACCAATTCAATCAATTGATTGCAAAATTCATTGATATTCAAAAAGCATATATCTAAATTTATCATATTTATTTTGGTCAAATTTTTACAATTAAATAACACTTCACACGAAAACATGTAATCATCTTGATCTGGTGGCGTTGGACTTTTTAAAATTAGATTTTGCAATTGGGGTGTGTTGAAACACACTTTTTCCATATGAGCTGTTTCCATGTGAGATAAACTTATAAGTGGATCAAAAGGGTACTCGGCATCATCAAAATCTGGACAAATGTTATCAGATATTTCCAATTCTTCCAACAATTTCAACTGATTTAAATTTGTAAAAAAAGGATCGAAACATATTTTATTGTTCGTGAACTTTATCTGCTTCAGCTCAGGAAATGATACTTCATAGTCTGAATACACAACTCTACAATTCTCAATAATGATTTCCAGCATCCTCCTTGGTAAATTATCTAGAACCAAACTTAAATTAAATTCACCAATACCTTTTAACTCTAAACAATTTAATGATTTTGAAATTTCAAAATCTTCTATTTCCAAAGTTTGCATAGTATCGAAAATTCTTAATTTTTCCAAATTTGGAGGGTAAGAATAAACAACAACCCGTAAGTCATCCTCAGATAGAATGAGACCTTCTTCTTCATTAAGCTCAGCTATTCTACTAGGTTTGAAATTGTTAATGAAATCCAAAATTTTCAATGAATCTGGAAACTCGTTATAAGCAATGTCATAAATTTCAGGACAATAAGATATATGTAGTAATTTTAGTTTGTTGTACTTTATTAAATTACCTAAACTTTTAAACTCACAAGAATCAAGTTTTAAATTTTTGATTGATTGTGAAAGTTTAAGATTTTCCAATGAACTCATTTGGAGAAGATCTTTGCATTCAAAAGACTCAAGATATTGCAAATTGCTTAAATCTAATTCAAAATTTTGACCCCCATTTATTGTTATTTGCTTTAAAGATGTTGGGAATTGAACTTTAAACATATTTAAATGAGATGTAGTCAATGATTGTAAATTATTACTTCCAACATAATTTAAAAATGATTGAATTTCATTCTTTTTAGATAATCCAACAAAAGATTCTAAGTATGAATCTAATTGTATGCCTGTTATATAAACTTTATTTAGAATTGATACAAAATCACTAAATCTGGTATTCGGTAAGATCTTTACTTCATAATTTGCTAGTCTAAATGCAGGTTCAACTATTAATTCATTGATTTGATTTAAATCTCCTATTATAATTGAAGGGATAAATTCGTATTTTTGAAAAAGCGATAATAACTTTTCAATTGACTTGTTGTTATTGTTTATTTCAAATGTTGAATATTTTCGCTCTAGAGCAATATGTTGTAAACCTGGAATGAGTATTAAACTTTCAATAATAGACCTTTCTTCAATTAGCCTGAAGATTAACGATAGTATTTCCTTGGGTAGTTTGAGGAATACCTGCATCAGTGATGTGATTCAGACGTTAAGCTAATGAATTGTTGAATTAATGAGTGGATGATTAGTTTTGGTTGCCACTTTTTAAAAATTCGAAATTAATTAGACGTGATTTTACCCGGCTACCATCTGGCGTTTCAAATTCGTTTCGTCTAAAACGTCTTATATTACTTCGTCCTTACAAGGCTATGAGCAATGCTAGTTTTGAAATATTTAGTTCGATTGACTCTGAAAACTTAAATAGACCGTCCCTTTTTTTTCGACTCAAAGCTTTGTCTAGAACCCATCTGTAGATTAAAATTTGAACTACTTTTGAGGATCAAAAACTAATTGTTTGGATGATATTGAATACTCTATTCAATTTCAGGGTATATTTAGAGAACACCAAAGCTTTTAATTGTCTAGCATTTTCTTATTGTTCAAATTTTTCACATACATTAACAAGTGGGGTGTAAATTTATCTCAAATGGGTGAATTGAAAAGATTTAATCATAAATCAAATCAAAAAATTAACTTTTACAGTAATATCCATTCCATATCTAAATATTCCTCAAAGTTTCGATCGTTATATAAGTCCAATCCGAAACAAGTACTTTTCCAATTCCACTTTAAATCCGTCTTGTTGCATTTGATTTAATTTTTGTACATGAGCAGTTTCAAATAAGTTTCCCAACAGCCTTAACAAGATATTTCCCTTGACAAGTAACCAAAAGTGCCTTTCAGTCTTGGACTCCATCAATGGCTTCGAGAAAGTTATTTTTGCTGTAGATGTATTTATGTCCTAGTCACTTAAGTTTCTCTAAAAGTAGCTCTGACATGATGGTATAATATGAGGACGGTAAAAAAATCCATCTAGTAGTAACTTTATACAAAAATCGATGCAAGCAACACTTCGAGATTTGGTGCTTAATGTCTGATCCACATTCTATCGTAGAAAATTTCATTGAACTGCTTCCTGGATGTTGAAATTCAACTTAATTTCCATGTCACAAAAATCTGTTTCTAGAATTTTTATGTGATTAATATTGAGTTAGTAGTGAATGAGGATACTTTGGTCAACACCAAAGTCTGAGACGTCAACGACTAATCATTAATGCCGACCTTTGATAATGCAATTCAAAAAAGCTAATGGATGGGTTGAGTAAAAATTAGTTTCATCAATCGATATAAAACGAGGTCAATGAAAAGCAAGATGCCTTTATTTTGTATATGTCTGAGATTTTCGATTTGTTACATCAAAAGGAAGCTGTTTTATGTTCAATTTTATGAAGTTACTTACTGAATATGAGATACCATGTCTTTAACCGGATTTATTAATGGAAGACGAAGAATGAATCGAAGACGAAGAATAAACGAAGACGAAGAAGAAATTGAAATGACAAACTTTGGAACAGTATTTGAATTTTTCAATGTTGGCCAGATACTGTTTGATGTCAAGGTATATATATTCAACGTTTTCGACGTTGAGTGATATGGGGACTGCCGTATCGCTGAATTGAATTAAGTGGAATACAAAACGAGCAATTTTAGTTGGATTATATTTATGAGTCTTGAATAAGATCTGTAAGCAAACGAAGAATAGTAAACTGACTGATGGAAGCAGCTTAGAGGTTTAATAAACTTGCTATAGAACATTGATTGAGAGTTGAAAAACTTTAAAGCTTTAATTAATATTTATTAGGTAAAATTTAATATGAATTCAAACACTTTCTATCCCTGAATTAAGTCAAGAGGTAAGTTCTTGATCAACTCGATTAATCTGAAAACAAGTTATCAAAATGCTTAACAATTTCTTCTTTTTTTATGTTTAGATGTTGATTTTTTTATGACTCCATCAACAATTCTGAAAATTACTTTTAAATCATAATTCGTTAAGATTGCACTAGCTTTTGGAGCATCACGGTTTAAAAATAACTCCTTTAATTGCATTGCACCTTCTGGTTCATCTTTTCCAGTTACTTTTTCCAAAATCAAATCTTTCAAATGTACACAATTTTCTAATTTTAAACAAGTTAAATCCTCAATTTCATTGTTTGATAAATTCATATAAACTAAACTTGATGGGAATTTTTGATGTTCTAGCGTTTTAAAAGTAATTTGATTCTTTTGTAAATCTAAAATTTTTAATTTATTGAATTTAGAAAACTTGCCGTGAATTGTTCGAACTTTTGATTTCTTGACTATCAATTCTTCCAATGAATTTGGAAATTCAGTGAGATCCAAACAGCTTATAAGTAAATTTATCATTCTAATTTTGGTCAAATTTTTACAATTAAATGACACTTGAGGCGAAAATTCACAATCACCATCACTATAATCAGATGACGCTTGAGACAAAGACTCCCAATCACTGTCATCTAGTGGATCTGGTAATTTTAGGATTAAATTTTGTAAGTGAGGTGTTTTGAAACATACTTTTTCTTTAGTATTTACTTCCGTAGCAGATAAAATTGTGAGCGGATCAATTGGATACTCGCAATAACCAATTCTACAATTGTTATCAGATATATCCAACAATTCCAACGATTTCAATTGATTCATATTTGTTTTGAAAGGATTAAAACATATTTGATTGTTTGAAAATTTGATTTGCTTCAGTTCAGGAAATAAAACTGGAATTTCTGAATTCACAATTCGACAATCTTCAATAATGATTTGAAACATGTTGTTTGGTAAATTACGGAAAACCCAAGTTAAATCAATTTCACCAATACTACAGAGTTCCAAACAATTGAGTGATTTTAATATCCCAGTAGCTCCCAATGCTAAAGTTTGCATGGTATCGCAAATTCTTAAAACTTCCAAGTTTGGAGGAAGACCATAAAATAGAATCAGTAAACCTTTATGAGAAAAAATCACATACTCGGGTTGCTTTTCTTCATACAACTCATATATTCTATCGGGTTGGAAGTTGTTAACGAAATCCAAAATTTTCAATGAACTAGGGAACTCAATAGTAGCAATATCATAAATCTCAGGACAGCAAAATATGTGAAGCAGTTTTAGTTTGTTGTATCTGATCATATTACCTAAACCTTTAAAGTCACAGTAAACAAGTCTTAAATGTTTGATAGACGTGGTAAGTTGCAAACTTTCTAACGTATTCGTCTGACGGAGATCTCGGCAACTAAAAGACTCAAGGTTTTGTAAGTCACTCAAATTCAATTCAAAAATTCCACCTCCGCTAATAGTCAATTGTTTTAATGAGTTTGGAATTTGAAATTTAAATTTATTCAAATGGGATATAGTTAAAGATAGTAAATCATTATTTCCAACATAATCAAGAAATGATCGAATTTCATTGTTTTCTAAAACTTTGACTAAAGGTTTCAAATATTGATCTAAATGAAGACCTACCACGGAAGCTTTTTCCAGAATTGAAACAAAATCACTGAATCTAGTACCCTGTGCAATCTCTACTTCATATTTGGCCAATTTAAACGCAGGTTGATCTATTAATTGATTGACTTGATTAACATTTCCAATTATTACTGAAGGTACAAACTTATACTCTTGAAAAAGCCCCAATAACGTTTCAATTGATTTGTTCTTTTTATTTATTTCAAATTTTGGATATATTTGGTTTAAAGCAATATGTTGTAAACCTGGAATAGTAATTAAGCTTTTAATTATAGACTCATCCTCAATGTGGCTAACGATTAATGACAATAACTCTTTAGGTAGTTTAAGGAAGATTTGCATCAATGAGGTGTTATGTTGTTGAATGGATGAATCGAAGTAATGAATTTGATGAATTGATGAACGGTTGAAATTGTGAACTGATGAATAATTTTAGTTGCCACTTTTTAAAAATTCAAAATTATCTGGACGTGTTTTGTTATGGCTACCATCTGACGTTTCAAATTTGTATCGTCTAAAATTTATATAACTTGGCAAGGGATGGTAGTTTATACAATGATTCAAATAATTTTTAAGATTGATTCTAGCCTTGATCAACCAAAATATTTGAAAGTATCCTCGTGGAAGTAGGCTATAGTTTAATTCAAATTTCATCTTCAAATTTAAAGCTCTTTGTGTTTGGATTACATCATAACGTCTTAATGGCTTTAACTTAAGAATATCAAATCTTCCAGCTGATTTCGAAAACTCTTTTTGATGGTTTAAAACATATTTCAACAAGTGTTACTTGCAATTCAAGCAGGTAAGTCCAAGTATTCAGAATATACTCAAGTGGTGTTTAAAGTCGTAGAGCTCATCTTTTCGGTAGGCAACAATATCTCAGAATTTCAATCTTTTCATAAGTTAATTCCAAAGAATTGTTAATCAATCAAAAAATGGTCCTCCATTTCAATTTCTTGGATTTGATTTTTTCGAAAATAATGAATGACTAGCTTCATCCCCAAGTACCTATTCGAAAATAATGAACGATTAGCATCATCCACAAGTGCCTTTAAAACATTGTTTGAATCCGAAGCTTTAAACAAGAAAATCCTTGCATGAGGATTTTTTAGTCTGTGGAGTGAAATTCTGCTTAACTTTCTAATTTGATAATTTTACTTGAACTCATTTGATTGGACACAACGAAAAATTCGATGAACGAAGTGCTCCAAATTAAGGACTAAACGACCATCTTAGTGTCTGGGGTATTACAACTCATTTCATATAGTCGAATTGACTAAGCGGCCTGAACTCTTTTGATATTCCAATCTATTGTTAGCATCACAAAATTCGATTTCTAGAATTTTTATGTGCAATATTTTGTTTATGTCGAATTAGGAAAGCTTTCTTGATCCACAAAAATTCAATAATTTTACTTTACTTAATCTGTATAAAAGAGCATTCAAGAATTCAGTATTTTAAAAATGGCTCAAAGGGATGATCGAAACATACCAATCAAACATGGAGAACGGGTCATTGAATAGTAGCATGCATTTGTAAAGGTTTGAGGTACTTACAATTTGTTCTGGAATTGGAATTTGGATAATGTTCACATAAAGAGTTTGGGTTGACTGTCTAAAATTAACGAGATACCAAATCACTTGAATCAAACTCATAATGAATTGAAATGACCTTTCGATGGAACAACAATATTAATTAAATTGCTCATTGCATGAATGTATCTTCAAAATAGGAAGGATTAATTCTAAGCTTCCTGAATTAGCTTTACATGTGAAGTTATCTAACTGTTACAACTAAACACTATTGAGAGGTTTGTTATATCATTTGATATTCATATATTTATCTTAATATCTTCGAGTTCATTTCTTACATCAACCAATCCATGCTAAGCATAGTTTAAATAGTTAATCACCAGATAAATCATCGTAGATTTTAATTTATTCATGTTTCATTCGAAATGATAACCACACTTTAGTAAGTTGGTATAATCTGCAAGTAATGAATACCAAGCTTACACTGTTTTTGATTTTTTAGCTATATAATCTTGATTGAGAGGTGAAAGGTCTTCAAAGTTTTGACAAATATTTATTAGAATAGATATGAACTCATATTTCTTCTTTGAGTTGAGTTTTTGATCAACCCAATTAATATAGGAATTACTAAAAAATTTTTCTTTTCTTATAAATTGATGTCAAAATGGATTCTTCTTCAACTCCATTAACAAATTTGAAAATCACTTTTGAATCGTAATTTGTTAAGATAGCATTAGCTTTAGCATCAGTACCGCGGTCCGAAAATAATTGCATCAATTGAAGAGCACCTTCTGGTTCATCTTTTGCAGTTACTTCTTTCAAAATCAAATTTTTCAAATTTACACAATTTTCTAAATTTAAACAACTTAAATCTTCAATTTTATTATTTGACAAATTTAAATAGATTAAACTTGACGGAAAAATCTGATGTTTCAACATTGAAAAAGTAATTTGATTATTTTGTAAATCTAAAATCTTTAATTCATTCAATGTGAAAAGATAGCCATGCATTGCTTCTAATTTCAAATCCTTGATAACCAATTCCTTCAATGAATTGGGAAATTCATTAAAATTCAAAAATTCCATATTTAAATTTATCATATTTATTTTGGTCAAATTTTTACAATCAAATAACACTTCAGACGAATAGTCATGGACACATTCATGTGCTGTCGTTCGAGTTTTTAAAATTAAACTTTGTAATTGGGGTGTTTTGAAACATACTTTTTCCATGAAAGATATTTCCATGTGAGTTAAAATATCTAGCGAATCAATTGGATGTTCGAAATCATGAATCTCTGGGTAAATGTTATCGGAAATGTCCAACTCTTTCAACAATTCCAATTGATTTAAATTTGACTCAAAAACTTCGAAACATTTATTTCGTGAAAACTTGATCTGCGTCAGCTCAGGAAATGAAACTGGTTTTTCAGAATATACAAATCGACAATCCTCAATAATGATTTCAAACATTTTCCGTGGAAGATTATCTAAAACTTGGTTTAAATAAACATCACCAATACCTTTTAGCTCTAAACAATTGAGTGAATTTGAAATATTAATGGCTCTTATTTCTATAGTTTGCATGGTATCGTTTATTCTTAATTTTTTCAATTTTGGTGGAAATGAAAAGTCACCATCGATACGGATTTGCACATCATCTATGTCATCTAACTCATCATCACTATCAGTTTGGAAATTGCTAACAAAATTTAAAATTATCAATGAGTTTGGAAACTTAGTATGAACAATATCAAAAATTTCAGGACAATAAGATATATGAAGTAGTTTTAATTTGTCATACTTGATTAAATTACCTAGACTGTTGAAATCACAATAATAAAGTCTTAAATTTTTGATAGATGTTGGAAGTTGGAAATTTTCTAATGAACTTATCTTTTGGAGATTTTTGCAATTAAAAGATTCAAGGTATTGTAAATCACTTAAATTTAAATCAAAATTTTGACCTCCATTTATGGTTACTTGTTTTAAAGATGTGGGAAACTGAATTTCAAACTGATTCAAGTGAGTTGTAGTTAAAGATTGTAAACTGTTACTTCCAACATAGTCCAAAAATGATTTAATTTCTGTCTTTTTAAATAATCCAACAAAAGGTTCCAAATATTGATCCAAATGTATACCGATAACATAAACTTTGTCTAAAATTGATACAAAATTACTAAATCTAGTATTCCGTAAGATTTTTACTTCAAAATTGGCTAATCTAAATGCAGGTTCATCTATCAATTGATTGATTTGATTTATATCTCCAATTATAATTGAAGGTATGAACTTATACTTTTGGAAAAGCGACACTAACTTCTCGATAGACTTGTTGTTACTATTTATTTCAAAATTCGAATATTTTCGCTCTAAAGTTATATGTTGTAAACCTGGAATGAATATCAAGCACTCAATAATTGATAGATCCTCGATGTGACTAAAAATTAATGATAATACTTCTTTGGGTAGTTTGAGAAATATTCGCATTGATAATGTGATTCCAATGTTGAGCTAACAAATGATGAGTTTAATGTTGATGATTTGATGAATTGATGATTAGATTTTGGTTGCCACTTTTTGAAAATTCTAAAAATTAATTAGACGTGATTTTAGAGCTACCATCTGGAGTTTCAAAATTGTATCGTCTAAACTGTGTAAGGTCATAATGTCCTTACAAGCAATAAGTAATGGTAAATCTAAGAGTTTTAATTGATTGATCCAAATGCTAAGATTGGCTATCTTTCGGATGTAGCCTAGCCTAAAGCATTGTCTAAATTCAATCTGTAGATCAAAATTTGACTTCATCTGTAGATTAAAAATCAAATTGTTTGAATGATATCAAATACTCTGTTCAATTTCAAATGGTATCATTAGTATATACCAAAGGTTTTAACTGTCTCTTAAAGTACTTTTTCATTCACATCACCCATTTGGGTGTAAATTTGTTTGAAGTTGGTGGATGGAAAAGATGTGATCATAAACCCAGTTGAAGAAACAAGTTGGACAATAACATCCATTCCATATCTAAATACCTATGACACAGAATTTCAATCTTTACAGAAGTCAATCCGAAACAACTTTCAACAATTCTCTTTCCGCTTTCAATTCATCATGTAGCATTCGACTTAATTTATATAACACATGAATAGTTTCTAATACCCTTCAATTAAATAGCCTCATCATTGTATCTCCACTGACAAGAAACAACACAATGCTTTTAAATCTTGAATTAAACCGATCTTTTCGTGAAAGTTATTCTTGCTGTAGATGTATTTATGTCCTGGTCACTTGAGTTTCTCTGAAAGTAACTTCATCATGATGATATGATTATGAAACGGTAAAAGATATTCATCTAGTAGTTACTTGAAACAAAGATTCAAGCAAGTATTACTTCGAGATGCCTGACGTCTCATCATGTTCTATTGTAGAAAAATTCATTGAAATGCTTTCTATCAACTTTCCATGTCACAAAAATCTGTTTCTAGAATTTTTATGTGATTAATATTGAGTTAGTAGTGAATGAGGATACTTTGGTCAACACCAAAGTCTGAGACGTCAACGACTAATCATTAATGCCGACCTTTGATAATGCAACCCAGAAAAGCTCATGGATGGGTTGAGTAAAAGTTGGATTCATCAATCGATATAAAATGGGGTCATTGAAAGCAAGATGTCTTTATTTGTATAAGTCGGAGAATTTCAATTCGTTATATCAAATGAACCCTGTTCTTTGTTCAAAATTGTGAAGTTATATGCTGATCATGAGGTACCATGTATTTATCCGGATTCACCACGAGGAATAAATTGAAACGACATACTTTGGAGGAGGATTTGAAATTTTTCATTATTGACCTGATATTACTTGTGGTCAATGCGTGTGATTCATGTATTAAAGATCTTGCCTGCAAGCTAGTAATATCGAAATTACTGCATCGCTGTCTTGAAGGGAGTAAAATACAAGACGAGCAATTTTCATTATATTTTGAATTAGATATGGAGATAAAGTCATGATATGACTTTTATATCTAACAAATATCATACTTAGATAGGCTATGTTTATCAGCATTTTCATCTATAGAGTGAATCTAAAGCATTAAATTCACAAAATTGAATTCAACTTATCATTGCAAACTGTTCTTTTATCCATTTATATAAGTTTCGTCAATTATTTCCAATTATATTTACTTTTTCTTTAACCTAGTTATGGACTAAACGAAGAATACTAAATAAGTGATGAAACCAGCTTAAATTTTTAATTAGCTTGCTATATAATATTGATTTAGAGCTGAGAATTTAAAGCTTTAAATAGTAAATATATATTAGGCAAAACTTGATCTAAATCCAAACACCTTCTATCACTGAAATAAGTCAAGAAGAGAGTCCATAATCAACTCTTCCAGAAACAATTTATCAAATGATTAACATTTTTTTCTTCTTTTATGAACAGACTTTAAAATTGATTCTTCTTCAACTCCATTGACAATTTTGAAAATAACTTTTGAATCATAGTTTGTTAAAATTACATTAATTTTGGCATCAGCACCACGGTTTAAAAATAATTGCATCAATTGAGTAGCACCTACCGGATCATCATATCCAGTTACTTTTTCCAAAATCAAATCTTTCAAATGTACACAACTTTCTAAATCCAAACAACGTAAATCTTCAATTTCATTATTTGATAAATTTATATAAATCAAACTTGCTGGAAAAATCTGATGTTCCAACATTGAAAAAGTAATTCGATTATTTTGTAAATCTAAAATTTTTAATTTATCCAATCTAAAAAGAAAGCCATGCATTTCTTCTAATTTTAAATTCTTGATAACCAATTCTTTCAATGAATTGGTAAATTCATTGAGGTTCAAAAAGCTTATATTCAAATTTGTCATTTCTATTTTGGTCAAATTTTTGCATCTGAATAACACTTCAGACGGATCGTCACGATCACTGGCATCCATTGGTGTTTGACTTTTTAGGACTAAACTTTGTAGCTGTGGTGCTTTAAAACATACTCTTTCTACGCGAGATATTTCCATGTGAGGTAAAATATCAAGCGGATCAAGTCGGTATTCGGATGCAGCATCCGAAAAAATGTTATCAGATATATCCAACTGTTTTAATAACTTCAACTGATTTAAATTTGTAACAAAAGGTTCGAAACATATTTTATTGTTAGTAAGTCTGATCAGCTTCAGCTCAGGAAATGAAACTTGATTTCCTGAATACACAATTCGACAATCCTCAATAATGATTTCCAGCATCTTCTCTGGTACATTGATTAGAAATCGATCTAAATCTACTGCACCTATATTTTTTAATTCTAAACAACTGAGTGAATCTGAAATATTGATGTCACCTATTTCTAGAGTTTGCATCGTATCATAAATTCTTAATTTTTTCAAATTTGGTGGGAATAAAAACTCATCATCAATACGGATCCGCCCATTTTCATCTAATATGTCATCAAACTCTTCTTCATCTGATTCATTAATTCTATCTGTTTGGAAATTGCTAACAAAATTTAAAATCATCAATGAATTTGGAAACTCAGTACGAACAATATCAAAAATCTCAGGACAATAGGCTATTTGAAGTAATTTTAATTTAATATACTTGATTAAATTACCTAGACTGTTGAAATCGCAAGAATAAACTCTTAAGTTTTTGATAGATAACGGAAGTTGGAAATTTTCTAATGAATTCATATTCTCAAGATTTTTGCAATTAAAACATTCTAGGTAATGTAGATCACGTAAATCTAATTCAAAATTCTGACCTCCATTTAATGTTATTTGCTTTAAAGATGTTGGAAATTGAACTTTGAACATATTCAAATGAGATGTAGTCAATGATTGTAAATTCTTAGTTCCAACATAATTTAAAAACGATTTAATCTCATTCTTCTTTGAAGTTCCAAAAGAAGGTTCTAATAATTGATCCAAATGTATACCTATAACATTAACTTTATTTAAAATTGATACAAAATCACTGAATCTAGTATTCGGTAAGATTTTTACTTCATAATTGGCTAATTTAAATCCTGGTTTATCAATCAATTGATTGATTTGATTTATAGTTCCAATTACAAATGAAGGTATAAACTCATATTTTTTAGAAAGTAACACTAACTTTTCAATTGACTTGTTGTTACTATCAATATCAAATTTTGAGTATTTTTGCTCTAATGCAATATGTTGTAAACCTGGTATGAATAATAAGCTTTCAATAATTGAGAGATCCTCGATGTAACTAAAGATTAATGACAATATTTCTTTGGGTAATTTAAGGAATATATGCATTGTTGTGGTGGACCGATGATGAATTTGATGAATTGATGATTAGGTTTTGGTTGCCACTTTTTAAAAATTCTAAAAAATAACTAGACGTGATTTTCGGGCTACCATCTGGAGTTTCAAAATTATATCATCTATAAGGTGTATTATATTGTCCTTACAAGTTATAAGCACTGCTGGACTTAAGAAGTTTTAATTCGGTTGATTCTGATCGCTTAATTAGACCATTCTTTTCTAATGTAGATTAAAGCTTTGTCCTAATTCTATTTTTAGACCAAATTTAAATTTCATCTGTAAACAAAAAATTTAATAGCTTGAATGAATTAATAACTTTTAACTGTATATAATTAGAAAAGCTCAAAGCTTTAAACTAACTTGTAAAAATAATCTCCGTGTCACGAGATTCTGTAATTAGAATATTTGTGTGCACCATCATGAGGTAATGAAGTAATTTTCTTCTCCACACTATATTTTAATTATTATTCTGATTGTTACTTTTATTTAATTTGTATTTGCAAATTTCATAACCTCCAAGTTTTAGTTTATACCCGCTCAGTGGTCCTTTTTATAGTTAATACTCCTTTAGTCTTCGCACCATTAATGTTCAATCCATATCATCTTTGTGTGCGAGATTTAAAGTGTTTGTGCAATTCAATTTCGAAAATCTTGATTCGATAAGGCTGTGATGATGATGATGAAGATTTTCATTGTGAGTTCTTTTTATAGATATCAAATTAAGTGATATTGGAATTGCTTTAATCACTAAATTTGAAATCTAAAAATTTATCTGAATCAACATCTTCTAGAATTATATCAATCATGCTGAATCTCAAGGTTTCAATTCATTTCTCTTTGCTCTTTGGAATCATTGACTTGATTTAATTTATAAATTAAAACTTCAAATTTGATATACTTCTATCTCTTTGCCTCTTATTTCCAAAAGAAAATTGAGAAGAGTTCGATGTTAACAAAACTTTTTTTTGAAAATCCATAATTTGATGTTCATGAAAATTTAATATATGATAAAATGAACTTCGATCCACTGGTTTATTTTCAAATTTTTGTCAAAATTATGATTAAAGTCATTCTCCAACATTGATCTCCTAAATTTTTCAATTTGATTTCTTTATTCTATATCAGGTAGTCTGTCATGGAAATTATAATTTGCTCTGAAAATGAATAGTTGCTCATGAAATGAATATTTGAAGTCAATCAAACTTATAAATAAATGACAAACTCCAATCAGTTTAGTTACCTTTCATGTCAATATCATTCTTCTAAAACATGTGCACTCGTTTGAATTGAAATCTAATATTTGAGCTTTTCAATTTTTTTTTGATGATCTTATTTCTTCCCAAGGGTAATTCAAGAGGGATTCACTTATTTGAACAATGAAATTTGGAAAAAAAATGTGAATCCACTTGTAATCCTATTGAGAGAGTTACAAAAAGATGCACATTTTCTTCAGTTTTGAACAACAGTCTGAGGATGAATCCACATAAGTAGAATGTACAAGTATTCCCAAAAATTATTTAAGATCACGAAAAATTATGTGGGTTTTTTTTTTCGAAATCAATTCGAAATGATTTGTAAACTGTCTAAGTAAAGTATTAAAGTGAACTATTAAAGTCAACTATTAAAGTCAACTATTAAAGTCAACTATTAAAGTCAACTAAAATGAATTGACTTTAGTTGACTTTGATAGGTGATTTTTGTTGACTTCGATAGTAGATCTTGTTGACTTTGATATTTGACTTTTTTTTTCCCCATTATTAATTGTTTATTAGATCAGTTGAAGGATGATGGATGTAGAATAGATAGTAGATGATTAGAAATTATCATGTCTAGAATTATGTTCTTTTCTACCCCAGATTTGATGAAAGAAGTTACATGTGTTCTTAACCAGTACATCAGATTGTCTAAAACATACTTGGAAGTCTGGAGTTAAAAACTGAGATTCCGTCTCGTCGTAATATAATATTTTTTTTTGCGTTTCACAATTTCCCCACGTTCCAACGAATTGTGAATCTCAAAGCCAACGGAAAACGTTTTATTTTTTTAGATTCACTAACCGATAGATCACTTTGAGATGACCTTAGATTAGATTAGTATAATAAACTTTTTAGTTTTCAATGACAGAGAACAAATTAATTGCTTTCTTCATTAATATGTTACCATCAATTATCTTTTGACTGGATCCATCAATTAATATCTACACATACACTTCAATTTGTCTAATTTCCTATTGTAAAACGAATGTAGCTTTAAATTAATTGAACTGATTGAAGTTACATTTACCATTATAGTTCTTCTATAATCACTGAGTCAATTCATGAAATTGAATGCTATCGGATAAAAATCAACAAAATTTTGTATGAAAATTTCCCCAAAAAAAAGTGAAATGTCTTAAATTTTCTACCAGACTAATCACTCAATTTTTTGAAGAATATAATAATTACATCGAATCTTGTGATGTAACTTAATATTATAAATAATTTGGGTATTTTGATGCATCAGCAAGAAAGAGATAACATTATACTAACTTGTTCACATTAGAGATTGAAAATTAAGATTTTGATTGTAGTAAATTAATGTTGATTTTACCATTCCCAACAATTCTTAATTTTTCCGTTGTAACTGTTCGACTTAAAAACTTAAAGTTTCTCACTCCTCGCTTCTCGGCCTTTGCTGAAATTAAAATGGAAATAGAACCATTCTCAGGCTACTTCAATATTTAACATTTTGTGTATTAATCTCCAACAAATATTATTATAGATCATAAACTAGATTTTGTTGGTGTTAAGAATATCATTATGTCTAGGTAAAACAACAAATTTTCTCTTACTGTTGAGCTGACTCTCGAGCAACTCCAAACTACTCTATTTCCGAAGTACGAGCTCGACCAAAGTACAACAACTTGGGGTTGGTTATTTTTAGTACCAAAGAAAATATAGAAAGTAAAAGAGAAATAAATAAATTATTACATAATCTACACATAATACATAATATTTATTGCTACTATTAATATTATTACAATAATACTTATATCATAATAAGTAATTTCCATTCAATCTTATATATATCATTTTAATACTTCAATTGTTGTTTTAACAACTAACAACAGATAGATTCATCACAATTTAAGATCATCATTACTTATCAACCAATTTACACCACATCTTTGTTTATCATAAAATCTATTTTTCATAAAGAAAATAGTAAAAATCTTACCATTATCAAAATTTAATCAATACCATCAACCCACATGTTCCATATAATAATATAACTTATAACAGATACACCACAACAAAATTATCATAAAGGAAGTTTCAAGAAACAGAGGTAATCAAAAGATTCAATTCTGAAACTACTGTTGGATAGTTTTTCTTAGAAAACAAAATGAATTCAATAAGATTAATTGTAAATTCTTTTGATAATATACTACCTGGTAAATCAAATTATAAATTAACTTCACAAATCAATAATGATGATAATGATCAACAGCCAGACCAAATAGATGAACAACTGAAGAATCTACCACAACTAGATACCACTAATGACATATTAGACAATATTGATGAATCAAAAGATTTACAAGATCATACAACTAATATAATCAAAGGACCATGCAAATTACCAAATTCATTAAAAATTGAACAAGAACAACAGGACCAACAGGAAGAAGAAGATTTAGATGAATTAGATATTGAAAATGAAGATGAAGTAAATTTAACAGATCATGATGAAAAAGAACAACAACAAATAAAAGAATCATCAATAACAACAAACAAACCACAATCAATTTTCCTAAATTTTCTTTGGGCAATATGGAAAATTATTTTCTTTTTACCAAATTATTTAATTATAAAACCAATTATAATAATCATTAAAATTATAATTTTCCCATTCATTTTACTTAAATCATCATTAGGATTTGGTAATACCAATAAATCAAATATACAAAATAATCTAACATATGATGAAAAAAATGAAGAATTTGAATCAAGTGATATAGAAGATGATCCATTAGTTACAAGAGAAAAAACAAATACCAAATCAAAACAACAACCACCACAATCAAAAGAACAAACAACAAAACAAAAAAATCAACAATATAATGATTATGAAGATGAAAAAATCTTACAAATTAAAAAAGATAATATATTATTAAATAAAATAAAATCTCCAACATCATTTTCAAAATATATGATACCACCACCACAAAGATTATATCCATTATCACGTAATCCAACAAAAAAACGTAAAAAAAAAATATTAATATTAGATTTAGATGAAACTTTAATTCATTCAATTTCAAAATCATCACCAAGAAGTTTTTCAGGAGGTAGAAATTCAAATACAAAAGTTATAGAAATAAAATTAAATAATATAAGTTCTTTATATTATGTAAATAAGAGACCATATTGTGATTATTTTTTAACTGAAATTTTTAAATGGTTCGAGCTTCAAATTTTTACAGCAAGTGTTAAAGAATATGCTGATCCTATTATAAATTGGTTAGAAGAAGAAATTATTGAATCATTAAATAAACAAAATTATTTCACCACCACCAACAATAAACCAGAAATATTCACAAAAAGATATTATAGATCAGATTGTTCATATAGACCAGGAATAGGTTATATAAAAGATCTTAATAAGTACATAAAAGAAGATGATTTAAAAAATGTAATGATTTTGGATAATTCTCCAATAAGTTATTCATTACATGAAAAAAATGCTATTAGTATTGAAGGTTGGATAAATGATTCAAATGATAAAGATCTTTTAAATTTATTACCTTTATTATATAGTTTAAGTTTATGTATTGATGTTAGATATATTTTAGGATTAAAAGAAGGTGAAAAATTATTTGAATGATTGAAAGTTTTTTCATGTTATGTATTTATATGTTTTTTATATAGATATAATTATAAAATAAAAGTTTAGGTTTTTTTTTAAACAGTTTATTTAGATGTTATTTTGTTTAACTGGTATAGATTTAGAATTAATGTCGTGAACTTATTTTTGACATAATCTAATTCCTGACACTTAAAACCTTACACGTCAAAAAGAAAAATCAATAAAACTCAATTAAATTTCAAAACTTACCAAACCTTATCCAACTACAACTACACATATATAATGACAAAAGCAACAGAAACAGCCCTTACAATATTCGCAATATCATCAATATATTTTGCATTATATACAAAATTAATCCCCACACCTCAAATTTTCTATAATGAAATATTACCATTTTTACCATTTTGGGCTTTAGTTTCATTTGGTTCTTATTCTTTATTTACTTTAGGTTGGGGTATTATTACTTTTAAAGATAAATCTAACAAATATGAAGAATTAAAAATTCAAATTGAGGAAGCTAAGGCTTTTTATAAATCTAAGGGAATTGATATTGATTAGAATCTACAATTTTCAAACATAAGGTTTTAAAGTATAACAAATGATCAATTAATTAAGAAAACAACTATGAGACTTTTATAATTCCAATAATATATTAAAGTTGAAAAGTTGAAAAGGACTGTTGTGGTTGATTAAAAACTACAGTTTTAAAGGGTAAGTTTATGTTTTAATGTATAATAAATAATAAATAAGTTAGTGAAATACAATTTGACTTTTATAATTCTAATACTGAAGCTAAATTAAGTAGAATTAGGATTGTTGTTGTGATTGTTGTAATTGTTTATGTTTTTGTTTTAATCTTTTTTCAGTTTCAGTAAATACTCTAATTGAAACAGGTACATCACCCCAACTTTCATCTTCATCAGTTTTAAATTCATCTTTAAATTGAGTTTGATTCTGCATTGATTTTGGATAATTTTCTTTATTTAAATATTTTAAAGGAGGATTAAAATTTTCAGGCCATCTACCACCATTACTTCTTAATTGAGCAGCAGCTTTTTGTCTTTTTTCATTCCAATCTTTTAAATCTTCTTCAAATAATTCCCATACACAATTTATACAACCACTCATACAACAATTATCTGGTTCTGGTGGCCTCGAAGGAACATTTATTCCTCCTATAATTTTAGATTCTCCTCTTATTATTCTACTTGATGATTTTCTATCTTCTCCCTTTATTCTACCTCCAAATACTCTTCTAATTCTTTCTTCTGGTGATATTGAAGTATCTAATTTATAATTTCCTTCAAATCTTGTTTTTGTATGTTTTTTTAATTTTTTTAATTCTTCATTTGTCATTAAATTTGATTCTATTGGATGTTGTGGATGTGATGATGTTCTTAATACTAAATCATAAAATGCATATTTTCTAGTTTCTGATTTTGATGTTTTTTTAGCAGGAGTTGGTCTTAATTTTGAAGGAGTTGTTGATGTTATTGATGATGATGATGTTGTCGCTAGACATCTTCTTGTTATTATTGGATTTCGTGTTATCATAATATTCTATTCTGTGTACGTTACGACGAACCTCTTTCCTTCAAGTGGGACAAGTGCTATATTTTTGAAAAGTGTATATTATGTGTAATCTATCAAATTTTCTATGCTTATCTAGTGTGATATCTTATTGTATAATCTCTATTAGGTCTCGTTCTAATTAGCCTCTTGTGATAATCTCCAGTTTTTCTTTCTTTTTTTTTCAATTGCTATGATTTTGATTTGTTCGGCCCCAATTAAATTTTTTTTCTCTCTTTCAGTCTCTAAGTGAGAGAAAGTCGATCTATGATGTAATTATCATTTTCTTAATACAATGTTTAAAATTCTGGATAATGATGACTGAGAACGTATTGGTAAAACTCCATATACATTAAAATTAAAACTGGTAATTGAAAAGAATTCATACCCTATCCAAAAATTCTGCAAAAAAAATAATTATCGGTTTTTAGAAAAAACTTAACATTCACAAAATAAGATCATTCCACTGTGAAGACCACTCAATTATAATTTCTCAAGTATGCCGTATGGCCAATTGACTGTGTGTTTTCTTTTACAGTTGAAGCCATCAAAATTATTGATACTCAAATGTTACAACTCATCGCATATTTTAAGCTTTTGTATAATAAAAAAGTTATATATCAAATAATAGTTAATCCGAAAGAATGTTTTACGAATCTATCCGGATAACTTACATACTCTACTTAACTTTAAAACGCCTGAGATGAGGTAGAGTCAAAACAATCTTTTATAATATTTAACAAAGTATATACATCTCAATTAAATTGTTGTTACATTGATTCATTTCGATTCGATTCGATTTATTATTTTTCTGAAAGATAATAAAAAAATACGAAACAAGAATTTCTGTTTGTACAATTTTTGTGTAATGCGTTACAAAACCTTAAAATTTTACGAGAAACTTCAAGCTTACACAAAATCTAATATATATGTAATGAGTCTCAAATAATATAAGCGAATTACAAAGACATTCAAATTAGTTTATGAGACTTATAAAAGTTGAAAGAGCTTAAACTTTAGTTTGATAATTTTAGTTTTTTTTAGCTAGCAGTGAACGGCGTTAGCATCTTGAGCCACTCGAATGTCATAAGATTGAAAGTTATTTACCGAGGAAGTACAATTTTTTGAATCAAATAATTTCTACATCAAAAATTTCAAGTTATGATAGAATTAACGTGTTTTTCAAATTTCAATTTTTGTAGTGTTTGGTGAATAGCCTGATTGTAATTATCAAAAATTTGAATCAAATAACAATTTTATTAAGATTCATAATAGATAGAGACATTCAAACTCAGTTGACCTTGACACCAACTTCAACCAAGCAAGTTGAGAATTACCATATCTCTTTGTAGAACAATTTTTAGAAATATTACCTAGAGAATGTTTCAGCAAGGCGTACAAAACCCATGTGGTTGAAATCTTTATAACGTCTTAAATCAAAAGATGAAAGGTATACCGTATTTGAATACAAAAGAAAGTAACAAAATCTAGATTCCATGAAAAAGAAAGGACAAACGAAAAGTCATGAAGATCTTTAATGAAGAATAAAATGAACAATAAAAAGTTCTTTTTAAATGGTTTCAAATTATGATTCATCATCTTGTTTAATTACTTGCATTTCATAACTATATTGAAACTGCGGTCTTATTGTTTTTCTAGAAACAATAGAACCCGTAAGCTACTCTCCACTTTAAAGAACAATAAGAAATCGTATTCACTTACACCTTTATTTCATTCTTACAAACGTGTCAGAGGATTTCAACTACTTGAAACCAAGAGTTTCATCTTTATTTGTTATTTTCAGCCTTGTTCTACTAAAAAATTAGCCAAATCTATAAAATTTAGTACGAATTTAAGACTAATTATAATGAAAGCTAGTCTCAATTAATTCCCCAATTTTTTAGTGCCAAATAAAAATAAAATTAATGTTATCATTTCAAAAGGCAAGTTTAATATTTAGTTTAATCGAATTGTAAGTGATTTCAAGTCTTGATACATTACATTGAAAAACTAATTCGTTAATGTATACTGTATTAGAAAATAATCGTCAGATATTTTCAAATATTAATCGGGTTGAGTGAGACGTGTTATCTTAAAATTGGGACCATGTGGCTAATACCAAGAAAAAAAAAAAAATAGCCAGTTCTAATTTTGTATCGGGATCCGATATGATGCGTCAATGCATGTTAGCGTAAAAATAAAGAAGTGTAGAACGTGTTTGATGATCTATCAGTCGATCAATTAGCATTAATCCATCGTGGTCAGAAGTCCTCAATGAGATTATTTGGTAATCAAAATTGAAGAATTAATTTGAGAATCTGAAACTTTCTTTAAAAATAGTGTCTTTACTTAAATAAGTAAGAAAACTTAATCTCAACACTATAATTTATGGTTATGTATCCATTTATCCTTTACTTAACTTCCTACTTATTGTCAATGAAAATTAGTTGGTTAGTAGCTATAAGTTTGAGTCTTATCTAAAAAAGTTAAAAAGTTGGGGCTATAATAGAGTAGATACTGAATTAGTTAATTGATCTTACGACTGTTATTTCTAAAAAAGAATCTTCTCTTAACAATATTTGTTGTTTCGATTAATTTCCTAGGTATAATACAATATGAAATCTAAAGTTTTTTTTCTATCTGTAACATCCTGTTTCTATTTCAAGGGTGTATATCTCGATTCGATAGACTTTATAAAACAATAGATAGATTGGAAAAGAAGTTAAGAAAAATGTAATGAGAAGAATATTCTTGTAATTAATGTCAAAATCAAGAATTACGAAAAAGTTTCAGAATCTTGATCATGAAACTTTTGATCTTGATTTTTTTCTTGTAGTGCTAAACTTCAAACAGTAGACTAAGGATCTCTACTATTTAGCTGATTATATCGGGTCTTACTACATTAAATTTCAGATTAGCGTTTTTCATTTAATTTCGTAATGAAAGTAATGCAAGTAATATAAATGATGTAACCAGTTGTTAAAGTAGATTACTTAAATAGAAATGTAAAGATTATCCATCATGAATCTACGTTATTTTATTTAATATTCTTATTTCTTGATCGATGGAAAAATGTACAAGAAAGATAGAAAGAAATTGAAAAAGAACGTGTCAATTCAGAAGAATCAAAAAATTTACTACGCCTGTTTCTTTCGACTTATACATTGATGAAGACGTACCTTAAATAAATTATATTAAGAAGATTGAAAGAGATAGAGAGAGCAAAAAAATGAATCTATGGTTGCAAAATAAAAAATAAAAAAAAATTAAAATTAAAAATATAAAAAGGTAGTGTAATTACCAACAACGTGGGACTTGAAATCTAATCAACAAACATCAAGTCGGGAGTTTTGGTTAGATTGAAATAAATTATTAAACCTAATCTAAATACAATACTTAAAATTTGATGCCTTACAACCTACTATGGTTAGTTGAGAGCGTATCTGCATTGCTTAATTAAAAAATTGACTATAATAGTTGGTTTGTTAGAAATTGAATTAAAAGACAAGTTAACAAAATTACCCCGTAAAATGTATATGAAATCTTTTTGTTTTAAGAAGTAATAATAGAAGTGGCTTTTACTTTCGTAGATCTAAATTAGTCTTGCGATATATAGGTTTCATTCAAAACTTATGAAGAACATCTTATTCTTAATCAGTTTTATTTGAAAGATAAGCTCTGTATTTTATTCAATTAGTTATGAAATTGAAAATGTTTCATATTTTATTAACGTTAAATTCAAGGTGGACCTCTTTAATCAATTAATCAATTACTTTAAATTTTTTCTTGTTTCATTTTTTTGAAAACTACTCTATACAACGTCAATACGAAACGCCCACATTATGAATATTATCTTCAATTGCCTTGTTTTCTTCAGTCCAATTACTTCGTTCTCTCTCTTTTATAGATCTACCCACGTTGTCTTCATGAAGTAAGAAAGGGATTTAAAGTTTAATAATTTATTATTTTTTTCTTGTATTGCAGAATCGATTCATTTACTTGGCATTTTTCTTTTTTGCTTTTTTTGACTGCAAAATTATGAAACAAAATGACAAAAATAGTAATGAGATAACTACCAATTTTGAATTGTTTATTGTATTATTCTAGTAGTTTGCTCAATTTCAACCATTCAATATATACATAAACAACCAAACATCTATGTTCCCTACAACCAATTGAGCTATTACAACATACAACAGTAGTACCACAGGTATCAAATCTTACCTTACGACCTTTTATTGTTCTGTATAAAATAATAAAATTATTTTTCAAAAAAGTCTTGGTTTTTTTTTTTTTGATTTTCTTTTTATTTTTTTTTCAAACAATGTTCCGTAAATTTTTTAATTTTTATTATTTTGCAACTTAAAAAATATAATAAAACATACCATACACCTATCACTTCAGAATTTTATATAAATATACCATTCAATTCTTGTTTCAAAAAATTATTTTTTATTTCTTCTTCTTCTTTTTTTCATATTTCAATAATATCATTAAGTCTTAGATACATAGAGTTATTCAAATAAGTAGATACACTAACTACTTCAACTATCACAACAACGACAACAACAACAACTTCAAACTTACTCATAAACAACTACAAGTTCAGTTACAACTTCAATTACTACTTTTTTTACAACTTCAAACAAACACATACACATTTACACACACAAACACACACATAATCAAAAATGGCTTTACATCAATTTGATTATATCTTTGCAATTGCAATGATTTTTGCATTTTTAGATGCTTGGAATATTGGAGCAAATGATGTTGCAAATTCATTTAGTACATCAGTATCATCAAGATCTTTAAAATATTGGCAAGCAATGATTTTAGCAGCAATTATGGAATTTTTAGGTGCTGTTTTAGTTGGTTCAAGAGTTTCAGATACTATTAGAAATAAAATTGTTGATATTGATGTTTTTGCAGATTCTCCTTCTGTTTTAATGTTAACTATGGCTACTGCTTTAGTTGGTTCTTCTACTTGGTTAACTATTGCTACTACTATTGGTATGCCAGTTTCAACTACTCATAGTATTGTTGGTGCAGTTATTGGTGCTGCTATTGCTGCAAAGGGAGGTTCAAATATTCATTGGGGTTGGGATGGTGTTTCACAAATTATTGCTTCATGGTTCATTGCTCCAGCAATTGCTGGATGTTTTGCATCAATTGTATTTTTAATTTCAAAATTTTTAGTTTTAGAAATTAAAAATCCAAAAACTTCTTTAAGAAATGCAATGTTATTAGTTCCTTGTTTAGTTTATGCTGCTTTTTCAATTTTAACTATGTTAATTGTTTGGAAAGGTTCACCAAAATTAGGTTTAAGTAAATTATCAACTGGTACTATAGTTGCTGCTATATTTGGTACAGGAGCTGTTGCAACTGGTGTTTACTTTTTATTTGCTTTCCCATACTATAGAAGAAAATTAGTTCATGAAGATTGGACTTTAAAATGGTATCACATTTTCTTAGGTCCAATTTATTGGTTTAAATCAACTGATAATATTCCTCCAATGCCTCAAGGTCATAATTTAACTTTAGATTATTATAAAGGTAGAAGATATGATGAAACTGGTAAAGTTATAGATGATGATAATGTTAATGAAATTAATGATTCTGATTCAATTGATAGAAAAACTGATGAAAATGATAATTCAGATATTGAAAAATCTCAATCAATAAATGTTCAAAATAATAAATTATCAAAAACTGAAAGTGGTTCAATTGGTGATAAAATTGATTCATGGCCAAAAAAATTCTCAGCTTATTGGTCATTAGCTAAACAATCTCCAACAAATTGGCCATTTGTTTTATTATTAGTTGCTTCTCATGGTGTAAGACAAGATATTATTTCAAATCAAGCAAATTCAAAAGATATGTTAGCTGGTGATATTCATAAAATGCATACTGCTTCAAAATATTATGATAATAAAATTGAATTTATGTATTCTTTATTACAAGTTATAACTGCTTGTACAATGTCTTTTGCTCATGGTGCAAATGATATTGCAAATGCAACTGGACCATTAGCTACTGTATATTTAGTATGGACAACAAATACAACTGCTAAAAAAGCTGAAGTTCCAATTTGGGTATTATGTTATGCTGCTTCTGCATTAGTTATTGGTTTATGGACTTATGGTTATAGAATTATGGCAAATTTAGGTAATAAATTAATTTTACAATCTCCAGCAAGAGGTTTTTCAATTGAATTAGGTGCTGCTGTTACAACTGTTATGGCTACACAATTAGCTATTCCAGTTTCAACTACTCAATCAGCTGTTGGTGCTACTGTTTTTGTTGGTTTATGTAATAAAGAATGGAAAACTGTTAATTGGAGAATGGTTATTTGGTGTTATTTAGGTTGGATTTTTACTTTACCTTGTGCTGGTTTAATTGCTGGTTTAATTAATGCTATTATATTATATGCTCCTTCAAAGGGAGTTACTTATACAATGGATTAAAATATTTCATTGATTTACTAGATTTAGCATTTTTTCATTCATTTATTCTTTTTATAATATTTCATTTTTAAAATATAGTTCAAATAATTTTTTTAATAATTTACTTTACTTTCGTTGAAGGTAAATCTTTTATATATAGTGTGGTTTGAATTTAATAGACAATTTTTTAGAATTTTAGATACATTGATATTCCAACTCTTAACATCATAATATGTTGATTTTGTTTGATAAGTTTGTTCAATCCTTGTTTCAGAAATCTGTTTGATAAATCCGATATTTCTAAATTGGTAGCATAACTCACTCCAAACTTATCCGACAAAATCAGTTATTAACATAAATTAACAACACCTTACCAATATCAAAACCTACCATAATACTCCCAAAAATGTCTGAATCTAAATTCGATGCATCTTTAAACTTATTGAGAAGACTAGATCCACAATTAATAAATGAAAATCTAACAAATATATGTTCAATTCTTCAATCTTCAAAAATTGATGAAGATACAGAAATAGTTGAAGATTTATTATCATCAGTTGATATACCACTTTCAATACAAAAATGTCAGAAAACCGGTAAAGATTATTTGTGTTGTGATTATAATAGAGATGGTGATAGTTATAGATCTCCTTGGTCCAATGAATACTACCCTAAAGATCAAGAAGATGAAGAAGATCAACCTTTTCCAAGTCCAAATCTTAGACAATTAGAAATTAAAGCAAATGACGCTTTTGATATATATAGAGATTTATATTATGAAGGTAGTGGATTATCATCAGTATATTTTTGGGATACTTCAGAAGAAGACGACGATGCTATAGACGAAGGATTTGCAGGAGTTATATTATTTAAAAAACAAACAAATGATAAATTAGGTAAATGGGATTCAATACATGTATTAGAAGTTATAAAAGAATCTTCAAAAAAATATAATTATAAATTAACAACTTCAGTAATATTAGATTTATCATCTACTAAACCAAAATTAAATTTATCAGGAAATTTAACAAGACAATTTGAAAATAGCATAAGTATCGATGTCTCAAGTGGTGTTAATTTAGAAACTAATCATTTAATTAATATTGGTCAAATTATTGAAAAATCAGAATATAATATTAGAAATATTTTACAAGAAGTTTATTTTGATAAATTAAAAGATATAATGTTAAAAGATTTAAGAATTATTGATAATTCGAGTTCAAAATATAATGAAAATCAAAAAGATATTATAAAAGGTTTAAAAAATTTATAAATATCTACAATATATCTTTATTTTAAATATAAATTTAAAAAGTCCTTTTGTGTTTAATGTTTATTTCTAATTCTTATATATAGAAAAATCTATTTTTTCATCATCATTATCATTATCTTCTTCTTCTTCATCTAGACTTAAATTTGAATTAAAGTCCAGATTTTCTTCTTCATTTAATGAAGATAATACATTTAATTTAACATCATTTACAAATGACCAAATAGATGATGAAACAGTTTGTATCATATCATCTGATTTTCTATCTAAACTATTCTTGTATTCTGATAAAGTTGTTTGTGATTTTGTACGTAGTGGAGAATTTATTGATCCTATACTATTTATTGAATCCTCTGAGTTTCTTGGTTGATGTTGATGATTTTGTTGTTGTTTTTGGTGTATCTTCGTATCTAACGTCAATGATTTTTCAAATTCATTTTGTAATAAATTATCAAATTGTTGTAATAAATTAAAAGGTTTAGATAATCCACTCCATAATTTAGATTTATTACTGCCATTGTCTTCTGAATTCTTTTCTTCTTCATATATTGGGATTCCAGCTCCACTACTTGATCTTCTTTTATTTTTAATACTTTCAATTGCTTGATCTCTTGGATTTGAATTTGTTCTTTGTCGTCCTAATGTTTTATTATTGTTGTTTGTTGTCGTTGTTGTTACATTGTTACTAATACCTTGATATAATGATCTTTGAACAATTTCTCTTAATTCATGTAATTCATTTTCATTTTCACCTAATTTGGCTTGAAGATTTGATATTTCATCTTTAATTTGTACTATTATCATTTCTTTCAATGCTAATATTCTTAATTGATCATCTATATCCATTAATTTTAATTCTTCTTTTGATGGTAATTTAAAATCAAATCTTGATGAATCTGTGGGAGATTTTGATCTTCTATTTTTGAGTTGGTCGTTAGTGCCATTATTTGATGAAGATGATGATGTAGGTATGGTTTGTTCGGTTAGTGTTGCATTTGAACTATTTAAACTTGAATTAGGAGTCGTTTGATTAATTGGTGATACAGCAAAAATATTTAAACCTTTAGAAGGAGTTATTTTGGATTTCGATTCAGTAGTGATATTAGGATTATTATCATTGGATATAGTTGAAGATCGCCTTACTTTGAATTGTATTGGTCCTTTACCATTTTGTATTATTTTTTTATTTTTTGATTCTATTTCTTTTGAAGGTGATGGAGTTTTATCTCTTTTATTTGTAGTTGTATCATATTGGAATTGATTGTTGTTAAGGGTTGAATTTACCCCAGTCATTTGCTTTTAAAATATTTTATTGTATACGTTTGAGTGAAAAATGACAATAAGTCGGTAATTTGAGCTAATTTGAGCAATTGAGTGAGCCTGTTATTATGATCGTAATCTGTTGATTTATAGTTCTATATTTATGATCTTACTTTGTTTCCTTATTTAGTTTCATGATTTTTTATTATAGTAAGATAAGTAAGCTACCAATTGTAAAATTACCCCCTAACTCTACTGGATCTAGAATTACCCCTTAAAGATTGATCAATAGAAATATTTCATAAGAAGAAGAAAAGAATAAACAAAAGATAAGATTGTAAGACATTAAGAATCAGATTATTATAACAAACAAACAAGCTTTATATAAGAAATACACAAACTTTTCACAAAATGTCTATCAATGATTTAATGTCTAATAGTATATACAACTACATTGACCAATTAGAAGCAAAAGAAGATGAAATATTAGAAGAAACAATTCCTAAATCAATTTATAAAAAGATTTTAAATCATCCTTCACTTTCAAGATGGATTAAATATTCAATAATTTTTTATATATTACGTATCCCCAATCCAATTCAATGGGCAAATTTCATAACATTAAATAAACCAATACGGCAAGCTTTAAAAAATTTAAACAATTCAAAACACTATTTTTCCAATACTTTATCAATTGATAGAATTTCAAATTTAATAACTTGTATATTTTTATATTTTGCAAGTATAAATAATTATAAATTACCAAAAGATTATGCATTAATTTCATTTTTAACTACATATCATGGTGAATTGAATCCTCCTTCAAAATCTCAAATTTTAGTTATACCTAATTTTTCAAAATATTTTAAAATTTCATATTATAAAAATAAAAGTTATTATAGCTTATTAAAGAGTTGTTATGATAATAAAGAATTTGTTATATTTCCTTTGTTATTTGCTCAATTGTTAAGTAATTATTTAACTCCAACAAAGTATAAATTAAATCAACGTTATATTTCACCATTTATGAAAAGGTATATCTTAAATCCAATTTGGATAAATTTTCAATTAGGTCATAATCATAAATATTTAAATTGGTTAAATTTATTAGGAACATATTCATTGCAAAATCTTATATTAGCTTTAGGAATAGCTGGAATTTCATTTAAAAGTTTAATACTTGATAAATTTTATGAGATAAAATATGGGAAAAGAGATAAAGACTCCGAATCTTCAATTATAAAAAATTACCTAGTTTATATTTTTCATAAATCAAATTCTATTATAAATTTTATTTATTTACCTAATTTAATATCAATGGAATTAATAAGTTTAACATCTCCAATATTCAAAGTATTAAATTCATCAAAAAATTTAGGTTTACAATATTTTTATCTTAATAATCAAAAACAAATTTTTAAAAATTATATTAAATTAATTGGTTTCATAGCAGGATTAATTACAATGATAATCAATTCTAAAAAAATGATACCTGATTTTGGTTACAACAAAACCATAGCAAAACAATATGATGAATATGAAGAAGAAGTTCCAAAAATTAGATATTTATCAAAACAATTTTTTAATGATTTAAATATTTATTTATTTAAAACTATATTATTATCAAAATGGAGAATTACAAAAACTCATCATCCAACTTTTAGTAAAATTCAATTATCTATATGGAATCAAATTGAAACTTTAATTATGTGTTTTGGATTTTATAAAATGATGAATTTAAATGATTTTATAAAGTTAAGAGCAATTGATAAAGATAGAATATCACAAGATTATGCAATAAAAGTTGCAAATTTTGTAACATAATTAAATATAGTTATAACTGTAAAAGGACATTAATAATCGTTTTTTTTTAATTAATTTCTATAACATTTATTTCATTCTTGAGCATAACCACCTGCTCCAGGTACATTTTCTTTACCTTTTAATTTTGTTAAAATTTCTTTAAATCTTGTTTTATCTCTACTATCATCAATTACAATATTATCAACTTTTGAAATTAATTCATTAACTCTATCCCATAAAGTACCATTTTTTAAAAAATTATCTCTTTTATTTAAAAATTGTTCCTGATCTTTTGCAATAATTTTAAAATTATTTTCCTTTTTGGAATTATAATTTTCATAAAAATCATCTATTGTTGTTTTAGCTTTATTTATAATATCTTTCTTTTTTTGACTATTAATTTTTTCTCTTTCTTCAATTTCTAAATCTCTTCTTTGTTTCCATTCTTTTATTGAAGTTGATTGTGAAAGATCTTTTGATGGTTGAGTAGATTCAAATCCTTCAAATTCAATTTCATCTTCAAATTCTTCATTTTGTTGTGATTGTTGTTGTGATTGTTGTTGTGATTCCGTTCCTTCAACTTCGGGAAATTGTTCTTTAAATTCATTTATTTCTTCATCTTCACTATCTTGAAGTACTTTTTTATCTTGATCTGTTGTAAATTCATCACCTACTAATTCTTTTTCACGAGATAAGAAATCTGAAGAATCTTCAAAATCTCCATTTGACTTTGGTGTATCTATTTCCGGAAATTTATCTGACATTTTGATCTTATGCAATTGTGTATAGGAGGTTGATTAAATTATTTGTTTGAATGGGTTATTTTGATGATTCCGGTTATTATCTTATTAGTTGGCTTTGAAAATTGTTGATTTTGCGAGTTTGTTCAATTTGACTTATTGTCTGGAAAATGAGAAACATGACAATGACTTTGAGACACATTATCATGACATCATTAATGGACTTTGTCTTTTCAACATAAATTTATGTTTTAAAAAAAGAGATATAAGAAAGCTCTCAAGATGTATCCGTGAGTTTATTACGAATCTACTATTCATTAATTCCTTGATAATTGCATGAGAGTGAAGGCAAAAGTTGCAATAATAAATAGATGAAAATTTGGTAGCAATTTATACATTCTAGGTGCAATCTGTTTCAGAGTTCATAAACTGATATTACGTGGGTGACATGACCAAATTTGTTGACTATTCATTCATTTCTACTTATTTAAATTTGTACAAGTTTTCAAAAAATTAATAAATCTTTTTCTTTTCATCTATTGAAAATTCTCCAGCTCCTGCATTAACAACCAATAATAAACCTCCAACAATTGATAAAATTTGGAAAAATTCATATCTTAAGAAATCTCTTCTTGCATCTCTTGAATCATAAAGCCAAAATTGATTTGTAAATAAATTATAAATAAATAATAATGTTAACATTACAGCAGCTGCAAATTTTGTTTTATATCCAATAATAATTGAAGTACATGATAATAATCCAACAAATATTATAAATAATCTACCAATTGACCAACCTGATGAAAAAACAAATCCTAAAAATAATAAGACTAATAATAATCTACCTGCTAACAAGAAATATTTTTTATTATCTTGATTATTTAACATTGGTAATCCAGGCATATTTAATGATCTTTTATCTCTTACTATAGTATCACTATAAGCTAATACTAAACCTCCAACAACACTTAAATTTCTTAAAATAAATTGAGTATCAAATAATAATCCATAAGCAATCCCCTGGATAATAACAACAAATATTAAAGCAATAGTAGCAATATTGATTTTTTTTCTAGCAATAACTAAAGTAGAACCAATAGTCATTATTAACATATTATTTATTAAAAATATAATAGTTAACCATCTCCAATAATGTCTATAATTATGTAAATAATAAACTTGTTCACTCCATTGTGTAAAAATTCTAACAGTATCTTCATAAAATGTTGCAACTAAAAAAGCTCTTCCAATTGCAGGTACATAAGGTTTTAAAGGTTGAAAATATTCATCAATTAAATCTTCAATTTTTTTACTATAAACTTCAAAATTTTCTAATGGAGATTTTGAACTTGATATTGGTCCTATATTTGCATGTGGTGGTACTTGTTGATGTGGAAATTGATTTTGAAATTGATTAGGCCCACGATATGACATTATGTGAATGTAATTGGTTTTAATTGGCTTTACCTGTAGAGTATGAACGTATGTAATCTAATCAATTGGAGTGTTTATTGTTCTTTGATTATCTAGATCAATAGTGTGAAAATGATTTGTGAAAAAAAAAAAAGGACACATAATAAAAAATTTAAACACTTAACGTTTTATAATTTCTCCATTGATTACTTAATTAGGTAATTGAAGAGGTTAATGAACTTTGAAATATTATATACTGTAACCTGTCTTACTACAAAGTTACCTGGTTTATTACATCCTACAGTTTGACAGGGTTTTAGTTGACACCGTATTACTGGTTCTTAAACTGGACGTATAACCTATTAACTTGGCGCTTAAGTCGTATATTTTTAAGCCATTTTTATTTACATAACTCATTAAAAAAAAGGTTCATCATTTAATTAATTTTGAAGCTCTTAAATTACCATGTTTTCTAACTTCAATATCCATTAAATCTTTTATTCTATGAGCACCTGCTATTCCAATACTTAAAACTTTTTCTAAACTATCTAATGGCATTTTATCTTCTAATAATAATAAAGCTAATTTTTCACTTTTCCCAATAACTCCAATTGTTAAACTACTCATATCAATTTCTTCTAAATTATTTAAATCTAGTATAGGTGATTGATCATATAATCCACAACTTATACTACTAACATAATCATACATTGAAATTCCAGCATCTACTAAAGCTAAAGTTATTGAATTTGTAATTGCTGCTAACATTCCACCATCTTGACTTAATACTTGTACATTTATTACTATACTAGTTCTTGGATAAAGATTTAATAACACGGATTGTTCAAAAGTTCGTTCTAAAGTAGTTTTTAATTCAATTAATCTTCTTTCAGTTTTGGATCTTTTCTTTCTTTCAAAAGTTGCAAAATTCGCTATTGTCAAATTTACTTCGATTGTAGCTTTATCTTCATTTCTTTGTGATCTAGTTGTTGGTTCATTAGGTCCTTGAACTGTACATATAATTTTTGTATTACCTTGTTCAACATATGATGATCCATCTGATGAATTTGGGTGTGTATTTATTCGACATTCAAATCGACGTATTTCATTCCATCTTCTTCCGTCTACCCTTAGTCCTTCGGGTGAATATAGTTCTAGTCTAGACATAAACTGTTGTAGTTGTTTTGTTTCTAATCAGATGGTTGTGAATAATTCTAGATCAGATATCGCGAAGATGTAAATTTACGGACTCATTACTACCAAATGGACTCAATGTTTCATTTTGCAGCTAAACATAATAGATTGATTCATTACAATGTCTATAAACTACCTATAAATTGATTAATTAACCAACAATTGCTCAAATAAAACATTATCGATGAATAAAACAAATTATAATCAAAATTATTTATACCCAAAAATTCTAATTGATATGCATTAAACAACCAAATAGCTTGAGTTATTATCCACAAACTTAATAAAAAAAACCCATTATACCAAGTTAATTTGGTTTTACTTATAAAATGTGGTAGGAATATTAAAAACCAAATAAAATATTGTGAAGTTATTACTTTATTGAATGTAACAAATGTGAAAGTTTGAATGAATAAACATGATAATAAGTCCTTTTTAGCTAAAATTAATGGGATTATTATAGCAGATAATAATAATTGTGGTAAAAATGCTAATTTTTCAATGTCTATGTTAGTTGTTGATGGTAAACTTGATTTATAATATAGTAGAACATTGTATACCGAAAAATTATGTCTGTGATCTAATCTTGTGATATGATATAGATACGAGTTCTCTATGAATTCATATCCATAAATAAAGTACGATATTCCATTTAAACTCAAAAATGCAACTATTGTAAATGATATAAATTGTAAATTTTTGTATGTTGTAAGTTTGAGTATGGGTAAATTAACAATTGATCCGGACTTAGACAAATATAAAGCAATTGATGGTAAATAAATTATTGGATATATTTTGAAATGTACAGCTAAACCGAACCAAAATGCTGATAGTTTGATTTTATCATTGATCAAGTAGTATAAAGACAGCATGATCATTACCGTTAATACACTTTCTGATGAACCTCTTGTACTTATTGTGATCACCATAGGATTTAGTAACCATATTGAACTCAAAATTAGTATCTTCTTCTTACTCAATTTATTCTTTTGTAATAATTTGATAATAAGTACCCCTGTGATTAAATCACTAATCATAAATAAGATTTTACCAAAGTGAAACCAAACCCCTTCCCAATTTATTGGTAAAATCATCCAAGACAAAAGTGGAGTATATCTATAAGTTTCCCTAAGATATGGTGATTGACCTTGATAAACATATTTTGAAGCATCTGTAAAAACCATGTAATCTATATCCGTGTATTTCACCGGCATATGTTTATCTTGATATAATCCAAATAAAAAGAAACCAATTCGTAGTAACACTGCTAATGTAATGATTGTGGAGACATTTAACATTGTTGATCTCAAATCATGAATTGAAAAACTTGAAAAATTGAAAATAAAAGTAAACAAAATATAATTTGCAACAAAAATCAGATTTATTTCTTCAACAATATGTCAAATCCACAAGAAGAAGTGTACAAACAATACCTCAATTATGATTGGGATTCAAATAATGAATTTCAAAAAGGATTATCAAAAATTTTGGAGTCATATAAAGAGAGCTTAAAAGAACAAAACCAACAACCTACTATCCTGTCACTCGATCAAACTCAATTAATCAATCAAGCTAAATCCTTTTTTTTCTGTCAACAAACAGGTCATATTCTAAATCTTGAAGACTTTGAAGACTGGAAGATTCACAATGGTGATAAATTTAAAAAGGATAATAAAATTGAGGAGATCGAAGAATTTGAAGATTCAACTACAACAAATGATGATCCTCCATATTCTTCAAATTATCAAAATTTAGCTGAATTAATTATGTCTGGTAAACCTGTTCCAGGGATCAAAGACATACCTGATACAGTTTTAACTGATCAAGGATCGGAATCTCAAAAGCAACAAAGAGTAAAACCATGGGAAAAGGTGAAAGAGAAAGAAGGTAATTAAACAACTTTTGTATTCTACAAATTCTATTGATCAATCAAAGGTGCATCATAATGTTGTTGTTTATAATCCCAAAAGAATGTCAAATCAGCAGGTCCGGTGACATTACATTGCTTACCATAATCAACATTTTTCATTCTTGAATTAATTAACTCAATATATTGATTGAATTCACATGAAAATCCTATACCATTTTGACAACCAGGAAAAGGTAATACAGCATCATTCATTATAAATCTAATATATTGATTTGAACCACATTTCAATTTTTCCAAATATGTTCTACCACCTTGAGGAAAAAGTTCTGCTGCACTATATGGATTTGGAAATTGAACATGATCAGTTGGTAAATCCTTTTCTGGATTAATTAATCCTAATGATGAAAAATAAAATTCCATATCTGTATCATGAGTAAACATTGGAATAATTTTTTGATCTGATTCTTGTAATAATCTAAGGGATGCTTTAACTAATGGTGATCCTACTACTATACTCAAATTGTTACCTTGACCAATTGAATAATAATTTACTAAATCATTTCTATATCCATTTTTTATATATTCTTCATTAGTAAATAAATCTGAAAATGGTGATGAACCACGAACATTTAATTCAAATGCAATCCATAAAAATAAACCAGATACTTGATTAGTAGTTAAATTTAATCCAGGATTATCAACTAACCAACGATTTAAAATATCTTGTAAATAACTTTTATCAAATTGATTACTTATATGATCATTATTTATATTATTTAATGCATTACATGCATACCTTGGTGTTAATGAATTACCTCCCATTTTTTTATCTTCGTCAATTACAACTATTTCAACATCATCTTCATTATAAGTATCTCCTAAAAACCCTCTAGCAAAATAATTTGCTGTTTGATAACATCTACCAGAATTACTTGTAAATACTGTGAAAGTTGTAGTATTATCGTATAAATCATTATATCTTTGCCTAAAGTAAGTTCCATGTCTCAATGCATTTGAAGTTCCTGCATAAGTTCCTTCTGAGTTTGTTGGTGATGTTTCCTTCTCATAATAATCTTTATCTTTTACAAAATATTCATAATTATTTAAAAATGATAAATCACCTTTAAATGGTTGTCCATAACTTTTAAAACTTTCCATTATAGTATCAAAAAATTGACCATCTCCTTTACTTGGAAATCTTTCTCCATGTCTTGATATCATTTGAACTTGTTCAACAGAACAACCATTTGGAATATCTATACTTATACCATACCTTGAACCTTGTTTATATGGACCTGAACCACCTAAGAAATTTATTATCAGATATTGATCATTTGAAGCTTGTTGAGGAGTTGCAAGATCCTGAAATATGGATTGAGCGACTAGTAATAAGTTCGAATTTAGCACTTTCGGGAATGAAACCATGGTTTAACGACTGTTGCTTCTTGATAATTCAGTTGTTAACAATGATTTCAATGATTATTTCAACGATTATATATAGATACTGGCTATCACGTGGGGCAATTTATCAACTTGGTTATGAAATGAATCGGACAATTAAAACATTTATTCATCTAGTGAAATTTTTAAAAATTGGTTTGGTTAGTTGTTATACAATGTATACACACACGTTACATAATGGTTTGGTTAATTGAAAAATTAAGGGGGTTTAATATCACCAAATTTTGAAACGACTTAAATTTTTTTTCATTTTAGGTATTTCATTGTTTCTGATAAACACTATTCACAAACTTTTACTAATCACGTATGGTATCTACTACCTAACAATTTGTATTTGGAACTTGTTCAGAAATCAGAGGCTGCGGTTGAATTCTACATCGAGGGAGCTTTAACATTTCTTAGCAAGAGTTATGAATGAGATCATGTGTAACACGTGTTTATGGTTACAAAACATGAAGATGGTCTAATCAACATTATGAAGTTGCAAATATCAATGATATACTGCTTAGTTTTCAAGCTATAATCACAATCTTATCGATTTGAGTGTCGTACTAACAATGATATCAAAAAAAAAAAATGTAAGACACAAAAAAAAATCAAGAGTGTTACTTTATACCGATCAAGTCGTCAGTCATTCATTATCCATCATTGTTCACCTCACAATCACTACGTGATTATCTCCTAGCACCTACCGTATTTACTTAGACCATTTTAGCATAGACACAACACCAAATCATATGAGCGATTCAGAACAATGGAAAGAGATACCGTTATTTGCTCCAACAGAAGATGATTTAAAAGATGTTAGAACTCATATTTTTAAATTCAGCTCCAAAAATGAAATAAATTTTGATAAATTCCAAAGACCAGTGTATATGAGTCGGAAAGATCCTAGAAATATTAGTTTTCATCTATCTAGAAAAGAACAAGAACAACGTAAAAAGGAGAGACAAGAAGAAGAAGCAAGGAAAAAAGAGGAAATAGAACGAGAGAAAGCTCAACAAGATCAAGAAGATCAATCAAAACCTAAAGCACAAACACCAGATGCAGAGCAAAGTAAAATTGCACCAGATGGAGGAGCTCGTAGAGGTAAAAAAAGTCTTTTCAAACGTAAGACTAAACAAATAAATTTAATGGATGATGCTAAGAGAAAACTTCGTTACGAAGAACATTTCCCATGGATACTAGAAGATTATACTGGTGATAATGTATTCACATCAAGTTATGAGGCCCCTTCCAATGAACAAGCTCTATTTGTATTTGATAAGAATGGTTTCAAATTAATACCTGTTGAAAAGTCATATAGATTTGCTCCAAGAAATAGATATGCCACATTGACGATTGAAGAAGCTGAAGCCAAAATGAGTGAAAGTAATATACCACGTTGGCTTATGAAACATATGGAAGAAGACTCGATACAGGAAGGAATTCCAGATCAAAGATTTAAAAAAAGTTTTCGAACAGCAAGTAATAATATGAGAACTGTTACAGGAGGTGCAGTAAATGAGCGAGATTCAGATCATGATGATTTGGATTTTGAAGAAGAATTTGCAGATGATGAAGAAGCTCCGATTATGGATGGAGATGAAGAAGAAAATAAATTATCAGAGCGTAAAGTTAAAAAAGAAATGTTGAAAGCTGCTCATTTCAATGCTGAAGAAGAAGCAGATGATGATTTAGATGATCTTTTTGAAACTGAAAAATCAAGAAAAGTGGATAAAGAAGGTAAAAAATTGAGAAAAGTATTGAATAAAAGAGAAGGTGGCATATATGATAGTGATGAAGATGAACAAGAAGGTCAACAATATTTATCTAAATCAGATTTAGAAAGTGATGAAGAAAGTGAATCAGAAATTAAAGTTAAGACGGAACCAGGTGAAGATGAACCGTTACAACCGCAACAATATCAAAGAACAATTAGCGCGAAAGACATTGGAGATGGGTTTGTTTTAGTGAAAGCACCTAAAGAGTTCCTAGAGACATTACCTTTTGGAGATTGGCTTCCAAATGGTAGAAAACCAGATTTGTCTGCACCTTTTAAACGAATCAAATTGGAAAAGACCCCATCGAAAGAACGTTCACCTTCACCAGCGCCAGTTGTAAATACCGCAATTACGGAAGATGATTTGAATAACCCTGGTCCTGACTCATTGTTGGTTACAGTGAAAGACGTTCTTGATATCGTACGAGATAGACCATTAACCACAAAAGAGTTATTAGTTGGCTTAAAAAGTAGAGTCAGTGCTCATCCAGATAACAAGCAACGTATAATTGCTATAGTCAAACAAAACTTGAAATTAGTTGATGGTAAATTAGTATTAAAAGAGTAATAAATTATATAGGATGCATGGTAGGTTTATACAATTTCAACGATTTTATCATCATCTTCGTCACTTTCAATTGCCTCGATTTCAGCATTATCTGGTGCTTCATCTCTTTGCAACATTTGTACAACTCTATCACATAAATCAGTAACTTCTTCAACATTACTTACCTTATGTAATTCTCTAACTATGGAATATACTCTTTTTTCTCTAAGATATTCTCTAGCTGGTTTTGTAGTACATAGTAATAATAATGATTCTAAATGTATGCATTGAATACCAGCTAATGGTTCTCTTTGTTTATCTGGTGGTAATAATTGTAATTCATCAGGTAAGTCAAACACCTCATCTTCATCAATTTCTTCGGGACCAGCTAAAGGTAATAGTATAAATGGTAAGATGTTAATCTTCGGATCGGTAAGTAACCTCATGTGAGCGTTTGTATCAAATAATGAGTTTTTAATAGTTGAAGCTACTCCTTCTCTTCTTATTTTATCCTCATACTTTTCTGTAAATACTAATAACTTCGATAAAGGAACAACATTATCATATGATTGTTCTTCTATAAAATATGACCTACCTTGTTGAAATCTTGACAAATCTGCAAAAAAGTAGGCAAGATAATCAAAATTTGCATAATTATTTAATTTTTGATCATTTCCTTTCACGAAACAATCCATTAGACAATTAATAACTCTAGAAGATGGAAATATGTTTTTCTCTTCCTCATTCAACGTTATTTCAACGTCAAGTATATTATTAATTGAATCATTTTTCGCTAGATTAGTCAATAGTATACACATTATATCGGCATTAGTGTTTTTTAAATTGACTATTTTTGAAACTAAGAATTTTAGGTATTCAAAATCCTCAACTATTAAATTCCTTATTAATACATCTTCACACAAGTTTGCTAATATTGTAATTGATTGATTTACTAAAGTCTTACTATCTGATTTGCTCAACCTCTTCAAATCATTGATGGCTTCGTAATTATCATATGAAAAGATATTTTGATTAGGCCCAGTTGAAAATTGTACCAAGTTGTCTAATGCAATTTGAACCACTGCTGGTTGCGGTGAATGCAAAAATCCTACTAATTCTTCTAACTCAGTTGGCATTATGATATAAATTGTTCAGGTTTGTTTGTTAGAAGAGATGATTTTGCAGCTAAAAAAAAAAAAAAAATTAAAATTATAATTCCGATTTCAATCAATGATGTAATGCGTGTTCTGATAAGCTCTTTCTTTTATTATTGAAATCTTGAGTTATAACGCTTTGACCTACGAATAGGAACGTTTATTATTGTATCTGTGGCTAGTATGAGGGAAAGAGATAGTTCTTACATCGTCAACATTACTGACTTCCTTGATAAGTTATCATTAACTTCGATCTAATATCAATATATTCGGAGTTTTATCTTAAATTTGATTAGTAATTTGTTCAGCCCAACGTCGGTATTATTGTCGATATTTACGAATTCTTAGTTGAATTGAAGCGTATATTTATTCTTTGTTTTACAATTCATCAAATTACAGTGGCTTAAGTTTTGGCCTGAACATAAATTGTTTGAGAAAGTCCGTGCCGTTATCAGGAGTTTCGAGTAGTTCAACAAATTTCAATACAAATATTTTAAATTTTTTCTCTTTATTTATATACTTCTACTTCCTCAATTCTTGACAATTTAACAACTTATCATTATAAATTAAGACCATATCAGACATGGCTAGTCATCCACCGGGAGAATGTTGTGTGAGCTCAACTTTACATGAAGGTAAACCAATTGGAGTCCATAAAGAATTATTGGGATTGAAAACATACACAGTTGGAGAGTCAGAACAAATTCTAATTATATTAACTGATATACATGGTAATGAACTCAATAATGTGTTATTGATTGCTGATGAATTTTCAAAAGCCGGGTTCAAAGTTTTGATTCCAGACATATTAAAGGGAGATCCAATTAAAGATGGTGATGATTTACAAATCTGGTTAAAAAGTCATACCCCAGAAATCACTAACCCAATTGTTGAAGGGTTTGTTAGTAAAGTTAAAAATGAATTGAAACCAAAATTTTTAGCCGGTGTAGGTTTTTGTTTCGGTGCCAAATATGCAATTATTAATGCATCTTCTAAAAGTCCTTTGTTTGACGTTATATCAATTATGCATCCAAGTTTTGTCACGATTGAAGAAGTTGCAGATCTCAATGGTACGTTATATCTCTAGATAAATGATAAATTGAACTACAGTACTAACAATTACACCTTTTTAGTCCCAATTACAATTCAAGCTGCAGAAACAGATCCAATTTTTACAACTGAATTAAGACACAAATCAGAAGTAAAATTGGTAGAGATCAAAGCTAGATATCAAATTGATTTATTTTCTCATGTTAGTCATGGATTTGTTGTTAGAGGCTCTCCAGATGATTTAATTGTGAAATATTCAAAAGAAAGAGCTATTGCCAATACTATCGCTTTTTTCAAAAATGTGGATTTAATTAATTCTAGATTATAAGTTAGATAGATATAGAAACTAGCTTGAAGGATACTTAGATATATAATGCTACAAGATTTTTCTACAAGTTAATTTCTACCTATAACTCTCTATTCTTTTACTTAATACTAAAAACCAGCTAAATTCTTCTACAATTTCAAATTTGAAGCTGGCGGCTAATAGTATCAATGCTTGGAAATTTAATATCGCAATGCTACTAGCTATCACTAGGATCTTGAAAACGATTTAAATTATTGCTCAAATTTAATTTCACCGAAGATACTAAATTTTGAAACATGTGGACCAAAAAAATAATGTTTAATCAGTTACACAAAATCAAATTTGAAACCCTTTATAAGTGAACAGATTATATGTAAATTCTATAAACCAATATAATCTTCTGCATTCTCAATTTTAATTCCATCGGCTTCCTCATGAATATTTAACCAGTTAACATTATTGTACTTCTCCAGATTAATTGATGTTTCTTTCCTAATATCTTTCTCGGAATCAGCTAAAACTAATATAGCTATTGCATCATATCCACCTGCACCTGGTACAGTTCCACCTAAGCAACCACGTAGCTCACTCAATCGATCTAATAACTGTGCTTGTTCGATTGGTTCAACTGGAACATTTGCTTTTAAAGTTAAGTCTCGTAATCCCTTTCTAATCTGCAATAATGATTTTTTGATATCTTCGAGGTTTACTTCAGTGACTGCTTTAATAAAACTAGTGTTAGCTTCTTTTAATGAATTATATATTATTTCACTCTCCTCTGGTTTATCCTTCTTCCATTGTAATATCTTAGATACCATTTTGGGAGTTTCTGATCCCCCATTAACATCGCCCATTAATAGCTTGACTTCAGCAGGTAATGCACATGACTCGTGTACAAAATCCCACTTAGATTCGACCGTTGACTTCAACAAATTGGGCTCCAAATCAGACTCTAACACTTTGTTTACTATATCCGGTTGAAATCTTCGATACTTTATTGATCCATATATTGCTGCAGCTACATCAAACCCCGAGCCTATTTTTTGTTGAGCTAAACAATGTGCAATTTGTGATAAGTTATGTAATATTTCGATGGAACTTCCAGGTTTGAAAAATGACATTAGTGACGTTACTAGTACCGCAACTAATCCAGCTGATGAACCCAATCCAGTTTTTGGTACTTCGTTTATCTGTGTATTATGGTAATGAAATGATTTTTTACCATTGTATGATTTTTTAATTATAGTACCTTCATTTGAATGATATTCAGGATCGGAATATATCGTGATATGTAAATTGTAATTCGTGGTCGGTCTGACATAGGATAAAATGGTAGTTATTGATGCTTGTACAAATGGATTCTTCTTATTATTGATCTCTGTGGATTCTAGGTATTCCCATTCGCCGTCAAATTGAGGTGATTTAACAACTATAGATGAATAATTTTGAGTTGGTTGTGACTCTAACACTGCATGCATACGTGATGATAACGCTATAACATACGCATCATATATAGGATCCAACACCAAATAACCACCAGCTAATAAAGCTTTTCCTGGAGCACTGAATGCTTGAGACATAAACGTTATTGTTGATTGAAAAATCTCGTATATTTTAGGAAACTTAAAAAAATACGAATCAGTTACCAGAAATTTTTAAATCAGATTTTGCATTATCGCGATCTTAAATCATGCAACAACAACACCAAAAAGAACATCAACATCTACTACTATACCAACTCAGCAACGAAGAATAATGACGAAAATTGGAATTATTGGACTAGGTGATATGGGTCTTCTTTATGCAAGAAGATTCAGTGAAGCCGGGTGGTCAGTAATTGGATGTGATCGTGAAGAGAATTATGAACCACTACTAGACAAATATCAAAATGAAAAATTCGAGATCAGAAAAAATGGTCATTTGGTATCAAGAGAAGCAGACTATATAATTTACAGTGTTGAAGCTGAAAATATAGATAGAATTGTTTCCATCTACGGTCCATCCACTAAGTATGGTGCAATAGTTGGTGGTCAAACATCTTGTAAAGCTCCAGAAATTGCTGCTTTTGAAAAATATTTACCAGAAGATACGGAAATAGTATCTATACATTCATTACATGGACCGAAAGTCAATACGACAGGTCAACCCTTGGTTCTAATACCGCATAGATCATCCGAAAAGTCATTAGAGCTAGTCAAAGGTATAGTAGCATGCTTGAAATCAAAAATGGTCATCTTAACAGCTAAAGAGCATGATAGAATAACAGCGGATACACAAGCAGTGACCCACGCTGCATTTTTATCAATGGGAGTGGCATGGAAATCAATGTTTCAATATCCTTGGGAAACTCCAAAATGGATTGGAGGTATTGAAAATGCTAAAATAAATATATCATTACGAATATTTTCAAATAAATGGCATGTATATGCAGGATTAGCTATAACAAATCCTTCAGCTCATGAGCAAGTATTACAATATTCAAAATCCACGACAGAAATATTTACGTTAATGATTCAGGGAAAAAAGCAAGAATTGAATGATCGAATGCAAAAAGTTAAAAGATTTGTCTTCAAGCATATAAATAATCATAATTTACTATTAGATGATAACATCTTGGAGAAATTTTCATTGAGTAAAACACCACCAGAAGGAAAACAGCCCAATTCACATTTATCGCTTTTGGCTATAGCTGATAGTTGGTATAATCTTGGAATAGTACCATATGATCACATAATATGTTCCACTCCATTATTCAGAATCTTTTTAGGAGTGACTGAATACGTATTTTGTACTACTGGTTTATTGGAGGAAAGTATAAATGTTGCTGCAACAGACACAAGTTTTAGACAAGATGACTTACATTTTACGTTAGCTGCTGAATCATGGGCTAAAATTATAAAATTTGGAAATTTTAATTTATATAAAGATGAATTTGAAAAGACTCAAGCTTTTTTTCAACCGATGTTTCAAGAAGCTAATGCTATAGGTAATGAAATGATAAAAACAATATTAGAAAGAGTAAAAGAAAGGGAAAATAATAATACTTAAATAGTTAATTTCAACTTTTGAATTTTTTTCATTTATTGCATTAAACACCTTACTTGTTTCAGTGTTACATATTCTATTACATTATTTACATTTGTTCATCCTTAATTACATCCATTAGCCAATCCAACCCTTCATTCAATCCTTCCCCCTTTATTGCACTAGAAGCAACAATGCTCCAACTTCTATCTTTCAAATCGGTTAGATTCAAAGCTTGTGAAACTTCTGCTGCTGACATTGCCCCATTTTGATCTTGTTTATTTGCAAAAACTAATAACGCTGAATCTTGTAATTCTTCTTCTTTTAACATAGTATGTAATTCTTTACAAGCAGTATCTATTCTATCTTTATCTGTTGAATCAACAACGAATATTACTGCTGACGTATTACTATAATAACATCTCCAATAAGGTCTTATGGAAGTTTGACCACCTAAATCCCATATGTTCAATGTGATATTTTTATACTTTAATGTCTCCACGTTAAATCCTATTGTTGGCTTTGTAGTTACTACTTCTCCCATTTGTAATCTATATAATATTGTTGTTTTACCTGCACCATCTAATCCTAGTATAAGTATTCTTATTTCCTTTTGTATACCCCATAGTTTACCAAATATATTCGCAAAACTAAACGCTTGGCCCATTGTCTGTTATGAGGTTTTGAATTGTTTGTAGTAAAGGTATGAATGCAGACTTTGACAAGTTTTATAAGTTGATAGACCGCTAAATGTATTGATCTGATCGTAAAAATAGATGTATTATTTAAAATATTGTGAGTTGGTGTCACATGAATTTAAAGAACGTCATGATTTTTATATTTCCGACATTCATTGATTATTCTATGACATAATTGATATCACCAAAACAATTCATAAAAATATATCCCCATATTAACATAACAAATTAAGATTACAAACTACAATGTCAGAACACCCAAAGGGAATATTAAGGAATAACTCAACATCAGAGCAGCTGCGCGCACAACAACTACAAGATAAATTAGATAGACAAGAAGTTATAAAAAATACAAGATTAAATGCAAAATTAAATTCTGATTCTTCAAAAGGAGATGAAATTAGAGCCAAAATAGCTCAAAAGAAGAAAGAACTAGGGGAATCAGATGATCCTGATGAATCCAAACCGGAACATTTGAAATGGGATGAATTGAATATATACAAGAATGAACAAGAAAAATCGGCAACTATGAAGATAGATGAACCAAAAACTCCTTATGAAGGTGGTTTTAATCCTGAAGGTGAATATTATAAAGATGATGAAGATCAAAATAATGGAGATGAAGATATACCACAATTTGACTTGGGAGAAGGAGAGTATGATAAATTAGACAATGACAATAAGAATGAATCATCATTACATGGAAGTGAAGTAATCAAGGATCCTAATCAGGATGACGAAGGAGATGAAGATGAAGAGAAAGAACCACAAGAAGAGCAATTGACTGCTGAAGAAAGACATAAAAGGTTTGAAGAGAAAAGGAAAGAACATTACCATCTTAAGGCGTTACCATTGAAACATAAAATAGATATTCCTGATGATGATAATGATAATGATAGTAGTACTGATGCAACTGTATAGTTTATATATTACAATAAAAATTATAAGATTGTATCTAATTAAAATATTTCAAATAATTGGCTTGTAATGCACCAACAGCTATTAATTCTTTGGCTGCTTCATCAATAGTAGCTTTTGCGGTTGTTGCATCAGCTCCTTTCAATTTATTTGCAACTTCTCCTAATTTTACATCATCAAATTTTTCAATAATCAATTCGAGATCAGCATCAATGTCAGCACTTTTAGCTGAATCTCCGAAATAATCATTATCTTTGGCAGCAGCTCTAATATTTCTTTTATTTTTCTTTTTAGCTGCTTTTGCTGCTTCCTTAGCCTTTTTGGAATCAGCTTTAGCTGATGCGGCCTCTTCTGCTGCCTTTTTAGCAGCAGCTTCCTCGGCAGCTTTTTTGGCAGCAGCTTCTTCAGCAGCTTTTCTCGAATCTGCTTCTTTATCCCATTTCTTAGCTGCTTTTGCCTTTTTAGCTTCTTCTTTAAACTTTTTGATTCTTGGATCTTCACTATAAGCTCTTTCAACAAGCTCAATGAGTCTTTTATTGTCTTCTTGTTTAAATTTTTTTCTTGCAGCTACATTTTTACGTTCAATATAACGTTTATGATCTCTATTTGCTGTATCATCAGGTACGTCTTCATCTTTAAATTCAAATGTTTTCCAAGAATCAAATTTATTCCAAAAATTATAAAATTTATCAACTTCCTCTTTTGAAGCATCTTGTGAACCTAATTGAGGTACTGGTTGTTTAGATGAAAATCTACCTTCACTTTCAAAGATAGGGCCCCAAACTTCGAAAAAGTCATATTTTGATTTTGATGAAGGTGGTTGTGGATCTTTTGCAGTATCAACTGAATCATATTGTTTCCTTTTAGTTGGGTCCAACATAACTTCAAATGCTTTTTGAATAATTTTGAAAAATGAATCATGCTCTAATCCACCACTTGCAGATTTTTTGTCAGGATGATGTTTTAATACTTGTTTTCTATGAGCTCTTCTAATTTGATCTTCATTTGCTTTATATCTTAAATGTGATAACCCTAAAACTGCATACAAATCTGCCGTTTTCCATTCTCTTGGGTCATGTTCTAATAATTCTTCACTTTGTTCTTCATCTCCTAAATCTTCATCTTCGTTTGTCTCTATTTGTTTAACATTTTTTTCAGCTTCTAATTTTTCAAACTCTGACCATGTATGTCCTCTCAAAGTTCTAGACGCATGTGCTAAAAAGTAACGACCAACAGGTTCAATTGGACGACGATTTGGGGCAGAATATTTTCCGTGTGCTTTAAACGAGTCAGCACTTCCTGATGGTAATACTATTGACATTTTAATTCTAAATGAGGTTGTGGTATGGCTTTAAATGTACTTTACTTCACTGCATCAAATTTTTTTTTCACATTTTGAGTAGATTTAGGAAAATTGACACAAAATCGTAGAGATATAAAGAGATGGAATAATCTACAAGGAGACTTAATCAATCGTTAATCATCTATTCTTTTATAGCGGACATGTCCAATACTTCAATTGAGCCTTCGTTCTTCATGTCTTTTTCTTCTAATAGATTCACGATAGCTCTATAATTCATAGGATCAATTATTCCAACAATTTCATAAGTTTTACCATTATTTTCAAGTTCGTCTAAATGATCTATTTTAGGTTTAATTTCATCTTCATATAATTTTTGATATGCTTTCTTCGTGAGTAATATTTTAACTTTCATTTGGGCTCTTGCTATAGGTATGATTTGTTTTTCGATCAATAGTTTTATTGCATCTAATGCTTGAGTCTTGGTTGGTTTCGTTGGGTTTATATGAAATTTCAATTCAGCTAACGCTTTATCTATCATTGTTGGAGGATATCTTTTTTTCGATCTTGGATTTATACATTTGGATGATATTATTGTTAAAAATTCATTTTGTTTTTGTTGTAAATTTGCATTTCTTTCTTTTTCATGTAGTTGAATTTCTCCTTTATTTAGTATTTCCATTATGATTTGATCTTGATCAGTTGTATTAAATGCCTTTTGAAGATCATCATTATTCGCAACTTGTCCTTTTGAAACATTTATGAATACTTGAGGAATTTGTAAAACTTCATCTAAATCCTTTTCTATTTTAGACCTCCAATCTTGTACTTTATTTTGATAACATGCTATTTCAAATCTTTTTTTACCCTTCTTCATTCGTACTAATGAAACATTTGTCAATTTTATCTGACTATTTGGTTGATTTATAACTGCCATTATGGTTGTAGAATTAAATAAAATAGTTTGGTTTACACCGTTAAGTAATATTAAAAAAAAATGGTTGTACTTAATATTTCTCGCTATCAATAATTTATTTAGGAAGAGTTTAAGAGATATTCAAATACTACAATTTCATATCAATGAAATAAACATGAAATAAACATGACTTCCATTATCTATTACCTATTGCATGAGCGTCTTTTGTTGTTGTTTCGATTTTCCAGTAAATGTATCTATTCGTCGTCATCTTCATCACCATCACCTTCTATAAATTTAGTCTTGACAGTTGACCATAATTTAGCATGATTATGAGCATTCCACCAACTATTTATAGCAGAATCAAAAAATCCTTGAAATGCAAAAGCTCCAACGAATATTCCACCAACAAAAATTGAGTTTCTTTCCAATAAGCGACCAAGTATTGACTGAAAATTATAGTTAGTATCCTGTATCTTCATAGATTGACCTAAGTAGATCCTCCCGACGTTAGCTTCGTGAAACTAGCAGGTATACCATGGCCCCAATCCACTCATTGATTTAAATAAACATACCATTGTAATATGTAGATGTTCTGATGTTGATCAATGGTTATACCAAGTATGTTAGATATTTTCTCTCTCTTATTAATTATTTTCGTTTTTAAATTGATTGGTTTATTTTACATAGAAACGTGCTACCAGTTAGAATATGATATTTAAGTAACTATTTACTCTAATTTAACTTCATCTAGTTTACTTGTTGCTTCTTCAACACTACTAACTGTGGCCGCTATATCAGACTCGGTTTTAGGATCAACATCTGTTGTTGTTGACGACGCGGAAGCACCAGGGTATTTACTTCCTTTGTTTTTGGGTTTTTTAACTTTTTTCTCTTGTTTTGGCGTTGCAATTGGATACCCTTTTGCTTGAGCTTCTTGAAACTCTTTATTGTTTTCAAATTCTTCTCTGATTGGTTTTAATAATTCATTAATTTTATCAGCTACTCCAGTCTTCAAATCAGGTGGAGATAATTTACCTTCTTCATAATCTTTCTTTAAACTTTCAATTGAATCATACTTTATTGGTCCACCAAATTTTTCAGGCCTATCAATATATAATGAGAAAGAACCATCTTTACCAGTTTTTAATTCATCTATTGGTTGTATTACAAATTCTGTAAATGCAATTAATCCATTATCTTTTAATTCTCCTGGTGCACAATAAGCACTATTTATTTTCTTTTTAACAATCTTTGGATCTTCTATAATATCTATCTTGGAATTTGGATCTGACGCACTCATTTTACCACCTTGTCCTAATCCTGGAACCATTGGATTCATTAAATGGCCTCTTTTTTTGTAACCTAAACTTGGTAAATTCTCTTCAGCTAAAACAAATATTTTTCTTTGATCTATACCTCCAAATTGTGCATCAACACCCAAATGTTCTTCATCAATAGCTTGCATTAATGGATAAATCAAACCTGACAATAATGGGTTAGCGACTTGTTTGACCACATCTGCTCCAGCTCTTTTAGCATCATTTTGCGAAACTACATTTGATAATTTGAATAAATCCATAATATAATCACCACCTCGTTGATAAGATGATCCAACAATGAAATGTAATTTGTCAATAGGTACTCCAATGGATTTTAAAATGGATTTTACAATAAATTCATAATATTTCGAACGATACTGTACAACCTCTAAAGGAGCTTTCATATTATCTAAAAATGCATGCAAATCGGCGACTAAAACAGTAACTTCACAGCCAGCTTTTAAAAAATGAGCTAATTTGATCATAGGTACAAAGTACCCACAATGTGGTTTACCAGTTGGTGCAGTTCCCCAATAAATCTTTAAAGGTCTTTGCTCTTTTTCCAAAACATCTTTTATAATTTGAGCATTCAATACTTCTTGTAATCCTTTTGTAATTAGATTAAACTGTTCTTGAGGTGATAGTTGGACCGACATTGTCGTGTTGATGATTCTTAACTGAAATGATTTACTATGTTTCACATTTAAGTGAAAAATATTTTATGATTCAAATTACGCTCTTTTTTATTCTTACTTTTTAGTCATAAGAGTAATTAAGAAAAAAGGGAAAAATAAAAAACAGTAGCACGAGAGAGCAAGACAGTTTTTCACGTTATCACTGTTTGGAATTACACGGGCTCGCTCGAAAGATTTGTCGTTATTTTTTAATATATTTCGCATAATAGTCTACTGATAATTAAACTTTAAAAGTGATAATAATATACATAAATACTAAGACATATTTATTTCTTCACATCCAACCATTACTCGTCACTCAGCATTGATTCAAAATGTCTGATGAGAATAAGGATAAACTAAAGAGATTATTAGTCAACCTACCGTCACAAGTAGAATTTAAAAGTTCACCATCACTTTATCATGGGTTATTCAAAATATTATATATTTCTGCAACAAGTAATGGCAAACATTTGTCAAAATTATTTCCAAAATTAAATCCAAATGACAGAGATTACATAGAAAGTCTAAGAAACAAAGATTACGATATCAATGATATGGAAATTATTTATAAATTTCATCATCAGGAATATTTAATGCCATCATACTCACATCCAATCGAAAAACCATGTGCTAGGTTATTCCAACCAGGGGATGCTGTATATCGATGTGAAGATTGTGCATATGATGATACTTGTGTTCTTTGTATGCATTGTTTTAATCAAATGGATCATTTACTGCATACGGTTGTTGTTTATAAATCACAAGGAATCTCAGGAGGTGTATGTGATTGTGGAGATCCGGAAGCATTTGTGAATCCTTTACATTGTCGATGTGCAACAACTGAAGAAGATAATTCAAGTATGGATATCACATTTGAAAGTTTGTATCAAACTATCAAAATTTGTTTGCAATATATTTTGGATGTTACAAATTCATCTGTTTCAACTTTACCAATCATTCATGATATATTGAGTGATCCACAATCTAGTCTAGATGAAAAATCTTTATCAAATTATTTTTTATTACCATTCGGTCATTATGGTGGAGCAAGAGATATAAATTCGACTGATAAATGGTATTTGATTTTATGGAATGACGAATATCATGATTTGGGCCAAGCAGTTAGATCAATACAATTAGCTACTGGATTTAACGATTCTAAAGCTACGGGCATTGCTCAGAAGATTGATAAAGAAGGATTTTGCATACTCAAAGAGGGTAAAACTTATACGGAGTTGTTAAGCTCAAAATCGAAGGTTGAACAAGGTGGGTTGGTAGCTACTATAACGTCTGCTAGAGATCATTTGAGGGAAATGATTGTTAAATATATTATTCAATGGTTTGATGAAATTTTGAATAATAACAGCAAATCATTCAAGAATTTGAGTCGAGATGCAATCACACTGTTATTGATTGAACGAGACTTTTGTTTTTCTAAAGTGTTCCCAGCGGAATTTTTAGCTGGTACTACATTACATGAGGAAAAGAAGAAGAAAGCATGTTATGAAAATGGTATTCCAATTGATGGGAAATTTTTGAATATGTCAGGTTTACCAATTACAGAACCATTGTCAAGATTTCAAATTCTATTATTATATCAAATTAGATTCTCCAAAAGTATTCGAAAAAAATTGGTTTCAATATTAATTCCAATTATAGTATCAAATATAGAATTGAAACTGGAGTTTGCCAAACAATTTACAGAAATTTACCCAACCATGTTGATGATTTACACTAAATCGGACCGGGAAGATCAGTTGAACTTGATTTCAGAAATTACTTCTCAATTATACACTTGCCCGTTAACTATGAAGATTCTTCTTCGCGATTTGGGTGCCAAGTATGTTTTAGAAGGTATAACACGAGTTGTAAGAGAGAATTGTGCTGTAAAAGTCAATGCGCATTATGTTATCAAAGAACTTCCAGAACGAACGCATCATCAAAGAAGACTTAAAGGTGCAGTTACTAGAGGTATATTCGATTTACTTCGCTTTGCTTCAAATTCTTTGGATTTAAGTTCTTACATGCAACCAGATAATTTATCATCTTTGTTATCATTCTTGGAACTATTTCAAGGTTACTTACCATTTGAGAGAAAAACGGGAGAACATGTTGAGCAAGAACTGTTGAATTATAGGTATCACGCGATATTTTCCATTCCAATTTTAATAATCGTTAAAAATATTGCTAGCAGTTCATATCCGACGGAAGAATTGGAATTCGCAGTGAAAGAAGTGGCATCAAAGATAGTTCCTCTTTTAACTAGAGTGAGTGAATCTTCAATGGCATTTGTTCATGTATTGACTTCATTTTTTGTATACTTATTGAAGAATGGTGGATTGAAATTTGCCGAGAAATCTAAATTGATGGAAATAGCTCAAGATTCGCTTCGAACAATAGTTTTAGGTTCTCAAGTTAAAGTGGGTTTTTGGATACGGAATGGTTACTCAGTATCAACTCAAGCTTCAATGTATTTCGGAGCAGGAATGTCTGATTGTACTTTTTCAAATGATTTTTATTTACAGCAATTATTTGCACTTTATGAAACGCCAGAGCAAATAACTCAAACGTTTATAAGAACCTGGGAATTTGATGAATGGTTCACAAACAACAAAGAGTCAGTTTATGAAGAAAGATTCTTTTCCATGGTGGAAAGATTTATTTCTTTTGCATACAATATCATAGTTGACAGGTCAGCTTTTAGCTCCATGTCTTCAAAAGAAAGTTCAATTCAAGCCGCTAAGAAATATTTGACTTATCAGTTATGTGAAAAGGCAAGAAAATACTCTGCTTTAAAAAGCAATTTTAATTCAGAAATTACTGGTTTGGAGGACTTTGACGATATTTTATTGGAAATTGCTGATTATCAAGCTCCATCTACTTTATTGGACACAGGTTTGTACAAGCTAAAAGAAGAAGTATATTTGGATTTAGACCCTATGAGTTTATTCTTAGATCCTTCAAAATTTCATGTCATATCTGACATTTTGATAAAGACCATATCCAAGCTGAAGAAAATTAAGGAAGATCAGGTGATAATAGAACCTAGAGTAATCGAATCTCCCGATGAATTTGTAAATAAGTCCATCGGTAATTTTGCTAAGACTAAAACATTTTTCAAATTAATGTATAAACTTTTAAGAGTTGCTGTGGATTCCTCCAATGAAACTTACCTTCCACATCTTCTTCATTTAATTCATGCTATAGTTTTAGATGACCAGTTACTCCATGGGAATGATTATGTGAACGAAAATTTTTTACATATTCCAATTTGTGATCTTTTAGTGTCAATAGTAGAATCCAAAATGTCAAAACCAATAGTTAAAAAAGCAGATTATTTAGTTGAGCTTATGGTGAAAGGCGATTTAAGAATAATTGATAATTTAGTAAGTTGTTTTGGTGAAGAGTTCATTCAAAGTTATAAAAAACGCAAAACCCAAATATTTGAATCTGATGATGAAAAAAATAAAAGAAAAGCTGAAGAAAGAAAAAACAAAATTCTTAAGAAATATTCAAAACGTCAAGAAAAGTTTTTAGAAAAAAATAAGGAATATAAGGAAGAAGCCAAAGATGAAGAGGGACTAACCGATTCTTCAAGAACTTGTGTCCTTTGTGGAGAAAAGGAAAGTTTTGATAAAGTTTTTGGTATATTATGCGGAACTACACAACCAGCGATCTTTTGGCCATTGTACCCAGTAGCGAGTAAAAGAGCATCAGATATATGGAGCGACGACCTTTATGCTAATGAAGATGATTCTAAATACGGGAATCAAATTCAAATTCAAGAACCCTTCGTACTGCGTCAAAGAAATGTTTTGTCGACATGTGGTCATGGAATTCATTATGATTGCTATAGAAACTCAGGTGGTGATTCAGCGTATTATCAATGTTCATTATGTCATAATTACTATCAATATTTCCTTCCATCGTTCGCTTTCAATAACCTTGATGAAAAATCAGTAATTTTTAAAAGACCTGAAGATTATAAATCTGAACGAAACACTAAGATTATGAATAGAGGCTTGGTTCCCCCTGACCATAAAGTGTCGTTTGAAATTTACAAAAACATAGGGAAAGATCAGACTTCATATGCAACCTTAATAAATTTATTATGTAACACGATTCAAATGAATGAAATGACTACACGTTTGAATGGGGTGGAAGGATATTCTCAATTTTTGAAGCAAATTCCAAAGTCTAACAAAGTTTTAATGCAATCTATGATTCAAGGTATAACTCTCATACCCAAATTCAAATCAGAAGGGTTGGATTATGATTTCGACCCAGTTGGAATTTGGCAATATCATGAAGATGACGTGTTCAATCGTACATTATATATGTTTTTCATTTCGAGCCGTCCATTATCCGATGTTATTGAACAGTCAATGTGTCAATATATTTATTCCTTTTTTGAAACCGCGCTTGAAGAAATAGATGAAGAAGAATTTGCTGATGAATATGTTCCAAATTACGATGAAGATCCAGTATACAAGAAGTTCTGTGAAACTTGGTGGTTGTTACATCAAGAACTAGTTGATGAAAATCTGGGTCATTATATTTATCAGATGTCTCAACAACTTCTTTCGGTTTATTTAAGACAGTTGGTTATTTTCAAAGATGTTTTACTTAGTTCACTTATAGGTGATGAGGTTATTAGTCATACAAACTTTTCAGACTTGGAAGATGAAATCAAAAACCAAAAAAATATATACGGAATTGATCCTTTGAGTAAAATCTTACAAGTTCCCACATTTGAAGAAGTCCTTGATTTCTTCTCAGATGAAAAATTTCGAGAACATATGAGTTGGTTGCCTGATCTTTTACCTTTACAATTTCCTGGTCAAATCCGATTGATTACATTACCGAAGGATCACAAAGATAGTTTGTTTGCATTTCCAGGATATGAGGTGGTAAAATTTGTAAAGTGTTTACTTTGTGGGGAAGACATATTACCTCGATCGGCTCATTCAGAGTGTGCTTCAGATCTAGTCATCGCATTTGATCCTAAAAAGAATGCATTCAGAGTAACATTGTCTTTAGGGACTACTTCTTTAGCAATTGAGCTACCGGGACCTTATTTGACAAAACATGGTGAGCCAAAATCTATAAGGTATAAAGGTAAAGCTACTTTAGACAAATTTAGATTCAAGGAGCTCAATAAGTTGTGGTTGAACCAAGGATTAGCCAGTTTTGTTACTAGAAGCTCACCAGGTTTTATGCGTGCTTTGCAAAATGGTGCTTTGTTGAATCGTGCTCCTGTTTTCACAGTCCCGACCAATGACATGATGGATGAGGATGAGGATGATGATGAAGAGTGGATGGAAGAGGGTGAGTTTATGATATTCTAATTATGATACGTAGAAGTCATTAGGGTAATGTATAATGAAATATATAATGATAAATTTATGCGTAGTTCCTGGTCTCGTATGTCTTGTAAAATATATGTATCTATTACAGTTTCCAATCACATCAATCATAATTCATATTACAAACTATTCCAACCTCCAGCATCTGCAGTAGATTCCAAAGTTCTGGCTATATAATTAGAAACATCATGTTGTAACCATACGTTTCTAATAAAGTCGTCATACCTAGGTTTCATCAAATGTAATGCTTTCCCCTTTTTATTCTCATCAGCTAAAGCTCCTTGTTCGTCTAAAAACGGAGCATTATAAAATGAACCACCATTTTTATTAAGTAAAAGTATAGTCCTATCTTTAGGTAGCAAAAACATCCCAACGTTGCTATTACATTCTCTCAAATAGTGAGTAGTACACTGACCATCATCACACCCAATAGCTTGCTTTTGTAAATCCACAACTTGTGCACAAAATAAACATATTGCTGGATCTTCGATGAATTGATGAGGATTGTTGAACCTATCCAGGTAATAATATTTTGAAAAAAATAGGTCAAGTCTATCTGGTAGGTCTATTAGTCTTATAATTCCGGGGTATTCTAGCTCTTTTTCAACATGAGGAATATTGCTACTTGTATGAACAAAATTATAAAACAATTGGGAATTCAATAATGTAAGTAAAATATCAGAAACAGTTGGTATATTCAAAAATCGAGACAAGGCATCTGCTTCTAATTCTGATTTACGTACTTTAACATTGACTTTTTCGGTATTTGCACATTGAACAAATGCAAATATAGCAGCTCTTCTCAAAAATGGTGTAATTGATTTAACCAACATGGTATATGCGATACCGCCATCAATATCAACTGAATCAATCATCTTCAAACATTCACGTGCCGCAACTGAAACATTTGAGCTAATATCATGTAATTTTGGAATATCTTGTACTGTAAAAGTCCAATTACGACGTAATTCCTTTGCAAGGATATTTAAACATTGTATTATATGACATGTGAAAATTTGTCTCAAAATTGAATTGAATGAAAAATTGATAGATGGGCATGAAATTATCTCAACAAGCAACTCAAAAAAATCAGCTTCTAAAATTGTGCTATTTACTTCATCAGTTAGCAATAAAATGTATGACAAAAACTTTGCTTGAGCATCTTCCTCTTGCAGTGATTCGAATTTCAATCTCAAATTAGCTAATCTAAACTCATTCAATGTCCTCAAATTTATTAAAGTATTATTTGTCAATTGTTCAATTACTAGAAACCCGTGAGATGAAACACCTCTCAATGCTATTTCTGACAGTTTGATTGAATTCGATAAAATGTATGATGAGTCCAGCTCATAAAATCGAGGAAAAGTAATCGATGTTATAGTTTGATTGAAATTATTTAAAACATTATCGTAATCCTTATGGTCAAAATTTGGTAAACTCTCCATCAACGCATATTTACTTAATTTCGATAAAAATTCTTCATTTATTGAAAAAGCTTGGAACGGTGAGCTATTTGATGGTGTTAAATATTGTGATAAACTTTTATCATTGTATTTGCTTAAAATAGGAATGAAAATGTTGCTAGCTGATTTACATAGTGGACATAAAATATCTTTCAGATTTGAACCCTCAGGAGTATTTCTAGTGATTTGACTTTGTCTAGGTCGATTATTATCCATATAATTAAGGTAGCACTGGAAATGCATACCATGTCCACAACTCAGTGAAACTAGCTTGCTTTCAACACAACCATCTGATTTAAAACCAGGACCAAATGTAAAGTCATCTTTCACAGTGTCCATAAAATATTCCCAATTTTTTGTTTTATACTCATAATCGCTTGAAAAGCCACTATTCAAATTCGCGGCATCCGAAAAAGATTTCAAAAACCAATAATCATCATTAAATGGAACTTTACGAAATGTTGTTGACTGATTGATATATGCTATAATTCCAAAAGGACCCAACTCCTCGCCCACATTCTGACATAAAATGCAATGAGCATCGGGAAACTTCCATCCATGTTTTAATTCATAATCTTCCATCTCTATGTCGCTTCCTTCGGTTGATTCGTTCTGATTGTTTTCCAAAAACTTTGTTTGTTGTTTCTTAAATTTTGCCATCAACTGTTCTTGTTTTTTCTTAGCAATAAGTCTTTTTCTAGCTAATTCATCATTTGAAGCTGAATCATAACTATTGAGTGATATAAAATCAAAATCTATATCCTTTATTTGCAGTCTCATATCAGATTCAAAGGTTGTATGCATTTTGCTCATATCAGCGTAAATGGCACGTATCTTGCAATGCCCAATTTTGAAGTTTTCATCTTTTAAGAAATTAAATAGTAATTGATTCAAAGATAATTTGAAGTTTGAATTATATGACATGAATTGCTGATAAAAGCTAGCTCCTCCAGCTCCACAACATATGTGTATTAAATGTAAAGTAGTTTCAAGTAAGCATTCGTGTTGGTGTAACTCGTGTAGTTGTACATAGATCAAAGCTTTCATAATAAATGTTACAAAATGAACCGACGATGAAAAATTGCCAATATTTCTATATATCGGTAAAATGTTTGAATCAATTTGTTTCGGATGAATTACTATTTCAGACAAAGGTTTGCCTGTTTTCCTTTTGATTCGGTCTTTCACTAGTTTTAAAGCATCATCTCGAGTGTTGGTTGTGTAATTAAAATAGTAAGGATCAACTTCATCCAAATACTTTTCCTTTAATTGAAAAATTCCTGAATCACTAGCTCCTGTTGGTTTCTTGTATGTTGTCATCTCACCCAAAATTATGTCAAATCTTTTATCTGCTATAACTCTATCAGGCATTTGTGAACTTAATTTTTTATAATTTAATGGACCAAAGCACAAATTGTGTATAATTTCCCTCTTGACTTTCGTTCTTGTTACTTCCGCTTCAGTCATTCCTTTGAGGTGTAGATCTTCAGTCATGACATATATAAAAAAATTCACACACTCTTCAATCATGTATGGTAATGTTTTCTCATCGTAAATAGATTCCAGATGTAAATCCCAATTTAAACCTAAAGACCAACGATCTAATGTCAAAAATGTAGCAAAATCAGAATCACAAATGCTCATGAAAATTTGAGTGAAAAAATAATCTCTAATGTAACCATTATCCCTCAATCCTGTATTTTTATATAAATGTAGTTGTGATTTAACATTAAATCCATTTCTAACCCAAAATCCAGCTTTGATTTGGGACATCAAAACGATTGTTTTAATAGGATAATCAAAAATTAAACTTTCAATGCTAACTCCTGGGAATTTTGGTGCTTGAATTTCCTTGAATATTGCTTTCAATTTATCAAGGTTCGAGAATTTGGCATATTCAATTAAGCAACTTAAAAATGAATGAGTTGGGTGTAAGAAACTTACCGAATCTTCAGATACTTTAGAACTTTTTATTATTTGTTTTGAAATAGGATCCTGTAGAAAGTCTCCACTCAATTGAATATCAGTATTTTCATAATTGATTCCAGGTATTAAGTGAGTTTCCAAATTTATTAAATAATTTATCACATAATGAATAGCTGAAAGTGCTCTTTCTTGCTTGTATGATATATCCATCTCGGTATAGTCCACAGTTTCTGCACTCATCTCGGCAAATTTATATATAACTGGTATGGATTGAAAAAAACTCGAATAATCAGGACTCTCGTATTCAACATGATTTGTTTTCTCTCTTCTCATTGCAGGTCTTCCTTGAAATAAATCTAAAACATCACAAATTGCTGCAACGCTCTCTTTATCCAATACATCATAAGATTTTTTTCCTCTACTTATAATAAAGCTAATATCGAAGAACAAATGACCCCATCTTCTATTTTTCAAACTTTTTAGTGAAATTTCATGGATTGAATGATCATCGAATTGTATTCTTTCACTAGTTAAAAACGAGTGGACGGATGCTAAAATTGATATAAAGTCACCATGATGAATAATTGATTTTGAATTACCAGGACTGGTAAAAAGTTGTGTTGAAAGTTTGGACATGACGTTTAACTCTGGTTCTCGATCAATTGATAGAAACATATCAGCAACAACGGCATAGATCTCAATATATTGACTTGATATTATATGTTTATATTTCAAACTTGTAATTAAAGAAGTGGAATACATATCATGTAGCAATGATCTAGCTGCTTTCCAAAATCTAATGTCCAAAAAGATCATATATTGTAGTCGAGATCCATGAATATCTATCTCAGACACTTCAGTTTGACCACAATTATCACAATGTATATTCTCTTGACATTCATCGATCCATAAAGTATCATAATGTTTGGTCGATATCTGGGGTATACTTAAGTTCGGTTGTAAATGGCCAGTTGAATATTTTTCAGTAAAATCACCTTTGTTCTGCAAGCCACATCTCCATTTTGAACAAAAAGCTCTATCAAATAATTGCTTCACTGTCGTATTGATTTTAAAAAATTCACTTTCGGTGAATTCATTCAACCAAACTATCAACTCATGACACATTTCTTCTCGAAAAACATCTCTTGTGCTTCGTATGCTTGTCGTTAATCCCGTCGAACTAAGTAATCTTTGTCTCTCCAATAATAAAGGAATATCAGCTGAAATTATAACCTCAGCTTTACCAAATATTTGAACCTGATCAGTTATCATTATCGCAAAATCTTTGAACTTCCTACTTGCCAAGTAAACTCTTTGGACTGCATCTCTATAATGCCTTATTTGATCATTATACAAAATTAAACAATATTTATCATTATGAATATCTTCAAATCCACAATCATGATATTTATGCGCATTAAAAGTACTATATTTAGTATTTTTCAAAACTGTATCAACATTCATTTCTTCTATGTCATCCAATTGCAAATCACTATGAATCATAACATCAATAATAAAATCTAAGGCGTCACTTATTGTTTTCAAAATTGAATCATAAAATTCATCCGGTAGTATCTGATCTTGAAAATTTAATTCATTTAATGCATAAGGGCATTTAAAATCTCTTACCCAAGCTTCTGGATCACCACAATCACAAACACCTCCATTTTCTCTTAGACAAATCCCTATATGAACATCATGACCATCATGTTCAGATGGTTGGTAACAATGGGAGCACAAAGCACATGTTTCATCATACGAGCAAGTTAAGCATCTAAAAATTGGTTCACCCTTATGAAAAATTCTTGAACATGGTTGATGTGGATGAAAAGCATTATGACTATGAGTGTCTTGAACACCTCTTTTTATAGCCAATGATTTTGAATAATTCGAATATTTCCAATTAAATTCATTCTCTAGTTTATCAATTAAATTTGGAATATCTGGAAATAACCAATCTAAATATTTTCCATTAGTTACAGATAAAAATAATTCTTTTCTTATTTGTTTTCTAATATTTTCATGTATTTCAAAATTTGATTCTTTTGGTAAACGTAGTAGAAATTTTTTCAAATTATAATCCATGTGTGTAAATATATAGTTGATTGGAATTGGGACTTTGATCGATTTATATCATTAGTTTGTTGTTTGGGTGCAAATTAATGTAGTTGATTAATTAGTGGCAAAATGAAACTAAAAATAAAAATTCAAAACAAAAAACCAAATCGGGTTCAAAAAAAGTAGAATATACGAAATCTAAAACAATTTAAAATAAATAATAAAGTGCCATAGAAATCATTCAGCACACCCTTTGATCAAGGTCATCGTCAACTATCAATCATTAACAATAAACAACCACAAATATGGCTGTGTCAACGACGCACAATGAATCTTACAGTCCTTTTAATATAACGATCAATAAACAAAAACTACAACATATCCACGATGTTTCATCATTAGTTTTGGGGATAGTAGCAGGTATAATGACATTGGAATCAATTTATGGATTTTTATTTTTCCTAATTGGTAATTTCGTGACTAATATAGTCTTCTATGTAATCTGTACACAAGGTAATAGTCATAAATTTTTCAGAAATCCAATACAGGAAATTTTTATTGAAGGAATCCCAACTGATATAGCTGGATACATTATGATGTGGTGTTTGATATATGCGTTGGTGAAATCAAACTCCTAGAGGTGACTTTACTTTGTTTGAGTAATTTGATAACGAATGCTGTACCTGGTGGAGAGATTTATAAAAGAAAAGTTGTGCAATGTTGAACGTATTGTTTAGCATTATGGGTTTCATTTCATGATTTATTTAGACACAGAATAGAATTCTAGGGTTGATTGCATGTAAATAAGTTTTCGTTGTGATATTTCGTAATCTCTATAATACATGACATAACTCCGATGTAATTGGTAGCAGATTTACAGTGGATTTATATGACTACGAAAACGTTGAAATTTCATAATCTCACCATAGCAACATCAATTGAACAATCAAAACATATCAACAAATACTCAATTGACTCAACAATTATAGCTATGGAAAAGATAGATACCTCAACCAATTCTAAAAGGATTCAAGAACCCTATAACAAAGTAGTTAGAGGTGACCCTAGTATTTCATATGTTGTTTATAGTGTGGATAAAAATGCAACATTAGACGTTTCAGAAACCGGTGATGGACCTTTAGAAGAATTTGTGGAACAATTCACTGATGGTCAAGTGCAATTTGGTTTAGCTAGAGTAACTGTTCCTGGATCTGATGTTTTTAAAAATCTTTTATTAGGTTGGTGTCCTGATAACGCTCCTGCAAAATTAAGATTATCATTTGCTAATAACTTTGCAGAAGTTTCAAAAATCTTTAGTGGGTATCACATTCAAATTACTGCTAGAGATCAAGACGATTTGGATGTAGATGAATTTTTAAGTCGTGTTGCAGCTGCTGCTGGAGCAAGATATTCAACTACTCCAGGAAGTTCAAGTAAAAAGTCAACTCCAACTCCAAGTGTTTCTAAAACAACTGTCTCAAAACCAATTACTCCTAAACCAGCATCATCAACAAGCAAACCATCTTTTATTCCAAAATCAACTGGATTTGGAAAATCAGAAAAGCCTAAATCATCAAATGATGATGGATGGGGAGATGCTCAAGATGTTGAAGAAAGAGATTTCGATGAAAAACCTTTGGAAAATGTTCCATCCACTTATAAACCAACAAAAGTAAATATCAATGATTTGAGAAAACAAAAATCAGATACAATTAGCTCTACTCCGAAATCCAAGACTACGGAAACGAAAAAATCTGAAGAAAATGATGATAAACCAAAACCATTAAGTGAACGCTTGAAAGCTTACGATCATAATGATGATGGTAGATTAACTTCATTACCAAAACCAAAAATTGGGCATTCAGTGGCTGATAAATATAAAGCAAACGCATCATCATCAGGTTCTACTCCTTCATTCGGTGCAAAACCCTCATTTGGTTCAAACAATAACACCAACAAAGCGGATAAAGTATCTGGTGGATTATCAAGAGATTTTGGTGCTGAAAATGGTAAAACTCCAGCACAAATTTGGGCTGAGAAAAGAGGTAAATATAAAACTGTTACTTCAGATGAAGACGAAAAAGATGATAATAAACCAAGTCAAAATTTCCAAAGTCATGCTTCTGAATTAGCTAATAAGTTTGAGAAGCAAGCTAATCTTAACGATGATAATCAAGACGAAGAAGAAGAAGAAGAGGAAGAAGAAAAACCAGCTCCACTTCCAGCTAGAAACTTTCCTCCACCACCAAAAAGACAACCAATTCCAGAACCAGAAGAAGATGAAGAAGATGAGGAAGAAGACGAAAAACCAGCAAAATTTTCAGCTAGGAATTTACCTCCTCCTCCACCTAGACAACCTGAACCTGAAGACGAAGAAGATGAAGAAGAAGATGATGATGAAAAACCTGCACGCTTACCTGCTAGAAATATTCCTCCACCAACTAGTTTCGGAGAAGACGATGACGAAGAAGAAGATGAAGAGGATGAAAAACCAGCAACTTTACCAAGAAGAAATTTACCACCACCACCTCAAGCACAGGCTGAACCAGAAGAAGAACCTGAGGAAGAACAAGAAGAACCTGAATCCAAACCTCAAACTAATTCGGGATCAAATACAGCTATAGCAGAATATGATTATGAAAAAGATGAAGATAATGAAATTGGATTTGAAGAAGGAGATTTGATTGTTGAAATTGACTTTGTTGATGAAGATTGGTGGTCAGGTAAACATTCTAAAACTGGTGAGATTGGATTATTCCCTGCTAATTATGTTACTTTACAGGAATAAAATAAAATTAAATAAATAAAAAGTTTTTTATATAAATAAGTATTAGAAGTAAAAAATTAAGTTTGTTCGTTTGGTCTTTACAAAACGTAGTTTCTAATGAATGATTATCGAAATGAATAGATTGACAAAAGAGCAGAATTAGCAAAAAAAAAGACTCATTAGAGGATTTCTGTACGACCAGAGGGAGGATTGAACTCCCGATCTTGTGATTAACAGTCACACGCCTTAACCAGCTTGGCCATCCAGTCTTAGACAGGTACTCCAAGTAACCTGTTTTCTGGCAAAACTTTTTTTAGCTGCTAACAGTAAGCTAGTTGTACGACCCCAAAATCACACCACATTTCTTATTTTTCTTGGTAAAAAATGTTTGGATTTTTTTTACCATGGATACTAAAATTTCTCATACAGCTTGGATAAAACATATAACTTTTGCATTTATAGTTCTGAAAGAAATCTATTTCTTATTTTCAGCCATTAATACTCGGTATTGCTTATTATTTTAGATTAGTGAAGTTGAAAGAATTATTTTAAGAAGTGTATGCTTTTACTTAAATTTTGCAACCAAATTTGGTACAAAAAAGTAAGACTATAAAATTTATTCCTTCCTTCTCACCTAATACATTCAGACTTCAATAGAGGTGCTAAAAAAAGGACATTTACAATGCCATAGTAAGTTACATAATTAATCATTAATTTCATTACATACAAACTTCTCTTTAAAAAATAGCAAATAAACCAGCTATCACCGCAACTACAAAATCGAAATTTTTAGTAGTAACTCCCATGTTCTCATTTTGTGAAGCTGAAGCAGTAAGGTTAGATGATGAAGAAGTTGTTTCTTGTGGTTGTGATTGTTGTTGTGATTCTGAAGTTGGTTGTGATTGTGCCGATTCTGTTCTAATAAATACTTGACTTGATGGTGCAGCTTGTGAAGTTGATTGTGATGATCTTGAAGATGTGTTTATGAATACTAGAGAGGATTGTGATTGTGATGCAGATGGTGATTGTGGGGCATCAATTGAGGAAGGGTTTGATGATTGTGATTCTGATTGTGATTGTGAAGTAGTAGATGCAAATGATGATGTTACAGAAGAGGAAGAAGTTGAAGTTGGTTGTTCTGAGCTGGAACTTGATGATGAAGATGACGAAACTGAGCTTGATGAGCTTGAGGAACTGGAAGGGCTTGGACTTGAGCTTGAACTTGATGAGGAGTTTGAACTTGATGAGGAACTTACAGCAGAAGAAGAAGAACTATCACCAGTTGAACCACTATTAGTAAAACCATTTCCACTCCTAATATCAGCAATATCTTGTTGAGCTTGATTAAATCTGCCATTAATTTCACCACCATTTGAATTAATTGAATCTAAATTACCAGTTTGATCAGTATAAGAATAAGAATTACCAGTTGAATAATCCATTGCAGTTATAGATTTTATATGCATAGTAAAAGGAACTTGACTATAATCAGTATAACCACCAGCCCATTGTATTGTACCTATTTCATTTGATGGATCTCCACCTGCCCAAATACCAGCATAAATTCTACAAGGACTTTGAATTTTTGCAGTAGTTAAAGATCTTACTATTTGACCATCAATTGACCAATCTACTTTATCGGAAGTCCAATTAATAGCATATTTATGATAACTTTCTAAAGGACTTGGTTGTAAAGGATGATATTCTCCTCTATCATAAGTAGTTATATCTCCCTTTAAGAAATAATTAGATTGCCATTCATAAGGATCACCACCAAAAAATTCAATATCAATTTCATCTAAATCATCACTTTGTAAATAAAAACTTGATATTATACCTTTTCCTTCAGCAGCTTGCATTTCAACTTCAACATATCCAAACATTAAATAAAAATTTGATAAAAATGAAGGATTATCAAATCTTTTATTTATAACTAATGAAATTCCATCATTTCCAAAATTCATATCTCCTTGTCTATTTCTTGAACTAAAATAAGAACCTAAATTTGAATTAAAAGTTTCATGAATTGATCCACTTAATGCTGGATTTGGAGGACAATTCAGTTGTTTTAATGGATTACATGATATATCTGCAATTGCTAATGAAGAAACTGATAAAATTATTGAACTTAGCGAAAAAATCAGTACCATATTTGAAATAATATGTGTGTAAAAAGCGAAAGTTGGTGTTTTAATTGTAATAAACGAAAGGGTTGAGAATGGAATATAATTCTTTTATAAATGAATGATGGGTTTGACTGATGAAATTTTTCAAAGTTGGAATAAAATGTAACCTATTTATATATCCTATTGATATTCTTATGAATTTTCCATTGAGATCATTATTAAATGATTTTATGTTATTTAACTTAAATAAGTTAAATTAAAAAATAATTCTTTGATCTCTGATAATGGCTTGTGTTTCAAAATATTATTTTTTTAAGTAATATTACATAATATAACATTATAATTTTTTTTTGTTTTACTCCCATTTATTTTCATTCGATCTGATCTATCGATTAGTACAAAGGTCGACTATTGAGAGTAGACCGATTACCTACAAACAAACGCGATCTGATACTATTAGAGAAAGATCTATTCTATCTGGATGATGAAATGTTTCTAATTGAGTATTTTACTGGTTAAAATATGAACATTTTCTTGTTTAATGCAAGATTGAGTCAATAGTAATCTTAATAATTGATATGACGATATAAATTTAAGGAGAAATGATTGATGCAAATCATAGTTTAAATTAAAATCTCCTTTCGGTATAATTTTTTAAAGTTTATGAATGTAAAACTTCTAAAAATAAATCTATTTATAGTCTAAGGTAAATAAATAAAAAAATACACGGGGAAAAAAAAAATAATTATAAAAAGACTTTATACAATTCTTCTATTATAAATGAACGAAATGATACAATATGACATGAGGCTATGAATTAAGTTAAATATCGACTCATTATATCATTTGTAATACGTCTACTCACTTATAATGTCTTCAACTATCGAATTTAATTACATCTTTTTGAATGAAAAAAAGTTAAAAAATTCCGCTTTAATTTTTAATTTTAATAATTTTCACTTTACTACCACTTAAAAATTGCTGGCTGATTTGATTGAATCAAGTAAAATCAATTTTGATCTGATTGAATTTTCAAATGGCCAATTTATTGATAAGAATACGAGACGATCAATTCATTAATAGTTATCGTCAAGAAATCACACATTTCTTAACTTATCTTGCTGGTTAATTGAATTTTGTCGTCTACGATTTCAATAAGGGCTATGATCCAATACATAATAGAGCAAAATCTACATGCTACCAATTAAGTGTCGAGTAATTGCTGAGTCTTACTTTTTAAAACCTGACATTAATTGTCTATCTTTTCTCATTCACTTGGTAGTCCCTTATAATAAATATTTTTAGGAAAAACATGGAAAAAATAAAAAGATTGCACAAATCGTCATCTATTATTAATCTAATCATCTTATCTATAGACCAAATATTAATTTAATTAATATCTAAATCATTTTACTAAACTTAAGATACAAGATTCAATAACAACACACAAGATTTGAAAACATATATCACACTAGCTCAACAAACAAAGATTTATTGCACATACATTATCTGAAAAACTATACGACTACATAAATTTCACTACATCAACACAGCTTTTCATTAACTCAAATACCACTCCACGCCTTCATTCAAAATGTATATATACGAACAACCAGATTTGATACCGCCTTATAATAGAACTCATAAAAAATCAAATACATTCAATGAAATATTACTAATATCTTTTATAACTAGTATTAGTATAATTGGAATTTTATTAATATCAGGATTAATATTTTATTTTATAAGAAGAAACAGAAGTATATCAGAAGATGAATTAAGAAGAGAAGAAGAAAATCAAGCATATTTAGAATTAAATAGTGATGAACAAGAATTATATTTTCAATCAAAAGATTATTTAAAAAATAATCCTTATATATGTGGTGAACCAACATTAAGTCAAAATCTACTGATTCAAGAAAAGGGAATAAATGCATTTGAATTTCAAAAAGATTTAATGTTAACAAATAATGATTTATTAATTTTAAATAAAACTGAATTAAATTTTTTTAAAAAATTTGAATGTTGTTCACAAACTAATTTACCAATACCTTTAAAAAATGAAGTTTATTATTTTGAAAGTAAAATTTATTCATTACCAAATCCAGAAGAAACTATAATATCAATAGGATTAGCTATAAAGCCTTATCCATGGTTTAGATTACCTGGACGTCATTTACATTCAATAAGTTATGATTCAAATGGTTATAGAAGATATAATCAACCTTTCAAATTTAATATTGATCCTCCCTTTCCCAAATTATCTGAAGGAGATGTTGTTGGTGTAGGTTATAGAACAAGATCAGGTACAATCTTTTTCACAAGAAATGGGAAAAAAATAAGTGAATCAAAAATTGGTGGTCACATCAAGAATTTTAAATTTTTAACAAAAGCTCAAATTTTTCCAACTATTGGAGCAAATAATATTTGTTCAGTTCATGTAAATTTAGGTCAAAGAGGTTATGTTTTTATAGAAGGTAATGTTAAAAATTGGGGATTTGCACCAATTGAAGGAACTGGTCCTTCACCACCAGCTTATAATAAATTTAATGCAGATATATTGCTTGAAAGAAGTGAAATTGGAGATGATGATGGTGACGGTGATGGATTTCAAGATCGTATAAATGATTTTCCACCTGATTTTTTTACTACTTTTAAAAATGAATCAACGGAAAATGAAAATAAATTAAAACAACAAGTTGAAAGAGAAAGAGAAGGTGGTGAACAACAAGATAGGTTTAGTTATAATGCTTATTCTGAAGTAAATTCAACAGATGAACGAATAACGTTGAATAGTTTAATACCTCCAAATAGACCACCATCTTATGAAGATGAACATGAAATATCTGAGGAAATAAATCACAATGAATTTGAACAAGTGTCTACTCAAGATGAAGAAAGTCAAGATACTATAGTTCAACAAATTGAAGAAGAAGAAGAAACACGACAAGAATCGAATGAAGAACAACGACTAGAAGAAGTTGAGGAACAGGATGAAAATGGGATACAGGAGGAAGCAATAGAGCATAATGGACCAGAAGTTGTGCAAGAAGTACAACAACAAGAAGAAGAAACCACAGGTAACCAAGGATAAACTTTTTTTCAATTCATACATACGATATAGTTTTTAAATTTAAATTTTGATTTTGATACAATGATTTTTCATGAAATTAATTTCTTGTAAGCACACTCTCAATAAAAGCACGATATTTTAAAGAGATGGTTTGTTTAGTCCATGACTGGAGTTTAAAAAGTAAATCACATGAAAATATTTTGCTATTTATAGGCCATTAACTTCACAAAAAGATCAAAATATTTCATGGTCTAGGCCTAATTATAATTTTTGATTTTTTTTGCCTAATCTTTGATTGCAACATTCAAGAAAATTAAAATTAAGAACCATGTTCACATTTTCGTTTGTATTTATAAATTCTTGAATTTTGAATTTGTATTTCAATAAGTAGTAAAATATTTTAACATATTCTTTTTCTTCCTCTTGCATTGAAAATTGCATAAAAGTGTTACAATCTAAGCTAAGAAAGATAAGAGATTGATAAATTTAAATTCATGCACGGACGATATTCAACTAGGAATTCAACTATCATAACTTTTAATCATCTAAGCATTCAAAAGGTAGTGGACCATAAATGAATGACTCCAATCTCATCTTTTTTAGTTAATGGTTATGATAATTTAAAATTTTATCAATTTTTAGTTGTTAGTACATAAATGTGGTTTTTAGTTTTTATGAATTAAGTTAATGGTCTTGTGACTATTTAAAATTTTTTTTTTATTGTTTTAGTGTTTTAGATTTTGTAACCTTTTTAATTCTCGTAATTTTGCGAATCTATTAATAAGTGGATGAATCTTTCTGTGTGTTTAAAGACTCCTGATTGCGTTTACATGATCACAATATCATGTTCTGTCTGACGACTATATAGATCTGCATCTAAAAAAAAGGCACTTTTTAACACTCAGTTTTGCTTTAAATTTTGGACCTTTTTTCAAATCTGGACTCAAACACTATGATTTGAACTATTTCTTTTGGTTAAATCATCTAAAAAAATATTCAACTAAATTTAGTTTCAAATAACTCTCTAGCTTTTTTGGAGAGGCAATCTAAATACTTAAAATTTGGAAGCTAGCCAAGTATTAGGACTTGTGAAGACTATCACAAATGAAATTAGGGTCACATTACATCTAACCAAAATCAGAAATACCGCAATAAATTATTTTTAAGCTTTGTCAGGAGCCCTTTCTAATTTCTTGAATTAAGACAGTCGACTTTTAGCCAATTTATGGGTCTTTGTAACTCTTTAAAATTATTTGGTCTAACTAACTAGCAACAGTTTTGAAAGTAACAAAATCAATTGTGTAAGTAATACATAGAAGTATAACCTTTCAAGTTATCGTTTATGCACGACTGGAAGAAACGCCTTCTACTTTATTTCACTAGAATCGTTTTATTTCTGAAATATTGGATCGAGTAAAGGTAACAGAGATTCAAAAAAGTGCGCCATATTTAATCATATCGTCAAATCTATATGATAATTAAACTACAAATAATCTGGAAGATAATTTATTTTCCACTCTTTGGAAAATGATTTATAAGTTATATATACATACAAACGTTCAAAGAAGGATTCCATTCAATGTAAATCACTGGAGAACCTCATTTAAAACTTTCAAAAATATTTCATTAAATCAAATCTAACCTGGAGGTAATTGAGAAGCATCAACAATATCAGAAGCATCAATGGAAGCTTCATCTTCTTCAGTTACTCCATCTAAAGGAGTTCTAGGTAATGCCATCATACCAGATCTTGCTAATTCTAATATACCAAAAGGTTGTAACAAAGTAATAAAACTTGAAACTCTACTTGGTTTTGCACTTAATTCAACAACAACATTTCTATCACTTATATCAACAATTTTACCACCAAATTGTTTTGTTATTGTTGATATATGATCTAAATGAATATGTTTTTGTCTTAAAGCTTCACTTGGAGCTAAATTTGATGGATGATAAGCTGATTCACATGCTGATAAATCTGGAATTGATGAAGCATCATCAATATGTAATTGATGAGTTGCAATTAATTCTTGAAAATATTCTGGACCTAATAATGAAACTCTTGCTAATAATAATTCTCTTTTTATTATTTCTGCATTTGTATAATCTAATACAGCATAAACTGGTACTAAATCTTCAATTTGTCTTCTTGCTTGTTCAACAACTCCATCTAATCCTTTTAATACAATAGTCATTCTTGATAAATCTTTAACTTCTGTATTACAAACAACTAATGAATCAATATTAAAACCTCTTGCTGCTAATGTTCCTGAAACAGAACTTAAAACTCCAGGTTCATTTTGAACTAAACAATTTAATACATGTTGTTTTGCTGGTAATTTTGATGCTACTGGAGTTTCATATAATATTGATGAAACAGCAGTATCAGCTGACCAATTTGGAGTATCTAATGTTGGTAATGGTGGTCTTTTTTGATTACGATGTAAAGTTTTATAAGCTAATGCTGATGTTGAACTGGAAGATCTTTGCCTTATAAATTGTTGTAGAAAAGGAGATCTTTTAAGCATCTTTGGGGAAGGGTATAATGGTAGTAGGTGATTCTAAGATCTAGATGTGATTGATGATTTGACTCGATTTTAGTTGAAACTGAAAAATTTATGATTCACATTTTTTTTTTTTTCACTTAATTCTCCGGTTTAATGGGTCAAATTTTCGCGTTCAAATGAGGTCGGGCGGTTCTGGACGAGCTAGAGTCAACTCTCTCGTAATAGCTTTACCTTCTAAGTCGAGACTGAATCGAATTACAATAATCCTGAACAGGCTAAATTATTATAAGATAAAAACCATTATGCATACATATGTATACTTAGAACCTAAATCATCTTGAAAATTATCTTGAATAGAACAAAATATTATTAGAAGATCCTTGACATATTTTATACAAATATAAAGTTGGTCCTTAATCTTTGTTTGAAATATATATTATGTCTATGATTGCGATCATTCCAAAATTAATGAACGTGGGGAATTTTTATGATAAATTAATAGGTGCAACAATGCGTGGTAGAACTTTAAAAATCGTTTTGTTCTCGCTCTAAGAAAATTAAATTATAGAGTGATGAGGCATCAAATTTAATTGAAGATAAAGATCAATTGCTTGACTCAATTGCTCTTAATTTTTATCGAGTAGTATTACAACAAGTCAGAGTCATCATAGATTTGATAGAAAAAGTTTTATATATTAAATTATTAAAATGAAATTAAGTGTTCTTTTGAAGGAGAAAGCAAATTAGTATCCTTGAAACTTGTAGCATAAGTAACTTTAAGATATCTAATCTCCTTTTCCTGTTTTAAAATGAAAGTTTAACAAGCAAAAAATAACTTAATTGATGAAACAATATTTTATCTGGACGATAAATAACAATCTACTTCGTTAGGTTATTTATAATAATAAACCTAAAGCCATTAATAATGGACCACCAACAGCAGCAGCTTGAACAGCTTCGGCACCACCGGTTTTAGTGATTGAATAAGTTTTAGTTTTAGTCCAGTATGAAGTAGAACCATGTTTATCAGTAGTAGTATGAGTTTTTTCTGAATGAGTAGTAGTAGTAATTTTAGTAGTTGAACTTGAAGATGTAGTAGTTGATGATGATGATGATGAAGTTTTAGTTAATGATGAAAAAAATGAAGAAATTGATGAAGTTTTTTTATCTTTTTTACCTTCTTCTTCAACTTTATCATCTTCATCTTTTAAATTAATAATTGTTGGATAACCATATTCAGCATCTTGAATAATTAATTCATTATCATTGATTAATCTAACTTGTTCTAAATTTAAAGCTAAAGTAACTGAAGCGAGTGTAATTAAAGTAGCAAATTGCATTATGAAATTGGAAATTATTAATTGGTGAAATTTATATGTAAATTAATAAAAATTAAGACCAAGTTTAAGATGAATAGAAAATGTGAATAAATATATATAAATTTGAAATTAAAGAAAAATCCCCTTTATTTTATATTAAATAGAATTATATTTTTTTTATTTGACTCGAAAATTTTAACGAAATGAACTCTAAGAGATTAGAATTGCACAGAAATTTAAGTTTCGTAGTATTAGTACTGTGAATTTATTTAATTAAAGTACATAACCTTATATTAATTATTTAAAAACTCTAATAAAGAGATGTATATTAATTATTAATTATAATTTATTTTTTTATTGTGGAACTTTACTTTTGATATCTTAAAATTGCTAAAAGATTAATGAGTTCTTTTTTTCATTACACAAAAGAATTGTTCTGAAACATAGTACACTACCAATATAAAATATATGCTACCAAACAAACTAATTCTTTTTTAGTACAAAAAGAATTTAACCTCTAACACATGAAGTTACATTTACTACTTACGATTTAGCTATTCTATTAAATTAGAATCTGTTAAGACTATCAAATCATTACACAACTGAAAATTGAAATGGTAACGATTTAACATAAACAATTGGATACCTGAAGGGTATGTTTAATGAGGTCTCTTTGTAGGCTCTCACGTAGAAATTTTCTACTTGTTTTTAAGATTTTCATACAAAAGCGGTCTTAAAATTTGACAAAAAAATTGACGGGAAGTTCTCGAAATAATTTGAATAATGTTCCATATCACAATACTATCGCCGCAAAATTGTGTTTCACGTCTAGAAACCCAAGTCCAGTCCTTGTTAGCTCTCTCTTACCAATCTTACTTCATCCCAGCTCTCATGATAGCGAATTCTGAAATCGCGTCATTAAAACGTTTTGATTATTGAATTCCTTGAACTTGCATAAATTTGAGATTTAAGATCTTGTACTTAGTTTTCTCAATTTATTATACAATTTATATTATATATGTCATAAATTGAATCATCAATATCATCAAGTCGATCATTGACAATTAGCTCAACAAGTTAATCAGAAACAAACTTTTATAATATATACACAATACACAACTACATGGTAGTCATATGACAAAAGTCAAAAAGTTAAAATCATTGTAACATTAAACAAGGTTTCATGCAAAATCATAAATTAAACCAAGTACCTCAAAAACAAGATTCTGTACTGCAACCATCTTTAAATCAACAACAAACATCAATACCACCAACTATTCAACAACAGCAACAGCCACATCCCCTACAACAACCTTATCATGTTCCGAATCATTTACCACCTACAAATGGTTATTATTCAACACCAAGTCAAATCCCAATAATTAATTCACAAATACCTCAAACTCAACAACAACAACAACAACAACCACCTAGTTCGCAATTGAATTTACCACCTCCATATATTACTTCATATCCAAATTATCCACCTCAAAATTACCCATATCCACATCATACACCACAACAACAAATTCCTCAAAATACTTCTTTACAACATACACTGTCAATATCATCGGATTCTCCTATTCATTTGACTCAACAAAACGTTAGCCCTAGACCTCCAATCCACAATCATTTACAACAACAAACTTTGAAACTGCCAGATAACAATGTACTCGTTAACACATCTTCATCAGTACCAACCAGCTCAAAACAAACTAAATCTCAAAGTCCATTAACTACAGAAAAAAACCCCAAGAAACGACCACATTCATCAACTCAAACATTATCTCGAGCTACAGTAACTTATCCAAGAAAAAGAGCTTTAACAGCTTGTGATACGTGTAGATTGAAAAAAACAAAATGTGATAATGTCCGTCCACAATGTGGATCATGTGAAAGAAATAATATAAAATGTCAATATCGTACTGATCAAAATCAAAAAGATTATCTGAGTTATGATCCTGCTTCTTTAAGTATATTAAGTAAATTAGATGTAATATTAAAAGATTTAAAACAAATTAAAGGAGAAGATACCGGAGTAGAGAATCAGCTGTTGAAAGTTGAAAAATTTAAAGATAAAATTGAAGAATTTGATAAATGTATATGGGATATGTCATTAACTTCATTATTTAAATGGAAATATTTTCAAAATGAATTAAAATTAAACGAAGAAACATTAAAAAATTATAAACAACAATTAATTATAAAATATGATAAAAATTTAAATATATTAACAAATCAAACATTACTGGAACAATTGAAAGAATTTGAAAATTTAGAAAAATTAATAAATTCAAATTTTTCAAATATTATTAATTCATTTTTTGTTAATATATATACAAAATTACCAATAATTGATGTTTATGAAATTTTTGAAATTTTAGAGTTATATCAATTTTTAAATCATAAAATTGAAAATTTTTCATTTATAAAATTAATTGAAATTTTTAATGGATATGATGATGGAGATAATTTACCACCAATAATTTCAAAAATTTATGAAGAAAATAAAAATTCATTTAATATTAACAAGTTACAAAATTTAATTCATTCAATACCTTTAATTTTAATGATTTGTTCAATTGGAATTTCAAGTATTCCAATAAATTTAGATAATTTAACAACTTTTGAAAATTCAAAAGATGAAGCATCATCAATTAAAATTGGATGTTTAAATGGTCAAAATAGTTTTAAAAATTCACCCAATTTAAATCAAAATCGTACAGAAATTGCGTTTAAACTCAAGAAATATGCTGAATGTATAATAACATTATTCCCAAATATTTTACCAACAAATTCAATTTTATCAACTCAATTTTATATTATGTTAAATCAATTATATTTACAAAATGGTTATCCCCTTTTAGCTCATGAATCAATTCTTAATGCATCTAAAAATATTATGTATTTTTTACAAAAAAATCCCATGGAAAAAAGTGATATAATAGGAAGATTATATTGGGCATGTTTAAAATTAGAATGTGAACTAGATATAGAATTATCACCGTTAGTTCCACTTTCAGGAATTAACAATTTTATTCCACCAACTAATTTTCCCAAAATCGCCACACAACCAAATATAAATTATAATGATAATATAATGAAATTAGCCAATAAATATGATGATGAATATACTTGGTATTTTTTTTTAACTGAAATAGCTATAAGAAAAATTGATAATAAAATGTTTGATGATTTTTATCAATACAACCCTAAAAATGACACAACTGTATCATGGGATGATGAAAATTTTATAAAAAATGAATTTCCTAAAAAATTTATAAAATATTTAAATCAATATAATGGAGTTATAAATTCATTAACTCCAGAAATTAGGAATTTCATATTACAAGAAACAAATACTGATCAAATTTATAGAAGAATGAAAAATAGATATGAAAAAAAACATAATACTTTGAAATCTAAACCTAAAGTAGAAGATGATAAATTTAGTGTTGATCAAGATCAAATTTTTGATAGTTTAGATGATTTTTTAATTGATGATGATCTTTTGCTAAAAGCTCAACTGGAATCAATAATGTATATAAAAACAAGAGTAATATCATCAAAATTATTTTTATTTAGACCATTAGTTTATATGTTTTTAGAAGATAAAATTCCTACTACTGAAATATTTGAATCAATTGCCATTATATTACAACAAACAATGATGAAAAATCAATTACCTATTTTAGAATCACCAAATTCAATTAGTACATCACCTACAACTACCACCACAACAGCCACAACCGACAACAATCAACTAGATACTACTATGGATATGAATTTTTATAATTTAACTAAAGCACCACCATTTTATCAAACATATTTTCCAGATGAAGATTTTTCAAATTTAATAGATTATGATTATCAATCTGAAAACAATCAAGAAGAAGATATAAAATTAAAAGATTTAACAAAAGTCAAAAAAAAAATTTTAATTGTTTTTATTCAAAATTTAATTTCAATACCAAAATTAAATATACCTAAGTTATCATCTCATAGACATCCTGGATCATGGTATTTTGTTAGAAATAATTTATTAGCTAATATATGTCAATTTTTAATTTATAAAAAAATGAATGAAATGATAACTTCAATTGATTCAAATCCCCAGCTACAACATCAAATAATTGATAAATATTTTGGAATTAATAAAAATTGGATAGAAATTAAACAATTATTTAATTTAATTATTGATAAAACTAGTATTATTGCATTCTTGGAACATTCACTTATAGTTTTTGAATATTGGAAAGAAGAAATGAATGATTGTGAAATTTATCAAGAATTTATTAAAAAAATGTTAGATAATTTATAGAATCTTATTTGATTAGAATCAATACACCTTTGTTTCTTCTATAGATCTATAATAATAAAATGTATTGTTGGATAAGCCTTATTATTTACATTTCCGTTTACTTTTGTCGTAATTTACAATGTATGCAGTACTGATCTTTTAGATAAACTTAAAACAAATCTTTTTTATTTTTTTTATTTTTTTTTTAATTTAAATTTAAATCCCGATCACGATTTAAGTTTTGAATTAAAATCAAAACAAATTCAACTAAACCATCCACCACAGTTCAAACACTTTAATATTCAAATGGAAACAAAGAATAGTTAAGATAAAAATGTCATATAAGAATTCCAAAATAAGAACCATATCAAATGATGATACTATAGAACCAATTGATAAAAATTGGCATAATTGCGATTATGAAATAAAAGAACAAGATAGATTTTTACCAATAGCAAATGGTACGTAAAAAAAAAAAAGCATTCAATAGCTCATAAAGCAACTTTTTGATATTAACATTTTCCTTAGTCGGCAGAGTAATGAAAAAAGCATTACCAAATCATGCAAAATTATCAAAAGAAAGTAAAGAATGTATACAAGAATGTGTTAGTGAATTTATAAGTTTTATAACAAGTCAATCATCAGATAAATGTAAATTAGAGAAAAGAAAAACTTTAAATGGTGAAGATATTTTATGGAGTTTATATATTTTAGGATTTGAAAATTATTCTGAAACTTTGAAAATTTATTTAGCAAAATATAGACAAGTATGTTAAACCTAAATGTTTTTAATGATATTTTTACTAACTTTTCTAGTATGAACAAGAACAAACTTTGATTAAACCTCCAAGAAAGAAACCTAAAAGAAATAGAAAAAATCAAAAACAAAAAAGACAACAACCATCTGAAGAAGATGTTGATGAAGGAGAAGAAGAATTAGATCTGGATCAGGTGTTAATTGAAAGTTATGATGATGAATTTGATGAAGATGAACAATTTGATGAAGAAAATGGAAATGAGAATGAATTTATTAATAATGAGGAATTTGTAAATTATGATCAATCACTGTCTACTCAACAACAACAACTACGAAATGATCCAGAGTATGAACAATTTTTACAAAATCAGCATTTGCAACAACAATTTAGAAATCAACAACAATTTAGAAATCAACAACCATTAGAACAACAACAACCACTTCTACATCAACATCAACAATATCCTTATCAGCAACATGAAACATATTCAATGGCACCACCTCAAACTCAACATCCAATTGAGCCAAGCTATAATACTCAAATAAATCATACTACTCCAACAACAACAAGTGATGTAACAATAAATCAAATTGGTTCTAATATTGAATTTATTTTAAAAAGTTCCCCTAGCAATTTACAAAATCATCAGAATAAGTATTAAATTGAGACTGTAATATATTTATCAAATTGAATAGTACCCTCTTAAGGTATATTGATAAATAAAATTTTTTTGCAGCAATTTGAAATAAAAAATGAGTTATGTTTCGAAATCTGGTAAGTTTCCACTAATAGATTAATTGCAAATCAATTAAAAGAAAAAGGAAGAAAGGGTTACACTGGGTAATGTACCTAGTGTGATTCAATGACTTATTTGGTGATATTAAACCAAGACAGGTACACATTTTATCGCTAGTTACTAGTATAAAGTACGGAAGAATCAATCATTCTAATATATAACCAAGTTTGGAATTTTGAGTTGATACACCAGCTCCAAAATAAATTACAATTTAGATTTGAAGCTAGAAAACTACGTTGAGACTTACTCATGAGCAAAATAACTCAAATCTAGTCTCTATGGAATCAATGATAACTTTGGTAAGTGCTTTTTTTTATTGTCAATTGTTTATTGAAATTCATACTTTAAGAAATTTGATAGACTATTTAAATTGTTCCAAATTAGTCTAAATTACATAACCGTTCTTGTAATTTTTCTTTAGGATAAACCCCTTTTTATTTAAAATGATTTTCATTATAAAGAAAGTACCCTTAACAAGGTGTCATGTATTAAATATGATATAAAACGCGTTACTAAATAGTAGACCAAATTTTTCAATTGGTATAAGAATACATATAGTTTAATAATTTAACCCCATTAGGTATAAATAGTAACATAGTACACTACTCCTCCATACTAAAACTTTAAAATAGACTACTACTGTAAGTAAGTTACTACCAAATTTAATATACGAAGAAAAAAAAAATTAAAAATTAACGTTTCAGAAACAAAAGAAAAAAAAAAAAAATTAATAAAATCAAATCACACCAAAAATTTATATATGTTTAAGATTTACTATTATTAGTATCATCTAAATATTTTATTACAACCACAACTAATTCATCAATCAAATATAGCTAGTCTATCAACGACTCATACTACCCTACTCAACTCATCTCCAATTCAAAGTAGCTAGCTTAGTACTACAATTTTACAAATAAGGATAAGGATTTCATTTTTACATTTTCATTTTTCCTGCTAAATTTATTATCAGATTTGGAAAAGATTTACGAAACATTCCAAAGCTTTACATTGATCTTCATTCAACGTCTAACTAAAGTTTAAAGGTTAACAATAATACACAATCATCGAACTACATCATACAATTAACTTAAGATATGATTAAATCCTTCAGGAAGAGTAAAAGAACGTCTAGTTCATCAAGTTCCCCCAAAAGAAATATATCAAGAGTTTCATCAACATCTAATCTGGATGCAGAATTAATACTACAATCACCTAAAAAAGTTATAAAAGCATTATATGATTATGATCCTCAAGGACCAGGAGAATTAAAATTTAAAGTTGGAGATTTTTTTCATGTATTAAATATATCAGATGATCCAAAACATAAAGAAGCAGAAGAAAATGGTTGGTATGAAGCAACTAATCCAATGACTCATACAAAGGGGATGGTTCCAATAAATTATTTTGAAGTATTTGATAGATCAAGACCAACAGCAACAACTTCAAATTCAAATCAATCCCATCAACTACAACATCAACAATTACCACATCATCATAATAATACAGCCAATAGTCATAGTAATAATAATTTTCAACAAAATCAACCTCAACAACGAAATTCTAATCAAACTTTGTATGCAGTTACCCTTTATGAATTTAAAGCAGAAAGAGAAGATGAATTGGATGTTCTACCAGGAGAAAATCTTATAATATGTGCTCATCATGATTATGAATGGTTTATAGCAAAACCAATAAATAGATTAGGTGGACCAGGATTAGTTCCAGTAGCATATGTTAAAATTATAGATTTAATGAACCCTGGCCAGTCATCATCAACAATATCATCAATAGATACGACTAATCGTGAACAAGTTATGAAAATTATCTCAGGTTTCAAAATTCCAACTGTTGAACAATGGAAAGATCAAACTGCAAAATATCAAGCTTCATCAATAGCATTAGGAACAATATCAAGAACTAAAACTCCTCCACTGTCATCTACTTCACAATTTTTTGATGGTAAAACAACTCATTCAAATAGATCATCATTAATTTCAACATCAATAATAGAAGCAAGTGTTGATTCTTATCAATTATATCATGGAAGATATCAATATTTAATTACTGCAAAATTATCAAATGGTAAAATAAGAAATTTATATAGATATTATCAAGATTTTTATGATTTACAAGTTAAATTATTAGAAATGTTTCCATATGAAGCAGGCAAGATTGAAAATTCAAAAAGAATTATACCTTCAATACCTGGACCATTAATTAATGTAAATGATTCAATATCAAAATTAAGAAGAGAAAAATTAGATATTTATTTATCACAATTAATTGCATTACCAAATCATATATCAAAATCTGAAGAGGTTTTAAATTTATTTGAAATTTTAAATAATGGATTTGATAAAGAAATTGAAAATACAAGAAGAGTTTCAAAACCAATAAGTCAAAAATCAAATAGTCATCAAGATAGAATGTCTCAATATTCTAATTTTGGTATACAACCAAGAATTTCAGATCCTTCTAATTCTAATGAATCAACAACTCAAAGATCAAGAGAATCTTCAACTATAAATGTTAATACAAGTAATACTAATAATTACAATAATAACAATATTCCATCAACTTCATTAACTTCTTCATCACCAACAGATTTAGAAAAATCACCAAAAGTAAAAGTAAAATTTTATTATGAAGATGATATTTTTGCTTTGCTATTACCATCAAATTTAAGATTACAAGATTTAAAAACAAAATTATACAAAAGATTAGAATTAGATGATTTACAACAGCATCAATTCCAACAACCTAAAACAATAAATTCAATAAAATTATTTCTCAAAAATGATTATGAAAATTTTTGTAAAGATATGAACATCGTTGATTCTTCTATAGAAAATTTAAATTTTAATCAATATGGTTCTAAATTAATTGAATTTGAAATTGATGATGATTTAAAATTTCATGAAATTTTATATGATAAATGTAAATTAATTATTGTTATTGTTTAGTACAGTTGACATTATGTTTTATGGTTTATGGGTTATGTTGTTTAATGATTATGTTGTTTATGGTGTTTAATGTCGTTTAATGTTGTTTATGTATATAGATAATTTTAATTTTATGATACTATTAATGACTTTTGAATATAAATTAAATGAAATCTTAGAGTCTTTTACACATGCTCTCGGAGTTATTAGAAGTTAGTGCTAGTTTACAACATAACTTGGTGAAGATTTTCTCCCAAAGAAGTACGCCTGATGTGAATGTAAGTAGAATAATAATTTTTTACTAAAATTATGCGTAATAAAGTTACGAGAGAAATTTGATTTTTGTACAACTAAATTTTAGTAAAATTGATCTGCTATAGGAAATAGAATATAGCGTAACCCAAATTTTATTCAACTATTTCATTCAGTGTTTCATAATCACTATCACAGCGAAAGCAACCTTACAATGTTTTAATTGAATGGAAATATATTAGCTGAATTTGAAAGAAAAGAAGATGAATGTATTTGGACTTTTAAAACCTTCAACTAAAAATCAGAAAGTAAACAATGAAAAGAATGTATCAAATTCAATTAACGAAAATAAAGTATCGCAAACTAATCCATTGATTGATTCGATACTAAGCTTGACATTTGATGAAGAAAGTCATGATCGAACTACGAGGTTTGAGGAAAAGCAAAACGAAACGAAAAGTCTACATGACTCAATAGTCGAAAAATCAACCCCGAACCAAAAAAAGTTACCAAGAACTTTAAAACCTAGACCAAAGCTCCAATATGCTATTAATAAAGTCAATAATAATGAATCAAAAGTAGAACTATTATCACCTATTATATCAAATAAAATTCAAAAATTAACACCAAGATCAAATTCAAGAAAGAGAAGTCGAATACTTTCAAAACATTTGCAAAATACGAATTCAATTTCACCATCTTTGTTATTGCAAAAGATTGAAACTACTGCCAATATATCATATTTGGATGAAGTAGGTACCCCTTCAAAAACTCAATCACAAGCATACTCAAATGCTCATAACACACCATCAAATTCTAAAAACAATTTAATTTTAAATGACAACCCCATAAATGTATCAACTCCAAGAAAACGATCGCAAAAAATTAGAATTGGATTAACTCCTGAAAGAAACTTAGTATCTAGTCCAAATCCACTCAAATCCAACTCAACAAAATCAACTCCAATCATTTCCACTTTCACAAATTCAACTTCAAATAATTCAAGCACAAAGAAAACTATCGCGTCGCCGAAGTCACCTCATAAAAGAAACTCCTCAATGAAGACCACCCCAGATGATACAATCCCGGAACATGTTGACTTGATTAAAATTCAAACTCAAAATGCAATCAATATTCAAAATCAAAATATTACAACATTTACATCAACATCAAATCAATTATCTAACGGGTCTAATTTGCCAACGAATAAAGCCTCAGCTGTTCATAGTCTAAATTCATCAAGAGAGTCACTGAAAGAACCACGAAATGGCGTTAAGAAGAAAACCAAACTAAAAGTGGGTCCAATAGATAAAAGAAAAAAATCACCATCCAGAAATTCAACTAAGAATCAAAATCAAACTCTACAGGGATCACAAAATACCAATAATGATACTAAATGGGGGAATCGAACAACCATGTTGAGAAGAGCAGATATGTCAGAAGGAGAATATGAAAATAAAATGAGTAAACATCGTAAAATTGTGAAACAAATTTCTTTTGGTGGTGAATATGAAGAAGATGATGACGAAAGTGAAGAGTTTTATTCGGCTGATGAAAGGTTTGATGACGATGAATTGGTTGTTTTTGAACAAGATAAGAATTTGATGAATTCAGTAGAACCGATTGAAGATCCAATCAAACAAAGTACTAATTCGGAATCAAATATGATTGTTGGAGAAGAAGTTGAGTTTTTCGACTTTAATGAAATTCATGAATCACCAGTTCAATTAATCAATGTAGTAGCTACACCTAGTAAACAAATTGATGAAGATATTGATGAAGAGAAACAATCTGAATCTGTTGATGCAAGAAAACAAAAAACACCAATATCTATAAGTCAAAGTATACACTCGGTAATAGAGAGAAATGAAGATCATCGATCTCCAAGTCAGATAACCAATGTAGTTACACCTAGTAAACAAATTGGTGAAAATAGTGATGAAAGGAAACAAACTGAAGCTGCTAGTACAAAAAAACAAAAAACCCCAATAGCTACAAATCAAAACATACCCCATCCATCAAAGAAGAAATTTAGTGACATTCTTAGTCCTACATCTAAAGGAGCTACAACTAGTAAACGAATTGATCAAGATAGTGATGAAAAGAAACAAACTGTAGCTGCTACTACAAGAAAACAAGAAAATACAATAGCTAATGATCAAAACACACCACGTCCATCAAAAAAGAAATTAAGTGATATTCTAAATCATACTAGAGGAGCTACAACTAATAAACATATTTATGAAAACAGTGATTTAAACAAACAATCTGAATCTATTGTTACAAGAAAACAAAAAAATTCAATAGCGAAAGATCAAAATAAACCACTTCCATCAAAGAAGAAATTAAGTGATACTTTAAGCCATACTAGAGGAGCTACAACTAATAAACATGTTGGTGAAAACAGTGATTTAAAGAAACGATTTGAAGTTGTTGTAACAAAAGAAAAAGAAAATCCAATAGCTAAAGATCAAAATACTACGCTTCCATCAAAAAAGAAATTAAGTGATACCTTAAGCCATACTAGAGGAGCTACAACTAATAAACATATTGATGAAAACAGTGATTTAAACAAACAATCTGAGCCTGTTGTAACAAAAGAACAAGAAAATCCAATAGCTAAAGATCAAAATAAACCACTTCCATCAAAAATGAAATTAAGTGATATTTTAAGTCATACTAGAGGAGCTACAACTAATAAACGTATTGATGAAAACAGTGATTTAAATAAACAAACTGAATCTGTTGTAACAAAAGAACAAGAAAATCCAATAGCTAAAGATCAAAATAAACCACTTCCATCAAAAATGAAATTAAGTGATATTTTAAGTCATACTAGAGGAGCTACAACTAATAAACGTATTGATGAAAACAGTGATTTAAATAAACAAACTGAATCTGTTGTAACAAAAGAACAAGAAAATCCAATAGCTAAAGATCAAAATAAACCACTTCCATCAAAAATGAAATTAAGTGATATTTTAAGTCATACTAGAGGAGCTACAACTAATAAACGTATTGATGAAAACAGTGATTTAAATAAACAAACTGAATCTGTTGTAACAAAAGAACAAGAAAATCCAATAGCTAAAGATCAAAATAAACCACTTCCATCAAAAAAGAAAAGTGATACTTTAAGTCATAGTAGAGGAGCTACAAATAATAAACGTATTGATGAAAACAGTGATTTAAACAAACGAACTGAAGCCGTTGTAACAAAAGAACAAGAAAATCCATCAGCTAAAGATCAAAATAAACCACTTCCATCAAAAAGGAAAGTAAGTGATATTCTCAGAAAAAGCTATCCTCCAAAATTTCCACCATCAGCGTCTACCTCTAAAAATATCAGTAGCGGGGTAACTCGTCCTGCAAATTTATCAAATTTGTTTAATATTAGCAGTAATAATGGTACGTTCAAGCTAGCTTCAAATAATATCACAACCCAAACAAAACCTTCATCAACTCCTCGTTCGCAAGAATCAAAACCACTTACAATGGCTGAAAAAATCAAAAAATTGAATGAACTTCGTCAGCAAATGCAGAACAATACTCAGTCAGTCGATATTACACCAATAGCGAATGGATCAAACATCACTAACCAGAAAAATTCTTTATCAAAACTACTACAAAACGATAGTCAACCAATCGAAAGTACAATGGCGAATGGATCTAACGTCCCCAAACCGAAAATATCTTTATCAAAACTACTACAAAAGTCAAAAGAGAAGAAATTGCAGTCACTAAATCAACAAAAATCTGCAAATACTCCAAATATTCATTCACCTCATAAAACGTTCGAGGTCAATAAAGCTAGCTCAAATCGAACTCATGCCGAGCAACAATTGGACAATGAAGAAAACCAACAGTTGGGAGATGAGGAAAACATCAATGATGAAACAATTATTTGTACCCCTTCTTCAGTAATCATTAATAACGACATGAAAAATACATCAGAAAAACTAACTCAAATAAATGATACATCATCCAGTGCCAATTCAAAAATTAATGAAAATGAATATATTAAGAAAGATCTCGATAAAATTGCGAATGGATATAAAGAAAAGCTGGAGACTGAAAGTGCAGATGAAGAAGGAAATCTTTTGGAAGTAACTGAGGAAGAATTCAGTCATAATGTTATTCAATTAGCTCTTGAAGAAGATAGAATGAGAGCTAAAAATTTGCAAAAACAAAAACAGTTTGAAAATTTACGAAAACAAATTCAAGCTGAAAATTTACAAAAACAAAATCAAGCTGAAAATTTGCAAAGACAACATCAAGAAAAACTACAAAGACAACATCAGGAAAAACTTCAAATACAACATCAAGAAAAACTGCAAAGACAACATCAAGAAAAACTACAAGCTGGGATTCATAAATTGAATGATGCTTATGACTTACCGGAGATCACACTTCCAACTAACGTGTCTCCCACAGCTTGGAAAGTGAAAGTCGGAAACAAGGCACCTAATCAAAACAATTCAAATACCTATTCACAACTTAATCTGTTTAAAAGACCATTACCATTTGAACTGAAAGCTCCAAAGCCAAAGAGAAGAGTTACTGTTAAAAAAGGAAAGTTTATTACCATCATGAATTCGTCATCGGAGGAGGAAAGTGTTGATCCTGGAGACTCGAAAGATGTAGATAGTGAAGTTGATGATAGTGACGAAGATAACTTGTATGGTGAGAATAACCACTCCGGTTGGGATAGCGATAGAGATCTACCTGACGAATTTGGAATTAAAACCAATAGAAGCTCAAGTTTTTTTTCTTCAAATGATGAAGAAGGTCAAGAGGAAGAATTTGTTGGAATGGTTACCTCAACTCAAGAACATTCAACTGAAAAAGATCTGCTGGGAACTAATAACATTGAAGCTAGAATAAATGATTCAATTGATAGACCATTGAGTCAATGGGAATTAATTTATAGATCAAATTCAACTATAGAGAAATCAATTTTATCACAAAATGGAGGATCAGGTTTATTGAAAAGTTCACAAGAAAAACATCAATCATTTTCCGAGAATCTTAAAGCCCAATCTCAGCCAGGACTTTGGAATTCAAATCGAAACACGGAACTGCTATGGACAAGTGACAAAGGTTATCGAATTTATTCTCATCATGAACTATTGAATATAGGTTCTAAGAAAGCAGATGTAACTAATTTTAGGGATCCAATAGAAAAAAAGTATGAACAATTACATAGTCAAGGTATTCAAGTTGATAAGACCAATTCCCAGAATTCGTCTTCGTCAAGTAAAAACGACCCAAACAATCTGAATAATCAATCAAGTCAATCTGTTCATTCTCCTGTAAATAAAAAATCCAGTCTGGAGCAATCGGAGAAGCAAAATGATATATTGAAATCAAATGAAAATCCGGCTACAGCTTTAATAAATATTCCTCAACCTGTACAACAAGATTTGGAAACATCAGAGAAGCAACAAAACAACTACGTCACTAGTAAAAATAAAGCCAAAAGGGCTAAACAAAGGAAAACCTTCAGGTCATTACAACATAAAAGTGAATGAACATTCCAAAAGTGTCTATTTCGTATAGGTTTTAAACTCTATGTACTAATTACTTACATTATTTTGCATTAAATATTTAAATTGCCACAGTAATTATCTTTTACTCCTTAAACCCCTTAACCTAAAATAATAAAATAATTATAGATTAAAGCAATTATTTTGGAACCACTATTTAGCATATTTCTTCTACTATAGTATCAACCATGATTTCACCAAAATACTCATTGACCCATTATTATCTTGGAACAAAAGCTTTATCATCAGCTAAACAAGCTCCTCATATTGTCAATCTTTATTTCGATTACAATTGTCCATTTAGTGCAAAATTATATTTAAAATTATTAAAAGTTATACCACAATTACAATCTACAAAACCTGATCAATTCCAATTCGTTTATGTTAATGTAATTCAACCATGGCATACAAATTCTACATTATTGAATGAATTTGGATTGGCTTATGCAAAAGTTTTAAGAGAAAAACAAGTAGGTGATGAACAAACTAAATTTTGGAATTTTAATAAAGTTATATATGAAAATAAAGAAAAGTTTTATGATAATTCAAATATTGAATTAAACAGGAATGAAATCTATAAACAAATTTATGATGTTGTTTCGAAAGATCTTGAGTTGGGAGTATCCAAAGATGATATTTTAAACGAATTGCTTATTAAAGCTGGTGGTGAACCTTCAAATAGTGGGAATGGTGCAACAACTGATGTTAAATATTTTACTAGATATTTAAGGACTGTGGGTGTTCATATTACACCCACCGTTACAATTGACGGAATTGCTGATGATTCCATCTCAAGTGGATCAAGCGAAGAAGAATTGATAAAACTGTTTAGTAGTAAATTATAAATGAAATAATTCTATTAGGCTATGCATTATGGGATTTTACAAAGAGTGAAAATTAAATTATTCTTCATCTTCAAACTCTCCCTCCTCTTCATCATCTTCTTCTTCTGACTCGTCATCTTTTCCACCTTCAGCTTCTAGTATAGCGTCAGTCAGATCTTGTTGATATTTTCTAGCAATTCTTGAGGCACGACCGGATAATTTAGCTTCTTCTCTTGCTTTTATTTGTAAATTTCTTAACCCATCTTTGAATCCATTTTTAACTGACCTATTTGAAAAGGTATCCCACATTTTTAATCCACTTGTAACACCACCTATAACTAAATTACCAGCTACTTCAATATCATTAGCGTATGAAGTGGTTAAAACATTACCTACACCGAAATCACGAGACAATATCATTGTTGGTCCACTACCAACATTTGTTTCTGGTGCTTTCCATAATTTTATTGATTTATCACCCATCGCACTCGTTACTAGCATGCCTGATATATAATTATTAATATTTAAGGAAGATATTCCAGCATCATGAGCATGCAAAGTCCACAATGGTTTAGATTCATTTTTGATGTCGAAACAATATACATTACCTTGATCTGTACCAACGTAAAATATGTCTGGCTTCGAGCCCCACCTTATATTTTCTACTTCTTCACCTTTTGCAACTGAATAATATTTTGACATTTGTGATTCGTCAGATATCCTCACATCTGATATAGCTGCTTTAGAATCATACCCACCAGTCAATAAAATTGAAGCTTCGTGAGAATGCCACTGTGATGAGGATACGGTTTTACCATGATGTATTTGATTTAATGAACGTACAGCAGTTTCTGTATTCAAATCCCATAATTTGACTGTCGTATCTGCTGAAGTTGAAGCCAAAACTGATCTATGAATTTTATTGTGTGATAATGATAATACAGCATCAGTATGATGGGTTGTTACATGACCAGATTTTTTCTTCTTTTTATTCTTTTTATTTATGGTTGATGCATCTCCCAATATCACGTCAGGAAATGCTTTATCAACATAATCCAAATTCCATAATTCAATTTGTGGATCAAAAGTACCAACTGCTGCAAAATTTCCTATATTCGATCCTTCAACTTCAGATCCTTGTCCTGGTATATAATTTATCCACTCGACACATAATGGAAATGCTGGCAACATTATATCATGATGCACATATAAAGTTGAGTCTCTGTATAATCCATTTGCAACGTCAGCATCTAATTTATCTTCTTCCTCTTCTTCTGCTCCATTTGGGGCTCCTGCTCCATCATCGTAAATATATATGTCTAACCATGAGATATCATCTTCGGTTCTGGTTGCCAACACAAGATTATCAGTGGGATATATTTGATTCTCCTTTTTTTCCTCTTGTTCGTCGATTTCATTTGGTAAAGTTAAATATACGTCGTTGGATTCATCATCATCTCCATCTTCCGCATCATTATTATCATGAATTTTTGCACTTGTATTCGATAAACCAGGAAACATTGTGATTTTTTCACCCGTTTCATCAATATCATCATTATCATAATTTTCCAAATCGTATTCTTTTAAGTCATCATCAATTTCTATTTGTTCTTTTAATTTTGACGTCTTCTGTGCTTCTGCCAAATCTTCTTTTGCATCGTTCAATTCTAAATTGGCCATTTGATTTATTCTCTCCATTTCTTCATCGTTCAATTCGTATTTTTCCGGAAACTCGGAGGCATAACCTCTTGGAACCCATGTACTCGATGATATCATGTTGTGGTTTAATTTCTGAAGAATGAGTTTTGAATCATAAGAGATGAGATCTAAGGACATCGATTTTTTTTGCACCAAATTTGGGTAAACGCGGCTTTCACAATGTTTCAGGTCAAAACTTTCGAGACTATGAGCAAATTTTACCATACTCAAGAGCAAGAAGCATTATAATTAGGAATTTATTTATTTTGATTATGCTATAAACAAGACTATAATAGTACCACGCCTACTCCACTGGTGGTATCGTCAATTACTTGTTTCGTTTCTTTATCAATACCTCCATTCATTGGGAAAGTTTTATAGTTGAAAAGATAGTAATTCAAGTAACCATCTCCACTGCCAAATTTACAGTCCTTCAAGAAAAAGGAATTGTCTTGACAAGTCAAACAATTGAAGACATCAACATTGAATTTTTTGGAAGTAATCAATGCATCTGTTATCAAGTCGTTCAATCTAGTTTTATAGTTTTCCTCAGCATCAGTCGCATAGTAAAATAAATAAGCAATTCCTAACTCATCATGATGTGTATTTTCTAAGACGGTGAATGGTAATAAGTAGTATGAATAAAAATCGGTGATTTTTCCATTTGAATCTTCTACAACATAGGTTTTAATAACATTTGATTCACCATTAGCACCCAACATCCAATGTTTGAACTCGTCTTCTTTGAACAATTGTACAATGTCAAATCTTTCTTGATATTTATGCAACAATTCTAACACTTCACTTACATCCTTTTCTTCCATTCTTCTTAATCCTTTCAATTTTGGCTCGTTTGGCAAGGCGTAATGTGCTAACATACTTGATTTTGTTTGATTTGCAGGTAAATGACTGAATCCTACATCGTGTAGTTTTGACCAATTCAAAGGACGATGTTGATAACGACAAGTAGCTAAAGGAGTTGGTAAAATTGAGCCTCCAGTATATAGAGCTTGCCAAATATTTTGTTTATTAACTCTTCTTGTAATTTCTTTAATCATTACAGGAGCCAATCTTTTATTCCTTAATTTTTTGTGAATACATAAAAAATTGATTTCAACACAATCTATGATAGTTTTGGATTTGTTCAATTTTATAGTGACTGGAGTAGCAGCTATAAATGCAACTAACTTACCTGTATCTTTTACTCTAACACCGGTATGCCAATCTTTTCTCCATCCTGGCGGTTTCAAAGCCCATTTGAAAAATTCATGACTATATTTGAATCTGAAAGTTGCATCAGTATCTTCAACATAGTTGTTGTATAATAATTTATATAACTCATCTAATTCTTCATCATTTTCCACATCAACCGTACACCATTCAAATTGATCTATTAAAGGTAGTGGTTTATCCAGAACTTGATCTGGAGTCTTAACTTTATCAATTGGACCCTCGTTTGCTATTTTCAGAGCTTCTTCGTATTTAACAGTTGGTTGTGTCAGCCAAAACTTATGCAGCTCTGTTTTCTGAGGTTGTTCAGGTTTTTCTTCCCCACTCACGGTTAGAAGTTTCAAAAGTTCTTCAATCGATTTTTTATCTGCCATAATCTATAAGGCTATTTAACTACTGATGCGATTGATGATTGAACTGAAGTATACTGCTCGAACCTGCGTCTTGCTTTATGGGTAGGGATTTAAAATATGTGTGAAATATTTGATCAATATAGGCTTGAAAAAAATTTATAGATTTGTGCACTAAGATTTTTATAACTTAAGTGGTAATTAATCAACGTCTAATCAAACACATATTTTAAAGCTACATGGTTTTGAAGAATTCAAAATGGGACAAGAAGGCTAAATATAAGTTTTTGAAAAAGCATGGGCTAAACACAAAGCCTAATGATCAACAAACAGAGGTTTCACCAAAATGGACTACGAAGAAGAAAGTGCTGTCTAATGACAAAGTTCAACTTGAGGATTCTGACGATGAATGGGATTCTGACGTAGATGAAGCATTAATAAATCATTTTTATCCACAGCTTGGTACAGACGAAGGATTGACCAGGGAGCACAAGATTAAAATTAAACAACAAATATTGAAGGATTTGGAAAATGATGATAATTCTGAAGTCGAAGAAATCGAAGAGCCAAGTCAAGAGAAGGAAGAGCTTGATGGCATATATTTGGGTACAAACCAAGAGGCACCGGAGGAAAAACCTTTAAAATTTAATCTCGAAGAATTTATTAGTAGTGTTAAAACGAAACCAAAAACCAAGAAGGTACTAAAGAACAAAATGTCAGACAATTTTCTTGAAGAGTATGGTCTCGAAAGTTACGAGCAATTAAATAGAAATACAGATGATTATAATGACATATACAACAAAAAAACCAAGAATAAAAAAAATGAAGAATTATTTTCGAGGTTGAATGAATTTCAAGAAGTTGAATTAGGAAAAGAGAAACAAATTGACGTAAAACTACGATCAATGACAGAGGTAGAAAAAGAGGAAGAACTAAATAGGGCAAAGGTAATAAAAGAAAATCAGTTTTATCAAGAACTTAAAAAAAAGTTTGAAGACAAACAACCCAAAGCAAATAAAATTCTTGATGTTAATAATTTTAAAGGTGATGATAGCCAATTGAGCTACTTGAGAGAAAAACTAACTCGGGAAGATGAAACTGACACGTTGGAGGATGATATTAATGAACTATTGGGATTGTCTGAAGAATTTGAAGATAAGGATGTCACAGTTGATGACGTTTCAAATTTATTGAAGGGGTCGAAAATTCACAATAATGAACCAAATAGAACCAATTTGAGACCACGATCACCTCAATCTATGAATCACACTAATGGAAAGGATATAGATTTTATAGATTCTATAATTGGATAGGGTGCAAAAATACTATTCCCGTTAATGATGAAATTGGTAGCTACGTTATATTCATTTATCTTAGAATTATTATATCGTTCCATTTTGGCTATAGGCCGTTTTTAACATACTTACAATTTGGATCAATAAATTACGTCAAGATCCGAGCAACTAATCATTGTCATATAAATCAAAACTCATATCCTTATTGATGAAGGTAATATAGACTAGACAATTCAAGCACTTTCACCTATTTATAGAATTGGGCATATGACAACTGTGGCTAATAATGTACATACAGATCAGATTTCATCAATAGACCATGAGGCAATAGCTTTATTTGAAAAAGCTATCGAGAAAGAGGGGCAAGGATTGATGTCTGATGCGGTTGAGAACTATAGAAAAGCATTTAAATTAAATGAGAAAATTGACACTTTATATCGTTCAATAAAGGTTCCTTTCAATATTAAGAAAATTGTTGACGAGCGTGGGAAAAATGTAATGACTAAAGTAGATGATAAAGCAGTTGCTAAAATAAATGTGGATAAATTATTAGCTAGTTTCGCAAACATGGAGGTGCAAGCTGGTAGTTTGGATATAGCTTTTAATAACTTATCAATTCAAGAATCTCAAAAACCATCACCATTGACTCGATTGCCAACAGACATTTGGCTCTACATTTTAGAAATTTTAATTTTGACAAATTCAGAAGCTTGGTTTAAAATGTCCATCACGTGTAAGAAATTTGCTTATTTGGGATTTGGTACTAGCATTTGGAGAACATTAAGTAATAATATATATCCTTTTCAAATTTATGAGGAAAACTTAATCTATTTAGCAAATCAAACTCCCTCACAAAGTATTGATTTGCCAATTCCCAAAGATCAACTACAAATTTTACCACAATATCAAAATTCTTGGAAAAAAATGTTGCATGAAAGACCTTTCATTAAATTTCATGGTTGTTATATATCGATCGTTAATTATTATAGTGAAGGTGGAAAGAGTGAATTTTCATTGTCTTGGACTAATCCTGTTAAAACTATAACATATTACAGATACATTAGGTTTTATCCTGATGGAACTATGATTAAAGTTTTGTCAATATTACCCCCAAATCAAGTTGTTGCTTGGTTGTCCAAAGACCGAAAATTTATACCTCATGAGGAAGTTCATGACAAAGAGAGCCACAAAATATATTCTGGAACGTGGAAATTAAATTCTGCTGGTGAAGTACATGTACAAATTGACGAAGGTTCAACAGCTTATTTGACTTTTCACTACTATTTTCAAATCAAAAATTTAGGACATTTCAAACATAATAAATTGAATTGGATTAAATATTTTGCCGTGAGAAAATCCACAGGAGAAGACGATGATAGAGTAGGTGAATTGATGGATTACTCAATTAGAAATGAAAAACCTTTTAAATTTTCAAAAGTTCGTAGTTATGTTGTATAGACCGTAATAGATTTTTTATCATAAAACTGCAAAATTAAAAATTAACAAAGATCAATATATAGAACTAGGCTCTTGAAAAATATCGGTTAATACTAAGATCACCTTCTTTTCTATTCATCAAACTGACCTTTGGTAAGTGTTTCACAATAGATGATATTTGTGTTTATGAAATGTTAAAGAGATTGTACACGACTTTTCCCATAGAAAATTTTTTTATGATTTGAATAATTTTTTTTCACGTAAATTTCAGACAACAAAGGTCATACTACATACCATCAATTAAACTTAGATCGTGCAATGTCTCGTTTCTTTGTATCAGGGTATAATTCAGAATCTTCATCCGAGGAGGAGGATTTATTAAGTACTTCTGAAGAAGAATTAGTATCATCTTCTGAAGAACATTCAGATGATGATTTTTTCGAGAATGATGATGACGACGAAGAAAGTAGTTCAGATGAAGAAGGTGGAAGACTAACTGGTCCAGCATATTTTTTGAAAAAGTCATTTATAAAAGGAGGAGATTCAGATAATGAAAGTGACGATGAAGTAAGGACTGCTGTTAGAAGTACAAAAGATAAATTATTAGATGATATGAAAGCATCAATTGAAATAATAAACGTCAATAAAAGAACTAATAATTGGATTGGAGCTTTAAGTGAATTTGAAAAGTTAGGAAGATTTTTAAACAGAGCAAATCAACAAAATTTTGGAACTCCTAAATTTTATATAAAATTATTATCAAGTTTAGATGATTCAATAACTGAGACCATCAATAATGAAAAAGACGATAAAACCATGAAAGCCGACGAGGCAAGAGCTCTCAATACGTTAAGACAAAGAGTTAAAAAACAAATTAAAGAATACCAAACATACTTTGATTTATATAAAGACGTTCCAGAAAACTTTGACCAAGAAGATGAACCATTAGATGCCGGATCAAGAACTGACGATAAACTTGATGAAAGTAAAGTATTGAGTCCAGTCTTTCAACTTTTAAAACAAGTTTCCGAAAGTAGAGGAAAGAAGAATGTTGATAGAGCCGAGCAAATATCAAGTTTGGAAGGATTAATTTCAGAAAATCTTAGCACTTTTGAGCTTATATCAATTTATCAAGTATTATTGTCCTTAAGATTTGATGCATCTACTTCACAATTTTTACCTATTCAAGATTGGCAAAAGAATAATGATGATATAAATAAATTGTTGGACATCTTGTTTGCTTCTAAAGAATACCAAGTAAGTGAAAAAGGTGAAACTACCGATGATATAGATATCGAACCAACTCCAGTTGATGGTGTAAAAGTCATTTATGGTTCAATAACATCATTGATTGATAGATTGGATGATGAATTTACAAAATCATTACAAAATACCGACCCACATTCAATGGAATATGTTGAGAGATTGAAAGATGAAAGTAGAATTTACAATTTGATTGTTAGAGGTCAAGCATATATAGAGTCCATAACACCATCTTTGGAGAGTGAACAATTAGCCAGAATAATATTAAGAAGATTGGAACATATTTATTACAAACCAAATCAGTTAATTCAAGGAAACGAAGTTGAAACTAAGATTGGTAAAGGTAGTCCCGATGAAATAATAGACTCATTAAGTAAATATTTACAAAATAGCAACAACAAAATTTTCGGTAAACATGCCGTACTATACTCCATATACTATTATGCTGTCAATAATCAATACAAAAAGGCTAGAGATTTATTTTTATCTGCTCAATTTGGTAACATTAATTCTTCAGAATCATCATTACAAGTTCAATACAACAGAGCATTGGTCCAATTAGGGTTAAGTGCTTTCAGATCTGGTGCAATTGAAGAATCTCATAAAATTTTAAATGAAATTGTTAATTCTCAGAGATCAAAAGAATTATTAGGTCAAGGTTTTAACAGTAAATTTCCTAATCAAGCTACATTAGTCGAAAGACAAAAATTATTACCATTTCATCAACATATCAACTTGGAATTGTTAGAATGTGTCTACATGACGTGTTCCTTATTAATCGAAATACCAGCATTAGCAGCAGCATCTACAACCAAAGATAAACGTAAAAATTCATCGTTAAAATCGTTCAAAAGTAAATTAGAATTTCATGATAGACAATTTTTCACTGGGCCACCAGAAAGTATCAAAGATCATATTGTTCATGCATCGATTGCTTTACAAAAAGGTGATTGGTTAAAAGCTTACAACTTATTATCGTCAATTAAAATTTGGAGATTATTCCCAGACAATGATGATCTTTTATCCATGATGAAAAATCAATTACAAATTGAAGGTTTAAGAACATACGTTTTCACCTATAAGTCTGTGTATTCAAAATTATCTATCTCGAAATTAAGTACAATTTTTAATTTACCAGAGGAAAAAGTAATTGAAATTTTAACCGGCATGGATGAACAAGTTGTTGATGGGTATGTCAATTTCTCAAATGCTGCTCAAAGATCAAAATTACAAGAATTAGCTATATTAATGAATGAGAAAATACAATTACTTACAGAGAAAAATGAAAAAACTTCTTCAAATGGTTATGGTAAAAAACAAACTACTCAAAATCAAGGTCAACAAAATAATCAACAACAACAAGGTCAATCCCAAAATCAACAAAACCAACAACAACATCAATCAAGCAATCAACAAGGTCAACAGTCTCAACAACCACAACAACAATCTCAATCTCAACAAACTCAACATCAACAACAAACTCAACAATCACAAATTGAAGAAAATAAATTTAGGTATGCTAATGTTAACCCAAACAATGATGAATTTCAAGTCACTGCGTGATCATATACTCAGAATGTAAGAATTTTATAGAATTTTGCAACTCAACTAATGTAATGTAATGTACATGTTTAAAAAAGGTCTCTCTTAATTTGGTAAACTCTCTATACAATGCCTCGCTAGGTACTTATGAAGTTTTGTTAAAAATTTACAACTTAATGTAGAAAGTGCTTAAGTCTTCACATCTAAAACCTCAGCTGAGGTGATTTTGTGACACAAAAAAATTTCAAAATATATCATTTCAACTCCAGATTTAGCTTGATATTGCCAACTTCCATCAAACAAGATGACTGTTAATCCGACCAAGAAGCTCAAAGTATCAGCTTTATGTGAGTTATGTCATGCAAGAAAAGCGGTGATGAAAAGACCTAAAAATTTAATGAAACTATGTAAGGAATGTTTTTATAAAGTATTTGAAACAGAAATTCACAACACAATAGTGTCCAATAATTTATTCCAGCCTGGAGATAAAATAGCGATCGGAGCATCAGGTGGGAAAGATTCAACTGTTTTGGCGTCTATCTTGAAAACTTTAAATGAAAGATATAATTATGGGTTGACTTTAGTCTTGCTATCTATAGATGAGGGAATCAAAGGATATAGAGATGATTCATTAGCAACTGTCAAAAGAAATCAACAACAATATGAAATGGATTTGGAAATTGTATCATATAAAGATTTATATAACTGGAGTATGGACGAAATAGTCAGTTGCGCTGGTATAAGATCTTCGTGTACATATTGTGGAGTATTAAGAAGACAAGCTTTAGATAGAGGAGCAGCAAAACTTGGAATAAATCATGTCGTTACAGGGCATAATGCCGATGATATGGCGGAAACAGTTTTGATGAACTTATTGCGTGGTGATGCAAATAGATTAGAAGGAAGTACTAAAATAATGACTCAATCAGCTGAATCACCTATAAAAAGATCGAAACCATTTAAATATACTTATCAAAAGGAGATTGTGTTGTATGCGCATTACAAGCAACTTGACTATTTTTCAACCGAATGTTCGTATGCACCAGAGGCTTTTAGAGGTACAGCTAGAGAATTATTGAAAAGTTTGGAAAGTATACGGCCATCATGTATCATGGATATTATATATAGTGGGGAGCATTTAGTGTTAGCGAAGAAACAAAAAAAGAAAACAGTTGCATATAAAAATAAGAAACCAGAAGAAACTGAAATAAACAAAGACGGGTCAGTATCTATTCAAAACTCGAGATGTGAAAAATGTGGGTATTTGTCTTCAAATAAAATCTGTAAAGCATGTATGTTGCTACAAGGTTTAGAAATGAATAAACCTAAAGTTAATATAGATAATGGTTCAACAGAAGGAGCAGCTAAGATGACTAAAATGCTAGAGGGTCTAAGTTTTTGAGGTGTCTATTTATTTATTTATATAATGTAATATTTATTTATCTATTAATCTTGTTTTCTGTAGTAGTGGAATGGTGAGGCTTGATGATTTGGGAATATCAAAGTTTCAGCAATGACCACATTTTGTCTTCTTGTTATTGAGAAAACTAATGACTCAGCAATATCACTAGCTATCAAGGGTTCAGTTTTATCATATACAGCATCTGATTTTGCTTTATCTCCCTTAAATCTAACTAAGGAAAAATTTGTTTCAACTGCACCTGGACTATTTAAAATGACTCTAATTTTGGTTGAAATCAACTCTTTTCTTAAAGAATCACTGAATGATTTGATTGCGGCCTTAGAAGCACAATAAATTGAACCTTTATCATATGGTACAATACCAGCAATACTACCAATAAACACTATGGTTCCAGTATTTTTCTTTTTCAAAAGTGGTAATACTTTCTTGGTAACTGCAATTGAACCTAAAACATTTGTTTGAAAAACTAACTCGGCATCTTCAACTTCAGTGTTTACAAATTCATCTTGTCCAATTGCTAACCCTGCATTATTTATCAAAACGTCAATATCAGCAAAATCACTTGGAATGTTTTTGAAGAATTCATCAATAGATTTCAAGTCTGAAACATCTAAACTTGCAGATAAAACTTTAATACCTGGATATTCTTTTTCTAATTTTGTTTTCAATTCATCTAATTTATCTTTTCTTCTAGCTGTAATAATTAATTTAATATTTGGATTTGCTTCAGCTAATTCTAAACATGTAGCTTCACCAATTCCTGATGAACATCCGGTGATAAGGAAGGTTTGATTCTCAATTCTTTCAGCTGCTGCTTTACCGTAACTCATGCTATTGTATATTGGACGAAATCTTAATAAATCAAACAAGAAATAAATATATGTTCGTTTATAAAGTTTGTCAATTCTGTGCGGAATCGGAAATTTATTTGTCAAAAGTGTGGAGCGCAATTGATTTGGACCTTCATTAGAGTAGCAAAATTTAAGAAGTAATAATTGGCCCAAATCGAGATATCGAGAGGTACAGGTCTAGAGGAAAAGTAAATATCTCTAATTTTTAATTTCATTAAAATTGCAGAAGGTATGTATATTTTGTTACGTTTATATTATTGACATATACATTGTGTATCTTTATCCTCAAACACTGTATGAATAATGAGCTTGTGTTTCTAGTCAAATTATTAAGTTGAAGTTTAATTTACAAAGATGAATGTTGATGGTGGATTGATTAGTAGAAAGTTGATGGTCTGTGACTGTAGTATAAAGCTTTGGTTTTTTGAACTCTGTGTGGTAATGGGAATTTTAAATCTTTAGTTAAGAATTGTTTAACGTATTGTCTTTTAACATCATCAGTCTTTTGTAATTCAACAACTTTTAAAATATGGATATTTCTAAATCTAGCTCTGTGTCTAGCAGCTAAATCTTGGTACATAGTTTCAACAGCTCCAACTCTGGTAACATCTCTGTATTCTTTGTACATATTATGGATACCTGATCTTGATTCGTATCTGATCCAAATACCAAAAGTTTTAACTTTAGTTGGTTTAGCTTCATTGATAACATTGATTGAAACAATTTCACCTAAGGTTTTTTTAACTTTATGTAATTTTTGTAAGAAATACCAGTATCTTGATTTTGCAACAACAGTGTTTGGAGCAAAAATTCTCATACGGAATAATTTTGGTTCTGGTGCTGATTCAGTAGGTAATCTTCTACCAATGACTTGATATTCGTTTAATCTAGACATTCTAAAAGGATGTTAGTATTCTGTTGATTAAATTTCCTATTCAAATGAATTATTTTGAAGAATGAAAGACTCCAATATGATTGACAAATCCAAAACGTGAAATTCGTTACAAAATTTAATATACAATTTGTGATGACTTCATTAAAGCATTTCCAAAAGTGCTTCTTCCCACAATTCTGTTTCATGCGTTCTCCAACATTCTCTCATTAAAATTCATCAATATACTCCATGAAAACATACTTTTATTTTGGTTGTTATGATTGAATATACCCTTCTATATTAAAGGTTTGAAAATTAATTTCTGAAATTTTTTTTGTTTCTCTCTGCTAACATTACGCTTACAGTAGTTAAGCTTAACTATGTGAAAGTATTTGGTAGCAAAGCTGCTTCGTAATGTAGTGATAGGGCTAAAACCCTAAAGAGATTATAAACTTCTAATTTTCAACTTCATGGGAGAATGGCTGTAGCATAAAATGATCAATATATAGAAGGTTTCAACTAACGATTCAATATAACACTGATGCATCTATAATAAATGATATAGTTAAAAATAGAAAATCACTCCATGCAACTTTTGAATGAGGGAGCTCCATGCAACTTTTGAATGAGGGAGCTCCATAATTATGAAAGAGACATGTCACTGACTAAATCATTTTCGTTTTCAACAGTCTATCACTAAATTATTTATTATCTATTTTTTTTATATAAATGTTCATTTTTCGAAAGACTTAACTTCTCTCTTCTTTGTTTAGCTAAATCACCACATTCTGTACTTAGTAACCAATCCCAAATTCTAAATGAACTAGCATAATTTCCAATAAAATAATGATGATGTTCATCATGATGTTCTGCACCTGCCCATAATGGAAAAATTTTATTTAAACTCCATGGGAAATCATAACCTGAATGAGAATCAACAGCTTGAAATAATCTTAAAATAATCCATATTGTAATTGTAAATAAATGTATTGATGGTAAATTTTTAAATTTTGTAGCTGAATAAGCGTATAAGATTGGGAATCCCACTGTACCTACTCCTAATGCTGCAACTTCTGCAGGATGAGCATATTCTGCTGCTAATCCAAATGGTGCTGCATATTTATGATGAATTTTGTGAATATTTTTATAGAACCATCCATAATGAAATAACCTATGAAATGAATAATGCCATAAATCTTCACATATAAAAAAGAATATGATTTGACAAATTTGAATTTTCCAATTTGGAAAAGGTACATCATACGTAATGCCTAGTTTTGAACATAATGGATGAAACAACCAAATAGGTAAAGCTTCAACTAAAAAATGGGATTTTAAAACTGATTTAAAACATTCCCATTGTTCATGATTTGATGGAATTCTATCTGGTTGGATTTTGTATTTCTTAAAATATGATATTTGATCAATAATAAACCAAGGTAAACACCTACCAAAGTACATTATTTCATGAGTTAAAAAAAATAGTAATCCTGTTGCAACTATATCATTCCCAATGAATGTGTACCATCTTGCCCATAATTGTTCTATATAATTTAAATTCGTATATTGAACATTGTGAAATATTGATGTGGAGTTAATTGAATTTATTTGGAGATTGTCCATTCTGTTGATGAGTTTGCAAGTTGCAAAATTATTACAATTTGTTATTAATAGACTTGGTCTTATATATATTTGATCGACTTAATAATTTTTAATGTTTGTTTTGTTTATATTAATCGTATGATTTTGCAACCGAAAAACACAAATATATTTTTGTTGCAAAATTAAAATATTTTGAAACGAGAAAATTTATACGAGAGGAACGGTATGCATATTAAAGCACACAAAAATTATGAAGATAAACAAAACGACTTTCTAATTTGACTTTATTATTATTCTCTATGAAACCCCTATAACCTCGTATACACTATACAAACATTTATTCAACTCTTTCAGTTGGTAAAATATCAACCAATAAACTTCCTTCAACACTAGGTAAATTTAATCCATTATTTTGTTTATATTCTTTAACGTTATCAAAAAATTTATCAAATAAGTAAGCAGTATCTTGAGGACCTCCTTTTGCTTCAGGATGAAATTGAGTTGAAAAAACTGGATTTTTTCTATGTATCATACCTTCATTACTTAAATCATTTAAATTTATAAAAAATTGTTGCCAATCATCTTTTAAAGTAGTTGAATCTACTGCATATCCATGATTTTGTGATGTTATATGACATTTACCAGAAACTAAATCTAATGTTGGAATATTATGAGCTCTATTACCATATTTTAATTTAACTGTTTTAGCACCACTTGCTAATGCTAATAATTGATGACCTAAACAAATTCCAAAAATTGGTAAATCTGGATATTTATCCATTATTTTTCTTAAATTATCTACTGTAGTTGAACAATGAGTTGGATCACCAGGACCATTAGAAATGAAAACACCATCAAATTTATTTGCAATTTTATCTATTGGATAATCATATGGGAAAACAGTTATAGAAGCACCTCTTTCAACTAAACAACGTAAAATATTTTCTTTTGCTCCACAATCTAAAACAGCTATATGAAGATCTTTTGAATGTTCTTTTGGACATGCAACATGAAATGGTTGTTTAGTTGTAACTTTATGGACTAAATTTACAGCACCTGGATCTTCAAAAGCAGCATCTTCATCAGCATCATATTCTTCTCCAATTGTTATTTTACCTAAACTTGAACCTTTATCTCTTAAATATGAAACTAATTGTCTTGTATCAACACCAGTTATTGCAGCAACTCCATTTCTTTTACACCATTGTTGTAAACTCTCAACAGCTGTCCAATGACTATATTCTAATGCAACATCTCCAACAACTATACCAATACATTGTATTTTAGGACTTTCCATATATTTTAATAAGTTAAATTCATCTTTTAAAGTAGATGATGGTACACCATAATTTCCAATTAATGGTTGTGTAAAACATAATATTTGACCTTTATATGATGGATCTGTCATACTTTCAGGGTAACCAACTAATGAAGTTGTAAAAACAGCTTCACCACTAACATTTCTATTAGCTCCAAAGGAGTAACCACTAAATACTGGACCATTTTTAATAGTCAATGTGGCTCTATCTAATTGAGATTTATTATTGGTAAATGGTTTACTAGCAGTAGCTAGGAATCTTTTGAATTGAAACATTGTATAAGTAGGTTATGTGGGTAAGATTGAAGATGGAAGGTAGTATGTAAAATATTTGAAATTTCAATGAGTAATATAAATTGAAAAAATTTTATTATAGATCTACAGTTTCTATAAACTTTTTAAAATTTGCTAACCGCGATGTAAAACTTTTGAATTGGCTCACATAGTTAAACTTTTGTTACACAAAATCTAGATGACTATTATGTGAAATTTTAATATTAGTAGAATCATATACATTGTAGATTGATCCATAGTGTGGAGTTTACATTTCAAGTGGTTGGTTATTGAGAATCATTGTCAATATAAACTTACAATATCTACTTCGTAATACTTCATCTAACATAATTATCATTAAGTCTATAAATTCCACACATACTAACCTACTAGAACTGGTACATCTAACTTAACAGTATTATGAGCAAATTCATTTTGATCATTATTCGTCCCTTTATACTTAACTGCAACTTGCAAACAATATAATCTTCCAACAAGACAACTTTGAAAAGTTGGTAATAAATTCACATTATTTTTATTTTCAACTTCCAAATAAATTTTAATTTTTTTATTCCATTTGAATTTCCCTTTTGGAAGTTGTTCAATTGACCAATCTTTATCTTCATGAACTGTTGTTTTAAAATAATGTTGTATAGTATCTTTTTTTATACCCAATTTTTGAATTGATTTTAAATACATAAATGAATCCTTACTGATATATATCGAATTTGATTTAATAAAATTTATGTAGTTTGAAACTTGATCTTTTATATATTGAAGATTTCTTTTAGTTGTTTCTACTGGATCATTTGGTACTTTATCATGACTTTTATAAAAAAAATCATATCCCATTTCAAAAGGTAGAGGATATTCTGTCTTGTATGACCATATGATTATATTTGTATCAATTGTCATTGATGGTGGTTTGGTATCACGTTCACATTCAAATGATAAGTCAACGACCAAATAATCTAGAAGGTCTTCTTCACTTCGATTATATAATTCTTCCATATTACTTGTGACTGGAGTCAATGTATTATCTTCACCATCATTATATTTCATTAATAATCTTGGAGATGCGTAAGCTATTACCTTATCAGGAAACTTGATTGACATTCTCAGCTCTCCAACTTTGACCAAAGATGATAAAATCATTTTCTTCTTCTTTCCAAAAATTTCTACTGGTTGATTAGTCGAAATTAATGCATCTTCTCCTTTTTTGGTTAATTCGTCCTCATCATCATTCAATGTAAGATTTTTTATTTTCAACATATCCGAAGTCAATTCATCTTTAGTTAATTTTTGATCAATTTCTCTCTCTATCTTTTCATTTTCAAATTTTATAGACTTCCATGTCAAATTATAAGTTAGCTGCTCCAAAAATTTACCGCCAACTCCAATATTCGGATAATTACCAACATTGTGAAATTTACAATATTCGACTTGCTCTTTTAAATCTGGAATAAATCTTAAAAAATATTGAGCACTTTTCGATATAACATAATCATTTTTAGCATCATTAATTTCTTGATGTGATACAGCGTCTTTTGAATTAACATTATCTATGAATTTAGCTTCAATAGTGTATGCTATACTTAAATCATCAAAACTATAATCTTTTGTTAAAATTGGAGTTCCACGTAAATTTAAAGAACCATAACCTAATGCTTTATTCATAGTTATACTTTCACCTCTATTGAAAAAACTAGTTCTATCTATCCCCATAGATGGTGGTGGTAAAATATGTTGTAAAATTGAATTCATACATACATTATCTAATAATCTATGAGGAAATTTAAATGTGAAAAATTTTTTATATTTAACTTTTGGTTGTAATATTCTATTATCTGGTATACCAAGTAATGATCCATCAGATTTATCTCTTGAAAGTGGTTCATATTCTATTCCTGCACTATTTGGTATATATCCATATCCATAACTTGCATTTAAATCATACATTTTTAAAAATTTTTTCATAAGAATCTTATTATATCTATGTTGAAAATCAAAAGAATTTGGATTTCTTTCTGTTGATTTCACAGTACCTTCTAATGAAACTGTAAATAGTCCAAATCTAACAGGTTCATCCGATGTATTAGTTACAGTCACATAACCATTAACATGATCACCACTAGTATATTCTTTTAATCTCAGTTCCAATTCATGTTCAATATTTGGAAAAGGTATATTTTTTGTAACATAAATTTGTAAATCAATTGGTGAATGAGTTGAACGATTTAATCTATCTATATTATCCAATGGTGAATGTCCATAAGTTTCATGAGTTACCGCCATATTTTCATTATGAACTTCTACATTAACATTACTTGAACTAATTACAGGTGATAATCCAACAGGATCTTCATCAAAATTATATTCTTGATCTAAATGTCTATCGTGTTCTCTTTCTAATCCATATTCATTCAAATTTTGATCAATTGATTGTTGTGGTGTAATTCTAGGTGATGAAGATGAACTATTAATTGTATCACCATAAATTGGAGGTACTGTTGAAAGATCTTCTTGAAATTGTCTATCATCTCTTTTTAATATACTTTGAAACATTTCAAATGAAGGTAAAAGATCAAAATAATTGGTTTCTGAAGCAGTTGATGAGGTTTGTAAAGTATTTATACCTCCGGATTCTCGACGAGTTGTCGAAGCACCTGATAGTATATCGATTTGTCTTTGTTGATCTCTTGATGGTTTATATGGTACATTTTTCGTAGTAGGTATTCTTGCTTGAGAAGATATTGAAGACCTAGAAGAAATTGGTGTTAAATGAGGAGGTGATGCAATTTCTGATTGTTGATATGTTGGCGGTGGCTCTTTTTTGTCATCTTTTTCATTGGTTGAATTCCTTTTGGTCATATCATTAGCCTTTTTTGCTTCAAAGAAATGATGATAAGGACATTGTATTTTTTTTTTTTTAGTTTGATTGTAACATTGTTAATCTTATCTTTATTTGTGATAATGACTTGCCTATGTTTGTTTGTTTCAGTAAGCTTTGGATTAAAAGTGGTAATAACGTTTTGGCCACAATGATCAGGTAAATTTAGAGATCCAAATTGGAATTTAACTGGTATATATGTTGAATTGAAAAACGTCTTTAATCATGCTGATTCTTGCATTACCCCCTAACAATCAGATTTTACGAAAAGCGCAAATCCAAAATACATCTCACCAAATAATCTATTACACTATCTTTATGTCAACATCATAGAATGTCACAACCAAATCAAGATCTAACTTTCTACAAAGATCATACATTAATATCAGATAAAATACTAAAAAGTAATAATTCTTATTTAACAACAATCACATATATTCAAGGAACTTCACCAAATTGGTTAATTAATTCATTAATTGAAAATAGTTTACAAGGTTCAGCTTTACCAATAAATCAAGAATTAAAAACCACACCAAGCAGAAGTAATGTTATATTTATAAGTTTTTTACATAATAAAGAATTTTATATTAGGAATTTAAAAAAAAATGGAATTGATTTAACCCAAAATTCAAATTTTATTTTCATTGATTATTTTACAAATTTATTTTCAGAAAAGATTAAAGATTCAACAAATGCAATAAATGATACAAATAAATTATTTGATGATCTGAAAATTCCAAAAAATTCAATTATTTTTATTGAATCACCTGAAATATTATTATATTCAACAAATATAATAAGTGATGATTTACTTTTTAATTTAATAAAATTAAATAAAAAAACAAATCAGCTATTTATTATAAGTTCAAAAGATGAAGAACTCATAGATTATAATGTTAATGAAATTGATAATCCAACTTTTAAAATTACTGATTTTTTAACAAAATTATTATTTAGATCTCAATTAAATATTTCTTTATTACCTTTAAAAACTGGTAGAGCAAAAGACATTACGGGGAGTTTAACTATAACTAAGGGATGTTTACCATATAATGATAAAAATTTAATAGTAAATGAAAAAGAATATGTTTATAATATCACAAAGGATTCAAATATTAAAATATATTTTCGATAAATTAGTGGTTTTGTCATGATCTTTTTCTATGTAAATTATATAAATCATCTAATGCAAATTCAATAGCACATCTTGTCCATAATAAAGGAAATAAAGGCCAAACAGATCTTTCTCCAACTAATACCCAATAAGGAATATTTTCCATAGTTCTATGAACATCAAATACTCTACCAAAATCTTTTACTAAATATCTAACTTCTGGTACAATAGTAACTTCACGAATTGAAGCTAAATATTGCATTTGAGTTGGTTTTTCATCAATAAATAATCTTTTCATTACTTCAGTTAATAACCCCAATTTATTTAATACAACAATTCTATGTTGAATTTCCATTCCAATAATATTTTTTAATCTTTTCATAAAATTGAAACCTGAATCTTTTGTATATTTTTCAATATCTTTTTTACTCATTTCTCCATCATATGAATTTTTTTTTTTATCATATTTAACTTTACCATAATAAGCATGATAATGTTTTAAATCATTACTTATTAAAGGAGCTAAATAAGGTCTTGCTAAACTTATAACAAAATGATTTACATTAAATAATTCAGTTAATTTTGTATATGGTGATTGATGTTGAATATTTGTTGATAAATTATTTTGAAAATATGATGTTTGATACGTTACATCTTGAGGTTTTAAAAATTTAACATCAATATCTGGAGTTTGTAAAACAATTTCATTATTAAAATCTTTAACATATATTGCTATATCATCTGATAATACTCCTGTACCGATTGATGCATATATGGCAGTCCATATTATTGCATTGGGAGTAGTTATATAATTTAATAATGATGGAACACTTCTATTTGTTGGATGAATAACAATATTTAAAATTTTACCGGTTTTCATATAAGCTTCTTCAAAAGTAACATCTCCAATTGTATCTCTTACAAATTTTAAAAATAATAATATGTCTTGACTATAACCCTTTTTAACAACATTTTCAATAACATTTCCATATCTTTCATCAATTTCATGATTTAAAATATCAATATTTTTCATTAATTCTTCAATATTAACTAATATGGGTATCAATTCATCATCAGTTAATGTACAAACTAATGAAGCAACTGCAGCACCAACAGCACTACCACCAATAACTCTTGGTAATAATCTTTTAAAATATAATGCTTTAACAACTCCTAAATGACATAAACCAAAAAGTGATCCACCTTGTAATAATAAAGCAGTTGAACCAAAACTTTGTCTTGCATCATGAAAAAAATCTAATTTTAATTGTTTTGAATTCATAACATAATCATCACCATTACTACTGCTTAAACTTTCATTTAAAAATTCTAAACAATTTAAAATTTCATTTATATATTCTTCAATTTTAAATTTTGTACCCATATAAGATTTAAGATATAATCTTTTTTGAGCAATACCTCCAAAATTTCTAATTAACCCTGATCTTAAAAGAGACATAATTTGTTGAAAATCTTGATTTTCTCTTGCTTCAATTAATAATTTAATACGTTCATTAATTAAAACATAATCATAATGTTTACTTATAAAATTTTGTCTCCATAAATCCATATTTGTTAATTTATCAATTTCAAAAGCTATTTTTTTCCATTCATTATAATTTGATACATTTGTTAATTCTTTTATATAATCCTTGAGAGGATCTTTTCTATAATATATATAATATAAATGTTTTACCCAAAAAAAACATATATCTATTATAAATTCTATTATTGCCCATATAAAACTTGGTGTGTTGTTAATTATAAATGCAACAATTGGTAATACCGTATTGTTGAATAAATTTACAATCATATCATACTATTTGGTTCTTTGTTGGAAAGGTGTAGTTGAAGAAGTATAAATAAAGCTGGTTTAAGAATTGGTTTTACATGATTGCATAAAGAAAAAATAAGTCTGACATTTTGTTGCAAAACGAGAAATCAAAATCATAATATCCATTAACAAATATACAAACATAAATATTACATAGAAATAAGCAAACAGAATATACAAAATCTCTATAATTGTTCATTATTTATCACCACCAGATATAAATTTTTTACTCTTGTTTAACCATTTTTTACCAAAATTAGAAGCGGTAGAACCAGTTCCTTCAACTTTATCTTTCATAACATTAACTTTAGATCTAAATGAACCATGTCTTCTTAAATCATTATGAGGAGCATTTGAATAAGCTTGTGATGCAATTCTACCAATATGAATATTATTATTATTTGGACCAAAATTTGAAGTTTGTTTTAAACTATAATTTAACCAATTTTTTAAACCTGTTTCATATTCCAATTCTGCGACTAATGCTTTTTTAAAAGCTGTAATTCTATCTTTTGGTTGTGATATTGTTATTATACTTTTCCAATCTGATACTGGATATTTATCTGGAGTGAAATTTATAGTTGGTTGCGGTGTTATTAAAGTTGTTGAATCACTTGTATTTCTTGAAATTTTTGGGGGAGGACTTTTGTTCGAACCTATTATTGATGATGATGATTTTGTTGGTTCGATATCAATTGATCCATCAGATGCTTTTCTTGGTAATTTGGGGATTAAACTATTATATTTTTGAGGTAATGATTCTTTTGATTGAGCAGGTGTCATTTTTTCTTCACCAAATACAGGTTTTAAATAAGGTTTTGAATTTAATATTGAATCTTGAGTTGTAATTGTATCTAATCTACTTGATGTAGTATCATCGTGATTTTCAGAATGTTCTTCAGCGTCAAGATCATTATCATCTTCTTGAATATTTGGCATAACATCAATAGTATCAGGTACAGATAATGAACTAGAATTTGAATGAATTTCACTTAATCCAGAAGAAGAATTTCTATTTTTAATAAATTTATCATATTTTGATTTAACTTCAGAATCAAAATTTATTGTTGAATCATTATCATTATCATTTATAAATTGATTTCTAAAATTTTCAGTATTTTGATTCCAATTATTCATATTAAAAGTATCTTGAGATATTCTTCTTGATGATCTATTATCTATATCTTGTTGTTGTTGTTGTTGAAATTTAAAATCCATTGATAATTTACCAGTTGATAATGAACCTGATGAAATTACTGGATGTAAATCAGGTGGTACTAATTCTTCTTCCTCTTCTACTTCTTTATTTGAAACAATGTCTTTTTCTTCAGCTAATGATGATTGTTCAGTTTCTGTACCATATCCACTTACAATATGTGAATAATCTCCAGAATCCTTTTTTGGTGGTTTTCTAACGGAATCTCTTCTTTTTGCATTATTATAATCATTCAAATATGAATTATGTTGTTGTGCTATTGTTAATGGAGCTATTGGACTTTCTTCAGGATGATCTAATTCTTGATGATTTAAATTACTAGTATCAATTTGCATTTGATTATAATCTTTAGATTTATTATTATTTAATTCATGAATGAAAGAATCAATATCATGACTCGATGAATTATGTGAATGTTGTTGGTGATTTTCTTTTTGGGCTTCTTCTTCTTCTTCATCATCTGATGAATCACGACCATTATACCCCCAATCATCATCAGTACTATCGTCATCTTCATCTTCATTTTGCTTCTTTTTATCTACAGACAATACTAATTTTTCAGGTTGTCTTTTAATAGTTTGTTCTTTTGTAAGTTCTTGTTCCTCATCTTTTTCATTAAATGTATCATCAGCACTTATTCCCTTATTATAATTTGAATTTTTTATACTCAAATTAATAGGTTCTCTTTGTATTGATGAATCAGATTGAAAACTTGCTTCAGAAGGTGTACGAATATTTTCATGATTTGAAAATTCACTATAAGTTGGAGTTGGAGGTACTATAAATTCATTTAAATTTGAACTTGAATTATTACTATTATTTGTTATTAGGTTGTTTGCACTTTTTGATAAACTTGTAGTTGATAAATCTGGTTGTAATCTAATATCATCTTTGAAGGCTCCTGGCACAGCCTCATGATAATGATGAGGTTCTGGTTCTTGATATATTGATTCATTATTATTACTAAATTGATGATCAGTTGTGTGTGTGTTGTTTTTGGACAATTGTTCTTTACTATCATCATATTTATTTTCATCATCTTCATCACTACTATCTGAATCATCTTCATATTGTTTCTTTTTATCAATTGATAAAACTAAATCAGATTGAGGTACACTTACAAAACTATCTGTTTCACCTTCTCGTAGTGATTCTTTATAATCATTTAATATACTATGAGGTAAAGATGGAATTTGATTTGTAGATTGATTCTGTGTATGTGCTGCTATATTTGATGTTGTTGGAAGATTTGTATTTGATTCATTATTATTTGTTTCATAATCATCTTCATATTCATATTCATCTTCATCACCCCATCCACCATATGTAGGTACTTCTTTCACCCATCTTGTAGATTTTTGTCTTTCAACGTTATCAGTCATGACTTGCTTGCTGAGTACTAGTAAGACTGTTTTATATTCGACTTGGTTACTGCGCTTTAGTTTTTTTCCTATTTTTCTCTTTTTTTTTGATCGTACCTTAATTTAATTTTGTAAACAAATAAGAGAGTCTATGACATCACACGAATTGAACAGTACAACTTATTCTCTGAGGATACAAGAAATGTTTTTCATCGAAGGGCTAAATCAAAACTCGATGATAGTTACAGTGTGTTCAAAGTGGTAGAGCTTGGTTTAATCTTACAAAAGTTGTAATCTCTGAAAGCTTATCAATTGAAGACCATCATCGAACTAGATAATCCATTTATTACGAAACAAAGCTAAAAAATGAGAACACCATGAACTTGAAAAATCGTTTATCTCGTCATCAAATTAAAGCAAAATATCTAGTACTTAGTTATGATATAGATCTGTTGTGTGAACATTTACCATTTTCTTTTGACATACTGTAATTATTATTTTTTCGCGTCAATTTGAGTTCAAATTGATAAAATGTGATAATAAGTGATCAAACTTACAAATTTTCTACTTAAATCAGGCTTTATCTCTAACTTGTCCTTGTTCAGATTTACTTTGCATCTACTTTTACTAGTAAGAGTTGTAATTAAAAGGTGAGCCATTATTAGTTGGAATTATTATACTAATAAACTCCGAAAAGACAAATCTTTTTAGGTTTCAAAAGCCAAATTCTCTTCATGAATATCGATTGCATCATAGATAACAAGATAAAATCCTGCTTTCTACATTTGTTATTTAGGGCGTTCAACGCTAATGAAAAAGTTCAGTGTTTCATCAGAAAGTTTGCTCTTAAAAGTATCATATGAAAAAATCAAATATTTAAACTTTGGATTGATGATATAAATTTGGTAGCTACTACTACTCGTTTAAAAAGTGTGAATTTCCCCCACATTTAAATTTTTATTTTTTTTATTTTTTGCATTAACTCCGATTTATGGAGAATAATTTTTCACTATAATTAATTAGTGTTGTTCTAAATACCCATTACAAGTAGTTGATAGAAAATTGACAAAAACAGATCACATATGGCTCATAAACAGTAAATACTGCTTTAATAAAATCCTACAAAGTTGAAAGGTAAGTGCCTCTTACTAAAATTTGAAGGATGAAATTTGTTGGTACTTCTATTTGAGTATGTAAAATTGATAAAAAGTTAAAAAGAAAATTCGGAAAATTCTATTAACGTTTTTATCAATATATAATTTCTTATTGTGTCAAACTTTCTTAAAATTTGGTCATATACTCTTGTGATGATAATAGTTTTGATCATATAATAAAGTAAGTGATTATGACTATAGGAGCTTTCATTCTTATTAGATGTGTCAATTAGATTCATGATAAGACTAACTTTAAAAGGATAATTCTTCAAATTTTAAGTTTTCAATTAATAATCAAATATATTAATTTCATCCAATCTCAATACAAACACCAAATCTATTATTTTTAGTATCTTCTATTCTCATACTTTCCTTGATAATTTCTAATCCCCTTAATTTGATTGTTGTAATGGCATAAGCAATAATATGTACAGTTAGAATACAACAATTCTCATTAGAAATTTTTCATATGATAATTTTATAAAATCTCTCTTTTGTTAAAGTATCACGTATTAATTTTTTATAATGAAACAATATCTCCAATTGGGATTTAGTTAGTTTCAATCTACAACAGAAAATGAAAGATAAACTGATGAATGATGGGATTTGGATGGTTTAAACGGAGAGGTCATTCTACAGATCTAACTGATAGATATCTCTCAAGATCTTTATTTTGAATTAAAGCCTAGTAATTGATTATGAACATTGTAATAGAATTTTAATTGCCGATATTTATTATTATTTCTTTCTTTTAATTCATATAATCGTATAATAATAAAAAATGTGACAGATTATTTCGTTTAAACGAGTGTGATGCTGTAACGTTTTTCTTTGTACTATTTAGGTCGGTACGCACAAACTTCTCGACCCAACTTTATTTTATCTCTCGTTAAAAGTATACATACTAACAAAATAGGAATTAATTTTTTCCTTATGAAAAATTCAACACCGAAATAAATATGTAACACAAAACAATACACAGTAACAATACTACTAAAAAATTGTTCAATAAATTCAACTCAATCAATTTTTTTATTAATAACCTAAAATTTAAAGAGATCAACACACATTTTTTTATATCTTCTTACTAACACAGTTTCAATTGATCTTAACTTTCATTTCTTTAAACTTAAAACCAATTATACTACCAACTAATTCAATTTCAAAATGGCATTAGATTCTTATGATTTATATGTTGTTATAATATTAGTTGTTGCAGTAGCAGCATATTTTGCCAAAAATCAATTTATTTCAAAACCAGAATCAACAGGATTTTTATCAAATGATAGTAATGGAGGAACAAATTCAAGAAATATTTTAGAAACATTACAAAAAAATAATAAAAATGCTCTTTTAGTTTATGGTTCACAAACTGGTACAGCAGAAGATTATTCAAATAAAATGTCAAGAGAATTAAGTTCAAGATTTGGTTTAAAAACTATGGTTGCTGATTTTGCTGATTATGATTGGGATAATTTTGGAGATATTAAAGATGATATTTTAGTATTTTTTATTTTAGCTACTTATGGAGAAGGTGAACCAACTGATAATGCTATTGAATTTATTGAATTTTTAGATAATGAAGCTGATACTTTAAGTAGCTTGAGATTTACTGTATTTGGTTTAGGTAATTCTACTTATGAATTTTATAATGCTATTGGTAGAAAAGTTGATTTAAAATTAGAGGAAAAAGGAGCTGAAAGATTTGCTGAATATGGTGAAGGAGATGATGGTAAGGGAACATTAGATGAAGATTTTTTAAGTTGGAAAGATGGAGTATTTGATTCATTAAGAAATAATTTAAATTTTGAAGAAAAAGAATTAAAATATGAACCAAGTTTAAAAATTATTGAAAGAGATGAATTAACTACAGAAGATAAACAAGTTTCATTAGGTGAACCAAATAAAAAATATATAAATACTTCTGTTGGTACTGATTTATCAAAGGGACCATTTGATCATACTCATCCATATTTAGCTCCAATCACCAAGATTAAAGAATTATTTAATTCAAAAGAAAGATCATGTGTTCACGTTGAATTTGATATTAGTGATTCAAATTTAAAATATTCAACTGGTGATCATTTAGCAGTATGGCCACAAAATAGTAATGAAAATATTGAAATATTTTTAAAAGCTTTTGATTTAAATGATAAAAAAGATAATGTTATTGAATTAAAAGCCCTTGATTCAACTTATCATATTCCATTTCCCACACCAATTACTTATGAAGCTATTATAAGACATCATTTAGAAATTAGTGGACCAGTATCAAGACAATTTTTCCTTTCCATAGCAGCTTTCGCTCCTAATGAAGAAACTAAAACAAAATTAACCAAGATAGCAAATGATAAATCAAAATATGCAGAAGAAATTACTTTAAAAAAATATAATATTGCTGATGCTTTATTATATTTATCTTCAGGTGAACCATGGACAAAAGTACCATTTGAATTTTTAATTGAAAATATTCAACATTTAACACCTCGTTATTATTCAATTTCTTCATCATCAATGAGAGAAAAATCAAATATAAATATTACAGCAGTTGTTGAATCAGAAATTGAAAAAGATAAAAGAATTGTAAGTGGAGTAGTAACAAATTTATTAAAAGATATTGAAATTAATAAAAATAAATCTGGTGATAAACCTTTGGTCACATATGATTTAAAGGGACCACGTTCAAAATTTGAAAATTTTAAATTACCTGTACATGTAAGAAGATCAACTTTTAAATTACCTTCAAGTTCAAAAACTCCTATAATATTAGTTGGTCCTGGAACAGGAGTAGCACCATTAAGAGGATTTATAAGAGAAAGAATTACTCAATTAGAAAATGATGTAAACGTGGGACCATCATTATTATTTTATGGTTGTAGAAATGAAAATGAAGATTATTTATATAAAGATGAATGGAAAGAATATTCAAAGAAGCTTGGTGAAAATTTTGAAATTGTAACTGCTTTTTCAAGAGCTGATCCCTCAAAAAAAGTTTATGTTCAACATAAAATTTTAGAAAATTCTGCCAAGATCAACGAATTCATAAATAATGGTGCTATCATATATGTTTGTGGTGATGCTGCTCATATGGCTAGAGATGTTCAACAAGCTTTTATTAAAATTATTTCAAATGAAAGAAAAATTGATTTGGAAAAAGCTGCTGATTTGGTAAGAAGTTTAAAAGTCCAGAATAGGTATCAAGAGGATGTCTGGTAGAGTCATTGATTAGTTGTTGATGAGGATTTTGACGAATGATGAAAATAAAGAGAATAATGATTAAACTTTTTGTATCAATATAATAAAAAGAATTTTTAATTATTTTCATACGTGTTTGCTATTATATAAAATTTAATTTCGGAAAATTGTTAGTATTTCCTATAGATTGTGAATATGTATAGAAAGAGTAAATAAATTCATTAGTATAAATTCTTAGAATCTATAACTCTACTTATGTATTACTCGACTGCTTGTCAAATTGTTGTATCAAATTTAGTAAAAATCCACGACAAGACAGATCCGTTAATCAACCAAAAAGTAAAGAAAAAAAATTGCAGCAAATGAAAAATTCAATTGCCGTTAACTAAAACAATTTAATCTTAACTACAACCTATAACAACTACAAATCAAATCATGTTTGGATTAGGAGGAGCATCAACCCCACAAATTTCCCTGCAAGCAAAATTACAAGCAGCAGAAGCAGAATTAGATATGGTCACAGGAATGTTTAATTCATTAGTATCACAATGTCATCAAAAATGTATTTCAAAACAATATTCAGAAAGTGATATAACAAAACAAGAAAGTTTATGTTTAGATCGTTGTGTTGCTAAATATTTTGAAACTAATGTTCAAGTTGGTGAAAATATGCAAAAATTAGGTCAAAGTGGTCAATTTATGGGTAGAAGATAAACATTACTAGAGTTAATTTTTCGATTACAATGTTACCATTTATTCCTTGTAAATATAAATATAAATATACATAATTATTTGTTAGTTGTTCTTGGAACTACTAATTTATTCCTAAAGCTCTTCCAATTCTTAATTTAAAACCTTCAAAACTATTTAATTTAGGTCTAACATCTAACATAACTTGATTATTTTCACCATTATAAAAATCAATAACATATTCAATTTCTTTACCACATCTATTTATAATCCAATCATGTCTATCAAAAGGACCATTATGTCCTAATAGTTGTGTTTTAAACCAAGCTCTTGGAGTTAATTTTTTAGAATCTCCTTTAAATGAAGTTAATGTAATACCACCACATTCCTCCATAGCTTTTTTATAGTTGTTACCTTCCCATATCATTATATGTTTCCAACATCTTTCATTTACTAAATTATGTATAGGTACAATAACTTTCATATCATTGGAATTTGGATTCCAATTTTTTCTAACCATTGCCTCAAAAAATTGTTTTTCACTTGGATATATCCAATTTGAATTTGATGAAGTTCTTGGTATACTACTTATTTCTCTTTCTATTGGTAAATTTATATTTGTTTTTGTTGTATCTTGCAATGTATTTTGTATATCATTTGAATCACATGTTTTAGTTGGTTTTGTAGTAGATGAGGGATTGCTATTGATTGAAGTATTGTTTATGGATGTTTCTATATCTTCTGGAATCGTTACTGAGACTTTTTCTAACCATGCTGATCTTGTTTCATGATTTACAGGACAAACAGGTTGATCTTGATGATGTTGTATTTGTGGATTTGATGAATTCTTTTCGAGATGTTTTGGTACTAGCTGTGGTTCTTCTTTCTTACTCCATATTAGACTAGATAGCCAGGACTGCCTTGTAGAATGATCTACTGGACATTTTGGTTGATCTTCATTTGACATGATTTGATATGATGCGGTCATAAAATGTTTCAGATATTATTTGATTTTGAAATTCTTTTTTCTCTTTTAAAAGACTGAGATCCTCTTGTTTAAACCACACATCTCTAAACACTTTTTCATTTACTCATCATCAATATATTTCTCTTTCAGTTGTTGGAATGTCCGAATTCTCTCTTCAATTGAAAGAATACATTCGTATTTTAATTAGGATTGAAAAAAGCATACAAGCTTAATTCAAAAATTGCAAAATCAACTGAGATGAATATACCTTACAAATTTGATGCCTAAAACAAACATACAGGTTTCCATAACATGACCAAGCTTCTTCAACTTATCATGGATCCTCGATTTTGAATAAATTTTGAAAATCTCGCTGTGAAAGTTGTGCTGATTTTGTTGCAAAAATTGATAAGAAAAATTAAAACTAGGTACTTTATTATTTTAAGTACGAAAATAGCCTTTATTTGTCAGTGTGAAACTGTTCCATTTATCAATGCCAGATGGCTAATAAGACAGATGTTCAATTAGCGTTATAATAGGTTAAACGTGTGAATCAACTAACAATTAGAGAGTAGATGGGAAATTTGTAAGAAGTAAAACGATTAATTAGTTTCAAGTTTACTATACACATAAGTTGTAGTTCGTAAGGCTGCCAAATATGCGACAATTTTGACATTTTGGCGACATTTTCTGCCAACAACATTACTTTCAAAATCCTCCAGAAAGTACAGAGTTAGAATGAACATAACGATTTTACTATTGTTCATTATTGTGTTAATCTGCTAATTAGACAATTTGTTAGTACCTCAGGTTTCTTTTTGCGCTGACTCTATTTCATTATGAAATTGTTAGAACCAAACCTTTCTTTTATTAAAGCTTTTTCATCTTAAAAACAATCAATCAAACGACAGACGGATGTCAAAAACTATAAATTGTAACTGGTAATTGTATCATAACTTCAACTTCAGTTTCATCTTCATCACTTCAAGTTTCTTACAAGTTTTACTTGGGTCCTAATAAAATCAGCCAACTACATATCTCACAAATGGATTATCTGCAGTATCAACAAATTATTTTTCAAGATCTGAAACAAATTTGTGTGCAAATTAATATTCAAATATATGAATTTACTTCTAAATTATCAGTACAATTCAATCATAGTAATCAATGAAATTAGCTCAACAAACTTTTTCATCAACAAAGTCATTAATTTCTCCACAATTCCACCCTGCGGATTTCAAATTATTAGTTGAAATGCAAGATCAACTTCAAATTTCAGATCATTAATTTACAACGATCGTCAATAAATAATCTAAACAATGCAAACAAAATGAAAATTTTATAATAAAGATGAAACTACCAAGAATTATTTTGAGGACCTAGTTTAGATTAAGATTGAGATTCAAAGACCAAATACAGATCACAAATAATAATTTTTATATGAAACACAGTGGAAGTACAGCAATAATATACAACTTCAATCAATTATGTCTATTATTCTGAAACATATCGAGAGGGGAAAGATTATTAAATACTTTTAAATACTACAAATTTCACATTCATTTATTAACGCCTAAACATCAATCAACAACTAAGTCACGAATATAATAAATTTCATTTAAACATTCACACCCAACAAATATAAAACTCATAAAAACTCTATTTTACAACATTTAACTTTAATTAGTATAAACAGAATTAAATTTGAAATTTGGTCAAACATGAATAATATATAAATGCATAAATTTCTTTAATTTATAAAATTTTGAAGAAGATTATAAATATCTTAAGTTCAAAAACAATTTTCATATTTCAAGTATGTATGTATTACCAAAGAACAATTGCAAATAAGGTCAGACGATGCCAGTCGAGCAGGGATTTTTAAGATCAGCTAAAGATGTTGTTGAATACATGAATGAAAACACCAATTTTACAGATTAATTGGCAAACTTTAGGTGCAGCAAATATCAATGTATAAATCGTGTGTGTAGAGCTTGCGTAAACTTGTTTTCAGAAAACGCAAGCTCTGTGCCAAGCGGCATGCATTGATATCTTATAATATTACCTGAATCCTCTCTCATCCATTAATTGGTGATTTTGTGATTTTCATGCATGTGTTCCATGATGTCTTGCTTGATTTAAAATATCCCTGATTGACCTGCATCATTTGATTTGATCGGCAATTGTATTTTTGAACTATTAGTGCATCTTTGAAACTAATGAATATTTTTGAATGTTTTATCAACTTTTTCACAATTATAAAAACAGATATTTGTATACATTTGTGCATTTCAACAACATTGTTGACCAATTTTCTAAGTTAATTTAAGATTCGTTCATTATGGTTTTAGACTCATAAATTTTTTCTAGTCTCTTTTACTTCTTCGACATTGCTACAATTCAACGCAAGTGTCACTCTACACTTGAACCCTAATTTGAATGGCTTTTAATTCAGGAGTGTAAAGCCATAAAGTGTGTTTTGCAAGCTAAAATTACAAATTTGATGGAACAAAAAAATTACATACTTTACAAAATAACTGGATTTTGAATCAATCATGATAGTTTCCACGACATGGCTGAGTCTCTCTGATTTGTGATGGAATAATAATGTTGGAAAATCATAATTTGCACCAAAAGCTAATAAATATGAAGTACAAAAATAGAAAAAATAATAATTTACCTTTTTGTATGTACTTAGCCTTACCTTGCGACACACACTACATAACGTCCTAAATTCAAAGGAAACTTAGATTAGAAGTCAATCAAATTGAACAGCGTTCAAGTATAGAGTGATATCAGCGTTAAATAATGTCATTGAAGTTTTTATAAAAGTTTCATCATGAGATACCTCACAATTTAAATGATTTGAAACATATATTCAACCCTGTTGTCAAGTAAAGTTTGGGTTTACTAAAAATCTGAAACATGAAAATACAACAAATTAAAATTAAGAATGAATATCCTACGTATTAGTATTAGATCCTGAAATAGTAATGCATGCATTTAAAATTAAATTAGAATTTATATAAATGCATAAACATCCTTGAATTACAAAATTTTTGAAGAAGATGATAAAATATTCCAAGTTCAGAATTTTCATCAATTTTAAAAATGGGAGCAATAGTTCGCAAATATAATTGCAGGTCGAACCAAATGATGCCGGTTGAGCAAGAAATTTTTGAATCAGCTAAAGATGTTATAGATTATATGAAAGAAAATCATCATTTTTACAAATTAAAAGGCAAAACTTCAGGTAGAGTTATTAAATATGAATGTGCGACGGACGGGTGCAAAGCTTATGTGAAATTTGTTCGTAGTTCTGAGTTTAAAACATACAAAACTTACAATCCTACTAAAGAGCAACATCTTATTAAATTCATTAATAACGGTTTAGATTGCTATAGAATCAGAAAGTGAAGAAGACATGCTCCCAAAAAGGTGGAATAGTTTTTAGTATTGAACTTAAATAGAATATAAAATATATAATTATGCAAAGCACTTACGTCTATGCTTCTTCTTCGTATGTTCCTATAAGGTATCATCATTATTATAATTAGCTAAAACCAACAATCGATACTTTGAAGGATATATGTTTCCCATTGCTTCTTTGAGACTTTCTTGAATTACAGGAATCATAGCACTTTGCCTTCAATAAACAAATATTATGAATCTCTTCATAATCAAACTCCTCATATTTTCGATCTATTTCATTTCGTGTTCGTTAGCCATTATTCGATGTAACTTTAGGTGATGAAAAATCGCTGATTCGTGTATTACCATTGATTGATAAGGTAATCATTCTTCCCAAAATCTGATATTTCTGTTTCTTTATTGATTTCTGTATATTAAGTCATCTATTTAAAATAGTACACAAATAATATCAGGTCCGTTGAAACACCTGCGAGGAAACTATGATTAAATGAAAACCTTATAAAACCATACTAGCCTGTAGTATCTGGTTATCAACATTTTCATTTCCAACCGAAGTTATCGCATTAAATTTATTAATATTGAGTTCAGTCAGTGTTCCTCGCCACACAATTAAGTGGCAGGTCGGTGACTTGAAGCACTTTGAAGCCTCTATAGGGAACTATCGTTCTTTATTGAACTTTATTGTTTCACAAACCCAACTAAGTGTTGTAATTCCTTATTTTCTGAAATTAAATTTTGGAGTTTTGACATTAAGTCATCCTCATCAATTTCATGATGAAGTTCTCCATCTTCAACTTCTTCTTCATCTTCTCCCACGGCCTCATCTCCAACTTCTTCATCATTCATCAAAGTATCATCAATAATTTGGTCTTCATCATGTTGACCATCTTCAATTTCTTTTTCATGACTATCTTCTTTATTAAAATTTAAAGTTGTAAATTTATAAATTTTATTTTGATCAATACTTTCTTCTTTTACCATACAATTTAATTTATATCTCATAATTTTTCTAATTAATTCAATAGTTTGATTATTTATCCAACCATTTTGAAAATCAGATTCATTTTTTAAAAAATCCGAACCTTTATTCTGTTTATGAATTGTTATAATTGATGTTATATCCATATCTGTAATATCACCAATTTGAAAAGTTATTGCTGTTGGTAAATTTATTCCATCAAATATTAAATCTTGAGATATTTCAATTTTAGTTTTTGAATCTTCTAAAGTTTTTGGAATAATTTTTTTTTTATTGTCATCACTAGTATCATTTTCAATTTCTGATCTTCCTAATACTCTAAAATATTCAGTTTGATAAATCCAATATTTTGGATCACTTTTAGGATCAATTCCAATTTTAATATTACAGAATCTCCATGGTCCACTTTTATAAACATATGTAACAAATGGTAATGCATTTTTTAAATGTTTTAAATAATCTTTTGGAATTATATCAACTAATTGACGTCTTAACCAAAATGGTTTTATATCAAAAATATGTTTTACCCATTCTATACATTTCACTAACATATCATCAGGACTTCCAAAAGATGGACGACTTTTAATTAATTCTTCATATTTTTTAGTTAGTATTTGAGGTGGCTCTTTTGGAATTTCTTTTTCATATGGTATAATAACTGTATGTAATTTTTCAAGAACTTTTCTTGAAATTAATTTTAAATCTCCACTTTGTTCATCTTTTACAATTGATGTAAATGGATTTTTTTGATATTTAAAAGTATATGGATAATTAATATGTGAAAAAATTGGAGGTGGAGGTAACTGATGATCTTTATTTTCAAAATATTCATTATTCATATCTGATAAATTATAAAAATTTTCATGATTTAAAACATAATTTTTAACTGTATCATAATTTTTTGCTTCTAATACACCTGATTTAAATTGTTGAATCATTTTATTTCTTTTTGTTATAACTTGAAAATCACTCATTCCTCTAAATCTATAAGTTTTATCAATTATTGCAATTGGTTTTACTTTCGGTTTAGTTTCACTTAATTTTATTAATTCTTGAATCAGTTTATTGGGATTGTTTTTGACTATATCTTTCTTGATTTGAATTTTTAAAACTATTCTTTCATTTGTTGAATATGCTGCTTGAATTGGATGTTGAAATGGATCATTTCTTAATCTTAATTCTAATGGTATTGATGAATCTTTGATTGAGTCAGATATTTTTTGTTTACCACCCAATGCTTTTATAGCTTTATCTTCATTTTTCACTAGTAACGGTAGTTCAACTGCTGCTACATGTGGAATATCCATAGAATGTAGTTCTACTTCTTGAGGTTCTTCTTCCATTGTTGATTGAGTGTTGTTGATATCTATCGCATACTGTATAATCTTGAATTTATTTTTGTCCCTGTTATTTACATTTTCAACCTCGCACAAAACAGGTTTTATTTCAACTTAACGTTCATCTACATGATAAATTACATGGAGCAACCCTCAGTCTTTAAAACAGTAGGTTAGGCCAAAAAATATTATAAAGATGACAAGTAAATAACAGCGATTAGTTTTGAAAAAAAAAAAAAAAGAAACCCAATGATATGATCATTCGAGATAAATTAGAAATTTCAACTCTTTTTGATCCTAAATTATTTAGAGCAATAAGTTTATGACACTCTTCGTGTCTTTGGAACCATCTTCATTTCTTGAGCATTATCTTCATCGATATGGGAATGTTAAAAGTATGCAATAGTATGAATTTTTTTCACGATGTATAGAGGTTTCCACGGAATACATGCAAAAGATCGATTTCAGTTGTTCTTGAGATATTTGACGCTAGTTTACTTAATTACGATTTAAGTGTAAAATTTTGTAATTTATAGATCAGATACGGCAAAGGCATTTGTACTACTAGGACAATATCTTGTTTTGATATGTTAATCACCGCTGTGGAGGATCAAGCATATCATTTTGAGCTCCAAAGAACCAAACTATTAAATCAACTGCTTATACGTGGGGGATCTCAATAAATAAAGGTTCTCAGTCATAAATAAGTTGATTTAAGCAAATTAAAAACAAACTGATGTAGTTATACCGTGAATATGCTGAAGGAAAAACTCCGAAATATTTTTCCGACCGTTTTAAGCCTCACTAAATTTAAGTTGTCGAATTAAATTGTTCAAAACCTCGTAAATGTTTTGTGTACTAATGAAATAAAAAAGTACAACTTTATCGCAAGAACAAAGCAATTATATTGATCTGGTCCAACAACATATATATACAACAATCGAAATGTGTTAATCAAATTTTTTTTCACTTTTCAATAAGCTTATCAAAAACTAAAATACAATGTCAGAAGAAATCAAATCATATTGTAATCCAGAATTAGGAAATTTACCAACAAAATATACTCCACCAGAAAAAGGTATATTTGATTTATTTTCATTAAAGGGTAAAGTAGCATCAATTACAGGGAGTTCTGGTGGGATAGGATGGGCTTTGGCGGAAGGATACGCTCAATCAGGAGCAGATGTAGCTATCTGGTATAACTCAACACCAGCTGATGATAAAGCTAAATATTTAGAAGAAAAATATGGAATAAAAGCAAAAGCTTATAAAGCAGATATTTCAAATGCAGAAATTGTTAAAAATGTAATTAATGAAATTAAAAAAGATTTTGGTAAAATCGATACATTTGTTGCAAATGCTGGTATAATTTGGGATTCTGGATTTTTAATTGATGAACAAGATTTAAATAAATGGAATAAATTAATTGATATTAATGTGAATGCTGTATTTTATTGTGCTCATGCTATAGGACAAATTTTTAAAGAACAAGGATTTGGTAATTTAATTATAACTTCTTCAATGTCTGGAAGTATAGTAAATATTCCACAACCTTTAGCTGCTTATAATACTTCAAAAGCTGCTGTTAAACATTTAGCTAAATCTTTAGCTGTTGAATGGGCTCCTTTTGCAAGAGTCAATAGTGTATCCCCAGGCTATATTGCAACAAATATGGTTGAATACGCTGATAAAGAATTAGTTGGAAAATGGTGTCAATTAACTCCATTGGGAAGGCTAGGTAATCCAACAGAGTTAATAGCTGGCTATATCTATCTTTCTAGTGACGCAGCATCCTTCACGACGGGCTGTGACCTAAATATAGACGGGGGTTATTCTATAGTTTAAAATTTGGTTCAATTTAGGTCCCAGGGTATGATGAAATTGATTTGAGTTGAATTTTCTTTAAATTTTGACTATCTTGATGAAATTTTGTTGACAAAAAATTTAATATTAAATCATCAGAATAGTAATTATGTATAATGAAATTGAAACCAGGGTAGAAATACTTGCTATCTTGAAATGAATAAATTCATGCATTAGCATTGGCATATTTGGAAATAGAAAATATTTATTGATAATAAACATTATAGATTTAAATAGAGCAAACGTTATGCAATCAAAACTATTTAATACTTCTGTCATAAACTAAGTAGTCTTAAGCTTGTAGAGGCTCTATTTTGACCCTCGTGAAATGGTTCATTATGATCTGAAAATATTAACTTAAATATTTGTACCAAACAAGAAGGCTCCAAATTCAAAAAATAGTGTTGCGGGGCCCTTCAGAATTTCTTTACGTTCAATAGGGACCTTTAGGCATTTAATTGCATGACATAAACACTTTTCTCTATGGTCATTTGAAATCTGGGGTAATAATTCCATGATTATACAAAATCTGGTAGCATTGGCTGCAAAATATGATGATTTAATTGGTTAACAAATATTGAGTAGTCTCTCTCGGTCATTAAAATTTTCGAACCACACAATTTAATTCTCTCGCTCTTTCTCAGTGATTCAAAGTTTCAAAATTATGTATGAGTGAGTGAAATATTGTAATTTTTAAATAGACAAATTCTCACCAATTAATTTTTCATAATCCTTAAATTTTTTAATAGAATCTCTTTTTCTTTTCCATCAAAGTCAATTGACTAACATAACATACATAAAATATACAATGTTTTCAAAAGTTGCTACTAGATCATTTTCATCATCTGCTTCAAATGCTTATAAAGTTGCTGTTTTAGGAGCTGGTGGAGGAATTGGACAACCATTATCATTATTATTAAAATTAAATCATAAAGTTACTGATTTAGCTTTATATGATATAAAGGGAGCACCAGGTGTTGCAGCTGATGTTAGTCATGTACCAACTAATTCAACTGTAAAAGGTTATAATCCAGATCAATTAAAAGAAGCTTTAACTGGTTCTGATGTTATTGTTATTCCTGCTGGAGTTCCAAGAAAACCTGGAATGACAAGAGATGATTTATTTAATACTAATGCATCAATTGTTAGAGATTTAGCTAAAGCTGCTGCTGAATATGCTCCAGATGCTGCAGTTGCTATTATTTCAAATCCAGTTAATTCAACTGTTCCAATTGTTGCAGAAGTTTTTAAATCAAAGGGAAATTATAATCCAAAAAAATTATTTGGTGTTACTACTTTAGATGTTTTAAGAGCTGCAAGATTTGTTTCAGAAGTTGAACATACTAATCCAGTTAATGAACATGTTCCAGTTGTTGGTGGTCATTCAGGTATTACAATTATTCCATTATTATCACAAACTACTCATAAAAATTTACCAACTGATGTAAGAGATTCATTAGTTAATAGAATTCAATTTGGTGGTGATGAAGTTGTTAAAGCTAAAGATGGTGCAGGATCAGCTACTTTGTCAATGGCTCAAGCAGGTGCAAGATTTGCTGGATCTTTATTAAATGGTTTAGCTGGTGAAAAAGATATTATTGAATGTACATTTGTTGATTCACCATTATTTAAAGATGAAGGTGTTGAATTTTTTTCATCAAAAGTTACTTTAGGTCCAAATGGTGTTGAAAAAATTCATCCATTAGGTGAAATTTCTGATTATGAAGAAGGTTTAGTTAAAACTGCTAAAGATACTTTAATTGGTAATATTAAAAAAGGTGTTGAATTTGTTAAACAAAACCCATAAGAAAATTTGAACTTATGATAAATTTATATAGCTATTACCCATAGTTTAATACATGTAGAAAATTGAATTTACTAGGGTTTATAGAAAAGTTATCCTTGTTGATCAATTGATCAACTCTTAGTAATCTCTTGAATCTTTGGTGTTGATTTTGAAATTTTGTAATTCTAACGTATTAATTTCAATGCAAATGAAATCTGGGGTTTTTCCCATTTAACCGAACCGAGAAATTTGATTTTTCAAACTTTTTATAACCGAATTTTGTTCCGTGTTATATGGTAGCTGCTTACCGTTAAGGTAAGTCATTTATATTTTTTATTGATCAGAATTCTAGCTCATTTGAATACTTTTCTCTTTGAAAAATTTGTATTATGATTGCAAGTTGTAGGGCAAAGTAAGTAACATTGATTGACTCTTGACAATTTAAACAAAGAATTTGAGTGCCATTTAGACTTTGGCCCTTTCAGAATTTATTATTATTTACTCACAAATTTTTGCAAATATGATGTTTCATAATGTCCTCATTTTTACAAGATATGGTTTCAAAACTAGTTTCACCGTAGTTTGCAGGCTAGAAAGAGTAAATTACAGTCAAAGATAATTTTTTGCAATATGGCTAAATTATGAAACAATTTTATTTTACTATTTTTTTTTTGCAGCCAAAAAGTGCTACCACTTTGGTAGGAAAAAAATATGTTTCAAGTTTATGTCGGGACAGATGTCATTAATACGTTTGAAAGACAGAAAATAAGTGCTTTATAGGTCAGATTCATTGATTGTTACAAAAATTTGATACATATTACACTAATATATCCGCTTGATTTCATAACTAGTGGGATTGAATTTACATTTAATGCTCATCTCATTTCTTTTTCTCTTCCATTCCTTCGATTTGAATCCTTAGAAAAGCTTTATAGAAAGTATCAATATGCAATCAATAAAATTTCTAAAAATAGGAATAGTAAACAGAAAAAGAAAGAAAAGATGAAGAGTAATGTGTCGAAATGTCTGACCTTAGTTCTTCGAACATTGAACGAAAACTGTCAATTATTAGGTAATGAAAATTTGTAATTAATTGTAAAAACGGATTTAGTGATGGATATATCGGATTTGAAAAGAAATTTTGTCGGATTTTGTAAAAACATGAAAAACTTTTAATCATTGGATCTTTAGCTAACGTCAAAACTCATAAGAATGGGGAACCATCAAAATAAAGGTCCAATCCTTCATAAAATTGACTTATCAATGAAGCAAGAAGAGGAAGACAAGTAAAAATTAAATATAGATGTCTCAAGACAATTATGCATAAACTATAAGACCGACAAAAAGTATGAAGTAATTTTTTCCAAATGGAATTAAATGTGAGATTAATTTCAATAGCCTATTATAGTTATTATTTCAAGATGATGTCAGTTATAAGCTTTTGCTTAATGAAAAAAAAATAGAAAATATAGTATAGAATTAAGGTTATTGACTTCTAATACATTTGATGTATCAGGTTTCAATAAATAGTAGAACACTTACAATCAGATGATAAATTAGATTGGAAAAATACGTTTCATTAGTTGATTCAATTTATGTAAGTAAGTTACAATTATTGTTCACTCTGATTGTTGTACTCTTCCCTACGCAAATGCGAAGTCTGCCTTACGATTGAACTATATAGAAAGGATCGTGTTTTAAGCTTTAATAATACCGACGGCAAATGTTTCTAATTTAGTAGTTGTCAAGTAGTGATCTAACAAAATTAGAATTAAGACAAAGTTTATATCATTACATAAAATATTATGATTATATCAATTGATTAACCATAGGCTGTACTTGATTATAATCTCGTCAAAGAAAAGAGTGCTTCATCCATTCATAAATTCTAGATTTGAAAGGATTCAACGCCTAATACTCATTCAATGCCTCTTGTTTTGAATCAAAATGTTGGAAATGAAATTGGATCGAATTCTTAGGTTTTGTGATTAAAACTGGGGCTATGGAATTAGGATTGAGGCAAATAAAAAAAGTTAGAGAGACAAAAAAAAAAAAAAAAAAAATCTTAGGTGAGTTTTATCTTTGCTTAAGCATAAAAAAAAATAAAAAATTTTAATTAGACTAGGCTAAGTTGTTCAATAAATATTAGTTCAAATAAGTACGTGTTTTTTGATAAATGAATAGTACGCTGATAACATGATAATTATATTTTATACTTACGAAGATGTATAAATACAAAAATATTACAATTTTTGTTAATTACATCATCGTATATTTTATAAATCGAAACAATGTCTTCAAATTTCAAAAGTTTGTTTCAATTTTAAAACAAGACGCGTCTCTTATTAAAATAAAATAAATTAATTATTTATTTACGCATTTTGTGTAATATAGAAGAAATATCCGAGAATTAAGTTTTTACACAAAAACAAGTAGCTTACTAAATTACTATATAATAACAATACAATCTATTATGGTGGTAAATCTTTCTATTTGCAAGTAAAATCAATATCAAATCGAGAAGAAGTTGATAGTTATGGAAGTAAAAGAAAGAAGAGTTTGTTAAGGTTGTTGGATCAAAAACAAAGATAGACCGCAGCCTTTAGTACTTTGCCGAATTGTCTGATGTCTACTAATTTTCTTTTTATTTTTTGTTACTTAGGTTAAGTACATAGCAAAAGACATTTTCTCCCTTTAATTTACTTTAGTAATAATAATTAATTACTTAATTACTTAGTCTGATTATGCTTAGTATTACGCTTAGTATTGTTATTATAATTTAATAATAGAAACTAACTTTTATTTAGTTCTGTATTAAAAACAAAGGCTTTGTTAAATAGAATCAACGATGTCCAAAGAAAGCTCTAGTTTATATCAAGCACCATGCACGCATACAATTTCAGATTGAATCACCTAGAAGTTGATATCCTTAATCATACAACTACTTCTTTAAGTACTTGGTAATTTTCTTGTGCTTTTTGGTGGTAGAATTGTAAAGTAACGCTTCTTATATTTTTTTTTTCAAATTATTATTATTTATTAGACTTTAGTAATTAAAAACTTTTTTACACCAAAAGATTTTAATTAGTTACTATTACAACAATATTCTTAATACCAACATTTACCATTCATCTATTCCTATATCAATCATCACTCAACTTCATCTTCATCCAATCATACTTCCAAAACTTTCAACAGACTTTTCAAACTATCAAAAACTTCAAATCAAAGTCTTCAGACAATTTTTTGTATAAAACTATCATTCGCTTAATATTTCATACTTCCATTTGAATTAAATTTTATCATCAGTAGAACTATTCGCAAAATACTGATGAAGATTCAATCCAGTTTCATCCAATTCACTCATAGACTAGTCAATTCATATCTCTAATCGATTTTGAAGTTTTTTACCTTATTTTTGCTACTTTTCAGAGTATACCATTGTTTTATCAGATTTTCCAAATTTCATCCATTAAAAATTGATTTTGGACTTAAAAAAGCTGAATTATTTTATTCCTCGAAATAATATCAGGTTATAACCATTATGGATAAATTTTTATTAAGTTCTCCAACTCAATTAGCTCAACCATATGATGAAAGTACTTTAAATTTTGATATTTATGATCAAACAATAAATTTACAACAACAATTTAAAAATTTTAATAACAATAACAATATTCAATATAATGATAATATTAAAATTGAAGATAATTTAAATTTAAATTTGAATAATGATCATCAATTCAATTCACAGCAAAATCATCAACAATATCAACAAAATCAGGTACAGCTACAACAGCACCACCAACAGCAGCTACAACAGCACCCATTATACTCCCAAAATATCAATCTACAAGAAAAAAATAATTATTATACCCCAGGTGGAAATGATAATAAAAGAAAATACATAAACAATGCACCAATTTTTGAAAATGAAATTGTACCAGTATCTACAAATTTACCAGATAATAAATCATTTATGACTGATGATTCTGGTTTGGGGATTAATATTATGGATATACCGGAATTAAATAGTAGTATAAATGGTGGAAATAATGTTGATTCAAGATTCAATCATTCAAGAAATATCTCATTAGATGAACATATGTTAAATTTTAATAACAACCAAAATTATAGTCGTCAAAACCATTATAATCATCAACATAACGATTCAGTTGTTTCAATAAATCAAAATGCACCAATTGGTAACGACAATAATAACAATAATTTTATACCTAATTCATTTTCTTCAAATACTATATATTCATTAGATTCAATTCCATCATTTGAATCTCCAGTTCAACAATTTCATCATTCTAGACAATTATCACAAAATAATTTACAACCCATACTACAACAACAGCAGCCGCAACAACATCAACAAAATCAAACGTATCAAAATCAACAACACTCGCAACAACAATCTCAACAACAGCAGCACCATCAATTCACTTCAACTCCTAGAAGAGCTGGTAGAAATAAATCATTATCCATATCAACATATACAACACCAATGAGAAATGCACCATCATTTTCACCAATTAATTTAGCAACAACAGCATTTAATAAAGTTTCCAAAACACCAGCAAAAAATATAAAGGGTCATTCAAGATCAAGATCAAAAGTATCATTAGATGCAGCAGCAGCGGCATTAGCTTCAAAAACAAATTCAGCTCTGTCATATAATTCATCAGTTTTAAATCCTTTTTATACTCCATCACAAATGATTTCATCATTTGAAGATGATGATGATGATGTTCATAATGAACTTTCTTCAAATACTCCTTTATTAACTCCTGGTTCATATAAATTAAAAACTTCACAATCAACTTTTTTCAGTCCTTATAAACTGAATGATAATCACGCCAATAGTGATAATAATTATTTAAATCCAAATTTTGAAAATCAAGAAAATGATGCTATAAAACAATTAAAAAAGGCAAAATCTTATTCAAATTTATTAAGAAAACAAAAGAAGGAACAAAATCAACAACAAACGAATAGTAATCAACAACAAAGACCTCAACCTATAAATAGTTTTAGTGAAGCATCCATATTAACAAATGGAATGTTATCAAGACCTGCACCGAAAATAGATTTATTATCGCCTGAATTTAAACAACAAGAAATAAACACTAATGAACAATCACAAACATTTAATCAAACAACAACAATTCCTTCACCATTTAATAATAATAACTATAATACTAATTTGGAAAATAATATTAAAAAAGAACATTCCAATAGTGTTGAATATTCACTGATTTCTTTAAATTTAGATAATTCAATTGATTTCAGTCAACAACAACACCAAGAACAATTACTTCCACCACAAAAAACTCAAAAAGATGAACAAGATGAAGAAGATGATGAATATGAGAATACTGATCATCATACTGATTTTACATCTACTTCATCTACTTCAAATACAACTCCAAGTTTATTACCTCCAATGGTTACTTTTTCAACTAAAGAACATCGTCAACAACAACATCAACAACAAGGACAATTACAAATTGATCAAGCTGAAGTGAGGAAAACTACTTTAAGTTCCAAAACTAAAATTAAAACCTCTAAATCTAAAAAGAAATCACCAAATTCTTCAATAAAGAAAGAATCAGATGAGAAAATTTTAGTTCCCACATCACAAGATCAAGATAAAAAACACTCAATCCAAGAATCAAAACCAACAATCAATGAAAAAAAACAAGAAGTAAAAACAGACCCAGACCAAATTAATGACGATGATGATGATACAGTAACAATTCCCATACCAGAAAATTTAAATATAACAAGACCAAAAGTTCGAAATAATAGATCAGATAAAGAATTAAATAAAACCGATCCTAAAAAGAAACATAAATGTCCCATATGTGATGCAAGATTTCAAAGACCTGAACATGTCAAGAGACATTTAAAATCTCATTCTTCAGAAAAACCATTTCAATGTAATGAATTAAATTGTGGTAAAAGATTCAACAGGAAAGACAATTTAAAAGCTCATTTGAAAAAGATTCATGGGATTTTAAATGGATCTTGATGAGCTTTTAAAAATTGAATTAGGGTACTTGGGTCTTTTTTGGAGTTTGCTTGTTTATTTGTTGCTTGGTTAGTTTGACATTCCTAGTTTTTAGCATTTACTAAGTTTCAATAAATATGATACTAGTATCACATGATATATTAAATTCGAAATAATTATAACTTTTGAAAATACATTAAACTCTATAAATCAAGATCTAATTACTTTATCAATAGAATTACAAAAATATTCAATATTATTATCATTTAAACCAGCTAAATTAATTCTACCAATATCAGTTACATATATATGATAATCACGGATCAATTGACTAACTTGTTTTTCATTAAAACCAGAATACCAAAATAAACCATTTTGATCTTTGATATATTTCCAATTTCCAGGAGTTTTTAATTCATGTGTTAACTTATTATAAATCTCATTTCTTATATTGTTTAATCTATTATAACAATTTTCAATTTCTTTTTCCCATTGCCTTCTTAATTCATAATTTTCAAAAATTATATTAGCTAATCTTGAACCATAAGCAGGAGCAAAAGAACATTCATTTCTAAAAATTTTGACTAGTTGACTTTTCACAGTAGAGACCAATGATTTATCTTGAACAACCACATGTAAAGCACCACATCTTTCTGAATATAATCCCATATTTTTTGCAAATGATTGACATACTAAAAATTCTAAATTTTTTTGAAAAAATAATGTTATGGGCCATATATCCTTTGATAAGTTACCAGTTTGGAATCCCTGGTATGCTGTATCTAATATACACTTTAAATTTTTTTGTTTCACTATACTTACTATTTTTTCCCATTGATCTTTTGTAAAATCTGTTCCAGTAGGATTATGACAACAAGTTTGAAATAAAAAAATTGAATTTGAATCAGCAGAATTTAATACTTCCACAATATTTTCAAAATCAATTGATTTGTCAATTTCATTATAATAATTATACGTTTTTACATTACCTCTAATATGTTCAATCATTGGTATATAATTTTGCCAAGTAGGAGTCCCTATATAATAATTTATAAAACCTACTTCCCTAAGTAAAATCATTGCAATATGCAATGAACCAGTACCTGAAATAGTCTGTAAAGATACAATTTTCCCCAGTTGTTTAATTTTTGAGCCAAATATTAAATCTTGTGCACCATTTAAAAAATTTGGTATACCTCCCATATTAGTATAATTATTACCAGGATCGTTTTTATTTAAAATTTGTTTAGCTAGTTTAATTGATGGAAATTCATAACAATTTCCTTGGGGGTCTTTATATACCCCAATTGATAAATCAATTTTTTTAGGATTTTCATCTTTTGAAAATTGTTCCATTGTTTTGATTATTGGATCTGGTTCTTCTTTTATTATATCTGAAAATATTGAATCGATAGTCATATTGGAAATGGATTAAGTGTATAATTGATATGGTTGATTGATTTCAAAAATGAAAGATAAAATTGTGAAATAAAAAAATATTTCATAATATATTATTTTATAAAGTGTCCACTCATTACAATTTGACTGATGTATTATTTTAAGGCATTTTTAAAGCAACTATGTAATTTCAACCCACATTTTTCTACCCTAATGGTTTGATATTTTTTTTTTCATAAATAATTTTTCAAATTTTTCAAAATTAAGTAATCCGTACGGCTCAAACTTAATTTTTAACCGACGCGTTCTTATCTATTTGATCTATCATAATAAAATTATTCAATAACCTTTTGTAACCGAGACACAATCGTTTTGAATTACTCTTAAATATTTCTCTCGCTTAAAGTTTCACCATATATTATCACTAACTATCAACTATTTATTATCGTATTACATATTGTGGAGATATCTTCATTTGGATCCAAAACATCTTCAAAAACCTGTAAAGTTGATGCAGCTAAATATTTTAAATTATTTTTAAAAAATTTTTCATTCCATGAATTTTCTGATAATTTTAAAGAATGATTATAAAGTTCTTTTAATAAATTGTATAGATGAAACCCAAACATTTGATCAACAATTATAATTTTACGTTGAAGGATATGATTATTTAGTATAGATAATGTCTTTATTTGTTCTAAAAGATCAAGATGATTTATTTTTTTTGTACAATCATCAATTAAATATCCAATAAAATGACTATCATCACTATCATAATTCAATTTTTGAATTACTACATACCTAGCACTAGACATTTCTGGGATGGTATTTGTTGAAACCTGTTCCAACAATTCTGTTGGAGTGTTTGAACTCGTAAATTTAAATAGTTTTTTCAAAAATTTGGAATACAATGCTGTAATCTCTTTATAATAATCATGATTATCAATAATTATTTTAGTTAAAATTGATAATTCTTTTTGGTAATTATTCAATATTTCATTTGCAATTGATTCATTCATTAAATTTGTCCATAAATGTATTGCTTGTAATTGAACAACATCTGTGATTTTTTGTTGTTTAAAAAATTTATTAATTAATTTATTAATTCCAAATTTTGAATCAATATCTTTAAATACTATATCACTTGATTCTTTATCATGAATTTCATTACCATATATTATACAATAAAGTATAAATTTGTAATTATCTGCTTTAAAAAAATCATTTGAAAGATCCATACCTCCTGGATAGATATCAACAGCAAGAACTAATAATTTTCTATTAAATTTTGCATCAGTAGAAGCACTATCCATCAGATTAGCAATCTCCAAAAATAAATCTTCATCTTGATCAGCGTAAGCTAAGATATCGAAAATCTGGTCTATTTCTTCAAATTTACCTGATTCATGATAATTTTTCATGTATTGAAAAGATGAATTTATAAATTTTTTATCATAATCATCCAATCTATCATTATTTGCAATTATTATTTCATAAATTATATCAATATTTTCAAATTCAATAAAACTTTCATATATTACAATATGTAAATTTAAATCATGAAAATATCTCACATATTCATTTGATTTTTCAGTTTCATAAATAAATTGTAATAATAAATACAATACTAAATCCGTTTCATTCCAAATTTTTATAATTGATTTCCAAAATTTAATACTTTCTTCATTTGAATTTGTGAAAAATGATCTATTGTATTCATTTCTAGCTAATAAATTAATATTGACCAGAAGAATAAGATCTCGTAGTATTTCATTAGTAATGTTATTATTACAATATTGAATCCAATTTGCAAGATTGTTCTTGACTATATCTGATGATCTAAATGAATCCTCTCTTAATTGACTTTTCAACAATTCTAAATCCTTTATAGTTGCATCATTTGACTTAATTCTTGTGAATATATCTTCTTCCATGCTTGGTAGGAAATCTGAATCTAAACTTTTCAAAAATTGATGTTGCACAAAAATAGTGTTGATGTTGAGATCAATGTTTAGACATTTTGAAAAGAGACGAACCAACATTATATAGAACAAACTGGTATTGATCTAGACTAACTACGGTAAAATTTTGCTACTAAATGATGAAATATTATGTCCTGTTTTTAAACAAAGCATATTTTTGTTCTTTCAAAATGTACCGATTCTTCAATAAACTAAACACCAAGCTTTTACATAAAATGTTTTACGCCTGGTTGTAAGTCATAAAGCAAATTAAATCAAATTTGCACAAAATACAACAAGAGCTACAAGAAATCATATTGCTAGTTCAATGTAATCTTAAAGTTTTAAAAAATGTATAAACGAATATATCAAGACTTTACAACATTTTTTTTAATAACGAAATTCTAGTTATGGTTTAAATTCACTGACTGTCTCATCGATTCTATGCACTGAATTAATCGTTCATCTGAGAATAGCTCTATATTAGCGGCGAAGGCACCTAGCTCTCTAATTTGCAGCTCATTTTCTTTAATCCGTAGCTCATTTTCTCGAATGCTCGATTGAAGTATTTGCTTTCTTCTTACTATTAAATCCCTCAATGTGTCTTTTGCTATTGCTCTTAAGTTTTGCAATGATTGGTTTTGTAATGATTGAACCAGCGTGTTTGTTGCTACTGCTCTTGAGTTTTGCGATGATTGAACAGGTCCATTTGAATGTATCAGACCGGTATCAAAATCAGCATCAACAAAATTACCGGGATCAGGACTATTAGCGGTATCATCAAAATTACCAGTATCAGGACTATTAGCGGTATCATCAAAATTACCAGTATCAGGACTATTAATGGCAGCATTATTTCTATTCATAGTCGATCGGATAGGAATTAATATTCTTCGTTTCTCAAAAGTGTTTTTAGCCTGACTCTTAAATCTGATTCCACCAGTCGTCCAGCTATCATAATTATCCGATGAACCAAATAAAGTAACAAGATTATTCAGAGATGGAGTTTCTCTAGTTTCAGAACCAACTCTGTCATTAACCATCAAGCGTAATCTCTCCCCTGCAGTCAAATTATCTTGTCGAACAAATACCCAAACAAGATGTATATGTTTACAAAAAACATGGTTGCCACGAAAGTCGTTGCAATCACATTTTGCAATTTTACTTCTCGTAATATGAACAGTGTAAAAAACATTTTCTTTTGAAAAAGATTTGACCTTGAAATAACCAGAATTTCCTTCGTAAACCACTTCAATCATAGTAGCGATAGCAGCATTCGATCTACTTTTTACATTCCAATCAATTGTTCTCCTTTTATTGGCCAACGGAATAGGATTATTTTCGATTAAAAAAAATCGAGGAAGAAAATATTTCAAGTTCCCAACTACCACATCCACTCTTAATCTAGAATCAACAATATTAGCTTTGATGGTTGAATGTAAATTTTCTATCAAATTGTTTGTTGTTATATTACTAGATATGCCAAGAACCCAATAATCCAACCTTTCCCTCCAAGCATCAAGATACAGAAGCCATTGTGGTAAGTTCCTGAACAAATGGTAATACTCGTCTAATCTTTTATTTGCTTCCTCTAATGTGGTGGAAGTTCCAATTGAAACAAGTCTTTTAATTGCGTATCTTCTCAAACTTATAACTTCCTCACTAGTTTGTGGTCTTGATATTGCACCTGACGTATTTGTTGCATCAATAGTTGCATCTGAATTATTTGTAGTACTTGAATTATTACCAACAGTATTGATGATCGCTCCGTCAATGGTGTCATGATCATTCGCCAAATCAGAAAGATCATCAATGCTATCGTCCTCAGAATCATCTGCTATATTACCGTTATTATCTTCATTACTCTCAACAGCATCAACATTACTTTCATTACCCAGATCAACATTAATAATTTCACCATCATCAATATAAGTATCCAATGTAATTTTTCTCATCGATTGTTTATATAATATTTGTAAAAAATGAAAAAAGCATATTTTCATTCTAGCATCAGGAAAAATTTTACTGATGGCAACCACCTTACCTATGTCGTAGTCAGTTAACATTTCAGTTGGATTGATGCCTAAATTTTTGAATTCTTGTAAAACTTTATCAATGATGATAGATCTCGATCGATTATGTAGCATATATCCGACTGGAATTAACTTACCTGTGACCAAGTTCTTGATAAGGAGAGTCGTCAAATGAACATACTCATATCCTGAATTACCTGAATTACTAGTGACCTGATTGCGATCTGAATCTTGACTACCATCATTTCTTCGACCTCGATCTCCACGTCGACTGTTCCTACTGTCACTAGGTTCTCCATGAGCAATATTATGCGTAGTATCTAAACACACAAGTTTTGGTTATTTTTTCAACAATTGCAATTGTAAATTATCAGCCATCATGAAGTACCAACCATCGCTCTCAGTTCTACCGTATTTAGAAAAACCACCTTCCGTAAGTATTTTTGACTCCCACTTCTTCAAACTTTCCTCGACGATCAGGTCAAGTTGATAATTCTCTTTCTCTAGTCTAATTGCTGTCTTGTGAAAAGAGTCGTACGCAATTTTGTACTTTTGGTCAACAGCTTCAATATGGAACTTGAACCTCAAGCAAGGTATGCATTGACGCACCCCACTCCAACCAACGTGATTTTTAATCAATTTATTCATTGCCTCTTTTACAGGCTTTCTGAGCTTTTCATCATATATTTCAGAATTACCGAAGTAAAGATGAGAATGCTTCCACTTCCAATGTACAACTTTTCTACCTGTCTTTTGATCATTCATATATTCATCCACAACTTTGAAGTAAGCCCCACACGCTGTAGATCTATTTGATGTTCGCCTAAATTTCGTACAATTATATTTATTAGTTCCGCGATTATTCACTCGATAGATACCAAAACTGTGCATCATATCTTCAAACACTTTAAGTTCATCCACGGAAAAAAAGAATGTGTAAATATCGTGAGTCAAATCGTTCGGTAGACTGAGTGGAAACATCAATTTTTGTAAACGATATTCCGGTTTGATATCTGGATTTAGTATTTGCTCAAGTTGATCAACACCATCGATCACTTTCAACCATTCTCTACCCTCATTTATGGTTTTATGATAGTCCATATCTTCTTTAAAATTGAAAAAACAACTGTAGTAATCTTCATGAAAATATTTCATTATATCAACAACTGCCTCTTGACGTAATAAATTCCTTACAATGAAATTATCATATAAAGACGCTGTATCTTCAATGTCAAAGTCAGATAAAAGACTGGAATATGGAGAATTTTCAGTATTTGTGTGTATTAAATGAGATGAGCCTGTACTATTTGATGGAGTAGTAGACAACAGGATAGGCTGGATTGGACGTGATGCACGAGATTGAGCTGTTGTAGTATTTGATGGAGCTGTGGTATTTGATGAAGCTGTAGTATTTGATGAAGCTGTAGTATTTGATGAAGCAGTAGTAATTGATGGAGCAGTAGTAATTGATGGAGTAGTAGTATTTGATGCTGTGGTATTTGATGGAGCACTAGTAATTGATGGAGCAGTAGTATTTGATGGAGCGGTAGTATTTGATGGAGCGGTAGTAGTTTTAGATTGAGCATTAGTAGTATTAAGCTGAGCAATATCAATTGTGTTCCAGAAATTTGAATGAGTAGTCGAAGATGAAGAACTAGAATTTTGAGCCGTATTGGTTGGTTGTAAAGTATATGGTACAAGAGTAGTAGATGAAGTAGTTGATGGACGTAAAACAGTTATTGCAGTAGTAGGATTTGACCTCAAAATTGTTGAAGGATCCTTGTCAATAATATTTGAATGAGTAGCCGTGTTGAATGGATTACTTAGTGAAACTGAATCAATTGGACGTAAAGTATTTGGTACAATAGGAGCTACTGGAGCAGTATAAGCTGGATTTGACGTAGTTGAGAAATTAGCAGGAGCAGATGTAGCAGCATGAGTAGTAGACACATTAATTGATGGAGCAGCGATTGGATATGAGGCAGCAGACGATGAAGTTATGGAGGTAGGTCCTGAACGGAAATATGCTTGCAGCTGAGATGAAATTGAATGATCTTGAAAATATAATCTCCTTATACATTCTGGCATAGCACTCCTTATACTTTCGGGCATAGCATTCAAAACGTCTACCCCACTTGTTTGGTATGAATTGGATGATAAAGGAGCACTTAAATTAACATTCGTTGACCTGGAATTATTAACATTGAGCCCTCTTCTGGTTCCGAAATCAGTAAATGCCGATTCGTTTGAGCCATAAAGATTGCTAACTCTATTCGTATTGATAGGCGAAGATTGTCTATCATTTAAAACTGAATCTGAATGAATTGATGAAACAACAGAATCGAGGGTGTATTTTCTTCTTTTTGACATTTGAAAAATATAGTAGCAAATTAAGATTAGTTCAGAATATGATACTTTTGTTCAAAATGGTAAAGATTATATGCTGAATACGATTCATAATCTAAATATTATTGTTAAAAGTTTAAGAGGTATGTTGAGGAAAAAAAATCTCTACGGACCCTCATAGGTCGAGCTGTGCTCACTAGGCGACTAAAATAAACCTCTCTTGCGACCGGATTGAAAAACGAGAGCGAGGTAAAGTTCGACCCAGTCATTTGAAAAAGTCGTATAAATTTAATAGTTTTCAGCTAGGACTATATAGTACAAAAGCAAAACAGACGCGTCTGTTTCGTTTTGTTGGTAATGACAACTGATAAATAAGATGGTTCAATAAAGAAGACCTAATAGAGGCACGAAATCTCAAACCATTAATTCGTTCTCATTGCGACAAATATTCTATTAAATAAATAAATTTTGACCAATGCTATATATCCTTACTGATGTGTCTCTACTACCAACTCCTAATTGTAATTTATTATCTACTATCTTATTACTGAAACTTATTTTCTCAATTCTATCAGCTGGGGTTATTGATTGATCGAATGAAATGGCATGCTTAAATTCATCATTTTGAATTGTGTAAACTGATATATCTCCATTCTCAAGACCTACTGCAACAATCTTAGTATCAAATAATTTTCCTTTGAAACTAGTGACTGATGTAATTGCATCATTCAATTTCAAACTCGATACTAATTCAACTTTGCCTCCATTGATTCTCCATAATTTAATTTGTTTATCACGAGAAACAGTTACAAATGCATCATTTGAAATCCATGAACAATCCCATATAATTCTAGAATGAGCTTTTGCATTTAATTCCACCAATTTGAATTCTGCATTTGTTTCATCTATTAATTCCCATAAACTAAATTGTCTATCCCTTGAAACAGCTAACAAAAATTGACCATTAGGTGAAAATTTGAGACTTGAAATAGTCAAATTATGACCTGATAAAACTTGTGATGCTTGTTGATAATCTTTATTTACATTAAAAACTCTTATAACGGCATGTTTTGCATTGTTAGACTTACATGCAGTAGCTATAAGTGACCCATTTGGGGATGTTGAACAGCAACTAATTTCATAACCATGTCCATATAATTTTTCATTTTCAGTAGCTAGACTGTTTCTTTGTAAATATGATTCCGTTGGTGGAGCATTTACGTGTTCAATATGATTGTCTTGTACTTCGATTGATTCATCATTTTTAGTTTCCTCTTGGATTTGTGAATCAGCTTTATTTGATAATCCTAGTACCGGTAAAGATGCAAATTCTGGTAAGGTTGAATTTTCGTCATTGATATTTATGTTACTTAATGTTTTTAAGGTTTCACTTATTGATTTAGTTAATTCAAAAACTCTTAGTACTTTTTCATCACCTCCCGAGACAAATTTGGTTTTAGTAATATTATCACAACAAATCATATCATATCCATGAATTTGCGGTCTAGCAAATTCATGCCAAGTAGTTATGTTGTCTCTTTTCCAAGGAGCGTATAATCTTGTAGTTTGATCTAAAGAAGTTGCCATAAAATAATCACCATCTATTGACCATCTCAAATCCGTTATTGCATTTACAGCTCCTGTTGTACCCAAAACTGCCTCAAAGTATTTATCATCTATAGATTTTGACTTATAAGCTCTAACAGAACCGGTTTTCCCTACTGCCAAAACAAAATTGTCCCCATTGTCTTGATCAATAAACCATAAGCATGACCAAAACCCACCAGATGCACCGGTAGCTGTTGAAGCACCTTTAATAGACATTTCCCCTAATCGACTAGAGCAAACCCATATACCTGATTCTGTATCCATTTCCCATATCATTAAAGCGGTATCAGCTGTACATGTTAAAAGTTGTAAGTCTTTGTCTTTGTTTTCCTCTTTGTGTTTACAATTTGGGTGCCATTGTAATCCACTAATCCAATCATCATGGCCCATTATTAATGCTTCAAAACTGAAGGCTGCTCTTTTATCCGAGCTGTATCCAAACTTATATTGTTTATTTGATAGGAGGGTCAACTTTGTAGGATCTTCATCTGAATCATCAATAAATTCATTTAGTTTCAACCTCCATAATCTTACATATCGGTCTTGAGAGCCACTTGCTAATACATAATCTTCTCCTTTTTTTTTCGTGACAAATTGTAAGCATTTAATCCAATCTTCATGTCCTGTTAGTTCTGCAGCTTTTTTAAAATTGATGACCTCTCCCTCATCGACGTCAAACGTGTATATGGATATATTATTTGTAGTACCTCCAACTGCTAGCACATAACTATTTTCTTCTATACTTTGTATAGCTAATGATAGTGGATAAAAATTGTGTTTGACTTGAAACTTATAGCTCAGTTTGAATGAAGAGCCATCATAGGTCCATAATATTATTTGATGATCGGCTCCTCCGGTTACAAAGATTCGATCGTTAATTTCAGCAATACATGTAACTGATGAATTATGCTCTTTTAGAGACTGAAAATGATTATAGATATTATTGCTTAAGCTCCAAACATTTACTTCATGGTCTTCACCTATTGAAACTAAAAAATTACTATTTGGTAGAAACTTGACCCCAGTGACTTCTTGAGTATGCTTCTTTAATGTGAAATAAACTCCTTTGTGTGATTTATGTAGTGGGGACCATAATGCAACTGTATTTCCAGCTCCAAATGCTATTATTTGATTTTGAGTGTTATAATCTGCAACATAATTTTGTCTATTGGAACCAATAAATATACTTTCTTGAATCACTTCTGAGTTTGTCATATTTGTATTGTAGTCATATAAATGACTGAATTTCTGATGTCTTTTCTTTTAAACTTGATCTATGATGAGCTTCACTCTATTTTTTTTCGTAAATTATAATTCACAAAACTCGAGAAACCGAAACAATTTCATGAAGAATCAAATTATTCTTTCATTCTTCACAATTCACACATAGGATGGTATCAGCGTACGTACAAGTGAGAAATTGATGGTTTTCTATTGAATATTATTTAATTGGGTTGTTGAACTAACAATGACTAGTGTGATATTAGTTCAAAATGCTACACCAGAAACGCTAATACAATTTCAAGATCAGCTATCAAACGATCTACCGACAAGGAAAGGTAAGTGGAGTTTTGTTTTCAAAATATTTAGAAATAATCTGTTTGCAATTCCAAAAGAGATGGTAAACGTAGTGGACCAAAATCCTGATTCAAAATTCATGTTCACTTTATCACCATCATATCTACCAGGTAGTACAATTTCGCTAATAGACCGAAAGTCAGTAGGAGTTTTCACGAATCCAATACGAGAGGAAATTGTTGAGTTGGGCCATCTGGCCGAGTTATGTATACCTGATAATCACCTTCGATTGGGTGCAACAATGGGATTGAATGATAGTTTTGATGTATTTGCAAATTCAAAATTACAAAATTTATGGACTCAGAAGCAAGTGATTAAAGGTGATGGAGGACAAATCTATGAGTTAGAAAACGGGAATCTTTGTATACGAACGTCAAATGTATTTTTACATGGAAATTTTAGGGGCTTGTTATTACAAATTGAAATTGACGAAAAATCGCCTAGCTACAAAGACAAAGATGTTAAAAATACAATAATCCAAATAACCCAAAAATATGGAGTTTCAGATCAAAATTTGAGTTGTGAAGTTTTAAGTGCCTCGACACTCGACAAATATGGTGATCTATGTTTGCAATATTCTAGGATTTTAGATTTTTAATGAACAATTCTTTAGGAGATTCAGCTCGAATGCTGATCCTTGATCCTCAGATATACGTTAATCTATTCGTCTCTTATTGATCCTCTGAACTTCGAAAGCTGCAAAATCTGAAAAGTAAATACCCATCGCACTCATCCGGCATATAGTTAAATTTATTTTTGTATCATAAGCTCACTTAAGAGATGGAATTATCATTATACTTAACCAAATTCAAAATTCATACAAATATTAAATAGTGGGTGATAACCATGGTAAAAAAGCAAAAAAGTGGTAAAAAGGGTCAGAAAATTGAAGGGCGTAAAGAAAAACGTCTAAATGAGGAGGAAGAATTAAAACATCTACGAGCACGAATAGAAGCCTATGACCCAAAAGTTGATGAAGCAAATTTGCAACAATTCAGTGATCTACCAATAACAAAAAACACACTACGAGGACTAAAAGATTCAGCATTTGTATCACTCACAGACATTCAAAGAAAAACCATACCAATAGCATTACAAGGATATGATCTTATGGGAACTGCAAGAACTGGATCAGGTAAAACATTAGCATTTTTAATTCCAGTAGTAGAAACTTTACTAAAAAATGACATCACGGAATTCGATGGATTAGCAGCTTTGATAGTGTCTCCTACTAGAGAGCTAGCTGTACAAATTTTTGAAGTTTTGACTAAAATTGGAAAATACAATTCATTTTCTGCAGGTTTGGTCACTGGAGGTAAGGATGTACAATATGAAAAAGAAAGAATCTCAAGGATGAACATTTTAGTGGGAACGCCTGGTCGTATATCACAACATTTGAATGAATCAGTTGGAATGGAAACTTCAAATTTGCAAATATTAGTCTTGGATGAAGCAGATAGATGTCTTGATATGGGTTTCAGAAAACAAATCGACAATATTGTAAAGCATTTACCACCAACTAGACAAACTTTATTATTTTCTGCTACAACAACCGATAGCGTGCAAGATTTAGCCAGATTGTCATTAACTAATCCCAAACGAATTGGAACATCTTCAGACAATGATGTTTCCGCAATTCCTGAATCTTTGGATCAATATTATGTTAAAATTCCATTAAATGAAAAATTGGACGTATTGTGGTCATTCATCAAATCTCATTTGAAAAGCAAGATATTAGTGTTTTTTTCATCATCGAAACAAGTCCAATATGCATATGAAACATTCCGTACACTTCAACCAGGTATCTCGCTACTAAAACTTTACGGTCGTCATAAACAAACTTCAAGATTGGAAACTACTATGAAATTTTCACAAGCGCAGCATGTCTGTTTATTTGCAACAGATATAGTTGCCAGAGGTTTAGATTTTCCAGCAATCGATTGGGTTATACAAATGGATTGTCCTGAAGACGTAGCAACATATGTACACAGAGTAGGGAGATCTGCTAGATTCGGTCGTCAAGGTAAATCCTTGTTGATGCTATTACCTTCAGAAGTGGAATTTTTGAAAAGATTGGAACAGTATAAAATTGCTCCAAAATTGATGAATATAAAAGAAAAAAGTAAGAAATCAATAAGGCCACAACTACAATCACTATGTTTTAAAGATCCAATAATCAAAAATTTAGGTCAGAGAGCTTTCATTGCATACTTTAAGTCCATATATATACAAAAAGACAAAGATGTTTTCAAGGTGGATGAATTACCAGTAGAAGCTTATGCTGCTTCATTGGGATTACCTGGAGCTCCAAAGATTAAAATTAAAGGTGGGGAATCAAGCAAAGAGAAGAAAAATGAATCAAGAAAATTGCGAGAATTGACAAAAGCAGATATAGATGGTGAAGTGAAAGAAGAAAAAGGTAAAGTTAGAACTAAATATGATAGAATGTTTGACAGAAAAAATCAAACCATCTTGTCAGATCATTATTTGAATATGACCAATAGTAAGGCTAATAACAAGGGTGATGATGATGAGGAAGAAGATTTCATGTCAATTAAACGTCAAGATCATGATTTACGAGATGATAATCTACCAGACCTACTGTTGCCAGTTTCTAAAAGACAAGCGAAAAAGGCACTTTCTAAAAAGGCCACTTTAACTTCGAAGGGAAACCCAACCAAACTTAAATTCGATGATGACGGTGTTGCTCATCCGTTGTATGAATTAGAAGATGAAGAAGATTTTAATAAAGCAGGTGATGCTAAGGCTCAACAACAACAGTTTGTTGAAAAAGAGAGAGAATTGATGAAAGTTACTGATTTAGCAGATAAAGAAGTTGAAAGACAAAAAAGACAGGAAAAGAAACGGAAAAGAAAAGAAGTCGAGAAGAGAATTAGGGAAGAGGATGAAAGAGGAGACGAAGAAGGGTATTATGATGATGATGATAATGAAGTACCTGATTTAGAACGAGATATGGAAGTAATACCTAAAGCTAGCAACAAATCAACTTGGTTCAAAGACGATGAACCAGACCATAAAAAACCTAAGACTAATAATTATGTTGAGATTGAGGAACCGGAAACTTTAGAAGATTTAGAATCTTTAGCAGCAAAATTAATAGGTAGTTAAAATAATTCATCAAATCTGGATAAATTGCAAGTTTTATCACTTTCTTCTGCAAAATCGAAATCCAAAAATTTCATAACGATATCTCTTGCATGTTCATAATTCAATTCCTCTTGATCTGTAAGTAATGTCATTTCGTTTACAATATCTGTACCTTCCTCTAATTTCTCAGCAAAGTATTCAGCCTTGTTTATTATGTGCATTGGAATACCGCATGTTTTAGCACAATATATTCCAAAACTTTCTCTAGCAATTCCAGGTTTCACTTTATATAAATATGTAATATCTTCCACTTTATTGTTTGACTTTTTCAATTCAATCTCAGTGGTAATATATTTCACTTTTGATGATGATAATTTGTCCATAATAACATTATTACTGAATAATTCATGAAAATGAGTTGACATTAAACATCTTGGACAATCAGCTAAATTAGCAAAATAAGCCAATGCTCCTCCAAATAATGCAGGTGAGTCAATTGAATCACTCCCTTTACCAAATTCATCGATAATTATTAATGATCTATCAGTACAAAGTGAAATGCATTTTGACAATTGATTTATATCAATTGCAAATGTACTTTGTTGTTTTTCCAAACTTTCTCGAGACAGGATACGAGTCAATAATTTATCAACAACTCCAATGCGTGCTGATTTAGCAGGAACAGCGCATCCTATTTGTGCCAACACCACAATCAATGCAACTTGATTAATATAAACTGATTTACCTGAAAAATTTGCTCCGGTAATAATGGTTATCTTTTCTGTCTGATAATCAATGCTATTGGGTATAAATATATTCAGATTAGTTTCAACCAAAGGATGTCTTCCAGTATCAATGAACAAATCATATCCGTCAGTCAACGTGGGGAAAGTATATTCTGGAAATTCTGAAACTAAACTCAATGAGCATAAGCAATCAAGTTCAACCAAAGCTTCAATAACCATATCAATTAGTGTTTCATATTTCATTACTTCCTCTTGTAACACTTGAACTATTTCAATCTCCCTATCATTGATCATTGTATGTACATCTCCATATTGTTCGTCTAAATGTTCAACTTCCTGGGTCTTGTAATATGAATTAGTTGGAGTAGCAAAAACTAGTTGCCAATCTTGCGGAACATCATCTTTCGACTCATCTTCAGATTTCGAAATTAAAAAACCAAGTTGTGGAATATAAATCGCGTTACAATCTTGAATTGAATAAAATTCTCTAAGTTGGTGAGTACAATCTCTTAATATTTCTTCAATGTTATTATTGACTATTATTAGCCTGTCCAATTCTTCATCAACTCCATTCGTAATTTTCACTCTTCCTTCTTCGGCTGAAGATTCAGGTTCAATAATTTCCAATAAAAAATTATTCAATTTTTGAAATTCGAAGATATCGTCATCTAACAATGAACTGACTTTCAATGATTCTTTAATAGTAGTTGAATTTTTGAAAATATATTCTTTCATTAATTTTGATATCAGCATTGAGTTGGACAAAAACAAAAGTAAAGCTTTCCAATTACTCCATGAAATTTCATTACTTCTAATCTTTTTAATTTTGACAAACAGACCTCGAATTTGTTTTAACATTCTAGTTATCAGCTTTCTTCTCTCATTAAATTCTGGATAAGACAATAATTGAACCAATTGTTGACGATCTTGAATTAATTCTAAATCAGCTAATGGCTTTCTAATCCAATCCAAAAGCAAACGATAACCTTCTTGTGTAACCGTAAAATTAATTAAATCACTTAATGATAATTTTTGAGACTTTGAATGTGCTTTTAGTTTTTCACGGGGGTCAGGTAATATTTGAAGTGCATACATCAGATCGACGTCTATGAATAGCCTATTTTTAAAATTACATAATTCTAGGGAATCAATCATTTCTGCAATAGATAATTCGGATATGTGCTCGGAAATTCCAAGATATAATGCATTCAAGGTTCCAGTTCCCAATTTGAAAAATGGTGAAGATACAGCTAAATCTGAGAATAATTTCGATTTGATACCTCCTAAATATGTATTGAATGAACTAACTACTGATTGTACATCAAATTTTACAAAATCAGCTACAGCTTTTATGGAAACTTCAAACTCATATAATGATTCTAAGGTTTTTATGAAAGATATGGTTTTATCAGATAACCTGGATGATATGAATAAAAGATTTGGTTTCAATTCATCGATGACTGCTTCAATATATGAATTTGGATTGCAAATTTGAAAATCTTCATAAATGTATAATTTCTTACCTCCAACATCTAAGCATGTAATTCCTAGAGTATCTCTTAGATAATCAATCGATAGGATGATTTTCCCTTGGACGTTAAAAGTAGTATCTTGTAAACTTTCATTTGACTCAGACATAAAATCTGTGTATTAGTTGATCTGAAGTGGTTGCAAAACTTAAGTAAATTTTTTGGTTGCCAAAAATTTTTTTTTTTTTTATTGATATTTGTTTGACAAAAATATTAAAAAATCCCAATGTCGATGTCAAGAGATTATTGTATACATGGAGTTGCTATTATTTTATCACTCACGGTACCTAGTCTAACTAGTTTACCCAACATTTCTCTTCCACTATCATCAATCATTTGAATATCCTCGTTCTCATTAGAATCTTGATTTAAATCTAAGACAGCTAACTCTTGTAAAAAATCTGTGGATGATCCCTTGGTTACATTCAATCTAATGCCATTACCTAAATCTATTGTTATTTTACCGGATTGATGAATATTGACGGTTCCTATTTGACCTTTTAAAGTCTCTTCATCCTTCAGCATTTCAACATCATTTTCTAATTTCACTTTACTCGATTTTCGTTTATAATCAGGTAAATGTTCTGGTAATTGAAATAAAACATATTTTTCATCATCATTTTCTTCAGTTGTTAAATTTTTCAAATTTCCAGTTAATAAATTAACTATTTGCTCATGATCCGTTATTAATTTACTTGCTTCGTCCGTTATAATCGAATCACTTTGAGTAATCTTGCTTTCAAGTTTTGCTTTGTTTTCTTTAATTAATTCTATTTTATCTTCAATAGCTTCTGTGTTTTCTCTAGTAATTGATAAAGCTGCTGGTGTAGGGGTATTGGATTCTATTTGTTCAATCTTGATTGGTTTTTCTTCATTAACATCTTCAGTTTCTCTTTGGATTCCATCGTCTCTAAATGGTCTGTAAGGAAACAATGATGTCACATCATCTTCATATCTGTAATGCTCCGTCATATTAATTTTTGTTGGATCATCTTCATCATCTGATTCACTAGCACCTGGTGTTAGTGATTTCGTTTTACGATCCTTTACTTTCAAACTATTAATGAATTCATTAGTAGATACATTTTCTCCTGAACTATTATATATTAAATCTGATGTTAATCCAAGCTTTGAACCACTTGGATTCCCAATTGCTACTGATCCAGCAGATAAAGGACCAGATGTCACTAAGTGTGTGCCTGCATAGTTATTTCGACCGCCTCTGCCGCCTCGACCACCTCTTGCTCCACCTCTACCCCTTGTAGGTAAAGCTTTTGGTTGTTCTTGTTTAACTTGAGGTGCAACTTTAGCTCGTTCTTCTTTTGACTTTCTTTGAACTACTTTTGGTTTAAATTTTAAGCCTGGTTTATTAGTGGTGTTTGGCTTTTTTGAATTTAATGATTCCAATCTATTTGACATTTTCTATAAGGTTTGGTGAGGTTTCAATTGAAAGTTGAAATATGAAACATGCGTATTTGATCTATATGTAAACAAAAAATTAATTTGGGATGAGATTTTTTTGCAACTTCTACTGAAATTCAGAAACATTTCAACATACACATAAGAAAGACGATGGCACCTAGAAGGAAACAAGTCGACGAGAGTTCTGACTTGGACGAAGTTGATGCATTTAATGAGAATAGATCAAAGATATTATTAAACCAGGCAGGAGAATATGGTCGTGAAAGAGACGATGAGGATGAAGAATCGGAGGAAGAAGTAATGAAGATGGACGATGATGAAAGCGACGATGATGACGAGAACGATGATGAAGATGATGAAGAAGATGAAGAAGATGAAGATGAAGAAAATATTGAAGAAGAAGAAGAGGAGAAAGGTTGGGGAGGAAGAAAGAATTATTATGGAGGTGATGATGCAAGTGATGATGAAGATTCTAAGAGAATGACAGAGGAAGCCTTAAGACAACAAAGAAAACATTTACAAGATTTAGAAATGGATGATTTTATTGATGAAGATTTAATGGAAGATTGGCAAAAGAAAGCTGATACATTTGATAATAAAGACACCTCCATTTCAGTAATAAATACGGATACCAAATTAGATCAGCTAGATGATTCCGAAAGATTAAATTTATTAAAGCAATCGTTTCCAGAATTTATACCGTTGACTAAAGAATTGCAAAAATTACAACCAACACTAGAAGATCTTAAAAAATTAGACCAAAATAAATGTATAACTATTAAAATAGCGGCATTATCAGGTTATTTGGCATCGATTTCATCATATCTAGCAATATTTGTTGACAATTTACGAAGTGGGGAAAATTTCACAATGAAAGAACATCCTGTCATGGAAACAATACTAAGTTCGAGAGAAGTTTGGAGACAAGCCAGTGAATTACCGGACGATACAAAGGAAGAATTTGAAGAAATAACACATGATCTTGTGTCGAGTGATATAGACGAAAATGATTATGAGGATGCAAGAGAAGATCATGCAGAAGAAATAGAGGAAGAAGAGGAAGAAGAAGAAGAGGAAGACGAAGAGGTAGAGCAGGAAGAAGAAGAAGAAGATGCAGAGGAAGATGAAGGACAAGTAACAAAAGGTCCACAAGATAATATCATTATAGACACAACCAAACAAAGAACTATAAGGCGAGCTCCAACTAAAGGTAATGATGACGATTTTGCAGAAGCAGAAATTGAAGATGTAGATATGGAAGATAAGAAACGTCGTAAAAAGACATTAAGATTTTATACAGCTAAAATTGATAAAGCAGCTGCTCAAAGAAATAAAGTATATTCAGGTGATGGTGATATGGATGTACCGTATAAGGAGAGATTATATGAAAGACAACAAAAATTAATAGAAGAAGCAAGAAAAAGAGGTCTTGATAAAAGAGATATACCTCAAGATAACAATGATGATGATGATATTAATGACAATGATTTTGATAATGTAGATTATTATGATAAATTGAAACAAAGCAAACAATCTAAATCAGAAAATAGAAAACTTGCACATAATGCTGCAGTAAAAGCTGCTAAAGAAGGCAAACTTGCAGAATTACAAGAAGAAATTGGTGATGATGGTAAAAGAGCAATTAATTATCAAATTCTTAAAAATAAAGGTCTTACACCACATCGTAAAAAGGAATATAGAAATTCAAGAGTTAAAAAGAGAAAACAATATGAAACAGCAAAGAAAAAACTTAAATCAGTTAGACAAGTTTATGATAGTGAAAAACATAAAGGTCCTTATGAAGGTGAAAAGACTGGTATTAAAAAAGGTTTATCAAGATCTGTAAAACTTATTTAACGACTAAATTGTATATCATCAATTCTTAAAATAGATTTCACACATTCTGATGCTAATACTATAGCACTTGTACTTACTAATACTGGTTGTAAAACATGTTCATCAAATGTATTTGATGCTCCTGCTCTTCTTACCGATATTCCTGCATTTTTTTCACCATTTTCATGTCTATTTCTTAAATCAGTAACAACATTTATTGGATTTAAACCTGCATTTTCAGCTAATGTAGTAGGTATTACTTCTAAAGCTTGAGCAAATTCTTCCCATACAAATTGTTCAACTCCAAATAATTTATGAGATTCTTTCATTAATTGTCTTGATACTTCAATTTCTGGAGCTCCTCCACCAGCAATTAAAGCTTTTTCTTTAACTAAACATCTTACAACACATAATGCATCATGTAATGATCTTTCAGTTTCATCAACTATTAAATTATTTGCACCTCTAACAACTATTGATATAGTAGGTTTTGTATTTTTTGAAGTTATACCAGTAATTTCAACTATTTTAGAACCTGAATTTTCAATTTCTTCAACTAAATCAGCTGAACCTAATCTATCTTCTGTAAAATTATCTATATCTGCAATTGGTTTACAACCAATAGCTTTTGATAAAAATTCAACTTCATCTCTTTCAATATCTTTTATAACCATTATATTTAATTTTGATAAAAAATGTAAAGCTAAATCATTAACTGCATCTCTTAATATTGATTTTTGAATTAATAAAACATTACATTTGGCTTTTTTAATTTTTTTACAAATATTTAATAAATATGATCTTTCTTCTTTTAAAATTTTATCCATTTGTCTATAATCATTAACAACAACATTATTTTCCATATCTGGTTTTGGTGGTGAAAGTTGAAATTGAATCAATCCAATTTTAGCTTTTTCCATCCTTATCGGTCCACCTGCATTTTTAACAACAGTTTGAGTTAATACAACACCATTTATTAATTCTGTATCATCAATTGTACCACCTAATTTTTTAATTAATCTTATATCATTTAAATCTACATTATCTTGAGATTCATTTATAACTTTTAAAACTGAATCAACAGCTAATGGAGCTAATAATTGTGAATGTTGAGAAACAATTTTTGAACTTAATGAAGTTGAAGCAGCACGAATTAATTGTTCTCTATCTTCTAATTCTATTTTTGATGACATATCCAATAATATTTCAACACTTCTTTGAGCAGCTCTTTGAAATGATTCAGCAATTAATGTTGGATGTATACCTTTACTTAATAATCTTTGTGCTGCTCCTAATAATGCTCCTGTTAAAATTGCAACAGTTGTTGTACCATCTCCAGCTTCAACATCTTGTGCATGACTAACATCAACTAACATTCTTGCTGCAGGATGTAATACTGCCATATGTTTTAATATAGTAGCTCCATCATTTGATATTATAATCTCTCCATTTTTAGTTTTAATCATTTTATCCATTCCTTTAGGTCCTAATGATGTTCGAATTGCATCAGAAACTGCTCTAGCTGCTAGAATGTTTGCCTTTCGAACTTCCAATGGCTTTTCTTTATCTTTGAATGTAGCATTGGATGGTGCAACTTGTGGTCTAGCTACTGATGTCATAGTTGTGATGTAGTTTTGATAGTTTGATTGATCAAAGATCTATATTATTTTGTTCAAAATAAAAATTAATTTTCTAAATAATTCGATGCGTATCTTTTACAGAATACAAATATGAATCAAGAAGATACTAATGATTATGTTAAATTTGAAACAACAAATGTTACAATAGATGATATTTTAAAATGTTCTTTCTCAAATTGGTGTAATTTGTTTAAAGATAATTTATATTCTTATAGAATTATTAAACCACTTCCAGAAAGTTTTATAGAATATTTATTAAGTGATGGGATTAAACTAAATTCAAAAAATCAAAAAATAGATCAAAATAGTGACAACGAATATAGTGATTGGGAAGATGAGGCAAATGTTGAAACTGAAGAAGAATCAAAAGACGTGCATTCAAAATTCCCTGAACTTCATGAACAAATTATCAAAGACATCAAACAACTAGGGGGTAAAGTTATACCAAAATTAAATTGGTCAAGTCCTAAAGATGCTAATTGGCTTCTACCGGGAAATAATATTAACTGTACAGATGTAAATGACATATATTTATTACTTAAATCATCAGATCATATAGTGGATGATTTATTATATCCATTTCTGGAAGTAGAAAAGAAAGAGATTGATATAAAAGTTGAATATGAATTAATTTTAAAAAAATGGATAGATATAAATCCAGCACTTGAATTTAGAATTTTTGTTAAAGATGGACAAATATTAGGAATTTCTCAAAGAGATTTAAATCATTATGAATTTTTAAAAGATTTACAAACTCAATTAAATGAAATAATAAATCAATTCATGTTAGAAGCAATTGATAAATTGAAAAAAATTGACTTAAACAGTTTTATAATTGATATATATATTCCAAGACCTTTTTCAAAAATTTATATAATTGATATAAATCCCTTTTCGAGAAAATCAAATAGTTTATTATTTACATGGAATGAATTACTTACTAAAAAATTTGAAAAACCTGAATTTAGATTAATTAATGAAACTAATGTTGGAGCATTTGCTAAGAAGCAATATAGTGAGAGTCAGGTTCCTATTGATGTAGTTGGTGCTACTCATGATTCAGAAGCTTTGATTGAATTGGCAAGAGAATGGGATAAGTTACAGAAACAGGAAGATGAATAGACAAGTTTATAGATTTGATATTTAGATTGTAATGATATAACGACGTAATTAATATTGTTTGTAGTTTCTAACAGTTTGTAGAATAGTACGGAAGAGCAAAAAAAAATAGGTGAGCTTTAATAAAACTCCGAAATATTGTACCTTACATCAATCAACATGTCAATTGAAGTATCAAAGGAAGATATATTCCCACAAGATTATAGAGGTAGATTAACAGAAGGAGTTACATATGATTATAGAAATAATCAATTGATTTGGATAGATATTATATTAGGAGAAATTCATAGAGTTTCATTAACAGATTTAAATAAACATGAAATTTTAAAATGGGAGAATCCAAAAGAATCTGTTGGATTTATTGGATTAACATCAAATGAAGATATTGTATTAGTTGCAGCAAAGTCAGGTTTAGCTTATGGAAATTTTAAAACTAAAAAGCTAGAATATTTTTTTAAATATCCATTTACAGATTCTGAAAAAGATAGATTAAGATCAAATGATGGTATAATTGATCCTTGGGGAAATTTATGGATTGGAGTAATGAATGATTTTCATGTCGAGGAAGTAAAAGAAGAAGGATATTTATATAGAATTACACCGGATTTACAAATTGATGTTATGTTGACCAATACAAAAATATCAAATGGTTTAGCATTTAATAATGAAGGTAATGAATTATATTGGACAGATTCACAAAATTATACAATTTTTAAATTTAAATATGATAAAGATAGCAACAAATTAAGTGATAAACAGGCATTCGTTGAAACAAAACAATTATATCCTGATATTGAAAGTCCAGAACCAGATGGAATGATACGTACAGAAAATGGTGATATTTATTCAGCAATTTTTAATACAGGAACCATATTACATGTTAATTCAAAAGGTGAATTAATTGACAAGATTCATGTCCCAGCTAAAAGATGTACTTGTGTTACTATAGGAGGTCTCGACGATAATGAATTATTTATAAATACTGGGAATTTAAAATTAGATGATTTTAATCATTCTATTAATGTAGATGATTTATTTGGTGATTTAGGTGGATTTTTATTTAGATTAAAATTAAAAAATAAATTATATGGCCAAAAGAAAAATATTTGGGGTGGTAAAGTTGAATAGAATGAATATAATACTTATAGATTGAATAGAACTTCCTTAATAAATTTCATTCAACTCCAATACTCTCTGCACGAATTCCTCAATTAATTCATTTTCTTCAATTCCTCCTTTTCTTAAATCATTTAATTTTAAATTCATAACTTCAATTTTTTGATCGGTGTTCAAATTATTTATAAAACCATCTTTTAATATAGTTAATATTGATAATAAATGAAATTGTAATGATTGTTGTTTTAAATAATATTGAATTTGCGGATCCGATAATATTTTATCAAATTTTGATTCTTCAGATGGTCTAGATATTTCTTCTTTTGATTCCTGTGTTTGTTCTTCTTGTTTTTGATCTATTTTAATTTCTTCATGTTGATGTAGTTCTGATTTATAACATGCTATTGAACAATAAGGTAGTTTACATTTAGGACATTTATATTTACTTTCTTGTAATTTACATATTTCACATATCATCTTATCTAAAGTATCTAGAAAATAAAAAAATAATTTACAAGTTTCTATTTTTTAACTCCGAGATATCAAGAATCAAATGTCTTCAACAATTAAAAATCATGAAAAAATATCCAAAACAAGAGTTATAAATGCATCAATATTAACTATAATTTCAATTTTATTATTTATAGAATTATTATATCATTTAAAATGGAGTATCAAAATTATTTATAATCAATCATTTGGAAATCAATTAAATAATTTAATTTATGGTTTAGGATCATTATTAGCAAATTTTGGTTTAAGTGTTAGCTTTTTAAAATGGTTAAATCAAAAGATATTAGTAGATAAAATTGAAGAAGATTATAAGAAATATATATGAGAGGAGAGGGGAAGACAAAACTTATCATGGTGTGATTAATTATATATTTTTAAACTATTTAGATCAACTAAATGTACGGTTCTATAATTTGCAAAAAATTCTTTATTTGATTCATCATTCCATTTATTAATTACAACCAAATTCTTTCTTTGTTGTTGTTGTTGTTGATTTAATTGATCTTGTTCAATAAAATCTTGATCATCATCTTCTTCTTCTTCAATTTCTTCTTCATCATCATCATCAAGATCAATTCCTTCATCATCTCCTTCTCCTTCATTCCATTCTAAATCTGAATCATAATCATAATTTAAACCAGTTAAATTTATGTTTAAAGGATTATTTAAAATTTGAGTTGATTCTTGTTGATGTTTTTTGGAACACCAAGTTCCAATATAAGGAGGTTTTGAATTTTCATAAAATCTAATATATCTTATTGATGACATTTTATTAATCATTTCTTGAATTTCATATTCTCTTGTTGTTGGAATATTTAAAGCATTTAATATAGATTCTGGTGTATATGTTGATTCTTCTTCCTTTTTATTTGATTTTAAACTATTTAAAAATGAATCAAATGATGGATCTTTTATTGTTCCCATTAATATTGAATCTAACTCTTCTTTTGTTGATTGAGTAGCATATTGTTTTGAATTTTCTAAACTTACATTATGTTGAACAAAAAATGGTAAGAAAGTTGATTCATAATCACTTGGTTTTGCAGTTTCAGTGGTTGATGTAGTTGAACTTTCTCCTTCATCATTTATTGGTTTTACAACTTTTTTAACTCTTTGAGGACTAGCTTGGAAAAAATTAACAATTCTTGATTGTTTCCTTGCTTCAGCTTCTTCAGCTAACCTTTTAGCTTCTTCTTTTGCCCTCTTTTCTTCTTCTTTTGCTTTTTTCTCTTCTTCAAGTATCCTTTTCTTTTCTAATCTAACTCTTTCTTTTTCTTCCCATCTTAATTTTTTTTCTAATTTTTCTTTTTCCCTTTCTTCACGTCTACGTTGTTCTTCTTGTCTTCTTGCTTCCTTTTGTTCTTGTTCTAATTTTTTTTTAGCTTCTCTTTCTTGTTTTTCTTTTTCCAATTTAATTTTTTTAGCTTCTTTTTCAGCTAATTCTAATTGTTTTTTAGCTTGTCTTTCTTTTTCTTTAATTTCTGCTTTTCTTTGTTTTTCAGCTAATTCTGCTTGCTTTTTGTTTTCTCTTTCTTGTTTTTCTTTTTCTGCTTTTAATCGTTTTAATTGTTTTTCTTCTTCGATTTTACGTTTTTTAGCTTCTTTATCATTTAATTTGATTTGATTTGATTCTGGCAGCTTCCTCTTTTTTGATGATGATGATGATGATGATGAAGTTGTTGAATTATTTAAAAATGAACTTGATGATATTTCCTTTATATCTTCCAGTTTTCTTGCTTGTGATTGATTTTCTTTATCACTATCTTCATTATCATTACTTAAATCTATAATTTCTTGATCATTAGTTTCATTATTCGTTATATTGGTATCTTCACTCAGTAAATTAATTGTTTCGTGATGACTCAGCATTGCAGTTGTTGACAATTCTGTAGTCATAACTAAGATAGCATTTGATGTATGAAAGGATCTGATGAACGAAAACTAAGTGAATCAGTTGGTATTGAAATTGATAAGGATGTGTATCTGAAACAAATCGTTTACTTTAAAGAGAGAAGTTGTGTCTATACAAAAAAATAAAAAATAATTAAATTTTGGTTAGACGCGTAACCTATATGTAATTTGGTAGCAGCTAGTTTCAACTAATATCACTGTAGGTTGTTTCAAGTTTTTGCAACCGAATTTAGTTGAGAGTTAAATAGAGAGTGTATACATGATCTAGAATGTCTAATAAACGTTCTGTTGATTTGAATAAATCAAATATATACCCCCTTTAAATAAATCAACCTACAACTAAACATGAATGAATAATAATGGTAAGGTTGATTTGTTGAACTAAATAGAACTCCAGAGTTTAAAATAGCTAAATGTTATGACTTTTTATTCCTCAATTTTTGGTTTTTTATTTTCATGATGTCCTACTTGAGGTATAATAGTAGTTAAGTTATGATACTTTGATCATTGAGATTTATAATTTTCCATTTCTTCATTAGTTTGTTTAACCATAATATCATTATAAACAATTGCTCCAGTAAAAGCACAACGACCAAATTTAAAAAAAATGAAAGCAGAGTAATATTCTTTAATAAATTGGAAATGTTTAGGATGTTTTTTATTTTTCTCATCCAATCTCCTATTATGTTTTAATCTTAATACCATCATTAATTTTTTTTCATTACTTGTAACTAATTTATCATAAGTAATATCTTCATTCATTAATTTTATGAACCCCACTGTTTCAGGCATTTCCATTATTCTACGTTCTTGAGGTTCGTTGATTTTCATTTTCTTCTTCTTCTTGAGCCGAACCTGAAGTAGTTTCTCTAGATTAATGATAACGTGCTGGATTATCCAATTCCATGTTTGCAATCGTTTTGATAACTTTATAAATTATTTAGTAATTAAGGATAGTGCTCATTGGAGGATTATGGAAGATGGAACTGTCCATATACGTTTTTATATCAAAGGTCTCTCAAAGTATTGATGATTTTTTTAGTAAATTGAAATAATTCATATTCCAGAATTTCAATCACATGAATTTATTTGTTTTTCTTTACCTTATTTAATAAATTTTGATTCATTAACTTGTCTTAATATATTAAGCTAATTAAAGAATGAAAATCTGAGAATCCAATCAATAACGCAGTAACTACATAATGAAGTTGAATGTCCTCTGTTAAATCATACAGGAAAGTCTGAACGCCGTTTGTTTTTTTAAGGATGTTACTGCGAGATACATGATCGATTCATATTTGTATTCATAAGAAAATGTATCTTTTAAAATGATATATGTTATGTAAAATTTGAAATAATTTGTAAGTAGGATTCGAATTTCTATTTGATACTTGAAAATATGGTTTTAATTTTGAGTTTAAAGTTTAACATAATCATCAAAGCCAAAAGACTAGACCAATCATGAAAGATAGGAAAGTAAAGAAAAAAAAATAAAAACCACATATATAATAATTGAATGACCATTTAAATTGATCTTTAAAAGTATAAAATTTGTAAGTATCTTTTTTTTTGAAACACATGATTGTTTCATTGCATTCAACATCTGATGAACTAGTATTAAATTCAATTATATCATCATCAATGATTTGAATTAACAGAACAGAATTAGGTATTTCAATTAATTTATCGGATTCTCCATTGTTTTGTTCTTGTTGATCTTCTTGATTTTGAGCATTGGAATTCATATTAATTTCATACTCTTCCATAGAAACATAACTAGGTGGTATTGATTCTGAGTCCATTATATTGATATGATCAAACTTAAACCGCACTGTTAAGGCTGTTCCTAACGATAAATCGTGGAAATATTTCTCAATCTGATAGTCCCACCTCAAATTCAGTCATATCTTGAATTTAAAATTTTTAGTAAACAACAAGAACTTAAATTTCACTGGCATGTTTTTTTCTATTTTTTCAAAATGATCATCTTACTTGCTTGATATGAATGTTTTTGAACCTGATGTTCGTCCAATCATATGGTAAAAATATTACTAAACCAGTCATCTAGATGAAATGATCTATATGTAAAGTTCAATTGATAATGATAAACCTTTTGAAAGGTATTTTGAATCTTGATATTATTTCTCCATCGATTTTGTATTCTTTAGATCTCCGTGCTCTTGTTTTTGTCAAATCTTTCAAAAGAAAGATTTGACTCTTTTTGATTAGTTATATTGGATTAAAAGTGATACCCATCTTTCAAACCTCTACAAATTTGTCGTAAGTTGAGCTAGAGAATGGATAACATGAAGACTATTCTTAGCTTTTCTCTTTGGTCGAACGCCGTATATAATCTGGTAGCTGCTTATACAGTGAATTATCTAAAGAAATTATCGTAAGAATGCAAATTTTGCAACCAATTAAGTAGAAAAAGAAAGAGTATGATATTGACTAAAGAATAATGCCATTAAAACTTTCCATATTTTGAATATATATTCCCCCTATAAAGTACCTGAATAAAATAAAAATTAACTGATTAGAAAAAGAATATTATGCTAAAACCTGAAAGAAAATTGACCCATAACTTCGTTAATGACTTTTGTTTGATAAATATTACCAATAAGAATTATAATATTGTTGATTATTGAAAGGATTTATTAAAGTTTGATTATATATTGGTTGAAATTGTTGAAATTGCTGTGTTTGTTGATTATAAGTTTGATTGTTAGGTTGATAATAATATTGTTGTTGTGATGGTGGTGGGGGTAATTGCATTGATAATTGAGTTTGAGTTTGTATATAATTTTGTTGAGTATATTTTGGTTGATAATGATGAGCTTGAGAAATTTGGGGGATTTGTTGAACTTGTTGATATTGATTAAATGAATCTGTAGATGTTAAAGGTAATGTAATTGGAGTTATATTTTGATAAATATTTTGTTGTTGTTGATGATAGTTGGATTGAGAATTAAATTTAGAATATTCTTGAGATGGTAACATTGGTACAATTTTTCGTTTTTTACAAGATGATGGATTTGATAATAAGTTTGAGTTGTATGAATTTATTGAAATAAATTCTAATGGAGTTTTTGGAGTTAATGGATAATTTAATGGTGATGAAAAAGTTGAAAATGATGGTGAATTAGATTTATGTTTTGAAATTGGTGATGAAACATAGCAATTACTATCATGACAACTTGGACTGATCAATTCATTTTCATCCTTCATTAAGACTAAATTTTTGAATTTTATCAACACCAATAGATCAATTTTAAAAATCTTATTAAATTCAATTAAATTCCAAAATTTAAAATCTGTGGACATTTTAATATAATTTAAATTATAATTTAAACAATTTAAAAAATAATTTTCAATTAAATTTAATAATTTCAAATCAATTGCTATAACTTGGTGGTTTTGTTGTTTTAAAGTATTTTTTATAATTATTAACCAAGTTTTTAAAGTATATGATTGATCGTCAAATGATTTATTTGATAATATTAATGATATTATTATATTATATATATGAATGCTGCTGATCTCTCCAACTAATGATGTTGATGATGATGATAATGAATTATTAGATTCTTCAAATATTTCATGTTTTAATACATTATTTGAATGATAATATTTATAAAGATAATAAGTTGATATAATTAAATTAATTTTAGAAATTTGTGAATTTATAATTAAATTTTTTAAAAATTCACCATATTTTGAATTAAATTGATTGAAAGATTTAATTAACACTAGGTGATTATAATGATTATTAGTAGATGATGATGATATTATAATCCAAATGAACTTTATATAGTTATCTATATATTTTTGATCCATTTGTTGTTTATTTTGTTTGTATTTAAATTAATTATTATGAATAGTTGCAAAATTATATCATATATAAATTTGTATTAAATAAATTGAAACAAGGGAAAAAAAAATCTTTTGATTGCAAATATTAAATTAACTGTTTTGATTGATGATAAAAAGGAATGAATGAATGATTTAGTGAATGGACTTGACTAATTCTTTGATATTTAATAACGTATATTCTAGTTGTTATATATATTTGTATATTTTAATCTGCAAATGTAGATTAATTTATGACTATATAAGAGTTTCATATTTAAATTTTATATTTCTTATACAATAATAATATACTTAATACACCTTAACAATAATAATACCAATATACAAAAATAACCAACAATAAAAAAATATAATTAGGCCTAAATTAAAAATTAATTTACAAACTTATACATCTTCTAATTTTCATAAAATTTAAATTATAATATTTTTTAATAGTACGGTTAGGATATTGTTATTATTATTATGTTATAGGTGTTAAAAATCATACACATCATAATATTTGAACACAAACTTAGTAGGCTTGTAAAAGAAAGAAAGAAAGAAAGAACAGAAAGAAAAGTAAGAAAACGTAACAGAGTTTATTATTATTATTTAAGTTTTAATACATAATAATACATTTGTAGGTGATACTGAGTTTCATTTTGTATCATAAAAAACTTAAAAATTAAAAATGTATGATGATTTAAAACTTAAAAATAATAAATAAGACTCACTGGAAAAATAACAGAAATCATGGATGATGATGATGATGATAAAAAAATAAAATAAGGAGAGGTTTTGATCTGAAATTTGTAACAGTTTCAATAGAAATTGAAATAAAATAAAAATAGATTCATTTTTTTATAATTTTCTCGTATAAATTTTTATCTTGTTTTTATTAACATATCCTTTCCCATGCTATACAAGAAATTGATGAGTTAGTATTGAAGCCCTAGTTGAAATGGATAATAGTATTAATAAACGGAATCATTATTTCTCTCCTTTAAATTTAGAATATTATATTATGAAACATAGCTACATTATCATTCATTAAACACCGTGTAAAATTTTAAAAGGTTTGTGTAGTAGAATGTGAAATTCATCAAAGCTAAGCGAAAATTTCATCTATTAGGTAACTCGTTGGTCGTTATTATTTGTTGTTTAAATCCATTACAAAGTTAATAATAAATGATAAATAATATAAAATGCGGGTTTAAGCAACTTCTCATACTTTAAAAGAAGATGGACGGTGATTTTCGCATAATAATGCCAATATTATTATAAGAGAGTAACAATAATAATAATCAATACTAACCTAATTTTAAAATTGCTCAAATTTATTATCATGAGAGAATGTAAGTACATGATAATAAAAACTATAGTACAAATGATGATGATACTTACATAGATCATGTAATTTAAAATTTTTAATCTGAAATTGAATTAAAATTTAAAATGTAACTAATTAATTTCATTCAATTTCACTAATAAACTTATTAGTGTTGGTTAGTTAATTGACTAACCTTGCGCTAACTTTAGCTTAGCTAACTATCACAAAACTAATAACAAGATTTATTGAGTATTTTATGTACATTTACTTAAACTCTATTGTTCAATACTTTAAAAGTATATAATCTTACTCCTTTTAAATTATAGGTATGTATGGAGAATTTATTGAAAGAAAGAAAGGTGAACAACAAACAATTTTGAACTGTATATTCTTAATTGTACACAAATTTAATTTGTTTTACAAAAATTCTCGTGCGAATGGGATGAGGATAGTATGGATGGGGATGTCTGCTAGGTCGACAGCTTTACTTTTGTGTTACTTAAACATAGGAATTTTTGAGAGCACCCTTTTGAACTTGCATTGATTGATGATCTTTGCCTTCACAAATCAATAAATTATGATAGTCAAGAAAGAAAGCAGATCGTCAATTGTACTATATTTTGTAACTAACAGTTCTTTTGAGAATTTCAGTATAAATTAATATTGATCAATAATCCGTTTAATTCAATTCACAAAATTTCCTTAAACAACCGTTAACCCTCTTTTATTATAATTTCATCAATTATCTCCTTCTTTTCCATTCCACCTCAACGCCTTTTATCATTTAATAATTTAAATTTATCGAATGGGAAGGAAAGGTATACTAAATTTTTTCAAAATATCATATTCCTTGCTCCACTTGTCTGTGTTTAGTCTTAGTGTTAGTGTGTTGTCATCAACTTTGCCTATTTTTTAAGGTTTCCTCCACTTGTTAATAATCGGATATTTTTAACATTCCTATTGTTCTTGTTATTCACCTTTTTAAATTTCCCGTGTAAATTTCAATTAATAAATTATAAAGCATCTTGGAATTTATGACACAAAATCTTAGTAAAAGAAATTTTATTTTTTTTATAGTGTTCTAATTTAGTACAGAGTTAAAAATATTTTTGCATGAAATTTTACACTGGAGGTGTAGTATAGTACAACACTCTTGACTTGCTTTCGTTTGACAAAAAAATTCATAGCACATAGTTGATTAGTTAGTGTAACTTAATTAAATAAATTTCAATTTTTCGTATTTGATACCTTGTAAATAAAATGTTGAGCTTTTAAACTTTCAGTTGAACTTTACTACCACAAAACTATTAGTCATCCTGATACCGGAAGGTAACGTCAGAAAGCAGTTATCTTGGTTTCAAATTACCATCAATTTTTAAAAGGTCTATCACATTAACTATATTATCAAACTATCATTAGAACAATAATATTCTTACGAAAATTATTTCTACAAATGAAGCAATCAATGCGGCTTCATGCAATACAACCTAATCTGCTTTTCTTACATAAAAATGATTAGGCTTACAATAACAATAATAATATATTATTTTTGAAGAAGAAACAAATATTAACAAACCAGTTCTTTTCTAGATTCAATGTACCTACTACAATCGAATACAACAAAACACTCAAATTATTGACTATCTTTGTACCTAACTTAACTTATTCCATACCTATCAATAAATTTTTTTTTGGGAATTTAATGACATCAATACACAGAAAAATTTTAAAATTTCTTACAATGAGTTTAATTCTAATTTTTGATATTGTCTTTTTTGAGCCAAATGTTGTTAGTAAGAATTTCATTGGCATAATGATTCGATATTACCTGAGAAAACTGACAAAGGGTAACAAACAATAATTCTCTAAAAGTGTATTAATTATCTAAAATTACAATTGTTTGTTGGATACACTATAAAATTCTCAGATAATTAGGCACAGCATCACCAAAGTTTAATGTTCCAATGAAAATTAAAGAAATATAGTTACGTTTCATTATAGGCCCCGAATATTCAATCATTTAAAGAGTTCTAGGTCTTTTCTTTCGTAATTTAATTTTCTGCATTTATAAGTAAGCATCAATAGACGGCATCAATAAAACCTATTATTGGTTTATAATGTATGATAATACAAACTTGCTTAATTTTTCTTCAATCAATATTCATTTCGATCCGTTATGTTGTTCGTAAGGTACATAATCCAATTTCTTTTATAAAAATAAAATTATAAAATAAAAAAAAAGTATAACAATAATTTTATCAAATTGAAACAATAAAATTTTAGTATAAAACAATCAGGAATAAATAATGTACAAAAATTAAAATTCTAAAAATATATAGTCAAAAAGAAATTTGATAGATTTTTCTTTTGCAGAACAAAAATTTTTACAATAAGTATCTAATGTTTTATTTTTCCAAAAAATTGGTTACTAATTAATTGGGTTGATCAAATTAGATCTAAAATCATATGATTGTGTTTTATGAAATTCAAAGATCTAGGGCTTTTATTAATTAAATATATTTCAGATTCTATGAATTGGTATTAGCAAGAAATCAATTTCATGTTGTTTATTTCATATAATGGAAAAGTGTTTCACATTAAGTTACACAAAACGAGAAATTATCCAACAATATTAATTTTAAAAAAAAAAAAAATCTTATTGTTTTAAAATTTTAAAAAAATAAAATAATAAAAAATCAAACGAATTAAAATTCAAATAAATGTAAATTGAGTTAATTTATTTATTAGGTAAAATTAAGAAGTAGTGTGTTAACAATACAGGGCATAAAATTTAAATTCATTGACTTTCCTAACTTAATTCGTTTCTACAGGTAACAGAAAGATCAAAAAAAGTAATGACTACTTTTTCTTATTATTTAAATTTTATACAGTCTAATAGATCCACCATTTGGTATTTTTAACTAGTTACAATATGGTTGGGAAATTGAGTTTCCTTCCTTTCTACTTTCATCGTTAACTAGTCTGGCTTTGTGATGAAATGAATGCATTGCCACCTGTATGTAAGATAACATCAATGATTTCCAAATGAAATCCCTTAGTAAAATATATAGATGAATTTCGTCTCCCATAAATAATGATATTTTGAAACTCATACTCATAATTAAAGCCTTGCTAATTCAATAAATGGTAGATTACAAATCTTGTATTATAAAAATATTATAATAAAAAATTATTTAAATAAGATCTACTGTATTATCTAAAATTAATTATTTGGTGTTACTTGGTAGCCTCTTTTAGCTGGTTATTAGATTATTACGCATTATACTAAATAATAATAAAATTTTCATATAATTCATTGCATTAAAGGGGGGACAATCGGTAGACCATGTTAAGAATTATTAGTAGCACCGTAGAAATCGATCATGCTTTAATGGAATTGATGTGCTTTATGCTTAACGTGTCTTTATGTTTATTCACCAAAGTAACGTTCGATCCGTTCCGTTTATTAATAGGAGTTTCAAGTTTTATTTATTTTCTAAATAATTATTATTATTTACATTTGTTAGATCTTAGGCCAAAAATTAAATATTATTTTTAGTAAGAAAATTAAGATAATCTTTTGATGTAAGAGTACTTACTACTTCCTTCAATTTTTTCTTGGTTTAATTCAAACTACATTCCATTCCATTTGAACCCAATACTTCAAATGATTGAAATTAGTTCAATTGCACATAGACAATAAGAATCAAAAATCCCTTTATTTAACAAAATTATTTTCGTATTATGTGTTAACCGATTACCTAACAAATCAAAATGTTTGCCACTTGTTAAATATTTTTAATTTCTGTTTTTTCCACTCTTATTGAAAATCTCTTCATTTTGATGGTTTGGAGAAGAATTGTACTTCAATTGTCTTTGTTGAGCTTTAATGAAAGCTTGGTAAAAAAAATCAAATGGAAAGAGTCAAATGACCGCACGTTGTACGAATCATAAATCTAATACAGAGAGATTTAAGCTTTCGACAAGATTAATGCATATTTCCATCTGTTTAATTTGACTGATGTAGACTATTAGATCTTCAAAATATCGTTAATGAATCACCAACTATTAATTTTTTGTGTTGATGATTGATGATTAAAAGAGTTCTATGTAATTTTTCATTTTTGGATCAATTTAAATATCTCGTTTTAAAATTCTATTTTTGTAAATCTATTATCTAATTGAGTGTACTTTGAAATTGGAGTGAATTTAACAGTTTATACCTTACTTTATTATAGTTTCATGTATGATGCGTATGAAAAGTTTAAATTCCAAATTTTAAATTAGACTTTAACATCTCGTCATTTATCCATCATACCGTAATGAAAGTTTTATTGCAAGTTTCATGTTAAATCTAATACCTAAGATCATTCATTAAAGGCTAATCTGGAATCGTAGAAGATTTAATGACCGGTAAACGATCCAGATCTGTAGATTTTGTACTGCTTATAGATTATTTGATCTTATTGATGTAATCAAAATCTAACTTCGTCTTTCTCTCTATATCTTTGCAATTTGATAATTATCCATCTCAAGCACAAAGCAATGAGAGTAAAATTTGGATCATCTAAAATTTTATTTTAAAATTTTTTATTATTTTTATACTGCATACACTACATGATTCGGTAGTCAAGTAAGCAAAGAATAGCACAAAGTTTCTTGACGTAGAAAAAACTAAAGTCAATAAGAGTACATTCCTGACACAGCTTCAAATGAACTAGATTCATAAAACGATAAATTTTTTTGCACAAGACATTCTTAATCTTCATACTTTCTTTTTTAATTGACAATTTAAAATACTCGTTCAAAACCTAGAGATATATTATACTAGCTAAATTTACACTCACAATAAGTACACTGAAATTTGAAATCATTTTGTCTGCCACTGCATTTGAAAAAGGATATTTGCAACTTTTAATTCACTTAAAGGTTTGTTTGAAAGTTTGATTAACAATCTGAGGGAAAGAATTTGATTATCTGTTGGGACATGAAAATGTTTGCTCAAATTTGAATAAGACCTTGATCTCTAATGTTTAAGATTATCATGATTCACTTATTCAACATGATATCTTAGATTCAAATTCATCTATGGAGAAAGAGTACAAGAGTACAATAAACATAGGGAAGAATTAATAAAAAAAACACTAGAGAGCAAGTTTCATTTCAAAATTTAGCATGCATTTTCAGGAATGTGGTACTGGTGGGACCGTCACACATATCAACACTCGAATTCCTGTCCCCAAGATGATGCTAATCAAACCTTGATACAAATCTTGTTCAATATCTGATTATGGGAATAAAAGTTAATCACGTCAATGATCAAAGAAGCAAAATTATAGAAATTATATTTGTCAATGATAGGTTTTAAAATGAAACACTAAAATTCTTTTGATACATGAATTCGTTAAAAATTGAAAAATTAGTTTTGTACGTAAGGAAGGAATATTGGCTAAACATTGGATTCGGTACAAATTACGTCAAAATATTAATGTTGAAAGCGTAAATAGAATTCCTTTATCTGGTTAAGTCCCTTGGAAAGCTATTCGATGACGAGCTATATTCTATTTTAACTTAGTTTGCTTTTACCAAATCAACTTTCATTGAGATTGGTAAGTATCCAATTGAGAACTCATTAAACAGTGCATATTCTCTTGAATTATTTGAAGTTTTTCAAGATATTCTTCAATTCATTTGTCAAACTGTTTCAATGCAACGTCTCTCTGTCATTAGTTTGTACCTACGAGGATGCAAACTCTATAAGTTTATTTTGTTAATGGTGTGTGACAGTAAGTGGGTCCAATATTTAATCGGATTTAAATTCATTGTCAGAATTATTATCCCGATATTTTCTAACCGCGAAATATTTCGAAACACAGCCTTTATTTGAAGAACAACCGTACCGCAATTTTTTTGTAACAATTGTTTCAAACACTCATCTATCATTAAAATTTCAAAGATTCTTGATGAGACGAATAAATGTGTCAGTTTCTTAATTAATGGTTATTCCAGATATAGTATACAGCTTTGAAATGGGTTATAAGGATTATATACTTAAAAACTTTTCTTTTTTAATTTCCTTGCGTGTTCTATTTTTGATGCGAAATCCCATAGATTTTTTTCTTTAGGCCTAAAGTCTAACCAAAATTGGAACTTGGATAACATAGAATCATATTAGCTACAAGTAAAGGAAAGTGTACGTCAAGCATAAAATACATTAAATTAAATGCTTTATGATTGTAATTGGTGACAATCATGTTTGCAAAGCCTTCTCTTGTTATTGCTATACGTTCCATAGGGCTTGATCGAAACAATCTAAGCCCACTCAGTTTAATAGATAAGAAATAGGTCCACTTCTTTTAATCCGTCCTAACTAACGCCACGAGCAAGTTACGAGAATTCGAAAATATTAGATAGAAAAATCCATGTTTTCACATCAAACGCTACAGATCTCTTCGAGAAATTTAACGACCTTGAGAGCTTTCCAAAAATTTTTCGATGAACTCGCATTTATAACATTAACTGACAACTAGTTTTATAATAAAATTGCGATATGATATACGAAACTCGAAGGTTTATTTTATTATGAGATCTAAAGTTTTATTTTTTCGAAAAGTTGCGCAGTATTATAGTTTGGAATATGACACAAAAACAACATTTGATGATGTACATGTATTTTTGAAACATTTGAAATTTGTAAAAATTTATAATTGCTTTTCAGAACCTCATATCCATTTTCATTCCTTATATATATGAAACTCGAGATCAGATAGTCTTCAATCATTGATGGTACTTTAATAATTGCTTCTGGGAAACTCATAGACTATTTACATTTATTCCTTAATATATATGAACATTTATTCCTTATATTTGAAAATTGAACATAGTCTTTATTCATTAAAGGTGCTTTACTCATCCACATAAACATTAGAGGCACTTTACTCATCCACGTAAACATTAGAGGCACTTTACTCATCCACGTGAACATTAGAGGCACTTTACTCATCCACATAGACAAACATGGTTAATAACTTAGAAAATGGTCAAAAGAAGCCCAAAATTCGTTTTCAAGTGCTTCATTATTATTTAATTCCTATAGTTGCATTCGTAGTTTGGAACGGAATGCTTATGTCACTATTAATATGTTGGAGTGCGGCTGGAAAAACTCGCCAATATAGCTTTATGTCAGAACCTCAGAACCCTGTGTTTTTATCAGATATTGGAGCTACTAATTTACAGCCCCTTTTCATCTCCTGTTCAGGATTTCAAGCCATATTCTTCGTAGGGACGTTGATTATGGGATTGTATTTACGTAAGAAGCATAAAATTCAACCATACATATCACATCATCAACCAAGATTAGCTATAGCTAGTATAATTTGTGCAATAATTGGTCAATTAGCAATCCTTTTTGTTTCAATATTTAATACAAAAAATTTTAATACAGTACATTTATCAATGGTTGGTATATTTATAGCGTTTATTTTTTTGGCATGTTGTTGTGATTTTGGTGTGAGTTATATATTTGGTTCTAGAGGAGCAAAATTAGATCCAATTCATCACGGAACAGTTTTTGGTAAATCAAGGTTTGCTAATTTATATTTTGTTAGTTTTGTCGCTAAAATTATATGGTTAATAGTTGCTATTGTTTTAGCTGCATGTTTTGGTTACTATATGAAACATGGAAATGATTCTTTATCCGCTAGATTTGAATGGTCAATTTGTTTCTGGTATGGATTTTTATTAATTCTTTGGTCAATGGATCTATTCCCAAGTGCAGTTAGAAAATATAGAAGTAAACATCCAGAATTATATCAGACTAATCAATATGATTATGAAAATCAATCCAAATGGGAAAAAGATATTAATAATGGTAGATCATCATCAGAAATTGGTGATCAATATACATATGTTAATTCACCAATTATGCATAATCAACAAATTGCTCAACAACATTTTGCTAATGAACAACAACCACAACCAGTAGTACCTGCTCAATCACATCAACCTGCTTTCCAACAAGAGCCAGTTGCTCGTTATCAATAGTTTCGTATAGATTTTAATTATTAACTTAATGAACTTATGATCAATTATTTTGTAAATCTACTATCGTTTGACGAAAACAATGAAACGCTTGTATATTGTTGTAAGGAATTTAAGTGGCTCTTATTAAAAAATATAGAAATAATTTAACAAACATAGGACATTTACCAACCATGATTATTAAGACTTTTACTTTAGGTGACAATTGAAAGACTTGAAACACAAAGTCGTGACAATAAGCTTTACGTCATATTATTTTATTCGATTTATTAAAAGAAAATAATAGCTATTGAAATTACAATATTTTGTACATAAATACATTTTATTCTTCAATTATTTGTTTAATCTGAATATGTCATCAATTGATAAATTTCATTCTATATTGATCAAAAATATCAAAGAGTGAAAAGCTATCTATATTAAATCTACATTAAATGGTTAACGTTTCCGTCAAGAAATTACTTTCAGTATTGAAAGTAAATTAAAATTAAGAAATCTGGGGTAGATGAAACTTATTACATATTCTTTTGATATTAATAATTCTCAGTTTTATTGTTTTATTGTGATAATTTAATTAATTCCATTTATAACCTAATTTTATCGTATTGTAATATTTAAGCTAAAGTTCATATTAATTCTCAAATTAACTAGAGGAAAGATAATATTCGAGAAAGTCAAACTTGCACTATTCATAAACATTGATTTTTCTTTTTTGAAAAGTTACTTTAACTTCTAAATTAAATAGAATAATACAAGAATTTATGTTTATCTTTTACTTAAATATTTACTTCAGATGTACATTATCACTTGTATTATTAATATAAAGACTTCAATCAACCAACTTGTTCTTTTTTGTTTCAATATTTATTATATTGTGAAATATAATTTTTCTACTATAATATATGTGAATTATATTTGTGTAATAACTTGATACAAAAAAAAAATTAAATAATATAAAACAAAAAAGAACTCTTAGTTAAGGGATAAAAAAAAGAGCCAATTTTATTTCTCTCAAATTAGTTGAATCTTTTAAGGAATAAATTTATAAGTGTTCTGAAGGTAAATTATTCAATGTTAATTTGAGTATTAATATATGATTTATTAAATAAACTTATAAAATAATCAATTGAATTAAACATTCAAGATATCATTTGAATCCTGAATTTGTTCCATTCTCTTTTTATTCTTTATAACAAAAATGTAAATTTTAGAGATTCGAAGTTTTAAATATATTAAAAGGACTCGAACCTTTATGGCATAACGCCCAAACATTTTAAGTGTTTTATGTCTACCATTTCATCATAATATATTGGAGAGTAAATGAACAAAGATTAATCAAGTTAAAGGTTATATAAATTCTTTGAATTAAAGATATTGTAATGATCTAATTTTCACATTTTTAATCTAATTCTTCTTAAATTATTATTTTTAAATTGAAATTTTTGTTTTAATAATTTGGTTGTAAAAAAAATATAAAAATATTTAAAAATGTGTATTTTAATTTTTTTGATTTTTTACAACCATTTTTACAACCATTTTTAATCAAGTTTTGAAAAACACACTTCATCATGGCCATATTAAGATCAAAGGCAAAATCAACCAAAAAATCCACATCAGGTATTAAACTGACCCATAGAGAATATAGAGAATGGACAGAAGATGAACTTAAAAAACTCATTTTATTTAATAACGGAGGAAGCTTATATAAAAATATTGCTAAAGCTTTACAAAGAACTAAAGCTTCAGTCAAAAGTAAAATGGGTTTCTTAAGAAAGAATAAAAAACTGTTTGTTGATAAAGTTATTTCTGAAAATAGAACAAAACCATATCTATATGAAATTAGAGATGTTGGTGCAGGTGCTCGAAACAATTGGAGTGACAGAGAATGCTCCGCATTAACAAGATACTACAATCTTGGTTACTCAACTAAAGAAATGTCATCTATTATGGGAAGAAGTGGTAAGTCTATTGCATGGAAAGTTACTGCCTTAGGTATTGGCGGAAGAAAAAGAAGAGTAAGACGTCAAAATAAATAATTGGTAAAAGTTTGGCCTAATACTGATCTATAGAATATTTTTTATATAAAGCAACTAAATAAATTTTGCAATTGAATTAAATTATCATGGAATCACTTGATCTCTGAATTTGATTCACTCCTATTTATTTTCTATAGCAAAAATATAAATTTTGGACATTCAAAGTTTTAAACATATAATATATAAATATATATCGCAGAATAAATAAATAAAATTAATGCAGTTAAAAGTTGTATAAATTCTTTGAATTAAACTTATTGTGCTTTATGAACATGAGCATTATAAGCCTATTCAACAATATGTAATTTCAATAACAAATTTTGATCAATTTTCTTAACAAAAGCACGTAATAATGGAATTAAAGTTCTATTAGTCCGCTTTGTTTGACCATCAGATTGTGGATGATAGACTGAAGTAAAATGTAATTCAACTTTAAGTTCTCTAAAGAAATCCTGCCAAAAATGAGTAGCAAATCTAACGTCATTATCATGTATTATTTCATCTGGTAAACCATGAAGTCTAAATATTTCTTTAACAAATAATTGAGTACAACCTTGAGCAGTAATTGATTTTGATGTAGGAATAAAATGAGCACGTTTAGTAAAACGATCAACAACAGCTAAAATGAAATCACAACCATTTTTTCTGGAAATCCTCCAATAGAATCCATAGGAATCAGTGACCATCTAGCACTAGGTACTGGTAATGGTTGAAGTAATCCAAAGTTTGAATGATTTCTTGGGTTAATAGCTTGACAAATATTACAATGTCTAACAAATCTTTTAATTGAACTAACCATATTTGGCCAGTAATAAGATTTTACCATTTCTAAATAAGTTACTTCTGCTCCAGGGTGTAAAGTTGTATCTGATGAATGGTGTATATCAATGACTTTATTTGATGGAATCCATATTCATTCAATTGGATCTGCCCGATAATCAAATCCTTTAAAATATAAAATACCATTTCTGTAATTAAATTTCTTAATTCTGTATTTGATTGAATTTGGTGGATCTAATTGATTTGAAAGATAATGATATATTTCATGAGCTTGTTCATCTTGAGAATAACCTTCTTTAATTTCTTCAAGTATATCTTCGCCTAATGGATGTGTTTCAATATGGAAAGTAGTAGTATTTGCAATTGTAAGACCTTCTAAATCATCTGCATCATAATCTGTATCTGATTTAACTAACTCTGTAAATTTTCTAGATAATGCATCAGCAATATTTGTGTTTCCTTTGATGTAATCAATAGTAATATCGAATTCTGACAACACATCTAACCATCTTGATAATCTTGATGATGGTGGTTCTTTATTATTAAGTAAATATTGTAGTAATTTATGATCTGTTTTTATAACAAAGGTGGATCCAAGTAAGAAATGTCTAAATCTAGTCAAAGTTTGTATAATTGCTAAAAGTTCCTTCTCTCTAATACTGTAGTTCCTTTGGTGTTTATCTAAAGCTTTTGAATAAAATGCAACAGTACCTTTAATCTTTGAAGTTTTCTTATCTAAAATTTCAATAACAGCTCCAAGAGCATAATCACTTGCATCAGTAGTAATCATATAAGTACCATTAATTTCTGGTGGTTTTAATACTAATGATGATTTTAAATCTAACTTTAATTGTTCAAATGCTTCTTTAACTTCTGGTGAATTTGCTCTTATTTGTTTAAGTCCTGCTAATATTAATGGTCTAGCTTTAGCTGAAAAATTCTTAATAAACCTTCTATAATTAGACATAAAACCAAACAACAGTTGAAATTTTCTTGGTGTAGTTGGTAATTCCCATTCCATGACAGCTTTAATTTTATCATCTGCTGTAGCAATTCCATTTGAACTAATTTTAAAACCTAAAAATGTTGTACTTTTCTTGAAAAATTCTGATTTCTTCTGTTTTGCAACTAAATTATGTTCATGTAATTTCTGAAATACTAAAGTTAAATGTTCCATATGTTCTTGTTCTGATTTTGAATAGATTAATATATCATCTAAATAAACAACAACAAATCTTCCAATAAAATCATGAAATATCATATTCATTATTCTTTGAAAAGTAGCAGGGGCATTACGTAAACCAAATGGCATAACTAACCATTCATATTGTCCATAAGTAGTACTAAAACTTGTAAATTTAACTGAATCTGATGACATTGGAATCTGGTGGTAACCATCTACTAAATCTAATTTTGAAATAAAACCAGCTGATCCAACACTTTCTACTAAATCTTCAACTAATGGCATTGGAGAAGCTTCTGCAACTGTATTTGAATTTAAATCGCTAAAATCAATAACTAGTCTTTTAGATTTATCTTGTTTGTTGACAAAGAAACTATGTGATGAAAATTCTGAAACAGATGGTTTAATATATCCCGCTTTTGATAAAGTATCAACTTGCTTATCAAGTTCTTCTTTCAAATTAATAGGAGTTCTAAATGCTTTTAATGATGTAACTCTATTTGGATCTTCAAGAACTATTTTATGATTAAATTTTGAATCTAAATTAATTGGTGGTGGATTATTACTTATATTACTTTGATAATCTTCCATAAGTTTTTTAAGAAATTCGTCTATTTTCTTTGATGAATGAAAAAGACGATTGAGTTCTTCCAGTGATGGAGGTTGTAACATCTTCTGAACTGCTGCTTGTAAATACCATGTTTCTTCAATTGGTAATGATATATTATTTTCTAATTCTCCAAAATCTTCCAATGCACTTTTTATCAGTCTCAGTATCTGCAACAAATGGTGGTGGTACATGTTTTCTTTCATTTATAGATGTTGATGGATCTGAGAATCCATTCAAATCAATTGATGTTCCAGGTCGTAAGACAGTTAATATACTTGGAATAGCTCTCAATATTCTGCTAATATCTGCACCTAAAACTAACGGATAAGAAATAAAACTACAAACGTAAAATAAAATATTTGTTTGTGTTGTTTTCCACATTACTGAAACATATGAATTAACTGTACCTAAGAAACTACCATAAATACTATAAGTTGCCTTGGGCTTGAACTCTTCTTCCTTCCATTTATACTTCTCAACAACCTGTTTATGAAATTAACATCTGCACCAGAATCTTATAATGCTGGAAGCGATGTTGCTTCTTCGAGATCTACTGTTATTTTTTCCACACGATTTGAGTTTATACCCGCAGTTGATAGATATATAATAGAATTTTCAACTAGTTTACCGTCGTTACAGGATGCCATTAATTTTTCGAACTATCATTTTAATCAGATTTGGGTTGACTTCTTGTGTAGGATGTTCTTTGAGCATGACAACCTGCATTGGTATGTCTCATATTTGGGTGTACAGTGCACGGATCTGGTAATGGTTTTGATCTTTGTCTGTTGTTTGAATTTTAAGTTTGAGAAGTTGAAGTATTTGAATTAATTGCAACTCTGTTGGCAAAAAGAATAGATGCATTAACAGGTCTATTAGTAGTATTAGTTGATGATGATTGAAAAGGTCCAGCTGATATAGTTCTAACTCCCTTGAGTTTATAGTTTGTGATAGTATCTAATACTTCAAAAGTTGACACAATGTCTTTGTGTTGGTAATTAACATTTTCTTAAAGTAATTTTAAGAGTCTTGCTTGAACCCCTTCTTGTGCCAAATCCTTTTTGCTTAAAAGTGATACATATTCAAAAAATTTAAATTTCATATGGGATAATTTTAAAAATGATGGTATTAAAATGAATGATAAAAGAAAAGATTGAATTAATAGTTATGATTAATAATATTTTGATATTTCAATTTTTAGATACTCATGATACAGATAAAAAATTTGTTGTTTTATGTGCTTGTTTCAACTGTTGCTTATATACTTTAGTACTTGCTAGTGTAATAATTGTTTAATCTTATTCTTTATCTAATATTTACTTTGAAAAGTCTTACCTTATATATATATATTTTAAATGTACTGCATGCAGTGTTGCTTTATTTAATTATTTTCATCTTGTTATATGTAACAAATACACTACCTCTTTGGGTCAATATTTATCATAGTTTAGTTTAGTTATAGAAAGGTAATGTATCTGTCAAAAAACACCGATAGCTTAACTTGTCCACCAATTAACCAATATCTTGCTTAGCCTAGCACCACCTACCTTTTCACCATGAAAATTTTCCACCATAATTCTGCCTACCTCGCACCTAATTCCTGCATCATATAATTCAACACATCTTGTTAATATTTCATCAATTATAATACTTCAAACACTTAACAAGTGGTACAAGACCTTGAAATTTAGATTTTTCAACTTAATTCACGCATCAATGAAATTTGTTTCTCAATATCATGGTTTTGTGGAAAAATTATATATCAAATACATATGATTAAGAAAGAAACAAAAATGATAATACAGAAATAAAGATCAGACATGAAAATTGATTAAAAACTGTATAAGTACATATTTTATCAATTATATTGAGGAAAATTTGCTACTATTCCATGAATCAAAACAATTGCTGAGGTGACTAATTCTTGTATAACAGAATTAATTAAACTATTAGAAGATGAAACCACAAGACCTATTAATATCAGAATTGAATTACAGATAATTGAATCTAGAGTCAATTTATTTTTATCAAGATATTTAAAATGTTCAACATCAAATTCATTTATTTCAGATTCAAGAACTTCAAAATTTTATAAAAGATTCAAATAGTCCAATTTTATCAAATTTACAAATACTTGGATTAATTGATGATGTAGAAGCATTTAAATTAAATTATGAAGAAATTTATAGCATAGGATTAATTTATCTTCAATATTAAGGATCTGGAAAATAGATTCATCAAATTCAACAATAACATGATGGATATGAAGAAATAGAAGAGCCACATACTAAAAAGATCAAATTAGAAAATAAAAAAGATAAACCAATTACTATTTTACAGCGTTTACAATTATTAGGTGATGCTTATTTATACATCGAAAAGTCTCCTAATCATTATGGTTTTTATCGAATGTCAAAGTTATTTACGGATGTAATCATGCAACATTATTAAAATCAACTTAACTAACTGATGAAAAAGTCATTTTATTGAAAAAACAGATCAGTTTTTATTAATAAGCATTAGCTGTTGTATTCCAAAAAAGTTTTGATGAATTTCAAGTATTAATATATTCATATTAAACCTTCTGAAAAATAAATGTGTTGAATTTGAAAAATGACAAAAGTTTCAATTATTATTAATGAATTTAAAATTGAAAATAAAGCTTTGTCAGATAATTGTAATAAAAATTATATAAAGTTGAAAAAGAAATTGATTATTAAATTTTGAATTGGGAGTTTCTACGAATGAAAATTAATTATACCGTAGATTAAATATGTATTTGTTGTAAATATGATTTTCTATTCAAAATTATCCAAGAATACCACAATTGTAAGTACCTAGAAAATGATAGAGGAATTTGAAATCATTATAGTATATATATATTAGAAATATGTAATCAATAACTTCTTATTCAGCAATATCATTAGCATCATAAACATCATCAGCATAATTCGCAAAATCAACATAATCATCATCATAAACGTTAGCAGCATCATAAACATCATAAACATCATTAATATCATAAACATCATAAACATCGGCATAAGCATCATCATTATTAACAGCATCATCATTATTAACAGCATCATCATTATTAACAGCATCATCATCTGAATCAGAATCAGCATCAGCATTAGCATTAGCATCAGCATTAGCATTAGCATTAGCATCAGCATCAGAATCATTAATATCCATGAAATCCGGAACTTGAACACCAATATCATAAAGATTTTGAATATGATTTTCATAAGCTCTATAAATTCTTTCTAATTCATCAAGACCAACTAAAGCTGGATAAATTATTCTTGGATCAAAACCATAATATTGTGCTTGAGATCTACAAACATCTAGTTGGAAAAGTTTGATTTTATTTCCAAAATTTTCAAACGGAGCTGTAATACGTTTTTCAATTAATGCGGCCAATTTAGGTGCAACATTCAAAACATCTAACATTTTTCTAAAAGAAATAGATCCAGAAGATCTAGCAACAATAATACCATTAACATAAAATGCTGTTGGTGATTTTCTAATATGAAATGGTGGTAAATCAGTTGGAGTTAATGGTGGATGGGGATTTATTTCATAATTAATAGGTTGCATTATAGTTTGAATTGCTGGTAAATTAAATATATCTTGTCTCAACAAGGGACCAATTTCTTCTAAAATACCTAATTTACTAGCCAATTGTTTTGCATCATCTAACGTGATAAAAATAACTTCATACGGATGTCTTACTTGGTATGAATCATGTGGGATTATTTTTCTTTTTGGGTGAACTTCATGTTTTGCTTTATATTTTGCAACTCTGTTTGTTATTTGTAAACCACTTAAACCTGGAATTAAACCGTACATATCTCTAACACCAATAAAATTATCTCTTGTTCTAACAACATTTTTATAAAAAAGACATTCTTGATTGTAAGAAAATTCTTCTATATTACCAATTGCTGAAGTGTTGCCATAATTTTGAATAATTGCTTTAGCTGTATCTTCAATATCATCTAAAAAAATTGGGTACAATTTATTGATGGCATTAAAAACTTCAGTTTTTGTTCTATTAAAAGGTAGATTACATATAGTTAATGCATCTCTAATTGGGATTTTGAAAATATTATTTGAAGTATCTAAATTTAATTCATCTTTATAACTATTAATAAACCATGTTATTTTATTTTCATCAATCCCGACTCCTCTTAAAATTGAGTTTAACTTAACCATTTTGGTATCTAAATTAATTGAAATTTCTGTATCAGATTCGGGACGGATTTTTAAAACTCTACCGTTGAGTTCTAAATCACTTAAATTTTCAGCTTGTGGTATAACCTGACCATCATTAATTAATGAAAAAGTATTAATTGTTCCAAAAAGGATATTTAATTTCATCATATTATGTTGTTTGATAAACTGATATCCCCTGTCTCTTTTTATGTAATACCCACGCATTTCCATTGGACCTGACTCTAATAAAACTTTATCATCTAAAGCATTAAAATGCGGAATTCTTTCGCCTTTTGTACTAAAAACAAATCTTGATAATTGACTTAAATTGATAGTGTCATCGTCAAGGCAACAAAAAATTCTTGATTTACCTTCTTCAATTTTTAATCCGTAAAAAACACTATTTGTTTGAGTTGAGTGAGTTGAGGAAATATCAAAATAGGCATAAGTTTTGTTGTCTGATAAAGACTTGATGTAACCTGTTGGTTTGACGATCATTTTTGATATATGTGATGGAATTGGGCCTGATGGAATTGAAATTTTTTTCGGATCATGGTAAATATTCTGTATTTCATTTAATTTACAATTAGCATAAATGCAGCATTTGCAATTTGTTCCACTTTTTACTTTGATTTCACCTATTCTGTTGTAGTTATTTTTTTGACAATTAGTAATTGAAGCGTTTGCATCAATTTTATCAGTTAAACCAATATAAATACTTAAATGTGAACCAAATTTAATTTTTTGTGTAATTTTTAAATATTTAATATTCATTATTTTGTCTTCAGGACATAAAATATCATCTAACATTTTACAATTGGCGTGATTATGGTTTGTAACAAGATGTAAATTAGGTATTAATGATAATCTTGAACTAATGACATGTTTAATTCTTTTTAATCTATCAATTATTGACATTACAATTTCTTCAGCGGCAAATGTTGATTTTTTAATAATCATTGTATAATCAAGAACCTGAATGCTATTCAAATCACCAAGTAACCATAATGGATAATTAAAAGATTCTGTGAATGTCACTAAATCTAAATAAAAATTGATTATATTAATATTTGATTCAGGTGTATATCTTCTAATATTAGGTGCATAAATTGCAACCACTAAACTTTGAACCCCATCAATTTCAACTATTGCTGAACTTGTTCTAGATATAAATTGATTTTTATCATTGAGAAGTAGGTTGTCTATAACTGTGGAATCTCTCAATTTATGTTCTTCTAAGCAAATCTTTTTTTGAATATGAGTTTCTAAAGTTTCATCTTCCAGTTCATCTTCAATAACTATGTTTTTTGATCTTCTGGATGTAAATATGACATCTTCATCATCTTCATCATTTTCTAATAATTCAGTTGCTGATTTAATTGATTCTTCATCATTTTCTAATAATTCAGTTACAGATTTAATTGATTCTTTATCTTCTTCATCATTTTCTAATAATTCAGTTACAGATTTAATTGATTCTTCATCTTCATTACCATTTTCTAGTAATTCAGTTACAGATTTAATTGATTCTTCATCATCTTCATTACCATTTTCTAATAATTCAGTTGCAGATTTAATTGATTCATTACCATTTTCTAATAATTCAGTTGCAGATTTAATTGATTCTTCATCATTTTCTAATAATTCAGTTACAGATTTAATTGATTCTTTATCTTCTTCATCATTTTCTAATAATTCAGTTACAGATTTAATTGATTCTTCATCTTGTATTACTTTTTTCTTTTCTTCTATAAATGCATAGGAATTTAAATCTTTGATTAATTTAACATTATTTTTATTTTTTTCAATACATAAAGCCGCTTTGAAATTACCTATTGTGGTATAATTTTTTCTTTCTTTTAATGTATTAATTGACGGATTACTTGTTTTACCATAATCATAATCCAACTCTGATAAAGCACAGATATTGGAATCTAAAAACTGCCATAATTTTGTACTTGAACATCTTTCAACATTTCTTGAATGCATTGTTGTTGTTAAGTTCATATATTTACTTGGACCATCTATGGTAATTTTTCTGCTATCTGTTGATTCTGGATTAAGTAATTCTGTTATTTTCATATTGAATATTATAATATTTTCATGGTATGGGTTTGTGGATAAAAGTGGTTTTGATTGAAATAGTGTTGTGAATAATTAACTATTGATATATGAAATTATTATACTAAATCTGTTCTTTACAATACTTTAATTATCTGTAGTTAAAATTTTGATCCCAAATTTATGTTATTTTGATAATAATGATTTACTTTATAATGATTATATTTTGTATTGATGTTATAGATGATAAAACTATAATGGTTGCAAAAAATTTTGATCTATCTTAATGAAATAAATCACTGAAACTAATCTGAGTTAGTGATGATTATGTGTAAAGTGTTGATAATAAATATAAATATAAAGTTTTTAATATAAATTTAAAGCTTTTGGTAATTACAAATAATGGTTCTGGTGTTGTTTAACTTGATGTGAATAGTGATCTTTAAAAAAAAGTGTTGCAAAAAAAAATGGGTATACATTTTATGAAGTACAATAAAAACCGCTACCAATCGAAATATTTAGATTATATTGATAAAGTCTTACCTATAAAGAGAGTTATAAGACTAATATCTTTATAGATGATCTGCATATATCTTCAACATAATATTGTAGAGAAGTGAGCAAGAATCTAGGACGTACTCGCTAAAATAATCAAAAATCCAATCAAAAAAGGAAAACATGAAAATAATATGTTTGGATTAAAAAATGAATGTCAAAAGTACTTGAGAAATTATAAATAAACACATGGTGTAGTTCTAATCCTCTAATGATAATCTATTTACAATGCTAATTTTAAACCTTCATATAAATTAATTAGTATAACTCTTGTATTATTTGAAAATTCAATATAAAATCCAAAAAAAATCATCCAATCTGTTTAAACTATTGCACAAAGTTTTAGCTTTTGTTGCATTTTCTTCAGTAATTCTAATACCAACAATTAATTAAACCTTTGTTTAAATTCCTTTTTTACCAGATTTTTTAGCTTCATATTCTGTCTAAATTAATGTTGAACCATATGTTACAATTAATTCTTCAAAATTATAAATTTTAAAACTCGTTAGAAATCTTGATCTTAATTCTAAATCTTTATTTTTTTCTCTAAAACAACATACAAAGTACCTTCAACTACTTGAGTTCTAACAAATTATCTTTCTGTTACTGCTAATGCTGGTTGTTTAGCTTGATTTAATGTGGTAGTTGTATCATTTTGTTTTGGTGCTCTATCAGCATATATATTACTGTTCTATCTTTAATCATTTTAAATTTTAATAAATTTATTTATATTATTTATCTTTAAAAATTCATAGAAATAACAATTAATGATAAAAAAGTAAAAGTCAACGCAAATCAAATCAAATATAATGTATAGTTGTTACAAAGAGAGATAAATTGAGAAATAAACTTGTGATCAATTGGATTCAATCAATTGTTTAATTTATATATTACAAATATTACAAAATTTGGAGGAAGTTTTGAAAATTAGCAAGAAGGAAAAGTTGTAATGAAAATGATGACGAACGAAAAACAAAAACCACAACGACAAGGTAAAATTTCATATTAATTTTTAAAACCTGAATTCAATATTTCATTTCATATATTAGATCCAATTTCTTAACCTTAAATTTCAATATATCGTGGAGTTGCGAGTGAAACTATTGCATCAGTTAATGGTCGACTAATTTTTGGCATAAAATTTACAAATCATAGGGACATTCAAGCTTCAAACCGTCAACTTTTTAATAATTATGAAGAAGAACGTAGCCTAAAGATAAAGAAACTTCTACTAACAAAGGTTTAAATAAAGTCAAACTAACCGGTTTAGTTAAAAAATTTGATAATAGTACAACAAATAATTTTGTTAATTTAGGTAAAGGATATCATGTTGAAGTAAAAAACAAATTGACCCGATTAAACTAAAATGCAGCAACAACATCAATGATGCAATTTATGATGTTGAAAATGAAGAAGAAGAAATGCCAACTTATAATAATTAGAATCACAATCGATACTTCATCATCTATTAATAAAAAAACATCAATATAGTTACTGATCTGAAGAAGAAGATATTGAGGACTCTACTGGAGATACTGGGATTGCTGCTAAAGATCATTGAAAAGTATATTTTGTAGACTTGTTCCAGTGATTTATACAACTTAACAACAATATGACATTGTAAATTTACAACCCCTTTTCATCTCCTGCGCTGCATTTCAAGCCATATTCTTCGTTGGAACTTTAATATTTGGAATGTATTTACGTAAAAAAGGTAAAATCCAACCTTATATTTCATATCATCAACCAAGATTAGCTATAGCAAGTATTATATGTGCAATAATAGGTCAATTAGGTATAATATTTGTTTCAATTTTCAACACAAAGAATTTTAATTCTGTTCATTTATCAATGGTTGCAATTTTTATAGCATTTTGTTTCTTTGCATGTTGTTGTGATTTTGGAGTTAGTTATATATTTGGATCTCATGGAAATAAATTAGATCCAATTCATACTCAAACTATATTTGGAAAATCAAGATTTGCAAATTTATATTTTATAAGTTTTGTTACTAAAATTATTTGGTTAATAGTTGCTATTGTTTTAGCTGCTTGTTTTGGTTATTATATGAAACATGATGAAGATTCTATATCAGCTGCATTTGAATGGACAATTTGTTTCTGGTATGGTCTTTTACTAGTACTTTGGTCAATGGATCTATTCCCAAGTGCAGTTAGAAAATATAGAAGTAAACATCCTCAATTATATGAAACTAATCAATATGATTATGAAAATCAAAATGGTGGATCAAAATGGGAAAAAGATATTCATAATAATGGTAGATCTTCATCAGAATTAGGAGATCAATATACTTATGTTAATTCACCAATGATGCAAAATCAAAAAATAGCAAATCAACAATTTGCAAATGAAGAACCAACTCCATTGAACCCTACTATACGTGATCAACATTTAGTTAACGAAGATCCAATATTACAAAATCAAAAATTAGCAAATCAACATTTTGCTAATCAAGAACCAACTCCAATACAGCCACAAGAACCATTGTATGAAGTAAATTATCAACAAGCTCCACCATCTTCACAACCACAATATAATGAACCAGTTGCTCATTCTTATCCAAATCCAACTATACCACAACAATCACATACACTTCCAAATTCACAACCAGTAAGTTATCAGCCGGATTCTGTACCTAGGTATTAAATTAATTTTAGAAATTAAGTAGGACAAAGAATAGAGTAGGGTAAATTAATTCAAATTTTATTTATTGTAGAATTCAAATACTGGAAGGTGGTGCACTACACGTCAGGAAGAACGAGTGCACCACCTTTCGAAGAATCCTCTTTGCTAGCAGTTCTCGAACGATATCTCCTATCTCTGATCTTTAATGAGTTAATAAAACAAAAGGATGAGATAACTAATACCAATTTAGTGGTTGTATTCTAAGCTATTAAGGTTTTACGACACAAGCCTTCTAATTTAATCAAATTTGTAAACGATTAATATACGATTTAAACTTTGAATCTAAACTTTTGAGATTCGATGCATGATGTGTTAAATCCATCCCCTCGTTTAATTTTATTTCATTTTTGCGAAGCCGCACGTCACTTTAATAAATGCTTAGCGGAATTTTTTTTTTTTTTTTTTCATTTTATTATCATATCTCAAGATATTTAAACTTAAAGTTTTCTAGAATCTCAGATCCACTTTAGATTCCTTGTCATCATCGTATCGTATCTTGAAACTATCTTTTTGGTTGAGTCAACGCTTGTGATATAAAAGTTGAGTGACTTCAGTAGCAAATATAAAACATGATAGAAATTAAAAAAGGAACATAATGTCAGAGAAGCCACAACCAAAGATCAAAAATGAACCAAATGATATAGATCATAATACACAAATCTCAAGAGTAAATACAAGCACAAATAGAAGAGATTCAAATCTATCTACTACTCCAACTAATTCTCATGAAAATACTAAAGAAGATCAACTACAAACATTATTAGATGATCCATCTCGATTCCCACTGGGATGGAACACAAAGGGAATATTAACTGTGTTAGGATCATTTATTGGACTTATAGGCTCGTTAGGATTTGTTAATTCAGGTGGTGTTATAGCGACTTATTTATCTCAAAATATTTTACTTCATGAAAGTCAAAGTAATATAAATTGGATTTTTTCAATATATAATTTTTTTGCATTTGGAGGATCTATTTTATCCGGACCTATATTTGATTCAATTGGATGTAAAATTCCTATATTTGTAGGTTCAATAATTATGTTTTTAGGATTAATAGCTACTAGTTTTTGTCATCTGTTATATCAATTTATTTTAGCTTATGGAATATTGACTGGAATTGGTGCATCATTAAGTTTTGCACCATTTGTTGCTGCTACAGGACATCATTATTTGATCAAAAGGTCAATTGCGATTGGATTAGGTTATACTGGTGGTGGATTAGGTGGTGTCATTTTTCCATTAATATTTAGAAAATTATTTCCTGCCATAGGATTTGGATGGACGATTAGAATTGGTGCATTTATATGTTTGTTTTTATTGATTGTTGGATGGTTATTAGTAAGTGATAGACATGAAGAGTTTCATCAACCTCAAGATGAAAATATTTTTAAACAAATTATACATTCAATTGATTTTAAAATTTTATTAAAAAATATAATTTTTTTGGTTGTTGTTTCTGGGTTATTGTTTAACGGGCTAGCATTTTTGATCACAATTGTTGAATTACCTACTTATGCAACTATTAGAGGTTTTGGTGAAAGTAAATCATCATTGCTAATTGTTGTATTTAACGCTTTTAGTATACCAGGTAGAGTGATTCCGAGTTATTTTGCAGATCATGGATTAGGTAGGTTTAATACATTTTGTCTCATTAATGTATTCTCGTTGGTTGTATTTTGTATTATTTGGGTTCCATTCGGACATCATTTAGAAGCTTTATTTGTATTTGCTGGTTGTTTTGGGTTTTCAAGTGGGTCGGTACTAAGTTTATCAGCTAGTTTAGTCACTTCAATTGTTCAAACAAAGGATGCAGGTAAAAGTTTAGGAACAGCTTTTTTCATCTTATCAATTGCTGATTTATTCGGATTACCTATTGCTGGAGCTATTACAAATAAAACCCCTAAAAGTTTTGACCATTTAGTTTATTTCTTAACTGCTTGTGCATTTGTTGGAGCTTGTGTTAGTTTCATACTGAGGTATCTTTACGCAGGATTTAATTTAAAGAGAGTTTAATGATGATTTTTTGATATATGATTGATGATTTTGTCTTTGACTATATGAAGTCTATATCATTTAGTTGCGGACCTGTTTGACCTTCTAATGATACTGCCTCTAATCTAGCTAATTTACCTCTCATCATTATTTTCCACAACGACTTTTTCAAAAAGATTTCAATAATTTCACCTTGTATCGAATTAATGTTATCAACTTTTCGCTTTTTTGAATTTGGTTCTTCCCCATCTTTTGCTTCTTCAGTGTTATTCAAAAAATCATTTATCCAACCTCTACTCATTTCACTACCATCAAGTACAGTTTTCAGTCTACTTATTGAAACCAAGAATGATATTGAAAATTCATTCACAATCAATGCATCCACATCTTTAAAAATTTGCTTTAGCTTCTGTGCAATTTTGCCTTCGAATTTAGCCGTTATGATGTTAAGTTTCCTGTTTATAATTAATCTTGAATGTTGTAAATTATTATCATTTTTAATTTGAATTACCAAATCTTTTGGAGTTTCATTTATATATGGTCTTGAATATTTTATAGATACTTCTCGTGATTTATCCAATGGTGAGATATTTAATATTCCTCTTTTTGCAATATCTTCTACATTCAAAATTATTTGATTATTTATAATCTTGTGACATATCATTTTTTGTTCAAGTTCTAAAAATCTATAATATCGAGCTTCTTTAAGTAAAAGATTTCGATGTTCTTCATTTTTTATAATAAGGGTATTTCCCTTTAAGAATTCCAATAAGTCTGCAAATAATTTAGGTGATCTATTGGTGACAATTGCCGGTCGTTGAGGTGGAGGTCTTAACATATTTTTCTTTTCAATAATCGCCAAATTATCAAACAACAATCTATCTGAATTAACTGTAAAATAATTTTGTGCATTTCCTTCATTAATCAATAATGATCTTGGAATTTTGAAACATTGTTCACCAATACTTGCAAATATGTCTTGTTCAGTCAAGACTTTTTTTAAATTTTTTAAACCAAAATAAAAAGCATCACTCCAAAGATGCATAAATTCATAATCATTAGTAATATTGATTGAATACCCTTGTAAATGATTATATATTTTTTCAAATATCTTGGGATCTCTATCAAAGAACAAAATTTTATCTTCATTTTCTGGATCATTGAAAAATTTTGTGAAATATGAAGGTGAATCGGAAGATAATGATAATCCACTCAATCTGAATAATTTATATCCCACTTGCATTGAGTAAACTTTTTCATGCGGTAACACAAGGGGAACGGACGGGTCATATTCTTCGAACGTCTGGATGGGCAATGAAGTTAAACTCATTCATACAATTGTATTGTTTTAGTTTGTCTTTTGTTTGTTTATGTTTAGTATGCAATATTGTGATTGAAAAATTGTGTTGCAAAAAATTCCCAATCAGTGAAAATTAAAGTTTCTCCACTAAATGATAAGAACAAATTGATTAATTTCAATAAGACCTTCAACAATATATGGCCAAAAGAGGAAGAACATTCAATGGATGCTGGACATGTAGATCAAGAAAAGTGAAATGTGATTTAACAAAACCTCAATGTATAAGGTGTGTCAAGCTGAAAAGAGAATGTTTAGGTTATGGTATAAGATTAGGTTGGTCATCACCAATTACTATTGGACCTGATTCAAAAATGACAAGTATTAAAACTGAAGATGGAGAATTAGAATCTTTTCAAAGAAGAAGTATCGAATTGATGAAATTTCCTGAACAAATGTATTATGCTACTTATTCTGAATTGAATGAAATATTGGATGAAATCGAAAATTCTGTCACTTTAAAAGGTAAAGCTCAAAAGGGACCGTTTAGGTGCTTTGACTTAGCAAATTCGAATAAAAGAAGGAAACTATCTGATACAGAAAAGGTGACGAAAATGGATCACGAGGAGTCTTCGTCAACTCCATCGAGACTTGAGACTCCAACGAACAACGATGATATTTTTTCAGAAACCAATAACTCATACGTTCATCAAGACTTGATAAACTTTGCCAAATTAACAATACTTGCAATTAAAGGTCCAGATTACAAATTTAACGATCAAAATATGCTACACATCTTGTACCCGAAATTTTATCCAAATACAGATTCAGATGATGATTGGGTTGCAAATGCTAAGATGGTTAACAACAAATTGTATACAAAAGCGAACTCAGAGTTGAAACTTCATCAATTATTAAAACATCTCATAAACAATTTTACAGTGGACTCAACAACATTGAATAGGGTTGGACTACCTGTTACTTATTTTGAGGTTTTGTTTATTTCATATATAAAACAAATTGTAAGTACATTTTTTTGTTGGGATTTCACTGAATGGAACGTTATAGACCTACAGGCTATGGATGAATTAAATGATCAACAAATTTTACATAGTATAAAACTATGTGTTATTTATTTGACATTAGGATTAAGTGCTTTTAAGCTCTCAAAAACTAAAGAATTAAAAAATTTGGATAATAATCAATCAATGGATGAATTTTTGAAGATTAGTATTGAGTTAAGAAAGTTGAGTATTAAACTTTTGAATTTTCATTTGGATGAATCTGATACAATATCAGAAAAAACTAGTCTCAACAGTGCAATGATCGACAATAATTACGATACACTACTTTTGACTGCATTGATTTTACAAATTGAATTAGATGGGATGTTTTCTGTTTTTGAAAATCTTGATTTGATTTATGCAATTGGCGATTTTGTAATTAAGAATAAATTAATCAATTCAACTAGGCTCACTACAATAAACAAATTTTTAATCAACATTTTTAAGATTAAGTATTTTATCTACGAGAGTACTCAAGCTATCAACGTGTTCAACTACCAAATAGATGAAAATCAAAAGGATTATAGCGATTTGAAAGATGATTATAATTTGATAAATGGATCTCAATCTGAGGACGAGAATGATGATGAGGAGGAGGAAGAAGAAGAGGAGGAAGAAGAAGATAATGAAGAAACAGAAGACGAAGAAGTAGAAGTAGTCAGAGAGAAAGAAATCGAACAGAAGAATGGTGCTACTCCTTACACCAATTCAACACCAAGTTACAACTTCAACTCAAAATTTAAGCCGACTATAGAAAATTTAGTATCAACAGAAGACGCATACGTTCCAACAGACTATACGATCAATTTCAATAAAAATCAAAAATATAATGCAGCTTACGAGCTTACCAGCGAAAATACTACTGTTACGCCTAATTCAAAATTTTCGCCTCAAGTGAATACAATTTTTACGGCCAAGCTTGACATTGATTTAATATACTTGATGTTTGGTATACCACAAGACTTATTGAATCTATTCCATGAAACTATTCATCTAGCGAATCATAAAAACATATTCAACTTAAAGAAACAGTTTCCTAGAAATTTTCCAAAATTATGTACTGACTTGGAAGATAAATTAATAAACTGGAATTATACCAAACTGAATTGGAAATTAGATCCTACCGATATGTTTCAAAATTTTTTGATTAATTACATCTCATCCTTTCATCAAGCTGTTATTATATTTCACAATAAATTGATGAAGAAGTCGTTCGATACTGCTCAACATCAACTAGTTATAGAGAGAAGCTTAAACTACTTAATAAAAGCAATGCATGGTGCTAAAATGCTCAATTTAAATTTTCAGCCAATGTTTTGGAATTTATTAATTTGTGGGTCAGTAGCTATTGATCACAACCTACAAGACAAAATAAAATTTATTTGGTCAAGTGAATTTTATACAAAGCAATCAAACTATTGGAGATCTAAACAGATCCTATATGAAATATGGCAAAGAAGAAATAACAATGAATACGAAGAAAATGATTTAGGATTTATGAATATGATTAGAGAATGGGATATATTTTTGAGTCTAGGTTGAAATTGATGACAAATCTTGATTCTAATACCGGTTTTAGATCTTACATGAATATTGTTACGTATATGTATAATCGAACAGGGCTTAGAAAAATGTGTTTAATTAGTATTCACTAATATTATAAGCATATTCAACAAAGTCATAAATTCAAGCAACTAAAGATTTATCAATTGCCACTACCATTTAAAATCCTTGTGTTTCGGAAGAAGTCTACAACGGAATAAATAAAAATATTGGCTCTTAACACAAAGCAACAGAAAACCCGGGGAAAAAAAGATTTACGAGCATAAACACATCAATCAATCATTTTTATTATATAATGCTTTGTATGGGAATTATTCAAAAAGATGGATAAGAGCTCAAGAAATAATATTATATAAACAAATTTAATTTCGAAGTGAACTTTATTCCTCAACGTCGAGTTAATGGAATTTAAGTTTATTATTTAGTAATCAATGGATGGAACAATCATAAGAATAGTCCTCTGAAATAATCAGTTATTTACATAACAATTTATATACATGAGCTTAAACTTGACCGTAGAACCATTTCTTTAAACTCTCTCAAAACCAAGTCAATTTAATATGTAGATGAACATGTGGAAAGATCGATTTTACGAACCCTTTCTATGTATATTTTAAACATTGCATAAAAATAATTTTAGTTTTCATGGATTAATTATAAACTTAAACAATAGAGAAAGAAAAAAATATAATAAACTGAAATTATTTTACCTAAAAAACTAATATTAATAGGATTTTCATAAATACTTTTAAATTTGAGACCCAAGTTTTCAATAATAAACTAAGATCATATATCAAAAACATAATACGGTTAAATAAACCTACTCCCTAGATCTCATAGTGTGAAAAGGAATAATGATGACTTCTGCATCAACAAGTAAACAGATACCTTCCATAAGTGACATTTTAGCTGATACTGGTCAATCAAATAGGAAAAGCAATATCACAAACAATAATATAAGTCATAACAATCCTAATATAAATCCAAATGCTCAAATATATCCCTCAAACAGCCAACAACAAGGTCCTTACCAAAATCAACATCAACAACATGCCCTACCACATTCATCAATGGGTTTACAAACACAACCTCACCCATCACTACTACATCAACAATCCCATATACAGCATCAGCATCAGCAACAAACTCAACCCGCACAATCTCAAAATTACCATCATGGTTACCAGCAGCATCAGCACAACACTCAAATCATGAGTAACAATGAACAAAACAATGGATCTAATTCTTCACCTACAGAAATTTCTTCAAAATCTAATGATCCACCACGAAAAAGATCAAAAATTTCAAGAGCTTGCGATGCATGTAGAAGAAAGAAAATAAAATGTAACGCAGAATTTTCAACTACATTGAACGAAGTGACTCAAATTTGTAATAATTGTCAAAAAAATTCAGAAGAATGTACATTTTCTAGAACCCCATTGAAAAGAGGTCCCTCTAAGGGGTATTCAAAAGACTCAGAGGAGAATGCCAATACGAATGAAGTTTCATATCCATGTTCATCACAACAAGCCAAAGACACCCCTCAAAATAATTTACCATTCCCACAAATAAGATCTACATCACATCTACAAACTCAGTCAATTCCATCTTCATCAACCATAAAGTTACCACCTTTGGTCGGGTATGCAGCGAAAAACCTTTCACCTGCAGTTCAAAAATTATCAATAGATTCGAATCCATCAAGTCCTCAAAATCCTCAATTCAACAACAATAATAATAACAACAGCAACAATAACAGTCCCCCAATTCAAGGTCCTTTCTGGAAAGTGCCTTACGAAATGCCGCAATCAACAAGTTCTCATCGTTCGTCAATAAGTAGTGTGACTAGCACAGGTCAATCCATGCACAATCATCGCAGAAGATCATCCTCCATAGACTCATTATCATCAACATCAACTGCTGGTATGAGAATCCCAACTATAAAAAACATTAATTCAAATGAATTTCTAAGCGATAGTGAATCAGAAGATTTTTATTCCATCAAATCACATAATTCCCAAAGACCACTGATAGTTAGAAACAATTCCCAATCAATATCTCCAAGAAACTCAGTAACTTCACTATCAAGTTTGAATGGTAGAATGAATAAGTCTCTTCTTTTACAAGCTCCTTCATCTCCTTTATCAACAGGAAATATAAGTGGTATTCCTACTCCCAAACCACCTCAATTACAATTTTTATCACCACATGGTATAACTCCTCAATTTACAACGTCACCATTAAATATGTTAAAAGCAGATTTGGAAAATTATGAAAAAAACTTTGCACCATCGTTTCCGATAATACCCATTACTTCAGAAGAATTGATTGCAATAATTCAAACTATTGGCGTTGAAGTACCTGCGGAACAATTAGTTGAAGTGTTTCATATGTGTTTGAGTGATTTATTAAATTTTAAAACAATTGATGAGTTTTCTACGATTTCCATGTTTTTTAAATTACAACAATTACAACAACACTCAAAGATTAATAAGAATTCATCATTCATGTATGCATTATCATTGGTGTTACTAAATTACAATTTATTACTAAAGGGAGGCTATTATTCGTTTGGCCTTGCTATGGGGAGTTCATTTTTGAACGAGTTAAATGCAATAGATCATGTTTTATTAAATAATGAACAAGACTTAAAATTTGCAAAACTTTATTATTACTTGGACTTTATTGATACTATTGCAAGCTTGAAAGCAGGTATTTCAAAGTCTGTGTCAGCAGGAAATTTATCTGAATTTGTTTCATTAAGTGAATATAAACTTCCAGAAGTGGAATTGTACTATGATCTTAAAAACTTGACTGATATTAAAAACAAAATCATTTTATCTTCACCTTCATCATTGACATCATACACAAACCAATCAAAAAATATTTTTGCAGTTCAGTTTTATACGCTCATCAATGAAAAGTATCAACTATTTAAAATCCTATTAAACCATCCAGAGCAACAACAAATAATTCAACTGGTTGAAAAGCTAGCACTGACGATATTAAATTTTGCAAATTATTTAAGTACATCAACAATGGAAGAAAGAAATTTAATATCACCAATTTTAAATATCGCAATAATTCAATTATTTTGGTTACTTAAATTTTGTAAAATAGTAATTGAAAATTTTACAATTTCAAAATCAAATGAATTACAAATTAAAAAGATTTTCCATGATTTATCAATTTCATTTAGCTTATTGAATTTAAATTTAACAAATTTACCAATTGTTGAATATGTGATTAAATCAATTAAACAATCTATAATTGATGATAATTTGAATTTTACAGTTCCTACTATTACTAAAGACGTAGGAAAGGATTGGATTAATACTAAAATTGTGCCTGTAATAAGGTCTGATCTATTGAGACAATGATGCTTTCTGGTCTTTAGTATCAATAATTTCATTGTATAATTTATGTATTTCATTTCTGCTATTTATTCTTATAAACTTAGTATTTTTGGTTAATAAAGGCTCAAGTTTGATTTATTGGTTAAACCAAGTAGAACACTAGATGAAATTGGGCTTATAAAGGCTTCAAAACGTCCTCCCTATTGTCTCACTGTAAGAGTTGTATATTATTTATCTAAAAAATCTAATACTTATTGTGGCTATTAAGTATTACTAAGTAGAATTTCTGAACCAAATAATAATTTTTTTTTCCTTTCACATTTTGTAAGTAATTTCAAATTTCGTCATCATCACAAACTTCAAACTCAATCAAACAAACAGTTCAAACGATGGGTGTAATAGAAATTGAAAATGAACAACAATTCACTGATCTAACTCAAAAAAATGATTCAAAATTAATAGCTTTATATTTTCATACACCATGGGCAGGACCATGTAAAACAATGAATCAAGTTTTTAAAACTTTATCAGAATCAAAATCAAATGATAAATCTATTTTGTTTCTTTCAATAAATGCTGATGAATTATCTGAAATAAGTGAAATATTTGATGTTAGTGCTGTTCCTTATTTTATATTAATACGTAATCAAACTATTTTAAAAGAATTATCGGGTGCTGATCCAAAAGAGTTTATAGCAGCATTAAATCAATTTTCAGAAAATAATACAACAACTAATAATACATCAAATGATACTAAACAGAGTACGGAGAAACAACAAAATGCAACAACTTCATCATCATCATCAACAATACCCTCAGAACCAATAGAAGAATCACCAGAAGCATTAAATGAAAGATTAACAAAATTAACAACAGCTGCACCAATAATGTTATTTATGAAAGGTTCACCATCAAGTCCACAATGTGGATTTTCAAGACAATTAGTTGCAATATTAAGAGAACATCAAGTTAGATTTGGATTTTTTGATATTTTAAAAGATGATTCTGTAAGACAAGGTTTAAAAAAATTTAGTGATTGGCCTACTTTTCCTCAATTATATATAAATGGAGAATTTCAAGGTGGTTTAGATATTATAAAAGAAAATATTGAAGAAGATGAATCATTTTTTGAAAATGCATTAGGAAATTAAATTAACAACAAGAATAAAAATAGTAAACGATGATAGTAAATTGTTTATTTATAATAGGTTATACTAGCTAAATATATGTTTTTATAATTTACCTTGTGAAATTAAAAAATCAAAATCAATATCAGATGCAAAATCATCATCAGAATCCAGTTCTTGTATTTGATCACTTAATTCATCCTCTTCATCATTTATATTTATTTTATTATCAATATCATTTTGAAATTGGTCATAATCATAATTCGTTATTGGTTGTTCATCAATTGTATTTTCATCAGCATAAACTTCTAAAAATTTCCCACCTAATCTATTGTATCTATATCGAGTTTTCCTAATTTTATTATATATTTGTGGTAAAAAATAACCATCTATCAAGTTTAAATCAACAAAGGAAACATTTGGAGTTATATATCTTCTATAAGAATTGATTTGTGTATGAGTTTTTCTAATATTCTTCAACATTTTAAAATGTCTTGGAAATTTCATTTTCAATTTAGAAGTACCTGTTATTGGACCTGCTTTGTCTAAATTTAGTCGAGTTGATCTCATACCAGTTTCTCCATATTGAATAATATCATTTGTACTTAAATCATTACAAATTTCTTCAGCTATTTTTATATCAAATTTGGAATCTTGATATATATGATAATTCTCCAACAACCCTAAATTTAATAAATTTGAATTCTTTTCAGGATATCTTTCTATTACTTGAATGATTGGATCAATATCCTCTTTAGAGGAATAAATGATCTTACCAATTGCATGAAAAATATTTATTGCATCTTCTCTTTTGTAATCTCCACCTGATTTATGAAATTTAACCCATAATTCTAAATTAAAAATAATTGATCGTATATCTCCAACTTTATACAAATCTTGTAAAAACTCATCAAATTTTGGATTATTCATCATTCTTCCTAATTCTTCGTTCTTTAAAACATTTGTCACAGTCTTTTTCAAAAATCTAACTGCAATTGAATTAAATTTTATAACTTCCACCCCAGGAGATGCTAAAAACTCTCTACCTAACAACGTATCAACAGTCATATTATTATCGATTGAATAACTAACTTTATCAAAATTATCTGATTCATATTCATATTCACTAACACATAGTACCAAAGGAGGAGTAATATCATTTGTAAAAATCCATTGATTTAACGCGTCTCTAAATTCAATTAATGTCTCATTATGATAAACATTTGGAAGTTCATCAATTAAAATAATTGAATCTTTTTTATATATACAATTTTGTAAAAATCTTCCAATTTTTTCTGATTCATCATATTCGATTATATTATCATTAAAAATATCTCCTTTATAAAATTCATTTGCTAATAGTCTAATGGATGTTGATTTACTTGAACCACATGGACCTGTTAAAATTAAAAGTTTTAATTCATGATTGATTAATTTTCTTAATGAATCCTTGACTTGTTTGAGTTTAGTTGGATTGATACATATTTCAGACACAGTTTTAGGTTGATATTTATCAAGCCATTGTTGTGGTGTTGTTGACTTTTTTGTTGGGGATGGAGGTACCAGAAACTTCACTTCTTCATCTTCGGATGATACATCGACTTCTTCAAATGATGATTCTATGATTTTACATCGTTTCCTTGGTGGTGCCATATGATGAATTAAAAAAGAAAAGGGTTTCAATAATTTGATTTTTTTTTTTTGTTTTGTTTTTTGATTTATCAACCAATCCTTTTTGTGACACTAAAAAGAAATAGTAGAAACTATAGTAACAGATCTTAAAACAAATCAACTTTATTTGACCATGATTTATATTTTTGATATAGTTGATCAACATTTATACTAACTGCATCTGGTATACAATGACAACTTTCAGTATTTTTTGCAACATCAAACCAAGTTGGAATAGCAAAATTTACAGATTCTGCTAAATTATAATCATAATTAAATCCAGCATGATAACCATAAGGATATGTAATTATAAATTCACCTTGTCTATGAATAGTATGATTTACTGCAATTCCTTTTTTCTTTAAAAATTGTGGTGAAACTAAAAAAGTTTTATGTCGAAGAAATTGTGAACAATTTTTATATTCATCAGTAAATAAATCTTTCATTACATTAAAAAATTTTTCATGTTGAGATTGAGGAATCAGATACCATTGCTTGGGGGCTCCAAAATGTAAATAATTTATCAGATAAAGATCTTGATCTTCTAAATGCCATGCAAATGTAGCTTTCCATACTCCAGCATATAAATATGCATGATTTACTCCTGGTAAATTTTCTTCCATTAAATCTAAAATATTTGGTAATTTTGCCACATTCCAACAATCTATATTATCAGTAAATAATGAACCTTCTGAATCTGCTCCATATATTGGTTCAGAATAAGTTAATGATTTCCAATAAGCTCTTTCTAATTCTTCACATCTTTCTTTTGTATATTCAGTATCATTTGATATCATTTCATCATGCAGTCTTTTTCTTTTCCTAGGTGGTTCATAATTTCTTGATAATTCTTTCCATTGTTTTAAATTATATTTTCTAGCTCTTTCAACATTTTGTTGTTGAAAAATTCCATGACCTGTATGATTTATTTGTTGAACTATAGGGTTTTTTATAAGAACTTTTGATAAATTTTCTTCTGTATAACAACTTGAAAGACTATTATTCCATTCTTTTGGTGGTATTACTCTTACTATACCAGATTCTAAACCATATTTATTTATTAATTGATTAAATTTATAAAAATCTTGAAATTGTTCCATCGTTGGTTTAAAAACTGGTACACCATTTTCTATAAATGATGGTTCTATAGATTCTTCGTGTATCAGCAGTGATCTTGTATGCATTTTGTGCTGTTGAGTTGTATTGAAGAAAAAGTAGTGATGTAACTTATAAATGATTAATTTTTCTACATGTTAATCTTTTTTTTTTTCCCCGTAAGTGGAATGTTTTTATTATCTAAGATTCTACATAGTTAATTTTTTTATAGAAAATATAAGCCGCATTTCGCAATTCAAAAGATTAAATTGAATTCCGCGCTTTATTATTTCATTAGCTGATGTGTATTGATATTTGGAACCCAATCAAACGTATGATTCAACAAAAAGAACTATCTTAGTTGAAGTCAAGTCTATTAATTATTCTGATACTATCATCAACTTCATTTCTTCGGATATTAGAGGTATTCAAGCCTATCGACAATAATAAGCTAAGTTCATGATCTATTCGTATGGATCATCGTGAAGTTGAGATAACTTCAAGTTTTACCTATCATACCAAGAAGTCACTGAGTATTTGCTATATATGTTTTGAGACAGGATACGGCTAGAGGAGAATCTGCTTGATTCAACATTAGGATTTAGATAAATCAAATGCGGTTAGATTTGCAATAAATCCCACTTCCGAATCAAAAAGTTTTAATCAACATGTACTTCAAACGTCACGAAATATTCATTTATTCTATGAATAAAAGTTACAAGGTAGTAAGCTTTGTTGGTGTCATTTGATTCTGGACTTTTGGGATTCATTTGCTGGCAGACATTTTTCAGAGTTTATGTAGCGTCCTTATTTGTTTGATTGTTAACTTCATATTTGCAGAGAAGTCTCTTTTTCCAGCAAAATTTTCGAAAAGTTAAATCAACAGTATATTTGGATGAGAATGTTTGCCAGAGTGAATCAAAAAAGTTTGTTTCTGATGTCATTAACAATATACACTATTCAAAAAGAGCATTATTTATAGAACAAGTGAATGTTGTGTAATGTTCAAAATACTTGTTGATTTAATTCGGAACTTTTGAAAAGACTTATTTTGTATAGATGATAAAGTAGCGTTATAAAGAAGGAGATTTTTTAAAAAATTCATGAAATTCATCACAAAACATTATATATTTCTAAGTTCTATCTATACAGAATTAAATAATAAAAAAAGATTGACATAACTAACAAATTAAAAGAATTAAAAAAAAGACTCAAAACCAATCAATGCAAATAAAACTCTTTATCTATAATCTGGAATATCCAAATGGAAAAATGGAGTATTTGTACCAGTAGCAGCATAATAAGGTTCATTAATATGATTTTCTAAATCTTTATAATCAGTAGCTATATCAACATAATTATTACTTGATGTTAAACCATCTTCATAAGTACCAAATCCAGCATTTAATAAACCTCTTCTAATCCAAGGACTCAAAATTCCTGAAAAATGAAATTCAACTTCACGATCAGCATAAGTATTTAAAGCTTTTCTTAAATCAACTAATGCTTGAATTGATGTTACATCAATTTGAGCTACAGTTGAAAAATCAAAATGAACAATTCTTAATATTGGTCTTGTATCTTCTTCATGAGATTCTTGTTTATTATATTTTCTTAAAAATGGTAAATTCCATTTTAATGGACCTGGATCATTCCAAGGTCTTGAACCAGTATCGGTATAACTATATGGTTTAGCTCTTTTAGTTATTGATTTAGCTTCATCTAAAACTTTATCAATTTGACGTGATGCATTTGGATAAGTAAATGATTCAACAGGTTTAAAAACTATTACACCTGGTGGTGGTGGAGTAACATTTAATTCTTTATTAATATTTTTATTATTTAATGGAACCCAACGAGTATGAAATCTAACATTTGAATGATTAGCAGTTAATGTATTAGTTGTTGGAATTTTTTTATCTTCAAAAGTATGTTTCTTTTTAGTATCTTCATTGGATGATCTTGATAAAACTTGATGAATTTCAATATTTGATGAATCTGAACTTGAATCTGAATCTTCATAAGTTATTGTATTTTCAATAATTGGATTTATAACTTCAGCAACTTGAACTTTACCTAAAAATAAACCATTTGGAATTGCAATTCTAAATAATAAAACAACAACTGAAGCAGCTATAGCAAAATAAATACCAGCTTCAATAGTAACAAAAACAGTTAAAATAACAGCAATTAAAAATATTCCACAATCAATTGGACTAATTTTCCAAAATGACCAAGTAACTTTATAGTTAGCAATTAAATCTGAAACAGCATGAATAATAACAGCACATAAAACAGCTTTTGGAATATAATAGAAACTTGAAGTTAAAGCATATAAAGCTAATAAAACAACAGCACCAGTGAAAATACCAGCTAATGGAGTTCTAACACCACATTTAGCTTTTAAAGCAGATCTTGAAAATGAACCAGTAGCAGGATAAGCATTGAAAAAAGTACCAATTAAATTAGTAACACCAATAGCAATAACTTCTTGATCTGGTACAACTTTATAATCATTAACTCTACCAAAAGATTTTGAAATAGCAATATGTTCTAATAATAAAATAACTGTTGAAACAGGAATTTCTGCAGCCATTGCACCAACAATACCATCTGGAATAGTCATTTTACCAACATGTCTTAAACCTCTTGGAACATCCCCAATAGTTGAAAATGGAGCTTTAAATTTACTTGAAGGACCATCAAATGATTTTTTTAAAGGATGAACAATACCCCAAGAAATAGCAGTTGCAACAATAATAACAATAGCATTTCTTAATTGTTGAATATAAAAGAAATACATTTTATATTTTGGCCATCTTTTTTGAGCATAATCAGTTGAAAATTTCCAAGCATATAATATGAATAAACAAACTAAACCAAATGCTGCATCAATAGTTGAATCTGGTAAATGTTTTAAAGTATTTATAATAACCATATAAGTACTATCTCTAGTATTAACTAATTTATTATAACCCATTAAACCAGGAACTTGACCTGAAATAATACTAAAAGCAGAACCAGTCATAAAACCCATAACTGCAGGAATTGAAATAAATTCTAAAATAAAACCTAATCTTAAAATACCAATACCAGCAGCGATACCACCACAAATTAATGATAAGAAGGTAGCAATTTCAGGTGCAGCGTATTGATCACCAAATTTATGTTGAACATGAGCAATAACTTTTGAAACTTGTAATGACATAACAGCAACAGGACCAATTGAAACATCTTTTGATGTAGCAAAAAATGAATAAATAAAAACACCAACAAATGAAGAGTATAAACCATATTGAGGTTCTAAACCAGCTAATTGAGCATATGACATAGATTGAGGTACTAAAACAACACCAACAGTTATACCTGCAACTAAATCTCCATAAAGCCATTTATAATTATAATGAGAAATCCATTTTAAAATTGGAAATAATGATATTAAATAATTTTTAATAAATTGTAAAGGATGTGCAAATACTTTTTCAAACCATTCTTTAACAGTTACTTCTTCTTCATCATAAGCTGGAACATATATTGAACCAGATTGATGATTTTGATGTGAAGAATTTTCTGGATGGAATTCATGTTGACTTTTTACATGTTCATCATCATATATATGTGGATAAACATTTGGAATATTTGATTTTGGTTCATCTTGTGATGTGATTGACTGTACTTTGTGAATAAAGTCAGACATGATAGTAGATGGTTTTAGTTATTTGAATGAAATGAATAAAAATTAATTATAATGCAAAAAGATGAAGATTTGGATCAATATATATGTAAGATATGAAACAATATAAGCTTTTAAATGAGATGCAGATGAATCAATAAATTTTATTGTTTTGATCCTTTTTTAGTCAAGTAATGCTATAATGTTAGATTATTATAATGCTCTTAGTGTCAGCCTTTCGTAATGTACTGATTGTTTTTTCTTTTTTAAATTTAACGCCTGTAACGTTTTTTGTTTAAATTGTGGTTTTGAAATTTAATTTAATTGGACTAATTATTGTTTGTTGAAAAATGTGTGGAACCTTTCTTTCTTTTTCTTTTTGAGTCTACTTTTTTTGCAACCTAATGAATTTTTTTATGTAATTTGCCTCAAGTAATGCAGTTCTATTCTTTTGTGAATACTTCAACTGTCTGATTGTTGATGCACTTTGTATTTAAGTATATTTATTCAAGGTGAAAAAGTTTCTTCTTTAAAATGAACAATATTTATAAATTGTATGGAATTTTGTTTTTCCATTTAATAATTAAAAAATGTGAAACCACACTTTTGAATTAATTGCAAATTTTATTACACTTGGTTACACAAAATTAAGGTGTTGAAAAAACTACAGTGCACGAGTTGTTATGTACCTCGTTTTTTAACTTACACCGTTTAGGTCATGTGATAAACCGTTATTTTGCTTTTGTACCCTCAAATTGAAAACATTCTAATTTATTAATAATCAACTAAGAAGAACAAAATAAGCAAGGAAAAAGGGCTTTACAGGAATGAAAAATTACAATTGATTAACTAATGTTTGTATACGATTAACTAAGTTAGATCTGTACAGATCTTAAGTTTTTAGATTTAACTTTATGAAACTTTTTGTTTGTTTCAATACTAGTACGCTTCAAACGACGGTTTACATTCTTATAAGAAAAATTATTGATGATTAAATTAATTAATTAATCTTGCTTATTACGTCAATATTAATATAAACCACAGTTGAAAAATATTTGTGCAAAAGAAGGTGAAAAAAATATAAAAACTTTAAAAAATTCTCTTTTATCGGTCGATTGTTAGTGGAAGCAATGATTTGTATAAAAATTAATACTGCGTAATTATTGACAAGCATCGTAGATCTCCGCCCTGTTTTTCTTGTCATCTCATGATTTCGCAAAAAAAATTAATAATTTGCAATAAAGTCTAAATTTTTATTATAATAGCTAAGGTTAAGAGCTTATGGTTAGTTAAAGGAAAAATTTATTCGCCTGAAACAGGATCATTTATTACCCCGAACGCTTCAGATTCTATACATATAATCAATCGACCCTGTAATCGCATAAATCCGTAACTCAGAATTTAAAAACTTTAAATTTTGTTTCAAAACTAAACAAATTGATCTCTACATTTCCACTTATCATTTGATTTGATAAGAATTTCTCTCAAACTACTTATCTTGTGACTATTAGATATTTGAGTTGACAATGGCTTGAGATGCCAAGAGTCTAATTTTAATCAAATTTAATGTGGATAGTTCATCATAAGTTGCCAATCAGAGTAATTGATATATTTTATAACTCAACTTTGTATTACTTTAATCTCAATTTTATTTTAATATATACTTATCTCTATAAATCATACTTATTGTGGTTTGAATTTATCACCATAATTTTTTAAATTTTCTTTTTCAATTGAATCAACTAAATCTCTATATTTTCTTTGACTATAACATTGTTCTAAAAATACCTTATATTTACCATTTAATAATTTTCTATCTGGATCATCTTTTGAACCAGGATTTATAACTTTTCCTGGTCCTGTCATTTTTTGCATAATTTTCCATAATAATTCTCCTGCATTATTTGGATTTTGATTAGTTGATGTTGATTTAGTTAATGGTTTTAATCCTAATTTATTTAATTGTTGAGAAAGTCCCTTTTGAGTTTCTTGTTTTGAACCAAATGATAATCTTGATTCTTCTTCATCTGATGAAGCTTCTTCTCCTTCACCAATTACTGGTGCTGGTTTTTTGGAAGAATCAATTGTTGGTTGATTAAAATAATCTACATTTTCTTCTCCAACAGGTGTCATTGCTGGAACTCCAACTTGACCAGCTCCATGACCATAAGAAAATCCAGCTAAATTAGTATATGAAGTTGCAGATGGTGCAGTATAAGGAGAATGAGCTCCACTTAAACTTGTTTGAGATTTTTTACTATTTCTTAATCTTTTTGATGATTGTCTATCTTTACAATGTTCAATAACTAGTTCATCTGCTGCTACTGCACCTAATAAAGCTGAACCAAATACAACTGCTGCATCAATATATCTTGGAATAACTATTGGTAAACCAGTACAATCAGCTAATAATCTCATTAATAAACCATTTCTACATTGTCCACCACTCATAAATATACAATCAATTTTATGACCACCATCTTCCATATGTTCAATAATTTGTCTTGTTTGTTGAGCAATAAATTCACAAGCTCCAAAATAATTAAGGGCTAAATCTTGTAAAGAATTATCTAATGATTGACCAATGATATTTGCTTTCATATTTGGATCAGCAATTGGTGATCTATTACCATGAAAATCACCATAAAAAAACATATGTTTTGCTAATGAAACAACTGATCTTTCATTTTTATCTTTAACCATTTGTTCTAATAAAGAATTTAAATAATCAAATTTTGAAATATTTGAATGATCTGCTGCTTTTAATAATTCTTGATTTGCTGGATGAATTGATAATACATGAGCTAATAATTGACCAGTTATTGATTGACCACCTTCAGCTAACCAATAACCTTCAGCCATAACATTCTTGTAGGGACCCCAAACACCTTTAACAAAACATGGATCTCTTGTCATTGCTAAATGACAAGTAGAAGTTCCTGCAACAGCAGCTAATCTACCACAAGCATCTCCAATAGTACCATCATGTTTTTCTTCAGATAATGCAGGAACATCACATTTTGCAGCAACTGTACCTACCCAACCTGCATAAGCATCAATAACTGGAGAACCAACAATACATTCAGTAGTTAATCCTAATTCTTCAGCAGATTTTGAAGTTAATTTACCAACCATATCACCAGCAGTTAAATATTTTCCATTTTTACCTGGTATACCACCTAATCTTCTAAAATCATCATCAACTAATTCAGGCATATCAATAGATAATAAAAAATCTTTTGACCAACCAGTTTCACTACCTTCAACTCCAATTGGAACAAATCCTTGTTTACAAACAACTGAACAATAAGATCTTGTTTCTGTTCCAGTAGCTTTATGAGCTAAAAAATCAGCTAAATCATAAAATTTACAATCTTCAATTCCTCCAGGTTTATGATGTTTTAACCATTTCATTTTTGGTAATTCCATTTCAATTGACATTTGTCCTCCAACATATTTTAAACATTTATCTCCTGTTGAATTAATTTCATTAGTTTCATCAACAGCTCTATGATCCATCCATAAAATAATATTTTCTTCATTATCTTTAAAATCTGGTCCAACTGATACTGGTTTATCTGTAGATTCACTTATTGCAACTAATGAACAAGTAGCATCAAACCCAATACCAAATACATCTGCTGCATCAACTCCTGAATCTCTTAAACATTGTCTAACACAATAACATATATTATTCCAAATTTCAGTTGAATTTTGAGTTATATAATTTGGTTTTAATTCATGTCTTGTTATTGGTTTTTCAGCTAATCCTAATATTATACCATTTGTATCAATTAAACAAGCTCTTGCTGATCCTGTACCAACATCAACTCCAATATAATAAATATCTGGTTCTGCTTGTGGTAATTGATGGAAAAATGATGATTGCCTTCTATTTGCTAATGAAGTATTTGATTTTGATTGTACCATTTTATCTCTAATTTCTATATCAATTGAGTTTTGAATAAGTTAAGTAAAAAGAGTAAACGATTGATGAGAAATGTTTTAATTATGAATTGAAAATGATAGGATAGAAGTGTATTAACGTTAACTTTAATAAAATTTTAATAATAATAGCAATATTAATATAAAGTTTATTAACATAACTATTAAAATATGGAGTAATACAATAAAAGTTCAAATCTCCGATAAATCTAAAGATTTGAAAAAAAATCATATTAAAGAGAGAAAGTGTTATGATATCATAGGTAATTCATGAAAAGCAATTTACAATCATTAAATGGTAGTTGGACCATCATTTAGCTCTCTGATTAGTTGAGATGATAATATGAAAACTAAAGTTGATTCATTTGCTGTATTGAAAAAGAACAGCACTTCATTCAGACCCCATACAGCGGCTCTGGCGGATTAAAATTTGAATCTTTTGAAAAATTCAGGAAATAATAGAATTTGTAAAAAAAAATTTACAACCGATTTAATACACATGTTGATATATCTTTTTCAAAGAGATTGATAAGTTTATGAAGTACCCTTTCAATATTTATCTTATTATGGGTGTGGTGGTTTTATGTCCTAATAAGAAATAGCTTGAGACAAGTAAATCAACAACAAATAGAAAGACGTTATCGAAAAATCAGATGAAATTAACAACACTCAAACATCAACTGTAACTTCAACTACCGGTACCGATCCAACTACTGTCATCAATAAGACGCGAACGATACTAAGTAGCTCAATTACAACTGGTGTGACGAGAATTATCCTTTTAATCAACCAATAATGTCAATTTGGGTTGTCTCAAGTTAATTCATTTTCACTCAAGGTCATAAAACCCCCACAGTCGTAAGAAGTGAAAGGTTATTTTTCAGAGGCTTATGGTTTTGATATATGTCAATTTGTATCAGATCAAGAGTTTGCCTCGGACATTAATTTGGATCCTTATGTTTTAAGGATCTACCACTCGGTACAATATTGTGAAGGGAGTTTCTACAATTAGGTTGACCCTACTAATTTAGTGTCCACTAATGACTTGGATGAACTTTGGTTGGATTTATTCCGTGTTGGAAGATGAGTGCAGTTACCTTTCAAATTGTAAGGTTCCTGGACAAGGAGTCCTCACAAATAGGGAATGATATATGAAGGACATGGGAGATAACTAATTCTCAGTCATTAAACAATTATTAAAAATATGCTATTAACTATTTACTTAAAAAGAATTAAAAGTACTACCCAACCCATTTATAACCCCTTTTTAAATCCCAATAATATACAAAAAAATAACATAACATATAAATATCAAACATTCATTCATTAATTCATTGTAATAGTTTTTCTGGTTATGAATTTACTGAAGGATATTTCTCAACAATTTCAACTAAAAAATCAAATTGTTCATTTTTTTCAACAGCTAATTTTATATGTTGAGCAGTAATTCTTTTAACACCTTGTAATTTAGCTTGAATTATTGAAGATTCAACTAAATTTGCCATAAATATTTCTAATGCTCTACCAACTACAATTGGAGTAGCTTGTGCAACTTTTCCAATTTCTTCATCACTTTGCATTATTTTTTTAATTCTTGCTGCTGGAAAATGAGTTTTTATTTTTTCAAATGATTGTAATAATTGATCTTGACTTACACTTGAATTTGTCGAGGTGTTTGGTTGTTGCGATGCTGATGATGATGCTATATTTTCATTAATTTGTGAAGATCTATCTTGTTCTTCTTGAGGTTCTAATTCTTCTTGAGTTGTCTCATCATTTTGATATTCTTGATTATACTTTAGTTTGGTATTATTATTATTATCATGATCGTAATTTGGTAGCTCCGGTTTCGAGTAAATATTATTATTATTAGATGATAAACTATATGAATCAGTTGTATTTGATGAATTGATTAGATTGTTGATACTTAAATGGTTTGATTTAGGTTGTATATGTGTTTGTTGATGATTTGATTGATATTGATTGGTGGTGGTATTATTATTACTATTTGAATCATCATCATAATTCATTAAATGACGTAGATTTGACATTTCGTTTTATTGTCGTAGCAATATCCCGTATAAAAATATTAATTAAGTCGTGCTAATTGGTCCTAGTTTTTCCACCTCTCAAAAATTTTAAAATTAAAAAAAATCTTAAAAATAAAATTCCATCCTATTTATATAAAATTTTATTACCACCACTTATATACAGTACTTGCTTCAGATGTTGATTTTTTTTTTTACGTGTTTTTTAATTTGATTGTTTTGAGTTTCAGAGAGATGAGATCTATTAAGTACAAAAACAACATTATGTAGAAAATATTATTTGTTTTGTTCATGTAAGTAGAATATACATCAATAGTTTTGAGTTAAGTTTTAAATGATAGGACCTCAAGGGATATTTAGAAATAACTCTAAAGCATAACATATCTTTCTACAAGAGCGTAAAAGAGGACCAAATTGGATTCTTTACTTGGTGTTTGAAATCATGAAATTGAGTTCTTGAGTTCAAATTCAAAGAACTTGTTCAACAATGTAAATATTAAACTTAACGTTTTTAATTTAATCTCTAGTCCTGCTAGGATTCCATCTTCTATAAATTAATTCAGATATCTTGTATTCATAAAATAATTGTTTCAACATTAATCCATCATCAATTGTATTATTATTTAAAATTTCATTAAATTTATTTTGATTTGGTGATTCAATATAACAATGAATATAATTTTTTTTAACACCACCAACAACTCTTGCTTTAGTACTCATTTGAAACCAATCTAATTCTGATATATTACTTCCTAAAGAATTTGAATTTTGAAAAATCAGTATACAATATTCAGCATGTGAAAATGGTGGACCTCTTTTATATAATAAAAAATCAACTCCGAATTTAATACCTGATCTAACACACCAACCTTTTGATCTAAAATAATGATAAATAACATAATTTAAAATAAATTTATTATTTGTTTTGATTTCATCATCATCATCATATAATTTACAACATTTAATGAATAAATCTCTTACAGATAAATCATTTATCTCAATTCTATTCAATGCAAATTTTAAAAAAAAGGCTTCAACTGTTTGTAATTGTAAAAATTCAAGTTTAATTAAAGATTTGGTGGTAGGATCAATAATAGCAGTATCTTCTTCTCTAGTTTGTTCTACTTCTTCGTCAACTATGTTATCTAAGTCTAATCCTTCTTTCTTTCTAAATTCTACTAATTCTTCATCAATTTTATTCATTTCATTAATTTCATCTTCACTAATAATATTTTGTCTTTGTTTTAAAATTAATTCTTGTAATCTTTGTCTTTTCTTTTTAAATTCATTTCTTTCATTTCTTCTAATTTTAGTAACTTGTTCCATTGTTAATTTACTATTGGTACTAGATACTAAATTTAATCTTTCTATTGTTCTTTCATACCAAGTAGGTTCAGATCTTGATAATATACCTTTACCAAAAAATCCTTCTCTCCATAATTTAATCATTACTTTTGGATCAACTACTTTAAATATACCATCATCTAATTCAACTTTTAATTTTGGTGAATCTTTAATGAAAAATTTGAATTTAAAAAAATTAATTAAATATTTAATCCAACTTAATGGATTAATAGTAATCTCATTACGAAATTTTAAAATATCAATAGGTAAAGGTTGTCGATAAATTTTATTTAATTGTCTGGAATTTTGTTTCCCCATTTATCTAGGAATAAGTCAGTAAAAACTAATTCAATCTTTATCAAAATTGCATATTAATTTAAATCAGATACCGTTGTAGTCTATTTTGAGAAATCATGTGAACTTACATTGATTCGAAAATCTTCAAGCACGGGTATGTTGTCATCATTGAATTATAATATGAATAATTGAAAACTTGTTAAACATACTCTTTTGTTTAATTCATTGTCTTTATGATTCTTCTTCTGTTGGTTGGAAAAGAAAGTGGTTGTAAAAAAATTGAAAATTTTGATGTTGGAAAAATTTATTTCTCAGTTCTCGCGATGGTTGAACTGATCGTGTAATTTTAGTCAGAAGTTTTTGTGGATGAAATAGGTCGAAGACGTACAAACTCGAAAAGTGAGGTCAAAATGGCTAGTTTTGAATGAAGTCTCAATACAAAGTCTGAACATCTTAATTTACAATTGAACTTTACAACCTCCAGAAGCTAATTAAAAATTTATTTGTTTGTTCATGCTTGATTTTAATTCAATTTGTTTTCATAATCTGATAATGCATTAACTTCACGAACCAATGATTGGTCTGGACTTGTAACTTCAACTGGTGAAAACAAACTCCATCTCCACCGGAATTACTCTTTGATTCATCGTTAGTTCGAGATGTAGAGTTCAGTGCTTAACTTAAAAATGGTGTAATAACTGAAACAATCGTTGACGGTTTTTAAACTGAAAGTTTCCTCAATTTAGAAACAGTCATCGATTTGTAGCAATTACTACAACATTTTACAGGTTCTATATAATTTCTAGATTATCGACCCTCCTATAGACGTATTCTACCTAAGTGAATCAATCCTTGAAGTACATATTTATGAATATTTGACGTGTGTAGTTAGTCTGATAAGATAAAAAAATTGTGATTTAAAATATCTTTATCAGTTACAAAAAGAACCATAGGTTATTCATTACAATTAGAACTTACAACCAATGTCTCATCATTTCGATTGTGGAGATTGTGACAAACCATTAAAACTAGATACAAGCTTAACTAGACTAAATCAATCTCAATTGAATCTCATTACCAATTCACTTCAAAATGAAGAATTCATTAAAAATGATAATGAACAATTACAAGACTTAGACCCAAAAGATTATATCACAACTGATAAATTGAAACTATATAATGAATTACCCAAAAACTCAAAACCTATATTTTATAAAAGTTATTTTGAAAGTGAAGATGAGGATAGTGAAGAAGAAGAAAATGAAGATAATGATGATAATGATTTAATAGGGTTTAAATCCAATTCAAATTCAGATATTGATTCATATTTGGTGGTTAATGAAAATGAATCTATTAAAAATGATCCAAATCCATCAATAGATGAATTACAAGATTATGAAATTAAAATTTCGACAAGAATTAAAAAATTAAATAAAATTTTCAAAATTTTATCAAATTTACAAGAAACTCAACATCCATTAAGTGAAGATTGTGCAAATTTATTGATAGAAAATTATAAATTAAAATTTGATCAATCTCAAAAGGAAAAAAATCAATACCTAAACTTCCTAAAAAAATTGAAAATTCAAGATCAAAAATTAAATATAAATGATGAAAAAATTAATGAATTAGAAATTGATAAAAATTTAAAAAATTCAATACTGGAATATCAAAATTTAAAAGAATTAGAATCATCAAAATTAAAAGAATTAAAAGAATTAGAAATTAAAAAGTCAAATTTGGAAATACAACTACAAAAAAATGAAAAAGAATTGGAAAACATAAATAATAATGAATTATCAAATTTACTACGACTTAGAAATGAATTTCAGTTAAATTTATCAGATAAACAAACAGAATTAAATCAATTAAAAGCTTCTTATCAAATCCATCTTGATCATTTAGATCAATTACGTAAAACAAATATTTATAAAACAATGTTTAATATTAAAATCGATGAAAAATATGGTACAATAAATGGTTATAGAATTGGTTATAAAATTGTATGGCCAGAAATTAATGCAGCATTAGGACAAATTGTAATATTATTGACTTTTATTACCAAGCGATTAAATTTAAAATTAAAAAATTATAAATTAGTTCCAATGGGTTCACAATCTCAAATTATAAAGTTTACAAATCTGACCAGTGAATCATCATCAACAAAACAAAAAACTATATTAAATTTATATTCATCTGATGAATTTACATTAGGTAGATTATTTAATTTTAATAAATTAGATATTTCATTAATTACATTACTTGAAATTATTTTAATTATTGAAAAAGAATTAATTAAATTAGATAATGAAATTGAATTACCTTATAAAATTTTTAAAGATACTATTGGTGGCAAAAGTATTAGAGTTACTTCAAATTCTGAATGGACTCAAAGTTGTAAAATTTTATTAACTAATTTAAATTGGATTTTAACTTTTATAGAAGCTCATACTGAATGAAAAGGTTTTACAACGAATATTATATTACCTCTTAAAGATTACCCCTTAAAATTAATATCGTGTAAATTGTACCAATTGGTAAACAAATTTATTTATAATAATCATCAATCCTTTTTACAACACTTATTATCCCTTTTTCACCTATCCAATTTTGAAATGAAAGATGAGCTCAAACACTCACAATGTTTTGAAGCCTCATTCGAGTCCGGCAAAAAACAGAGTTATGTTGAATAACTCCTTTGAAAATAATAGATCAAGTTCATTTACCATGGATGACACGCCATCTAAATCACATAATCCAAAACGTGATTATATCAATTCAAACCCAATTCAGGTCATGAATAACGATGCAATTCCTCGAATTTTACCACCATCACATTTATTAATGGAGGATGTAATTGATCCGGATTTGGAATTACAGAATAAACTTGTTGAAAGCTCACCCATAACTTCAAAAATACAACCAAGTAAATCAATTTATAGACATGAGTTGCTAAACAACAAGAATGTTTATTCAAATTTAGATGAAATGGTAAAAGCTAATGAAGTTTTTAGGAATATTTATGGTACAAGTCCAGTCACAGAAAGTTCAGTAAACTCAATCAATTTCAACGCTAGTACAAATCAAGTTAAATTAAATTCAAGCCACAAATCCAAAAACCAGTTCAAAAGAAAAAAACTTGATCCTGAATACTGTTTTAGCTCAAATCTTACAACATATGATGGTCAATTATTGTTGCAACAACCTCTTAACGATAACGAATTAAATGATAATTTTCAGCTACCAAATGCCAGTTATTCAAATTTCATGAATGATTTCACAGGTACTTTGAATGTTCCCGAACCAGATGAATTCGAAGAAGAACCTCAAGCACCCTTGGATTTGGAAAGACAAAAATTGATGGATTATTATGTACAACAACCTCATCAAAAACTAATAACTAAAACCGAAATTAAAAATAATTTTGTTGAACATATTGTTGTTTTAAAAGTTCCAAAATCATTTTTAAAAACTATATCAACTGATTTCAATTTTGATTTTAAAGTCCCATATTCAAAACCTGAGTTAAATGATTTAGATGATGTTCCATTAAGTCAACTTTATAATGGGGGCCCCCAAACTTATCAAATACAACCAAATTTTAATAATAATTCTTCAAATCATGATTTAAAAAAATTATATCTTTCACCTCAAAAATCAGGTTGTTGGACATGTAGAGTTCGTCATAAGAAATGTACAAATGAAAGACCTAAATGTAATGATTGTTTGAAATTTGATTTAGATTGTGATATAAGTGAGGAAAGACCTGAATATATGATTAATCCAATTTTACAAAAACGAATGGTTAAAAAGATTAGACAAATGACTGATTTATATAAAGCTCAACATCGTCATTAATGGGCTGGATAGAATGTAGCTCCAGAGGAGTATTGAGATTAGATTAACGCTCCATTACTTATTATCTAATTATCTATCGTCCGTATTACTATAAATAAATAGTCTCGTAAATCATTTAACTCAGTTGATACTTTACACGTCTTTTCTTTAGACTACTCAATAACTGCATGTAATATTAGATTTTTTTTCACCGTTTTATTATTTGATCTTATAATATCAAGACCATAAAATATTGAACTTCTAATTTTTTTTTTCAACCAACTTCATCTTCATCTAATCAATAGTCCATGCTACTGAATTTCGTATTTATATTAACTATCCTTTTAGTTAATATATCTAAAATCAATTCATTTTATTTACCAGGAGTTGCCCCAACAGATTATAAACAAGGAGAACAAATACCTTTATTAGTAAATCATTTAACTCCTTCATTACATCATGTTAGTCATCAAAATAAAATAAAATCTGCAACATATGTTTATTCTTATGATTATTATTATCCAAAATTTCATTTTTGTCAACCTGAAGGTGGTCCAAAAAAGCAACTGGAATCATTAGGTTCTATTATATTTGGTGATAGAATTTTTAATTCACCTTTTGATATTAAAATGTTAGAACCAGTGAATTGTAAACAATTATGTACTTCAACTTATCCAAAATCTGATGCTGTATTTGTTAATAGAAATATTAGAGCTAGTTATAGTCATAATTGGTTAGTTGATGGATTACCAGTTGCAAGAATTGTTGAAGATCAAAGAACAAATTCCCAATTTTATGGTACTGGTTTTCATATTGGTGAAGTTAATAAAGATCATGCAGCAGTTTTATATAATCATTTTGATATAAAAATTGAGTATCATAAAAGAGGAGAAAATCAATTTAGAGTAGTTGGAGTAACTGCAACTCCTGCTTCATTAGATAGATCAGAATTACCTGAAAATTCACCAGCTGATGCTTATTGTTCAGTAGGAGAATTAAAACAATTACATTTAGATAAAGATAAAGATACAGAAGTATTATTCACTTATTCTGTTAGATTTGAAGAAAGTGATATAGTATGGGCAACAAGATGGGATCAATATTTACATGTTTATGATCCAAAAATCCAATGGTTTTCATTAATTAATTTTTCATTAATTGTATTGATTTTAGGAATTGTTATTGCTCATATTTTAATAAGAACTTTGAAAAATGATATTGTAAAATATAATGAAGTTAATTTAGATGATGATTTAACTGATGAAAGTGGTTGGAAATTAATTCATGGTGATGTTTTTAGATCTCCACCTCAAAGACAATTATTATCAATTTTAGTTGGTAGTGGTGTACAAATTTTCTTTATGGCTTTTGTTACTATAATTTTTGCATTATTTGGTTTATTATCACCATCGAATAGAGGATCATTATCAACTTTTATGTTTGTTGTTTATATGTTAAGTTCTATTATTTCATCATTTGTATCTGGATATATTTACAGATTCTTAGGTGGTGAAGATTGGAAAACTAATTTAATTTTGACACCTATTTTAGTACCAGGTGGATTATTTGGAATTTTCATTTTCCTTAATTTCTTTTTAATATCAGTTGAGTCTTCAGGAGCTTTACCTATGGGAACAATGGTCACTATAATAGGAATTTGGTTTGTTGTATCAATTCCTTTATCTGTTGTTGGATCCATTTTAGCATCCAAAAGACCTTTGTTAGATATCCCAGTAAGAACAAATCAAATTCCAAGACAAATTCCACAACAACCTTGGTATTTAAAATTAATTCCAATTATGTTTATCAGTGGTATTTTCCCATTTGGATCAATTGCTGTAGAGATGTATTTCATATATTCATCATTATGGTTTAATAAGATTTTTTATATGTTTGGATTCTTATTTTTTTGTTTTTTATTAATGACTTTAACAACAAGTTTAATTACTATATTGATGATTTATTATACTTTATGTTCAGAAAATTATAAATGGCAATGGAAATCAATTTGTATAGGTGGTGGATGTGCTATTTATGTGTTTATACATTCAATTTTCTTGACTGGTGGTGAAAAACTAGGTGGATTAACATCCTTTGTTTTATACATTGGTTATTCCATTGTTATATCATTATTAGTTTTCCTTTGTTGTTCAAGTATTGGATTCATTAGTAGTTTATTATTCGTGAGAACAATCTACGCACAAATTAAGATTGATTAGGGTTGAAAATACATTAATTACAGGTTTTAGTATATATACAATTTAATCCTTTTTTGCAAATGATGCAGATATATTAGCAGCTTCTTCAATACCTCTCGCTATTGTACTTCTTATAGCTCCATCTTCCATTTTTAATAATCCACCAATAGTTGTACCACCTGGAGTACAAACTTTACTTTTCAAAGCAGCTGGATGATCACCAGATTCTAATAACATTTTAGCAGTACCTTCCATAACTTTAGCTGCAGAAACTTTTGCAATATCAAATGGCATTCCCATTCTAACAGCTCCATCAATCATTGATTCCATCATTAATAAACAAAAAGCTGGCCCTGACCCTATTAACGATGTGGCAATATCCATATTTTTCTCAGGTATCACCACAGATAATCCAATTGGGTCAATTAATTTTTGAACAAGATCTTGTTGATCTTGTGATACATCTGGTGAAAAAGATATAGCTGCAGTCCCACAACCATATTTAGCTGGAGTATTTGTCATAACTTTGGCAACATATTTTGTAAATATTGATAACTCCTTTATCGTTGTACCTGCTAGTAACGAAATCAACAATTGATCACCACTTAATGAATCTTTTACTTGATCATATACTTGTTGATACATATATGGTTTTACACCTAAAATTATCACATCAGCTTGCTTAACAGCTTTTATATTATCTTTACCAGATGAATATGAAACAATTGACTCTTCTTTGTATTGTTGTTGTAGATTTTCATTTGGTTTTGAAGTACAAAGAATGATTTTTTTGGGATATGGGTCAAATTTTTGTTTTAGTATAGCTGATACTACAGCTGTACCCATAACCCCAGCTCCTAAAACTACAATTGTATAATCTTTCATTATCTTGTGTTTTTTGTATGTAGAATAATTCTTGCCCAATTTGGTGTGCGGAAATTCTGTGTTACAAAATTAATTTGATATGAATTTTAACACGCTTGAGGATTAAAGATTAGTCTAGGGCATCGGAAAAGAGATTATCAAATAGACCAGTTCACTAAGGAAGGTTGACCAAATACTCATTTGTTCAATCAGATTCAAATAGTCATTGTATCAATAGTAGTCCATAATTCACTAATTTAAGGAGCAAAATTAAATTTGATTTTAGAAAAAAAAAAGTGAGCTCATAGATATCTGGTGTACAAATTGTAACCTAATCCACTCAATATTGGAAGTATTCATTAACACCAAAATTTATTATTTTAATTATTAAATTCATAGGCGCTGGGCTGCTCCGATTAGATTGATACCAATTTGAAGATGTCTAATTTCAATAAAAATCTTTTAACACCATGTCCGGTTTTGCAACCTACTGAAGAAGAATTTATGGATCCAATAGGTTATTTATCAAGTAAACCTATATCGGAACTTGGTAAAATATATGGAATTGTTAAAATTGTTCCGCCTTTGTCTTGGAAACCTGAATTTCAAATATCTCCGAACTTCAAATTTCATGTTAGACAACAAGTTTTAAGTGATTTAGGTATAACAACAAGATCAAGAAATTTCTTTAAGGAAAATTTAAATAGATTTTTAAAAATGAGAAGAAGAAGATTAGTAAAGTTGTATTTTAAAGTTGATGGTCAAAAGATATATTATTATGATTTATATTGTTTAGTTGAAAAATTAGGTGGTTATCAAGCCATAACTAGTTGGCGGGATATTAATAACATCTTTAAAGTTGATCCTAAATCAAAAGCAATTGAACTAGAATATGATTCAGCAATAAAATATTATGCAAACTTTTTAAATAATAATCATAATTATGAATTTCCTGAAAGTGATTCAGATGAAGAAGATAATTGTTTAATTTGTGGTGATAATGATGATCCAGAAGAAACATTACTTTGTGATAATTGTGATAATGCATATCATATGAAATGCTTAAATCCTCCTTTGAAACAAATACCTGTTACTAATTGGTATTGTGATAAATGTTTAATCGGTACAGGTGAATATGGATTTGAAGAAAATCCTGAAATCAAATATAGTATTCCTGAATTTTATCAAATGTGTCAAGAATTTGATGAAGAATTTGCCAAAAATTATAATAATGGAGAAAAATTATCTCTTGATCAAATCGAATCAAAATTTTGGTCATTTGTTGATATTGAAAAATCTGATCTAGAGGTGAAATATGGTGCTGATATTCATAATTTAAAACCTGGTGAAATAAGTGGATTTCCAATGAGTAATACTCCAAATTTAGATACTTCAAACCCTCAAATTCAATATTATATAAATCATCCTTATAATTTGACAAAATTACCATTTGCAAAAGGTTCATTATTAAACTATATTAATACATCAATTTCAGGTATGACTGTGCCTTGGATATATATTGGTTCATTACTTTCAACTTTCTGTTGGCATGTGGAAGATCATTATACACTTTCTGCAAATTATTGTCATTTTGGAGCAACTAAAAAATGGTATGGTATTCCTTCAGCTTTTTCAGATTCTTTTGAAAAATTAATGAAAAAATCTGCACCAGATTTATTTCAAAAACAACCTGATTTATTACATCAATTAGTAACTTTAATGAGTCCTATGAAACTAATAGAAAATGGTATTCCTTGTGTTTATGCTGATCAAAACCCAAATGAATTTGTAATTACTTATCCAAAAGTATATCATGCTGGTTTCAATTGTGGTTTTAACTTTAATGAAGCTGTAAATTTTGCAATGAACGATTGGTTAGAATTTGGAAATAGATCGATTAGTGAATATAGACCTATAAAAAAGGAAAATGTTTTCAATTATTATGAATTAGTGGAAAACATTTTGAAAACTTTTAATCAACAAAAGGAAAAATTTGAAAATTATGAACTAGTTAAAAGAAGTATTGATATACTACAAGGGTTTCTACTAGAACAAAATAGTCTACTAAATAAATTAAAACATAAAAATCTAAAGGTTGAAATTAGACCAAAGCATTATCAAAAACGTCAATTCGATGCTGAACAAAAAGGAGAAGTATATGAAGCTGAGGAAAGTTTATGTTACAATTGTAAAACTCATTTAGGCTTTCAATATGGTATATTAGGAAACGATGAATTAAAACTCAACAATCAATTATTGACACCACAAACATCACCACAAGAAATAGTTAAAAAAGAAGAGGCACCACAACTACAATCAATAGCTAATTCCAATTCATCTATTGAATTATCAAAATTCACCAAAGCTAAATGTGAAATGGATGAATTTGATTTACTAATATTACAAGCTAAGAAAAGATCCATCGAAGAAGAAGAAGATTCAAATTCTACTAAAAGAAGAAAATCAAAAAGAATCTTATCGTTGGAAGAGCAACAAAAGATTAACCCAACACAAAGAATGAAAAGGGTTAAAAAGCCTCAACCATCTGATTCAAAAAAGATATGCTTGAATTGTATTACCGATAAAAAAGATATTCCTAATGATTCTAAATTAATTTATCAAAGCTATCCTAAAGATTTATTCAACTTAATTGAACTTGCGAAGTTAAACTTAAAAGCTTTAGAAAGTGTATAGATCTTGCTTTCAATACATGTATTTGCGTGATCTCGTTATTGTTCTCTTGTTTGTGAACGCTGTAATACTTAGTTAAACATTAAACTAATTAGATGACTACGATTGTAGTTAATAATATGATAACCGTTTAATTATTGGAAAGTCTCCTTTGAAAACAGCAATACTTTCACCTTGCATCCTTGATGTGGTATTGGACATAAATTCATAGGTAGACTTTATGTCTCGTTTATTGTCGCAATTAAAATATAAAATCTTTATTTTTCTCGTATATACACTACCTTTTCATTTAACTTAAAAAAAAAAATTCCAATTCAACTAATATTATAGCTACACCTTCACTGACTACTTTAATGAACAAGTCGTATACATACACTTATTTAATAGCATGACTTTGTCATTCTTTTTTTTTAATAATAACCGTAGCCGAATGTGAAAGCTAAGACTTAATACCTGAGAATATATTTGATTAAACCGCTTAAATCATACTTTTAAAACACACACAAAAGAATTAACCATACAAAAATGTCATAGCTTGAAAATTTGAAACACGAATTTCTTAAGAAAAAGGCAATTGGTAGCAAAATCGGCTAATTAAATTTTATTTTTCTTTATAAATCTTCTCGGTAATTTGTTACACTACTAAACAGATTGTAGAAATTTTATTGGTTATTTAAGTACATCGAGCAAGTGCTACCACATAACTAGAATTTTTGAGCGATTGCAAATTTTCTTTTTTCAAAATTTCAACGAATCAATCTTTCAATACTTTATTAGTATTAAGTTCAAAATTCACAACATATAATTAAGTTAACCAAAGTTATAGTAATATCATAACAATGGTTTTACCAAGATTATTTAATGCTACTTCACGTACTGCTGTTCAAGCATCAGCTAGAACTGCAAGAAATTTAGCAACTGCTACTAAAGCTGCCGATGGTAAAGTTAGGTATGTTCATTTCAAAAAAATTATTTGTAATTGATAAAGATTCAATTAATTTTATATCAATTGAGGCCAGGAATATAGACAGCATTGATTCTGATGGACTCATAAAAGAATGGAAATAAAAAACCTTAAGAATCGTTTAACGATATTTTTAATCTTCTGTTTATATATATAGATGGAAGAGTTTATACTTATCTCAGCTTTTGATGGACTATCCCAGCTGGGAGTTTAGTTTTTATCAATTGTCAAATATTAATTATCATCAACCTTCAAAAGATTTTCGTCCAATCATGCCGACTTGAATCTGGCCAATGAAAACTGAACCTGGAAACATTTATACTAACTCATTATATTTAGAGCTGTTATTGGTGCCGTTGTTGATGTTCAATTCGAGGAAGGAAACTTACCAGCCATTTTAAATGCTTTAACATTAAAAAACGGTAAAAATGATTTAGTTTTAGAAGTTGCTCAACATTTAGGTGAAAATACAGTTAGAGCCATTGCTATGGATGGTACTGAAGGTTTAGTCAGAGGTACCGCAGTCCATGACACTGGAGCTCCAATTTCAGTTCCAGTTGGTAGAGGAACTTTAGGTAGAATTCTTAACGTTACTGGTGATCCAATTGATGAAAGAGGTCCAGTTGAATGTAAAAAAAGAATGCCAATTCATGCTGAACCACCATCATTCATTGATCAATCAACTTCTGCTGAAGTTTTGGAAACTGGTATTAAAGTTGTCGATTTATTAGCTCCATATGCTAGAGGTGGTAAAATTGGTTTATTCGGTGGTGCCGGTGTCGGTAAAACTGTTTTTATCCAAGAATTGATTAACAACATTGCTAAAGCCCATGGTGGTTTTTCAGTTTTCACCGGTGTTGGTGAAAGAACTAGAGAAGGTAATGATTTATATCGTGAAATGAAAGAAACCGGTGTTATTAACTTAGAAGGTGATTCAAAAGTCGCTTTAGTTTTCGGTCAAATGAATGAACCACCAGGAGCTAGAGCTAGAGTTGCTTTAACTGGTTTAACTATTGCTGAATATTTCAGAGATGAAGAAGGTCAAGATGTCTTATTATTTATTGATAACATTTTTAGATTCACTCAAGCTGGTTCAGAAGTCTCAGCTTTGTTAGGTCGTATTCCATCAGCCGTCGGTTATCAACCAACTTTAGCTACTGATATGGGTCTTTTACAAGAACGTATTACCACTACCAAAAAGGGTTCAGTCACTTCAGTTCAAGCTGTCTATGTCCCAGCTGATGATTTAACTGATCCAGCTCCAGCTACTACCTTCGCCCATTTAGATGCAACTACTGTCTTATCAAGAAGTATTTCAGAATTAGGTATTTACCCAGCTGTTGATCCTTTAGATTCAAAATCAAGATTATTAGATGCTGCTGTTGTTGGCCAAGAACATTACGACGTTGCTACTCAAGTTCAACAAACATTACAAGCTTATAAATCTTTACAAGATATCATTGCTATTTTAGGTATGGATGAATTATCAGAACAAGATAAATTAACTGTTGAAAGAGCTCGTAAAATTCAAAGATTTTTATCACAACCATTTTCAGTTGCTGAAGTTTTCACAGGTATTCCAGGTAAATTGGTAAGATTAGCTGATACTGTCCAATCCTTCAAGGAGATCTTGGAGGGAAAGGGGGATTCTTACCCTGAAAATCTGTATTATATGACGGGAAGCTTTACTGACGTGAAAGAGAAGGCAGAGAAGTTGGCTGCTGAAGCTAAGTAGGTTGAAAACCCATCTGGTTAAAAAAAATTAGAAGTTTTGATAATTTTTGATAATTTTCGATTTATTTTTTGATTTTTTCCGATTTTCTCTCGCTCCTATTGAAGAACACTCTTCTATTTTCATACTTACCAAAGAATCGACTTCTCATGGCAATGCCACACACGTAACAGCTTGTTATAATCCTTGAACAGATATTACTATCTTTAATTGGTAAAGCTATACTTTTACCTTAGTTCTCTATACATATTCCCGCCTCTGACTGGATAGTCACACACTACGGTCTCAGATTCTGCTTAATTCGCTCCACCTGGATAAGGGCATTTTTTTATGATGTAATCAAGCGGGTTTGATTGATTGTAGGTTATATTCAATAATTATGGTTTTTGTGTTTCAATATCTCCGGAAATATATACGAAGTCGTAAATATTTACGAGTTTTTTATTACACAAAAGTATTAGCTTTATTTAGGGTTTAAAAAAATCTAAGTCGGACGGAAATAAAGGACAAATTTCAGTGTATTTTTGTTTTAAGCATTGTATCAAATGATATGGGTATTTAAGTAGTTTCATTTACGTTTTTATACTTTACATGGCTCAAATTCATTTGCGATGATATAGTTCACAACAGTGATTGAAATGAAAAGATGGAGTATATTTACAAATATACTTTTATTATGAATCCAAATTTCCGAAGTCTAAAGCTGTTAAACAGAGATCTCATCCTAACAAATATCCTTTTTGTTTAAAGCGCTGTTTGATGAAACTGGTCAATCTTTTTTTAATCATTAGTTTATAGCTATGATTTAAGGGTATTAACAGATCAAGATTCAAATTCTTTATCATCAAGATGCAATTACGATTATTAGCATTTGTAGTCAGGTTTTCCAAAGAAGGCATTTGAAGTTATCTACAACTAACCATCATTGAGAGTATTACCTAATATGATTCAATTTTCATACGTTGATCTGCACTATCATCGAGTTCATTTCGTACGTTAGATATGCATCACCCAATACTTGCTAAGCATAATTTGTGTTTATTGTTACTCATCAGATAATTTATCTAGCTTTTAGTTTACTCATGACTCACTTGGAATGATAACTAATTTCTGGTAAGTTGGTATAATCACCTGTGTCTTAGATAATGAATACCAAACTTACATCCTTCCTGATTTTCTAACTATATGATCTCGATTGAGAGGTAAAAGATTTTCTAGCTTTGACGTATATTTATTAAAATTGATATAAATTTAAATACCTTCTCTTCTTTGAAATAAGTCAAGAGTTGAGTTTTTGATCAACTCAACTAATATAGGAATTACTAACAAATTTTTCTTTTCTTATAAATTGATGTCAAAATGGATTCTTCCTCAACACCATTGACAATTTTGAAAATCACTTTTGAATGGTAATTTGTTAATACTGCATTGATTTTAATGTCAGAATTAGGGATTGATAATAGTTGCAACAATTGACTAGCACCCTCTGGTTCATCATTTGCAGTTACTTTTTCCAAAATCAAATCTTTCATATGTACACAATTGTCTAAATGTAAACAACTTAAATTTTCAATTTTATTGTTTGATAAATTTATATAGACTAAACTTGATGGTAATATTTGATCTTCTAACATTGAAAAAGTGATTTGATTATTCTGTAAATCTAATATCTTCAATTTATTTAAATTGGATAAATTGTCATCAATTCGTTCTAATTCTAAATCCCTTATAACCATTTCTTCCAATGAAGTTGGAAATTTATCAAGATACAACACTTCTATATGTAGACTTATCATTTCTATTTTTGTCAAATTTTTACAATTGAATAACACTTCATACGAAAACCAATAATAATTGTAATCTGGGCACGTTAGGATTAAGCTTTGTAATTCAGGTGTTTCAAAACAAAGTCTTCCTGTGTCAGATAAAATGTCAAGCGGATCAAGGCCTTCCTCGTAATAACGATCATCATAACCTGTCCAAAAATTATCTGAAAAATCCAACACTTTTAATGATTTCATGCCTTTCAAATTTGATTGGAAAAAATTAGAATTAATTTTATTTTTTGTAAACTTGATCAGTTTCAGCTCAGGGAAGGAAACATAGTTGTTCGAGCTGACAATTTGACAATTTGAAATAATGACTTCAGACATTTTATTTTGCAAGCTGGTCAAAAACATGAACGATTCAATATTTCCAATACCATTTAACTCTAAGCAATCTAGTGTTCTTGAGAGTTCAATGTCTCCTATTGCTAGATACAGCATAGTGTCCCAAATTTTTAAATTTTTCAATTTTGAAGGAAAACAGTTCAAACAGATCCGTGAATCTTCATCGAATAATATCGAAAAATCCAATAGTTCTTCTTCTGTCAACTCGTCAATTCTATGAGGTTGAAAGCTGGTAACAAAAGTTAAAATACTTAATGAAATAGGTAATTCGGTTTGAAAAATATCATAAATTTCAGGACAGCCAGATATGTGAAGTATTTTAAGCTTATTATACTTAGATAAATTACCTAATCTTTTAAAATCACAGAAAGCAAGTCCTAAATCTTTAATTGATGTTGGAAGTTGAAAATTTTCTAATGAATTCATCTGTTGGAGATCTTCGCAATTGAAAGTCTCGAGGTTTTGTAAATCACTAAAATTTAATTCAAAATTTCCACCTCCCTTAATAGTCAATCGTTTTAATGAATTTGGAATTTGGAATTTAAACATATTCAAATGAGATATAGTTAAAGATAGTAAATCATTACTTCCAACATAATCCAAAAATGATTGAACTTCATTGTTTTCCAAAAAATTGACCAAAGGTTTCAAATATTGATCCAAATGTAGACCTATCACGCTAGCTTTTTCCAGAATTGGTACAAAATCACTGAATCTGGTACCCTTTGCAATCTCTAATTCATATCTAGCTACTCTAAACGCAGGTTCATCTATTAATTGATTGATTTGATCTATATTCCCTATTATTACTGAAGGTGTAAACTCATACTTTTGAAAAAGCCCCGTTAATGTTTCAATTGAATGATTATTTTTGTTTATTTTAAATGTTGGATATTTTTGCTTTAAAGCAATATGTCGTAAACCTGGAATAAGAATCAAGCTATTGATTATAGACTCATCCTCAATGTGGCTAACGATTAAGTATAGTATCTCTTTGGGTAGTTGGAGGAAGACTTGCATAAATGAGGTTGAAATTTGATGATAGATGAATTAATGAATTAATGGATTGATGAACTGATAGATAATTTTAGTTGCCACTTTTAAAAGTTCAAGATTATTTGGACCTGTTTTGTTATAGCTACCATCTGACGTTTCAAATTTGTATCGTCTAAAATTCATATAACTTTATAAGGGGTATTGGTTCATGCAATAATTCAAATAATCTATAAAACTGACCAATTTAACCTTGATCAACCGGAATATTTGATATTATCCTTGTAGACGTAGGCTATAGTTTAATTCAAAGTTTATTAGAAACTTAAAGCTCTTTATGTTTGCTTACATCAAAACGTCTTAAAAGCTTTGACTCATATTTGACTTTGACTCGTTACTGGCTTTGACTCAAGAAAATCAAATCTTCCAGCTGACCTCGAGAACTCTTTTTGATAGTTCCAAACATATTTCAACTTGTGTTACTTTCATTCCAAGCAAACATTGAGAATATGTATTCAAGTGGGGTTTTTAGTTGTAGAGACATCCTTTCCGTATGCAATAATATCCCAGTAAAGATTGTAGGTAATAATGTCTCAGCATAAAGTTTACATAAATGAATTCGAAGGAATTTTTAATCAATCAAAAAAACGGTCTTCCATTTCAACCTATTGGATTTGATTTTTTCAAAACATGAATAATTAGCTTCAACTCCAAGTACCTATTCAACAATGTTTGAACCTTAAGCTTTGAGCAAGAGGTTTCTTACATGAGGATCTTTTCGTTAGTTGAATTGATAACTTTGGTTAATATTCTCTTGAAGATGATTAAATCGATAATATTACTTGAACTCAATTAATTGAACACAACGAAGAATTCGATGAATAAATTACTCTAGATTATGGACGAAACAATCATATAGCGTCTGGGTTTTTACTTTATTTCCTTTCATTATAGTCGAATTTACTAGATGGCTTGGATTCTAGTGAAATTCTAATCCATCGTTAACGTCACAAAATTCGAATTCTAGAAATTTTATGTTTAAATTTTGTCGAATTATATGAGCAGAAATCGGTTATATGCAGAAATTAGGTACGATTGGTGAGGTAGTGGTGCTAGGTCAAGAAAGACGGCACGTTAAAACTGGTTATAGCTAAGTTAAATATCACGGTTCACCAGAGACTCAAAGAAGATATTGCATCGAATCAAAACTTCGATATATCAAAATTTATAATGAATTTAGCTTTCGATGATCTTTTGAGTTGTTTTTCAGTAATCCATGTACAATTGTTGTTAAGTGTTGATCGAACAAAATAATCTATATTATTTCACATTAAAACAAGGTAACAGAATGAATAACGGAATTAGCTTCATCATTCTCTTCTTAAGTTTGATTACTGTACCAAAAATATCATGTTTCTTTTAAACAAGATTATTTTGAATTATATTCCTAATGCATTGATCTTTTTGTATCAGACGAAATTGACAAATGCTGCAAACACTTCAAAACTTCAAGTTCAGGCCATTCTGTTTTATTCCAGTTTAGATTTATTCCATTTGGATTCTACTTTCTCATAACTTATCAAGTCCTTTGTGGTAAAATTTTACTCTCATCGGGTTTCTACATTTAGAATGATGCAATTTTTACGTGCTACTTTATTTGATTCCTACGATATACAATATTATAAAAGATATAAAGTAACAAATATTGATTATAATCCAATTAATTTTCTGAAATTTTAAAATCCCTAATTTATACTGAATTACTAATTGGCTGATCAAATCCCAAGTTATGTAAGTTGAGCTGTACATTAAGTTCATGCATATACAACTTAAACAAATACAATATACTCTTACTTTATATATTTTATGTAGCTTTGATTTTATCATAATTGTGAAAATTAAATCAATCAAACAAATCAATCCAGCAACAAGTGGTAAAATTGTTCCAATTAAACTCAACCATTGAACAGCAACTCCAAAATTATTATAAGTTTTAAAAATACATGGAAAAGATTTAGACATTTGAAATCCACATATTTGATTAACAAAATTATAATATATTTTAACAAGTTGAAATTGTGATGAAGTTAATTCTGACAATAACATTTCAATATCCTGTAATAAACATACAATTATATTTAATCCAGCTCCATTGAAACAACCAATTTTTGAACCATATTGATCAAATCTACAATAACCCAAAGGATTGAAAAAATATCTATTTTCATAAAAAAAAGTATCTAATTTTTGTAAAACTGAATCATTAGTTGTATCATTAACATATATATTTAAATCATTTGATAAATAAGTTGCAAATTTTAAACTTTGTTGAATTAAATCAACACAATTTTTAGAATCTTGTGAATTTGCTTCAATTTTTAATTCCATTGTATATGGTCCATTTGAATTTATTGATGTACATGACATAATGAATAAATCACATATTATGAATAAACAACCATGAGTTAGAATCTCAAGTAATAACCAAAATATCCTATTCAGTGATTTTGTTTTAGTAGTCTTTTCTGATTCATATTCTACCTCTTTAATCATTGTTGTTATGCAAAATTAGGCTGCAAAAAAAGAAAATTTAAAACAACACAGTAAGATTAAAGTCATGATAAAAAACGTATATCATAGATTTGCTTCACGAATCGAACATCAAACAAATCTTATGGGTGGTATAGATCCACAAGTTACTCAACTAATAATTAAAAGCTCGTACTAGAACCTATCATCAGCACATTGTGAATCTCTCACTAAAAAAGAAGGACTAATTTTTTTGAAGTGAAAAAAAGGTAGATACTGCTTAAACTTAAAAGGTAGATACTTCGTAAGCTTAAAAGACTGCTAACTCACTAGGTCCCTTTCTCGACTCAACTTACTCTAAAGTTGGTGTTGATAAAAAGAAATAACTTCTTTCTTTCTTCTTAAATTTTGCCACTATCAAAAGTTTTTGTAGATAAAATAAATCAAAACAAAAATCAGGGGAAAAAATATATGATGATAAACTAAACTAATCAATTGCAACCACATGACATTAACAATATGATATCAATAACCAATAAACGACTACTAACATCATGTCATAGAACTATTTTAACAAGACATTTACTAATATCAAGAACTATACCCAAAAGATTATCACATTTACATCATCAACAAATAATAATACCTTCAAGAAATTTAGGTTTCATTAAAATAATAGCAAGAGCAACTAAAATACCAGCATATATTGGTGGAACAGTAGCAGCTGGAGGTACTTATGTTGCATATAAAGTAGAACAAGCTTCTTCATATACACAAGATAAATTAAATGCATTTAAAGATTTTACAGATGGGATATTTGATAAAACAGGTGAATTTTTTAATGGATTTAAGGGAAGTGGCGAGAGTGGTGGTAGTGGAGGAGGAGATGGAGGTGGACCTGATAATGCAACTACTGCTTTGGGTGCCACTGCTGCTGCAGTTGGATTAAGTTCAGATGATGAAGATACTGTGATTGGTGATGATGATGAAGATGAAGATGATGTAGAGACGTTAATAGAAGAAGATGATGAAGATTTACCTGATGATACAGATGATCATATGTTAAATCTTACAAGACAAATGATAGAAATAAGAAATTTATTATCAAGTATAGATCATGATGGAATTAAATTACCATCTATAGTTGTTATAGGTTCACAATCAAGTGGTAAATCATCAGTATTGGAGAGTATAGTAGGACAAGAATTTTTACCAAAAGGTTCAAATATGGTTACAAGAAGGCCTATTGAATTAACTTTAGTGAATACCCCAGAATCAGCTTCAAATGTTGCAGAATTACCAGCTTTGAAAATGTATAATTTAACAGATTTTACACAACTACAAAAAATTTTATATGATTTAAATATGGCAGTTCCTGAAACTGATTGTATATCTAATGATCCTATACAAGTTACTATAAGATCACCAAAAGTTCCAGATTTATCTTTAGTAGATTTACCTGGTTATATTCAAGTTGAAGCAGCAGATCAACCAATTGAATTGAAAAGAAAAATTAGAGATTTATGTTTTAAATATTTAGAACCACCTAATGTAATTTTAGCAATTTCAGCTGCTGATGTTGATTTAGCAAATTCTGCTGCATTAAGAGCATCAAGATTAGCTGATCCAAGAGGTGAAAGAACTATTGGTGTAATAACAAAATTAGATCTTGTTAAACCTGAAGAAGCTAGAAAAATTTTAACAAATAAGAAATATCCACTTAGATTAGGTTATGTAGGAGTTATAACAAAAGCACCACAAGTTAAAGATTCAGGATTATTTTCAAGACATAAATTAGCTGGTTATCAAGCATTTGTTGCTCAACAAAATTTTGAACATAATTATTTAAAAGAAAATAAAGAAGAATTTTATGGAACAACAGTTGGAACTAAAAATTTAAAAAAGAAATTAATGAAAGTTCTTGAAAAAACAATGGCTGCATCATTAAGACCAACTCATTTAGGTATACAACAAGAATTAGAAGAAACTTCTTATCAATTTAAAGTTGAATTTAATGATTTACCATTAACTCCAGAAATGTATTTAGCAAATAATATTGATATGTTAAAATTAGGAACAAAAGAATTAAGTCATAATTTTTCAAGAAATGAATTAAAATCAATATTAAAAAATGCATTAGATCAAAAAGTTTTAGATTTATTAGCTGAAAGATATTGGAATAAACCATTTGATTTAAATAATACAAATTTAGAACCAAATTTAAAAGAATTAACTCAAGCTATACATGATTCTGATGTTTATTGGCATAAAAAATTAGATTTAACTTCTGGTTCATTAACAAAATTAGGAGTTGGAAGATTATCAACTAATTTAATAACTAATGCATTATTAACAGAAGTTGAAAATTTAGTAGATAATACTCAATTAAAAAATCATCCAATGGCAAAACAAGCAGTTAAAGATGCAGCAAAAAGTGTGCTAAGCACCAAGTATTATTCAACAGCAGATCAAGTTGAAAATTGTATAAAACCATATAAATATGAAATTGAAATAGAAGATAGAGAATGGCAAACATCAAAAGATAATGCAGTTAATTTATTAAAAGAAGAAATGAGACAATGTGATGAAGTATATAATGATTTAAAACATCAAGTTGGAGGTAGAAAATTACAACAAGTTATAACATATTTAGAAAAATTAAAACAACAAAAACAAGAAAATATAGATTTTTCAAGTAATGAAACTTTAGGATTTTCACCAACTTTAATTCAAAGAGGTAAAGATGCAATATTTTTAAAAGATAGATTATCATTATTAAAAATGAGATATCAATTTATAAAAAATTCTAAAAAATGTAAATCTAAAACAAATAAATATCAATGTCCTGAAATTTTTTTAGATGCAGTAGCAACAAAAATTTCAACTACTGCAATATTATTTCTTAATGTTGAATTATTAAGTGATTTTTATTATAATTTTCCAAGAGAGCTTGATTTAAAATTTTTCAATAATTTAACAAAAGAAGATATTGAAAAATTTGCAAAAGAAGATTTAAAAATTAAAAAACATATTGAATTACAAGAAAGAAAAGATTTATTAGAAAATGCATTAAGTAAAATTGAAAGTGTTTTAGCTATACAAAGAACTCAAAAGAAGACGAGTGATGATGAACATAAATCTATTTTCAAATGGTAATAAGTGTATATATTTATTTTAATATATTTGTAATACGATCAAATAAATTTTTATTGAATTACAAGAACGAAAATATTTTGCATTAAGTAAAATTGAAAGGTTTTAGCTATACAAAGAACTTAAAAAAATCAAGTGATGATGAATATAAATCCATTTTTAAATGGTTGTGTATATTTATTTTAATATATTTGTAATACGATCGAAAATAGTTTCTATTTCTAAACCATTTATATTTTGAAAAATTGGTTGAAAAGTATGTAAATCAATAACCTTTTTGGTGGTTGTACTATCCTCGATTTTCCCATTTTTATTTTGATTATTTTCTCTAAAACTTATTAAATCAACATTAGCTTGAGCAGATAATAACATTGAACTTATATCATTTGTTATATTTTTAATTTCAACATTTAATAAAGTAGAATCAATTGAACCAACTCTGCATTCTAAATCAATAAAATAAAATGAATTTGAATCATATTTTATTGATGCAATACCTGAATTATGATTTTGAATATAAATTGGTTTTAATTGATTTGGTTTAAAAATATATAATTTTGAAACCACCCCAAGATTTTCTTCATCTACCTCGTAATAATTTATAGCTAAACAAATTAGATTTTTAATTGGATTTATTGTTATTATATTTGATCCACCACTTGTTGTAAAAATTTTTAAATTTAAATTTGTTAATTCTGCTTTTATTAAATCATAAACAAAAAATCTTGTTTTGGATAATACAATAATTTTATTATCTAAATATTGAATTGATCTAATTTTTGATTCTGTAAGTATTGGGATTTGAAAATCTATTATATCGAAATTTTTTGAATCTATACAAGTTATTGAACATTCATGACTTAAAAATATTATTGATGAATCATCTGACCAACTTAAACTTATTGAATCAGATTCTGAATTTGATGATGGTTTAAATTTTCTTAATGACCATGATATTTGTTGTGATTTGTTGTTTGTTTTATAAATTTCTTTTGGATATGTTGGTCTCCATACTCTAACACCTCCTTTGTTATCAGCAGTTAAAAATGCAACACCACCAAAATATGAAGTAGGTGCAGGAATTAAAGAAAGTATTGGGTTTTTACCATGTGGATCCATTATTATAGTTGTTAATTCCCAAGATTTATCTTTATCATTTTCTAAATATTTCCAGAATTTTAATGCAAATTGTTTTTCATTTGATGAAATTATTGAATCAACTTCTGATATTATAACTTCATCATAAGTACACATCCAATCACCATCTGATGTAAATTTTAAAAGTGAAATTTGAGGATCTGTTAAATTTATCTCTGATCGTACTTTACCTGTTGAAATAGTTGATGCAGCATTTTGAATAAAATTTTGTTCATTTTTAATTAAATCAAATGATTGAATTGATGATTCATTAGGGAAATATAAGTTTTTAGTCTTTGGATGAATTTCAAATTTACAACTATAATCATATTTTAATTTTAATTTATTTGATAAAATATCTTTTAAAAATTTTTTTTTTGTCTTTTGTAATGTTGTTCTTAAATTATTTGAAAATTTTGGTCTTATTGTATTTATTGATAATCTTGATACTAAATCAACCATACATAATATAAGAATTTCATAATTATTTATATCAGTTTTTAATAATAATTGAATATAATCATTTTTATAGTTGTCAATATTTATTTTATCAATTATACCATTTAATCTTGGTAAGAATTGCTTTTTTTCAGTTTCTAATTGCCAAAATACTAAAACTTTTTCAGAACCTCCTGATATTAAATAATTGTTGTCTGATGAAAATTGTAATGCATTAATTTGTTCTATATGCCATTTTAAAATTCTTTGAGTTTCATTTTCAATTCCTCCATAAATGACTTGTATAACTCCAGAATTTGTACCTAATGCTATTATAGAATCATTTGATACTGCTATTGAGGTTATTGGTGATCTATATTGATATGATATCAATTCTTTTGTTATTATATCTTCTACTTCAGATTCTTCATTATTATAATAAGTCTCCAAGTCTAGTAATAATACTTTATGATCACTCAAGACAAATGCTAATTTATTTAAATCTAATGATATTGAATAAAGTAATGAGTTCTGAATTTCTCCTACTGTTTTTATGGTTTCTGATGTTCTATCAATTGATAATATATATCTTGTATGAGGACTTGATCCCTTTTTTTTATCTTTTTTACCCGTCACTATTATAAAATTATTATGTTTAACATTAACAACAGATAATATATTATGTTGTGATTGTAATTGTATACTGGTGGTAGATATTATTGGATCATTTAATTTATCTTTATAATTTATTGTTAAAATTTCTCCTAGCTGTTTGAATAAAAGTATTTGATTTGGATTGTTAATATCTAATTTTATATCAACTAACCCAGTTAAGTCTATATCTATTGTCTTTATACATTGTTTTGTTGAAATGAAATATATTCTAATTTGATGAGTTAAAGTTACAATTAAATATCTTCCATCATTTGAAAAAATTGAAGCTGTTATATTTGAATATGGGAAGTTGATGGGTATACCACCTGTAAGCATGGATATAGACCATTCATTTAATGAAGATGAAGGCATTACTTTGTAAGTTAAAGTTGGTTGCAAAAGTAAACTTAAAAAAATTAAAAATGTGATGAGACGAGATTTGAAGTTTGAGATGAAAAAAAAATCTCACCAAACAACAAACAGTTCAGACAAATCGAACACAACAAAGATGATTATTCCAATACGTTGCTTCTCCTGTGGAAAAGTTGTTGGTGATAAATGGGAAACATATTTGGAATATTTACAAGAAGAAAATGCAAATGAAGGTGATGCATTAGATAAATTAAAATTAAAAAGATATTGTTGTAGAAGAATGGTTTTAACTCATGTTGATTTAATTGAAAAATTTTTAAGATATAATCCTTTGGAGAAGAAAGATATTAATTAGTAAGTTTGGGGGAGAGATGATTTAGTGGATGGAGAAAAGTAGAGTCTAATGTTGAAACGGATGGCGAAGAACATACATGGATTTTGATATTTGTCATCCAATATGTTCAAAAAGTTTAGTTCAGAGGAAAGGTCTGTAAAAAGTATGCATCCACCTGAGATAGAATGGAAATATTTTTCAATATCTTATGGAAGAATACACTTGATTATTTGCAGATCTTTATTTACACTTGTATAATTACGTCGAAATACACACGGGATTCAACAAAAGACTGTAGATTGAACTTTTCATGAACAAACTCTTTACAAGAGATTCACTATTTATCCATCAAGGACAAACACCAAACAAAGATAATTCATATTCTATTAAAATAAACTATAAAAAGAGCTCTTCAAGCATACTCTATTAATAACGTCTCCCTCTCCAACTATTCACCTACATTTTTTTCATCAATTCCTTGTAAAAATTCATAAAACCAAGCTTGTAATTGTAAATGAGATTTAAAAGGTAATCTTTCATCAACTGAATGAATTCCCAATCCACCAATAAAATCTCCCATAAAACTTGGAGTAAATCTATAAATATTTTTTGTTAAATTCCAATACCATCTTGTATCTGTATTTCCAGTCATTATTGATGGTGCTGTAATTATGGGGTAAGTTATATTTGGGAAAACCAAATCTTCATATATAAATCTTGTTATACCTGATATATATTGCCATACTTTATCATTTGTTGGTGATAATGGTGCTGGTTCTAACCATCCAATACTTGATATATTAAATTCTCCATTAGAAATATTAGTTTTTGGATTATAAACAATTTTACCAAATGAATTTACTTTTATATCATATTCTTTTGCAATTTCAATAACTTTTTCAGTAAAATGATTTTTAACAACATCTACATTTGAATCAACTTCAATTCTTGAATTAATCAAGACTTTAGTTTGTTCAGGTAATGCATTTGCTTTTTCACCACCATTTATTATATCAATTGCTTGAGAAGTTTGAATTAAATATTTTGTTAATCGATTAGATGATATAAATTTAATTAATTTTGAATTTGAAAATTTATCAAACCCAGATCTTAAAATAACTTTTTTGAAGAAACTTGGAATTTTATCTTTATAATCATGAGTTGCTAAACATTGATAATATTGAAAAATTGGATTTTTTTCACCTAATTTTGGTTTAAATTGATCTTTTTCAATCAATACATTTAATGCTGATATTATACCAATACTTGTATGATCAGGTGGTATTGATGAATGACCACCAGGAGTTTTTAATTCAATTTGAATATCAATATAACCTTTTTCACCAATTCCAGGACTTGCTATAATTGTATCAGTTAAAGGATCTAAATTTATACCTAAACCTTCATCAAGCAAAACTTTAAAACTATTTTTACCATATTTTTGCTCTAAAAATTTTCCAATATTTTGAGCTCCAACTAAACCAGAACTTTCTTCATCAAATCCAAAAGCAACAACAATAGATCTTTCAGGTTTAAAATTATCTGCAAGTAAAATTTCTAAAGTTTCTAATATTGCAATTAAAAGATTTTTACAATCTGCTGCTCCTCTACCATATATATAATCTGTTTGGGGGTTATAAGTTCCACTTAATGGTGGATAAGTCCATTTATCTAAAGTAGATTTTTGTATAGGTACAGTATCTTGATGAGCTAATAATAAAGTTGGTTTTAAGCTGGGGTTATTACCTTTCCAAGTATACACCAAGCCATAAGTATTTACTTTTTCAATTTTTAAATTTTTATAAATTAATGGGAAAGTATCTTCAAGATAATTATGAAATTTTTCAAATTTTTTCCAAATTTTTGGATCTTCTTTAACATCTGGTTGATGATCAAAAATTTGAGTATCAATTTGTAATGCACCACTTAATCTTTGTATAGATTCATTTTTATAAATTGGATCATTTAAAATTTTTAATACTGTTGAATTATCTTTAAAAAATGATTCTGGAATAATTTTTTCATGTAATGGACAAATTTTAGAATCATCTTTTGGTATAGATGTAATTATAATTTTAAAATAATTAAATAAATTTGTCGAAAAAAATATAATTAATGTTATGAGTACAATTGTTGCTCCAACAATTGACCATTTTCTTCTTTTTGTATTAAGGTCGTGACCATCTAATGGAAGTCCAATCATTTTTGATTCTCGATTGATTTGTAAAGAGGAATGAAAATTATAATTGAATTGATATCGTCCAGTTTTAAATAAAACTGTGGTAATTCCGTCTCGTAAAAATTCCGTTGTTCTATTGGAAGTAGAACGTACGATATGCACGACCAATAAAAAAGAATCTATACGGAGTTATACAGATAATTTTTATCAGACTTTTATGGGAAGACCATGTCAAAAAGATACTCAAGTTGATCAGAGCAAAAGTTGTGAGTTGCTCAGCTAATCCAATTGATAAATTAAGAATTTTACAAATTTTGTGCATACCGATAGATTTATTGAATTTTGCATCAAAATTGTCAAAAAATGTTCATACTTACCTACTTCGAATTTGACTCCTATCATTTGGCTTCAATTGTAAAAACTTTTTGGCTTCAATTGTAAAAACTTTTTGACTTCAATTGTAAAAACTTTTTCACATTTTCTCGAGAGAAAGGTTATCTCAGCTCAATCGGTATGGCTTAATGACCAAGATGATTTTTTTCAACTTTAGCCTCAGAGTTTGAAAATATTTGAGTGAATCAAATCGTTTCAAATCAAAATCAAAATAAAATCTTGAATTAGATCTTTAGATCTTAGACCAAATGGCAATAAATATAAATATCAAACTTGAAACATTCTAAACTGAGGAATGTTTTTTGTTTATATAGCCGACCAAATTATTTTAAAATCGTCTGACTATATTCAAGCTTATTACACTAGGCCTGAAATTTTTTTTCGTCAATAAAATTTTTGTTTGAAACAAGGTGAGAGATTAGACGAGAAATTTCGGTTGATGATCTATAATTCCTTAGTTCTGTTGCAAGTATCGACTACTATACCTACAATATCATCAAAGCTTTTGCTTGAGATGGAAACGTCTTTATTTTTTCTACCTAATTTTGACATTGAGTGTTGTAAAAATCAAAGATAGTATTGATGTAATTGAGACAATAAAAATTTGTATGAAATAAAAAAATCGTGTAAAATTTGTTTTATATAGACAGAGATTTACAGTCAAATAGTCGGATAAATTCAAATCCAAGTATGAATTTTTAAATTTACGTCAAGCAAACTGACAAAAACCACTCATAAATGAATTACATATTGTCTTGTAGCTAGTGGAATGAATTTGATATCTTTACGATGTCAGATCTAGCTCTTTTCTTTATTTCAATAGAGAATGAGAAAGGGGGAGGAATTTTATAATTTATACCAAGAAGAAGTATCAATTGCCAATGTTTATTTAATGGAAGAGCAATCAATTCTTGTATAATATAGCACTTAACTATTAGTATTAATAGTTTATCTAAATTGTTATTGAGCCTAAGGAATTTGTTTTAGTAGAGAATATAAAATTTTTAATTATTGTGGTTTGTTAAAGTATATGTTTATAAAGTATGTATGTTAGGATGTATTACACAATAGTTTATATGAGACTTACTATTGTATTGTAAATTCGTGTTTTATTTATTTATTTACATTTTTTATTACTTACATTGTCTTAAATAAAACACACGATATAAAAAATATGTCAAATATACATACAAAATACTGTATATAAAGGTATAAAGTAAGGGGGATTATTTTATTATTTACATATAACACATACATTAATTTACTACACGTAAATTTTATTATTGTATACATACATTCTTACATACAATACAATAGTAATATTATCAGCCATTATGATTTTATAAAAACTATCAACAATCTTCATAATTTAGAAAAATATGGGTGTACTTTTTATATACTTACAAATTTACATCAAAACTTCATACCAAAAGGGTTAATCAGACCATTTCAACTAACATATATATCTTTTACCAACTATATTTCATTCATTTATTAAACAAATAGATATACAACACTTATTATAAAATTATTTATTATATATCATATATAAAATAATAGAAGAATAAACAGAATAGAAAATATTATTACAACTAAAGATCAATAAAAGTACTGAAGAACCCTTAAAAAATCAAAATGCAACTAAATTCAATTATTTTAGTTTCATTAGCTACTTCCATTTCATTAGTTAAAGCAGCACCTTTTAATTTTTTTAAAAGATATACAAATGAATCATTACCAATTTCATCATCATCTGTTTTAAGTGGTGTTAGTAGTAGTTTATTAGAAGATGATTATGGTTATTCAGCAAGTATTTATTCATCATCATCAGAAGAAGATATTTGGATTACTTCAACTGTTTTACAATATGTTACTTTAACTCAAGATACAACTACTGAAACTTCTGCTACAAATACTTTAACAACAACTTATAAATCTTCACCACCAGCTTCAAGTTCTTCTGAAGCAGATGTTGATATAACTTCAACTATTATTGAATATGTTACTTTAACTTCAGATGGTTCAATTTTAACTTCTGCTACAAATACTGCTACTACTATTATTCATGCAGCTGATGTAGAAGATTCAGAAGAAGAAGGTAGTTCTTATGAAACTACTACTTCAACTATAACTTCAATTGTCACTATAACTAATGAAGAAGGTTCAACTGAATTATCAACTGAAACTGAAATAACTAAATCTATTGAAGCAAAAGAAGCTTCAACTGTTGCTCCAGTTTCCGCATTAGCTTCATCTACTGATGTTTGTGTTCCTTCAACAGTTACAGTCACAGTTACAGCAACTCCATCAAATGCTGATATTACATCAACTCAAGATATAACAACTACAATTTCAACATCAATCATTGTTACAACTTATCCATTAGAAGCAACTTTTTCAAATGATGATATAACTACAACATTAACTTCATATGTTGAATTAACTCAAACTGAATTATTTACATTAACTTCATCATTACAATATAATAATGGTTCTTCTTCAAGTATTGCTCCAACTTATGGTACTACACCTTATGGAAATTATACAATTTAAGAAGCTTTGAACCAAATTTTTGTTGATTAAAAAGTTGGATTTTGCAACTAAATTCATGATTATATTATACCTGTAAATTCAGTGTTGAATTAATCATTTCATTCATTCATTTTTAAGTACTACGGTCGAAGTTATTATTTATTGTTTGTTTACAACCACTGTTTTTTTCATTTTAGATGGGAGTTTTTGATTGAAATTCAAAGTTATTTTTTTATACATGTGTTATACAATTTGTTAAAACTAATTTATTGTCATTATACGTTACTTATATTATCATTATCATTGTTTTAATATTATTAAAGAGACAATAAAGTTTTACTTTTTTACATTTTTTTTATATTTATATAGGATACCCATAAATATTTACTACTACTACTTAACTTTTATTTTAAATTTTGTATTAGCACCGCCTATTGACTTTATGGATAAGTCGGTTGTAAAACTCTCTTTTCATGATACTCTGATTTATAATACTCTATTTTGATTTTATTGATGTAGAATAAGTCGCGTATTAAAAATAAAAACAAGACGCCAAATTTATATACTGTATTCAGTTTTGTGTTACTTATACAATATTAGTCTACAGTAGAAAAAATATTAGACTAATTAATCAAATCTATTTTACAACCAATTTATCGATAATATACATATTTACAACCAAATTAATCAACAACCATAAAGCCGGTTTCACAATGTCTGCTTATTCGTCACCCTACAAGACAACTCAACCACCAATATATATTGATGATGATTTATCACCTGTAAAATTACCATCAACTAACATAAACACATCATCTATAAGAAAATCATACGCATATAATCACCAAGGAAGTCATACACCAGTAAAAGAAATAACTAATCTAGATCAATCAAGCTTCCAAAAACAACAACAACAACCATATACGGAAAATATAACCAAGACAAATTATTTAAATATAAATTCAGCAACAAAAAAATCAATAGATTTAAAACGTAATAGATCATCAATATCAGATACAACCACAACCACAACCATCAAACCATCAAGATATTCATTAACTTCACCATTACGTAAAAAACGATTAACTTCAAATTTAGATAGTATTAAAAAATCAAATTTAAAATTAGATTTAACAATAAATAAATTAAATAATGATAGAAATAAGAGGTTGAAAAATTTAGAATTTAATAAGAATTCAAAATCAAGTCTTGATAATTATGATGATGATATTGAAAATAATTTAAGTTCTCCTATAAAAAGAAATCGATCTTTTAATAATACTCATCAAATTGAAATTGAAAATATAACTGATGAAGATATTATTGAAATTGGTGGTAGGAAATTAAGTAATGATTCAATAATTATTAATGATGACAATGATGATAATAATGACAACAATAACGATAACAATGAGAAAGATAAAGATCAAATACAAGAAATTTCAAATGATGTTGAAATTGGAAGAAGAATTGAAATTGAAGAATCAAGTGGTGGAAGTGGTAGTGGTAATAGTATATGGAGAAAACAAAGTCCAATAAATCCTCAATTAAGTAGTGATTTTGAAATTGATTCAAATTTCATGAAAGAACCAAGTGCAACTTTAACTCATTCACAATTTACAAAATTAATAAATGAACTGAAACAAGAAAGATTGAAAACTCCTGATAACCCTATTGAAATAGAAGAAGAAGAAGAAGAAGAAAAATATTCTAAAATAAAATCACCTAACCAAAATACTGATTCAAATTATGAATTAAGTCCATTAAGACATGATATTGATATTATTAAAAATTTTGAAAATAATGAAAAAGAGCAGCAAGAACAAGAATTAAATGAATATGAAGATGAACCAACAATAAATTTTATAAATCCAACAAATTTAAAACCCCTTTTTTCAATGAACCACATCACCAAATTAGAAAAAAATCATGAAAATAAAATTAATCAATTATATATAGAAATAAATGATAAAAATCAAGAAATTCAAAATTTACAACAACAATTAAATAAAACAAATGATGAAAATAAAAAAATTCAATATAATAATGAATTAATTAATTTAACTATCACCACAATGGAAAAAGATATAGCAAGTTTAAATAAACAAAATAAGATATTAGAAAATTCAAATTTAAATTTTAGACGTAAATTAAATGATTATAAAATTTCTATAAATGAAATGGAAATTGAATCAAAAAATTGGATAGATAATAAAAATGAATTTGAGACAACTATTGTCACATTAAGATCACAAATTGATGAACTAAATAATTCTAAAACTGATTTAGAAAATAATATTAATCAAATCAAAATTGAAAATGAAGAAACTTCAAAAAAGAATCAGGTACTAGAATCAAAAATTAAAGAATTAGAAAAATATAATCAAGAAATTATAAAAAATTATGAAAATGAATCAAATGATAAAATCCAATCATTAGAATCAAGTCTAACAATAAAAGATTCATTAATCGATAGTTTAAAAACCGATAAATTAAAATTAATCACCACAAACAAGGAGAATGAAAATTTAATTAAAGAATTAGATCAATTAATTAATTCCTCTAAGCAAGATTATGAAAATGATGTAAAGCACTTGAATTTAAAATATATTACAGAAATTGATAATTTGAATAAATCAATTAATGAATTTAAAAATGATAAAAATCAATTAGAATTGGAATTAATTTCAAAAACTAATGAATTGAATAATATTGTTAAATCTAATGATGTAGAAATTAATAAATTAAAAGAAGAAAATAAAAACCAAAAATTAGAGTTTGAAAGATCTGAGAAGCTATATAAAGAAGAAATCGAAGAAAAAAAACAAGAATTAATTACAATATCAACATCATATGAAAAATTAGAATTGGAATTATCCTCCAAGATATCAGAATTAAATGAATTAGATTCAAATTTTGACAGACAAGTTTTAGAATATAAAGAAATAAAATCAATAGCAAATGAATATGAAATTAGAATTGATCATAATGAAATTGAATTATCAACACAGTCAGAAAAATTAAAAATTTATGAGCTAAAATTTCAAGAATTGATCACCGCAATAGAATCTCAAAAATCCACACATCAACAACAACTCACAAAAATAGAATCACTAGAATTACAAATATCAGAAAATGAAAAAGAAAAAATAATACAAGAAGATAACCTTATAAAATATCTCCACAAGGAATATTCACTAAAACATCAAACAAAAATGAATGAAATAAAATTACATTATGATCAAGAGCTAGCTAAGCAACAAAAAGAAATTAAATCTCTTTCTAAAAATAATGAATTTTTATCTAAAAAGATTGAAGATTTAAATTATGAATATCAATTGTTATTAAAAGAAAAAAGTGAGTAAGTATAGTTTAGTTAATTTTTTTTAATTAAAATTTGTATAATTATTAATGAATGTATGTATTTGTATAAATAAGTAGCGTTCTTTTAAATGTCGTTAATGTGTTAATTTTTCTTTTAAATGTCGTTAATGTGTTAGTTTTTTAAAACATCGTTTCGAACTTTTTTTTTATCATGAACATCGTAAAAAAGGCTACCGTTCCTTGCCTACAGTTTGGAAAAGCTCGAACGAGAGCGTGCTAGAAATGTCGTTTTATAATTTTTACAATGTCTCCACAAAATTTAATTTTAAATTGTACACTAAGTTAAAAAGAAATCACTTATATATCAGAAGAATGTACATGAATTCAATTGATAAAAGTGTTTATTAAATCTTTAGTTAGTTCAATTCCATAAAATCATTACGGCTAGTCCAAAAAACTACCATTGAATCAATTTCAAATTATATTTAAATCAACTGATATTGCTGCTAATAACCACAGAATCACAATTTGTTGAAAAAATCAAAGAAAGAGAAGTTGGAATTGAATTCAGAAACCAAGTAGGTATTTCATTAGTGAAAAAATTAACCAAAATTCTTTCGGTATTAGCTTCGTCCCATTAATGAGTTGAGCAATACCTTTGTGGGTTGTTTAAACTTCTAGCGGACGCAACTAGTGATGAGAGAATTGTGGTTAATTTGACTGATTAAAATATTCATTCATTATCAAAATAATGAGAGTAGGACAAAATCAATTACTGGACAGAAAATGTATTCAGCAATCAATACTATGTTACCTAACAGTCAAGTTGACCTCATTGGGGTAAAAAAGAATGAATTAGCCACCATATGATTAAATGAACCTAATGGAGATTTAGTACTAACAAATACCAATTCATCAAGTAAAGAAAGTGGTACAGAGAAAAATTGGCTAATAGATTCTGACTGTTTTATTTCAATAGTCAAGAATTCACTAATGTGATCATCGACGAATAGATGCACCGAGTGTTTATAAGCATTTGAACATTATTTTTAGTATCATTTACTGAGGATTGTTAATGAATGTATTGATACGTTGTGAATACAAAATGTTAGTTACAATTTTTTTTTTTTTCATTTTGAATGTTCAATTGCTTGTTCAAACACTTGGGAGGTATTTTAGCGATGATCAGGTTGGTGTAGATTCTTGACTATGTTTAAGAAATCACTGGAATTGAGTCGACGGCAACATAATCATATAAGTTAACGAAGAAAAAGTTTGATTTGGAGGCAGGCAGTTGCTGTATGAAACAAATCATGGAACAACTTAGTTGTTTCATACAATACCTGTTCCCTATAGCAAAATCTTTTCTTCGTCAACTTCTATAACTGTGTTGTTGTCAAATTTATTACCAAATGATTTCAACAACTTAGATCTCGACACTTACATCCCGTTCAAACCCATCAACTTTAATCAATAATCTCGATAAATATAGAGTGGTAGTTTTGATCTTTTACAACATTAAGTGCAAGTATTTCACACAACAATAATTAATCAAAATTGAATAAAAATTAAAAGTTTTTTATAATATTTGTGTTTATTAAAAGTGTTGAAAATTAATTTTTTTGCAACCATTTATTACATACTCAAACATCAACAAATATTTTTTTTTTATTTTTAAATTTAGAAGGTAACATATTACTTGAAACATCATCACTATCATTATCAAGCCACATTACAATTTTTTTTAAACCAAGATTATAAAATCCAAATTCATCATCTACTATATTATTTTTAAATTCAATTGGTTCATCATTATAAAGAATTAATTTCCAATTTTTTAAATAATTATCCCATTCTAAATTTAATTTCCAAATTTCTTGTGGAGTGTTATATCTTGTATATTCAGCAAAGGCATTTAAACATGGTTCACTTATTAATTGTCTACCATCATTTTTAATTGAATTTAATATTATTTTATATCTATTTTCATTTTTTGAATTTATTTTTTCAAATTTTATTTCACCATGATGCCATATTAATTTTGCTTTTGGACATGAATGATTTATTGGATTTGAATAAATTAAATATTGAGAAGATTCATATTTCATATTTTTTAAATTAAATGAATATGATATACCTGGGTGATTTGGTTCATATAATATTTCTTCATTATAATTATAAAAATTTGGACCTGTTTTAACTGTTTTTGATTGAGTTTGCCATGTTCCTTGAATATTTGGATAATCTGGTATGGTTTTTGCAAATATTATTGTAATATATAGTAGATATAGAAAGATTATAAAAAGCATGAATGAATGATCGATAAAAGATGATCTCAATTTCACTGTAGATTTAGTGTCATCGATTTATGTTGTCAATTTCTATGGATCTTGATCCAACATAATTAGGAAAGTATACCGAAAAAGTTTTGAAAATGTTAACGAAAATTTTATTTTTTATTTTTTATAATTTATTTACCTTTTTATTTATATATATAAATAGCCAACGAATGTTAGTATCATCTATCATTCTAAAGTCACCTTTACAAAGACCATGAAAAGAAATGCCTGATGAAAACCATTTTAAGAAAAAGAAAATGCAAACTAGGATTAATTAAACTAAACTCTTTCAAGTTTTGATTTAAAATTCACAATTAATATTATATTTTAATTTTCCATTTGCATCCCAAACACCCCAATGTTTTTCAACATCAGAAATTCCTGAAGTATCTGGTTTCCAAGCTTCATCAATAGCTTCAAATACAGCAACATTAACTCCCCAAGCTCTCATTGCACATATACCTTGTTGCCAGAAATTTTTAGCATTTTCAACACTTGGTTGAGAAGATTCAAAATTTGAACCATCTGATGGCCAACCAGTTTCTCCAACCCAAAATTCAATATCAGTTGAACCTTTAACAGTTTGAATTGTTTGTAAAGCTTGCATAATATCATCAAAAAATGAATATGAAGCATTTTGATTAGTTTGTCCTTGCCAATATGAAAAAGCATTTGCATAAACAAAATCAGCAGTTTTGATAGCTGGTTCTGAACCTCCATCAACTAAAACATTCCATGAATCAACAGTTCCAACTGGAATTGAACCATATGAATTACCATCTTTATCTTTAATATTTTTAACAAAAGATTTAATATCATCAATTTTATCAGCTAATTCTTGAGCAGTTAAATCTTCTCTATAAAGAGCTTCAGAACCAACTAAAAATACTTTAATTGTTGATGATGAAATTTTTGGTAAATATTCAGATAAAGCATCTTTTTCAGCTTGATAATGAGCTTCATCATTTGGCCAAATACCTAACATAATTTTAAAATTTTCAGCTTCTGCTGCTGGACCTAAATTTTGTAAAGTATTACAATCTGAAACAGCATAAGTTTTAATTGTTGAAGTTGATCCTTTAATTAATTCTAAATCTGATTCAAATTCTTGAACTGATTTACAATTACCAGCATTATCTTTAACACCTAAATTGAAAGCAAGCTAGATAATAGTTAGTATCAAACGGACTTTTTGAAGAAAAACAATGAGTTGGGAATGAAGTTTAACATACATCTCCAATAGCATTGGCAGTAGCGAGAGCAGCAGCAATAGCTGTTAAGAATTTAATTTGCATATTGTATGTGTATAATTTGTTGTTGTAAGTTTAAAAACGAATGTGGGAAAATTAAGAATCTTTTTTAATTGGTTATTGAAACTTGATTCTTTAAAGATTGGAACTATGAAGTGGTTTTAAATGTATTTAAATGGGTATCAATGATGGTATGTTTGTTATATAAATTCACTTAAAGGAAAGAAAGTATCAAAATAATAAAAATGGTTGTCAAAACTCTTAATAAATTTTGTTTGTTGTGAAAATCTGAAGATTTTTTAAATTAAGTATGAAGGGTTTTGTGTAATAGTTTCTCCTAGCTATTTTTAGCTTGCACTATATAAATATTGCAATAGGCTACCATCTGCTATAATAATAATAAACAAATCATTCCATAATAAGTAATTAATTATTATTATTTGGGGCAATGTCGGTTTAAGATAGAACCATATTTAACAAACCTTCGACCGCTTCCTTTTCATATTTACTATGGTATCTCATTTGCCAACTACTTTGGTGAAGAGTATCATTGGTTTAGTTTTACTTCTATTATTATTACTGTTCTACTCATTAATTCTACTTTCATGTATTGAGTTATTCTAATTTCTTCGAGCAATTTGATTGATTGAATCTAGATTTGATAGTATTTATTATTATTGTGCAATATTATTTTATGTACAAGATCCTTTTTTTTGTAACTAATTACACTATCCAGAAGAGTTTTTTTTGTGTGAGGTAAATGTTGACATTTATGATTAGTCTATGACATAAAAAGCAGATTACCAAAAGGATTATAGACCAAAGACTAGTGATTGTACCAAATGATTGGACACGATATGAAAACTCTTATAAGAATTGTCTCATTAAAGCAAAGGATTATCTTCGGTTGTTAAAGAAAGCACGAAGCATTTTTTTTAACAAATATCAAAATCCTATTCGTTTATGTTGGAATATCACGATCAATTCGGAGTATCAAATGAAAATTGCATGTTTTGCATTCTTGCTGACAATCAACGAATCTGTCATCATGTTTTTGAATGTCAGGAGCTAAAGGAATAATGGTATAGTAATATCCAACAACAAAGAGAGATAATCATTGACAATAAGGCATTGCGAATTGAAGGAAATAAAGCAAATTATTGGTCTATTCTACTGTACTTATTCTTTGTCCCAACGTCTACTTCTAAGCTGTCGACAATTGGTGTCAAAGTATTTGAGTAAGCTTGGGAGTTAGTCTCAATGGCTTTGTTTCTTTCGATTAGCAATGAATGATTTCCAATGATATATGAAATCTGTCTTTGATGATGAATGTTTTAATAGCAAATTTAGTCTTTAATTCATAATAACAATACCATCATCAGCATCAATAAATTTAAAATACAGCCCTAGTTTTCCGTACGTATGGATTGAGCAGTAGAAACAAGTTTTAATTCGTATACCTATAAGACCGTTATATAATAGTATTATCCAATTACAGTACTATTAGCTTGTATTCTCATTCGCTTTGAATATCAAAATGGGTATGTAACAACAGGATTTATATTCATAAATTCAAAAAGATAGAGAATCAAAATTGATATCATAAAAGAAGATTTATAATACTCATGGTCTTCAATGAAAAATAAATTAATTACTAAATAAAATATTTATATTCAAGATCTTTGAAAAATAGTTGGTTTAATTGTTTCATTCATTAATCTTGGACTTTCTCCAACATTATGTTTTCTCTTTTTTAAAACATTTTCAATAAATGCTTCTCCTGCTTTATAAGAAGATCTAACTAAAGGACCACTAGCAACATAAAGAAAACCCATATCTAATGCAACATCTTTCCAATAATTAAATTTTTCTGGTGTTACATACTCAACAACTTTCATATGTCTTTTTGTTGGTCTCATATATTGACCAAATGTAACAACATCACATCCAATTGATCTAAGATCTTTTAAAGTTGATAAAACTTGTTCATCATTTTCACCAAATCCTAACATTAATGAAGTTTTAGTAATTAATGATGGTTTTGTTTCTTTTGCTGTTTTTAATACTGATAATGATTGTTTATATGTTGCTCTTCTATCTCTTATATAAGGAGTTAAATCTTCAACAGTTTCCATATTATGAGCATAAACATCTAAACCTGAATTAGCTAAAATTTTAACCATTTCTAAATCACCTCTGAAATCTCCACCTAATACTTCAACTAAAATTTGTGGAGCTTTTAATTTAATTTTTTCAACGGTTTCTTTTAAATGATTTGCTCCACCATCAATTAAATCATCTCTATCAACAGTAGTTAAGACAACATAACCTAAACCCCATCTACTTATAGCTTCTGCTGTATTTTCAGGTTCCATTGGATCAGGTTTCATTGGAGCCCTATCTGTTTTAACTGAACAAAATCTACAACCTCTTGTACAAGTATCTCCTAAAAGCATTATAGTAGCAGTAGCTTCTGATTTTTTACCACCCCAACATTCTCCAATATTTGGACATTTTGCTTCTTCACAAACTGTTGATAATTTTAATTCTCTTACATCTTTTTTAACATTATGATATGATTTTCCCTTTGGGATAGGTACTTTTAACCAACTTGGTAATTTTGCATTTGGATCTTTTCTTGCTAATTCGAGGGGATCTTCTAGCATATCTTTAGCTTTACCACTTACAAAATCATCAAATGATGGTCCTTTGTTAAGCTCATCTGTGAAAAAAGTTCTCTTTCGTTTTGGCTTTATAATGGTCGTGCTTGAGGTCTCTGAAGTGATTGTATTGTTAGTGACTGTAGTTGAGGTGGTTGTGGAATTTATTATTTGTTGTGTGGCATCAGTAGCTAGACACCTTGTTCGAAATTTTGGGATAGATGTTTTCAATAGTAGTATATTTCTGCAGAACATTATAAAAATAGATGATGGGTAATGAAATGAGTGTAATGGGTTGAATAAATAAGGTCAGTTGGGATAGGTCGTAGTTATATTCCAGCTCTTTGATCTCGGATAGATGTCAATCTTACAAATAAAGATTTGTTTTATATTTAGGATGAAACACGAAAAAAATTAATTATATGCAGAGATAAAACAATAGAAGTCAAATTTAGTTGTTTTTTGACTTCAATCCAAATTTGGTCTCAATGATTCTACCACAACAAACTCAATCTCATACTATTATGAATATTATTGTATTACGTATTAAACTACAAATAAATTATATAATGCAAAATGATATTAAATGAATGTGGTAAATTCCAAATGTCTATGAAATTTGCTCATCTTCTATAATGCCTCGAGTCTTTATAGTAAACGATGTATAGTATCATCTTTAAATTGATCTAAATCATTAAGATTATCCCACCATTTAAATAAAAAAGTTTGACAAATTAACTTAAACCAAGGTGTGAAAACTAATGAATCATCTTTAAACATTTCTTTTAATTCTGATGCAGTTACATATTTAAAATCTTTAACTTCATTATAATTTGCATTTATCAGTATATCATTTTTAGTTCTTAATATTAAAATATAATCAATTTCATGTTCTCCCCATTTACTTGTTTTTTCATCTCCACTTGCTGATTTATAATGTATTCTTGTTAAATATGTAAAATTTTCAATTGGAACATCTTTTAATTGTATACCTAATTCATGATCTAATTTTCTTTGTGCTGCAATTTTAACACCTTCTATAGCATTAGTCAAATCATTAACATCATTATTTAATTCTGATATACCTAATTCACTAGGTACACATAATGGATGAGAACAACAAGTATTTGTCCACATTTGTGGAAATGTTATTTTTTCATCTGCTCTTTGTTGTAATAATAATTCATTTTTTTCATTAAATAAAAATACTGAAAATGCTCTATGTAATAATCCTTTATTTATATTTTCCATCATATGACATAATTTTTTTGTTCCTGCTCCTAATGGTTTATCTTCATTATCTAATACAATACATAATTCTTCCATTAATCTAATTTGTTCTTCATCATGTCCATTAAATAATTCTTGATCTTGTTGAGAATTAGATGAATTTGTTCCTGAACCCGCTGATCTTGGAATCCCAGATATTTTTTTCAATGGTGTTATATCTGACCAATTTTCTAGAATTTGTTTTGGTTTGAGACTAGCTACTAATTTGGCAAACTCTGATTGTGATGACATTTTAATTAGAAATTAGTTGTGAATAGTGGTAGTAAACGAATGTAATAAATTTTCAAGTGTGTATTTTTTCGGTTTGAATAATTAATGAATGTCCTTTGTGGATACAAATGAGTAGTGAATACGATATTGATTGAATATAACCAATATATGCTATGTTTGAATCGTTTAAAGTACTTTTTTTTGTTATTGATTAGAGTGAAAAAAAAAATTAATCTAAACGACGATAAATCTTTTTTTTTTTTTCGTGTTTGATAACTTTGCAATTAGAACTGGTCCAGTTCAATAATAAATTATTTTTTAGGCTAGTATATGACCAAATGAACTAACAATAATGTGTTTGCTGAGTTATCTATTGATACATTTAAGCAAACTTGCTAGAGCACAATTACTCAGTATATCAACCAAATGAAGCATGTTACATTTCACAACAATATGATTAATTCTTATCAGTGTAGCATAGTTTTACACGGCATATTTAGGTCGTCTCATTTAGTTCTTTAAATGGGACCAAAACTGTTTGAATCATTCTCTCTCAAGAGATTGCAAGTGTTTGGAGTTTCGTCTATTTGTCATTTGCATCATTTTGTTATTCAAGGTTGTTGACCCAAGCTGATGTTCGGTTTTTAGTTACCGATCTCGTGACGCGAATTTTGTTAATTCTAGAAAAGGTTATATGCAGTATGTTGATCCATATATTCTTTTATTTTTTTTTCAAATTTTTCAACAAATCTCCACGTAGTTTATTTAGTTTTAGTAATACGATCTATACATTATATTGTACTATATAACTACTATTACCAGATTTCAAATATTTTTTTTGATATTTTGATATTCTACTTTCATCAAGAGACTCAAACACCAGCAAAATAGATTGATAGACTCAATTATACACAATTATTCCTAAACTTGTTTATCCTGATTGTTCCCATTTGGTTTACTATTGAATACTATTAAAAGATGTCTACTACTGATTCCACCTCTACCACTAACAACAATTCAACTCAAAGAAAATTTATTAAACGTCCTGATGATAAAGTTTTAAAACAAGAATTAGAATCATTAAAAAATGAGATTAAAAAATTAGATTTACAAAACAATGATTTGAATGATCAAATTGCAAAACATCAAATTGATCAAAAAATTATGGATGAAAGGAATGAATTGACCACCCAATTAAAATCATTAATTTCAAAACAATCAGCTTCAAAAAATGAAAGAAACGCTATCAATGAGCAAATCAAATCAATTGATAATACAATGAAGAAAAAAATTGCTGAAATTCAACAACAAGCTTCAAAAAATAATTTTAAATCAGTTGGAGAAATTGATCAAAGAATTAATAGTTTAGATCAATTAATTGATGCAGGAAATTTGAAATTAGCTGATGAAAGAAGGTATGTCAAAGAAATGACATCATTAAGAAAATTAAAAAAGGATTTTGCATCAATTGAGAAAGTTCAATTATCGATTGATTCAGATAAGCAAAAAATTGCTGATTTAAAAAAGAAAATTTCAGGAACTCAAAATAAAGAATTAAATACTCAATTTGAAACCATTCAAAAGAAATTGGATGAAATTAATGAATCAAACAAGACCATCATTTCAAAAAGACAGAAATTATATGATCAAAGATCGGAAATTAAAAAACAAAAAGATGCAAAATACGATGAAATTAGAAAATTAAAATCTGATTTTGATGCAAAATTTGCAAATTTCAAAAAATTAATGGCTGAAGAAAAATTGAAAAGAGATGAAGAATATAAATCAAAACTTTTGGAAGAAAAACAATCAAAATTAAAAGCCATTGCTGAAAAAGAATTAGCTGAAGCTTCAATCCCAGCTTTTTCAAAAGAAATTAATTCAATTCATAATGTATTAAGTTATTTTGATCCATCATATGTAAAACCAACTACAAAAACTTCATCAACAACTACAACCAATGGTGTTGTTCCATCAACTACAAGAAAAGCAAGAACTATTGAATTCCCAGAAGATTTAGTTGTAGTTAAAAAGGAACAAGAAGATTTCTTTGGTGGTTCCAAAAAGAAAGGTGGTAAATTTAATAAAAAAGCACAACCTCAAACAACAAAATCAAAGAATTTTTCAGTTGCACCAGAAATTGTTGTTGCTTTAAGTGATTTAACTATTCCATTCCCATTAAAAGAAGAAGATGTTCCTCAAACTATTACAACTTTAAAAGAAACTTTAGTTGCTTTAGAAGAAAAACAAGATGAACAAACTAAAATTAATATAGAAAGAGCAAAAGCTCAAATTGCAAAATTAGAAGCTGAAGGATTAAAAGATGATGATGAAGAAGAAGAAGAAGAGGATGTTGAAGAAGTTAAAGAAGAAGTTGAAGCTGATGCTTAATGGATCAATAGAGACCGTTTCTAGTGTTTAGGGGAATTGATAAAGTGGAATAACAAAAATGACGAGTTTAGTCAAATATTGAAATAATCATTTGTATAGTACATAGTTTTAGATACATTTAAAATAGAAAATATAAAGTAGTGTCCGAGTCGTACCACAATCTGAGTGTTTATTGAATTAAGACTCTCATCAATACCTTGATCCCAAATTTTTCAATAGCGATATTTTTGCTTTACCTCACTTTGTCTTAGTCTCCCATTTCACAACTAATTTTGAGATTTAAAGTTACCTATTTATAAAATACTCAAAATTCCATGTATGATTTATTATATTGAGACCGAAAAAGTCAGTTTTAATAGTGTAAGAGGAATGACAATAAAGTTTAATTAAAATGAATAATTTAATGTAAAATGCTAAATAAATAAATAAATAAAAAGTATGCTAGACTATAAAGCTGTATAAAAAATGCCAAAGTAATTGAATATATGTCTCAAAAATTTTGAAATATTAAAGACCATGATTCAAAAATGTGATCTCAAATTTGTGGTTCATAATAAGGAAGAAGAAAATATTTACGACCTGTTTTTGGATCCAATCTGTACATGAAATATGGGAGATGGACACCATTATTTGAAGAATTAACATCATTATTATTATCTCCAACATCTCTCTTTTGAGGTTCAAATGGTCCATAACTTGTATAATGAGGTTTTGATTTACCATTATTACTAAAATATTTCTTCCAAAATTCTGCTGGATTTTTAAAAATAACTCTTGCATCTGCTTCAGCATCTCTTTTTTGAGGTTCAAATGGTCCATAACTTGTATAATGAGGTTTTGATTTACCATTATTACTAAAATATTTTTTCCAAAATTCTGCTGGATTCTTAAAAATGACTCTTGCATCAGCTTCAGCATCCCTTTTATCATTTGTTTCAGTGGGTGTTTCATCTCCTTCTAAAACCCATAATGCACCAGTTTCATCAATGAAAGCATCACCAATTTCAGGTCGTAAATTTTCTTGACCATCTAATTGAATTTTATTTGATAATGTAGTTGTGGTTGTGTTGGAATTTGGATCAATTGGGACGGAAGCAACTAAAGCAGCAGCGAGTGTGAATAAAATTGTGGTTGAAAATTTCATCTTCTAAGTAATTGCAATTGAGATTATTTGGTAGTGTTACTTTGATTGTATTTGATTGATGATAAAACAAAAATGAAAACTGATTGATGGAGATTATTAGCCTTATTTATATTCAACGTATTACCCCATTTTTGAATATCTTTGTTAATTAGTAAATTATTTAAAATTATAGAAGTTGAAACAAAAAAATATTTTTTTGTATTGTTTCGATTGTTTCAATTGTTGCAAAAAAAAACTTTTTTACACTGTATTCAAATTCCTTTTGCAGCCAAATCGAGTAATAATCGTACATTAAAAAATAATTTTTCACACAAGTAATTTCAAAACCTGAAACGCCAAACTCAATTAATTTGATTATTATAGTAGCAAATTTAAAAAGAAATTTCAAATTTAAAATGTTTCACACACTGAGTGATTTTGCTTGGTCGCTAAAGCTCGCATTAGAAAATAATAATTTCGATCGAATCTGCAATAACTTCAAAATTTTGTTAAAAAGTGTCTCTAATCTCCAAAATTTATGTTTAATCACACTTATAAGCTTTAATGATGCATGAAATTAATGCATTATTACAGAACTGGATGAATCAAAATTACCAAATTCGAATTGGAAAGGGAAATATAATAAATTTCCCATATTTTTGAACTAACAAATTGTTCCCCCTTTTCAATAACAAACTTGTGAAACATATTCGAATGCTGTACCTGAAAAATTTGTTTTAGGAATGTTTCATTAGCAGATGAAATTTCTTTTCACATTCAAAAATACATATTTTGAGTTCTGGTGTAAGCTATGTGCATCTTAATATTATGGATCCAATTTTTAATTGGCTCAACTTGTATTTTGCCAATGGGTATGCTTGATGTTTTAAAACAAGCGTTTTTGAGTATAGACATAATTTTCAAGACCTCAGATTTATTTAAATTAAACCTCAATATTTGGAAGTACTTTCGATTGTTCTCTATTATTTAATTATTTGTTTCAGATTTTGTTGGTAGCACCCAAAATTTCAACTCGTAAATGTCTAATAAAAAAAATATATTGATGAGCTTCTCATACTTAGAAAGTAAGAATTTAGCAGTAAATTTAATAGTCCCATCAACTCAACAAGGTCGAAATGGCGAAAAGAAAAGCAGAATACAAAACTTCAGAAACGGAAAAACCAACCAAGAAGCCAACTAAATCAAAAAATCATGCATCAATTTCAATTTGTATACCATCTACAGTTATTTCAAATAAGAATGCATACAATTTGGAGCAAAAGACATTTATAGTATATCAAATTGCCAAAGCTTGTTTAATTTATAATGTACTGGAGATAATAGTAATCAACGTACCAGAAGATAGAAAAAGCGAGGAGAAAGAAGAGATCAAAGAAGAAGTTAAAATTGGTAATAAAGTTGTTTTCAATGAAAATATTTCAAACAACGAATCAAAATCCAAAAGTGAGCAAGACGATGATGATGCACAAGGTGATGGATTACTACTAGCTAGTTTACTACAATTTTTTATTACTCCTCCATATTTAATTAAAACCATGTTTTCATCAACTTTAAATAAAAAATTTAAATTTATTTTAAATAAATTCAAATATGCTTTTAAATTACCCAAAATCACTACATTACCATTCATGTCAAATAATTCAGTATTTAAAGACTTTAAAGAAGGAATTATAATACCGAGAGAAACTCCAAAAATTAAAAATAAAAAGGGAATAAAAATTAAATCACCACATAAGATTAAAGTAAGCAAATATGTAAATATTGGAGAATCAAAACCTTTAAAACTTAATATAGAAAGAGAAATTCCCATATATTCAAGGGTAACAGTGGATTTAAAAAATCAAACTATTATTAACCCTGAAAAAGCATATGGTTTAACAGGGTACAAGTCATCTTTTGGTTATTATGTTAGATTGATAAATTCAAATCAATTTAATAAAGTTTTTACTGGATCACCAATTGAATCAGGTTATTCGAAAACAATATTTGTTAATTGTGATGATTATTTCAATAAGGTTGATAATTCAGGAATACTTGAAAATTTAAAATCCATTGAAGAGGATACTGATTTAAAGAAAGATGAAAATGTTTTATTAATATTAGGAAATTATAATACTATTCAAGATAGTTTTAATAAAGATGATGAAAAATCTACCATATTTAGTGGTATTGATCTGGTTCTACAATTGTTTGATTTTAAATTGAATATTCCACAAGGTTGTAAAATTGAAGATTCAATAATGATCTCGTTGACTAAACTATTAAATGGATAGGTTTATAGATGGAATGCAATGAGACGTTCAGATTTATTTGATCAAATATTTCCCCATAAAAATTGTAAATTATTTTTACACTCATTTACATTTGAAACACAAATTAACGCGAACTAATCGTAAATTTCAAAATTACCTCTTTACACATAACCTCAAAAAATTAACCCTTTCAAGAAAGACTAATTATAGCGCTAAAGTCATTGATCTATAGCAACTTTATTTGGAATTTATTATGCGTCTGATACTGACACAGTTCATCACAGTTAGTTCCGCTCCCAGTATTTTGCTTTCGCGTAGAAAGAATTTATAAAATATTGATTCTTCATTTTTATTTTTTTATTGTATGATCTCGTAAATTTAATTTTCTATAGATCAAAGATTTTCCATTAAAAGTTTAAGTCATTCATTGCAAAATTATTTAATTTCACATCCAATATTCAATATTCAATTAACAGCCAAATAGCTATCATTCACAAATTATTCTAGAGTTAGAAATTTATGTCACGACGAGGTAGAATATCCAATCATAAAAATGATAGTGAAGATTCATTAATAGAAGCATTTGAAACAACATTAAGTATTAGACCAACAACAACAGAATATGAAGAAGATAATGATATATCTATAGATCATACAGTTTTACCAAATAATTCAATATTGAATTATACTCGAATATCAACCGATCAAACTTCAATAGTTGATATAAATGAATTAGAAGAAAATGAAATAATATCTGAACAAATACCAAAATTTAAAATTAAAAGAAGATATAGTTTATTACCTACACGTACAACTTTTAAAAAAATTGGATCACCTGGATTTGAAGAACATTCAAATTTAGATTCAAAATTTGAAGAAATTTTAAAACCAAGTATTTTAATTGATGAAAAATTAACAAAATATAATAATTCATTTAGTGATTTTATTGCTTCAAATCCTCATATTAATAAAGAAAGTCCTCGATTTCAAAATGATACTGATAGAACATTAGTGATTTTAAGTCCTTATAGTGCTGAACATGCATTTGGTAGAAAATGGGTATCAAAATCATATTTATCTACAATTTTTGAAAGACCTCAAAGATTACTATCAAGTTGTATCGGAGTAGCTTCTGCTATAACGATGTATCCATTTTATTATAAATTAATAAATTCAACTAAAAGAAGTTCAATATTTTCTTCACATGTGAGGAAAATTCATGGCAGAAATTGGCCCAAAAAATTATTTGAATTATGTTTAGAGAGTTATGATAAATTGAATAATGATGAGATTGAAGTACCTGAAGATTGGAATACTGGTGATATATACTTAAATCCGAAAACTATAACTGCAATTGAAGGTGTTATTGGAACAATTGAAACCGCAGTTGATTGCTTATTTAAAACACCATCTTCACCTCCTCAAATAAATGGAGCACAGACAACTGATAATGATCAAAACCATGATCTAGCATTCGTTGTAATACGACCTCCTGGTCATCATAGTCATGCATGTTTACCGAGTGGATTTTGTTTGATAAATAATGTGTTCATAGGAATCGAATATGCTTTTGAAACATATGGTGTAACACATTGCGCCGTACTAGACATTGATTTGCACCATGGGAATGGCAATCAACTGATTTTAATGGAGAAGGCTGGTTGGACCGATGAATATGGTCAGCAAGATGAAGATGAAGTGATTGATCCAAAATTGAATCCCAGAGATGATTATGGAAAAAGATTTGCAACATACCCAAAAGTTGGATATTTTTCATTACATGATATAAAATCTTATCCTACTGAATTAGGATATGCTACAATAGATAATATCAAGAATGCTTCAACTTGTATTATGGATCATGATTTAAATATATGGAATGTGCATTTACAACATTGGAAAGATGAAGATGAATTTTATAAACATTATCAAACAAAATATGTTGCAATCTTAAATCGTGCGAATCAATTTTTAAACAACTCAAAGAAACAATATGAAGAAGAATTTGAAGAATATTTATATCAATTAAATCAATATAATAAAAGACAATCCCCAAGTAGTATACACAGCGGAAATAAACATGAATTAGAAAAACCAACTCCACCTCCACCATATAAACCTTTAATTATAATAAGCGCAGGGTTTGACGCATCAGAATATGAAAATCCTCAAATGCAAAGACATGGTATTAATGTACCTACATCTTTTTATTCTACTTTTACAAAAGATGTAGTAAAACTAGCTAAGATTCATACAAATGGTAAAGTCATATCTTTCTTAGAAGGTGGGTATAGCGATGGAGCATTAACAACAGGTATTTTTTCTCATTTGATTGGATTAAATAATGATGATGATATATTATGGAATCATTCTTGGGGTTCTGAACAAGTCGTTAAAGAATTAATAAAAGGATGTAAAAAGAATTGGACACCATATAAGAATCCTAAAACAGATATTACTATATGGGCTAATGAAGTGATTAAATTAGGTAGATCAATGATGCCTAATGCAATATTACCTTCAAATTATATATATAAAGATCAAACAAAAGATAAAGAGAAACAAGAATTTGATAATTCACGATCTAAAATGGATAATAATAAACCCGTGAACAAGATGGTTAAAGAAATTATGGATAGTGTTGGTAATATGGGAATTATTGAAAGTCCAACAAAAAAGGATGAAAAATCTAATGAAATTAATTATGATGATAATGGTAGAAAAATTTCAAGACATACTAGATCTTACTATAAAAAAGTTTGAAAAAATTACAATTGGGCCGTATACATTTGCTCATAGAATTTAGAGACAACTGATAGATAAATTAACTTGGATTACACAAATAGAAAATAGCATTATAGAAATGAAAAACATTGAAGATGAATACTTTGTTTGCACCTTTCTTTTGACAAAACGTATATCTTAATTCGTACTTAGATCTTCCACAAACCTTCAAAATCAGCAGAATGATACTTTAATAGCTCGGTAAATTGGTATGGAAATGGGTCGCAACTGATTTGCATGGAGAGGGCTGGTTGGACCGATGAATATGGTCAGCAAGATGAAGATGAAGTGATTGATCCAAAATTGAATCCCAGAAATGATTATGGAAAAAGATTTGCAACATACCCAAAAGTTGGATATTTTTCATTACATGATATAAAATCTTATCCTACTGAATTAGGATATGCTACAATAGATAATATCAAAAATGCTTCAACTTGTATTATGGATCATGATTTAAATATATGGAATGTTCATTTACAACATTGGAAAGATGAAGATGAATTTTATAAACATTATCAAACAAAATATGTTGCAATTTTAAATCGTGCGAATCAATTTTTGAATAATTCAAAAAACATTGATGATGAGTGCTTTGTCTGTACCTTTCTTTTGACGTAGTTTATATCTAAACTCATACTCAGAATTCTTTTATAAACCCTCAAAATCAGTAAGTCGAATGATATAATTGTTTCCTAAATTGGTTAAGAATATTGTATTAAATTTGGTAGCATGGTTAGAGCGTAAGCCGTATTTGAATGATGTTACACAAAATTGAAACAAGATCGATTTAGTCTATTAAACAGATCGTATTTTAATAGATCGTGTATCCCTATGATATTATAACGATTTCTTCAAATTAATTTGAAAAAGGGTTAGTTTCTCCTCCAAGGAATGCCCACTTAATGAAAGACGTCCCTTCAAGATCTTGCTTTTTCGTTTTCTCAATAATGTGTAGATAATAAACTTTAACCTTCTTTGATATATTTATTCATATTAAAAAATTAGTTAATAAATTTACTGTACAACTTGATTATCAAAATTAATTTTTTTTAGTTCATACACAAATTTACATTTTACACTAAAAAATCAAACAATAATATCAAGAATACCACCAACAAGTAATACTTGAAACTATTTTACAATAGCATCACATCATTGAACCAACCATATCCAAACCCCAGCTTAACGAAATCAAACAAATACACCTTACTACAACCAAAATAATGATACACTGATAGAAGATCTATAATACATAATATAATATAAACATTTACACAACACTCATATAAATTGCGTAAACATCAGATATAATGGATCAATTGGTTGAAGAAAATAAACAACTAAAAAAATTTATTGAGCAACAGAATGAATTAATATTGAATTTACAATCTCAAGTCAAATTGTTATTAAACAGAGATAGTAGTCAAATTAGTAGTAGTAGTAATGGTTCAATAACTGATCAAACTATACTTAAAACCAATAATAAACTCACGTCAAATAAAAATGATTCGACGAGATCCATACCTATACAGGATGATGAACCTTTATTACCACGAATCACACCTTCTTCACCAGAAAAGACACCATTAGGTTTATCAATATCATTATTTGAAGATGATTTAGTAAATTCTTCATCATCCTCGAATTTAGTTGAAAATATCACAACTCCAAAGCAAGTTACATCATTTTCTGTCAAAAATAATGAAAGATCTCTACCATCACCCAGGCGACAATTGCAAAACCTTCAAAAAGAGCAAAAAGAGCAAAAAGAGCAAAAGGAACAAAAGGAGACTAAGGAGCAAAAGAATCAAATGGACTTAAAGTCATCTCAGGATAACAAAACAAAATATATGAAAGAACCCTCATTGCTGACTCCTTCATCATCATCCTCTTCATCCCAAATACCCAGAGCTATATCAAAAACAGATGATAGTGCTAGATCGAATTCTCCTCAAGAAATTCCAATGAGATCAGGTAGAAGAATTAATCAAACCAATACGACCAATATTAACAATCATTTTAGCAAAGAAGTTGAGAAGGATACCTTTGATAATTCAACTATAAAATCATCTTCCTCAAAATCAACCTCACTTTCACAACTCCCTACTTCAATTTCAAATGCAAGCAATTTGTCCTCAAGAACAGTTGATAGAGATATAGATACCTCCGTTATTTCGGATAAAGGATTACACATTGCAACATCAAGGGATAGTGAAAAAGAAAACAAAGATCAAAGTAATACCACGATTGGTGAAACATCATTGAACAAATTTGGTCATACATTGAACACGGTAAGCTCCATCGATTCAGCATCTAAATTTGATGATACAATTGAAAGTCAATTGAGTCAAATATCAGACTCTTTTAGATCTAATGCTGATTTATTATCATCTACTTTGTCAAATACAACCATTTCAAATTCCAATAATAACAATATTTTACCTAAAGCTCAATCTCAGAATAATAGAATATATTCAAATAGTAAAATGACAAGATCTACCTCAAGTGCTGCTTCCACATATATGTCATCTAGAATAAAACCACCTGGTTCCGACCAACAAAATAATCAACAACAAACAACAAACAAAGAAGTCACAACTTCTTCGCATCCTTCACCAACAATAGATTTGGCTCCTCCTACATCATTAAAATTAGCATTCAGCGAGAAGAATGATTCTAAATCAAACGTGTCCTCATACACTACTCCTACAAGTCAAGAAATCCCAAGATTTAGTGATGAGTCAAGTAAACAATATGCAGTCACACCAGATGGATTCAGTGAAAATACAAAATTTGATGAGTTTGCATCACCTAGTTTTAGTGCTAAAAATTATAATGCTACTCCACTGTTCAATACTCAACAAAATTCCTCATTTCATCAAAATAATGGAGAATATTATGCATCAACCATTCAACCTAATAATTATAATCAAGCATCGTATCCACCAAATCAGCAACAGCCTTATCAAAATGTGAACGTCAATCAACCTTACGCTTCGTCAAATACTTATCAAGAGAGCAAACAACAATTGGATCCACCGTATGATTTGAGCCGTACGTCGTTTAATGATCGACCACCTCAATTTAACCAGGATCCACCGAAAGCAAATAATTATCTGCAGCTGAGTTTTTCTAGACCAAATTATCAAACACCTACTTCTTCAACTAATAACGTAAACAATACAAGCCCTTATACTCCTGGTGGCTCAAGTTTTAATGTTTTGCATACACCAAAAACAGATATGGATGAATCGTTATTATTTATCAAGCCTGATGAATTTCACACAATATTCATCAAAGTTGTTAGTACAATCCATGTATCTACATCAAATAATCAATCATCAAAAAAGAGTGAAGATCCAAAAATCACATTAACTATAAATGATAGAGAATCAAATAAAGAAATGTGGAGAATACGAAAGACTTTTTCCCAATTAATTGCATTTGATTCTGAAATACGACCCATTGTGGAATTTTTCGGACTTGGCTCGTTGCCCGATAAACTAAGCTTTTTATCAACGACTCCAAGCAAAATTGAAAATAGAAGATCAATATTGCAAAATTATTTTAATTCCGTATTCTTAATGCCTCATATCCCACACATGGTATTATATAAAATATGTTTCTTTTTATCATTAGATTTCTTGAATCCTTTAGATGATTTCAAAAGTGGATCAAGGAAAGAAGGGTTTTTGGTGCGTCGTTATAAAGGGTTAGGTAATAGTTGGAAAATCAGATGGTGTCAAATCGAAAGTAATTATCTTGAGATATATCATCACCCAGGTGGTCAATTACAAGAATCAATTCCATTGACCAATGCACAAATTGGAAGACAAGCATCAGATTCAGTAGCTGATGATAAAGGATACAGACATGCATTTTTAATTATGGAATCATCAAAATCTTCAAAATTACATACTACCCCAAGCAAACATTTCTTTTGTGCGGAAACAGATGAAGAAAGAGATGATTGGGTTACTGCATTAATTGAATTCACTGAACCAACACAATCAAATGAATCATCACCACAAAAATCGAAAGAAAACTATGATGACATTCCAACACCTATAGAATATGATAAAAAATTCCTGTATGATAATTATAGTCCCAGTCATAACAACAACAACAGCAACAATTACAACAATAATACCAACAATCCAAACTTTTCATCAAATGGTTATGGTGACCAAGTATCAACAAAAACGTCTACATCGAATGAAGAACAAGCAAAGAAAATGAAAAAAAGAAGTTATTTCTCATTCAATAGGAATAGAACTAATTCAAATGCTGATGAGTCAGTTATACCTCAACAACCCCCACCACCACAATATCAACAACTGCAACAGCAGTTTTCAAAGTCACAAATTTATGATAACGAGCAAAACTACAACAATCTCAAGCAACCACAAGGTAATTTAAATGCTTCAAATAATTATTATCTTAATGGTCCCAATACTTCCTCAATTCCGAATAACTCAACATATAATGCTCCCTCTCAACAACAAGATAATTCAAATTCAATGCAACAATACTTGAATGATCTAGATTTAGGTAATGATATTACAAAGTCCATATTTGGTAGAGATCTACAAATTGCGTATGATTTATCGAATCATCAATACATGAATAAACAAATTCCAAGTATATGTTACAGGTGTTTGGACTATTTAAATAAAACAGGAGCAATTTATGAAGAAGGAATTTTCAGATTAAGTGGATCAGCGTCAACTATTCGTCAATTAAAAGAAAATTTCAATACTAATTATGATATAGATTTATTCAAAAGTCCATTGAAACCAGATATTCATACAGTATCAGGTTTATTTAAAACTTATCTTAGAGAATTACCAAATCCAATTTTAGGAACAGAAACTTATAACCAAATGAATTCAATAATTATGGTTTCATCATACTCGAAATCTCAAATATCAATTAAATTTAAAGAAATTCTAAATTCAAATTTAATTTCCAAAATCAATTATGATTTATCTTATTGTATTTTTAAATTTTTAAAATCAATTATTTCACAAAGTTCAATAAATAGAATGAATTTAAAAAATGTTTGTATTGTATTTGTACCAACTTTAAATTTAAGTTTAGAAGTTTTAAGTTCAATTTTAATTGATTTTGAGTTTATATTTGATGATGGTGATCGACCTATATCTGATGATAATAGAGAAGTTTTGGATTTACATATTCCAACATTTTAATGAAATTTAATGTTTTTGCTTTCTTCTTATATACAGTTGTATAAATATGATATATATGAATTGTAAAAAATTTTATTAACCTACGTAGCCATTATTTACAATTACAAAACCTTTCTTTCTATACATTATTCACCATTCACATTCACCAGTTGCTTTATGAAATACATAATCTTTACCATCAATATTAGCTATTCCTTCTTTTAAATTCAGTTTCCATTTATTTTTAATTCTTTGAACTTTATCATATAAACATAACATAATTTGACCTTCTTGATTTTCTTCATCATCATCTGATTTATCACTTTCTAAATCATCATCTAGATCTGAATTTATATCATCTGAATCATTAAAAATATCCCTATCTTCTTCATCAAGATCAACTTCATCTAAATCATCATCATTTTCGGAATCATCTAATGTTCCATCTATTTGATAAAATTTTTTCTTAGGCTTTTTCAGTAGTTTATTTCGTTGAGAACGTTGTAGTTTATTCATAAATTTCTTGGGATTATTTACATGTATCGTCATTTCAAATGTACCGTCATTTTGATTCAATTTAGGTAAAACTAAATCATTACCATTATTAGGCTTGGAATTTAAATTATTCGTTACAGTCGGTAATTCTAAACCTAAATTATTATTGTAACTTAATGGATCAAAATCTGATTTTCCATTAAATGAATCTTCTTCAACTTTAACTTGTGTTTCATTCGTAATTATTTCAGGGTTTGTACTTGAATTTGAAGTCTGTGCCTGTATTGATTGTTGTTCTTTTTCTTGCTGTGATTGTGATTGTGATTGTGGTTGTGGTTGCTGCTGTTGCTGCTGATGTTGTTCCTGTTGTTGCTGTTGTAGTGGTTGATCGTCATCTTCCTGTTCATCATCATTATTAAAATCCCATGAAAATTTACATACTTTTGATTGAGTTAATTTTTCACACCATATTTTACGAAGCTCTAATAATGTTTGTTCATCTACCCCCATATTCTCGAAATCTTGTCTTGAATCCGATATGACATCTTCTACTATCGTTTCATATAGTTTACTCGCCTCTAAGTTTGACATATTTTAATGATATTGAATATAGTGGCGCGTTTAATTTATTCTTGACGATGATGGATTATTTTGAACGCAATTCTCTTGATATTAATTTACAATAAATTGTACGGTCTTTAGTTGATTTATCCAAAAAAAACAGTCTGTACAAGGGTGATATGATCGATGGGGAATTGCTAATCGTACGAGCTATGAGACTTGGTTGTCAATATCAATGTGGTGCATTCGTTTCAATTTTTCTCGATTCAAAAATATATTTATAGGTCGTGTAAAATGCAACAAAGATATACCGAGATTGATCAAGTTTCAAGAGTAGTTCCATATCGAATCTGAACTTTCGAATCATCATTAACAAAATCATCATCGTATGCAATAGAAGAGATTACTTAACATTTACAAGGCTCCTTCGGGAAATGCATTAAACAAATCAAGATTACTATATATACAAGAATAGCTATTTACATGAACCATACCTTATTCAACTTCGTTGACTAATTCCAATTCTATGTCTTGTAAATATTTCTGTTGATGATTGATTTTGTTTAATAATTGCTTGAAAAACCCAGAGCTTAGTTCAGCATCTTTAATATATGATTCCAATTTTGTTTTTTGTGTTAATTTTTTGTCAATACTTGTTTGAAAATTATTCATAACTTGTCTTGAAGGATAATTTAATACTTGTCTACATTCACTCGATATTCGACTTGAATTATTATGAATATAATTTATATCTTTTATTTGTTTTTTGATTTTTTGTGCTTGTTTTCTTGGTAATGCATTTGGTATGTCACTGATTAAATAATATAATGTTAAACCTGATATACCGATAAGAACTGGAACTGCTATGGTCTTGACCATTTTTGGTGTGACATAATGACTGAAATGGTATAAGCGATTGATTAATGCACCAGTGGTTAAAATTTTACCTGAAGAGTATATTGTGTGCAATGTTATCTGTGTAGGCAATTGATTTTTTAATTGCAACGCATTTGATGGAATGTTGGTAATGACTGATATTGGATTAAAAAAGTTTATTTGATTTTTGGTGATATTCACATATTTTTCAGGTAATCCCACAAATACTAAAAATGATTCAATTGATGGGTCAAAAAAGTCTGAAATTTCCAAAGTATCTTCTATGTTTTTACCAATGTCATCTTTGGCTCTTGTAAACATTAATTCAGAATTAAATTTTTTATCATCTAAAAATTCTTCATTTAAGGTAGTCTTACCATATTTAATGATTTCATCAACTTTTTGGACGGTTTCAATTTTTGCTAATTCTTCGCATTCTAAAACAGCGTCACATACAACATCCATCATTGCCAATTGCGATTCTTTTGCATATTCAAACAAATACTGTAAACCTTCATATTGAACTACTGGTTTCTCTCCCAAATTATTCATAACTGTATTCAATTCATTACTAGTGTCATTGTATATTTTAGTGCATGTCGATTCAATCAATGCATTGATAGTATCGGCAATCCTATGAGATTTGTAGACAATTTCATTTACTCTTGGTGCAACTTGATTGTTCAATTCTTGTAATTTATCTCTTTTTTCATCATTGTAGATATTTTCATTAATTTTGGATAAAGTTTGTAAATCATGCAAAAAATTGAGTAAATAACTTTTGGCTGGTAATAATTTAGAAATTGACCTTTTCTCCAATATGAATTTTCTTAAGGATGCTTCAAGTAGATCAAAATTTGGGTGATGATCATTGTTTCTGTCATTATTATTATTATCATCATCTCCGTCTCCATCTCCATCGTCACCACCGTTTCCGTTCCCTTTATTTACTTCGTTTGAACTAACAAAGTGAATGAATTCTTTTGCGTTTTTGTACGTGTCAGGTGACAAATTTTTGATTTGATCCAATATCCTCTTTTTACATTTTTCTTTATCTTTGATGTTATCAAATCTATTAACAACAATAAAAACATATCTTTTTTCATTAGCAGCCGCGGCAATGAATTCTTTTGCTGATAAAGTAAAATGATTTTCCGCACTTACCACGAATATCACTAAATCAATTTCTTCTTGACGGGAAAAGACTTGGGTTGTTTGATAAGAATCCATATTTAGACCTGGTGCGTCGATTAATTTAATATCAATAACACCGTTATGTAATAAACTTTCTTGAAATGATCTATGATCCAACACATAAACTTTAAGTAGCCTGAACTTATCACAATCGTAAACCAATTCCTCCAAATCCTTCAAAGGGTGTATTTCATAAGTGGATTCATCATGTATTTTATATTCTTTCTCAATAGGTATAGCATGTACTTCTTCTAGTCCATGATTCTCTATCGTTGCATCTATCACTTCACAAAACACAGATGTACATGGTTGTTGATCTTCTGGTAATAATTTTCTTCTTAATAACGCATTGCAGAATGTAGATTTACCAGCGTTCAAATCCCCTGTAACAAATACTTTGGATGAAGTATCATCAACCCTATCTTTTAAGTTAAACAAATATTTGATTTGACTACTTAATTTCTTCTCCAATAAACTTGCTATAGACTTTTTGTCAAGGTTTGATACTAAATTTTCATCATTGTGACCCCCTTTTATGTTGATTTTCAATATTTTAAACTCTGGTAATTGCTTTACTAAATCATCTTCTTTGATTTTTTGTTTTGTTAATTGCTTTATGCTACTATTCTGTCTTACTAATGCCAAGTGAGCTTTTGCACTATTCAATAGAATTTTTTGATCATCTTCAATTTCAGTTGGATAAAATACAGGTCTTTCCTTGTTCTCTTTTATAATTTCGTTTATTAATTCAATAGTTTGATTTATCGACCTATCCAATGCTATTCTGTTTTCGTTGTAATGTAGTTGTTGTAATGATGCATTAACATGTTTCTTGTTTGCCAAAGCTAAAGCTCTTTTAGCATCTTGTTCTTTACTACTTCCTTCTTGTCCATCGAATAAAGTTGTACCATCATGTGAGAATTGACTCTCTCCTGGTATATACATTAGATGAGCTGGATCAACAGTTGACTTAGCTAATGCCTCATCTATCAATGTTTCCAAATCTTCATCATCAGATGCATTGTTCTTATGTTTGGTCTTTGAGTCTTGTACTTCTAGTTTCTTCCCATTCAAAAACGGAAAATCTCCCATGCTTATAATTATTTATTTTAAGGAAGCGATATAGATGGTCTATCAAAATGATTATATATTAAATGAGCTTCTTGTATGATTTAATGGGAGTGATTACAAATAATAAAAATTTTTAGTGGCGATTCTTTGTTTATTTGAGTTGATCAGTTGCTTGATTCGTCTAACTCAAGTGAAGAATTATAAGATTGTGTAATTAACATGGATCAATTATTAGTAGAAATTTATAATGATCGATCCATACTAAAAATTACTTTTTCTGCACACAAAATACTTTAACGTGACCAAGATCAGTAAATTATAAGTCACATGTTTAGTCACCTGACTAAAAATAAGTTTTCGGAGATTTCCAGATATTAAAAGATAAAACCAATGTTAATCAATTCTAGACAGATCAGATGATTCAACAACTTATTTTTTGAATCCCCTCATATCATAATGGCTCTTAAAACCTTCAATACTGATAGAAAACAGATAATAAAAGCTGAGCCATTAACACCTGACTCATTTCGAGAATTTGGTGGAGTAATTAGTGCTGATTATCAGATCAATGAATCAAATGATAAATCAAATGCAAATTATGGTACAGCTATTAAGGTTCATAAAGTTGCTCCTATCATAAACAATTATGCTAATTCAAAATCTAAACAAAAAGAAACAGCAAATTGGAATATTTTTAGATGTAAAGCACCTACACATTTAATCAAACATGGAGGATTAAATTCTGTTTATTTATCAAAAGTATTGGAGAGACACTTATATACGACTCAAACATTTATACCAATGGGTCAAGATTCCAAAAAAATATCGTATTTGGTTATAGTGGCGAAAACCGATGAATCAACGTCTCAACGTTTACCTACGCCGGATAAAATCAAAGCATTTGTATGTAAAGGAAATCAGTCCGTTACCTATGGTCCTGGTATTTGGCATGCACCAATGGTTGTGATTGATGAGACTATACCGTATTTGGACTTTGCTGTTATGATTCACGAGAATGGGGTAGCTGATGAAGATTGTCAGGAATGTTATTTTGATCCCGGATTTAATATTCAATATCAATTAGACAATTCAAAATTATAAAAAATTTGTTAACAACACTAACACCAAATTGTTATATATAATCAACTAATTCTTTAATGACTTCATTTGCATATTCTTCTCTGTCTGAAGGCGATAGATTTTTGGCATTTTCTCTAGCTAAAGTCAACTTAGTAAACCATTTGTCAAGAGAATCATTGTGCTCTGGTGTGGTTCTCTCTTCTTTGTCATCTTGAAGAAGCCTTTCAGACATTTGAATCAATTTTTCATTCTTATTGCTTTCATACATTTCAGTTGAAGATTTAATCAATTCCATATTTGACCACTCATGACTTTCTATCAATTCTAAGATTCGATCTTTGCCTTGGGTTTCTTTGTATTCATTTTTACCTCTCAATTGAAAGTTTATGAATTCAAGACCATAAGTTATAGCTTTATCCTCTATTTCTTCAAATTTACTATTGTATTGGTCCTCGTTCAGCCCGACTGGAAGTGATCCAACCACTGCAATGAATCCAGGCCATACGTGATTGCTGTCAAGTTTGGATCGTATCTTATCTATTACATCCATTTGAGAGTTTATATATATTTCAGAATCTTCCTTTACATTAATCGTAAATATGATTCCATCCAAAACTTCCCTCAATTCTTCCATTTCTTCACTCAAAAATTCATCACACCAATTAATCATAGCTTTTATCTTATGTTCTTCAGATTCATCATCTTTGCAATTTGCATACTCGTCAATTAAAATGTTTAATTTAATTGTATAATATTTAGTAGTCAACTCGGTCTTATGTATTGTTCCACAGTGTGAATTTTTGTCAACTAAACTTTCCACCCTATCAACCTCTGTGTTCGATTGAATGAGATCACTTATTCGCAATTTACCACTATTGGGTGATCCAACGATCAATATATGATTTGGAATCATATATTGTGATAAAGATTGATATTTCAATCATATTTAATCCCATAAATCAATTTTGGCACAAATTCAACTCGTATAATTTAATTTACTTCAATTTTCAGCCAAGGGCCAACTTAAAACAATTGACAAACCTAGCTTATTATTCAACACTCAATTGGCTGATGGCACCTTCAACCATAAACGAAACACATGCTAGCAATAATGGACAGGTCAAACAAAATGGAGTCAAAAATAAGCAGCACATACTCAATCAAAATAAACCAACAATAGACAGCATGCAACTTGAAAATTTATTACTTAGAGATGAAGAAATATTTCAAACGTCATTAAACTCGGATGACTACTTGGACAGTCTTGCTCCAATTATAAAAAATGCTGTCAAATCAAATGGTTTGTCAGACTTAATACTAAAATTGAATGAAATTGTGAAGTCAAAAGATGAAGAATTGAATCAACAATCCATGGAATCAATGGACGAAATTAATCTTTGCATGAGCCATATATCTAACATTCACAAAGATGCGGAAAATTTAAGGAATCATTTAGCGTTAGTAAGTCAAACATTTAACAAGTCATCAATTGAATTAATGTCAAGAAAGAAAAATTATATCAAGTACAAAGATGTTTGTAATAGAATAAGCGAAACTCAAGTTGTGTTGAACGAATGTATACAAGTTTTGGAACTAATGAATCGAATCTTGGATTTAATTAAGCAAACAAAGTATTTTCTGGCATTAAAATTAATTGATGAAATCGTCAATATTCACATTCAAAAAGTTAACGAATTCAGTTTTGCTAAAAAAATTATTAGCTCCATACCTCATTTGACCAAAATGGTAAAAGATGATGCATTTGAAAATCTAACAAAATGGTTGTCCTTAAATCTTGAAAGGAAACTTCATACGGTGGGGAACAATTTGTATGATAACTTATTCTTTTTGCAAGAAACTTGGGATCAAATAAAAAGAAAAAACTTAACTTACCTACCATACAAATTGAATTCACCAGTTGAGTTGAGTCTACGAGATCCGGAATCAAATTATGATATATTCGAAGATGAAACTCTACAAATACCATTAAATAGTGTTTATGACGCTATTTTGGTATATCGAACGTTGAATGAATTAGATAACTTGAAACATATATATAATAAGGAATTCATGAAGAAATATACTAGAATAATATACCCATTAACGTCGGCCTCAGCTAATATAAAGGAAATAAAATTTGACGAAAAAGAACTTGATGAATATTTACGAAAGATAAGTGCATTTTTTGTGATGGATAAGCAATTAAATCTACTTACAAAATTTCAATTACGTACAAATACTCAAGCTGATGAATTATGGAAATCATATGTATCGAAACTTAAACCAATATTGCTTTACAATTTAAGGAACAACGATTTTTATGATTTAAGTGACTTGAGTAATTTCAAAAATATAATTGGTGATTTTTTGCAAATTATGGATTCAAACGAATATGACATATCCGACTTGTACGAAGTAATGATGGTGATACTCAAAAATCATTTTGCACCTTTATTGGTACAAGATTTCAGAAAAAAATATTTGGTTTCAATGCAGAAAGAGTTATACACAACTTTAACCGTATATGAAGATACTTATACCCCTATCATGAAAACAATTTTTTACAGAAAAGATGAACCATTCGCACCCAATAATATTAAAACATTTCCAGTACATTTCCCATTTAGCGAAGACTATGTTGCATTTTGTAAATACTTACGACAAATCATAAATTCATGTATAAACTTTATCAGAGACTACTATAATTATGAAATCAATGAAATAAATAACATTATAGTCTATGATATAATCGAAACATTTCTTAGTGATAAAAAAGGTTATGGTATAGCAGGAGAAATTGAAGAATTCATATCAAAAAATGCAAATAATCAAGAAGTAATATCACAAAGTTTTGTAAATCTTCAATACTATTTATCAAGTTTGTATGAAACTGGTCCCTTGATAAATTCAAAATTGAGACAAAATACAGGTATGGGAATTCACAATATAGATCACAGTAACACATTCACCTTGAAAGCTGTTGAATCTTTCATTAAATTAAAAAAATTCTCAGAGGACATGGTGTATACTATGGTGGATAATAAAATAAAAGGATTATTAGAAATGGTTGAGTATGATGATTATTTACCTACAACGAAAAACGTCGAGGCAAATTTCAACATAAAAGATTTTGCAATGTTTTTGGAAAATTTGTTTACTTCAATTTTTCAAAATTTACCATCACAATTGAGAACATTGGGATTATTTCGTACATATGATTTCATTTCACAACAATTTTTAAATTTACTTAAAGATTCAAGAGAATTTAATCAAATATTCATACATAATTTTGATCTTGATATTAAATATCTTGAGCAATCGATGCAAAAACTAAGTCATAACGACCAAGAACAAGCTGTGGATGATACTTCAGGTAATGTGGCTATTGAATCAACGTTTTCAGAATTAAGACAAAGTATAAATTTATTGAGTAATTCTAGTCAATTTGATGAATTTTTACAAAATAATCAATTTAGAATGAGACAGTTTCCTGCGTTAAAGTTTGAAGATGGTAAGCTTTTGATAAGTAAAATGAAAGGCACAAGAATAATAAGTGCTGGTAGTGGGATAAATAGAAGCTTTGAAAGTAACGGGAGTAGTAATCGATTAGACTCAAGTAGATAAGATCAATATACAGAAATAACTTACTCTGAAGTATTATAGTAATGTTTTGAATTTGGCATTGTTCACGCAATATTTCTATCTTCATATTGCAAACTCGTACTGAGGCAAAAACGAGAAAAGTTTCAAAATAAATAATTTTCTGTATTTATTCAATTTAACAAAATTAAAACAAACGGCCAAATAAATATGGTTTCATACATTGACGTATGTTACTCTCACCAGCATGAATAATCTTTAATCCAATTACTAACTTATAACAAAAGTCATTATCAATTCTTGATAATCCGAAAATCAATTGGAAATTGATAATTGTAGGTTTTACAATTGGTCAATATGTTTTTGAATCTTACTTAGATTATAGACAATATAAAGTCTTGACTAAAAAATCACCTCCTGCATCCATAAAAGCAGAAGTAAATCAAGAAACATTTGATAAATCTCAAAAATATTCAAGATCAAAAGCAAAATTTTCATTTTTTAATTCAACTTTTGATTTACTACAAAATTTAGCTGTTATTAAGTATGATTTATTACCAAAAGTATGGGGATGGAGTGGGTATGCGATGTCTAAAGCTGCATTTTTATTACCTAAGTTTATGGGTGGTGTTATTACTCAATCTTTGATTTTCATAATCACTTCACAAATACTTGGAACTATTGTTGGTTTGCCATTGAGTTATTATCAGAATTTTGTTTTGGAAGCAAAATATGGATTTAATAAACAAAGTATTGGATTATGGATTACAGATACATTAAAGAAAATTGGTCTTTTGATTGTTTTAGGATCTCCAGTTATAGCAGGAATTTTAAAAATCATTGATTATTATGGTAATTCATTTATTTTTTATTTAATGGGATTCATTTTATTGATTAATTTAATTGCAATGACTATTATTCCTACATTGATTATGCCTTTATTTAACAAGTTTACACCATTAGAAGATGGTGAATTGAAAACAGCTATTGAAAATTTGGCTTCATCACAAAAATTTCCATTAACTAAATTACAAGTAGTTGATGGATCAAAACGTTCATCACATTCCAATGCATACTTTACAGGTTTACCGTGGAGTAAACAAATTGTGTTGTTTGATACTTTAATTGAACACAATTCTACGGAAGAAACAGTAGCTGTATTGGCTCACGAAATCGGACATTGGAGATTGAATCATATTCCAAAAATGTTAACTATGGGTCAATTTCATCTCTTTATCATTTTTTCATTATTCAATGCTTTTGTTCACAATAAGTCATTATATAATTCATTTGGATTTTACAATCAGCAACCAATTGCAATTGGTTTTACATTATTTAATGATATTTTAAGGCCATTAGAATGTATTTTAGATTTTTCACAAAATTTAATTTCAAGAAAACATGAATATGATGCTGATAAGTATGCATTAAACTGTGGTTACTCAGAAGAGTTAGCAAGATCTTTGATTAAATTATCAAACGAAAATTTATCAAGTATGAATGCTGACTGGTTATTTTCTGCTTATCATCATAGTCATCCTATTTTACCAGAAAGGTTAAGTGCTCTTGGATACGTTTCAAAAGAAAAAATAAGCATAGATAAACCAGAGAAAGTGGAAGAAGTTGTTGAAAAAAAAGTAGAAAAACAAGAGTAAATAATGATGAATATTACCGAGAAGTATGTAAATAGTTTGAATATTTACGCGCGCGTCTAATTAGCCACTATGTAATTGTAACGCTTCTGCTAAATTAACTTCATCTTTTCAATATTCAAAATCTACTCGACTCAACCACATCACAATTATGGCAGAAGAACAAAGGCGGCAAATAGAACAGTTAATGGGAAAACAGTCACTGATACGGCATTATCGTGAACCTGGTTTAACATCTCCTCAGACATGTAAAGCATATATCGTTGGGATATGTCCACATGATCTATTTGTAGGAACCAAATCCGATCTTGGTAAGTGTCCCAATTTACACCTACAAAAGCATAAACTTGAATACGAATACAAGACAAAGACGTTGAATGAAAAATTTCCAGAGATGGAATATCAATATTTTCAAATTTTACAAAAATACATACATGATTTAGATCGAACAATATCAATAGCTCAAAAGAGATTAGAACATACTCCTGAAGAAAAAGCCAGGATTTTGGAAGTTACTAGCAAACTAGATAACTTAGATTTTGAAATTGGTTTAATGATACAAGAATTACAATTTTTAATCAAACAAAACACTAAAGAAAATGATCACAGTTTAAAAATAATTAAATTATCCATTAATTTGGATCAAAAATTTAAAGATCGAGATGAAGCAAGTAATAAGGCAAGATTTACAATTGAGAATATAGGTCAAACCTCTCAACAAAAATTACAAGTTTGTGATGGTTGTGGTGCTTATTTATCCAGATTAGACAATGATAGAAGATTGGCTGATCATTTTGTTGGTAAAATTCATTTAGGTTATGTTCAATTAAGACAGGCTTATGATGAGTTAAAAGTTAAATACTAGAGGTTAGTAAGTACTTACTTGTATAATTAGTTATCTTTAATGATTTATGATTTAAAACTTTCTTAATTCAGTAAAACAAAATTTCGAGGCGGTCCATTTCTCGTCCGCTCGAAATTTTGTTTTATCTTTTATTTTCTGCTCTTTTAAATGAACCACCACAGTTTACATTATTATTCAAACCAGAAGAGCTGACCAACAATGAGAAAATATCAATTAATTGGACGGAAAGGTGGAAGGCTGTTTACGAAGAAGAAACAGATTCAATATGACCTTTTACATTTACACTCACTACCTTTAGAAATACTACTAAGGATCTTTAATAATTTACAAGAAGATTTCAATTCATTATTATCATTAGCATTAACATGTCATAAATTCTACATCCTAATATGTAAAAATTTACTTTATAAGTCGATTGAATTTAAGACTCCAGGGAAGTTTCTCAAGTTTTCAAATCAACATTTGAATCAAGAGGTCAGTAATAAGATTAACTATATTGAAACGATAAATTTCATAAATCCACAAATTCCAAAATCATCAAAACATAAGATTACAATTGCAGGTAGTTATGCAGTCGAGTCAAACGATCAAACTGTAAACACTCTAAGCTATTCAGGTTTCATTTCGTCATTAAAGTCATTGTTTACGCAAGCTTATGGACTACGATGTCTTGAATTCAGTGAAATTGCTCCAGAATTTGCTTTCCCCATTGATTCAAAAAGTAGTGGTAGTATATGGCGAAGAAAAGTATTTTCAGCCAAAAGGACGTTACCAAAACTAGTGCTTAAATCTCAATCTGGTTGGTCGATTCCATTAAGAAATATACATCTATCATTAATATGTGAATATTTCGACGAAATAAAAGAATTGCATTTGGTAAACTTTATCATTGATCAACCTATCGACCTAAATATCAAAATTGATTATGTCCTTTTTGAATCATGTTCATATTCAACAAAAAAGTCTAAGGTACCATGTACTATATTTAAGGACACCACCAGTCTCAAATTGAAAAACGTAACCAATGTTGCTCAATTGTCGTTAATAGATTTGGTGAAAATGAATAATAAGTTGAACAAGTTAACCTTAAACTTAAAATCACCTGTATTTTACACCAATGGAGAATTCAATTTCACAAAATATAATCCATTTTTCAAATTGTTGGGATCTCAAGAAGGAGGTTATTCAACAATTACTACGCTAGTACTAAAAGAGTTTGATTTGTTTGATTATCTTCAACATGACGATGTTCATAGTCAAGATGTCGATTCATGGGTGGAACCACCAACTAATAATTTTGAAACTTTCATAACATATATTTCCCATATTCCAAATTTAACTTTAATTTTAAAGAAGACTCCAATTAAAGTTAAAACTTGTGTAAAGTGTGGTTTTAAAGAACAGGATTTAGATAAGAAGATAGAAAGTCTAACGAATGAAGAGTGGGAAATATTTTTGAAACCTTTAGAGTTTCAAAAAGACAACAACTTGAAAATTTTGAATCATGATTTGAACTGTTTATATTCTGTTTCAAAAAGTACATAGATATAACACGACTAAATATAAGTAATAAATTTTAATGAAAACTATCAATGATGCAGTTGAAACTAGTCCGGGTTGTTAGTATTAGTCTTCAAGTCAAATGTTAAAAATGGAAACATACCTTAGTTTTGGTGGAACAAATTGGCCCAAAATTTTTTGACTGAGTCAGTTGCTTTGTTAATCGTTTCAACGAATGAATTGTGCTTTCGAGGTGGTTCCTTTAGGTTTTCATTTGATTCAGTTGGAGAAGTGTCATTATATAATTTTCCAGCGGTATGTTTTTCTTCATTCAATTCCCGAGAATCATACATACCCTTTTTATCTGATGACGCTATTTCAAAATCGACAACCACATCTACTTCATATAATGTATTTAAAATTTCACCATTTGGTTGATAAAATCTAAAATTTGTTTTCAATTCGTCTTTAGTCAATTCAACAAACTTTCCATTATCTATATCAAATCCTGATTCAATCATTACATCAGCAACTGGTGGTGGGACAGCGGCGGATATGATCAAATTTGGATACAGGGATTTACATTTGGGGATTGGTGACTTGTATTGTTTTATCATATGTTTAATGTCTTTAGCGTTTGATTTCATTGAATTGACAATAAATTCATAATCTAAATCCGGTAAAGTATCAAATTTTGTTTTCAATTGAACAAAATCCCTTAATAATTTGACATCACCGTTAGGTAATATTTCAACTAATCCATAATTATTCGGTTCTTGAGTGAACTCGTAAACCAAACCACCGCTAAATACATCAACCATATTATTTGTGTACAAAATTGGAACTTCATCAAAATTTCTAGGTAAAACCTCGTTACATCCGTATTCAGAAAAAAATAATGGCTTTGTATATCCTTTATAATCATTGACTAAAATATTATAACCTGAGCTATAAAATGTTTGATCACCACACCATTGATAGGAATTTACTCCATAAAAATCAACACTTTCCATCAAATTATTGTCAGCACATTCCAAATATTGTGCTAATGATATCCTATAATTCAAATCATCTGCTGCAGAATAACCAACTGGAATTTGTCTAGGAGAATTATAATTGATATAATTTTTAATATCTCTAATAACTGCTTTAATATAAGGAGCAGCAACCGATGCTGATATCGGATCATTAATAACTTCATTTCCTGCTAAAAATCCTAATGTATTATTATAAAAAGAAAATTGTTGAACAATTTTGAAAATATTCTCAAAATAATATAAATTATAACTTGTCCATGGTTCATACCTATTTAAATGGTGATTTGGTAATGGTGAATTAACATCTAAAACAAGATAAATACCAGCCATAGCTAACATTGTCATACATTTATCATGATTTAAATCTGAATTTACTGAGTATATCCTAATCGTCTAAAATTATGTTAGTTGTCAATGTTGTTGGATAAATCTTATTATATATTTTATTTTACATACATTTATTCCTAATTCTTGAAATAAGATAATGTCTCTTGCACATATAACGGGATCACTAAGTGGGTCTTTCTCTTTTGAAACTGCGGATGATCCTCCAGGTTGATAGTCAATTCCTTTAATGTAAAACTTAACATTGTTAGTAATTAGCTTTGAAATTAATGCAAAAAATGTACATACTGGTTCTTTTGTTACACTATTGACAAAATAATGTCCATGGATTGTAATTGGGTGAACATTTGCAAGTATGAGTTTGAAATAAACGAATATTACTATAATTAAACAATCCAACATTACTTGTGGTGATTTTGAAGTAATCAGTTGGTTTTGGCAAAAATACAAATTTATATTTTTTAATGGTATTTTTTGTTATTCTGTTTTAAAAATTCATTTTCAGATTTGGAACAAAAGAAGAACAATTAAGGAATCCAAACTCCACAGACCAGCCTACAATTTATATAGTCAATCCATGTTCCTATTAAACTCCAATGGTTTGAGAACAGCATTTATGTGTGCCACTAGACTGTTCATTGGCTGCAAAATTTTAAAACAATTGTAGGTAGCGTCGGATTTAGCAAAATGACCGGCTTTAATTGTTGACACAATATGTGGGGTTTAAAATTATTTAGATCTATCAATTATTCATATGAATTACAGTTAATACAACTTAACAACCAAGATCAAATATCATGAAGTTTACCAAGAGTCTGGTTGACACACTTTCAAAGTCGCTTGACAACATTTTAGGAGAAGTAACCAAGTATTCAGAATCTAAAGAACCATCATTAATCGCTCCTGCTTGTACAATTGGTGTTACCGACTTGAATTCAAATATTTATTTAAATACCAAAGGGGTGAGTAATATAAATGAACTAGAAAAATTAGCTAATAATGATAATTTATATGCCTTGTTTTCATGTACTAAATCAATCACTGTAATGGGTGCATTAGTACTATATGAAAGAGGAAAATTAGATTTACATAAACCTGTTTCATCATATTTCCCTGAATTTGCATCAATTGGAGTTTTGGAACCAGGTATTGTCGATAAAAAAACTGGAGAATTATTAAAACCATTGAAAGCTCCCTTAACTCAAGTTACTGCCAAACATTTGATGACTCATACATCTGGGTTTTCATATGGTTTTATTCATCCTGATTATTTCACATTAATTACAAAAGGTGAAGTAATGGATCCGGTTAATCCTCCTATTGAATTTTTTTTCAAAAAGACTCCATTAGTACATGAACCTGGAACTGCATGGATGTATGGTCATAGTATAGATTGGTTAGGGTTCATAATAGAGAAAATTAGTGGTAAAAAATTAGGGGAATTTTTAAAGCAAGAAATATTTGAACCAATTGGTATGACTTCATGTACTTTCCATCCTAAAACAGTTGAAAACTTAAACAGAGTTCATTATAGAAAAAGTGATGAAAGTTTAAAATTACAAGAGAAATTTTCATTGAGTTTAGATCCGAATTTAGATTTAGGAGGTCAAGGATGTTATGGAACAGTTGGTGATTATTTGAAATTTATTAGAGTATGGTTAAATCTTGGGTTTAGTCCTGATAGTGGTAAAAGAATTCTTACAACAAACACCGTTGAATATGCTAGAAGAAATCATTTACCAGAAAATATTCATCTAGAATTCGTGGGATTAGCTCAAAATCTTATAGATGATGATGAACCAAACAAGAAACAAGATGGTTGGACTTTAACAGGAAATGCATACAATTCTAATGATTTACCAACTGGTAGACCAGCAGGAACAATTTATTGGGGTGGATTAGCGAATTTAAGTTATTGGATAGATTTTGAGAACGGAATTGCAGGGTTCTATGCTGTTCAAGTATTGCCTTACATGGATGAATTTAATGTTGAGTATATAGAAAAATTTGAAAGTGAAGTTTATAAAGCTGTTCAAGAAAGTAAATCAACCACAGCTAGATTTTAATTAGAAAATACATATTTATTGTTTTTTAATGTTTTGATGAATTCAAATTTACCAAATTGCTTCGGTTCGAATCAAATTTCTTCCTTTCATTGACCTCTTTACTCTAGTAACACTATTTGTACTTCTTGGGAACTTGTTAACTCAGCCTGTACGAAATCTTACAAAAGATCACAAAATGATTTTTTATTTTGATTGTAAAGATAATCGTATATGTTAAAGAACAGAAATATTAATTATTATAAACTTAAGAACAGCATCAACATTTTAAATTATTCGAATACATTTCTTTATACTTCCTTTAATTCAAGCTTTCATTCGTTTTTATTGAATATTCCATCTATTTCCGACTCACAAATACATATGAATAATGCGAAGTAATGATTATCATCGACTTCCTACTGAATCTTCATCTACATCTAATTTACACAATAATAATAACGAAAGCGATCTACCACTGAATCCACCACAATATTATGAATTTGAAAATGAAGAGGATAATGACAATAACCAAAGAAACGACAATCACCAACTACATCATCATACAATACACGAATCAACTTCAACCCCATCAATCGAACAATTTGAAATAGAGGAGCCGGAATTTGAAAGGCGTCATGGTTTTATAAATAGAGCTCAAGCTATATCTCATAAATTTGCAAATAATTTTAATAATAGAGTTATACATCCTGTCACTAGGATGATTGATCCTATATATGAAGGATATAAATATGTTCAAATGCAGTATGAACGTCTGATCTTGAAACTAGGTAATCCTTTAGTAGTGAAAAGATTATTATATGTTTTAACTATGATGGTACTAGTATTTGCAATATCAAAATATTCAGAAAACGGATCAATAAAAGGAGGGTCAGGTACTTTTGCAAAGGGAAGATTTTATGAAATAGATAGATTATCAGATTCTGTCAATCAATTCATAAATCCTAAAAATATGAAAGAAAATTTAGAATATTTTTCTTCAATACCCCATTTAACTGGTACAAAGGGTGATTTATTATTTGCTAAATATATTGAAAAACATATGAAAAGTAATGGATTACATAATGTTGAGTTAGATGAATTTCAAAGTTTTACAAATTATCCTACAACTCAATCATATTTAAAATTAAAAGATGGATCATTTCATGCAAAATTATACGAAAAAAATAACAAAGATATGCAGAACTTGGCTTTTAATCCGAATTCTTTAAGCACAATAGAAGAAATAGAGGGAAACTATGTGTACGTTAATTACGGTAAAGAAGAAGATTATGCCAAAATAAATAACGTAAATTTGGAAAATAAAATTGTATTAATAAAATATGGAGGTGATATACCTGAATCGAACAAGGTTCTTATTGCCCAAAATCATAAAGCCAAAGCAGTTGTTTTCATAACACCAAAATTCGATGATCAAGATGATGTGATCCAAAAAATAAATGTGGGCCTTACTAGATTCTCACCTGGTGATATTTTGACACCAGGATGGTCATCAGATAATGGATTTGCCACTAGGTTATCATGGGAAAAATCTAAAAGTACTCCTAAAATACCTTCGATACCAATTTCATGGAAAGATGGACAAGAACTAATAAAAAAATTAAACAATGGATATCAATTTTCTGATTTCACAAGTGGTAATGGAGATTCACCGATACTTCAATTCAAGATTAGTAATGTGAATAAACCGGTACATCCTTTATGGAATGTTGTTGGATCAATAGAAGGAAGAGAACAAAGTGAAAAGGGTATAATAATTGGTTCTGCTAGAGATTCAACATGTGATGGGACGATGAGCAGTAATACAGGAACTGTAGCATTTTTGGAATTGATAAAAGTTTTGACATCTTTACAAAGAAAATTTCAATGGATACCGTCAAGATCTATATTTTTTGTTTCATTCGATGCAACTGAATATAATTTAGGTGGTTCAACAGAATGGATAGAGAACAGAAAAGAAACTTTAAGAAGAGAGGGATATTTATATATTGATATGAGTGATTTGGTAACTGGTGATGAACTTTTTGTTAATTCTCATCCAATTTTAAAAGAAACTGTCAAGAATTCTTTAGCTAAAGTTAAAGTTGATGGTGATAAAACCATGAATGATATTTCACCTAAAATTGTAGATGAATTTTCGGATTATGCTAATTACATTCCCTTTATAAATTTAGTCAATATTCCGTCATTAGAAATCAAATTTAGAGGTAAAAATTATCCAAAAAATTCATGTTATGATTCATTTGAAAGATTTGAGAAATCAAATATTGATAAATTAATGTTAAAACATTCCCAATTGGTTGAACTATTATCTAGAATAATAATTGATTTTGTTGAAACACCATTAATTCCTTATAATTTTGTTGAATTGGCAAATCAATTAAAAATTTATGAAAATGATTTAGAAAAATATGCAAATTCCATAATAGAAAATTTAAAAGTTAAACCAATTTTACATTATGATGGATTAAAACGTTCTTTAAATACTTTGAAAGATGTTGGTGAGAAATATAATGAATGGGCTCGTGAATGGCGAAACTTTATCACACAAAGCGGAGGATTGGAACCTCCTATGTATTCAGCAATGAGAGGAATGTGGAATAATAATATGATTGAATTTAATAATAGATTTATAAGTAGGAATTTACAATTCAAAAGATCAGGATATAAGAATTTTTTATTTGGTATACCATTTTCAGCACCTTTGAATTCAAATGAATATAATTGGGGATCTTTCCCTTTTGTTAGGGAATATATACAACAACATGATTTTAGTCTGGCACAAAATGAAATCGATTTATTAGCATCAACTATAGAGGATGCTTCTATGAAATTTATAACTTTATAGTTAAAAACTGAATTGACATGAAAAAACTTACTGTATTAACTTTACCAAATCTTCTAAATAATAATCTACATAACCTAATTCTTTGACTGCTTGATTTAATTTCAATAAGTATTCACTATTCTTACCACTTGGTCCTACATTAGTTTTTATTATCTTAGCAGTCTTTTCAATATCTTCTGGTCCGATAAAACTTTCTAATTCTAATCCACCAATATATATAAAACTTTCAATATATGTTCCATACTCATCAACAAGTAAATCATCTTTCAGTAAGTTTGAAAAATTATCATCTTTTTCATCAACATAAAATTTAATCTTTTGTAATTCATATCCATTTTGTTCTCTTATATCTAAATATTCATTTACTTCATCAACTTTTTCCAGTGGAATATAATAAGCACATCCAAAAACTTTTAAATCTTGAGGTTTAATATCATTTATTTTTAAATCAATATCTACAATGGAATGATTTCGAAATTCATATATATGTAAATCATTATGAAAAAATCTTTCATCTTGTAATTGATCTCTTGTTATTAATGTTACTACTCTACCTGGATTTTCTGGAGTTCCTCTATGATCAATACTTGATTGCCAAAATCTTCGTATTACATTAATTAAATGACCAGATATTTTAAAAGAAGCATGAGGCGGTGGTTTGAATATTAGACTTCCATAGCCTATTACATACATTCCTTTCTTTTCCTGAGTCATTGGGTTGATTTTGGTAAAGTTGATTTGATTGTAATTGTGGATCTGAAACTCGAGATCATGTAGTGCCACTTTGATTACTTAATTGGGAGAGTCATACCCCGAAATTAAAATTTCATACAATATACAATTATTTTGATTCGAAAGAAATACAATTCCCTGATTAAAGAGTTAAAGTCTATGTGATCATAATCTTCCAAATTGACAGTTCTGCAAAAAGCTTTTTAAATTTTATTCAAAGTTTTTTATAAATACAAGACTATTTACAATGCAAAAGGTAATTCATTTTCTTCATTAATAACATACTTTCTTAAAACATTTTTCAAAATACTTTTTTGAATTGAATCTAAAGATCTATCTTTAAATTTTTTTAAAAGTATTCTATTTTTAAATTCTTCATATTTTGAATTATTTAATAATTCATTTAATATATAATCCATATGATAAACTCTTTTTTCTAATTCTGATTTATAAATGGGCGAATTTAAATCTAAATCTATTAGTGGTTCAGTTGATGGATATGATTTTATATTATATTTTGATTTTATTTTATTTATTTCTACAATTATTGAATCTTCATTTGAAGTGGATGAATTTTCTAAATTTTCCAAATTCGTTATTTTATAATTTAATTCATCTATTTTTTTCAAATCTTCTAACTTTGTAACAATTTTTGAAAATTTATCTTTATTTTGTTTAAAAAATTCAATTTCTTTTAAATCTTCTTCTTGTATTCTTTGTTTAGCTAATGATTCATATTGTTCAAATTGTTGACCTTTATTAATTTTAATTTCTGCTATTGCAAATGCTTTTAATTTTGAAATCTTGGGTATACTTTCTATTCTAACTATATCTCCTTCTTTACATATATTTCCTTCATCATGACATAAGAAATCTTTTCTTCGTATAATTTCCTTATCTATTCTTCTATCATATATTTTACCTTGAACTCGTACTTTCACTGTTTTATTCATTCGACCTTGGGAGACGACCAACCCCACAAAGTTTTGTCTGGCCATTGTATGCTGTTGTGGTGGTTAGATGCAATTGGTTTTATACTTGATAACTTGGTTGTAATAAAGTGAAAAATTAAAAAAAATAAAAAAATTTCAAAATAAATTTTAGTTTGATTCACACGACATTAAAGTCGAACTACTTACGACACTAGATATACAATAACAGATTAACATGTTCTACAAATTAGACCAAAGGTATGATTAATTAAGCATTCAATTCATTCAATACTCTTTCAAATTTATACAACAATGTCTTATTTTCTTCTTCAGTACCAATTGAAATTCTTAATCCACCAAAACAATTCAATTCATTACCTCTAAATCTAACAACAACAGAATTATCAACAGCTAAAGTATTATATAATTTAGAAGCAATTTCATTTGAAGGTTTGCCAAATTTATCTAAAATTTCAACTAATATAAAATTTGCATCTTTTCCTCCTAAATTTTTCCCCACATATTTTAAATCTAAGATTTTATTCAAAACTATTTCTCTTTGTTCAATTATTTTTTTAACATAGTCTTGCATTATTGATATTCCTTCTTTTGTTGTAGCTTTTAATGCTACATTTGAAGTTAATGATGAAATATTATAAGGATATTTCATTGAATTTAATAATTTAGATAATTTTTTATTTGTATATGTTATTCCTAATCTTATACCAGCTAATCCAAATGATTTACTTAGTGTTTGTAATACTACTAAATTGGGGAATTGATTGACTAATGTTGACATTGATTGACTATATGATCCATTAGGTAATGTAAAATCAATATAAGCTTCATCTACTACTATTAATCCATTCCATTTAGAACTACTTCTCTTCAATAGATCGATTATACTTTCAACATTTATAAGTTTTGCTGTTGGATTACCTGGAGAAGTTAAATATAATAGTTTTATATTCGGATCTTCAGTTATTTTATTTAGTATAGCATTAGAATCAATTTGAAAATCAGGAACAGTTAACGGTATTCTTACTATTTCCACATCATTTATAGTAGCACAAATATTATACATTCCATAAGTTGGAGGACAAATCAATAATTTATCTTCACCAGGTTTACAACAACATCTTAATAACATATCAATACTTTCATCTGATCCAACTCCTAAACATAAATTTTCAATCTCCAATGGTTGTTCACTATATTGATTTGGTTTTGAATTTCTAAAATTGATAATTTGTTGTTTTAATTCATGTTGATGAGGATCAGGATATCTATTTAATTCTAAAAATTTTTCAGTTTCTGATATTTCAGATAATGCAGGTCCATGAGTATTTTCATTTGCATCTAATAATATGCCTACTTTGAAATCATCTCTTGCACAACGATATGGTTCCAATGTTAGAATGTTTGGTCGTACTAATGTATTTAAATCAAACATTGAATGTTATGTGATTATTTGGTTGTTAATATGATATGACTGATAAGGTCTTGTTTTATAAAAAGTGAAAAATATATTGATTTGATAAAGTGAGTCAATTATAGTCAATTTAAGTAATTATACTTTATTTGAATGTGGTAGCGTAAACATGTTTCAAATATAGATATTTTGCATCAATTATTTATAATGGTTTCATCAGTTATTTGAGAATTATCATAGCTTATAGGTAATCTACCACCAGTTTTGAAAAATGAATTATTATAGAATGTATTCAAACTAAACAGTTTTGATTTATTTGATCTAGTAGTTGGTGTCAATTTTGATGCAAGTGGTAAAGAATTAAATTTATTTTCTTGATTGATATTATCATTTTGAACAGAATCTATAGTTTCCATAGGAATTTCTGATGGTGGTGGGGAGAAAATATCTTTTGGTTCTTGTTCTATTGGACTTGATGCTATTATTATGGGTGTTGCCATAGTATTATTAGTTTTTGAAAATCGTCTAATCCAAGTATGTGAAACAATATTTCCACCTACACCTAAAGCTAGAGTTTTTGCCCTTGTTTCTTTTTCTTTTACCTTTTTAGGTTCTTTAAAACTAATACTTGGTCTATGTTTGAACTTGTATAAGAATCTTGAAAACCGAGACTGCTTTTGAAATGTATTTTCTTTTATTGAATTATCATTGGGATATTGTTGGATGGGATAAAATGCACAATTTTCTTCTTTCAAGGAGCCATTTTGTACTGAATTGTGTGAAGTATTATCTGAACCTACATATTTACTCAAATTTGCAATGGGATCAATGGTATTTACTCGTTTATTGAACTTTGAGTTGGAAGGAGCTTTGAATTTATTCATGATTGTGGAATTGTTTAGTAAATACTCTAGCTCGGCTGATGTATGATTGCAAAATTATCTACTTCAAAGCATGAAGTTGTTTTTAATTTTTTATGTTATTTCAAGATGTTAATTTAATGATTGCAAAATCTTGAATTTGTTCCATAATAAAAAAACTGTTTTAAATTTCATTACACAAAATCTGTTACTTTTTTTCTCTTATTGAAACTTGTTCAAATGAAAAGTATATTGTTTAACAAGACCTTCAATTGAATCAATCAATATACTCCCCTAAAACACTATCAAAATGGAAGGTGTATCATATGAAAATAAAGCTAAGAAACTAATACTAGATTCATCAATATCTAATCCAGCATTAAAATTAGAAATAGATCAATTAAATACTTTAACTCAAGAAATTATAAATCAAGGAAATGATGTACCACCATTACCAACTCCAGAAAATTTTAATAAAGATTTATCAAAAATGATAAAAAAATTATATGAAAGTGGAGTACAATCTTTTAAAATGAATAAATTTGAAGATAGTGTTAGAAATTTTACAATAGGAATTGAAATGATATTAAGAAGACCAAAAATTGAAAGTTTTCAAGGTACAATACAAGAATTATCAATGTTTTTAATGAGTAGATGTGATGCATATTTAAAAACTAAACAATATCTTAATGCTTATAATGATGTAGATTTATTAATCAATATGCAAATGAATCAACCAGATAATTTTTTAAGAAGAGGAGTTGCTAATTATTTTTTAGGAAATTATGAATTATCAAGAGCTGATTATCAAAGAGGTTTATCATTTGATGAAAATAATCAAAGATTACAACAAGAATTAAATATATGTTTAGATAAAATATTGGAAGAAAATGGAGATTATTTGTAAAAGGTTGGATCTAAGATATAATAAATGAGATAGAGTATATTTAGATTCATTATTGTAGGAACCAAGCCTAAAATTATTTCATTTAGTCTGTTTGAGTTGATCATGCTATATTTTAATTTATTTCTAGTTATTCTATGTAGATAACACATGCTATATATATAATTAATTTAGTGTGTATCATTTAATAAGACGCGACTTATTATCGTGATTTTTTTTTCCCGTTTATCAATAACATTTTCAAATTATTTTTTTACAACCACTTTATTTCTACATCAATAATCAGTTATAGATAGTGATACCCATATATAGCATCATAGCATAAGTTCATATAATTTATACATGTTATACAAATAGATACAGTACATTAAAGTTTTAATAATATGAGTTCACAAGTTGATCAAAGATCATCTTCACCACCTTTTAAAAAACAAAGGTTAGATTCATTAACTCATTCATTTACAAATACAAATAATTCAAACAACAACGTCGGTGATAATAAAATTAATTTTCAAGTCAAGAATGATCAACCTAAAGAATCAGTGGTTCCCGATATCATTTTAATAAGTGATGATGAAGATGAAAAACCTTCAAGTTCTGAAGAACCAATAATAACTAAAATGGAAAATAATGTTCCTGAAATTGAAAATAATGTTAACAAAAATGAAAATGATATAACAACAGTAGATGATGAAAGCGACGATGATGATGAAATTGTCATATTAAGTGAAAATGATGTTAAAAGTGTTGATTTTAAACCTTCATCGTTTAATTCATCAAGTTCTCAACAACAACAACAACAACCTGGATCACAACCACAATCACAACCACTATCACAACCTGGATTACAACAACAACCACAAACAAATCAACAACAACCACAACAACAACAACAACAGCAACCAAATAATTCTCAAATACCACCACAACCAATACCACTTATTCCCGGATCATTTAATCAGCCTGCTCCTGTACCACATGTGACAGATAATTTACAAAATATTTCTCAAGCTGAATTAAAGGCAAGAGAAAATGATAAAACTAATCAAATTGCTCATTTAGAAAAAATGAAAAAAACTATAACAGGTCAAATTCAAACCCAAACTCAATTATTTGAAAAGGAAAATGATAAGATGAAACAATTAAATCTTAAATTAAATCATTTTATGGGATTAGGTAATCATGACGCTGTAGCCAAAATCAGAAGAGTTATTACTGTTGTGCAAAGAGCAATGAATGGTCCAAGAAATAATATAAATCATTTACAACTGACATTAAATAATGTTGAAAAAGCTATTGTAGATCATAGAAATGCATTAAGTTTAATAATGGCAAAATTAAGAGATTTCGGACATGTTTTGAATGCCGCAATAAATCCTTATGCTGCTCAAATTGTTAATGATATGGCAAATAATCCAGAACCTAATGTTGCAATTCAAGATTTATTAAATGAAATTCATTCAGAAGAAAATTTAGAAAAAGAAGGATTAGCAAATACACCAATGGAAATGAGTGTCAATTTATTAAAGCATCAAAGAATTGGGTTAACCTGGTTATTAAAAAGAGAAGATCCAAAAAGTAAATCTAAAGGAGGAGTTTTAGCTGATGATATGGGATTAGGTAAAACTATTCAAACATTGGCATTAATTGTTGCAAATAAATCAAATGATCCAAATTGTAAAACTACATTGATAATTGCACCTGTATCTTTGTTAAGACAATGGGCTGCTGAAATTCAATCAAAATTAAAACCTGCTCATAGTTTAAAAGTTGGAATTTATCATGGTGATGAAAAAAAACAAATGGTTACTTTTAGCTCCATGAAGAAGTTCGATGTTATTTTAACATCGTATGGTACCTTAGCTTCAGAATGGAAAAGACATTATGCAAAAGAATTGAAAGCAAATGTTGAAGGTAAAGGTTATATTCCAAGAAATAATGATGGTGGTAAAACATATGACTCGCCATTTTTTTCAAAAACTTCATCTTTTTATAGAATTGTTTTGGATGAAGCTCAAAATATAAAAAACAAGTTTGCTATTGCTTCAAGAGCTGTCACTAATTTAAAAGCTGAATTTAGATTTTGTTTATCGGGAACTCCTATGCAAAATAAAATTGATGAATTGTATCCTATACTTAGATTTTTAAAATTAAGACCATATTGTGATGAAACAAAATTTAGAGCAGATATTTCAAATAGTTTAAAATCAAAATCTGATAATTATGATGATTTTGATAGAACTCAATCTATGCGTAAATTAAGAGCTTTATTAAGTTCAATGTTATTAAGAAGAAATAAAAATTCAAAAATTGATGGTGAACCAATATTAAATTTACCTGAAAAGCATTTAATATCAGATTTTGTTAATTTAGAAAGTGATGAATGGAATTATTATAAAAGTGTTGAAACAGGAATTCAAAGAAAAGTTCGTAAAATGATACAAGATAATGATCGTAAAAATGCTTTAGTTTTATTATTAAGATTAAGACAAGCTTGTATTCATTCTTATTTAGTGGAAATAAGTCAAATCAAAGCTCAAATGAAAAAAAAAAATTTAATTAAAGCTCATTGGAAAAATCAATTAGCTAATGCAATGGAATTAAGTGATGAAATTGTTGCTTCAATTTTACTTAAAGGTCTTGGAGATTTAGCTTGTCCAATATGTTTAGATATGATGGATGAAGGAATGGCTGTTTTTAAAGAATGTGGTCATATAATCTGTCAAGATTGTATTGATACTTTTATGGATGATCAATTAGAAGATGAAGATTCATCAGGTAGAATTGCTAAATGTAAAGAATGTCATACTAATGTTAAAGAATCAAAATTATTTGATTTTGAAATTTTTGAAAAACTTTATGTTGAAAAATTAAGTAAAGAAGAAATTGAAAAATATTTCAGTGATTTGCAAAAATCAAAATCGTTGACCAATCAGCAAATCATTCAAAAATTAAATAGAGAAAATGAAGGATTTGATACAAGTGCTAAACTTGATAAAGCTATAGAATTAATTAAAGATATTCAACGTGATCATCCAGGTGAAAAAATCATTGTTTTTAGTCAGTTCACAACTGTATTTGACTTATTAAAAATTGTTTTGAATCATGAAAAGGTTCAACATTTACGTTATGATGGTAGTCTTAGTATGGAAGTTAGAAATAATATTGTTAAACAATTTTATCAAGGTTCTTCAGATGTTTTGTTATTATCCTTACGTGCTGGTAATGTAGGTTTAACATTAACATGTGCTAATCATGTGATCCTTATGGATCCATTTTGGAATCCGTTTGTTGAAGAGCAAGCAATGGATAGAGCTCATAGAATTGGTCAACAAAAAGAAGTCCATGTCCATAAGATTTTGATTAGAGATACTGTCGAAGATCGTATTATGACTTTGCAGCAAGCCAAGAAGGATTTAATCCTGGACGCCCTCAACGAGAAGGAGCTTAAGAACATATCAGGTCTCAATAGATCTGAATTAGGCTTCCTTTTCGGCTTAAATGCTTTAAGAAGATAAATGTCTTCCATTCACTTCTCTCACTATATAGCTCTCACTATATAGCTAGTTATCTAATCTTAATATACATATATATCAAAATACCAATATGTAGTTTTTAATTCTAATTCCCTGATTTTGACATTCTGCAATCAACTGATATCTCGAATTTCTTGTTTTTTAGATTTCAATCAAGCATAAACTCTGCATAGAATGAGATGTTGTGTGAAGGCATCTCTGCAATATTGCATTTCCAATAAATAAAGCCAATCACCTAATGATTTATTTGAATTATCACTAAGTAAATTCTGTTAGTCTTATATTTTTACCGTAATAATTTTTGACTGTTCAAAATCATCAGTTGTGCTGATTCTGAATAAAAAGTTGGTTATAATTAACCTAATGATGAAAATTCTTGATTATTTGTTGAGCTTGAGGCTAAATAACTCTTCTGACAGATCTAAGGTAAGTAATCCTGTCATCATTTCCTCATCTGATTCATATAATTTATTCTTACAGATTCCATAAATCCTTAGAATTGAGATTCTTTTTCGGCTTAAATGCTTTAAGAAGATAAATTTCTTCCATTCACTTCTCTCACTATATAGCTCTCACTATATAGCTAATTATCTAATCTTAATATACATATATATCAAAATACCAATATGTAGTTTTTAATTCTAATTCCCTGATTTTGACATTCTGCAATCAACTGATATCTCGAATTTCTTGTTTTTTAGATTTCAATCAAGCATAAACTCTGCATAGAATGAGATGTTGTGTGAAGGCATCTCTGCAATATTGCATTTCCAATAAATAAAGCCAATCACCTAATGATTTATTTGAATTATCACTAAGTAAATTCTGTTAGTCTTATATTTTTACCGTAATAATTTTTGACTGTTCAAAATCATCAGTTGTGCTGATTCTGAATAAAAAGTTGGTTATAATTAACCTAATGATGAAAATTCTTGATTATTTGTTGAGCTTGAGGCTAAATAACTCTTCTGACAGATCTAAGGTAAGTAATCCTGTCATCATTTCCTCATCTGATTCATATAATTTATTCTTACAGATTCCATAAATCCTTAGAATTGAGTTTTATATAGTTTAGTTCTTCTCATTTCAAGATCCAATCATTATCTGCACTGACCCCATTCTGAAAAAATGGACCTAATGGTGTATCAATTAGTGCTGTGGAATACAAATATCCGTACTCAGTGTTAGTGTAGGTAAAGTATCAAACCAACCCAATGAATTACATTTTTTGTAAATTCCCCCTAATTATTAGAGTAACATTATCAATCATAAATTCATCTTAAATATAATTCATAGGTTCAGTCAATATTCCAGATTGAGTTTTTATATTTTGATAATGTAGAAATACCTTATTATACAAATTTTCTTATTATGCCTAAAGGTCCTGAGTAATTTGCTAGCCCTAGGCGGTAGATAATAATTGTAACCTTAAATTCTTCAAATTATATCAGTCTATTTATACATGATTCGATGTGAAAAACCCTGATCTATAGCGTCTTTTATACCTTTATTGAAGTCTTTTCTACCTTTGTTGAAATAAAAACCTTCCATTTGGATTCAATTGTTAAGTTACTCAAGGTAAATAGATGATATTGTGAATAGTTGTAGATACTTAGATTCAACTGCTTGTTTGATGATGATTGAAATTTGAACATGCAAATACCTTGGTAGTGTTTTCTGTTCAAATCAAAACATCAAACATGGCACTTCAATATTCGCAACCAATTCGAATAACTAGGTTAAAAAGGCTTGTACACAATGTCACTGCTGATAGTGTTACAACTGCTACGGTCCGATCTCGACCCTATTCATCAATCACTACTAGAAAATGATCAAAATTTAAGAAACCTTGCTGAAGATTATCTTCAAGATCTTTTAATAAATGATGAATTATTATCAACAGATCATTTCACTACGACAAATTCTCCTAAGAAATCAATTATTGAGGAAATTGCTGAGCTTGATTCGCAAAAATTCCAAATCAATCAAGAATTAAGTTCTATAACTGACTCCAATAAAGATTTAATTATTGATGTAAATAATGATATTAATGAAATTCATGGTAATTTAACTAATGATTATGTCAACTCAATTGAGTCATTGTTGAAGAGTTTAAATATTGATCACACTCATATTCAACATGTGTCAAATAAATACGAAAAAATACTATCTAACATGGATTCAATATTAGATATATTGGAATTACCTGTATTATGTAGATTATTTATCTTACAAGGTAATTATCAAGAAAGTTTAGAAATTTCAACATTCATAAAATCATTAATTATAAGATTTCCTAAAATCAAAATTTTTAAAGTCATCAATAGTTCAATTGAAGTAGAATTGAATAAAATGTTTAATGGATTAATAAAATTATTAAATACAAATTTAAAACAATCAAATTTATTTAAAATTTTTCAAATATTAAATAAATTAGAAACAAATTCAAATAATGATCAATTTTTACATTCTATTTTTTTAAATAGTAGATTCAAATTAATTAATAATGAAATTTCAAGTTTAAAACCAATATTAAAATTTAATAAAGTAACTTATTTGAAAAGATATTTAGAAACTTACAGAGAATATTTATATTCTTCATTGTCATTATATTATTCAATTTTTAAAAATAATATTAAAGTAATTTTAGTAAATCAATTTGTAACCAGTTTAATACATCAATTATGTAAAGAAATGGAATTATATTTCCCCAAAATTGAAGGAGATAATGATGATAATCAAAATAATGATGGATTAATTTTACAATTGATATATATTAATAAATCATTAGCTAGTTTCCAATTCGAATTTGAACCTTTAATTTTGTTGAATCTATGTTATCAGAATGAATTGTTTACCGAAGACGATTGGGTAAGGAATCTATCAAAAACAAAAAGAAAGTAAATAGATTGGTTTTTCTTTCTAAAAAATGATGTTATGACAAGTCGATACGAAAAATCTCTTAAACTGGTGACTGATTATTTAACCTTACTAAATACACAGGTCATCACGCGTTTAGTCGAAAAGGGCCGAAGCCAGTTTTAAAATATGATTGTAGTCTCAACCTAAACTTTTCAAGCTCTTAAGTCCCGATTTTGAATCATACTGATTATCTAAATTATTGCTTCTATTAAAGATACTACAAAAGTTACTAATAAATACCTATTCAACTTCTTAATTTAACTTTTTTTGAAATGAAAAATCACCATTAATCCATCTATTGACCATATCTAAAGCATTATGAGGTTGATCCATTGGTACCATATGACCTGATTCATAAACTCTTAAAAAAGTAAAATGTTTATAATTTTTAACTTCTCCTGCTTCTGTACCATTCAAAGTAATCCACGGTATAAATTCAGTCTTATTAAATTGATCATGATCTTCATAATCTAATACATTAACCCATGCTAAATTACCTAACCAATCACAAACTAAATCTTTATCACCTGCATAAATTAAAACTGGAATTTGTTTTTCTAATAATTGAGTAACATATTGTTGATAAGGTCTCATTACATCAAAATTTGAAGTGAAATGTAAACCTACATCTCTATCACAAGGAGTAAAATGTTTTTGAACCCCCAAAGCTTTTTGAGTTGATGGTAAATTGAAATATTCATCAATATAATTCATTTGTTCATAACATAATGGAGAATCACCACATTTAATTCTTGAATCGTATGGATTACGATCACCACTGTCGGGAACATTGGGTGAAGCTAAAGCTGATAAGAAACAAGTTAATGGGTTTGGATGAGCGTAACATAACAATCCATAGGGTAAAAATCTTTCATAATTAGCATCATAACTTGAACATTCTTCATCAGTATAAATTTTTCCAATTCCTCCTTTTCCACAACCCATATTTGCTGTTTCCTTTGCTTGAACAACTGCATCAGTTATACCATTACCTATTAAAACTGATTTTAAAGGTAAATTAGCATCAACAACACTAGCAGCATATTTTGGAATATAATGACCAGCATATGATTCCCCTGCAATATGAAAATCTAATTTAGCATATTGTGGATATTTCGCTCTAAATAATTTTACAAAATTAACAAAATCAATTGAAGCTTGTTCTGTTGTAAAAGGAATTTCAGATTGATCACCAACTGTTGAAAATCCAACACTTGCTGGTTGATCTAAAAATAAAAGTGAAGCATTTGAATTCCATGCATATGGATTAAAATCAGGTTGAATAGTTGCATTAATCATTGATGGTCCTAATTCCATTGCTAATCCAATATTTGATGAACAACCAGGTCCACCAGATAACCATAATATTAAAGGATCATTAATTGGATCATTTCTACTTTCAAAAAACCAATAAAAAAATTCTTTTTCTGTTTCTTCAATTGAAAAATATCCAGATATTTGTTTAACTGAATCAAAACCTAAAAGTTCTGGAGTTGAATCTAATTGTTTTAATTTATAATTTAAATTAGTTTTTGGTTTAGCAAATGATTTTTTAAAATTTAAAAAATATTTCATTAATTTTGTTTTACCAAATTTTAATTCATTTCTTATCCATTCTTTATGTAAATTCATTGAGTCTTGAAATGATAAACCATTGAATGTATCTTCTTCAATTACCATAGCTTTGAATTCATCATTTAAATATGGTATTTCAAATGGTAATTGAAGAGCTTGAGTAGCTGCAATAAGCGGCAATATTGTCAATGCAAACTTCATGATAAAAGATGACAATTAATTTAGTTGATGTTGTATATTTTGTTGCAAATATTTCAAAGACTTTGTGTGAAATTTATATAAGTATTCGGTGGTAATAAAATCTAAGACGGAATTAAAAAAAAAGTAAACAATAGAATGGAATTTGCGCTTGTATCAATGTTTCATTTAGTGGTTATCTTATCGCGCATATAAATTTAACGAAATTAATTAACTTCATTTGAATGAATGGCATCAGTGCTTTAATTTTGCTAGCAAGTTGAATTTCTCCGTGAACATAACCAGAGAGAAGTATCAACAAAGAGTTATACGAGTCTTTTACCCCGATCCATTGATTAACCGGGGAAAAGTAAAAAATTATACAAGTCTTTTAACCCACATTATATCCAAGGAGTTTCTTATCTATTTAAACTATAATCTCCTGAAATCCACCTGTTTATCAATTCCAAGCTATTCTTAGGTTGATCGAAAGGTACCATGTGGCCAGCATCATATACTCTAACAAAAGTTAAGCCATCAAAGCTTTTAACTTGACCAACTACTTCACCTTCTTGATTTATCCAATTTTTTAAAGGTTGATAAGCAAATTCTTTGGAATCTAATTTATCACAAACATCTAAAAGACCAACCCATCCACACATATAATCCTTATCTCCAGAATAAATCAAAACTGGTATATCATCTATTTCTAATGCTGTTTTTAAATATTGTTGTGATGGTCTCATATTATCTCCTGTCCATTCAAAAGGTTCTGCAATTTCATCTCTACACATTTTAAATTCTAAGTCTTGTTTTACTCCAAGTACTGATTTTACTTCAGGTAAATTCAAATATTTATCAATTGGTTGAGATTCTAAATAACAATCCGAAGTATTAGCAATACAAGGTTTTCTAAAATCATAAGGATTTAAATCTAACTTGTAAAAAGGTTCACCTACTTCTTTTCCCAATTTTCTTGCATGTGTACAAGAATACAATTCACCAGTTAAATAACAAAATTTATCATATTTCTTGAATACATTGTATGTGTTTCTCATTTTTCGACAATCAGAATCATCTAATAATGATTTGTACCCACCTTTACCACATGCCATTGGTTCATAAGCTCCAATTTGCACCAAAGGATCTATAATTCCATTTCCAATCAACACAGATTCAACTTCAAAAGTTATAGTATGCCAATTCTTTTTCAATTGATTTAATAAATTTGGTATATAATGACCAGCATAAGATTCTCCAGCAATATGAAATTTATTTGTTCTATATTGAGGAAATTTATCAAAAAAGAATTCTAAAAATATATAAATTTGTTGAGTTAATGTATCTGTACTTATTGAAGGTAATCCACCATAACTAAAACCTGTACCAGTTGGTTGATCTAAAAAAATTACTGAAGCATTTGAATTCCATGAATAAGGATTATATTTTGGTTTTAAATTTAAATCTATTGAACTTGGTCCTAATTCAAAAAATAATCCATAACTTGATGAACAACCAGGTCCTCCTGTTAACCATAATATCAATGGATCGGTTTTGGGATCATTTCTACTTTCAAAAAACCAATAAAACATATTATTTTGAGTTAAGTCACATTTAAAATATCCAGCGTATTGTCCAATGTTAGGCTTTTCTAGTCCTAATGATTGAATTGAATTTGCAGATAAGGTGAAGGCTGGGAACTTTGCCATAGTATGTATCGATGATTCATGTTGATGTTGATTTTTCACAAATAGTGTTTGAATCGTAGATGCAATAGTGAATGTGCATAATAATAAGAATGTAAGTGTGTTTAGTAATATCATGAGTATATTTCCCTGTCGGAAGTGTTGTACTCAAACAGATTGATAGTCATATGAATGCATTGGATAGTTTAGACTTGTAAGTTAAGGTAAAGCCGTGTTTGTGCTAATTTTTCAAAATGTTGCAAAAATGAATTTTCAAACGGCTTCAAAACTTTTTTGAAAATGAGTTGATAAGTAATTATGAAACTAATTAGTTGACATCAAAGAAGAAGTTTGATCTACTCATAATGTAGTAAAAAAATCTGGGTTTCATTTAGGACCGCAAAAGAGTTTACAAATCATTTTACTGATATCATCCGTTTTAAACTCCAGGTCTCCTTGACTAATCGCTCGTTAACACCGTAAAATTTAAAACTTGATTCAAAACAACAGCGATAGTCTAAAATGCTAATCAGACCAATATTAACTCCGTAAACTCGATTTTCATTAGTTCAACTAGATAAAGGTATCCCGAACATCACAAGACCTGGTCATTTCTTTCAAAATTGAAAAGGGGTTTGTCCTTATCTCGTAAATGGAAATGCAAAAAAAAAAAGATGTAAACATTTACACAGTTTTATAATACTAAAGTAAAATGAAATCTAATCTATAATAAGTACAATTCAATCTGCTTCTATCATAAAGCTCAGTATCAACGCCAATCAAACAATTGGAGTATACAATGACATCTATTGAAACACATATCATAATACAAGCACCCATTGAAGAAGTAACATCTATATTTTTCAATTATCAATCATATCAAGAATGGAATCCATTTTTAGTAAAATTTCAAAAATATACAAATAAATCAGATCCAACATTAAATGTAGGAGATGAATTACAAATAGACTTAAAATTAAAAGGAATGAGTCATACAAGTACAATGTACCCCAAGGTATTACAATCTTCAGATACTATATTAGAATGGAAAGGTGATCTTTTATATGATTGGATTTTTCATGGTTTTCATAAATTTGAATTTAAATCTATTGATAATAATAAAAGAACTGTTGTTAGTCAATCTGAAAAGTTTGGTGGGATTTTAGTATATGTTTTTAAAATATTAGGATTATACAGAAAGACTCAAGAATCTTTTATTGAATTTAATGAAGCATTGAAAGATCAAGTTGAAAAATCTATAAACAAATAGGGATAGACAGTGATACATACGTTGATTACTAGATTCCAATTTTTACTTCTAAAGTCTAAGAAGAATACAATGCTTAATGAATTACGTGGAGAATGAAATAAAAAAACTAATTTAATGTACGATTTTGCAATAACTCTTTTATTCTGTTTTGGCTGGTAAAGTCATAATTATCATAAATCTAACAAGTTTAGAAGATGCTTTGATCTTGTCCCTATAATTTCATATATATTATACATTTCTCGTATATCATGTATCAAATTGCTACCAACTGCTCAATTACGGTTTTGTATTATAACTCTATTTTTATCTACCACGTGTAGTAAAAAAATAAATTATTATTGTACTATTAATTTAACTATTAGTAGTACAAAAATGAAAATGTAACGTTAATTATTTGGTCTAATTAATTTATGAATAATTTATCAAATTTGACAAATTAAATTAATCAATTCGGCTCATCAGTTACTCAACAACTATTGAATCAGCTTCATTCAGTGAATTCTGGACATCCATTTGACTGCTGCAATTGTTTGCAAACCAATCATTTCAATCAATAGGTTCTAATCAATCCTTATCTGTACACAAAATCGAGAAAGGAAAAACTTATCAATTAAGCAACCACTTGAATTTTTACAGTAATTCAGTTTTCATTCACAACTACTTCATCCAACTCATCATTACATTCAATTCTTATCATAAAACTTTAATCAATAGCATAGTTCAAAAATTAGATTTTAAATGAAATTCGGAGAACACCTTAGAAAAGCATTAATTAAGAATTATTCATTCTATTATATTTCTTATGATGATTTAAAACATCAATTAAAAAAAGGTTTAAAAGATAATGATTACACATGGAATAATGAATTAGAAGAAGATTTCCTTAATCAGTTAGAAACTGAATTAGATAAAGTTTATAGTTTTACAAAAGTTAAAAACACTGAAGTTAATAGAAGAATTAAAGAAAGTGAAAAATATGTTCATGAAGTTGTTAATTCATTACATAGATATCAAAATAATGATCCCCTTGTAAAAAATCCTCCACAAGAACAAGATTTTGAAGATTTAGAAGAAGAATTATCAGATATTATTGCAGATGTTCATGATTTAGCTAAATTTACAAGATTAAATTATACAGGTTTTCAAAAAATTATTAAAAAACATGATAAAACTACAAAGTTCCATTTAAAACCAGTTTTTCAAGCAAGATTAAATTCAAAACCTTTTTATAAAGATAATTATGATAATTTAATTGTTAAATTATCTAAATTATATGATTTAGTTAGAACTAGAGGTAATCCAGTAAAAGGTGATTCATCTGCTGGTGGATCTCAACAAAATTTTGTTAGACAAACTACAAAATATTGGGTTCATCCAGATAATATTACTGAATTAAAATTAATTATTTTAAAACATTTACCTGTTTTAGTTTTTAATGCTGATAAAGAATTTGAACCTGAAGATTCTGCAATTACTTCAATTTATTTTGATAATAAAGATATGGATTTATATTATGGAAGATTAAGAAAAGATGAAGGTGCAGAAGCTATTAGATTAAGATGGTATGGTGGTATGAAAAGTGATCAAATTTTTGTTGAAAGAAAAACTCATAGAGAAGATTGGACTGGTGAAAAATCTGTAAAAGCAAGATTTGGATTAAAAGAGAAAAAAGTAAATTCATTTTTAAAAGGTGATTTAAAAGCAAGTGAAGTATTTGATAAAATGAGAAAAGAAGGTAAAAAATCTCCTCAAGAAATTGAAAATTTAGAAAGATTAGCTCAAGAAGTTCAATATAGAATTTTAAAAGAAAAATATAGACCAGTTATGAGATCATTTTATAATAGAACTGCTTTTCAATTACCTGGTGATGCAAGAGTTAGAATTTCTTTAGATACTGAATTAACAATGGTAAGAGAAGATGATTTTGATGGATATGATAGAACTCATGGTAATTGGAGAAGAACAGATATTGGAGTTGATTATCCATTTCCTCAATTAAGTGAAAAAGATGTTTGTAGATTTCCTTATGCAGTTTTAGAAGTTAAATTACAAACTCAATTAGGTCAAGAACCTCCAGCTTGGATTAGAGAATTAATTAGTTCTCATTTAGTTGAAGCTGTTCCTAAATTCTCAAAATTTATTCATGGAGGTGCAACTTTATTAACTGATTATGTTGATTTATTACCATTTTGGTATACTCAAATGGATGTTGATATTAGAAAACCAAAAGTTATTGAAGAATATGGTATACAAAGACATCAAGGTCAACAACAAAGTAGACTAGGCTCATCAACAAGTGGGAATGAATTAGATGAAGAAGAATTTACTGGTGATTCATATACTGGTGTTCATTTTTCAAATGATACAAATCCATTAGAAGATGATTTAGATGAACAAACTCCATTACTTTTACCATCAACTTATAATACAAGAAATTCAAATTCACCAATAAAAAATTTTTTTTATCATTTATATGGACAATTTTTACATTATTTTAATGATGATAGAACTTTTACTGTTAAACCTGGAACAAATTATGATTTAAATTCAACTTTTAAAGATAAATTACCAAAGGGGAAAACCATATGTGTTCCAGTTAGAATTGAACCAAAAGTATATTTTGCAAATGAAAGAACTTTTTTAAGTTGGATAAGTATTGGTATGTTATTAGGTTTTACTGCAACTACATTATTAAATTATGGTACAAATTCTGCATTAACAGCAAGTATTGGATTTTTTATAACTGCTTTATTTACTTTATCTTATGCTATATATAGATATATTTGGAGAGTTATAAATATTAGAGAAAAAAATCCAGTTGCTTATGGAGATAAAATTGGTCCAAATTTAATTTGTTTATTTTTATTTTTAAGTACTTTTACAACTTTTCTTTTTAGGTTTTTGGAATAATTAAACAAATTCATATAATTTAAAAAATTAATTAATTTTGTATAATATTGTAAATCGTAATTTTTAAATTTAATTAATCGTAGAATCCTCTCTTTGCTGAAGTGTAGCTTAACGTTGAGTCGGTTCGGACAGAATTGTTTGAAAACTATAAAATCTCGGAGATAGAGTTTAAACTCAATATTCAGAAATTTTTCTCAAATTAGCTAGGAGACCAATTTTATAGATGTTGAAGAAATTGCAAAATTCGGTAAACTCGGTCCTTACTATAGTTCAGCTCCTAAATTTTGGCGATCTAAAATACAAATCAGATCCCGTCGCAAATCATACCGAATCGGGATTAGACTGTATATAAACACCGAGTTTTAATCTGATAAAATTGATGAAAAAGATAAAAAAAAATTACATGGCTAGTAAAATTATGTCTCGCACTAAAGTTAATAAGGCTATAAACAATATAGTAAATGTTCAATTAAGATCATATACAACGAGACATACTACCACTATCGTGAAAAAATCAATGAGTTCTTTTATCAACAACAATCCAATGCCTGCTACTAAGTCTTTAGCGGAATTATCTGAAAACAATTCAATTTTACCCAAATTTTCAAAAACACCGAAAAATTTCAATACGAATATTTTAGTCGTTGGTGGTTCTTACGCTGGTCTTTCAACAATAAGAGCATTGCAAGTAAATTTGACGAATAAAATTAAAGAATATATCAAAGCTGAACCATTAAAAAAGAAAATAACAATAACTTTAATTGAACCAAGAAATGGATTTTTAAATATTTTAGGAATACCTAAATGTATAGTTGATTTGGAATTTGCTAAAACTCAATATATTCCATTCAATAAACTAGATCATCTTAGATTCAATCATATAATTTCAAATAATAGTGATACTAATTTTGATGACAGTTGGTATGTTTCAGAAAATAAGGAAGAGATTTCAAAAAATATTGAAATAAATTTCATACATGGAGAATGTACATTTTTGGATACATCAATAGCTAAATATAAGCTTAACACAAATGAAATTGATGTTGAAGATACAAAGATTGAAAATTTAATGGGCGAAGTTGAATTTGATTATGTAGTCATGGCATCAGGAAGAGATAGAAATTGGCCAACTACTCCAAAATCACAAACTAATGATATATACCTTGAAGAAATGTCAAAAGCTTATAAAAAAATATCAAACGCCGAAACAATATCTGTAATTGGTGCAGGAGCAGTTGGGATTGAAATAGCAGGAGATATTAAAACAAAATTTCCAAATAAATGTATAAATTTAATTCATCCTCATGATTATTTCCCAAATGAACCATTAAGTATTGAATTTAAATCAATGATTCAAGATTCAATAGAAAGAAATGGAATAAATATTTATTTAAACACTCGTATACAGAAAGAGAATGATCAAGAAATCACTGAAGGTAATTTAAAAACCACAACAAATAAGACAATAGAATCAAACTTAAATATTTGGTGTAATTCAAAATATAATAATTTACAATACTTATCAAATTCACTTAAAAATCAATTTATAACAGAAGATAATCAAATTAAAATAAATGATTATTTACAATTAGATAATTCAATTTTAACAATACCTAATTTTTTCGTATTAGGAGATTTAGTTAATTTACCGATAATTAAATCAGCAGGATGGGCACTTTTTTTTGGAAGACAAACTGCATCAAATATAACAAGTTTGATATTTGAAAATAAAGTTGTTGAACCATTACCAGATTTATCTAAAATGCCTCGTGGAATGGTTTTAGTTGGAGGAAATGATGAAATTATTAGTGAATTAGCTGGTGATGTTAGTTTAAATCATGAAGGTTATAAAAAGGAATATTTGGATTATTGTATAGGAAAAGTTAGAGCTACACTAGATTTATAATCTATAAAACAAAATATACGATATGTGATATGCAGATTATTTTTTTCATGTTCCCTTTCTTGGAAGTTTCTCAACCGAATTGCATTAATGATTTTAGGTTTTGGTTTAAGGTCTAAGTGTTGCGGTACGGATGTTTGTGATATTTGACTTTTTTTGCAACAAAATAGGAGTCAACCCAAATTCAGGTTAGAAGTAGCACTAGAATTTTACATAATCACAGGAGTCATACAAACAATTTGAATATTATATACAAGCCTAAGTTTTACAACATAACAAAGTACCTTTCATATATACAGTTTTCGAGTCAGCACTAACAAGACTCAATTCGTATTTCTCTTCATTTGATCCTTTCTGCTCTTTCAAAGTGTCTAATTCGTTAATAGCAATTCCAACTTCAGTATTACAAAAACAAGGATTAAAAGTTCTGTAAGTAAAACTTTTGATCACTTGATTTGGATATTTACACTGAAAATAATACAATAACAATGTAATTTGAAAAGGACCATGAACTAATAAATTTGGTAGATTTTCAATACAATTACTGTATTTGTAGTCATAATGAATTTTATGTAAATTATAAGTTAACATACTATACTTAAGTAGATCTATCGATGTTAATTTGAAATATATTTTGTGTTGAAGATTTGATGGGACTATGTCTTTTGGAGAATCTTGTGGTTGTTGTTGGTGATACAAGTCGTTTGTGTACATCATTACCCTATTTTCAATCAAATTTGGATCTTTATATTGTCCTAAGTTATTGAGTTCATAAAATTTCCTTTCAATAGAAACAAATGCATTATCATTTAAGTAACGAACGTTCTTGACATTTTCAATACATTTCAAAGTAGAATTTATTTGTGGACTTGCTATGAAATTCAAATCACCCTTTACCCATAATCTTCGCAAAAATAATTGATGATCAACTTTATTGTTTAGATCGGTTGGAGCTTGATAATTATCATACCCATCACTCCCTATCATTAAGTTGTTTTGATTGGCAAATAGAAAGTGAAAACCATTATACCAATTTTGGGAATTTACAGTATCGTTCTGCTTGTCTATTTTTAAGACTTGATTTAATAAGTTTTGTAAATTGATTTGCGTTCCTATGGAATATGTGTCCAAGAATGTAAAAGTTTTTTGCTTGATATTATTTGCCCATTTATTTACTAATTCTTTAGCTACCTTTGACATTACCTAACCATTGAACATTATGTGTGCTAACTTTGAATTGGATAGTAGTTAAATTAATTTCGTATTAGATTAAAATTATGGAAATTTGGTACTCGAACTTTGTGTCAGAAATCTCAAATTTTGTGTCTTCAAATCATACAGGTAAATCTCATCTCCTAAATAACATATCATATATCAACAATTCAATAAATAAGAACGATGAGTACAACCAGTGAAGCTTTGAAAAATATCAAAAATAAACAGAGGAGGCAGAAGGTATACACAGACATTAAAAAGCAAAAGGAAAAAGAACGTCATAAGTTAAGAGCTGAAAGAGCTGAAGAAGAAAGATTAAATCCTGAATTGAAAGAAATAAGAATTGCTCAAAATGTACCAGATACGATTGACTCCAAAAGAATATACGATGAAACTATAACTCAAGAAATAGAAGGAAATGATGAATTTGAAGAATATTTTCAAAATTTAACAAAGGACCCAAAAATATTGTTAACAACATCAATAGGCGCTAAAAAGCCTGCTTATGAATTTGCAGATATGTTAATGGATTTCTTACCAAACGTCACTTTCATAAAAAGGAAGAAAGAATATGATATTCATCGAATTTCTGAATTTTGTTCGAATAGAGAATATACTACATTAATGATAATAAATGAGGATAAGAAGAAAGTAACTGGTTTGACAATTATAAATTTACCCCAAGGTCCTACTTTTTATTTTTCAATAAGTTCAATAATTGACGGTAAAAGAATAAAAGGTCATGGTAGAGCAACTGATCATCTACCTGAATTAGTATTAAATAATTTCAATACAAGATTAGGTAAAACCATAGGAAGATTATTTCAATCCATATTCCCTCATCAACCTGAATTACAAGGTAGACAAGTTATTACATTACACAATCAAAGAGATTATATTTTTTTAAGAAGACATAGATATGTTTTTAGAAATGAAGAAAAAGTCGGATTACAAGAATTAGGACCACAATTCACTTTAAAATTAAGAAGAATGCAAAAGGGTATTAGAGGAGACATAATATGGCAATTTAAACCAGATATGGAAAGGGATAAAAAGAAGTTTTACTTATAGATATATTGTTTTTCAGTGAAACTTACTTAGTCAATACGAATGCTATACAGTTTTTCTTAATGAATGAAAACAGCAAGTTACTCTTTACTATCAATTTTCTTGACTGAATTCAACTCTATAATTTTTGGTAATAGATTAAATGATTATTATTATCAGGCGTGATCCATTTCGATCGTTGAACGCGCACTTTTTAATTTTAAATTTCAATTTTATTTTATCATAACAATAGACAATAAAATTATATTTTTTTACAACCTTTGTTAGACCTAATAACTTCGGACTTTTATACCATATCAATAAACAATAGACCATTACTATCACCGCTCATATTATATCATCCAAATTATTTGATCAAGTCACATCATAATATACATCATTTCATTCACATACTCAATTTGTTTCTACCTATAAATACATATCAGTTATTTGTCGCAGGGTCCAATTCAATACAATAAAACTACCTATTACATTAATTTTCAAACTTCATCATAGCATAAAATAGTGTCAAGATTCCGTTAATCATTAAAGAACCTATTAATTGACATACTCGCGGGAAATGGATAGTGCTGGTGTGCAACAAATTATATCTGCTTTAAACATAGTGTATGACCCCAAGTCAACAAATGATCAAAGAAGAGAAGCTCAAAACTTTTTAGAAACTATAAAATCAAATGATGAATCACCATACTGGGGGTTTCAATTAGCATTACCTGAAAATAATGGGTCAAATTATATTGTGAGACATTTTGGTTTATCTCTATTACAATCATCTATTAGATATAGATTTCAATCATTTGATTCGACTAAAATTTCGGCTATTAAAAATTGGATAATTGAGCTAGCCAATAAAACTGAAAGTACTGATCCTCATTATATTAAAGAAAAAATAGCTTTTTTGTGGGTTGCGTTATCAAAAAGAATATGGGGTAGTTATTTAGTTAAAACAAGGGATGATCAAGAGGATATAGAGAATAATCTCACAATAAATATGGGAAATGATGTGGAAAATGATAAACCTATAATACAATCTGGAGAAAAACGTAAAGTTTCACCACAAGAAGCAGAGAGCGGTTGGGTCTCCATGGACTCTGACTTATGGCATTTATGGAATAGCAGTGTCACATGTCGTGAATTGTCATTAATAATAATAAGAACCCTATTTGAAGATATTTATTTATTGGATGATCCGACAGCATCAAAAAATAGTGCCATACTAACTCAATTATCGATGTTGATTGTAACTCCTAATAAGATTTTAGATCTGATTTACGAAAACAATGAAACGATATCGGTGTGTAAGGCATCAATTGATGGTTGGTTTATTGCATGGTCTACTTTCTTGCAAGATATCATATCCAATAGTGAATATAATAATGACGATTACCAAAAATTCATAACTAAAATACTTGGAGCTTTTAAAACATGTTTACACTGGATAAATCCAACAGTGCTAAGGGAGCAAAATATTATGCAAACCATGATAAAATTATTGACTTTGAATGACGTCAAAATCAAAACTTTAGCTGTTGACTGTCTACATATAATATTCACTAGAACTTATTTGCAAGATGAGGATTTCGAATTTTTCATCGGATCAATTTTCACAATTGAAGGTATCAATAAATTATCTGAATTTTATCAGTCATTGCAACTTGATCCGGATGATATTGATGAACAAATTTATTCGTTATTGAAGAAAACAGTAGAAATGATAGTTTCATTGAGTGAGTACTTAAATATATCGTCCAAACATAAGGTTGATTGGGATCGAAGTGACATTGATGGGTACCTCAAATTAGTTTTAAGAACGACAGATCATCCAAGTTTAATTATTAGTGGATTATCATTACAAATGTGGGTAACAATATTACGATTTGACGAATTAAGCGCCAAGCCACAAATTATAAATGTCATGATGCAACTATTAGATATCGCAGCGGATAGAACTATAAATTTTTTGCTAGACGATGAACATATATCCAAAAAGTTTTTTGATGTTGATTTTGACTCGACGCCAGATGCAACAAGTTTTTTGCAGAATTATCGAAAATTTAATGAAGATATTATAAGAATAACGGTTTGTAAAAAACCGGAAGATGGATTATTATGGTTAGAAAATAGATTACAAAATTTTTTTAGTTCAGATCTAGGAAACCAATGTATTAATAATTACAATATTGATGAAAAATCTAAGGCATTTAATTATGGATCGTCACAGTTCAATACGATAGAAAATAGTATAAGAGGTATATCAAGATGGAAAATCTGGTATCACGGTGAAGACTTTGATGAAATTAATGACAGGCTACATAAGCTAGTTATTCAATTAGGTGAAAGATTACTAGCTATGAATCTAGCTTCACCTTTAATAATACGAAGACAAGTTCAAACTTTGGTCCAATTTGCACCACTTTTAAAAGATGTCAACAGTCCATTGATGTTTCAAATTTTAGAAAAAATTTTAACAACAGCCACATTCCCCTACCCACCTAACATCTCGGATGATGACTTGGAATTAATAAGAGACTTGAGAGCAAGTTGTGGTACTGAATTAAATAGACTAGCGTACATTATGCCGGAAGCGTTAAAAAAGATTTTTAATGATTTGGAGAATGTCGTTGCTAACATACTATCCTCCAAAAAAGTTAGTGAACATGAAAATGTTGCATTCAAATCGTTCTTGTTAGTTATAGCTTCCAGGTCCTCAATTGATGACAAAAATGATTTATTTGCTAAAATTGTTGATCCTGATATTGCCGCTTGGTCAGCTCCTGAAACTGAGAAGGGTCTTGCCGACTTGCATTGGTTCATGGAAAGAATAGGTATAGTTCAAATTGCATCGTATTTTCAAAAAAGAGGTATCACCGCTAATACAAACCTATTGGAGGCTAAGATGGATGATGAGGGTAAGCAATTGAAAACAAATTTGAAAGATCATTGGAGTTCAATCTTCCCTATTAGAGCAACTAGAATTTTTATTCAATATAGTATAGAAAAATTAAATCATGATCTGCCTGAATATATCAATTTATTAAAATTATGGAAACCAAGAGTGCAACCCATTGTACCACATGTTTTACAGTTATTGACTCAAATACAGGCTTACCATAATCCAGCCAATTGGAAAGATTTACCTGCTGAAGTTCAAAGTTTTGTCAAATATAGTTGTACTGAAAGGTTTTGGCAACAAGGTGTATCAATCCAATCTAAGGAGACTTTTATAGAAGAAAATGTCAAAGCTGCATTAACCCTACGAGACTTTGCTGATTCAGTTGGGCATTTGATAAGATATACTAGAGAATATGCATTCCTTACTGTTGGATCATTGGCTCAATTAGAGGACACATTATATGAAATACCAGGTATAGCATCAAGAATCTGGAAAGCAGTTGCTGGAGATACGGTTGGGGTTACATTACATTCATGGAAACATATGATCAATAGTTGTTTGAGAGTTGTCATTAAATTTTGTCCAGTAAAATTTGTTGAAGTATTCATGAGCGAATTATTGCCTCCGGCGTTGAATGATATTGACGAATTAATTGTGTCAAAATGGGATAAAGTTTACAAGAATGGCCTTCAACTACAAGGAAATGAAGATGATGAAACATTATCGGAAGAAATGATGGAGGAGCATATGTTGAGACAACTCACTGCTACTGTTGTCAGATTATTAATGGACGTTGTTGGTCAATTCAATTCCAAGACAATGTCAAATACTCAATTTGCATGTAGAAAACTAGTTATAGAAAGAAAAGAAGTTTTAGCACCATTCTTGAAAATTTGCTGCCATATAATTACTTTCAAAGATACAAAATGTTCATTTAATACAATTCTAGTCATTAGAAACATAGTTACAGAAGTAACTTTAAAAGATGACGAAGTTGATAAATTTTTAAGTGACTACCTAATAAAAGCATTACTACAAGTGTTATTAGATGATTATTTTGTTGAAACTCATGGAGAAGCAGCATTAGCATTAACATCATTATATTGTCAATTAAGATTGAAGGATGATTATGCAGCAAGAGTCTTGATAGCAAATTTACCAAATATAAAACCACAACACATACTGAATTTCGAAAGTTTATTAGTCTCATCTAGATCAATAAGGCATCAAAGATCAGCTCTATTGGAATTAATTAAAATATCAAAAGATAATGGTTCAATGAATGATAATGACGAATTAAGTAAACGAAAAAAAGAACTTGATAGTATTACGAAAAGAAAAAAAATCGGTGCAGAAAACTCAGATGTTATGAACGACCCATTTGTGGAAAATGGAGCATTAGGAAATTTATTTGGGGATGAATAGATTGTATTCTGTGTTTTGTATCAAAATAGATATCCATATATAGTTTCATAAATAATCGTAACACGAATATAAAAATTTTATGATTTAAGAATTCTGTTTGGCGAAAATGTAATTAATCTCATTGTTTGTGAAAATTTTGTTATTCGATATTACTGGCTCATTATCAATTAGAATTTTGGAAGGACCTTGAATTTTATAGAAGATAGGTCTCGATCTGATAAACCTACCGTTAATATGTGAATATATGTAATTCCAAGATGAACTGAGTAAGTGTAAAAATGGAGCTGTGTATGGTGCAATTGGATTAAACACATTTTTAATTGTGTCCGATGACTTTTTCATGTAATTTCCTATTGACCTATTGAATTCTTTGATTGGTTGTACTATCGAACGGGGCCAATGTATCGTATGTTCCAAAGTATGCAATTTGTATTTATTAGGAGTTATTATTAAGGGTTCAATTCCATTTGTTGCAGAATCAATGGCAATCAATGAATTCGGATTGACTAATATTTCTGAATTTTGATCAACTTCCACTTCTGTGACTTTAGAAAATTCACCTCCATTTATTATTAGACACCCATTGTTACCATCAACTTCCAAAATTGATGAAGATTTAGTTGATGGTTTGAAAATTATGTCGGTCCCTGACCATCCAATTATCTTGTTTAAATTATAAATGGTCCAATTTGACTGTTTGTTAATTCCCAAAACTTTATAATTCGAATTTCCATTTATAATTAAATTAGAACTTTGACTCGATTTTAAAAGTTGATAAACATGACCAAAAAAATTGATACTTTCACTACTTATGTGACTCAAGTCTCCATTTATACCAAGTAATGAATTCGAATTTATAAAAAATTGAGACGATTGTGGTAATGCAACTGATAAAATATTTGATGGATTGCCTATTGGATGAATACTGGGTGTGGCTGCAAAAGGGCCTGATCCTGTAACAGATGGTTTTGTCAATGGTATAGCATTATTAGACGTAGTAGTAGTCAATTGCTTTGTTATATGAGCTGATGATTGGCTATTTAGCCGTAGTTTATGCATTTTTGTAGAAGTTAATTCACTTATCTAGGTCAGAGAGAATTGTACGACTAAATTTTTTTGATGTTTCAATTTCGATTTGCTGCAAAATCAAAAAAACTTTTTTATTGAAAAGATGAATCTATTTAATGGATCTATACGTATTTTTGCTCTTAGTCATGAATTCCAATATAAATTTTGAGTTTATTCAGTTAAATCGTTGAAAAGTTTATCGGCGTCTTCAACTTCTTGCACAAGAGCGTTTGAACATAATTTATTATCAATGATGTTTGCTTTTCGAATAAAGTTAACAAATTTGTTCCACCATTTTTTCCCATTATCAAAGTCTTTTGAGATTTGATCAGAAGTTATAGCATTTTCTCCGCTAACAGTTGCATTATAAGATGTGGAATTTACTTGGAAGACATTATCAGCTAAATGATGTTTAGCAAATGTGATAGACTCCGATTTATTGCCTGAGCTCTTCAATTTTTTCAAAGTTATCTCTAAATAGATTTCACTGACTATTCCCAACAACGTATTGTTTACTTCTTGGTAGAATGGAATTTGACTTATTAGTTCATACCAATCATTTTTATTGTAATCAATTTTGACATTATTCTTTTCTTGACGTACAATCATATCAACCAATAATACTTCAATTGTATGCAACAATTGCGTGTTTATAAAACTGATTGAACTTCTAAAACTCAACAAGTTTCTCGAAATCGGGCCTTGATAATTGACTGGCGCAATGTTGAATTTTTTCATACCAAATATTCTTGAAATTAATAATATACTTTTGTTTTCACTTGCACTTAATTCGTAATTTGCTTCATTTAACAAGTCCTTATAAGGTTTGCCAACTGAAAAATAATCGGGATTTGCGTTGGTCAATTTAAATGTGTCTGACTTTAATAATAAGGATAAAAGTATGAGATGCTCCAAATCTTCGTCACTAATATCTTCATGTTCATTTATGAGCTCTTTGAATATCTTACCAATTGTTGAAACCTGATTTTTGTCGTCGATGATTCCATACACATGTAATGCTCTGGAAAATGCTGATGAAATAAGATCGACTTGAGTTTCAACTGCGTCGGGCCCTTGATCTGACTTGGAATCCGTATTCAAGTTTGATAGTAACCCATACTTGATACTGAATGACGTTTGAGAAGATTTAGTAAATACGTTTTCAACTTCCTTAGTGATTGGAGGGTTCATCCTATTATTCAAAGCCAAAACACTATCATTGAACCAAAACTTAACGTTAATTTTTTTTACTTGATAATATCTTGCTAAAAGCTGAGTAATCAAATTGTACTGTTTGTCCAATAAGTCCGTATAGAACTTAGAACTAACCAACTTCTTATAACTATCACTTTTACCGAGCTCAGCTGGTGGTCTTACGTCAAGTCTTCCTCCTGCAATGGAACTCAAAATTTCCGCCGGAATTAGTCCCAATGATTGATAATAATACAATTCCGGTGGTAGTCTTTGAGAAATGATTTCATGTAAATTATTTGGAACTTTGACTAAAGGCTTTGTTGGTGTGTTGTTCCCAGATCCATCTGTTTGAATCTCGTCATCATCACCGAGGAAATCTACATTCTTGTCTAAACCGAGTTTAGCTAATTCAACATTGTAAAGTTCAACATATCCTTCTTTTGTAATTATTGGAGTGAATTTGATTAATGATTGACCTTTTAAATACCAATCTACTAATTTTTGATCATTCAAATTTAAAACATAACCATACAAGTCTTGATGATTTCCACTGACTTGGGCGTATTGATATAACAGGTCCAAGCCAAATTTGAAAATATTGATTGGGGGATAATTAGGTAATGGTTTTGGAAAAATTGGGAAAGTATTTGGCTGTAAACTGCAACCAACAATCAAACTTAGATCTTGCAATTGTCTTTCATTAATTCTTAATTCTTGCAAAATTTTATGTTTGTCTACAAATCTAAACTCTCTAGTTTGGTTTTCTATCCCTAGTATGAATTTATCAATTTGTGTCAATAATAAGTCTGTAGATCCATAAATAGTGTCTACTATTTTGGATTGATACAAGTATGATAATTGAAATGATGAATCGTACGGAGTTATTAAATAATCGACTCCAAATTCAATAAAGATACTGACTAAATCATTAATTATAGCTTGCAAAGGTATGCTTTCATTCAAAGATCTGTAATTTTCGAATGCTTGGAAATGTTGATGGTAATTCGAGTTTTGTTTTTGTAAATTTGATATCTTGTTCCAAGTACTTTCCAAACTTTGTTCAACTGGTGATAATTCATTGGATTTATATTCTATATTTTGAGATTGGGTATTCGATCTCAGTATGACAAATATTGGTTTGATGCTAAATTCCTTGAATACTTGTAAGTCTGCGTAAATGTAATCTTTCAACGAGCTTGGCAGTCCCCCAATTGCTGCTAAAAAATGTTCCTTTTTTGATGTATATATTCTATTCAAATAATTCTCCACGTCGATCCCAATTGTTGCATTTGTTAGAATTTCAATTGAGCTGGGATATACTAATTTCCTTTCAAATAAAAAAGGTTCAAGTGACTTGATGGGCATAGCTTATTAAATTTTGATCTTGAAAGGTCGTTAAAGATGTAATTACTGACGTTGTTGATAGATTTTAATGGTGACGTTAAATTTCCTGACCTATACGAAAGACAAGCTAAATTATCCACAACAAGTTTTAATAAATTATTATAAAACATTGACTTTGTTCCAAGTTAACTTTTTTAATGTGAAAAATTATTAGAGGGTGGAACTACCAATTGCTTCAGGTAAATATCAAAGACAAACAGAAAATACGCGTAAAGATATAATCTTACACTAATAACTATGCTTATGATTTATGATTCTAAATGTTTTGAATTGTTTTAAATGATCTATAAGATTATAAATATAAGAATAGAATACTTTTACATATTTGGACTCAACATGTCTGCTTTCACCAAGGAATGTATCTAGAAAATAATGTGTTAGTAATTTTTCTTCATCAGCTTTGAATTGAAATCTTTTAATACATACGTCTTGAATTGAAGCGTTAATGAATTGTCTCACTTCTAAAGCCAACCAAATTTTTACCATACTCAAACTATTCTCATCCTTCATCATCTCTCTACCTTCTTTTGATATACCTAATTTTCTCAAGACAGGTAATGAACTTTAATAGAAAAAAATTTGTTAGTAAATGTTTACGAAAATCTATTATTAATCGATGAACAAGTTGCCCATTGAAATTATTGATTTTATATCAATTTGTTCAGTTGGGAACCCAATCATTAATGCATATACGAACCTTGCAAATAAGTCTAAATTAGGATCTAATTGTCTTCCAACACCTTCTAGTAATAATATCGCTACAATGACAGTCACGAAATCTCCCTCCATTCTCACATGATGATTTCTAACCATACCTAAAACTTGATCCAACAAATCTCCAATACTAACGTTTCCTAATGTGAAAGTTCTATCTTTCATTCTATCCACTAATTTTTCAACTTTTAATGCAAAAATTTCTTTGTTTATTGCTGTTTCTGGTGTTCTTGATCTTTCAACCATTAATTCTCCAGCTTTATATCCATCAAATTCTGATAAAGCTTTGAACAAATCAATGAAATTAACACGATCATTATGATTCAATTCAGTAACAAGACCAACATCTAAGAAACATATCTCAGCATGATATCCATCTTCATATAACTGTGCTAATTTTTCACACCATTCAGTTGGGTTTTTCATTTTTAGTAACTCGTCAGTGATTTTATTAGTCTCTTTATCATTTGATGCTTTAATAATTTTGTACTCCTTTTCATGTCTATATAATTCATTTTTATAAAATCTAACCATCATGTTTCCTGGATGTAAATCGGCATGAACAAAATTATCAAGAATTAACATTTTCAAGAATGCATCCAACCCTTTGTCACTCACCTCTTTTGATAAGTTTTTGCCAAAATTCTCAGTCAATGATAATAGTTTGCTTAAAGGTATAGCATGCATATATTCTTCAACTAAAACATCCCTTGTTGTAAAATTCAAATACGGCTTGGGAAAATGAATATCAAGTCTGCTTTTAAAATTTTCTCTAAATTTTGCCAAATTCAACGCTTCAATCCTTAAGTCTAACTGTAATTTCATCAATATAGCAAATTGATCAACTTCATCGGGTAATGAAAGCCATTCCATGGTTGGTATAACATTGATAATATCTGCGAAAAATTTCATGATTTTTAAATCTCTATGAACGTTAATTTCCACTTTTGGATGTAAGACCTTAATAGCAACATATTCATTAGAATTCAAGTGTTCTGTGACTATGAGTTTGTCAAAAAATTGTGTATCCAGGTTCTTCTTTTTATGCTTCTCTTTCAATTTTTGTTCGACTTCTTTCTCCTCTTGCGCAGCCTTGTCTAGAACTTTTTGTGATAATTTGGCCGTATAAACTTGTGCAATAGCACCGACACCGACTGGTTTTTCGTTAAATTCATCAAAAATTTCTTCAAATGGTAGTCCACCAAAACTTGATCTTATAATCTTTTTTGTAGCTTCCAAGCTATGAGCTTTAGCGTTTGAATGTAATGATCCCAATTCATTACATAATTCTAATGGAAAAATATCGGTTCTACTTGCTGCCCATTGACCTAACTTAATAAATGAAGCCCCAGCTTGTTCTGCTGACCATCGCAAATATCTATACCATAAAGTTGCTCCAGTCCTTACATAATCCCCATTTTCTGTTTTATGTTTTCGACCAAACCAACATATAGGACTTGACAATAACACTGGGAGGAATATGCATGATAACTGTAAGAATCTGGAAAAAGTGACTATAGGATCAAGGACGTAATCCTGAAAAGCAAATATTAGTCTGTACAGTATACTAATTAGCCATGACTTGTGTTGCGTCTTAGAGTTCCTGAACTCATTAAACTGATCCTTCTCTTCCTGTTGTGATGCTTCATATAAACCATTTTCATAAGTTTCTGCGGTTTTTATTGGGTTTAATTCATGAATTGATGAGTCTAGAGCATGGACGTCATTATAGACTTTGTTATTATTTATAAAAAGATATGTAATTAGTGATATACCTGACCCTATAGCTATTAATGTCCTCTTTTGGTTAACTATATTAGACTTTGAATGAAATGAATTATAGTGGATGTGTCTTTTAAATGATTGTTTGAAAACGGATGATGATACATTCTGAATAGGTTTTAGCTTAGCGTAATTCCTTATCAAACATAGCGTCATGCCGTTATTTCCTCAAGTATTGAGAAGCGTTGTGTTATATGCAATTGGTTCTTTCAAATGGAAGTTTGATTGTTTTGCAGTTCCGAATTTAGTAACATTATTTTAGATTGCTAAAGATACGAATATTATTTGAAAAAGAACAGAATTTTATACAAGATTCTCATTATAGACAAATTTGAGAGTATTTATGTTACGAAGTAAACCTGAGTTATCTAAACCTGTTAGAGGCAAATGTGTAGGAGCAACAAAGGCCATAAGGCTCGTGATGTGGAAATCTACCATTAATCACGTGACATTGCACGTGCAATGCTGAAACATCTTGATACTCAGTATCTGAAGAGTGAATTTTCGTTTTGCAATCATAAATTTTTTATGCAAAAGCTATAGTACAAGATGCCATCGGAAACCGTTGCAGTAGCACCCTCACTATCAACTTATCAGGATGATTCAACATTTTCATATGACAAGGTGAATTCAACTAAGCACAAAAGACAACACTTAAAACTAAATAAAGCAGATGATTATACCGAACTAGTTGAAAAGATAACTGAATATTATTCCATAGAAGAATTAATCAAAGTGTTAAAGAATTCAAAATATGAGAAAATAACTTTGCAATTTCCAGATGAATTAATATGTGACTCTGCTACGATCGTTCATATTCTACAAGAACAACTACCGAACTTGAAATTTTGGATTTTAGCAGATACGTCATATTCTTCATGTTGTGTGGATGAAGTTGCGGCAGAACATGTAAATAGTGACTTAGTTATACATTTTGGGGATGCTTGCTTGAATGAAGTTGCAAAAATTAATGCAATCTATGTGTTGGGAAAACCTGATATCAATCTAAATGAATTAGTAAGCCAGTTTAAAGAAAAAATTGATAAAGATGATAGAATTGTCTTGATGGCAGATGCTCCTCATACACATATTCTACACGAACTCAAAAAGAGACTACGAGACTATTCCAATATTATCTTAGCCGACTTGATAGTGGGTTCTACAAAAATAATTGGATATCAACCTACCACCAATTTTTCACATACTCAATTTAACAGAACATTTTCAATTGATAAATTACTGGACTATAATTTATTTCATATAACTAAGCCCGAAGCACCAAGACTACTACAATTATCAACAAATTTTGCATCTGTGACGACGTATGATCCTATCACAAATAAAATATTGCAAGGTCCTTTCCCAAATTTAATGAGAAGATATAGATATGTTCATATGGTACGAAGCTCTGGTACTATTGGAATCTTGGTAAACACATTATCGTTATCCAATACCAAACAATTGATAAATACTATAAAATCAAAAATAACACAAGCTGGTAAGAAAGCTCATATACTAGTTGTTGGTAAACCAAATGTTGCAAAATTGGCTAATTTTGATAGCATTGATATTTGGTGTGTGTTGGGATGTGATCATAAGGGGATAATAATTGATCAAACGAATGAATTTTATAAACCTATTGTTACACCTTATGAATTATTATTAGGGTTAAGTGATGAAGTGACATGGACTGGTAGATGGGTAACTGATTATAAGACTGTTATTGATGAATACAGGAGAGAAGGAGAAGAACATGAATTTAAAAATGAAAATGAAAATGGAGAGACCAGCTCAGATGAAGAACCCGAATTTGATCCAGTCAGGGGCCGATATGTAAGTACTTCGAAACCTTTAAGACAAATCCATCACTTGTCCATAAAAGATGCAAGTGAAAACGATCAAACTGAAAATGCATTAGCTGAGAGGCTCTCCAGCAAAGTAGCAATTAGAAATACAGTAAGTACATCAGCAATGCATCTACAAAATAGACATTGGACAGGTTTGGGTAGTGATTACAAAAATAATGCGGACTCTGGTGATAGTTCTGATGATGATGACGAGGGAGCAATAGTGCAAGAGGGAAGACAAGGAATTGCTAGAGGTTATGATTATGATATAGAGAATAAATGATTAGTTTTAAATCCAGAAAAGATTCAGAATTTTTGGACTAGATTCTGTTACGTGAGAAATGAAAGATTCAGATTTAAACTCGATTTGCAACAAGAATTTTATTTCAACATTTTTACTCTTTATTCTCCTTCATAAATTACATTGTCTTTCAATTTTGCTAGACTTAACTAAACTTTGCTACTTAGTATTTAATACACACTCACAATGTGTAGATTTTGCCGTAGACAACCAAATGATCCACCAGATGACGGAGAAAGAAACACTGCCATTGATTGGGCTGAAATAATTTTGTTGATTATTGAAGTATTCACATTTTTATTCTTCATTGTATCGTATGTAACTCTACAAAGATGATTGAATTGTTTTCATAATCTTAAATTATATTTCCGCCTCGGAATTATGATTTTTCAATTAATTATTTTTCAGCTTCTGAAATGATTTACTAACTAATGCTCAACAATAGCTTCTTGACGCTATGGTATACTCCAATCCCATATATATTATTTGGATTACTACTAGTTTTACTATTGGTTAGTTTTATATTATATTTTGTTGGATCTTACAACTATCCGTATAGGAAACAATGGAAATCATTTAGCCAAACTGACATAGCTTTGATCACAGGTGGATCAAATGGTTTAGGTCTAGAGATTGCTAAATCATTATTAGTTAAAGACGTTACGGTATATGTTATTGATAAAGTTTCACCACCGGAGAAATTATTTAAAGATTCTAAATTTAATTTTATTCAATGTGATTTGGGTGATGAAAGAGATTTAAAATTAAAACTTTCAACCTTAATTCATGATTTGAATGCAGAGAATAGATATATTAGTATACTCATTAACAATGCAGGTATCAGAGACAATAGATCATTAGTGAACTTAAAATTTGATAAAGTAAAAGATTTGTTTAATGTCAATACGATTGCACAAATATTTATATTGCAAAAAATTTTGTCAAATCATTTATCATATAACGTGAATGGTAAATTATCACTCGTTACCGTTTCTTCGATATTAGGGACATTTGCACCTAAGAATCTTTCAGTTTATTCCGCTACTAAAGCAGCACAGATTATGTTACATGAATCCTTACAACAAGAATTGAAACAATTTCCCAAAATTAGATTAATGCTTGTGACAACGGGTCAAATGAATACTGAATTATTTAAAGATGTAAGTGCTCCTAAACAGTTCATCGCTCCTGTTGTGAATCATGTAAATTTAGCAAGGGAAATAACTGAGAAAGTGGAAAAAGGATATATGGGTAATTTATCCAGACCATTTTATGCAAACTTTTTACCGGGAGTGAGAACTACTCCTTTAATTGTTCAAGATTTTTGTAGATGGTTCAGTGAAATTGATGAGCAAATAAAAGAATCAAAAGATTTTAAGTTTTAAAAGTTAAAAATTATTTTAAGTAGAGACCATTTTATAGAATCTCAATTTATAAAGACATTGTGATTTATTTGGGAAAACAATATATACATCAATCTACTCTGACTTTTTATTAATATCACTACTTAATAATTTCAAAAATTCATCTCTGTTAAAGAATCCAATGATATCAAAAAATTTATTAAAAGGTATTACAGTTTTGTTTGGAGCTTTGTCATCAATTGTAATCGTTACGTAATAGTTTGGTTCATATTTCTTTATTTCACTAGCTATTGTTATTATTCCACCCTTTTTGTTATATCCAATATATTTGACATTTTTATATTTTAAATTTATGAGAAATAAAGCAGCATTAACAATTCCATACACCACACATGAAATCAATGTAATATTATATATGTCTTTAAATTTGAATTTTTTATCTGCTAAAAATAATAATCCTGCTATAACAACAGTTATTGTACCTAATCCTAATTTTAAATCTATGATCTTAAATGATTCTTCATAACCTAAATTTTGTAATACTGAACCTAATTGTTCATCTGTTGTTTTCTGTAATTCTTTTACTGAATTGAGATTTGTCTTCTTTAATTGTGACATTTCTGTAGTGTTGTTTTTAATCAATTGTTTTGAATGAATTGGCTGAAAACTTGTACTTAGATTTTACGTGTTTTCAATTTTGGTGAAACTGAATTTCTGTCACGTGAAAAACAGATGGTAGCCTTATCGTGCTGACTTTTTAATTTGCAACACAAAACAAATCAACAAATTGCTCAACTTTCACACAATCATTTGATTTGTTCTTTCTACTAATTATTCTTCGGTGACCGAAGAATATCACTTCATACTTCAAGCTATCATACCTATCAACTACTTACTTGCATCATTCAACTAATATACAAACTTTTTTTAAGAAGTCCACCAAACTAAGTTGTTTTTTGAAAACTTTCACATTATGATATTTAGTTTGTTTTGATGACAAGCTATTTAAATTCAGACGATTCAATAATGACTGATTATAAAAATTCTAATAATAATTCATCTAGTAATAATATACCATATAAACCATTCAATCTGAATAATAATAACCAAATACTTCCAAAACAAGGGAATAATCGAAAATTTAATAATAATAAATCAAAAAATTATGATCATAAGAATGATAAAGATATAACTCAATTAGAATCACAATTAAAACAAGGTAAAAAAATAAATGGAAATAGTAGAAAAAATCAAATATCTATAAATCATTTATTAGATTTTCAATCTTATCGTGATACTGAAGAATATGCTGAAAATCAACAAAGACAAAAACAAAGAAGAAGATCAAGTAGTCATAAAAAATATCAACAAGTTTCAAAAATTCATTTAACTGGAATGAAATTTATTAATGTTAATTTTAAATTTATAGTAGATTCAAGAAAAAATTATAAAATTCAAGAAATTGATCCAAATATTCCAGTTGATATTAAAAATATTATATCGATAATTGCTCCTAAAGGTGCTAGTTGTCCAATTTGTTTAAGTGATGATCTTATTGCTCCACGAATGATTGTATCTTGTGGTCATATTTTGTGTTTAAAATGTGTTCTAAGTTTATTAGAACATGAAGTTCCAAAAGCGAAAAAGAAAGAATCTTCAGCAATTATAGAGAAATATAGAGAATGTCCACTTTGTTTCAGTATTATTAGGAAACCTGAATTAAAACCAGTCATTTTTGATAACGTCGATGAAAGATTTGAAATTCCAAAAGTTAAAGATGAAGTAGTTTTAACTTTAATGGCAAGAGATCTGAATAAAATTTTATCATTACCTAAATCAATTTCTATTCAAAATCATTTAAATGATTTTCCAAATGTTAATCAAATTGAATTATCTTCATATCTGAGAATTATGAAAGGAGATTTTGATTATTTAAAAAATATGTATGAAAATGAAAAACAACAAATTTTGAAAAATTATGAAGAAGAAAAATTATTATATGGAGATGATAATGAATTAGTTGAAGAAGCTATTTCCCATATAGATAAAGAAATAGAAGAATGGTCAACTAAATTTGCTGAACCATCATCTGTGGAAAAAACTTTTAATTTAGATGAATCATTAACCCATCAAACAACATTTTATTATTATCAAACAGGATTTAATGCTAATACTACATATGTTTTATCACCATTAGATATGAAAGTTTTAAAAAATACATATATTGATTATCAAAACTTACCATCGACAATTATTGCCAAAATAGAAAATATAAGATATGAAGAATTATCATCTGAAACTTCAATAAATAAATATAAATATTTAAGTCATTTACCAGTAGGAACTCAAATTGGATTTTTGGAATGTAATTGGAATAATAATGAATTTATTTCACAAAATACTTGGTCATTATTTAAAGAAGATTTATTAAAAAGATCCAAAAATTCAAATAAAAAATTTAATAGAGAAGAAAGAAATAAAAAAAAAGCTCAAAATGAAGAAGAATTAAAAACTTTACAATTTTATTTAAAAGAAAATGGTCAATATAATGATGAAGAGTATGATGAAAATTTCATTAATCATAAGAATTTTAACTTTGATACCTTATCAATTCAAGATAATAATATAAACTCTCCTGTACTTTCATCAGATCAAAATTTATCAACAACAGAAAGTGAAAATGATTATCAAACAACTGTATGGGGTACAAAAATTCCAAAATCTTTATTAAAAGATTCTTCAGCAATTGAAGATAATGATAATAATGATGATGATTGGGATGCAGAAGAAATGATTAGAAAAGCAAGAGAAGAAAATTTAGAAAATGATAATGAATCAACTAATAAGAAGAAAAAGAAGAAAAAAAGATTAGTCTTGTTATCTTCTTGATTCAAAACCTTAATAAGTGTATACCATAATTAATGAATGAATGAAAACGTCATAAAAAACCTTTTATTTTTTAAAGAATGCTATATATATGTAAATTTAAAAGCCATCTTTATCGTATCTATTAATTTTTCTTTTATATTTATACCTTTTAAAAATTTTGATGAACCAAAAATTAAAATTAATAAAACTAACAAGATAATTGTATTTTGTTGTAGATATTTTTTACTTATATTTAATAAATAAATTAATTTCAGTTTTATTTCATTTTGTTTTGAAATTTCTTTATTTTCTATTCTTCTTGGTTGAGAATTTTGGTGGTTATAGGTGTTTGTAATTTCTTTAATTGATTTATATTTTAAATTTTGTTCATGAGCTAATTTTCTTGCATCTTGTTCCTTTTTTAATTTTAATTCATTTGATTTTTTTTCATCATCAATTAATTTTTGTTTTAATTCGTTTTCAATCGTTTGTTTTTGTTGTTTTATTTCATTAAGTCTGTTTAATTCTTCTTCATTTGATCCAATTAATTGTTCTGATTTTTCAAATTCGTTAAATTGTGGATATATTTCAAATTTAATTAAATTTAATAATTTTTCACCATATTTATCAGATGAATCAATATTAAAAATTAATTTATTTATATCTCTTAAATACATTTCTTTATCTTTTATTAAATCTTGATTAGATATATAAAATAATTGTAAATTATATTGAATTTCCCAAGGTATTTCATAACTTGACCATATAGAACCAATTAAATTATGAACTTCATTTGATCTTATAGAATTTCTTGCAGAATTTGATAATATTTGATCTAAATGTCCTTCTCTTAAACTTACACCAATAATAACTAAATATAAATTTATAATTTTAATTAATAAATTTTGAGATATTAATCCTTGTTTATATTCAATAAATGAATTTTGAAATATTTGATAAATTAATTTATATGATTGTATAAAATTTTTATTTATAAATAATTTTAATGCTAATTTATAATTATTTTCTATTTCTTTATTTATATTATTTGATGTTAATGTAGTTGAAGTATCCATGTTTTTCAATTGATGAACGGAGGTTTGGTATCGGTGTTGGTGTGTCTAAGTTATTATGATGATGATGATAATTACTCCACAAAATATTCAATTTTCTGATTCCGTAATTGTATGAAACATGAATTTTTACGCGCTATGAAATTTTCCTCGGTCGGACTTTAGAGAGATTACGATAAATCATTCTAACACTGTATCAAATAATAAATAATAGTTAACTCTATTTAACTATAAATCATTATATTATGTCTCTAATTAATCATTCTTCATCATTATTATCTCTATTTTTATTAGGTAATTTCCCCAAAGCTTGTAACCTTCTTCTTTTTTCAACTTCAGTTTCTTCATCTTCATCACTTTCATCTAGTTCTTCATTATTATCATCAGTAGTTATTTCATCTTCATAACTAGGTTCTTCATCAGCTTCTCCAATATCTTCTTCGTCTAATGCATGATTATTTCCAGGTGGTGGTGGTGGAGATGCCTTTTTAATTAAATGATGACTTCCTTTTCTATGTTTTGTTTCTAAAATTGATGCAATTTTATCTTCTATTTTATCTATTTTATCATGATGTGGATGTAATTTTTTATCATCTTGTGGAATTATTATATTATGATGAGTTCCTTTTTCTAAATCTGTTACATGAACAGTTGGAATTTCTTGGGGTTGTTGTGATGATGGTGAACTTTGATCTTGATTTGGATAATTTTCATTTGATTTTGTATTTGGTTTTATTCCAACTAATGATTTTATTTTATCAACGAATGTAGAAGATCTTGAACGTAATTTTTGTTGTTCTTTTTGTTGTTGATGTGGTACTGATGCATGTCTATTAACTTTATATCGCCTTATTATATCACCATCTTCATTTTCTATAACAATTAAATTATCAACACGATGAGCATAAACTTTTCTTCTATGAGGATCATCTTTTTTATAGTATGATTTTCTTGATAATTTTCTTTCCAATGGTGCTAATAAACTTTCTTTTTTATGTTCTTGTTTTTCATTATTTATTGAAGAATTATCTGTTTTATTACCTGATCCACTTGAATATTGTGATAAATGCCTTCTTAATGATTCCATTGAATGTATACTATCATCCTCTCCATTATATTCTTTTTTATTTTTTGGTCCTCCATTTAAAGTTAAATTATCCATAACTTCTCCATGTTGATCTTCAATAATAATTTGATCACCATCTTGATATGCAATTGTTGGTATTGATCTTTTTTCTGCTTTTGGATATTCTCCATATTTTGATTTTCCTGATGTTTTTTTGTTTGGTGATGATTCCTCTGCTTCTTCAATATGTTCTTTTTCTTGTTGTGGACTAGTTTCTCCTGAAGATGATGAAGTTTTGACTTCAGTTGTTGCTTCTGGTTCTGATGAGGATGTACTTTTCAAAGGTGTTGTAGGTGATGTTGGTTCTTGTTGCTGCAGTGGTGGTTGTGGTCTACCACCTAATTGTAAAAATTGAGGAGTTGGACGATGTCTTTCTTCCATTTCTTCATCATCATTACTTTTAACTCTTGATAATGTCTTTTTAATAAGTCCAGGTTGTGATCTTTTTCTAATTTTCTTTTTTCTTCTTTTTGCACCTCCAGCTGGTCTTACTTTAACACCACTTGTTTCAGGAATATTTTGTAATGTTTCCTTTTGTTGACGTTTAATTTCAGCTTTTTCTGTAGGAGTCATTGTATCTACTCTATGTAATGAAAATGAAGTATTTGTTCTATCCAAATTTTGTAATCTTTGCATCCAATTAGATCCACCACCTCCTCCTTCAGTTTGATCACCATTTGTAGTAGTAAAAGACATTGTAATAGCCATTCTATTTAATCTTTTACCTAATGTTAAAACAGCAACTGATGATCCATGAACAATAATTGAAGTAACAACAATAAAACATACAATTGGCCAAATACATGATAATAATTGATAATGTGGGAATTCTTCATTTGGTAATTTATGTAAAGGAGTTTCTTCAGTTGTATAATGACCTTCTAAATCTTTTCTTGCTAATATACTTGCAAATAATGCACCAACACCAATTGGACCAAAATGACCACAAAAAAATGCTTCTCTCCAAGTTTTAACATCAGGAGTTATTGGTTTTAATATAACAACTGCAGGAACTCTTCTTAAAAATATTATAACTAATGCTAATATTATTAATCTCCAAACATTTAAACCTATTTTAATATTATTAAATTCAGGCCATGGAATAATTGCACCAAAATAAACAAAAAATGATAAATTTAATAATAAATCAATAACTGTTGAAACATGAGATTCTTCAGTTTTATTTGCAAAATCTCCATTCCAACCAAAAGCAGTTCCTGCAGCAAATGATACTAATAAATCATCAACTCCTAATATTGAACCAATTCCAGCACAATTAAAAGCTAAAAATATAAATATAGCTAAAAATGATTCTCTATCAATTAAATTTTTATTTTCTGCAAATGCAACAACTTTTCTTAAACTCCAACCCATTACGGACCCTAAAAAGCATCCAAAAAAACATTCCCATAATATAGTTAATAAAAACCAATCTTTTACAATTAATCCTCCATGACCAGAATGTATAATTAAATTTAATGCTAAATAAATGAAAGGAAAAGCCATACCATCATTACAACCAGATTCAGCAGATAATAAATTTCTTAAATGACCAGGAACTCTTTCTGCAAATTTCCCTTTACCAACTACAGCAGCAGCTAAAACAGGATCAGTAGCAGTAACACAAGCACTTACTAATAAACCATCATTAAAAGAAAAATGAGGAATTAAACACCAAATAAATAATCCAACAACTAACCAACCAACAGTCATAACAGGTAATAAAAAAATAGCAACTGAAATCCAATGTTTTTTCATATATTTTCTTGGTAATTCAACAGCTACTGCAATAATTTGAATACATAAAACAATTCTACAAATTTCTAATGTAATATAATCTGAATTTCCCCAACTTATTGGATTAAACCAATTTAAACAATGTGGTCCCAAAATTAATCCTGCTATTGTTGCAACTGTTGCTTCACCAATATATAATCTTTCTTTAACAAATAATGAAACTAATGAAAATAAAGTACAAAATACTCCAACACATGCATAAGCTATATGAGGAGATTCTAACTCTAGTTGTTCCCAAGCCATTTTGTTAGAATCTTATAATAGATAATATGTAGTGGTTTGAGTTTATGCAAATAGATAGGTAATATATATGATCAAAGTTTTATTATGAATTTCTATATCATTGATGATTTTCAAATTTTTTTGCTCTTCTTGATTTAAATTTTAAGATTTTATGAAGTATGTGTTATAATTTCTATTAGATCTCTTGTAAGATTTGAATGCTAGTTTAGATCTTGTTTTTCTTCTTATTCTTTCTTTATTTCAGCTGTTGTAAAATGAAAGTATGAATCAAATATTTGATTTTATAGATGTTATTGGTATCACTAATGATTGTTATTTATTTGTTACAAGCTAAAAATTAATCATTAATAGTAGAATTAATCCTGTATATAAGTTGTATGTATAATGTATTAACATTTGAACTATTGCACAGTACTAATCCTACATAAGTTACCGTAACATTGAGTCCAGTATCAAATCAAATGAAAGCTAGTTGAACTGACTTAAAAGAAAGATGAAAGTATCAAATTAAGAGAATCAAGTTTACAATGAAAAAGAAAATAAATTTAAGGTACTTTAATAATAATAACTTCTCTTGGATTCATCTTGGCATAAAGAATATAACCACTAAACAACGGCTCTATTATTTCGTTAGGCTAAGTTTTATTCGGAATTAACCTAGCCTCATTTTGTTCTTGTTCTTTATTTTAAGCCTATTTTTCTTAGTCTAAATTTAAACAAAAAACTTACATAAAGATACATATTTACGATTTAGCTAAATAATATAGGACAAAAACTACTATATTGTAGAGAATGAAGTATTACAATAAATTTATGAAGATTGAAAAGTGATTTAATCTGTATAAGATTTGGTATTTGATGGACACTATATTGGATGATAAATGAAAAATTTCAATTTCATAAATTTACATGTCGGAAATCTAGTAAAATTTGATTTTGGACTTTGATAATCAATCGGAAATATGACAAAAGATTTGTTAATAAATTTGCAATAAAATTTAAGATCTATAAAAGCCAAGTTCAGTTTAGGATCACAATCATTTTCTTAACGTTCAGATACGAGTTTAAATCACATTTCTTGAATGAAAGCCCTAATGAAATTATTTCATAAGAAATCGACCTCAAAATATGAATTGAATCAACTTTTTAACTTTAATCATAATTTGGTTGTAAAACTTAGGTATAAATTGGTAGCAGTTTTTATTATCATAGATCAACTTTAATACCAAGACCCGCGTTAACATAAACTTTTAAACTTCTTTTATACTTGGGGTATTTCTATGCATCTATATGTCATTATTTATAAATTCAACAGATAATGAAAGTGATGATGATATTAATAATAACAAGAATAATGATAGAAACAACAATAAAGAGGATATAACAAATGATAATCAAGATAGTGAATCAAGTATACCTAAAACAAGAACCACAACAACCACTCGTTCATCATCAACTATACAACCAAAACAATTACAATTTAATGCATCAACTACTCAAATAACTCATTTATCTGAAATTTTTCAATGTCTTTTAGCAATAAATAATCAAGCTATAATAAGTATAAGACCAAATGGTATAACATTATATTCTACATATAATTATTCAACAAAAGTTCATATGAATATTGATCCAAGTTTATTTAATCTTTATAATATAACAACAAATGAAGAAGAAGTATTTGATGATGATGAATTAAAATTAGGTGTTGATATATCTTTAATTTCTGATTGTTTTAATTCTGTTCAAAATACTTTGAAATTTGAATCATTAGTTAATTGTTATATTACTTATAATGGTGAAGGATATCCATTACAAATTGAATTTGAAGATAATTATATAAGTGAAAAATTAGATTTTTTTACATTTTATATTGATGAATTTGATGATTATAATGATGATGATAACGAGCTGAATAGTAATGATATAGATTATTCAAATATTATATTAGAAATTATTGTAAAAAGTGATGTTTTAACAAATCTTTTACAAGAATTAAATCAAATTCATACTGATTTATTATTTATTTATACATCAAAAAATAAATTAAATTTTATAAGTTCAGGATCAATAGGAATGTCCAAACTTATATTCCCAAATGAAAAATCCATATTAGAGAAATTAATTATTGATTCTGATATAAATCCATATATAATATCACAATTTAAATTTAATGAATTTTGGAAAATTTTTAAATCTGTAAAATTAAGTTCAAAATGTAAAATTTTAAAAGATCTGGCGGGTAATTTTTCAATTCAATTAATTTGTAAAAATAATTACCAAAATCAACAAAGTCATTATTCTGGTACTTTAATTACTTTTAAAATGAATGAAATGATTCATAATGATTATTTGGTAGAATGGATTTTACAAGATGAATTAAGTGGTGATATGATTATTCCTGTTAATGATACTGCTACTAATAATGATAATATTACTGATAATAATAATTTTAACAAGAATGTTACTTTTGAATCTAATATTCCTAGATTACCTCATGAACCATTAATTAATTCATTTAAAAAATCAAATAAAAGAAAATTAATTTAATCTAAAATGTATCTTTTATAATTTAGACTTATTATCAGCATCAAAAATTATTCATGAGCCATTAATTGGGTCATCTACGAAATCAAAGAAAAGAAAAATCGTTCAAGGTTCAAATTTATCCATTTGTAATTTCGTCTTTTTGCTCACGTTTGATGTTACCTATTAATTCATTCAAAAAATCAAATAAATGAAAAATTGTTCATTTCAAATGTATATCTATTTATTCACAATTTAGATTTATTATCTATCTTCAATATAGATAATAAATTTTCAAAAGTTTTTAAACTTGATCCATAACTTAATTCATAACCCATTCCACCAGCTCCATAATTATTAATAACAAATTGTTTATTATCATTAAATTTTTCAATAGAATTATTTAAACCTCCTTTTCTACCAGGTCTTAAAGCAACATTAATTCTTATAATATCAAAATATGGTTTATTAGTTTCTGCATTAATTTTTTGTAATTCTGGAAAATATATTGAACCTAGCTTCTCCAAATATTTTGTATCTTCATCTCTGACTTCCAAACTTGTATCATTTATTTGTTTTGTTCCTCCTAATATTACACCTCCATTATAAGGTCTTGGTATTGTGAAAACCCAAGATCCATCTTTTAATTGTATTGTTACAGTTTTATCAGATTTATAATTTGGTCCAGGATTTAAAAGTAAAGTTTGACCACGTATGGGAAATGAATCAGGATCAACACCTCCATTATATTTTAATCCATTCCCTGAACAATTTATAATTATTGGATTTCCCTGAATTATCGAATTTATTTCACTTAAACTATTTAATTTTTTTGATATAAATTTAATTTTAAATTCTAATAATAATTTAAAATAAATATATTGTAAATATAAAGTTGGATTTAAAACCCATGTATCATATTGAAACCCCAATATACCAGGTTTAGTTTCAAGCTTTTCAAAATTTTCCAAACCTTCGCTATATCCATATTTAGCATAGTCTTGATAATATTCATTTGGATTTTCAATAAATTCAACACCTTTTATAAATTTTATAGAACATTCCTTGTAATTTTCAGAAAGATATTTAAAATATTTTAATGTCTGTCTAGTCATTTTCATTTCTTCTTTTTGTTCTTTGGTTGTTATTGGAAATGGTCTAAAATGAGCTCCTGCCCATGGTGATACATATTCATTATATGTTGTTAATGAATCATTCATTTCTAAATTATGTGGTCCATATTGTGCTATTATTGTTATTTCATGTTTGAAACCTAGTTCATTTAATTTTTCACTTATTGTTTGTGCTGTTGTTAAACCTAATATTCCTGCTCCAACTATTACTATTTGTTGTGTAGACATTTCTTTAATTTATTAGATTATATGATGTTGCAAAAATTCAAAGATTTTAATTTGATTTCAATATCTGAAATTGTAAATTCTCTATTTTCTTTGATCTTGTTAATTTCAAAAAGTTTTACGAACTGCAATTTATAAATATTTATTTTCAATTATTCATTCGTTGAAATCGTATGTTCTGACTAAATGAAAAGTATTTGTGAAGACAGTTTTCTAGATTCTATATGTGAACGCGGCTCAGTTGCCTAATTAGTAAGGTTATCAGATCCTTCAATTTTTGATAGCAAAAAAAACGATAGACTAAAAAGATGATGAACAAACTCTAATTTTTCAATTGTATCAATTTCAAATTCAATCAATTGAATCAAACAAGACATATCAACTATGATGAAATATAAAGATATAGTACCAATTGGTACAGTATTAATCACATCAGCAACATCATTTGGATTAGGAATAATATATAGTAATTGGCCATATGATTTAAATACATTATGGAAATATGGAGACTCAAATGATTTAAATAAATCTTTAATACATTATCAAACTTGGGGAAATTCACCAATGTATATTCATTATACATTACATGTTGTTGCATTTTTAGGATTAATTGGTCATTTTATAAAATTATATAAACCAGATGAAGATGCAAAATATTTTGAATATGGTTCCCTTGGTTTATTTATGATTAGTATTATAATATATTTAACAAATTTAAGAACTGGTGTAAATCTGTGTATAACTGGTGAATGGGGAGATGTTGATTTTGCTACTGGTATAAATGTTATGGCTGCTTCACAAATTATGATATTATTAGCTTTAGTTGGAGTATTAGTTTTACAAGGTGGTTTATATTATGCTCAATGGTATGATGAAAAATTAAAATTAGAATTTTATGAAAATGAAGCTAAAGAAGCTGCTTTAGCTGCTGAAAAACAAGCTAAGGATGAAGTTATTGCTAGTGAAACTGCTAAAGTTGGACCTGGTTCTGAATCTGAAATTATTGATGTTGATGTTGAAAATGAAGGTTCTACAGGAACTAAAAATAAGAAAAAATCAATAAAGAAAAGAAAATCATAGATTCAAATTTGAATTGGCATGAAATGATCTCTTCGTGAAATAATTTTATATATTTAAGTTTGTATTATAGTTTATATCTTCATTGTTATTGACGCGACACTGTTTATATTTTTTGACACACTCTGTTTTTTTTTTTTCGAACCAATGGTACGAACCAAAAATTTCATTACGTACAGTACAAATAAAAATCAGAAGTTAAATAAAACTACACCACTACACATTGATTTTCATATATCATGTCGGATAAAGTTTGGGGTGATAAACCTATATATTTTAAACAACCAGTAAGGGTATGTTTTAAATTAAGAAGAAAATATGGCTTTTTTAGAGAAATGTTTGAAGGATTTGAGCATTGATGGATTATAACAAGCATTCAAATTTTCATCTATTAAATGAGATCATTGGATATAGTTTCAATTTACATTTTACTGGCTTTAATAGACTCAATCATTAATCTACTTCATACTCTGGTCAAATATTAGGAACTTAAATAAAACCGAGTACAAGAAAGTCATAAACAACTGATTAGTCAGGAAAGAAAGGACTAAAATCCGATGTTCATAGCCAACCATTTCAAAACAAACTAGTCTTTCCAATCATCTTTTAAAATACTAACAAACAAATAAACTTATAGTGGATAAAATATCATGCAAATGTAAATCCTGCATTATTTTTATCAGTATCATTAGCTTTATCAGCTCCTGTATTATTATTATTAACTCCTTTAAGAAAAAAATTTTTATATCCTGATCATGAACCAATACCATTTGTTTATCCTTTACCTACAAGACCTAGAGATAAAAATTTAAAAGGTTATGATGATTAAATGAAAATTAAGTTGCAAAAGATATAATTAGAAAGGAAGAAAGGTTGGTTAGATGGATATGGTACAATTAGAAAGACACTGGTCAAAAAAGGATGTGGAATGCGGAAAAACTGAAGCTGAAATTTGAAAGATGAATATGCTGATCGAATGTTCATAGTTTAATACATTATTTATACATACAACAATCAAATAAATATTTAATTTGGGAAATAGATTGAGATTTTAAATTAAATCTCGTTTTTGTACAAATCGAGTAATGCATTTTGTAGATATATGCTTTATTATTCTTATCTCTGATATGATTCAATCGAATTAAACATTGTAAAATACGTTTTGCATCAAAGCTTGTTGAAGAGGAATAAAAAAAAAATACCAATCATTTGCAGCAATATGACAAAGTAAGATCAAATAATTGTTATCACAAGAACATCGAAAGTTGAACCCGTTCACATTACCTGTTCTTTGAACTTGAAAATATGGTTGCAAAAATATAAATCGATATATGCAATTGGCAGCGAAATAAATTTTCAGATTATCACCAAAAAAATTTTCAAACAATTACTTAAGTCTACATCATAAGGTCGATCGAATTAATCCTCACATAATATACCAACCTAAATAATGAGTAGGTTGCCGATGATACTATCAAGGTCTATTAGATCATCCATATCACATAATCAAAAACTACTACCATCCCTTCAACATAGATTTATTTCACAATCATCAATACTTTATAATTCACCATTTGGAAAATTAACTACAGATCCAAATCAACAACAACCATCACCACAACAACAAGAATCATCTCAAATTCAAAGCACTCAAAAAAGACCAGAGATAATAAAAAATGAAGATGGAGAAATAGATATATCATCAATAACACCAGAAAATGATGAACAATTAATTGAATATCATGCAACAGAAGAAATAAAAAATCAAAAAGATTCAATTGAAAAATTAATTCATCCTTTAAAAATTAAATTATATAATCAAGTCGTTCGAGACCATGGATTTTTCAAAAATGATTTAATAATAAAAGATGAAGAAAGTAAAAAACTACTTAAATTTCATTTAACAAATGAAGAAATTTCAATATTAGAACCTTCAATATATTTACAATCATTTAGAATAAAATTATCAATGAAAAAAGCTACAATAGTAAATAGATTTGTTAGAAAAATGGATTTAAAAACTGCTATAAATCAATTACATTTTAATTCTAAAAAAATGTCAACAGAATTAGAAAAATTGTTAAAAACAGGATTAGAAAAAGTTAGAATGTTAGGATATAATGAAAATACCATATATATAGATAAATTATGGGTTGGTAGTGATGGAAAATGGAAAAAAAGATTAGATATAAAAGGAAGAGGTAGACATGGTATCATACATCATCCTTATATTCATTTAAAATGTGTTTTAAAAACTGAATTTACAACAAAAAGATTACAATGGGAAAAATTACAAAAATCTAAATTAGAAAAACCAAAAATGTATTTAAATAATGATCCTTTAAATTTAAAAGTTAGACCTTGGTATAAATGGTAACTTTTTAGATTAAAATCAATTGTAAATAGATTAATACGATGACAATGAATTCATTTAATCAAAAGCATTACTGATTCGAATGGAATTAGTTAAATGGTTGTATTTTAGCTCTATTTTTTGTTCACGTTAATGAAGTACTTTATTTTTATCAACAATTTGACTACTAGACCAGCATTCTTGTTTTTGTATTTCCACAAGTAGTGCAAGGCATTGTGAATTTTAGAGTTCTCAATTAATCAGATGATGAAAGTGTAGGTTGATATAGACGTTGGTTGAGGTAAAGTTAACAAATTAAATTTTGCAACAATTTTTATTCTTTATCCGAGTTTCATGTAATAAACAAAATAAATTTGTCTGTCATAAAATAACAAATCCTGTCTGTCATAAAAATGATAAGTCCGTTACGTTACTATCAAATATAACATTTTTTGTGTCAAAACAGATTCTTCTTTGTCTTATAAACTTTTTGTGTCAGTTCATTCGTTTTGTGTCTAATTAAGAAAATAAACTTTTTATGATCTTTTAACGATAACCAAAAGTAGTTAATTAATGAAGTGATTAACCTATTAACATTTGAAATTGAAGTTTTGGATTTCTTGACTTAATTGTTCAACAGACAAACCATAATTAGTTGATAACTTTAAGATACTACTGATAGAGTTTCTTGTGAAGAAAGTGCAATACTACTACTGATAACACACACAAATAAAAATAAAAATAACGAGGTAAAGTTAAATTTAAATATGATACATTACAGTTATCATTTTGACTTTAATGATACATGAAATAACTACAACTGTTAATAATAGCAATAAGAGTAAAATGTAATCAGTGTGATGTATTTAAAAGAGCATTTCTCGAAACATTTATAACATCAGTAGTAAGAGTTCTTCGCTGATAAGGAAATAAAAAATAAAATAATGTAAGTACTTACTCCATATATTTTTAAACAATAAAAGTAAATCCATACGTTACATTGATTTACATCTCCTGCTTTATTATTATGTAGCAAACTATATCATTAGATAAAGATAGGTATATTAATTATCCACACAATCTCTTTTAAAACTAAATCCGCTAAGAAATGGAGTCTATATTTATATAGTTGAGTAATATTATAATCAGAGAATATAGGGAGTTGTATTTTATTTTATTAAGTCAAGAAGAGTAGAATTTAAAATAATTGTGGTGATTGATGATTTTAGGTGATTGGTAAATAAAAAATATCCGTTAATTAGGCAAGTGGTTTAAATCGGAATGCAAATTAGTTCGTATTACTTATTGTTTAGATGTAAAGTATGTCTTACTTTTCTGTGTCTTTCATTTGTTTATATCAATTCTTTCTTTCCGATGTTACTTTGTATCTCTTCCTTTCTTTGTATCTTTACCGTTAGTACTTACTAACTAACTTATTGGCATTACATTTTACTATTAACTCCCTTTTGACTAAATAATTAAAATAAATAATATTTGTCTGAATTTGAAATGGTTAAAATTCATTAAATTTCAAGAAGGAGAATTTCAAAAGGATAAGAGGAATATAATAGTCATTCGGTTTACACATCAAAAGTTATTTACTAATCACTTCTTCATTTTGCACTCCTTCTTCTAACTTCTTTCTTTCTTTTTAGATCCAAGTAGTTAATGAACCACATTGACTAATATAACAAGTTTGGTTATTAAATGTAAACAATTATTATATTTCTCTATCTTCTTCTGATTTAAATAAATAATTATATGATAAGATTAAGCAAACCGTATTATGTATATTGTTTGGTTATAGACACTAAATTTAAAAATCGTATAATAATATTATAATAAAAATTCCTACTTGATATTACTCTATTTACTTTACTTAGATAATTCCAGTTGTATTTATTTAAAATTTGTTGGTTACGAAGGAAATACAAATTATCATTGAGTGATTTATTTCTAGTTAAATACTTAGCAATACTTCCTTCATTATTATATTTATATATATCTTTATCTTCCTCAATTTCTTTATTACTTTTCTTACTCTCTTTTTTTCTTATAATTGACTTAAGCTCAAAACTTAACTTAAACTACTTAAACTACTACTACTTAACTACTACTACTACTGCCACTATACTACCAATTACGACTACTTCAACTACTACAACTACAACTATCTATTTATAGTTTCAAACTAATTCCGCTTTTACATGATCAATTTTAATATCAATTTAAATACTGAGTCATTACTTTATTAAAGAAAGAGTATCTTATTAGTTTGGCCATTACTACAATCTGATTACTCCAATCTTATTACTTCAAACAATTAGATCATAAAAGATAGTAACTCCAATTGGTGTATCTTAGTTTTGTGACTATAATTATTATAAGACACACAATATTTAATACAACCCCCCTCCCTCCTTTTTATTTTTTTTACAACCACATTAATAATAAAAGCAAACAATTTAATTTAGTAAATTATAACCAATCAACCAATAACTACAATTCAACAAACAACTTACTTTACAAACCACTAATCAACTAACTAAATCAGATCAAAAGTATCGAACAATTAATCACAAAGGAGTTTCAGCCACTATATAAGAAGTAATTACACAAACAGAGGCAAACTTATTAAATTATAATCTCATATATTTGCAACATATCAAAAGTCATTCAAATTTGATTATCACCATCAAATTACAACATTAAAGTACATATAAACTATACTTATCACCACTAATACTGATTAAAAACCCTATATTCAAACATAAGTTCAAACTCACTATAACTACTATAATTACAACCAAAACGTCATAAATCCCTCGAACAACAAACACTACAACTACAAAATGGGGTTAAAGTGCACTAATTATTTTGATAATTCAGAATATGATTCCCCCAATATTCAAATAATAACATGTAAATCATGTTCAAGTCATTTATGTTTACTGGATTTAATATTAAGTGATAATTTTAATGGATCAACAGGACCAGCATATTTAGTTGATAATTTAATAAATATTGAAATAAACCCATGTGTAGAAGATACAAGAATGAAAACAGGATTATATAAAATTAATAAAATAAAATGTCATCAATGTTTTTTAAATTTAGGTTGGTTTTATAAAAAATCTTATTCATATCTGGAAACTTATAAGGAAGGTAAATTTGTTATAGAAAAATCTTTTATAAAATTTAGTGAAAATTTATCTACAACTCAAAAATTAACTGAAAAAGTTAAACAAAATAAATTTAAAAGAAGATTTAGTTCAAATTCTACAACAAGCTCAAATAATAGTAGTTTTAATGATGATTCTTTAGATTTAATTGAAAAAGGGAATAATATTACAGAAGTTATTGAAGATGATCAAGATGATGAAGAAGATGAAGAAAATAATATCCCACAAAATGGTATAGAAAGATTTAAAAATATAATGAATGATGTAAAATATGATATTGGAGGTAGAAATATTATAAATAATAATAATAACTCATTAGGTAATGTTATTTATTTTGGTAATAATACCAGTAATAATGGGAACAATGATGATAAAAATAAATTTAATATTAGATCAAATTCTATAAATGATGATATTGGTACAAGTAATTCAAATATTATATAATATTTTGAGTTTAAAGTAAAGATTGGTATTTTATAAAGAGAATGAATAATCGATGAATACAAAGACTACAAGTTTGTGAATTTAACAAAAATATCAATATTTTTTTTTTCATCAAAGATACTATTACTGTTGCAACAACTGCTGGTAATCATTTTTACAATTATTATTATTCAAAGTTTTATTCTGATTTTTTAAAATCATTCATTATGTTTATGATACAAATTGATGGGTCATTTTTATTCTACTGGTTCTATTTGGTGGTTTTTTCTTTTCAGTTGGTTTTTTTTAGTTGGTTGATTTTTTTTTTTGATGATTTTCAATTTTTTTATAAAGTTTAGCTGAGTTTGGTTTTACTGGTTGTTTTTGGAGTGGATAATCTTTGGTTATTTTTTTATCTTTATCGGTTAATTAGTTTTGGATTATTATATCCACTATATTTTGGGAGTTAATTCTTTTTTATTTTTTTCAATTTTTTAATTATATCTAAGTCAAGTTTAATAATAGTTTTTAGTTTTTAGTTTTTAGTTTATTCTGATATCTCTTTAGTTTTTTATATTTAGTTTGATAATATATAAATAATTCCTCTTTAATTTTACTAATCAATTGACTTCAAATGTCTATGTCAATGTCAATTGAAATTGTTGCTGTTGCAATATATTATGTTCATAAACTAAAAGCATTAAATTTAATGTCCGAGATTATTTTTGTGTCATTTATTTCTTATCATTTAAATTTTTGCAACCGTTTTTTTTTCTCTCTTATCTTATCTAATTAGCAATAATATAAAGTAGTCTATGGAAGTAAGTTACAATTTTAAAAGATTACGAAAGTCGAAATACTGGGGATGATCATCAACAAAATAAGAGAAAAATACAAGTGATGATGAATGTTAATGATGATGATGATTTTTCTATTGTGTCTACTAAGTATACTAAACAAGACTACTTCTTCATTTAATAAGAACCACTATCTATAACCCTCAACACCAACCATTACCAAAGACTTCTCTAATATTTTTCTCTTCTTCTCAAATGTTCTATTCTCTCATTTAGGAGTTAATTTAGTATAAATTAAAACATAAGCATTTGGATCACTTAAAGCTTTTTTTTCATCAATTTTATTTAAATATTCATCATCATAAGTAAACCAATCTATTCCATTTGGTTGTAATACATGAGTTATATAATGACCACTTGATATTGATCTACCTTCATGAACTATTACTGATATTAATTGATATTGTGCTGAATTGTTTGCTGTAGATGATGAATCACCTGAATTTAATAAAAATTCATTTAAATTTAAATATTTTGAATAATTTATACTTTGTTTTACTTTTGATGAAGAATTTCCATTAAATTTAAATCTTTTTAAATGAATTGTTAAAATTTCTGGAGCAATTTCTATTTGAGATTTTTTATTTGCTTGTGTAAAAGATTTACAATTTTCACAAAAATATCCTGATTTTTTAACATTTTCTTGAATTTTTAAAGTTTCATTTTGAAAAAAATCAAACAATGCATTTTCTATAGAAAACCCAATTTGATTAGTTTCTATATTTTTTGCTCTTTTTAATCCTAATGATAAATCATAAAATTCTTGTTTTGTAATTGATTCATTATTACATTTCATACATGTAATTTTTTGATTTAATAATCCTCCAAATATATCATATATTATCAGTTTATTTAATTTTGTTCCTTTTGGAGTTGAATCTTCTTGTAATCTTGATATTAAACTCATATAATATTCATGACTATCTTCTTGTTGCCACATATTCATCATACAATTAATTTCATCTAATCTTGATATTATTTTTTTGGGATTTATATAACCATTTTTAATACTAGCTAATGTTGGATTCCACATTTTTTGTGATAATTCTGCTAATATATGAGTTATTGATCTTGGTTTTATATTAGAATTGGGAATTTTATTATTATATATATCATTTAAATAATGTTGTATAGCAGGTATATGTACCAAAGATTGTATTGCTGAATTCATATAACATGTAACTCCATGATTTAATAATCCAATTGGTGGTTTATGATTTTTTAATTCTCTCCAATTTTTATAAATTCTTTTTGATCCATTTGATCCACGATCAGAATATAGTTCATTAATTTTATAATAATTTGATAAATCTATTGGTTTAGAGGTAGGTTTGGTTTTTGTTGTTGTATTTCCTGGTGTGATTAAGTTTCCTTCTTCTTCTGGTGATGTTGGAGGTGTTGATTGTGATTTTTTAGAAATCATTAATTTTTTTTCATCAGATTCTTCATCTTCATCATCTTCATTACTACTATTTTTACTAGTTCCTATACTTCCATTCAAAATTTCATCCATTTTTAAATCATGCCTTAATTTATTTAAATCTAAATCTTCATCTTCTTCTCCTCCGGTAGTTGGAGTATTTTCTTTTGATTCTTCTTCTAATTCTTTTTCTTCTTGCTTTAAATCTTCTTCATTATAACTTTCATCATCAGATGAAGTAGAATTTTCTTCATCATTCTCATCATCTATCTCCTCGTCTTCTTTATATTCTTCATCTTCTTCTTCATCATTATCTTCACTTTTTTCTGTTTCACTAAATCCTGTAAAAGGTGAATTTTCTGCTAAAATTTCTCCAGGTGATGATCCAGATGATGATGTTTCTTGTTCGTCTATTTTATTATTAAGTAAATTTGAAAAAGGTGATGCATTTGTATGTGAATTTTCTACTCTTTCTTGTCCTCCTGAAATAGCTTCTTCTATATCTTCTCCTATGTCTTCTCCTATATCTTCTCCAACATCTTCTTCAGTTCCACTTTGAGAATTTATACCATTAAATAATATTGATTTAAATGATCCCCACAATGATTTAGGTTTTTGTTCTTGTGGTTCTGAAAGTTTATGCAGTATATGTTCATCATTATCTGATTCATTTTCATCTGGTTCTATCTTTTCATCTTCTGATGAATTATTAGTCTTTGATTTTTTATATCTATTACTCCCTTGACTAGATTGTTCTTGTGATTTTTGTTGTTGTTGTTCTAATTTTCTTTTCTTTTTGTTTAATTTTGATTTAGTTTCATATTTTTGTCCTGTATAAGAAGCAACAGCTTCAGCTAATGATTTTGGTCTTTTTGGTGATAAAGTTTTTGAAAAACTTTTACTCGGGGATCCATTATCATTTGTTTCATTATTGATATTACGTTGTTGTTGTTGTTTGTTTTCATTATTTTTATAACTTAATATTATATAATTTGATGGTAATTGATTTAAATTATTTGAATCATCTTGATTTTTTGAAATAGTGAAATTTATTGGTGTATTTAAATATCTTGCTAATATTGGATTTTGATGCTCTTGTTGTTTCCGAGGCTGTTGTTGCTTATTCTTAGTTGTTGATGATTTACTACTTAATCTTGTTGTAATTACTGATGAAGATGACGGTGAGCTCATTTAAGTAAAAAATGTAAATTTGTTTACGTGTAAATGATCCTATATAATGCTAAAATTTTAGTGAAATGAAATAAATGAATGAATGATAGATTAGACCCACTAAATACTTGTGGTACTATATTCGATGGTGGATTTGATGTGAAGTTGATTCCAAATTTTATTATGTAAAAATACAAAAAAAATTCGAGACAGAGAAAAAGTGAGAAATTGAATTTTTGTTAGAAACAAAAAAAAAAAAAGATTAATTGAAGATGATGATGATGATCTAAATGATCTTATTAACGTATTCTGAAAAAGACGCGTCTATTCACACTTGTGGTTACTTGTAACAATGATATATCTCATCAGGTAACAACATATGATAACTAGAAGTGTAAGCAAACTCCAAATAAATTTCAAAAAATTAGACTTTCTTATCAAATATTGTATATAAAAATCAGAACTGACACAAAATCTAAAATTACGTATTAAGTTTCAGAATCTAAATTTATATTTTAATATTGCTAAATTATGAAACATATCAAAAAATTTCATTAAATCGTAGTGGATAATAGATCTTTAAGTCTTTTATTCATATTAAAAAAGTATGTATGTATATTTTTTTTAATTGATTTATCTTACTACATAGCATTCATACACCACCCTTCTTGTCATTACTAGATCCAGTTTTCTTAAACTTGAGCATTATCGTCATCTTCGCCTTTTCCTTCATCTTCTTGGGCTTCTTCATTATCCATTTGTTCTCTTTTTTGATTTTCTTGCTCTTCTTTTTCTTCATCATCTTGGTCTTCGTCATCTTCTTCTTCTTGTTCTTCTTCTTTTTCATCATCATCTCCATCAATTTCTACATCACCTTTAACTTCTTCATCAATATTAACATCTAATTGATTATTTGATTGAAGTTCTAAATTAATCAAATTACTTAATGAATTATTTAAAATTATATTATTTGATTCAATTAATTCTTTATTTTTATCTTTTAATTCAATTCCACCATAATTTAATAATCTATAATTGTTATTATAATCATTAGATGAAGAACCTGAACCTAAATTATAATTATATCCCATTTGTCTTTGATTTTGATATTGTTGTTGTTGTTGTTGACTAATAATATCTCTTAAATTATTATTTTTATTCCATGATTGATTTTTTTTATTTTTATCCAGTTTTGAACTTCTTTGTTGTCTTGAATATACTCTATGATCCAAATTTAATACGTCATCTAATTGATCTCTTCTTGATATATTTTGTTGTTGATGTTGTAAACGTGGATCAGATTCTTGACGACGTTTTAATCTTTTTGGTGAATGATTTGTTATATTTTCATCATAAGGATTAAACTGTAAATGATTTGAAGATTCTAAACCTCTTTGAAATCTACTATTATGACGTTGTTCAAAAAGAAAATTTCTACGACTTGATTGATCTAAATTTTGAGATTCTTCTTCATCAGTTTCCATATCATCATTTAAATGATTTTGATTTCTTGTTTCAATCACTTCATCATCCATTGAATCATTCTCTTCTTCTTCTTCTTCAATATTATCTTCTCCATCAGTCATGCCAGCTGATTGATGTCCTCTGTCAATATCATCATGTTCCAAATCACTTTCATCTGATACATTTACCGCGTCATCATAATATCCTTCTGCTTGATTTTGAGCTTTAAGTCTTTTATCCAATTTTTTTGATTTTGATTTCGAATTTTTTTTATCATTTTTTAATTCAGTATTATTATTTAAATGAAAATTTACTAATTTTTTAAATATATCATTTTTTGAATAATCCATAACGGGATTCTTTAAATTTGTTAGTTTTTTATTTAACATTGTAAGTTCTTCATTAAAATTATTTCCTTCTTCAATTAATTCAAAATTGTTTAAAAAATTTATATCTTTAAAATTTGAATTTGAAAAGCAATCAATTGTATCTTTAAATTTAGTTTCATTATTATTACTCACTACTCGATTTTCTAAATTTTGATTTTTAATTAAATTTAACATTTTTAAATCTTTTGAATTTTCAAAAATTTCAATATCTAATGAATAATAACGATTTGAATGACTTCCAAATTCTGATCTTTTCAGTTTTGGTAACATTAAATGTGATTTTTTTTGAAGTGTTGTTGAATTTGATTTATTTTGTTGCTGCTGTTGTTGCTGTTGTTGATGTTCTTGATAACCTTGTGGTAAAGTTCTAAATGCTCCAATATCTACTTTCCCCAGTTTTAAAGTTTTAACTGGATCAACAACTATAGCTAAATAAGGATCTTGAAAATTTTGATTTAATTCTTGAGTACTTACATCTATTCCACTTAACCAACATCCATAACCTGGATGTGAATGATACCAACCAACTATATGTTCTTTTCTTATATGATTATCAATTTCATTATCTTTATTATCTTTATCTTCTTCACTTATTTTGCCACTTAATTTTTGATTTAATTCTAAATATTGAACCATATATTCATAAGCTTCTCCTTGAGCATTTACTCTTGTTTCAGTTCCTTCAACAGGTAGTCTATAAGTATCTAATACAACAATTGTATTATTTAAAATTTTACCAATTAACATTCCCATTATTTCAATTGATCCACCTTGTTGAGCATGAATTGACATTTTCATCAATGCTAATGATGATATTTTACATTTATTAAAATATTTTGGATCTTTCTTCCATGGTTTTTCTTCTGATAATAAAGGATCAATTGGTGGTATATTATATATGTGATTCGGATCATTTTGTGATGATTGGGGTACTTTTTGGTTTGTTTCTTGTTGACTTTGTTCTTGATTCTGTTGATTCTGTAGATTTGGATGGCTTGGTTGATTTGGTTGATTTCTTAAATTTTTCTGACTTCGTTGATTTTGTTGATTATTTAAATTTAAACTCTTTGCTTTAGATTTTTTTGATCGTGTTGATGACTTTGATGATTTCGATTCATTTGATTGTAATTCCTCAATTCTTGAATTAGATTCTGAGGCCAGCTCTATTGTTTGAACTAATTCATTGTACAAACGAAACATCCTTTGTTGGTGTTAATATTTAAAAATAATTACGTGTTTCAGATTATTTTTGATTTTAGTTTCCCTTTTGATAAATTTTGTACTTCATAATTTATATACAATTTAATATAGACTATGCAAAATAATGTAACAAAGGTATTACAACTTTAAATTAGAATTACTTATATTTGTAAGTTAGCTATATAAGAGATAAAATTAGTAGTAATATATATAAAAGAATTGAAAAGCAATTAAACCTGAAACTTATTCTTCATCTGTTTTAGAATCATCATTTTCATTAGTAAAATAAGCAAAATTAGGATATCCAAAAGAAGATTGTGGATGAATTGCACCTAAAGGAGTAAAATCATTCATATTAACATTAGGTTGAACATTTGTATTATTATTACCAACTTCAGTAGGAATTTCCGATTGACCAATTTGAACAGAATGAAGATTTTGAGGAACTTGAGGTGAATAATATTGAGAATAAACATTAAAATATGGTGGTTGAGTATTAGTATGATTAGAATTAAAATTATGAAAATTAATATTATCAGCAGGAACATAATAAAATAATGGGAAACCAGAACTTGTACTAGGAGTTAAATTTGGAAAAACCATTTCCTTTTTCAAATTTGAATTATTTGTTGAATCATGAGTATCATTAAAAGATTTTTCAATAACATTAGATTCTTCATGATTAGATTTTGAACCTAAATTTGATTTCATTGTTGATGATTGTAAATTTTGATTTTCATCATCTTTTAAATCTAATTTTGAAACCAGCCAATTAAAGTTATCATCTTGATCTAATCTTTTATCATTTTTATTTTCATTTGATTCATTAAAAAATTTTTGATTAGTTTCATTTCTTTCATCTCTTCCTTTAAATCTATCACCTCTTGAATAATTATTAAATCTTGATTTAAAAAATTTATTTGATGAATTATTCATTGAATTTTTTCTTCCTAAGTTAATTGGAGGTGGTGCTAATGCAACTTTAAAATTTCTTGAACCAAGATCAGATGATTGAATTTCACGATATTGAACATGCATAGTTTTACCACAAAGCATAGAATGATTTTCAACTTCAACAGATCTAGCTGCACTTGATTCATCAAGGAAAGTAATAAATGCAAAAGTATTATCTGGTTTTCTAACTAAATGAAGATGTTCTATTCCACCATGTCTTTCAAATCTTTCTTTTAAATCATTTTCTGAAACATTTGAACTTAATTGACCAATAAATATTGAAAATTTATCAAAAGCTGCTTTTGGTTCATTATCTTCATTTTTTCTATATTTGATTGTATTTCTTTTATCAACATTTTGAGCCCAATCAACATGATAAATTCCTTCTTCAGTTAAACTTGCATATGCTTTAATAGCATCATCTCTATAGACAAACTTGCAAAACCAATTATTATAACCTTGAAAAGCTGGTGCATTATTATAAACTTGACCTTTAGAATTACTTGGTGATAAATCTTCAATTTCACCATATGATGATAATTTAGTTTCAATTGAAATTTCTGATAAAAGATTTTTTGATCTAATAAATAAAGTTCTATTAACTTTAGCCGCTTCACATCTAATATATCTACCACCTAATTCTGAATTATGACCATATTTAATTGCATCTTTTGAATCCTGTTCATTAACATATTGAACAAAAGCATATGGTCTATTACTTGTATCTCTTAAAACTTTAACTGTTGATAATTGCCCCCATTTTGCAAAATGATTAGTAACTGAAACACATAATTCATCATCGGACATGCTTGATCTTAAACTAGCTACAAAAACACAAGCTGATGGTCTTCCTCTAACATAAGCACCAGTACCTGGAGAATCATTTGACTTTTTTTGTTGTTCTTTGGTTGGATTAATTTGAGGTGAACTAATATTATTATTTGAACATGAAATATTACTTAATAAAGATGATGAATTTGAATTATTATTTTCTACCCATTGATTTGATGTAAATAATGATGTCATATTTTCCTTAACTGAATTATCTAAAGTTGGGATTGACTCAATATTTTTACTAGTTAATGAATCACTAGAATCAAAATAATTATTTGAAGTATTTTGTTTCATTTGAAATGTAAATTTTTATTTACTGAAAGCGCTGTTGAATAATGTAGCAGCTTTGATACTTGAAATCACTCTCTAGACTGGTATTAAACTATCAATGTAATTGGAAAATAATTTAATGGTATAATTGAAGTAAAAGAAAAGTGGTTGCAAATATGAAGATTGTTTGGTTGTAAAAAACAAAATAAAAAATTATCTACTGTTCTACTAATACAAAATAAATTTTTGGCTGCAAATAAATTGTTAGGTAGTGGAAAAATAACATAAATATAATTTAAATCGATATAATAATACTAATAATCAATAGATCTCTATAAGTCATTCAAGATTTATAGATATATTCGAAGAAGCGATAGATAACTTAATAGTTAGATCAAAAACAAGCTAAGCTTAAAATTAGTAGATATTAAATATTTTTCAATTAAATCGTATAATAATATACTCTATAATAACTAAGTACAGAATAATATAAGATGGGTATCAAATTGAAAATATACCGAAATTTAATAATGAATGAACTAATTAAAGAACTTTGTAGTTCACAAAAATATTGTAGTGGTGCAAATTCTTATCATCAAGATAAACTGAGCAAAACTTTATGAAAGTGATTAAATAATAATAATAAAACGAATTTATACCGAAATGAAAATATAATTTAGCAGTATTAAAACATGAGAGCAATAGCTCCAAGTAAAGCTGCTCCAAATGAATAATGTGCATTAGAAGCTGAACCTTCATAAGCTGGAACACTAACAGCAGCAGATGATGAAGGACTACTTGCGACTGTAGTTGAGTGAGATCCTGAAGTAGAACCTTTACCTCCTTCATTACCTGAGCTTGATCCTTCGTTAGCACCACCGCTTGGAGAAGATGGAGAAGCACCAGATTGTGTAGTAGTTTTTGAGCCTGATGGTGAAACTTCAGTAGTAGTTTTTGAATAAGATGCTGGTGGAGGAACTTCAGTAGCTTTTGATTCAGATGCTGGTGGTTGACCTTCAGTAGTTTTTGATTCAGATGATTCAGTTAATTCACAGTAGGTGGTATAAACAGTAGTGCCTTCAGTAATTGTTGTCAATCTTGTAGTTATTGTTGATACTTTTGAGCCTTCACCAGTGGTTGTAATTACAGTTTTACTGATTTCTGGAGTTGAAGTTGATTCAGATGCTGGTGGAGGAACTTCAGTAGCTTTTGATTCAGATGCTGGTGGTTGACCTTCAGTAGTTTTTGATTCAGATGATTCAGTTAATTCACAGTAGGTAGTATAAACAGTAGTGCCTTCAGTAATTGTTGTCAATCCTGTAGTTATTGTTGATACTTTTGAGCCTTCACCAGTGGTTGTAATTACAGTTTTACTGATTTCTGGAGTTGAAATTGATGATGATGCTGGTGGAGGAATTTCAGTTGTTTTTGATTCAGTTGCTGGTGGAGGAACTTTAGTGGTAGTACTTGATACAATTGAAGAATTACCATAGACCGGTGGAGCTGATGAAGATAATGATGAGACTGGGGCAGTGATTGAGCCCGAAGAGCTTGATGATGGAGCTGGACCAGTTACTGAACTAGATTTTGAGACTGATGATGAAGAAACTGAGCTTGAGCTTAAACTAGATGATAATGATGATGATGAGATTACACTTGAGCTAGATGGAGTTGTGAAAGAAACACTACTTGAAGCAGATGAAGAAACTGAGCTTAAGCTTGAGCTAGATGATGATGATGATGAGATAATACTTGAACTAGATGGTGTAGTGAATGATGATGAAGATGATGATGATGATGATGATATAATACTTGAACTAGATGGTGTAGTGAATGATGATGATGTTGATGATGATGATGATGATGATGATGATGATGATGATGAGATAATACTTGAGCTAGATGGGGTTGTGAATGATGATGATGATGATGATGAGATTACACTTGAGCTAGATGGGGATGTGAAGGAACTTGAGCTAGATGAAGCAGTTGATGAAACAAAACTTGAGCTAGATGAAGCAGTTGATGAAACAGAACTGGAGCTTGGTGGAGCAGTTGATGAAACAGAACTAGAGCTTGGTGGAGCAGTTGATGAAACTGAGCTTATAGTAGATGATTCTGATGATGATGATGAAACTGAACTTGCACTTGATGAAATTGTTGATGAAACTGAACTTTCACTTGATGAGATAGTTGATGAACTTAAAGTTGAAGATGGTAATGAACTTGAGCCTGATGGACACTCACAATCCCAACATTGTTGTTCAGCTTGAATACCTTTTTGGGTGATTTTATTTAAAAATTCAGCAATCCAATCGAAATTTCTTTTATCAATTGAAGAATAATCTAAATCATTTTCAAATTCTTCTCTTTTACTTAAATCCAATTGTAATTTAAAATATTTCTCAATATCAAAAACTTTAAAAACATCAGAAATTAAATTAAGTTTAATAGTATTAGCTAAACCAAGAATTTCTTTAAGTTTTTTAGCTTTCCAATATAACTCTGAATCTAAATCAAATTTTAATTCATCCCAAAAATCAAAAATAATTTTGAAACCTGATGGTAAACAACATTTACCACCAATAATATCTGGTTTAACTTTGAAAGCAGTAGACCATTTGAAAGCATCTGAAACTGAAATTTCAAGATCTTTACCGAAAATATCAACATCAATAACCTTTGTACCTGTGAATGAAACCTTTTTAATAACATCTGTAAAGTTTGCTTTTAAAGCTTTAGCATCTTTGGCTTCATAATTAGCAAAAACATTATAAGTACCATCGTCATTTTTTTGAGCAGCAGAAATACCGAAAACAGCATCAAAACTTTTTGATATATCTCTCTTTTGATTAACATTTTCACCAATATAAATTTTTTTTATATCACATTGTGGTGTTGGTGGAGGAGTTGTACCTTTTGGAGGAAGGAAGTTTCCAAAAAGGTCTGCAAATAAATACAAACCTAAAAATGCTTGTGTTGAGCAAATTAAAGCTACGAAAGCTGTAATTGAAGTAATCGATAACTGCATGACCTAATGATAATGTAGCTGTTTAAAAAAGCGAATGAATTAAGCGATTGTAGATTGTTGATAAATTTTAAAAAAAGTTCAAAATATTAATTAGAAGAAGATTTATTGATTCTTTTATAATTTTGCAATCATTATACATATACTACTTTAAATTTGATAAAACACGAGTTTTCTTCATATGTAAATCTTTGCTAAATTGATTAATAAATTATCTTAATTCATCTATTATTTTACCTAATGAATTATTGTAGTAAATTAAATTCGATTAATGTAGGACAAAATTCGTAAAATTGATATATTAAATTGGAAGTATTCATTTTGCAATCTTGTTTTTGTTTATTGTTTAAATTTAATTTTTTGCAACAATTGTATTTAGTACATAATGCATTACTTAAATTTTTTAACTCCATAACCCTTTTTGCATTTCATCGTTATGATACTTTGAACTAAACCCTTTTCCTGTAATACCCATTACTTCATCGTCGGTAAAAATTTTAAAACCTGAAACAAAATCGAATTTGCTAGGTAACAGGAAAAACTCTTAACAGAATTGGAGGAGGAGACGCAAATTCAACTCCAAAAAACTGTGACTTAATCTGTTTCTAAATTCTTTATTAGATGAACATTGAATTTACAAAAACAAGCACCCCATCATATTTGGTTACGATATTTTAATATGTCTTAAATGAGCAGATGTACAAATATGCCTTAAGGGTAGTACGTGTTGTTACTGTAAATATGATTTTATGGAAAATCACAAAAATTTTCATATACATTGTATTTGTATTGGTGTGTATTATTGTCGAATGCATACAAGAAAGTAATTCAGTAAATAAATAATATCTTTCTAAAGATAACGAATTTGATTAATTTCTTTAAATTTCGAGTCGTCGATCAGGATTAGCTTCAATTTTTTTTACTAGGACGTGTTTGAAGGTTTTCTAACCATTGTATAATATTTTTGATATACGCGTTTCAATTCCAATTCGATTGCTGGGTTCTCTATTTCTACTTTTTGTTCTCTCATTCGATTTGACGATATTGTTAAGTAATAGCTATTATGACATTCATTTAGTTGATGTTGTATGATTTAAATTTTAAAACAACTAACTGCCTGTGATGTAATCGGATCATTTTAAATTCGTCTAATTTTGATGAAAAAAAAATTTTAACATGTTTTATATACAGGAATTAATATACACTAATATAAATTTTTATTACGAAAAAGCAAACGAAATGGAAATTAAAAATAAGAAAGATTGAGATGAAAAAAAGGGTTCAGTTTCAACTATAACCTTAAATAGAATTTGAAATTGTTTCGTGATATTAATCCCTATAAGGTAATGATCAATGTAACATAAAAGTAGGATAAATCACGAGAATGAGTAGCTAGATATTACAATTTACCTCAGATTATTAGATTGAATTCTTTTGGCAAATTAATAGATTAATGAAAATTAGTAGCTCAGGTGAGTAATTTGCCCTCTAGTTTTAAGACTAATTAGTCAATATTTTTAAAAAATTTTAGTTTTAGTCTAAATTGATTTGATTGTTCCTTGAATTAGCCGAAATTAACTGTTTTCATTAATTTTTCCTAATTTAATTTAGTTAATCAAACAAAGAGTGTAAATGATTCAAAAGACTTTTATTTTGGGAAATAATAAAACGCTTTTTTACATTTAAATTTAAAATTGATTTGTGTGTTTGTGTAAATGTAGTAACTCCTAAATTGTTTATTGTTAAACTCGTTCAAATTGGTCAAAAAAGGGTAGTCTATTACCTTGGTCAAATATATACAAGTGCAAAATAATATCTTCAATCAAGAAATTAATCAAGCTTATACTGTTTTTTTAATTCTTTTTGCACATCACTAAGACTTACCATAAAAATATGACTAAATTCATTAATTTAAATTTGCTATCAACTAATTTAACACTTTTGTTACCAAACTACTTTCCTTTCATATGATTGAATCATTTTTAAAAATACGCAAAAAGCGCAAACTGTTATGAGCTTGAACTTATTGTGGAGTCTAATAAACAAATTCATATGTCAAAATAAATTATTTAATCAGACCAGCAAATGTATTTCATAATCTTCAGAATTAAGTCCTAATGGTATTTCAACATTCGCGTAATGTACAAAAGAAGACTGGAAGATCTTACCAGGTTGAGCGAAAAGCCCAGTATTTTGAAGATCTTTGTATGAAAAAGGGAATAACCTTACCGTAAGTAAATTAAAGGAAAGCTGGGAAAAGGAATAAACCTATTTTTATTGCACATATATTATGTTGTTTTGTGTTCTGAAACAACTTGATAAACCCTTTTTTTTTTTAACCCATGTTTTCTCTATTGTTTAAAAGTTAAAATGCTACTACCTTGGAAAATTAGTTATTGTTTTAAAATAACATCATATAACAAGAGTGTTTCATTTTCTTATTTCCACACTTATGGTATTGTTTCTGAATCTTTGTTTTAAATGTCTTGCTCTCATCAACGTTTTAACTTTATTTCGATTATTTTAAATATCAATACTAGCACCCCCCTTATTTTAAAAAATCAAAATAAACAAGCGACTTTTAATTCTGTGTCATATTTGATGCAAGGGAATTAATATTATATTAAATTTTCATTAATTCCTAAACTTGCATAAAATCAATTTAAAAATAGAAAAAAATAATTAACATATATTTTTCATCAATTCTAGTTCTACATTATGAAGAGAAAATAATAAACATTAATTTATTAATCAATTAATTATTAAGTCCACTCCATTTACGGCCAAAATATACATCAAGTTTAATATTTGCACTATGGTAAATTGCCTTACCTATTTTTAACAGAACATGACATCAGTTATGAAAATAAGTTATATTACTTTTAGAAAAGTGCCCACTTTCTCTACTACATTTGAAATATCACATGTTCTAATGACTTAAAATTGCCACCAGATTACACACTATTGTTGATGGCTACTACGGATAAATTAAATTGATAAAAACTTAGAAACACACAAAATATTATTGAAATATTTCGAATTGTCAAATAGAAAACATATAATAACCCTTAAACTTTTAATTCCTGACTAAATAAGATTCAATTAGAAATATAGCTAATCATTTTAACAATTTACGAAAATTTTCTATGAATTCTTTTCTGTTCAACGTTTTTTTAATTTCCTTTCAATATTCGAAATGATCGACAATTCATAGATTTACCTCTTAATTTAGTTGTTTATTTTTTAGAAAAACAAAAAAGAACAAAATTATTTAGGCCTAATCCAGCAAGATCAGCACTTAATTCTATTTTCATTAGATAAGAAAAGACAGAAAAAAGTTGTGAATGTTTTCTATAGAAGAAGAAAAAAAAGAGACTAAATTTCCATTCCGCAAATACTAAAATAAATGTATAGTACATTACAATTTGCGCTAATTAGTCACGATGAATTTCATGATTGTTGCACTAGGGTCCGTACTACTTTTGTTTGCACTTAAGTTTTTGTTATTGCTTCAAATCCAATCAAATTATTCATCTTTCTTGTATCATAATTTAAACTTGCTTGTTCAATAATTGAATCTATTAATTGCTAATCAACTAGATTTGTAAATAAATTTTGCATCACAAAATAGTCCTAATAATGAAAATAGAAAATTTATTGTTCAAAAACCTAGATTTACGGAGGAAACCAATATATAAAAGTAAATTTATGAACGTGTAAAAAAGGTAAACAAAGATCTTCAATACTTTTTCTACTCAATCTGATAATCAAGTTGCCATTTTCTTTCAAAATTATATGTAATTATGGAAGCTGCAAAAATTCGCCAGTAAATTCTGAATTATTCTTAAATTTGGTTTTATCTGAAAATGTACTGTATATTGATTCTATACATATACGTTTGTCCTTTGACTTGAACAGCTCTTTTTAGTAAGAAATGATTAGGTAATTATCGAATGTAAATACGACTAATGAATTTATTCGTAATTTCATCCTCATGTTTATCCTTTTGATGTATACTCGGCCTTAAATTAGATTGCAATATATAATTATCTAAGCGTACTCTCGGTTACTTTATGCTTAGTGGTAATTAGATATTATAATATAATATATAAGTTTAAATATAAGTTGATTGGTTCAGTATCTATCTACATCTACAAAATATCAACAACGAAAATATAAATGTTCGTCGACATAAAAGTCGTGCGAATATACCGAAATATAAATGAAAGTTATTAAACATCACTTTATCCACTTATTGACTATTCTTGTCCGTTTTGCATTTTTTCTCGTAACTTATCATAACCATTTTCTTCACTGCTTTCATTTTCCTCGTCGTCTTCATCACTGGAGTCTTCTTCTTCTTCTTCTTCTTCTTCTTCTTCTTCTTCTTCTTCTTCCTCCTCTTCTTCTTCTTCTTCTTCCTCTTCATCCTCCTCGTTTTCTTCCTCTTCCTCTTCTTCTTCATCATCATCACTACCAAAAAATTCATCCAAACTTTGTAATTTATAAGATTTGGCATTAGCCGTAGTATCAGATGCAAAATTTTTTGACTTTATAGCATCAGGTAAATTCTTTAATTGTTTTGAACTAAAAGAATTTTCATTAATACTAATTGGACTTGGTGATTTACTATTAAAATTATTTGAAGAATTTGATAATTTATTATATTGAATAGGTGTTTCATTTCTAATTGAAGATGATGGTAAATTATTTTGATCTTTATTCCAATCTTTGGTTTTGAAATATTTAAGTGATGATTTATCATAATTTGAACTATCAACTAGATCTATTAATGGTATTGGTTTGGGGACTTGGAATATTAATGACGATAATTGAGATCTGTTAGCTCCAGAATCAAGTAAAACACTAAACATTCTTGCTCTATCTCTTGTATCATAAGATTCATCATATTTAGATAGATATAAAATATGTTGAAACATTTTATACTCCATTGTTCCTTGAAATTTTGAATTAACTAATTCATTTTCTTCTTCGGTATGTTCATTTTTAATTCTATTCAACTCAAAAACTGCACTTTTACATGCCAAAAGTAATAATTGATACCTAACTGATTCAGGTTGATGAGCAAAGTTTTTAATATGCAATCTTAATACGTCTGGACCTATTAAGTTATCAGCTAAAATAGTATATTCACCTATTGTCCATATTATTGATCCTCTAGCATCATCCTCCAAGTCAAGATCTTGTTTACTTAGTATAGATGCAAGTTTACTTATAACTTTTAATATATAAACTTTTTCTGATTCTCCATTTAAGTCATACTTTTGTTGGATAATATGACGAATAATAGTTAAAATTTCACTTGTTGTATCACCTTTAAGTGTTTCAAGTTTAGACAAACTCCAGTTTAATATCTTTTGACTCCATTCAGAAGATATAGCTGAACATTTAGCCATTGATTTAATGGATTCTTTCGAAATCAAACCATTTTCTGAATTTGAAGCATAATATTTTAATTCTTCCAAAATAAATTTAAAGTTATCTTCATTTGGTATCGTGGCCAAAATTTTCAATTTTAAGATCGATGATTGAAGGTAATCATTTGGAGTTAAATAAAATGATCTATACTTCTTTGAAAAAAATTGAGGATTGAATTTACTTAAAATTAAAATAAATTGTAATGATAATTCTGCAACATCTTGATCATTAGATGTATTTGCAATTCTTAATAACATAGTATCCAAATTATATTCTTGAAAATAACCAGGGGTCAATAAATATATAGCTTTCGCGACACTTATGATGACTATCTCAGATATTGATTGTACTAATGGCAATAAGGAAGTAATATATAAATCCAAATCAGAATCTAAATTCTGATCATTAACTGGTTTTGCAATAAAAATTCGACAATATTCATTCAAAATGTCCATAACAAAGACTTGAGTCCATTCATCAAATTTAGTTATCAAATTACAAAATCTTCTAAAGTTTCCATGTATATATTTCCATTTTTTATCACCTTTTAATTTATTCATTATTATATAAAATGATTTAATTGCAGCTGCCACTACATTAACATCACTATCGGCCAATAAATTCCCCAAAATTTCATAAATTTGTTTCCTTGATTTCCCAGCTATATCATATATTTTACCAATTGATAATGCTGCTGATGCTCTAACCAAAGGAGATGGATCAGTTGATGTTCTTTTCAAACTTAATGTCAAAATAGGAACAATTGATTCAATTTTAATTCCAGCCAACGATCTAATTGCGTTGGCTCTATTAGCTGGTATTTTATCATTTAATGATTTTTGTATTGAATTAATTGATAATAAAGCGGTATCAGCTTCTGCATCTGCATATTTAGTTAAATAAATCATAACTAATTGTCTTATCTTAGCACTATCATTAGTAATGTTTTTAACAACATCTGCAAAATATGGTAATCCATCTTCTTCTTTTGAGATAAGTGACAAGACACATCTCATACCATTCAATATATCTCTATTTAATCTTGAATTTAATAAACTTGAAATTTCATGTGGTCTTGATGTTGTTGAATCCATTAGTTTTGAAGACGCTGTCATTGCAGCTTCAATCGATAGATCCTTTGCGGATTCTATCATAGAAGTAATTTTGGACAACGAATCATTCATTAATTTTGGATTTGGGGTTGATATTGATTTTTGCTAATGAGTGTTTAAAGCGGACTTTTATTTATGTTCGTTGAAATATCACCAAATTATACGCAGGATCAAAAAATAGAGAATTTAAAACTAGCCAGTCTACAATTATGTGAGAAACTACATGTACATTAATCGCTAAAATCTATACTTTTCTTCGTTTATTCAATTTATTGGCAGCTGTCTTCATTCTTTTACCCAATGTAAGTTCTTTTCTACTTTGGATATATTCTTGTGGGAAAAATTCTCCAATAGTTGATTGGGTTCCTTCTGCTTTCTTCTTGTTCAAATCTCGTATTAAGGGTATCATTATTTCATCAACTCGTTCTTGTGTCCAACCAACATTAAACATTAAAAATGATCGAATTTGATCTAAATTTGGTACTCCCCATTTAAATTCACTTCTATCAGAATCAACTTGAGGTAATTCGTATGCCTCAAATACTACTTTATCAGGAAATCCATCAGGTAAATATAATTTACCATTTTTAACTTTTGCTAACAAGTTTTTTTCCAATGAATTTAACTCCTTTTTATCTTTATTTGATTTTGTATGTAAATCAAACCATTTTTTAAAATTTTTCAAGCTCCCAAACTCTGCTAGAATCTCCATAGCCAACACTGGTCCAATTCCCTTGATACCTTCTGTATAATCACTTCCCAACAACAATGCTAACTCTATCAAATTTACTTGTGATAAACCAATTTTTTGCTCAACATCATCTTTGAAATAACATTCCACAAATTGTTTTTGATTAAACATATTTTTATAAATTTTATCACCACCAAATAAGAAACAATCACTATCATCTGTAATTATACCATCTACTAATCCAATCTTCAATAGTTCAGCACATTGTGCCTCAGCTTCCATAGGTGCTGTAATAAAAGGAATTCCAAATCTTTTCAACAATTCTTGTACATCATGAATCATATTTTCAGTAACTTCATCTGAATCCCTTTTTGCTTTTGCTAATTTCTCCTGTAATAATTGTTCGTCTGTTATTCGAGTTTCAATTGATGAAATAGGTACGTTCTGTGATGAAACAATTTGAGTTCTCAAACTTTCATGATCAAATTCTTCATTTTGTAATTGTTTAATTAAGTTGTCTTCATCTTCTTCCTCAAAGTCGTAATCAATAACTGCCGGTCTCCTTTTATTTGCCAGTTTCTCTTGCTCCTCATCATCATGAACTACATTATTTTCGTGTGACAATGTTGGTCCAGCATCAAAATTAGGATTAACCTCTTGGACTTCATCATCATCAACTCTGTTGTCGTTATCTTTATCCAAATATTGTTTAGCTTCATACCAAGAAATCAAACCAGCATCTTCCTCTTCATTCTTTTTACCTTCTTTCGTTATTCCATCATCTGCAACAAACTTTTCATTGTGTGGATTTAAAGTTCTTTTAACCTCGTCTTGAAACCAGCTAGGTAGTGGGTTTTGTTGACCTGCTTTGGCTGGCTTTTTTGGAATTGTTGGTAACTTGTACATGTCTTTCTTAGCTTTCTTGGATTTTTCCTTACTCTTAGTTTTAGACTTTTCGGCAATAAAAATCGAATCATCAGAAGAGTCTAGATCCAGATCTTCTGGTTCATATTTTTTTGGTTCGTTCACAAATTCCTCTCGTTTTTCATCTTTGCCTTTAGTAATTTCGATTTTACCAGTTTGATATTCCTCGGGTTGAAACATGAACGAATTCTTTAATTCATTCTTCGAACTTACTTCTTTCTGAGGTGTCCTCGTAGTAACTTTTGATTTCTCGGGACTTTTCTTTGCATTCTTTGCTTCAGGCAAAGCAACTGCTTTTGGTATTTGGTTGGTCTGAGTAGGTTGAGCGAATAAAGATGATGACGTGAAATCAATTTGATCTTTGGGATTAGAATTTGCTGTTTTGGGGTTTGAAAACAATAAAGATGAGCTGAAATCAATTGACGAAACCTTATTTTCAAATTGCTTTTCCTCTTCCATCATTTTGTAATATTCCTCTTTGCTCTCATCTACAGCTTTCCTCAAATCATTTTCTTCGTCTTCTTGTATTGTTGGTTTAGTATCATATTGATCATAAATTGATTTAATAATTGCTGCTTGCACTTCTTTATCTGCTTCAGACTCTTGTTGTTCTTGTAGTGGTACATCTTCAAATTCGTCATCAGAATCCTCACTTGCATCATTCACTGTTATTGGTTGAGTATGTTGATCACGCTTTAAATTATCAACTTTCTCTTTCAACTCATCATCTGAAAAAACATGAATAGGGTTTTCTATACTAGTTTCACCACCTTGAAGAGCTAAGGTCCATCCATCATCGTTCTTAACTAACGCGTATTTTCTATCCTTGTCTCCAGCTATTCTTTTTTCCACATTTACATCTTCCCCCATTCCAGTAACGTTCATTAGTTTCTGAGTGTAAAAATTTCTTTTTTGAACTTGTTGAATTTGGAATTTTGAAAAGTCCATTGAATTAGGAAATAATTCTTCCAATTGTTCTTTTCTATATCCCATTCTCAATCTTGATTTTAATCTCAAGTGATTTAATATCATATATTGTGTAGCAATGGGTAATCTTGAGAATTCTTTTGATTTTGGATCTACATCATTAATGTTTATACCATCAACATGATCAAAATCATCTAAAGAATCAATAATTTCATCATCTGGCATTATTCTTTGATCATGCCTAGAAACTTTGAATTCATGCAAGTCCGGTAGATGGTATTCGTCTTTTTTCCTAAATTTTACTGATTTCTTCGGCTTTGAAGATTCTTCTTTTTCAACATGAACCTTTTGATTTCCAGGTAAGTCTTCAAAATATATCACATCATCGTCGTAGTCATCATTATCTGGGGTTTTGGATTTTGATTTCTTTTGTACTCTAGGAGCTATCGAACCCTCAGCTTCTCTTTGTAGTTGAATCGCCAATAGTTTTTGAGCTGTTTCCCTAGTTGATTCAGATTTCTCTTGCCTTCGACTTTTCCTTTCATTTATAGTTTGTCTTTTTAAAGCTGGAACTCCTCCATCAAATACAAATATTGGTAAGATCCCATAATATAATAATTTACAAATTCTTCTGAAAAATCCAACAATATGTGAAGCATGTAACGCGTTACCTTCTTTATCCCTAACAGCTTTCAAAAATTGATAGATCCAAATTGAGGCATCAACTGCAAGTTTCTTTCGAGACAACGCTTCTAATCTAACAGGTCTTGCGGATGGTCCTACTATATCCCATAATGACTGAACCCCCATTCAAAAATGTTTATAATGAAATTCATTCGTGACTAATGCAGTAATAGTTGATTCTTGTATCGTGAATAATTCTCTTGCTATATTTTTATAACACAAAAGCAACGGTTTTAGCTACGACTTAGTAAACTGAAACTATTTTAAATCGCTGATTGAACCCATAGACTGAGTTATAACATCTGATTTTAAATTAAAACCCCAACTACGCTCATACAAATTACATTCGAAATTTAACAATATCTATGACTGTTTATAATTTGAACAAAAATAAAATTCATTATGAATTTAAAGTATCTGGTTCAAATCTGGTTCAAAATTGACGATGGTGAAGACTCAGGTTTCCACTATGGAACCTTCCAAAAATCACATATTTTTACCAAACTGGTTTGTCTAAAAACTCAATTGCTATTAAATATTTAATCGCAAATTCTGAGCGTTACTTGTATGAGGTCTCTAATATCTAGAGCAATACTGAACTAGATATCTGAGCAAATATGTATTTTTTTCAAAATTTGTCAAACTCGAAAATGCACTATAAAATGATGCTTCACTCAAAACGAGAACTGCACTCGATTTTTTATTGAATTTGAGAACATCTTGTATTTTCAATTTGAAAAGCCTATTTCGTTGCAAGTTTACGGAATATGACCTCTTGCCGCTAACAAAGTACACTTAGAATCATCCAAGAATTAATTTGAATGATATTTTGTTGCATAATTAGGAAATTTGAATCTTTTGACTAGGGACATTATGGAACATTTTCACTGCTCATTGACCAGAGATATGAGGCAGACGAGAAATGAGGCAAAAAGAATTATAAGAATACATTGAAGATTCACCGTCATTTAAAACTAAATAAAAACTAACTTTTAGAATCGTTTGTAGATACATGAAGTTGGAGATTAATTCTTCAGACAACTAGGAAGCTGAAATTTTTGAGATGGGTTTAATATCGAGTTGGCAGAACTTCTTTCACATAGTTAACGTTCTTGACATAAAGCTAAAGTCACCTCTTGCTAATTTACGACACAAAACTTTTTGGTTCGGATCGGTTTAATTCATTTGTCTTACTTAATTCGGGAACGGAATTTTTTTAGCCTTAAAGTAGTCTATTTGGTCTTTAATTAAATTCCATATAAATACTATGAATCGCGGTTATGTACAAAATTTCAAGATCAATTTTCAACTTTCAACAAAAATTCTACTCAACATCCAACAATTTAGTCAAAATGTCAAGCCAATTCATGAAATTTCCTTCGAGGAGATCAACTGTATATTCTCATAAAGGTATGGTTGCATCAACTCAACCATTAGCAAATTCTGCTGGATTGAAAATATTAGATAAAGGTGGAAATTGTGTTGATGCTGCTATAGCCGTATCAGCTGCATTATGTGTTACTGAGCCTGCATCTACAGGTGTAGGTGGTGATGCTTTTGCTTTATTTCATACTGGTGGAAAGGTTTTTGGATTGAATGGTTGTGGTAGAGCGGCTAAAAATATTACCCCACAAGATGTTTGGAATGAACATAATGATGGAAAACCTATGTCAAGAATACCTTATACTTCTGTTTTTTCTGTGACTGTTCCTGGGGCAATCGATGGTTGGTATCAAGCTTATAAGAATTGGGGATCTGGAAAAGTATCTTTTGAAGAGATTTTGGAACCAGCCGTGTCATTAGCTAGAGATGGATTTCCTGTGTCAGAATTATCAAGTCGTTCATGGAGAGGTTCAATTAAAAAATTGAAAAGTCAAAATCCAAATGTTAAAAACAATCCTTTCATACTTGATGGTGAAAGAGGTCCAAATGAGGGTGAATTCGTTAAAAATATACCATTTGCAAATTGTTTGGAACTTATTGGTAAAGAAGGTGAAAAAGCATTTTACGAAGGTCCAATTGCAGAAGCTATTGTAGAAACTACTACAAAAAGAAATCATAAGTTATCTTTGAAAGATTTTAAGGAACATACATCAACAATCGTTGAACCTATCAAATTAAATTTCCAAAATCATTATGTGTGGGAAATTCCACCAAATGGTCATGGATTGGTGGCTCTACTAGCATTAGGATTGATTCAAGAATTACATAATGAAGGGGTCATTGATTTGTATAAACTTAAACATAATTCTGCTGAGTATTTACATATTTTGATTGAAGCTTGTAAATTAGGATTTCATGATTCTGATGAATATGTAACTGATCCAACTTTTAAAGAAATTCCAGTTGAAGATTTATTACATCATCAATATTTAAAAACTAGAGCTAAATTATTTTCACCAAATAAAATAATAGATGGAGAAACTATGACTCATGGAGTTCCTGATCCCAAATACAAATCAGATACTGTTTATTTTTCAGTTACAGATGGAAATGGTGATGCATGTTCGTTCATTAATTCAGTTTATGAAGGTTTTGGTTCAGGTATTTTAGTTGAAAAATATGGTTTTTGCTTGCAAAATAGAGGATCGAATTTTAATTTAAGTCCAGGTTTATCAAATTGTTTAGAAGGAGGTAAGAGACCGTATCATACAATAATTCCAGGTATGATCACTAATAAAGAGGATAATTCATTATATGCAGCTTTTGGAAATATGGGAGGATTTGCTCAACCGGTATGTCATGTACAACATGTTTTGAATATGATAATATTTGGTATGACTCCTCAGCAGCTGTTGGATTCACCTAGATTTGTCTTAAATTCAAACAATGAAGATGCTAAAGATAGAGGCAGAGGGGCAGATGGACCAGTCAGAACTCCAATTACTATTGTGCAAATAGAGGAAGATGTTGGGGAGTCGACCATTGAGGAATTAAAAGCCTTGGGTCATACTTTGCAAGTAATGAGTGATTATGGACGTCAAATGGTAGGTAGAGGTCAAATTATAAAAAATGAAAGTAAGGATGGTCAACTTATATTTGCTGCAGGCAGTGACATGCGTGGTGATGGAGCAGCTGTGCCATTTGTATAGATTAAATGAGACTATCGATTTTACATTGGAAATTTATCGAAAAATCTCAATATCAATATTTGTAAACTTTATGTAGAAATATATGATCCTAATAATTCGGAATCGTAAAATACGAAACTAACACAAATTTTGATCTCACGAGTTCTGAGTGAAACTTAATCCTGAAGAAAGAATGATTACAATTAATTTGCTGGCTTACAGCCGAGTTACTGATTTAGTCTTTGTAATTTATGCTTTATCAAATTTAGTTGATGAAAATATTAATATTAGTTTGATGTTAGCCGCATGACCAAGGCTTATATAAAGGTTACAAAACCATTTTTAAGTGCGATCGGATTTAAATTAATAAAAGTTCAGAATTGAAGAAAAGAATATATAAAGATCTGATAATCTCCACATATTAGTACCATATGAGGTGCTCATTCACTCAATTCATATCGCAACAATAAGTGATTAAATTTTTAGACATGTCAAAAAAACATATACTACCTGCTTACACTGATGGACCTACAACTTTTGAAAAAGATACCAAAAATAAACCTCCACCATTTGAAGAGCCTATTGATAAAATACCAATATATTTCAAAGATGTTTCACCGAGAGGTTGGACCATTGTTATAAATAATAGATTCTGGACTGATGGATTTAGATTATTTGTTAGTAAAGATGCAAGTGAAAAATTTGATGCTTTTAAAAAACAAAGTACAAGTCCACATATTATAGACTTACAAAGACAAGGTATTGGAATTCCTTTGCTTAAAGCTATTGTTCCTTTAAACCCTGCAACTACAAAATTTTTGACATTTAGAAGATATTATCCTAATCTTGATGGTCCGTTTGATGTCGATAAAAATTATTATGATTTTTGTGTTGTTAGAAAGCATTACCATATAGGTTACAATTCATATGTTTTCAATTTCGTGCCAGATCGAAATGATGCTAGTAAAAATTTTTCAGTTACCTTATTCTCACATTCAACATATCCAATTCATGATTATTTATACAATGGTCAAAAACATAGATGGGTGGATGAATCATACATTCATTATTTTGCAAAGTTATTTCAGGTCAAGTTTGGATTTAAACATACAATCTTACTACCTAATCAGCCATCATTATGTGACAATTTTGATGGTAAAAGTGACAAGTTGACCAAATCTAAAGATAATCCATTTTTATCATCTTATTTTAAACTGAAGTTCAACTTTAAAACAAGAGTTCCAAAACCTGAATATTATGGGCCAATTTGTTCAGCAATAGTAGGGGAAGCAGAACAATATTTTAAATTGGGATATGCGGAAATCAAGATTGATGATATGCGTAATTTTGATCCAAGTGTTGATTACAATAGTATTTTATCAGTTGATGAAGATGTTTTGGTCATGATATGTATAGCTACAGTTCTTAAAAGACAAAAAGATATAATTGAGGATGCAAAGAAAAGGAACGGTGGCGGTTAGAAAAAAATGCAATCTTTAGATCAACTCATAATTTCAAGCTAAATCATTGATATTCAGCCAGGGACTAGGAAGATCAATGAATTGTGATAGTGAAAATACGTTATACTAGCTCAACCAATGACTCACCCAATCCCAATAACCGATTGTATAATAATGGAATATGTAATGTATTAGCTACGTATAGGTTGTGTAGGAAAAAGAGTTGAATTAGACGTCGCAATGTTAATTGCAACCGAACTGCTTGTAAATTTTCCACTCTATCAGCTGTATCATAGTTGCTTAAGCTAATTATCACCCCTTGGTAAAAGTTCCTACACAACGTAACCAGGACATTGATTGATAAGCTCAATTCGAAGAGGATGAGTAGTACAAATCTAGTTTTAACTCACGTAGTATAGAATAGTATAGAAAATCTGTAAAATTCACGGCTTGGGCTACTAAAAGAATCGACTTACTCGATTTCTTAAAACACCCAAATCATTCAACTGCAATTTTAAGCAACCCAAACGGAACGTGTTCGGGAGCTTGTTCTTCTAATACGTAAGGACTTATCTTTGATTCCACGAAACAACAAAGATAAAACAGGATGAAGTCATTCATTATTTCTTTGGCTTGCTGCTATTTTAGGAGTAAAAGATAAGATTCCTAAATCAAAAATCAAAAAGGGTTGATAAACATAGTTTTGCAAAACTTCATAAATCCGATTCCAAGAAATATATCTCCGAGATCTTGATATTTTAAAACCTTAATAGTTTTTGTGGCTTGGATACTTCGTCTGATTTTGTGATCTGTTTATTGTCTGGGAACAGTATCGATAGAGCGTTTTAATCTTTTAATTTGAGTACCTACCACATTGATGACAGGATATTTTGAATTGAAAGTGGTGAACCTTATTTGTATAAGATGTTACTAAAGCGTATCATAATGAAGTTCAATCCAGTTTCTTTTAATGATGCTGTATCAGCCTTGGGTTCTAATTTGATGGATAGAGTTTGCTAGTGACAGTCATAGCAATTGTTAAGCTAGGACCATCGTGGGCTCACATAAGTCATCATCATTTAAAGCATGAATGATCTACAAAAATTAATGTTTAAAAGTCAATTGATAAACGCTTATCTCAATCAATAAAATTCCAACGGAGCACTTGCATAGTAGTTGTTTTTCTTCATATTTACTACGATAATAAGATCTAAAGTTGCATATATCCACAAATCATCAGTAGTTACTATTTGAAATTCAATCAATCAAATTTTGGTAAAATCAATTACTTGTGATCTATCTTTATTTTAATCCATGTAAAGTAATCCACATCGAAATCTAATCAGATTTAATTTATACATTATTATGTATGCAAAAACTGTTAAAGTTTAAAATTGAAATCTGGGGTAAGAATTGATAACAATAAAAAGATTAAAAAGAATGATGACTATTATTTCTTATCAATGGGTTTCAACGGCTTTAAAATTTTTGAGACTATCAATTAGCCGTTTATAAACGGTTTTAGACTAAAACATGAAACATACAAAATTTTCGAACGGTCTTATTCATATTGAACTAGAGCTATAAATTTGCATAGATTTGGACTTAACTTTTAATCAATTTCTCAAATATGAGTCTCTTTTGAACTAAGCAAGATCGAAGTTTACAAATCTGCTATTAAATATGTCTAACATTGAGTCATTACCATTATATACAGAAAATCCAAGTGATGAACCAATTACTATTGATGAAGAAGTTTTACCACCATCTTATTATGACCCTCCAGTAGGTGATACACCTGTTTTTTTTCAAAATGCTTCTCCAAAAGGTTGGTCTATTATTTTTAACACCAGATATTATAGAAATGGAGATATTTTTGTTGGGAAAGATTCAATATTTAAGTATACCTATTTCCAAAGGCATGGAAGGAATTCTGAAATTGATAATTTACATAGATTAGGTATTGGTGTACCGTTATTCAAAGTTATCGTTGCTTTGTGTAGTCCCATTACAGCAAGATCAGTTACTTTCCGAATTCATTCTCACAATATTCAAAGTGGTACTTCAATTGATGACAACAATAATTATTATACTTTTTGTCAAGTTAAAAAGTCTTGTTATAACGGGTATAATGCTTTTACATTTCATTTCACACCAGATCCATATCAAAAAAGTTTAAATTCTAAAGTTGTTATGTTTCAAGATACAAATATTCCAATTTATGATTATATTTATAAAGGTGAACGACATAGATGGGTTGATGAAACAGTTACTCCATTTTTTCAACAAACTGAACAAATAAAATTTGGATTTAAACATACATCTTTATTGCCATCTCAAATATCGCTTTGTGATTATTGGTCTGGATATGGTGATAAATTAAACAATAAGCATACTATTTTCAGTTTGTTTTCATCAAAGTTTAAAACAAACACTGATGGTATGTTTGGAATCCAAAGAGGTGATTACTACGGAACAAAACCTAATGCTATATTCGGTTTAGCTAAAACTTCGTTTAATTTAGGTAAATTACGTCTAGCTGAATTACGAATTCATGATCAAACTGGACTTCATGATGAATATATTGAAGAAACAGATTCTTTTGAAACTTATAATAGTAATTTTTCATTAAATCAAGATTCATTGGTTATGATTTGCATTGCCACTTTTTTGAGAATGGAAAAAGATATTAGATATGATATTTCAAGGAAAAAAGTTGTTAAGCTGTGGCCGGAACATACTTTGAAAAATAAATCAAATGTGAAGTAATATCAATATTGTTAAGTTGAAATAATAGGTAATGCTGGTTTTTATCCTATAATCTTTTATTCTAGTGTGTATTTTTTTGGTTGCTTTTGTAGCTTCTATCAATATATTACATTTTTTTTTATATCACTGTAATCTCTGGTTTGAATCTACAAATATTAGAGTGGGGTGCTATAAAAAAGAACACCTACCAAAAAAAGCACACCTTAAATTTTACGCACAGATGTACTTTTGTGTAACAATTTTATACTGCGTTACGGATGTATAGACTTTTTATTCTTTGGTAACTTCATTCTGAAAAAGTTTGAACTTAAACTAGAGGTAAAGACACAACCACTAATTCAATTGACCTCAGATAACCGATATTAGATTGTTTTTAGAGCAAAAAAAACTCATTGAAATTTTGAGCAATGTAGCTTCAAAATTGGGTACTTAATAATCGGGTACTTAAAGACGAAAGTTAACAAACATAAAATAAACTGCGCTAAATTAGCTGCAAAAAATTTGAAACATCGATGTTTCAACTATTTCAAAATTTCCAAATTTTATTTTGAGTAGTCTGGCAGTTTTAGTACTTAATTTCAGACATAATATCAAATTTTGAGTTTGATCGTAGCTGTTTTGGGTGGGTTGGAGAGATAAATAATTTTCTCTCAAAAAAGTGATTTTTTTTTGAATCCGATTTTGAGCACATCAGAATTGGTCTTTCACCACCAAACTTTATAAAATGATAAAGAAAAAGTATCCCTAACTGCCAGGTTTAAGATTGAAGCTTCAAAATAATTCACGTTTGGTCAGGTGTGCTCAAGTACTGAAAATGTCCCAACTTTTTTTAGGGATTTTAGATTTGACCATAAGTGACTCAATTTTAAGGTTTTACCCATAACCAAAAGTTTACAGCTTATTCAGAGAGTGTTTAAATGGATGGGACCGTCTACGGTGGTTCGTATAGCATCACAACATAGTTATAGGCTGTTCTAGTTTGTATGGTACAGCTCAAACTCTCATACAAAATGCGATTAAATTACACAAAAACCGAGGTGTGCTTTTTTTGGTAGGTGTTCTTTTTTATAGCACCCCACTCTAGGCTAAACTTGAAAAAAAAATTGATCAATGCTCAGCCGCGTACTGATTCTATTTTAAATCCCATTGATGACACAAAAGTGAGTTTAAAATCTCGTATCTCGAGATTTATAAAGAGCGTTCCTCCACAAATTCTCAAATGAGAAAGATTTGGCACATTTTTCACCAAGTGCCTTACATTATAATGCATGAAGATGAACCATTGCCATCATATCCAGGAAATGCCAGTACAACCAAAGTAAACGAAGCCAATAGATCAATACCCCACAATAAGACAAGTAAAGAAGAAACAAAAGAACCACCATCATATTATTATCCACCAATTGGTGAAATACCATATTATTTTCAAGAAATAAATTTGAAACATTGGAATGTAGTTATAAACACAAGATATTTTTCAAATGGAACAATATTTGTTGGAAATAAATCAATAAATAAATATGAATTATTTAAAACTAAACCTAATGATTTAAAAGTTATGAAGCTACAAAATAAAGGAATTGGTGTACCATTATTTCAAATTAAACCTTCACTGAATCTTATGTCTTCTAAATATTTAACTTTTTATAAACATTTATCATATCCTCTTTCGACTAATTTCAAATTTGATGTAAAAAATAAGTATTTTAATTATTGTACGGTTGAGAAATCAGATCATTTAGGTTATACTTCATACGTCTTTAATTTCACTCCAGATTCATCTTCATCATCATCATCATCCACAACAAACTCAAATTTTCAAGTCATTTTATTTTCTCATTCAATTTTACCAATTAATGATTTTATATATAAAGGTAAACGACTAAGATGGATAGATGAAAGTAATAAACCATTTTTTAAAAGATTAAATCAAGTTAATTGGGGGTATAAACTAACAACACTTAATTCTAATCAACCATCTTTATGTGATAATTGGGATGGTGAAAGTGATAAACTAAATCATATAGAGAATCCTTAGTTAAAATCAATTCTAAAATCCAAAATTCATCCACAATCAGATGTTGTTCAATCAGAATATTATGGTGATTCAACTATTGCAATCTTAGGTGAAGCTCAATCAGAATTTGAATTGGGTAAATTAAGATTAGCTGAATTAAAATTTAATGATATTTATAATAATGATAAAAATGATAATTCTATTGATTATAATAGTTTGTATTCATTAAATGAAGAAACTTTAGTTTTTATATGTATTGCTACAGTGCTCAAGAATGAAAAAGATAAATTTGAAGAAAGGAGAAAAGTTGCACGTAGTAATAATAAATTTGCTTCTTCTTTAGGTTTAACATTAATGCCTGGTATTCCACAGTAGAATTCTACAAATAGTGAACTTAAAACGATGACTGTATTTATTTTTTTAAAAAAATTCTAAATTCTAATTTTCTAATGTAAATGATAATAATAATCGATCTAAATTACCATAATTGAACTAAACCATTCCAATCTTGATTTTTTCTTCTATTCCAATAACTTTTTTCACCAGTTATAAATTCCCATTTACCTTCATCAACTGGTCCATTACCTACGAATTTAAAAAATTGAGGAATATGTTCTTGACCAGATTCTTCTAATTGTTTTCTTCTAACTCTTTGATCTTGTTCTAATTTATTTTTTAATTCTTCTGCTGTATTTACATCTCCTTTTTCATATGCTTGTAAATCAGGTCTATATCTTGAATCAGTTGGTGGTATAAATCCTTTTTCCAATTCAGTTATTTTATTTAATGTTCCTGCAAATGTAGTAAAACCATATTTTTTTTGATAATTTGGTAATAATTCACCAACTTGCCATATAGATTTTTCAGTTGAATTTGTTTTTAATTTAAAATTTTCTGTCCATGTACCATTTACTGTATAAGTTAATTCTTTTTTATTATTATCAAATGCTTTTACTATTACTTCTTCAGATCTACCACTCCACATACCACCTTTTGCAAATTCAGCTACAGCTTTATAACCATTTGATGATTTTATAGTAATATTTCCAGTTGGTTCAGCATAAGTTTCACCAGCTATAATATTTTTTATCATTGTTGTTGGTTGAGTCCAAGTAAATTCTTCATTTGTTAATTTATCTTTTAAAACAATAAATCCTTTTGTTGTAACTTCAGATTGTTTACCCCAAAATTTTTGAGAAGGAGATAATGCAAAATCCATTGACCAATTATCAGTATCAACATGATAAGCAAATACAGGAGGTCTATGACTTACTTTTTCTGAAATCAATCTAAAACCAAAATCTTCACGTACTAATTCATAAGTTTCACCTAATAATGGAGTAAAAGGTTTACGTTTATTTCTTTCTTTTGCACGTTGTGATGAAAGATAACTTAATGCAAAAACAGCAATTCTTAAAACTTTTTCACCAGATTCATCTTGGAAATCTGATCCTAACGCATTTGTAACAATTTCTGGATATTCTAACATTTCTGCAAATTTTTGTAATACAGTAGTTGGTTCATTATAAGTAACTGGCATAGCAATTGTTGATAAATCTTTACCAACATTTTTACGAACAAAACTTAATAATGAAGGTGGTGTATGAGTACATACAGGAACTTCTGAATTTCTTGAAACAGGATCATGAGGTAATGGGTATAAATTATCTTCATCACCAGCAACTGTAGGTTGAGGAAGATCTTGTTGTTCTTGATCAGCTGAACCAGCAACTCCAGCTCCTGTGGCTGCGCCTGCTCCTCCTGCTGCTGCTGCACCGCCTGCAACTGCAGCTCCTCCTCCATAATAATCGTCTTCTTCCTCTTCTTCATCTGATGAAACATCTCCAACTTGATCTTCTGTTTCATCTGGAGTAAATTGTTCATCTTCTAAAATATAAACACCATCATCATCGAAATTCTCTTCAGCATCATGATATTCATTTGAATAAACCGATTGATTGTCACCTTTAACTCCACCAATTGCTTGTGATGATTGATGATCATTATTTGTTTTACTTCTATTTAATAAATTCAAAATATCTTGATGAACTTCATTTACTAATGGAGAATTTGTTTCTAATTTTAATTTTTCTAATTTATTTGCAACAATAGATAATTCAGTTGATGAAGCAATTGAACCAGAAGAATGACCTGAAGAAGGTAAAGCTTTATTTTCATCTTTTTTCACCGCATTAAAAGCATTAATCCAAGCATTAAAATCAGCTTGATTTATAGTTTTTAAATACCAAACTTCCATACCAGAATCAATAATAATTTCTCTATTTGAAGGATTTGCAGAAATAATAGATTCTTTTATTGGCATTTGACCTCTTAATTTAATATCATCAACTTTAAAATATGATAACGTACCTCTTTTAAAATTTAAAACAAAATAACGTTTTGTAAAACCTTGTAATTTTTTTCTTCTCTTTTTTAACATAATACTTTGTAAAACTTCTCCTGTTGGAACTTCTTGATCACTTTCAAATACATGTTGATCATGTTGTTGAATATTTGCATCAGGAGCTTCTTTAACAACAATTTTTGCATCAAATTCTACAGATTTTGCAATAGTTTTAGAAAATGAATTATCAAATACAAATGCAAACATTCCACCATTTGTAGCTTCATATTTTCCATGAACTAATTCATTTGCAACTAATTTATTATAATTTTTAACTAAGATTAAATCTGATTCACCAATTGATGATAATGTTGAACTTCTTGATTTTGATTTGAAAACATCATTTGGTTTATTAAATTGATTAACAGAAGCAGCAGAATTAGTTCTACTTCTAAAATTTGGAGGAGTTGAAGAAGATAATTCATCACCATTTGGAGTTAAAGTATTTGAATTTGAAGAACCAGAACCAGAACCACCATTTGCAATTGAAGATGGAGAAGATTGATCATCTTTTTTTTGATAAAATGCAAAATTTATAGATTTTTTTAAAGGTTTTACTTGCCAATCAATTATTGAATTTTCTGGTACATTAATCCATTTTATTAAAAAATCTTTTGAATGAATTTCTAAAGTTTCCATTGTATTTAATGATGGCATTTTGAAAAGGTGGATTTTATGATTTATGAAGATGTATGACCTTTTTTATATGATGAGTTTGATTAAAGCAAAGTAGGATGAAAATTGATTTGAAACGTTCGTTGTGAATAATTAATCTTTTTGCGGTCGCTAAATCAGGGGTAAGTGAGATTGGAAAATTGAGGATGAAATTGAATTAGGATGAGGCTATGTGAGATTGATGGATCTAGTCAGTTGTGAGATGGTGTTATGAATGAACTATGTAGTTTGAAAATGAAGTTGATATATAAGGAAATAGAATTGAGTTGTAAATTGAAGTTTAATTTATCCAAATATATATTATTGTTTCAATAATAATTTTTATAAATGAAAAATTCAAATTTAAATTAAAGTTGAATTAAATTTTGAATTAAATTAGTTGTTCTTAATATACGTATGTAAAAAGTATATTGACTTATTTATGTGATCTAAGTGTGATGAACTTACTGATAAATGAAATTGAATGGATAAAATAGATATTGTAATTGAATTGATTTATAATATTAATATTAATTAACTCCTAATAAATAATAACTTAATAAGGTAATAAAATTATTAAAGTATGATAGACTAAAATGTATCACGTTGATAATTTAGTGTTGGATTTAAAAGAAGAGACCAAATAATTTAGTAAAAAGATAAAGTAGATTGGTTAATCTCAAGATTGTATAGTTTTAATAATGACAACTGAACAGCAGAAATAGACTACAAATTACATTGGTTAAACTGTTTTTCATCCATTTGTTCTTATAACCGTTTGATTCTGATTTTTTAAACCCCACAGAGAAAAATAAATTGGTTTTATTACCGAGCAAAAAAATTTAAACTATTACGTTCGTACTTAAGAAATATTTTAGTCTATTATTGCAATGTTTCACATTTTCAATCTTACAATTAGGACCAAAATTTCAAACATTTTTCACATTCTACTGTTCAGTGTTATACATTAAAATAAGCTTTAAAGTATTTGTATCATAATACATTTACGGTAAGATAAAAAAGAGAATGCTAATATGATTTTTAATTCGTTTATTTCGTTTATATTTATATCGTCATTATCATAATTTTAAATTTAATCTTTCTTCTGAACTACTTCTGGAAGTAGATTCATACATTTCTGGCATCATCATCATTAAGTCATCTCCATTATGTGGTTGAAATCCAAAATTTCCATTAAATCCATAACCACTACCATTATTATTGTTGCTAACATTATTATTTCCAATTCTATTTCTTGAAAATAACATAAATTGTAATTGTTTTCTTAAACTATTAATCATAACTCTTTGTAAATTCATATCTTCTCTCATTATAAAATTATCATTAATTAAATTTTTAATCATATTATCTTGTTCATTTAATTTTAATTTTTTTATAATTGGTAAAATTTTTTCATTTATTTCAAATTTTAATCTATCAATTTCAAAATTTAAATAAATTAATTTATCTTGATCTTCAAGGTTTTTGTTGTTGCTAAATTGAAAATTTTTATTTATTTCTTCTATATTTTCATTATATCCTAAATTTGTTATTTTACCTTGTATTATAGAATCTAAAATTTTATTAATTTGATTTTGTAAAAAATTATTTTCAGTTTCTAGTGAGCTTACTTTGTCATTCAAATTTTTATAAAATGGTAAAAATTGAAATAATTGACAATTTCCATTTTGTAAATGAATTTCTAATGATGTTTCATTTGATCCAATCCATGAACATCCAATTTCATTTGCTGGACATTTTAATTTACCAGTTTTTATACAATTTTCTTGATGTTTTATCATATTTTTTTCAGGTATTGAATCATTATCACATAATTTACAAGTTTTATGATTATATAAACATTCAGACTCTAGGTGAGATTTTTCTGTAATTTTAGTAATTTGTTCATCACAAAATTCACATTTATATAGTTTATGAACACATTCATTTAATTCTGTATTTTCAAAATGTCTTCTTTCCACTATTAGTTTACAACAAATTGATTTTGTCTTCTTTTGTTCTTCCTCTACTTTCTTATCTTCTTCTTCCTCTACTTTCTGTTGTCCTTCTTCCTCATCTTCTTCTTTTTCACTTTCAACTTCATCTTCTTCCTCAACAATTAATCGTTTCCCATTACAAACAACTCCAGTATATGGACATTTCTCCAAAACATGATGTTCAACTTCCCATCTACTACCAAACCATTCACAGCCTCTTTCATAATTTAAACAATAAACTTTTAAATCATCTATTAAATTCGTTACTATCAAAGGAGTTGGAAATAAATCATTTATATTTGCTGAATCTATTGGAGTTCGATCTAGTGGACAATAACCTATGGGATTTTCATTATTGCTATTAAGATTATTATTATTGTTGTTGTTATTGTTGTTGTTTGAGTTATTATTAAGTGATTTTAAACATTCATAAATACATTCTTTACAAAAAGTATGTCCACATATAGTAGTTAAAGGTTTTATAAATGGTTGTTGACATATTGGACAATTTAAATGATCAGTATTTGTTTTATATTTTAAATTTCTTAAATCTGGAATTTTATCATTTGTTATTAAATTAAAAGAAGTTGAATAATTTTTAATTTTTATTGTATCATCATATTTTGTTATTGAGTCTTTCGCCTGTATCTCTGTCATTTTCTATAGGGTTTTTAGTGATGCTTGAGTTTTGTTTGTTGTGATAGTTGTTGTAAATATGTGGAGCAATGCAAGTAGAATATTATTATAACTATTTTAAAATAAAAAAGAAAGAAAGACGTGAAAAAAAAAGACACTCCACATTTGAAACTGCGACAAGTAAAATGTATTGTTGTACGGTTGTGTTTGAACTGTTTCAATGAAAGTCAGGTAAAATTCTATAAAATTAAGTCATAGTTCTTGGAATAGAGTAGTAATACCTATTGAACACTGCTAGACAGAGTAACAACGTTCAAAGCTTGAAGGTTTTGATTTTATCGAGACAAAATTTCAAGAGGTTGGTAATAAATATTTTGCTGCAAAATTGATGCAACAATAGTTTAGATAAGCAAATAAATCATAGTGAGAGCTAAACAATCAAAACTATTTAAAGCAGGTAAGATTAAATGGTAATCGACTGACTATTTGTTGCTCAAAATTCTACAAATAAATAGTGGATACTAATTTGTATGTGAATTAGTGATTTAAAATAAATTTCAACGCTTAAATTGTTTGTTTCATGATCCCTTATAATCTTCATACTATGGACGTACATTTGATCAACGAAATAAAAACTAGAGTCTATTTATTTTGGTAGACTTAGTTTCAGCCTCTTTGCTTTTAAGTGATTTGCAGAGAAGAGATTCGTACATATAGTGTCAAATAGAAATAATGAGAATTAATATTAGATATGAAATAGAATTCAAATATTATACATGTAAAAACTATACAAACTACTCTAAAACAAATCAAACTAAACAAAAATACAAATCAAAACAAGACAGCATCAACACATTATTGAATCATTTTATTTCTCGTGTTCTCGAAAAAGCTCCAAAAAATTGTATCAATAATTATACCCCAGATTAAATGGATTTTCTCTATAAATTGATTTTATTCTATAATCACCTTCTTTTCTATCATGATTTTTAATTTGATGATATTCACAAACATCTTTATCTGTATAAATTACACAACAAAATGTACATTGATAATAAAATGGCATATTAATTGATTGATAAAAGTATTAATTTTGGGAAATGTGTGATTTAAGTGATAATTTGATTTACTGATATTTAAAATTGTTGCAAAAAAAAAATTCATTGAATTTACCATTGTTTAAATAATCAAAATTTCATTCTTAATACTCCACATTTTATCATCAATACTAGCTTATTCATATCACTTGACAACCAATTTGTTAATTTCAACTACTAAAAGATTTGATATTGATCATTAATTTATATTAGTTAAATTAGTTGCATAAATTTTTTTAGTGTGTTTTGAAACACAAAATTAAAAATCAAAACAAAAAAATCCAATTTTGGTATTTTGCAATTACGTTGAATTGACAACCGATTTATAAGTTCAACAAAAACGATTTGTACCAAGAGTAATGATGAAATACAATCCCAAACTAGCAGATTGTGAAGTTTGATGGCTGGTTGCTTACTTTCATGACGAAAGGAATATGATTTCAAAATATTTTGCAAACACTATTGAAATTTTTTTTTGTTTCAATATTTTTGTTTCAGGTGATTGTGAGAAAAATATGTAAAAACATAAGCAACACCTGTAGAGTAAGTAAGGCATATATAGACTAGCGAATGTGAACATAAAGTCCATTGAATATAAGCTAGACTACCTGTTCAATAAATCCAATAAATTTTGAAAAAAAAAATAAACAGAAGAAATATGCAAAGGTCCTAACCAGATTCGAACTGATGTTGTCCGGAATTTTTTGACTGCGAAATCAAAACCGAAAGTGATAACCAACTACACTATAGGACCTTTCGTTGGGTTTTGTTGTATTATTTTAAGTCTATGTACTATTATTATTGGCCCCAAAGATACGCAGAAAATTTGCAAACTCTAGCGTGTTACTTGCTAACCTTTCTCTGTAATCAACTAATTTTGGCCAAGCTGTTAATAGCATCAACAACCATTTGGAACAACATGAAAAGGTATCTCTCTGAGAGGTTAAAAACACAATTTCTGCATAAAATCAAAAAAAATTTGAGACATGTTTATTTTCTTATGAGCCTGATTATGCACTGAACACTAAAGTTTCTCTAAAATAATTGGCAAACCCGGAAAAACTTTTATTTCCTAAGCTATACTTGATAGTTTAGGTTGTTTAATTGCTTGCACCAAATCATCTGGGAATCTAACACCTTCAGTACCTACTTGATGACCTAAAACTTTACCAGCTGGAACACCCAAGTTACACTTGATTGGCTTTAAGTAAAAATTGCGTTCTCCAAATTACTCAAAAACTTTCCTCAATATCGTTTCATATTGCTCCAAAGTATTAATGTAAACAATGATGTCGTCAATTTAATTGCCAAGGTTTTCGATTCCTCCTTATAGTTTCTGTGTTGCTGATAACGCACCAGGAGCATTTTGCAATCCACCAACTTCAAATTCATAATCTTCCGTGATAATTATCCTAACGTGATCATTTTTAATTAATGAAGGATATTCACTAATAGCTTTTGGATGGACCATCGTCATCCTCACTATTTATACAAGTAATAGTGAACCATTCAGAATCAACTTGATCCGCATGTTTGTGTATGAATGGTGATTCTGATACAGCTCTTCTTTGAAAAATGATTTTGATTTAGGTAAAGAACTAAATGTTTTAGCCTTTGCTGAAATTCGATAAAATTAGCCATTGCGAGTGAAGAATTTGAGATACCTATATCAGTGGCTGATAGTAGAGCCCTTGAACAACTAGCGTTACTCGACACCGGAGCAAGCGTGTTCTTCATGAGCTGGAAGAGTTACCCGTGAACGATTCTGCTTTGAGTTTGCTCCTGTATCAAGCAACTATAACAGTTTTTGAGCTCCACCTTTATCATAGCAATACGTACCATTAATTTCTCATTCGCAGTTCCAAGGCATTACGTCGTGTAAAGTTGAATCTATGCCTTATTTGGATTGGCTCAGTGATTCGTAATGATTCGATAAATAATCGGTGGAATCATTTAACTTTATAATAGCATTTAACATGACCCGATAAGACGTCTTCTCTAATTTAGGACGACCAGATCTAGCATGATAAGCCTTGATATGTTGCATGAGTATTGGCGACGTTTTTTTATAAAGATAACCAACTAAATTGACCTTTTTTAAATATTTGATTTTAATTCACCTTCAATACATCTATGTTTTTTGGCAATTGCATTGACTTATAATATTTTATCACTTTTTTGAGTCCTGATTTTGAAATTAACCAGTATAAGCATTCCTTCATTCGCTTTTGGTCTTTGGAAGTTTTCTTTGTGTTGCCATGGTTTGTGAAAAGTGTTGTTGGATTGTTTGAATGTTGAAAACAAGTGAGAATTTATTTTACAATTTAGTGAAGAAGCAGTTTCAGGATTTTTATTACAAAATCCAGATTTACATGTTATCATCAAGTAAATCTACATTAATATTTTCTACTACCTTTAGATTTTGAATCAAAAAGTCAGGGGACATTTAGCATTCTACAAATTACATTCTAATTCACTAAACTTCAAAAAGGGTATAAATTTTAATTTTATTTATAATGTAACTAATAAATATATATAAATCATGATAAAAGAACAAAAGCAACGGAACCTATATTTTATAGATTTTTTTTTCAACTAAAATTAAACTGTTATTTTAAAATTGTAATGTAATGTATTGTAATAATAATATAATGTAAAAAAATCAAATCGTTTATCATAAAATATCTTTAACGTCTAAGCTTGATCATTATAACCATTATGAAAGAATAATCTTGCTAACCAATTATTATTTTTAACTCTACTTCCCTTGGGAACTCTAAATAACCAATATAAGAAAGCTGTCATAATCATATTAAAAGCAATGAAACCAATAAATACTCCTGTATCTCTACCATAATTATGAATTGAAATATTTAATGAATTAAGATATTGATCAGTTTTATCCATTCTACAAAATGAACAATTATCAGTTGAATCAGGATTCAATAAATATCCACCAGCTATAGATATATAAGCACCCATATAATCTTTACATTTTTGAATACCTGGTTGTTCTGGTGGAAAATGTAATAATTCTTTATCTGAACATCTAACATGAGAATTTCCAATACCAATTGATAACATTGAACTTACTAAATAAGTAAATGGATTAAATCTATAAAGAAAAATCCAAAATCTTGGCATAAAATCTTTTGTTGCAATAACACCACAAAATGTCATACATATAGTAATTAACATTGATATACCATTTGCTGCATTATCAGCTAATTGATTGAATGAAATACATAATTGAGCTAAAGTTGAACTATAAATAAACATTAATGTCATACTTAACCACATTAATGCTCCTCTTTGATGTAATGCATCTCCAGCATTTCTATACATTCCAACTGGATAATACCATGTGAAAAAAGATAATGCTGCTGCAACTATTTGATAAGGAATTTCAGCTGTAATTTGAGCTAATATAAAAGCTAACCATGAAAAAGTTTTTGCTGGTCTTTCTTTTGCTTCATATAAATCTCTTTGAGAAACAAACATTGGAACATATTGTTGAGATAATGTTGTCATTATAACAAATAACATAAAAATTGATAACATTTGATTTTGTAAACCTTGTATAGAATTTTTTGATTTAAAAAATGTAAAACCATTAAATAATGAACATAATATAGCCATTGCAAATTTTGAATAAATATAAGAAGGAGTTCTCCAATATTGTTGAAATAATCTTTTTAAAACATAATAATATTGTGACCATATTGGTGAAGCATAAGAATTTCTTGAATCTGGATTATCATCATAAATAGTTTTTTCACCATGATTTTCAAATTCTAATCTATTTAATTCATCTTGAACTAATTTATATTCCTTGGAATTTCTCCAAACTTCAAAATAATCTTGATTTGCTTGTGATCCTGGTGCTGCACCTATAACATGTAACATCCATTCAGCAGGATTTGCATTTGGTGGACATTTTGGAGCTCCATTTCTTTCAAAATAATTAATTAAAGTTTTACAATTATAACCAAATTCTCCAAAATAAACAGTTTCTCCTCCTGCTCTTAAAAATAATAATCTATCAAATTCTTCTAATAAAATTGATGATGGTTGATGTATAGTACATAATATAGCTTGACCATGATTTGCTAATTTTCTAATTAATTTACATATAGACCAAGCAGTTTGAGAATCTAATCCTGAAGTTGGTTCATCTAAAAATAATAATAATTTAGGTCTTGCAACTAATTCAACAGCAATTGTTAATCTTTTCCTTTGTTCAACATTTAAACCTTGTCCTGGAACACCAACTATTGCATCTGCATAATTTTCCATTTCCATTAATTCAATAATTTTTTCAACATAAACATTTTTATCAACTTTAGAAACTTCTTTTGGTTGTCTTAAATATGCACTAAATCTTAAAGCTTCTCTTACAGTTGAAGTTTCTAAATGTAAATCTTGTTGTTGAACATAACCAATTGATCTTTGAAATGAATTATCTAATTGACATCCATTTACCATTCTTGAACCATTAGTAATAACTCCAACAGTTAATCTTTCACTTAATGCATTTAATAAAGTAGTTTTACCAGCACCAGAAGCTCCCATTAAAGCAGTAACTTCACCTGGTTTTACCCAACCATCAATATCATTTAAAATAGTTCTTTCTTGACCTTTAACTTTTAAAGTATAAGTTAAATTTCTCCAATGGAAAACATTTGAAGTTTCTAAAATTTTTGGATCAACATAATCATATGAAAAATCTGAAAATTCTGTAGAACCACTAAATTCAAGACTATGTAATTTACCATTATTATTTTCAACATATGCAGCTTCTTCATCTTCAATTTCTGATCTCATTTTAACAATATGCTTTTTTCTAAAAACTAATACCTCACCTTTTGATTTATCAGTTCTTGAATATTCAACACAAATTAAAGTAGTTATAAATAAAAATATAACAAATGATAATAATATACCAAAATCTCTCCATGCATTTCTCCAATAATAACTAAAAGCAGCTTGAATATATAAATCACCATCAACAAAATCACTTCCAGGTATTGCAGCTAATGAAGCACAAACAACAGAATTACCAGTTGAAGGATAACCAAAACCAGAAGGAACAAAATATGAACAATTAAAAGTTCTACCATGAAATTCATTTGATATTAAAGCTTCATAAGCATAAGCTAATGGATTTATCCAATGAATCCATTTACACCAACCAAGCATATAAGTTATTGGAATAGCAAAACCAGTAAAAGTTGACATAGCAAATAATAAAATTGATGAAGGAGTCATTGCTTCAGCTAATGTTCTCGTATAAGCACCAATTGTTCTAAATAAATGTGACATCATTAAAGTTGATAAAAAATTAATTAATAAATAAAAAAAGAAAGCACCTGGCTGTCTTTTGAAATTTACCATAAAATATAATATAAGATTAAATAAACAACTTGTTATAATTTTTAACGGTAGATCACCAAATATTGATCCTATTGCATCTGCCATTGGTGGATATAAAGCATATTCTTTATGTTTTAAAACAATTGCTCTACCTTCATAAATTGTATAAATTTCCAAAACTGAACTATAAGCATTAAATAATAATGAATAATACATAACAGCAGTTCTATAATAAAATGATCCAGTATCAGGTTTTAAATTATAAAATACTGAAGCTAAAATTAAACTCATTGCAACATTACCAATTATAGTTAATATAGGAACTGATGGATCACCTCTCATTCTATCCCAATTTCTTTTCATTATATAACGAACTTGCATTGGTAATGAAACAGTATAAGGAGATTTTTTATCAGCATTTTTAGCCTTTTTAGCTAACATAGCTTCAAAAATTTCTTGTTTTTGATCATAATTTTCACAATTATCTAAATACTCATCAATTTCCTCTAATAAAGCTTGTCTTTCTGGTGATCTTCTCCAATATCTATAAAATTCCTTTGGAGTTCTTGGTACTATTCTTTCAAAACCTGGTTTTATAATTCTTTCAGCTGGATTTGTTATTGAAGTTAAAAAATCTGGAGTTGTTTGTCTTTCTTCACATACAAATCCCATTTTTTGAAAATATATTGCAGCTCTTTGACTTGATCCAAAAAATATTTGATAACCTTCATACATAACAATAACTTTATCAAATAAATCATAAGCATCTTGAGAACATTGATATATAGCAATTAATGGAGTATCATTTAAAATTGATGCTGATGTCTTCAAAGAACTTATAAATTCTAAAGCAGTAGCAGAATCTAAACCTCTTGTTGAATTATCCCAACACTGAATTGATGCCTGCACCAATGAAACTTCAGCTATTGAAACTCTTTTTCTTTCACCACCAGAAACACCTCTTATAAAATCATTTCCAACTTTTGTATTTTTTGTATGTGATAAACCATAAGTTGCCATAACAACATCAACAATATGTTTAGCATAATCTTCTCTTGATACCCCTAAAGGTCTATTTCTTGGAGTTTTCATTAATGCAGCAAATTCTAAAGTTTGTCCAACAGTTAAATTGGGGAAATGAGTTTCAGTTTCTGCACAATACACAACTTCACCTCTAAGGTTCTTTTTAATTTCTTCTGGTGTTATACCATCATATGATATTATTGAACCATCAGCAACTTTAAAACCTTCAGTATGACATGCAATAGTTTTTAAAAATGTAGTACAACCAGCACCAGGTCTTCCTAATACAACTGTAACTTCACCAGGTTTTATTAAACCTTCCATTGGTTTTAAAATATCAAAAGTATATTCATCATTATCTTTTCTAAATTTATTTATAAAATGTTTTATTGATTTAAATATACCATTTGAAACAGTTGTTTGATAATCACTTTCTATAGCATCACCATAAACTCTTAAATTTTTATATGCAACACCTAATTTACCAGGTTTATAATATTCAGAATCACTTTGATATAATTTCCACATATTTTGAACCCATCTTTTGGAACTAAAATTTGGAGATTCTGGATCTAATGTTGGATCTGTTTTATCAAATATAGGATTTACTCCATGAGGAGTATTTATACGAGTACTTTGTCTTGTAAAAATAGTTTCATCAAAATATGATTGACCTTGAGTTGTTATAGTTTTAGCTAAATGATGAATTTGAGCTGATGCACTTTTATTGAAACCTGAATAATAACCATAATAAGGTTGACCTTCTGGTTTTCTACCAGTATAATAACCAGAATATGGTTGACCTTTTGATTCTTTCATTTCATATAATAATGTATTGAGTTTATGTACTTTTGTATGTGAAAATTGTTAAAAATAATAATATATTAGAATTTTGATTTCCTTCTTTTGAAGTATTATATATGCAGATTTTTTGAGAATTAAAAACTTTTGATAAAAATAATGAAGTGATTTGAACTTTTGAGATAGATTATAATATATGTTACTTGTATTTGGATGATGAATATAAACGGAGGTCAAATATAAATTCTAGGATGGCTTTGAAATTAAAGTTCCGATATGAACTATTCTAAGATACAATTTTAAGGAGTATATGGGTATTAAAAGATAGTGGTGATGATGATGATTTAATGTTGTTGATGCTATATGGTAAGCAAGTGTATGAATATAGGGTATTAAATGCTTGTGGAAAACTTTTTGAAAGGAATGGTGGGGTATTTATCCAAAAATTTAAAAAATTGACTGATTGATTCCTTTGTATCAAGAAAGAAAAATTTCTTTTTCTTTGTGTGTGTTTATATTTTTCTTAATTAAGAATTGAAATCTTGAAATGAGATATGGGGGATGATCTGGAATCTCTTTGCAATTTTGTTAGTTGATCTATAGTAAGATTGATGATTGATAGATCTGAGATAGTTATTGGTTGTAAAAAATTGAAGATATAAGAAAAGAAGAGTAAATTAAAGATTATAAATTTTGAATGATTTAATAAATTAATAAAAATAAAAATAAAATTTCCAAATTGAACAATATATAAAACAAATTACACAAAAACAATATTAAGGGAATTATAAAAAAATCATTTAATTTCAAACGTACATTTTTATTAAGGAAAAGTTAACTAATTTTACAAACCAAATGTATTTATAGACTTTATTGTAAGCTTTTAAATTAACTTACAATATGGTTACAAGTGAGCTTAGTTTAACTATAATTGGAGAAAAAGAAAAATGATTTCGTACTACAATTTACAACTAATATTGAGTTTTTAGAGAACTTTTTAATTAAGCATTATTCAAATTGTGTTGGTCTAACTACTATTGTTTTATATTAACTATACCTCAAGGACTTGCTTGAAGGAAAAGTCAATGGTTATAGTATTTCTAAGGTTTATTGTCTATTACTCTATTTTTTTTTTTTTGTTTGATTGTTTGACATGTTTTAAACTTAAACTTTGTTTAATGGGGGTAAAGAGTATAATTTGTATCAACTAGCTGAGTGAATAATTTCTAACAAATTAGTAATGGATCATATTCAAAGTTTGTATCGAATATCTTATACTTTTAAAATAGATTTTACTACCCTTTATAATATTATCATCATCAATATGAGCTTCTTTTTTCTTTCAGTATATAATTAAAAATGTTTCATATTATTATAGTAGTAGCTACCAAATTAATTGTATTATTAAGTTTCTTAATTAAGTAATTTTTTATTCAATTTTAAGTAGTTATACATATTACATGTATAATTGATTAAAAACAAAAACAATATAAAATTATAAACTTTATTTGAATCAAAAAAGTTGATGATATTTACTTTGATATAAATTCAAGAAGTGGCACCAAAAGTTAGGGCGAATGAGGTGGGAGATGAAGTGAAAACAAAAGTTTTAATCTATCTACGTCATTAAAATCAAAATTTTTGAAGTGTTTTTTACGAAAAGCTATGAATTTGATAGATGATTAACTGTTCTATTATTTAAAACTACATTCAAAATGATTTACTGGAGTATTTCGTCAACTCTTATCTGATGTCATCGAGTAGTAAAGAGCGATCTGAGTTGTCATCGAAGAGACATACATATAATCAAAGATATCAATCACTTATCACGATATATAGACGGCAATTTTAAAAAAACCAAAAATTCCGTAGATGAGATTAATTTAAACGTTTGGGGAAAAATCAAGAATCAAATTAGGTATCAAATCAGTAAAGCATTGAGACACAAACAATAATACGACTAATTCGTCAAATAAAATTTGAACAGTGTAACCATAAACGATGTGGCCCGGTATTTATGAATCAATGGAGTTAAGCTCTATCGAACTTCATATTTATCGTATATTTAACGTTAAATTTTGACGTTATATTCTAAAATTTAAGTGGGGTAAACATTTGAGTAAATAATAATTTTTTTTTCTTTCTATTATTTCTACCTCATCCGAATCTTTCTGTTTCAGGTACGAGATAAAGGGTAATTTAAGGGATATCAATCTTCAATTTTTATTTCTTCTTTTGAAATTGAACAGGGTATGAGTTTATCTTTCACCCTCTGTTTTTTTTTTTTCATGCAAAGTTCAAAAGCCAAACAGACCTATTACTTAAGGCACTCGGACTTTTGATAATAGAGTTAAAATAGGTCGATCAATTTTGAATTTCATGTATAGCCTCTATAGTTACAATACAATAGACTACAATTGTAATTTTAATTTATTTAAAGTGGAGTAGTACTGTATAAATTTTTTTGTATTCATTTAACAATTGTCAGTATTCTAACCATATTACACAAAATACAATTTTATTACTTATCAGATTTGGGTAAATGCACGATAACTAAACCAGGATAAATTAAAACAATAAAGTAATATGAAATTGCGCTTCAATTTTCTACTTTTTTTTTATTGTTTCAGAATTATATAAGTGGTTGCAAAAATTTTAAAACAATAACAGGTACATTAAAACAAACAATAAAAGCATTATTAAACGGGTTTTGATAGCTTTTTAAAATTGTAAATCCATGGCTTTTGGAATCAAAAGTTTTTAGCTTCCCTGAGGTATTTAATATAAATCAGGCTTAAGCAGCAAATACTTGATCCAAAGATAATGATAGAAGAGTTTACCTTCCTTATGAATAAACCGATAATATAAACAAGTACCCGAAGAAACTTTAAACATTTCATTTCAATAGCCGGCATAAACAATCCAGTTAAGGGGTTTGCTCATTAGGATTTGCATTTTTATATTTTTGAAAAGATATAACAATCTCTCAAATTTTTAAAATGAGGATCAATTACACCCTCACTTGCTTGATATAAAGCATGCTTTTTTTTATTCATTTGTCCTAACTGACGATCGCTAATAAAACGACTTGGTTAACAACAGACGACTTAGCATACACCGTGGTCTTAATTCACTTAATCCATTTTTTATTTATTATTTATGATTAATCAGATTTGACGATGTGACTTAACTCTTTCTCATGGTTTCGAAAGCATTACAAGAATTCAGTTTAACATAAACGTTGTGCACGAAACAGTTTTTAGCAATTAGTAAATAATATACAAGGGATTATTACTTATTTTAAAGTCTCAAGTTTGATTGCAGTTTATATGTAAGCCAAACTTCAAATTCAAAGAGTGAAAGTCCATGATTTTGACTGACATTCATTGCGACAATATTCGTTCTTTTTAAATTACTGAAATAACGAACAATTAGTTTGGAAACAAAAAAATTTGAAAGAAGAATGACAAAAAGAAAGTAGTCGGTTACCTAATCAAAAAAATACCGTACATTAATTAATTGATGCAAAAAAAACACCGAAATGCTAGGATGCGCAAACCCGGAATCGAACCGGGGGCCCAACGATGGCAACGTTGGATTTTACCACTAAACCATTTGCGCTATTTACAAAATTTTTAAAATTTAGAAAGTATATTGCTAAGCTTATTTTGCGCAAAAAATATACCGGCTCCGTCCCAAATTTAAACGATTTTGTTTGTGAATTCTTTAACATCCTCATGACATAATTACCGTCAATTGAAAGTCCAAAAATTGTTTTTCCACATCTAACACGTAGGATCTTTGTTATCTAGATTTCAGGTAAAAAAGTTGATTATCATTTATAGGAATCTCGTACTAATATATATTAGTTGTTGAAATTTCCTAAAAATTAAAACATTATTATAAGCCAGTATAAGACTCTTTCCTTGACAGTAGTTTTAACTTACGTTAAAGAGTTTCACGAAAATTATAAATTTATCATTAATCCACCTACTTTGAAAATATCAATTAACATCGTTCATATAGTCTGCTGAATATTTATGGTCATATTCGAAGAAGATTTGTAAGAAGTATCTTTCATCTTAATTGATCAATAGGTGTTTCATAATTTGACTATCATTTCAATACTTGTAACCAAATTATAATAAAAGAACCGCGTCACCATAGAAATTAAGCAATATTATCTTATAAATGGCTTTAAGAAACAAAAGGAAATATAATTCAAAAAACAAGAGAGTTGGATATAGAAACAACATTAAAGAGTATTTATATTCAAAAGAGAAAAGAGAAAAAAAGATTTATAATGAAAAATATGGAGAAAGTTTAGCTATTAGAACAGGTCAAATATTTTCAGGAACGAAATCAAGATCATATAGTGATATTATTCTAGTTGAAAGAATTGCTAATCAATTAACTAATGCTTTTGGACAACACGTTGCAAAATATGGATCACTTTCGGGATGTGATATGTTTTCAATTGCCGAACATTTTTTTGTAGGTGAGGCACTTGCTTGGGTAAAAGAATATTTCAAGGTAGCTAATAGATATAGTCAACTTCAACAAATAAATAATGTATTAGATCACGTTCTGCAAAATGATAATATATATTTCATCGGGAATGAGTACAGACCAGATATATTTATTGAAGATTTTATAGCTAGATTCAAGCCGATCATACATCCATATCAAATGATTAACATCACGAAAACCATCAACGAACGACGACTTTAAGTGATTATAAGTTTAAATTTTTTAATTATGTTGGTTTAATTGGTCAAGAAGATATGACGCGATTTACTGAGTCTATAATGTTAAAGTCCTATCAAAATAATGTTAATCCTAGACACCAAAGAGAGGCACAATTTTTCAAGTCTCTTAAAGATATTAAAAAATATCATTAATTATTATCATGTGAATACGAACACATACTAAAGTAGAAAAGAAAAAGGAGGAAGTAGATATCAAGAAAACTTTAAAAAAATTTGTAAAGATGATAAAAATGTTCATCATATACTTACTAGTCCGTCAATTGAAGCTGTTGTGTAAAAAAGAGAGTCAACTGGTTAACAAGACAAGAAAATTTAATGATCAACCTGTGGTTATTTGTTTCAAATACACAAAAGTTTAATGTTGTTTACTTAGAAAAACGTGCTTACCCTGGAAGTGATACCTAATCTCGTTCAAGATTAAGAGCAAAATCATCGTTAAAGAAAATTACATATGGATGAAATGGGTTTAACCTTGTTGAGACTATTTTGGTGATACAGGAAATCAGACACCTGGATTTTGAATACTAGAGCAGAAAAATTACCATAATAATGGCTATAATAGGTTATATTCAACAACGACAAATTGAGTTCAAAAGCAATTTAATATGATAGTGTTATTGGTGCATCAGAGTAAGTGATATTAATATCGTAGGGTTCAATATACAACAGAAACAAAGAGTATAGACGAAGATTTATCTCTTATGTTTTAGAATTAGATTTTATTTTTCAATAATAGTATCAGACAAATACAGGTAACGAAGCGTCGAGTTAATTAATAAATATTTGTGTATCGAACAAACTTAAAGAATACACAATGACTGTCACGTTAACCTCATTTGCTATCGATTTTCTTATAAGTACTGATCTATTAGAAATCGGGAAAGCAAAAAAAAAAGAATACATCATGATGCTTGCTAAGCTCCCAGACAGGGAATTGAACCCTGGTCTACCATGCGACAAACGGTAATTCTAGCCACTAAACTATCTGGGAATAATATAGCAAAGTTAAAGGTTTAAATTAACAAGATTCCTACATTCCCGACCAAAATAACCCAATGGAAAATAACATTGTAGACCCATTTGAATATTTTTTGCGACCAACTGAGTTTCTTTGATAAAGTTTGATCAACACGTTGGATCTGCAGAAGTAACTTTACCCAAAACTTTTTGACAACCAGTCAAATTTATTTAGTAGATAGTGATGATATACACATTTCCCATGTAATGGTACCTTATATTCTAAAACCATTATTTTATTGGTCTGTGAGTGTCGAACTTACAGCATTAAAATTTGTCTGATGTATTTAAGTATTGGGACTAATTTAGATATCCAAATAGAATCAATGTTTAATAACCGACAAAGAAGTGCTTCTCTCTGATGTAAATATATTATATGAAGTTATTGCATATCTAATTGCTAAATCCAATATTTGTTAATATTTTTTATGCATTTGGATAAATTGTTTTTTCAACGATATTAACATTGTAAGTTTAAGTCTGGTTCTTAGTAATATCTAACAGCAAACATTTCTACAGAATTTTAAAGAAGTCATAGCTAGATTGTGAAAACTGACGAAAAATCTAGCTTTTTTTTGAATATTCGGTTGTAAACGACATTATACAGAGAGTTTCAAGTTTTGATTGATTATATTTTGGTTGCAAAATTTGAAATAAAAAAAAAATTCTAAAACATAACAAAACAGATCGTTATCTACTTTGCACAGTTTTTATTGTTCATTGTTCAAAATTGATGATACAATCTAGCATTCTAACCAAATTTGTCCATGCTGTCAATTGATACACAACAAAATGATTATAAAGCATTAACAAAAATATATATGGATTATTTTAATTCTGAAAAATTTGCAAAATTTTTAAATACAACTCAAACTGGTTATGCTCATTCATCATCTGGGATTGATTTTCCAAGATTTATGAGAACTTTATTTACATCAATATGCTTTTGCACAATTCAATTAACTTTATTTTGTTCTTTACGATCTATATTCAATTTTTTATATCAACCAAGATGTTTTTGCGTTCCTGTAAATGAGAGAATGGAAGTATTACCTAGAGGATTTTTCAAATGGATTGTGCCAACTTTAAAAACTAGTATAAATACTTATTTATCATTAGGTTTGGATGCTTATTTTTTCATACGATTTATTTCAGTGCTATTATTATTCTTTTCATTTATTGGAACTTTAAATATGATCATATTAATCCCTATAAATTTTACAGGCAGTGACAGTTCATTTGAAGCTTCAGGTTTGGACAAGCTTAGTTTGTCTAACATAGCAAGTTCAAATGTTTATAGACTAAATGCTCATTTTGTAATGGGTGTTATAACAATTGGATTATTTCATTGGTTGTTAATTTATGAATTTCAAAGTTTTGTGACGATAAAACAGTCATATGTACTTTCAAAATCACATAAGAATTCGGTATTAGCCAGAACAATAATGTTATTTAATGTTCCTCCCCATATACAAGATAAAGATATACTTTATGAATTACTTGACATAATTCCGGGTGGTATAAGAAACATCTGGGAAGTGTATGAATTTGACAAAATTGAGCATGAAGTTGAAAAGTCAAAAGATGCTCTAGAATTTATTGAATTATCTCAGTTATGGACGTTGAAGAAATATTATAAATCTAAGCTGAAATGGTGGGGTCACTCTGAACTTCAAGAATTTTTGAAAAAACATGATATAAAGTTTTATCCTCCAATCTATTGTCATTTGATAAAGATACCCCAAATTGATAGAACTATCAAATTTCGACTTCCAGGATGGATTCGATTCTTCTTGTTCCAACAACGAGTTTCGATGTTGGAATGGTCATTAACGATGTTATTTAATTGTCAAATGGAAATAGAAAATCAGAAATTAAAACTCAACAATTCTGAATTAACAAAACATAATAAATTATTTATTGAATTCGAAACACAACAAGGAGCATGTATAGCACATCAATGTTTACTCTCACAAAGTCAAGGGTTCTTAGATAAAACTATCATGGAAGTGCATCCTCATGATGTTGTATGGAATAATGTATCAAGAACTGATGGGATAGCATGTAAATTTGAAAGATATTTAGTGACATTATTATTCATTTGTATTATTATACTTTATGTAATTCCAGTTTCATTAATTGGTTTGGTATCTCAAATTCCCCAATCATCACAAACTCTACCATTTATAAGATGGATAAATTGGTTTCCTGATGAAGCAAAAGAGACTATACTAGGATTTATACCTTCAATTTTACTCACCATCCTAACACAATTAGTTATGATTCTTTTCCGATTTTTCACATATTTTAAAGGAAAAGCAACTGGAAGTGAAATTGAAATAGATTTGCAAAAATGGTACTTCGTGTTTTTATTTGTGCAACAATTTTTGGTGGTAACTATTTCATCAAGTATCACGGTTATTTTCAAACAAATTATTGATCAACCAACATCAATACCAATTCTTTTGGCAACTAATTTACCAAAATCAGCTACTTTTTTCTTCCAATATATTTGTCTCCGAGCATTTGCATTTTGTGGTGACAACTTTTTAAGAATTAAAAAATTAATTTTGACCAACTCATATTATAAAATGAAAGATTTGACACCAAGACAAAAATTTAAAAGGATCACAACGTTACCTCAAATAAAATGGGGAACAACATTTGCTGTATATTCAATATATGCAACAATTGGAATTTCTTATTCTATAATTTCACCATTGATATCTGTTTTCATAATTTTTTTCCTAAATTTGTCAATATTATATTATAAATACGCCTTAAAATATATTTATAGTCACGTCAACACCTCGGAAACCATGGGTAAATTATATCCTACAGCATTATTGCATTTATACACGGGAATTTATTGTCTCGAATGTTGTTTGATAGGTGTTTTCTTTTTACTGAAAAACTCAAAAGGTTCCCATTCATTGAGAGTTCAAGGATGGATAATGACTTGGATTTTGTTCTTCACTATATTTGCTAATATATTGATTTATAATAGATATATGCCATATTTCTCAAATCTACCAATATTGAATGATAAAATAAATCAAGACGACAAATCAAGTGATGAATCAACTGAAACTAATGCTACTTCAAAGTATGATCATGAAATATTATATCTTCATCCAGCCTTTAAGTATGAATCACCTACGATTTGGTTGCCTCGAGATCCAGATAATGTTGTAGATGTTTTAATGCAGAATATTAAAGAAAAAAATACCATCATAACCACTCAAACTAATGGAGCACAAGCACTTGTTGGAAAATTTTTCAATAACTTGAAAATCATCGTTTCAGAAGCACCACCTGATTATAAGTAACCATGTTGTTCATTGAGTCGATTCTGAATTTTCAACATTTTTAAAAATGACTTCCAAGACTTCAATAGTTGAATTTGCTTATGCTCTTCCAACTGTTTGTGTTCTTCAATTTTTCCAGTTAACCATAGCTTCTTGATTGGCACTTCATCTTTTTTTAAAACAATTACTCCATCCTTCCTAGGAAAAGCATGTCCTGATTTAAATTTAAACCCCACAACTACTGGAACATAATGTGCAAGTGTTCTCAGTAAAATAGATTCTATATTTGATAATCTTAACCAAACACATTCATCAGGTACCATATTTGGTCTAAATATTTCTATATTACCGTACTTGTTTTTGGGTAGTTTTCCATTTTCAACTTTCAATTTAATATATGGACACGTTTGAGCAAAAGAATACAATTTTATTGAGTTTAACTCTGGATTAGTCTCATTATTTAAATTAAAAACCCTTTTATTATATATAGTTCGAGGTGTTGCTTTCGCTAGCTTTATGTACAGATCAATTTGATCTGGTTTTATAGATCTTCCAACAAATTTCCATTGTTGTTCAGATTTACCAACAAGTATATAATTTTTGAAATAAACAGGCTCTTTTGATGTGTTTAATTTTATTTTTTTGATCGGAACAGTTCCAGGAATGATTATTTCATTATACCTTAAAGTGGATGGCGTTATAAAATTTGGACTTTTTTTCATAGCTGAATATGTTTCAGGTATTGTATTATTCGCCATTGCTATTGAACGTAAATTATCCAACTCTAAATTCAATTGCTCATTATAATGCTTCGTTGCATTCATTGTACGTATGAGTGATTGTAGTAGCAAGGCTGCTCTTCCCAATTCTGTTCTTAAATCTAATCTATTAAACCATCTATAGGCTATGTTTTTCATATATCTTGAGCTTACATCGATTATCATATTATTATCGGTAAAAGCTAGTACGTAATGCATTGACATGTGACATAGCTGACTATCAATTGGATAAAAAGCATCGGTATATGAATTTTTAACATCCCCTTTATACCTCTTCAATCGAATTAATTGCTTGGTTTCTTCAAAAAAGCATTGAGTTTCTAAAACGATTACTTCAGAAGGATCTTCTGGGTTAACAACTTCAGTCCAAAAATATGGATACAACAAATCATTGTCCTTATTTACTTTAACAACTTCTTGATTGAGCTTTGGTTGCAATTTTGTTTGATTCTTTGTATCTAAAACTGGTAATGAAAATACAAGACGAGCTTCAAATCCTAAACTTCTTAGTAAAGCTGTGAAAATTTGAGCTCCAGTATCTCGATTATGTCTGAATTTCTTTATTACTTGTAATAAATCATTGACCTTCCCTATTGCTTTTGCATTGTTTGGTAAATAATCAGCAGTTGACTTATATTTCTTGGGTAAATATCCCAAAACTCTCAATCCATTTGAATCCCATTTAAAGTTTTTTTTGAACCATTTGATCAAATATTTCAAAATATAAATGAATTTGACATCATCAGGTTGTTTCTTGTATTTCTTGAATTGTTTCATGAGTTGCTCTGGTAATAATTTCTTCAATGCCTTGTGAACTCTTTTATCTGATAAAAGCAAGTTTCGATGTCTTGCATGAATAATATAAGACACAATACTCAAATAATGCAAACTTACTCTCTGTTGTTTTAGTCTTATCAACTGACGTAGCTTTTCTTTTTTTTCCTCATCTATGGATTGAATTGAGATGTTAAATTCTTGTTCTGTTGCTTGATTTTGTTGCGATTGTTGTAAAGGTTGTAATACTATATCTTCAAAATCAGAGTCATTCAAGGAGTCCAAATCTGAATCTGAATCTAAATCCCGACTATCATGCTCTTCATATTCAGTCTTTTGTATCTTTAATGGAGGTTCATCATACTCTGATTCTTCACTTTCCAAGAATAGTTCATTCATAGTGATAGCACAAATGAAAAGTTAAGAGATGAAAAATTATAAACAATGCGGCTCATTTTTTGTGAGGAATTCTTTGACATTCCGACTTAGGTTAGTTGCATCCCGCAGATGTTACACGTCAATGACTATTATACGTTACTGTTAGGGTCTAAGCAGTCTCATAGCTACATCGCGTTTTGCTATTAGTTTTCAAGTTACAAAGATTTCAAAATATTGAGCATAATGTATTATCTTTAAAAAATTAAACCTCCATATGTATTGCAGCATGTTATGTTGCTTTATTGGCTCACTCAACTGATTGTGAGGTTGAATAAACCAGCAGCCTTATAAGCCTGCTCAGACGCCGGAACGTGCATGTCCTTTGGCAGACACCGAGTTGAGCAAGAAAAGATAGAAATTCTGATACCAAGCGGTTCTCCATTTTAAAATCTGATTCTTTGTACAAAATTGTGAACATTAGGGCAAATTCATCTACGACTAGATGAATGGAATAAGCGATACGAGAACTAAGTAAACTTCTATTGTTAGATCCAAAGTATACTTCTTTGTAATGACTGAAATTTTGACTACCAAATGAATGTTTCAGATTTTTATCGTCGAATATGCAGGATGAATTTTCATGGTATAGATTTAATCATCTTCCTATTTTCATTTGTACAATGTACAAAAATTTGGAAACTCCTGCTTGTGGCAGCTGCTTTAGCATTTTCCATGAACTTATAGATGTCTCAGCGACTACAAAACAACTAAATTGTTTTTTATTACTCATGTACAATGCTATTGACTTCCATATATTCTGGGATTAAAGACCACTGATTGTTCAGTTCTACTTCTGAATCATGACCATATAATGTTAACTTCTCAAATGTAGAAATTGCAGTATAATTTTTAATTGTTTTTATAGTTTCAACTCCATCTTCTTCATTTATATCTCTTGATAAATTTTCAGTTTTATTTAAAATAAATCCTTTCAAATTTGAATCTTTCAATTCAAGTTCTTTTCCTATTAATCTTAAACCTCTAAAATAAGCTGTATCAACTATTGATCCATCTTTTAATGTTTCTTTTGTTTTTGATGGAGTAAAATAATCTGAAGTATTTGCTGGACCAGAATAATGAATATGCATGGGTAAAATCGACAATTCTACCTTTGGTAGTTCTTCCTTTGTTATTTGAATTGATGATGACGATGACATTATGCTATGAACTCAAGATAGTCTGCTTGGTTGTTTATTGAAAAGAGATAGTAATAATAAAATTTTGGAAAATTTGATAATTTGAACACAAAGTTTTCAAAACAATACACGTCAAATATTATTTTCATACGTGATTTATAGTATCGTTATTCTTTCACCGAATGAGTTACAACACACCAATGCGAGATAGAGAGATTCCAGGTCTGATCTAACGTTGAGTGAATCATCAATAAAAAGTTCAGGATCCTCAAATTTAATTTGTTCACTAGACGCGTCTCAAGTTCTGATCCATCTATATTATTTCTTCGGTCCAATCGCTACTCTATGAATAGGAAAGCAAAATCAAACTCGAGATTTATCACTATCTCAGCATATTTGTGATCAGCTGTCGAACGAAAGCTTTTAGTCATAACTCGAACTTTCAACGCTTTTCTGTTTTATACATAACCTGAAAAATTAAGCCTTGACCGTTTTAGGCATCAAGCGCGGATTTTTCAAATTATCAGACGCTTCTAACGCTTATAGAGTGAGAGTACTTACAAATGCTTAGCTAGTAAGCTTTGTTTCTGAGATTCATCTAAGCAAGCTCTTAAACAAAGCACGTCAATCAACCTAGAACAATACAACGGTATTTGAAGGACAAACCAATGTTCTTTTGATTCTCTTCCCGTTGGTCTAGGTTTCAAATTCCTTATCTAAAGAGCGGAATTTTTTTTTCAATGTATGGAATCTTAAACTTTAAATTTTTTAACCGATATAAAAATTATTATAGAATTCAGTTACAAGTAATAATAAAGCCACAAAATATTAAAAATTACTAATAATATAATAAAGATTTGTCTATTAGAGTGAAAAATTTATTATATTAAGCTCCGACTATAGACAATACTTACTTGTCAAATTATCATCATTCTTTTCAAAATTTAACAACAATGACAAAAAGTGATAATAATGGAATTCATAATCATCCACATTTACATCCAAATATAATTCATGATCCATCATCTGAAACTTCAGGTATAATAGCATCAGAATTAGCAGCAGAAGATGGAAATTTAATACCAAATGATTCTTTTAAATCTCATACTTATGGATCAATTGAATCACAAGATAATGACCATCATCAAGAAACAAATTATGAAATTGATGAACCAAATGGTGGTTATGCATTACCTCCAGCTCAATTATACACAGTTGTTTCATCATTATTTATGGCTTCATTTTTATCAGCATTAGATGCAACAGTTGTTACTACATTATTAACTTTAATAGCAAGTGATTTACATGCTATAAAAAATATTTCATGGATTGCAACTGCTTATTTATTATCAAGTTCTGCTTTTCAACCAATATTTGGAAAATTATCGGATATTTTTGGTAGAAAATTTATTTTAATTGGTTGTACTTTTTTATTTGGTATTGGATGTCTTATTTGTGTTACTGATTCTTTATTATGGTTAGTTATTGGAAGATTTATCACTGGTTGGGGTGGATCAGGCTTAACTTCAGTGGGGACAATGACAATGTCAGATTTAATACCTTTAAGAGATAGAGGATTATATCAAGGATTAGCTAATATTTGTTTTGGTTTGGGATCTGCATCAGGAGGATTTATTGGTGGTATTATTGCTGATACATTAGGTTGGAAATATGTATTTATATTACAAATTCCATTAGCTATTGTGGTTGGATTATGTATTCAATTATATTTAAATTTACCTGAAGGTTCACCAGGTTTAGGAGCTCATGGACAAGATATTTGGCAAAAATTGAAAAGAGTAGATTTCTTAGGAAGTTTCTGTTTAATTAGTTCATTAATGTTAATTTTAACTGCTGCTTCTTTGGGAGGTAGAGATATTGAATATTCTTCAAATACTTTTATTCTATTAAGTATTTCAAGTTTGATATTATTATCTGGATTTTTCTACGTTGAAGCTTATATTAGTGAAGAACCAATTATTCCAATTGAATTATTAGGTAATAGAACTGTTTTAGCTTCATCTTTAACAAATTGGTTTTATACAATGGGAATTTTTGCAACTATGTTTTTTGTCCCCATTTATTATACATCTGTATTAGATATGACAGCAAGTGAAAATGGTTTAAGATTAGTTCCTAATTTATTTAGTATATCATTAGGATCAGTTGGTGCAGGATTATATATGAAAAAAACTGGGAAATATTATAAATTAACTGTATTAGCTGGTATTATTGCAATCTTGGGAGTTTATAAAATAACTTTAATAACACCAACAATTCCAACATGGCAACAATTTTTATTATTAATTCCATCTGGATTAGGTTATTCATGTATTTTAACAATTACTTTATTAGCATTAATATCTGCAACTCCATTTAAATATCAAGCATGTACAACATCAATTCAATATACTTTTAGATCAACTGGTTCTACTTTGGGAGTATCTGCAGCATCTGCAATATTTCAAAATGTATTAGCAACAGAATTAACTAAAAGAATTTATTTAATAATTAAAGATCCAAAAGATGCTCAAAAAATCATAAATCAAGCATTAGATAGTACAAATTATATTCATCAGGCTCCAAAATCTGTTCAACAAGCTATTAGACTGTCATATGAAAGTGGATGTAAAGGAGCTTTTTATTTTGCTTTAGGTACTGTAACTTTAGGAGTTTTGTCTTCATTATTTATGAGAGAACATAAATTACATTCCACTCTTAATAGAAAGTAAATATGTTATGTGCGTTTATAGATCTATAATTCTACATATGATTATTAGAGCCGATATTTTGACGACTACCAATATGTATTTGATTCTATTATACTTTTTAAGATTTATAATGTTACAAACAATTATTCTTCATGATGTATATAATATTTATGATGTTGACCACCAGAAACAATAAGATTTTTTTTGTTGGTTAAATTTGACTCACTATTATTTCTAGAACTACTTCCATTACTTTCTTCATTTGAAATTTTATACAATGAAGGATGATGATTTAAATTATGAGTAGGAGGACTTTCATCATTTTCATTTAAATTAAAATCAGTTATTTTCGAAGGAATTTTTAAATTTGATGTTGATTTATATAAAGTATTTGATGATTGTAATTTTGGTGTAGGTGAAAAAAATATTGAAATTGGTGATCTTATCAGTTGAGGATTTGTTCTAACTGATGTGGACCCATCATTTAAATTATTTAGGTTGTTATTTAGCAAGTAAGGTGTTAAAATTGGTGACATTATTTCATCATTATTTATTGCATTTTCTAATGCATCTTCAATTACTTCTTCAATTAATTCATTTTCTGATGTTATGTTTATATTGACTAATAACACTGCCACAACTATGCAAAGAATTCCTAATATATATATAAAATTTGTATGTATAGGTTCATGATTATAAATTAATACCATATAATCAATAAAAATTGTAATTGGAATTGAACTTGTTAAAGTTAATGAAACAACTAATGGACTAGTTAATAACATTGCTAAAATCGATGTAAAATCAGATATAACTGAAAAAATTCCATTTATCAATATACTTTCTAAAATAGTAATATTTGGTGGTGGGAAATCAAATTTCTCAATACCCAATATATCAACAATATATAAAATTGGTATTCCCATTATAAAAGTAATAATACCCACATAACCAAATAATCTTCTTTCATTAGTTGTTTTATTACCATTCCCACATTTTAATCTCATAATTAATAAATAAAAAGCATATAATAAAGCACCAACTAATGCTAAAAGATTACCTAATTTTGGATTTTTTGGTTCATATTTATAATCACTGTCTTTATTTGAAGAAGTTGAACTTAAATTAACTAATGAAACACCTAAACAACTAACAATAACACAAACGGCCTTTTTTATAGAAAATTTTTCAGTTTTCAATAATATACCAATTATTAATGTAAAAACAGAAGTAGTTGATCCAATTACTGTTTGATTTGATGCTGATGTAAATTGTAATGCTTCCATTACAAATATATTATATAAAAGATAAATAATTGAAATTTGAAAAGCTAAAACCAAGATTTCTTTCCATTTCATTGGTTCAATTTCATCCATTAATTTTTCTAAATTTTCATGAGGACTAATTAATAATGGTTGAGTTTCTTTCTTTTTAAACTTCTTTCTTTTAAAAATTAAAAATAAATCAGGTATAAAATTAATCATAAAACAAGAACCGGTAATTATAGCAAATAATACTGGTTTCTTGTATTCATTACCTTTTAATACTCCATTAACTAATTCTAATCCACATATCCATGAACCTATGGATATGATTAATAATATAATTCCTAATCTATAATTTTTTTTTTCTTGATCTGATATTATTTGTATAACTTCATTTGGATCTGATGTTATTGTTGGTGTTAAATTATTTAAGTGGTGTTGATGTAGTGATCTTGGTGATTTCAATGTTGATTGTTGTGTTTCATTATGATTGTGATTATTCAATGAAGATGATGAAGTATGATGTGACATAGATTCAACCAAAGGATACAATATTATTCAGCTGTATCTCAATCTATTTGTTTAGCATAAAATAGAATGAAAGATGCTTTTGATATCATTACTATCAGATTGTATTTTTAATTTGTTATGAAACATTGTTAAATCGTTATCTTTCGAGATTTAGATAAGAAGATGATGTTACACAAAATCTGTTGCAGATACAACACTAACTTTATCTATCTTAATAAATTCCGCTGGATTAAATATATTCGAGATATCACACAAAGCGTCGTCTTTTGATAACGGGCTAACTTGACCCATGAGTCTTTCTCAGAGTTAGTACCAAGCTAATGGTTGAAGAATCGAATAAGAAACAGAGGGAATTTCATCATGTATGAGGAATTAGCAATATACTGAAAGAGATCAATCTTCAATAAAAAATCATTTATTATTCATCCATAAGTATTTGCAATTTTTTTTTGTAAATGTTGTAAAGCCGTAATATAATTTTGATCTTTATTAACACCTCTACCAGATAAATCCCTTATGCATTCACTGGGCACAGGTTCTAATAAAGTTTCATCACTTGGATGACTAAAAAACACTATGGAATAACGATCTTCTTTTAAAGATTCATTATTAAATTTAACTCTATGAATTGTTGATTTTAATAATCCTGAAGTCCAATAACTTAATAAATCTCCAATATTCACTATAATTGGTGGTGCATCATCTCCCGTTTTAAAACTTTTTATAAATGGAACTTTTTCCCATTTTTTATTATTATATATTTCCAAACCTTCTTGATTTTCACGTTGAAATAATAATGTCATACTTCCATAATCAGTATGTGCTCCAGCTCTTATTGGATCATTTGTTGATGTTAACTTGGGGTAATGAAGGAATCTTAATGTTGAACCTGATTTAGATGTTGATTTATATCTTGATGTAAACCATTCTTTTCCTTCTGTGTTATTTAAATCTTCAATTTTTAAACCCACGGCTAATATTCGAAGTAATTGTAATGCTAACTCATTTAATTTTATAATTATTTTTGGAATAAATTCAATTCTATCGGGATCATTAATTATCCAATCAGGTATTGGACCTGAAGGTATACCAGTTTTAAAATTAATTTCACTTAAATTTAAACCTTCTTTAAAATCTTTTTTATTATTTGGATCTAAATTTTCTCTATCAAAATGTATATAACCAGAATTACTATTATTTGTTTTTGAAAATTTCAGTTTATAATCATATGGTAATTCAAAGAACTCTTTAGATAATTCAAATATTTTATCTACTTCATTTTGAGTAAAATTATGACCTTCTATAAATACAAAACCTTGAGTTGTTAGAGCATTTAATAATTCTTTTGATGATTTTTCTATTGGATTTGTGATATCAACTATTTGTAATGGGTTTGAGGACATTTGAGGTTGGTTGTTGTTCCGACTGCTTGAAAGATTGAAAATTGTAGAGATAAGGATTTGAAAAATTTAATCGGTTTGTTTGTTAAATTACGCGGTTTTGCATATGCAATGGAATTTGTATGTCAACTAATACAGATGAAAAATTAATTTATATTACAGTAATTTTTACAAAATTTATACATATTTATAGAAGATCTATTAACTTATTTTTGGTCTAAATGCTATTTCTTCAGGTAATTGAAAAGAAACACAAAACATAGGTTTAGTAGGACTTACCATTCTAACTTTATGAAATTCCATTTTATTAATATCTAACTCAAATTCAATTAATTTACAAATTTTAAACCAAATTTTTTCACTTAATTCTTCTATTGTTGGATCTTCTCCATTTTCAAATTTTTCAAAACAATGTACATGAATCCATGGTAATTTAAAATTTGGTAGGTTTTTAAGTTGTGGATAATTGGAGTATAATCCAATAAATGCATCTAGAAAAGTTAATGCTGAATCAGGTAAATTCATTACAAAATGATGATAAAATTTTGGAATTTCAATTTGTTTTATTTCTATTTTTCTTTCACCTTTCAATCTTTTTATAATTTTTTTTTCAATTGGTCCATTTGATGCAAATTCATTTAATATATCAGCTGCATTATTTATAAATTCTCTTCCATCTAAATTATAAGGTTTTACAAATGGTTCAACTTTATTTAACTTAATATTTTCTTTTAAATATTTAAAACTTTCTGGATTTAAATCATTTGCTAATATTATGCTTTCATTTTTACCACTAGGTATAGCAAATGGTCCTACCCCAGCCATTACATCACCTATAACTTCTCCTTTTTTGAATTTTTCAATTAATCTTTCATGTTCTGAACTTAATCTTGAATTCCAATAAACTTTACTAAAATCAAATTTAAATTTACAACCACTTTCATTTTGTTCAACTATAAAATTTTCTTCACCAGCTAATAATTCAAGGGGAAATGTTCTAAATTTGTTAGCTATTGTATTTTTTTTATCAACTACTGTTTTTATACTTGGATTTTTATCCATTATTATTTGACCAATAATTTTTCCATATGGTTTAAATTCATCTCTTAAATTTAAATGAGCTAAATGACCAGCTTGACTGAAACCTTGAGGAATTTCATCAATTAAATTTTCAGGTAATATCAGTTTTAAAATTTCATCACTTTTCCAAAATGAATAATCTAATTTTAATAAATATGGTATTAATTTTATATTATATTCTTGAATTTTTAATTGAGTTGTTTCGTGTAAATCAGTGATATTAGTTATACCTTCTCTTAGTAGTACTGCTTTTGAATTATCTAAATCTATTATATGTTTTATATTTCTAACATAAAAAATATCAGATTGACATGTCTTGATAAAATTTGTTAAATATTTTGGTTGTGGAAACCATGCAGCAGTTAATGGAATTTCTTTTTGAAAAAAATTTCGATCTAGCTCATTGATCATAGATCGATTTATAGGTGGTGAATATTTCGACATGATTGTCTGTTGCTTTTGGGTTTTAGATAGTTTAGATAGTAGTTTTAAGTTCATTCATTGAATTGAATGGTTGATGTTGTAAAATCTATGATAAAGTTACGCAAAAAAAAGCGAAATATGGATTGCATCTTTCATCTCATCCAAATTGTATTTATTTTAAACAAGCAAACACATTCAAATGGACACAACACAAGTAATAAGTATAACGAAGCCAATACCGAGAGCTGAATATGAAGAAGAAGATGATAATATATCAGATATAGATATGGATTTACTAGATCAAGAAGTAGATGAAGAAGAAAATAATAATCAACAACAAACTCGAAAACAATCACAAGATTTAACAAAAAATTCAATAGTAACACCAGGAGAACTAATAACAGAAGATCCAATATGGATGAAAGGTCATGGTACATACTTTATAGGAGATAAAACATATTCATCAGTAGTTGGAAATATATCAAGAGTAAATAGATTATTAAGTGTTAATCCAATAAGAGGAAAATATTTACCAGAAACTGGAGATCATATAGTTGGTAGAATAACAGAAGTAGCAAATAAAAGATGGAAAGTAGATATAGGATCAAAACAAGATGCAATATTAATGTTAGGATCAGTAAATTTACCAGGTGGAATATTAAGAAGAAAATCCGAAAGTGATGAATTACAAATGAGATCTTTTTTAAAAGAGGGAGATTTATTAAATTGTGAAATTCAAACAATTTTTAATAATGGTATTGCTTCATTACATACAAGATCTTTAAAATATGGAAAATTAAGAAATGGAATATTTTTAAAAATTCCAAGTTCTTTAATTATAAAATCAAAAAATCATAATTATGATTTACCTGGAAATGTTTCAGTTATATTAGGTATAAATGGATATATATGGCTTTATAAAACTAAACCAAAAACAACCACCAACACAACAACCATAAATTCAAATGGTTCAAAATTACAACTGGGAAATAAAGATTATACACCAGGTCAAGGATCAATATCAATAACAAGATTAGAAGAAGAAAGTTCATGGGAAATATATAGTGATAAAAATGATCAAATAGATTTAATTACAAGAAATAATATTTCAAGATATTATAATTCAATAAAAGCTTTAGCTTTTTGTGAATTAGGTATAACTGAACAAAGAATTATAATGGCTTATGAAGCAAGTTTATCATTTTCAAATTCTGGTAATTTAATTGATAGAGATTCAATGGAACTGTTATGTAGAGAAGTTTTAAATAATGAAGAAATGAGAGGAAATGCTTAAGAGAAAAATATACATACGAAATATATAGAGTTTTCCATGATTGCATTACGTCTTTACTCAATACATTAATAAATGTAGAATCTTTGATGTTTCGTTTTACTTTCTTATTGTATGAACGTCTATTGTCCTTTACTATTTTTATACAAATCTAATTTTCATCGTAGAAATTCAAAGAATTAGATTGTTCAAGTATAGCTCCTTACTTAAGTAAGTAGCAATGGTAATCTAAAGGTCGTCTGACGATTTACCATATTGAGTTGCTATTAATTTTTGAAAGCAGAATGAGTTAAAAAATTTATCACGATCAACATAATTAAGAGACACGTCTTTACATCTATTGTTTTGATTTGAGTTTGGTCCAAGAACGCGTATAGCTATTGTTCAGGTAGTCCCATCTAACTTATGATAAATCTTGATTGTTGCTTCAGACTTTTAACACTTGATGAATGCTTAGATTGAAATTGTTGCTAATTTGCAGTTGAAAATAGATCAATCTCTTAACCTACTGTAAGTTCGACTTTATACAAAATAGCATCAAATTGATTCAGATACTGTGTTGTCTATAGTGGAACCCAAGGTGAATAAGAGATTGATGTCGATATTGCAACTATAGACAAGTTGTAGAAAAATAACGTTTCAACAAACCAGATTTTTCGATTGTTGATTAGTATAAGCGCGCTCAAATATCAAAACAATTTAGGCTTCGACGTATTTTAAAGTGTGATGATTGATATTATTTGTGTTATCAAATGTCAATCGTAATTTTCACGTAAATTTTACTAGTTGCTTCTTACTTTGCATAGTTGACGTAGTATTAGCTATAGTATTTAACTAATAAAATACTAAATCTTACTCATAAAAGTAAATTTAAATTTGTTCATAATTTGCAATTTTGGAATTTTAAAATCTTAAATTCTAAAACCAGAACGTGGGTTGATTTCCTAAGTAAAGGAAGAAAATAATTTCCAATCCACAACATCCATATAACAGTCCATTTTGATGGGTAATTCTTCATGAATAAGGTTTAGTTACTAAACGCGTATCTTTCTAGAACATAAACTATTGTTGGATAATTCACCAAATATCTATAAAATTAATTTAGATTTATTGTTTGTTGTTTTAACATCTTTTGCGTTTTTTCATGATCTTTTATAATTATTATTAAATTTAGACTATTGCTTTAGTTTGTACGTCTAACTAGATGATATTCAAATGGAAACCAACTCAATCATTGAATAGTATCCTTTTTGATCCATAGGGTCTGTTACCAATCAATTGATGAAGAAGTGTAGTTGAAGTTGATGATACTTTTCTTTTCCTTGAATTTTTCAATATGTAAATAAGCTTAATAAATCAAACGAGGCTTATAAATTATTATAATAGATCTTTTTTCAGGCATACAATAAGCGTACTCTCCTTGGTCTAGATTGAGTGAATTGGTTTCCCCAATCAATACCATACAAGTCTCTTTAATGAACTATTCACCATTTTACTTGAATCAATTGTATAAAACTGTCATTACTTCGACCGATGGACCTGTATTTTACACGAAGTTTCGCAGTAACTCATACGGATATATTCAAATCAATATATAATATTGTAAAAGTAAAAAAAGAAATTCTGCATACATACTTAATATAATATATCAAATGCAATTTTTCTGTATACAGTATCTATTTAAGTTAAAGAAGTTTAAAATTGGACTTAATAAAATTTACAAACCATTTTACTTATTGTAATTAACAAAACAAAACAAATCTATTTATTCAACTGAAGTCACTTTATCATCATCAACAAACCTAGCCAAAACAGTTGGAGTATCAACAAAATCATCAACTCACGGTTAATTTCGCTAAATCAAATAGAAGAAAAAATTATATTTTCACAATTTTTCCTTTTTTTTTATTTTTCTTTTTTCTTCTTTTATTGATTAGAATTATTATTTTCCGTCATCATCATCAAGTTTGTTTTTACAACCAGATCAAAGGAAGAAGAGGAAGTTGATAGTACAACTGATCAGCTTTTGAAAAAGGTTACTTCACATAGCTTCAACTATATTTTACATTCCCAGTCATTCGCTATATTTCCATTATTTTACTACAACACCTAAGACCTAACAATTCATTTTTACAACCAATTATGCATTTTCATACAAATCTCGAGAGAAGTCGACCTTACAATCATAAATATCGATCAACAATACTACTATCACAATTTAAATCCATTATAATATTCATCTTAATATTTCTACTACCAACATTAACTTCAGCAATAGGTTTAAATATTTCACCAATTAAAAATACAAATTCCAATCAAAAAAAATTATCATCATTAAAAAATTTACAAAATTGTTTATCATATGAAACTGGACAAAATGATATAATATTTTTAACAATAAATCCTATAGAAAATTTAATAAGTCAAGAATTAAATTTAAAAATTATTGATTCCAGAGGTAATATATTAAGAAATCAACATAATTTATCAAAATTTAATAAAATGTTAGAATTAATTATAAATCCAAATAATAATGAAGTCACGTCAACAATAGCATCAGAAGAAAACAATGGAGAAATAGATATACGATCTAACGCAGACACCACACAAAAGGAAAGAAATTTTATTCATATATGTTTTGATAATTTATATAATGATTTAAGTTGGAGTTTTCAACCAAAAAAATATGAAATTGAAATTGATATAAATATAAAAAATGATATAAAATTAACAAATTATAAAATTTTTAAAAATTATTTTTCAAATTTTGATAACAATCACATTAATCAAGAAGAAAATCAACAACAACAACAACCTCAAGAAGGATCAAATTCAGAATTTTATAAAATTCAATTAAATGAAGAATTATTTGATTCAAAAATGTCAGAAATTTCAATAGAATTAAATAATATTCAAAATAAATTAATTGAAAATGATGCCATATTACAAGATTTATTAAATCAAGAATTTAAATTAAGAGACGTGAATGAAGAAATATTTGGAAGTTATAATTTTATAAGTATATTCTTGTGTTGTTTTATTTTTGGTTGTGGAATTTTACAATTGATTATATTTAAATTTACTTTAAAAAAGAAAAATATAACTTAAACTTTGATTAATTGGAAATTTATAACTTAACTTTGAATTATCAGACATTTATAAATTTATATTTTACTTCATTTTTCATTTTCATTTCATGTTTTATCATTATAGATCAATTTCAAAGAATTATCATAGCATAGTATCAATTAATACTTTACATACATTTAAAATTCATTTAATACATTAATAATTAATACATTCTCAAGATTGATTAAATTACCGACTTTTACCTGAGTTAAGCTCCATACCACTCTTGCCTCAAAACATTATGTTATTCTCTCTTATTCGACGCTCAGATCTCACCAGAGCTCATTCTTCACAAAGGTTATATCACCAATTGATTTTGAGAAAAATCTACTACTGAAGTACGAGCAACAACGCATAAGAAGATGGGTTTTACTCCATTTTTATGTCAGACATTTAAAATAAACGACTTCTATGTTAATTAGATTAAGTTATGGACTTTCAAATTCTCTTACTAAAAAAATCACATACAAAATATTTTAGAGCAGCGCTTTTGGTAAAAATCGTGTATAGCTTTGCTAGTGGATTTTACCTTAAAACAAACAACTCGTCATAACCAGTTCAAATGAAACAACATTTCAAAAATCTATTACATCTGGTCTGACATTAAGTCCGCTTTTTTTTTTTTTTTTTATGAAAATGAATTTAATCTAAAAATTTATATATATATTCATACCTATAAGCTTTTAATTTGTTTTTTTTTTTTTTAATTTCTCAAAGTGTTGATACATTTCACTCAAGATGTTTCAAAACTCAAGTCTTCATATAAATTTAATTGTTGGAATTTCCATATCAATTCCCAGTTCACTAGAAAAGTAAATTTTGAAAAGTAATTGTGTTAATGAAATAACTTCATACGAATTGTGAACATTTTTTGATTAGTAAAACATCAGTAATTCAAACGGTACTTCATATATGTATATTCCTGCTTTTTAAACATACTTAAACTAGCTGTCCTCACATCTGTAATTTTTTATTTCATCTTTTAATTAAAGACATGATACGTTTGGTCATCCGAACAAACAAGCATTTGCCAAAATGTTACAAGAATCTAACATTCCCTTTAAACATAAGGACTTGGATTTCCAATGTGAAACTTGTTCCATGACGAAAAATTTTAAGAAGTTTCCAAAATCATTTGACAATCCTGATTCACCACATCCGTTGGAACTTTTACATGTGGATTTATGTGATATGACTTATGGGGGATTTGAAGATGAACGATATCTCCTTGTCATTGTTGATGATTATTCATCTATGAAATTTACTTTTCCGTTGGTTCACAAGTCTGATTGTATTGATTTCCACATATGATGTTTCCAACGAAAAAGGTATTAACAATTCAAACATTATTAAAAAGGAATTGAAATATCACGAATATCTTCAATACTTTTTTTATCTCGCATGAAAAAAAATAGTTCTGGTATATTATAATTAAGATTTTTTTTAAAATAATATATAGCCATTTGATCGAATTCAGGAGTTATATCATCTTTACCTAGTAAATCATAAATTTCAAAAAACTTTGATTGATAAGTTGTAAATTTCATATTTTGAGTTTGAATATTTTCTATAATTTTATCAAGGATTCCACATTTAAAATCGTCTCTTTTAAATTCTTTTAAAAATGCATTTATATAGTTTTTTGGTTTATATTTCTCTTCAATTTCTTTCTTTCTTGCAATTATTGCAAGTTTTTTGGATTTTTTATCATCATCAATTTTTCCATTATCATTATCATCTTCATCACTAGAATCATCACTAAGATCAATAAAGTCTCTATCATATTGCATATCAATATAATCTTCAAAATACTCCTTATTCCATCTAAGTGCATCGTATATGAAAAATCGACTTGATATATCAAACATTTGATAAGTACTTAATTTATCATGTTCTAATTTATAATTTTGAAAAGCTCTTTTTATTAATCTACCAACTTTTTCAACATAAATTAAATCGTCAAGTTCTGCATTTCCAGCAAATATAAGACCTTGTGTCATATAATCATCTTCTTTACTTCTTCTATTGATTTCAATCCTTCTTTCTCTTTCAAGATAAGTTTCTTTATGATAATTATTTTTATATCGATGATTTTTATTAAATTTCGGATTATACCTTTTCCTGTTATTGTTGTAATTAGAATTATAAGCCATTTGATATTGTTGTTGATTGATTAATTACCTTTATCGCAAAAATTAATTGATTGTCTTGAGAAAATGGAGTCACCAACAATCCTAGTTTGTTAATTGATGTATAAATGTACCTGATAACAATGAGAACGCTAAAAAGATATCTTAAAATAATTGTTACTTACAATCCGAAGTTGTAATAATCAATTGACTTTAGGAACCTTAATTAGTTTATCCTGTAGTATAGAATTGTTTTATGATAAACGATTGATAATTTGCTAAAATTGTTATCTCCCTAATTTGTGTTTTTATCATTTTCCACACAATATTTAGATATTACCTAATACGGTAATTTGATTATTTAAGCGAGATTTGGTGGAGCTTAACTACGAACTATCAATTCTTTCACTTCAAGAATCAGAGTGAAGGAGGAGGAAACATCCTTTAGTTAATTAAATATTGATTTAAGCATATCAATAAGAGAATCTTATCTTGGAATGTTTCCAGTGTTTTTGATGTTCAAAATGTTCTGTTTTTTGAACAATGATCTTGAAGTTCTTGAGTCTAACTCGTGCTTATATAAAAATAACCTATTCACAAGAGTCGTTATAATTCATTATTTTTCATCACTTACCCCATTAGATACCATTTCTTCCATTCTTTCCTTATATTCAACTTCTTTAACTTTATCAATAATTTCTTTTAATTTTTCACCTTTTAAACAACCTTGTAAATCATGTAAACTATATCCACATCTATGATCAGTAATTCTATTTTGAGGATAATTATAAGTTCTTATTTTATCACTTCTATCAGTTGAACTAACTTGAGAAATTCTTAAATTTTTTTGTTTTTCAATTTCTTCAATTCTTTCTAATTCAGCTAATCTACTTCTTAATATCGCAAATGCTTTTGCTTTATTTTGAGGTTGTGATCTTTCATCTTGTTGAACTACTATAATTCCTGTTGGAATATGAACTAATCTAACAGCTGAATCAGTAGTATTAACATGTTGACCACCTTTACCACTTGCTCTCATTGTATCTATTCTAATTTCTCCTGGTTTAAATTGCATTTCATCATTTTTTAAACTTGTTTCATTACCTTCTGAAATTTTAGGTAATATAACAACTGCTGATGTAGAAGTATGTATTCTACCTTTTGATTCAGTTTCTGGAATTCTTTGTACTCTATGAACTCCAGATTCATGACGTAATATATCATAAGATCCAATTTCATCTATTGATAATATTGCTTCATTCATAAATCCATTTGCATTTTTACCTTGTGATATAATTTTATATTTCCATTTATTAAAAATTGCAAAGTTTATATACATTTGTAATAAATCTTCAGTAAACAAACTTGCTTCAGAACCTCCGATACCTGGTCTTAGTTCTATAATAGTTTTACTTTCAGAATATTTTAATGGTGGTAATAATTTAGTTTGAAGTTCAGTTATAAGTTTTTGTAATTGTGGTAATAGATTATTAATTTCATCTTGTGCTTCCAGTATAAGTTCTGGATCTTTAATTTGTTTTAATTCTAAAATTTCATTATTTAATGTTTTAAATTTTGTGAAAGTATCTATTATATTAGTAAGTCTATCAAATTTAATTTGTAAATCTGGATCATAAGTATCTAATTTTTTTGAAATTTCTTCATGTTCATTAGTTAAAAATTTTGCTCTTTGAATTAATAATGGGTGTAGTTTTGGTAAATCTATATTTGGGATTGTGCTTTTTGAGTTTATTGAATAAAATCGCTGAGTTCTCGGTAGAATACACCTGATATGTCGTATCATTTGAGTTTATTTATATTTAAATCTATGGTTGTTTCAAACTTGATAATTCATTTAATTTTGCAACAAATTTTTTGACGTGAAAAATATAACTGTATGTCACAAGATTTGATTCAAGACGTTGCAAAAAATCTATACAAATCTACAAATCTAAACTCTCTATAGAGTTACATCATTATGTCAGAATTTCCAAGTCTATCATCAATTCAATTCCAAAAAGCAATAAGAGAAATTTCCGATCATGAATTAAATCAAAAGAAACAACAACAATTAGTATTCATATTCAAATTAATTGAAACAAATAATGAATTAAAATTAGAATTAAAAAAACCTGATATAACAAATGAAGATCAAGATCTTTATAATGATATAATAAATGAAAATAAATTAAGTTTATTTGAACAAATTGGTAGAATCGAAAATTTAAATAATGAATTAGTTAATCGTGGATTATTAAATGAAATTGAAAAAGATAATGAAGAAGAAAAAATGATGAAAGATATTGAGGAATTGAGTAAGAAAGGTGATGAATTGGAAGAGGATTAAGGAAAAGAAAAATTAAGGTTTTACATTGCGGGCAATGTTATATAAAAAGTGGGATTAAAGTACTTTCGTAGTATGAATGAAAAACTTGGATACACAACGACTGTTCCTAAATTATTTGGTGTTGAGTTAAACAAATATATACAATCTATTTACTTATAGTTTTAACATCTCTACCAAATAATTTATCCAAAAATGGTTTTTCATCAGCTGTAATAGGATCCTCAGGTCTTTTTAAAACTAACATCCAAGTAGTACTTAAATGAGCTCTTCTTTCTAATGTTATATCTAATCCAGCTTCATCAACTAATTCTCCAATATCTAAATTCCATCTACATTTCCAAGTTTTCATTCTTTTTTCAGATCTAAAATCTAAATGATTATTTATAAAATCCCATTTTGATCTTCCATGTTCTAATAAAATTATTCTACCGTTTGGTTTTAATAATTTTGACATATTTTTAAGAACTTTAACAGGATCTTCATGACAACATAATCCAAATGCTTCAATTATTGTATCATATTTTAAATTATTATTATCTCCAATCATTTTTAATAAATCTTCTGCTTTACCTTTTGTAAATGCAACATTTTTAAAATTTGGAAATTTAGAATTAAATTTTTCTTTTGTTATTTCAACCATATTATGTGATGAATCTAAAAAAGTTATTGATTTTATTTGATTAATGAAAGATGATAAATAAGGAATATTTCTACCAGTACCACATGAAACTTCTAAGACATCACCTCTAATATTTGACATTAACCATCTTCTTTTCAAACCCATAAATATTCCTCTTTCTTCCCATTTCACCGCATCATCATATTCTTTAGCTTTTGCATCATAAAAATCAGTAGTATCTTCAGCTTGAGCAATTGATGAATTTTCTCTATTAACTTTATATTCATCATCAACATCTTTTAAAACAGGAGCTCTTTTAATAGTTTTACCAACTCTAACTTGTTTCAGATACCATTCTTCTAATTCTTCAGGTGTTGGATTAAAATATTCACCATTAAAGAAATTTTTTCTTCTAAATTCTTTTCTCATTAATTGATATATCTTATATTTTTTAGCTTCTAATGGTCTTAATTTATCTGAATTACTTAATGATTTTAAAGCTAAATATTCATATTCAGATAATGATGAAGGATCTTTTGAATATTTATCATTAATAATTTTTAATTGTTTATCTTCATGAAACCTATCTCTCATGTAAAAATAAAGTGGAATTAATGAAACTATTAATGCACTTATATAAATCTTGGGCATTGTTTTATCTTGAAAATATTTTGATTGAGTATATTGTACTAATTTACCAAATTTCGTTTTAGGTTCTGGTTTTGGTTTTTCATCTTTGTTTGGTTGTTTTTGATTGATGGGGAATGGGTTTGTTGCAAAAAATCGAGTTGTTAATAATTTGGAGTTTATGAATTTATTGCTATGTAGTAGTAAATTAGGATTTCTATGACATCGTATCATCATCTTAGTCAAATGTAGCTCTTGTGAATGATTGAATAATTCTATGATTTGATCTAAATGAAAATTTATAAATAAGTTGGTAGCAATATTTACTCTCGATATTTTTTTTCAAGAGCTCCAAAGTTGTTTCCAATTTTGAAAGGCAAAATTACAACCACCAGCATAGAATCAGGCTCAATTACCAACTATATATAATGTCTGAACAAACATTACTTACAGAAGCAAGAGATGCGGTAACGAATAAACAATATGATGTTGCTGAACAAAAATACATTCAAATACTAGAAGAATCAAAACAAGATACTGATTCATCAAATACAACCAAAAAATTACAACTTCAAGAATCTGCAATTTTAGAATTGGGTAAAATATACAAGATTACAGACCAACCACAAAAATTGTCAGATTTAATTAAAAGTTCAAGACAATTATTGGGTAATTTTGCCAAATCTAAAACTGCAAAAATTGTGAAAACATTAATTGAATATTTTGATAATTTAACAAATGCATTAGATATTCAAATAGAGGCTACTAGACAATCTATTGATTGGTCCATTGAATCCAAATTATCATTTTTAAGACAAAGTTTACAATTAAAATTGAGTTCTCTTTTATATCAAAAACATCAATATCATGAAGCAATTAAAATTATAAATGAATTACTAAGAGAATATAAAAAATTAGATGATAAATCATCTTTAGTCGAAGTTCAACTTTTAGAAAGTAAAATATATCATGCATTAAGAAATTTACCTAAATCCAAAGCAGCATTAACTAGTGCAAGAACATCAGCAAATTCTATATATTGTCCTACCACATTACAGGCAGAATTGGATTGTCAAAGTGGTATATTAAATATGGAGGATAAAGATTATAAAACAGCTTTTTCATACTTTTATGAAAGTTTTGAAGGATTCAATTCACAGCAACTGGAAGAAAATTCAAAGACATCAGTTAAAGTTTTGAAATATATGTTATTATCTAAAATTATGTTAAATTTAATAGATGATGTAAATAATATTTTGAGAAATAAAAATGTCATACAATATCAATCAAAGGATATAGATGCCATGAAAGCAATTGCTATAGCATATTCAAATAGATCATTAAAAGAATTTGAAAATAGTTTAATTCAATACGCAACAGAATTGAAATCAGATGAAATTATAAAAAATCATTTCAATTCGTTATATGATCAATTATTACAAGTAAATTTATTAAAAATTATAGAATCATACGAATGTGTTGAATTAGATCATATTGCAAAAGTTATAGGATTAAATGTAAAACAAGTTGAAGGAAAATTAAGTCAAATGATTTTAGATAAAATATTTTATGGAGTATTAGATCAAGGTAATGGATGGCTTATAATTTATGATGAACCTAAAAAGGATGCTGCTTATGATGCTTCATTGGATTTAATTAAAAATTTATCTGGAGTGGTGGATTTACTATACGAAAAAGCAAGTTCATTGAATTAAAATTATGACATGTATTAAATTATATTTTTTTTCTATAGACAATATAATGTATTTAATCCTCCTTCACTAGCTATTATACTTAATTCACCAATTCTTTTAAGAAATTCTTGTAATCTATCACTCGATTTAAAACAATGTAAAAAATCATTTTGTGAATCATCTGCTACTTTATTTATTAATTCAAATGCCATTTTTATATATTTCCAATCTTTTGATCTAGCATTTTGATAGATTGTAAGTAACTCCAAAATTATATATGGAATATAAAGTACTCTAAATTCTTTTAATATTGGATCTGAAAATTCAACTAACCAATCATTTAATATATCCGTCAATACTCTACTAGTTTTATTTAATGATAAATCTATATTTGATGAATTATATGGATTTTTATCAGCAGAAAATTGTCTCCATTGACTCATTAATTTTAAAGCTTCAATGAAATTTGAATAATTTAATAATTCATTTTTCATATCTTCTGTAACTGACTCCATATTTTCTTCATTACTTAAACTCTGAAAATTATAATCTGATATTAAATTTTTAAAATTTTTATCTTCAGCAAATTTTTTTAAACTTGATAGTTTTCCCATAACTAAGAAACGACGTATAACAATAATAGTAGCTTTTATTGCATTTTCATACATTTTATTTTCATAAAACCATTCCACAGAAGAATATAATTTAAAATCAATATCATCAACTTCTGAATTCTGTATATCATCTTCATCGTGAACTAAAACTGGTCCAGATTGTTCGTAATATGGAGCTGTTTCTTCAATGACTCTTTCCACTGTTCTTCTTAATGCATTTGTAAGTTTGAGATCTTGATCTCGATCTATCTCCACAAGATCGTCTGAATCACCAAGAGTCTGTGTAATTCTTTTAGCGATTTGTAATTGTTTTGACCTTTCTTGTTTATCTGTAATCGAAGAAAGAATAATTGAATATATTTCTCTTGCGTCTTCCTCATCTGGTATGAATGATAAATAGATTGGTATTAAGTCATTTTGACCTTTTTCAGATAATTTTGAAACGTATAATGAAATGACGGCATTTAGTTGATCTGGTTTTTCAAGTGGTTTAATTAATGCTAAGAAAATAGCTAAATGAGTGACTATTCTTAAAATGTCATCCACAGTATTCTCTGTTAAGTCTGCAAAGATATTTTCAGATTTTTCAATCATGACAGAGCCAGCTATGACTCTAATAGGATGAAAACTTTCCTCACTAGCTCGGGTACCAGTCGCCGCCGATATTACATTTAATATTTCCTCTAAAGTCTTAACTTGTGGTTCTGGTACAACCAAATCTTTCAACCCTGATGATTTCAGAGTTTTCAAAATGCCATAACTTAATAACTGACTAATTAATACATTTAAGTATTCTTCGTAAGAATTAGACGCTAACTTCAAATTTTCACTCACATCACCACCACTCAAATAATTATATATCAATTTTTCATAATAGCCTATATTTGGGTTTTTTGATAAATTATAGACTAATTTGATCCATGTAGCTTTATTAAAATTAGAAACATCAGTTTCTTGGTCTCGTATGTCCATTTCGCCAGCTAGTATCAAAGCCATTGTGAAATTTCCAGTATCTTTTGAATAATCTATTGCACTTTTAATCTCACCTAATAACAATAATTGATATATTATTTTGAAATTTTTAGAGTCAATGTCAATATCACTTGGTTCAATCTCTTTATTATTTCTTAATGGTGCATCTGAATCTAAATGTTCGACCAAATTGACCTTTTCATCATCTCCAGTTAATGCATTATATTTCGATGTTTCAAGTGCAACTCTTGTATTAGCCCACTTATTTCGAAGTTTTATTGATTCATCATCATCATCATTTGGTATCGGATCAATAGTTGAATTATATTGTATCCAGTCCAATATCACCAACAAATCAGATCTTTGTTTCTCATATTCATTTGCAAAGTCTTCTCTCTCAAAAACTCTAGAATAGTAAAGGTTTTCAACTAATCTCCATAATTTTGTTTCTAAATCCCAGTTTATAAACTCTTCATTAACAAAAGAATTATCTTCATCATTTATGTTTTCAGTTTTAATATCTAGTGCTCTCTTTGCAGTAATCTCACTAAATTTCCGTACAAAATCTTGGGGCAATGCTTGTGATGTGGAATCATCTTCTATTCGGTCATCATTTATAGTTGTTGTGTTATTGTTATTATTATTATGGACTGTATTTAAAGATAATTGATACTCCTCCAATGCTTTCGCAAATTGAGTTTCAACACTAATTACATCGTCATATTGCACCACTGCTTCCTCCATGACATGAATTTCTGAGATTTGTGGTTGATCAAGGTCTTGGAGATTGAATAATACGTGAAACTGTACTTCTTCGTAATTTTTGTAAATTCTGCGCTGCCAGATTTGGTTGAGATATCCATCAAACAGGTTAAACTACAAAAGACGAAAGATATACTAGAATTCAGCTTCAAAATAAATTTAGAGATTTTATAATTAGATATTAGATTTTTGCTGTAATAATATTAGCTACCATTAAAGTTGTGTTCATAACTATTCATAATCATAATCATAAGTCGTTAATTCATCATCAAAATTTCCCCATAAGGATTAAATACTAGTTTCCATAGCCTTGGAAAGATAATCTCTATGCTCATCGAGATATTCTTTGTCTTTCAAATAAGTCTGCTTTTCTTTCTCTGTTTCACTGATTAATTGCCTGTAATAATTCGAGATATCGGCGTTATTCGTAATCTCCTCTTCAATTGGTGTATCAACTGACTTAGCGATGTTTATTTCATCAGTAGGCTTTTGTGGCTCCTTCAATTCATTCAATTCCTTTGTTTTAATATATAGATCATTAGCTAGAGCTCTTTTTTCCTCATTCGATGATTTGAGTTCAGCTTTAGTATTTTCAAGATCCTTCTGTATAACTTGGACTTCACGGTCTTTCTTTTTTAAGTCTTTCTTCACAAACTCCAATTCTTCCTTGATGCGTTGGAAATCACTTACTTTTGGTCTTAATTCTTCTTCTTCAAGTTTAAGTTTTAATTTATTTTGCTGATAATCATTCTCTCTTTTAATACGTTGAAGTTTCAATTCGTATTCACTGTATATTCGCTCTTCCTTTTCTTGAAAGTCTTCAATCATTTCGGCCTTCTTGTCATTATTTTGTTTGATCGTTTCCCTCAATTTTAGAATAGTCTGCTCTAAATTTTCAATTTTTTGTTTATATTCCCGTTTGTCTGAGTCCAGCTCTGTAATGTAACTAAATCCATCGGATGTACTAGAAATATTTGATTTGAGGGATGGGTTTTCAACAAATTTCACCTTGTTGGGCTTCAAGTTCATGTTTCTTCTCAATTTGTGGTTATCTTCATTATTTATGACTTCAGAATCTGAGACTGATATACTGCTTTTTGTTGCATACTTTATTGTATTCATATTTGATTGCTCTTGCCTGAATTTTTGTAGTTTAGCATACAATTTTGGGTTCTTGATTTTCAAATTCTTTGGATCATCATCCTCCACGTTAAAGGTAACTGAAGTCATAGCATCAGTGATAAGAATATATTGAGATACTACTTGATTTTAGTGTTTCACATTAATCAAATTGCAAAGAAATGCGCGTGTATTTTTTTTGTTTACATTTATCATCTTTGTTTTGAGATAAAATTATAATCAAGCATTTGAAGTAATTGCTATTATTTGTGAATGAACTCAAATTGTTCATCATGTCATCAAAAAGGTTAGTACGGAGACAATCACTAATATCAAAGGTACAATCATTTCCATTTGACACATATCTCTATTTGAATGAAATTCGGTTATCAATTGATTGGGATGAATATGCAATATCATTGGGCTTACCATTAGGAATAGCTACCTGTTCACTATCAATTTTGATTCAATCCATTCTTTCTTACAACAATTCAATCAACAAGAGATCCAAGAATTCATTATTTAATTCAAATTATTATCAATATGAAAATTTGAAAAATTCAATCAACTCCAGGCAGAAATATGATTACGAAATCAACACTTCAACCACCAATACCATTATGTGGGGTTTGAACGGATTACAAAGTTTGATAATTCTTATGTCACTCATCAATGTGGTTTTGATTTATACTGGGAAGAGAAATTACCAACTTTTATATTGTAAAAATAGACCACTGTATAAATCAGCAGTCCATCCAGCTAGTCAAGAATCAATATTTTACATGGCCCTTTATTTCATAGTTAATTTTTTTTCAAAAGATGATGAAGAAGCGGATGATGGAGATGAACATTTTCATAATGGTACAGAAGATATTGCTGAAGGGGAATCGTGGCAATTAAGAGTTTGGGAACCATCTAAATTTTCATTGTATCTTTACATTGCTTTAAACCCCATAAATAATTATATCATACATTACTTTACTTCAGAAATTTCATCATTAAACATTCTCATTTTAATAACTTTGGTGACAACCTTAAATTACAAGCTAATTGAAGGATTTTTAAACTTAATACAGGACAAGAAGATTTTGTTTCAAGAAACATTCAGTGAATTCAATAATAAAGTTGTAAAACCAAAAACAAACATTTTGAAAAAGGATGCAGCAATCGATGCAGCTATGGGACCTTTGTACTCGTCGGTTTTAGTCAATGATAAGCCTTACACATTCACCAAACTGAAAGTTTTCACCACTCATGATAATAAGGGCAAACCTACTACAGAATATATAGATTCTACAATTATGGAAAACCCTGAGGAAGATGAAGTAGAAAATTTATATTTTCCAAAAAGTCAACAACCCAGTCGTATTTCAAGTCGAATGCCAAGTCGAGCTCCAAGTCGTGCTGGTAGTATACATGAGTATTTACCAACTAATCGTCAATTTCCTCAATCAACGAATTATCATAATGAATTTAACAATAGCTATTACTCATCTACACCATATCAGAACCAAAATCCTATAGGTCGTATGCAAAGTCCGGCATCATCAAGATTTACAAGAACACCAACTTACTCGAATAATATCAGTTACAATAGGTCACCTAGCCCAACGCATAGATCCAATATAAATTCAAGATTAAGTCCACAAAGATTATCACCAAATAAACCTAATTTGGATTATCCAAGAAATGATGTTATAAATCTGTCTCATCATTCACCAATAACTCGCACACCCCAATTATATAGATCGCCATCACCTCAGAGAACTCCCATTTTCTATCGGAGTCCTTCTCCAAGACGCGAATCTGACTCAAATAGACCTCGACCTGGTTGGAAATAGAGAATTTACGTATATGAACACTTAAATCAAAATCAATTCTACATGACGTTATAAACTTCCGATGTTAATTATATGCATTACAAACTCTAAATGTCTACAAATCATGAAATCCAAAAACATATTTGGATATAGTTGATATCAAGTTTAAATTTGATTTTTTATTATTTCGATTTTTGTTATTTTCTTCTTTTTTTTCGTCTGCATTGACGAAAAAACTAGTTCCTTCTTTAATATCTAATCTATTGATGTATGTTGATTTATTTGAACCAGAATTTGACGTAGATGATGAAGGTGGAGTAATTATTGTCTCATCAAGCTTCGAATTATTCGATGTCGTTTTTTTGTCAAATTTTAATGGAGTTGATAAGTCCTTTATATTTTCATTCACAAATGTTCTATTTTTTTCTAATTTTTCAATCACACTCTTATGGAAAGGTACAACACCCAATAAATTTCCATTAAAAACAGACCCATTCTCTTGTAATGCATTTAATGTTGAATTGTGATTATCATAGGTAATTTTTATCCAATTTGGCCCTGTAAATATATCCACATTTGTTTGCTCTTTTTCGAGAGTACTCAAAAGATTTGCTGATTCAGTTGAATTTGATATATCGGTGAATTTTTCAAGTATAGTCCCAAATTGTTTAAAAAATTGTATTATTTGAATAGATGCATTTTCAGAATATCCAAACACTATTATAGCGTTAGAATCTAAATCTGTAATGAAAGCTTTTTTCTTCTCATCCCCCTTGTTATCTTTGTCCACTTTGTCTTCATTAGCTTCAAATCTTGTGAATAAATTGTTATAAGTTTTGGGGTCTTTGTTTATTGAATTTGATAATTTTCTTGCTGGTTTGCTTAATCCGAAGGAATCTTCGTTTAAGTCGTACATTGATCTTAAAGGAGGGGCATCAACTTGGTTTTCATTATTTTTAAGTAATGTGTCATCCTCTTGAAAACTTTCGTTCATAGTCTCATCAAAACGACTAAGGTCTCCACCTACCGAATCAAATAATGCACTTAAACTTCGATCAACAGTTCCATTTCCAATGGTATGCTTACGATTATTTCCAAACGAGACAATATTGAACTGGTCATTCGATACCAACATTGATGACAGTGATTGATTATTCGCATTTTTATTTGATTTTGATGAGCTTGGGGCATTAATTTGGAAATTTGATTTTTTGTGTGGTACTAAATGATTAGGTATAACTCTTTTCTTCTGGTTATGTTGAGATTGTAGCCATGCTGGCTGTACTTGTTGTGGTTGACGAGCTTGAAATAATTGTGGTTGGGTATTTGTTGTTGTTTGTTGTTGCTGCGATTGTTGTGGTATGAATTGATTGTTGTTATTATTGAAAAATTGAGTCAGAGGCTGACGATTAAATAAGGTTGACATGCCCAAAATATGCAGTTGTTTATTCTTCCTCTCGATCCAATGTGGGTGCTCTCAAGCTTTGATCTTTGTGATGTTCAAGTTTCAAGTGCATACTTCAAACATAATGATTTTGAAAATCTCAAAATCCAATCTTGGTGTATTGAAATTTGGTAGCGTATTTCATCTCGAGATGCATAATGAGCTTCAAACATATCTTAGCTGAAAGGATAAATGTATGAAACCAAGTATTTGCTCATATTTCAAAACGTGTGTTTTCGACAAGCATAATACAGGCTTAATTAATAGAAACAACTTGTCATTCTGATAAAATAGTATTTTCAAAATACTTCACTTTGTGAATCAAAAATTTAAATACAATCATCACAATCATCAATTAGCATTATAAAATCAAATTCGTCATTAGACTCAAACAATGCTTTTGTCACCTGCTGAAAAGGATTATTTATATAGCTCTTTGAGTCAATCACAAATCATAAGGCCAGATTCAAGATCTATACAACAACATAGACCATTAGAGGCAACTACATCGTTCTTACCAGGTTCAAATGGATCTGCGAGAATTAGATTACTGGATGGAAGTGAATGTATAATTAGTATAAAATCAAAAGTAATAACGTTTGATCCAAAGGCTATACCGAATTTCATTGATATAGATATTGATATAATAGGATATAGAGATGATTCCAATTATGTAACAAATTTAAAATTCCAATTATTGAATTTATTACAGCAAAATTTTCCTCATGATTTATTAAAACTAACATCAAGATATGCTTTCAAATTATTTATAGATTGTGTCATTATCAGTCACACTTCATATCCATTAGGTTTAATAAGTTTGGGGATATATTTGGCATTAAAAACTTTAAAATTACCGTTATTAATCAGTGACACTGACGATGCAGAGGTTGCAGAATTACCAACATTTTCAGACGATTGGGATAATGCAAGAAGTTTATCTGAAATCTTGGTTTCTCAAACTAAAGACACTAATACAATATTTCAACCACCAATTTTTATTATCATAGGAGTTGTCGGAAATAATTTGATACTAGATCCATCAGTAGAAGAAGAACAAGTTCTTGAAAATGGTTTAGTTGTAAGTTTTTACGAAGGGAGAGTCATAACTCCGATAACTAACACGAATTTTGCAATCAATTCAAGCAACTCTAACTATAAAGGCTTGAGCAAAAATATGTTGATCAATTCAATTGCCGTATGCAACAAATTTTGTCCTTCCATAATTAAAGCGCTTGATATGTTGATAGAGCAAGAAGATGATACAGAAAGCTCGGTGTTTTAAACAAAATGGGAAATATGTTGGTATCTAACTTTAAATTTAATAAATAATGAATAATGTTTATAAACTTAGCAGTGTTGTGACGAATAAGCATGTACCAAAACAGCTGTCGCAGTTTGAATATTCATCGATCTAACTATTCCAACTTGTTTGATTTCTACGCAGAAATCCAATTCAGCCAATAATTCTCCTGGTATACCTTCTCTTTCTTTACCTAATAACATCAATGATTTCTTGGGGAACTTTAATTCTTCATTCAATACTATTGACTTATCGGTTTGCTCCAATCCAATTAAAGTATACCCGTCTCTTTTCTTTTCTTGCAAATACTTACCTATCTCATCTGGTTTGACCTCAATCATTGGCATCCATTGATCAGCAGTAACAGCAACCAATTTAAATTGTGGATGTTCTTTTACTTTCTCATCATGAATAGTCAATAAACCAGCACCAAGAACATCACAGAGACGACAAATACCACCTAAGTTGGGCGGTTTGTCTACCAAAGAAGATACAACAATCAAATCACTTCTGTTGACCTCTTTACCAGAACTAATTATGTCTAGATCATTGTCAACTGTACTCAAAGCTCCACTTTTTGTTTGCAAGGGAACTTCAGCTACTAAGTCAGCTTGAGTCATAATGACTTTTTTCTCATTCAATTTTTCTTTAATCCAAATATCTGTTTCATCATTACCAATAGGATGTCTTAGTTGTTTGATTTGATCTTCTGATAAATAACGTTTAAACTGCTCTTCGTTGATAAAATCAATGTCACTCCTATCTGTCAACCTTAAAACTATCCCACCGTTCAATGATACTAGAGTGAGATCATCCAAAATATCCCACAAAAGTGCATCACCGGATCTAAAATGTTTAAAATTGTCTGAGTTGATTGCGCTGATATATATACTTTCAACAACATCTCGGATAGATGAATCTACTTGCAAGTTTTTCTTCTTCAATTCATCATGTATGGAAACTATTAATGACAATGAAAAATGCCTAATCATCTTTTTCAGTGAGGAGCAACCTAAAATTACCTGATTAATAAGTTGTGTAATGTAAGTTGACTCTAATTTTTCATCCAATTTCACAATTGTTAAATATAGTGTTCTGACGTAGGACGTAAAAACTGATGGCTTCAAGATTTCAGAACCACTCTTCAATTCATCAAATATATCCTCAATATGACGATTCTCTTTAAACATGTTATATGATATCATCCATTCGATGTACATTCTAACCAATGGACTTCTTTCTAGATCTAGACCTCCTTTTATCAAATCGAAGTCGATTTCGATTTTATCAATCAATGATGTTAGTATAGAATACAATTGTAACCTATTCCATTCTTCCATATGATCACTCCATTTCAAAGGTTTGAATAATCGATAAGGCTCTTGGTTTTCTATCATATAATTATATATTTTTTGAGCTAAATCAGGCAGTTGTATTGAGTTGAAAATTGCTGATAAATTAACTTTTGCACTAACTTCTTCAGGTCCATAAACTTCATTGTAGATGTCAGAACTTTTACTCAAAGCAACTTCCTTGTCAAATAAGTCCGACATTATTCCAATCAATAAGAAGTAAGAGCCTAAGGATGAACGAATTAATGATGCATTTATTAAAATTTCTGGTAACCAGTTTAATTGTTCAAATTTATTTTTATTGGCAAGTTGAGCATTTACCAAGCTTGAAATTAAGCGAGGTAACAAACTTCTTCTCGTAGTTGAATTTTCAATTATTGATTCACAAAATTTCTTGGTTTCATGCTGTGTTCCATCATAGAAAAGAATTGCAGGATTCATAATAGTATCGATTGTAAGTAGATGTAAATCTTGTTGATTTAAGAGTAGCCTATTTTCTAAAACATTGGACCACATTTCAGATAGTAGGGATACAATTTTTGGAATATTATCGGTTGCAAGCTTGCTGGAGTTCAAATAACTACTGATTAATTCAACCATTGAAAGATTTGTTTCATGACTTTGAGTATTTGGATTTAATATTTTGAGCTCTTCCGTGAAATTAGATGGGTTTTTATTAAAGTTAATTGTTAAAGATTTGTAATATTCAGCATCAAGTTTTCCTTGAACCTTATAGAAAAATCTGTCATGTTTGGAAATATCCTGAGTGCTTTGAATCAACTTGAGATTGAAACTTAAAATTGACTCCAGCTTTTCAAAGGTGAATGATGAATTTTCATATAATTTATTAAATAATTTAAATTTGACGCAAGTTTTATCCAACGTTTCAACATTTCTCGATTCTATATCTTTTTCGAGTGTTGTCCATAAATTTGAGATCACTTCATTGCTAGGTACTGCAAACTTGAATGTATTGTAATCAGCCTTTGAAAGAGCTTCAATGACTTTTGAATCATCGGAACTAACAAGCAATTTCAATCTGTCCTCGTTTGCTCTTAAAGTTGCTTTTCTGAAACCAAATTCCAATAATTTAGCCAATAGTAAGGAATCAGTCTCAGTGAGATAGACTGTTTGGGTCGTAATACCAAGAAGTAAAACCTTTTGGTCTATACTCAATTCTTGACTTAATGTTTCTTCAATAGGTTCATTTTCTGTTTCGTGTTCAAATAAAGGAATATTGTCATTAAGAATATTGATCCCATTAATTCTAACGAATTTATCAAGTAATGACAAAAGCATTACTAAATTAGTTTCAAAATTGAGCGTGAGTCTCAAATTTATAGTTTGATAATAAGTTTGTAATACACCTCCTTCACAAGTTGATTGAAAAATAGTTTCCAAAAATTTATCATGAATTCCGTATTGCAACACTTTTCGACCATTTAAACCTAAAAGTAAGCCATGTAACACTAAAATTCTTGCTGGCCCAAAACTTTGTCCTTTTGAAGCAATGAATTTCAAGATACAAGCTGAAATATCCTGAAGTTCTTTCTCCTCTTTCAAATTAAATACCATATATTGGATTGTGTTCTTCAACTTGTCAACATAGGGACACTCAACAATTCCGTTAACCGTTCTGACATCAAAGTTTGGAGCAAAAATGAGATTTGGCAATAGGGTGTATTCTAATACTGTTAAGGCATCTTTAATGAGGTACAAATTCTCACTAGGAATCGAAAGTAGCATTGTTAAAGTAAATTTTCTAACTGAATCATTAGCAGCTTGAAATCCCGTAGATAAAAGACACCAACCCCATGATGGTTGTATCAATGAAGTTGGGGAAATTAAATTTTTTATTTCTGTTACTCCAGCTTTTGCTTGATGTAATGATGTATCTATAGCTAAAACTTCATATAATGTAATATATCTTTCCCATTCTCTTATATAATTTTTCAGATTCTTTACATCCCATACTATGTAATCATTTTGTATATTCAGATTGATAGATTTGATTGACATTTGTAGTATAAACATACCATATTTCCTTAATTCATGTGACTTCTCTCCTAAAGCCAATTGGACTTTTTCCCAATAGATATTTTGATCTAACATCAACTGAAATTTCTGATTGTCTTCTAATCCTTCGCTCGAATTTATGAATCGTAACCATAAGACATATCCATGATATTGTTTCAAAGTGTTTTTTGAGTTTATTAAAAAGAATATAACATCCCAAAGTAAATCAAATGCATCAACATCATTCAGTAGTATGTTCATTCTCCATCTAGAAATATTTGATGCCTCGTTTGAAGTAGTTTCATCTATTGAGCCAAGCAAAATTAAAATCAGCTTGTCCAAAAGATTTTCCAGAAAATGTTCATTATGATTGACAATCATTTCAAGAAGCGAAAGTAAATTATTCAAATCTTCTTCTGAAACATCTTGAGCTTGATCTATAGTGTTTAAATGGAATAATTGAAGATAGTCGGTGTCAAAATGTCCTTTGTGAGTTTGAATGTAGAATTCGATTAAGGAACATATTTTCTCAACTATGATAGATCTCAATTTTGGCAACACGTTTGTCAATTTACTAATATCGTTGTTATATTCTTTTTCCAAAATATGATTTAAGCAATATGATTCTATTGAATTAAAAGTATTAGAATCAATTTCCAAGTCATTCAAAAATTCAACCAATACATCGACATTTCCATTACCTTCCTTTAATTGATGGGTAAGATTCTTGACTATTTCTATTCTTTGATCATGACTGATGTATTGTCCAATCAATGAAGTGGAATTCATCTAACTTTTTGAAATGTGGAGATCTGAAATTTCAAATCCATATAAAATTTTATTAGGACCTTTATTAAGATGCTCATCGCTACCATCACCCGTTTCAGAATCAAGCCCGACAACTTAGAAGAGAAGTTGCTTGAATCAGAACATGGAAGGGAAAAAGAAAGGTCTTGCTTTGTAATAATTTTCCTACATAACCCCTTTTTCTGTTCTGCATTGCTTAATTAAATCAAACTCAGTAGCTCAACATTTTTAAGTTAGAATTACGAGGATAACCAAGTCAATTGGCTAAATTTTAAAACTTGACAAATTTTAGCTGATAGGATCTTAATTCAGTTAAAATACGAGCTCTATTAACAATCTGCTTAAAGTCAAGAGCGTATTTATTTATTGTTTAGCATCTTTTCATCAATCAATCTATCCAAAGTGGAAATCAAAACCCGCTTAGATAAGATAAAAATTCCGCACCGATCTAAAAAGTGAAAAAAATAGCGAGATTCTCTCAACTAAATTTTGCAACAAATTATATTACAATCTTCTTTTCTACTTGAGTCACCACTTATCTAATAATAATAACAACACTGTTCTGACATTATTGAATTTCATGAACTCAACTACAACTGAATATAATGTGTTGACTCTTCCTATAGACACCACGAAAATCATAGCTTTGGTGTTAACATCAATAATCAGTATATTCTTTTTCACAAATTATTGGGGAAAGTATAATAAATCATACAACAAGAACTCGTTGAAGAACGAACCAATTGAAAAGTCCAAATCAGGATTATATGGAAATATCCCTGAAAAACTTGAATTAATACCCCAAACAGATTTCAAATGGGATCAAATAGATCCATTAAAATCATATCCTTTTAAAAATGGAATTTATAAATTAAATATGGGTATAAAAAATTTAAATTATCAAGATTGGTTATTAATTGAACCAACTTATTTAAATAGAATTGAAAATAAATTTAAAATTATAAATAATTGTCATCCTGATTATCCTATTGATAAAGATACAAGAAGTTCAACATTATTTATAACTGATGAAGCTTATGAAGCAGTTATTGAATTTTATAATATTGTTATGAATTATATGTTAGTCAAATATCCAACATGTTTTAGTTCAAATGAAACAGAGATTACTAATTTAATTACTAATGAATCATATCCAAGATTTGGAAAAGGTATAAATCCATTAAAATTACAAGAATATCTTGTTGAAAATATTGAAGAAGATTTTATAATTTTATTAAAAGATCCAACCAAAATTCATGAAAAAAATGGAGAAGAATATTTTTTTAAAGCAGGAGTATTTGCATTTGCTGCTGGGTTTGACCCTTTGGAAAGATTTAATAAACCATTAACTTTTATTCATGAAAGAATTCCTGGATACGTTGAAAAATTAAAATTATCAATGAATAAATTTTTTAATAGAATTTCATCAAATCAATTTGTAACAAGATCAAATTGGTCTATACAATCTCATAATAAATTTTATGTTGATGATAATAATAAAGGTCATAATTTACCTGAAGATCATATACAAAAACCAATACCTTACAATGAAATGAAATTTAATGAATATTATTATAGATCTGAACGTCAAGTATTAACTAAATTACCTAAAACTGAAGCTATTGTATTTACTATTAGAACTTATTTAATACCTTTAAGTGAAGTCAAAGCTGAAGGTAAAGAAGTGAGAGAAAGATTAATTGGTGGAATAAAAGGATTTCCAGAAGATATTGCTCGTTATAAAAGAGCTAGTGAATGGGGTCCTTCAATTATACAATATTTAGAAGAAGATAATTAAGAAAAGTTTATAATTTCTTCATCAATAATACATTATTTATTTATTTATTCTTTTTCTGAATATTACAGAGTACTTATCTCCTCCCTAATTGATTCCCATAAATCAACATTTTTTTTAGCCCATTCAATCATAAATTTATTATAATAAATTAAAATTTCTAAAATTAATTTTAATTGTTTTGAATGAAATTCTTTTAAATTTTTATCAATTTCATCAAATATATAAGATAAATCTGCTAACATTATATCTTGACATTTTTCAAATATTGAAATTTTAGAAATTAAATCTTGAATTTTTTGTTTTCTTGTTTGTTGAGGATTTTGATCCATTATTTCTGTTACATATTGTGTTATTTTTTTAAAACTTGGTAATTTAAATTTACTTGATGATGTTGTTGATGATGATGATGATGGATTTGATAACTCGGTGCTTTTTGGTGGTGATGATTGTTCTGGTTTTAAATCATATTTTTTTGATTTACCATTATGTTGATTTTTTATTGCATTCTCTACTTTTCCTGCATCTTCTTCTACTCGTATTAATTCATCTAATTCTTTTCTTTTTGATTTTAATTCATTTATTAACATTTGTTTTTGTTTTAATTTTTTTGATTGATATTTTGTTACATAATGTAATATTTGAGTATATTGTACTGCTTCACCTAAAGGTTCAGAAACTTTTGTTTCTAAATCTCCAATTAACAGATTTATTGTTATATAAGATCGATCAAAACATTGACCAATTTTATCTAATAAATAATTTAATTCATCATCATTTTCACTTGATTTTAATTTTATATCATCACTTCTCAGCATTAAAGTTTCAGAAAACATTAATGAAAATGAATTAAAAACACTTCCTAATTCTGCATAATCATTTGAAAGTCCAATGAAATTTGACATTATTTTTTTATTTACATCATCTAATCCTGATGTATCAATAATTTTTTCATTTTGTTTTTGTTTTAAAGTATCTGATTCTGATTGTTCAGGATTATTGGTAATTAATTGATTTGTCTTTTTAGTAATTCGTTTCTTATTGTCTTTAAAAAAACTCATTGTCTTTTTGGTTGAAGGATTAGGTAAATTTAAATAAATTGGATCAGTTTTTAAACCATTTTCAGGATTCAGTAAATAAATAGATTTTGGTAATTGATTTTGAATTAATGAAATTTCATCTGACCAATTTGCATTTGGATCTAAAAATTTTGCAAAAAATTCAAGACTTCGTATTTGTTTTATTTCAAGACAATTATTTAAAAAATTAGTTAATAGTCTTTTTCTATGTTCTATTAATTGTTTTTTATTTGATGATGATGATGTTGTAGTTGATGAATTATGAGGTATTATTACAGCTGCAGAAGGAGGTGATGAACCATTACTATCTGAATTATTTGAATGTACTCCTCCAAATCCATTATTTCCTGTTAATCCATTAAATACTGAAAAATCAAAATAATTTTTAGGTGGAATTGGTGGTATAATAATTAATGGGAAAATTTTAGTTAAAAGATCTCTTAAACTTTCAAAATCACTATACCTCCTTCTTGTTAAAATTTCATCATTTTTGGAATCTAAATTTATTAGCTTAATGGTATAAACAATATATTTCTTCAGTGAATTATTCATTCCTTCATTTGAATTCCCCGCCTCAGTTATTTGAATTTTAACTTTAACTTTTGGTTGTAACATTTTAGTAACTCTACTTTCAAAATTCATTGTAACTTGATTAAATGATTCATTTTTATTCATTTGTGGTTTTTCGTGTTGTCCATTTGAAGTATTATTGTCTTGTTTATTGTTGTTATCTCTTTTATATAATAACATTGATTCATCAACATCATTCAAATTTGATTCGCCATTGACAAAACTAGTTAGTCCTTCATGATGCAGAAATGGATTATTATCTTCTTCATCTTCGTATGATGCAGTATTGATTGGTTGTGGAGTTGAAACTTGATTCTTATTAGTCGAAGTTTTTGAATTTTTCTTATTCTTTTTCTTATTATTTGTTTTAGATTGAGAATTGTTTGAACTAGTTGATGACGATGTCGTTGAATTTGACATTATCAATTGTAATGAGTATATCAGTCACAATTAATGATGTATTGATATATATTATTATTCGTAATAATACCTTCAATAATTAGTTAAGATGTAAAAAGTGACTTAACTAGGGGCAATATATTGAGAAAATATTACACAAAACTATTTGTATTTATATACAGGGAGTCTCTCCGTATATTTTAGATAAGATAAGGATAAGGATAGACTAATAAAGAGAAGCATTTAATATGAATTCTCATTGAAATTTGATTGAAAATGAGCTCAAAGACCTGGACCATATTTATCAAGTGTTCTTACTTAAATTAGCCACTCGAATATCCTGTTTATTAGATTGTGCATTTACATCCAAATACCTCCATACTTAAAAAAAAAATTAGAACTTATCACCATTTTGTCACCAATTTCGAAACAAATCTAAAGACTTTTTTTGAGTTGGCGAAAAACGTTCCATGAATGCTGATTAACAAATAAGTAAGAATGTAATACACACAGGTTTAGAATCTCAGTAAAGTAAACAATCATTGATACACTTTAAATTTCATAATCGTCTTTTTCGAGCTAAATTATGAACTCCCAAGTTCAAAAGTCAAAAGTCTTGTCTTTACTCAAGAATAAGCTACATACTTGCTTTGATTATGATTATTAAGTAAGTTTCAAAAATTTTTCCAATTTTAAAAATTATCTATATGGATAAAACCAAAAAAAAGTCTTAAATCGAAGAGTTAATTGTACAAATTTATGAACTTTGAAAAGTTATAATTTTCAACTAATTAGAAAGTGATAGCCTATTTTAGATTGTTCTTTATAAAAATGTTCTTCTACTTCAGAATCATAGTATCGATTTAATTGATAATCTCAATATCATAATATCGACTTCAATTCTTTACCTCTATTGAACATTCATTTAATTGATTTGGAGCCCATTAATGAGTTAAAAACATACCAGGTAAACTTTGAATTTTCAAGGTGCATTCTTATTTTTTCCATTCATTTGTTAAGTAATGGGCATCATGATACTCCAACCCAACAGGGTAATTTTATTTGTTATATTGAATCATACAATGATTGGTAAAGATTTACTTACATGAATTTGCAATACAATGATTGAAAGTTACAATTTTTTAACTAACCTCGAAAATTCAAATCATCTCTTGAACTAATACTTAGTGCTCAAATTACAATTTTAAATAATCAATTTCAAGCAAGTTTTTTAGGTGTAACTTATAATAATTAGTCAAACACCTTCAAATTTAAGGTGAAAAACAAACACCAATAACAATTAAATACACCTAACCTAGGATTTCATTTTAATCGAAACAAATTTACATAGGTTTCAGGTAAAATAGAAACTATTAATATGCAATATTATCGAGGTTTCAAATAAATTGGCACCAAATTTGATACAATACTAACAATAATACACCCACTTTCTTTTCTCGAAGTGAAACAACACTACTAGCATATGAAAAACACCCAAAAGGTTTAAGGTGAAACATTATTGATTCAGGTGAAACAAAAAATTGATGGCAAACCCCCCATTTTGGTTTCACTTTATTTTTAAATGATATACATTTAGATTTTCTTTTTTTTTTTTTAATTTTTTACACCCCCTAAATTTAAAGTAGTTGAAGTTTCAAACAAATTTTAACAAATGTATGATAAGAATAAGGTTAATACAAAAGTTAGAACAATTGTATTACTCTATATCATAAGTAATTGATTGACCCACTCATTCATTCAATCAACAAGTGAAATTTGCATAATTAGTTGGAGAAGTAAGTAGGTTCTAAAAATAAGATATGAAAGAAGGTTATTCAATAGTTAGATGTGATTAATGTATTTAATTAATTTAAATAAAAAAATGTCAATTATAAATGATGTCATTTTTTATACATTAAATATAACTAGATTTCCTCGAAAAATTTATAAGACAAAAGTAAAACAAATGTTTCAAATTGAATTTAATTGAATTTTAAATTATATTAATATAGGGCTCTTTTCTTTTTATTTTGTAGGAATAAATCAGGTGTAATTAGATAAATATAATTCCAAGTAGGTGAACATTGGTAAACCTTCATACTGATTAATTTGACTATATCTGATTTAACCCACGGTATTCAATTAAGTTTTTTAAATTTAAATTAAAACTGTCAAATTATTACGAATTCTTCGGGAATTTTGTAACTATCTATTGTCTATTGTTCTATTGTTTCGATAATTACTTCGAGATTCAAATTTGTATTCCTTATTACTTTGATGAAATTAGGCTAAGATCTTTTTTCTTAACCTCGCTATTTCATTGGAGTAAATTAAATATTTTGAAGCTAATTTAAACGAAGATTTAAAAAGTTTATTAATTTTTGCAAAAATAATTTGAGTTTGGTTGCATGTTAGTATTATTGGAAAATTAAAATTTAAATTTAAAATTTGAAAGGATTTATTCTTATCAGATACCAAAAGATGGCTTTTCAAGAGATAAATGAGTTTCAAATTAACTTAACGCTCTTCATGCTTCCAATTGTGAATTGTATTGACCATAGAGAGACAGGATTGAATATTTTTGAACAATCAATCAATTGAATTTTATCATTGTAAGGAAAGACCCTTGATAATTAGATCTATATATCAAAATTAATTATGAAAATGATTGCATAAATTTATTTTGAGCCTTATGGTTGTTTAATTATTATTTTTCTATTAGTTTATCTCCTTACTCCCAATGAGTAAGTATTTAAATATTCTGTTTAAAATACTCGATATTAAATTAAAACAATAAATTAAATTGATCGATTGGTTTCAAAATTATTTTATTGTTTTTATGCAAGAGACGTCCGTTAGTTTTTCGATAAAATTTCATCTCCTTGTATAAATATATAAATTTGGATATTATTTAAGGGGCTTTTTTTTAACTTCTTGAAATTTTTTAAATTTTCTCCGATTTAAGTATAAAGAGTTCTAGATTCAATGATTCAATTCCATAGTAACTTTAATTTAATTACACTTTGAGGATATCAATACTTATGTCTCATACCAATTGAACCGAAAATAAGTATCCAATTTACTGATTAATACAGGGAAATTTCAATTTATAAATTAATCTCATGATATATTTTGACTACTTAATTATACATTGAATCTAAATCTCTCTATCTATACTTTATAGAAGTAAAGAGTCTAGAAGTAAAAAATAGAACTAAAAAAAAATAAGTTTTTATTGTTCTCTGTATAAACAACACAACATACATAAATATTTTTATACTAAAATTACGTCATTCATAAATTCATAAATATTATTGGTTAAATTTAATTCCTTTCACTTTCAATAACTTTGATGAGACTTGTAGTTTAAAAGAATGGGCATATTGAGCAATCAATCAAACAGCATTATCTCAGACAAAGAAAACATCAACTCATTGAAGTGAAAATGAAAAAACGACTAAAGAAAGAGTGAAGTAAAGTACTAGAAACGTTAAAGTTGAAAATAATAATACAAGATCTTACATTACATACATATTTAATTTATATTATCGAATATACAACACCCCCCATTTCTTTTAATCTGAACTTGACAAGTCTATTAAAAATTCAATCTTTTTTAATGACACATGATATTTGTAGGTACTGTAGGAACAATCTTTAAACTGAATACTTTGTCTTACTTTAATCTCACATTTAACACCCTTATCTACTTGTTAATGACTGATTCAACTTATAAAGTAGTCATACTACAATTTGTTTAATATGTATAGTTAAATTCTATTGTTCTCTTTATATTAATACTAAGAGTATATAATAAATTTATAATTTCCTTAATAAATAAAATAAAAAGAGAAAGAGAAAGTTTTAGAATAGAAAAAAAAATTTACAACCAGAACAAACAACTATTTTACCATCAACTTTAATACTACTTATTCTTACAACAAACAAGCAGAATACTACCTGAATTAATCAAAGTATTCAGAAATTAGCATATTATATCATATTACACTTTATTTTATTGAAAAAGCACAGTTACAACACAATTTATATCACATCATTTAAACATTCATTTTTACATTTTATAACTTATAACATAATTACACATTAAACACAGTCATAATATTAAAATATGCCTTCAACATCACATCTATCTAATATGGAAACAACAACTAGTTCCATAGATAATAATACAATTTCAAATAATAAACCAATTTCATTATCAAAACTACCTACAATCGAAACTACAAATTTATCAAACCCAAGTAACAACAACAATAATCAATCAAATATAAACTTTTCATCTCCTCGTACTTCATTATCTCATAGTTATCCATCTCATTCACATCCAAACTCTCATTTATATAATAATCATCAATTTTTACTGCCAAAATCATCAAGACCTTCGACATCATCATTATCAACATTAAATTCATCATCATCATCTTCTACATCATCATCTCCAATAAATAATAATAATACCGGATCAATTTCTGGAAATCATAATTTTGCAATTAATTCACCATCTCCAACAACTCCTACTTTTGCAACTAGTTTTCCCTCATCAATTCAAGAACAAAGAATTAATGATTTTAATCCATGTGATTTTGATTTTATATTTGATGTAAGACCATATAATTCATATTGTAAAAGTAGAATTACAAAATCAGTTAATTTATGTTTACCAACTACTTTATTAAAAAGAAATTCCTTATGTCTTAATGATTTAATAAATATGGTTGATTTATCAACTGAACTAAAAGATACCATAATTAATCATATAAAGAATGAAAATGAACCAGAAAAGAAATTAAATATATTACTATATGATCAATGTTCAACTAATGAAGCAATAACTTTCCCATTATATCAAACAATTTCAAAATTTGAAAAATTAAATAATAAATTTGAAATTTACTACCTTAATGGAGGATTTTCAAATGTTTTAACTCAAAAACCTGAATTTATTGAAAATACATCAATAAATTTAAATTCAAATGGTCATCGAAAAACAAAAAGTCTTTCTGGTTTTACATTACCATCTGCAAGTAATTTTAAAACGAAATTTGTACAAAGTATAAAAAAGAATAATGATTATGATGGTGATAAATCCAAGAAAGAAAGTGAACAACTACAAACATCAAAAACTGAAAGCCCCATATCATATAAATATAAATTACAAGATATTCCAAAAGATTTAAAATTACCAGAATGGTTAAAATTTTTTAAAGAATTATCAAATGAAGAAATCATAAAAGAATTAATTAATAAATTTAATAAAATTGAAGATATTGAAAAAAATAGATTAAATAAAATGGCATCAAATTTTAAATCACCATCTCAACCAAATATTCAAGGACAAGAAAAAATATTTTCACCTTGTTGTATTTCATGTTCATCTATAGATTTTCAATTACCAAAGGGGATAGAATTTGGTTATAAAAATAGATATAATAATGTTTGGCCATATGAACATTCAAGAGTAAAATTAGAACATCATCAACATCAACATAACACTAATAATCAACAACATCGTAATTCTAGAGATGACTATTTTAATGGAAATTATATAAATGTAAATTCATTAGTTAAAAATGATTTTACATATATTGCAACACAAAATCCATTAGCTTCAACAATTGATGATTTTTGGACAACAGTAATTCAAGAAGATATAAAAATTATAATAAATTTAGATTCCAAACCCATAGAATATTTTAATCATTCATCAATAAATTCAATTGAAACTATAAAAACAAATTTTCCAGATTTTAAATTAAGATTAATTAATAAAAATATTTATCATTTTCATTATTTATCCTGGCCAGATTTTGGTGTTCCCAAATCTTTTAAATCAATAATTGATTTAATTGAATTTAAAAATGAAATTAAATCTATAAAACAAAATAATATATCAAATAAAATCTTGGTTCATTGTAATGCAGGATGTGGTAGAACAGGAGTATTTATAACAATTGATTCATTAATTCAATCTTATAAGAATTCACCAGAACAATTAATGAATTCCAAAATTGATTTAATTTACAAATTAGTTCAACATCAAAGAAGACAAAGAATTTCAATGGTTCAAAATTTAGATCAATTTATAGTATGTTATGAAATTTTTATAAATTATTATAAAGAAAGAAAAGAACAAGAAGCGAAACAAAGAGAATCTCAACATTTACCATCTCAACAATCTCATCAAATCCCACAACTAATCAATGAAGTATCAACACCAGCAACAAATAATTTGAATAATGAACAAGAATTAAAATTAGCAAATATATGGGAAATAATAAATAATGTAGAAAATTTTTCAACCTACTTAACTCCAAATAAAACTCAAAATCAAATTAATGGATTTTTTGATAATCCTGGTGATGTATCAACATTAGATAAACCCTCTAATAATAATAAGGAAAAGAATTTTAAATTGAATTTAAATTTGGGGAATCTTGATGGTAATTCAGTAAATGGTGGGATTTTAAGTAATGGTATTAATAGTGGAATTGGTGGTGTTAGTGAGTGTGTTAATGGTGAAACAAATGGTGGAAATTCAAGTAATGGTAATGGTGGTGGTGATTATTTTCAATTTCAAAATTCAATGCCTGTTAGTTCTAGATGAAGTGAAGCTAGCTTCAGCTAGCTGAAGTTGAATTAAAGTGATGTGAGTATGACAACATTATTTTAGTATTTAGTTCGTTTAATAATTTTAAGAGTTACTTAATTTTTTTTTATATAGGGATTAATAAAAGTAATACATTAATTAATTTTAAATTTAAACTTGTAGAATTATTTTCGTTAAATTTGTGTACGTTATTAATTATGCTTTAAATTCAAATATTTGCTAATCTTACTCAAAAGTGTGTAACTAAATGTCATTAAATATTTGCTAATCTTACTTGATTTAAAAATTCTGAAGGTATACCAAAAACAGGATTTATAAAATTTGTAAATTTTACATCTGAATTTTCATCTTCACTCTCTGCTTGAATCAACCTTAATGCTAAACAATCATCATTATCATTAATTTCATTAACTTCATTACCTTCATTAATCTCATTTTTATCATCAATTTTATAATTATATTCACATAAACTTAAACCCATTAAAGTATAATTAGTATGATAAAAATCAATAGATTTATTTGGTTTATCTTTAAATCCACCATTATTATTTTGAGAAATTCTTAAAATATAATTTTTTAAACTTTCCTTGTTTGCGAGGTCAAAACCAATAAGGACTGAAGTTAAAGATATTGAAGAACCAATCCAAAATGAATAACATGAATCTACTAATTTATTTGATCTACCATTAAATCCTCCTTCTTCTGTATATCTATCAATATTCCATTTAATGAAACGTGGGAAATTTTTGATCTTTGATTTAAGTACCTCGGGGTTTGAATTCAACAAGAATAATGAAGATATAGCACAAAAATTATATCCACCATGAGCTTCAGTATTTGGTATACCAGAAAATCCACCTTCATAACTTTGACAATTCAATAACCAATTTTCAACACCATTAGTTAGCTCTGTGGTTTTTATATTTAAAATTGTTGCAACCACCAATACACAATAAGTTGATCTTGTATCATATTCTCCATTTTTATGCATTAAAAATGATGACTCCAGTTCATTAATTTTAATTTTTAAACTTAATAACCAATTATATATATTTTTTTTAATTGCACTTAAAATTTTATAATTTTTTGTAAGAATTAATGCTAAAATACCAGCATAAGTTGATGCTACGTGACCTAATTGGTTTTTACCACCTGATATACCACCTTTTCCATTTTCAATTATACAACTTTCAATTTTTTGATTAATTAAATTTATTGTTTCATCGTCTAGTTCATTTTGATTCTTTTCGTCATTTTCATCCGCATTCTCCTTTTCAATTTCATTTCCATTCTTTTTTATAACATAAAAAGAATTCGCTAACCAATAAATCATCCATGAATGATTAGCATCTAATGATTTATAATAACTTGGTAATTTTGCAAAAAGACTTTTTAAAATATATGATAAATGTTGATCTTGTTTAAATTTACAATGTGGAAAATTTAAATAATTTTCAATTATTTCATTTGTTACAATTTCTTGTTCCTGAGTTGTTTTTGATATATATTGAGACGGTGTCAAATTTGATTTTTTCATTTGCCAATTAGGGAGTGATGATAATTGTTCTAACATTTCTTTTCGTGGTAGATTTGTATATATTTCTTCTTCTTCTGATTCTAATTCTGATTGAATTTCTTGATCTGAGTTTGAGTGGTTTATTTCTTGTTCTATTATTGATCTTTTACGACCTAGTAGATTTATTAAATAATTTATTTGATTTTGTTGTTTTGATGTCATTTTTCAATTAGTGGAGAATGAGGATCATTTATATATATAATGAGACTGAAATTGAAATTAACTGCATGATTTTGATGAATTAGGATGTAATACGTGTTAGTTTCAAATTGGTTAACTTTTAATGATAGTTAATTTATGTTTCAAATATTTCATCTTTTTTTTTATTTCCGTTTTTAGATGTGACAATGGTAGTGAAATTTCAGATTTACCTTTGATTACAAAAAGATTTGTATTACTTGGTTATAGGTAGTTGGATTACTTGGTTATAGATAATTATTCATCAGATGATTGATGATTACGACTCGATTATATTTTCTGTAGTATTGAGTTATACTTTTCAGAATCTAAACTATTTGCAAAAGCTTGATTTTTAAAGTGAACATACTATGATGAACGAAATAGATGATCTCCATTCGTCTGATTCAAAGTACTTATGGTGACTTCATTCTATTGGCACTTGACTTACATTCTTTAATTGGATTTACTCTTGACGAATTCTACTTCCTCTATACTCGTTTAAACCTCAATGGATCTATACAAGTTTCATACTTCCATAATGAATAAGATAGTCACACAAAAATAATCTCTAATTTTGTCATCTATAAAATAATGTGAGACAAACCTAATCTTGATTAAGATTACCATTATCATTATCATTCATTTCCAAAGAGATACCACTACACTAAAGAGCACCACCAAAATGTCACTTCCTAGATGGGTTGAATCATTTATTAATCCAGGATATCGAAGACTAGGGACAAATGACAGTAATAATTCAAATAACAATAATAATCAAGATCAGCAATTACCAGGCGCTTTTCCAAATGATGAATCAATAGAAGAAGAAAATTTAAGAAGAAGAAATTCATTTAATTCACAATCATTAAACGAATATGCATCTATACTATTGAAATGGATTAATTATTTATTAATTCAACCAATAATTATATCAATCATCATAATATTTAGAATACTATCAAAAGTTTTAAATACAATATATTTTAAAAATTTAAATGTTTTACCTTCACCAAATGAAAATATAGATCCAATTGATAAAGTAAATAAATTTGTAAGAAATTTAGAAGATAATATACAACCAAAAATTACAAATTTAACAGATTCACCAACTACAACCAATAATATCATAACAAATCATCATCCACAATTGCCACCATTTTATGAAGGAAGTTATACACAAGCTTTATATATGGCAACTCATAGAGCTAAATTTTTATTTGTTTATTTAACTAATCCTCAAAATGAAAATTCATCATTTATATTTAATGAAATTATATTAAGTTCAGAATTTAATAAAATTTTTTATTCATCTACAAATCAAAATAATATTATAATATGGGGAGGAGATTTAACAAATCCAGAAGCTTATCAATTAGCAAATAGTCTTAATGTTACAAAATTTCCATTTTTAGGATTATTATGTCTTACAAGATTAACCAAAATGACTCCAGATGGTCCAAAAAAAGATCCTGCTAAAATTTCATTAATTGCAAAATTACAAGGTGGTAATATAAAAACAAACAATGGAGGATTAAATAATGAAGAAGATTCAAAAATTATTATAAAAAATAAATTCCTCAAAAAGATTGAAAAATATGAACCTGAATTAAGCCTTATAAGAAAAGAATATCAAGATCATTATATGACTGAAATTTTAAAAAAGCAACAAGAATATAATTATTTATTATCATTACAAAAAGATATACAAAAGAAAAATGCAAAAGAAAAAGCTAAGAAGCAAGATGAATTTTTTAAATCTAAAGCTTCGGTTTTTCAACAATTTCAATTACAACCAACTACAACAAATGTCAAAAATTATGCAAAAATTGTTTTAAAATTTTCTGATTCAACAAGAAAGACAATATATTTACCAAAATCATTAAAAGTTATAAATATTTACATTTATGTTGAATTATTAAAAAGAAAATTAATAAATGAATCACCTAAAGGTAAAATTCAAAATATTGAAGAAATAAATGATATTGATAATGATTTAAAAGATATTGAATTTAAATTTAAAATTTCTTCACCTTTACCTCCAAGATTAGATTTAAAAACTAAAATTAATGAATTAATTGAAAATGTTGATATTATTTATCCAAATGGTTTATTACTAGTTGAAGATATATAGATTTAGTACTCAAATTCTTTAATGTATGAACCAGTTCATCAATGTTTTTGTCAAAAACTCATTTAAAACCGCCATCTGATCTTAACTCCTCTCACTTTGATACTTTATTCTTCTTACTTTTTTTCTTTTCTTTCTTCTTTAATCCAATAAATCCATTTTTTAAAATTTGAATATATGATAACCAAAATTGATTTATTTGATCATTTTCAATAATTGTTGAAATTTTAAATTTTTTATTCTTTGAGTCCTTATTATTTTCACTATTCATTGATACTCTAATTAATATAGGATATGTTTCATTATTATTTATTATATCTTTATCACTACTATCAATTATATTTGTTGGTAAATCTTTTATTTTTGAATCTTGTTTTAATATTTCATCTTTATTTGATAATCTTTTTTGAGTTAGATATATTGATGATTTTCCATTGTTTTTAGTTGCTACTTCTGATAATTGTTTTAAAAACTCTGTGTTATCTAGTCTTGTCATTTTGAAATTATGAGTTAAGGTTTTGCTTGTTGAGTGTAGGTGGTTATTGATCTGGTACTTTTATAGAATGGCAAAATTTACTATTTTTTTTGTGGTAGAAATATATTGAAAGGAAGAACTATGCAATAGAGTAGATAGTAAGAGCATCCAAGATTTTTTCAAATACCTGACTTGTTGACGGCTGTCCGATTGTTATGCTTTCTTTTCCTTAAGCAAATGTAAATACATCGATCTAATTAAACATACTTAATTGATTAGTTAAGTCTTAATTGCTAGAAACTGTGTATCAACAAACGATACAAATGTGTTATTAACTTAATATACCCAATTGTTTGTCCTATTGGCTTGACAATAGGAAAAAAAATTGGGTATATATATTAGTTTTTTATCACATTTGTAATATATCATCCTAACTAGTTAAACTTGTTCACTGAAACTCATACAAATGTTGTACCAATTCCATAAAATTAAAAAGTCATGAATTTTAAGCATTTATAACTATTCTCTTGTTAAATCAATATCAAAATCAGGAATCTTATCATCTGAAACAGCTCTAACTGACATTTTGAGCTTTGAATTTGTTCTATACTTGATACTCTAATTTAGCTTAAGAAGAACTTTCGATACGAAATTTATTTTTGCTTCGGAATTTTTTTCCATGATAAACAATAGGAAATAATTAATCAATTATTAATAGAATACCATAATTACTTACTTATATTTACAAGAGAATTAATTGGACAACAGGAACAAACCCATATGTTAACATAAATAAGAAGGATCAATATAAACTCTTACCACCTACTCATCATCTACAGTCTATGGCTGCACAATTGCAATAGTCATTCTAAACAAATCCATTACTCATTTTTAAATCCACACATAATATCAAACCATTCCCAAATTAATATGGTACTCAATTCTATAATAAATTATTTCAAAGCAAAACATGAAGAACATTATCATCATAAATCATCATCACATTTATCAAAAAGATTAACAGCATTAATAATATCAGTATTTATATCATTAGCAGCTGGAACTCCTTATCTTTATGGAGTTTATTCTCCACAATTAATTAAAAGATGTGGTTTAACAACATCAGATTCAGCAACTATTTCATTAGCAACAAATTTAGGTAGTGGATTAGGTGGATTACCAGGTGGTATATTAATTGATCATTTTGGTCCACAATTTGCAATATTAACTGGTTCAATATGTATATTTATTGGATATTTTGCAATGTATGAAATATATGAACATAAAATTAATAATTTATTATTTATTTGTATTTCTATGATATTTGTTGGATTTGGTTCAATAACAAGTTATTTTGCAACTTTAAAAGCAAGTCAAGCTAATTTTATAAAACATAAATCTGCAGCTGGTTCATTACCTGTTTCAGCTTATGGATCTGGAGCTACTGTTTTTTCAATAATTTCAGCAACGTTTTTCAATAATAAAACTGGAGAATTATTTAAATTCTTGTCTTTATTTTGTGGATCAATTGCTTTTATTGGTTCATTTTTCATTCATATTTATGTAAATGAAGATGATGAAGAAATACAAAAGCAACAAGAAGATTTAGAAAGATTTCATGCATTACCTCAAAATGAACATATTGTTGATTCTGGAAGTAGTAGTCAAGGTTTAACAACTCCAGAAGATGAATCATTATTAAATGATATTGAAGCACCAGAACAATCATTAACAAGAGAAGATTCATTAAAAGGTTCAATTTCATATTGGGGGATAGGCAATAGAACACCAAGCTCTTCCATTAGCTTACAAGAAAATGAAGCACGTAATATAATTGAAAATTTGAGAAAAAATAAAGATAAAGTAAAAGATGAATTAAAAACTCCATATCAAACTTTAAAAGAACGTCTTACTCATAAAATTTTCTTAATACATTATTTTGTTGTATCAATGGCTGCAGGAATTGGTCAAATGTATATTTTTTGTGTTGGATTTATCGTCATTGCTCAATTTTATTACAAAAAGCATAACGATGATGATAGTGATAGTGAGGATGAAAAAGATCATATTGCATTACTGTTAAGATTAATCACTGCTTTAACTCGTGATCCAGAAGCATCTTCATTACAAGCTTTACAGGTTTCTATAATATCCATAGCATCATTTATTGGTAGATTATTATCTGGATTTCTTAGTGATTTTATTCATAAAAAATGGCATATTCAAAGATTATGGATAGTTCAATTTACAATTGCTCTTTTATGTTTAGGTCAATATTTAACAATGATTAATGTTTCTTCATTTCATGGAACATCAATAAATTCAGCAATAATGGGTGGATCATATGGTTTAATATTTGGTACTTATCCAGCAGTTATAGCTGATCAATTTGGTACTAAAACTTTTTCAACAAATTGGGGTCTTATATGTACTGGACCATTATTAATTTTATATTTATTAAATAAATATTTTGGTTGGATTTATGATTTAAATACTGATAAAGATACTGGAATTTGTTATTTAGGTAATGGCTGTTATATGGGAGCTTTTGAAGCAAGTTTAATATTATGTATAGTTGCATTTTTTGTGACTGGAATATTGATTTATGTACTGAGAAAGAAGTAGAACTTATGAAATAGAAATTTTCAAATTTAATAGATATAAAATAAACGTTTTTTTAATTATTTATTCGAAAGAATTGATTTTACAGTAACACTCTGGTATCGTCAAAATGTTACTACAACGTAATATAAAATAAAATCGAAAGTGATATTCAAAACAATGACAAGTACTTTGTTAATCTTTTTGAATCGGACTTATACTGACAATTAATTTATGGATATAATAGCTAGACATTCCAGATTTGATCATTCTTTGCGGTATTTAGAGAGAAAAAGCGGAAAAATTCCGCTCCAATACGAGAAATCTAAAACCTTAATTTAAAATCTAAATTCGTATCTCTATCCCTTTTCGTAGATTCTGAAATCTTACCCATGTAACTATTGTTTAAATTTAGAAGGCAAGTTTCGATAATTAGCCTCGTGACAATTGAGTGTGTTTATCCATCTCGAGTAAACAATTGATAACAGTGGCATAGTAATCATTTTCCCATCAAAACTTTCAAAGAGCAATTTCTGAGTGTCTTTTACTTATGAAATAGATAAATTACAGGCAAATATTTATGGCAAATAAGTGTATATATCTCCAAACTATAAACTAATAAATAATGATTAGTCGTTGTCTAAACTAAAGCTAAAATTCCTAACATACAAATACTTATCCAAGTACTTGCTTGACTTCTATCAGCACCAGACCTATGACTCTTTGAAGATTGTGTACTTCTATGAGTAGAAGAAGAAGTATTAAAAGCAGTTGAACTTTGGAAATGATCAGTAGTTCTCATAGCTGGTGGAACACCTCCATTAAAAGTATGAGTATTATCATCACCTGGTTTTTCTGATCCTCCTAAATTTTGAAATATAGCATATACTTTGGCTTCACCGCCAAAATTTGGAATAGATAAAGCAGTTGTAAATGTTAAAGTAATAAACTGAATAAATAAGATTTTGAATAATTGCATTGATGTTTAATTAATTTGATTGATGATGTTAAAAATCTTCTGAAGTAGGGAAATTGAATGAATATTTATATAAAAATTATCTCAATACATTCTTCATGTTGTGAAAATACTATTTACGATATAATTCATGTTTTAATGCAAAACAAATGGAATATATGTATCAAAAATTCCATGTCATAACCTAAAGGATTTAAAATGGAGTTAAATGTTTTTAAAAAAATTAATGGTTGCAAAAATTGCGTTACACAAAAACCAGATAGTAAATAAACATTACTCATTAGGCTAAACATGGAATTTTAATTAATCTAGATTTAGAATGTATTAAGAGCTCGAGGAAATAGACTGTGATTGCGAAAGCCGTTCCTAAACCTCGTAATTTCATAATTTAATTTTAGAAACAACTGCTGACATCGTCTTTACAATTGTTTGTGGATTATAAAATATATTGTTTAAAGTATGTATACAGCATATTACCAATTATTAAATAAGCGAAATGTAAAGACACAACCTTTGAAACGTCTTTGGACTTTTCTAAACCACCGCTTTTTTGTGACGGGGCAGAACTAAAATTAAAATCAACAATAGAATTCGTGGAAGCTGAGTTAGCTTAGTTTCATGTATTTGTTTCCAATTACTCACATTCCATGAGCTGGCAAAATGGACTGGAGCTTTCCACTTGTCTTTGATTAGTATAATTAAGTATTTTGATCATGAAAAATATATGAGTCTTTATTTGAGTAAATTCCATTCTTAACCTCAATTCCGAATGATCGACGCCTAGTTTAATTGACAATTGCGCTCCAATAATTTCTATTCTGGTATTATACATTTTTTATAGACGGTTTTATCACCCTATATATCGATTTGTACATAAAACCGATTTTGGAATGAACTATATTTTGGAGTAACGGCTTTTTCCTCAACATATGTACTTTCATGTTTGCTAATAATACATATGCCACGATTCACTCAATTTCAACAACAACTCTCGTTGAGTAAAATTTTGATTGTAAATATGTAACTCTAATATGCGCCTAAGAAACATTGTTTACTTTTCATGATCTCATAAACCCTGTGTTTCAGTTTGATAACAAAAAATTAGAACCCTTGTTTTTCAATCGAATACAGGTTTAAATTTTATTATGTAAAAAGAAACAAAATATTTAATAAATTTGAAAAATTGGTTGATCAATTAATGGTAGAATTTGTGGACGATATAAACTACAACAAGTTGTGAATTTGTGAATGTAGCATTGCGTAGTGAAAGTGATAAAAGCAAATTTTTGTGGTTACATCATAGTTTCGAGTTCAATAATTTTTCCACGCTTTTTTTTTTTTCAGTTGAAGTTTCACATTTTAGAGAAGATTTAGATCAATTCAAATACATTTGAACTCAGCTTAGGGCTCACATCTTAAATTGCAAAATCATTTTTAGTATCACAATTTGGTTATAGTCAATTCAGTCATGTCTACGGAAGAAGTACCTATGCAAAACTTGTCTCATTCAAATCATTCATCTCAAACATTAAATCATCAATATCAAAACAAGGGAAATGCCATAACTTCACAACCTCAATTAACAAACCAGCTGTCGGAGAGAATGAAATACGAACAACAGCATGAAAGACCATCAAACCAAACTCAATTGAAACCTCAAAATTCAAATTCATCATCATCATCTAGTTCTTCATCTTCAAGTTCTGGATCTGATTTTTCGGGTCATAGTGATACTAGTGGATATTTCAGAGAAGGAAATGAATGTACCGAATTTTGTATTGAATTTTGTACATGTTTCGGCGTTGTAGATTGTTGTCCAAGAAATGGTGAGGGTTGGGTTACATCTTGTGCAACTTGGGTTGGAAATCTAATAGTCGGATGTTGTAGATGTTAATATGTCTATTTGTCATATCTTTATGGAAAATTCTCAGAAGTTGAATTGAGATAGTGATAAATTGTTCATGTATTTGATATATTAGCTTTAAAATTGCAGCCATTTATTGAAGTATTCAATTGAGCATTAAATTTAGAAATCAACTACTTTTATTAAACTCACAGAGTTGAAAACATTAGAATAGTGAAGTTTGCACACTCAATGAATATTTGATAAGTTTTCGAATCTGGCGTTTCAACTAACTTGATACATCAAATGGTTGCAAACTGATCTGTTCCTTACATGATTACGCATAATGTTGCAAACGATTGAAATATTATTTTTGCAATATTAGTAGTTATAATATTTTTTATTGCAATATTATTTTTATACTGAAACAAAACAAAAGTATAATAATATTATATTTGATTTGAGACACAAACATAAAAAAAAAGATACACGATTCTTTTGATTTTTTTTTTTACAACCAAACTTCTACAAATCATTACGGTAAATCGCCAATTCAATTCAATATGAAAAGGAAAGATGATCTCCTCAAGAAACGGTCCGTAACAACTCCTGAGTTACAAACTTCATTCTTGGATAATTTAAAGAAAAATGATGTCAGTAATTTAGTTAAAGTGAATCAATATAAAATAGGTAGATCAAGCTCAGCTAATGTTTTTATGGAATATGGCGGGGACTTTTCAAATGATCCAGATCCAATTTTGGTAAAATCTTCTGCACGAGCATTATCACAAACTCAAAATCTGACATCTAAATTGAATATTGATGACAAGATTGGATCTCAAAATGTAATAAGAAGTCCTCCATTAAATAATTCCGCTATTTCAACTATAGGAAAATCAGCTTTGAGTAATAATGAAGTAAAAGAAACAAGAAGTGCACCTAGAGAAACAGAACAGCTCATTATTGAACCCTTTAACAGAACAATCAATGAAGACAAGAAACCTCAAAAACCAAAGCTAGCTGCAAATGATGAAAAGGTAATTGCACAGAAAAATATATCCCAAAAGTCTACTAATCACCAAAAAAGCACCATTGAATCTATTGATGAGAAACCTATTCCTAATTTAAAATATTCAATCAAAGTTTTGCCAAAATCAAAAAAGAGCAACCAAGACAAGGAAATTTATGGGTCTTATCCTAACGAAATTATGGAACCAATCCCACCACAGCCAAAAATATCTGAAGATCATGGAGCAAGTTCCAAACCAGAAATAAGCACAGACCATAATACAGGTACATCAACAATTATGGAGCAAACATTACCATCAAATTCCGGGGATAGCTCAGATGCAAACCTTAAGTTTTCTGAAGAAGTGGCTTCAAGAAGGGATGCAACAGTGATATATACAAAAAAGAATGATGAAAATATTTCTAGTGGATCTATTAAAGAGAAAATTGATGATTTTATTCCAAGTCTTGGTGCTGGACTAATTAGCTCTAGAAACCTGATGCTAGGTGCTAGCTCAATTATTCGAAATTATCGAAATTCCAATGTATCAGAATATTCAAAAGATGATCCTTATGTGACACCAACTTCCACACCAGCTCTGGATGGAATATCTAAAAAAAGTCTTAAATTTTTTATTGTTGCTTTAATTAGTCTCATCATACTACTAATTGCAGGATTTGTTCCTGCCATTTTACAACTATCTAAGGGTACCCATAACTCCGTCAACCATTATTTTCAAAACAAAAATAATCTTCCTCATTTGAGAGAGCTTGCTGAAAAATATTTGAAACTGAATAACAAATTTGATTTTGGAAATCATTACAATACTATTGATGGATTAAACGAAGATGTCAAGAAAGATCTGGAAGTTGTTCTGCTAATGAGTACTGTTTCAAATGTTATGTTCCATGGAATTGCTTATTCACCAATTAATGCATTAGAACCTTATTGTGGGTTTGCCAAACATGATGCTATGTTAGATTTAGCTAAATTATCAACGGTAACAACAAGAATAAGAACATATGGTATGCAATGTGATCAAGCTGATTTAGTTTTAGATGCAATTGATCATATGAATTTAAATATGACTTTAGCAATGGGAGTTTGGATTGGGCTGGATGATGAAGTTAATAAACAACAAATGAATTTGATGAAAAAAGTTGTGGCAAGATTACCAGAGCCTTCAAGATTAATAAATTCAATTTTCATTGGTAATGAAGTGTTATTTAGAGAGGATAAAACAGAAAATGAATTAATAGAATATATTCTTGATGCCAAAAATTATTTAAAAATGATGCATATTGATGATATTGCGGTTGGAACTTCGGAAATTGGTTCGTTAATTAGTTCAAATTTATTGAAAAATTGTGATGTTGTGGGTGCTAATATTCATCCTTTCTTTGGTGGTGTATCGGTCGAAGGTGCTACTAAATGGACTTTAGATTTTTTAGAGTATCAAATTAAACCATATAATCAAGGTATTAACACTCATATTATTATAACTGAAGTTGGTTGGCCAAAAGGTGGTGGTCTGTACAAAAAAGCTAATGCCACAACTGAGAATTTAAAATCATTTATTAGTGATTTTTTATGTATTATGAGAAATATACCTATTGAATATTATTTTTTTGAAGCTTTTGATGAACCATGGAAACAAATATTTTGGTCACCTAATCAAAAATGGGAAACTGAATGGGGTATTTTTAATTCTGATAGACTGAATAAGTTTTCACTACAAAATTTAGGATGTATTTAGTAAGTTTAGGATGTATTTAGTAGAAATTTTACATCGTATAGCTAGCGGTAATAAAAGAATCTAATAATGTAAACATTTATAATTTTTTTGATTCATAAAATCTCCTACACTCTATTCAAATATTAGTGAAAACTTTAATTTTGAATTACGTGCAAAATTTTCACAATAATTTAATTCGAGATTTTAAATATTGCAACTGAATAAAGTGAAAATTCCTTATTCGTCTCCAATAGTCAGTACATTGTTAGTAACTGTAGCAGCGTGCACATTTCATTCTGGTGTTTAGCATCTAATGCAAGTAATTGACGTATTTTTTGCAGCTAAATTATAACATTCAAGGTAGTTTTATTTCAAAAAATGATCGAAATTTTTCATGCACTGATGATAGCTTACATATTGAGACCTAAAGATATTAGCATAAACTTATAGATTTAAGATTTTGTCAAATGCTTCATTCTTGGTTGTAGTTGCAGATTCGTATTACCCATGGCGTTATAAAATCGACTAAGTAACTCTCGCATTTTTTTTCTTGTAATCAATATATATTTTTAAAGTAAAACATAAGAAGAGAATTTTTTTTTTTTTTTTTTTTCTTGTAATCAATATATATTTAAGCATAAGACCTGGGTCAAGCCAAAATCGAACCTAGTAAACCCAAATACTAGTTAGATCCGGAGATGGCAACTTGTCCGAGTGGTTAAGGAGAAAGACTTGAATAGTTTCGTACAGTTCAAGGTATCTTTTGGGCTTTGCCCGCGTAGGTTCGAGTCCTGCAGTTGTCGTGAAGTTCATATAATTTGAATATTTTTTGAATATTTTTTGCTCAAATGTACTTTTTTTTTTATTCAGTAGTCTAACTTGCTTAATGGTAAAGAAAAGTACTAAGATTTCTTCCGCAAACCTTTGTTATACATCGTCTCCGATGTTGTGTTAAAGTAGTCACTCTAAGCAAATGAGCAAAATAATTCATTAATTTTCTATCAAATAATCTATTCAAATATACTATGGGAAGTCACCTTTTCGTAAACCAATATAACCATCGGGAGCACTAGTTGCATTCTTCCAAACATCACTAAACTTACCTCCCTCTATACCTTGATAACTAACATTATTTCCCCACCAGTGTAAGGTGGGTGGATTCATAAAAAATATAATTAGTGAACTTGTTGCTACACCGACCGTTAATCCACTACTTAAAATATAGTTGTACCTTTCCCAAAGATGAAGATAATTGTTTTTAAGTTTGTACATGAATAAGTAAGACATATAAAGACCACCTGTGAAATATGAAAGCTAAAGGTAAGCATGTTAGTATAATTCATAAGTTTTTTTTGAGCTGTAAATTTTGTACGTACATTATATGGAGCGAAATCCAAAAATCCCCCAATGATAATTGTTGGTTGAAATGAAGTAGTTAATTTCTTGGGTCCGTATTTCTTAAACAATGCACATGGAATAACCAAAATAGCACCTAAAAGAAAGCACCATTTAAAAATTGGATACAATTTGAAAACTTTAGCAGGTCCAATTTCACCATATTGAATTGAGGAATAAAAATAAGTATTTGCTCCAGGACATTCGAGATTATACTTTTGATTCTGTTGACACAAATCTGGAATCTTTGAATCTAACAACCAGTTTGTAATTATTAATGCAACTGCTATATTTATTAAAGTTGAAATAATTTGACCCTTGAACACGGCTTTTGGTGGTAGATGTGTATAATGAGCTAATTTCTGATCAGTAATGTAGTTACTAGCTTGACTATCAATATTGTAACCAAATGCTTTCAATGTGATCAATGCCAATCCAGAATTTGGTATTAAATAACCAACAATCAATTCTATCAAAACATTTAATCCAAATGAAAAACCAGTGACTGAAGCAATTGATGTTAATGGTATAAGGAATATAAAGTTAATGAAAATCACCAAAAATATACCCCACAAAGGAGTTTCAACATCATAAAATATTACAGTAGCTATTGCAAATGAAGTGCTCACTACTAAGATCGTAAGAAACCACCAATCGGGAACTTCATCGTATTTGGACATCATTTTACAATGAGGATCATCCGAATATCTCCCAAACCGGTTCAGACTAGATTTAAAAGCATCAGTTAATGATATCCATACACTAACAAAACTTGATTTCATTGAGTTCCACTCCGTTGCAAAATTATAAAGTATCGAAAATGGGTATAAACAAAAATGAGCCCCATATATCACCAAATTAGCAGCCGAAAAATATGGTGGACCAACTTCTTGATACTTTTTATCATCAAATTGATTTTTTTCATTTAAAATTGAATGAATGTCATATACTTTTGCCTTGTTGTTGAACAAATAGTTAGAATTAATTGGGAAATATGATGAATAGTAATGATTTGTATAATAGACAAGGAGGATTACCAAAAAACCGAGTATACTTCCTAAGTATCTATTGACGTAACTGTAAAATGGAAGAGTTAAACATCCACCAGCATCGATTCTGTTCCAATCAAATGTGGGCCAAGGGTTCAACCCCAAGCCTTTTGATGATCCTGTAACATTGACTAAATGAATCAGTAATGGTGCAAACCATGTCGTCCAATTAAAATTAGCCAATGCTTTGAAGAAATAACTTGGCATCCAATTATAGAAAAAGCTGAATATTGCAACTATTATAAAAAATTTGAAACGAGACATATAATGAGTAACGTCTTCTTCATCCATTAAAGCTTTATTTAAGGCAATGGTAGGTAAAATTGATGGCCAAATTGATGTGCTAGGATAAACGCAAACTTTTTTCATCACCATTGCAAAACTAAATCCTAAAAATTGAGTCGATATTGATAAAAAAATTTGAAAGGTAATTGTCACCCACTTTAAGCCATAAAACTTATCAAGTTTCATAACAAAGATGTTATACATTGAATATGGAACACCCGAAGAGCACAGATATATTATCGTACTCAACATCAATTCTTTGTAAGTCCATGGACCTGGATTTATATGAATTGTTTTCGAAAATAATTTGATTTTTTTATTAGGCATATATCTAGCCCATAATTTTCCACAAGGTAATAGTAGAACTTGAACAGTATGGGAACTTAAACTAATATTGGGTATTCTATGTACAAAACATGTATTAATTATTGATCCAATAAATGTCCAGCTAAAGCCAATAAAATACGCTCTGAAGGTTTCACATAATAATTCTGGATCGTCATATGGTTCAGTGATGGCTCGTACTTCTGGGTATGGAGAATGATAATGTATTAATGTTGCCTCCAAACGAACTTGCAAATTCCAATCGACAATATTTAAATACGACTTTTCGTTCAAGATTGGTCTTGTATCCTCTTCTATCTTAATTGGGGCTGGTTCTGAATTATTTGGAACCGAGTGCAATAATTTTTCTAATAAGTTATATTCATCTTTTGGAAAATTCACATCTTGACTATGATCTGCTAAAGAATTCCGTATGATTTCAATTGCATTATCAATTGACATTTTATCGATTATATTGACCATATACTTAGTAGATCTAGGTAGGTTCTGTATGTCATTGGAATTCATATAAGTGAAATCATTGTATCCTAATCTATGTAGCACTATAGACAATTGTGTTTCTGTTAAACTTATTTCATCCTTTGTTTCACCTTCCTCGTTTAATAATCCTTCTACTTGTCCTTTATCGACATGGTCGGGGTATTGTTGTAGTTCAATGTAATCTTGATTCTTCATCTAAGAAGTAAATAAAAGAATATGTTTTAAACAAAATATTCGGTATCTCGATTTAACTTTGTAACGATTTTGTAAATTTCCATTCAAGTATTTTCACCTTATCTACATGATTTACAAGAGCAAAATGCAAAGTATCAAATGGTCTCTCGTAGACTCAGAATCAAATAGGCAGAATTTATTTTTGAAACTTGACTTAGATGAAAAGACACACTTCCATTCTACAACAAGATAGTGTATGGTATCATTAAAATGTATAATTTATTCTACCCGTGTCATATACAAAAGTACGGAATACATAAACGATTTCAAACATTCAACTTACAACTCAAGTGATTCCAACATAGTAAGAATCTCCATTTCTTCCTCCAATGCCCTTAATTCAGCTTCTTCTGATGCGATCTGAGATAGTAAGTATTCCTCCTCATCCTCTATTAATTGATCTATATTTCGATTATTCAAGTAGTCATCAACCTGAGATTCATGTTCAGCTTTCGAATCCTTATCTAACTGCAGATCAGTAGTTTTGTCTCGATTTTGTCGAATCTTTTCTTGACGATGTTGATCACGAACTTGTCGTATTTTATTGTGTTTATTTCTTAAGTTTATGGGTCTAGTTGGTGATGAAGGCAAGTTATGATGACATGGCAAGAATTGGTGATTATTAGATCTTTGTTGATAAATTTGATGAGTTGGCAGTTGCAATGGGGAAGACGACAACGGATTTAGTCGAATTCTATTTCTTCTCTCTTGTTTATCACGGATCAGATCAAGTATGCTGGGCGGAGTTACAGACATGTCTCTAGGATCATCATATGTTATATGGTTGGTTTCAGGAGATGAGTTCATGACCGGCATGTATCAACTTTGAATTGATGATGGATACAATCTTAATAAAATATTGCGCGTTAACTTTTGTTAGTCGCGTCAAAATCTTCGATTTTTATCACTTTTTCAATTGAAACAAAATGATTGAAAGCTTATGAATATTGAGTTTGAGATAGATGGTCAAAAGTATAAAAGCTTTGACGAGGAAGATGTCATATTAATGGAAGAAATTTCTTCACACATAAAAGAAAATTTCACTTCAAACAAATTTTCATTGCCTAATTTCAATACAAAGATAGAAGTTGGTGAACTAATAGATGACGCGTATTGTCAAGAATTTGTAAATATGATAGATGAAAATATCGGAGATCTATATGAAAGACATAAAGGCAAAGACTGGAGAGAGGAGAAAATGATCGAATTGGAAGAACCAGGGTTGATATTCATATGGTTGACCAATTTTAAAGACGTCATAATTGCATATTTAAGTTTCAAGCTTTGTTTGGATGATGATGATGTATTGGTTTTATATTTATTTGAAATCCATATTCTAAAAGAATATCAGAATCAAAAAATTGGGCAACAATTGATAGATGAATTTCATAACCTTGTGTTAAGTTTGAAAAATTCTTCAAATAAATTATATCAAAACCTTAAAGGATCTGCATTGACTGTTTTTGCGGACAACGAAATAGCTTTGAATTGGTACCAAAATATGGGGTACGCTTTAACACGTAATTCACCAAAGAACAAAATTTTAAGGAATCAAAAAGTGATCAAACCTAGCTACTACTTGATGAGAAAAAGTATTTGAAAGGGAGGGAATGATATTAAATTTTGAATAATTCAATTCATTGATATGATAAAGATTCGTACTGTTAGTAGTCCAAATTTTTTCTTTTAAATGTAAATATGGAACAAGAACTTATACAGGTGTACGAAATTGAACTGTGTAATAGAAGGTGTCCTTTTATTCTTTTTAGACTCTTCCATGTACGATGTTTTTAAAAACATAGAGACCACATGGTGTCTCATAATGAACCGTTTTTGATAGTAAAATTGACAGATTAAGTAATTTAAATATAAGAGATTAGAGCCGGTACCTTAGTTAAATGAAAAAAATTAGTTTAGCGATTTAAGTACAAAAACTAGACAGCATTTATATAAGCCACATACAAACTTCTGCTATTCCAATCTTAATTTTTGCTTAAGCAAACACTGTCTCTAGTTTTTCCAAGTTCATGTAATTGTTCGTAGTTCTATGAATTCCTTCCACTTAATTTGACTTCAAACCAGTTTGGATATAAATTTGCAAAATCCAACAATTTTGTAATAATCATTTGGAAATGTTGATTGATATGATGTTGCTGAGCAACTCCTTAGTTGTTGGCATCGCTTTGTTGATCAATAATGAAGCAACAATACCGATTGTTCCATATATAAGACCCTGAAGCATATAAAAAAAAGTTTTAGATAAATAAGCAAACTTCTTGTGTTTTTTGGCCCTTGCTATGTTTTTTAAGATGTTTGGGCTTTTTCCTTCTTCATCATTTGAGCTCGTATTGTTGTTGTATCTTTTTTCATGTTTCTCAAGATATACAACGGCATGTTTGTAATTGTTCTCGTAATGATTAATGATCTCCCAATTAAATTTACTCAAAAACCATAAACCGCCAAGGGCATAAAAGTAAAGGTAGAACCATTCCATGGTATTGAATTTATAGATGAAAGAATGAGTCTTTGTTTGCGAATCTACTCAATACTCGAATTTGTCTAGTAAGAATCCATTTTTTTTTGATATGGCTGCAAAACTTGGTTTTGTACTATGTTTCAGACATAAATATTTTTGCATTTGTGAAATCTAAACATAGCACTATATCTCTAGTGCACACTTAAATTACTGTCGTATCATTCTAATCAAGTAATACTTTTTCCTTATGAGTGCTTGTAGATAAGATTACTTCTACCGTATTTTTCATGTATATGATAACGAACATACTACGCGCTATAACATTTGGTCTGCACAGAGCGATCTGAATCATACCACTTAGGCGAACTATTTGTAGAGTCATTTTTAAATTCAAACTCCAGAAATGCTTTGAATTTATGAGAGCCATCGACTTGCAAACCACAAGACTTAATTTGATAACGAGGAATACAAAGTCAATCTCGAGATCTTAATGTTACTCACTTTATGTATCTCCATTTTGTTACGACCTCACGGATTGAAATGATTTACGACATCATAATTGACAAGCGCGTTACTAAAGGGAATGTAGTTGTCAACATACGCTAATTTGATAAAGCAAGTGGAGAATTTTACATTAATCTGTAAGATCAATAATAGTTCCTTGTCTCGAAACGGCTTAATCTTACCTCCATCTACTTGTGCAATAATCAGAAGATCAATTTTGAATATCGACTTTATGATATTGTAGCGGATTTGACCCAAAATTTTAGTTGATTTTACAAATGCACCAAAAATTGAGGGATCGCTTGTAAATTAATGATTTCGATCAAAAGAGATTTTATGTTGAAGATGTTGTAATATAGTGCCATTTAACGTGGCACTGATGGACACTACACATATATCACCGTGAAATTTTCGATTTTAAATTTATAAAAATTCAAGGTTTATTTAGCGATTATACTCAGTTAATAATTTGATCTACCTAGAAAATGGTCGAAACTAACATATCAGGCCCAAATCACCTAGTTGTATTTTTGAGTGATCAAATTTCTACTTACAAATGGTTGGAAGTGTTCAAGAAATCGTTCTTTTCAACGTGAAAGATTATGTGAATAATTGCAGCTACTAAGTATTATAAAAAAATCTTTGAATCATCTGAAAATAGCTTGAATTTTAATGTATCATCTAAATTTATAAGTACTTTCATCCATGTTTGAATCAACAGGAAAAAGATGAGTTAGACCAAGGTTTTGTTGAAGATAAACTATATGAACACTTGAAAGTCATTAGCAAACACACTAGCGGCGGCACTGAAGGGCTCAACTACAAAAGCTTACAAATTCTACGGAATATGTTTGGTAAAGATTTGACAACAGTTGGTAATTTCATAATGGAATCAGGTGAACTATCTAACTCCATGTCAATGGTGTTAATTAGTCTAATACCGAAAAAATCAAATTCTACAAAAATACAAGACCTTAAACCAATCTCCCTAATTAATGTTACTATAAGACTACTTAGTTCATGGAAAGAAAAAGCTTTACAAAAGGTTATTAGAAAACTCATTAATAAAAAACAACGTGGCTTCATTAAAGACAGAAGCATTAATGATACAATATATTGTTATCAATATCTTATAGAGTTCTATATGCAACAACCAAAAGAATTTAAGGGAGTGATTGTCAGCGTGGACTTCACCAAAGCATTTGACACGATAAATCATAGTTTTATTAAGCAAGTTTGTGATAAATTATTTGGAGCCAAATTGCTAATTTCATGAATGCCATCAGTACGAAACAATTTGCACAGATTAAATCAATCACAGAACAGGACTGGTTTTTCCATTAGCAAGAGGAACTAGGCAAAGGAATCCCTTGAGTCCTTTATTATTCAATATTTGTTTGGAAATGTTGTTGCAAAGCTTGGATGAGAAGTTGGAAGGGTTTCACCTAAATGACATACTAGGCAAGGGTGATCTTGTCTATGCCGATGACTTATTAATATTTTTGTCAAATGAATCAGATCAAAGACAATTCCAGACTTTAATAAACAAGTTTGAAATTGATTCAGGACTTAAGGTAAGTATAGCAAAAACTACAGTGTTTCATCGTATGGGATTAGACTGTGACAAAATTTTACCATATCAATATTCGTTGTTCAATCAAGAATATTATTATCATTTGGGTATCCCTATGAAAATTTCACAATTAGACTATAATCCCTGGAAGGAATATTTGAAAAGTATCAAGTATCATATTAAGTCTATACCGATTATGGATTTAAACATTCTACAAATAACTAAACTTATGAATGTTTACGTTTATAGTAAGTTATACTATCGAGACTTGCATTTTCCAATGGAAATTGAAGATATGAAACAAATTGAATATACTATACAACAAAAAACTTCCAGTAAGAATAGCCAAATCCAGATTAGTGGCAGCAAAAAAGAACGGAAGGTTCGGGTTACTAAATGTACAAAATCGAGTACTTGGTCGAAGAGCAAAACAATTATACAAGATATATGGAAGCTGGTTTAGGAACTTCATTTTTCAAATACAAGTTACAAAAATCATTGAACAAAATAATTTCAGATCACTTGGGAATTATTGCTCGATTCGAGGATCAAGAACACATATATCCATGATATTTCTTTTTACAACGAAAGCATTGTACGCTTTTTTAAAACTTTAAACGGATTCAGGAATCATTATATTTTCTATTGTCAGATACAGAAATCAGTTGGATAGAAGCATGGTTTCAGTTAACTTCCATCTCCAATATTAATGAAAAACCGGAGTGGGTTAGGATTCATAGAAATCATATTTGGATTATTGTTTACAATCTCATGAGGAGCAACAACAAAATATATTAGATATTGAAAACAAGGAGATCAATTCGGGGTCTTTTCATCATACCTCGAGGAAGATGGTTTCGAAAGAAGCTTTAATTCCAAGAAATTGGTCGCAATATGAGGGACTCACGCTTACAAAATTTGAGTGGCAGATATGGTGGCAACGTTTGAACCATCATCAAATTGAACCATTGGGTAGTCTTGAATGTTTACATTTATTTACACTTGGGTACTATAATCACGAGCCATATTATTCACACCAATCTAGTAATGATTCTTGTCGTTTTTGTGAATAAGAAGGGGAAGATAATGTTTCACATCATGTGTTCCATTGTACTGAACTTAATAAATTTTGGCAGGAGAAAAATTTGGATACAGAGTTCCTTCAAAATTGATTGGGAATGTCAGGTTGAATAAACAAGAGTTGAAAGAGATAAATAAAATTTTGATTCAAATTTTCAAATATATTAAGAAGAAACGACGACGACCGCGCTTCTCTTCCTTGAGGGAAGAAGTTGGTGGAAGTGGTGAGGTTTGAATCAAGATTATGAATGTTGATTGAAGAGTGAGGGCTCAAAAGATAAATTCGGAAAGGCATAATCGGTAAGAAATCACAATCATCTAAGTTAAAATATACAAAAGGGTTAATTTTTATTATTGGAATATCATGGGTTTTGGTTGAGTAGGATTGGCAATTCATTAATCAAAGGAATCTCAATGCATTGATGATTGTTTTAGGTAATTAATGGGCTATAAAAACTATTTTCCCCCTGATATTTTTAGCAGTGAACGCTTTCAAATCTAGGAAGCCTGCATGAGTGAAATTGGTATATAAATTTTAAATTATTAATTTATGTATAGATTTTTAATACATGTTGAATTAGGAATTTCCTAATTTCTCATCACTACTATTAAGTTTTCAAATCTCTTATAAAGTATTATAATCGTCATACGAGGCAAAAGATTTGGTGAATAGGTCATTCCTTAACTTCAAAAAAGACGATGCAACTGGTTACTGAACAGCATTTCTCCGTCAAAAGCAAACAAGAGACGAAGGATTCAAATAGTAAAATTCAACAAAATTCACCGTTCAAGGAATCAAAAAATTCTAAGGAGTCTACAAAGAATAAGCAGATGTTACCATTGGGGAAGGAAGAACTGCAAACGTATTATTTGAACACAAATATACCAGCAATAAATATCGGTTTAAATGGTGGTCTAGTTGGAAAAGCTGCAAAAGATGGCAAATTTGTTATCAACGGTTCTGTATTTACGATATCCAAAAACCCAAGCAAAAAAAAAAAACGGAAGAGCAGTGATTATATACCTAGGCACCCACGCTATCAAGTCAATGAATCTGAGTTAAATTTTTTCGAATCGATTTTGAGACATATCGACAACAGAACTGTGCAAATATTTGAATGGATCTATAATACCATTGAAAAATATCCAGCTGCTCTTTCGATAATTATTTCCAGTTCACTTGTCGCTTTTACTGTAATTATGATTTACCTTGATGGTCATTGAAAGATTCGGTTGAATGTGTATAATGTTCATATTGGCATTGAAGTGGACCCAAATCAGATTCATCTTTTTGCAACTTTTATGAAACACTGCGCAATCATTACACAAGACTATAAACTAATTTATATAATTAATTATGACAATTTTGAATTTTATTTATGATTTACTTTACTACGGTCCCCTCGCAGTCGAGAAGGACGAAATTTCATCCTCTATTCGACGCAAAATTCTCACCCTGGTGATAAATAAAATTTGATATCGGTATTATTTGTTTCTCGCTTTGGTCAGAAATAATTAACTTTGTGTAATAATTTACGACTTGATTGTAGTACATTAAATTTTCTGTCAGTGTAATTTGATCAAAAAGTCATACAGAATCGAATAAAAAATGTACGGATCACCATTTACAAATAGTCTACATCAAAAGCAACAAGTTTCATCACGATATAAGGAGATTGCAAGAAATGCAATTTATGATCAATTACCATCAATAACTCAAAACATACAATTACAACAACAACAATCATCAAATTTATCGATAAGATCAGCTCCGTCACAATTTCTCAAGAATTCATATAAATCATATCAATCACTGCATAGATCATCATCATCTTCATCAATTTTTTTATCGTTAACATCATCTGGTAAAAGATCAGTTAGAAGTGCTCCATCAATATATTCAAGTTCTACTGGTACGATACCAGAAGATCAAAAACAAATGACTGCAACAGTTGAACAATTAGTTAATGTTATATAAGGGTCATAATTTAATCATAAATGGTGACAGTAGAAATAAGTTCAAGCGCTAGATACCTATCCCAGGAACACAAAAGTTATATTAACTGATAGATTAGAAGTCAAAAGCGATAACCATTTCGCAGATAATGAGAGCTTTGAACTGGTATCAAAATATGGGGTATGCTTTAACACGCAATTCACCGAAAGATAAGATTTTGAGGAATCAAAAAGTGATCAAGCCAAGCTATTATTTGATGAGAAAAACTATCTGATTAAATAAAATGGTATTTAAAGTTGAATAATTACGGTCATTATCCTAAAACTCCAACAATTGCACATCCAAATTCTGCATTCCAATTATAGTTTATAAATAGGAACAGCATAGGTGAACAGAATTACGAGGTGAACACAAAATGATATTTAGCCTGTTGGATCTCTTGGATGTACGATCCGTTTTTGAATATATTTGTAGGTACCACATGGTTGAGGAAAACCTTTTTTGATTGTAAATTTGACAGATTAAGTAATTTAAATATAGGAGTGTTTTATTTGGCCCGATACTAAAAGTCAATGAACATACTTATTTAAATTAACGAATGTAGTACAAAAACTCTAAGGAATGCATCTAATTTAGACTATATTGGAATATTTATTAAATTTGTTAACAATAAACAATAAAGATTAAACATGTGGGTTTCAATTCTAGTAGCATTGTGTTTTAAATTTTATTTTGTAACTTAATTAAAAGATAGTAGAAAACTAATTTTTCAAATTTTTCAATTTCGATAAAAGGAGTTTTGCATTTAAATAACAATAGAGGTATTTTTGTCCATATTATACGAAACTGCCATTAATGAGAACGGCACCATGGGATTATAAATAGTCCGGAGATTTTATAAAATGGGTTCAACCCTTTTTCAAAACTTTGTATTCAAATCAAATCAATCGAATAGCAAAAAAACTCAAAAATGTTGACTCAATTATTTACAGTTGCAATTGCTTTAGGTACTGTTACTGCTTCTCCATATTCAGTCCCATACTTTGGTAAATATTTCCATGGTCAAAGAACTTCAAATGATTCATCGTCCGAAGGTAATATTTACCCAGTCAAAGATTGTTCGGCTTTTATAGCTAATACTCCAAATTCTTGGTCTTGTCATAATACTTCAGTCATTACTGATGAATGTTGTTTTGAAAATTACGGTATTTTATTGCAATCTCAATTTTGGGATTACAACACTACTTTATTGGACATTGCCGTTAATGGAACTACTCAAGAAGTTCTTGAAGCTGAATTAAGGGCTCAAATTGGATCACTTGACGATGATTTAAAAAAGACTTTTACAATTCATGGTTTATGGAATGACTTATGTAACGGATCGTACAATCAATATTGTCAACCATCATTAGAAGTCAATAATACCATTGATAATTTAACTCATCTTATTGGCGATCAATTTAAAGAAACTCAGTTATTGAAAATTATGAAAAAGTATTGGATAAATACTTTAAAATCAAATGTTGATGATCAAGCTAGTGCATCATTATGGGAACATGAATACAACAAACATGGAACTTGTATGAATACATTAAATCCCCCATGTTTTAATGGTAACTATACTAAATTTGAAAATACCGTTAATTTCTACAAAAAAACAGTTGAGGTTTGGTCACAATTGGATACTTATGAATTCTTAGCAGCTGCAGGAATTTACCCAACAACTACTAGACAATATAAACTAGCAGATATTGAAAAAGCATTGGCCGAAGCTCATGGTGGATCAGTTTTTGTTGGTTGTTTGGATGGTGCAATTGATGAAATTTGGTATTATTACAACTTGCAGGGTAACGTTTTGACTGGTACTTATAGACCAATCGATCAAACAGGTAAAAGTACTTGTAAAGACAAAGTTTGGTATATTCCAAAATAGTCTTTACTCATTAAAGGTCAAACCTACTTGTTTCAATTTCAATTCTTTCTCGTTATACCCGACTTGTTGTCAATTTTTTTTGCTATAATTTTTTAATTGAATAATTTAATAAAAGTTTTACTAGTTTTCATAAGCTCATTTACTTCTATAGAATAAATCCAAACTTAATTTATGCTAAAGAAGCTTGCTTTAATTGCGATTGATGGTCTTTTTTATTTTTATTGTAATTTAGTAATATGTGATAAAGCCGCTCAAGATTTACGAAACTTAAAATTTAAATTAAATTTTATTTACAGTCAAATCGGAAATATTTCCTAATCAAATATTTTATTTTTGTGTTTTACGACACGATAAAAATCCGACTTTTGAAAATAATTTATGAAGAAGATAAATTTAATTTATCAAGAATGCAACCAAAATAAAATCCTGATTTTGAATTAATAAAATCCGAAACCTTCATTCTAATTTTCTCGCTCTCCCAGAATAATTTTTCCTCCGGTAAGTATGCACTTTGCGCCCCAGCCTTGCGCATTGTTTTTGGTCCATCAGCGAGAAAATTTAAATTAACATTCATGATTTTAGTATTTTAAAATCTGGATTATTTGTTAGTTCAATTCTTGATAATTAAAATAATTTGTCCTTATAAATTTATTTTTAAAGTCGCATTATATTTATGTCGTAAAACATAAAAATAAAAATTATAATCAGGAAAAATTTCCGATTTGACTGTATTAAATTAGCATTTTGACATAACCTTAGCCTCGTTATTTTTATTCTCTTGATGAGAAAGATTATACCCAATTTCGTGCAAGCCCGACTTAACTTTCTTGTGTTATTTTCTCACTGTCGTGCTAACCGGCTCGAATTAGATTTAAATTAATCTTAAATTTCGATTTAAGTTATGAATAAATCAGTCTTAAGTCCGAAATGTTACAATAATCAAAAGCTATTTTTGTTTTGAGTTAATCATATTTCGAGTCAAAGAAACAGTGTGATTAATCTAATTCAAAGGATTTGGACCACTTCAGCTTAGTTCATACCTTCTTACAACTACTCACACTCGTTGAATTTCAATCATAATTGTTACACAAAGTTAACTTGTTTTTTCATTCAAATCTAGTTCAAAACAGGTGTTCAAAATCAACTATTTAGAAATTAGAATGAGCTATGGATCATAACTTTGAAAACCATATTCAAGATACAAATGTTACTTTGCAATATTCAAACAAAGACGAATCACCAGTCGCAAATGTTCAAAATATTGCGCAACCATTAACTTCAGAAACAACTTCATCCAATACTTTGCCTGATTCATCTACGACTTCCGAGAACACGTCCATTTCTTCTTTACAAGTTCCAAATACCAGAAGGAAAAGAGGGTTGTCATTAAGATCACAATTGTTCAATAAGGCTTTTAATATACAACAAGACCAACTGGTGCCAAATTCACAAACAACATCAACCACCCCACATAACAAAAATATTTCATCTACAGCACAAAACGGGATAGAATTACAAAACATACTGAAAGATCCAACGCTATTGCCGCCAAAGATTAATGTTGAAGAATATCCAGAACCCTATATTGTTTCATCATCATCTTTATCACTACCGACTGGAAAATATGAACCTTATCATACTTCAGAAACACAATTGACTAGATCATCCACACATTTGACAATTGAACATAGCAATAACAGCTCAGCTTCATCATTTGTATCAAGAAGAAAAAGAATACATGGTACGCCTAAGAATAAATTTAAGAAAATTCTAATAGAATTGAAAAATAAACTTCTAGGGTTAAAGTGTTTGCCAGCAACAGAAATAGGTCGAGTTATACCTTTATCAGTCAATCCAAATTCAGTCAATTCTTACTACCAAGACGAATATTATTTGCCACACCAGAGGAGTTATATTGATGAAAGGACAAATCTACCTTACATAAATAATTTAATCACTTCATCAAAATATACAATATATTCATTTTTACCGAAACAACTACGAGCTCAATTTTCAAAAGTTGCAAATTGTTATTTTATGATAGTTGCAATTATGCAAATGATTCCAGGCTGGTCAACAACCGGACAATACACAACTATTATTCCTTTGTGTATTTTTATGTCTATATCGATTGCTAGGGAAGGGTTTGACGATTGGAAAAGGCACGGACATGACAAAGAAGAAAATAATAAAATTACAACAGTGATAAGAGAAGATGAAGAACTAGGTTCTTTTGATACCCATTCCATTAATACCATCTTAACGGAAACTATCCCAGTTTCTAATGTAACGAGAAAAGATTTTGCCATACACAATATTTCAAACTCGTCGATTTCAGATACTGAAGGAGCATCAAATAATAAAGATACATTATCATACAATGACAAACATGCATTGAAAAGATATAATTTAAAAGAAATACCAACCAAATGGAAAAATTTGAAAGTGGGAGATATTGTTAAAGTCAAAGAAAATGAGTGGTTTCCAGCTGATATCTTACTATTGGCAACTAGTGACAGTGACAAATCGGAAGCTTTTGTAGAGACGATGGCATTAGATGGTGAAACTAATTTGAAATCTAAATTTCCACATTCGGAGTTGTCTAAAAGAGCACGCACTGTTCCAGGATTGAAAAACTTGAAAACTTTGATTACCACTGAAGACCCCAATCTTGATTTGTATAATTTTGAAGCTTCCTTTCAATTGAATGATGAAATCTATCCATTAAATTCAGACAATATTGTATATCGTGGAAGCATACTTCGAAACACTGAGTCGATAATTGGTTTAGTTGTTTTTACTGGTGAAGAGACCAAGATCAGAATGAATAATATTAAAAATCCGAGAACCAAAGCTCCAAAATTACAAAAGAACATTAATTACATTGTCATTTTCATGGTTTTTGTTGTTATTAGTTTGTCTGCATTTTCTACAATGGCACAACGAATTCAATTTTCCGATCATAGGTTGAAAGATTGGTATTTGTATCAACAAGACGCAGGTGTTGCGGCAACTTTAATGGGATTTATCATTATGTATAACACTTTAATCCCACTTTCGCTATATGTTACAATGGAAATTATCAAAGTGATGCAATTATGCTTCCTACAATACGATATTGACATGTATCACGTAGAAACCAATACACCAGCAGATGCTAAAACTGCAACAATTTTGGAGGAACTTGGACAAGTTTCATATGTTTTCAGTGACAAGACAGGTACTTTAACAGATAACAAAATGATATTTCGAAAATTTAGTGTGTGTGGGGTTAGCTGGTTACATGATTTAGATCTAATGCTTAAGGAAAAAGAGAATATAAATAGTCAAACTATACCTAAATTAACACCACGTTTAAATGTACACTCTGAATCAAAGATGGAGTTAAAAGAATTGAAGAAAGCTCGAATGAGTACCACCTCATTGGCTAGAGACAGCGTGGATGGCAGGAAATCCGTCTTAAGTGCAAAAACGTGGGTTTCAACAGCTCAACCTCACAAGAAACAAGATCCAACAAATTCAATCCAATTGCTAAAACATATACAATCTCACCCACAAACATTATTTGCAAGGAAAGCCAAATTTTTTTTATTATCACTTGCATTGTGTAATACTTGTGTACCTAGAAGAAACAAAAATTTGAAACAAACCATTAGTGGATCACTGTCATCGATAGAGGAAATTGAACAAGAAGATGATATATTAGATGATTCTTGCATAACCTATCAAGCTGCTTCACCCGATGAACTAGCATTAGTCCAAGCCGCTAGAGATTTGGGATTTGTTGTTTTTGATAAAGAGTCAAATAAATTGAAAATTAAAACGTATCCGAAGGGGTTTGAAAACGAACCAGTTGTTGAGGAATACCAAGTACTTGATACAATTGAGTTTTCTTCAGCTAGAAAAAGAATGTCAAATATTGTCAAATTTCCTGATGGTCGGATAGCTTTAATTTGTAAAGGTGCTGATAATATCATATTGGAAAAATTGAAAAACTCTAAAATGGCACAGGACAAAGCTAAAGACATTACTTTACAGTCTTCTGAAAGAAAAATGCAAGAAGCTGATGTTGTATTGCAGTCTAGATTTTCTCACGACATGGAGTCTAGAAAATCTGGTTTATCATTTCGTCAAAGTTTTAGTATTGGAAATTCCGCACCAGCCAGAATGAATACCATAGATAATGCTTTAATGGGAACTGAAGAAGATGGGATAGCTGATATTGCAGATAGAGCTAGAAAATCATTACATCTTCAACAAGCTCAGAGGTATAGTTTAGATGGAAACAACATGATTGCCAGTGAAAAAACTTCGGAAGATGGAATGCCTTCTCATTTCATACCGCATGATAAACTTTTAGTTAATGAAGAATACATAATCGAAAAAACTTTGGAACATATAGAAGAGTTTTCAACAGAGGGATTGCGTACACTATTGTATTCCTTCAAATGGTTGGATATACTTGAATATGAATCATGGCATGGTGAATACGCTGATGCAAAAACAGCATTAACTGACCGATCAAAGTTAGTTGAGGAAATTGGTGGCAAAATTGAAACAAATCTTGAATTAATTGGTGCTACAGCCATTGAAGATAAACTACAAGATGGTGTTAGTGAGACAATTGTTAAACTTAGAAGAGCTGGTATCAAACTTTGGATGTTGACTGGGGATAAAAGAGAAACTGCAATTAATATTGGTTATTCTTGTCGTTTAATTAAAGATTATTCAACGGTAGTAGTTTTATCAAATGATGAGGACAAGCTGGCGATTTTGAACAAAATAAATTCTTTCCTGAGAGATATCAAAGGAGGTCGGGTAGCACATAGTGTTCTAGTTATTGATGGTGGAACGTTGGCAACTGTCGAGTCTGATACAAATTTGTTGGCATTATTTTTAGATCTATGTGTTGAAGTTGATTCTACCATATGCTGTAGAGCTTCACCATCACAAAAGGCGAATATGGTAAGTGCAGTAAGAAAACTTAAAAATGAGTCCGTCACATTAGCAATCGGTGATGGTGCAAATGATATTGCCATGATTCAAAGTGCTGATATAGGAGTTGGAATTACTGGAAAAGAAGGATTACAAGCAGCTCGATCAGCTGATTATGCCATTGCTCAATTCAGATTTCTTTTGAAACTTTTATTAGTTAATGGTAGATACAATTATGTAAGAACCTCAAAGTTTGTATTATGCACATTCTACAAAGAATTGTTGTTTTATTTGACACAATGTATTTATCAGAGGAATACCTTATTTTCAGGATCATCAATGTATGAAAGTTGGTCATTATCAATGTTTAATACCCTATTTACTTCATTACCAGTCCTTTGTATCGGTATGTTTGATAAAGATTTAAAACCAGCAACATTATTGGCTATTCCCGAGTTGTATGCTAAAGGAAGGTTATATCAAGCATTCAATTTGAAAGTTTTCATTTCATGGATGTTATTAGCCACGTTACAAAGTCTTGGTATGACATTTTTAGGTTTTTATATCTGGGGTTTTACTGCATTACGTGACAACACAACTTTTGCTTTAGGTTCATTATTATTCACAGCCTTAATCATCGTTATAAATGCCAAAATTACATTTATTGAGATGCAGAATAGACAATGGCTTGCATTTGCCTCATTCATAATATCAGTAGGTGGATTTGGAGTGTGGAATGTTTTGATCATGATGCTTTATAGACAAAAACAATCTCCGATTTTTTTTGTTTCGTATGGTTTGTTAACTTGGGGACAAGATCAAAGTTGGTGGGCAGCATTATTAATCTTATTCACGGTACCTTTATTCTTTGATATTTTGATGAAACTTTTTAAATTCATGTTTAAACCAAATGATGATGATACATTCAAAGTTTATGAGAAAGATATGGAATTGAGAAAAGTATTTGAAAATACAGCTTACAAAGATCTTTATCAGGGATGGACTTTCACTCGTGACCCTTCTACCACGAAAACCTTAATCTTAAATTTATTCAAAAAAATTGGATTTAATACAGATTCGTCAAGAAGAGACCAGGAAAACGATTTGAGAAAAGCAGCGTCAAATGAGAACAATGAATTGAATTTGCAATCCACACTTAGTCGAAAAAGAGCTGGTACAAACCCAATGCCTCACGAAATGTCCCCAAGTGGAGAGGGAACCAATGTTCATTCAAGTGATTATGCAAGACATGAAATATATGAAAACGGTTATGAAATTTTACCAAGTGGTAAAAAAGTTAAAATCAAACTAAATGAATCAAAATGGACCTCTTTTGGTATGAAGAGTTTTCGTAGTACTGAAGATGTGGATGCAATTATAGATGAAAGATTGAAGAATTTAGAAATGGAAGAAGAGGGCAATCGTAAATAGTGGTAAAATGCACTAAAAGTATTTTGAATGAATGTAAATGATTCTTAAATCCAAATTGACTCAAATTCTTTGATAAAGGCCTTTAAAGTTTCCGACCTTGAATGTTCTTTAAGGCATTTTTCTAATTCGTCTCTAGTAGAATGCATTAAATTCAAATTAGGTATATCATCATCCCTCTTCAATGTTTCAAAAAGTTGACGCCATAAGTTTCCTGCAATAAATTGAATAGAATCTGTCTTAGACGATACTTCGTCCCCGTATACCAACAGATGTAAAATATTAAATACACTTTTGTAATCATTCATGAATAATAAATTTTCATCAAACCCGTTCACTTTAACCATATTCCGATTAGAAGCTTTTCTCACTTCTCCAAAATCCAAAGCATCTTTGAAATTAAATAATATAATATTTTTCTTATCCCAAAAATTTTGTTCAAAGTTACTGATTTGCAGTGACCACAAACGATTATCTTCTAGCTCAAAATTAATTAAAATATTCTCCAATTTCAAGTTCCCATGCACGATATCAATATCATGTAATGATTTAATTGCTTTTAATAACTCTATTGCGATGAAAATACAGAACAATTCATTAATCTTACCGTATTTGGTTCTGATAGATTTTATTACCATGCTTAAGCTTTTACGATGACAAGTGTGGTCTAACAATAAAAAGCTTTCATCCTTAAAATAATGCAATACATCTGATTTAATATAAAACTTGGATAATTCTGGCTTGCCTAATAATTTTCTGTGAATTCTATGAATAATATAAAACTCCCATCTTGAAGTGGGCTCCATCAATTTCAAAAGCTTTAAATTCCCTAGTCCGCTTTCGACTAGATATGTATCGTCGTCTTCATTCATCACTTCTATAATTGAATACACTTCCTCACCCAAATAATCAATCAACGTCAGTCGAGTGCCTTTTATAAGTCTCTGAGTATTTCTTATCATTTCCTTCAAACCTTTTAACTTATTGTTTACCAATGATGAATTGTTGATGTATCCAGGATAAGTTGTGATTGGAATGGATAAACTGTCAATTATCGATTCTTGCATTTCTAAAGTAAGTGGATAAGTTAAATTAATCGAAGAATCAGATTTTGCTTCGTGAACACCAGTTGAGAACCCCGAACTTGCATGATAATTACTAACTTTACCACCTGACCGATTCGGAATACCAATTTGCTGCATACCATGATGCTTATTAACTTTTGAGATTTGTTTTGTTGAATGCAAAGTTTCCGTAACGAAACCATCAAAATTGGTCAAAGTAGCATCATTCATTTTTTCTTCATCCAGATCATGCAAATCTTCGTTTTCATGCAATACCAGGTTGAACATCCCTAGAACTTCATTTTTAGCCAATTTTGAAAAAGATGTAACGGTCGGATCATTTGTTGGTTTAGATGAGATTGTGTCATCGTTTATGGGTATCGCAAAGGACTTGGTCTCCTCGAGAACTGTCATCTCAGCATTTTTATCACTATCTTTAATGACAGGATGCAACTTCTGTTTCGATGATTTTAAATAAAACTTTTGTCTAACTAAGACTTCGAGCATCGAGTTTTCTTCATGATCATTTGGATACAATAACTCTGAATTTATCATTATTTTTTCAGCTCTTTTATTTGGCATTTGAACTAACGTGTAAACTAAATTTTTCTCATCAATTTGACTCAGACTTTGATAATCTGCATTCGGTTGGTTGAAATTAGGACTTGATTGGTCGCAAAATATTTGAACTTTATCAGAACTACTGTGACGAATTAAACCTTTTTGCTTTAGTACTTGACCATTCCATTGTGTAGGGATTATTATGTTCTCTTTAATTCTTTCCTTTTTCAGCTCTAGGTCTAGATTTTGACCCTGATTATTTCCAAATATTGAAGATATCACACTTTGACCAGTATCTGAATTATCTTGATAAATATCAACTCTAGATTTTTTTTTAAGTGGTAATTCTTTGTCTATTGATTGTAATGCAGAACCCCTTTTTAATGCTAAAACATTACCCATCTCCCCTCTTGAAGATGACATTTCATTTTCTTGTAGTTCCCATCTCTTTTTGAAGCTATCGTAGGATCGCTGTAGTCTCGCCAAGGGGAATGCTTTATTCTGTATTCCTAATTCATAGATTTGATTAGCATCAACATACTTTCCGGAAACTTCCAAATGTTGGGCAAATTCTTCGTAAAATAATGCTGATTGATTTCCAATCTCTTTTTTAGCCAAGTAAACATAAACATCTCGTGGAGTATCGCAATATTTTGTATATTCGAGCCAAACTTTAATATATCTGGAATCATTTTTATATTGATTTATGTCCCTGAAGTTTGAGGTACATCTTTCCAATAAATTTATTAGATTGCTGTCGGAATTAGCACCCTGAGGAAAGTTTCTATGAGTCCAATCAATATAGTCGAGATATAATTGTAACGGATCATCTAGTTCATCTATTGATTGTAACTTTAATTCAAACTGATCCTTTTCTTCTTGTAGTCGTGATTTAGTTTGAAAATATTCATTTTTGTTTGAGTTCTTGATTGTTTCCGTTAATTTTGTTATTGACCTCCCTCCCAGTAACGGGTTTATATTTTCCTTATGCATTTCAATCACATCAATGCTACTTGGTGACGTTGTTTTCATTTATTTTTGTAGTTTGAATTGACATAGATGATAAATGTAAACAAACGAATTTTAAAAATTGCGCGTTACTTAGATTTTAGATTCAAATCTGACTGGTTCTGTTTTAACATCAAGATCAATAAGAATAGATGAGATTGTTAGCACGAGCGATCTGTACCGTACTTTGGATCAAATTTATACTTGCAAATGAAAGCTATCATGAAAGTTTAGATCTTAAGCCACTACCTAGAAATAAATTGTTAACTGGGTTCAATTTTCACACAGAATCGTCACCATTTCAAATTTTAAAAGATGCTGATATAAATGATTCAACAACCTCCAAAATTAGTCATTATACTTTATTTCCAAACACATTGGGTCCGATACTAGAATCTACAGACACAAGAGAATTATCTTTGAAATTTACACAAGGTTGGTGGGATTCTCAGTCTTGGGGCAAATTACCGCATGATGGATTTTTTAGTGGTGGAACTGGTGTTGAAGTAGTTGCTGTGATTGAAGCATCTAACGTTTTAGATGCCAAACAAAAATGGTCGAAATTAACCAAAATTTTATCAGGATTCTTTTGTGCTTCACTCAATTCGATTAATGATGAAATAACAACTTTTCCAAAATATGCTGTCGAAAATGTAAATATTGAGAATTATCGAGCTCGCTTGGGCAATAAATTATTTATATTCAGAGCTTCATTACCTAGTGAGCCAGTTTGTACCGAGAATTTAACGCCTTTTATCAAACTATTACCAACAAGAGGGAAAGCTGGTATATCATCACTTTTAGATGGTCATAAATTATTCGATTCCTTGTGGCACGGTATGTCAGTGGATGTTACAACTGTCTGTGATGACGAGAATAACTGTAAATTAAAATTACATCAAACCATTAATCAAGTTATTGATGTCATAAGATCAATTCGTAAAAAAGCTGAAGGTAATATACCTAAACCCGTCTCGGGGGATAAATTGAGATGTGATCAGAATAAAACACAAAATATATGGCAATGCTTCCCATTGAATGATCCAACAAATTTGGAATGGAGTTTAGCAACTTTATTTGGAAGAAATATAAAAGGTCCTGCGTTCGAGGATGATCCAGAAGTAACAAGAGTTAACGTTGAATTTAATCCTTCATCATGGCAAATAGAAATGCAAAGAGATAATCCAACAACAATTATTACCAACTCGTTAAACACTCATGGTACAATTAAAGCTTCAGAAGTTATAAATGAACAATACAGTTATGATTTTAAGTTTGTTTCTACAGACAGTAATGACGTTGTACCAATTCAAGCACCTCCATTGCAAGTTTCTCGCTCTTTGATGGGTTATTCATTGGACAATGGTGGTTTACGTTCGGCTTTCACAAATCCCAGCGATAAAGAGGTGGATTTTATTTATTTCGAGTCATTACCCTGGTTCATGAGATTATATCTTAGTAGTTTGGAACTTACTTTAAAAAACTCAACAGGCTCGTTTCTGGTTACTGATCAATCGAAATATATCAAACAAAGTTATTATAGACCATCTCTGGATAGGGAAAGGCCGTCTCATATGGAATTAGTAATGTCAGTGCCTCCGAATCTGACACTAGCAATGACCTATGAATTTGATAAATCTTTATTACTTTATCGTGAATACCCACCGGATGCAAATCATGGATTTGATGTTGAACCAGCAGTGATAATCGTGAAAGATAAGAACGATCTGAAAATTTATGAATTCAGAACTACAAGTTTATTACTAACCCTTCCTACTCCGGATTTCTCCATGCCTTATAACGTTATCATTTTGACTTGTACTGTTTTATCTTTAGCATTTGGTGTTGTATTTAATTTGTTAACAAAAAAAACGGTGACTGAAGAAGAATTTGAACAAGTTTCTCAAAATAGTAACTTTGCAAAATTAAAAACTTTGGTGCTATCAAAAATCTTGAGAAAAACTAAAATAGATTAAAATTTGTACATAAAGCATCAATGATATTCAATTTGACTGGGTATTTTAAAGTATTTATTCTATAAGCTATATATTTAATTGAAATCGTAAATAACTTTAAAATGGGTCTTCGTAAGGGTCTTCTTCATCATAATCATCGTCTTTTTCAAATTCATACACAATTGCCCCTCCTGCAGACCCTAAAGCTTCCTGTGCTTGCATAAAAGGCAATTCTACTTGTTCTCTTGCTAGTTTTTCTTTATCACTGGTTGTTAAATTAAATGTTGTTAAATCTTTTAAAAGCTCTTCATCTTCAGCGTTTTCCGACAGTGATTTTTCATTTATAACCTCATATTCATGCTTTTTGGAGTCAATTTTGAATCTATATACTAACGATCGACCAGACTTTCTTCTATTAGTTAGCACAACCTTAAAAATCTCATTGTTTAAATTGTAATTCACCGGAAAGTTCAACTTCAGTATGTTTCCATCAAGAATCTCATCATCTTGGTTTACAAGTGGCACTATCTCAAAAATAGAGCTTGCAATGTATGTTAGTAATGACATATTCGATGGATAATTTGTGTATTTCATGAAAGGTGCCACACAATTTGTATGGTATGAGGCTACTACTACCAGCAGTGGTGTAACTAAGCTTGCTATGAATTGAGTCAAACTCTCATTGGTTATATAGTTCAACGAATCTATAATTATTACACTTTTGGAAGAAGTTGATGATGTTTGATTTCTTTCGGAATTGGCTTTTACGAATTTAATGACATCCGCTAGTGGGGTTATAGTACAGTCCAAAAACTCAGCTGCATAATTGGGTTTATTTACTGTTTCATAAGATAAATATATAATTGTATGATTTGACTTGATTTGATATATATATTCTTGTATTAAATGATATGATGATTGACTCAAAGAGTCTAGCAAAAGATGAAATGATGAATTTTCTCGAAGCGATAGTAGTCTATTGAGTAAAACGGTAGCATTTTGGTTCGACATTATTCTTCTTTCAGTGTGTATTAATTGAAAATGCTTAGTCTTCCGACTTGTTTGATGTTGTAAGAGTTGCAGAGATCTTTGCAAACACAAAATTGCAAAATTAAACTTTTATTAAGTTCTCAAAAACCACCTTAAATTTCATAAATTTATTCAAATTATTCCCATATTTTCAAACAAATGCTGAAAAATGGAGCTACGAATCGACTCACTGGAAGCTATACGATATCAGAGGTATTAAATAACGAATTGCAAAAGGAATTCGAGCGAGATGTTTCAGTATCTAACCAAACATTACAAGATGAAATCAATAAAAATGATTATAACAAACAAAAACGACCTATGAATGGAAATTTTACAGATGAAAGAACTTATAAAGATATCATGAAAGAAAGGGATTTGGAAAGGGAGGAGAAGAAGGTACAACATTTTCTTAAGGAAGGAAGTTTGAATGGGACCAATTCAGCGATAGAGATGAAAAAGAAGAGAAAATTAAATGATGGTAGTGAAGAGGTAACAGGAGCTGAGCTCGAGAAGTCAAGTTTAGTGCAAGAAATTAAGGAGAAAAACATTCCTGTGATAAGTGGTATACCATTAACTGATGAAATCTTGAGCAAATTATTACCAGAGGGGTTTATTAAAGTAGAGGTACCTCCCGAATACCAACAAATCACGCTTGCATCAAAGCCAGATATATCTTCTTCAACAACCCAGGACAATTATTTTCCACCAACAAATGAGGAGGCAAAAATTTCTACCTCATTTTCGGCTAATGATATAACAGCTGAGTATGGTTTAGAGTACTTTAAGGAGGAAGATGTGAAATATTTTGGAAATTTACTAAAGATCAATATTGACGACTTAAACGATGAGGAAAAGAAAGAAGTCCAGTCAATGAAATTAATTTTAAAAGTCAAGAATGGTACTCAAATTGTGAGAAAAAAGGCTTTGAGATCGTTGACAGATAATGCAACAAAATTTGGCCCCAAAATAATACTAAGTCAGGTTTTACCAATAATACTCGAACCAGCCTTGGGAGAATTAGAAAAACATTTATTAATAAAACTTGTGGGAAAAATGATACATCAATTAAACGCTTCGATACGGCCTTACACCCAAAAAATAATACACGTTTTATCACCGTTTTTAATTGACGAAGATAGCACTTTGAGAAATGAGACAAGATCAATACTCACGAACTTGGTAAAAGCTGTGGGGTTTGGTACTATGATATCTACATTAAGGCCTGATCTTGATCATGTCGATGAATATGTCAGAAATCTCACGTCCAGAGTGCTAGCTATAGTTGCTAACACTTTAGGTCTATCACAATACCTTCCTTTTGTTAAAGCTGTTGTGAAATCACGTAAAAACTGGACCGCTAGACACACTGGTATCAAATCAGTTCAACAATTGTGTATAACATTAGGAAAAGGAAACGGTTCAGTGATACTACCTTATTTATCCCAATTAATTGAAATTTTGAGTCCAGCCATTCATGATGAGTCACCTCAAGTGAAAGCCATTACAGCCAATACTGTTGCACAATTAGCGGAAAATGTTGCTCCTTACGGTATTGAGTCATTTGAACAAATATTGGAACCACTTTGGTTTGAAATTAGAAGACAGAAGGGTAAAAGTTTAGCAGCATTTTTAAAATGTATTGGATCAATAATCCCTTTAATGGCTTACAACCTAGACTATGAAGAATACACAAATTATTATACGACTGAGGTTATGCACGTAATTATTCGTCAATTTTCCACACCTGATGAAGATATGAGAAAAACAATTTTGAAAATACTAAGTATATTACCATTGTCAGAAAAATTAGTCCCAGAATATCATGATAAGTTAGTGAAACCATTTTTTAAATCATTTTGGAATAGAAGAACGGCATCCGATAATTTACAAATAGTTAATCTCGTGGTAGCTGCTACAAATCATTTAGCTATAAGATTTGATTTCCTGACTATTTTAAATAATATAATATATTTCAGCAAAGATGATAATGAACAACTACGAAGATTATCAATTGAAGCATTAAACGTGACAATCTCTAATCAACCAGATGAGCTAGTTGGATTCCTGCCACAACGAATTGAAAGTTTAGTCGATGGTGTTTTATTTGCATTTCAGGAACAATCGAATCAGAATAAAATTTACTTACGAACATTTGGAACAATAGCAAACGCATTAGGAGTAAGGATGAAACCTCATTTAAATTCAATCATTAGCTCCGTCTTGTACAGAGTAAAGAATAAGTCTCCTGAAGTAAGACAACAATCATTTGATTTAATTGCAATAATAGCACCTGTCATCAAACTTTGTGCTGAATCTGATGATAATATTTTACAAAAGCTTATATTAATATTATATGAATCATTAGGTGAAGTTTATCCAGATGTGTTAGGGTCAATAATTAATGCGTTATATTCATGTATTAATTCACTAGAAAAATCAATTTTACTTGAAATGGATAATCCATCGGTAAATCAAATATTGCCAACGTTAACTCCAATATTGAAAAATAGACATGAAAAAGTTCAAGAATCGAGTATAAAATTAATTGGATTGATTGCAACCAAAAATGCTGAAACTATAAATGCAAAAGAATGGATGAGAATCTGTTTTGATTTATTAGAAATGCTTAAATCGAATAAAAAAAAGATCAGAGTCGAAGCAAATGCTACATTTGGGTACATATCAAAAACGATTGGACCACAAGATGTCATTGTCATGTTGTTGAATAATTTGAAAGTACAAGAGAGACAATTAAGGGTCTGTACGGCAGTTGCAATGGGAATTGTCGCAGAGACGTGTCAACCCTTTACGGTTTTACCTGCAATTATGAATGAATATAAAACACCCGAAAAGAATGTTCAAAATGGTATTTTAAAAGCTTTGAGTTTCTTGTTTGAATATCTTGATGGTAATACAACGAAGGATTATTTATTTGCTATTACTCCACTTTTGGAAGATGCATTAATTGATAGAGATTTGGTACATAGACAAACTGCTTCCACCGTTGTTTTTCATATTGCAATAAATTGTTATGGAATTATTGAATCCGAATATTATGAAGTTTTTATGCATTTATTAAATTTGATATTACCTAATATTTATGAAACTTCGCCACATGTAATAGCAAGAATTATGGAAAGTTTAGATTCTTTAAGATTAGTTTTGGGAAATGGAATTTTCATGAATTACGTCTGGGCTGGTTTATTTCATCCTGCTAGAAAAGTTCGTATACCTTTTTGGAAAGTCTATAATAGTGCTTTTGTTCAATGTAGTGATGCTTTAGTTCCATATTATCCAAGAATAGATCACATACCTGACGACGAAAATGTTTCAAGATATTATGTCGAAGAATTAGATTTATGTTTATAAATACAAGAAGTCTATAGATATTGTTAAGGTATATATACAGCAAAATTTGTAGAATGGTATTGTGTGGAATTGATTTTTGCAACCAAACTTTATAGCGTCTTATCGATCAATTAATTCTCTCCTTTGTTTGGAAAAAGCTTTTGAATCTTAGACTTGGGGGGTAATTTATAGTGACTCTCATTATCATCTTCATCGATTGCATCAGAACAATCATCTTCAATCAGTTGATCATTAGGTTCCAGTTCGTTGTGATATAATCTCGTCACATATTTTGTTACTTTTTGAGCTTGCATTTCGATGATATCATCAACATCAATTAAATTTATGTCAGCATTGGAAGAATCAGAGGGGGTAATTGAATGAGATACTGTACCGGGATAACAATCAAACTTGTATCTTGGACCAACATTTCCATCATTTGTGTCCTCATTACATTTGATAACTAAGGGAATAGATGTTAACCAATTTGTGATTTTTTCATTGTAGGTCATGTTAGTTGCATGTCTTGGGTTCAAATATTCATAGACATCAATTTGTTCAACTTGATTTGGCTGAGGAATACTAGAGTTCTCTTGTTGATGTTGAAAAAGTGATTGATAATATTCAATTTCGTTTGGGTCTAATGGACAATAGTGAGTATCTGGAAATTCATTGATGCCCAGTGGTTTCTGATGATAATGAATGACAGTATAATCATTGTGAGTTTTAAGATGTTCTTCTATATCTTTTGGTATTTGATTTTGAACTCTACTAAATTCTTTATTGGGATCAATTGGCAAAGATCTTGGAATTTCATCTAATTTCAAATTCCCTCTTTTATCCTCACCTTTTCTTTGTAATTCTTTACTAATTTTATTCTTAAAATCTTTAAAATTCGATGATATCTTAGCTAATGATGTATTTTGTTCTGGTAAGTGACTTTGTGTTCTAGAATTCGAATTTGTTTCAGATTGTTTTGTTGTTGTTGATTGATGATTATGTTTAATATGAAGTAAAGGTTTATTTCTAACTATATCACTTGTCATGAGTTTATTGATGATAAGTTATTAAAACTGCTGATCAGCCGACGCTCATTTAATTGAGTTGTTGAAAGTGAATTGATCAAAAGAAAGATGTTATAATCAGATTTGTTTACTTATTTTCTAATTTTTGTACTATTAACTTACATAATAAAAATATTAACTGTCTATAGAATAAATAAATTTGATAAAATGTCATTCAATTTCGATTCATCAATTTCAAAAATAGGAGGAATGAAATATGACAAAATCTTTAATATAGAGTTATTTACATCATTACTGAACACTCTATGTTAAAGTAATGCTATATATTCTATAATGCCTACTCTACTACAACTATTAATGGGGTTTATCAAATTGATTACTTTCTTTTCATTACAATTCTCAGCTCAACATTACTATCAAACATGAGATTCATTTGCGTTAATATAACGAATCCTTGAATTGACGAACTGATAATTTACTTGCTGAAGACCAAGTAGTATGTTATATCATGATTTAAGTAGTATCAAAAATGAGACACGTTACACGTCTAGTAAAAATATTAAAATAAATCGAAATTTTCTCGTTTTGTGTTCTAATCCATAATTATTATCTTCATTCTAAGTTGATGATTAACAACTATACTCAACTTTTTAATTAATTAAGATGGCCAAAAGAAAAATCCCAATCGATGAAATAGAAGCTTATGAAGAGGAAGATATTGAATACCAAGAAGAAGACGAGCCACCAGCAACACAACTGAGAAAGAGATCCAGAAAATCAGATGTAAATGATGATATTGATTTATTAACTCAACGAAACAATAATAATCAATTACATTCAGAAAGTGATAAATTGGATGATATAAACAAAGTTGTAAAATTATTATTATTAAAAGATGTTAAAGGGAAAACCTTTAGAAAGGAAAATATCAATCAAACTCTAACAAACAAAAGATTTAAATCTGATCACTTATTACAGGGAGCTATTAAAATATTGGAAGATGTATATGGTCTAACATTGGTCAATATTCCCGAGGTAAAACAAGAGAAATCCGGTTCTGGATTGCAGAATAATAGAGCAAAAAAGTCAAACTCAGGAACAGCTCAAGCATCACAAGTACTTGTAAATAATTTATCAATAGAAGGAAAACAAGTATTGGGAGAATTATGGCAAAAAAATGTTGAATCAGTGTTAGATAAATCTAGAACAAACGATAACAGGTTCTTTTTACCTTCGAAATCATCCACATTATTACCTAAGTCCAATTTTGAACTAGTTAAAACTGGTATTATGATGCTTTTCATAACGTTTATAATTTTGGAAGATAATCATTTATCTGAATCTCAATTAGTTAAAAATTGTAAAAAATTTGGTATATCCAATTCAATCAATAATAGAAATTCAAACTTAAATATGAATCTTGATGAAATTATAAAAATGTTAATTAACCAAAAATATATTGCGAAAGTAAGTTTATCACAAGACAGAAATAATGAAAGAGCTAGCATTAACGAAGATCAATTATTTGAATATTCTTTGGGTGCAAGAAGTCTAGTTGAGTTCACTCCTATTGATGTATTTCAATACATCAAAACCATCTATGCCGACAAATTTAATGAAGCAATTCAAGAAAGATGCTTAGTTACACTTCGAAACACCTTTGGTGTAGAGGAAAACTTGCTTGATGGAAATTCTGGAAATGAACCTGGCAATGAAATAGCTGATGATGCTCAACTAAATGGTACTTAATAGTTCTTCAACAATAAGAAATTAAATAATCTTTTCACTGTTTCACATGAAATAATACGTAAATTTAAACCTAATCTATAAACTGTTCAAGTAATAACTAAACTAATTATAATTTTACTTCCGGATCTTCTAATTGCATTTTAACAACATCTGGGTACAACTCACCCAACATTCCTCCAACTTGCCATAATCCACCGTCTACAACACTAATAGTACCAGTAACATAAGAAGCTGCGGAAGAAAACAAATATACAGTTGAATCAGCAATATCTTCAGTTGTACCAATTCTACCTATTGGTACTCTTTCATGTAATGGAACTTTAGTTGGAGGATTCAATCTTGCTCCACCTTCTGTGTTACCAATTAAACCTGGAGCAATACAATTCAATCTTATTCCTAAAGGACCCAATTCAATAGCCATTGCATTCATCATTGCATCAACACCTGCTTTTGCGGCACTTACATGTGATTGAAATGGTAAACCTGTGTAATGTAAAGTAGCACTAACAAATATAACTGAACCTTGATTTTTTTGTAATTGATCAAAAGTAGCTTTTACTGTATTAAAAGAACCTAATAAATCAATGTCAACAACTGTTTTGAAAGCATTAGCAGATAAATGATTAAAATCAGCTAAGAAATTACCAGCTGCTCCAGCAATAACATAATCAATTCTACCTAATTCCTTTAATGTGGTTTTAACTGCTTCTACTAATGTTTCAATTTTTCTAACATCAATATTTCCTAATCCCAATACTTTTGCTCCGGGTCTTAATTGTTCAATTTCTTTTGCTGCTTGTTCAGTTTTTTCAACATTTCTTCCTAGTATTACTGCATTAGCTCCTAATAATACTAAAGCTTCTGTTTGAACTCTACATATAGTTCCTGCTCCTCCTGTTACGAAAACTACTTTTCCTTTAAATAAATCTGGTTTCCATACTGATTTCTCAAGATATGATGATGTTAATGTGTTTGGCATGATGATAAGGTTGAGATTGACAAAATTCGTGTGCTTCTGAGAGGCTAATACTTGATTGGATTTAATTCTTTCAATGAATATATTATTGTATCACTGAAACGAATTTGGTTGCATTCCCCACACAATAAAAAATCTGAAAATTCATATGCCACGGTAAAAAAAATAGGTCGAATATTACAAAACCCGACTCATCATTTTTGGACATAGAATTTTAAACAATCAGCATTTTCACTACAATTGAGTCTACAAATCCATATTTCATCAATAACATAAATCTTTGCAATCTATCTATTAAATTTTTAAATTCTATTTACAAAAATCTATGACATTAAAAGATCCTTTGAATCTCATGCTTTTAAATTTCTATTATCGTTTCCAAATATATTACCTAATTGTTTTAATGACATTTGATATAATAACAACATAATTGAACTTTGTATACCTGTCCATATGAATCTTGGACCGACACCACTAAATGCACCTAATATTCCTTCATTTTTGTATATAGAAATCAATGCTCTTAAAGTTTCATTATTATTTACAAATTTAATTGGAATTTTCAAATTCTTATTTAAATCCGATGTGTTTGTTGCAGTTTGTATTCTAGTCTTTATGACATCTAATGGAGTCGTTAGCACTCCTGCCAATCCACCAGCAGCTGCACCAGTAAACAACTCTACAGGTACTGATAAATCCGTGGAGTCATGATTATAATATATCGCTAGTTGTCTGAATTTTTCATAAAATGATAATTGTAATGCACTGAAAGGTAAATCTCTAAATAAAGTTTCTTTATATCCAAAAAAGAAAGTCTTTAAACCTTCTTTTTTATATATTGTTATAATAGCATTTATTAATCCCTTATAATTATATCCGCATTCCTTTGTATACGGATTATTATATGTCCCTTGTAGTTGTAATCTTGTTTTTAATACTTCTGACGGTACGTAAAATACAGATGATGCTAAATCTCCAAATAAACCAGCTATAAAGTATGATAATGTTTCATTCATATTAAAATCATTAATTAATTTTCTTTTAGTATATTCATAAGTTCCAAAAAATGCAGCAGTTGATGGAAACGAACCTAATACAGCTGGTGTATAACCACCATATAAACCTCTGAAAAATCCTTCTTCTTTTAGTATGGTTGTATAAGCAGGTATCATATTTTTATATTTTAAATTGAATGGATAACCTTGTTGTCGTGTCTTTACGGTATCTAAAGAATGCATTACACTATCCCCAACTACACCTCCAAATCCTCCAGCCAAAGCACATTGCCAAATTGGTGCTCTATTTTCTAATTCAGTATCTGTGGGGTCAGTCGGTGATGGAATATGATTATGTTTTCTATGTGAATGATGTCCGTCATGAGGTTCAAATGTTAACGGTATTGTCGAAGTCGTGAAGAGTTGTGACATATCATATGGAAATAGTTGTATGTTCTTCTTATTTTGTTGTTATATTGATTCTTTGTACATGCAGCTGATTGGCTCGAGGTCCTGAGTATGAGGAATAGTTGATGGTGATGGTGATGTAAATGAGTGAATTGGCAACTCAAGTTTTTGAAATGATTGCAATTAAGTTCCAACTATGTCTGTGGATGAACCGTTGATTCAAGATAATACACACAATGAGTTCTTCAAAATTTATGAATTTATTTGTCTGATTATCTAGTGTTTTGAAAAAAAATTCTTTATAACTTCTCTCTCTTCGTTTCAAATAAATTCAAATAGGGTTTGCTTGAACCCACTAAATTAGAATATGGAAGGAAGTTTGATTAAATTCAGATACTAGAGTTGTTATAAGTTGATTCCTGTATTACAATTTTACAATTAAATTTTCCTACTTGATCTGTTGCATAAAATTATTCACTAGAATTAACACCGTTTTAGTAAAAATCAATATCTCCGAGACCAAAAGAAAAAAGTATAATGCAATCAATAATAATATTTTTTTGCAATTTACGATGTTTCATCTTCAAGACATCTCAAAACTATACAGAAACTATGAATAAGAATATGATATGATACTACTTAAAAACAGATTTACATATAAATCTATATTTCAAAAATCAAAACTACCGAGTCAAAGTCATGTCATAAGAACATACAAAGTTTTAGCTATTGAATCATCTTGTGATGATTCATGTATTGCATTATTAGAAAGAACTAAACCAAATCAAACTCCAACAATAATAGATCATACTAAAAAAACTTTAAATTCAGCAGCAGTTGGTGGAATTATGCCAACTGCCGCATATACATATCATATGTCAACTATAGCTAATATGTGTATTGAATTTTGTTCAAAACATAATTTATCTGCTCAAACTCCACCAGATTTAATTTGTGTTACTAGAGGTCCTGGAATGGCTGGATCTTTAAGTAGTTCAACTGAATTTGCAAAAGGATTAAGTGTAGCTTGGAATGTTCCATTAATTGGAGTTCATCATATGTTGGGTCATTTATTAACTTCTTTTCTTCCAACAAAGGAATCAGAACAAAAACAACCACCAAATTATCCATTTTTAAGTTTATTATGTAGTGGAGGTCATACCATGTTAGTATTACTGAAAAGTGTATCAGAACATGAAATTATAATAAATGTTAGTGATATAGCAGTTGGAGATTCTTTAGATAAATGTGCTAGAGAATTAGGATTATATGGAAATATGTTAGGAAGAGAATTAGAAAAATTTATAAATGATATACCAATAGAAGAAATTGAAGAATTTAAAATTTTACCAATAGATACAAGATTATCAAATAAATATAATTTCAAATTAACTTTACCTTATCAAAATCCTAAAAATGGTAAATTTCAAGATGATATAATTCAATTTGCATTTGCTCAATTCTTGAGTAATATTCAACTGTATAAAAAAAAATTTATAAATTCAAATATCATTGAGGATGAGAAAATTAAAAGAATGATTGCTTATAAGACTCAAGAATATATTTTTGATCATATTATTGATAGAATTAATTTAGCGTTTAAAAGGCATGGATTAAACCGTAGTAAAAGTGATGGAAAATTTATTGGAGTTAAAGATTTTGTATGTTCAGGTGGAGTTGCTGCAAATAGTAGATTAAGAGAAAAACTTTTTAATAATTTAAATTATAATGAAATTGGTTCAAATCCTTTAAATTTTCATTTTCCTGATCTTTCATTATGTACTGATAATGCTGTAATGATTGGTTATGCAGGGATGGAAATATTTGAAAAGCTTAAGTTAAAAACAAATTTAAATTTTATTCCAATAAGGAAATGGCCATTAAATAAATTACTTTCAGTTGAATCATGGGTTCAAGTTAATGATGATGAAATTAATAGAGTTTGTAAATATAATTTATAGAAATTTATAGAAACATTTTGTAAATAGAAATAATGGGTATTAATTTATTTATTTCAACTAAATATCAAATTGAATCTTCAATTGGCATTCGATCTTCTTCTTCATCTCTATGACCTAAAAATGATTCAGTTATATTAAATTCTTCAATAAAATTTTGCCATACATGATAATCAAATGTTGCAACATGATGAGAAGATAATAAAGTTGAACTATCTAATTTTGATTCTGCTAATTCTTTTGAACTTACTCTTTTTATACATGGATGACCAGTAATTGTACTTGTATATAATTTTAATCTACCATCTTTTACTAAAAAACTTGTATAAAATAAATTTTCAACTGATTGAGCAAAAGATTCAGGATCAATAAAAAATTGATAAAAATTTATTTCTTCTTGTGGATCCTTTTTTAAATATGTATCATAAACTAATCTTACCATGTGAGCTGTATTTTTTTCTTCATCTCCATTTATATCAGTTGCTGCTACTGCTCTTGCTGTTGTAGAAGATCCATTTTTTTTAGTATCATCTATAGTTCTTGTTCTTGGAGTTAATTTTCTTTTTTCACTAGCTAATGGACCATTTAAAAATTCAATAGATATAGGTTTTTTACTAACTTGATAATATAGTATACCTAATTTTAACCAATTTACAGTATTAAATTGAAATTCTCCTTGTATAAAATCATTTTCTTCATCTTCATCATCTTGATCAATTTCCATATCATCATTTTCTTCTTCTTCTTTTAAAATTGAATCATCAGTTGCAGCAAATCTTTTTAATTTTTTAAAAACATCTTTATCATCTAATGCAATTCCATGATCACCAAATCTTAAATTTCTTGCATTTAAAGCAGCAAAACCAGAAACATCTTTAAAAACTTCACTATCTTCTAAATGAATTTTTGTATCTCTTACTTTTTCTTTTTCTAAATTTTCATATAAATCTTTAATTTCATCAATATATTTGATTGTTAATTCTGTTGCTTCACCTGCTGCTGCTTTTTTAATATTATTTTTAACATTTTTACTTAATGTACCATATGATTCATAATGTTCTTGTTTCGAGTGTTTTCTAATTGATTGTGTTTCTACTTCCGTTTGTGTTTGAGTCATACTTGTAGTATCTTTGTGTGCGTGTATTGATGGTGTATAAAATTGAGTACCAACTTAATTTGACGAGTTGGATACTTGTAATCGATGGTTAAATAGGATCTGATTCAAAGGTTACTGGTTCTTGTTTATAAGAATCTTATTTATTCTAAAAATTATAGACTACTTTACACACAAAATGAAAAAAATCAAATTAATAAGTTACACGCGTTTCCATGATTTAACAAGTGTTGCAAAAAAAATTGATTAAAGTACTTGGGTAGGCGTCACTTTAAACGCATCTTATCAAGTTCAATCAAATCAGTTGAAGATGACTTCAGGATGAGTAACGACACAAACAAGAGGATACATAAACTAGATGATTCAGTTATAAATAAAATAGCAGCAGGAGAAATTATAATTCAACCTGCTAATGCGTTAAAAGAAATGTTGGAAAATTCAATAGATGCAAAATCAACAAATATTGAAATAATTGTAAAAGAAGGTGGATTAAAATTATTACAGATTACAGATAATGGAACAGGTATAAATAAAGATGATTTACCTTTATTATGTGAAAGATTTACTACTTCTAAATTAAATAAATTTGAAGATTTAGAAACTATTGAAACTTATGGATTTCGTGGTGAAGCATTAAGTAGTATATCTCATATTTCAAAATTATCTGTTATAACAAAGACTAAAGATTCAAATTTAGCATATAAAGCTTATTATATGAATGGTCAATTATCAAATTCAAGTTTTAAATCATCTACTATTGATATTGAGCCAAAACCAATTGCAGGTAGAGATGGTACTCAAATTATAGTAGAAGATTTATTTTATAATCTACCTTCAAGATTTAAAGGTTTAAAAAGTAAAAGTGATGAATTTGCTAAAATTATTGATATTGTGGGGAGATATGCAGTACATACTCAACATGTTGGTTTTAGTTGTAAAAAATTTGGTGATCCTTTACATCAATTAAATACTAGAACTGGTTTACCTTTAAAAGAAAGAATTCGAATAGTTTATGGATCAAATATAGCTAATGAATTATTAGATATTGAATTTCTGGATGAATTATTAAATCAAGATTTAGGATTATTGAAAGTTTCAGGTGCAATAACTAATGCAAATTATAATAATAAAAAAAAAATTCAACCTATTATATTTATAAATCATAGATTAGTTAATTGTGATCCTTTAAAAAGAGCAATTAATTCAATTTTTCAATATTTTTTACCAAAGGGAAGTCATCCATTTTTTTATATTAGTTTACAAATAAAAACTGAAAATTTGGATGTTAATATTCATCCAACAAAAAGAGAAGTTAGATTTTTAAATGAAGAAGAAATTATTGAATTAATAGTTGGTAAAATTCATACTATATTATCAAGTGTTGATACTTCAAGAAAATTTAAAACTCAAACTATTATAAATAAAAGAAATTCTTATGAATTAGATGAAGAAAAAATTGAAGAATTTAAAAATCAACCTTTGAAAAAATATAGACAAGAAAATAAATTGGTTAGAGTTGATGCTACTCAATCGAAAATTAATCCATTTTTAGTTAAACCAGAATCTTTGAATGATTTTAAATTTACTGAAAAAAATTCAACTTCAACTCAAGAACAACTGCAACGACAACAACTGCAACAACAAGGTTTACAATTTCCTGATGATATATTACTTACAACTCAATCTCAATCTCAAATAGAAATAAACCCATCAAGAACACAAGTTGATGTTAACCTAGATTCAATAAGAAGTTTAAAACAAGAATTATCAGAATATGTAGATAAATCAATAACAAATATTTTTAATCATGCAATTTTTATTGGTATAATAGATCCATTAAAAAGATTATGTTGTTTTCAATATGATGTTAAATTATTTTTATGTGATTATGCTTCTATATTATTAGAATTTTATTATCAACTTGGATTAAATGAATTTAATAATTTTGGAGAAATTGAATTTGATGAACCAATAAGTTTAATTGATATATTAAAACCAATTTATGATTTAAATTCTGATGAATTAATACCAATGGATCAAGTTATAAATAATATTGCATCAATGAAAGAAATGTATAAAGAATATTTTCAAATTTATATAGATGATAATGAAAATTTAATTACAATTCCAATGATTTTAAAAAATTTAAAACCAGATTTTAAAAAATTACCATTTTTTATTTATAGATTAGGTACAAAAATTAATTATAAAAATGAAAAACAATGTTTAAATGGTATATTAAGACAAATTGCTTTATTTTATTTACCTGAACCATTTAATGAAGATGATATGTTACCCCATGAATTTGAAACAAAAAGATCTGAATTGGAAAATCAATTAGAAAATTTATTATTTCCTGAATTAAAAAAACAATTTTTAGCTACTAAAATTTTACAACGTGATTTAATTCAAATTGCTGATTTACCTGGATTATATAAAGTTTTTGAAAGGTGTTAGGAAAAAGATGGTGACGGATCTAATGGGGAGTTAATTACAGATATAAGTAGCTAATTCTACGATTTTGCATTCGATAATTAATAATTGCAAACAAAATAAATAAGATAATCTCGCTAATAAAATATTTTCCCCTTTTGCATAAACCCGAAGATGTTTCATGCTCTGATAATTTATTTACACTTGAACAACTCACAGTAAATAGTAGAGTTATCGAAAAAGCTTACACCAGCTCGAATGTGTAAAAGTTCTTTTATATCCATACTTAGATTGTAAGAATCAAACAAACCAATGACCAGGTTAAAAATCAAACAAGAATGAGCCCGTTGTTCATATGATTAAATATATAAAAATTTTGTTAACACAAAATGTAGAATGGGCTGCTATACAAAAGCACACCTACCGAAAAAAGCACACCTTGATTTTGTGTGCATTTTGTATGAGAATTTAAGCTATACAAAACAAAATTTGGGACATTTTCAGTACTTGAGCACACCTGACCAAACATAATTTAATTTTGAAGCTTCAATCTTAAACCTGGCAGTTAGGGATACTATTTCTCCATCTATTCATAAAGTTTGGTGGTGAAAGACCAATTATGATGTGCTCAAATTCGGATTCAAAAAAAAATCACTTTTTTGAGAGAAAATTATTTATCTCTCTAACCCACCCAAAACAGCTACGATCAAGCTCAAAATTTGATATTATATCTGAAATTAAGTACTAAAACTGCCAGACTATTCAAAATAAAATTTGGAAATTTTGATATAGTTGAAATATTGATGTTTCGAATTTTTTGCAACTAATTTAGCGCAAAAAATTTGTTCAAATAACTAAGGTGTGCTTTTTTCGGTAGGTGTGCTTTTGTATAGCACCCCATTCTATGACTCGGAATTAATTATTAATTGAAAAAATAATCGGTCTTAACACAAAAGGAGAAAAATCTTCGTATCATGAGAATAAGAATACAAGAGCAGTCAAAGTATAAAAACTGTGTCGAAGGTGAAGAAAAAGTAGAGAGTGACAGCCACTTGATCTCTCCTAACCCCTGAACTATCCCTTGCTTTTTTCTGCTTAATTTATAAACTTCATAAACGTTTGTCGAACAATCTAATCTCTATCGTATATAAAAAAAATTTGATTAAACTTAATAAGTGAAAATTAATTGATCGTAATTTTAAATATTTACCCCACAAAACCGAAAATTTAATATTTATTAACACCTAAAACTTGAATATTCAAGAAACGTGAAAAAGTTAATTGTGAGTTGGATCAACTGGGATTGGTGTTGTTAAAGACTGACCTATTTCAAGAGAAAACAACGTCCTTTTGAAAGTATAGTTTTGAAGATTCACTTGTGAATGAAAAAGTATTTAAAGATCTATTCAAAGATGGCTGAAAGTATGGTTATGAATGACCTAATAGCTTATGAAAGTAGTATATGGGCAGATACGGAGAGTTTGAGATTGATAAAACAATATATGTACGGCATACATCTATTCACTTGGTCTAACTAATCTCCTTCTTATCTTAATTAAATTAAGAGAAAAAATTAATAACCTCTTAGCTTATTGATTATTAGTCTATTACTTTAATTATAATAAATTTTATTGATTTACTTAATTAAGTAATTTGTTTCAAATATTTAACTATAGAAACAGCTACCAGTTGAGGAGAAAAAATATATTATTATTATTAGCTTAACACCAATATTGATCCTCTGATATTACACCAATGAGTAAGTCGGTTCATTGAATAGGTACAGCTTCAGGGATATAGCCAAACCCTCTATGTTTGTAGTTAATAAGTAGTTGGATCCGTCAATGGAACATAGCTAGTTTCTTCCTTGTACCCATTTGAATGATAAATAAAAACTTAAATTAATAAAAGACAAAAATCAAACGTTGGTTGTAAAAAAATAATTATTTTTTTTCCAACATACTTTAAATTAATTTATTAGTAGAGTATATAAATTTCAACATTTCCAATTTATTTATTAATTTTATATTTACAACCAATAACTTTTGATTTTTACAGCCACATCAAACTATTGAATCAGTTGACTTATACAATAACCACTAACAAATAGCATTAAGTGGATTATCACAACAATAGTAATTGGATCATCACCAAAAGGATACACTTTTTTCAATTCATCCGAACAATATTTTATTTCTTTAATTCATTTACCCTATTTTCAGTATTCAATATTCAATTTGATTACTTTGAATGAATCATTCATAAAGTTTTTATTCATCAGTCATTCCTTATATCTAGAACAATAGCATTCACAGAATTCAATTTATAACTGTCAACAATTTAAAAGAACATTATTTTTTTATTTAATTCGAAATACCTTATAAAAGTCATTGTCACATTAATTAATCAGTAACTCTTAAAAATCACAATGTATATTGAAAGTTCTATAAATGATAAATACATTGGTACATTAAATTTTGGATGTTTTCCAAAAAATGTTTTACAATTTCAAGAAAGTCAAGATTTATTTCAACAATTAATTTTCATTGATTATCAATTACAATTATTAATTAATAATGAATTTAATGGACAAGAATTAACTACTTTATCAAATTTTCAAGGTATAAATAATCCAAAAGAAAAATTAATTCAATTAATTAATTATACAAATTCAATAAATATAAATTATAATAAAGAAAATAGATCATATGAAGAAAATTTATATTATATTGTATTAATTTCTCATTTATTATATTTAGATGGAAATTTAATTGAAATGAATAAAATTCTAAATTCAATTAATGTAAGTTATCAAGTAAATAAAAATTTAAATGTTTCAATAAATACTTTAGATTTTATTTCTTATTTAACTGTTAGATATTATACTTTATATGGTTTAAGTACTATTCATCCACAATTAGAAATTTGGTTTCAATATCTTGATAATTTTAAACATCCATTTTCAAAATCTCAAGTTATAGCAAATCATTGGTTAGATCTTTTATTTAAAAAATTAACTATAGAATTAAGTAAAAATGGTACAATACAATTTTCATTTGTTAATAATATTTCAAATTTACCATTTTATAAAAATAAATTATCAATTATAAGTTATTCAAATTTTTTATTAAGACCTGAACAATATCAAATTATTAATAAATCTTTTAAAACTGATTATTCATCATATTTAAATATTGAAATTAATGAATGTATTCATCTGAAAATTCAATTTCCTGATGCAAATGAACCAAATAATCAAGTTAATGATTTTATAAATAATTTATATGAATCATTAAGTTATGTTCCTTTTAATTTAGCAATTTTTAAACCTTCATTAAGTAAAAAATTTTTAATTGATGCAACAACAAAAACTTATCAAAGTAGAATTGTTTTATCAAATTTTATTTATACATTAATTGATTTAAATGAATATGATGAAGCATTAGCTGGGTTTAATACTTATATTGCATATATTGAAAAAGATCAAGAATTAAAAGAAGGTTATATTGAAGATATTTTATCAATTATTGATACTTATAGTACATGTATAATTCATTTTAATCCATTAAAATCATTTGCTAAAAATCCAAAATTTAAATATACTGATGAACCAATAGTTTTAGATAATTTAAAAAAATTTGTTAAAGAATTACAACTGTATCTTGAAAAATTAAATAAATTAGTTGATTTAGCATATGATGATGAAAATTATGCAGGTGATAAAAATCCATTATCATTTTTATATAGAAAATATAATTTAAATGTTTTACAATCAGATCAATCACAATTTATTGAATTAATTTCAAAAGCATGGCATTCAATTGGATATTATTATAGTTATTTATCAAATTTTGAATCACCAAATCAAAAAATTTTAGATTTTAATATTTCACAAATTTTAAAAAATTATAAAAATTCTTTAATTATAAATTCAACTGGTAATGTATTATATCTATTTACTTATGCCTTGGCATTAGCAAATACTTCACAATTAAAACCATCATTAAAATTATGTAAATTTATTTTAAAGAAATATCCAGAAAGTTTTAAAACTTGGAATTTATTAGTATTATTAATAACTTCATTTAATAATGATAATGATGAAATTGAAAAACCTGCAGGATTTAATGATAATATCTTACCTGATAATTTTACAAATAGCAATGGTGGAGGACAAATTGATTCTAAAATTAATGGTTATATTCCACCAAAATTAAAAATTAGAGAACCAGAAAAATTTATAAATAAAGCTCTTAATATTTCAGGATTATATATTTTAAAACATCAACAAAGAGATATAAAATTATCATTTGAATCAAAATATGAAATTTTACAATTAAAATTAACTCAATTAGCTGTATTAGAATCAATTCATGGTTCTCAATATATGATTGATTATATTTCAGAAGTATTTGTATTATATCATGAATTATTTGATATAAATTTAAATAGTTCAAGTTCTTTATCATCAAGACAATTTGCAGCAAATGAAAAATGGTCACATAGACCAAGTTTTATTGATCCAAATGAATTAAATAATGTTAGAATGAATTCTCCAGAACCTTTGAATAAAGCAAATGCATTACCTTCAAATCCTCCATTACAACAACAACAAATACCTCCACAATCATCACATTCAACCAATCATCAAAATGGTGGTGAAAAAATACTTACTTCATCAAATTCAACAAAAAAGCATAGTCATAATCCAGTTGATAGATTAAAAAGATTTTCAAAAATTCCAAATTTACCAACAAGAGATTCAATATTAGGTAGAAGAGATTCAATAATGAGTACTAAATCAAATACATCAGCAACTTCATCAGGTATTGCATCTGTTAATTCTGCTCCTCATCATATAAAAAAACCAGAATTTAAAAATGGTAATATTTTTGAATCATCAACATCAAATCAACAACAACAAATCAATGAAAAACAAGCTTTAATTCAACCACAACGTCAACCTCCTACTCAGCCACAGAAACATACAGATAATCTCGTGGAACGTAAATTATTACAAGATATTTGGTTATGGACATCAAATATATTTTTAAAAAATGGATTATATGAAGAAAGTGAACAATGTATAAATGAAGCAGAATTAATTTATGAAAATAACTTTAAAATCTTGATAGCTAGAGGTTTTTTAAATTCTAAGACTAAAAAATTTTTATCATTACAAAATTTTGAAAAATCATTAGAGATATTAACTACAACAAATAATAAATTTAATAAATTTGAATTAGGTTTAACAATAATTGGATTATCTAAATTATTTTTAATTGACGATGACCCCAAAAATTCAATATTTATATCAACAAAAGATTATGATGCAGGAATAATAAGAATTAAAAATTTGTTAGAACAATTCTCATTAAGTTTTCCACATGGATTTAATAATATTGAAATTTGGTATTTTTTAAGTAAAATTTATGAAATTATTGATGATAAAATTTTATTAACTAAATCCTTGTGGAAATGTATTGAATTAGAAGATTTAAGACCTGTTAGAAATTTTGAAGTTTGTAATTTAAGTTTATAAAAAGATATTTTAGATAGTTGTTTTAATTTGTATGTAATTTATTTAATATTATTAAAAAGTGAAGAAAAATTATTTATTGAATCCTAGCTACTTAACTAGCTATTGGAAATGTTTTTAATCTTATATACTTAATATTCTTCACCCTCATCGCTTCGTCATCATCATCGTCAAATGCATCAAAATAAATTGCTTATTAAATTAACCGTTCGAAATCTATTTATTTTGCTCCAATAATTGGATTCGCTTTCTTAACTTTTTTTTTATCATCAATTTGTTCAACTTTAACATCTTCTAAACCAGGTTGCTTTTTTAATAACGATTCAATATATTCTTTAGCTTCATCACTAACATCACCTTGAATTAAAATTTCATCTTTTTTTTCAGAATTTTTAACAACACTTGTTCCAGTTGCAAATTTTGATGCAAAAGTTTTTGATAATTTTTTCGAATCTATATTAAATACTTCTAATCCAATAATTGAAATTATATGTTTTTTTTTATTTCTTTCTATTCTTTTTATTATTATTTTTGAATTTTGCTTTTTTTCCAATTCTTTTTGTTGTTTTAATTCTTCTTTTTGTTGCTTTTTTAATAAATCTTTATCTTGAATATTTAAATTTTCAATTGGGATATTTGATTTTTCATCAGTTGTTGAAGTTGATTGATTTGGATATAATTTTGAAAATAATTCTGGATTTTTTTGTTTTAGGGATGTTACACATTGATTTATTGATGCTCCATATTCACAAAATTCTGGTGGAAATGAACAAACTTCACAGTAAGTTACTCTTTTGGGATAAATTTCTGACATTTTATGTAAGTTTTTGGTTTTAAGTTGAAGCAATAGATGTATGTAAGTTTTAATTTAGAATTTGATGTGAAAAATAAATTCTATCGCATATCTATCGTATATTATGTTTTGCGACATAAAACTTGACACTGATTTTGATCTTGATAATACGTGATTAGAACCTACGAAACAAAATAGGTGAAAGAAGTAAAGTTAGAGCTCAAGTGGATTAAAAATTAATAAATAAATAAATATTATTACTTACCTATACTCCCTAATAACACCAATTAGCTCAAAATTTCTCAAGTTATCAATTTTGAAATTGAAACTTTTTCTTCTTCATTACCATTAGTACCAGTTCTTAAATTATTTATACTTGGTAACTTAAAATCATCATTAGGAGGAGCATTGATATTTTCTTTTTCTTCATTTTCAATTTCAATTGATTCTTTTTCTTTATCTTCTTGTTGTTGATGTTCTGCATCTTGTTGTTGCTCTTGTTCTTGTTGATTTTTTTGTTGTTCTTTTTCTTTAATACTCAAATTACTTAAATTTGATACTGATTCAGATTTAGAAATATTTGAGTTTATAGATTTTGGTGAAGTTTCTTGTTGTTGTTGTTGTTTAGTAAATTGTGAAATATTAGGTAAAATAGGTGAAGTTGTTGCTGTTTTTATTTGATCATTATTTGTTGTTGAAATTGAATGAGTTGGTGAAAATCCTCCATTTTTATTGATTTTTGGAGATGTTAAACTTTTTATTGAATTTGGTAATGAAGAAGGTTGTGATGGTGTTGGTGTTTGTTGTACATTAATTTGTGGAATAGGAATTGGTGGTATTGATGGCAATTTTACATCATTTGCTGGGGATGATACTGATATTGAAGATCTTTTTAAATCTTCTTGTTTCAGTTGTTGTTGTTGTTGTTGTTGTTGGATCTGTTTTATAGGGATATTTTGTGAAGCCATTACTGCTGCACTTGCTGCTGTTGATGTTATTGGGGTTAATGAAGGTTGTTTTTGAGGTGGCTGATGAGGTGGAATTGATTGCATTTGTTGTACTGACTGTGATAAAGGTAATTGTTGTTGCTGATGTTGTTGAAGAGATTGTTGTTGTTGTTGTGATGGTTGTCCAAGTTGTTGTGGAGGTGGTGGTTGAGTTGATAATGAAGAAGTAGGAGCATAGACTATACTTCCAGTATTTGTCATAATTGGTACTAATGGACCATAAGCTGATTGAACAATTTGTGGTTGTTGATTTGAAGGAGCAGGTTGACCAATAAAATTGGGACTTCCTGATGGTGGAGCACCTCCATTACTTGGTTGATATCCAGCTTGAATCATAGGAGCTCCAGTAGGTATAGTCACTATTGCACCACTTGCAGTTTGTACGGTTTGTAATGGTTGTTGCTGCTGCTGCTGTTGTTGTTGTAGTTGATGTTGCTGTTGTTGTAACATAGCTAATCTAGGACTTAAATTCGGATGTTGAGGATTAATTCCTAACCCTTGAGGAACCTGTTGTTGCTGATGTTGTTGGTGTTGATGTTGTTGCATTTGTTGTACTTGACTATTCTGTTCATCCATTAATTTTCCAACTTCCAATTTTTCTTGTCTTACATTTTGATTATATTGAGCCATTCTTAAAGCTGATCTTGCATTATTATCTAAATTTAAATAAGCACAATGTAATTTACCTTTTAAACAATTTAAACATGATGGTAAAGTTTCATCACATTTAATTCTTCTTTTTTTACATGTTCCACAACCTAAATGAGAATTTCTATGTTTTCTTCTCAGGTTTTTCTTTTTTCTTTGTGCTGCTGATTCTTTTAAATCTTGTACTTGTAATTGATTTAAATTTGGTGATAAAGGTGATCTTTCTAATTGTTGTTGTTGTTGTTGTTGTTGTTGTTGAAATATATTAGATGAAGTTGGTGGAGTAGTTGATTGATGAATTGCTGACGCTATATAATTTTGATTTGGCATTAAATGTTGTTGTTGTTGTGGAGGTAAAAAATTAGGTTGTGGAGGCGGTGGTGGTTGTAATTGATTTGGAGTTGGTAGTGACATAGAAGGTTGTAAATGTTGTTGTTGCTGTTGTTGCTGTTGTTGTTGTAATAATTGATTTTGTTGTTGTATTGGTATTAAAGTTTGTAATGGTAGTAGAGTGGTGGTTTGAGGATGCATTGATGGTAAAGTATTTGTTAAATGAATATTTTGTGAATTATTAGGTATAATACTTGAATTTCTTGAATTTATATTTGGATTTATAAAAGGTGATGAATTATTACTTGCTTGAGTTGTACTTGTTGTTGTTGCTGTAGTTCCTGTAGAATGTTTCCTTGGAGTATCAGGATTTCTTAGTGCTTTATTATATATATCCATCATGTGTGACTATATTAGTTTGTATATATTAGTTGTAGTTCTAAATAGTGATCCGATTTTAATTATAATATGATACTACAAGTAAAGCTAGATAATATTAGCTAAATTTCTTTAATTATATTGCTTTGAGTATGATAATACAGTATGATTCCAGTTTCAAACACTTTTGATATTTCGATATGATCGTAGTAGATTGGAATTATGCAAACTTCTTTGATGGTGGTTGTATTCTGATTTTTTTAATTGTTAATTGGTTGTCAAAATGCAAATTAATATCAAAAGTTCAAAAGATCAATAAGTTTCAGAAAGAAATTTGATATATCTAATGAACAAAGTTTAAACAAAAACAAAAAACAACTTCTTTTGAATATAAATTTAATTTTACGATGAAAGTAAAAATATTTTGTGAAATTATTATTATGTATTATGATATTTTTATTTTCTTTACTTTTTAGTTTTCGTAAATGATACGTTTTTATATTTTTGGTTAGTGAGTAAATCTAGTCTACTGATTTTAAACTTAATTTTCCTTTTCGTTTTGTGTTTTATCAGTGGAACTTGACAAATCAAATGAAGTTAAATAGTTGGAATAAGGATTGAATATGGAAGTATAGTTGGTTGTCAAAATTCAAAAAATTATCAAATATCAAAATTTATTAATAAAAAGTAAAACATTTAGTAAACTCTCTTTTCCTTTCCAAAATATAAAAAAATGTATGACATATATTTTTACCATAGTAAATCCTGTACATAAGATTTAAATTGTTTTTTTTTTCTCTCTTATTAATTTCGTAAATATCTCTTAATACTAGTACATTCCTGTATATAACATAAAGTTTAAGTTATATACAGGTACGTATCATCTACTTAAAAATTACGCAGCAATAACATTTTTTTTCTCGTATTATATTTAAAATTAATAATACTGTACATAGTTTACGATTTAGCACAACATTACACTACCTCTTATTTTACTACAGTATATTCATACACATCAAAACACAACATAGTATTCTCAATATTAAATGCATTAGATAACTACAATACAAAATGGCATAAAAGACAAGTAGAGTTAAATCACACACACCTAATGATATAATTTTGTTATGTCTTACCCGTACAAATATTCTTATATACAGTCAACATAATTTAATATATAAAATTCGATGGCTGTGTACCTTAATAGTAAATATTATACTTTTTTTCTATTGTTTTTATTATACAAAAACAATAACGGAATTATGAATATTTTACAATGTATTTGACACTCTATCTTCTTTAATATATAATCGATTTGAAGTGTTTGACTTGAGGGTTAGGGTATAACTGATTTCCAATTCACCTATTAGAACAGGAAGTAGTGTTACTTTGTTGAAACAAGATAGATCAGCATTAATAATTAATATTGGCCCCCTTAATAAATAAAAGTAATAATAAATTTTACATAAGATAATAACATTTGATACATTTTTCCTAGTCTTAATAATATTTACAAGATTTACTTAGGAGTTGTTTCAAATTCTCGGTTGATAATATATTCATTGCTTTGATATATATTTATAAGTTGCTGTTGCACTGAGAAGAGAGACATTATTGCTGGCTGATCGTAAATTCTCCAAAGTTGATATATTCTTATAAGTAGTAAATTATTGAAATCAATTAATTTATACTAAATAACAATTCCTCGTAATTTATTAAACAAATTATATTTTATTATTTTCATTGATTTGGCGTATATTTTCAGATCCTATTGTTTAATAAATTGTTAGAAAAAACGTTGAAAAAATTTAACTATGATGGGATTTGAAAATGATGAAGCGATAGGGTAGGTTATGAATCCCACTTACTAGGTTTATTCATTTTCGATGGCAAATTTCAGAGAGGTAATAAATGATTTTAACTTCCTTTCATTTTCTTTTCTTACAAGTTTCAATTTGAAAAGCTTAAAACTAAAAAAAAAATAAAAAATAAAAAATAAAAAATAAAAAAGATGATATCATCGGATATTTGTTTCTAATTTTGTTGAATTTTTTAAGCTTTAAAACAAGCTTTAAACAAAATAATTCCGATTTCAATGGTGGCAAAAGTAAAAAGTAAAAAGCAAAAGACATTCAGTTCAGAAACGTGATGCATTTAAAACAACTGTATCCGACACTAATCATTCTGAAGTTAATTGATTTTCATAATATTTGACGAAAATAAAAAATCCATCTTTACTCCCCCAACGTATTCTCTTAAAAATATTTCAATCCCCATCAATTATAACTGAAATTTACGATATATGTACTTACTTTCTTGCAGTTAGGAAAAATGTATAATATACAGGTATTGTTAGTAGTGAGATATTAAAACAATAAGGAAAATTTTTAAATTTGGGGGTCAACTACATACTTAGTTAGTTACGATTAATAACAATAGAATCAAATTTGTAAGATTTGCTAACTTAGGTGAAATTTAAGAAAATAACGTTTCTCCGTATTATCCAAAGAAGAAGAAATTATCGATTCTATAAAGTTAATAAAATTGAGAAATAATTTTCAATTAAAACGAACTTTTTTGTTTACTGAAATTGATTGAGCTTGTAAATCGACTTGATAGATATTTGATACCTTTTTTTGAAAGTATCTTCCTCATGACCTGTTCAAAACCAAGTATATTTATAGGTAATGAAAACAAATACTCTGAAAATAACAATTACGTCATAAGAAAAGTACAAACTCTTTTTGTGTTACTTTAAACGATTCGAATCGAAAATGAAATTTTTAAAAATTATTTTGCGAGAATATTATTATGCAGTACTTAAGCTTTTCTTTTCTCGGTTAATTCAGGTACCAAAATTAAATTTTAGTTTAATTTATCATATTATATCTAACCATTTTAAACTGAGTCAAGTGTTGTTGATTGATACCAACAATCAATCCAAGTTATCTGGCATATAGATTAGTTGAGCAGATATTTGAACATTGACTCTCCCGATTTATGTTTGTTGATTCAGTTTAGGCTATGGAAACTTTTTTCGAATGAAGATTAATTTTTCTCGTAAATTAACTTCAAAAGGAGATGGATATTGATATTGAATCTTTTTACGAGAGTTTTTAACGACTAAAATAGTACAAGAGCAGAATAGGTCACAAGGCTTCTTATTGTTTTGTTAAATTGAATATTTTGCTCTTGTAAAAAAGTCTAAAATATTCTACTCTTTTGAATTTTTTATTGAGTGAGTTGGTTATCATTAAAAAAAACTATCACCATGTTACTCTAGTTACTTAGAAAGATTTGAATTTCTATTTACGTTCGTAATTTCAATTCTATATTTCATGCATCATACTTATTTGATGTTATTCACTTTCGGGTTTAGTGATTTTTCCAATTTGGGAATGGAATGACATCTTAACTTGTTACATTTCTCGTAAATTTGAACAGGATTTGAACCCCAGTTAAATTTAGAAAGGAGACTTAAATAATATCCAACCTCGTATATTTTTCTTAAGATATTGATTGATTGGATAAAATTCATCAGCCCATGGCCAATTTTTAAGATTAATGGTTTATTAATCTGTTATTAGGTCGACTTGTATCATCTCGGAAATAACACAGTTTCATCCAGTTGACACTTCAAACTTCATTCCGTCGTGACATTCATATATTACACATATGTGTGACATGAGATTTGAAAATTGATGAAATAACCGTTTTCAATACAGTGGAAAATTAGATTGGTGAATGCTATCATACATCACTTTATCATGATCTCATACAACTTTGTTTACCAATAAGGTTTTTGGTGATAGTTAGTCTTGCACTCTTCCTCCATTTTGACATCATTTACAAAATTACTTTCAATTTCCTTATGTTTTTCTTGTCGCTGTAGTTTCAATTGAGCTTTTGTCATGATATCAATAGTTTTTTGATGAACTTCGGTATGAATTTTGTACATTTGAATTCTTTTACTCTGCACCGGTGATGAAGAAATGAAATTATGTTTGGAGTTGTTTGAACACATTGAGCTTGGTGATGAATTACCTGAGTCTGAAGAACATATCGAAGTGTTTGGGAATTGATCATAATCATCATCTGAGTCTTGTCGTCTTTTTCTACTACTCATGTTCTCTTTGATGTTTAGGTATTTCTTATGGTTGATACTTGGTTAAAGTTATTGCAAAATATAAATAAAAAATCAAAACAAGTTTTCGCGTCATAAACAAGTTTTTCGTGTCATGAAAATCTCGTAAAATTAAAATGGATCATCTGAACTCCACAAAATAAATCACTGTTCTTCTAATATAATCAATTTCCATCTCGCAACGATATTCATTTATCAATCACCTACTAATAGATATAATTGATCAACCAACATAAGATATAAACATGGCACTACGAAAGAAAAAAGAAGGTAAACATATCAAACATAGTCCCAATATAAATATTCAATCAGAAACTCAATTCAATTCAACTTTTTTAGTAAAATCATCAACTCCATATGTATCAGCATTAAAAAAGATTGATAAAATATTAACAAAATTTAATAAATCTAAAAATCAACACCAAAATTCAAATTCAAGTTCAAATAAAAAATTTCAAAATGAAAATTATAAAAAATTAAAATATATAACGGTAAAGGGAATGGGAAAAACAATTGAAAAAACTTTAAAAATTGCAATGAATTTTAAATTTGAATTGAATTATAAAGTTGATATTATAACTGGTAGTATTCAAGTTTTAGATGAATTTGAAAAAAAATCAGAACCAATGAGTATTGAAGAAAAGAATGCTATAGCATTTAGTATTGCTAATGAGGATGATGATAAAGATAATGATGATGAACCTGAAAGAGAATATCAAAAACGTATGGTTAGTTATGTTGAAGCTAGAATTTGGTTAAAACGTGAATGAATAATTTTGAGAAATATATTCTTGAATACATGACTAATAAAATTATTTAGGCAAGAAAGCCAAGTTTTTGATACGGACCCTGCTAAAATTGAGAGACAACACTGCGTTATACTTCAGATTCTCAAAATTCGGTATAGCAGATGCGAAAACTGGTTACATTAATTTATTATATTTATTTAGTGGTCTATGAAAGTCATCAAATCATTATAAAAATACAAGTATGGTAATTTCTGAACTGGTGGCTATCAAGTTATAAATGCGTATTCAAGATACATAAAATTGTTGCTATAATGGTGTGATAATTCTAAATTCCAGGTTTCAATTTTCAACTTTTTCACTTCCTTCCTCCATTTCCTTTTTCTCCTTTTCTTCTTCTTCTTCTTCACGTATTCTTTCCAAACATCGTTCTTGAATATTATACAAATCAACAATATGACGTTCAATTTTATTACTTATTCTTTGTCTTCTTTTCTCCAAACTTAAATTATGTTTCATAGTCTCCCCAACTTCATTTAAATCAACATTAAATAAATTAGATCCAATTTTACAAATTTCAAGACATTTAACCCAGTCTTTATTATAATAAGCTTTTTCACATCCATGTAATATTTTAACTCTATTAATTTTTAAATTTGGATCTAATTTTTTATTAAAAATTTCTTCATATAACCAATTTTCTGTATTTATTTGTGGACCTGATTCTTGCCATAGTTTTAATTGATATTGATATTCTTCTTCTGTTTGTGGTTTTCTTTGTTTATTAGTTTTGGATTGTTGAGGTAGTATTATTTCATCATCGTCATCGTTAGTGTTACAATCATCATCATTTTCTAGTACTGTTTTTATGTCCCCATTTTGATTTGTGCTTTGTAATGTTTGTTCATCATTTATATGTAGTACTTGAAATTCTTGATTTAGGATACTATTATCAGCAGACATCTTGAACAGACAAAACTGTCGAGGTATATTGGTGAATGATAGTTTAGTTGATGTTCTTGATATTTTAATGAGATGTTGCATATTGAGATCAAACAATAGTAAACTTTTTTTTCCCGTTTTAAGATTGAAGCGCAAATAATTTTAACATAACTCCGTTCTGTTCTCTTCAGATCTTGATCAGTTCAAAATTTACTAAAACACAGAAAAGAGTAGTTGGTAGTACATATGAAGCAGAGTTGGTTGCATTAAATTATGCTGTAAAACAAACAAGTTTCTTCACGAAACTAATTAGATCACTGGATTATAAAGTTGAAGAAGTGAAGTTTAGGGAAGACAATAACCCAGCTATAATGGTTTGTAAGAAAGAAGATTTAGGGCATAGTAGGAGAGCAATAGATATAGATTTAAAAACAATTCAAGATCAGATAAGGAACGGTGAAATTTCTATAGAACGTGTGGACACCAAGCGTAACTTATCTGATGGATTAACTAAACAATTAAGCCAAATGGAATTCATAAAACAAAGATTCCTGTTGATAAATTATCATGAAACATATTCGGGAATAAATCCCATAAAATGATTTATTCAGGGAAGTGGTGAATTTGTACCATGAACTGTCAAATCCTTAGTTACGTAGTTTTGGGCAATAAATTTTAACCCTTTGTTACAAGCCAACATTCATAAAAGGTTAAAGTTTATTGCCAAAACTACGTAAATAGGGATTTGACAGTATCGAATAAGACAAATAAAAATAGAATAGTTGTTTTCCATGGTGCCTATCCAGAGCAGTTTGGAAGGTAACTCTTTGGTCTATTCGCAACTATTTATTGAATCAATTATCAAGCTTTGCAACAAATTTGAGACTAAATTTAAGTAAATATTCCCACGAAGACCAATTCCTTATTCTCAAATACCTAATCAGATACTTCCCAAGGCCAATTATTTCCTGCATGATAGTGCTAAAAACTTAGTTTTATCCCTGGTTTCAACTCAATAGGAATATGTGGTAACCTTGAATTAGGTTTTTGAAGAAGTTCCATCTTGTAACAAGCAAAAACAGAGGAGACCGAAACAAAAAATAAAAAGTTTCGTAATTTCCTTTGTGTTCATCATCTTGCAATTAAAATAGAAGAATCAGATGAAAGTTCATTTTCGGTATTGCATAATACAACTAAATGATGAATCAAAAAAGGATCAATTTACGATTCAATTCGATAAGCCAAAAAATAAAATACTGCAAATGTCATTTATCCGAGACTCTACATACTTTTGTTTGGTTTTGTGTAATAATTATTATTTACGTCAAGTTTCATAATTTTCAACTCTCGAGATATCAACATCTATTTCACTATCAGACCCAACTTATTCTTCAATCTACAAATATCAATGTTTCAAATTTCAAGAGTAAAACTACGACCTCACTCACAGTACCGAATTTTGTCCCAACGATGTCTAATAACACAGAAAAAAAACATTCCAATGCATCACGCAACTTATTCAATCAAACAATTCCACTCAAGTTCAAAATTACAATTCCATCCAATAATCGAAAATATCGTCGAGGAGATAAAAGAAGAAGAAGATGGAAATAATAATGATGAAAAAGTCAAACAGGGTACAAAAGAAGAAAAAGATAAAAATTCAAAATATGAAAGATTTAAATCATTTTTAATGAAATGTATTGAAACAATGGGTATTACAATTTCATCTATTGGAATTTTAGCGTTAGCTGGTTATTTGTATCATATTTTTTATAACGAACATGTATTAAAACAAATGAATAAAGCATTTGAAAAAAATGATCCTGCTTCTGAATTAGAATTATATTCAAAAGGAGGACATAATAATTCTGATTTAGAAATTTTTAAAGAACATTGGGTTAAAAGACCTCAACAACAATTATTAGATGATATAATAGCTGGGAAAATAATTGGAAGATATTTTTTAATTATTGGGGAAAAAGGAACAGGTAAACTGAGTTTATTAAAAGAAGCAATTAAAAAAGTTGATGGCTTTAATGTTGTAATGTTAGATGCTTCAAGAGATGAAGAAAGTTTTAGATTTAGATTAGGTCAAGCTTTAAATTATTCTTATAATGAAATGTATCTAGGAAGTTTATTTTCAATTAGAGGTCCAAGAGATACTACTGCTTTATTAGATATTGAAAGAGCATTTAGTAAATTGGAAGAATTAGCTATACGAAGAGTTAAAGAATACAAGCGTCCTTTAATAATGATTATCAACAATGCTCATTTGATAAAAGAAAATGAGGAAGGTATTAAGTTATTGGAATTATTACAACAAAAATCAGAACTGTTAAGTGGTTCAGGTTTAATGACAGTCATATTCAATTCTGATGATTATTGGGTTTATGAAAAATTAAAACAGTTAGGTACAAGATTGGAATTAATTAATGTTCGAGATTTTTCAAGAATTGAAACATTAAGTGCTTTAAAATTTATAAGGCACAGATATTTCCCAAAAGATGAAATTTTATCAAACGATGTATGTAATGCAGTATATGATTTAATTGGTGGTAGACCTCAACATATTACACAAGTTGCTAGAAATAAAGATTTGATTAAAGCATGTCATCAAATAATTGATAGAGAGAAGACATGGTTACTTAACAAATGCGGACTTCTTGGTGATATGGATGATGATGTTATGGAAAGTGGTAAATTTGCAACAAGTGCGATGTTATTAATGAAAGAATTTGTTAATATGGATAGAAAAAGAATGAATACTGTTATTGGTAATGGAGAAAAAACTCAATATGTTGATCATCATTTACCTGAATTACCATTATGGAGAGCAAGACAAGTTATGACAAGAGCTGATTATATTCAAAAATATGATGATTTAAATATATTCACGATAGACTCGGAATCAAGAGTTAGAGCCGATAGTGTACCAATGATGAGAGCATTCCATGAAATAGCATCACAACCTCATTTCGATCAATTATTAGAGGATACAATAAATAGAATAAGTGATATTGAAGCATTAGGTAGAACAAGAGAAATAATGTTGAAAGATTTGAATTTAGGTAGTAAATATAAAATTATAAAAGATGGTAAAGAAATTGAAATGACTATAAAGAAATCACCAAAGCAAATGGATGTACATGGAGAATTTGAAGAATATAATAAAATTGAACACAATGAAGAAGAAAATGATGATGAAGATGAAGATGATCTTTATCTTGAAGAAATTCATAGAAAAGATAGTAGAAAATGGTGGAAAAAAAGAATGGAAAAATATGATGAATTATATTTACCAAAACCTTTAAAGGGATTCGAGACTAATGAAGATACTGTTTTGGATATTAGTAGAGTTGATGAGGAGTAGAATATTGATATTGAATGTTCATTCAATAAAATGTTTCATTTGTTTTAATGCATGTTTTATGTGCTTCATTTAATGTTTTATAGCTTTTAAATCCGATATATTTATTTCAGATTGACATGTTTGAAGTACAGCGGCTTTTTAAATTTTGTTTTGTGATTTTTTAAGAAGTTGTCAAAACTGATACGAATCTCTCACATTTACGAAATCTAACTAAGATCTTAATCAGCTAGATCTTCTTCAATTGAATTAATACAAATTAAGTTTATTAAAACACGATTTTAATCAACTGAATCAACTGAATATCACTGCAGAAAAGAATTAGTAATGACGGAAAAAGCCAATCCAATTTATGTATCATCGAAGGATACAGCGGAACATATTCTTGATAAATATGATAACTTCTTATTAGATTGCGATGGTGTAATTTGGTTAGATGAACATTTAATACCTGGAGTTGTAAAATTTTTAAATTATTTAACAGTTCATAATAAGAAATATACATTTGTTACAAATAATTCATCAAAATCACGTCAACAATATATTGAAAAATTCAAAAGATTAGGATTACCTGATATTACTAAAGAATCAATTTATCCAACTTGTTATTCAGCTGCTTTGGAAGTAAAACGTTTAAATATACCAATTGGATCTAAAATTTGGTGTTTGGCTGATGACGGTGTTAAGCATGAATTAGAAGATATGGGTTATATTGCTCTTGGGGTAAATGATCCAAAACTCAATGAACTTAATTTAGAAAGTCCAATTTTAATACCAGATCCAGAAGTAAAGGCAGTTGTTGTTGGTAATACGTTCAGTTGTAATTATATGAGAATAGTTTCAACCCTTCAATATTTATTAAACAAAGAACTTCCGTTTATTGCTTGTAATTGTGATAGAACATATCCTGGACCAGCTCTTCCTGGGCAGTCAACACCTGTTGAGTTAGCTGCTGGAGGGTTTCTTGTTAATACTGCTTCTTGGTTATCTCAAAGAACTGATTATATTGATACAGGAAAGCCAAGTCAAATTTTTCTTAATTTAATTTTGGAACACAACCATTATGATAGAAGCAAGACTATAATGGTAGGAGATACTTTATATACAGATATAAAATTTGGTAATGATGGTAATTTGGGAGATGGTCAATCTTCTTTATTGGTTTTATCAGGTGGTACTTCATTGAATGGGTTGAAACAAGTTGTAGCTGGTAAAGATGAAAGTTTAATTCCACTGTTTTATGTAAAATCGTTAGGTGAGCTTGTTGATCTCGTTGATTGAAAGAACATTAAATATATAACGGATCAAGCTTTATCAAGATAATGTGATGCTATCAAAATTACAAAACCAAAATCTTGTGATAAATCCGGTCTCGACGATCTTTTGAAGCCGCCTAAAGCATTTTTTTCATGAACCTAAAGTTTTTACATAGAAATTGTTTTTTAATATAGAACTAGACTTTGTTATAGACATCTATGAAATATCAGACGTAGTCGGATAAGTAGATCTAATTTCAAACCTGGCATACATTTTACAGTAAAGACTTATCGCCTATCGAAAAGTGGCGCATCTGTAACTTCCTGGAAAATTCTATTTCAGAAGGTTTTGTATCTATAAATTAGCCAAGATACAGACTTTTGGCAAATTAGCCTGGACCAGTGCTTTTTATCATGCATAATATCTTGTTCAAAATAAATGATCTAATCGTAACTCTATTTCAACTTTGTTTCATCATTCAATATTTTTATCGGTTACAAAATTTGGCCATGCAAAATCGACAAAAATTACACAAAATTCGTACAACTCCTTTTTTCCCTGAGAAATTTCCGAGTTACTTCCAATCTCAAAGCAACAACTTGATCAAGTATTAGACCAATTTTTAAAAGAACTCGAACTTTTTGCTACAATTCACAGCTAATTCAAGATGGCTATTGTAAAAAGAGGGGCCAGATCTAAAGCCAAGCAACAGCAAGCTCCAGTCAAAATTAATGGTGGTTCTGCTAATATTCAAAAAGCTGAGTTCGATATTACTAAAAAGAAAGAAGTTGGAGTTTCTGATTTAACACTTCTATCCAAAATCACTGATGATGCAATTAATGAGAATTTATATAAAAGATTTATGAATGATACAATTTATACATATATCGGTCATGTTTTGATCTCAGTCAATCCTTTCAAAGATTTAGGAATATATACGATGGAAAATTTGAATAAATATAAAGGAAGAAATAGATTAGAAGTTCCACCACATGTTTTTGCAATTGCTGAGTCTATGTACTATCATTTGAAATCATATGGGGAAAATCAATGTGTGATTATTTCAGGAGAATCAGGTGCTGGTAAAACAGAAGCAGCTAAACAAATTATGCAATACATAGCTAATGTTTCAGTAAATCAAGAAAATACAAACATTTCAAAAATCAAAGATATGGTTTTAGCAACAAATCCTTTGTTGGAATCATTTGGATGTGCCAAGACTTTAAGGAATAATAATTCAAGTAGACATGGGAAATATCTTGAAATTAAATTTGATGAAAGTTCTTATCAGCCAGTTGCAGCTCATATAACAAATTATTTATTAGAAAAACAAAGAGTTGTATCTCAAATCACCAATGAAAGAAACTTCCATATTTTTTATCAATTCACAAAAAATTGCCCCCCACAATATCAACAACAGTTTGGAATTCAAGGTCCAGAAACATATGTGTATACTTCAGCAGCAAAATGTATATCTGTTGATGGTATTGATGATAGGAAAGATTTTCAAGATACATTAAATGCAATGAATATAATAGGTTTAACTCAACCTGAACAAGATAACATATTTAGAATGTTGGCTCTGATATTATGGATAGGTAATATATCGTTTGTTGAAGATGAAAGTGGTAATGCGGCAATCCGTGATGATAGTGTTACAAATTTTGTAGCTTATCTTTTGGATGTTAATCCTGAAATTTTGAAAAAATCAATCATTGAAAAAACTATTGAAACATCTCATGGTATGAAAAGAGGTTCAACCTATCATGTCCCATTAAATATCGTTCAAGCAACAGCTGTGCGTGATGCATTAGCAAAAGGAATATATAACAATCTATTTGAATGGATCGTTGAAAGAGTTAATAAATCATTAAGTGGTGGTCAACAATCTTCAAAATCTGTTGGTATTCTTGATATTTATGGATTCGAAATTTTCGAACATAATTCATTTGAACAAATATGTATTAACTATGTTAATGAAAAACTACAACAAATTTTTATTCAATTAACTTTAAAAGCAGAACAAGATGAATACGTTCAAGAACAGATCAAATGGACTCCAATTGATTACTTTAATAATAAGGTTGTTTGTGATTTGATTGAAGCTACAAGACCACAGCCCGGTTTGTTTGCTGCTTTAAATGATTCCATTAAAACAGCTCATGCTGACTCTGATGCTGCTGATCAAGTGTTTGCACAAAGATTAAGTATGGTTGGTGCTAGCAATCGACATTTTGAGGACAGAAGGGGCAAATTCATTATAAAACATTATGCTGGTGATGTTACATACGACGTTGCAGGTATGACAGATAAAAATAAGGATGCGATGTTACGTGATCTTTTGGAAATGTTGGAAACATCATCTAACTCATTTGTCAATCAAACTTTATTTCCACCAGAATTACTTTCAGCTTTAGTCGATTCTAGGAAAAGACCAGAAACCATGTCAGATAAGATCAAAAAAAGTGCTAACGAATTGGTTGATACCTTATCGCAATGTACCCCTTCTTATATTAGAACAATTAAACCAAATCAAACTAAGAAACCTCATGATTATGACAATCAACAAGTTTTACATCAAATAAAATATTTGGGTCTTAAAGAAAATGTTCGTATTAGAAGAGCTGGATTTGCTTATCGTTCAACTTTTCAAAGGTTTGTTCAAAGATTTTATTTATTATCTCCTGCTACTGGATATGCTGGTGATTACATTTGGCAAGGTGATGAATTAACGGCAGTCAAACAAATATTGAGTTCTTGTCATATCCCAGCTTCTGAATTCCAATTAGGTACTACAAAAGTTTTTATCAAAACTCCAGAGACATTGTTTGCCTTAGAGGATATGAGAGACAAATACTGGCACAATATGGCTGCAAGAATTCAAAGAGCATGGCGAAGATATATTAAAAGGAAAGACGATGCAGCTAAAGTCATACAACATGCTTGGAGAATTAAAAAACATGGTAATCAATTTGAGCAATTACGTGATTATGGAAATACATTATTACAAGGTAGGAAAGAACGTAGAAGATTGTCCATGTTAGGTTCAAGAGCTTTTATGGGTGACTATTTGGGTTGTGGCGATAGGAGTGGTTACGGTAAATTTATTGTCAATACTGTTGGTATTAATGAACCTATTGTTTTTTCGGAAAAAGGTGAGATTTTATTATCAAAATTCGGTAGATCTTCAAAACGATTACCACGAATTTTCATATTGACCAAATCTAATTTTTATGTTATTGCGGAAGTGTTAGTAGAGAAGAGATTACAATTACAAAAGGAGTTCACTATTCCAATTCGATCAATCGCTAGTGTCGGGCTTTCGATCTACCAAGATAATTGGGTTGCTGTTTGCTTATCATCCCCTACACCTACAACACCTGATATTTTCATAAATATGGATTTGAAAACGGAATTTATTACACATCTTAAAAAACTAAATCCAGGTTTGACGATTAGTATTGGCCCAACGGTACAATATCAAAAAAAACCTGGTAAATATCATACCGTGAAATTCATGATTGGTTCTGGTCCACAAGTTCCATCCAAGTCAGACTTATATAAGTCCGGAACAGTAACCGTAAATCAAGGTTTACCTCCTACAAGTCAAAATCCAAAAAGACCAAGAGCTAAATCAGGAAAAGTCGATTATTCAAAATACTACGATAGAAGGACTGAAAGAAGAACTGCTCCAACATATAACCAACCTACTGCTTCAACTATTCATCTGGCAAAGTCTACATATGCAACTCCTCAGTATCCGCAATCATCTCATCCCAAGCCATCTAATCAATTTTCTCAACAATCAACATCACAAGTTCAATCTAATACTCACCAACCTCAACAAGTTGCTCATCAACCACTGACACATAAGACTCCTTCGTCATCTCCAAATATGCAAGTCGCAGCTGCTCAAGCAGCATTGGGTAAAACTCATATCAGCCATCAACCTACGACACCAAAGAAACCTGTAGCACCATCTAGACCTGCTAAAAAAATTGCTCCTCAACCACCAGCAAAGAAAGCAGTTTCACCACAACCACCTGCCAAAAAAGCTGCACCCGCTCCTCCTCCTCCTCCACCTACTTTATCAAAACCTAAATATCCAACTTATAAAGCAATGTATGATTATGATGGATCTGTTCAAGGGTCAATACCACTTGTTAAAGATACAACTTATTACGTCACACAAATAAATGGAAAATGGGGACTAGTCAAAACAATGGATGAAGCAAAAGAAGGTTGGTCTCCTATTGATTATTTACAAGAAATTTCATCGAACTTGATTTCAAACAATCTAACCCAATCAAGTTCCATCAATTCAAACTCAATTAGCTCAACTTCTGGAGCAACTGACACTACACAAGCTTCGACTGTTCTGAATGGTGGAGGTTCATTGGGTAATGGCTTGGCTGATGCATTGAAAGCAAAAAAGACTGAGGAAACTACTTTGGCAGGGTCTTTAGCTGATGCATTGAAAAAAAGACAAGATGCAACGCGAAGTGATGATGAAGAAGAAGATGATGATGATGATTGGTGAATCTAACTAAATGGAAGTTTATAGATTAATTTAAAGTTCAAGAGATGCTGATAGAAATCTGTCTTAATATTTAGTTTTATCTCTTGTTGTTTTTTGTGTAATTCTCATGAATCTCTTTTTCATTTTGTACAATTTATGTACACCGATTTCAAGACAATTGTTTCAAATCAAATCATATTAATGCAACTATAGTACAGATATTTCGAGTATCAGGTTTAAAGGATGTCGAGCAAAACCAAAAGTAGGAACAAACTACTATCATCACAGAACAGATCACATTTTACTAGTTCATCAATTAAAGATGAATTACTACACATGAAATATCTGATGAAAAAGCCCAATGTACCAGTTTATCCGTTGGACGATTTTGCAAGCATAAATTTCTCGCCTAAAAACGACAGGAGTGATAGTGATGAAGTGCAAAAAGGCTCCGTTGAAGAATTGACTTATCCAGATTTTTTACCATGGAAAGATCACACTCAATTAGGAAAAAACGAAGAACCAGCGGAATCTCGAAAAGCTGATAATACTGCTTATTTAAACAAAGGATATTTTGAAGTACCACAGGTAACAAATGAATATTATTCAGGAAGGAATTTAATACTGGCCACTGTTTTTTTATCTACCGAGAATTGTGGAAATGTTATTAGAGAGTTGTCTCAGCATTTAGCCAACGCTTACCAAACCCGAAATGAGAGCATAAATCGAATTAGATCAAATTCAAACCATTTCAAAATTCCGCAAAAAGTTACTTTGACAGCAGCTAAGAAAGAAAGTTGGCTTAGAGATCTAGGAAATTCAAGAATCTCATTGCAAAAGATTGGAGAAAAAATTCCTCATGGTATAAGAAATAAACATTTGATTGAAGCTGTTATATCGCATCATATACCTATAAAGAGGGCGCTTTGGTTTACGAAATGTGTAATGTTTGGAGAATTGTTAGCTTTGAGAAAAAAACATCATTCAAGGATCTCAATGAGTGGAGAAACGCCACAACCAAATGACGTTACTGGTTATGCGGAAAAATATGAGATTCATTGGTTGCAAGAATGGACTCAACAGGTTGTAGACTACATTTTTAGACTATCAAAGGAGATGGCAACTACAACTAGCATGGAAAGTAAGGAACTTTATATGGAAAAAGTTAAACATTTTTTAGATTACGTGCAGTCATTATATGTGGAGTCTTTGCTCGACAAAACCATCTTTTTGATGCTAATTATTAAGCCTTTGAAGGAGCACTTATCGGTGGATTCTGAAATTTTGAAAGAACTCTCAAGGATTGAGGAGAATAAGGATGATGAAGACGAGGAAAAATGTAATGGGGATAAGTCCCTAGAGCCTGTTAAATTTAATTTCAACTATGAGCTGCGTTTAACTTCGCTAACATTGATAAAAATGTTTTGGAACGATTTAATAAAAATTGATTTCTTGGCTAAAGAATTGAGTGAGCTGGTTTTACTCAATTATTACTTTATTTCAAAATTGACAGAATATTCACAATGGGCACTACCGACAAATGTGAAATCAAGTATATTGAAGGTACTAGGTGATACGGTGTTATATCTATTCAAATTCAATACAAATATGTTTGTTATTCCTAACAATTGGCGGTTAACTGAAAGTGCTTTGACAAATATTTTGACAAACAATTTGTCACTGATGGTCGAGTCGGAGAGAGAAAAACTTTTGGATCAGTTGGAACTTGTTAGATATCGAAATGAAAGCTTAATACTAAATTTGAGAAAGACGGAAATGCTGAATCAGAGTTATGATGTTCGACAAAAATATACTCACGAAAAGGATGTTTGTGATGAGTTGAGAATTATTCGTGCTTTGGACATATTGAATTTGAGCGATGATTTTTCTCGATCTTTAACACCTTCTTCGAAGAATTGGTGGGATCATTTAAAGACTGCCATGGTTTGGTGTATTTCACCTTGGAGATACTGCGATCCTCAAAGTGAGAACATTCTGATTATTTGTAATTTTTTGAAGAAACAGCTTGTATCAGTTGACAAGTCAATGAATAAAATGTCAAAGGCTGAGTTTGGAAATGAGATTTTGGAGATTCTATATCAACTTACGGAAGCAAGTTCAGACCTTGTAGATAGACAAAAGCTAAATGTGTTAGTGAATGAGTTATATCAATTGAGGTTAATCACAATTGCATCATATATTAGAAAGCTTATTGCTAATGGTGTCTTTTCAGGAAATCCAGACGAGGAGCTAAGTTATACCACAAAGGTACATTTAAACGTTTTAAAGAACCTACCATCAGTGAACAACAATCAATGTGATAGTATTTTGAAGAAATGGGATAAAGATCAAATTAAATTTCATACAATTATAGAGACTTCGAAAAATTTGTTGCAAACAGAAATTTTGGACAAGATATTTCACAACAATTTTATACATTTATCCCAAAGCTTCAAAGACCATACAAGCTCTTTAAAGACTGGGGTTAAATTTTTATTAATAAATTGGATTACGAAGGAATTAAAATCAAAATTCGATACCACATCAAAATTGATTCACATTACTCCAAATGTATTGAATGGTCTTTACGAATTTTATTCAATTTCTGATAATCTTGCAGTGTTTTTTAAATCAGTTGTTCTGGCTATTCTTAGAAATGAAGGAGGAATTTTGATCTATTACCTTGATGGTCTTTACTTTATAGCTCGTTTGATTATGAGACATTTTAAGTTAATAAAACAATTTCCTGAAAATTCAAATAATTCCTTGGCTATAAATCTTTTGAGACTAATCATTCAAAATTATAAAGATTTAAATGGGAGAGAGTTTAGTTCTTATAATTTCCATCAGGTATGGGAATTTATTGATTCGGTTATAGACAAGGATGGTTCCAAAACACAATTTAAAAAACGCAAATTGAATAATTTCATAAACCAAAACAATCACGCCACTAAAGAGTATGAGCCCATTGAATCACCTATGCAAATAAATACTATTGATTTATCTTTTAAAGAGTCAGAATCAAAAACTTACACAACAAGCAACTTCAGAAATGATTTGGATCAATTGAAAAATCAGCTCTATAAACCACTCACTGATGAAGAGCTACAAGAATTAAATATTACAGATCTTGATTTGATGTCAAACTTATATCACTGGAATGAGAGTCTTGAAACTATTCCAGAAGCCAAAGAGATGGCAATTGCAAAATTAATCAAAAATGAAGCTGCACATGATTACATTGCAACGAATGATAAATTGCATTTATTTGTGACTAAGTTGTTGGAATCTGATGGTAATAAAAGTTTGATGATTAAAAAATTGATTGCATATGATATAATGACTTTCAAGAGTTGCCTAAATTTGATACAGCAAAGTACGTCGTCTACATCAGTCATTTTGGATTTACTTCTTGGAGATTACGAAGAACCAAAGCAAGATAGTGCCTTAAGTCAGCTTTTCAAAATCAGCAGATACTTTTTTCAAGCAAGAAATAAGCAAATTTTTGCGTCCACCTTACTGCGATGTTTAACAGACGATAAATTATTCGAAAAATTTGAACAAAACATTTTATTTTACTTAAGACATCGCCAACTGTATATTGACAAATCAATTTTCTCAGAAATATTCAAGAATTTCGAAAAAGAAAAAATCATTAATATTTTGAATCGTATGTTGAAGAGAGACGAGTTCAATTACATCTATTCGATTGATGAGTTGGGTGATAGTTTGTGCCAGGTGAACGGGTTCAATATTATGATTTATCAGTTCTTGATCGCTCAGTTGACGTTGGGGATGGAGAGAATGTCACCTGAAGAAATTCAATTCCAATGGAAAAGTTTTGTAACTAAATTTATGAACATTTGTGTAAATAAATCAGATCACGGTGCTATACTTGTTGAATTGTTTGATTGTGTTTCTTGGAATCATAAAAACATTATCCTAGAAATATTTGAAAACGAGTTTATGACTCAAATTTCAAAGGAAGATTTGGATCAAACAAATTCCCTGAAGACCATTGATTATTTTTTCCAAAAATTCTTAAATTATTCAATAGGTACTGTGGAAACATCAAGGCTTTTTATACAAAACCTAATGGAATGTCTAAACAGGTTGGAACATGAAATTTTGACTCAGAGTTACGGAGATAGTACGACATTAGCAATATCTTCCATTTTAAAAGTTCTCATCATACATAAACCTACACTTTGCTCGTTTGTAGCTAGAAATATTTTCGATGAATTGGTTTCATCTTTTATCAGAAGTTTAGTAAATCTTTTGAATTTGCTTAAGTATGATGATAAAATAAAAATTTTATTTTACGATTTGTTATTTTTGATAAAATCGTCAATCACTGAAGAGATAAATACAATTACTGATCATCAATTGGAACAATCACAAAATAGTGTCGACGATTTCAAAACAATTGATACCCCCAACATGTCAAAAGCAACCCACTTTCAACAAATGTTCGAACTTCCGGAGTTAAACAAAGAAAATCCTTTTGAGGATGACTTGGATGAACAAACAATATTTTCATCGAGCACAACACAAGAAGATGAACTCAAATATGGAGGAGACCTCAATTATTTTAATGATCGGGGACTAAAATTACAGTTGACTAAGCATAATTCTTTAGATTTATCTCCATTTGTGGGAAATATTTTGGACAATAATGAAAAGTTAGAAGAAGAAAGTCTTAAAAATCTTAGGACTGTCTCCAAACCATTCAAATTAAGAAGCTATGAAATTTTGGAAGATACCAGTCACAGTATAAACGATGCTTGCATTAATTTACTGTTGTTTGATGCTTATCTTACAAAAGAAAATATACCTTAACCCTAGTGCATTCTTATCTTTGATATATAGCCACGTAGCATTACTTTATTTGATTTAATGTATAGAACGATTTTTTCACTGATGATCTTGAGTTATTAGGTCTTTAAAATCCAATGCTGCGAATTAACGTAGTAGTAGGCTATTGAAACATAATAATTTTTTAACTACTGAGTTACGGAAGTTTTATAAAATATCAGATTTTCTGCAACAAAATTTTCAACAAATGTTTCGTTCATAAAGTCTAACCCTTGATTAAGTGTAAAGAATTATAATTCTAAATATATTTATTCGAAACGGATACTTTGAAAAGCTGGTAAGTGCTGAAAATTAAAAACATTTAGAGCTATAATGAGTGTAAGTTTTCGATAATTTTATCATCTATTTATGAATTTTATAAAACCTAGAATACATTATCTAACAATCCTACAAATCCAAATGGTTCGTATAGAGTTCCTCCCCCTTCAAAGTATTTACTCATACTCTCAACCCAATGCAATCTCAAAGAATGTAACATTGCCGAAGTACCTTCCATAACTACCAAGATACAAACGGTTAATGTAAACCACATTGCAAATAAGAATACAACAGCGAATACACCTAAGAATCCAGTTGGACCAAAAGCATTTCCTATTGTCATTGACCATAAAACAGTAGATAATTGAGCATGAGCTAAAGATAAAGCCCACAATCTTAAATACGATGCTGTATGACTGACACAATTTAAACAAAATTCGATAGTGTGAATGACTTGATGAATCATTATATCACCAAAGTTATGTTCTTCGAGATCTTCTTCTTCTTCATCATTTGCACCATGAGAATCTTCGTATGTACCTGACTCACCAGACTCTTCATCATTTGGTAATGAGTGATATGTTTGTGATTTAGCTTCTTTATCTATTTGTCTTTTTAAATACAATGGTTTTACTAATAATAACCAGGGAACACAAACTAATGCAATTACTAATAAATATACCTGAATTGTTGATTGACCAGAATACAAAGGCTCGGCAACTGTACCAGGTGACAAGAACATTGAAATCAACATATTCAACAAACCTGGTGGTTGATCACCACTTGCGAACCAATTAACAGTCCATTTGTAAACAATACATAATGCTAAATATCCAAAAATACTTTGCATGAATAACATACCAGGAATGAAATTACCAATAATATCTATAAATGAATTGAAATATATGAAATTTCCCAAAGAAAAAAATAATGAATAAGTCATATGTACATAACCCATTAATATTGATAATTTCATTTTATATGAATTTGAAAACAATAAAGCATTCTCAGTTCCATGCCATGCTGGATCCATCCCGAAGATGTAAGTTCCAATTGATTTAGCATGTATTGTCTCACCAAGTTTGAAATGCTCTGGCCATTTCCATCCACTTTTGAACAAAGACATCGATCTTGAGAAAATATCATTATATATAAGACCGGTGTACATCGAAAAAATTCCCATCAATAATAATATGTAACGACCGGTGTAAGCCATATCAAATATTTCATCTTTCTTCATTCCATTTAATTTCTTTTCACTCAAAACCATCGCCAATGCTGCTAAAAATACTATAAAACCATGACCTAAATCACCAAACATAATAGCAAACATGAAAGGGAAAGTGATAATAGTTGGTAAACCAGGATTAATCTCTTTATATCTTGCAACACCATAAGCATCACAAATGGCTTGGAATGCATAAGTAAATTTGTTGGTACGATTATAGGTTGGAGGGATTCTATTTGTACTCAATACGTTGATAATGGTTGGGATAGACTGAGCTTGATCATAATCCTGTATAGTTTTTGTTAAATCACCTAATGAGTCTGTTGGAGTCCAACCTTCACAAATAAGAGTCTTTCTTGAGTTGTCATAATCACTTAAATTCATGGTTTTATATACTGCTTTTTCTCTTGCTATTATTTCCCACCATTTTCCCAAGTCACGGCTAATAGCGATCAATTCTGAAGCTAAAGCATTCTCAGACTCATTCAAGACCGTTGATAAATCATTCAATTTTGCATTAATGTCAGTCAATTGCACCTCTCTTTTGTGTGAGGAAGAATCGACATCATAAATTTCTGCATCTAAGGATTCACAAATTTTGACAATCCTCTCATGAATCATTGCACCATGGGAAAATATAATAAATGAACTTTTGGCAACATAAGCATTGTGTTTAATATCAAATATCTCTTCGTTTATGTCCTCGTAATGATAATACAAATTACCTCTCAAAATTCTCCATAAAATTTGTTGTAATAAACCAACTTTATCACGATTTATCACCCCTGCAATAAATGATGATACAGGCCATACATCTCCAGATTGTGATTGTGTCAATTGAGTCAAAACTGCATTTTCTTCATTTCTGATGTTCCCGTCATTTGCTAAGTTGAAAAATTTATCAACCGCTAATATGGAAGATTTAAATTGCTTTAAATTATTTTGACTACTATATAAAGTATCTACCGAATCTCTTAATTGAACAACCCTATCTTCCAATAATTTTGAGTTTTCAATGAGTTCATCTATTTCTGAAATTTGAGGAATCGAAAATTCATAAGGGAATGTTTTGATTGGAATATCTTTGAAATCTAACTCTTTCTTAAATAGATTGAATTGTCTTTCAACATCGTCTAGTCTTCTTAACTCCCTGACAAAAGATCTTTGAAATTCATTTACTTTTGAATTTAAATCTCTAAATTGAATGATATTTAATGAACCGATCTTATAGATTATTTCTCTCGCTACCTCAGTTGGGATATAGACTTGCACCAAAGACATGTCCGCAGAACGGAACACAGCTTCCTCTTTCTCTGACATCCTTGGGTAGTGGTTGTGTTTGGTAATTGGTATATGTAGAACGGTGAGTGAGTGATGGAGAGATTTTGAGTTAGCTTGAAATCTCACTTTTGCTATATTATGGTCAAGATTTCTTCTCATAGTAAAGCCAATGGAAAAATTAAACGATTTTGCACTACCATATAATAACATTTGGTAGTTGCAATCTACTGTTACTCGTTGTTTGCGATCTTGAAATTTATTGTTTGGTCCCATGTAAGTAGATTTAATAATAATGTTTGAAGTGTTACAACAAGGACAAGAAATAGAATATAACATTCATTTTCAAGATCAACAGCATAGGTCAAACACCAATTCTTATTCAGGAATGAATGAAATTGTTATATAATAGTTCATCCACACTACACACTGAGCAAGAAATGTGTTAAATAATTAATTTTCGGCTTGATTCAAATAATCAGCGATATATATTCACGTATAATTCAACATATTTAAATTGTCGATGAGTAAGAGAGGGAGTTAATTTAAAATATGTCTGAGGAAGTCAATTATTAATTAATACTACATTTGCTAATTCATAAGCTCGACTTAATTTGCTCATTTTAATACCTAAATTGATTGAGAGAACTCACTTTCTCATAGTACTTACAAACAATAAGCTCGAGCTATTCAAATACTAAACACTAGCTTTTCATTTGACACTCCTTTTTTTGATAAACTGAATCCTTCATTGACACTTTGAAATCCATCGGGTAAAATTCTAAGATTAGCATGTTTCAATTGACCAATATATTTGGGCAAAATCTCAAACCAAAATGGATCATAATATTCATTGATATCTTCTGGAGCTTTTAATAATAAATCTCCAAATCTTTTCTCTTTAATTAAAACAAACGAAGCTAACGTTTTACCATAATGAATTAAGTTGTTATCTCTATTTGGATCCAATTTAATTGAATTTGAATCTAAGAATAATAATGAATCTAAAAAAATTTTTCCCGAAGTGTTTGAAGTTGAATCATATACTTTTTGGAATGTCTCAGGTTCAGCTATTGTATCTAATGCAAAATGTAAATTTCCATTGGCTGTTTCTTTAATTTTATCTACTACATTCTCATCATTATAATCGAATACATAATCAGCTCCTAAGGATTTTAAAAATTCATGATTTTTTGGGGAAGCAGTTGTTACAACTTTTAAATCGAAAACTAATTTGGCCAATTGAATAGCTAAAATTCCAGTAGCTGTTGAACCACCCCATATTAAAATGAAATCATTAGGTTTTTTATTTTCTTTAATTTTCAAAGAATATGAATAAGCCAAAGCCACTGTGACTAAACCTAAAGATACACTTGCAGCTCCATCAAAAGTAGTAATCCTTCCAGATTTTAAATAATCAGAATTACTTGGGTCCTTAACTAAATGATCGTACTTTATACTGACTTTTGGCGAGACAGCAACATACTCAGCAAATGCGCTATTTGTTTTTGATATATTTCCAGTTACAAATGAACTAATATAATCTCCCTTTTTAAATTCCTTTACGTTCGATCCAACTTCTTCAACCTTTCCACTTACATCACTTCCAACAACTATATCCTTCTCTCTATTTCTCTTCAAAGCCTTCCAATCAGTTGGGTTTATTGCAAAAGAATGAGATTTAATCAATATTTGATCATCTGTGATTTGAGGAATCGATAAATTTTTGATTGTAGTTAAAGGGTCTGTTTCACCTGTCGATACTACTGCTTTCATTGAGGATTCTTGAAATGAGTTCCCAGGAGAAAAGATTATGAATTATTCTGTACGAGTTGTTTTTAAATTCAGACTTCAGCAAATACTTGTAACATGAATTGAGTGTAAACTTATAGTTTATTCGTAAAAGGTGTGGTTCATCGGAGTGTTAGTAAGCAAGGATTACTCCACGAATACCCCTTAAATAAAAAAATCGAGTCTAAAGATTCCTTTTAAATAAGACGTAGAACCAGTATTAGTAATCAACCGTGCCATATAAAAGATAACCCGTGATTGTTAATTTAAGATGCTGAAACAATTTTTTGTTGTTAAGCTTTGACCGAGTTTTGAGCAGTTAAAAGTCCGAGTTTAGCATTTCAAAGACCGAGTTTCAGAATTACTACATAGTTAAGCTGGTAGGTATAGTGAACTCTTTCGTATTTCTTAAAAAGCGTTAATTTCAAGCAATCAAATACAAGACAAACATAGCCAATGTCCTTATACTGTTATATGAATACCGTAACTCAATTTTATAATGAAAAAAATTAAACAATGCCTGACAAAGTATTTCCATCTACTTCAGACTTGGTTAAGCCGACAGCTCAATCCAGTCATAGCAATCGCTGGGCCAATAGGCTTACGTTGTTTAAAGGAGTAATAATGGATGACATCATTCACCTTGTTGCTTTGTTACACTAATTTTTTTTTTCAAAACTAATTGTTTAGTTGATTTTTAATAATTTCTCTATTTTTCAATGCATTTGTATGATGTACCAGGTCGACAAGTCTTCATTTCAAAGTTTTCATCAAAAAATTACTTGAATGATGATTGAAAGTGCATTTTGAATTGCGAGGGACGTATTGGATCTAGTTTTGTTCAATATTGTCGTTGCATGAAATATTTTATAAATTGTAAGCAAATTTGTTCAAGTTACACAAATGTGTAAGTTATGTAATTCGCCATAAAATATGTCATTAGAGTTTGATCTGACATAATTTAAGAGATATTACATAACAACCCAAAATCTGTCTGAAGACTTATAATTTTAAAGTTGATATCGAATTAATCTTTTTTTTTCTAATCAATTCAAGTAGGACAAGATGATGTCAGTGTTCTTAAACTTACATCAATAATGTCTTACCTGCACAAAGAAAGCAATTTTTTATAATTTTGATAATTAAACGGTTCTAATAAATCTGATTGCACAATTTTTCACTCGAATAATTAACACATTGCAATGTTATCAAGTTTTAAATCAGCATTTGGATCAACACAACCTCGAAAAGCTCCAAGAGGTAAGCGAATTATAGGAGAATATGAAGATTTAATACCTCATGTAAAAAATGATTTGAGGATTATTAAATCTCAATTGGATCAATATCAAAATAACAAACTACTTAATAAATTAAACTCGTTACTTGAAGAGAATCACAATAGACAGGTCAATGATCTAGAAAAAAAACATCAAGACAACCCAGGATACTACAAAATTCAACTATTTGAGTTATTGAAAAAACAACTTGAAGAACTTTGTAATTTATTGGATATATTCAAGAACAATTATACTCATTCATTATATGACAATAATTTATTAAATTTTAAAAAAAATCAAATTCAACAAGCATCTAATTCTAATTCAAGTCCAATTTCATCAAATCAGCTGTTAAGTTCCTTATCAATGATTCAAGTCAATGATGAAGTAATCACTGAAGCACCAGATTATTTATTAGATCCAATATCATTTGAAGTATTAACTGATCCTGTGGTGACACCTAGTGGGATTACTTATGAAAAACAAAATTTACTTCTTCATATGAAAAAGAGAGGAAAATTTGATCCCATAAGTAAACAACCATTAAGTAAAGATCAATTATACCCGAATTTAGTCATAAAAGACTCAGTCGAAGCATATAAAGTTGAGCATGGAAAATAATTATTCAAGATTGCTTTGTGAAAATATCACTCTTATATATATACCCGTAGCATTTGCATAGTTAGCATATACATTATATTGATTTAGGTAATTTTATTCCAAATTCATTCGATATAACTTTTGAAATATTTTTTTGCAGTCAATTACCTGCATGTAAGACTAATATTTTTTTTTTTTTCGATCTCATCTAACTTAGGCTAATCTATAATAAATTTGAAACATAGTACACCTTTAATTATGAAGAAACACTAAATGTTCTGATATAAAATTCGTCATACAAGTTACTCCGTCACCACTTAAAAGATAATACCAATATCAAATAGAAATAATGAGAAATTTAGTTGTTCTCAACAGGGGTTATATCACTCCAGAATCAAGAACATATCCAGACCTTCATATTATCGATTCTGTATATGATCCAGTATCAGATGCAATCACATTCATACTATCATCAGAAGAAAGTCAAATTATTGAAGCACAACAATTTCATAAAAATGGAAGTGTTTCAATTTTGGCTAGCTTTCCAATCAATTCTAAATTATTGAATACTGCTCATTTTGTTGATTCATCACAATTAGTATTTGTTTTCAGTAATGGTGATATAATCACATCAACTTATAATCAACAACAAAATATAGATTATGATAGTACTATTATAGAGATTGTGGGTACCATTGATGTTGGAATACAGGCTGCACAATGGTCTCATGATGAAGAGACATTAGTGTTGATAACAAATGAGAATAAAGTATTATTATTATCAAGAATGTTTGAACCAATAAGTGAGAAAATTTTAGATTCCAATGATATCAAGATTACTGATTCAAAACATGTCTCTGTCGGATGGGGAAAAAAGGAAACGCAATTTAAAGGAAAAGGTTTTAAACAATTGGAGAGAGAGAAAGAAGCTTTACGAAATGCAGGATTGGATGAAGATGCAACCCAATTACGTGATCCAACTGTCAATGAAGTAGAAAAAGGAACCACATCAAGTCTAGATGATGGAACTGTAAGAATAAGTTGGCGTGGAGACTCAGAATATTTTACTGTAAATACTGTGGAACCAGTTATTGTAGAAGATACTGGAGAGATGTTTGATAGAAGAGTTATACGTGTATTCAATAGAGAAGGTGAGTTGGATAGTGTAAATGAGGCGGTGGATGGATTAGAACAAAACCTTAGTTGGAAACCTCAGGGAGCACTAATAGCGTCGACTCAAAGACACGTGGATGATGAAGATGGTGAAGAGGTTTTGGACGTTGTATTTTATGAAAGAAATGGTTTAAGACATGGACAATTTAACACAAGATTAAATCCAGAAGATGAAGTAGTACAGAACATAACATGGAGCTCTGATAGTGAAATACTATTATTACAGATGAAAAATAGAGTACAATTATGGACGTCAAAAAATTATCATTGGTATTTGAAACAAGAAATTTTTGCTAATGATATTATTTTTACAAAATTTCATCCAGAAAAACCTAACAATTTCATGATTGGAACTATAAATAATTTACAAATTGTTGACATAACTTATAAAGTCGTAACTGGACCAACGCTGCTTGGCGATGATATAGGGATGACAGTTGTAACAGACGGAGCAACAGCCAAAATAACGCCACTTTCAATAGCTAATGTTCCACCACCAATGAGTTTAAGAGAATTAGATGTTTTCGAAAATATTAACGACATTGCCGTCAGTAAAAATAATTCTAAATATGCTACAATTTGTAGTAATAATGATATTATTTTCAGTGAATTGACTTTGCAAGAAATGAAAGAAGGCAAACACCCAAAGATTTCAAGCCATATAAAATCCAATGTATATATGAACGAAAGAGATGAAGTTGCAAAACAAATTGCTTTTCTCAAAGATACTTTTGTTGCAGTTGTGGTGGATGCTCCGATGTATTCACGTGTTGTCCTATTTGAAGTTGATGATATAAAGTCACCTAAGCTTAATGAATCAATTGATATTGCCCCAAAAATAGTGATCATAAAGTCAAGGGCAGATTTCGAGACGATTGTGATAGAGACAGTTGATAACAAAATCTTACAACTAGATACCACACAAGATATCAAAGAAATTGTAAAATTTCCGCAATTATGCCGTGAATTTGAAGTAAATTATAATCACGAATCAGGTGAGTTTGAAGCCTTTGGTATTGCTAAAAACGGAAAACTATTTAGAAACGAAATCCCAATTGTTAGTGGTGTTACTTCATTATTGATTACAGAATCTCATTTATTGTTCACAACTGTTATGTCAAAATTATGCTTTGTTCATTTAAATTCTATTCATGAAGACTTTGAAGTCTTTCAAAATTTATCAAATGAGAATGTTGTTGATGAGAGAGTAAGACAAGTTGAAAGAGGATCATTTTTAATAAATGCTATGCCAACAAAATACTCGGTAGTATTGGAAGCACCCAGGGGAAATCTTGAAACAATTTGTCCAAGGATTATGGTTTTAACAGCCATTCGTAAATTTATTTCAAGTAAGAAGTATGGAGAAGCTTTCATTGCTTGTCGTACACACAGAATTGACTTGGACATATTACATGATTATGATACTACTTTATTCTTTAACAATATCGAACTTTTCATAAAGCAAGTGTCAAAGGTGGAATATTTGGATTTATTTGTCTCATGCTTGCATGAGGAAGATGTCACTCAAACAAAATACAGAGAAACATTAACTGACGCCGGTATTAATGAATCAGAGGTCAGGGAAAATGGTGAGACTTTACAACCCGCATTCCGTAAAAAATTCAACACCAAAAAGGAACAAGTTTTCCAAAATTTTGAAGATTCCAAAGTTAACAGAATTTGTAAAGCTATATTATCGGTTTTAAGTAAACCGGAATATTTTGAGAAATATTTACAAACTATTCTTACTGCTTACGCTTGTGAGAAACCTCCTAATTTAGTAGGAGCTTTAAATATGATTGGTGGTTTTAAAGAAGAGGAACTGAGGGAATCAGCCATTCAACATTTATGTTTTCTACAAGATGTCAATAAATTGTATAATACATGTTTAGGGTTGTACGATGTTAAACTAACCTTATTAATTGCTCAACAATCACAAATGGATCCAAAGGAGTATTTACCATTTTTACAAAATCTACATACACAACCTGAATTGATAAGAAAATTTATGATTGATGACTACTTGAAAAATTATGATTTAGCCTTGAACTGGTTGCATGAAAGAGGAAAAGAGGCTTACGATGATTTCGATGATTATGTCGTAAAACACGGATTGTACAAACTTGCATTGAAGATTTATACTTATGATAAGGATAGAACCAACGTTATATTGAGTTTGTTTGCAAATCATTTGCAAGAAGCTGCAAATTTTTCAGAAGCTGGTTTAGCATTTGAATATTTGGGTGATTTGACGAAAGCATTGGAAAATTATATATTGGCCAAAAAATGGAGACAAGCATTGTCGATAGTCGAAAAATCCGAATATAAAGATAAACTAACTGAAACTGCTAACGACCTAGTCAATACTTTGACGGCAGATCATAAGTATAGCGATGCAGCAGAAATTGAATATCAATTCTTAGGAAACATACGAGAATCTGTTAAATTATATTGTAAACAATATTGGTTTGATCAGGCTATACTATTGGCTGAGAAAACTCAAAATGAAGAGCTAATAGAATCCGTTGTTGATGTTCAATTGAATGAAGGATTTGGTACTATTGCTGAATTATTAGCAGACTGTAAAGGACAAATGAATTCACAAGTAAGAAGATTGAGAGAACTTAGAACGAAAAAAGAGGAAGATCCATATAATTTTTATGGTAATTCTGATGACTTAGAAACTCCAGATAATGTTTCGGTTGCTGCTTCAGAAACATCTACAGCGCCATCTTTTTTCACTAGATATACAGGTAAAACAGCTGGCACTGCCAAAACAGGAGCATCACGACGTACATCTAAAAATAAAAAAAGGGAAGAACGTAAAAGAGCCAAAGGTAAAAAAGGTACAATATATGAAGAGGAATATTTGATTAGATCGGTAGGAAGATTATTAGAAAGATTAGATCAAACTCAATCAGATGCATTAAAATTGATTGAAGGATTACTTAGAAGGTCAATGAAAGAACAAGCTTATCAAATTCAAAAGAATTGGTGTGAATTGATTGGATATATAAAAGAAAACATTGATGAAATTCATAACATGAGTGAAAAGGATAGAGAAAGAATAGATGATAATGGTGAAATTTATTTAATTGAAGAAATACAAAAACCTAAAATTAATGAATTTCCTAAATTTAGTATCTTGGATTATTAATATTTGGGAAAGGGATGTATAGAAATGACAGTTTTATAGAGTCTAAATTCATGAAATAATTTCAAAAACCTAAATCCTCAACATTTAGTTGAGCAGTTTCATATTCGAAATAAAGATCTCTTAAACTTAGTATTGCATTCTTTATGGCATTAGTAACAGCTTCTTTCTTACATTTAGCAAAACATGAATTTCTATTTGGTAAATTTATAGCTTGACCCTTCCCAAATCCTTTTCTAACAGTTCCATCTTTCAAATAAAGTTTTATTATGCATATAGATTCTGCTGAATAAGAATGCTTAATTACTTCAATATTACCGGTTCCATTACTTTTTTCCTCATTACCGCCAGCCTCGTTTGATTCATCACGTTCAACTTCGATTGCATGGTTAACACCAGATTCGTGAATTTTTTCATCAGGATTTACCTCGGACGCGTTTAATGTGATATCATTGTCATTCTCTTCCTTATCACCCCAAACTTTCTCAATTTTTGTTGGCTTTTCGATGACGATACTTTCTTCTATGGAAGTTGACCAACCGTTAAATCCAAATATTTCGTTGGTCAAATTAAATAACTGACTTTGAGACAATCGATCATCAGAAAATCTTCTAGAATGGTTGGAATGTTGAATATCATCTATCCTTTTTTGTAAGACTCCTATTTTTCCAATCAACCAAGGACTCAAATTTAAGTGATTTGATTCAAACTCTAAACTGCTTTCAAAATTCTCCAAATTAACAAAAAAACTTGGTGTTGAAGGTACGGTTTCGCCTTCATTTTCAGTGTATTTTGAGTCATATAATGTCATCAATTCAGCTCCATAATGGCTTTACAAATTGATTGGTAATATTGATAATCAGTCTTTTCAACAGTGTAAAATTGGAATATGTTTTGTTTGTTTTGTTATAAATACCGTACACGTAATTATTTCTTGATTCGAATTGATACATCAAATTCTTATGTGCAGAATTAATTTTCATACCACTGTCATATCAAATAGACTAAAATAACTGAAAGATCAGGTTATTACAACTACTCAATTCCTAACCCATGGAATATTTGAACAATATTCTAGGGAGTCAATCCCAAACTCAACTGGTTGAAGAAGCAATTCCTACATTATGTAATCGTTTACAGCATGCAACAATGGTTTCAGATAGAAGATCAGCTGTATTAGGATTGAAAAGTTTCAGTAGACAATATCGAGAAACAGTAGTTGAACATGGATTAAAACCATTAATATCTACACTTAAAAAAGACAGACTGAATATGGTGATTTTTAAATCTATTTTGGAATCATTTCTTATTTTATTCATACGTGGAGAAAGTCATGAAGATTTGACAAGAGGTTGGATTTCACAACAGCTGAGATTACAAAATGGGAAATATCCTTCGCCTTTGTTAATGGATGATATAACATTGGATCAGTTGTCTTTGTGGATAGCTGACGCTTTATTGCAAGACTCTGAAATACTAAATATACTAATTGAAGGTTTAAATGAAAACGATTATCATTCAAGATTATATACCATTCAACTTTTGGAGTCATTAGTATCGAGCAGAGGAAATAGAGTCAAAGAAGATCTTCTAAAAATACCGACCTCAATATCCACATTGTGCAATTTATTGTATGATAATCATGAGCCTGTTCGAAACGAGGCAATATTATTATTAATGGCAATAGCGAACAATAATTTTGACATTCAAAAGTTAGTTGCGTTTGAAAATACGTTTGAAACACTTTTCAACATAATAGATGAAGAAGGTGGGATACGAGGGTCAATATTAGTTCAAGATTGTTTAACATTAATCACAAATTTATTACAATATAATGCATCAAATCAAAAATATTTCCTTGAAACCCAATGTGTGCCGAGACTAGCCAAGTTAATAGGAGAGTCGATTGATGATGATGAAGAAGTAGAAGAAGGACCTTTAAACGGAAGTATACCTAAATCAACACCAATAGTATGGACGGAACAAAGACTATCTAACATGATCACTATATTGGAAATTTGCAGATTAGTAGTGTCAGAAGATAATGAATTGGTTGTTCAAAATCAAAATAATCTTTATCAATCAGGAATTCATTACCTTCTTTTGAAATTGATCTTCCTACCTGCTACGGAGAATGAAATTAGATTAGTTGCCATGTTGACAGCTGCAGATGCAATTAGTGGCAACCCAAACATCCAGCATGAAATATCCAAGATCGACGTTCCCTACATGGATCCATCATTACCATCTTACGTACAAAAGCACGAACATCCTATACCAGTCCCATTGGCTTTACTCAATTGGTGCTTGACCATAAATTCTGTTCACCAGTTTAATATCAGAGTGGGAGCTTCCTATTGTTTGCAAGCATATTTCAAAGGTAATAAAGAAATAAAAGAATCATTTTTGAAAGACCAAATTAAGGACTACAAAAATGATGGTTTAAATCATTTGAATGGAAATAGTGATGAAGCTCCAAAGAGTAATATTTTCAAAACTTTGATGGATTATGATGCCAATTCCAAATTGAATCTTTATAAAGTATGGTTTGCTACAGTAATTTTATTATATATCTTTGAAGACGAACCAGAAAATAAAGAAATTGCTAGAGCAGTGAAGACTGGTGACGATGAAGTTGGAGAAGAAGTCATGAATTCTATACAGGCTATTTCTGGTTTACTCATAACCACACTAAATGAAGTGGATCAAAGAATTGCAGTGGGATATTTGATGTTACTCACTGTATGGTTATATGCTGACTTTAAAGCGGTCGATGATTTTTTAAGCGATGAATCAAATTTACGGTCTATTTTGACATTCCTATCTCACAACTCGTCAGATGAAAATTCATTTGTCCATGGTATGGCTAGTATTTTGCTTGGGGTTGCATATGAATTTTCGACAAAAGATTCACCTATACCAAGAAAGGAGCTACACTTATTGTTGGTTAAAGGGCTTGGTTTAGATAATTATTCGTTAAAAGTGAAACAATTTACTTCCGACCCTGCTTTCAAAAATTTTGAAGATATTCCAAACTATATAATTATCCAAGATGAGAGTGGGTTGCCTGATGTTTATTTTGACTCTACTTATGTAAACTTAATCAAAGAAAATTTTTTCAGAATCAAAAGAGCTTTGTTTCATGACCCGGAGAATGAACCAAAAGGTAGAATTTCCTTTGAACATTTCGAAGAAATGGACATGAACTTGTCTGAATTGAAAAAGCAATTGAAAGAAGAGAAATTGAAGGCATCAGAAATTGAAATAAACAAGGAGGAACAAATAAATGAGTTGGAGAAAACCAAATCTAGTTTGCAAGAAAACTTATTAAATTATGAGAAAAATTTAAACGCATTAAAAACAATTCATAAATCAGTTAATGACAAATACAAGTCGACAGTGCAAGAACTTGCTTCAATAAAAAACCTCAAAGAAGATTTTGAAAATCTGTCAACAACCTTTCGAAAAGAATTAGATAACGCATTAAAACAAATCGAATCATTGGAGTCAAAACAAAAGCAATTAGAACATCAATTAGCATCCACTGAACAAGCCAAAAGTAAATTAGAAGATGGTGTGAATGGAATGACTAAAGATTTATTTCATATGAAAAAACAAAATCTGGAAAGTGATAAAAAATTGAAAGAGTTCAAAGCTAGAGATGAAAAAATTTCAAAAGAGGCTGAAGCTTTGAAAAATAAAATTGTTGATCTTGAGGCATTAATCAAACAAGTTAGCAAGCAAAAGGACGAAATTTTGAGCAAATCGAAACAGGAAATGAATGTGAAGGAAGCTAGTATTAATGATTTGACCCGAGAAAAATTAACATTAAACGACAAATTAAAGGTACTTGGAGAAGATAAACGTCAAATACTCGAGCAATTGAATAAGAAGAACGATCTACTTGGAGAGTTGCAAATTCAGGTAGACCAATTAAAAAATGAAAAATCCAATTTCGAAAATGAGGTGGAGAAAGTTAACAAAAAATTGAAATCAGCCAGAGAAAAATTGATACAGGTCGATTCTGATCATGAAGAAAAGATCCATGAGATTAAAAACGAATTAAGTACTAGTAAATCCGAATTTAAAAAATTGGAAGCGGAGCTTATTACATTCAAAGACTTACTAGACGCTGAAAAAGCTAAAAATACCAAATCAAATAGTACAATTGAAAAGTTGAAGGAGGAGTTGGTCAAACATCAGGAATTGCTTCTGAAGAAAGACGAATTAATAAAAGATAACGAAAAGCTTCGAGAACAATTAAGCAAGGCAAAGTCAATCGATGACGAGAACGGCGAGTTGGTTTCCAAAATCGAAACTTTGACAAAAGAAATAGAATCCATTAAGTCTGACAAAGATATTTTGGAGGAAAAAATTAGAAAATTATCAGCAGACATAGAAAATCATAGCACTTTCAAAGTTCAGAATGAGAATAAATTAAAGAATATGGAAAATGACCTTAAATCAAAACTAGATCAATCAAGTGAACTAAGCAATAAAATTAAAGAGATGAATGAAACAATCAGTAGTCATGAAGCCAACAAAATTCGTGATGATGAGTTAATCAAGAAGTTGACTGAAAAATCGGATCAATATGAGGCTGAAATGAGTGAATTGAAAAATAAAATTGAAGAATTGAATAAAAGTCATAATTTGGTATTGAAGGAAAACGAGACGAAAATCATGTCATTGACAGGTGAAATAAAAAGCTACAAAGACAAGTCAATTGATTTAGAAAATCAACTTGAGAATTTAACTAAGGACCACAAGGAAAGTATACTTGCAAGTGAGAATAAACTTAAAAATTTAGAACAAGACTTGAATGATAGTAAGAGCAATATCAAAAGTTATGAAGACAAATTGAAAGAACGCGATGCAGCTATTAAGGAGTATGAATTATTTAAAGTAGAACACGAAGAGTTGGTTAAAAATTTGAACAAAGACTTAAGTGACAGTAAAAACAAATCCGTGACTTTGGAGCAACAAGTTGAAACTTTAAGTAGTAATCACAAAAGCATTAAAGCAGATCATGAACAAAGTTTAAAAGCTTTGAATGAAAAATTACTGGTCTCAAAAACTGAAATAACACGTAAAGAAGATCGTATTGGAGAGTTAATGCGAGACCTCGAAGAATATAAAACAAGTAAAAAAGAGCATGAAGGTTTAGTGAACACATTAAATGAGAAAATAAAGCACATCGAGACCAAGTCGGACGATTTGAAACATCAAATTGAGAAACTAATCAAAGATCACTCTACATTGGATTCTCAAAACGATCAGAAGATAGAGTCATTGAGCGCTGAGTTGAAAACATATCGAACAAAATCAAAAGAGTTAGAGTTGCAAGTGGAACAGCTTGAAAATGAACTTAAATCTAGCAATACAAAAGCAAGTGGGAATGAAGACTTGAAACTGAAAATAAAAACATTAAATTCTGAGATTGCTACATGGAAAGTGAAATTTGCTGAATCAAATGATGAAATAAACCAATTGAAGGAAAAATTAAAGTCTCAGGAATTAGAACTTTTAGAAAATAAAAAATTAAAGGAGAAAGTGTCTTCCCTAACGGAAAGTTTGAAAACCGTTTCGGCTCAAGCTCTGTCCTTTGAGGAGGAAATTAATAATTTGAAGGAGAGAATCACTTTGTACGAGAGCAATGAGAATCAGTTGAAGAGTGAGACATTAGCTTTATCATCAAAATTAGAGCAAAGAGAAAAAAGCCTAACTGAATCTGATAAGAAAATTGGGGACCTCAATAAGAAACTAACATCCTTCAATGACCTAAAATCAAACAATGAAATTCAAAAGGACGAAATAAATGAATTGAAATCAAACTCAGAAGCCAATGCAGCAAGATCAGATGAACTAAAGACAGAGATGGAGAATCTTAATTTAGAAAACGGAGAATTGAAAGCAAAAATAGAAAATTTGAACAAAGAAATTCAATCAAAGAAAGATGCTACTACAAATCTTGAGTCAGAGGTGAAAATCTTGAGAGATCAAATCAAAAGTCTTGATTCAACAAGTGATAAGAATAAGCAACTAGAAGAGAAAATTACTAATCTAACTTCAGATGTAAAATCCAAAGAAATTAAATTGAAAGAGTCGGTGGAACAAGCCAAGGAGTTGAAGGAACAGCTTCAATCGTATATTTCGAATGACAGCAAAACTAAGGATTTGGAGGAAGAAGTGAAGAAGCTTGCTAAGAACTTGAAGTCCAAGACAGAGGAATCGAACAAGTATAAAGAAGATTTAGAGAGTTCGAAGAAAATGATAAATGGTCAAAAGAAAGATGAAAACCAGGTAAATGATTTGAAAACGGAAATTGAGAAATTGAAGACCGAGTTGAAAAATGATAGAGCTACTTCGAAGGAATACACTACACAAATTGATAGTCTTAATAAAAATATCGAAACAATCAAAGCAAACGAAGAAGCTCATAAAAGTAAGATCAAGTTGCTCGAGTCAAAATTAAAGGCGTATGTACCTAAATCAGAGCATGAGGATTTACTTGAAATTATGATGAAACTAGACGATAAGAAAACCAGATATGAGAACAAATTGAAAGATTTAGGTATATCCTTGAAAGATTTAAATAGTGATAGTGTTGATAGTGATGAAGAAGAAGAAGAAGATGATGATGATTGAATAAGGTAATGACTACATGAAATGCATTTATTTATTATTCTGAAAAACTGTAGCATATTTATCAAGGTGGCTTTTTATTGTCGTCCAAGTCTCTATTGTTTAATTCATCGTATTGTGAAACAAGATTTTTTGATGCGTCGTACATTGTACCTGAAATTTACACAATAAAGTTTTAGTCTAATATTTTTGAAAATGTATCAAAATTATTTGAATTCAAATACAGCGTCTCAATTGAGTGAATAACTTTCGAATTTAGATGATTCTACTAATAGACTCATATGACTCATTCACTAACAACTTAGCCAACCTTATTAAAGCCACCACAGAAAAAGAAGTAATTTTAGTACATAATGACTCGTTCCAACTAAATGAATATGAATCCTTTTATAATCAGATTAAGAATTATTTTGATTTCATAGTAATAGGGCCAGGACCAGGTCATCCTGCAATAAAGGAAGATGTTGGAATCATCAGTTGGCTTTTTCATAGAATAGCAAAAGATACAAATGGTATACCAATTCTTGGGATCTGTCTTGGGTTCCAAAGTTTATGTCATGAGTTTGGAAATAAAGTTGAAACAGCAGAACACATTAGACATGGTCAAATTTATGATATTTTTCCAGCGGGTGAAAACGACATTTATAAGAATACAGAGAAGTTTCCTAGTGTGAGGTATCATTCATTATATGTAGATGGAACAAAATTGAACGGTGAGATCATTCCTTTGGCTTATTGTTATGAACCAGTAGAAGCTGATCCTGATAAAGGACAAATTTTAATGGCAGCAAAACACAAATCATTACCATTTTATGGGGTACAATATCATCCTGAATCCATATGTTCGAACAAGGGCAAAGATTTGTTCAAAAACTTCACAGAAATTGCAAATGAATACAACTCTCGGAATGGAAGAAATGTTTCGACCTGTGTCCAAAATGAGTTTCAATGGTTTGATAAACATGCGTTACATGAAAGAAGTTTAATTGAAGAAGCATCATCTACTGAACCCACTAATGTTTTATTTGAAAAAGTTGAATTACCAGAAAATATAACTGCAGTAGATGTTTGCGATCATTTTGTACGTATAGGCAATGGAAAAATAGATTTTTCTTTATTGAATTCAGCATCAGTACCAGGTGAATGGTCAATTATTGGGTTTCCTATCGAAGGGGAAAGTGAAATTATATCACATTCAGTTGATGACATGAATCATGTATATACAAATAGTTACAAATCTAGTGAAAGAAAAAAGTTCAATGTTGATGGTCATGAAGGTGCTTGGAAATTCATTGCTCAAAAAATGTACCTGAAATATATATCTAGAGACTCAATCAAGAGGAAGATAAATTCAAATTATAACAGAGAATTACCATTTTTTGGAGGTTATATTGGTTTAATATCATATGAGGAAGGTCAACATATATGCTTTAACAAATTAAAACCTATTTGCACTAGTACTACTCCAGACATAAAATTAATGTATGTTCTGAGAGTCTTGATACGGGATCATTTGACCAATGAGTGGTTTTTGTTATCTATTAATGATAAAGACGACAATTGGGTCAAAGACATTCAATCAAAATTAAAAGATGTGAAACCGATTGATTTAAGTGAAATTGCCTCAAGTGTTAAAGATTTATGCAAAGACAAAGATAAAGATTCCATTAGTTTTGAATATCCATCACAAGAAATATACAGACAACAATTTGATAAATGTCAAGAGTATTTACATTCTGGAGATTCTTATGAATTATGTTTGACAACTCAATCAAAGATCAAACTTCCAAAATACGTTACACCTTGGAACATCTATAAGGTACTCACGTTAAAAAAGAATCCATCACCATTTTCATGTTTTGTTGATTTCGATGATTGCTGTCTTATATCGTCTTCACCAGAAAGATTTTTATCTTGGAAGGATGAAAGAAATGGTAAAGGTAAATTAATTCAGCTACGACCAATAAAGGGAACTGTGAAAAATACTGAAGACGTAAACTTTGAAAAAGCTTCTAAAATTCTTAAAACTCCGAAAGAAATGGGTGAGAATTTAATGATTGTTGATTTAATACGACATGATTTATTTCAATTCACAAGTGATGTTGAGGTTACTCAATTAATGGCAGTTGAGGAATATAAGACTGTTTTTCAATTAGTCAGTGTTATTGAAGGTAAATTGAAAGAAAATGATAAATATTTTGGAATCGATATTTTACATAGATCATTACCTCCTGGATCAATGACTGGGGCACCAAAGAAAAGGTCCGTTGAATTGTTACAAGATATTGAAAGCATGCAGCCAAATATAAATGAAGGAGGACGAAGAGGTATATATAGTGGTGTTGTTGGATATTGGTCAGTAACAGATGACTCAGATTGGAGTGTTATAATAAGATCAGTATTTCATTATAAAGATGATATAGAGAACTCGAATGAATTAAATCTTTGGAGAATTGGTGCTGGTGGTGCAATAACTGTTTTGAGTGATGTCGATGGGGAATGGGATGAAATGAATTTGAAATTGAGTAGTGCTTTACAAGCTTTTAATTGATAGAAAATTATAGATAGATTATCCCTTGTAAATAGAATTACATCTTTTATCCAGTTGTATCGTTCAAATGTTGGCCCACTCTGATAATTTTTTGATCATCTTTGGTATATTATCGAGCTAAATCCTGTATAATAGCTCAAAGATTTTTTCCTATGTCGACGAAACTTAAAATTTTATTTTTCTATACAATAATACTTTTAATTCTACATAATCAAACTCACTAAACAAATCAATTGATAATTTAAGATCCAAATGTCATTTTTTGGATTTGATCCTACCCAGCAGCCTCCAGGCTCGTTACAAGATGATAAAGTATATGATTTTGAAGAAACATACGATGGATTAGGAGAATTGGAAGAAGAAGACGCTTTCAATGATGAAACTTTTGGAACTAGTACAAAGGATATTAGAAAAGATTTTGAATTTGGTTCAACTACAACCAATGAGAATGATAATAAACCCAAATATCAACCTGCTTCTGCTCCAGCATTAGCTCAAAGTTATGCACAAGCCGCACAATCTAATCCAGTTAATGATGATGAATTCATGGAAGAATTATGGGGTTCATCCAATGCACCAAGCAAATCGATTCATGAGAAACAAAAACAATCAAACCAACAAGTATCAACGGAGCAACAACAAGAAAGAAAGATTTTATCCTTGGAAGAAATTGAAGCTCAGTTGATGGCGATTGATAATTCTCAACAACCGCATCCTCAACAATTCCCACAACCTGGTCTGTTTCCGCCTCAACCTTTTGGTCTTCCTGGAATGATGCCTCAACCTCCTTTCAATGGTTATATGATGGGAAATTACATGCAGCCTCAATATGGATTTGCTCCTCCACCTCAACAATTTCCGCCAATGCAAGGTTTACCACCTCAATTGCAACAACAATTTCAGAAACCTTCCCCCACAACGCAGCAACAGCCGACTCAACAACACCAACCGCAACAAGAGGCTCAACAATTCCTGAAACAAAGTCAACAGCAACAACAACAACATCAAGCTCAGCAACAACAACCAGTATCAGCACCGCAAGATCAATCAATAACTGATGGTAAAAAGGCTTTATCAACACACCATCAAAAGCCACAAAAGGTTGACTTATCACAGTTCCCTGTTTTAGGGAAAGGGGCATTACAGCAACCGCATCATGTTCATCAACAACAAGCACAATTACAATCACAACAACAGCAAAAACACCAACAACAACACCCACAAGAAAATAATCAACAACAGCAACATCATCATAATCGTCAACAACTGCAAGACCTTACTCCAGAACAACAGGAGAAAGCTGCAAGAAGACAAGAAAAAGTTTCAAGAATTATGAAATATTCAGGTATAATGAATCCAAAAGATAAAGATTTTGTAACAAGATTTCAATTATCACAAATTGTTACTGAAGATCCATACAATGAAGATTTTTATGCACAAGTTTATAAAGTAATTCATCCAAAAACAATTAATGGAATTCAACAACAAATTATTCCATCACAACAAAGTAATTCTATTGCACAAGCTTATTTAGATCATAGTGGACATAGATTAGGTGGACGTTATAAAAGAGCTGATGTAGCATTACAAAGAATGCAACAACAAGTTCAAAAAGCAGTTCATGTAGCCAAAGAGAGACCAAAATTAACTCAATATGCAAAAGAAGGAGCATTAGGTAAAATTTCATTTGGAAGTGGGAAAAAACCAAGACAACAATTAGAAATTATAAGTAAAGCAGCAGAAAGAGAGAAAAATGATAATAATAACAAAAATGATTTAAAAAAGCAAGATATTAAAAAATATAATAAAAAAGATATTTCAAGAATTTTAGAAAATATTATAATAGAATTAATGAATGTTGAAAGTGAATCAAGAACTTCAAATTCAATAGATACTACAAGATTATGGGAATCCATGAAAGTATTAGATCAATCATCAATTTCAGGAGATGAAGAATCTGAAGTAAATCCATTTATTCAATGTTTAAATTATAATAAAATGTTAAAAATTTTAATACGTCTTTTTAAATTTTTAACAAGAGAACAAATTTTAACAATATCAGCATTAATTATGTCAAATTTAGAAAATTTATTAGTTATTAAAAATGGTTCATATACAACTTATGAAAATAAACAAATTAATAATCAAATTAATCAATTAGTTGAATCTTATAGTTTAACATTTTCAAAATTATTTATGAATTCAGTTGTTGATTTTAAATTTAATGAAATTATTGGTTTATTAGTTATATTAATTGAACATAATAATGTATCATTTATATCAACAACAAAAATTGGTTTAACTATATTAACTACATTATTATCAAGAGCTGAATTAATTATTGGAGAAGGTTCAATATCAGCAACTGATTTATCTGAATGGACATCAACTTATGATGAATTATTTACTTCATTAGAATCAAGAATTTCTGCAATTTTCCCACCAAATTCAAATGAAATAAATGATGGTTCAATAAAAGAAAATTATATTTGGCAATTTTTAGCTACATTATCATTAGGTGGTAAATTAAATCATCAAAGAATTATAGTTGATGAAGTTAGAGATGAAATATTTGGAGTTATGAATAAAATTAAATTAATTAATGAAAATTTAAATAACAACGGCAATAATCAACAAGAGAATTCTCAATTATTATTTAAAAAACAAAATTTATTAAATAATTTAAATATGTTTTTGGTTGTAATGGGATTAGTTGCTGATGAAAATGAAATTAAAGAACTTTAAATAATATTAAATTATATTAAAAAAATTATGTAGTATTTAATAACGAAAGAACTGAAATATATATATTAAGAAACCGAAAACTTATTCCTTCAACTCAATATAAGGTTCTTACTTTAAAATTGGAGTAGGAACAGATGCAATTGTTGAAGATTCTGAAATTTTTCTATAATCATCATTATATAAACTCATTATTGAATCTTCTAAAGATAATAAAGAATTATTATCATCATCATTAGGTGGAATTGGTTTAAATGGAGGTAATAAAATATTATCATCATCGTAATCCTTTTGATATATGAATTTTTCATTTTCATTTGAATTTAATTTTTTTAATTTTTCAATTTCTCTTTTTAATTGTTTTATTTCGTAATGATGTTTTTCTTTTAATAATAAAATTTCTAATTCATATAATTTTGAAATTTGTTCAAATTCTTTTGAATTATTATTATTAGATGTAGTAGTGATATTGGAATTATTGGATTGGGAGGTAATATCTATAAGTCCAGCTTTAATAGATTCTGATTTAAATTTTGTTGGTGATTTGAAACATTCATTATTATTAATTAAATGTAAACTATTATATTTTGATGAAGAATTTTGATTTTGATTTAAATTTTGATTCAATTGAGAATTTAATGATTTATGATAATGCAGTCTTTTATATATTTGAATATTTGTTTCAGTTAATGAATATTTTGAATTTGTTGGTGAATTTTGTTGAGATGTTGATGTTGAAAAATTCCCACTTAAAAATTTTTCTTTATCCAAGACTTCTTTATAATCTTCTTCACTTTCTTCTTGTTGTTGCTGTTGTTCTTCTTTTGTCAACGTTAATTCAGCATCTTCTATCATATTATTTGATTTAGGTGTATAAATACCAACTAATGATTCAATTTCTACTTCATTTATAAATTCTTTGTCATTTTCAATTTCAGTACTGATTTTAGATTCACTGGTTTGGAATGATGCTTTATATTGAGGATTTTGTTCTAATAAAGTCAATTGATGCAAAGGAGTAGTAATTTGTAATTTTTCATTATTTTGTATTGAAGTTGTTTTATTATTAATTGTAGATGATTGATTATTTATAGGTGTTAAATTTATAAAATTATTTATATTAAAATTATTAATTGAATTTAATGGTGATGATAAATTATTTGAAATTGGAGGACTTATTGGTGTTGAAATTTTTAACGTTGTTGTTGTTGAAGTAGAAGTGGATGATGATGATGATGAATTATTATTAGTTAGTTTATTTAATAAGTTTCTAGCACTTGTAGATTTTTTAATAGTCTTTTTATTTGGTGGTTGTGGTGAAGATGTATCATTTGATAAATTTAAATGCTTTTGACTCTTCTTTTTGAAGAGCATTTTGAATATCACTCAGTGAATTGCAAATGTGTGTATGTGTATACGATTATGTGTAAGTATTCGGTGAATGAATTGACTTGATATTAGTATGAGATTGAAATAATTTTGATTTAAAACTTGAAAGAAGGGTCTTGATACGTATTAATAAAAACTATAGGTATTATATTTTACTTTTAGTGATATGTATAATCTTTTAAATAAAGTTATAAATAATTATAATAAATGATGATAGATAATATTATTTTAAAACATCTGATGAATGAATAAATAATTATAATTTCTCCGTCGTATCCTTAATTAACAATTACAAAATGATATTCATAAGTTTTATAATTTGTAGATCATTCTTCCAAATTTGTACCATCTTAAGACAAAAAAGATCAATGATTGTTAATTGAATTGAAAGTTTTAGTGATGATACGTTAGTGGATATTATTGATTTTGTATTGTTTTAAAATTACTTAATTAGGATTTTCAAAACATTAATAAAAACAAAAATACCAACACTAATAATACTAATACACAAAAGAACAATAGAACAGTAGACAACAAAAGTAACAAACTTTATTATAGATATGAGGAGAAAGGGTTTTTCAAGTGATAAGGATATATTAAAATAAAAAAGAAGGGTTTGAAAGGGTGTTTTAATAAGAAATTGAATGAATTATATCTTCATTGAATCAAAAATATTTATCAATAGAATTATTGAAACAAATACATTAAAAACACATAATATAGATAACTAAGAAGATTTATTAATGATCAGAGATTGAATAACAATAATATCACAATTATATTTCATATACGAATTATATTACAAATGATTTACAATTGCAAATCGGATGGTGAATATAATCAGAACGTTAATAATACAATGCTATGAAATATAAAATTAGAAATATTATCAATATTAAAATTAAAATTCAAGTTTGAAACAAATCTAAATATTTCAATTGTTTTAAATTTAAAAAGTTACTTACTTTATTTATAATGTTTGTTCTGGACTAAACAAATTTCATTATCTTAGAATTCATACTTTTATCTTTACCAAAGGTAAATAGAATGAAATAGAACATACCAAGAAACGATATAATTCTTATAGCCTAGTATTGGAGTATCAAATGCATGAAACAAGCCTCAATTTGGTTTGTTTATAATTTGACTTAAAATTGATCTTTTTCATACACACAATTTGAAATGCATATGTCTCTCTCATTTTCATTGAACACCAAATTTTTGAATATGAATTAATCCTTCATCAGATTTACGATCTCTTGATCAAAATTCATCTTTATATCAATAGTATTACAAAATAAGTTTTCAGAATTTACTTCAAATTTTTGAGCTTAAAATTCATCTAAAACCTAAAGCGGCTTTTGCAATAACTGTAAAAGCCCCCTTACAATAAAATTGAAATGATTGCACGAATCTGTTGATTATCATTTGAATCGATTTAAAATCGGTTGTAAATTATATCATCGATTTACAACACAAGTTTATTACGTTCTTTGAAGAACCCACCAGCAGACCACTTAAAAATCAAATGTTAAACTTTTCAGGGCAGACTAAAAGAAGAACTGTTAATTTAGGTAATAATCGGAATTTAGGATTTGGTAATGGTAATTTTTTACAACAATCTAAACTTCAAAGAGATGAAAGGCAAGAAGCAAGAATTAGAGAAAAATCTATTCAATTATTAGAAACAAATATTATAAATTATTTGAGAATTTCGAATGAAAATCATATTATACTTCTGCAATGGAAGAATATAACAATAAGTAATCAAGATCAATGGGGAGAATATATTTTAAATTTTATAGCTTTATCAAGATGGTTTGCAACTCGAAATCTGGAAATAGAAACTTTAATACTAAGTAGACTTCAAGATCAACTAAAGAGTACTGCACAATTGGAATTACCAAAACTGGCTGTAAATTTACTTGGGAATTACCTTACATCGATTCTAGATAATCATAGAGTTAGCTACAGAAACAAATTTATACTGTTTGAGATACTAAGAACCTTATTTGACAGATACTCATTTACAAGTCCTCAACAATTACAAAATATTGCATATATACTAATGGATTACTCAGACACTCAAACAGAAAAGGAATCACTCGATCTTTTAAATTATATGTATGCTGTTAATGATAATAATGGTGATCCAGCATATATTAAACCTTTCATTCAAGTTCTTAATGTTTACGATTATCAAAAAGCTAATGAATACTACTTATCAATACTACGAAAAGTGTTTAGTACTCAACCAATTGATTGTCTTAAAAGTTTTAAAGGATCGCCACAATTTGATTTTTTCAGCAGAATTTTAACTAATTTTTTAGTCATTCATGGAAATCGACCAATTGGTCAAGATTATTATCATTTACTACTGATCCTTCTAATCTATAATGATTCAGTGATCATAGAAGAATCTGATGACATTGAAATAAATCCCAACGAAAAATCATACCTAGAAGAAATAATACGGTGGGATCCACTTTATACATCTGAATTTTTACAAGGTTTAGTACATTATTTTGAGATTGATAAATCAATGGCTTTCATTCTTTTATTTAAATTAAGTACAATTCGACCATCAATGAAACAAAAAATTTATTTACAATTATGTGTAAATCCTAAAAATATTTCATTATTATTTGAAAATTTTTCAAATGATATATATTTTAAACAAATACTACGATTTGATGGAGAATTAATACCAAAAAATGAAATTGAAGAAACAGCACAACTGAAATTATTTTGGAATAAATGTTTATTTTTTGAAGAAGTTTATTCATATTGGTTAATAATTTCAAATGATGGAGAATTTTTTGAAAAATCAGGACTTAATAAAAATGATGTTATTAATTTATGTAAATTATTAAAATCAATTTGTTTAACATCTGTTGAATCTGAAGCTGGTAAATTTGTTTCATTATATCATCAAATAATGAAAAAAGATGATTTACAATCACAATCTTTAAAATTAATTGATCAATTATATTTAAAAAACCTTAGATTAAAATTTTTATCAACAAATTTTTGGTTAACAAAACTGTATAATTATAATATTGATAAATTTATAGAATATGCTATTGAAGATTATGAAAATCAAGATAGTGATGATGAAATAGGATTTTATGATCAAATAACACCAAAAAGACCTTTAATTTATACAAAAATGATTAAAATATTATTTAATACTCCTTATTTTATACCTTTCAATGAAAGAGTTAAAATATTTCAAACATTAGTTGAAAAAGATAGAGATAGAATAACTCCGAATTTTTTTATGCAAGAAACTCCAAAATTAGGTGCCAAAATTAGAAGAGAAAATTTATTTGAAGATGCATTTATATCGTTTGGTAATACTGGTGATCAATTTAAACATAGAATTCAAGTTGAATTTTTTAATGAATATGGACCAGAAGTTGGAATTGATGGAGGTGGAATAACAAAAGAATTTTTAACAAGTGTTGTATTAGATGGAATAAATCCAAAATTAGGATTATTCCAAATTACAACTGATAATCAAGTATATCCAAATGAAGAAATTTATTATAAATTAAGATTACAAATTGAAAAAGATATACAGTCATATAAATTAGAATTTTTAAAATTTTTAGGAATGTGTGTGGGAAAATGTTTATATGAAAATGTTTTGATTGATGTTTCATTTGCTCCATTTTTTTTAAGTAAATCATGTATGAGTAATTTTAAAAATTCAATAAATGATTTAAATTATTTAGATCCTGATTTATTTAAAAATTTAACAAGATTATCAGATATGACAAATTTAGAATTAGAAAATTTAGATTTAAATTTTAGTATTGATATTAAAATTGATCTGACGACGTATAATATTGAGTTGATAAATAACGGTTCAAAAATAAAAGTTAATAAATCAAATGTTCAATATTATTTACATAAATTAGCAGATTTTAAATTAAATCAATCATTGTTTCCACAAACAAAATATTTTTTAGAAGGTTTATTTACAATCATACCAAAAAATTGGTTGAAATTATTTGATTGTTTTGAATTACAAATGCTTATTTCTGGAGGTGAAAAAGATATAAATATAATTGAATGGCAAAATAATGTTGAATATGGAGGATATTTAGAAAATGATAAAACAATAAAATTATTTTGGGAAATTATACAAGAATTAAACATGGAAGAAAAATCGAAATTAATAAAATTTGTTACATCAGTTAGTAGAGCTCCTTTATTAGGTTTTAAAACTTTAAATCCAAAATTTGGTATTAGAAATTCAGGAAATGATAAAGATAGATTACCAACTGCTTCAACTTGTGTTAATTTATTAAAATTACCTGATTATCAAAATAAAGAAATTATGAAAGAAAAATTATTATATGCTATAAATACAGAAGCTGGGTTTGATTTATCTTAAATATTTAAATGAAATGAATATTGATGAATTTATTTTTATCTTAAGGTCTATGAATTTAAATTTGTACTTCTTTTTTTATTCTTATTCTTTAATAATACTTTTTGTTTAACTCTTTGACCTTCTTCCTCACTTTCACTTTCACTTTCTTCTTCTTCTTCCTTTTCACTCATCATATCTTCATCTTCAATTTCTCCTTCTATTTCATCTGATTCTTCTACAACTAATTCCTCGTCATCTTCTTCCATTGCATTTTCTTTAGCAGCTAATTTTTCAGCTTTTCTTCTTAATTCAACTTCTCTTAATTTTAATAATTCTGGATTTTCTTCAACTAATTTTCTATCAGCTTCAATTTCTTTTTCTTTATTACCTTTCATTCTATTTTTATAAAATGCTCTTTCTCTTCTTTGTCTAATTTCTTCAATTCTACTCATTCCTTTTAATGTTGTTGCGACTAAATCTCTATTATATCTAACTGGTACATTTCTTCTTGATGCAAATGTTAATGTTGAATCAACAACTAATTCTTTTCCAGCTGCTTTTCTAAAAGCTTTTGTCCATTTTAATTTTCTTGGATTTCTTCTTTGTTTAAAAGCTTTATGACATTTTGAACGACAAAATCTAAATTCTTTTGCATCATTTCTAACAAATGTTATTCCATGTAATGGATAAACTGGTGATGAACAAAAATGACATTGATAAATCCTCATTTTATTATATTATTATGTGTGATTAACTTATGTAGTTGGTGATGTTTAAAATTTAATCGTATATGTAAATGTGAATGTGTGATTTTATGTTCGGGTATGTACTTGTTAGTTCTTTCAATTGTTGATACAATATAAGCAAATCGATTTAAATATACAAGTGGTGTTTAGTAGTAAATTCAATAATTATTAATCTTGTGATGGTTATTAAAAGAGATGAGATTATTAAACTTATTTTTCTTCCTTCTCTTTAGTTTAAAGTGTGTTACACAAAACTAATTTTTTTTCTCTCTTACAAAATTATGAAACTTTGATTTGAAAAACTTTTGGCCTTAATCAAAAGTCATTCACTAAGGCAAAAGTGACAAACATGGCACCTCAAATGGAAGTACCTACACTTCATATACCAGGAGATAACACGCAACCACAACCACATACTCATACACAACAGCCGTACCAATACACAGGACAGCTACAAAAGAAACAAGCACCAGAAGGATCAATAGAATGGTATTTTGATCAAAGTATAAATTGGATGGGAAATCATCCATGGATGACAGGATTAGGAGCATTAACAATAACATATTTTGCAGCAGGATTTATAAAATCAAATAAACCAGGATTAAATGGTAAAGCATTTCATAGAGGAGGATTTGGTCCAAAAATGACTGCAAAAGAAGCTTTACAAATTTTAAATTTAAAAGAAACTAATTTATCAAAATTAAAATTAAAAGAACAACATAGAAAATTAATGATGGCTAATCATCCAGATAAAGGTGGTTCTTCATTTTTAGCTACAAAAGTTAATGAAGCAAAAGATTTCTTGGAAAAAAGAGGAGGAATGAAACCAAAATAAATGTTTGATTTAGATTTGAGTCCAATAATTTGTTGAAGTTGCATGTGATAGCTTCTTTACTTAACGTTTTACGAAATTGAATATAGATACTTGTACATAAATTAAAATTTAATTATACAGATATAATTTTTAATGTACTTAGCCAAAATTTTTACCAAAATATGTATTCTGGTTTTCAAGACATATTAAATCCAGTTAGCTCAACTCTCAACGTGATAATTAATTCATGTTTCTCAAACAAATTTGGAAACTAAATTTGACCAAATATTGTGATATATTGAATTGTAATTATAAACAGTTTACCGGTGTAATCTCGTAAATGCGTTACAGTGATGATCGTAAACCGCTACCAAATCAATTGGACCTATTTTTAGTTAACAAACCTCATTCTCTTATAATTCGGTTAATAAAATTTATTTGTTCATAGTCTATATTTTATCACAATTATAAAGTATCAATATTAATACATAAAAATTACCAATAGCATTCAATTCATTACTTAATTGTATTAACTTTTTACCAACAATTTAATATTTGTCACAATTGCTCAATTTCATACGGTCAATCAACTCATTTCAATAATACTCGCTCCATCATAGTTTAAAACTCCATTTAATCCGAACAACATATTGTGAAACATCAAAACTTTATAGCATACTAGCATCATTTCAGTTACAATAAAATCATCATTCTCCAATGACAACGTATGAAAAAATAGTAAAAGGAGCAACCAAAATTAAAATGGCTGCTCCTAAGCCTAAATACATTGAACCTATTTTAATGGCTACTTCAACAGATCATTCAATTGTTTCAAAAGATAATTTTCATACAATAATGAGAACATTACAACAAAGACTACGTGATAGTTCTTGGTCTGTTGTTTATAAATCCTTAATTGTAATTCATTTAATGATTAGAGAAGGTGATAAAGATGTGACATTAAATTATTTAGCAGATAATGGAACATCAATGTTTAATTTACAACTGAGTAATTTAGTTGCAAATAGTGGGAGTTTTAATCAAGATGCAAGACATATAATTAAATACGCCAAATATTTAAGTACAAGAGTAAAACAATTTGATGCAACTGGAATAGATTATGTTAGAGATGAAAGATCAAATAATAGTACTACTCAACAAGGTGGAAGATTAAGATCACTTAGTATTGAAAAGGGTTTATTGAGAGAAACAGATAGTGTTCAAAAACAAATCGATTCCCTTTTAAAAAATAATTTTATGGAAAATGAAATAAATAATGATATTGTATTAACAGCATTTCGATTATTAGTAAATGATTTATTAGCATTATTTCAAGAATTAAATGAAGGAGTTATCAATATTTTAGAACATTATTTTGAAATGTCAAAACCAGATTCAGAAAGATCATTAAAAATTTATAAAAAATTTGTTGATCAAACTAAATTTGTAATAGATTATTTAAGAGTAGCTAAACATCTTGAATATGCAACTAAACTTCATGTTCCAACTATAAAACATGCACCTACGGCATTAACCAGTTCACTTGAAGAATATTTGAATGATCCGAATTTTGAAATTAATAGGAGACAATATTTAGCAGAAAAGAATAATAGTAATAAATCAGAAGCAAAACCTATAAATGATACTAACAAGGAACCCCAAAACAACAACAACAACAACAACAACTCATCTCAGAATAATTCTTCCAATGATGGAGTAGATAGACATGCATCATTGGTTGTTCAACAAACTTATAATCCTTGGAATAATATGTTTGTTCCAGGTCAAGCCCAAAGTTACGTACAAAATCAAGATCCGTTTCAATTACAACAACAACAACTACAACAGCAACAGCAACAGCAACAACAGCAGGAGCAACAACAACAGCTTCAACAACAGCAACAGTTTCAACAACAACAACAACTCCAACAACAACAACAAATACAACAACAACAAGATGCACAGATACAACAACAATTGCAAGCTCAACAACAAGTACAACAACAGAATCAATTACAAGCTCAACAACAAGTACAGCAACAAAATCAGTTCCCAAGCTTTAATTCGACTACTAATTTACAACCTATACCACAAAATCAACCATTCCAACATCAATCATCACTTCAATCTTCCTACACTGGAGCTGGATTTGGTGGTTATGGTCCTCAACCATTGCAACATCAAAACACTAATCCATTTTTACAAAATAGACAGCTGCAACCGCAACAGCAACAGCAACAAATTTTTCTTCAACAATCAAACCAACAACCAATTCAACGTCAAAATACAAATCCCTTTGCATTACAATCTCTACAAGAACAACAGCAAGCACATCATCAACCATTACCACAACCAACTTCAAATTGGCAACAACCACAACAACCACAACAAACTTCATCTTGGCAACCATCAATATTTCAACAACTGAGTACCGGAATACAAAGATCTAATACCAATCCATTTTCAAGAATGGCAACAGGGCAGCAACAACAACAAACTCAGTCATATCCTGGGGTTGTACCTCAGCCGTTGAAACCACAGTCAACTAACCCATTCGCACGTAAAGTATTCAATCCAAATACAGATAGTTTGATTTAATTACATTAATATGCTTAAAAGTTCTATCTTTGTTCAAAAAGAAAAATAGGTTATCAATATTACTATTTGATTCGATTTAATACATTAATTTTAATAATACAAATGCATTTCAAAATTTAAAATAATACTATTACATTAAAATTTACAAACGATTTCTCTAATTAATATCAAGTTGGTGCACCAAATCTATATATTTCTTCATCATAATTTTCAGTAACAGTAGGGTCTTTCCCATATTTATCTTGCCAATGAGCAAATCCACCTTTTAAAATATATAAATTAACTTCATTTCCAAAATAATTTTTTATATCACCGTCTCTTATTTCATCAATTGATCTTAAAAATTTTAAAGTTGATGAAGGACCTCTTGATTGAGATAACATACAATGGAAAACAACATCTTTAATTTTTAAATCATAAATCTTATTCTGTATTTCTTTAATCAGATTTGAAAAATTTGATGAAGGGTAATGCCAACTTCCCTTTATATGACCTCCAATATGATCTGAGTCTCTTACATCTATTATTGCAAATTTATCATCTCCTGATGGTGATCTTTTATTTATTATCCATTGATGTAGTTGAGATGGTTTTATATATTTTGAATCTGAAATTGAATGTATCTTGGACATGAGGAGTTGTGGATGTGGATGAGTATATGAGGATAAGAGAGATATAAATCGAGGGGCCAAGATATGTTTGCAAATGAAGTTATATTGGGCTAACTTGGATATTTGAATTCTATTTTAGTCTAAATCTAGAATCTTTACCTCTTAAGTTTTGTGGTAACTTCTTTATCGTAGGCCGTGTGAAGCCACGTTTAATATTCTCGACCTTCATCGTACTATTTTATTTTGTTATTTCTGTGATAATTCAAACGATTTATTAATACGCCCAGTCGCTTAATTAAATAGTCTAATGATTATCATAAGAATATTAAGTTACATAGTTTAAATTTTTACTACCAAATTCGACTAAGTAAATCATTCAATTTCCAGCAATCATAGGCTATATCCATAAAATAATATACTTTGATCACAAGTTCAATTTTATAAATATACAACACACTATTCAGATCATAGATCATCACAACATCTACTATTCAATATTTTGCCGCAATTGATTGATATAGAAATTCACAACAAAATATGGCTAAATTGAGTAGAAGAAGAACAATTGAAAAAGAATTAAATGGTGATACTTCACCATTGACTAGAACTTTATCAATTGATTCAATATCATCATTATTTAAAAGAAAAAGAAAAAGAGATACCTCGGAATCAATTAATGGAGAAAAGGACGAAACATCAAAAAAGTCAATAACTCAAGGAGCAGTTGATAATAAATTGGACTTAGAAGAGAAAGAACAACAATTAAAGAAAAGAAAAATCAAATCAAGAAAGGAAGAAGAAGAATTTGAAGCAAATGAAAAAAAATTGGATGAAGAATTACCAGAAGAATTACGTAAGTTTAGACCAAGAGGTTATAAATTTAATATTCCACCAAAGGATAAACCAATTAGAATTTATGCTGATGGTGTTTTTGATTTATTTCATTTAGGTCATATGAAACAATTGGAACAAGCAAAAAAGTCTTTCGATAATGTACAATTAGTTTGTGGTATACCATCAGATGTTGAAACTCATAAAAGAAAAGGTTTGACTGTATTAACAGATGAACAAAGGTGTGAAACTTTGATGCATTGTAAATGGGTTGATGAAGTTATACCCAATGCTCCTTGGTGTGTTACTCCTGAATTTTTGAAAGAACATAATATAGATTATGTTGCTCATGATGATCTCCCTTATGCAAGTTCAGATAGTGATGATATTTATAAACCAATAAAAGAAGAAGGGAAATTTTTAACAACTCAAAGAACTGATGGTATCTCCACCTCAGATATTATAACCAAAATTATACGAGATTATGATAAATATTTAATGAGAAATTTCGCAAGAGGAGCAACAAGAAAAGAATTGAATGTAAGTTGGCTTAAAAAGAATGAATTAGAATTTAAAAAACATATAAATGATTTTAGAACTTATTGGATGAGAAATAAAATAAATTTAAACAATGTTAGTAGAGATTTATATTTTGAAATAAGAGAATTTATGAGAGGTAAAAAATTCGATGTTCAACAATATTTAGAAAATCAAAATCAAAAATTAATAAATATTGGAATTAATGGAAATAACAATAGTAGTAGTAATAGTAGTATTAATTCTTCATTTAGTGATGATGAAGATACATTGTCTTCAAGAAGTCCATTAGCTGAATTTGCTGCAAAATATGTTGGTAACGCAAATAAAGAATTAAATAATGCAGGAAAAGCTATATTTCAATGGATACATAAAAATGATGATGATTCATTTGATGAAGATGAAGATACAGAAATCAAACCAATTGAAATTAAACCATCTAAAAGATCAAGACGAAGAAGTAGTTCAAATGGATCAGCTGGAATTCTTAAATCAGCCACTCCTGTCAAATCTATAAAACCTTTGAATGATACTATCACTCCTTCAAAAAGTCCAGCTATTAAAAAAACACCAAAAAAGAAAACTGGTATTCCAAAGTAAGTAGCTCTTAGATTTAGAAGTTATACTAGGGTCTTTGTTGTATAGAGGTAAATTTTGTAAAATAAATACCATATCATATATAACTTTGTTGACCACTTTCTTCAGTTTCGTGATTTGTAGTTTAGTGAATTCCATCTGATCGATTATACTCCATATGTATAAATGTCAAGCTGAACAACCTTATTGCAAACAAAAGCCCCCTAGTAATTGAAGCCCCGTATTAGCCAAATTTGAAACATTTTATTTTTTCGTTTTTTGTGCGCGATATTTAGCAGTAGAATCTTTGTAGATAGCCTTGATTAGAGATTTCAATTAATCATTCACAACGTTAAATGTCTGACTCATTCACGGAGGTGACAGCTTCGGACGTCTCACATCTTACCCAAAATTCACCGAATGAACTACTACAGCAATTACAAGAGCAATTACGAAGTCAACAAGAGTTTTTCAATCAGCAACGAGAAGTTTATCTACAAGAACTACTAAATCAACAACATCAACAACAACAAAATGTCCAACTCTCGAAGAAACCGTTAACAGATTCTCTGCAAAGCACTCATTGGAGCTTTACACAAGGTCTAGTGGTTGGCCAATTGAGTGTAATATTTATTATCATAGTTTTCATCAAATTTTTTGTATTTGCAGATTCGGCAACATTACCATCAAAGACTATACTTCGAGATGCATCTGGTGTCATTGTTAAAAGAGATAGCTTATCATCTAAACCAAATAATACAACAAATTCATATTTAAATTCACAACAAGTTGATTCTTTAGTTGAGGATGAAAAAATGTTAAACAATAAAGCAAAAGTTACAAAAATTCTAGAAAAGACTTACTATGATGTAAACAATCATTCATCAGAATCCCTAGATTGGTTCAATGTTTTAATAGCTCAAACAATATCACATTTGCGAACAGAAGCACTTTTATCAGATAATATTTATCATTCTTTAAATGACTTTTTATCTGAAACAGACATGCCTGAATTTATGGATAGGATAAAGTTAACTGAAATTGATGTTGGTGATGATTTTCCAATTTTTTCAAATTGTAGAATCAAACAAAATGATCAAAAAAACAATCATAGATTAGAAGCTAAAATTGATGTGGATTTAAGTGATACATTAACTTTAGGAATTGAAACAAGATTATTATTAAATCATCCAAGACCTTTAACAGCTATTTTACCTGTTTCTTTGACTGTTTCAATTGTTAGATTTTCAGGTTGTTTAACTGTATCATTTATCAATACTAATGATCAAGAATTCGTGAATACAAATACCACAAAAACCCAACAACAAGAACCACAACATAATAGCTCGAGTGATGAAGATAATGATGGAAATAACAATAATACTGGTGCAGGCACGGCATTAATGTTTTCCTTTTCTCCAGATTATAGATTAGAATTTGTTGTCAAATCACTTATTGGTTCAAGAGCAAAATTGCAAGATGTTCCTAAAATTTCATCTTTGGTTGAAAATAGATTGAAAACGTGGTTTGTCGAAAGATGTGTTGAACCAAGGTTTCAAGTAGTTCGATTACCTTCATTGTGGCCAAGAACAAAGAACACTAGGGAGCCATCAACTATGAATTCAAATGATGATGGAAATGAGGAACATAGTTAGAATGGTATGAAGAAATTCATGAGCTACAAATCAATTAGTTTAACGAAAAGATGTTGAATTGTAAATAATATACATGTATATATAAATGAATTGAATAAAAGTTTTAACTCATGTAGTTTTGAGTTTACCGAAATTGTAACGCAATTGTTTGTTTAAATAATAAACATTAGTAAAATTAATGTTAAGATGCTTCCTAACTTTGAAACATGATTTTTATAGGATGCTGCTTCATAAGTTTGAGTAATCGCTGGTTGATTATTAACTATAACACTCGAAGTAAATGTTGAGTATTGAATTGAAGTGGGGTATTGTAGGGATGGTAATGTCAGTGATGAAAAGTCGGAATGAAGTAAAGTCGTTAATGAGGGGGACAAAGAAATTTGTGATCCATTTGACGTTGCTTTCACAGATGGTGATGATCTCGATACTGATGAAATTAAAGCCGATGAAGTTGTAGCAAATGAAGATGTTGGTTGCATTGACTTCGTAGTTGTAGTCTCATGGGAGATGGAATCGTTCGTTGTGTAAGTTGAACTCTCACCTCTTAAACTTTTTGTTGCAGGATCGCTAAAGATTGATTCAGTGAATGCAGATGGGGAATTCATACCTAAGTTAGTTGTGCACAGGTCTCCGCAGGTTGTTGATGAGTTTATTGACGAGCTTGTTGGTGAGCTTGTTGACGAGCTTGTTAGTGAGTTTGTTGACGAGCTTGTTGGTGAGTTTGTTGATGATACGGATTCGCTAATACTTTTTGTGCTCGATGTATTGCTCTTAACAATACTTTTTGATGAAGATGAGGCGGAATTTTGAGTAGGTTGGGATGATTTTTTTGACTCACTAAATGACACTAGTCCAGGTTGATTTTCGGTTGAAGAACTTGTAATTGACGCAGGTTTTGTATTTACTTCAGCTGAATTTTTCAAAGTCGAACTTCCACTAATTAATGACTCTCCAGATACTGAAGCCGTACCCGTAACTGATGAATGTGGCTTGTAGTCATCCGTATACGATGAAGAAGACTCTTCAAGTCCTGATGTATTTGGTAATTGAGTAATTGAATTGAAAGAAGCAGCTGTTGGTGAATGTGAATTTACATCAGGCATTTCAGAAATGAATACTGGAATTGCATCTAATGAGGTAGAATACAGGAAATTTGAAAAAGATGATGAACTTTTTGATATTGGGTCCGAGGTTTCATAAGTAACAACATCAGGGATAGCGTTGACTGATTTTGGGTAAAAAATACTCGACTGTGTCGGCTCTGATTTGCTTGATGATTGATGAGTAGTTACTGACTGTGTCGTGGCTCCGATTTGACTGGTAGATGTACTGATGAACGAATTTGATTTCTCACTTATATCTTCAAATGATGATGTTTTTGCTTCCGACTCAGAAGAGGAAGACTGATTTTCAATAGTAGGGAAGCCATCAAAGGAGTTTGTTGAAGTGGATTCTGTAGTTAAGTAAATTGAATAAGTTCCAATGGAGGAACTAACTAAAAGGGTATCGGAGATTGATGCAGGTGAGTCAGATTTTGCATTTGACACTACTAATGTGGTTTGATCGTGATCAATTGAACTGGTTGACTCTGTGCTTTGCTGTGTCGATAGTGTTGATATAATGACGTTACTTGTAGAATGTCTTGATGTATAAAGTTTTGTCTCTGTCTCATGAGAATTTGAAACTTGAGTAGATTGTGAAGATGCGGTGTCCAGTATAATATGTATTGATGATTCATCACGCGTATGGATACTGTCAACTGGGGAACTTGAATACTCGAGTTGACTCAAAGTTTGCTCAAATGATTTATCTGAAGAAGCAAATGAAGATGAACCAATACTATTTGTAACCCTATCTTCGCTATAACCGGTAGATTCGGCAGCAAGTGAAGTTAACAACGTTTGCATATTCGTTGAATATGAAATTTCATCCAGTTCTAGCGTATATTCTGATGCAATTGATTGGGAAGAAGGACTTATGGTGACGATCGAAGAATTCCAATATGGTTGCGAAAATGAAAGTTTACTAGTAAAGTCTAATGAAGATGAAGCCAAAATCGATTCTGTTGGGACTGATATCTGTGGAAATGAGTTCGTCGTAAATAAAGTTGCTTTGCTGTGTGTTTGATCATTCGAGCTCAAAAACTGCTCCGATGAAAAAACAAATGAAGTTGGTTCAATTGAGTATGATAAAAATGACGATGATGATGATGATGATGATGATGGTGATAATGATAATGATGGTAATGATGATGATGATAAACCAATTTCTTCTGTGCTCGATACGAAAGAAAGTGACGTGCCGCCAGTTATAGAAGTGAATTGACTCGTATTGACTGAAGTCGACTCAGCATCAACAGCAGATATGTAGCTTTTTGAAGAACTTGAAATTGATGATAATATATATGTTGAAGAACCAGCTTCATTAGTTGAACTATAATTTTCTATATCACTTGAACTTGATGGATTTTCAAATAATGTAGACTCAGCATCAACAGCAGATCTTAAGCTTTCTGAAGAGCTTGAAATTGATGATAATATATATGTTGAAGAACCAGCTTCAATGGCTGAACTATAACTTTCTATATCACTTGAATTTGATGGATTTTCAAATAATGTAGACTCGGCATCAACAGCAGATCTTAAGCTTTCTGAAGAACTTGAAATTGATGATAATATATATGTTGAAGAACCAGCTTCATTGGCTGAACTATAACTTTCTTTATCACTTGAACTTGATGGAATTTCAAATAATGTAGACTCGGCATCAACAGCAGATCTTAAGCTTTCTGAAGAACTTGAAATTGACGATAATATATATGTTGATGAACCAGCTTCATTGGTTGAACTATAACTTTCTATATCACTTGAACTTGATGGATTTTCAAATAATGTAGACTCGGCATCAACAGCAGATCTTAAGCTTTCTGAAGAACTTGAAATTGATGATAATATATATGTTGAAGAACCAGCTTCATTGGCTGAACTATAACTTTCTTTATCACTTGAACTTGATGGAATTTCAAATAATGTAGACTCGGCATCAACAGCAGATCTTAAGCTTTCTGAAGAACTTGAAATTGACGATAATATATATGTTGATGAACCAGCTTCATTGGTTGAACTATAACTTTCTATATCACTTGAACTTGATGGATTTTCAAATAATGTAGACTCGGCATCAACAGCAGATCTTAAGCTTTCTGAAGAACTTGAAATTGATGATAATATATATGTTGAAGAACCAGCTTCATTGGCTGAACTATAACTTTCTTTATCACTTGAACTTGATGGAATTTCAAATAATGTAGACTCGGCATCAACAGCAGAATTGTAGCTTACCGAAGAACTTGAAATTGAAGAAAATGCAAATGTTGCTGAATTAGAGTCTGTAGTGGAATTGAAAAATGATTGGTAAGCAATACTTGAGTCACTCTCTGAACTTTGATCATAGCCTGAAGTAGTTTCTATTGTTGCACCCAGAGTCGAGAAAAGCCTTGAGTCAAAAGTCGCGGTGATAGAATCTGAAGATGGAGTATAGCTTGTTTTAAAATCCGAGGTAATTGAAAAAGAAGCATCAGGATATGAACTACTTGAAGATGATGAAACAACTGCGAAAGTAACTTCGGATTCAATTGACGATGATATGTCCAAACTTGAGCTAGAATCTAAATCGATTGATGATACCGTATTATCACTCGGCGTAAAATATGAGGATTCAACTGCAGATGATTCCAATGATGATTCAAAATAAGTAGTTTCAGTTGACGATGATGTAGCATAAGTTGATTCACTAAATGATGAAGTTTCAAATGATAATGACTCAATTGATGACGGCTCAAACGGTGACTGGGTAACAGATAAAGATTTAATTGATGAGAAATCAATTGATGATGATTGTGTAATAAATGACGACTCGACTGATGGGGTTTCAAGTGATGAGGACTCAAATGATGAAGGTGTAATTATTGAAGAATCAGTTGATGATGGTGTAATAAATGAAGCTTCAATTGATGATGATGTAATAAATGATGATTCAACTGATGATGTAATAAATGAAGACTCAACTGATGATGGTATAACAAATGAGGATTCGAGTGGTGATATTTCGATTGACGATGGTTCAGTTGATGATGGTGTAGCAAGTGAAGACTCAACTGATGATGTTGTATTTGATGAGGCTTCAGTTGAAGATGGTGTAATAAATGAGGATTCACTTGATGATGGTGTAGCAAATGAAGACTCTATTGATGATGGTATGATAAATGAAGACTCAATTGATGACGATTCAATTGGTGAGGATTCAATTGATGAGGATTCAAATGATAATGGTGTAGCAAATGACGATTCAAGCGATGGTAATTCAAATGATGTTGGAGTCACAAATAATGATTCAATTGATGATGATGTAAATGATAGTGTAGTTAACCAAGATTCGATTGAGGATGGTGTAAAAAATGATGTTTCAATTGATAATGATTCGAATGATGCTGCGGTAACAAATGATGAGGTTTCAAACGATGATGGTGTAGCCCATGAAGATTCAATTGATGATGATTCAATTGATGAGGATTCGAGTGACGATGGTGTAACAAATGATGATTCAATTGAGGATGGTGTAACCAACGATAAATCAATTGATAATGACTCGATTGATGATAATTCAGATGATGACTCGATTGGTGATGATACAATTGATGACGGTGTAACAAATGAAGACTCAATTGATGAGGATTCAATTGATAATGGTGTAATAAATGAGGAATCACTGGATGATGGTGTAATAAATGAAGACTCAGTTGATGATGGTGTGATAAATGAAGACTCTATTGATGATAATTCAATTGATGAGGATTCAAAGGATGATGGAGTAGAAAATGAAGATTCACTTGATGATGGTGTATCAAATGATGATTCAAGTGATGAAGGTGTAATAAATGAGGAATCACTTGATGATGGTGTAATAAATGAGGATTCAAGTGATGATGGTGTAATAAATGAAGACTCTATTGATGATAATTCAATTGATGAGGATTCAAAGGATGATGGAGTAGAAAATGAGGATTCAACCGATGATGACTCAATTGATGATGGTGTAATAAATGATGATTCACTTGATGATGGTGTAATAAATGAGGATTCACTTGATGATAGTGTAATAAATGAGGATTCAAGTGATGATGGTGTAATAAATGAAGACTCTATTGATGATGGTGTAATAAATGAGGATTCAAAGGATGATGGAGTAAAAAATGATGGTTCAACCGATGATGACTCAATTGATGATGATGTAATAAATGAGGATTCAAGTGAAGATGGTCTAGCAAATGAAGACTCAATTGATGATGGTGTAATAAATGAGGTTTCACTTGATGATGGTTTAACAAACGACGATTCAAGTGATGACATTTCAATTGATGATGATTCTCTTGATGATGGTTTAACAAATGATGACTCAATTGATGATGGTGTAATAAATGAGGATTCACTTGATGATGGTGTAACAAATGATGACTCAATTGATGATGGTGTAATAAATGAGATTTCACTTGATGATGGTGTAACAAATGATGACTCAATTGATGATGGTGTAATAAATGAGGTTTCACTTGATGATGGTGTAACAAATGATGACTCAATTGATGATGGTGTGACAAACAACGATTCAAGGGATGACATTTTAGTTGATGATGACTCGAGTGATGATGGTGAAGCTAATGAAGACTCAAGTGATGACGGTGTAATATATGAGGATTCAAGCGATGAAGGTGTAATAAATGAATAATCAATTGATGATGGTGTACTTGATGATGAATCAATTGATGAGGATTCGATTGATGATGATTTAATTGATGACAATTCAATTGATGAAGATTCGATTGATGGGAACTCAAATGATGATGGTGTAAATGAAGACTCAACTGACGATGGTGTAAATGAAGACTCAACTGATGATGGTGTAACAAATGATGATTCAAATGATAATGATTCAATTGACGAAGACTCAAGTGATGATGGTATAGCAAAAGATGATTCAAATAATGATAGAGTAACATATGAAGACTCAATTGATGATGGTGTAATTGATGAGGGCTCAATTGATGATGGAGTAATAAATGAAGATTCAATTGACGATGATTCGAATGATGATGATTCAAGAGATGATGGTGTAACATATGAATACTCGTATGATGATGGGGTAGACCATGATGATTCAAATGATGATGATTCAAGTAAAGATGGTGTGACATATGAAGACTCAATTGAAGATGGTATAATTGATGAGGAATCAAATGATGAAGGGATAGCCCATGATGAGTCGATTGATGAAGGTATAATAAATGAAGATTCAGACGATGCTGTTGTAACATACGAAGATACAAATGAAGTTGGTGTAACAAACGACGACTCAAACGATGATGATTCAAGTGACAATGATGTAGCAAATGAAGATTCAAATGATGAGGACTCATTTAATGATGTTTTAAGTGATGATGATGTAACATATGAAGATCCAATAAATGATGGTGTAATGGTTGAAGATTCAAATGATGATGGTGTACTAAAGGAAGATTCAATTGATGAGGACTTAATTGACGATGATTCAAATGACGATGGTGTAACATATGAAGATTCGATTGATGATGATTCAATAGATGACTGTGAAGTATGACTTGGAAAACTAGATGCGGACAGGTTGTAACTTGAGATAACACTAGATGAAACTCCAGTATATGTCAGATGACTAATGGTACTCAAGCCAATCCCACTTAAGGTACTTGATTCACTCAAAGTATAGTATTCGGAATCTGAATAAAGTCGAGTATTGGATGTACTAGGATTGGATGGGTAATTAACAATTACAGAATCTTGACCTCCAAAAGTGTTTGTAATTGTCGATGTTGAAATAGTTGATCCTGTATAGAATTGAGTTATCGAAGTAGTTGGATTAAGTGGATAATTTACAATTACAGAATCTTCTCCTCCAAAAGTATTTGTTATTGTCGATGTTAATATAGTTGAACCTGAGTAATATTGAGTTTTAATTGTAGTTGGATTTGAAGGATAATTGACAATAACTGAATTTTGACCACCAAAAGTAGCTGTAGCAGTTGAAGTAAAAATTGTTGATCCCGAGTAATATTGAGTTTTAGTCAAAATTGGATTTGATGGATAATTGACAATAACTGAATCTTGACCACCATAATTAGCTGTTGCAGTTGATGTAAATATTGTTGATCCTGCATAATATTGAGTTTTGGTTGTAGTTGGATTTGATGGGTAATTAACAATTACTGAATCTTGACCACCGTAATTAGCTGTAGCAGTTGATGTTGAAATAGTTGTTCCTGAATAAAACTGAGTTTTAGTAGTCGTTGGATTTGATGGATAATTTACAATTACTGAATCTTGACCTCCAAAACTATTAGTAGCAGTTGATACAGAAATAGTCGATCCTGAATAATATTGGGTCTTGGTTGTTGTTGGATTAGATGGGTAATTAACAATAACTGAATCTTGGCCACCAAAACTGTTTGTTATTGTCGCTGTTAATATAGTTGATCCTGAATAAAACTGAGTTTTTGAAGTAGTTGGATTAGATGGGTAGTTAACAATAACTGAATCTTGGCCACCAAAACTGTTTGTTATTGTCGATGTTAACATAGTTGAACCTGAGTAATACTGAGTTTTTGAAGTTGTTGGATTTGATGGGTAATTGACAATAACTGAGTCTTGACCACCGTAATTAGCTGTAGCAGTTGATGTGAAAATTGTAGATCCTGAATAATATTGCGTCTTAGTTGTAGTTGGATTTGACGGATAATTAACTATAACTGAATCTTGTCCTCCAAATGTAGCTGTAGCAGTTGATGTGAATATTGTAGATCCTGAATAATATTGAGATTTGGTTGTAGTTGGATTTGACGGATAATTAACTATAACTGAATCTTGTCCTCCAAATGTAGCTGTAGCAGTTGATGTAAAAATAGTTGATCCTGAATAAAACTGAGTTTTAGTTGTAGTTGGATTTGATGGATAATTAACAACTACTGAATCTTGACCTCCAAAACTATTTGTAGCAGTTGAAGTAAATATTGTAGATCCTGAATAATATTGCGTCTTAGTTGAGGTAGGATTTGATGGGTAATTAACAATAACTGAATCTTGTCCTCCAAATGTAGCTGTAGCAGTTGAGGTAAAAATAGTTGAACCTGAATAATATTGAGTTTTAGTTGCAGTTGGATTCGATGGATAGTTAATGATTACTGAATCTTGGCCACCAAAACTGTTTGTAGCAGTTGATGTGAAAATTGTAGAACCTGAATAAAACTGAGTTTTTGAAGTAGTTGGATTTGATGGGTAATTAACAATTACTGAATCTTGTCCTCCATAGCTGTTGGTTATTGTAGATGTTAAAATAGTTGAACCTGAGTAATATTGAGTTTTTGAAGTTGTTGGATTTGATGGGTAATTTACAATAACTGAATCTTGTCCACCGAAATTAGCTGTAGCAGTTGATGTTGAAATAGTTGTTCCTGAATAAAACTGAGTTCTAGTTGTAATAGGATTCGATGGGTAATATACAATTACTGAATCTTGGCCACCAAAACTGTTTGTTATTGTCGATGTTAATATAGTTGAACCTGAGTAATACTGAGTTTTTGAAGTTGTTGGATTTGATGGGTAATTGACGATAACTGAGTCTTGACCACCGTAATTAGCTGTAGCAGTTGATGTGAAAATTGTAGATCCTGAATAATATTGCGTCTTAGTTGTAGTTGGATTTGACGGATAATTAACTATAACTGAATCTTGTCCTCCAAATGTAGCTGTAGCAGTTGATGTGAATATTGTAGATCCTGAATAATATTGAGATTTGGTTGTAGTTGGATTTGACGGATAATTAACTATAACTGAATCTTGTCCTCCAAATGTAGCTGTAGCAGTTGATGTGAATATTGTAGATCCTGAATAATATTGAGATTTGGTTGTAGTTGGATTTGACGGATAATTAACTATAACTGAATCTTGTCCTCCAAATGTAGCTGTAGCAGTTGATGTGAATATTGTAGATCCTGAATAATATTGAGATTTGGTTGTAGTTGGATTTGACGGATAATTAACTATAACTGAATCTTGTCCTCCAAATGTAGCTGTAGCAGTTGATGTGAATATTGTAGATCCTGAATAATATTGAGATTTGGTTGTAGTTGGATTTGACGGATAATTAACTATAACTGAATCTTGTCCTCCAAATGTAGCTGTAGCAGTTGATGTAAAAATAGTTGATCCTGAATA